GGATCGCTTAATTCAGTCAAATTGTTAAATGAACAAACAAAACAATTCCGTCCCGTTGCACAAGAAAGGGTAGCAACTCAAAAGAGGGCGATTCTGATTCGATAAAGAAGCAGATCTTTGGCTCTGAAACTCTCTTCCTTACAATCACAAAGCCTCCCAAGCCAGACAGCAAATGAAACCCTGTGACAAATCGGTTCTTGGCAGCGGTTTTTTGTAGACAGAAAGACCGCTGAATAAAGCCTCGAGAAAAGTGACATCAAACATACCTTCCCAAGTCGTTGAGCTCCTTTGTAATACGTTTCAAAGACATGATTTCTTGTTTCTTTATAGTTGGTGTATGTGATTCAAGAGTTGCCACCGTTAAGTAGATATACAGAGCCGAGTGGAACTTTTCTCAAATGTGTTAGATTCTCAGCAGATGGAAATTACGAGAAGGCAGGAAAAGGTGGCCGGGTAAGCGTTAAGATCTCGCTATGTACGGTGTAGTGATGATCACGTGATAATACGGAGGAAAAAAAAGAGAATAAATAAAGCAGTCTTAGAAAGAAAGCGATATATACCTGCGGCTGATGTGGACTCTATTTTTTGATCGGAATGACAATTTACTGTCTAATCAGGCTAGTGCTGTTTTTTTTGATCACAACGTTCGAGTATCATTCTACACGAAACACCAAATGGGGCCCCTGTTTCCCTCTTTTCTTTTTGTTTTTTTGGGTGTCGTGGATACTGGATAGCAACTGATTCCTACCTAGATGGCTAGAATTTTACCGTTCAAAATCGTGTTTCCCTCGGGAAGCGCTCAGTAGATGTTGGCGACTTTGAAATCAAAATACAAAGAAATTCAACCGAATCGTACTAAATGACATAAATTAAGATCACATGACCAAATAAAGCACAATGGTTCTTATTGTTATTGTTGGCGCTGCACTACTCACACACACAGATATTTCTTCGCGCTGCAATTCTCACAACGTCTGGACGCTATGCAACACTATTCCTCCCCATTTCTTCTGATCAGGACGACTATGGTTTCATGTCTTGAAATTCCTGTTTGGCTTCTCGATACAATCTAATTAATGAATTATACCCACTATCGAATGTGACAAACCTCGAAACACCACAAGGCAACACTTCCCAGCCATAAGAGGTCGCCTCAAAGTCGAAAGGTATGCACTATCCTCTCAGATCTCGCACTGGCCCGCCGTGCTGAAGAAAGGCGAGGTTTTTCTTGCATTCATACTGTATGACGGATCGGGTAGAGAGTAAACAAATAAAGTGAGACCACCTTATTAACGGGAACCGTCGACTAAAACCCCATTTTTCCTCTGGAATCTCCGGATACGCATGCCACCAGCCGGAAACATGCATGATACGCATTGTTTCATCCTGAAACCGTCGGTTTGCTTCGAGTATCTATGCAGCGCTATTTGTTTTCTGGATCGAAACATGAAACAATCGGTGCTGTTAGAGATTGCCACACCGCCAGCGATTTGCGCTGCAAGACTTTACTGAGAATCGTTTTTGCTGCAAGGCCGTAGAGAAAGGAAGTCACTTCGCTTTCGCCTCACTTACGCCAACGTCTAGAACCCAGATGCAAATTGTGCCTGACGGAAGGGCGGAAAGAAACAGGTTTGAAGTAAAGAGCAGAAAAGAGTGAGACGAGAACAGCACTGAAACTGGTGAAAAAATCATAGTACAATTGATTTGAAACCATCAGGCTAACACTGCAACAACTTTAATGGCATTCGAACTGTGCTTAAACCTGGAACACCCTTGCACTCTTGAGTCACGAGACGTCCAAAAATGAGATCAATTACGATTAACAAACAAGTCACGTGACCCAAAACTTTCCCAATGTTTGGATTTATTATTCGATCACATGGTTTCATGAAAATTTTCTAGTTTTTCCAGATGTACTGGCGACAACTAGCGATGAGCTATGTGAGATGAGATGAGCTTAAGCATTTTTAACAACTAGAGCAGAATCAAAGAATCCCAAGCTTTGAGCCCACTTTCCATTGAACACATAGCATGGTCGGCAACGGTTTGGATCTTTCGAGCCTAAAGCACAAGGTGGCTTCCAAAATGAAGGACAACAAGAAGAAGCCATCGAAATCGAGCAAAAAGGACTCTGGAAAACATGCACAGAGATCGGAAGAGGGCAAACCAGTGGCGAAAGTAGACTCTAAGGAGAAAAATGCTGAAAAGGAAGCTATTCGTCGCGAAGCTTTGGCGTTGGGCGCTTCTGAAAAGGACTTGAATTTGATCAGTGGGCTATCAGATGATGATGATTTGAGTGAACAGGAGTTTGGCAGCACAAAGCAGGGCAAAGATAAAGAGTTTGATGACGAGTTCAAACAGTTTTTGAAGAGCAGTGGTATTGATGCTGTTGCTCCTCCTCAGGATGCGGAAGAAGCAGAGGAGGATGAACAAGAAGAAGAAGAAGAAGAGGAAGAAGAAGAAGAGGAAGAAGAAGAAGAGGAAGAAGAAGAAGAGGAAGAAGAAGAAGTGGAAGAAGAAGAGGAGGAGGATAGTGAATCAGAGTCGATACCAGAACTTGTCAAAGGCGTTGAGTCTGAAATGACCGAAGGACCCGAACTGTCAGATGACGACAAGTCATTCGATGAGGAGGGTCCTTTTCTTAATCAAGACTCAGATGCTGAAACCGCCGAAGAAAAAAAGGAAGACAAAGACTTGATTTCGCAAACCCACTTAGTGACCTCAGACAAACTGCTTGTACCTTCAGACGCGGTATGGCACGAAATTCCACTGGATCCTCAGGCAAACGCTCAAAATGAACCTTTATCGGCGGACAAAATCGAAACCTTATACCAGCGTGCAAAGCAAGCGCTTGAGGCAGACAACACTCTTTACTACGACGAGTTTACAAAAAACTCCTCGCAGAGAAAGTTTATGTCTCAGATTTTGAGCGACGGTACCCTCAACGATAAAATTTCTGCACTGACGTTGTTGATCCAGGAGTCACCTTTGCATAATACGAAGTCCTTAGATACGCTCATCTCTTACTGTGGAAAGAAATCCAGAAACTCCGCTTTGCAAAGTTTGAACTCTCTAAAAGATCTTCTGCTGAATGGCTTACTTCCCGACAGGAAATTAAAGTTCTTCAAAAATCAGAACCTTTCGATGATGCTCAACAAGAGAACGCTTGCCATTTTCTACTTTGAAGATTATTTGAAGACTCTTTTCTTTCAAGTTTTGCAAGTAATGGAAAGGTTGTCGCATGATCCTATCATTCATGTGCGCATGCAAGTGCTTTCGCATATCTTTGATTTGCTCACTGCCAAGCCCGAGCAAGAGTTCAATCTACTAAGGCTGGGGGTTAACAAATTGGGTGATATCGACAATAAAGTATCGTCCAAGACCTCTTTCCAATTGCTGAAACTAGAACAGGCTCACCCAAACATGAAGTCAATTGTAATTGATGCCACCGTTGATGTGGCCTTGAGGCCAAGTGCGGATTACCATACGACGTATTATTCGGTCCTGACGCTGAATCAAACGATTTTGAAAAGGTCAGAGGATAAGATTGCCAATCAATTGATCAAGACTTATTTCACCTTGTTCGAAAAGTTTTTGCTGTCTACGGATTCTGAAAACGCGGAAGGTGGGGACCATGCTCCCAAAAACAAGCAGGCAAGCTACGAAAACAAGCGCAAGAAGAATTTTAAGCGCGGTAAAAAGGGTGGGAAGTCGGTGAAGAATGACAAGACAGAGAAGGAAGTTGTGGATGAGAAGAACTCTAAACTATTTTCTGCCATTCTCACAGGCATAAACAGAGCTTTGCCGTTCTCGAATATGCCTGCTAGTGTTTACGAAGCGCATCTGGACACTTTATTCAAAATCACACACTCTTCGAACTTCAACACCGCTGTTCAAGCCTTGGTACTGATCCACCAAGTCACACTGAAAGCGGAGCTAAATGATGACAGATACTACCGTACACTTTACGAGAGTTTACTGGACGCACGTTTAGTAACTTCGTCGAAGCAGGGAATTTACATGAACTTGCTTTACAAATCATTGAAACATGATAGCAATGTAGCTCGTGTGGAAGCGTTTGTGAAAAGAATCTTGCAAGTGTGTTCGAGCTGGCTTAACGTGGGTGCTTTGGCGGGTATGTTGTTTCTACTGCTACAACTAGGCAAGGCTGTTCCGCAGATCAAGAACCTATTCACCAACACCCCTGCCGACGCCGAATACGCTTCTGAGGAAGAAGAGGATGGGAAAACTGATTCCTCGAGACAGAGGACATATGATAGCGGCAAAAGAGATCCTAAATTTGCCAACGCGGACCACTCATCTGCATGGGAAATGCGCCATTTCTTGAACCATTACCACCCAACAGTGCAGACGTATGCGGAGGCGTTTTTGACGAGCTCCGATGAGGTGACGAAACCGGATCTGGGCCTATACACTTTGGCACATTTCTTGGATCGATTCGTGTACCGCAATGCTAAGCAGAAGCCTGCAACGCGCGGTTCATCGATCATGCAGCCGTTGGGCGGATCGCACACGGGATCGCTGATTGTGCGAGCTTCGGATGCTCGCGCTACGGGGCTCGATGCTGTGCCCGCCAACACACAGGATTGGCTCGCTAAGAAAGCCGACCAGGTGAGTCCTGACGAGCGTTTCTTCCACCAGTACTTCAGCACGAAGCAGAGTGCCATCAAGCGTGCAGAAAAGGGCAAGGGTTCTGGCGCGAGCCACGAGTTTGACGAGGGCAGCGATCTGGATGAGGACGAAGTTTGGGACGCATTGGTGAAATCTCGGCCAGAAGTGGAGGACGATAGTGACGACGATGAGTCGATGGACGATTTGGAGGCGATGTCGATGTCAGAGGCGAGCGATGAGGAGGAGGAGGAAGGAGCCGAGGCGGAAGGAGCCGAGGCGGAAGCTGAGAAAGAAGAAGAAGAAGAAGAAGAAGAGGATGTATTCTACAGCTTTGCAGACGACAGTAGTGTTAACGCCAAGAAGCGCACACGTGACGCGGACCTCAGCGACGACGACGATAGCGATGACGAGGCACTGGCCAAGGCGTTCCAAAGCGATAGTGGCAGTGATAGCGACAGCGACAGCGACGTCCAACAAGAACAAGAACAAGAACAAGAACAAGATCAAACAAAGCAGCTTGGGAAGGACAAGGACTCTTCGGGCCGCATGTCACGCAAAAAGCTCAAGGCTCTGCCCGTGTTTGCCTCTGTCGACGATTATGCAAGCTATCTCAGCGACTAAAGTGTTTGATCGAAAGCGTTTATAGCGGTGATGTACACCAGGTTAATTTGGACAACCTAGAAGTGCATCCCCAAACGGGTCGTAATTATATACGGAACGGATCCCAATATGGGTCCCAATTTGGGTACCCGTTGAAAATCAGGTACTTTTCGAATACTAGGGAAAGCCCTTTAATTTGATTTAGTCGAACCCACGTGACATCTTCTTATCTCGTAGAAGATGAGACTTATTTTATTTTATCTTTTTTTTTTTTTAACAAAAAAAACCTCCCTTACCTACCTACCTACCTAACAAAACACAACTTCTGTCCACCCACACACCCACCCTTCGCTTACCTAATCTCAGTCGGGTAAATTTTTTTCACACCCAGATTCTTCCCCTTTTTTGTTTCCCTTCCGTCCTCCCCGTCGTCGTTCTAACGTAAAGACGGACAGAAAAAAAAAACTCAAAAAACACACTTACACAAAAAGGGAAACCCATCCCGCACACTCCCCGCCTCACCTCCCAAAACGGCAGGAGATCGAGAAAAATCACAAACACAAACACAAAAACAATTTGTGTTTCATCTTCTCCCCGTCCTGTTCTAAGCAAGTCACTCCCACCGCCAAACTACCCCTCGAATCTGAAACACATTCTCTGCATGACCGGTGTTTCGCGTACATGATCTGAAACATACCGCTCTACGACGCTAAACACATCGTTACAAATTATACAACTCTATGTAGTAGCACTGGTAACAGCGAGAACACCACTACTACTACTACTACTACTACATGGTCTAGAATAATAGCAGCAGCAGCAACAATAGCAGCAGCAGCAGCAGCAGCGCTTAGAAGCTGGCAAGCCCGGTCGTTTATTCAGCGTCTTTTTAACATGCGTATAATTTTCTGTAAATAGTGTACCCTAGCGTAGCCTAGCGTAGCCTAGCCTAGCGCAGTGCAGCGTGTCCCAGATCAAACGGTTTGCCCAGGCCAAAAGCCCGGCAGAGCGAAATAATAGAACCAGACTGAGCCGGTAGGAACACAACAGGCACATTGTGAACAGCGAAAGCGTACTGCATACATATCCATATCCATATATATATATATATAGGTGAGAGATTTTTATAGTTTCGCGTTATGTGCGAGACACATAGCAGAATAGTAGAAAGAGAAGGGTAATATAGCTAGAAGGCACTAGTGGAAGTGACAGAGGCAGCCAACGAGAACGAGAACAGGAAGAACAGTAAGAACAAGAAGAACAAGAAGAACAAGAAGAGCGAGAAGAACGCACATACAAGGGAAAAATTACGTTCAAGTGAAACTCTCGGACATTTTAACACACATATACACATAGATACGATTGATCGATCGATTGTTCAGCTTCGTCGGTATAATCTGGTATTTCTGTCTGTATCTGTATCTCTCTCTCTCTCTCTCTCTCTCTTTTCCGATGTATACAATGAACAATAAGGACGCTAATACACACAATACGGCACCACCGTTGCCCCCGTCTGCAACGACAACAAGGATTTTTGACGTTTACGTGGGCGAGGCGGAAATGCCGGAACACGTGATCGACATCATGGACTACGAAGATGACGAGGTCACGCGACAAGCACGTGGGGCCTGGGCTGACGATCAGAATCGTCATATACGGCACACCGTCCACAATGATCAGAACGTACAGAACGACAACAACAACAATAATAATAATAATAATAATAATGATGATGATGATGATGATATGGACCAAGAAGGTATAGATGATGATGACGATGATGATGATGATGACGAAGAAGGCAACAGCCACGATCACGACGATGACGATGACAATGACAACGACAACGACAACGATGTTTCTGACTACGCCAGAAACACACACACAGGCCCCACGCTCGTGAATACGGGGCTGGGAGAGCCCATGCCCCTAACCAACATCGCAACCGCCTCGGCAACCCGTTTCACGTCCCACATGCCCCTGGCACCACCACCCGTCATCGTGCCGTCCGCCTCCTCCTCCTCCTCTGCCGCCTCGTCTGCAGCAGCAGCAGCAGCTCTTTCCAGCACCGATATTTGGTCCGTGCCCGTGGAAAACGCCTTTTTGGCCGCGCTGCGAGTCATCCCAAAAAAGGGCACCGCCAAGATCAAACTCAACAAACGCAACTACGGCCGCAACGAGCTCATCTCGCTCTACATCCACCACAATCTGGGCGAGTACCGTGCCAAGAAACAAATCTCATCGCATATCCAGGTATGGAAGAAATCCATACTTAATAAACTGCAGAACGGATCGCCGGTCACGCCGTACGAAACAGAACTGCTGCAGCTTATCGAAGAAGGCGCCTCTCAAAGCTCCGAAAACGAGCGTATTTTCCAAAAAGTGTTCATGGACATCATAGAGGACGTCGGCAATGGTCCTGCACCGCTGCGATCGTTCGGCGACTCCTGTGTGTCCAGTGGTGCGGTTTCCAACGCTTCGTCGTCCTCGCCGTCTCAAAAAGGCATGGTTGGTATCAGCCTTGGCAACCCGAAAATGGTGCCAGAAAGGCTACCTTTAAAGACGACCGCAACACACAATAGTCCACATATCATTTCGCCTGACCACGTGACCGGATACGGCGTATTGCGAAATACTGAAGGTGGCATGAGAACCGCTACAATGCCAGAGGCCATAACGCCTTTGGACTACGCCCGCAGAGTGTATGGAAATTCACGCTCTTACAAATGTGTTCCTGTCAACATGCACGACTACACGTATCAGCACAACAGCCCTGGGTCGGCTCATCCGGAGGAAACCGTCAACCAGCAGACCCTTTTGGCCGCGCAGCAAGTGGCCGCCAGACAGCGCCAGCTCATTGACACCATGTACACAGGACAACAGCAGTTGTATGGCCCTCCTCCTCCTGCTTCTGCCGATATGGTGGAGCCGGATCACGTGGAATACACGCGCTACGATCTGCATTCGATTATTCCTCCCACGGCCGCAAGGCCGCCCGATCAAGCATATGTCGACTTGCAAAGACGTTCACTACAGCGTTCAAACGCCGACCGTCACTCAAGAGCCTCCATACACACCAGCGCGAGCGACCACAGCTCCGATAGTGGTCCATCCGGCGACATCGCCTGAGTCATGGGGCATAAAAATTGACAGGACAATTTTGGGAAGAACATAAGAACTAGTCAAAAGCACACATTGTGCGGACTTCTTCGAGGCATTATGATGTTCAGATGTTGTGGAATTGTAAAATTGTGAAATTGTGAAATTGTGAAATTGTGAAATTCACATAGGTAACGAAATAGATTTTCTAAAGGTATTCAAAAGACATGAAGATAAAAAGAGGCGCGGATAAGAGTGTAAAGCATACAAAGTAAAGATTGAGGTTTTTTTGAACCCATCTCACGCAAGGAATTTTGCCAACCAGAGCAGTAGAATTCCTGTCTTGACAGTATTTGAAAGTAGAACATCACTTTATACGTGGAAGCTTTGATCTCAAATTAAATATTATAGATATAATCATATGGATTTAAACTGTCATCACTACAAACTCGTAGGTTTTAGAACCATTTTATCGACCTTTAGACCAGGGAAACAGAGATTTTCACCAACACCACAATCTCGTGCGCTCCGGAAAATGGCTTAGCACTTTTGGTATACTAGTTGTCGCCTTATGATCTGTTTCCGGTGAATTATCGACTATTTAAGGTAAAGAAAGTCGTGTCCTATCATAAAGCAATGTCACTCAACAAACCCGGAGCTGTATCGTATATCTCTATCAGTGCTCGATGCGAGAACCAAGATAAATTATGATTAACTCCTAATCTGCATTTTTGCGGGGTCGTTGCATATTAACATTCCCACATCGGTGAAATTGATTCCCATCTGCAATGAACATTCCATATCACACATTTCGGGCGAGACCAGATCTCTTTTTGCCTGTTTACAATGTTTTCGGAATGTCGAAACCTTCCAAGCAAAGATGAACGTTGTTGAAAAGGAACCCTACCTGATGACGACTTTCACATATCAACAGATTCCCTCAAATCCTGTCTTTTCCAGTCTCTTTTTTTTGAATTCTTTGAAAGATATGCATGGGGAACCGAACGGAGGCCAATGGATGGTTCACTCTGTCGTTCAAAAGCCTATTTGCAGAGTTTTGCCTAACTCCGAAAACGAGTACCGAAGACCGACTAACCCAAGAGAGTAAAGCTTGCAACTCTTATCGATACTATCGCCATGCATTTACGTCCCAACGCGCATCATCTGCTCATTGACTCATGCTCATTTCACTCCTTCGAGGTTTTTTTTTGACTCGACCAGCTGCCACGTGACGTCAAATTTCAGATGCCAATACTTTCTTTTCATTCGAGATGGTATATTAGACGCTTGACAATCTGGTCGATGCACAATTTGGAGCTGAGCTTTCGAATCCACACTCGACCCCGAAGAAACGTACCATTGCCGTGCTTTCTTGATGTTGTCCCGTGCCATCCAACGAGGCTCTTTGAGACGCCTCTATAACCCTCGTTTTAGGTCAATTACAGTGCTATCGTTGAATAAATCGACTACACCTTCACAATCGTTTTATCACACACTCTCTGGTACTAAAATCGCCAAAAGCATCAGAGATGACGCTCTCATAAAGATTGAACAGATTCGGACCCAAATTCCCACTTTCAAGCCCACTTTGAAGATTTTTCAAATCGGTGCTAGACCTGACTCTACTGCATATGTCCGCATGAAGTTAAAAGCGTCCAAAGAAAGCGGAGTGCATTGTGACGTCGAAAAGCTGCCAGAGAACATTTCAGAGGCAGAAGTGCTCAATAAGATCGAAGCTGTCAACCAGGACGACTCAGTTCATGGTCTTTTGATCCAGCTACCGTTACCTAAACATTTAGACGAAACTAAAATCACTAATTCCGTTGTCCCTTCCAAGGACGTGGACGGTTTCCATCGTTACAACGCTGGAGAGCTGGCCAAAAAGGGAGGTGAGCCTTTGTTCATTCCATGCACCCCAAACGGATGTATCAGGCTATTGAAAGAGGCTGGCCTTGATATCCGAGGCAAAAATGCTGTGGTATTGGGCCGTTCTGACATTGTCGGTACTCCTGTTTCGTCATTGTTGAGAAACTTGGATGCCACCGTCACTGTTTGTCACAGTAGCACTACCAACCTGCCTGGAATCCTTTCACAGGCGGATATTGTGGTAGCTGCTTTGGGCAGAGCCAACTACGTCAAAGGAGAATGGCTCAAGGATGGTGCTGTTGTCATCGATGTCGGCATCAACTATATTCCAGACTCATCTAAAAAATCGGGTCAAAAATTGGTCGGTGACGTTGAATTTGAATCTGCCAAGGACAAAGCGTCTTTCATCACACCTGTCCCCGGTGGGGTTGGCCCAATGACTGTCGCAATGCTAGTCCAGAATGTACTACTAGCGGCTGAAAGACAACTTGCAGAGGCTAATAAGATGCCCGCCATTTCGCCTCTGCCACTAAAACTTCTCAACCCTGTGCCCTCCGATATCGCCATTTCAAGGGCGCAAACACCTAAACCAATTAGCACAGTAGCTGCAGAGCTCGGAATCCACTCCAACGAGCTTGAACTTTTTGGCCATTACAAGGCTAAGGTCTCTCCATCGATTATCAACCGCTTGGAAGATCGTGAAAATGGTAAATATGTCTTGGTCGCTGGTATCACCCCAACACCGCTAGGAGAAGGTAAGTCTACTACAACAATGGGTATAGTGCAGGCGCTGACAGCTCACTTGGGGAAGGCCTCGGTTGCTAACGTGCGTCAGCCGTCAATGGGCCCCACGTTTGGTGTAAAAGGCGGTGCTGCCGGTGGTGGGTATGCCCAAGTTATTCCAATGGACGAGTTCAATATGCATCTCACAGGTGACATCCATGCCATCTCTGCAGCTAATAACCTGCTAGCTGCTGCCATCGATACACGTATGTTTCATGAGTCCACTCAGAAGAAGGATGGCACATTTTACAACAGACTTGTGCCCAAAAAAAAAGGCACCCGTACTTTCACGAAGTCTATGCTGAAGCGCCTGGAAAAGCTTGGTATCTCACACACCAATCCTGATGACCTAACAGCGGATGAGATCAACAAGTTTGCTCGTTTGAATATCGACCCTGAAACTATTACAATCAAGAGAGTTGTCGATGTTAATGACCGTATGCTACGTCAGGTCACAGTGGGCCAAGCAGCAACTGAAAAAGGGTTCACAAGGTCCACTGGTTTTGATATCACAGTTGCGTCTGAACTTATGGCTATCCTTGCCCTGTCGAGAGACTTGAAAGACATGAGGCGTAGAGTTGGTAACATGGTCGTTGCTGCGAACAAATCCGGTGAGCCAATTACAGCCGAAGATGTGGACTGTGCGGGTGCAGTTACTGCTTTGTTGAAAGATGCTATCAAACCAAATCTGATGCAGTCTTTGGAGGGTACCCCGGTCATGGTGCACGCGGGCCCATTTGCAAATATCTCGATTGGTGCATCCTCTGTTATAGCCGATAGAGTTGCACTAAAATTGATGGGTAAACCCAAGAATAGTGGATCTGACGTCGAAAGTGGATACGTCGTCACCGAGGCAGGTTTCGATTTTACTATGGGTGGTGAGCGTTTCTTCAACATCAAATGTCGCTCTTCTGGGCTTACCCCAGACACAGTCGTGTTAGTTGCGACCGTGAGAGCTTTGAAACTACATGGTGGTGCGCCAGATGTCAAACCCGGACAGTCTCTGCCTGTCGAGTACACTGAAGAAAATGTTGACCTCGTTGCTAAGGGTGTAGCAAACTTGTGCAAACAAATCTCTAACGCCAAGCAGTTTGGAGTCCCTGTTGTTGTCGCTATCAACAAGTTCGAGTCCGACACAGATGCCGAGGTTGAAGCAATCCGTAAAGCAGCCAAAGAAGCTGGCGCGTACGACGCAGTCGCCACCACCCATTGGGCTGAGGGTGGTCAAGGTGCCGTTGAACTCGCGAAAGCTGTTGTTCAGGCCAGCAAAGAGCGCGCCGATTTTAAATTTCTCTACGACACTGATCAATCAGTCGAACAAAAGTTGACTACAATTGTTCAGAAGATGTACGGGGGTGCTGAGGTCGAGATTTCTCCCCTAGCGCAGCAAAAAATTGACATGTACGAACAACAAGGTTTTGGTAACTTGCCAATTTGCATTGCCAAGACGCAGTACTCCTTATCGCACGACCCGGCGCTAAAGAATGTTCCTACTGGCTTCAAATTCCCAATTAGAGACGTTAGAGCTTCAATTGGTGCTGGATACCTGTACGCCTTGGCCGCTGAGATTCAAACTATTCCAGGATTGTCGACCTACGCAGGTTACATGAACGTTGAAGTGGACGAAGACGGAGAGATTGATGGTCTTTTCTAAGGACACTTTTTATAGACTGTAATATAGTAAAGCCACATTGAAGGCATGTTGTGGATTGATTGATTGTAGTGCTGTAAAGAACATTTCACCGAGAAAAACCGTTTGGTTTATACTACATAAGGTTGGTTACAGAAAATGATATTCTAAGGACAAAACAAGCCTCTTTCCGCCGGATTAGAAATGCTGGAAACTCTTTGGGTGAACAAGGAGAACGCAGGAAATCATTTGGTTTATGAGTCGAGAAGGGAGGATGTATTAAAACTTGAGTGGGGTGGCATTTTATTGCGAGTGTTAAAAGCTATTTAAGCATCTTCCTTCAACAAAGCTTCTCTCTTCTCGTTGACTCTCTGGGCTCTTCTCTCACGAGCGGCTCTGTTTCTCAATCTTCTGGCGTCGGCCTCTTCCTTCAAAGCCTTCTCACGTTGAGCATCGGCCTTGGCTTGGATGATGTGTTCAACAAGGGCTCTCTTGTGCTTGAAAGTGTTACCCTTGGCAGCCTTGTACAAAGAGTGGTATAGATGCTTGTCGATCTTACCAGCGTCACGGTACTTGCTCAAAAGTCTTCTCAAGACACGCAATCTTCTGATCCAGACGACTTGGGATGGCAAACGGGCCTCCTTGGTACCCTTTCTCTTACCGTAACCGCCGTGACGACCGTTTCTCTTGGATTCAGCCATCATTCTAGTTCTGGATCTAGAGTGCATTCTGGTTGGCTTGGTCACAATGGTACCGTTCTTGACCAACTTTCTGATGGCGTTTCTGGAGTTGGCTTGAGCGATCTCAGAGGACTCAGATGGGTCCATCCAGATCTTTCTCTTACCGACACCGGCAACAGAAGCGGCAAGTCTCTTTTGAGTGCGTAGGTTAGCCCTGTAGCAATAACAAAGTTAGTAAAAGATTGGTCCATAAAGTCGTGAAGCAAGTGGGGGTGTTCTAAGAGCGCAAGGGAAGTGAGCGGTGCGCTACCAGTAATCACTCTCCAGTAACTGGAGAAATGTTATCAACATCAATGTGAAAACAAACACACACATATTTCAATGATCATCTCCGTTTCTCACTCAATAGGACTCATTTTGAACCGCTTGGAAAGCCTGGTTTTCTGCGTCCGCTGCGAAACGCTCTTGTTCTTGACAATGAACATCCCCCTATAGCCATCTATCACATACATTTTGTCTTTGGTTTCCACTAGACGAATCGAACGAAATGCTGGATTTCAAGATTTGCCAAATTATTAACCCAACTCTACTGTTTCTTTCATCAAAGGGTTACGGCGAGAGTCATCGCCAGCCGAGCGGTTTAGGCTGGAGAGCCGCCTTCTCCGTCTAGCAACTCTGTCTAGCCTTGCTGGGGATTCTGCCTAGCGGCCTAGGAGACCTCTGCCTGGAGCGGAGTAAGCCCTTTGGGGGAATACTGGCTCACCCACTCACAATTTGCAATAGACGCAAAAAAGATAAAGTTTAATATTTTTCAGGATTTTTGAAAAGGTGGAAAAAGTTTCACAGATTCATGGATGTATGGGTGTTTGGCTTTCAAAAGTAGTTCGGTTGTGACTGCTCTATCACATGATCAGATTTACTGAGTGTATTTACTAATTAAGAAAAACTTGCCAAAAATTTTACCAGAGCTCATCTCATCTCATCTCATCTCATCTCATCGCATCTCATCGCATCTCATCTCGAAGAGCTCGAAGAGAAACAAGACTTATCAGATCCATCAAGACCAACAGATCATGGCTAAATCTCTACGTGCCAAGTCGCACCTAAAAGCGAAATCTATCAAGCGTAAAAATGTATTTCAGGTAGATGCAGACGCCCGTGCAAGCCGAATTGCAAACAAGATGAAAGAGGACCTGATAAAACAACGACTAGAGGAGTTGAAGCGCAAGAACACAGGGTTGAAAAACGACGAAGACGCCAAAAAGGCCCTGGAAATCGACCAGATGGAACAGGAAGGCCAAGCGACCAAATCGGCCAGCACCTCGGGCTGGAGAGACGCCAGGCACCACAACTACAAGCGTAACAAAAAACTGAACAAAAACCGTAAGAAGGGTTCCTTCACCAAGTTTTGAGGCAAGCAAACCCAAAAAAACCAAAAATACGAAAATTAGCTCCAGTTGCTTACGGCCCCCCCTCTTACCCAAAAATTAAGGAAAAGAACCCCGCTGGGCGGCACCAGGGGGGGTGGCTAGGAAAGCACCATGTTACTTGCATCGAGAATCTCGCTCGAGCAACGGACTTCTTAGTTTTTGTCGAACCCATACCATATGTACATTAGCTCAAAGATTCTTTCTACTTTGATTTCATTTCTTTCAATAATACTGAACTGTGCAGCTCAACCTCACAATGCGGGACAGCTCGTGTGTCGTATGCCTTCCTCATATAATGTTTGTTTCTTCATAGTTCACAAGTAGGCATCTGCCTCGAGCACTCACAGTAATAGTAAATTATTAGGCATCAATTCAATAACTTATTTCTTCAAGGCCCGCCTCATAGGCAACTAAAAATTAAAAACTTACTACACATATGTTTCTCACATCGTCAATCACACTACATGTCCATTAAATCAGCACCACACCTATTCACATCACGAAAGCAGGTCCTGCATAGCCCTTCGGATGCTCAAATCCCAATTCAATATTATCCTCTACAACTGTGTCCTTCAACCCATTTTTATTCCCATTCTGGTCTCTCTTTTGTTTCGCCCTAGCTCGTCTTTCCCTTCTTAATCGACTCTGCATCATATAATAAGTAGCTCTTCGTATTATAGTCTCGAGCACAGACTTATCGTACTCCGGATACGTTTGGATAACGCGCCGATGCAATTGGTCCAGCAACTGCGTACGATACTCTTTAGAAGTGTCACGTACCCACGTCTTGTAGCCGAGGGGGTAGTGAAGTTCCCGCTCGAAAATGTTCAGAATGAAGCGTTCGCGTCGCAAAGCCTCTTCTGCAGAGTTTAAATTCAATACTTCCGCTAGTCCCTGGGCCGACAATCGTGAGTCAGAAACTCTCCTACCGTTCGAAATTCCACAGTTACCATACAATCCTTGAGATGTATGCGGGGGTAAACCGCCAGAGGATGGATCCCTGGTTGCAAAAAATCTTTTCTGGAAAGGAACCAAGTTTTGACGCTCTCCGTCACTGTTATCTGCCTCCTCATCCGCAAAATCACCCTCTCGCCTGAAGTCTGCCACCAAGTTTTCAGCAGTTTTGCACCTTCTCTCGTTAGATCCATGGTAATCCTCCTGCAAGCGGTCAGCTATACCTAAATCCCAATTGTCATCTCCACGCTGGGAGAATCCCACAGAAGTGTGTTGATAGTAGCTGTCCACTGGATGTTCCGGTAGCGTTGCATTCTGAACCACTTCTGGGATGCTGCAAGCGCCAAAATCTGGAGAGCCCTGCTGGAAAGGTGCTTGGCCGGTCTCCACTGGCGTACGGTACAAGGCTTCGCGTTTTGAGTGAACTTGCCACGATGATTCAGATTTCACCGTGGGAAACATCGAACCGTTTTGATGCTCTTGAAATTGACTGGAGCTCGAGGAACGACTCTCCAGCCCAGCTCCGTAGATATCTGCGTGGTACATCGAGCTGGGCGAATCTGCTGCGAAAGAAAACAGTTGAGCGGTGTAGGGACGCTCGTACGAAAATGGTGCCCTAGTGGCTGTCGCCATAGGGTAATGAAGGTTAAATTGCGGCTCCATGGGCTCCGTATGTTCAGCTACATCATGCAAAACATGCTCAGCTTGTAGCGGTGACTGTGTTGGATTGTTGTGGCTTACGACAGTCGACGAAGGCGTCAGTATACTTGGGCCGGAAAAAGCTCTTTTATGACGAAAAGATGGTCTAGGCTCGAAACCTTGAGTATCCTCAAGATCAGTGGAAAGCATCCTGCCTTGCACCAATGCAACCTGGCGCTCTAGAGAGATTGAACTGCAGATTTTTTCGAATTTGTCACGAGCGAAACCTTTGTCGCTCGAGAGCAGAAGGCCAAGAGAGGGCAGACAATGCCGAACCTCAACAGTAGTTGACCGATGGCAAAAATCAAATCACCCGCCAAATTCTTCTGGCCGAGTTGTAAACAGCCGTAGGATATTAAATGTAAGGATAGGGACAAAAAAGTACTCCCCCACAAAATTTATCGAAATTGTTCCACTGTATCCGCTAACGCTCAAAATATACGTGCTTCAATAGAATCTAGCGGAAAAAAGAGACCGAAACCGATCTTCTTTTGCAATATCTGTGTCGTTTGTTCCAAAGCACTGACACTACTGAAAGGCCTATCAAAAAAGCAGCTTTTTGAGAGCTCTCAAAGCGCTTTTATCTCGCGAAACCTCAAGTATCGCTGAATAATACAAAAACACAACCAAAACTTGGAAAATGGGTTCAATTTGGCGAGTACGGTGTGCTTTGGTTGAAAATCCGGGAGATTGGAGCTGTTGACAGAATGACTTTATTTATAGTCAGAAATCTGGAGAACGGTAACCCGGCTTCGAATTTATTATCTGGCCTCCCTGGAGAACAAACCGGCGATCATATGACAGAGGGAAAGAGACAATCGACGGTGAGGGTAAGACCAGATGAACGGGTAGAGAATGGGTTAGAGGATTTTGCTTGGCATTTCGAGTTGTTCAAATTTGTTCGGGGCACTCTGCGTTTAGAAGATAGACGAGTAACCGCGAATCTGGATTCCAAGACAAGAGCCATAAGTGGAAGGGTCTTAAACGCGGAGGGTCGATTACACTCGATTGAACTGGCATTTGTTGTTTTGTCTTTTCATCAAATTGGAAGTTAGCATGTAGCCGTGTAACTAGTGAACCCTGAAGCACTTTCATGTTGAAAATGCAGGTAAAGTGATGTTGGGATGAGCCTAAAGGTCGATTCTAGCCGATGGAATGAATCAAGTGCGTTTGATGGAAAGCGACGACAGTATAGTATGGAATGATGTCGATATTCGGGAAGCTTTCGCCTTAAGTGCGGGGGAAGTCTGTCAAAGTGAGAAACACGAGCTATTGCAAGCAACGTTAAAAGGAAAAGAGACCGGGGTTGAGACGATATCAGGATAAGATTTCCAAGCGGCCTTGCAGCCAAAAGGTGTCAGTCATAATCCCGGGCGGAAAAGAATCTCCAGCGTCGAAATATTTTTGCATCAAGCGTTTTTCACCGCTTGATATTATCACTTTTTGGTCAGTAACGATTGACTTAATCTTTTGAGAACGCCAACCATCGAGCTGAAATTAACAGCATACGCTCGTGGTCGATGTTTGTTCTTCGATCAATTTGCTCGTCACCAGATATAAATGAGCGCATAGCTCACTTTGGACGCTGCATCATTCAGAGAATCGGTATGTCTTGCTGGTCATCATCAAAAATTCCATCGCTTATGCTGCATCAAATTGCAAGACCCTCACAGTTTTTGAGCAGTTCCCGCCTTTCGAACTCTCTAGATCCTCAGAGCCATATCGTCTTATCCGAACCTGACATTTCGACGAGCTCATTAATTACGAGATGCAGAAGCTTTCCTGAGCAAAAACCCTTGAAGGCCATACATATGGAATGTAGTAAAAGGATTCCTTGCTTCTAGAACTCCACCCACATACAGGAACTCGCTTCAACACATCGTTCAGCTATAATCGCCCTAAATCATGTCTTTCGTTCCCATAGTTTGCGGGAAAAAGGACTGGGACAAACAATATGACCAGTCCACCCAGTACGGTTCACTTTACTGTCCCAACTGTCACAACTTCAATGTGCACCCCGTCAAAAGAAGAGAATTCATAGCCATTTGGTTCATTCCGGTCTTTCCCATTTTTATGGGTAAGCAGCTTGTCTGCCCCACCTGCAATTGGCGCCAGGATTTCAAAAACGATGAGCAGCTGCAAAAAGTCGTGCGTGAGCAGCAGAATATACGACAAGGTAAAACGGGCGGTTGAATTCCTGGTAGATCTGCGAGCCTGTAAGCTCGTGCGGGCTTGCGCTCCTACACTTTATAGTATTTTTATAGCGTCAAAAACGGAAAATAGATGTTTTGTCCAGCGATGGGTCGTCCATACGAAAGAACTGGTCCAGGAAATCTGTGTCCGGCAAGTCTAATGGAACCTCTTCTGCAATGTTGCCCTGGAAAGGAAAACTAGGCAAGTCCGCCAATGGGGGGGCAAATGACGGCGTGAGATTGCCGTCTGGCACATTTTGTTCGAAATTTTTGTAACCCAAAGCTACGCTCTGGTCGCCAAGCCAATTGTCGATTCTTTGGGAAGGACTAGTTGTTGAAATATCTTTCAACGCGTCAGGTGCTCTACTCGGGGGTCTCAAGTTATTCCGCATTTCATCTATCTTACGCAGGTGAACAAGCGTCTCTTGCGGTTGAGTTGCTAGCACACCCTGGAGTGCTTTCAGTTCACTTTTGATGACCTCGTCTTTGATAGGCAGGCTGTAATCATTCGTTTCGGTTCGGTACGTTGTGGAACCTAGTTTCATCAAACTCAGCGCCACGAATGCAATGACAGTCCATTTCAATGAGTAACCATTTCTTTGCCGCTTAGCTGTCTCGACCAACAGCATTGTTGTGTCATATAGCAGTTGCAAATCTTCCTTGCCCGATTTGGGGGCTTCAACGCAGCGATAGAAAAGATTTAGGAACCCGCTTAAAAACGCATATAACGTATTACCACACAGGGAAATGTTCGGGTTGGTTGAGGATACAACAAGGCCGGCTACTTTCACCATCATTCTAGCTGCAAACGTACACTTTTCGTCATTTTCGAGACCCTTGGATCCTGGGGGCGGGCCGTCAGACTCAGTTTGCCATGGGATCCTGCTCAACACACAATTCGTGTATAGAAGGTTCAAATAATACTCCATGTGCATTATGAGAATTTTAAGCTTTACACTTGCAGGCGACGCCTCGATAAAAGACCAGGGTGAATTTGTCTTGGACCTTTCTGGCATCGAATTTAGCAAACTGTCAAGACTTTTCAAATTTTCAACCTGTCCAGATGGTCTCATGAATGCCGGTAGCATTGCCACCCACTCGTCCAGTTCTAGATTCAATTTTTGCGCTAGCATCGATCTACAATTGTAGTCGTTTTCCGCCAGCGCTTTACAACTTAAGAGATGGCGATAGCAGTTTCTTGAGTGTCGAGCAAGGTGCAGCTCATAAAACTCTAAAGCAAAATTGAGACCTTCTCTCGACTCCGAGCAAAACGCTGCTAATGCTGGTCGCAACGCTGGCAAAAACTGTTTTGATTCTTTGGCCGATGTATTATCTTTCAAACCCGGAGCGACACTCTGTTCTTGAGCTTCAATGTATTGATAAAAGTCCCAGTCTTGTAAGGAGTTCGTATCGCCATCGTGGATAGATGATGGCTTACCGGTACGAGTTGATAGATAAATATCGAAGCGGTATAGGTTAATCCAAAGTGTATGACGTTTCAGCTTTTCTGCCGCATCAGAAATCTTGTCGTAGGCCTCTCTTAGATGTAGGCTCATCTCCTGTGCCAAGCGCACCGCGGTCGATAACAGCAGATAAGCCAATTGAGGAACTGAAGAGTTTTCAATTTGCCAGCACAGTAGCATAACACCCTTTATGTATACGAGTGCATCCCCCGAGTAAGCCAAACTTGTTTGTTGATACATCCGTAAGGTCTTGAGCATCATCTGGGTCTGTATCATTGTCCACTTCGTGTTGTCTACATTTTGGATATGACAAATTTGGCATTGGATGGTGGAGCCAATGAGCAGAATAGTGTCAACAAGGAAAAGTTCAGAAGAGTTGAGGGTTCTAGGCGAGGTTTCGAACTTCTGTCTGATCGAGGGAATTTCGTATGCGATCTCAACAGGCGATACCGGAACTGCATGGGTGATGAAGTTTTGAAAGAGCACCTCACATGCTTGTGGCTCTGGGAAATCATATGTGTCTATCAGGCCTGTTTTGTCAAAATGAGCATTGAACACAGCGAAATTTTTGCTACAAATCGCAGCCCTCGCTTGCAAAATGGTTCCCAGGATATCCGGACCTCCCAACAGCTTATTGTGCACCCATTCCACGCCCTTTCGGGTGAACATCGAAAATGCGGAATAAGCACCTACATATGTAGCTTTGGCAGTAGGGTGAGCGTTTTTTTCCTCATAGTCCATCACATGAATTGCTGGAGATTCTCCAATGGTATCTGGGGTAGCCTCTGACGTTTCATCTGGCTCCACTTTAGAGCGAGGGAGTTCTATTGTTTGTTTTCTACCTGAGTGGGGTCTGTAACGGGAGCCTTGCTGCATCATCAGATCTTCGAGTCCATCCGATCCTGTGGAGCTGCTCTCGTCTGATTCGTACATATCAGCGTCAACTTGGAAAGATTGAGGTTGAAAGGCAGATCCGGAAGTTGCGGGTTTCTCTGCATGATTGTTGGTGGTGCAAGCCTCGTCCCTGATCTGAGAAAGAATATTCTCCAGTTTGGATAAACGCTGCGACAAGTCAGCAAGAATTTTCCTGTTGGAAACTCGTGTGGGTGGTTTCAACCGCTTTTTCGCCACATGGGAATATGTACAGGAACATGACGATTTTGCGCAGTTGAAGCATGGTTCATCTCCATCGCACTTGATTTTCTTTGTACGGCATGCGTCGCACGCTTTCGATACTCTTCTGCGAAGTTGATCATCACTCATTGGACAGGTAAGAAACACAGATTCTTGAATTGAGAGGTTGTATGATGAAGTAGGAAACCGGAAGCTTTAAACCTTTCTTACCGAAGCTTTCATTGGTACCGATTTGCAATCAATTTACGGATGAGTCTGTATGTGTTACCCGAACGAAGATGATTATCAGGCACGCGCGATTGTTCTTGTTTGACAAGAAATGCATAAACAGAGAAAGCCTTGTTGACGAGCTGAGTGTCCTGAGTCGGAGCGACAGCCGAGCTTAAACTGGCTATTTTTTTTGGTGACTTTCATTGAACGAGTATGTTGACATTTGGAATGAAATAAAGAGGAAAAAATGGCTGTAGTGCATTTGGAAAATTTAGCTCAACTCTTGCGAGGACCTGTGTTGGCCTTTCTTTCCGCAATCACCAATCTGTTTTCCAAGACTTGAATCTTTGGAAAAGGTTCTGAGCTTGATGTAAAATATTGGGAGTGAAGAATCTTGTTGCCCGAGGTATGAATCACATGCGACGAAAATAGCCGCCGAGCCTCTCTTCAAGTTAGAAGTTCTAAGTTCAGATCTGAGTTCAGATCTAGGTTTGTGCCGAAGTTAGAATTCTGGGGAATACAGGTTTTGTGACTGGGAATCGGCTCGGTTGTTTGACACATTCGGAAAAGTGTCAAACGGAGTTCCTAAACAACAGGGGGGGTGGGTATTATGAGAAGAAAACGACAATTACTGTACCATACTGCTCGGATATTTGAAGCTGATGTGGGGAGGAGGAGTGGGGGTGGCTGAAAAGGGCTGCAAAAAGGCTTTGGAACCCTCCTTATTGTAGTTATTTTTTTCGTGGAGTGTTTGTTTTTCATAAAGAATGGTGGTGGGGTTGATCTAAAATTCAGCTTTTTATATCGTCATAAAAGAAAATCAGATCAGGATTTGAAAAGAACTCCCGTAAAAAAAGAGCCCTGCTCTCACAATTAGACACAAAGTGTGGTGCTGGATCAACAATTCTCAATAAAGGTCAAGATTTCGCGCTCTCTTCTTAACAACCCATATATACTCACGCCATAGGGTGCCATACACCAAAAAAAATGTCTCTCGTTTCGCACGAAACATGTCATTTTTTAGTCAAATCAACGTTTTCATACGGATATACTAGCCTTCCCACTACCCTACACCGTATAGAAGATAACTCCCCATTAGTCTACATCTATGCGTTATTTGTCAGACTTCTTTTCTTATCCACTTCAAGTTTTCTCTTGTTCTGTCTCGCAATATGTATATATATATATAGAGAGAAAGTATTCCAATATATATGCCGCGTCACACACGTACAACATGACACAATGTTCCAAACAACATAAATCTCGACAATACGCTATAACTGTGGGCCAAAAATCGCCTATTCGATTAATAAAGAACCTTTAGTCCAATTCACCGGTCTTCCTCGCTCCCTTTCCCGTTCTCCCTGAAAAAAAAACCCAAACAACTTTTATTTCTCTCGCGTCATCACGGTCGCCAATGGCGACCAAAGACCGATAACTTGACTCTCTCAATACACTCCCAATTCACTCTCATTACGTCCTCGCTACGCTCTTACAACGCTTTTACTTCCCCCCTCACTGTTTGATTTTCGCGTCGTTCAATCTATCGGTGCCGGTCTCTCGCATCGCTAACGCTGTCTTAAACCCTTGGCCAATCAGATGGCTCTATTCCCCTTTGGTGTTACCCGGCCCCCTCCGGGACTTCAAAATTTTTCGTCTAGTCTCGGATTCCCCGGTATAGATCAGAAAGTGTATAAAAGAAGAAGGAAATTCACGTACTAAAAAGCTAGAACGTAATGAATCTTTAAATACTTCTGTTCTTGTGTTGTTTCTCGCGTCAGATATCTTCCACAGATCTCAAACATAACCAAAAATGGCCGAAACTAAGAAGCAATCCAACTTTGCCGTTGACTTCCTCATGGGTGGTGTGTCCGCCGCTGTCTCCAAGACCGCTGCTGCTCCTATCGAGAGAGTCAAGCTTTTGATCCAAAACCAAGACGAGATGATCAAGCAGGGCTCTTTGGACAGACGTTACACCGGTATCGGCGAATGTTTCACCAGAACCGCTGCCAACGAAGGTATCGCCTCGTTCTGGAGAGGTAACACCGCCAACGTCATCCGTTACTTCCCAACACAAGCTTTGAACTTTGCCTTCAAGGACAAGATCAAGGCGATGTTCGGTTTCAAGAAGGAGGAAGGCTACGCCAAGTGGTTTGCCGGTAACTTGGCCTCCGGTGGTGCTGCTGGTGGTTTGTCGCTAATGTTCGTGTACTCTTTGGACTACGCCAGAACCAGATTGGCTGCCGACTCTAAGGGCGCCAAGAAGGGCGGTGAGCGTCAGTTCAACGGTCTAGTCGATGTCTACAAGAAGACCTTGGCTTCCGACGGTATCGCCGGTTTGTACAGAGGTTTCTTGCCATCTGTTGTCGGTATTGTTGTCTACAGAGGTTTGTACTTTGGTGGTTACGACTCCCTAAAGCCTTTGTTGTTGACCGGTTCTTTGGAAGGTTCTTTCTTGGCCTCTTTCTTGTTGGGATGGGCTGTCACCACTGGTGCTTCCACCGCCTCTTACCCATTGGACACTGTTAGAAGAAGAATGATGATGACCTCTGGTCAAGCCGTCAAGTACAAGGGTGCTTTCGACGCTTTCACCAAGATTGTCGCCGCTGAGGGTGTCAGCTCTTTGTTCAAGGGTTGCGGTGCCAACATTCTAAGAGGTGTTGCCGGAGCTGGTGTCATTTCCATGTACGACCAGTTGCAAATGATCTTGTTCGGTAAGAAGTTTTAAGCTTTTTTGATAAAACAAAAACTGCCATGAGCTTTTGAAACCGATGGAACAAAGGACTCCCTGTACAGTACAAGAGCATAAACTCATACCATAACGGAGGGAAATGAAATTTTGTAAGTAATACTATTCTTGGATATCGTAAATAGTTTTTGATTAATTCAAGACTTCTAAACATTCTTTTATTTAGCAGGTTGCAGTGAGTGATAGGGACGTAACGTTATTGGGTATTGATGATATCTTTGTATATATGTTCTATTACTATGCGTATAGTTCCTTCGAATGTGTCAATAATTGACCTCGATTTTTATCTCCATAATGGCTTGATCTGATTCGCACTTGTGCTCTTGGGAAGCTTGGTGGTACTATTTTTTGCTTCAGTGGACAAAACGTAGCTTGATTTTGATTTTGGCATCCTTGTTTTCAGCGGCGGCGTTTCTTCTTGTCGCAGATTTCTCATCGTCTGGGATGAACGCATTGTTGAAGTCTTCTTGGGCGGCACTGCTGGGGCCTTTGTTCCGGCAGAATTTGTTATCGTTTGACTCGAATTAGATCTCGATATTGTACTTTGTTCGTAAAGACGTTGGAATACCGAAGATGGGGCCACAACGGGTGTGTGTTTCGGTACTGCGGGCTGTGAAGTCGTTTGATTCGGGGTGTTTCCTTTCCTGAAAGATGAAATTGACTTGTTAGCATTGTCTGGCTTCTTCAGCCTCGAGAATATAGCTCCAGGCTTGGTCTCTCGGCTGATAGAAGTAAATGTAGGTTTTGCGAAAGTAGCGTGCGGCTCGAAACTGTGTCTGTGAACGGGATTTAAAGGAGTGTTACGCACGCTGTTGATCCTTTCTTGATTGATTCGGCGTGTTTGGCTGCTGTTTCGGACCCGAAGCCTTCGTATTCTTCTAGTGATGTCAGAGACAGGACTGTGAATAAACGCATCGCTATCTCGACAACGTCCCTCCAAGTCTCGCATCCGTTTGTTTGAGGTCGAGTTTGAGTTCACACCTTCGGATTCTCGTTTCGGCGTGGCCGGTACTGCCATTGTGTTTCCGTTATCGCTGGTGTCTGGATTGTTGTGATTGGGCTGGTGGTTTGCATCGTCTGTCGAACCTTTTCTTGCAGCATAATGGCCATCGATGGAATCCATGGTATCAAAGTTCATTCGGTGCGTCGATTGGAACCGGTCCCGTCCTCGAAGCTCGTCATGATCACCAGAGCTGGAACCCAAGACATTATTTGACTTCGGATTGCTCGATTTAAAGTTGGCTCGATAGTCCAGTTCAGAAAGCACTGAGTTCCCCAGACGCTGGGAAACTCCCAGATCATTTATGACCTGGTTGTGATAGCTCATTCCAGCGTTCATAACCAGGTCCAATTGACCCCGTCGCCTTTGTTTACCTTACAAGCTTTGATTTCTCGATGAGCTTGGACAGTTCAAATTTCCCTACAGATACATCAAAATTCACCATATACGGGTAAGATAGTTCGCGATTCGACTGTAGTATTACAATAGGTAACTAAAGGTATTGACAGAGCTTATAAGAGTGCGATTTTGAAGGAGCTGAAGGTGTTTCAAGGTTGTTGACACCGGATGCGTTATAGGACACTCAAAACTTATGGTGAAATGGGAAATGCAAGTTATAATTGTTGTTGCACATGAAAAAGACCCAAGGACAAAAAAAAACATTAGCTGTATTAGAGTGAACTCCGACGTAGCTTCTCCTGATGTGTTCACTCTTTCTCCTCACGCCTGTGTTTCTCGGTTTCGAGGTTTTTGAGTAGCATGGTTTCCGCCAATTTTACGCTATTTTGGTTGTTACCTGTGATAGTGAAAATGCGGCTGTTGTCTTCGTTGGACTCGTCGCTTACTATGACCTTGGTCTTGGTGTACTTGCGTAGACTTGAAACCCGGTTTCCGCCTCGTCCCAGCAGCGCACCCACAAACTCGACAGGTACGGCGACCTCTTTGGTGACAGAGCCCTCTTCTTGGCTCTTGGTATGCGGATAGTACTGTTTTTCGCTTGTGGGCTTCGTTTCGTGGGCCAGAATGTCGCTGATGTCAACAAGACACGCCGCAATGGACCCTGCAAACCCTTGGATCTCCACAATCCGGTCTTGCGAATCTGGCAGGAAATTTTTGGAAGCCACGACTTTTACGCCGTGTTTCTCGATCAACGATTTTATGCGCGACCCTTGTGCCCCAATGATCGACGAGACCTGCGAGTTTGACACGATCAGTCTTAGATTTCCGATTCTTTTTGTCGACTCCGGGTCCTGGATTTCCGTTGCTGTTGGAACGGGCAAAATGAAGTTCAAGGGCTTGTACGAGTGTTCCTCCGGCACCGCGTCGTCCTCGTTCAGAATCTCCACTACGTCACTGACAGCGTTGGCTGCAGCTTGTGCTGATCCAGTACAGCTTAGAATTCTGTCTGAACATCCTCTTTCGTGCGGAGATATCCCGATTTTGACGTTGTTAGACTCTCTGATTTTCTGGATGCTGACTCCTTGTGTGCCGATAATGCGTGCTGCCTCCTTGAGAGACACTAGTACGCGGAGCGTAGTGAGTTCTGGGGTTTCGAAGTCTGCCATTGCTGGTTGTTGTATTGTATGGGATATAGTTGTAGCGAAACGTTTTTCGTTATACATACTACTATTAAGAGGGTCGAAAAAGGGAGTCATTGGATACGTTGTGTGTCTGGGGCAAGCCGAACTTAAAGTACGTATTCGAGACCGGGGAACCGCGAGAAATGGAGCCAATTGAATAGATATTTGTAGATTTTGGAGCAGTTTGGAAATAGTTCAAGAGGAGTTGGAATTCTTTTTGGTATGTTTTTCCGGATTTAATATTTTAGTTGATGAGTGTGACATTTAAAAAATGATGGAGGAGGTAAAGGGTCAAGGAGGTTATCAAGGGCAGAAATATAGGAGGCTGGCCAAGTTTGAAGCCAGTAGATGGATTTGAAAGAACGGTTCTTATATTATGAATTTAACTTTCCCCTGTCAATGCCTATGGTTACGGTAACATGTCTGAACCCTGAGTTTATCACTTTATCCGATGTGCGTCGCTGACGCCAGATGGATGATGACAAAAGGTCACGTGACATACTATCAAAGATCTACATAGGAATTCATTGCGTGTGTAGTGGCGGGTGTGGAGCATTTCCATAGACGAGAAAAAATTTGGCGCGCTTATGGAACCACCTACAAAGCTGTACTTATTTACTTTTATGAATGATATGTCAGTCTCCAATGTGTGCATTTTTCACACACACACACACCTACACACAGAGAGAGAGAGAGAGAGAGAGAGAGAGAGACCACGATATCCACAGCGAAACAACTCGCTCCCTTTCCCCAAAGGTGAAAAATACAATTGATTACCCTTACCCTTGTCACTTTTACCCAGACTGGCGCCACCTCCGGTCACGTGACCAACTCTTTTCTTTTCTTTTCTCATTTTCTACTGACACATATCGCCGTCGTTAAGTCACCAATACCGCGAAAATGTTGTTAATCTCGTTCACCATCGTCTTCTAAACACCTTTTCCGTGCAACTTAAGTTCAAACTCTCATTACTAATTTTTCTGCAAAAGACATCTTTAATTTGTGAAAAAAAAATGCAGGTTCTTTCTCTCTCTCGAGCCCAGGGTATTACTCACCTTCTACAAACATCTCGTCTTACCTCTCATCTCGTCCAAAGCTTCCCGATTTGTCAACGTTTACTAATATTTGTAGATGGTGTGTTTAGGTGCGCACTTTGCACGGAATTCTCAGAACTTATAATAATATATTCAAGAACGAGCCAGCTAGCCAAAAGCCCGGAGTGGAACATAGAAATCTACAATAATCTTACAACTTACCATTAGTTCAGTGTTATTTGGCCACAATCAACGTTACAAAATGACCTTATCTTCAGCTCCTGAAGATCCACTACCGGCTGTGAAGTGTGTTGCTCGGGCCAGGATTCCAACAACCACCGGTCCTGATATCTTTCTACACCTATATTCGAACGACAGAGATGACAAAGAACACCTGGCTATAGTATTCGGAGAGGATATCCGGTCACGAAGCTTATTCCAACGCAGAAGAGGAGAAACGCAACAAGACAGAATGGTTAGAGGAGCTTACGTGGGTAAACTCTTTCCAGGCAGAACAATGGCAGATATCGACGAAAATCTGGGTATGAATCTAACTTTCGATGAAACCTCCGGGGCGCTTGTGGTCGACCCAAAAACCACCTGGCATAACCAGGATACGCTGGTGCGTATTCATTCGGAATGCTACACTGGAGAAACGGCCTGGAGCGCCCGTTGTGACTGTGGTGAGCAGTTTGACCATGCGGGGAAACTCATGGGCGTAGAACGCGAGGGAGACATAATAGGCGGATCTGGACGAGGTGTGATCGTGTATCTCAGACAAGAAGGCCGCGGGATAGGGCTTGGTGAAAAACTCAAGGCATACAACCTCCAGGATCTCGGTGCAGACACTGTCCAGGCCAACCTCATGCTGCAACATCCGGCAGACGGGCGCGACTTTTCACTTGGACGTGCCATATTGATCGATTTGGGCATCTCAAACGTACGGCTGCTAACAAACAACCCAGATAAAGTCTTACAAGCCGAATACCCTCCATATTTGCAATGTGTGGAAAGAGTACCCATGGTCCCACTCTCATGGACCAGCGATAGTGATGGGATTCACTCGGCAGAGATTGAAGGGTATCTCAGAACCAAAGTGGAAAGAATGGGCCATTTACTGCAACGGCCCTTGAAGCTTCATTCTTCTGTCTCCAAGTCGAACAACTCGACTACGGTCACAACCCACACGCTCGTATGAGCAGGGAACGCAGATATTGTGTAGGGCTGCAAAAAAAAAAGTGCCGCCCGTGGTGTATGCAGTTAGGAACTTAGAATTTTTATTTAGTTAACGAAAACAGGTTTTTTCTTTACGCATTTCGTGTGGCTAGTTGCTTGCAACGTCTCATTTGAAGGTCCACGATGTGCGAAAAAACGAACTCCTAGCGAGCGAATGTATAAAAGGTTTATCTATCCGTAGCTTAATTTGACGATACAGATGAAATAGAATTCGGTGACGGCGAGAGAGAGAAAGAGAGAAAGCGGTCAATGATAAAAAAAAAAAAATCCAAGCGTCAACCCTGTATTTTTGCAGACTTTGGCGCATTGATTCGAGCTGTCCGAACGACTGGTGAACTAACTCATGGAATAAAAGCTCTTCCACACTACCTAACTTCTTCCTTCCTAGCAAGTGAGAAAAAAAATCAAATTTGACCCTTTCAAACTTCAATTTGAGATAACAAATGGTCCAGGGCTTCTTCTCCAACTGTTGCCACAACCTCAGATTCTCTCATAACGTAGGCACAGCTCTTGTCCTCGTTCAAAACAGTAGTAACGTCGACATTAAGTTTCTTTTGCTTGGCAAGAAAGTCTTCGTAACCCTTCAAAGTAAGTAGTTCCACAGGAGCTGAGGCCAAAAAGGAACCAGAAGATTGCGTAACTTCGCCGGTTTGTTGGTATAGAGCGCTCATAGTTTCTCAGTAGTTCTGTGGTTATTTGCAAGACTTCAGAAAGTGGTCGCAAGCGGTGGCAAACTGGTCTTGTAGCTGGTTCATTGTGTAGGGTCTGATTCAAGCTTCACTTGCTCTTAATTCTGATTTGGAAGCGATCCTCGTTATCACTCAACACGAAAGCGTCAGTCCAATTATTTGAATAGAGCATCCATACAGAACCAAAGAAGCTCAATACGATGAAATGAATCCGGGCATCCTCCGAAATGGTGGGTTACACAATGAATTCATCAATTTTTAATTCGGTTCAATCTGTAGGCGAGTTTTCGAAAATTATATTTTTACATCTATAAAATCGACACACGCACCAGCTTGTTTCCTTAATTAAATTCTCAACGAAAATAATCGCAAATATTAGAGCTAGCGCTCTAAAATACCATAATCATCTGGCTGTATTCCTGCAATTCTATTTGGTTTTAAGATTTAGTGACGTTCTAAATAGTGTCACCTACTTTTAGAGATCATCGCGATCACCTTAGACGGAGAGTCAACTCTCGAGACGATCTCTTTATTTGTGTTTAAATGGGCATCGGAACTCGATGAGCTGTTCCGAGCCGAACTTTGAGCCCTCCAGAATCCACATTTAATCTAGAAGCACTCTCAGGACATGTCCAAAGTGCGAACTTTTAGTCTTTCCGACGTTTTGGGCACAGCTTCGTCCAGTGAAGAACAAAAACTACAGATTTTAGCCGAGTTTAAAGGTCATGTAAAAAAAGAGCTAGTGCATGAGGCCTCCATACCGCAGTACTTTGAGTGTCTATGTGCTACTTTGAATAACAGCCATGGCAATCGAGGTGCTGAAAAAATATCCATTTTGTGCCATTCTACTTTGTGCTACTTGGTCAAAAGAGTAGCCATGCAATGTCCAACGGTTTTGAATACAGAAACAATTCGCATGCTAATGGCCCCATTGCTGCGAACGGTCCACTCCGGTAGTAAAATGTGGCTAGGTTCAGTGAAAGCTCTAGAAGCAGTATATTTGGCACAGCCTCTGGCTTTCGAGCAAACACTAGAAGGTTTGCAGTTACAAGGAAGCGATCGCGTTGCCACCTTGTTGTTGACAGACGAGCTTGTGCAATTGCACCAGAAAAATAACAGGAACCCACTCGAGATTCTAAACAAATTCACGGGTCTATTTCTCAGCATACTAAATGAACCACAGGGCTCAAGATTCCAGGATTACGAACTCATACGCGATATTCTCGCGAAATACTACACGGCTCAATCTTTACAAGATTTCGCTCGCAGGGTGAAAAATCCCGATATCAGGCAACTGTTCGAAGTAACCCCTGAGATACCGCTGGATCAGATATCAGTGGATGATGACAATGATGATGACGACCAATCTCAAGCCGCACAAAACTCGGTTTTTGACATGGACAGCGAACTTGGTAGGCTTCTCGACGACCAACCTAGAACGGCCCTCCCGACGCTGCCGAGAAATTTCCATAATTTCGATGCTCTTCGAAAAGAGCTGGAACATTTAGTCGTCCCCTTCACTTCTGCAAAAGAAACAGAGCATAATTGGCGACAAAGACAGGAATCTATCATCATTTTGAGAGGAATCATTGCAGGCAATGCTTCTCTTGAATTCGCTGAGGAAACAGTTGCCGCTTTCAGAGAATACCAAATTACCGATTGCATTTCAAAGGCCGTGTCGTCTTTGAGAACTTCCTTGTCTATGCATGGTTGCCAGCTAGTCAAAGAGATGGCCAGAAATTTAGGTTTCAAAATCAACCCAATTGCAGACGGGATATTTCTTTCCTTAAAGACAGTTCTTTCCGCCACCAAAAAAATAGCTTCCCAGAATGCATTTTATGCTGCATGCGTGTTACTGTCGTCGATGCAATTTCACAGCAGAACTTTCCAATCTTGTTTCATGCTTTCCAAAGATAAAAATGTTGCACCTCGGTGCTACGCTGCTATGTTTTTACGTCTATTTCTGATCAGATTTAACACCAAGCTTGATCATTGCGTCATTTACATTGAAGAGTGGATAAACAGAAGTGCTACAGATGCTCAGACAAAAGTCAGGGAGTCAATGCGAGTCACATTTTGGTACTATTACAAAATATACCCATCCAATGCACAAAAGCTGTTAGACGGCTTCCCACCACAAATACGACGTGCGGTTGAGTCTTCGATCCCTCAGCATCTTGGAATTGCTTATACTTCCAATAGTGTGAGCTCCACTGAAACATCAAGGAGGTCTAGTCTGGGGCCTTCACGAACTCCGAGTTATGCAGGGCCAACTCATTCTTCTCATGTACAAAGAATAAACTCAATAAGAGCTTCGAGTGGATACCAATCTTCAGGTCGCACAAAGGCAGAAGAACAAAACTCGAGAAAAGTTAGTGGGTCAAGCAGAACTAGCGTGGCAGCATTGAGAACTAACAGCGGAGCGAGCAGTCTGGAGAGAGCCACCCCACCGCGATCAAGTGAAGATCACACTCAAATTGATCTTACTGGCGAAATAACCCAAAACCATTCAAACACTTTGATCAAGAAGTATATGCAGAGACCAGTAAAAGAGGCTACACAAAAGAGTGACTCTACACTTGAGTCAGAAAATATTATTCGCTGCTTATCATCGGGAGAGCAGTCCGATAAAGAATTAGGCATCCAACTTCTTCAAAAAGTTTATCTATTGGGCTCTGCTCCTCAAATGGAAAACCTGAGACCAGAAGTTGCAAAGCTTTCAACAACAATGCCACAGCTCCTGGCACCACTTTTGCAGCTGCCAGCGTTTCTCGATGTACATCCCGCAGCGCAAATAATTGAAATTTTTGGCATAAATGCTGTCCCTGTTGAGGTGCTGATGCGACGATACCCAACGGATGATATACTTATTGCGTTGAAGAAAGTGCTTGATTCGTTTTTCCCGGTGGAAGATTCGCTACCATTGCATTATTTGAAGTATGGGCGCCAAATACTCAACTACACGTTCGATATACTTATAAAGGTTGGGAAAAATGATGTCTCGCTAAACCAGCCCTTTTTGAAGCATTTGATAAACAGGCTTTTTGAGCTATACGGGAAAGATTTTGATTTAGCAAAGTATTTTGACGCCCTTTCCTGCGTTTTTGCTTGGGGAAAAGATACCTTCATTGATACTTTAGAGGCAGCTCCCGTTTTTCTTCAGTCAAACATCGCGCGCGAACTGGAGAAAACAGACCCCGTTTTTCGCAGTAATGTGCTGGGACCACAATCCGATCATACCATTTCCAATTCCGATGAAGAAAAGCTATTCACCGAGCTTACAATGATCAATCCTTTGGCGAATCAGAGGTCCACAAGCGGTGACAGCGTAATTTTGCACAATTTGAAAGATACCCAAGATGAAAACATGCCTTCTGCCAAATCAGATTCATGCGATGAGTTATCTCAGGATGTAGGAGGGTTTACGAAATTCGGTGGGCTTTCCAAGCTCACTGAGCTAACTAGGGTTGTGAGTCTATATGAACACCGTGAAAATGAGAACAACGTCACAAATAGCTGCACTTTAGATAGTGATGGGGATGCTAGAATGCGAAGTGAGTCCGTGGAATTGAAAAACAAGTCCACAGATGTTGACTTGAGCGATATTTTCAACAGTGGAAAATCTTGCCCTAAAGATGCTACCGTGAAGTTTGACGATATCCCGTCGTTAATCCAAGAACATGATATAGCCTCCCGCGACAATGATACTCAAAGTCATAACGGAGATACCAATACAAGCATGGCTATGGAACAGAAAATTAGTACAGGCGCAGAAAAGGAAATGTTGGATCATGAGAACGTTCACAAGGTGCATTCCGAAAGCAGATTGAAAGGGCCAGAGCTCTCTGCCGCGAGCAACACATCTTTAAAGGCACCCATTTTGCTTGAGAGATTGGATGAGATCGCGGAATCCTTCGATTTTTTAGGAACACTTTCCTCGAGCAAAGCACTCCAATTTGCTCTTTCCAATGTTGCTATTTCGTCTACGGTACCATATCGCCTTGAGAATTTGACCACGATCACCGCCAAGATTGGAAAGGGTTCTTTTACCGACAGAGATCTGAATCTGTTACTTACTTTTTTGATTGCTGGTGGCAAAGAGAGCAGCTTTATCGATTGGTTTCGCACAGAGGACGGGTTACTCCAGCTGCTAGAAATACATGATCTTGTCTCGAAATCTCTACGCGACACTAACGATTTACCCAAGACTCTGGCCTCCAAATGTCTACTCTTATCAGCCTGCTTAGTGATCCTAAATTTAAATCTTCCGGGAAGCAGTCCTGACAGCCTGGAATTGCTTACTATGGAATACGCGTGGGGATGCGTACTAACGATTGTTAGAAAGCTCCCAAGGTTCGAAGATGAGCTCTACGTGTTATGTGAAGAGTTACGAAATTACATGACGTCTAATGACGTCGTAGGAGACAGTATTTTGGGAAAACTTGCTGCTGAACTAGACATGGAAAACGGGATATTTCCTGTCCAGCAGTCCTTCGTCCTTGCCTCGCTTACCATGCTAGCTCAGAGCACCGTCGTCGAGATGAGCAAAGATTTTGTTGAAGAAGTCTCTCAAAAAGCTGTTTACTTCATCGAAAGCGATCATCCAGAATTACGCAAAGAGTCTGCACTATTACTGAGCAGACTGTACAGAACCACTAGGTTAGGCGGCGGTGCTAACTGGCACATTTTGGATAATGTTGGTAGTAATCGAGCAGAGCTCATAAAATCGCTAGACACGAACTGGAACGCGTAAAGTTTTCGTGTTTTATTTCAAGACTCAGATGTCTCATCAATTCTATCCAAAAGTAAGACATCGAAAGCATTAAGAAACACTGCTGAGTGACTTCAAAGAGTATCTCAAGACTCTTCTTTCAAGCAGATAATGACACGATCTAACGAACTGGTTGGAAAGTTTGGTCGTTCTGCGAACGACCCAAAGATTCTGGGCGCATTGGAAGATTTGTGCAAGATATACTCGCTAGACGCAGATGAGCTTTACATCAGATGGGAGCAGTACTCGTATCAGAAGCAAAGGAAATCAGACGACCTGGATCTCGAGGCAATTAGCAGCTTCAAGCAAGGCATTCAGCAACAGGTGGAGAAGAAGGCGAACTCCGTTGGACAGTCGTTGTCCGCTTCTTCGTCTGCAATCAAGAAACCTAAGAATTTGAAGCCAAACATGTCAAGTCCTTCATTGTTTGGATTCGGAATGCCCAAGACACCGACTGTTAAGAAGAGGAGGGTAGATATCACGCCAACGGCCCAAAAGAACGAACAATCTCCCGTAATGGCTTCTGCAGGTCAGAACGAGTCCTTTTTTACCCCGTCCATGGGGCTGGATACAATGAAAAGGGCCTCCTCTCCAAAATCGACTGTTCAGTTGAATAATCCCGATCCTGGAAAAACTGTTGACGTTTTGAATTTGGCGAACATGGAAGAAGCTTCTGGTATCGAAACGGAGAAACCCAATAAGATTAAGCTTGCTCCATATTTTGAAGCCTCAAAATTCAACTTTAGAACAATGCGACAAAATCTTCTTGATGCTGCTGATGTACTTGACGAGCAAATAGAAATTTTCTCAAACATTATACAACAGCATTACGATATACCTGTCAATGATATTGGAGACCCTTCGATTCAGTCACGATCTGAAATCGTAGCGGTAGGAAGAATTGTTGCCGATTCACCAGTCGCAGATGGTATATTGAATACTGAGTCGCTTGCACTCGAAACGTCTAGACTTACCGGCATTGGTCGCCGAATTCAGCTAAATCTCGGAAAGATCAAAGAGCTCACACTTTTTCCTGGCCAGATAGTCGGGCTTCGAGGGAAAAATGCCAATGGGGAGTATTTCGTTGTCGAAGAAATTCTTCAAATTCCGCAGCTGAACTTTCCGGTATCAACTGGTAGCGAACTGCAAGCATTTAGTGAAAGTATGGATCATAATGCCACTAAGATGGTGGTCACCAAAGGACCGTATACATCTTCAAATTCCTTGGACTTCAGCAATTTAGCTGATTTTGTTAAAAGATTGAACACAGACATTCGTCCTCATGCCGTTGTCATGTTCGGTCCTTTCATCGATGTCACTCATCCCTTGATAGTTAGCGCTAAGATAGGAGACTTTCCGAATTTGAAGAGTCAGCCCAAAACTCTCGACGAAGTTTTCACAAAAGTGGTCGCGCCTCTGTTGAAAGAGATAAATCCCGATATACAGGTTATACTGGTACCATCTACGCTCGATGCGGTATCCAATCACGCTGCATACCCACAGGATTCGTTCGACCGGAAGCAGTTGCAGCTGCCCAAAAATTTCAAGTGCTACACCAATCCGTCTACATTTCAACTGAACGAAACGCTTATAGCGTGCTCGAACGCCGATGCCTTCAAAGATACGAAAGAAATTGTCAAGGGGGGGAACACGAGCTTGAAGAACAGGTTCGACAGGATTGCTGAACATATTCTAGCTCAGCGTAGATTTTATCCAGTATTTCCTGGTGGACTTAAGAGGCGCAAGACCCGTGGTGATGATGGCGTGGAAGCATGGGAACATGTTTCTGGTGTTGACCTTGATGTGCCTTACATGGGCTTGACCGAGTTCTCCGGTAATATCAATCCAGACGTTGTCCTGATGCCCAGCGAATTGACCCATTTTGCGCGTGTTGTACAAAATGTTTTATTCATTAACCCGGGCTCATTCATTAGGTCGTCGGGAGTAAGAGGAACTTTTGCCCAGATCTCCATCGCCTCGCCAAACCTACTTGATGGGACTCTTACCAAAGTTGAGGATGACGTAGATGTTTATCTTCACAATGTCTGGAAGCGAAGTAGGGTCGATATAATTACAGCTTAGATACCTAATCATAAAGTTTCTATGTAGGATGGTCGGACGCTCAAACAAAGTACTTTGGGACTATAAAGCAATCTGGTCCGCTTTAACTACTGATCAATGGCTCTCGTTATCCCCCACCTGAGGTGCTCAGAATTTCTTCTTGAGCTTGCCCAGAGGTGATAGTACGGCTTTAATTTTCTTCTTCGATGACGGTGTCTTTTCGGATGACCGCTGTGCTCCCTGGGACGTTTGAGACTCTTTAGTAGAAGCAGGGCTTGATGATTGATCTGATTGGCGATCCCCAGCCTTTCTGGCTTGCGAGTCATCATGTGAACTATACTCTGCTTCATCAGCATGCTTTTCGTACCTATCATCCTCTTGAGGTCCCACATCGTTGAGAATATTGGCTACATGACCTTTAGACGTGTCCGCGATGGGAGGAGGTATGAACTGTGCTCCGACAACCGCTTCATCTGATGGCGACGTTGTCACAACTTTAGGGACAGGTTTTTCACCAGTATTTTCTGGTTTACTTGTTGTGGAGACATTCCGTGTCCTTTGCTCACTGGCTCCTGTTCCATTGTTTTGATTTTCTGCATTTGACGAGAAAGAAGTGCTACCCTGGTCGTTACGTAGATGAAAGTTCTTCGACGTAGGAATAGTATCTGGAACGGTGGCGCCGGCCACAGGTGAAGTTGAAGACTTGACGGTCTGCATAGGCTGGCTTGAAACAGAAGTTTTTTCATTCAAACTACCGGTGCGATGAGCCGGAGCGATCACACCAGTATTAACAGCTTGGGAGGATCGCCCAGCCTCTTTGGCCCGGTTAGCGTCAGTTGGTATGTGACTAGTAGTGACGGAGGGTGTAGATCCACCGTGCTGAGCATCTTTAGTTTTTCTTGGACCCTTCGAGGCAACTGTTGACTTTGGTTTTTCTTCTTCGTTAGGATCCATAAATTGAGCAGTTTCCTTGACAACTTGATTTAAATCAACATGTGGTGGCTCTTCCAGCTCCTTTGCTCGCACAAACTGTTTACCCGCGCCACTGTCGCGGCGTCCCACAAATTTGGCTACCACGATGTAACAAAAAAAGGTCAAGTGCTCAAAACCGAATGCACCAACAAGTACAGTCCTCCAGTCCACGGGAACAAGCGAGTTCAAATGCCAAGAGTCGCGTTTCTCCAAAACGTGTTGCAAACTTTCACCAGAAGATCTCTTGTACATAATAACCAGTGCAGGTGAGACCAAAGCAGAAATAAATAGTAGTACATTTAGGATGGCGCCCCAAAATGTCCCTTCCTCTTTGAAGCCTTGCATTTGAGCAGAAACATCATCTGTTTTGTTTTTTGTAGAACTGCTTATGACGTTTTTATTCAGATACCTCCAAATCTCAAGCTTCATACTGATCAGGTTGAAAACAACACAGCAGAGCGGGGCAAGAGGCCAAATGCAAGAGAACATTGCCACATATCCGAATTGAAGGGTCAGTTTTGTTGTCATTGCATTGATGTCAAACTCGCCCCACGCGCTTAGACTGGATTGAGTTGCTTGCTTCCACATCAAGGTGTCTTCGGGATACTCCTTCGTGATCTTCATCTCTGCCTTGTTGAGCTCTGAGTTTGGCTTGTCCATGCCTTTAATTTTGGGAAGTGCCTTGGCTAGAATAAATGGTACGACATTCTCCACACAGAGAGCGATTACCTGTCCAGTGACCATGAAGAAGAAATACTGACTTTGATAACGACCTGTATTGACTTTAAAACCAGATTTGAGAACGGGAATATGGAAACGAGAACACAGTTGAGCGATTGACTGCAATTGAGCATTGACGTGATGTCCCATTGGTAAATAGACGAAAAGGGTGATGAACAAGGGAACGTAGCTGGTCAAGAAAGTCAAAATGAACTTTTTCTCCAGTCTCGATTGGACGGGATCTACCGGATTTTCCCAGGCAATGAGCTTGTTCAGAACAACATCGTACACCATTGTTAGGATAGGCACATAAACCGAGATCAACACCGTAGGCGTGAGTGCTAAAATTCCGGAAAAGGGACCTTGATAAATCTGAGTGATGAAGATCTCTAACAAGAAGCAACCGAATTGGAAAGCAATAAGACAAGCTGAAAATTGCAGTGCAATAGGAATGAAGCACAGTTTTTTCGCAAATTCAGTCTTAGTCAAAGGTGTGATTTGCGATTTTGATGGCACATAATGCAACTTTTCAGTGTATTGAGACCGAACCTTGTTTTTCCATGTGGTCACAAAACCTATGGCCCACAAAGTCACAAGAATGGTGTAGCTCATGTTAAATTCCCACGCTGCAGGTTTTCCCGCAAAAAGTCGAAAAGCAACGCCTACAAGAGCCAAAAGCATCAAACAGCGCGTATAGTATTTCTCAAACGCGAGATGCACGCCAAAACTGGGCGAGCCAGTCAATTTCACCAATTCTTCCAGACTTTTATCGGATATCATTAGCGATTGTTTCACCAGCCTATTTGCCAGTTTTTGCCTCTCTTCCTTCACGGTTGGCGAGAGGATCGCCACGACATTCACCACGTACTGCAAATTCGACACGATCTCCGGAACTCTGTCGTTTGGATCGCTCACAAAGACGTACACAAGTCCGGCCTTATGGCCCGGTCTTGTTAGTGCATGCAAACCTTTGGCTGACAGCTCTGTGAGCAATTCTGAAAGGTGCTCTTTCGTGTACTGAATGGTTACACACCAATTAGCACCCAATGCCGTAACAGACGTCATGGTGGCGCTTGACTGCTGTTTAGCAAGTTTGTGAAGTTGTACTCAGTTAGGGTGAACCGATTTGAATGTTGCAATTGGACACCTTACAGTTAATGAAAAATGGAACACGTTGTACGAACATGACACCGGAAGGTAAAATGACAGTAAAAAATCAATCATTTGAGCATTCAAGTGCGGTTAAAACGGGATCCAGAATTTCGAGGGTTTTAGTGGCTGTTTTTTTATAGGGATCAAATGGGGTTTTCTACGCTATTTTTGTTTGCTCAAAAAAATTCCTTCAAAAATTAGGATTTTGACACCAGGAGGAAAACAGATTTGCAGCGTAAAATACTGTTTATCTTGCAGTGTAAAATACTGTTTATCTTGCAGTGTAAAATACTGTTAATCTTATACTTGTTCAATAAATTGAATTATTGTTGTAGGATTCAGGACTTTGGATAAATTGAGAAACCACAGATATGTCAGTAAAAGCTCGAGATAATTTAAATCGGAGCCTAGGAAAAATTGATCATTGACTATTCGAAGATATTACGCAAATAAGATAGAACCGCATGTAGCTTCCTTGCAACGACGCCAGAACGGATTTTCATCGCCATAGCATTGTTACCAAATCACTATTGACGAAAGATTTATTTCAAAATTACAAAAATTTGACGCAGATATTCTCGATGCTTTCTGTATCGATGCGCGCGGTGGCAGCATATAATGGACACTCTTGGTATTTCGAAAGTCCATTAATCTCTCTAAAAATGTAAGTATTTACTCGGCAAGCAATTTAAATGACAGATCACGTGACCAGAAAACACGCGACACACCGTTTACAAAGTGATCTGCTACACTCACCGCTTGAAATTCTGGGTTTTATGGGAATCGAAACGACAGTCAAGATACATCCAAATAAGAATCACACCGACGTGTCCAAAATTAACCTCTCTGTTGTGTAGCACATCACCAACAACGTCTTTTGGATGATTTAGGGTCACCGCACAAATCTTTCGTCATAGAAATACCAAAAATCGAACAGCTCAATCTTCACAAAATGATTCACCTCAAAGAAAAACACCTCAACCAAACTACAAATTCAAACTCTGGGCTGTCAACTATCATAAATATCACTAATTTTCCGGTCTGACAGTAACTATCACAATAGAGTCACGTGATGTCCAATTTAGCTTGCGTAAACGGGCTATCTATATATCTATAATCAAAATCGTAAAATCAAGATCAACTCGGTTCGATGAGCAAGAACAGACCAATTCCTCAGCTAAGCGTGCGACCAGTGGCCATTGCATGCTAAGATACATTGCAAAACGAACAATGGCTGATTTAAGACCTCAACAATTGATTTCCAGCTACGAAGCTGTGAAGGGAGAAGTGCTGCAATACGCAAATCAAGTGGGCAACGGCAACGTCTCTCTATTGCCAGTTTCGAAGCTCAAACCAGCTAGCGATGTCCAGATTTTGTATGACCACTCCGTTCGGAGCTTTGGTGAAAACTATGTGCAGGAACTTGTGCAGAAAGCATCAATTTTGCCCAAGGACATCAAATGGCATTTCATTGGTGGGCTCCAAACCAATAAATGCAAGGATCTGGCTAAGATTCCAAACCTGTTTGCGGTAGAAACCATAGACTCGCTCAAAAAAGCTCAAAAGCTCAATGAAGCTCGAGCAAAATTCAATCCGGACGCTAATAAGATCCAATGCTACGTGCAAATTAACACATCTGGCGAAGCCCAAAAATCGGGACTTTTGGCAGAGGAAGAGATTTTGGAGACAGTCAAGTTTATTCTTTCAAATGAAGCTGCCAATGTGGAATTGGGTGGGTTGATGACAATAGGATCGTGGGAAGTCTCGCATGCAGCTTCGGAGCAAAATCACGATTTCGCAGTATTGGCTCAATGGAAAAAACAACTCGATGCCAAATTTGGACTCGATCTCAAATTATCAATGGGTATGAGCGCGGACTACAAACAGGCTATAAATCAAGGAACTTCCCAGGTTAGGATTGGTACCGATATCTTTGGTAGCAGACCTACGAAAAGTTGAGATTACGCTCAAACTAAATGACTTGAAAGTAAAAAAATACAGAATAGCTTATCGCACTGTGGTGTAGTTTGAATCAAGTTTTCCAACTTGTGACAGAAGCCCCAAATGGGCCTCGGGTCCATCCAGTCGTTGTACTCAACTTTCAAGCTAGTGCAGCACACACACACTGCACGATGTATTCAGAGAGCTGGCTGCCTTTTGTAGTCTTGCAAGTAATATCAACACCATCTTTTTGCCATCTCAACTTCAGAAGAGAACCTGAGTTGCCATCGATTTTCGTGTGGACGATGCCTGCCGCGAAGATTGTATCTTCCGCAATTGCTTGATCCACCACATCAAAGCCCATTTTCTGCATGCAGGCATAGATTTGTTCAAGGCTTTGTACTGATTTTGTTTTGATATGATATTCCCCGTCCCTGCCTAAGGCGTCACCGAGAGCTCTCCACCGTTGAACAAACTGCGAGAGGTTCACCTGTCCTTTTTGTTGACCTGTAGAGATTGTATTGGTAATTCCAGCGGCAACCTTTAGAGAAATCTCGCTACTATGCCCCCCGCATTTAAAGCTCAGGTTGAGAATTGGACTTTGTTCCACTGGACTAGCATGACGTGTAAGTATTTCGAACCTATGCAAAGTACGCTCTCCTTGCGAGAGCTTCAAATTAGGTACACTTAGAACCTTCATGATATAGGGAGGATCATTATCTGTTTTGCTGGGTATCAGATCTGTGAGAAGGGAGGTTATAGGCTGATCAGAAACATTGACATATGTCAAAACTACGTCTAAGAGCTCTGGTTGCGCCGGCGCAACTGAAAGACGGTAGAATATCTTCAAAAAGGGGGATGTACAAAACACGCCCTGTTTGTGTCTGAGCATCCTCCCAAATCCTTCCTGCCAGCCAGCTGCCAACTGCTGGTCATCATGTTTGTTGTTCTGCAAAACAGTCTTATTTTTGCGGGTAGGAGGGGGAGTTGGGGCAGTGGAAATGCTATTACCGTTGGAAATATCGCTCGCGGAGTCTGAATTACTCAACACAGATCCACCCAGGCGGCTTAGCAATGGGTTCTTCTTGCTACTGAATGGGGCCATGGGCTCAAACAAGGCTTCTACCAATTTCACACCAGTCAGCTTTTCAAGCTGAATGATCTTCAGATATTCATAAGATCTAGTCTGTAGCTCAACATCCAGCGAGTTCAGTTCCAGCTGGAAAAATTTGATGACAGCAGACCCAATATCAGCATCTCTTTTGTAAAGTTTCATCATTGTTGTTAAAATCATCGCGCGGCACAAATTTGAGACCGAAAAATACTTGTCAGTGAAGAGATTGAAGATCTCGCCGCAAGACGTATCGGGTGCGAGCAAATCAGCATGTTCCCCAAGAATAAATGCACTGGCCTTGACAATTGCCTCCGAGACATTACCTGGCTCGTACAAATATTCGAGAAGACGTCGACAAGTTAACAGTTGAAGACTTTTGTTGTTGACCACGATTTGACAAATTCTTTGCCATATATCGCTACTGGCCAGGGAGGATGTAGGGAGTGCCAATAAATCGAGGGATACAACCACGTACCAAGTTGTATCTGTGGCGAATTTCTCGGTCAAAACAGCGATTTTGACGGAGATATCCGTCCTTATCGAATTGTCACTTTGTTTAGCGTCCATCATATATTTGAGCAGGACATTCACAATGGGCTGAACATTACTGCTATCTGTCAATGTATAAAGCAAATCGACTAGTTTTCGTAAAATGGACGTATCTCTCTCAGTGAGCAAAAGAGTGAACAACTGGTCCATGTGCTTTGCGCGTACATCGTCTCTTGCACTTTTCCCACTGACAGAACATAGTTTGATAAGACAATCCAAAGTCAGATAGCGTGTATTGATTTCGGTAGACGCAAGCAACGAGCAAAGTGCATTCACCGAGCTTACAATTGCATCAGCTGAAGGATCCAACTTAGAAGCAAAATTAATGAGCGAAAACAAAATCGTGTTTTTGACAGTGCGCGAAACAGCATCCACCGCTGGCTCCGTCCCAATCTCTATTGCCTTCGTAACAGACGTCCTGAGCTTTCCCAAAGTTCCCTGATCTATGTTGCTGAAGGTGATCTCGCCAGAAGAGCTAGAAGGCGAACTTATGAGATAGTTGAGAATCGCCACAATTTTGGTGACCAACCAAGGATTTGGCATCTTTTGGTGGCCTGGAAGATCATAAGATGCTTCACCTTTACCCGAGATGCAGTTGTAAAGAATGTCAGAAAGCTGCGGTATGAGTTTGACACAGGCCTGTCCATCGACGTCACGAGCAATGTAGTCTATCAAAGGAAGCACAGATATCATGAGTCTGTGGTTTGTGGAATCGTCCAAGAGACTTGTTATCCGCTGAATCCATAATTGTTTGCGCCTTGAATCCTGGGTCAAAATACTGGAGTCATTGCGTAGGAGCGCCAAAAATGCCAGAGCTGATTTTTTTTTGAGAATCTGGGCCGATGTTGGCGATCGAAGTACTTGGAACACTTCGTGTATGAGTTCAGCAGTCAGCTGCGAATTGAATTTGCCCACAATGGCCAAAAAATTCAGAGCTAAAGACACAGAATCATCGCTGGCGGATGCCAGATCGTGCTTAAGCTGTTGTATGATCCGGTCTCCGGCCTCTTGCGCCACAATTGGGCTGCAGTAGAGCATTTCCAATGTCATATACGCAACATACTTTTCAGAATAAACCGAAGAAGCCATTAGTTCGCAGCACTCGTCCAACCCGAACATCACGTCTGCAATCCGCGTGGTGTTGGTAGCTATCAAAATGTATGCCAATTTTGCGATGTACTTCTTCCGTTGATATCCATTCATCGATGAGGTCGTAAGCGGTGAAACGCCACTTTTACCGCGCTCCTTCTCATTGTTTGCTCCAAACTGCCTTCTGATATTGACCAGTTCCGCTTGAATTCTCTTTTCTCGATCTTCTGCGTGAACCGAACCTCTCAGGTCTGCGATAAAAAGCTGCAGACCTTTCATGCTATTGTGGCTACGGTTGTTACTGGTGGCGGCCAGCATTTTACAGCTTTTGGATCACCAATTGAGCTCTTTGAACACAGACTTCTGGGCGAGTGAACATGGAGATGCTTTGAGTTATATATATATATATGTGAATATCTTAGGTTGAATGTCAATTCTGACTGTATACCGCGAATTGAAGAGTACATTTGGCGAGTACAGACGTACAAGATGATGAAGAGGAAGAAATATAAAGATTTTAATTACGTATGTAGTGATACATAAGTATGATAGAATACTGTGAATCCTGCAGCAACACAAAGATTACTGCCTTGTAAATTCTTTTGTGAGTCCATACCGCTCTTTATAATTCGTGAGCATTTACTCATGGAATTTCGTATAAAGTGCAAAAATCTTCCTCAAAATAGTCGAGAGCCAGAAGAGTCACGCGATCCGTATTTCATGATCATTGTCAATAGTTATTAGCTGCATCAGAAAGAAGACCATCTCTTCTTTACGATCTCGAACAAAGTAAGTCTCATTTGCCTCTTTAGCTACGTTGGATCACCCTTTCCCAAGTCAATTGCTTGCCAAAAATGTCTTTGTGGGTTGATAAGTACCGTCCCAAATCTTTGGACACCCTTTCCCACACTTCTCGCCTTACACACCTTCTGCAATCGCTCGCGGTAGAGCCAAGAGATCTTCCACATCTTTTGTTTTATGGACCCAATGGCGCGGGAAAGAAGACCCGATGCATGTCACTTTTGCAGTCGATCTTCGGGAGCGGCGTCTATAAGCTTAAGATTGACGTTCGACAGTTTACGACACCATCAAACCGTAAGCTCGAGTTAAACGTGGTTTCCAGTCCGTTCCATCTGGAATTGACACCAAGTGACATGGGAAACAACGACCGTGTGGTAATCCAGGAGCTGCTCAAGGAGGTGGCTCAGATGGAACAAGTCGATTTTCAATCAGGATCTGCAGCCGAAACCGGTGGTCTGGCACATAGATATAAGTGCGTAATCATCAACGAAGCAGATTCTCTTACACGCGACGCACAGGCAGCGCTAAGAAGGACAATGGAGAAGTACTCCCAAAACATACGATTCATCATGCTGTGCGAGTCCATGTCGTCCATAATTGCTCCCATAAAGTCGCGTTGTCTGCTAGTGAGGACCCCGGCACCAAATGTGCAGGAAACTGTTGAAATTTTATCAAAAGTTGCCAAAGATGAGCATGTCTCGGTGGAAAACGATGCTATTTTAACCTCTATTTCAGACAGCTGCGGCGGGAACTTGAGGAAAGCACTTTTAACGCTGGAGTCCATGGCACTTAACAACGAAATGGCTTTGAAGTCGACTTCGCCGATTATCAGGCCCGACTGGATGGTTGTTATCTTGAAAATGGCCAATCGTATAATTAAAGACCGTTCAGTGTCCCAAATAGTGGAATGTCGGTCGACTCTTTACGACCTCTTGGCACACTGCATCCCAGCAAAAGTCATCATTCAAGAGCTCACGTTAGCACTTATGAATGAAATACGCCAAGATGAACAGAAATTGGGAGTAATAACTTGGGCAAGCGTCTTCGACGAAAGGCTGTGTCTAGGAAACAAACCTATTTATCATCTCGAAGGATTCATCGCAAGGGTGATGTGCGAACTGGACACTTAAAACAAAGCATGACTGAATCGTTTGGAGGTTTCAGGTAACGCATCAGCATGGTAATTTGTCTCGTCGTCTTCTTTGGATGCCTCAGCTAGAAGGACAATGCAATGGGGTTGATATGTACAGTAATTACAGGAGGTGGGCTAGTCTTAGCGTCCTTTAAACATACGGTATTGGGGCAATTTAGATCTCTGCTCGTTCAAGAACGCTTTTGTAGGGTTCTTACGCAGCTTCTCCATATAGTTGACAACGGGGTCGTCTTTCAAATTCTTGAAGCTTTTCAAACCCACTCTAACCAGCGAATCTTTGGAAACAAACTCAAAAACGCCCGGCAGTTTGGTTCCAGCTTTTCTGAAGGCCTCACGAGCTACTTTTTCGTGCAAGTCATCGCCGTCCATTTCGAAAATGATCTTGCCTGTGGGTACACGGACCATCCAGTGGTCGAATCCACCTTTACCCTTACCCATACGGGTTTCGTTACCCTTGATACAAACGGCAATATTGGTACAAAGTCTTTTCCACAGCTGACCGTTTGTCAATGGTCTAACGTATCTCATAATCGCATTATCGGCTTCCTTTAGCTGCTGCGCCGTCAATCTCACACCTTCCGATTTGAGTCTGAGACCAAATCGACCAAATTGTAGCGTTGAACCCTTCGTGGAACCTCCTACACGTACTGGAACACGTCCCTTTTGTCTTTTGCCAACGTCTTTGAATCTGGGCGCGTACTCGTGCGTGAACCGCCTCAAAACATAACTTGGACTGGCAATATGAATCCGAGGCTTCAACAGGCTCCCGAACATTGTGGATTTGACCTATTTCAAGCAGACCGCTAGTTTCTTGTAGTTTGTATTTGACAGAGATCTAACGCTGTTGAAATGGCCAAATTTTTAATATAGTGCATCATGATATACGTCGTAGACGTTTCTAAAGAATAGTCATGATCAAAAGAGCCTTTGAGGAATGCCACCTATTGTCAAATCAGTATTGGGATATCTTTGGTTGTATTTCTGATTTGGAAGAACGACTGTGCTCATTTTTCCGGAAACTTTTTGTCATGAAACGCATTAAGAGTTATTACCATAAGCACTGGCATCGCCATGACGAAAAAACGGAACTAAAACAAGGCAACACCATAGCAGCAAATATCGGGGTTTATGTGTCACCTCAAAAGTTTTCTTGGTATAATTTCACTAAGACGCTCTCTGGAGATGATCATTCCAACTAGTCGTCATTAACAATATCACTATGTACTATTATGTCGCATTTTGATGCAGAAAGAATCTTGAGCCAAAGAACTTCCAAACGCGAGTTGAAAAACTGCCCTTTGCTGCAAATCTGACAATTGGAATAGCCCAACAAGCACATCAAAGAACCAGAAGCACATCAAAGAACCAGAAGCACACAAACAATCTCTACAGGTTTATTGCCATATCTCGTTCTCATTTCGTGTATTGACGACAGAATTAATTTCCAGTCACTTTTAAAAAGATGAACTACTATTCTCGAAGAACAAACGCTTTGTGAAAGACATTTCACCTCATAGAACCCAAATGAATCGTTCCAGACTTCTACTTCCTCTCAGAACTCTAACTTCAAAGCGCTCTCTTAATGGCAAGCCACAATTGAACATAAATGGAATCGCATACGATACGCATCCTGACTTCACAAACGTATCAAGCACGATTTTAAATTTGAGTGACCGCTCGCAGCATCTAAAGTCCGCTCATCCAATTGGGATCTTAAGAAAACAAATCGAAGATAAATTGAACTCGACATCTAATTCTTATCAGCTTTACAACGATTTCCGTCCCGTGGTCACAGTTGAAGAAAACTTTGATTCACTTGGTTTCCCGCCAGACCATCCAGGAAGATCTAGAAGCGACACTTATTATGTCAACGACAAACACCTGTTCCGAACGCATACATCTGCTCACGAATTGGAGTGTTTTGGTAATATCCAGGGATTTTCGCCCAAAACCACAACAAAAACCTCTACAGAAAAACCGGGATTTCTGATCACTGCAGATGTGTATAGGAGAGACGAAATCGACAGAACACATTATCCCGTGTTCCACCAAATGGAGGGTGCCCGTGTATGGAAAAGATCCTTCGACAAGCTTTCCGAGGGCCACGAACCGCTGCACATCCAACAAATACGCGATGATCTACGTAAGCTGGAAAAACAACTACGTGAAGAAAGCAGCAATTTGGTAGTGGAGGACGAGAAAAACCTAGAGGGCAACCCAAAACAAGAATACATGTCGGATTTGGAGGTCGATCTGTGTTCCCAGCATCTCAAAAGGACTATCGAGCTGTTGGTCGCCCAAGTTTTCAACAAAAGGCTACAATCGATAGACTGCAAAGACAAGAAAGATGCCCAGCTTCAAGTTCGGTGGATCAAAGCTTATTTCCCATGGACCGCGCCCTCATGGGAGATCGAGGTCTTTTGGAAAGGTGAATGGCTTGAGCTTTGCGGGTGTGGTCTCGTCCGCGAGCAGGTTTTGCTTAATACCGGATACAAAAAGGACTCTACAATTGGCTGGGCCTTTGGACTTGGACTCGACAGAATTGCCATGCTACTATTCGAGATCCCAGACATCCGTCTTTTCTGGACCCACGACGATAGATTTCATTCACAGTTCCGCGAGGGCCAAATAACAAGATTTCAGCCTTATTCCAAGTACCCGGGAACTACCAGGGACGTTGCTTTCTGGCTTCCGGAACAAAAAGAAGCTTCTGTTATTCACGAGAACGATATTATGGAGATCGTACGGGAAGAGGCAGGTGATATGGTCGAGAGCGTGAAGCTAATCGATCAATTCACGCATCCTAAGAACAACAAGAAATCGGTTTGTTACCGCATCAATTATCAATCGATGGACAGAAACCTAACTAACGAGGAAATTAACAAAATTCAAGAAAATGTGCGCAGCCAATTGGTTCAAAATTACAAAGTAACCTTGCGTTGATGGAACTACATCGAATTCTGTCAAGAAGGGCTATGATATACACCCCAGTTGATGGAGACGTTAGATCGGTATGGAGGAAACCTGCTCGAATGAATGCCGGTACCGGCTTCTTTCGACGGCTACTTTTCGTGTCGAACGACTCATGTACAATTGGATCTTCAAGATGGGAATATACATCTTCAATGAGCTCTTCCCGACATCGAACTCATTCCATAAAACCAAGGCGAGCTCTTAATATATGCATTCCAAGCGAATTGTTGTACTTTATGGCTCTGAAACGGGGAATGCCCAGGAGTTCGCCAATGGCTTCTCTTTCAGACTTCACCAATTTCACTTCGCTCACACATTTACTTCGATGGGAAATTTCCCTGCTGTTGACATTTTACAGTGTCGATACCTCTTCTTGATCTGTGCCACCACTGGACAGGGGGAATTACCTCGAAATGCGAAGGAAAACTCAGCAGGCGAATCCAAGGACACTTTATGGGCTTTTTTGAAGCGCAAAAACCTGCCAGATGATCTTCTCAGTCATGTTAATGTGATGATGATTGGACTTGGCGATTCGTCTTATCCCCAGTTTAATTTTGGTATTAGGAAGTTGCATAAAAGAATGGTTGATCAATTAGGAGCTAAGGAAATCTTTCCGAGGCTGGAGGCCGATGAGCTGGGCATGGTAGGCAGTAACGGCGGGACAGGTACTGGAACAGAGGCCGTGTACTTTGAATTTGAGAAACGGGCGCTCAAACATTTGCTTGACCTTTTCCCTAACCGAAAATCGGATGGGAAACGCTTAAAAAGACAGGCCATCGCAGAAGATACGTTTTTGCAACCTGATTTCAAGCTGTGCTTATCTGAAGGCAAAGACTATCGGCCTCCTGTTTCTAATGGGAATCAGTCTATCAAAACCGGTAAGGTCGTTCGAAATTCGAGAATAACACACCCAGAGCATTTTCAAGACGTACGCCAGTTCATCTTTGAGACAAATGGTGAGAAGTACGAGCCGGGCGATACCGTCGCGATATATCCGCACAACAGGGATGAAGACGTGCAAAGCTTTTTAGACACACAACCGCATTGGCTTCATGTAGCCGACCTTCCCCTACAGATTGACGGTGTGTGGAAATTTCATGACGGCAACTTAGTAGAGCCGCTCACTCTCCGAAACATTTTGAAATATCACTGTGACATAATGAGCATACCGCGCAAATCCTTTTTCATGAAAGTGTGGATGTTTGCTACTGACAAGAGCAGATTGGAAGACGGTGAAGACCAGCTTATCCAGCAACGTGACAAACTCCGCCAATTTGCCCTTGATGAGGACCTTGATGAGCTGTATGACTATTGCAACAGACCCAGGCGCTCCTTACTAGAAGTTCTATGTGACTTCCCATCTCTCAGATTACCCTGGGAACATATTCTGGCCTATTTACCCAACATGAAGCCCAGATTGTTTTCAATTTCAAGTTCGCCTTCAGATCCCAAAATAGAGCTAACCGTGGCAATTGTTAAATACAAAACGATCTTGAGAAGAGTAAGACGAGGCGTTTGTACCGAGTACTTACAGGCGCTTCGGAAAGGTGATACAATCAAATACAAAGTTCAGAACAATCACCTGCTAAAACCTAAGATGCAGGAGTTTCCGGTGATATTGATCAGCCCGGGGGTTGGGTTGGCGCCTATGATGTCAGTAATCAGGGCAAATTTTTTCAAAGAAGTTCACCTCTTTTTTGGGAATCGAATAAAAAGTAGAGACTTTCTCTACCAGCAGGAGCTGGAAAACTGGGAAAACTCAGAGAAGATCAAGCTTTACACATGCTTTTCCCGCGACAGTTTGCATTCCCCCACTGCAAAATATGTGCAGGATGTAATGTGGGAGGAAGGGCAAAAAGTGGCGGATCTTGTTGTGAAGAGAAACGCTACAATCTACGTCTGCGGCTCTTCCGGAAAAATGCCGGTTCAGGTAAGGCTAACGATTCTAGAGATTTTGAAAACATGGGGTGGTGTATCCGATTTGGATAAGGCCGATAGCTACCTAAGAAAGATGGAGAGAGAGAGTCGATACTTACAAGAGACGTGGTGAATGTCTGTCAAGAGTAGAGAAAAGAATTCACGGTTTACCGCTAACGAGAATTATGTCACATGCGAAATCGTTTACACCGCGCACACGACTTCAAAACCTGAATTTCTGATTGAGCCGGAACAACTCTCAGTCTGTCTCTTGGCCTAACTCAAAAGGCCTTATGAGATAACCCGGAATACTGTAAGATAGAATGATAAATCAAAAACAATTATTAAACCTAGTTCATTATTACTACAACTCCAACCTTTAAAATTCCTTTCCTGTCACAAAATCTGCGGCAACCTGAACCCATGCTGTCCCCTTTGGCAACTTAAAGGGATTGAAAGACGCCTCTTTAACAACCATCCGTTCAACAGAGGTGATACGTCCCACAAACCAATCTCTATCAGCTGTAAACTTTTCGTTTTCCTTTAAAAAGTACCTTGTCGACTCGTCAAAAGCAGTAAATGCAGCCCACGGAACAGCCTTATTACTAGTACTTCCATCTTTGGTAATTTTTCCGTGGTGATGCTCTCCTTTTTGCATGGTGCCACCACCTGGTGGAGGAGGTGTCGACAAATCCACGGAGGAAAAAGATGAAGCAAGGGAAGACACAGAAGACGAAACAGAGTCCGGTACATCTCTTGTTGGCAAAAATAAAGCCGTGTCCCCGACTTGAAAATTTTTGACCGTTATCTTTTCCCTTTTGTAAGTTTCTAGTAAACCTCTTTTAACCTTATTTTCCTTGGTGAGCTTTTTGGCAAGGGCTTCGATATCTTTGAAACGTTTGATGACAGAAGTTTCGTAAAGCTTGTTACCAAACAGCTTGTTGATAGCTGCCATAAGATCATTTTGAACCTGTACATCATTCAACTCGTGCGAAGATTCAAAAACGTTTTTAACATCTTGAAAAACTGCACTTTTTATAGTTGTTGGTCCTTTCAGTTCCACAGCGCTTTCCAAAATGTCACTCTGAGCCATTCCTTTTCGAAGGCCTTTGACACGCGCTATTTGGAAGTTAAAGTCCTCAGTGCTCGAAAGTAACAGTCCGATATTTTCCAAGATGTAGACTGCTCCAGCAAACAGCTCAAAAATTCTTGTCAGCATATCATGATTGAGCCTTACAAACTGTTCATGATCCTGCGCCTTTTTTTCTTCATTTTTCGTAGTCGCCAGTTCTTGATTGAAGCGAAGCTCCTCGTTGTCAGCCTTCAATGAAGCAAGCTCTTCTTGAAGCCGAGCCGATTCTTCTGACAGGGTATTTTTTGCATTTTCATAATCTTTCTCAATAATCATCTTATCCTTCATCATTTCCTCCTGAAGCCTTGCCTGATGCTCTTGTTCTTTAGTCTTAAGTTCGCACTTTTCTTTCCACGATATCACTTCGTTGACTAACGAAATATTATCTTTACCTAGACTCAAAACTTGATTCTTGAGCTCACCCGCTTTTGTGATTTCCAACTTGTCGTTCTTCTCTTTCTCGGATGTAATTTTGGAGATTTCTTGATTCAAGACCGATAGTGTTTCTCTATAAGCGTTCCGCTCGTCTTCGAAATCTACGACTTGTTTTTTGAGCTTGAGAGAGTCTTTCCTCATTTGTTCCACTTGCTTTTGGTAATGCTCCAGTTCTGTGCGCAGCTGCGCTGTATCTCCAAAAGCTTCACCCTGCGAATTGGACAGGGCAGTTTCGTTTGAGTCCGCTAAAAGCATAGACATCTTCACATTGACCGCAGAGACATTTTTTTCAAATGCTGGGAGCGAGGCACTGTTCAAAATACCAGAGGGCCAAGATCGTATATTTGAGTACTTGGCATCATGAAGTAAAGATTCAAGTTTCTTTATTCTTCGCTGATAATGTCTTACAATATCCCGCTCATAGTGAGGTTTTTCTCCTGAGAAAACGGAATGGCCCGGCATAGTCGGTTTGACAGCAATAGAAGTATTCATCGCGGATTCGAGATTTCTTTGCAGCAGCGCCAAGCTTTCAGCTGAAACTTCATTCTCGGAGAGCTGCAATAGATATCTCTCAATCTTGTCTGCTGTTATTAAGTCTTCTTTGGAAGTTGAGAGACTGCCAATTCGGACAGTTTGAGATTTGCGAAAATCACTGAGGTCAGTATCTGTTTCCTCAAAGATGGAGTTTAGCTGAACGAAAGTTTGACCCCATTTTTCTCGATGCCTCTGCTCCAAATCCCCGATTATTAGCAACTCATCCGAAATCCTAGAACCCAGGATCCTTATTTCATTGAGCCAATTTCTTCTTCGCAGCTTTTCAATCAAGTGCAGACCATAAAGTACAGGAAGATCGTCAACTTGAGAGAGTTGTAATTCGCACTTCTGTAATATCTCGAGAAGATGATTGCAATCCGTCAATAGAACTGTCTTGACGTCCAGGATCTGAACCTGAACAAAAGCGATTTGACTCAAAAGTAGGATTATTTGCTCTTGTAATCGTCTCTTGTCGGCTAACGACTTCTCTGCTTGCGAAAAAAGTGACTGTGCAATGGTGAAGAGATTGGGAACGGTGGAGTTCTTGTCGTCAGAAATCTTGTGGTTTAGGTCTGAAAGCATTTCTGGGGTAAATTCTGCAGAGCTCAGTGTCAGAGTTTCACGAGTGCTTTGCTTGGTTTCTGTTATCATCTCCTCGAACCTGGCCATCATAGTATCCTCCATTTCATATTTGGATGGAGATTGGTCGAATGCGGGTTTCAGAGCTTCCACTTTGGAAGAAATCTCTTGGCGAGTTTTGAAATTGTCATCAATCTGAGACTTGACCTGTCGCAGAAGTGTAGTTACATTGTTATTCACATCGACCAATTCGTTGAAATGATTTTCGAGCTCGTTTTTTCGAAGAAAGTCACTCAAACGCTTCTCCTTTTCGCCATTTACGGTGCTCAGGTTCTTGAGTAAGCCATCGTACACTTTCTGCCACTCAAGGGCATTGCTCTCTTTAGTGAGCTGATTGAGAAACTCGACGTTGGAGTTATAGAGCTTTTCTATTTCGAAGCAATAAACTTTGAGATACTGTGAGCATATGGAAAAGCACTGGAATATGACGCGAATTTCGACCATTGTATTTTGAATGATCGAATGGAAATAATGTGCATCAATTTCTAATGCACTGAGCCACCCCATGTTGGTAGTCAAAATGGTGGTGGCCTTGCGGTAGTCAAAATCGGAGCTGGAAAGATTCACTTCCAGCAGCGGAGATGGCACTGGTTTTATCAGCGTTGGTTGACGATGCTGTGTAACGGTAGCCAATAAATCCTCGATTTCTGGAGTTTCTGGCGATAACGCCGAAGAATTGGGGTCCTGGGCAAATGAAAAAAGTCGGCGATCGAAAACGTAGAATTCCAATGGGTTCGTGTCTCTGAGACAGTTGGCAAATGTGTCTTTTTTCAATTTCGCCCCAAAAGGCAGCAGAATGAAGGTCTGATCTAGCGGGATCATCAATTGCTGGCTTACGCACCGTTTGAAGTCATCGACTGTAAGAAACATGCGCAGATTAGTCGTAAAGCTGAATCCAGTGATTGCATTATAGACAGAAGAGTTGTGGCTACTCATTGCGGAACAATAAAGGCTAAGAAAAGTACCCTTTTTGGGACTACAATGACTACTTTTTCCTCGCAACCGTTTTGCACAGAATGCACTGCAAAAGAACCGCTAAAAAAGCGCGCTTTTACAGAATCTGCAGCTGTGCGCCGGAGAGTTCCCACTAGAAGTCACAGAACCAGTTTTTCTTACCAAAGAGCTTCCTAAAGCCTTGAAATCGTCCCCCTTCCCTGACCCGATGAGCTTTTATTCACAAGACGAATGTGTAAGGGCTACAATTATATATAACGTTAACTGACCTTAAAAATCCTAAAATCAATGGCATTTAGTTACCCGTCCATATATCACGTGAAATAAGTTTTTTTCCGATTCAATTTTAAATTGGATTTAATCACATGACTTTATGTTTAGATTTTCTTCTCTTTCTTAAATAAGGCCTCTCTCTAATCTGTTTGTTAAGCACTCGACACTACATAAACAAGTGATATCACCAAGTTTCTACGACATTCAGGAATCCGATAAACTGCTCACCAAGAGCGCTGTCCGTAGCTTACAATCGTCTTCTTTTTCGCGGCCTTCTTTTTTCCCTCAATTCTCTAGCTTGATTTTTGAACAACATACATGAGCATATCGTATCAACCGCTAGATATATCGAAGACCGATGAAGTGAAGCACATTCAAAAAGTCATAGATGCAGATCTGAGTGAGCCTTATTCCGTGTATGTGTATCGTTATTTCTTCAATCAATGGCCTGATGTGTGTTTTTTGGCCTTCAGCGAGCACGAGAAGAACCCAGTTGGATGTGTGGTGTGTAAGTATGAGCTTCACAGGGGCGCCAGACTGCGTGGATATATTGGAATGCTTGCGGTAGAACACAAGTTTCGCAGACAGGGTATTGCCAAGAAACTGGTGGCTTTGGCAATCGAAAAGATGCAGAAATTGGGTTGCGACGAGGTGATGCTGGAGACTGAAGTAGAAAATACAACGGCGCTGAGTCTGTATGAAGGGTTTGGTTTTATACGTCTGAAGCGCATGTTTCGGTACTATCTGAACCAGGGAGACGCTTTCAAGCTGATACTCCCACTCACAGAGAAAAGCTGCACCAGAACCACATTTTTGGTACAGCCCGAAACGATACTTGCAGAGTGATACAGTCAAGTTGCCTTGATATGCGGATTAGTCCTTATCTATGTAGTGGACAGATGATAATAATAATGTACAATTTAGAAAACCTGAATCTGGCCAGCAGAGGCCGCAAGGCGAACACGGGGTGTTAGCCACCGAAGATAGGCTTGAATGGCCCCTTCCCCGCCTTTTTCTTCCCTTGCTAGATGGTCCTTTCAGAGGCTTACTCTTCTTCGTTGAACTTTGGAGCTAGGAAAAACTGTAGGTACCCGCTTTGTAGACCGAATTCGAACAAAGCAGGAGTTTCAGATGATAACTTAATTGTGATTTGCTCCGCAAGACCAGCACCCTTAATGATGTCCAATAGATACTTAGACCCGAAAGTCAAATCCACGGGCTTGTCGAGTTCGACTTTCACACTTTCCTGAGGCTTATCCATGTCGGTGTGGGGCTTCACAATGACGGAACCAGATCCGATGTCACCCTCTGCGACAAACTTGACGGTGTCTTTGGTGACCAAAATATTTAGGGAATCGCTGAGCTGGTTCAAATCACGCACCACCTTGGCAAACTCAGCGGATGGCATTGTGATGGTGGTATCGTATTCCATTCCGTCGATGTCAAGAAAGTCTGCATCGATATCCATGAGTTTTAGAGAATATTCACTGATACGGTCTTTCTTGGTGTCCTCAAACAGCAGAAGAACAGAGTCTGGTGTGTCATCTGCAATCAAAGTCAAATTATCGTTGTTGTTACCACAGCGTAGAATCTTCGACAAGGACGACAAATCGACGCCCAGAGTGACACTTCTGTCGCATCTGAATTCCTGAAACGACTCTGTTCCAATCGAAAGCGACACCAACAAGACTCTAGAGTCGTCCACAGCTTGTGCGGCGATACCATGTTCGTTACAGTTGAAGTTGACCAATTGTACGCAGTCTTTGAAAGAGTCAATGATCTTTTTGAACAAGCTGGCTTCTTCGAATTTACCCTCTAGCATAATGAAACGTTGTATATATGTGGTATGCGGTGCACTTTTAGCTTAAACGTTGGTGATGTAGACTGTGGGACGAAAGTTCTGAGCTTTAGAAAAAATGTGCCGTTATATATACATATGTCTGAAGTCAAACCGTGGAACGGGACGCGTAAAAACGTTTACGCGTCCCTGGGCATGGGAAAAATTAAAATGAAATGTTTACGCGTCAGTCCCAGACGACAGAACACAACAAAGTGATATTTGTAGAGGTGTCAGTGACAGCTGCGATTAGCTCGAGCAGCATGGATATGAGAGATACTAAGAGCAGCGAAATTCTGGACGACTAAGGTTGAGCTGGTTCCAGAGCAGTCAATGCACGCATCAAACTTAGAATTTGGTAGGGCTATTTAAGGTTAGCCGACAGTTCTTTAGTTTGTCTGAGAATTTCGAGAGTTTGGTCTCGCTTATGTCCGTGAGTGCTTGAAAGCTCGTAGAATGCCTGCCCTTCTGCGTTAAAAGCTGGACCGGCTTAAATCAAAAAAAACTCCCAATTCTCGCAACAAGTACGAAATTTTCAGTTATAGCTCAATCTTGCTATAGTAATGTGTAAGATTCCTCGGTCAAGCCGAGGATTCTTCAAGCTTAAAATGAAACATTCTACAGCATTCATTCGATCTGTAGTGATTGACTATCACCCACACGTGACATAAATTGTTAATTCTAATTATCAACAATTTGTTACTCGAGGTAATGTAATCGACGCCATAGAGCTATAAGCGGTCTTTTGGATACAAATTCGTGGTATTCTTCCGGCTATTTCTGATATGGTATACATTGCGGGCAAAAGACGCTGCAAAATGCAGTTTCTCTGCCACGCGATCTGGCTAAAAATGAAATACGCACTTTGTTTGCTCTTTTTTCCGTAATCTTACAAACTGGGAGTTCACCATCGCGATGCTTATGCGATGCAATGCACCGCTGAAGAACATCCCAAAACCATAAACCAAAGGGAACACTGCGATATACTTAAAGGAGAGAAAAAAAAAAAAGAAGGGAAAATAGATCGAGACAGTTGACAAAGTGGAGAATCTTTTTTCTTCGAGAATAAAAAAAAGAGAGATAAATGGGGTCAGCTTGCCGGGACAACCCGGCGTGGGTGCTAACAAATCTCTAGGCCTTAGTAGCGTTGTAAAGCTCCTTCTCCGATTCGTAACGTTTCTTGTCGGCCTCGGCTTTGGATTCGTAAGGCACTTTTTCATCGTCGTTGAGGGCCTTCCATTTCTCACCCAAGATACGTCCGACCTGGCCAAACGTCACACCTGGGTTTTCGGCACGCACTATGTCTCTGTTCTCGTTGGCGAAGAACATGTAGGCCGACAACGCTCTTTTTGGAGCATTAGGGTCCTTCTTTCTTCTGGTGGTCTTCTTTCTGGGTTCTCTTGGTGCTGACATCTGTAGAGTTTGATTCTGGTTAGCACAGATGAAATAATTCGAAAAATAATAAATCAGAGATCACTAGTGGGAGTGGATAGTAGTAGCGGTATTTGGGTGGTCAAACCTATCCAACCGTCCTGTTTAAATTTGAACAACAGTGTAAGACTCGACACAGTAGGTTTTTTCCAGCTTACGCGTGAAGCATAAACCGCGAAACGCGTGCGTGGGTTGAGAGTGTGTGTTGTTTGTTCAGGTCGCGTTTACGGCCATTGACGCGTTCCCCGGGTAACGGGTATTAAAACTCTTTTTCCTCCCCTCCTTCCCTGCCCCGAACTCTGAAAAAAAAAAATAAATAAATCATCCTTTTCGCGTCAGATAATTTTTTTTTCCTCTCTCACGCGTAGATCACGTGAATTGCACATGTACGCCTCCGTCACGTGATAGCATCGCACCCGCCCCTTTTTTCCCCGGTCACCTGACTCGCATGTTTTTCTTTTTCCTTTTTGCACACACCACCACCACCACACACACACACACCCAACACACGTACCTCTCAAGCCAAACCTGTGAAGCGATTAACAAATCATAAGCCTCGTCAATCGTTCGTCTGTTTGTGCTTTCGCCTGTCTTTTGTTCGTCCTATAACTTCTCAACTCCTTTAAGATCTCACGCTATAGTTCATTAACATACTGTAAAAAAATTCCCCGGTTGTTTTGGAGGTAACTTTGTACTGTGTAGCCTTTATTTTCCCTATAGTAGTAGTTAAGTATACAGAGGGGGCTTCTTACTATGTGTTGAGTTTTTGTATGGCGGTCCCCATAGTAAACGAAAAAAAGTTGTAGGCCGCAAATATTGGCGATAACACGGGTGTGGGTCCGGGTAACGAAGACGTAGAGGCCGGGTAATGGGAAGAAATGGTTGAAGTCATTAGGTTCAAGCCTGTTATCGTTGATTATAGAAGGTGTGACAAGTGCTCTGGAGACAAATGGTAATATGGGCTACTGGAATAAAAGCTTTCTTGCTTGTTATGTTTAGATGATGTGTATACTGTTTTGAGTCGTTAAGATTTTTTGGTTCGTATATAATGATATAGGTAACTGGCCTCGTTAAATGGTATATACAGTGGGGAGAGTAAAAGATGTCAGCCAGGGTTTATGGGGGCTGTGTGGTCAGAGAGGACACATATGCAAGCCTTTTGGAAAGAATTCCAGATGGTCACGTGGTTTGCGGTTTCCGGTTCCGTTTTTTTTTGGTTTCTTTGTTTGTGGTAACACCAAGCCAACAAGTGTATAGTAATTTATGCATGAGCAGTTCAGAACACGGCTTTTCCCTCAGTTGCCCAGCTTATTCCGATTTTCTGCCAGTCTCGACGCAAAATTCAGCACTCAAACTTTCGACGTATAGAATGATACGGTCTCGAGCATCCCCGACACACACACACACACACACACACACACACACACACACACATTCACAAATCCACAAAATATGGCTGTGTTGTCTTGCCTTTGAAGACCCTTGGGAAAAATGCTCCGGTTGCAGTTCGCTCATCAAACTGTTTTCTATTGCTTTTTGAATTGCTCGTAGTGTTTCAGATGGTCTGGTCCCACATTGCGAGCCTGCGCCAAACCGCCGACCAAACGGTTAGCAAAATGCACCTTGGCTATACAACGATCAATGCAACACATTTCGCCCTTATTTAGATCCGCCTCACCATATTCGTGCGGAATGCATTTCTTCATGCAGCTTCGCAGCATTGCGTTGAAAGATGTAGCCATGGCGTCGAACTGGACCTGTGCCATTTCCATCCGTTGCTCGTCAACTTCCTGGGAAGCATACGGGTTTATGAATAGCGACATGCTCGTCACTTCTTATTGGTGAAGATCTTCAGTGTGCGATGAGCTAGCCCAACATCGTTTCCCAGGCCTTTCCTCTTCTCTATCTCATCAGCTCCCGCACCGAAATTTTTTAATTAGCAGCGATGGATCACTACGTACGCATGTGTCATTGCCAAACACATTCCAGCATCAAACAACTCTGGCAAAAGGTAGGTGACACTAGATGTATACAAGCCGTATGATTATTTCTGGTAGCGAGCTCGAGTCAAAAAGAGAGCTATATTAATTCATGAATTTTTAAGAAAGTCCAACCTCACCAGCACTTGCTTTAATGGGCATGTTTAGGTGAAAAAGAGTCCTATCATCTAGCTTTAGACAAGATGAAGCAGCACAAACATGATAAAGTAGGCTCTTAAATGTTCAAATTGCCTTGAATTAGCTATCTTGTTTGAACATAAACTCAAAGCCCTCATCACGTGACGTGGGGCCGGTATGCTTCCTTAATTTTAATTAAGTGAAAAAAGCCAATACAGTCTAAACACCAGTGAACCTGCTTGAAGACTAGTAGTGTGAGCTCAACTGAGTATTAGGAGCATTGCCACAAAGAGTATCAGCACTCTAAGCTCTAGTTTCACTCTAGTTTCATTCCTAGCATCTGAATATGCACATCCTTGTATGTATTGCACACACCAATAGTCGCTTATTGTAGAGTTACGAAAGCGCCATATCAAATTAAAACCATTCCAGGAGTTACCTTTCCTTCAAGCACAGTTCATCCGCGGGGAAAATTCAAGAACGCCCAAGCCCAAATAGAACAATCACAACAAAATCCTGGAATTAATACACGCTCCGACCAACTCAAGCCAATACTAACAGCTTTTCCCTTCTTCAAGCTCACAAATGATGACGGTCCTCCAGACGCCAGGGCATCCCCATATCTGCGTCACTTCATTCAACATATACTGAAGACTCGTCCTGACTGGCATCTCACGATTTGCGTGCCAGACCAACAGCGATCATGGATTGGCAAGGCAATTTTCGTGGAACGTGATGTCCATGCGCGTTTTGCCTATATGAGCCGTAACGCTACTGATGACGTAATGACCGGTCCGTATCTGCAGCCCCAACGTTCTGTGCAGGGTTCTCGGCTTCCATGCGTCACGAACGAAGGCATCGCACCGGATGCTATTGAGTTTTGTCTAGTTGACGGAACGCCCGCAACGGCCACCGACGTTGGACTACACCATCTGACCACTAACAAATTCGACTTGGTTGTGTCAGGGCCTAACGTGGGACGCAACTCTTCCTCGGCCTACGTGACCTCAAGTGGAACTATTGGAGCTGCAATGGAAGCTGTCATTTCAGGCGGCGTTCGCTCGGTAGCTTTGTCGTGGGCGTACTTTGATGGTGTCAAGTATGTGGAAGATCACATTTTACAAAACGCTTCTGAGCAAAGCTGTAGAGTTATTGAGCATCTGCTTGGTAATTGGAATTCCGACACTCAGCTCTATAACGTCAACGTTCCATTATTGGAATCTCTGTCCACTAAAACGAAAGCTATTTACACGCATATTTTGGAAAACCAATGGTGCTCTGTATACAGCGAAGGTTTCGATGCAGACACTGGCCAAGTCGAAGAACAGGCTCCAGACATACAGTCTGGGAATAAGGGAATCACTTTTATTTGGCAACCAAATTTCCAAAAGCAACGCGAGGCCATATTCAAGAGTCCACCAGACAGTAAAAATGACGGCAGAACCATCGAGGCTGGGCTTATCAGCGTGACGCCGCTGCGAGCAGTATTCCATCAAGTCCAGGGCTTATTCGGAGAACTTTCTTTAGAAGAGCCAGGCATTCCCGACGCTCAAGTTAAAGACGAAAAAACTGTCAGCAGCAAAGAGGGCTTCTTGCTCCTTACACTACCTCCAAATGAGTACATATACGGTCCTCTCACTTCCTCGATTAAAAATCGGTTGCCCAATGTGCAGATAGTGGATTCGCATCCAAAAAGCGCTAAGGGCCTTAAAACCCTTCATTATGGTGATTACGAACACATCGACATGGACAAACTGGTTTCCGACGGCACCTATTTTGCTAATACTTACGTCTATCGCAAAGCCCTCATCCGCAAGCATTTCCTTGCCCACACAATACATTCTTACGTGGTGAAAAACCCGGAATCAGCGCTTTCTAAAGCATATCTCGAATCTTTCACCATAGACGTCGATTACGCTGAGTTCCTAGACGACGCATTAGATGAAAATTGGGAGCTGAGGCAAGAACTTGAGTCTGGAGAAAAATGGTGGATATTGAAACCCAGCATGAGTGACAAAGCACAAGGAATTAGAGTTTTCAAAACTATTGAAGATCTCCAGTCTGTTTTCGATTCTTTCGACGAGGAGCCCACTGATGACGAAGGTGAGGCAAATCCCAATAGCATCGTAACTTCTCAGTTACGTCACTTCATTGTACAGGAATACATGACAAATCCATTGTTGATGCCTTCCATGCAGAACAGAAAGTTTCACATACGATGCTACGTGACTTGTGTTGGGGATTTGGAAGTTTACGTGTACGATCGAATGCTAGCTTTATTTGCTGCTGAAACTTTCGAAGAACTCACCGATAATTATAACGCTACTGACTCGCAACAATTGGCCTGCCATTTAACAAACACATGCCTTCAGGATAGTGCACAAGTCAAAGAGACGACTGTGAAAGAACTGGACATGTTAAAAGAACTTTCTCCAAGCGACCGGCTCAAAATAAAGTCTCAGATACACGAGATCACTCGAGAGCTCTTCTTGGCTGCGGTGACGACAAACAGAATCAACTTTCAGCCTATTCCAAATGCCTTTGAAACTTATGGGTTAGACTTCTTGGTGGACTCTTTCCTAAATGTCAAAATTCTGGAAGTTAACGCTTATCCCGATTTCAAGCAGACAGGGACAGAATTGAAAGGCGTGATTGATGAGCTTTTTGATGAAATCACCAAAAACTGTATAGTGCCACTCTACGAAGGCACGAAAGCCGCTTACGAGACCTCCAACTTTGTCAGAGTCCTTGATCACCAATCGCATAGCTGGTGATGGCGACTGAACTTTTTATTTCCGACTATGCAAGTATCTTATTCAAAACATGCTCTGTTAATCTTTAAACTGGCTTGTCCTGTAACAGATCGTCTGCCTCTTCCGCTTCCAGCTCCTCTTCCGTCATAGTTCGGTTTGTAGTAGCGCTAATTAGACCTCTTTTCACGACATGGAGCGCGTTCGGCACAGTCACACCTTCCTCTGGAATGCCAGCGAATTCTCGACTCCACATGTTGATTCGCTCTTTTATGCGCTCGGCCTTCACAATGCAATTGCGAATTTTTTGTAAATTGCGGATAAACTCTTGGTTTCGTTGTAATGCGATTTGAGTCAATTGCCTCGCAGCTTCTACTTCTTCGCTCAAAGGCCCTTCTCTCTGAGATATAACCGATGGCAGGGAATTGTGTGGATTGAATTGAGGAAGAGCAAAAAATGGGTCACCGTCGCTAAGATCTTGCTCAGCTTTCACAGGCTCTGGCTGATCTGCAGTTGTGTAGCCTGACGTGGAGCTGTCTCGCAGACTGAGATTGTGGTCGTATTCTTCAAGCTCCAAAGTGCGCTCTGCTAGAGATCCTGGGTAATCTCCCAAAAACGCTTCCAATACGTTTGAAAATGCCACTACGTTATTTTGTTCTTTTTCTATCATCAGCACCGCCTGCAGCGCGAGACCTCGAAACACGCTACTCTGAAACGTTTTTGAGACCGCCGGATGTTTGGCAATGTCTTCGAGCGATGCAATGGGAGCTAGAATTTGTCTAACGTCAACCAATTCGTGCAGATCCACGTTGCTGCCACTGCTGCTCTCATCTTCATTGTCTTCAATGTTGTGGCGATTCCGCGCCAAAAGTTTGTGCACTGAGCCATTGTAAAATACGTGGCCTTCTTGACTTCCATCATAGTTTCGCAGCGAAGTTCGTTTGACGCCTTCAGCGTGCTGCAGTAGTTTATTTCCCCTGTTGGTGGTGGCTCCATCTGTAGATGAAAAAACAGAGCCGTCCCTGGACCGTTTTAACCGGGGGAAATTGCCACTTTTTTCTCTCAAGATGGCGCCAGTGAACAGTTTAATATGATTTTCTATTTGCTTATCATCAGCGTTGTCCATCTTAGCCGTCATTGTTGAAGCTGGTTGATTATGGAGTCTTTCTCAAGCGCATCTGGTGTAAATACGCTTCAAATGTGTGTATAGGATCTTCAAAATCCAATTTACCAAATCACGTGACCGTAACTCTCATGAAATTTGCGTTCGAAGTGACTGATCACATGCTCTCTCGGAGCTAACATACAACAGTGAAATTAGGTGTAAGGCTTTATGTTATTCAGTGCGAATTTTGAATGACTGAACCAGTGTGCTCTTACTCGAATTATTGTTTTAGCATGACAGTTGATGAGTTTTGATCTCCCCATTGAAGTGGAAAATATTAATCGTAAAAAATGCTAAAACATTCCGGCAGCATAAAAGAAAGACCTATATACGAAAGAAAGAAATGAAAACTCACTAAAGAGCACCCCCAAATCATTTAAATCGCTTCAAAGAACTGAAAATAATCATCTTTTCTCTTTGAAATTTTAGTCATTACATACGAACACAATACCTGACCCTCTAGCTCGAGAATTTTAAATGCTGCGATTACCGCCGCCTACAACAAGCCATTTCAGCTTCAATTGCTCTTTTGATTAAAGCTACTGATTTAATGTTTTGATACACGAAAACTCTGCCAGAATGAGCTTATTTTCAATGTTTTGTTTTCCTCGAGGCATTTCCTCGAGAATCTAACTACAACTAAGTATAATTCCCTTACAGTTAGAAAAACATAGCAGTAACAGCAGACACACAACAAGAAGATAAAAGCATAGCCAAATCTCGAAGCCGGGATCTGCTTTCAATTAAACAGAGCATGGGATCTCTTGCTACTTTGGCCAAGTGGTTGGGAATCGCGATCTTAATTTCAACGTACAAGTCTCTCCCTGGTGCTTATTTTGTTCGGTTTTATGCCAGGGTTATTGACAACCTGGTCTTGCCTTTGATCTTTGGCAAAAACACCAAAACAATTCAACAGCTGCAAAACGATAAATATGGCTGTTTCTCATACTCGAAATTGAGTACTTACGCATCCCTGTTTGAATGTGACTTTTATTTGCACAAGAGTAACAGCACTTATTTTGAAGAATTGGACGTGTCCAGAACGGATTTGATGACGAAAATCTTCCAAAAGCTGTTTCTCACCTCCAAACGCTATCCGTATGTCCCAGTTGCAAACGTATTTACGACTTTCATGAAGGAAATAAAACCTTTCCAGGCATATGAAGTCCGCAGCTGCATTCTCTGTTGGGACGAAAAATGGCTGTATGTCATGAGTAGGTTTTTGACCAAAAATGGCTCTCAGCTTGCAGCTCTTTCCATTACTAAATACGTTTTGAAAGACGGCAGGAAGACCATACCCCCACAAACAGCTTTGGAAATTTGCGGCCTTTACAATGAAGACGTGAGAAAAATCTCGGAGCAAAACATGCAGCTGTTGACACAGCAGTGTGGCTTTCATAAAACTAGTCCGCTAGAGGAAATGAAACACGATTACAATCAAATTTAGTTGTACATTGGTCCTGCCAGTTCCATGGTCAATCTGTCCTGAAATTGTGAATATAGATATAAAAAGTTTGCAAGCCTCTCCGAGCGCTCACAATGTGATTGAAATCTATTTTGCCGGATTCAAGTAATCCGTGTAAAAGCTCATCCAGTGTCAATCGTCCCGCACCTTCCACCTGGTAGCATTCATCTCCAAAAGCTGTTCAAAGTTTACTTTCCAAACTTTGCATGTTTAAGCTACCGGTTTCTGAAACCAGTAATACTGGAAACAGCAACACCTATCAGTCGAATATACAGCTGGTAAAAGGTCTATGGCATTCCTCTTAAGCCTTGATCTCAAGCCTGTTAGCGAATTGAGTCGTCCGTTTCGTATGACATCGACTGAGGTGTCAGCGTCAGTTAAAAAATACAGGCAAAGAGCATTAAAACCAAACACAATCACCCTCCAAGACCAGCCGAACTTCAAAGATTATTGCACAGTATTGCTATCTCTTCAAAGCGCCACCTCCGCTATGACGTCCGCTGTTGCTCTCCAGTCAAACTCAAAACTTTTGAACCGTCCTCACACTAGCTCCAAAGAACGACGGCCACAAGTTAATCCAGCAGAATGCATCATAAACTCGCTCAACAAGCCTACTTATGAACCAATAGAAGTGAGGAGCATCTATCAAAAGGGAAACTTCTCAACGCCAGGAAATTTTGAAGTACTACAAATTCTGGGAAAAGGTTCATATGGCGTCGTTGTTTCTGCGATCGACAAAAGAAACACAGACAAACCGCTTCGGCTGGCAATCAAAAAAGTTACTAATATCTTTCAGAGAGAGATTCTTCTCAAGAGGGCGATTCGTGAGCTCAAATTTCTAAACTTCTTTCGCGGTCATAAAAATATTGTAAGTTTGCTGGACCTCGAAATTGTGTCAGAAAAACCATTTGACGGCTTGTACTGCTACCAAGAGCTTGTTGATTATGATTTGGCCCGTGTTATTCATTCCACTGTGCAGTTTTCAGCCTTTCACATCAAGCATTTCCTATATCAGATCTTGTGTGGGCTGAAGTACATACATAGTGCTGATGTTATTCACAGGGATCTTAAACCCGGGAATATCCTCTGTTCCATTAGCGGCCATCTCAAAATCTGCGACTTTGGCCTTGCTAGAGGGATATCGCCGCTCTATACTGAAAATAAACTTGGTGATCTCCATATTACCAACTACGTGGCGACTCGGTGGTATAGAGCACCTGAATTGATACTGTCACACAAAAGGTATACTAAAGCCATTGACGTGTGGGCAGTCGGTTGTATTCTGGCAGAATTTTATGGCAGAAAGCCATTGTTTATGGGACAGGATTCATTGCACCAGATATACGAAGTTTTAAAGGTCTTGGGAACACCAAAAAGAGACATTATTTCCAAATATGGGTCTGCACGCTCATTTGAAGTATTTTCGTCTCATGCCAATGTCATCAAAACAGATTGGGAGTCTTTGTACCCGGGATCTTGCGCGGACGCACGCAATCTTATGGAGCTCCTGATTACGTGGGACCCTGAGAGCCGTTTGAGCGTCGAGCAAATTTTAGAGCACCCATTCGTTGCAGATGTAAGAGATCCTGGCGATGAGCCAGTCTGTTCTCACGGTCCATTTGACTATTCTTATGAAAACAGCTTTACATCCATGCAAATGCTGAGAGATACAATTTACGAAGAAGTTCGTCAATTCAAAGAATCAACATCATCGCACGGCTGCGCATATGTTGGATGTACTTTCTAACCTGTATTCGCCTCCTGGCAGTAGGTATGACATATGTAAGAGACTTTTGAAAGAACAATAGCCTTGCTGTGATACAGAAAACTTGATGTATTGGAAGAAAATACGGGCCGAGAGGCAACCTGTGCAATTGACCACAATCAGCAACTGAAGATCAGCAGAATCTGAGATAATTGGAGCTGCCGGTAAGCATCTAGAATCCTGAGTGGATCTTACCTCCTGGTGTCAGTTCAAGAAATGGTGACACGAGATACAATTTAAAGTAATTAGTACTCAAGAATCAAGTAACAGGCTAAAGGTTTACATCTTTGCGAGGTAAAAGCTAAACTGAGGAGGGGTTGACCTTGCTGAGGTTGAACTCGCACTATAAATATGGGTTCTCAGCTTTCCTTGATTGCACACACTGCTCCTTCCATCGCAATCTCATCCTATATTGATATCCTGGACGAAGTTCACTATCTGTCACAATTGAACTCATCGCGGTTCCTGAAGACATGCAAAGCACTGGATCCGAACGGTGAAATTCTTATCAAGGTATTCATCAAGCCCACTGATGACTACAGTATCGCAGAAACACAAAGAATGCTACTGAAAGAGTCACGAATGCTAGCTGCACTGCCGAATGTCTTAAATTACAGTAAAATTGTGGAGTCAGACCGGGCGGGCTATCTGGTTAGACTGCATTTGAAATCAAGCGTCTATGACAGATTGAGCACTAGACCTTTTTTAGAAACCATTGAGCTCAAATTCATTGTTTTTCAACTCTTGCGGGCATTGGACGATATACACTCGCTTGGAATTTGTCACGGCGACTTGAAACTCGAGAATCTGCTTCTGACCAGCTGGAACTGGTTAGTGTTGACAGATTTTTCGGGAGCAATAAAACCAACCTATCTATTGGAGGACAATCCCGGAGACTATTCTTTCTACTTCGACACATCACAACGACGGAGCTGTTACATAGCTCCTGAAAGATTTGACTCCTCGAAATATCAAAAATTCAACAACTCGAACTCGAAGCTTACACAGGAAATGGATGTTTTCAGCGCCGGATGTTGCATAGCAGAAATTTTCTCGGAGGGAAATTGTATGTTTAACTTATCGCAGTTGTTCAGGTATCAGAATGGCGAATATAACCCAGAAGACTTCTTGAATACACATTCAGACAACCCGGTACTTAAGGAGATGATCTTGACAATGATAGCCCTGGATCCCCATAAAAGAAGCACAGTGAAAGATATTCTCCAGAAATATAGAGGCATCTTCTTCCCCGAGCATTTTTATCATTTTTATTATGGATATTTCAACGAACTAGCCACTATAGATGGTGGACTTCCACTGGTGGGAAACACTCACGGCGCATTGCAACTCCCTAACCTTTCCTTTAATATGGATAAAGTTGTGCGAAAAATCTACAAAGACCTCCCGCGAATATGTTCCTCGCTGGAGTACCCTTTAAAGAAAGAAACTATTGGTTTGGCAAGAGGAGGACACAAACTGCTAAATCAATTAACGTTGCCCGGTCTAGGTACCATTATTCTTCAAGAACCTACGTCAAAAATCTCGTCCATCGCAGATGAGTCCGCACTGCTACTTCTGTCACTTCTGTTACACGCGATAAGAGCGGTTAAGGAGGCTTCAGTCAAAAAAATGTGCTTGGAGCTTATAACGGTTCTTTCTCAGTATGTTTCGGACAGCAACAAGCTCGATAGAGTACTTCCTTTTGTTGTTTCCATGCTATTTGATGAATTTTCAAGCGTCCAAGCGCTTGCGGTTCATGTCTTATCACAACTTCTGGGCATGACGAAAACTGTCAATCGAATAAATGACGTTCTTTTCACGGATTATCTTCTGCCTCGCATCAAAAAGCTTACCCAAGTGGCAAAATACAATGACTACGTGAGGGTTTGTCTAGCAGAAGAGCTTGGAGAAATTGCAACATCAGCTACCAGGTTCAATGATATGGCTTTGAGTGCTAAAAACGAGTACGGAAAGATTTCAGAAGATGTCAACTTCAAGAAAAAACAAAAGCGTAAGCTAGTGCACGGTTTTGAGCAGATAACAGTGACGCTATTAACAGACAGCAACTCAAGCGTAAAGATTGCCCTTCTTTCCAACATATTGCCCTTGTGCAGTCTTTTTGGTAGGGAAAAAACCAATGACGTGGTGTTAAGTCATTTAATCACATATCTGAATGACAAGAATGCCTCACTTCGCATTCAACTTGTGAAATCGCTTACTGGAATTGCTGTACTACTAGGACCATTGACTCTAGAACAATATATCCTACCTTTGCTGGTACAGACCGTCACGGACTCCGAGGAACTAGTTGTTGTTATGGTGCTGAAAAGTTTAAAAACTTTCTTCAGCATTGGCTTGGTTCAAAAGAGATACTTTTTTGACGTGGCAAAAATCATATCTTCGCTTCTCCTGCATCCAAACACCTGGATTAGACAATTCACCTTAAGCCTAATAGTGGAGTTATCGAGGAGACTTTCAACAGCAGAGGTTTACTGCTTATTGTATCCTATCATCAAGCCCTATTTTGAGTTTGATGTCCAGCTCACTTGGGACTCTATGTTATCAAGCTGTAAAAAGCCGCTGTCGAGAACAGTTTACAACATACTTTGCACATGGTCACTGCGGTCGGCTAACAGCCTCTTCTGGAAACAGATCCCCAGCAAGCACCGTGATTTATTTGGGAATAACAGTGTGGTCTTCATCAACAAGGACTACGTAACTAAAAATTATGGACTGGCAAGCGGCTACAAAATTGCCAAAACCCCTATCAAGCTCGCTGACAACAAGGAGCTTCTTGTGACGAACGAAGACAAAGGCTGGCTTGAAAAGATCATGACAGTGGGACTTAAAGAAACAGACTTATGGAAAATTGCGGCAATGAGATCTTACGCTTTCAATGTTGCAAGGATGCTGGCCAGGAAACCGGAGACAAACATCCCTTACCACCCTATTATTGGAAACGACTTAGCTTCAAAGAAAGGTCTGAGTGTGTACACTCCACCCAAAAATGTCATTTTTGATGTTATGTTTTTAAACAATGCCGCACAGCTTAATGAAAGTCAGCATATGATCGTCAAGCACCGAGAAGGAGCCTCTCGGCCGTTGACGACAGCCTTTCATCGACTGGCCCTAAACAAATCGATTGATTTGACTAAATCCATACAATTAACAAAAGCAGCACCGACTTTGACATCAAATCTTGACAACGTCTATGTTCAACTTGAGGCTTCGAAACTTAAGCCCCAGAACACCCAGAAGTCCAATTCCACGGATAGCGAGGTTGTGCCATCAATTTTTGTGGTCAAAAACAGCTATGAGGGAATTGACGAAAACATAAAGAGCTTTTTGCGCAGTATCGACGTCGCGCCCGCGTTCAAGCATTTTCCTGAGTTTGGTCACCTTTCGAGTGCAAGAAACAGCTTGGCAACGGGAAACACCAATAATCCATTTACTAATTTGAACTTTCAGTTCCAAATTGCAGAGACCCGGTCGTCGGCTATCACTGTAATTTCTGCTGGAATTCATGATCCATATTTTTTGAGTGGTTCCGAAGATGGGACGGTCAAATTGTGGAATATACATAAGATTTTGGCAGGAGAAGTATTTGGGTCATCAGTATGTTATGAAGTGGGTTCGGCAATCATGGACATCAAACCTTTTCCTGAATTTGATCTCCATGCAGTTGCTTGTAAGGACGGTAGCATTTTTTTGCTCAAGGTCAACGTACATGAGGTAAAGGGCATCAGAGTTTTTAATCGCCTGCAAGTTGTCCGAAAATACAAAGTTAAGAGCTCTACCGAACTTATTACCAAGCTAGCAGTAATTCCGAGCGATGACAGACCTCTCCTGATTGCACTGACAAACAATTCGGAAATTATTTTACTTGACCCGCGTTTTATGTCTGAGATAAGACGACTGAAAAATGATCCTTTGCATGGTGCTGTTTTGAGTCTTGCGGTAGGACATGATAAGTCTTCGATTATCTTAGGGACTTTGCGGGGTGTTATAAACATATGGGATCTTAGATTCGGTACATTGATACAAAGCTGGACTTTTTCGGATGGTTCGCCAATCACACAGATTTCCCTTCTTCCTACATTAACCAAGCGCGAGGAGCCAAGTGTGTTAATTGTTGGTGGCTCGACGAAAAGCATGTTCACCGTTTGGGATTATGTGAAACGGCGATGTCGATTGATTGTGACGAATGACGATACTGTTCCATCAATTGATGAATTCTTAGCGACTGAAGTCACCATGGAGAGGTTGAAAAGGCATTTAGATGAAACTCCTTGTAATCGAGTCAGCTCAATCGTGCTCGAGGGGCACAATATTCTGGTTTCGGAAGCATGCTCCAATAGTATTCTCTGTTATGATCTCAGGGCGAAAACGATGGCTCCCTTGACTTCGAGTGCTGTTGGGGATGTTTTCAAATACGAGTCATTGCAGCTCACTGCCAACACGACAGTCCTTCTGAGACAAAGACAGGTTATTGATGAGCTAAATCGTAAGGACGATATTCATTTGCACAATGATACCATAAACTCTATCGCCATAGTATGGAACAGGACACAACGCTATTGCATATCTGGTGATTGCTCTGGAATCATCAACATATACAAATGACGTGACATTCTCTCGAGTAGCACTATTATTATCGTGGTTAGCATTTTCTGAAATACTGATTGTTACAAGAACCACTAATTTTTGGAGCTTTAAGGAAAAGAAGCTTCAAAAACTCACAAGACTTCGAATGATATCAATCGTACAAGGACTCATGGTCTTCTAAAAGAACCACAATGGGCGTTATATTTGGCTTTCACGATTTTCTTTCCATCTCGATGTCTCTTGATACAAGTTGCTGAACTTTCAACTCATTGTCAAAGCCAAGGGAAGATCGGAGACCTTGAGTCAGTAAAGCGGATGATCTAGCGGCATCATCGCTGCTTCTGAATCTCTTTCAAGGTTCGGTCGCTTAGGCGATGAGCCGTCATGTCTCGTCACATGATTATATAGACTGCCAAAGTTACCGGTTCTAATTCCATGTTACCTTGTAAATCATCAATTCAGCGCACGATTCATCGCAGTTGACAACAATTGACCACAATCTATCTCGTCTTGAGGATTGTTTAGCACTGCACCGCCTGCTCAATGAACTCATTGAATGTTCCCACTCAGCGAAAGCGGGCTTTGTCCGTCAACAATGCAACGAACCGAGAGAAACAGGCGATGAACGATGCGTTGGACAACCTAGAAAGCGATTTAGTTCTGATCTCATCTACATGGAATCGAATAATCACACCAGAAACCAATCCTTTGGAGTTGGCTTTGGCCTTTCTTGATGACACGTCTGTGGGTCTTGGACATCGTCATGAGGAGTTTAAGCGTTTGAGCTCTCAACTTGGCAATGATCTGCAGCAAGCCGTGAACGAGCATTATCAAGCATTCAATGCAAACATTGCATCTTATGAACAAACTGTGGAGCTTATCAGTGAGTCCCAGAAACTCGTGGGAGCTACGAAGGACAACGTCGTGGATTCTATTGCAAACTTTGGTGATACGGAAACTCAGCTCGAAGAACTGAATGAAAGCTCACAAAGGCTCAACAAAATGCTCGAGGTTCTGGACGCCGTAGAACAAATCATAACGATCCCGGACTCCGTGGACGAGCTTATAAAACAAAAATCTTACCTCCAGGCTAAAGATACATTGGTACGTGCGTTCTCTATGGCCTCTCAATACGACATATGGAAGATTCCGGCACTACAAACAACGAAACAATTGTTAGAATCTCAAAAGCATACGCTCTTCGAGACCTTGATCGAGGACATAAACGATCTTGTGTATTCCAAGAGACTGAGTTTGAGTCCACGCTACGAAGTGAAACCTCCCCAGCTAAAGGACGGTGTATATGATAACATGGAGACCTTTTTGGTTAATAGCATCGATCTGGATATTGAGGAGCAATCCATGGCACTCAGTGCAGAGTTCAATAGTTTCTTGGATAATTTGAAGGGCGCTTCGTCTAAGTCACAGAGCGAACTGAAGGGATTCAGTTCTCAGGGAAGTGCTCATGAAAGGCTCCATGCAATTCTGATTCTGCTCAACGATATGGACGAGCTACACCCTGCTCTGCTCAGTATCTCTGGGCGAGCCAAGGAAGAGATTCACAATATTATAAGTCAAGCTACCGATACAGTGAGGTTGAAACATCCTTCACTCATCAAATTTTCGGCATCTCTGGAAGATGAGGGCGATTTTGGGTTTCCCGGCCAGGAGGTCGTGTCTCTTTTCCTGCAGAATGTGTTTTGGGAGATTTTTTCGAAGCTTTTGTCCGCAATTCAAGGCCACAGGGTGATCTACGAAGTATCCAGGGCTTTACAGCCTTCATCGGTAGTAGTAGAGCACTATCGTCTGAAGGAAATATGGAACAAGGCCCTTGACGAAGTTCATCAACTTCTAGTGAGCTATACAATGGACCCTAAGATTCAGGGTCTTCCCATGAACAAATTATCCAAAAGTCAATCTACCCATCAACAAAATGGTTTGAAGAAACCGCTACTATATTCTATTCAGAATAATTTGGACGATAAATCCTCCACAAGAAACCATGCCAATGACCTGAGAGATCTACTAAAAGAAATGTTCCCTGGATTTTCGGCAGCAAGCAGTTTGGAACTCAAGTCCATTTACCTCGAAGAAGAAGCTTTCGAGCTCGACGAAACGCTGGTGCCCGCCAGGGTCTTCAATATGGCTTTCATCTTGGAGTCTCTTCTACTCTTCCTGGAAGGTAGCTCGATTGCCATTCCTTTGAATCTTATGAGCAGTACTGAAGCTCCAATATCCTTCTTTTCGCGCTTTATGAATAATGAATACCTCCCTCAACTAGACTTGACACTGACCTATCTTTTCAAAAAAAAAGTGGAAGCATTGAATCCTTATGCTCTTGAAAACCAAGCCGAGGGGCAACCCGTCTTCAAAGCGGCAGTAGTTTTCAAAGATTTGTTTCATCAAGTCCTACGCTTGCTGAATACATCTTACGGATATAACGCAAAAGTCGTTAATGTTGTGCTGAAATTGTTAGACCGCTTCTGCTCCTACTATCAGCGACTATTAGTCAAGCTGCTTGGAGGCTCTGCAAACCCAATGCTTGACAAGAAAATCAATAGTGTTTGGGCTGAAAACACAAGATTGAAAGATCTCACAAACCAGATTTTCAAGGGAGAATTGACTTATGCTCGAGAAGAAAGTGCTGAACTTCTGCGGGCGTGCCCTGAATTTTACAGAGACGGTAAGAACTTGAAGAAACAAGACCTGTTCAATAGTATCACGGTAGATACCATGGCATCGTTTTTAAGTACAGTTGGTGACATCACCGAATGGCTTCTTCAGCTGAGAAAATTATCGAAAGCTGCCGAGGCTGATGAGAACGAAATTGAACCGGGCACAAATGCGCTGAGAAGCGAATGGTCGCTTTTCGGAATATCATTTGCCGAAAACGCTGTCAACTACAGAGGAGTGAAGCTTCTTTTGAACGACCATGCTGCTGAGAGGTTCGACAACGCTTATGATAAGCTGAAATCAATCGAATGCAGACTGTGGTCTTCCCTAAGATACGACGCGAGGGCACGGTGTATCTACTACGTCACAAAGTTTCTGCGCGAGTCTTCCTGGTGTCCAGCAACTGCAGGAGTTGACCTTGACGCCAGTATTTCAGCACTCACCGCTGAACTCACGACCATGGAAAGCCGGCTTCGCGAATTGATCACTCCGAGACAAAAGGAACTCATTTTCGAAGGAATCTATGAGACATTGAATGATGTTTTAATCATAGGAGCGCGTGGACTGGTGGCATTGAATCACAACGGCGTAAAGAAGATGTCTAAAAACATCAACATATTGCAGCACGCTTGTCGAAGCATTTTTTCTTCCCCAGAAAATGTCAGTATGGCCCCAGCTCTCGAATATTACGCTCTGTGTGCTTCCTCTGAGTCAATTGTAATACAGCGGGCTAATTCTGGAGACCTCAAGCAGTTTTCGCTCGAAGACATCAAGAATATTCTACGGCTACAATTGAGTGAGGAATTGCAACGTCAAACAAAGCGTCAATCGGGCATGACAAGAGCACCTTCAATGTCAGCAAACAAACGTCTCTCAGATGCTTTCAGTCGGTTGCAATTGGCCAAAAGACACGAATGAAGTGGCGTGGATGGGCTGTGCTTGAAGCGGGCAACATTTTGACTTCAACGTAGGTCATGATGTACTATTAAATTGAACAAGATGTCGACGCCGATCAGTTCCTGTTCAACATCAAACAAGAAAGTTTAAGCTTTCAGCAAGAGAAATAGAGCATTAAAGATATCTCTTTGAGTTGAATTAGGCATTGCAATGAGCAGGCTATGATTGCAGGTGATTCCTCCCTCGAGATCATAGGATCAAGATATCCTAATGGTAAAAACAGCAAAAAGCCTGAAATTGATGTGATAGAGCTTACATCAGGATTAGACGAGTCTTCGGCCATCGAATGCGTGGCAAACACTCAAGAATATCCTTCTTCACCTAAATTACAAAGATCTAGCCCATTCAGGGCCATTTCGAATCGCAGGAGTGTTCATGATGATTCAGCAGAATTATCGTGTGCTTTTCTGAACGACACAAGCCTTGGCACAGATTCAGGAACAGAGAAAGACGCTGGTGGAATGAATGGCCGTGCTGTTATCGGGAATTATCCCCCCAGCTTGTTGGGTGCTTCGAGCCCCGTGAGAGCACAACTGCCTACTAAGTGCAAAAACGCATTAGAACAAGTTCTCAGTGAAGACCAATCGTCCTTCACTGACGGCCATGAAGGTGCTAGTAGCTCGTTACAAGGCAGTCCAAGTGGATTAACTTTTGGTGCATTGGGTGCGAAATGGTCTCAGAAACAGGACTCTCAGTGCCTTGAACGCCAAACTTTCCATAAAAGGGCCACAGAGGAAAGAGTCTCTGAACTGATGGAAAACCACATGAACACAGTGGCCACGGGAAAGGCATTGTTTGTTCAGTCATCACCAAGCATACTAAATGAATTTGGCGCAACAAGGGAAACGCAGACAGAGCATGCGGATCGCCATATTCAGTCACAGAACGGAGATAGCATTGAAGCAGATGCTATAATAGAATCGACATCTCCGTGCAAAAGTTCCATGGGCTCGCCAAGAAGATCAGGTTTGTATATCTCGAAAAGGAGACGATTAGACACCAGGGACGAGCAACCGAATTCTGACGACGAAGATAGCTCGCATGCGGGATTCAGCACCTTTATCATCAATAGCAGGTTTTATTCGGATGTGGAGTCTCAGCGTGAAATCTCAAAGATTCAAACAACAGCCGCAGGTAAAAAAATGTTCAACGCCGCTAACAAACTCATCAAAGATACCAATACCTTGAAAAATGAGATGATTTTAGACATCGATGAGTCTCTCTACCAAGAATTTGTCGCGGACGGTGTTGATTTGAAGAATGAGGTGCATCCAGCACAAATTATTCATCTGCATGAAGTGAAATCACTGATAAAGCTCCGAAGACGCTGCAGTTCAATATACGACCTGAATCATGGATTGTTCTATCCGAGGGCCGAGAAAGTGGTTAGTGAAACTGTCTCCATTTTATTTTACAATGCGTTAGAGTTTTTCCACCTTTACTGTTCTGAGAAATCCAAGTTGCTAGAATTCATCAAGGAATCAAAGACTTCCTATCCTATCGTTATTATAACTCTTGTCGGCAGAGATGACCTTATAAAGGGAATTCAAAACATGGAGAATAGACGGTTCAGACAGCAGGTAGAGGAGGAACTGCATGGCTCGAGAAAAAACCGAAATCGTTCGAAATCTAAGAAACAAGAAATGTTGGAAGAGCTAGGGATCACTATACAAGATGTCGACCAATACATTGACGATATTGCAGTAAAATACGGTGTTCAATTTTTTACCATAGAATCTAAGCAGGAATTCATTCCTTGGCTGAATAGTCTGGTTGCTGTTGTGGGTAAAAAGCGTTACGATCCCGTGGTGAGACATCAAGAGTGGTCTCATATTACCATGCGATCGGCACAAGACCCGCGAGACTCGCTTGGAAAAACACTGGAACAGCTAGATCAAATGACTGCGTTGAAAGCTCAAAGGGTAATTTCAGTCTATCAAAACTTCCAGCATTTGTTCAAAGATGTTGAAAAAGGTTATTTAACAAGCGGAGATGATGGAAACCCACTAATGTCGAGTGCATCAGAAAAAGCCATGGTAACTTTATTAACCTCCGATAATCCTGACGACCTAGTTTATATGTCCTGAGGAAAAACCTCGGAAAATCATAGAAATTAACATGTACGATTAGCGTGTCCGGAATTATTCCACGTTGAATTTCAATACTTGCTCACGGCAAGCTTAACTGTCTTGTAGTCATCTTCGTTGAGACGATCTTCTACACTTGATATGTCCTGCAAACCAGACTTGAGCGTGCTGACCTCGGAATCGTCAAACTTTTCGCCCGCATTTATCAAGTGTGAGAGAAAGTTCAAAACCTTGTCAATGATGTATATGTTGCTGTCAGAGTGTAGAAATTTCAGCGAGGTCTGCAAAATACGTTCATTTCTCAAAGTTTTCATGAAATCGGAATCGACTGTTGTGCTGGTCATCACGGCAGTAATCAAAGAGAGAACTCGTAATTTCAGTTTGTCTGTTGCATTTGAGTCATTTAATACCGGAGCTATCACGTCTAATCCATGAAGTTCCTTAAATTTGGCGTAAGAGTCTTTGTTGTGCTTCAGTAGGTTTGAAAGAGCGTAAAATGCCTTCGTTCTTACGTCTGCTTTCTCGTCTGTGTTTTTGGCGATCTGTATTAGCTGAGGCAACCCATGTTCGTATTTTAGGAAGTTCTCCTGCGAGTTAACATTGTTTTGGACCGCAGTACCAATGACAGAAAGCGCAAAAGCTCTTAGTTCCGGTTCTGGTGATTGTAAGACTCCAATCAAAGGTTCCCAAAGTCTTAAGTTCTCGATATTATTGGCATTATCCAAGTTTTCGATAAGCATCTCAAAATTATCGAATGCAATCAATTTCGCTTCTAATTCAGCCTCTGGGTTGGTAATCACTACAATAGCCTGTCTCATCAAAGCGGGCTCGTCACGTCCACCTCCAAACAATTGTTGCAGCAATTTGGGATCTGGCTGTCCAACTTTTTCCGCCGCTTCTTTGTCTCCCTGGGAGTTTGCAACCGACCAATGTAGTAGCTTTTCCATGCTCTAGGTATAATAATAAAGCAGCTAGTGTTCACGGCTAAGAATCAGAACCTTTTGGTGTTGGAAAGCGGTGTTGTTGAGATGCGATGAGCATGGATGGAAAGTTGTATAGATTAATGTATATAATTGAGCATCTTCTACGAGAAGTGTTTCTAACAACAAGAAGTGGGTTTAAGGATTCTGTACAAACGCATTGGCGATGTCGAAGATCAGCCTCTCGGTCTTGAATTGTCTTTTCTATATCTTTATAATCCGTTTGAGTTTTTATCGAACTTTTAATCATGTCTTACAAGTTTCTTCTTGAAGCGTATAAGTTGGTCTTTTATGGAAAATCGTAGAACCCAAGGTTGCGACAGAGACATTAGGAGATTAGCCAAAATCAGTTCTCATAGAAGAGCTATTGGTAGCGCAGCTTTGGGGTCCGTTCATATGTCCTTTTCTTCATACTTTTGTCTACTCCATGACGGATTAGTACAAAGTGACAAGAACAATGCGTTCAATGACAGGGCATCTTAATCGTTCTCCATTCCAAGCTATTCAATGCGCTCCGCATTCTTGCGAATAAAATCGTCAAGTTTGTAAACGAAGTCCATACCCACGGATTTCAGTTCGTCTATCTGCCTTCTTGAAGATTTGATCGAAGAAGGTGGAATTGCTTCAATGCTCATAAAATGTTTGTTGATCAGGACAAAGTGCTGATCCACTTCGTTGCTGCACCAGCTAACCAACGTCGATGAAAAACTGTCACTTTTGCTTTCGAAAAGCTCTTTGACACTAGCAATTACTGTCTTTAGGGTTTGGAATCGAATAACAGCGATTTGAGTGAGGTAATGCGTGGGACTCTGAAAAGTTCCAACCTTCAACACTAACTCGTTGATGTACTTCGTTCTGTTCTGTAGAAAGAGATCCAGAGCGTCGTATTTGTAGTCCAAGGCTATTAGATTGCGAACGTAATCAAGCAAATTGGAATAGTTTGAGATCTCGGTGGATATTAACTGTGTCAATTTCCCTGCCAAGAGGTCCTTGCGACTTACCACTTTCAAACGGATTAGATTCAATAGTATTCGATTTTCTTGACCGCCGTCTTTATCGAGGGACGCCAGGGATTGCTCCAGTTTCCGTAAATGTTGAATAGCAGCCTTGAAATTACGCCTAGCGAAAACAATGTCGAAATTATCCACTACGTCGTCCAAATGCCCAAGAACCCCTGCATTGCGTTTTCCTCCTACCGCCTGCGAAGGATACTTCAAGGAAGAGCTTAAAGCATGTAACGCAAACGAGTCGTTTGCGTCGTTTTGAGGCCCTGACGCTGCATTTCCCAAACTGGTGTTTCGGGCGTGGCCCTTCGTAGGACTGAGCGTCAAATCTCTTCCTGGAGTGCTCTGTGTGGCCTGTAAATATGTGAATGAGTCTCTGATCTTACGCGTGTTTTCTTCTTCTGCCTGGGAAATGACATTTAAATCATCCTTGGCACCGCGCACAGCAGACACAATGCGCTCGTATTCTCGACTCTTCTGCGTTTGTATCAGACATTGTCGGCGACTTGCAAAATCTAGCGAAATTCTGTTTTTAGTTTGAGGATTGATGGTTGTATCTTTCAGAGTATGACAATAGCATACTATTAGCTCGTGCTGTTTGTTCTCCTGATTTTTGGTCGCTATCATTATCATGTCGTTCAGTAGAAAGAGATGGATCACTTTCAAGGGCTTCAGCGTGGCAGCGTTTATTTCGTACCAATCACTCGACTCTAAAATAATGTGTCGTCCCGGAAGAGGAGCTATGAACTTTTGGGCTCCTTCGACTGCCCTGAACAAAGTCGAGAGCTCACTCTTCCACATTTTCTCAAGCATAAAAACACTCGTTCGATCCCGCCGCCTTGAGGCGTTCGCTGGAGGAAGTAGTGAGTGTTGTTGTTGTGATTGTGATTCGACGTTTGCAGTTTGGGGCGGATCTCGTTCTAGCTGCAACCGTTTTTCTGCCATGGTGACCAATTCTTCCATCACCTCCTGAAGCTCTACAACATTTGTTCTCAACTGTCTAAGTTCTGTAGAAGCACTGCTGAGGTCCCGATTGACTTGCAAAACCTGAGTGTATGACTTTGAGATGTTTTCTTTGATCTCATCTGTGACCTCTAACGCCAAATCATTCAGCTCCGAAGTGAATTGATCAATTTCAAGTGCTCCAGCGTTTCCCAATGTGCTGGACACGTATTCCTTGGCTTCAAAAGCGCGATCACTCAAAATTTGACGTAGGGGAGCTCTGTGAGACTGTTTCTGTCCAACTCTATGGGGTCCAACACTCGAAGTGGATCTATTCTGTCTAGAAGTGGCCTTAAGGTCGTTGATACGCATGTGGGATGATTGCTGCTCTGCATCTAGACTATACGGCAAAGGCTCTGCTGAATAGTCTGCCGGAGCACCACCATATTTTGGAGCGTGGAAAGAAAGTCTTCTCTGCATCAAGGTTCCCACTTTGTCACGCTCCTTTGAGTCTATCGTTGGAAGCTGGGCATAGTTAGTGGCGTCCTTGAAGTTCTGATAAGGATTTGTCTTTACCGTTGTATTGCTAGCATTCACACTTGAACCGTTCGTTCTAGTTGGCGAAGAACGTTGCTTCCAATTCGTTCTAGCTTTTCTCAATGACAGCTCCACCATTGCAGCTCAATTGATGATTTTGAGTGAAGGTTTTGTAGATATTTGACTTGTTGATGTGTTCTTGATTCTTAGAGTAAAGTTGATGAACTCAAAGGAATTGACAATATTCAAGTTCATCATTGTTATTCAAACATCGAAAAACAATCAATCATCGCAGTTTTCTATAAAAAGGACAGCTTTAAAGGTGTCTGCTAGGTCACTACAAAAACGACAGAGGACGGGGCCTTTCCAGTCCGACTTTCCTGAAACTGAACGGACTCCTTTACGTTATTTTATGGGACGATGAGCATCAATAGCGAAGAGGTAAACTACCTGATTTGGAGATACTTCCAAGAATGTGGGAAAGAGGTATCAGCATTGGCTTTACAGGAAGAGACGCGGGTTCTCGATTTTGATAGCCAATTTGGTCGTCATATACCGATTGGCGCATTGGTAGATCTCATACAGAAGGGCCTTTTGTATACAGAATCGGAACTTCTAGTGCGTTACGATAAAGAAAAAACACCAGTGGACGGCGATGGCGATCAGGTTTTGGCTCGAGACTTCAACCTGGTGCATGCACTCGAAATAAACAAAGACCGGGTACCGTTAATCCGTGGGGAACACAGGTTTGAGTTGGCAAATGACGAAGCCAATCTGGCTACATCAGAGAGAGGACAGACAGGCCCAGCAGAAAATTTACAAAGTCGGGAAACTGCAACTTTGGGGGCATCGAATTTTATAAAAACCTTGCATGAAAGTTTTAGAATACCTCAAAGTGCGGTTTGTCGATGGAATCCGTCAAACAGTCTGATATTGGCACATGGGGGTTCTGGTTCAGCAGCAACTGTAACCACTTTTGAGACCTCGGAGCCAGGGAGTTTGTCAAAAATACAAGAGGTCAAGTGTGAGCATTCGCCAGCCATCGAAAACGACGAAAACGAAAAGAAAAACGGCGTATCTTGTATTGAATGGTCGCCCACTGGTCATAGCTTGGCGGTTGGTGCAGAGTCTGGTGACGTACGACTATGGACAGTAGACGGGAAACTGCAAAACGTTTTCGAATTCCACAAAAGTTGTATCACGACCATCAAATGGAACCAGGACTCTCTGCATTTTCTTACCTGTGACGTGGATAACGTTGCCATTATCTGGAATTCAGTGACCGGCTCGGCTTTGCAGCAGTTTTCTCCCAAAGATTCGGGTCTTTCTGAGACGCTTGGGATCGATGCTGCTTGGGTTGGTACGGACAAATTTGTGATACCTGGAATGCAGGGCAACATACTACTATGCGAAATGGGCGAAAGCCGTCCTCTGGGCCAACTCAGTGGACACACCAAGGCTTTGACAGCATTTGACTACAATCCGACCACGAAACTGCTTGTTTCGGCCTCAGATGACAAAACCCTACGGGTATGGCGAAGCGGTAATACAAACTCTTCGAATTGTTTCATGGGCAACTCGCAAAGCGTGACCAGTGCAGCGTGGCTTGACGATGATATTGTCATATCAACTTCGATGGATGGATCGGTACAGGTCTGGTCGCGCATTTCCAATTCGGTACTTGCGCTATCGATGGTCGATGGGGTGCCAATATTCTGCGGAGCACTGTCCCCTGACAAGCAGAAATTCGCAGTGGGAAAGATGGACGGCGAGATCAACTTGTATGATATCGGAAAGCTGGGCTCTACCTTGAAAGATGTCCAAGACAACAGCCAAGTGCCATCCATCCCAATCTATGGTGATTACCAGTCGAACAGCGAAGGCAATTGTATCACAGACCTGGCTTGGGATTCAACAAGCACCTACCTAACTATTTGCTACTCTGCTAGTGAAACCTCGGTAGTGTACATTGGTTAGGCCACACTGCAACCGCACAGGCTAAAGAGTCAAAGCATGCGAATGTCAATCTTAAGAAACGAATTCCAAGTTTTAATCCCAAAAGAGATAAAGGACGGAGCGCACGGCAAAACCAAAGATTCCCGACTATAAATGGGATACATTGAGAGTCTTCAAGAAGAAGGAATCTTGAAATTTCGAGACACGAATATCTCAAACTTTCATTCTTTATACTAGTGATGACCGAACTATGACCGGGAAAGAAAAAAGCCAATGTGCAAAGCTTAGACCGCATATCAAATCTAACCTGTTAACAGTTCTGATGATATCAAGGATACCCTGGGGCATAGGTCCCAATGAGGTCTGTGGAGCTTCATCGATAGCTGTTGAACAACGTATTCTATGATCTGAGATGAATATTCAAGAAAGCATCAATGTACTCTGGACTTGAAGACATTCAACCAACATAGACCCACACAGCATCTTGTGTCCAGTTGGTGATGGATGCTATTTCGGATCCAGCTTTCCAAAGCACCAAGTCACTGAAAACTGCGGTTGAAGAGCTGCCGTCTCTTTTAACAGTTATTGTCGATACAACACCTAAGCTTTGGGCAGAGCTAGACAAAGAAAGTGGACAGAAAAAGAATCTGATACATGCATTGCAATCGCTGATTGTGTTTTTAAACGCACATCTAACGTTTAACAGTGCCAACCAGGTCTGTGTGATTGCTGCGCATTCCAAAGGCATCCAATATTTGTATCCCACTACTTCGATTTCTTCAGAGAAGAGTAGCTCGAACAAGATCAATAACGATTTGAAGATCATCAGCAATGACATGTATCGTCAGTTCCGAAATGTTGACGAGACCGTCTTGGAGGAACTGTACAAGCTCATGTTGGAGGAAAAAAACGCCGAAGATCCCACCCGACCGCAGAAAAGTACACTTTCGGGAGCCATGTCAGCGGGGTTCACTTATATCAACCGAACTATCAAGGAACAGGAAAACACGTCTTTAAAAGCGAGACTTGTTGTGTTGACTTGCGGCTCCAGTGGTGGGAAAGATGAGATTTTTCAATACATTCCCATTATGAACTGCATCTTCACTGCGACCAAGATCAAATGCCCCATCGACGTGGTCAAGATCGGTGGCTCTCAAGAATCCACATTTCTACAACAGGCTACCGATGCCACCAATGGCGTATATCTACATGTGCCATCTACAGAAGGACTGATACAATATCTCTCCACTGCTATGTTCATTGACCCGTCATTGAGACCCATTATAGTGAAGCCCAACCAGGGATCTGTCGACTTTAGGACCTCGTGCTACCTTACAGGTAAAGTAGTAGCCGTAGGATTTGTGTGCAGTGTTTGTTTGTGTGTGCTGTCGATCGTCCCTCCTGGCAACAAATGTCCTGCCTGCGATTCAGAGTTTGATGAGCATGTCACAGCGAGACTAAAGCGGAAACCGATTGTGCCTAACGGCGTGGCAAAAAAGAAGAAGAAGACAGAGAGCTAGCTTTGTCAAATATTTGGTCTTTTTTTGCCAGAAATCATGAACCAAACAAACAAAACTGTGGTGATCAAAAAAAGCAGGAGGCATTGTCAAATGACACCGGTCGGGCTTTCAGAGTCATCACTTATTGGAATGCGAGCTTCTGCGAGCTACTGCGACTTCCCTGTCTTAATGATCGTGTGCATCTCTGGATTGCCTCTCTTCGCCTCTCTCGCAAGAGGATGATAAAACGTTAGCGGAGCAAGCATGTTAGCTTCGAGACCTCATAAGGAAGCCCTTCCGATGTATACGCACTAGCATACATAGAAATACGAAAGGCGTGCTTGAGGCAATCGTTTGCACATCAGATCAGTGTATTTAGCATATTTCATTTGTATGTTTAAAGATGGTCAAAACTAGAAGGTTCAACTCATCTTCATGTTGTAGATGTTCAGGAAATTGACAAGAACCAGCTTCTCAAGACCAAAATCTGGTCAATGGGTAAAAAAAAGGCTACCAAGAGTTTTAGAAACTCAAAACAGGATTCAAATGAGTCTCAATCTATGGATCCACTTTTCGGCCAAAGCAGAGCGTTCGCTTTAGAGGGCCATCTGGTAAATCCACAAGTCAGGAAGTACTTGAAGTCGGTGAGGCAACAAGCTTTGAGCACACTAGGTGCTGATCCAGGCAGCAAAGTGCAAAGAGCTACAAGGCCAAAAGAAAACCAGGGATTTTACGACGATGAGCCCGTAGTGAATCAGAAGCTGGCCCGTTTTGACAAGAATAGTAAAGCCTGGGTAGCATGGTTTAGAGAGCTGAAAAACGGAATCCAAGAGACTGAAGGGTCGTCAGCCCAACAATACACTCCAGAAACTTTGGACTTACTGCTTTTATATTTCAAGAGGTTCTTGCAAGAAGCGGTCGAAAAGGGAAGCATCGAATCCAATGAGAGTGTCACGAAAGTACTGGCATTGTTGCAATCGCATAACGTTGAGGAAGATGCAGAAACCGAGTCACTTGAAATCGACGAAGAATGGGCTAACAGTCTGGTAGCCCAACTCAAGACGAAAAGATTTCACAACATACAAACCATCGACGAACTCAAGCGGCTGATAAGTACACCGAAACCGCTGCCGCAGAATTTTAACTCATGGCACAACTTCATTACAAGGACTGAGCCGAGTCCTGCCTTGCTACAAAGGATAAGTGACAACGATTGCGTTCTTCGGTTGGCCAGTTATTTGATTCAATGGGTCGGTGACATACCTAAGAATAAAAACGTCGGCAGGATATCCCAATGGACACTCTTTGTGCTTTTATACCTGGACAGTAATCTACCGGCTCCAAATGTCAGTATACTGCGAGATTTGGGAAAGAAAGCCCGCCATTGCAAGCTAAAAACTTTGGCTTCCACGGACACTCAATCAATCTACCATTTGAAGGTCCCTGAAGGATTTCCCGTACCAAGCGTCGAGATCGAGCCACTCACCGCTATTGATTTGGCTCTTGCCGTTGTTGCTTTGGAATATGGTCAACGAGATCTGATTGACTGGACAGATACTTGAATGTCGCTACGAAGATCGATTTAAACACCCACAAACTACACAGCAACTCGAGAGAATTGCTTTAAGTTACAGCACTGGATAATTGTCGTCTGCCAGTCGAGACCATCATCGATCATATCCTGATATCATCATTCTTTGACCTTGTATATACAAACTTGACATATTTTACGCATCAAAAATCACAGGCCAAGGGACCGAGTGACACCTGCATCTTTGAATGAGCAGACGCTGCTTGAATGTAGATTTTAGCTATACAATCCCCATTTTTTGTTCCAAGTTTCTTGTCAAAATGTCTATTTCATGAAGTGAAGTTGGAAGCATCGCCAACACACATCAGTACACTCTTTCTGCTAGAAAAACACCTTTTAACCTAACGACAAGCTGTTTCCCACAGCGCCAAACACTTGATTCAGTATGGTAGGAAGCATACTTAGCTCTCAAAGGCTGGCACAATTAGCAGGATTTCATCCTAAACTTCAAAGAGCCTGGTACTTGATAGCAGCAACCACGCTAAGTGCTTGTAATGAACCACAAGAAATTCCAAAACTCTACCATTTTGCCATGCTGAACGATTTGCAGCCTGATGAGATCTCAAAGAACGCTGTGACAACTTTGGAGCTTTTACAGAATACTCAGTCTAAACTGGATCAGGATATCAACGATATGTACAATGATCCTGGGAAGTCTCAAACAACCATAACTCAGAAACTGAGAGAAGCTCTTTTAAAAAGCGGTGCGCTCACTGGGATCCCCAAATCCATAAATTCACTCCAGGCATTGAAGTTGGTGACACCGAATAAACTGAGACCTTTAACCCAGAACATTGATGCACACAGTTGTAACTTAATTGAAGGCTCGGTGCGGCCTGTTAACGTTGCACCAGAACAAGTTGTGCAAAACGGCATTGGCCATTGGAACAAGATCTACAGTAAAGTTTCCAACAAAGTGGTTAACAATTTGAACTCATCGTATCCAGATCTTTGGCAATTTGTGCTATGCAACGTCTATGGGCCACTATTGTCATTTGATGACATTCTGGACGCTCAAGAAACTAGTTTGGTGATAATCGCCGCTCTGGTTCCCCAAGACATGAATGCGCAGCTATGGGGACATATGAAAGGGGCTCTCAATGTAGGCTGTGATCAAGAAACGGTTGTTGCGGCAAGAAATATGAGCATTCAAATCTCAAAATGGTGCGGAATGCGCTGGAAATCGGATATCGTTAAGCTTTGAATTCTTTTCTCAAATTTGCTTAACATCCCAGAAGAGTATAGGGAAGGTACCATCTGGAGTAAGCACAAAATAACTTAAAGGTCATTCACTCACCTGTATTCAGTTACCTGGGTGTGGGTTTGAATCAATGGAGATGAAGAAAAAGTTCTGATACTTAGGCTACTGCTGTGAGCCCAGTCAAAGGCCACGCTCAGCGAACATTTTATTACAGAGTTAGGTGCTAAAATGGGACATCTATCATTGAAATGCTAAATTTTCTGTTGCGGAAGGGATACTTAGATGCGCGAGTTTGTCGCAAGCTTATCTTCTACCAAAAATCTCTAAACCGAGTGAAGGAAGTTTCAATCCCGATCTTTTTGGCTCCTCAGCCGAACAAGGTCTTGTAGGGGTTGTTTCCGGTGTGTTCATCTCTTCATTTCTTCTGCCAAAGAGTTGCCACCACCATGAGATATCTTTTACATCTGGTAAAATCCAGTCCTCGTCATTGGGAGAAACGTTTTTGTAGTCATGATTGGTAAACTCTGCCGTTCTTGATCTGAAGTAATCCCATACACATCTTGTCTTGTTCTGGGCCATTTGTTCACTTCTTTCATACTCTGAGTCGAACAAAAATGTGCCATATTGGCAGGAATATAGGTGGTATACCAAACGCCTCAGGAAGCGCTCGTTGAATTCGAACTTTGATGGATTTTGCCTGTGCAGCTGATATACGCAGTCCAGGAACTGTTGGAACACGGGAGAAGTAAACTTTGTTGATTTTTTGGCAGTCAATCGCCTAGAGACCCTCTTGACAATTTCCGTCGAGTGAGTTTGAGGAGCGGCGTTCGAACCAAGTAGCTCACTACTTGCCATTTCCAACTTTGGGTTATTATTGTTTGCGCTGTTCGAAAAACCAAAAATGGACGAGTTAAGATCCATACCTTGAGTCATGTTCGAAGCAGCACCAGAAAGACTTATCCTCGTTGAATTGTCATGAAAACAACTTTCTGAGCTCAAATGACCGCTCCGTTGGGCAAAACGGTGACCGAACGAGAGCCAGTCTTTTTCGATCAAAGTAATAAATCCTTCTAGTGTCCGGAAATATGGATCAAGACAGATCTGGACCAAGGAACAAACTTGTGTGGTTCGATCCCATCCGTCAGAGCAATGAATTAATATGTTAGACTCATTGAAAAGCATAGATTTCGCAAGAGTGTCCGTTGACGACAGGAGCATCTTGACATATTTCAGCCATTGTCCAGATTTGCCCTCATTGAGCGCATGGGTGTCAATTGGCAAGTTCAAGTCATTGTCGACCAAAAAATGATCTACAACATTATTCAAAACATCTCTCATGACATGAATATTGTCTATGCCTAGAAACATGCGACTCACCGTCCCTCCAAAATTATAATTGTCCATATTTTCCGTGCCGCCACCTAAGGCTGTTTGGGCCATGGCATTTGTGGTTGGCCTGGCATCCACAATGATATTTTTAACTGCCCTGGATTTTTGACGATCTTCAATCGAGGAGCAGTTGAAAATCTCTGATATGAGTTTTTCATCCTGAATGGAACGTTGCTGGATCAAACCCGGCAAAGGTTGTGCGCACCGTGTGATGGATGTGCAAGTTTTCCTATGGAAATATGTGAGCGCAGGGATACGATTTTGAGATCTAAATCTCATTGAATGGGTGAGCAACGTGTCTGAAATTGTGCTTGGCACCACCAATAATTTTGGGTAAGTATCGCAGAAATTATAGTCTTGATTGATTGTTGACAGTCGCCAACGACAATCCTTGTCGTTAAAGTCGAGTCCTTGTCTCTGAAACTCTTTGATAGGGTCGTAAATGTTCCAGCTGTTGAACTGCTGCTCAGCTTTGTTGGAGGTGTAAATAAATGCGTAGAGTTGGGTGACTTCGTGTAGGATTGTGAGTTTGAGTATCGAGTCATAGACGTCCTGCGCCAAATGCTCGTCTTCGAAGTCCAATGAAAAAACGGTGTAGTCTTTGCCGACAATCTTGATATTCCAAAACTGCCACATGTCTTTATCTTCATACAGAGGATCTTTGCAATCGGAATGGTTCTTATACTTGGAAATCAGGGTGCTTCCTCGGTTCTTGAAAACAGCACCAATTGTAGGGTACGCGAACCAAAATTCTCGTGTTAGCGACTCGGAAGCGAAAATCAAATGGTGAGTTGTCAAATGCAAAGTCCCGCTGGCAGAGACGCCCTTCTTGTGGATTACAACATCATCGACCTGTAAATTACACACAGAATGCTTTAACTTAGTATTCGATCTACAAGTGCGTTAAAGAGTCCGGGACAAAAGAACGTACCTTGGCGATCTTTATATATTCCATCGAAGAAGCTCCTAACAGCCTCCAAGCGAGTGGTAGAGGAGTCTTTGGCGATGTTGGCAGCGATTTAAGTGTAGTTTTTAACTTCAAGATTGGAAAATGACAGAGGAATTCTTTTAAATTGGATATTTGCCAGATCCGTGATCACTATACTACTATTTTACTGAAATGGACAAGGCCAAGGCCAACGACACGAAAACGGCAGGAAGACATTCGCTTGTTGAATGGCTTGGACAGAGCCTTAAACGGAACGACAATAATCGATTTCAATAGCTGATTGAAACCTCTATGTATTTATACCTTGATTTCGAAGAATTCCATGCGTTTTGATTTAGATTCATCATTCGCCATGATATTCTGAGATTTGAGAGAAGGCCTATTCTCTGCGGCCGGACAAAAAAAAACCTTGGCCAGTAACGCCTTGCATTGAAGCACCGGAAACACCAGTGTCGGTGGCTTCTGTGGGTATAAAAGAATCGGATTAACTCGAAAAAAGACAACAACAAAAAAACAACAAAACAAAGAGTTGGGAAAACAGAATGAAAAGTGTGGGCAGCAAGACTTTGTGTCCGGAATTGTATTGGAGGTTCAATCGGCAGTATTCTAACCCTCTAAATAGGCTTTTGCTTCTTTCTCGATGTGTAAAAAACATGTTCCGACAAAACAGAAGAAAAAAAATAGATTTCTCCCCTCCTGGGCAAAAAAGTGGCTCGCTCATGACACTTTGGATATCGTCTGCAGTTCCAATATGAATTTTCCCTCTTTGTATCGCTGGTCTTTCCGTTCGCTTTCCACGTATTTCCACCCCACCAGATTCTTGCACATATGGCATTTTATGTCGCAAACGACGTAGCACCCGGTCAACATACATCGGGTTTCACGACTGCCTTCTACCACATTCACCACACGGTTCATTAGGTATGCATCGCCCGTAGTTCCACGGTAGTCTTTCGACATAACTTGCGCAGATGAGCTCAGATGAGTCCTGCAATTGCAGCACCCATAAGTCACAAATTTCGTGTGTTTCGTCCTAGGATGATCGATGTAGGAAGTATAGCGTAACCCCATCGCTCAAAAACGCCTTGTTTCTTGATCAAACTTGGAAACCTCCTTCCCGGAACTTGCGAGCTTATTGTTGGAATCAAACCTAATAACGTTCACCACCACGGAAAAAGCTCGCAACTTCCCTTTTATTTCTACCTACCACTAAATCGCCTCTAATTTCTATACTCAAGATACACAAGCTAACGTTCAAAGCTTCCCGTTCCGGGCTACAAGGTTCTTGGTCTACTTATATAGTTGATGCCAAGGGATGAGAAGCGAAACCCTTAGTAGTTCCTAACCCATTTATACTGTCGCTGTTGTGCCGTAATACGGGCTGTACCCAGGTATTTGAAGATTTTACCATAGCTTTCACGCCTGAGAGTGGTAATCGAATCATCAGAAAATATCGGTGCTTTCCGGCTATTCTGGATTGCGTTTCCGGAGTTTGAGAGGTTCTTTTATGCCTTGTATTTTGCAGCTTGTATTATACTGACGCTGCAATGACAACTTGATGTGAAAATGACATATCAGAACAATTGTAGATAATATGGTTTAACCTCGATTCGACGACATGAAATAGAGAAGTAACGGTGGCTAACGGTTTATAGACGTGCTCAAGCGTAGATGCGGTCGATGGTGGGACTATAATCATGATTTTGTTGTTACCATAGCTTAAATAAATAAACTAGGCCAGTTCTAATTAGTATAAATTAAAATAATGACAGGTTGGATATACGCCAGAAACGTTTTCTTACCAGGTCTGCAACTCCTCGAAAATATCAATTCTGCTCTTCTTGTGTGACCCCACTTTGTCGGCAACAATGGAACGGATTTCGTCGCACATGTTACCATGGCCACACGTTATCACCGCAACGTTTTTATTGTCACACTCGTCGATATCCTGGTTGACTAGTTGAGTCATGTCTGGTCTACCCTCTCTGAATTCGATGTGAGGAAGCAGTTTATGTACATTTTCCAAATAGTCGTGGCTGACAACAACCTCGTGTCCCTCGGAGCCCTTTTCGGACGATGACGATGGCGAACTGTTGTCAAAATGAGCAGTCAGCTTCTCGCCAAGCTTTCCCTCGTGTGCTTTTGTGACGTAAATTACCGTCTGCACGTTAGAGTACTTTTGTAATAGTTGTAGCTCTTCCAAGAACCAATCCATCGAATGCCAGTGTCTAATCACCCAGTACAATTTCACAAACTTGGTGGTTTCATCGATAGTAGTCTTACCGAGATCCTTGGCATACGCAAACGGTCCTGGAATACCGTTACCACCGCTGTACAGCAAAACCTGATCGTAAGCTTCAGCAGGCTTGTTGTCACCGTAGGGTCCTTCCACAGCGATCTTGACCTCGCCCGTGTAGTTAGGCTGGCTCAAAAGCTCCTTGTACAGAGTCTCGGTGACACCTTTCTTGATTTTGACGTAGAATCGCAGCTCATTGTTGTCTGTCTTGACCACAGTGAACGGATGCGATTGCCAGAAGACAGAGGTCTTCAAGATATGTAGGTACCCAAATGCACCGGGGAAAAATGGCCACCAGGACCCTCTGTCGACTGTGATCTGCAAAGTCTCATCAGAGACAATGCACACTTTGGCGGTCTTGATGCCAAACGAAAAGATACGGACCAATCTGATGAAACGATCGAAACACCAGACCGCGGCGGTCGCAAATGCAAATTGGCCGTAGCCTAGGTCGTCGACGTGTCTCCAGGCACCAATCAAAAATGCAATGGCCATGAGGATGTGAACGTAAAGGAATAACTCGTAGTTTTTGGCACGCAACCAGCTGAACGATTGAACGAACATGATACCACCGGCAACTCCGGCAACAGAGCCGTATCTCCACCACTCTGTTGAGGATCTCGTTGCGTAAAAGCCTTTTCTGCTCGCCGTTGTAATCGTCATGGCAATAGTGTGGGTCAACACACTTAGGTAAAACATACGGCCAACCCATTTATGATAAATGACAAATGTGGACTGTTTCCAGCCAGTCAGCCATAGAAGAATCTGGTTTCTACCCGCAAATAAATAGGTGATGATCATAAGATAAATGCAGATGAGGGCAGTTCTGTCACCGATCAGGCAACTCATTTCCACAGTCTTGTTGATGAAGTTGGGGTTATTCTCAACATGCTCATACTTTACAGCCTGGAAAATGACACATAGAACCAAGAATCCAAAAATGATGAAGGATTCCAGTCTTGTGGGCACAACTCCACCCAAAGGATCTTGGTTGGTGTGTCTTTTGCCAAACAGAGCCGGAATCGAAAAGAACTTTCTGTACCAGCGCACGATTGCCAACTGAGATGCCTTTTTGTTTGCTGAGATGACCACGCTGGGTGCGAATTTGTGTGCCATGTTCGACAGCATACCGCACACGATAATGATACCCCAGTAACCGACTAGAGCGGCACCCCATCTGTATGCTCTTCTAAAATTAAGGTATCTGGCGCGATACGAAACGTAGTACAATTCGTATGATGAGGCATTGGTATAGATGGGGAAGTCGACGGGTTTGCTCTTATTGAAATGCTGGATTGAAGAGGTGTTCACCATATGTTGCGACACGTTCTGGTACACCTCCTCCATATGCTCCACGGTAGTGTTGGGACATCTGAACTGGAAGAAATTCTGCAAGGCTTTCCGGTCGTGTTTAGAGTGCAACTGTTCGTAGCCGCAGTACATAAAGGATCCCATGGCGTTGTCGTTGAGGCAGTAGCAGTCATAACTCTTTAGAGCATCTTTCTTGCAGAACTTCGCAGTGGATCCCAGCGAAGCTTTGCAGGCAAATCCCACGTAATCGACATTTGTGTAGTCGTTACCTAACGTCCTGGCAGAACTCAAAATCAAAAGCTGGAAAAGTGCCAGAGCAAAGCGTGCCTTCATGTGTAGTGTTAGGTGGGGGTCGCAGTGTGGAAAGAGAGCTGTTCGAAAAGTTCCAAACCAAAATCCACACAATGCGTCCACAATCTCCGACTTTCGTCCATCATCGGCTCGCTTTTATACTTATGCAAACACTCACTCGTATCTCTGCTGGAGAGAAGCCAACTTACTGTGAAAAAGAGAGAGACGTAGAGGGGCAGTACGAAGTTTTCGGGGGTGTCAGCACTCTACTGGATATTGAGTGAATTTTTTTCCCTCCCTCTCTCTATCTCTCTCTCTCTTTCTACCAAAACTTGAGCTACCGCTGTCTGTCTGAAGGATCAAGTATTCCCACAGCCGCTGTTGCTGCCCGATACGTTTCCTGCCGCTTTACGATTTCCAGTAGCATTGACTTGAACTGCACCCTAGATTCAAGTCGCAATACTGGGGTCCAGATCTAGATGCGGCCATAACTCATCAAGGCCGTGAACCATCAGCCAGGTATCTCAGGTCTTAGTGAAGACTTTCCGCATTCTTCAGGGTTCGAACCCGGGGTGCAGTTTCTGTCGACATTTTTTTTCTTCACTGACGTCTCTGATAAACCTGTGGTAGACCTGTTAATTGTAGCTGGGTTGGTCAAGTAAAATACACCCTCATCTCTAAAAGCGTTTCCGCTCTTAGTAAAATGCTCGAGATAGTCGTCCAACAGCTTTTGAGTTGAGAACGTTCAGCTGCACCCAGAAGTCGAGGGATCTCTCTAGGAAGAATAAGACGCCAAACTTTCGCGTTCATGTCGAAGTTTGGCAAAGACGACGGAAGAAATGAAACTCTCGAGGATGAAAGTCTCCTCCGTACGGCAATGGGGGACAGTAGGGTCTGATCCCTAGGGTCAAAAGTGTTACTGTATGGACCCTTGAGGTATTGAGCGCAGAAAAAATCAGTGAGGTGAAATGAAGCACAGTAGGACAGGAGAGACCATTTCAATCTCGCATTTAATCGTTTGTCAAAAGCCATGCAGCTGTCCAAGCTGTCAGCTTGCCTTAACGACAAGCCGTTCTTTCTTGACGCATAATCTTGAGCTTTCTTGGAATTGTACTTGAACACACTTAAGTCAACTTGCTTGTAGCTGCCAATGCCGCTGTTTCGCTATAGACCTCACAAAACGTAATTCAGAAGCAGCAGTCTTCATTTTGATGGTTGGAGTAGTAGTGTTGGTATTAGTGGTACTGTGAGTAGTAGTGGTACTGTGAGTAGTGGTAAGAATGCTGGAAATATCATTTTAAACCCTTATCCATTTCGTAAGTAGAAAGATACTGCCTTATAGGTACCATTACAGCTCCCGATTCTTCATTACAAGTTCGAATGGCTTGAAAGAATAATAGGATAGAGCACCAGAGTATTTTTCAATGCTCTCATTGTGGTTTTGTTGATATTTCAAGATTTCATGTTTCGGGAACAGTTCATTGATTTCAAGTAAGTTAATTCTTGATCACCTTCACAGTGTCGTGGGAGAAACGTCAAGGGCGAGATTTGAAGAGACGACCGTGTCCAAGGACGATCACTCTTTAGCAAGATTAAAGTCGGCACCTCAAGCTCTTTTCCAAAATGGTTCTAAAATCAAAGGACACCATACGTCGGTGCTGGTTTTCCTGCTGACACTCATTGTCTTTACTCGTAATTAAGCCTGGACTGACCCGAAAAACAAACATTCAGTTTCGATAATGCTACATAAGTTCTCTGCTATCCACCAGCTCTTCGCGATTGCATCACAACAGATCATCGTCTGCAGACGCAATGGAATCCTTGATCTTCAATAAAATCGTAGTTTTCCATTTGTCGAGTTTGGCAAAACGGTCGAATTCGAACACTTTGGCACTCAGTTTCTCGGAGTCACCCTCGGAACACGCCTCCAGCAGTGCAGTGATCAATTCGTGCTCGCGAGACCCGGCAAAATTTGAGTCTTGTTCCTGGGCCTCTGCCACTGTTCTTTGCGCCGCAACTTGGTCATCGGCTGCCAAGTAGCATAGCGCGGTCTTTAGGAAATAGTCTTTCAAAGACCACTGACTTAGCCTGTTTCCAACGGAATTGGCAATCACTTTACGGTAGATGTCACACGCTTCGATGTACCGACCATCAAGAGCCTGCAGATCGGCACATTTCAAGTAAGCTTTATTAGCGAGCGCCAGGGCCTGATCCTGGGCGTACCAATCGGCTGCTGCCTCGTATGCTTCCACTGCTTTTGCATAGTCGTGCAGATCGTTTTCTAAAAGCTCTGCAAGCTCCGCTTTGAAATTAGCGCCCCTTCTAAACTGGCCCCGGCGCGTGAATATATCTATAGCCTTATTAAGCGCCTCACAGGCCTTTTCGGGCACCGACCCGGCTTTGAAGGCTTTGAAAGCTTCCACAAATGTGTTTCCGGCCTCGTCTTCACTCTGTGCCTTTATTTGACATGCTGCTGCCTGCAAGAATAGATCTCCCGCTTTCTCCAATTCTTTGCGCAGTCTGTATAAATTCGCAGCCTCTACATACAAATCTGCCGCTTCCTCGTATTTGTAGCTATCAGAAGCACCAAAGAGCTTCATAAATCCTGAAGAAGGCTGGGCCTTTTTTTGAGCCTGTGGGAAACGGTGAATCGTTAGTTTTTACGTGCGTAAAAGGCGTTTCTTGCAAGCGCATTTGAGACATACCTTCTGTATCAGTACTTCTGGATCAGACATGGTACGTTGTCGGGATATCAAAGAACGCTATGAGTGATCTGTGTGGTTGTGAGTTCCCTTGAAGGAAGTGTAGATGGATTAAGTTATCATATATATATGGGATTATAGTTCAATTCGGACGAGTACAGATAAGTACTCGGGAAACTACTAGACGACATAATCGTGATAAGTGATCAAACTTTCGAAAAGAGCCATCACCATCATGAAGAGACGGGAAAAGACGTGAAGTATACTGGCATTGTACGTTTAGTATCTTCGACAATGATGTCTTATGCCATGTATGTTTTTCCTGTGTCCTCTTTTGAAGTTTCATAACCGGTATAAATACTATTTACTTTGGCTTACAGAATCGGAAATAATGCTGTAATCACATATACGCTCAACAGTGAGCGCAGCGTCCGTCATTTTTGTTTTCGCTCTTTCCGGGTGCCTACTACCAGGTCTGCAATTCCTCGAAAATATCAATTCTGCTCTTCTTGTGCGAACCCACTTTGTCGGCAACAATGTAACGGATTTCGTCGCACATGTTACCATGGCCACACGTTATCACCGCAACGTTTTTATTGTCACACTCGTCGATATCCTGGTTGACAAGTTGCGTCATGTCTGGTCTACCCTCTCTGAATTCGATGTGAGGAAGCAGTTTATGTACATTTTCCAAATAGTCGTGGCTGACAACAACCTCGTGTCCCTCGGAGCCCTTTTCGGACGATGACGATGGCGAACTGTTGTCAAAATGAGCAGTCAGCTTCTCGCCAAGCTTTCCCTCGTGTGCTTTTGTGACGTAAATTACCGTCTGCACGTTAGAGTACTTTTGTAATAGTTGTAGCTCTTCCAAGAACCAATCCATCGAATGCCAGTGTCTAATCACCCAGTACAATTTCACAAACTTGGTGGTTTCATCGATAGTAGTCTTACCGAGATCCTTGGCATACGCAAACGGTCCTGGAATACCGTTACCACCGCTGTACAGCAAAACCTGATCGTAAGCTTCAGCAGGCTTGTTGTCACCGTAGGGTCCTTCCACAGCGATCTTGACCTCGCCCGTGTAGTTAGGCTGGCTCAAAAGCTCCTTGTACAGAGTCTCGGTGACACCTTTCTTGATTTTGACGTAGAATCGCAGCTCATTGTTGTCTGTCTTGACCACAGTGAACGGATGCGATTGCCAGAAGACAGAGGTCTTCAAGATATGTAGGTACCCAAATGCACCGGGGAAAAATGGCCACCAGGACCCTCTGTCGACTGTGATCTGCAAAGTCTCATCAGAGACAATGCACACTTTGGCGGTCTTGATGCCAAACGAAAAGATACGGACCAATCTGATGAAACGATCGAAACACCAGATCGCAGCTGTGGCGAAAGCCCAAGGGCCGTAGCCAAAGTAATCAACGTGTCTCCAAGCACCAAGTAAGAACGCAACAGCCATGAGAATGTGGACGTATAAGAAAAGCTCATAGTTCTTAACACGGAGCCAACTCATGGCCTGCAAAACAATGATACCACCGGCAACCACAGCGAGAGCGCCATATATCCACCATGCTTCAGCTTTGTCCTCCTCGTAATAACCTGCGACCGCAAATGTGATCAGCATGCTAAGCGAGTGATTCAACACAGTGAGAAAAAGCATGCGGCCAACCCATTTGTGGTAAGTGACGAACGTAGACTGCTTCCATCCAGTGAGCCATAGAAATATCTGGTTTCTTCCCGCGAATAAATATGTTATAGTCATCAAAAAGTTCGAAATGAAGGCGCTCCGGTCACCCACCAGACGCGAGAGTTCTATCGTCTTATTAGCAAAGAAAGTGTTGTTCGCGACATGTTCGTAACCTGCAGCTTGGAAGATGATGCATAAAGTACAAAATCCAAAGATTATCAACGACTCTAAACGCGTTGGTAGAGAAGCGCCCATTATTGCTCTATCGGTATGGCTAAGGCCGAATAGAGCTGGAATTGATACATTTTTTCTGTACCACCGAACAATCCACATCTGAGAAGCCATTTTATTCGCCGAGATAGCCAGGGTGGGGGCAAACTTGTGGGCCATGGACGATACCATACCGCAGAACATGACAATACCCCAGTACCCGACGAGAGCGGCGCCCCAGTGGAGACCCTTTTTGTAGTTAGAGTAGAACGCTCTGTAGGTATCGAAGTTTGCGTCGAAAAGCGGAATGTCGTAATAGACTGGGAAGTCAATTGGTTCGGTGCTATTGAAATCAACAAGTGTGGAAGTATTCACCATGTGCTGCGAAGCATTTTGATAGACAGTTTGCAATTGAGAATCCGTGACGTTGGGGCACTGCGTGATAAAGAACTCTCTAATGAGCTTCCGATCTTTGTCTGAATCCAGGTTATCATACGCACAGTACATGAACGAGCCCATAGCGCTGTCGTTGTCACAGTAGCAGAGATACGTATAACCAGAATCTTCGGCGCAATAGACCGCCGTGGAGAACAGGGCAGCTTTGCAGGCGAATCCCGTGTAGTCCACATTTGTGTAAGAGAACTCATCATTAGCAGCAGCAGTGCTTGTCAATAGAGTGCACACCAGATGCAATAATAGAAACAGCTTCATGACGAGGGCTGAACAGGAAAGCTGATGGGTGCTTGAGAGATTCGAATTGGTGTCCCAAAGAAAAAAGTAAGTCTATTCAAAATCTTGCATTAAGGAGACTTCAGTCTGAAATTCAGGGACATGCTAACGGGTGTGGCCTGAATTTATACAATGCAAGGTGACAATTGTCGCATCAACCAGACTCAAAAGCAGCCCCATTGACCAAAGGTCTGCATAAATTGTATTAGGTTTAAGACACCTCGAATTGACCAAACGCCAAGGCAGGCACTAACAAACGCGCCTAGACTTCACCCGGTAAAAGTTTCGTCGGCCTCAAAGTGCATTAAGATCGGACAGAAATGATCTCGGCGCGCACAATTTTTTTCTTGGTGGTGGAACTGAGTCCTGGGCATACGGGCTGGCGCCGAGAAAAACACGGGAAAAAGAGAGATACCGATTCTAGGAACCACAGCTTAATGCCCGAGAAGCCTCAATACTAAAGCTAGAACCCTAAGTTCAACCTCCTTCAGGGTTCTGATTCAGGGTGCAGTTCTGATGTGTGTTTTTTTTTCACGCGGTCTGACGCCTGAGAAAGACCTGCGCAGAATCCAGTGAGTAGCGAAAATAATTATCTTCGGCAGAAGGGTGCTAGCTTCATGAATTCAATAGGATCTGACCCGGGGTGTATATGCACCTAGTTTATGGGACTTAAATCGAGGAACATAAGCAATGAGAACTGCACCCTACTGAAAAAAGTGGGCTGGGTTTTGGTTGAAAAAATTTGATGGTGTAAGTCTCAGTCAGAAGAGATCGTCCAAAAAGGGTGGTTGTCAGCGTTTGGCCTTAACGGGTTGAAGATATTTGTCTGTAGCAACTCGGTATATTTTGGATCCGGCAAGGATGCTGGGAAGTAGGAAAATGTAAGAGACAGTGAGAAGGCAAGAGTGCCTTTCCTTGTGCTTCCACTATGCACATTCCGCAACGATCTTGTCAGAATGCTCTTGTAAATTTCTCATGGGAAAAGTGGTACCATCAGGTTGACACAACAAGCGTCCATCTGGTAAGAAATCCCATTCTTGGAATGGAGGGAAGTAATTGGTAGTGCTGAAAACGCCTACGAAAAAGCGTCCGGAGCAAGCTTTGGATAATTTCGACCCGCATTGTTGAATGGGTTTATCGGTTTATCGATACAAACTGACACTTAACACACAAACGACTGGTAGATCATTTTTGGATGTAGGGGAGAAGTATTGATCTTCTAGAAAGTTGGTGATCAACACGGTTCAAACCATAGACTAGGCAACAGACGTGGCTCTTCAAAACTTCGATTTCAAAAGACGGAAACCGGACACCACAAGCCTTACTTTCGTGTTTTCTTAAGTCAGGTCGATGAGCACCGGGGTTCTCTGATCTATAGATGATATCGTTCTTTTCAACCATGAGTACCACAACGAGTACATACACGTGACGTATAGGATGAGGTAAAACGCTGACACCAAACTGTTTAATCCCAACCCTGTGGTCCATCTCGTCTCAAATCGTTCATTCCGAGTATTATATCATGAGGATAATGATGTTGTTCTTGATTCTATAAATCTGCACCATTTTCAATTTCGAATGCAGAAGAAGCAGGCAATAGTTCGACCTTTTTTTTGGCCAGGGCCCGGGCAACCAATATTTTGGTGTAGAATTGGGAGTTGTCTGGCCTTGTAGGCGAAATTGATTTGTTCAATCAGTATTTTGAATCAAGGACAGGTCCGTTCTTGTACAGTTTATTCATTCTTACTTAGCCTATAAGAATCGCAAGTAATACAGTCGCCAAATTTAGCGGTCTGCTTAAGATAGAAAGCTTTGCGTAGTATCGAAATCTATCTACGATTCAACTTCTTGCTTTGTACATGCTTTCAAAAGCGACACAGTATGGTTTTCGATTTGTAATGAGCTAATACCACCAGTGCTTGCTTGAAATTGGTTCTTAAACCTTTTAAAACAAGACAAACGAAAGAAAGTAAGCAAACAGAAAAGACAATTAACAGGCCACTAGTCATCCAACTAGCTACTTTTTTACAATTAACCTCGTGCGAGAAACAGGCCAAAACATGCGAGTTCCTTCACCATCGAGATTCCGATGATGGCTTCAGTCACGCGACAAAGAACCACCTCGGCCGAAGATACCTTTTCACAAGAACGTTTTCAAGAATCTATCTTTTGAGCTATCTATATAAGCGGTTCAAATCTTTCAAGTTCTCTTCACATTCTACCGCTGGCTTGCAGCGCACAACACTCCCAATCCCAAAAAACTATGCCCAAATTTGTCTAGTCCGATAGTCCTCAAAAAGGACACGATTCCATATTTCAATTGAAAGTTCAAAAAATGACACTCCCACTGCTCATGGGAGCTGATTCGACAGCTTCTCCTGTCAACTCGCCATTTGCCTCACGCCAATCCATCTTTTCAAGGCGTTTTCTAAATGCCAAGAAATTCGTTTATTTTCGTGTCGCTGGAAATTAATGCCAAGCATATAGACAGGAACACTCTCGAGGTGTTACAAACAATGGAGTGCAAACGTTTTGCCGGTGAAATGTGTCAATCAAGACCTGTATCAAGAGTCCAGACCCCAATTAGTACTCCCATCGCGATTCAATCCGTCAATATGAGTGTCAGAAATCACAGAACTGCTGCTTTCCCTGTATCTCTCTGGCTCTCACAATTGCTTTCAAAATAACGAATACTTCCTAAGGTTTTCTGACATTTTGTATCTCATGCTGCGCAGAAGTCTTTTTGGCCGTTTCTTTCTGTCCTCGCTTAATTGTGAAACTCTCAGAAAGATAACTGGGCTGCCTCCTGTATCCCATTAGCTGCCCAAACTTGGTTACAGGTTCGGAAGCTACTTTGTCCAACAGCAACGGCTCCGATGCCACCGTTCTATGAAGGTTTCATGTCAAAGAACTCCGTTTGTCACAAACAAAAAGAGAACGGGAGTATAGCTCCAATTTCGACTCCACTATAGGACCAACTGCAGCTATCGACAAAAGAAAGAAAGAGAACCCATGCCAAAAAAAAAGTCCCCACGTCCAAGCCATTCAGTCTCACTGCCACTGCCACTGCAGCTACCAACTTGCTACTTTTTGCATTCTCTTCTGTTCTATTGTTCTTCTTTCATTGTTGAATATCACATTCCTCTTCTCGAGATTTCGAATAACTTTCCCTGCCATCTGAGAATCCCTGCTCTATCTCGACTTACTCTGTGAACGCTTTTTAGCAGATGCGTCCCGAGCATCTCTTTCAAGATACGGTGACTCTTGAAAGATCTTTTACACGATACGAGCGACCGTATCGCCGAAAAGCTCATAGGCCGAAAAAATCTTCTACGTGAGGGTTCTCAGGACACGCCATGGCGTGCTACAACGTGGAGCGCTGTCTGTGGTATCTGAGAAGTTGGTACCACTCCGACAAACGGCAGTGGTGATGCAATTTCATGAAAGTCAAGGGTTTGCAGATGGTTTACGGAGAGGACTGATCGGTAAGGAGAGAAACAAGATGGTGAAGCGCAATGTTGCAGGAGATGCGATAGCTTATCTGTACGTGGAGTTCAGAAGCAGTTCCCTATCTCTTGTAGCTTACGTTTGTTACGCTCGACGCACGGCTAACTGATTCATTAGAAACTTTTTCTTTCAGAGTCAGACAGGGACTTTGTGTGTGTGTGTGTGTGTGTGTTAATGCTTTTACTTACTTCCGAGGCTGCTTAACTGCACGCCACTGCTCAACGTGAAAGCCTATCTACTCCGGTGATTCTGATCTATCTCTTGCTCGCGCGTTCGAGCGGCTCGAGACCAAAAAGAAAGACAGAATCGATTTGCTTCGGACAAGACCAGTGCATATAAAAAGGCCTTGCTGGAGCGATTTTCTAAGTGGTAAAGGCAGTTTGGATGATATTCTATTTCGTTCAAAAGCCGCAACAGCAACAGTTTTCACCTCAAATTACAGCCATCTACTTAAGTTGCCCACAAGACCGCTAGTTCCTAGTGTGTTCTGCATCATGAAAAACTATATCAGGAACATTCTGTCCAAGGACACGCCTGTGACAGAAAATGACAACGTCTACACGTACACAACTTCAGGGGAAGCAGCAACGAGCGATACACAGCTGCGTCATCTTGCCCATCGTGGCGGTGACGACGGCAAGCTGAAAGACACGATCGTCGTGACTGAAGACAATTCTTCAGACAATCTCGACTTCGAAGCCGGCAAAACTGGGCTTGCGGGCGTCAGCAGCGGTAATCTTGACCCTCTTTCAGAACAACTTTCGCAACAAGCTCTTGAAGACGAGTACGCTGGCATTACAGTCGACGATGACTCTCCGTACCCGGAAGTTCGTGCCGCAGTTCCATCCACAGACGACACATCCCTGTGCCAGAATACCCTGCGTATGTGGGTGCTGGGAATGATGATGACCACCATCGGGTGCGGTTTGAACATGCTGTTCTCCATGCACTCACCATCAATCGTGTTGAGCAGTTACGTGACAGCCATTTTGGCTTGGCCTTTGGGTCGCGCGTGGGATAAAGTTATGCCCAACAAACGCCTGTTTGGCAAATGGGGGCCTCAACTTAACCCTGGTCCCTTCAACGTCAAAGAACACGCAATCATCACTGCTATGGGTAACGTTTCGTTCGGTGGTGGTAACGCCTACGCTACCGATATCATTCTTTCCATGAACATGTTCTACAAGAAAGATTTCGGGTGGGGCTTCAACCTTCTTGCTGTTTGGTCGACACAATGTATTGGGTTTGCGCTCGCTGGTTTCACTAGGAAGATGCTGGTCACTCCGGGGTCAATGACCTGGCCTGCCACTTTGGTTTCCACAACTTTCCTCACCAACATGCACGTCAATGAAAACCACGTTGCCAACGGATGGAAAATCTCAAGATTAAAGTTTTTTTTGGTGGTTTTCATTGCCGGGTTCGTGTACTACTGGTTTCCAGGTTTCATATTCCAAGCTCTATCTTACTTTGCATGGGTGACTTGGATAAAGCCCAACAATATTGTTCTGAATCAAGTTTTTGGTGCCAGTTCTGGTCTTGGTCTACTTCCTATCACATTTGACTGGAATCAAATTGCCGGCTACATTGGATCACCTTTGATTCCACCAGTAGGTGCCATCGTGTCTATTCTCTTGTCCATGGTTGCAATTTTTTGGATTGTCGTACCGGCTATACATTATTCGAATGTATGGTATGGCAAATACTTGCCGATCTCTGACTCGGGCTCATACGACAGATTTCAAGAATCATACCAGGTGAAAAAGATAGTGACCGAAAACTTATCCTTTGACAAAGCCGCCTATGAAAAATATTCACCCCTCTACTTGTCTGCGACTTTTGCCATCTCGTATGGACTATCCTTTGCTTCGACAACAGCCACCGTCATGCATGCAGGTCTTTTTCATGGAAAAGAAATCTGGGCTGTCTTTAGAGGTCATAACGCAGAAAAAGAAGACGTGCACAATAGACTAATGAAGAACTATTCAGATGTTCCTTCTTGGTGGTACGGTGTTGTGTTTTTGTTTTTTTTCGCTTTGTCTGTTGCTACAATGAGGGCTTGGCCAACAGAGATGCCTATTTACTCATTGATTATCGCACTTCTAATTGCCGCTTTCTTCATGCTACCTGTTGGGATTATTTTTGCTTTAACCAACATCTCTGTCGGATTGAACGTCCTTACTGAGTTTATTATTGGTTACATGGTACCAGGAAAACCCATTGCAATGATGTTTTTCAAGACTTTCGGCTACATTACCAATAGCCAGGCTGTCTCCTACGCCCAAGACATGAAGTTGGGACATTATATGAAAGTGGCACCCAAAACTCTTTTCTGGGGTCAATTGGTCGCTACTTTGTGGGGAGCGTTGGTTCAAATTTGTGTGATGGAATGGGCAAAAGGAAATATTGAAGATGTATGCACGCCTCACCAGGCCTCGCATTTCACATGTCCAGGCTCCAAGGTCTTTTTCAATGCTTCGATCATTTGGGGTGTCATTGGACCCCAGAGAATGTTTTCTGCGGGTCAGATTTACAACAAGTTGCTGTACTTTTTCATCTTGGGTGCTGGTTTGCCCGTTTTGAACTGGGCCATCTTGAGGAAATGGCCCAAGTCGTTGATCAAGTACGTCAATTGGCCAGTATTCTTTTCCGGTACTGGTTTGATCCCTCCAGCTACGCCTTACAATTACGGTGCGTACTGCATGGTCGGTATTACTTTCGGATACTTCATCAAAAAGCGGTTTTTCCACTGGTGGACTAAATACAACTACTCGCTTTCTGCTGGGTTGGACATATCACTAGCCTGGTCCTCGCTGATCATTTTCGTGACATTGGGCCTAACTAACACGGAAGCACCTAGCTGGTGGGGCAACAACGTGATTAATACTTCGGAATACAACGACGAAGCTATCCAGCGAGTGTTATCACCAGGCGAAAGTTTTGGCCTAACAACATGGTGAACACAGGCCATTTTTGTTCTCAGACCTCGCTAGCGTTGGTTTTGTCTTATTCCTAAGATAAACTGTCTATTTACTTCGATTTTATATAAATAAACTTGTAACATCTTGGCTATCTTTGAATTGGTCTTAAAGTTCTTGCATGAGCTGTGGGAACATACGCCAGATGGGAGGATATTTGCCCGATTGTGTCAAAGAGCATCCCGGACTGTTATCGAGTTGGAATTGTAGCTAGCTTCTGTAGTGTATTATAGTGACGATATATTGATTAGGCGACATATTAGTACATAGTGATCTACTTGCGCCAGTCGTCATCTATACTGGTTTACTTAGTTTCATCAGTTCTTTGCACGATGCAATTTACAACAAAGCCTTACAAAAAATATTGAATCTGTTGCCAGAGCCATCAGGGATCAAGTTTCCTATTCATGACACTTGTCACCGTGGATTACGTCTTCCTTTCCGTGTTCAAATACCTTCCAGTTCGTATTCAATTACCTAGATTTTCAGCTCGTCAAAGACGACCCAGAACATGGCTCACCCCATGGACAAAGCTACCGTGCTTGGTCCTCTCAAATAAGCACACCACTGATCGATCAGTGGTGCTTACAGCTATGGAATGAATCTGGTTATTTGCGGGTCATGTCGCGTGGTACGAAACTGTTCAACACCTGTCAGCGAAGAATTAGCAGCACTGCTAACGACTTGTGCGGTCTTGGGCCTACGAAAATCATTGCATTGTAATCGTTAAGCCAAAGATATGTCAAGAATGTCTTCATCTTGAGGTGCTGGTTTCGTGAAGATCACTAGATACGTACAATTTTCGAAATTTACTAGTCGTTCCAACCATACAGAATCGTTGACGACACTAATCCCAATCCGGTCCCCTCACCCGGCTCCTTTTCTACCGTGTTGCCGTTGTTTTGTAACACAGGGATCGCAAGATGGTTTGCTAAATTTTGAAAAGTTCGAGTTTGAAGAAAATCCAAACAAAACACGCAGGGACAAAAGTGAGAACACGCAAAGTGTACGTTTTGGGTATTCTGACTGCAAACTTCTAAAGCTAAAAATGGTCTAGTTTTCGATTCAAGGAAGGCAGTCAACATCTGTACATATTTAGCTAGATAGAAAAGCCCCAGTTTCGTCTATAGTGATTGATTTCATAGCTACATTGTTGCAATTTGAAAACACGACACACCATGTACTGCACCTGTTGCTCTTCACTGCAGAACGATAATTCTTTATGCCGACTTCTCAATTTTTCAATTCTCCTTGACGTCTCGCGTGAATCTCCCTTCATTCCTCTGTGTCGCGTCAGACTCTTCCGCAGAGCTAAGTTCTAGAATCTTCAATGCACCAACAAATTTCCAATTCCACGTTGGCGTTACCCGGCCGTTTCCTGATGGCCCTTTGAAATTGATATAAAAAGACCTTAATCCTGGTAAGCAATACCCAGTAACTTATCAAATCTTGTTATAACATCATTCTCAGGAACTATCTAGCAAGCACAGTCTTTCCTCAGAAACCTAATTGCCATGTCTAAAGTATTTTTCGACGTCGAAGTTGATGGCCAACCATTGGGCCGTATCACTTTCAAATTGTACAACGATGTTGTGCCAAAGACCGCTGAAAACTTCAGAGCTCTATGTACCGGCGAAAAGGGCTTCGGTTACACTGGCTGTCCATTCCACAGAGTGATCCCAGACTTTATGTTGCAGGGTGGTGACTTCACCCACGGCACCGGTGTCGGTGGCAAGTCCATCTACGGTGGCAAGTTCCCAGATGAGAACTTTGCCAAGAAGCACGACAAGCCAGGTTTGTTGTCGATGGCCAACGCTGGTCCAAACACCAACGGCTCCCAGTTTTTCGTCACCACCGTTCCATGCCCATGGTTGGACGGCAAGCACGTTGTGTTCGGTGAGGTTTCCGAGGGCCAAGACGTTGTCAAGAAGATCGAATCTCTAGGTTCTCCTCACGGTACCACCAGAGGTCGCATTGTGATCGCCAAGTCTGGTGAATTGTAATCGCACAACAAGGGTTAGCCCAAAAAAAAAAAAGCAGTATACAATGTTGATGTGCTAAACAAAGAAACAATTTTCACGTCCCGATTTTTTTCTCCGCGGGGTTCTTACGTACGCATACTACTACATATGACCTAAAGGATTCCTGTAAACTGGATATTCAGGTTGGAATTTTGAGTGAGATGTATATACGTCCACTTTTCCGTTTCATTGCTGGGGAGTTTATCACTTCTAAGCAACATGGCCACTTTGTCACTTTATTCCTTTACATCGCAGAATATTCAGTCACGTGATGTTTTTTTCTTAACGTCACCTACGATGCAACGGGTATTCCTCAGATGTTATAGATGTTCACAATTCAATACCAATAGACTCTGCAGCCCAATTGGGGCTTTTGTTTCCCGAGAATAGAGCTATCGGATTGAAAAAGATAGAATTTTAGTTTAAAAATAAACACCCGTATGACGTGATATAGAATAGAAGCTAGATATTTGATCTTATACTTGATGTTCTATATTCGCTCAGGGAGGTTTTTTTGAGACTTGAGACTAGTGCTAATACGGATCTTGGTATTTCAAACCTTCCAGAGATCTTTTACGCTTTAATTTTCACTCAAGAACTATTTGTTCAAAATGTTTCGAAAAAGTTGGAAAAAAACTGCCAAATCTCACCAAATCTTAACTAAACATATCCTGTAATTCGGCAAACGTCTATTGATTCATACCAAACTATTACAATCGTGCTCTTTTGCCAAGATGCCAGGTTTTACTCTCTGATAGTTTATATATATATACGTACATAGTGACATCACCATTTATTACGCTAATATAGTGTGAAAGTTAGAAAACGTATTTGAAAGAACCTCTGCAACTACTCCGATAAACACCTTGTGAACCGTTTGGACATAGGCCCGTTGCGCGTGGATCTGTTGTGCTGGTTAACAATTCAAGAACGTCAGCACTCTTTCTTTCTCAACTACAGTTCCGATGGATTCGCTCTCTAAGAAAATCCAGAATTTAGGAGTTCATGACATTAGAAATGCTGCTCGGTTTGCGCAAAACGTTATAGTCCAATATGAGCCTTACCAGGTCGATATTAGACGTGCAACGAACACAGACTCATGGGGTCCCACGCCCAAACATCTGTTTAAGGTTATGCGCAACAAATACCAGGTTCCGCTGCATTTGATGACGGAATACACGTTGAAAAGATTGGTGGATCATATTGCAACGAGACCCAAGAATCTGTACGAAAAGGCCCGTAAACAGTACGTCAATTACGGGAGTGAGTGGCGGGTAGTTCTCAAGTGTATGGTGGTGCTGGAATTTTTGTTGTTAAACGTTGATAGTGGCTCTGAGCTCGACCAAGTCACAGGCTGCTTACTCACGCACAAACACATTCTACTTCGCGATGTGATGAATTTCCGCGTGGATTTCAGTGCAGACGGCAAGATGGAAGTGCACGAACGTGGAATCAAGAAAAAATGCGAGACTATAATCCAATATTTGGAAGATCCTGCTTTTTTGAAAAAAGAGCGCTCCAAACATGTCAAAAATGTGGCCAAAATTCATCAATCGGCAAGTGCTTACGCGACAACGGCTTCAGCTCCTTCTGTAGTGGGCCAAGATCCGGTTTACGGCTCCTACGACGACGACGATGACGATGACGATGATATGGACTCCTACAGGGTTCAGGCCACTGCTGCAACCTCCAACACCCCCGCTTCTAGACGAAGAACCTCTGCAGCAGATGAGCAACGACGCCAAAAGCGGGAGATCTTGAGAGAGAAAATTAAAGCTAGTGAACTCCAGCGCAAAGCATCTCTGAAAAAGGCACAAGAACCGCCTGTGGATCTTTTGAGCTTTGATGATGAAACGCCTGCTGTTCAGACTCAAAGAGCAGCACCCACGGCAACTCACTTTCAACCATCAGAAACGCTTGCTGACGAAGACGACGACGACGATTTCGGCGAGTTTCAAAGCGATGGCAACGCTCAAACCACCTCCACCACCAACACAACGAACAGCACGATGGGGGGTATGGATTTGTTGAATTGGGACGCCCCTGCTACAAACAGCAAGCCAAGCTCTGGAACCAATGGCAACTCAAAAGATGCATTTGCGGACCTGTTTTCGTATTCCAAAAATCACTCTTGATGGTTGATCGTGAGGGGAAGCGGGGCCTTTTAGAGTACTTCCTCGACACTATTATTCATTATAAAGAGCTCTGTCTTGTCGAAAGGCCATTGGTGATTTTTACTCTGTAATCTACTATTTTTTTTTATATGGAATGCAAATGCTCAGGAAGAAGAAAACATCGCCGCGACGAGACGGTCTAGCGATAATTACTGGGATTACTCTTCCTCCACGTCTTCGCTACCGTCCAGACCCTGTTCGAAGAGCTGTCTTCCCGTCAGTTTACCACCATGCGCTTCGTTTTTGCGTGCGGCGTCTCTTTCGTTACGTCCAGTTTCTTCACGGAATTTAGCTCTCCACTTCAGGTACGATTCTTTGGTGACTGGAGTGCCATGGAATTTTTTCTGTTCCTCTTTTTCACGGGCAGCAAGAGCGCGTTCGTGTTCGCGTTCTAGCTCCTGTAGCTTTTCCTGGAAAAACCGTTCCATAGACTCCTTTATCCACGAAAGCAGTGCAAAGGTCATTTGCATGCCGATGAGCATATCTTCGTTAGCCTGAGATTCCAATTGAGATTCAACAGCACGAGCATGCTCTTCAAAAACTACTTGGTCCGGCAAATTGGCCAATTTGGATATTAGTGGATTTCCGTGGTCGTCGTACTCGATTTCCGAATCATCCTCGTCTTCATCATCGTCTTCGCTTTCTACACCATCTTTTTTCACTTCTTCGCAACTTACACTAACCATGGGAACCACATCCGGATACGTTTCTGGCAGTTTTATATTTACCACGACCCAGTGGTCCTTGGTAAGTGAGTCCTGTGTGAAAGATGAGCTATCTAGAGGGACCAAATCTAGCGGAAGCTTGACTTCAAATTGAATGTTAGGAAAGCTGTCTTTGATAATGGTAAACTCATCTGGGTAAATAGATTCCAAAACCTCCAATTCTTGAGTTTGTTCTTCGTTGTAGTCCATAGTCGTAGGTAACGGGTTGAGTTGTGAAGCTGAAGGACGAAGAAGGTCTGTTCTTGAAGATGAATAGTTCTTGAATTAAAGAGCTGTGCTTCTGGAAAGAAGAGCAGCGTGTCGGTGTCGTATGGAATGATATATCAAAGGAATAAAGAGTTTGCGTTGGTGTTTTAGGATGTTGACCGTGCTGAAGATAGCTATTTCACCTTTTGCTTTACAGTTTGCATTTATATCTGAAATTTGACGGTTTTACCAGAAGTTTGAGAAATAAAAATAGTCATTGTCGGAAGACAATGAGTTGAGCTCTCGAGATAAAAAAAAGATGATATTTTATATATTTTGAAAAATAGCATTGTGGAATGCTAAGTGAATTAGTAGACTCAATGATTGACTGACATTGTTTGTAGATTCAGAAAAGGACTCGAAAGTGTCAGGTTTCGTAAGATCTTGGAAGCTTACAATATTACTTGTCAAAATGATTTGGAGCACGTGATACATGACAGCGACAGAATTGATAAAGAGTAAATCAGCTTTGAGCACCAATGGTACAGCAGGGTGAGCCATAGTACCATCTTGTATTTATACACCAGTTCAAGGACTCAATTGGAGTTTTCCCAACGAGAAAAAAACAATTTTTGAAGTGCAGAACTGATGCGAGTATGATGAATGGCTTGAATAGTGTTTTTTAGTGACGCTGGAGTTGTTATCTTTACATTCACTTCCTCTTGGCTTACTCGATGAACTACTAGCCTGCAATCATTCATTTAAAGAAAAAACTGGTGCTATCAAGATTGAATGAAGGCTTTGTAAAATGATCAGAAAATGACTTGAAAGTCGAAGTTGATTTGACCATTAATTAAGTGCCAAAACTTGACATTTATGATTAAAACATGAATTCTGACACCTCAAGTTTAATCCTCTCAAGCAGCTGTTGGGCATAAGAGCCCTTCAATATTCATCTTGCCCACAACAAAATGTCCTCTCTTCTGGCATACCAGAAATGTCATCAAGTTCTTACTCGTCAAGGAATTTTAGTAGAGACTCTTGGAAATAAGTGACTAACGCTCATAAATCATCTATCGAAAACACCGTTCTGTATGGTGCTACACCCTATCTATAATCATGTAATCTCCAATTGCATTTGGAACCTTTTGCAAGAATGAAAGAAACTTGGTTCAATTTGAAGATTTTGGAAATCTGTGCTTTAATAGACGTCTATATCTGTTTCTACTGCTTCAACGCTCCAGACTTCTGGGTTTTCACAGCATTCAATTGGCTTTTGACTAGATGTCCCTTCAAATCAACCACTTCTGTCGCCTTCATCATGTATAGTGATCTGTAATTATCAACAATCTGGCGCTGACGATAAAAACGTCCCAACAGGACTGAAAACCCTGACAGGGTGAAACTGAACAACTCGTTGAGGCCTTCTCACACTACAAATTTCTCTGGCAATATCTTGGTTATCTTTTTGTAAGTGAACTTTTGATGCAAACAATGACGCTTCTTGTTGCTGCTTGGCAATCCGCTGAGTATGGGATTTCTTTAATCAGCCTTTATGTTCATAAACTGGTCAACTTCAGATTAGACGCTAGTGGTCTCAAAGAGAGTAACTTTTCTTCTACCGCCCATCTTCAAGCTTCCTGGTCTCCGCTGTTAATAGCTCATGTCACTAATAATAAAGTATAAGAATGAGATCTAGCAAAAGGTCCGATTATCAGAATGCGCGAACCAAGATGTCGAATACTGAGCTGGTTCTACTGTATTTGAAAACAGGACTCTTGAGACAAGGCTCGTGTAATCAAATTTGAGTTGCCGAAATCAGTCAGTCTGATAAGGTCTGGAAATGTGAAGTAGGTCGCTCAGGCGCTGTGAGAAATTCGTCACCAGAGTTGCATACTGGCCGAGGTCTCTGGTGTATCTGCGTCAACAGGGTCATGGTAAGATCAACATGAAAGTTTTTAGAAAGTCGTCGTGTATTTTGCATCACGACTAGATCAGAAATACAAGTGGCTCTTGAACTTCTTGAAGATGCAATGAAATATCCCATAAAGCATATGAGGATATGAATATTAAAGAGCAACATAGTGTCTTGGATCGTAGCCCTGCGTCATGTAAAATCGAGTATTTTGGGGACACCAGGCACATTTACTACCACTGCCTGCTAGTCATGATAATGACGAAGCGCCGTCATTGTGAGCGACCAAAATTATCGCATTAGAATTAAGGCAGAACAAGATTTTGTCAGCCTACAGATCGAGCGCCCGGGCTTTGCAACGTTTTAGACTTGTCGGCGGATAAAACCGAAGCATTCAGGATGGGGTAGTTCAATCCGCAATATGCTTGATTATAAAGACACTTATCGAAAGCCTCGCAGGTTTTCAAACTGAGTCCATTCTCAGAGAACAACACATTAGTGAAAGGAACTTTCAAATAAAATTTCCAGAATCTTATTTAGTGATTGGATTACACTTTGAGCCTTCAATTTGTGGGTCCTTTTCAATTACAGACTACCACCTGTCGAGAAAGTATTATTCCAGTTCTGAATGCGAGCTGGCAAAAGCGTGTACATTTTGCGGAAGGTCGTTCGTCAGATGGGTAATCTGCGACGCGCAACAGTAACGTTCCTCAACGGAAATCCTAGTCAGTTGAATGACAACTGTTGCCTTCTCAATGGCGATCTTCTCCTTCTCAGAACCTGTTCTTTATTCTTCGATCTCAAGTTCATGCTCATTCCATCCATTTTGGCTTTGCCTCAAAACTGGCCGTACTGAATTTAGCACGAAATAGTATTCTTGCCGCATTCTAGAGAAATCCAGGGCCAGCAAATCTGCCTGTAAGCTTGGATTTGGCTGTTTTTAGTGAGTTTTCGAGCTCGGTCTTCATCTAAGAATTTACTCCATAAAAGTTCATGTCTACCACACTGTCATGTACCACCCGAATATAGACTCCTCTCCATCGTCCGAGGATCTGTAATGGTTCTCTTGTATCACTTCATTTATGGGGTTTGACCAGTTAAATTAAACAGCAGTATCTTTCTGGGGTACCGCAAATTCAATATTCCTGTATACTACGAGAGAGTCAAGATTCCTTTATTTGGTTCACAGCTCTATGTGGTCTTCTTCATAAGTAGCATTCATGACCTTCGATATGAATTCAAATCTTGAAAGCGTTCCCACTGATGGACCGCCGAATTTCCGCGTCTCGGTAGTAATAATGCAACTAGCTGATTGGCATAGTTAATGACTAGCATCTGTAGCGTCAGTGCTGGGTCTGCGCTGCCTCAATTGCAACGACCTTGCAAATCAGTTCTAGGGCTACTATTGAAGGGACTCGCTTCGAATTTGCAAGTGCAGAATTTTGAACTTAAATCGGGCTCTTATGGAATCTTTGCCAAAATCATGCTCAGCAAACTGTTCTTAAACCCGCTTCGATGTATGAAACAGGTTGACCATCAACAAGTGGGCTTGAATATTGTACAGTTTTTGGTTTCATGAAACCAAACGCCACAAGACTTGAGGAATCGTTTGAGCTGCTGTCAACCCTACGTCGTCCATGTTACAACCCACGCTGTGTCCCTTTCAGACCAAAAATGGATGAGCCAGACGATTGGCATGATTGATGGTGTGGTAGAAACAATAAGTGCGCTCAGTGGTGGCCGACAGATCGATAAACCGTTAGAGACGTTGCGCCACGAATGGACATTTGGGATGTGTCTGATAATGACTCTCGACAGCTCCGCGTGCTGAGCCCTTGGCACCTGAAATATGCCCAACTTCTTGCTTCTCCTCCTCCTCCTCCTCCTCTCCATTTTCCAACAAAAAATAAATCCAACACTGACCTGCTTGGCGGCGACGATCGACACGCAAGACGGTTGGCGACGTACTACATGAAATACGCCATAATTAGCGTTGGACGGTAGTGTCATGCAACCTATTTGCGCGTCGAACGAGACCGGCTTGCATTGTCTCGGCGGCAATTTCTTGTTTGTCCTTGAGGGGAGGAGAAGACACGCGAAGATTTACGTACCATTACACAGACATTATACACTGCTCTCTCTGTATCTTTTGAATCGCTTTTATTCCAAAACCCAAAATCCAAAAGTGGTATGTTCAGGGAAAGGTCACCAGTAGGTTGTAGCCGCCCTTTTTATATGCGTCTTACGAAATACCCTAATTTTTGTTTTTGTGTCACATCTCCCGAAATAAAAAAACAAACAAAAAAGAAAGAACCCGTCTTAAGCGATTTACACACAAAAAATAATCCTTTTCAGAAATCACGTGTCTGGTTTTTTTACATCCGTCGAAAGCGATTCCATCGTCGGTCACGTGGCCCTAAAAACATCTACATCCGTTTATATCCGGTTTTCCATTTTTTTCCCCTCGTCATCTAGGCCTTGGGAAAAAAAAAGTCTCTATGGGTGCACATACTGCTCGAGCGCCAGGCAACTTCACATAATAGCACCCAAATACAAGAATTCCCACGTCCCGTATAGCCCGTCAGCGATCCAGGGTGCACAACTCTTCCAGCCCATCAACAACAATCTGTCTCACTATGTAGAGGGTCTCATCAATACATGGGTGTACAACCATAATGAGCTTCTTTCCACATTGCTCACTCACACGGCCCGCACATGGTGCTGAGCATTTTGATTAAGGAGATGGGGTGTGTGAAGCTAGGCCCGATTAGCGGTGCAGTTGAGCAGACTCAGCCAGACGATTTGTGGGTGTAGTGGCCGTGGCAGTGGTTTTATACATCATACACACGTATATTACATATATATATATATAGAGACGATTTCTGTAGTGTAGAAAGAGTAAGGTCGTAGGCAGAAGAAGAAGAGGAAGAGGAAGAGGAAGATCAAGAAGCAATGAACTCACATCTTAGTATCTCTTCACAAACAACACAAACGTCGTCGGTGTTTTCCGGCGAGGAAGACGGATTCGATGCCAAAATCAAGGAAATTGAAGATTACTACATGCGTACGCTGCTGGATGAAGAACCCGGGTCTGGTTTGGGTTCCGTTTCAGCTTTAACTCCAGTGTGGAAGCAGCACCAAAAGCAACAGCAGAACAAAACATGGGTGCAGCGGAGCGGGCAAGTAAACTTGCCCGCTGCTGCACCACAACTGGAAGTGGAAATTAATCCACAGTATATGCCTGCTACGGGCGTGTTACCATTGACAAGTGAAAACCTGAAACTGCTGCAGAACCCAAAACTCGCTCCACAACGTCCAGAGTGTTTGAAAACACCAACCGCTCCTGAAAAATGTAACAAGACTCTGTACAAGACAGAACTGTGCGAGTCGTTTTCCACTACAGGCAATTGTCGATACGGGTCCAATTGCCAATTTGCACACGGGCTGCAGGAACTCAAGTTCAAAGAGCGTAACAACAAGTTCAGAACCAAACCGTGCGTAAACTGGCTCAAAACGGGCTCTTGTCCTTACGGCCAGCGTTGCTGCTTCAAACACGGCAATGACGTTGACATCAAAGTGTACTTGCAGGCAGGTCACATCCCACATCAGCATCACCACCACCACCAACAAAATCGTTCCCAAAACGATGCGCCGGAACGCAGAAACCACCACGCCAACGTCCAGGCTTTGCAAAAAATGGCATGGTAGGAAGGAAGCCAAGCACGGATTTGTGCGTCTTTTTGCAGAGGTATGGAAAGCCCTGGAAATGGCTGTTCAGCGTCCCCGAATCTTATTTATACTATCTTCAATATCTTGGTTTATAGAATCTAAAATCGTCAAAACAAATTATACCCTCCGCGGTTTTGGCTTAAGGCCTGGTTCAATAGCGAGGTCTTCTCTCTTCATTTGGTCATATGTATTGAATTATATTGTTCTTTTTTGTAGTGCATTGTAGTGTAGTGTACTGTATTGTATTGTATTGAAATGGCTCAATTGCGTCTCAAGCATAGTTTTTGTTCAAACTCTTCAACGTTCCGCGGATGATCTTTATCCATTTCACGAACGCAACAACATCGTTATCGTCTAGTGCTTCTTTTATACCCGGGAAAGCAAAGCCTTGGTATCCGGTGTCCCTGCCAGCAGCGTACACCACATGTTTAAACCAAGGTCTTCCGTCAAGGCCTTTATTGTGAAGAAACGTTCTTTCAAAGTATCTCAGCTTGTAGTTGAAGCCCTTGATTTTGTAGTGCAGCAAGATCCGTCTCCAGAATGGAAGACCTTCAGACGCATCCCATTTGGATTGCAAAGCCTCTGTGCGCTGATCAAAAACACCGGCGTTTTGAACAAATGTAGCGAGATGATCTTCCAAGGAGGCAATCACGTCCGAAACTGTGCGGTGACATTTTCCAGATGGGATGTCCAGCCACTCTGCTGGAACTCTCTCGACTAGCGTTTTGAAGTAAAGTTCCATCTCTGTGGCATATGTCGAAATTTCCGCTGGTGTCACTTTACGCTCAGTGAGCTTGAGTGCAATCAATCCGAAATATTTGGCCAAGGCGTTATGGAATTTGAATCCAGGATCCGCCATGGTGGACATCCAATGGTAGGAGTCATAATTCGAGTGATAATGGTAAACGGGATCCTTAGGACCCGTGTCGAACCCCGAATCCACAGAAGGAATACCAAGATGCTCCAAGAACACCGTGTAATCCGATCCGCTGCCCAAGATCCCGAATTTGTCGTTTTTCTCAAAAAAATGCTCGTGAAGCGAACCTCCAAGAGGATAGTCTACCAAGTGTAGAGATTCATTCAAAACTTTGTTCAGAAAGGGCGAGGCTTGAATCCCGAGAACTTTCCCCGAGGCTGCAACGTCAACGTTTAGATACGCCAGACAGTTCGACTGCAAATCTTTGGCATACTTCTCACCAAATTCTGTGGATCCTAATAAGGCATATTCTTCGCCGTCCCAGGATGCAAACACAATCGTTTTGCGAGGTTTCCACCCGGTCAGCTGCAGTTCATGGAAACCGCGAATAACTTCCAGCAATGCGGCCGATCCACTGTTTGGATCAGATGCACCGCCTTTGATCCACGCATCCCGATGATTGCCAATCAAGATGTATCCCTCTTCGGGGTCGCTTCCAGTTATATTCCCGTAGACGTTGAAAATTGGACGAATATCATAAGATTGATTGTTGTATAGGTTCAACGTGTACTCGGGTGCGGGTCCAGTCCAATAGTCGAACCCAGCAATTCCTCCCTTCCATCTGTCTCCGCCAATTTTGGGCCCATTGAGTCCGTGGCCGTTCAGCTTCTGCAAAATAGGTGTCACTTCCTTATGAGAGATGGGCAAGCTTGGGATATCGGGAATGCGCCCCTTGGGGTCTGTCCGCTCAACGTCACCCTGCGATGGATAACCTGGCGTTGTAGGGTCCCCTGGAGCTTCACTCAAAAACTGAACCGAGCCTCTTTGCAAAGAAGAAGGATTTCTTGCAGGACCCTGGGGGTATGGCTTGTCACCATTGGCTTCCTGATAATAATCGTCACCAGGATCGGAGTAGATTAGAACTCCAACACACCCGGCCTCTTGTGCAAATTTCACCTTCAACCCTCTAAAGATTTTACCGTACCTTGCAATGGCTATTTTGTCTTTGAAGTCAATGTCATGGCTTTTCAAAAGCTCAAAGTCTTCCCTTGTGCCGTAGTTGACATATACGTAATTTGCAGTAACATTTCCCGACGCACTGTATCCGTGAAAAGCAGGAACTAGGTCGTCTCCACTTGTCGTAGGATCTTCAGGAAGGGAGTCTTCTTGCAAGGTAGCTCTGTAGGCTACGGAGGTGCCATTTCTGCCTCTTTCCAGCAAAGCTAGTCCGTTTTCCACAGGATAGTTCAGGTAAATATCAAACTTTTCAATTTTAGTCGAGAGGCCGTATTCTTTGAATTTCTCAGCCGTCCAGCCCACCAATTCGAGTCCCTGACCTGCCAAATGCGGGATCGAAGTATACTTCTCCGACCAATTACCTGCCAAATTCGTGTTTAAAGCGCCCAGATAAGCATTTTCAATGGGTGAAGCAACTCCTAAAGTTCCACTCTTTCCATGGGAAAGACTTCCATTTGAGACGGGAGACAATCCAAGTCCTATGGCGATCCAGCAGATTCCTACGAGTGTTATAATTCCTCGACAAATGTTCCTTATTAGCCCGTTTGAACGCTGCTTTTCTGCACTAATTGACGTTCTGAGTTTCTCCTCATCTTTCATGGCTCAAAAAAGTTATTTGACCGGTTGAATCGTAGCTCAATTGGTGTTCGTAGTTCAATTGGTGTTTAAAGTTAACCAAGATCTGTCGATTTGTTATCTTCCCTTTCAATTATATTATACATCTTTTGATAAGAACCACATAAAAAACATCACGTGACACACTAGTAAGATCGGTTAGTTGGCTCTGACACCAGGAAAACTGTCATAGCTCGATAGTCAAAGTTGCCATATCAGCTGCGAAATCGACTAGCATTGCCCAGCTGATGAAGCTCTGAGATTTATTCCTTTCAAAACTTTAAACGGAATACTTGATCCTGTAGAGAATCCAATTTGGTGCGAAGCTCGTTTGTCTCTAATTGTTGCAAGAAACGACCCTCGTTTTGGACTGTGCTTCTGGTGGATCCCTTGAAATCACAGATCAGAACACCATTTGTATTTTCATGGTCTAAGGGTTCTCGTAGAAGTGCTCCGCTTTGCGCTTCCCGCAGAAAATCCACGTCTGGTCGAGGATAGCCTTTGGTTGGTGAGCTGCGGTGTTTCGCCTGGAAGCTGATAGATCTTGTTCGTATCAGTAGAGTCGGCAGCAGGGTCATCTAGCTCGATGCCATCCATGTTCCGCTGGATCAAGTATCGTAACGAGTTGAACCAGATATTATGCCGCTGTCTCGTTGCACATGTGATTTTAACAGACCGCGTCTCGGTCTTGATGACGATGCTCTTGTGATAGAGGCCCACAGGGTAGGGATTTGGGTCATCTAAGCTCTCAACGCCAAGAATGGCAGCCGCTCTGGTTTTATTTGTAGCAGGATTTCCCAAGACAGGGTTGTGCGTCGACCAGTAAAGTGTAAGAGTGTAGGGATGCACCCAAAAGTATCTTTCATGACGGGAGCTGACGTTGGCAATAGGTCCGAGACGTCTGTAGTACTTGTAAAGGTACTCCCCGATGACTGTTTGCGTTAAGGCAGGGATGATGCTTGGTTCGCTTAGCGAGGCAACTGTTGCCAGTGATATGCCACCGTCAAATGAAGTTTGGCGAACTCCGACTTCGGCATTCAGAATGGGCTGACGACCTGATGACAAAGAGGTACGACGACCATGCGAACGGATGGTCACCATGTCATAGTCATTATAAGCTGCGTTTGCAGCCGCCTCGGCTAAAGTTCTTCTGTTCCCTGATTCTGATGACAGATTGGAATGGATGGTAGACTGTCTACTGACCTTGTGCCTTTGTGGTGACACATCTGTGAATGGTTGCGTAGAGTTGACCTTTCCATTAGAGGACAAGCCGCGTTTTTTCGCCTCCACTAGCAGCTCGTCATTCGTGGCCATTTTCAGACCTTCTTGATCTTTTGCGAGAATATAATCGTAATACGTGGAGGGAAGCACCACAACATTTTGCGGATCCATACCACCAGCACTGGTTGTGGCAACGAATGCACTTTCAGGAACACACATCAATCCGAGTTTTTTGGCTAGCGCATCGAGGTGCATCTTATCTTCGTTATCTTCAGAGAGTTCAGTCTCGTCAACGCCAGAAGATGTGAACTCGTCGTCTTCGCTCCTGCTCTTCCTGTGCGCCAACCTTTCAAATTCTTCCTTTTCTACGGTAACCAGGCCATATGCTGTAGCATTTTTCATAATCTGTTCCTTGGTCATGGAAGGATTGGAGAGCTCCTCTTTGATTTGCTCAAACTGCTTTTTCTGTATTGGCACTAAATCAAACTCTGCTGCCTTAATCATGAGGTCGTCTAATGTCAAGGTTTTGGGCGCCGCAGCCAGTTCTTCCTTAATTAACGCAAACTGTTCTGCCTCAAGAGACACCAGACCAAACTCGTGTGCTTTCTCAATCAGTTCAGCCTTATTCCAAGAGTGGTTAGCACTAGGTGGCGGCAGACTTCCAGTTTCCATCATGTCGCCCTTTTCGAAAGGCCCAGAAAATTTGCCTGCGTCCAATCTCGAACTTCTGTTATCAACAGTTGTGTCAGGGGATCGTTCTTTCACAGAATCTGTATCTCGGTTGATACTTCTGGAGTCACAACCCAAATCGGCTTCTTCATTTGTTGAAGCCTGATTGTTAAATTCCACCTGCATTTGAGACTCTTGACTCCTTGTAGCAGTGGTGGTATCGTGTATCATACTTGAACTGCCATTTGCGTAGAGGTCATTCTCATGATCGATGAGAGCATCCTCTTCAGTAAAGGTTTCTGGAATGAACATAGGTCCTTGTTGGCCTTTTTCTGTTTGTAAAGTCTTCAACTTCAAGAATAGGGCATTTTCATTCTCCGTTATGACAACTAGGCCAAGTTTCGCTGCCCGTTCTTTGAGATCATTTTCATCCCAATCACTTGCTGAGCTGGAGATTGTGCTCGCTTCATCAGATACCGTGTCTTCATTCAAAGGGCTTGATCTCATCTCAAGAGCAGGAGCCAAACTTTCTTCGCAGAATGTCCTGTCCTGTACATTTGACGATTCCTCAGCTCTCACTGCATTTGCTTTGACCAGAACGAAGCCTAGAGATTTTGCTTGTTCTTCGAGTTTTGAAACGCAATCCATACTACCTTCCTTGTTGAGAGTGGAAACGCGAGAAAGTTGCTGATTACTCAATGCGTCCGTATAGTACGCAGAGCTTACATCAAGTGAACCGTTGAACAAAGAATCGTTAGGCTCGGATTGTAGAGCGTCGAAGTATTCGCTGCTGTTCGTCACCGTTCTGCTCAAATGCACGCTTGATGCATCATCACTTCGAGTTACATTGCCAAATGTATCCCGGACTTCTGCTGGCGATCGTCCTCTAGGAGATTTTACACGTGTAATGGTTTCCAGCTTTTCTAGCATAGACTCAAACTCTTGCACCGACACTACGGTTAGGCCCAAAGAATTCGCCGCATTGTGTATTTCAGTGATTCCAAGAGTCGCAGGGCCTTCCCGGTGCGTGTCCTGAATGTCGGATCTGACTGGTGTCTCCAGCCCTGTGCTAGCAATTTCGCCAATGCGGGTTGGAATTTTGGATGACTCGATGCCTGTAAGTTCCAGTTTTTCGAGATGCTCCTTTGAGATAATGATGTGATCAGGATAGAGCTTTACTTTGTTCTCAAGGAATTCAAGCGTCGGCTTATCGGCCGTGGTAGAATACTGTTCCCAAAGCGAAGCTGGCACTACCTCACATTCAAAAATGTTCGCCTTCTCTTTCAAATAATCCATGCTTGGGGTGTCAAGAGTAGATAGGCCCTTTTCATAGACAGTTTTGTCTACCAAGGCAAAACCCATGTCACTCGCCTTCGATTTGAGATAGTCTTCTCCAGGTTTTGCCATTGTGGCTTTCAATTCCTCATATTCCTCCTGACCAACGAGTACACGATCCACAGCAGACGCAAGGTAGGCGACAAATTCTGGGGTAGGGTTGGCCAACTTCTTGTTATTGTCCTCGAGCAAATGGAGTTCTTCGGTATCTACTACCCCTTTTTCACGAAGCGCAGCTTTGCTGCAAATGTATTCCAATGTTGGTTTCTCAATAGTGTCTTGCATTTTTTTCAAATCGGCATTAGTCACAATAGTACAAGAAAGTCTAGAAGCGAGTCTACCAATGTCTTCGACCGACATTCGGTCTTCCACGGAGCAAAGCTCTGTATATTCGTTCTGTGCTATCAGGACAAAATCGTGCTTTTGTGCAGCGTCTCTCAAGAATTCTACAGGAGGGTTTTTCAAAAGTTCGACCTCCTCTCTGGAAGCGATTACCTTCCCGATTTTTTCGACTTTGAGCTCCAATTCGTTCACTTCGGGAAAGGCCTCTCTTCTTCGTAATTCCTCGAGCTCAGCTCCATCAATAGTCACCAACCCCATTCCGGTGGCCTTTTCTTTGATATAAGTCTCGCTTGGTTTCTCCAAACTGCTCAGCAAATTCTGGTATTCTTCCAATGAGAGGACAGAGTGGTCCTGCTGAGCAGCTTTCGCTTTCAAATGTTCCATTGACGGTTTTTCGCCAATTTCTAGTAGCATGTCATATTGGGTCTTGTCCAACACGACTTTGCCCATTTTTTCCACCTGGACTTCCATCCAGTCTAGGGGAGGGTTTTCGAGTTTATCCACCATTTTTTGGTAAACTGGCTTATCGACAAGAACCAGTTTCAGTTTTTCTGATCCGCGCTGAAGTGCTTCAAGAGGAGCTGAATATGCTTCTTCGCGAAGATCGGCTAACTCATGCGAGGAAATTAGTACCTTGCCACTCTTTTCAGCACAAGCCTGAAGAACACTTTCGGGAGGTTCCGCTATAGCAAGCTTTAGAGCTGAGAACTCCTCTTGCGACATTATTGCCAAGTTGTTTTTTTCACAGAATTCGAGAACAACTTTGTCATCTAGCCTCTCGAGGAGTGGCCGTTTCAAAGTTTCAAGTTCTGTCACGCTAATCACTGTGCTTCCAAATGTTGCTAGTTGGGATTTTAGCCTTTCGACAGTTGCAATGTTGACATTTTCATTGCAGAGCCTTATGTATTCCTCCTCTGGTATCGCTTTCATTCCAAGCTCTTCGACCTTTTGTATGGCCGATTCCGGTTTTGATGAAGCCATCATGGTAGTGTAATCGTTTTCGGAGAGAACTACCAGGCCTAAAGCTGACGACTTTTCGCTGATGAAGCTTCTCGAAGGGTTTTTTACGGCATCTTGCAAGGTATTGTGCTCTTCCTCTGTCAGTACGACGCTTTCAAGTTTCGTTGCATAAATTTTAACATCTGATAGTGATGGGCTTTCTACCTTGCTTATTAGCTCCTGGTGCTCTGTTTTCTTAATTAAAGCGTATCCCAGTTTATTACTCTCAGTAGTCAAGAACTCCAAGCTCGGGGAAGCCGCTGTGGCCTTAAGTGATTTCAATACGTCATTAGGAACCAGAGCGTGTCCTTTGATTTTTGATTCAATGAAATCAAGGGGAGGATCATTCAGCATTTCCACCATTTTGCGATTCTCGGCCTCAGGTATAAGTAGCAAACCCAAATTACTTGCCTTTTGACGCAAAGTAGGTAAGGTGGGGTTCTCAACAAAATCCTTAAGTTGTCCATACTCCTCAATTTTCATAACATGATAACCTGACTCCTTCAGCTTCTCTTCCATCAGGGCAATTGGTGGACTTGAAGCGTTAGACTTTAACGCCGCGAGTTCGTTTGCTTCGATAGCAGCAAAACCCTTTTCCTCTAGTTTCATTTTCAAGAAAGTCAACTCAGGAACCTCGACATGTTTTTTCAAGTTTGAAAGTTCCTGAGCATCAACAGCCACCATGTTACGCTCCCCAAGATTTTGTTCTATCTGAGCCATATCTTGGGAGCCTTCGTTTTGTAGCATTTCTCTATAGTTACTCTCGCTGACCGGAATGAAGCCTTTCTCTTTCAAGCATTCTTCAAGAAACGACATCTTAGGCGATGTGGCGGTTTCTTTCAGCTTTCTCAGCTCACTTTGATCGATTACAGTGGAGCCGTGCCTTTCAACCTCTGCTCTTAATGACGCAAGATCTGGCCTTTCGCCATTTATGCTCAGCTGAGAGAATCTGTCCTTCTGCAAGATACACAAACCGAAGATTGCCAGTTTTTCTTCAAGAAAGCTTTGGTCAGGGTTGTCGCGCAAATCCACCAGTTTTGAATACTCATCATCACCGATAGCCTTCATGCCTAGGTTCTTCAGTTTAAGCTCAAGGTAGGACTGAGTTGGATTGTTCAAAGATTGACTCATACTTTGGTATTCTTCACGTTTGACAGCAACAAGTTCGGCAGGACTTTCAAGATCTTCACTCAAACCCAAGATCTGCGCCGGAACCATGTCGAATTTTCTTAACTTTTCTTCCAGCAGGGGGAGTTCAGGGTCTTCGGAAAGTGTACGAAGACTCGATAGCGTCTCTTCCTCGATCATCGAAAAACCCTGTTCTTTGGCTTTTTTCTCCAAGTAAGTTAATGCCGGCTTTTCCAGTTGATGCTTCATTGCCAATGTCTCCTTCAATTGTTTCTCCATTGCTAACAGTTCTTGCTCCTCAACTGGCAAGTACCCATAGGTTTTCAGTTTTTCGTCCAAAAATGATTTTTCGGGCTGCTCTAATTGTCTATGAAGCCCCATAAGTTCATCACTTTCGATGGACATATATCCTAGCCGTCCCAATTTTGAGTCCAAATATGACCTGCTTGGCTCCTCTGCGTTTTTTAGAAGCTCCTGGAATTCTTCTTTCTTTACCACTTCGTAACCCAATGATTTGCATTTGGAGATCAGATAAGCAAGATCGGGTTCGTCAACTTGATTTTTCAATGCTGTCAAATTATCGAAATCCGACAAGTGAAGTCCTTTGTTTTTTGCATGATCTTTTAAATACTCCATGGTTGGACTTTCGATCTTTGCGTTCATGTCTGACCATTTCTGTTGGTCTATGAGGACTTTATCATACGTCCCGCAATGGTTTTGCAAAAAGTCAAGTCCTGGTTGCTCCACGCAGCGCGTCATTTCTTCATGTCTTTTAACTTCCAGCATGACTAGGCCTCGATCATGGGTAAGTTTCTGCAATTCTTCATTTGAGGGGTCTTCAGCCTTCCTCAGTAATTCATTGTAGTCCTCTTTTTTGAAAACAAGAAAGTCCAGCTCATCACTGAGCCAATTCAGCACAGGTTTGAGATAATGGTCTCTTACACTTTTTTCGACAGTTTCGAGCTTAGGAAGCTCCAGCTCGGCCACCAGTTTTTGGTATTCATCCTCTTCAAAGACTTTGAGATTTCGCTCTAATCCCTTGGCCTTTATAAAGGCATCGTCAGGAGTGGCGAGGATTTGGCGAAGTTGAGTGATCTCTAAAGTACTTATGCACTCGAGATCGAATTTGGCTGCCATCTGGGCAATACGATTGACATCTGGGTTGATCAAAATAGAGTACTCTTCGCTCGAAATGACATGATGTCCTTCAGCTTCCACTTTCTCCTTGAGCTGCTCTTGTGATGGCCGGAGAAGATTCTCGTGCTCATGTTTGGTGAGGACAACTAGTCCGATAGAGCCTGCTTTTTTTTGGACCCAGGATCGATCCGTATTATTCAGTTTTTCATAGTCTTTTTCAGATAGAAGAATATGTTTGAGCTCAGTTGCACGTCGACTGAGGTCTGCTAAACCTGGACTGCGGAGAGTTTCGTGTAGCTCCTTACTTATTAATGAACTCCCTCTTTTTTCTGCAGCTTCGGATAAGTATGCCAATGTCGGATTCTCCAAATTGGAGACTGTAGACTCCCATTTGCTGCTGTCTATAAGTTCGAAACCAGCGTTCTTTGCTTGTGACCTCAGAGTTTCTATCGTAGGCTTTAACAGCTCGGTGTATAGATCACTTGGAATTGCAACTTTGTTGTGACTGTTCAAATGCAGATCGAGAAATTCTTGGGATGAATTCTTGGCAGTTTCCTTCAAGACATCTAGCTCATTGGTCGACAGAGCAGTAAAATTAAATTTGGCAAGTTGTTCGGTTAAAGCCGCCAATGTAGGGGATTTAAAAGACTCATATTCTTGTTCAGTAATGATACGCTTCCCTTGTTCCGTTGCTTTTCCCTCCAGATATTCTCCTGGTGGCGAATTCCAACTTGAAAGAACATTGTCAATTTCTTGATGCGCTTCAGGGCTATAAACCACATAATTTTTATCCTGAAGATGAGCAATCATAAATTCGTCACTTGACTCGACACTTTTGCTATTTTCCTGCGCAAGAACGTCGGATTTTTCTTCAATGCCCTTCTGCATGGGTCGCAACAATGTATATTCTGTTTTTGAGAGCAGTACGAGATCATGGGAGTCTGCGAATTTCTTTACGTGTCCATAATCCAGGTTGAGACCCTCATCACCAGAAAGATCATCCAAAATGGGGTTACGTGGAGCATCCATGGTGTCTGTCACATCACCCACTGAATCGATATCCGAGGAATAATCAAGGGACCTGCTAGCCTCGAGAGAATCGATCGAGTCGTCAAAGGTGGAAGCTCCTGCATGTGGTGCGCTCTCATGCAATGTTTTGACTGCTTTGGCTTGAGAGACCTTGCTATTTGATGCTTCCGCTTTGCGGTTTTCACCTTGCGCTTTTTGAAGAAGAAATATTTGTTGTTTTAACTTATCGATGACTCGGTTGGCTTCGGCCAGTTTGCTGTCAATAGGCTCATTAAGTTGCACCTGCGCTTTTCTTAAATCAGCTGCTTCAGGGGAGTCCAAAGTTCTCGACTTTGAAGTCTCAAGCTCCGAACTTTTGAAGTCTGGGGCAAGAGAGCTTTCAAGCTCTTTCGCTTCTTCGTGCTTCGTTGTAAGCTGACCAATCTCGGTGGACATCTCGTCAACTTTTCGCTGAAGATCGTCGTTTTCCTCATTGAGCTCCACAATATTTCTTTTGAGTTCTGCAAGATCCGCAGCGCTCTGTTGTTGGGTATTTTTTAGCTGTGTCTCAAGGCCCTGTTTCTCATAATGTACTTCTTCATATTTGGTTTGGATCTCGTCGTACATACTCATTTTTGAATGCAATTCCTTCTTTGTTCGTTCAGACGAGTCTCTCAGCTCTCTCAGCTGTTCGGTGATATCCTGCAATTTAGTTTCGAGCTCCCAGTTTGTGTCTTTCAAAGACAATCCTTCCTGCTGGGCACCCTGAAATTTTGTAGACAAAGCGTTGAAATTTGTATTAAGAACTTCGGACTCCTGTTGTAAAGACTTCAATTTGAGCGACTTCTTCTCGTTCTCAGCCTGTAGACGACGACACTCCATTAAAAGGTTTTCGCTCAATCCGACCATGAAGTTAACGTCTTTAGAGGAATCACTATTGACAACGTTATTATGGGTCGAACTGCCTGCAAAAACGGGCATTGACGTCCGCTTATCTCGCTTGCTCAAAATATTTGAAAAAGGGGAGTGTTTCTTGGAGTCTCTCTTAGACAAGGCCTCTTCGGTTTCATGGTCGATTCGTTTCTGCATATCTTCCAATTGCGACCTCAGGTCGCTGTCCCTAGTTTTCTTGCCCTGGCCACGAGATTGCGGCATTGCAGAGAGCTTAACGGGGTGCACTCCTTGGATTCACGAGAATTGTTGAGTTTGAGATCAAAAGGCTGAAGATGAGAGTCCTTGATCTGCTCACTAAGGATGATGTTCATTTTATATATGTATACCGTAAAATAATAACAGTAGATTTATAGCTGAAAAAACAAGTCACGTGAAGAGTATAAGAATATGGGAAAGAATGCCTCTTGGCGGTCAGCGATTTTAGTCTGAAAGCTCTACATGGTAGACTTGGTGTCTGCAGGATTCCTCAAACATATTCCCATACAATCTGCCCAACTTCTTATGGTTGTTTCCTCAAGGTCGGCAATAAGTGGATTTTGCTCGATTAGATATTGTAGCAGGTCTGGAAAAACCAAGGGCTCAAAGGTGTATACTTTTTCCAAAAGTCGAGTGTTAGCTTCAACGATAGCCGTCAGCTGATGATAGATCTCCTGGCGTTGCTGTTCGTGGGATTCCCCGATAAATGTTTGAGATGCCGACTCCATTTGCTGAAGCATACCAGATCGCGTGCGCTTAGGTTTAAAGCCAATTGACTTTAAACTGTGCCGAAGCTCCTTAGCAGAAAGAGGCATAGAAGCAGGCAAAGAAGCCGGCCGTTCGGGGGGCTGTGCGTCCGTGGGTTGGGTGGAGCCAGAAAACACTGTATTTTCTCGAGTGGTCGTTGCTGAGACTATTTTATCAGCACGAGTAGGGGATCGTGACACAGCAAAGCCGACGTTAGCACGTAGCAAGTCGTAAGTACCTTCTTGTCCCTCTTCCTCTTCGCTATCATTGTAGGAGGACTCGAGAGCTTCCCAACGAATGTGCGTGACGCCTCTGACAGAGGCAAAGACGGCTGTAAGGTCGACATTTTCATACTTTCGAAACAACAAGCTTGTTGAAGCGGGTCGAGGAAAAACAGGATTATCATTCCAAGTGGTTGTTCTGGTCATAGGGACCTGGAGATCGGGTTTCACAACCGACAACAGGGAAGTGACGACGTGAAACGAGTTTTGCGTCAAATCTATGAGTTGATCTCGTCCAGCTAGCTTTGGTGGAGATGCAAAAATCGTGCTCGAAGGCCCAACGGCACCTGTTGAAGTTTGATGGGGTTTAGCGATCGATAGCTGTCCGATTTCGGGAGCTCTTGTAGACATGCTCAATTGCAAAGGTTCAATTAGTGGCTCCTTAGCAAAAGGAAAGGACGCTAGTCTTGAGGGGCACACTGGAGGTGAACGCAACATCTGCTCTTTGAAAATTTGTGCTGCCTCCTGATCAATGGATATTTCGAAGTCCGATTCGTCCGTGGTATTGGGAATACGAGATAACGAATCACAAGGTGACAGAGTGCTGGAATTTTCTTCGACAGCCTGGGAAAGAGTAAGCGCCAACGGAGACTCAGCAGCCGGTAAACCAGGTCCCTTGCCAGACTGCTCACTCTGTTTTTGAGAGCCAGCTGGCGGCAGCTGGGAGCCGTACCAGACATGCGATTCGTCCTGTTCATCACCGTACAGATAGTCAAAGACAGCGTCGACCTGGGACGGCGGACAGCGAGGAAACCGGGAACTCAAAAGGTCGAGAATATTGGACCATTCTTGAGCGTTGAAGGTGGAAAATGAAGGCCGTCTTTGCGCTGACGTGCCGACAGGAGCAAATTCAGAATCGACACAGTCCAAAAGGTCCTTCAATTTGCCTTTTTTCCCGGACAGAACAGACATGACGTGGCGTTTCCGTTGCTGGCTCTTGATCGATTCGTAATTTTGGGTCTTGTATTGCGTTAAGCTTTTTACCTGCGTCGAGTTTTTCTTGCGCCTTTTGCTAGGACGCTGATTACTAGACACATTACCCTTTTTCGCAGTTCTGCTGCTTATGCTCGTCTCCAAAGCTGCTGGAAGAGGTGTATCCAGTGCAAATTGAGACAAGTCCTTGCGTAGCCCGTCTTTCAGCTGTAAATCGTCTAGCTTGCTTTGTATTTGTGTACTGAGCAAAACGTTACCGCTGGAATCGTCAGGAATTTGAGTCATGGGAATATCTCCTTCTCCACCCACTGTATCGCGCGAATCCTTTTCTAGTGAATAGCTTTCAGTCCCAGCTGCGACGTCTGCTGCGAGCTTCAGACATCGCTGAGCCGTTTGGAAATTCATACCCTAAGTAGTCATGAATGTGTAAATGAGCAGCACTCACTAATTGTAATGTAAAGGGCCGGAACAGGTCAAGCTATAGTGTTGTTTCGCGTCAAGACTAGGTCTTTTCTGGGATGAATTTATGTATATTTATGTATTTGATGTCAATTTAGTTGATGTTGATCTTGCTAGTAGTATAAGATGATACAAATCCTGCTGACCTAAAGTAAAGGGCGTGTATGCTCCTGATGTGAGATTTCAAGTACAATACAGAGAGGGAATTATGGGGAAATAGTCGGAATGTGTTTATAATTCAATTGTGTTGTTACTGAGGCTATTCTTTCTTTTTCAAGCTGGTTGTTTGTTGAAGTTGGAAAAGAAAAAAAACTGTATTGCAAAGATACGTAATTTTATGTATTACTGCGTTCTTTTGGCACTACAATCTCAAGGTATAGAAACCAAAGAATAATCAACTGCCGAACCAAGCTTTAACTACCAACACAACTTCGATCGTTCTTTCATGACGCTTATGCTGATATCGATCATGTAGTACGGGTGTGTCACCAACGCCCTTAAATTAGCTACATAAAGCTTCAAATTCGAGAATCACACTGGAACTGTTGATCCAGCTCGCGGTTAGCAGCCCAAACTTCTAAACTATGCTCAGAACCTTAGTCCCCGGTGTGGTATTGCTGTTCGTGGTCTTTTGGGCTGGTACTCAGCTCAACGTACACGGAAACCCCGTTTCTCTCCCTTACACGAGCGAAAGGGCCAACAAAACCGCGCATTCTGGTCAGAACATCGGTATCACCGGATTTGAGCTGCTGAACTACTTTAAAACCCAAGTTTTGCCCGGATTGACATCAAATAGGCCCCACGGCGTGGCAGTGTCGAGCTTCTACGACTCTTTTGTGGCCTATTTATCGCCAGATGCTGGACACAAATCGTGCTTTCCTGAGGGCTCTACAGTCAGTAAGTTAAACAGGAATGTTAACCCAGTGACAAAGGTGCATTCGCACAACGACTATTGGCGCGATTTACCTCTTTTCGAAGCGTTGTGCCATGGAATTGCAAGCGTCGAAGCAGATGTGTGGCTCATAGACGGCAGTGAGGAACTGGCCGTCGGCCACAACCAAGCGTTTTTGGATCCCGAACATAGAACGCTCAATTCGTTGTACACGAAGCCCCTGCTTAGAATGCTGAACGAGGTGAATTGTCTCGAGGATTTGCAAGATCACAAATACGGCGTCTTTTACAACTCTCCAGAAACGACGCTTTATATGTATATCGATTTCAAGTCTGAAAACGGCTCACAGACCTATGCCCACTTGATCAATAATCATTTGAGACCCTTGATAGACGCCGGATACCTGACTAATTTCAATTTACAATCGAAGCAGATTGAATGGAATCCTGTAACCGTGGTCTTGACAGGAGACTATCCAACAGATCTGAAAGTTTTGGACGGACAAGATGATGATGGGATATTGCACACTAATCAAAGATTTGTGTTTTTGGATGCACCATTGTATGACCTTCAGCCACAACACGAACAGCTTTCCGTTGTGGCATCGGCCTCAATATCGCAACTGCTCTCAAATTGCAGCAATAGCACAGCTTCACAAAGTAGCAACGGTCTATCTAAAGACGAAATCAATTGCATAAGGCCATTTGTTGCAAAGGCACACGCAATGAATCTCAAAACGCGAATTTGGGGAGTTCCAAACTGGCCCAATAATTTGAGAAAACAGCTATGGAGGCAACAAGTATATGAACTCGAGGTGGACGTCCTGAATGTCGACCATTTATACGAGGCTTCGCAAGTTTTCTGAAAAAGCCTGTCTCATAAAAAGAAATAAAAATGGTGTCAAAAAAGTTACGTTTTCAAGAAAGCGGCCTAGTGCAGAGTTTGCCAGTTAGAACACATCGGCTGATGTGTCGAGAACTGGCGAAGGAACCAGCAAAATATTTTGTAATTTGTTTTGGGTCTTGTTGAAAGAAAGGCTCTAACGAGCCTCTCTTTCTACATTCCCAAATCCTCCCCATACTTCCCAATCCGAAAGGGAAAAAAGAATGAAATCAAAAATTATAAGACCTACCCGTTTCTACCAAGCGTGGTTCCTGTACTATACCGACACTTCGCAACAGCACACCTTCGCCATGCAATAGCGGAATCCGTTTGGCAGCCATCCCAGGCCGTCATCCGAAGACAATGGCCACAAACAACCGCCAATGCGATACCTATACATGGGAATCGACTGTTGTCACAAAGAGCTGAAGTTTCAGCACTTAAAGCGGCCAGAATCCACACCCGACTTTCCCAGCGCTGACTTGTAATCAGCACCATCCTTCTCCAGGCAGAAGAAACAAAGGGCTCCAACAAGCACACCATTGTCTCTCTTAAGAAAGAAAATGACACACCCGCAGAACGAGAAAACGAAACGTCAGCAAATACACCTTTCGCGAGTATGTGCAGTCTACATTTGAGACCCAGCAAGCAAACCTATACTCTGAAAAATATAGGCATCGCTCCAGAAAGACATATCTGGCCAGAAGGACTTCTTGATCTCCTCTGACATCTTAAGGTAAGTATGAGGAGAGAAACAAAATTCAAAAAAGATGTGATGATCAGAAGAGAGTACTTTCCAATTCTGACCGCTATTTATACATTTTTTTTCTTGATGGAAAAATTAGGTTTTGATAATCACGAGGAAAAAAAATTATGCGTGGTAGAGGTTTTGATCACGAAAACATCAATGTGTCGTCGACGACAAAGTCAGTGTTCAAGAATCAAGAAGGGCTTGTATGGAGTTTTCGGCAGACCAGTTGTTAATGTTCGCCGATTAGTTCTGGTTTGAAAACTTTGACGTGAATCTCTATTGATAGTGTTTCTTATTTTAAATGCGAAGCACGGCGATGAGTACCAGAGCCAGTAAAAAGATCAGTTTGTTGGCGTCTGTCTAACAAAATTTCAATTGGTCCATTGCTGTAGGTTTGCTTTACATGATTGGTCTTGATTCTCAATATTGATGTCTCAAATCAAGATCTGTGTCCATTTTGCTAGTCTATAAACATTTGTGCCCACATTTCTGACCAAAACAAAATTATGGACTGAATCCAATTTTTGGGCTTCGCGAGCGTCGATAAACCCCGTGCAGACGCCGCAACCTTCTCCCAAATGGAATGTGCCACATGTGGCAAATCCAATCAAATCTGACACTTGTGGTACAGGATGCTGAGATTCGTGATCTCTTTTACCGTTTGCGCGCGACTGTAATTGTGAGATCGACCGCCAGTAGCCAAGATCCTTCTCGGGAATTGAATAGATCCGTGCAGAGTCCTTGGGATGTCCTCTTTCCAAGAATTTACAGCTAATAGCTACTACTGGAAGAGGACAAGAGACAATGGTTTGCTGCAAGGATTGCTGGCCTGCGGTAAAATCTCGTACACTGGGCTTGAATCTCGAAATTGACTGGTTGACCAGCTCTAGTGGTAATCCAAAAGGCTTGTACCTACCAGCACACACGTCTCCATAAAGTTCAACGACGTCGTTGATATACTCCAGCCTGCGTTGGTTTAACTCGTCAAATTGAGAGGTTCGCTTAGAGTCGCACATTTTCAGATCTTTGTCGCTGTGAGATAGCAAGTACATCAAACCGTTTCTCAAAACTTGTAAGAAACGCCAGTCACAAGAGAAGGGATCTCCGACCTCACCGGGAAACATAATTGGCGTTTCCACATGAAGTTCCGAAATTTTAGAGTAATTGATTCGTTTACCGACCGGCTGGCGTTTCCAGCGCGCTTCTTGCACAGATCTTTTCAACAGATTTTCTTCAAAACCAGCCTTTGTGAATGGGTAGTCGTCCGGGAAGAAGAGTCTACTGTTCTCGTAATCTAATTGCTGAATTTGACGCAGGCCCATATGATGTACTCGTGATATCCTATGCAGTTGGTACCATAGCGGAAGCTGCCAGAACCATGGAATCAAAACAAGCCATGCCTCACGTTTTGGAAGTTTTGAAATCACGATAGGGAAAAGTGGGTCAGATCCCTTTATAAACGGGATAGCATTGGTGCGTGTGCTTGAGCCAAGCAGCGCTCTGCGCCGCGACGCAAGGTTTTTCAAAGTTTGCTGATTTGAATATGATTTTTCACGTTCCTTCGGATCAGACAGCTGTTCAAGAACCGACGTGATTTCACTTTGAGGATAACCCGATTGAAGCTCTAAAACATCACTGACGCTTGGACTCAGCTTAGGCAGCTTCTTCGGGTTCGAAAGGTGCCTCGGATCCAATGCATCAAAGGCAAATATGGTTCTCTGCGGTAGCAGATTGATATCTGCTACATATGAAAATTTCTTGAATTGACTGTATGATTGAGAAGCCTCAGAGCTGCGTAGCACCTGCGAAAGAGCGTTCAGCGATTTGGCACCGGTGAGAGTAATACTCGAGATAGCATAACGACAGTCATAAACAGTGAGCCCAGCCTCGCCTAGCGCCGTTAGTTGTTTAAAAACGCTGTCAAAAAACGATGGGTGAATGCGTAACAAACATTTTTGCGAGCTGATCCACAGAAGCTCACCAGGTCCCAATAAAACTCCTTGGTCATCATAAATCGGGCCTTCAAACCAATGCTGTGAGTTGCGGTACTTCGGTAGTGAACCTCTCTTATTGGTAAGTAGAGAAATCTGTTCCTTGAGAAGCTCCGAATTTTCGCATGCCAAAATAATGGTACCAACATAGCTTGAATCTAGACTCAATGCACCGTCCGAAGTAGAGACACTGTTGCCAAGTCTGTGGGCTAGCTTGAAACACTTTTGAGTGGGTGACCAAGGTATTTGATATCCCCACCTTTTCAACATGTGCGATCTTTTAGCGCTCCATACATGGGTGGGCAGCCAAGAGAATGCTTTTTGTCTTTTCATGAACTTGATTCGGCCTATAGGCTTGACAGCAGTGGTGTTTACACCAGTTGAATCAAAGCTTCCCAAGACATTATTTCTGGATACGCGGACCTTGCCTTTTGTGTGTTCTTTGATATTTTTTTGAAAAGCCTTGACCCGTTTTCGCAGATTGTGATGACTTGCAGTGGCATCAGCTGGGAATGCTAATTTCATCGATTTGGATCTGGCCGCTAAACGAAGTAGTTTGACAGCCATACGCGCCTTGTACAATTGTTTGGCGGTGAGACCGTACTTTCTCTTTTTCGATAGAGTCGCGGTTCCTTTGGTGACTGTCTGATCGCTTTTGCGCATTTCTCGGAGAGCTCGATTTCTGAGGCGTTTAGGTATCCTTTTTACATTGTGGGAAGCTGTTCTGCGGCGAAGTTTCCTTGGTAAAGACTGAAAAACTCGTGTGGAAGAGACCGATTTTGATTTATGAATGGCGTGCTGGAGTTGCTTGACCTCAAATTCACGCGAAAGCATAAATTCAGGGACTTTAAGCATGCTACCGCTTTCTGAAAGCTCGTTAGCAGCCTTGGGAGTCGAGCTTAGAGCTTCTGTTCGTATTGTACGGGCATCGATCACTTTTTGACGCTTGAAAAGCTGATTCTTGTTTTTGAGCTTCTTCCCGGACATAGTAGAGGTTCAATTGAGTGTTGAAGGCCGATACTTGAAGCGGCTATCGAGGAAACTGTTAGTGAATCTAAGAGATTTGATGCGATGAGATGGGATGAGATAAGATGAGATGAGATGGGATGAGATGAGATGAGATGAGATGATGATCTGGTATTCGAACAATTTAGCGTTCGAAAGACGCGTACAAAGTGATAATGCTTAAGTGTTGGTGACGTATCTTGGTGTCATGGCTAGTAGCCACTGGGTCTACACAGCTAAACAAAGTTGAACGTTAAGGAAATCCAAATGTTTTGGATTGCGACCATGGGTGCATATTTGTGACAACTCTCGATCATTCAATACATCACGTGACTATCACACAAGGCTTTAGGGCCAGATTACAACGAAGTCAATAAGCTCCGTATGCTACATGTCAAACTTGAGAGACTCTTGGTTGACTTGTAAAGAATTGGTTGTTGAGGTGTGGAGAATTTCAATTTGAACAAAATAAAAAAAAGAGACAAAATGATCCTCGAAACGGCGGTCGACCCAAACTAATTCCAAAGAGGAATTTGCTTATCAAACTTCTGGAGTTATTGGGCGGCGAGAAACGAACTTAAAAGTCTGAGCTGTCAACCAGGGTCGAAGGTTTACAAGACGTTTCGTACAGGATGATTAGGTTATCGCTATTCACGGACCGAACTGAATTTAAATTATAGCACAAATGGGTATGAAGGCTTTTGGTTATAGAGTAGCGTGTTAATGTAGACTAATTGATACAGATTCATTAATCGAGCTACAATTTTTATCAAAATCATATTTATTTTTATTTCTCATTTCCGTTGGTTTGTTGCAACTAAATAAGTTTAGTTATTGAGCCGCCACTGGTAGACGACATTGACGACGTACATAGCGATACAGTCGGTGTTACAGTTAAAATGGGGAAAGATCACGTGATTATGCTTACAATTTTTGACTCCTTCAAAAAATTGATCTGGATCACGTTCAACGAGAACAGACCTGAAGGAGTCAGAATCCTACTCAATTTTACCCTATCTGTAGCATTTCTTTCAGCTTCCCATGAACGACACGACACACGCAAAAGAAAAGAAAAGAATATAGGAGCAATGCTACACGGTCTCTAATACTGATGAGTATTGAATTCACGGATAAACAACACAAGACCTTCCATATCTCTTAGAACTCTGAAATTTGTCGTGACAAAATGTATATCTCTTTCAATCACCCGATCACGTGATACAGGGTTGATCACCTTGAACGAAAACGAATCATTTTTCAATCTTAATTAATTAATTAATTAAATTGATCTAATATTCTTGAATCAACTTATCATCAACTTTTCAAAATCAAGTCAAAACTAGACACCACACCAAAAAACCCGCCGTTTCTCACGTTACCAAACACCCCATAAAAAGATGCCACAATTCTAGAATTATATCTCACTTCATCGCTCCGGTACTACACCCCGGATAACCCGTTAAAATCTCGTCTTTTTCGTATGATTTTGCCCAATAAGAAAGTGAAATTTGCCGAAAAGAAAAAACTCACCGAAAAAGTAAAAAAAATATTCGCTGTCGTCAACCATATTTGTTGTCGTCAAAATCTCTCATTTCGCTCTCCTGTTTTCCTTTCCTCTAAACCACTTTACTCTTAACCTTTTGTCGTTTTCAATATAATATCTTCTTTCTTGCTGCTAACTCTTAACTCTTAACTTGTAAATTCTTTCTTCTTGTTTCTCCTAATGCTCTGGAATCTGACTCTATTGAAGATTTACAAGACATTCTATTGTCCATAAGTTTGCAAGGTCGGCAGAGAGAAACTACAGTTGAACTAGTCAAAGTTTAAGCTTTTTCTTTGAATCTTTTAAACTCGACTCTCATCACTCTCTATAACAGCAGTATATAAGCACATTTCAGCATGGTTAACGTGGTACTCGGCTCCCAATGGGGCGACGAAGGTAAAGGTAAACTTGTGGATTTGCTAGTGGGAAAATACGATATTGTCGCCCGTAGTGCAGGAGGTAACAACGCAGGACACACAATCGTGGTAAAAGGTGTGAAATATGACTTCCACATGCTTCCTTCGGGCTTGGTGAATCCAAACTGTCAAAACTTGATCGGAAACGGTGTGGTAATGCATATCCCATCGTTTTTCCAGGAATTGGAGCAACTGGAGGCTAAGGGCCTGAAAGATGCACGCTCAAGACTCTTTGTTTCTTCAAGAGCTCATCTGGTGTTCGATTTCCACCAACGTACCGATAAGCTCAGAGAAGCAGAGCTTTCGGGCAAGTCCAAAGACGGCAAAAACATCGGTACCACCGGAAAAGGTATCGGTCCCACTTATGCCACCAAAGCTTCCAGATCCGGTCTCAGAGTGCACCATTTGGTCAACGATGAACCAGAGGCCTGGGACGAGTTTGTGGCCAAATACAAGCGTCTCGTGGAAACAAGACAGCAGCGTTACGGTCCGTTTGACTACGATGCCGAAGGCGAATTGCAACGCTTCAAACAGTACCGTGAACAGCTAAAACCCTTTGTGGTCGACTCTGTCGTGTTCATGAACGATGCCATGCGTGCCAACAAAAAAATCTTGGTCGAAGGTGCCAACGCTCTTATGTTGGACATCGATTTTGGTACTTACCCATTCGTCACATCTTCCAACACCGGTATTGGCGGTGTCTGCACCGGTCTAGGTCTTCCTCCCAGAGCCATTGACGAAATCTACGGTGTCGTGAAAGCCTACACCACAAGAGTTGGAGAAGGTCCATTCCCCACGGAGCAGCTCAATGAAAACGGTGAAAAATTGCAAGATATTGGTGCCGAATTTGGTGTCACCACCGGTCGTAAGCGTCGTTGCGGCTGGTTGGATTTGGTGGTCCTCAAGTATTCCACTTTGATTAACGGCTACACAAGTTTGAACATAACCAAACTAGACGTCTTGGACTCATTCAAAGATATTCCAATTGGTGTGTCTTATTCTCTAAGAGGTAAAAAATTGGACTTGTTCCCCGAGGACCTTATCACACTGGGCAAGGTTGACGTTGAATACGTTACTTTGCCAGGTTGGGAACAGGACATCACCAAAATCACCGAGTACAATGATCTTCCTGAAAATGCCAAAAAATACTTGAAGTACATCGAGGACTTTGTTGGTGTTCCAATTGAATGGGTGGGTACTGGTCCTGCTAGAGAAAGCATGCTCCACAAGCAGATTAAATAGAACAACTCGCAACGTGGGTTTCTTTCATCTATACGTAGTTTTAAAGTCAGATCAGATCATTATCGGACACATTATAGCACATTTTCTTTAACATGATCATCACTGCTAGACATATTCGTGCTTTCTCTCGAACAGGCAGTAGTCAAGGTAATGAGCCTGGTAGAAGTAAGTCCAAATCTTCGGTGTCGGCAATACGGCTAGAAGTCTCTCTGGCAACGCAAATGCACGCCCAAAAAATTTAGAACTGGAAACGTCAATAAATGGAGCCTTGTAGATGCATTTCCAGTCGCTGCCAAGTTTAGTTGGGTCCAAAACGTCCCGTGGGCTGTCACTCGGTTGCATAATATCAATGTAATAATCACATGGTTCGACCGCGACTATCTTTGAAGAGTCGAATAGGTTTTGATTGTTCATCCCAGATGGAACCTCTCTGATGCTGTTGAAGATGCTGTGCGTCTCCTTGAAGTCCCCAGGTAGCAAACCGTCAAAACCAGATTCCACAAACTCTAGTCTGGAATCCTCGGCTAAAAAGATCGAGGCTGGAAAATGATACCATTCACGACCTACGCATATGGTCTGGGGCCCGCGGACGTTAGGCAAGTGAGAATAGACATCTAACGGTGCCGCGTAATTGGTTACAAGTGCGAAAATTCGCATAGAGCTCTGGAAGAAGACGGAAACATAAATGATAAAGAATATCGTGTTGCGAAGAGGTTTCGATATCCATAGGCGTTTCCAGACGTTTATAGCACCAACACTAGCTGCTAGCGATATTATGGCATAAATTGGGTAAAGGAACCTTTCTTCCTTATGGGGTTGAAGCAAAAATACGGCCATCCAAATCAGAAACGACCCCCATATCGATGCTAGTCTCACGTTAGTTAAGATCCCTACAGCACAGGCACCAAGGGTGGGAAGAGGGAAGTTGAGAAGTAGATTCAAGGGATAATAATACCAGGGTTCAACGCCAAAAATATTTGGTCCGCTCTTTTCGTCGGCTGCAATGACGTTGTACATCACAATGTTCCAGGCCACAGGGGTGAACTTTCCGTAAAATGCCGAATCTATGGCGAAGACGCAAGTGGCTACCGCCACAAGCCGTGCGAGAGAGGCAAACCCTGCATTCAAAACCCCCCAAACTGTGTGCGTGAAGATGAAGTGTATCACCAATGGAGTGCTCAAGATGAGAACGAATGGCCAGCCCAAAATGCCGCTCACAAAGTTGAAGATCAGGGCTTGGACGAACGCTTTTTGAGATCCATTGGACAAGTAGCGCAGTGCATATTTTAAGAATCCCAGCATTGTAACCATGGCGAATGAAGAAGGTAGTAGCTCCACGGACGCGTGAAACCAACCTGGGTTGAAAAGTTGGAAAAATAGCCACAGATTTGCGGTTTGAATCGAGAGCGTAGTTTCAAGTTCACAGAACAAAAGCCACTCCATGCTGAAGCTGTAAAGGCCCAAAAAGGACCGAGCAAGGTAGAACAAAGTGGAGGGCGGAAATCCTACTGCATTGAAAATTCTACCTATAGGCGATAGCAGTGCGTACAACGGCAGCAGAAACGCCCAGGATCTTATGGAGTAGTCGGGGGAGTACTCCCAGGTTTGCTTGCCGAATCCACGCAGCAAGAAATTCAATGGTTCCCAATAGTTGAAGGTCTCATCGCAGTCAGAAATGAGAGAGTAGATGGGCTGAACGAACACACGACTGACTAGCAGCAGAGCTATCAACAGAAATGTGTATAGAGACCTCATATTACAAGTTTTGATCAGAACCCGAGACCTTTTTTGGAGTTTTTGTCAACTTTTAAAACGCAAAGCCGACAGTACCGTTAGGACAGCACACCGTTTTTTGTAGGCCGAAAAAACTCACAATTTTGACACCGTTAGAATCCTATTTAAAAGCTTAATGGCACCGAAAGAGTTCTGAGAGTTAATTGCACACTAGCTTTTCGCAACACCGCTTTAATTGTTGCAAGAACTGGTCCAAAACTTTTCATTTCATCTGAAAGAAGTCTGCTTGATCGCGCGTCATTTGAGAATTATAAATTGTACCACTTAATTAGCGACAGTTTAGTTTAAAATAAACAAAGAAAAAGGCTAAAAAATTAAACAAATAGTAGGATTCTCAGTCCCTGAATAATTTAGTTGGAATCCTTGTCAAAAACTGCACAGATTGAGGGTTTTTCGGCGTTTAAAAGATTGGTTTTCGAATTACAAATTTCTTCAGATCAAAAATGAGCACTAAATAAGCCAAAAATAAAGATTTTAGATTTGCTGGAAAAAATGGAGTATCCGATAAGCTTTGATAACAATTGGAATTGCAACTTACGACTTCAGTCTCTATCTTTTAACCTCCGAAACTATACCATTTTCTTTTACTGACAGCTCATCTCTTAGAGCACGTGACTGGTGAAACTAGCTCGAGGTCAATATCCAATTTCAAGCTAAACTAAACCTATAGATAAAATTCACGCAAGATGACTCAAGAAACCGTTTCTTGAACGCTCATCAAGCGCCTTTAACAAACACGACCATGACGCAGAGTAACGGACCGATCAAGGTCGATAGCAAGGAAGTCTCGCAGCAACTGCTGGACCAATACGACACATTCTTGTTTGATTGTGACGGTGTTTTATGGCTAGGAACCCATTTGTTACCTCACATCAAAGAGACGTTGGACTTACTTGTAGCCCACCAAAAGACACTTTATTTCGTGACCAACAACTCCACCAAGTCCAGGGCCGCTTATGCCAAAAAATTTGCTTCTTTCGGTATCAGTGTCAGTGAGGATCAAATCTTCACTTCCGGGTATGCCTCTGCACTGTACGTGAGAGACACGCTAAAGCTGCAGCCTGGAACGGATAAAATTTGGGTTTTTGGCGAACAGGGAATCGTTGACGAGCTGAAACTGATGGGCTACGAATCGCTGGGTTGCAATGACCCGCGGTTGAACGAACCCTTTGACATCAACACTTCGCCTTTCATAACCGAGGGTCTAGACCCATCAGTCAAGGCTGTGATTGCAGGTCTCGACACTAAAGTCAACTACCATCGTCTAGCCATCACGCTACAGTATTTGCAGCAGCCAGACGTGAAGTTCGTGGCCACCAACATCGATTCCACATATCCTAACAAGGGCCATATCCTGCCAGGAGCAGGGTCCATGATCAACTGTGTTGCCTTTGCGGCCGGAAGGGAGCCCGCAGCGTGCGGTAAGCCTAATCCAAACATGCTGAACGCAATTGTGACGGCAAAGCAGCTCAATAGAGCCAAATGCTGCATGGTGGGCGATAGGTTGAACACTGACATCCGGTTTGGCGTTGAGGGCAAACTTGGAGGCACTTTGCTGGTTTTGACCGGTATCGAAACCGAGGAGAATGCTCTGGACGCTTCGGGCGGCCATCCTTTGCCCAAATACTACGCCGACAAGCTCGGTGACATTTATGAGTTGATAAACTAGGCCAAAACCTGTCCTTCTTCTCTGGCTCCAAAACAGTTCCAGAACGGTAAGTACATACACATTATAAACAGTTTTAGAAGGTGAATACGGTGATGCTGTTATTCATCTAGTTATCGCTATATCAAAGCGTAATACATTGTATTTGAACCTTTAAGTTCTTTACTCAAGTTCACCAAGACAAGATTCGAATTATAAAAGCTTATACATCATTGAAACAGATCTTTTCTTACCATGAGAAACTGCAGAATATGAACCAGTCAAAGAACGAGCAGTTGATTTCATGCCCTGTCTGTAACTTCAAGATCAAATACCATGTCATCAACGAGCACCTCGACAAATGCACTGCCCGTAAAAATGGTGCTGGGAAAGGACCAACTTTGAACAGTTTGTTACGAAACAAACGGAAACAACCTGAGTCTGAAGATATAGAAATCATAGATCCGTCTCCTGTGGACAACATCAAACGAGCGAAGCCTGAGACTCGTTCGCCCGAAAAGCGTCCAGAGCTTGAAAGGAAGCCACTGGTTGATAATAGCGATGATGTCAAGCAACTGCAGAAAATAATACACCAGCCGTTAAGCGAAAAGCTGCGACCCAAGGAACTGAGTGAGTACGTAGGTCAGCAGCATTTGATATCCAGTGAATCGGGTACTCTTTATAACTATGTGAAGGAAGGTACGATTCCTTCGATGATTCTATGGGGACCACCTGGAGTGGGTAAAACGACATTGGCGAGATTATTGACCAGGACAGTGAACACCAAATTTCCTCACGGAGTAACGTACACGCTCGTCCAAACCAGTGCCACCAAGGCCACAACGCAAGAGCTTCGAAAAGTGTTTGAAAACTCCAAACGTGAATTTACGCTCACCAAGAGACTTACTGTACTTTTCATTGACGAAATTCATCGGTTTAACAAGGGTCAACAAGACATACTGCTTCCGCACGTTGAGGCTGGTGATGTGGTACTTATAGGAGCCACCACGGAAAATCCGAGTTTTCAACTCAACAATGCATTGATGAGCAGATGTCAGATTTTTGTTCTCACAAAGCTCAACAACGCAGAGATGTGTATGGTTCTCTCGCGTGGAGTCAGTATGCTGAATAAATGCCGACACTTGGTGTGGAAAGTGGGGCATCCATTGCGATTGAGTAAAGAGGTTCTCAATTTCGTCGTAGACATTTCCATGGGAGATACGCGGCGAGCACTCAATCTTTTAGAGATGATCGAAGTATCCACAAGAGATAATCAGCGTGAGCTCGATGAGAAGGCTGTCAGAGAAATTATCCAGGGTAAGTCCTCTGAATTGCGGACATATTACGATAGACAAGGCGAGAACCATTACGATACAATATCTGCTTTTCACAAGTCCATTCGCGGAAGTGATGAAAATGCTACTATCTATTATCTGGCACGTATGCTTCAAGGTGGAGAAGATCCTCTTTACATTGCTCGCCGCATGATACGAATCGCATCTGAAGACATTGGTGTGTTGGACCACACGTTGTTGCCGCTAGCGGTAGCCGCACATGATGCGGTTATGAAAGTTGGATTACCAGAGGCTGACTTAGCATTAGCACAATGTGCAGTAGCGTTGGCTAGAGCACCAAAATCAGTACAACTGTACCGTGCCTGGAAAACGGTGAATGCCAAGCTTCAGGAAAATCAAAATTCATTTGGTAGCTGCGGTATTCCAATGCACCTGCGTAACGCTCCTACCAAACTCATGTCAGAATTGGGTTATGCCCGGGACTATAAATACAATCCCGATTTCAAGGACGGCAAGGTTGCACAACAATACTTTCCTGTCGAAATTATGGAAAAATGTGGTGATGAGCAGGAAATTCAGTTTATGAATGGCGCACATCTTGGCGAAAAGAGCGACCCTGATCTCTGAATAACAGAAGCACGCTTTTTAGTATGTGGCGATAGTGCAATTCAGAATGAACTGGATGAAAACAGTTTGTGAGATAGGATTGAAGTGCATCTTTACTAGAGCGAATCACGACAAACAATGCAATTATACAGGTTGTTTATTTACGAAAATCACAAACAAACAGACTGCACCAGGGTAGTTTTGGCTAGACAATAAAGTGAGCCTCTACATGTGAATTTTTTCCCCAGCTCTTGTTAGAGCTCACTGTTGTAAAATGCAGAAAGCTCAGCTTTGGCAGCCTTGAACTCGTGTCTTGCGCAGCTCAAGTTGTTCCTGATAAGGGTTGCATAATGAGAGTCTGGCACGGTCTGGCCAGCCACTGAACCCTCACGCTTGCGTCCTAAATTTTGTATGCGTTCACAGGCCCATGCGATGCGTTGCAATCCCAGGGCTGCAGAGGAACCTCGCAAAAAATGGCCTAACGATGCCAGTTGTTCCAGCTCGCATTTTCCATCCAATTCCTGTTGGATTTGGTCAAACGTCGTGGCAGCCTGATCGAGATATTGGATTACCAGGTTTTTGGAAAAGTCCGGACTGTCTTCGTCCATTGACACTATTTCATTGAGCGTATCCCAGTTGATGACCTTTTCTGGAATTGTGATAGAGCTCATGGCTTTGAGAAATCAAGAAGTGCTTGACGGTGCTCAGTTGCGTTTTTTATATAATTCGACAAATACTGATGAAAATGCACAGTAATATTGCTGAACTTACGCTGTAATCTTCCTAAAAATCTCACCAATAGACAACTGATGTAGACCTGTACAATTAATTCGGGTTTGAACAGCTAGAAAGATAGGAATCTCGAGGATCCTGTGTGTTTTCCAACTTGTTTAGCTTTCGGTATTTACAATTTCAAATTGGTCGAGATATAAAGCTAATTAAGCCAATTTATTATCATTAGAGATATGGTAAAATGAAAAAGAAGGTAAACCAGCGATAAAAGCTGAGTACATAAGCGAGTTTAAGCTGATGTATCAACGATTTTTTGAACTCTTACTTGCGGTGAGCTGATCAAGAGAACTTTGGAGTGTTAAGTGGAGTTTTCGCCTTGTTGTTACACCTTTTTTTGAGGGCACAGTGTAATTTTTATTAAACAGCACTGCTGCGAGGGCCTCGAGGGTTTGAAATTTTGTTTTAGGACAAGTTTGCACTATGATGGGTACAACTGCACGTGGAGCTTTCTAGAACTTGGAAATAAGATTGAAGTCGTCTCTTTTGAATTGGGAAAGCGGTGGTTGATTGATATTGCCAAATTGACTTTGGGTTTTGTTTTGTCAAGGTCAAATTTTCCATAATGGGGTTCATGTGAGTTAAATCTACGACCATCATGGACGATTGGCCTCGATCCTTTGAATAACGAACCTCCGATAATCGTGTGGGTTAACTTACTGAATTTTGGATCGAAAAACACATTTTTTTTGTTGTTTGAGTTTTGGAAACGCGTCAAAGCGATCCTAAGCGCAATCCCATACAATCCGGGTCCTCACAGAGCTTAAGGATGCGCATTCTACACTGTTTGAAGTATCAACTTTACACTGGTTCTTAAACACCAGAATCACTTTAAACGTACCCACGTTGCAACAGTAATTTCGAGCGTTCACCACATATATAAGAGAAGGACGCTGCGCGATGAGATGGATCTTTTTAAGGTCTCCCAAAAAAGCGCAATACCGATAATCGTCGAGCATGGCTCTTAGTGCCAGACACTCATGGCTAGCGCTGCTATCGTTCGCTTTCATAGTGTTGTCTTTGGGCTACACGTACGTTATTTTGATAACGCCAGAAGCAAAATTACCGTCGATTGCCACGGAAAGAACCCTTAATGGCAGTGAAAAAGAACGTTGGATCTTTGTGGGTGATGTGCATGGCATGTACGATGAGTTTGAAGATTTGATGTCACTTGTGGATGCCACAAGACCCGGTACCAACGTGGTGCTGCTGGGAGACTTTATAGCGAAAGGTCCGCAATCGCACAAAATGGTGCAATATCTCGAAGAAAACTCCGAGAGAACGCATTGCATATTGGGGAACCACGAGATTAATGTGATGTTTGCGTATCTGAACAAACGGGACTTGAAAAGACGGTTATCCCGCAAGCATCCTAATTGGGATCCGCTGGTCTTCGATACGGAAGATTACGTCCCGCCACACGATCAGGTCAATAACCAGCATAAGGTTTTGGCACAGCGATTGGGCAACGCAAAGCTTGCGTCTATAGCGTCTCTGTGCTCTGCTGAGCTCCAGATCCATTTGGAGCCTTCCCAGGAGACGCTCATCGCGGTTCACGCAGGACTGGCACCAGACTTTGAGAATAAAAGGCCAAGTATCCGGGACATTACCACAATGAAATACATGCTTCCCAAGGACCATTCGAAAACTTCCAAATACAAGTTTGCCAAGTCACGTCGCTGGTACAAGTTATGGACTGCAGAAAGCGCGCCAGAAAACGTAACCGTGCTTTACGGCCATGACGCCAGTAAGGGTCTCAATCTCAGAAAACAAACTAAGGGTCTGGACTCCGGGTGTGTAGGGGGTGGGAAACTGACCGCTCTTGAGTATTTCTATCAAGACGGCAGATATCATAATCATTTGCATCATGTCAGATGCAGACAATACATATAGATTGGTCTACAACATCATAGAGTGTATATTTCTCAGTTGCTAATAAGAGAGTCGAGTTTTCACATCTCATTTATTCAATTGCTAGTTTGTTTGATAAGGGGGGGCCGATATGTCTTGCGAACAGACAGTGGCGTGCCGTCGCTCGAACGAGGTTCTTCAAACGACAATTCTCGATTAATATCGTATTTCGACACCCGACGACACATTAGTACGAAATTATTAAAAATCCGATGATGGTATTTCACACTTGAAGCGCACACTCGGGTGTACATTGAACTATGTGATAGCTTGATCCCATTAGAAAGCTAGATGTGATAGGTTACCGTCACTCAACAGCTAACGCTACGTTATCTGAATTCTTTGACCTGGGAGCCTTAATTGAGAGGTTCGAAATGACGAAAAAAAGGTTGTTTCATAATCATCGGAGTTAGATAAGGCGATGCACGGTGGGCATTCTGTTACAAATTTTCATCTTTTGAGCGTTTTCAGAATACACGTTTCGAATAGCCAGCTGTGTCTTCGGTTCAACTAAATCTTTCAATGTTATTCTTTGCAGTTGATATGGTAATTAACAAGCTTCTCATATGAATCGAAAATCGTCAATTTGAGGAGCAGAGAAATTGTATTGTTTAACAGTCCCTTTGCTGTCTTATAAAGTCGAGCCTATAATACTAGACAAACCCTCCATTTCTTTACTTGACGTTACCACTTGGTCAACTATTTTGTTAGCGAGCCAGTTCGAATTATCTTGACTATCATCACATAGTACGGAATGAGATCTTCGAGTTTCTAATTATTTACACATGAAGATCAATTCTTCTCAACTTATGTTCACTTCTTGAAAACAAGACTAAGACATCCGGACCGCACAAACACATCGCTGGAAAACTGCTGGAATGGCCTTGTTAAGCCTTTAACATCAACATCACTTCTGAAGACTTTTCTTCTCTGAGCAACCTCGTGGCTTCTCAGTACTAATAGTCTTACTTATTTTGTTTTTGTGTCATTATCAAGATTTCTTTAGCCGCCGAGCAGCTGCTGCTGTTACCCGACTTTTTGACAAAGGTACGTTTAAACGAAATTTTCAAAAACGTGATTTTCTGATGGGTCACTGTTTACGATTTGTGATTATTTGTCGCGCTTCTGACGGTAGGGAGAATTCAAAAACAAACAACAGCGAAATCTAACATCAGAACATCTCGTTCATTCTGAGAACAGCTCAAGATCGCAGTTTTCAATCGGGGTATTGGGTGTTCGCAGAGTGATCATCTTGGCGAAAAGACTCGGACTTTGCAATAGCGCGCAGAGACAGATTTAGTAAGAAACCTTTAGGGTAAACAAACAGGAACAACAACAAGATGTCTCAGCAAGACGATTTTGACACACCTCTGACCAACAGCTTTGTGGACGCATCCGACGCCCTCGGCCATCCAAGCAGTCAGTCTCGCGACAACAACGATGAGAAGGAGCAGAACCAATTCTTTCAGGACCTTGGTTTCTACGTTGCTGAGGAAGGCCGTATCCAAGAACTCGAGGGTATAATCGAAAGGAACGGCGGAAGTGTGCTCACAGAACTCCCCTCTGGCACTTCCAACAAAGAGTATGTTGTTGCGTCTTCGAACATAGCAAACCTGCCAACGCTTCATCCCAAATACATCGAAAACTGCAAGAAGCATAACATGCTTCTCAAACTCAATGGCTATTTCGTTCCTTGGTCTGGCTTTGCCGAAAACTCGCAAAATGAAGGCGAAGAGGTCGGTAAACCAGGCGTCACGGATGAAAACTTTAACGCTCAAAATAAATTACCAAATGATGAGAAAAGGGCCACTTTGCCAAACATTGAGGATGAGGCGAGCTCTTCGCAGGCGCCTGGGTCTCCCAATGAAAACGAACAAAATAGGGTTAAAAATGCAGCTCAGAGTGCATTTAAGACCACAGATCCGAATAGCCAAGCTAAGCCCAATCCCGTTCCCGTGAATGAGCAGAGAACTAGTCCGGCTGTGACGGTGGAAGTTGCTGAGAAGCCGGGTAGCTCTCTCAAAGAAGAAGCTGCTAAGGAACCTTATGTCGCAGCACACAGTAAGGCAAACTTTACCGCTGAGGAGGATACTTTCATCCTTGATGTGGTTCGCAAAAACCCCACTAGAAGAACAACCCACACTCTTTTCGATGAAATTTCGAGGTTTGTTCCAGCACATACTGGAAATTCAATAAGGCACCGCTACCGTGTTTATCTCGCCAAAAAGCTAGATTTTGTCTACGAAGTTGACAGTCAGGGAAGACTGATTCGCGACGAGAATGGTGACTTGATAAAAACAACGGTTTTACCAAAAGCTCTCAAAAAGAAATTTGTGGCCGAAGAGGATTACGATCTTGCGGTCAGTATCAAGCGCCAATTTTACCAGGATGTTTACCAGATAGATCCTGACACACGTAAGTCCTTGATAAGTGAGGACGATGCACCCAATGAAGCTGCTAGAAGAACGCTGACAATGGACACGAACGTCAAACCTGGCGCAGAGCCAAGTCTCGAAGACTTTAGGGTCGGTGAAAGGAGGGGGCCTGTTCCAAGAGAGTTTTTCAAAAATTTTGCCCAGAATCACCCTACTCATACGGAAAACGCTTGGCGCGATAGATTCAGGAAGTTCCTCTTATCATATGGGATTGACAAATACATTGAATACTACAGACACGAATTAGCGCATGAGCGCACTCCTGAAGCTATGAAAAATTTCACTAATAGACCGAAGAGAACTGGCGTGCGCACCCCGGGCAATTATAGTGGACTACCCAAGAAGCAGAAAACGTCAAGCGAGGAAGATCTGCCTCAATCTTTGTCATCGAAAGCTCAACAGGCTGCAGCACTGGTTGCCGCCGGTGGGAGGTCCGGAGATGCTAACTCGGCTGGGCTGGGAGTCGGTGACATGGATCTACTGGACGAAGAGACTTTGAATTTCATATCAGGGTTGAGGCGGGATCTATCCAAGATCGAGTCCACTGGCGGGACCGCTTTCGAATATCCGCAAGAAATAGCGGAATCCATTCGCAATGATTTTGCTAACGAAGAAGCGCAGTTTGATAACATTGATCCAGATACGATTGCATTTCCACCTTCACTTGCATCAAGCGATCTTTTCATGCCGCAGTTTTTTGCATTCAAATCAACCAGGGAGTTTTTGGAAAAGATCAATGACATAATATCGCGAGATTACGAAGCTTCCCAAGCAGAGAAACTCGTACATGACTTATGCGAAGAAGCAGGGGTAAGGAAAACATTTAGCACAGGCATCTTAACAGCGCTATCTGGGGACTTGATGGTATTTCCACGATACTTTCTGTGTATGTTCACCATGAAAGCCAATCCACCGCTTAACGTGCCTGGTATTTGGACTCGGGATGATGATGAAATACTCAGAGAGGCAAATGAAGACGGTCTTAAGAAATTAACGGAAAAACACGGTCTCGGCAGAATTGAGATGCGCAGACGCTTCATTGCTAGCGACCTCGTATGATAATATTCAAGCATAATAATTCATTACATACCTCCTGGAGTTACGTTAGCATTTGAAATAAATATTTTCACCACAATGCATAGCGATTCACAACAACACATGTTTGCGGCCTTCAACGCTTGTTCCTCCTTGTTCACCAGAAATTACGCCAGGTAAAATATGGTTGTCCTATTTCCCAAAACTCCGCAATAAGTAATCGAACTCGTTCATTTAACTGAGTTTTTACTTCTCGTGGGCTCTCTTTTTATGACGAGCTTCTTGGATAGCAGTTGCTTCAAGTTTTCTGTCACCAAAGAAGCTCGGTCATCTGGTGATTGCTCTGCTTCGGAAGCAGAAGTTTCCGTTATCACATTTCCCTCATTCGATAAAAGGGTATACTCATCGAGCTCTGCACTTCTTGCAAGTATATTCATAATTTTCTTGAACTTGACAAAAAGCAGTTCGCTTCTTATCATCAGATCGCTCCAATCCATCGTTCCCTTGAGCTCATTGAAGAATTTCAGAACTTGATCGAATTGGTCGAGGTTCTGCATCACAGGCAAGCTGTTTTTCTGTAAGATAGCCAGCATGAAAAAAAGCTGAAACTGGGATGAGTAGAAATCGGTAAAAAACACCTCCCATATGTTGCATACATCGTCAAACTCGAATTCTCTCTTAAACCAAACTAGCAGCATCCTAAAACAAAAGAAGAGATTTGAAGAGTCACACATTGCCAAATGATGACTCATTTTGGGTAGCATCAACTGACATAGATCGGTAAGTGTTAGCATTTGATCGCGGATGCCAGATTGATCGCGTAAAAAGTTTCTTTCCATTCGATTCATAAAGCTGACGAAAGCCCAAAATGACAATTCTTCATCTTGCAAAATGTAATAAACGGGCGATAACAAGTCACACATTCCTTGCACGTACCCTAGATCATCGTTGTAGACATTGTAACTGAGCAAAATGCTCCGGAGTTTTTGAAGGTGGGGATTTCTAACAGTCCAGGTGTCATTGTCCTGCAACTCATCTGATTGCGCTTGGTCTAGTTCGGTACCAGAAATTGCTTCTCCGTCATCTGTGTTATGCTTGTACAGTGGCAAGTCTCTGTCATTTCGCTTAACGTCCTTTTCGACGCGTAATACCTGATCGTGCCAATATGCCTCTTCATCGGCATCAGAATTAGGTTCACGATACTCCCACTTACTTTTGAAGTTGATCCGGTAGCTGTCACGCAGGGTTTCCTCCAAAATGCGACGTTCTTCTGCAGAGGATTCCCATGGAAATACCTCAAGCAAAAACAACCATATCTCTCGCCTCAGGTGCTTGTCTTTAACCCCACCATGAAAAATGTAGTCTTTGACTTCATGAACAGTTATTGAGAGTCGGCCTTCTGCATCGAAAAAAGATTCCCATTTAGCACGCGAAAGGGTGTGAGCCCTTTGCATGGCTATATTGAGTTCTTCATCTGTTAGCTGAACATCACCTCCATCGCTACCAAGCTCGTTGAATAGTAAACGTCTGTAAGTATCATCCATGCCATTCTTTGTCTGATACTTTTCTGCCTGTTCTTTTACGCCCAAAGCCCATTTCGCCAAGTATATCTTGGCAGAGTCAAAATCGTCTTGGATTTCTTGAACTTTGGGGTTGCTGAGTATCTGCTTCACGTAAGGATTGTTATTGTGTTTGTCAACGAATCTAACAAAAGGGTGCTGTGAAAAAACAGTTGCAATGCGATTGGTAGACTTAGTTGTGAGGTCCGCAAATTTGGACATGACGCTCCATTTAGCTTCGTCAAATTTGTTCCACAAAGATTGATCCGGACTGGAAGCTTTAGTGTTATTTCGACCCTGCTTTGGACTTGAGGGTGAGAAATTTCTAAGGTCGTCTAGGGTAGCGTTGACCAGCCAGACCGTGGGGTCAACAAACGTTTGCTTGAGATCAGCAATATCTAGCAGCGCATCCCGAAAGTCATGAGCACCCCAATATACGTCTGTTCCATTGAACGGATCGAATGACTTTGATAGCTCCTTCTTTTTGTCCTTGGTGGAAGGACAGACGTCATCGTGAAAGAACAAGATTGGTATAGAGTCTTGTTCCTGAGGATTTCTCGAGTTTATAGCCACAGACCCATACCAATAACCGCTGGGGCTTGGTGGTCTGAACTGTATGGAGAAAATCGAGCTCACCTTAAGTGAAAATGCCCAAGCAACGTACAAGGCTTGCGAGACAATATCTTTTTTAATTCTTCGCTTTCGACTTCCAGACGCCCGGTCGACATCCGCTTTCGTGAGCTCACTGATCTGGTCTTTTTCCAAGTCCTTTTCAGGGATCCAAGTCACTGTAGCTTCCAAAGCCGGCTGTTGAGTGTCCCTCGTTATAAGTAGAAATCCAGGTATGTTATCCTCAGCTTTTGAGCTGCAATGAACAAAAACTTTTGACTTGCAAAACACCAGCTCTGTGTGCATCTTTGCTGGGGTGATAGCGGTACTGGAAGTTTCGAAAAGGGATGTTTGTTTTGTGAAGTTTGTAGAAGTTGAAGTTGGAAGTGTTACTAGTATCCCTACAGATTGTAATTTTTGACAGCTTTTATGAACTTATTGATCTAAAGTCACTTTGACATAAAGAAGAGGCCAAAACGGTGGGTTTGAAGAGGTTTACTGGGCTTGAGCATAGCTTGTATGAAGGCTGTGGGAGATTCTGGATTGATTGCGACTTTTTTCAACTTTCCAGCCCTTCTGTGAGACTAGTTGTATTGTTATGATGATACCGAACGTTACCACATGAAAAAACAACATGCTCTCTTCCTCTTTGTTAATTTTCGTCGTCAATCAAGCTAGATGAGAGATATCTACTGTGACTAGCCTCTTATTTTGACTTTTCGAGCTAGTTTCAGGTCGCAAGGGGGTCATATTCTGCACTATTTCATTATCCTACCAAGCTTTCTTATGTTTTTGAAGCTATGGAAATTCTGGGCCTATTTTTCAGCCAATGGAAACCCCTGTCGACTTTCTGACCACTGGTGGGTGCTCAAAATATCGACAAGGCTCTGATGTCAACCCAGCCAAGGCATTATTTTGACCTTGAAAAAGTCCTCTCGAAGGTTACCAACAAAATATCGAGGCTATCGTTGAAGAAGCGCGCTGGACTGGATCACGGTCTACCATTCGCATTGTTGGCCGTCTTGGCAACAACTGTCGAACTTCACCGGGGACCCTGTCAAAGAACTCAGTTTTACTACATGACAACTCAACGTACGACATGACCCTCGGAAACCCTCACTGAGAAGTTCATATTGAATCTGATGAAGTTAGTCTCATCTGGTAGAAACCGCCCTCTCCTCAGCTCGACCACAACGATTCAAGTATGGATAGCGATCTTTCCTCAGTGGAATTAGACGCGGAAGTCTACGAAGAAAGTCCCGATCTTCCTGAAGACAGCCCTTACGGTTCGGACCGAGAAGAAGATGATGAATACCAATATACTCCCGAAATCGAAGAGGATGACGAAAAAGTACAGCCTAGCGGCAGCAGTCGGTCCAAGAGAGGTGCTGCAAGAAGCACAGATGAGTATGACCCAGCAGGTCGGACTGCTGGCCAAAAAAGAGTGGTGGAGGACGACTTTGAAGAACCAAGCTCAAGTCCAGCAAAGAGAAGTCGTAGGAATGCTGGAATCGACTTGCAAAACCTAGATGACGAAGACGAAGACGACGGCTATGGCGACGACGACGTTCATGGAGAAGAAGGGCAACAGGATGGTGGAGATGAAGCAGACGCAGCTATCAATGCCAGTGCCAGTGCCAGTGCCAGTGCCAGTGAGCAGGAAAAGGCCGAAAGGCCCCAAGATTCGAACAAAACTAGTCGCAGCAAAATAATGATGGAACTGCTGGATAATTCGTCTCGCAGAAATTCAAAACTCTCGGAAAAAGAGCTGCAATTGCGGCGTGCAGAAAACGCTCGTAAGCGTAAGAATCTGAGCGAGAAAAAGCTGGAAGAGGAAAAACAAGACACTATCAATAAGCTGCTGCGAAGACGGGCGGGCCGGACCCGAGGCCCCGTTCCAGCTGACCGCGACAAGAAATCTGAGGACCCACAAGACGAGAACGCTGAATTCACAAAGCCCAGAAGGTCCTACAATTCCAAAGGTATGGTTCGAATTCTACAAAACGCCAATGAGACGGTTTATGCAACATTTTAGTGCGCCAAAAAAGCAGTTAGGAGGGCTTCCACTGTATGGAAAAACCCCTTCGTGACCTAGGTTTGCTTCCTAAACATCTCCTTCCCCCGCCATCACAGGAATTGGCTTCAAAGACCAGTTTTCATGAGCGTTTTTTGGTTTTTCAGTTTTTCAGTTTTCTACGACCGCTAAGAAGGTCCAGTTTTCGAGCAAATTTGCCAAACCGTCGAACTCACTAAGCTTGTACCAGAATACAGACAACAAAAGATCTTGACCGCCCGCAAGATGTGTCGGTTTTTGATATTCATAGTTTAAATAAGAATTTAATGATATTAATGCTTGTTATGTTGATAATTGATTTATCACCATCATTAACCAAATATCATAAGAAAAACTCGGTCCCCACAGCCTGGAGAGTCACCGATCTGATTTCCAACAGGTGGTAACCTCGACTCTCGCTTAAGGGTAACTGGTTTGGGCTTTTGGTAGTGAAAAAATCATCTTAATAGTCGAACATTCACCCAAAAACAAAGTTGCATGCACATTCTGTACATTCAATGATGCCCCAACAGCCGCTCGATAGTAACCAGCAACCTTATGGATATCAGGGACCTGTTAAGAACAAGCCCACCAACTATGGGCCTCTTTCCAATGGTAGCATCAACGGTAATGACATCATGATGGCCCCACATATGATAAATTCTTATGGGCATCCCAACATGGGACAACAAGCTACACACACGGGACAAACGCCACTTAATGGATCCGAAATCAATATGACATCTATCACACAGCTCCCGCAACAACAAATAGCTGGTCAAGTGGGCCAAAACTCAAGATCCAGAAAGCATATCCAGCCGTCACCGCAGCATCCACAGCATTTAAACCAGAACCAGCAAACGCACCAGCCAATACCGCAGGGACAAGCGCAGGCGCCAATTTTGCCCTTGCATGATTTTTCAAACTCTGCATCAGCGGTAGCATCGCCGTTTGCAACTTCCGCTCCAACACCTACTGGCTCCGCCTCTGTCCCAGCAGTTGCCATGCATGGCGCACCAGCTCCCGGACTGGCTCCGAGACAGGTTTCTAATGGATTTGGTGGCCCTGCTCCCAGTGCAGTGCCGGTCCCTATGACAGAAAGTCACACAAATTTGCATGCTATCCCTACAGGATCTGTACCCATAACTGCGTCGGGAACTACCCCCGGCGCACTTCCTGCATCCCCGTATCGTCAAAACTCAACGTCTAATACCGGCTACACCATGCCAACGGCGCCTCAGTCTCAAGTGCGGCCATACGTTCCAGTTAGCACAATGCCTTATCCGATTAGAAAATATCTCTCGAACATGGCTATACTACGTTTGCATGAAATCATAAATTTGATCAACGTTTCCACTGGCCGAGTGGATGATTTTGATTACTGGAAACGGTTCACTAGTGACCTTTTCACGCCATATGGAATATTACGATATTCTACCAAGGGTGGTGAAGAGACTCGACAATTCGAATTCACGACTCCCATCATTCCGCTAATATGTCAGTCGCTTGGATCTGTGGGTGTTGTAAGGTTAGAAATTGTGCCCCAACAGCTGAGAGCCCAAGTCCTAAGTAACGGTACCATTTTTTTCGACTGTCCGCGCTATACTGCGACCTATTACTATCCAGATGGTAGCTACATGAACAATTTTTCCCAGGTAAAGGGCATTTTTGATTCGAATCTAAAAATGATATGGGTCGAGATCTCAAGCTACAGTTTCGTTCCCGGAATAGAGTGGAGCTCGCTCGAGCGCTTGATAAGTTCCGAGCCGCTCTGTCATCAAATCTTCAAAGATCTGGGACAATCTCATGAGACGCCTCGAGCTCAAGATCAGGAATCTGATCAACAGAGTCCCTCGGGACAAAAGGAGCCGCAAGTGCCGACTAATTTCGCAGCGATCACAAATCTTCGATCTCAGTTTGGAGTTTTTCATAACATTTCAAGCTTTGGCGTTCAGGAAAGTTTTATGCGAGCGCTACAAGTGAATGATGTGATCTCATATTTAAAAAACCTGAAAGTTTATCAAAAAGTGCACAAACTGCGAAGCCCTTTGGGTAGTCTAGAAGCACTAGTAACTTCATCAAACGCTGAAAAAAGCAACAGCGTGCCAGCGGGCGCTTCGTCAATATATCAGCCCAATGGCCTTTCTCCAGCACCGGCCTCCACCATGAGGGCAAGGACGAGTCAGCCTGCTCGACCAGCAGTAAAAAAGCGCAGGCAAAGCGACCTATCACCTCTGAGCGCCAATGACAAAGACTCCACACCGAAGCAGGACAATTCCAATTTGGTTAGCGACTCCGCCAAGAAAGTAAAATATTGAAGAAATGGGCCCTCGTGGAGAAATTCTTGAGACATACATCAATCGAACTTTTCAATGGTATGGACACGAATTATTTTTCTCTTACTGGTTGGTCCATCTCTACTCCTTTGAGAGGAAGCACTTCAATGGTATTTGTTTTACAGGGAAAGACGGAAATAAGAGTCCAAGCCATTTGGACAATAGCGGTTGCACTGTCGCCTCTACTCTCGATATTTCTTTCACAAGTCTTAGGCACAAAGCAACAACATCATCATGTGTTGCATTACTCGAGCGTCAGGCTTTGGTCATAAACTCATCAACTTACATTGCAAAAATCGACAGGACAGCCTTCAATTACGCCAGTGAGGGCTGTTCATTTCATGAGAACCTGCTCAAAATCTTGAGCTGGACATTGCCGTACAAGCTTTGAATTTACATTGCAGCGCGGATTTGCTTATACTTAGAGATGGACTCAGAGAGATTGCAGATCTACAAAGTCAGCTTTCTTTATGCAGAGTTCCATGATGATTAAAAACAAAACAGGGAAAAGCCCATTAGATTGCTTCAGCCTGCTATCCTCCCTCCAATCACTCCCCCCAACCAAAAAAGGAGTATTAGGGCGTGGACAGTCTTTACAAGAGGCGAAAGTAACCTCGTTGTCGTGTCAAGCATAATGAACGTTTGTTACCATGTAATATAAGAGAAAGCATACAAATCTGAGATTTAAAGGTTGTTACAAAATGGAGACAAAGTCTTGTACGATCTAGACAATCGAATTATCAACCCAAAATGGTGGCCTAAAGTTCAAGATGATGGTAAAACCAATGTTGGGAGACGTATTTACGTTTTCATTGAAAAAAATTCGAATTTCGAGAAGCGAAGTGAATCAATAAAGCGACTTCTGGACAGCGTGCTGAAGTCGCCGTGGTAGACTTGACATCCATAAAATTCCCAACAAACTTGGATAAAACCTCGATCTCGATCTGGCTTTTGATCTTTGGTCACGTGTAAATTAATTTATCATTCTAGTAGTGCTCAAATCACTTGAAGATCTGAAAGCTCTCTATCGAATAGCATCACCAATCCAAGCCTAAAAAGCGATGAGCAAGGTGGCATTTGACACTTCAATTACTTGGCCAAAGGATGATCAAATAGCTAAGCGCCCCAGCAAATATCGATCTTTGTTATTCATTCAGAATTTGTTTTACAATGCTGGTATTGCAACTAGTATATGCTATATTTTTATAGCCATGGTCCTCCAACCTCTGTTGCAAAGACAAACGGCTCAAAGATCTGAACTGAGCGCCACTTGTTTACTCAAAATCAGGAAAACGGTAACTTTTTTGGAATCGAGAATGTTGAAGAGCTCTGCAAGCGCACAAGGCTACAATGAAAGGACACAAATAAATAGTTCGGCAACAGTTGTCGATCGTTGTACGCAAACAGAGGAGTGTCAGGAATACGTATCAGGAAATCAGAAGCCCTCTGGTTGGACCAAAATTATAGCTCGCTTAAACTATGCTCGTGATTTGCTAAATATTTCTGCGGAAGACCAGCCGGAGGGCTCTTCTCAAAACAGATATCTTCCACTTCGTTTTCAGATACAGTCCTTCAATTCATCTCTTGCAGGAATTGACGGTCGTGAAAAGGACGACAGTGAAGCCATGACTAAGGGCAGCATAAGGGCGATTCGTGACATGAAAGGATGGATTATAAATGGTAGAGCTGTCTGAATCATGAAAAAAGGCAGCCGAGTCTATTAACAATGCTATAAAATGCGCAATTTGTGGCGCGTTACTGGTCCACGAGTTTTGAAAGAAGCTGCAATTTTCCTTTGGTCTGCTTTCTTCCCGGAGGTTTTGGTGAACTGTTGCCAGCAGGTCTGGTGGTTCTCCTGATGCTTTGTACCGTCAAATCGGCGGCAGACCGTCCAGAACCGAGGATTAGTTTTTTAGAAGGCGGTCCCTGTATACTGTGGTTCTCATACAGCTGATTGATTCGGTCGCTTCTCCGTTTCCAACGTTCCTGTATTTTGGACATCTCCGCTTCGTCTGGGTTCCATTTGGACTTCAAGATCCGTCGTACCACTTCTGGTGATACCTGGAAATGCATCCCCAGCTGCGAAGCCGACATTTGTGGGAACTGCTGCTTAAGCAGCCGCAAACTTTCCATCTGTTCCCGTGACAGCTTTTTCTTCGGATTCCACTTCTCGCCCTGAAATTTCTTGTTCAAAGACAGTTTCTGGAGCTTCCAGTCCGGCAGCCGCGCTGTATGCGACTCGCTGAGTTTTTTCGAGCTTTCTGCCTCGGTTAAGGAACTCGAATTGACCAACTTGACGAGATCGCGAGCAGTTTTCGCTTTTTCTAAAGAAGTAAGGCCCGACTGAAAGCTTCTTCGTACTGTTTTGGCAGATCCCGTCAGATTGCAGTGCTGTGCAGAGGGATTCCAGTGACAAATGGCATTCATTTGAACGCCTAGTTTCGACGATCTAATGCGACTAAGCATGAAGACATACAGTTGCGTTTTTGATTGCTAGAACAACGGTAAAAGGCTCAAAATAAATCGATAAAAATGATTTCTCGACGAACTTCTTCTTTGTCTACAAGTGGAGAAGTCAAATTTCACAGTTTCGAGACTTCCCCAGATTCCAGATGTCTTTGAACTTATTTAAGTTGGAAGCGATGAGCTCAGCTTTCTTATGAAATTATTGAAACTTTGTACGAAAATTCAATATTCATCAAAGTTGACTAAACTCGAACTCTGACTCAAGGGAAACCTCTTAGAAAACACGTCAATCATCCGCCAAAGTAACTGATAATGAATATTATCAAGAAGTTCATGGACTCTGGTGTGAAACCAGAAGTTGTTTCAATACCAGCCGGTCAGTTTTTCCTATTAAGACCTAAGTCTTCACCGAAAGCCACCCTTGAATGCCTTTACAATGATGCTACATTAGCTATCAGAGAAAGCGGAACACACCGGTTTGAACTGGTAGTTAGAAAGGAAATTGATGACTCAGAGTTGGCCTCTGGTGATGGAACAGAGGATTTTGAAGATGACGGGCTGAGTGTCCTCTCTGGTCAGTCTAGAAAGGAAGAGGAATGGAGTTTCAATTTGGACGAATCTCTGTTGTTCCATAAATCGTGGAGCGAACAGGGAGACGTTGTATTTGTGTGGAAAAACAGTAAAGGAGACGTGGGCGAAAAGTTTCAGTTTGTGGTGAATGCTGAGGTCCCATTCTCAGATGTTGGTCATTTCCTCCATACTGCATACCTGTGCGAGTTCGAATTCAAATACAAAAAATCCGCTAGTAAAGCTGTACGCGAAGACCTGCAGCAATTTGATTTCTCGAACGAGAATGATGAAAACACTTTGGCTGATGACAATGAAGAAGAAGAGTCAGAAACAACGCGATTGGAAGCATCAATGAAAGTTCTTACAGTGCAGAGCAGCTCTGAAAGCGAGAGCGAAGAAGACTCGTTCAACGAACTTTTCGAAGATGCGCTGGACGGCACGAACCCGAAGGGAACTCACAAAGATGTGCTTTGCAGAAACAAGGCGACCATCACCGTTGAAGAACATACTGCCATTCTCTTTATTTACGATCCTGGTGTGCGGAAATTGATTCCTCAGGACAACTTTTGCAAAGTGTCGATTTTGGACTACGGAAATTTCGAGTACTGGCTGTCGGTGGTGAGCGACTCCATAAAACTGGGAGTTGATATTAGTCCCTTGGTAAATCCGTACTTTGAGAAGGATTCCAGAAGTTTTGTCTTCAATTACACAATGGAACATATAACTGTAACATACATGTTGGAATTCGAATCGGACCCAATTTTCGCACAGTTCAAGAAAGCTTGGACTCAGGCCCTCTGGGAAGGTTTGAACCAAAAAAGCTGGCATAGCATTAATGCTAATGAAAAAAATTGTATTACAGACGCCAGCGAAGAAGATCCAAGCAAAGAATTGAGCCTGTTTTTGCAAGACGACGAGGATAGTGAAACTAGCAGCAGCGAATCATCGGATGGTGAGGAAGGTGAAAACGATGATCAACAGGGCGATGTCGATAGCCTCGACGAAGATGTTGCGGAAGAACAATATCGCGCGTCCACTGCTCTTTCCGGCAACAAATCTTTAACTGTTTCATTCAACAACGATCGCTCGTACGTCACTAGGGGCAAGAAAATCGGTGTTTTCAAAGCTGATGCAGACGGCAACGATCTGAATTTTGTCACTGCCATCAACAATGTCAGCGATGTTAAAGGCAACGAATTCGAGCCAGAAAATCCTATGCTTTACACTGAAGATCAGGCTATGATCATTCAAGATAAAAATGATCCTTCCCGCATCTACAAGCTCAACCTTGAGCGTGGTAAAGTGGTGGAGGAATATTCAGCTGGTGGTAAAGACATCTTGAAATACTCCCACTCTAAGAAATTTGATCAACTTACAAATGAACAAACCTTTTTAGGTATTTCCGGAAAGAGCGTTTTCAGGCTTGACCCGCGCATAAGCGGAACGAACAAGGTTGTCACTGAAGAGAATAAGGATTACGCTACCAACTATGGCTTCAGCTCGCTTGCTACCAGCCAGGATGGTTACGTGGCAATTGGTTCCGGTAAAGGAGAAATTAGGCTTTTTGATAAGCTGGGTATACGAGCTAAGACGTTGATCCCGGCATTGGGCGAGCCTGTCAAACACATCTGCATATCTGCTGATGGGAAATGGCTTTTAGCTACTTGCGACTCTTCTCTTCTTTTGGTGGACTTGACTATCAAGGAAGGGAAGAATGCTGGCAACGTTGGATTTTTAAAACCTTTTTCCAAAGACGAAATGCCTAAAATTCACATTTTGAAAGTACACCCCAAGACTGCTGCCTATATGAAAACATCCACGAAAAAACCTATACAATTTACAAAGGCTTACTTCAACACAGGCATAAATCAGAAGGAGCAGACCATCGTTACTTCCACCGGGCCATTTGCGATCACTTGGTCACTCAAAAAAGTCTTGCGCGGGGACAAAATGTCGTATCTCATCAAGAAGTACAACTCTCTTATTATGGAGGACAACTTCAGATACGGTTCGGACAATAATGTCATTTTGGCGCTAAGGGACAACGTGAAAATGGCCAAAAAAAGTAAGTTCAAGGCACCTTCTGCTGAAATGAAGCATCAGAACAATTGGAATGAGTTTTTGGAGCTTTCCGAACAAGCCGTGAAAAAATGAGAATTTGGAATTCAGGTTTGTTTGATAGAAGCGAAAGGTGGTGTGCTATTACTTCCCGTCAGGAGAATCTAGAATTGAGTCTCCCAGTGTATAACTTGGTATGTATTAAAAGCAGGCCGCACAAGGAAATTTAATAAATGTCGACCATTGGTATAATGCAAGAGTTTGTCGATTTTGGTTTTTGAACATTTCCAGTTCATACAGATACTAGTTGTTAAAACGCCTTTGTAGGCCGAAAACTGATCTCATCTCATCCCAAAAGAGCATACGGTAAGCTTTAAACTTCTGTGCTTTAGTAGGCCTGAAAACCTGGTCTGCCGAAACAGAAATCGTATCATTTTTCAACGGTTCTTGAAGTCCATTGATCTTGTAGTAAACTCGACGAACAAAACGATGAAAGCCGGGGCTTTCTAGCAGTTTTTGGTACAGGAGCTCTTCAATACTTCTTGGCCCTCCTCTCATAGCTAAATGTCACTCTCTCAATCAGCTTTCATCTGCTCACCCTAACTTTCTTCAAAGTTGTCGATCTCGATGCCGATGTTGATGCTCATTGATTATAATGGAAATTTCGAATATATATCAAAATTAAGCATCTTAAACCTTAAACAGCCTGGAAATTTGGTGGGAGAGAACTATATTTTAGCCAACTGGTAGCGATGATTACTGACGAGCAACTGAACACATTGGCGATCGCCTTTGGAGTCATTATGGTGACTTTGATCGTTGTTTACCATGCAATTTTTTCCAGCACAAGACAAACAGCTGTCAAAGAGGCCTGAAAGTTGAAAGTTGTTGATGAAAACTGACAATTGAAAGCTAAAATAGATTCTTGATAAGACCAATCTCGCAGTGGGAATCGTGGATGTTTAATTGAGTCAAAACTGCACTGGTTGCAAAAACAAGTGATAGCCTTGACCTTCACTATACCTTTCTTTAATTAACCTTTCACTGATGTATATATGTATTATTGGGAATTCCCATGTCTAGTTCATATCTAAGATTATCGATTTCTATCATTGCACATAATTATGGATCTTCGTGGTATCCCGACCGGTAGCAGTCTCGCCCAAAATCTCTCTGCTGAGGTGAACGATTTTCTGCACGGCATCACTGATCTCGGTGAACGTACGTGCAAAAGCCATGCCGTGAATATGAGCCCAATGCGACGTGTCTTCGTGGCCTGAACCTTCACTTGGCTCATCGCTCTTGTCTGCTGCCGTGGTAACGCGAGAGGAGTCACTCATCGAAGATTCCAGCTGCGAACTTAGATCAAACAGCTTTTTCCGCGACATGATCGTGTTGGGCAGGTAAGCAGGGACCCTATGAGTGGAGAGAAAGCAGTTTGAAATCATGTAGAGCACGAAAATCACAGACGCCACACTGTCACGGCGATGAGATAAAAGAGCCCTCGATACACCACTATCTTTGTCAACTTCCCATACCTCGAAATACTGACCGGATAACCTGGCCTCTATCATCTTCTCGAGTAGAAATTCGCATACGTCCAATAACTGCTGGTAGATGTCTGCTTTGAACACAAAAATGTAAGTTGGTTCTGTCCGTGCCTTACGCAGCATCTCTCGAACCGCTATCAAACTTTGTGACAGGCGTACCTCACGAATGTTAGAGTATTTCTTCGTAAGCTCGTTGGGGGCATCACCAGCATCCCTGTAGAGATACCTGTCTGTGACAATTTGGTAAGAGTGACTAATGTGGCCGAGCAAAGAGGCCACGGAAAGTCTAAGCTCATGTCGAGCTGTGAATGACCAAAGTATCCAATTGATGGGAATTGACGGAAGAATGCCGCATAGAAGAGCAACCCCAGTCACCCAGGTATTTTTCCAAATCAAAGCTTGACTCAATTGGGCCGCACCTTTGCTATAGGGTTCCAGCGCTATGACTATGAAACACATGAATCCAGTGAAGCTAGACTTCCTATTACCTTTCACAAAGAAGTTGAATGACAGAAAGAAGCAGAAAATCGAAGCAAAAGTGGCAATCACGTAGGGGCTTCCAAAATGGCGAGCCTGGTTTGCACACCATCCCCAAAATATTCCAACTATAGCCGAAGCTAGTCGTCTGCCAAATGAAGCCCAGTTTCCGGTGTTTCTGCGGTTCGCCAATATGAAAAACGATAACGGTGCCCACCAGCAGTTATAAGCTTGATACCAGTGAAATGACTGCTCCAACCAGGTAGGTAGTGACAAAAAGGTCATCACAAATGCTACCTTCAAAGCCCACTTACTTTCAGGTGACGAGATTTGTGAGTATTTGCGCCATAGCTTGTAGCGCAAAGGATAGATGGTTGTACGAAGACTGAAGTCTTTGTGATCCACGGCCCTGACAATGACTGGGCCTTTTCTGTCTTGCGCTACCAATTCTGCCGGAGCTTTGTGGTTAGATGTGAAACTGTTGCTAATCTGTTCAAATATGTCGTCCACATCTTTCTTCGCTTGGTAATAATGCAGGATAGTTTTGGCACCTTGATCAATACTGCACTCAGTAGGCAGCCGCTTCAGCGCTCTTTTCAGCGGGTAATGGGGTAGCGCAAGCTTCCAGCTTGGGTTGGAACTCATCTCCAAAACGCACTCCGCAACTGGGATCAGATTCTTAGCACTTTGCCTCACATACCTTAGGAAAACAAAAGAATCAATAGACTGAGAGTCAAACAGCATCTCTTTTGAGAAATGAGTTGACTTGAGAAAGTCGCTGTAACAAAGATCCAGAGCGTGAATTTTCCTACCGAGTCTGTTGACATGATTTTCTAGAAGCTCTTTGACTTCTTGTCGACGATGACCAGAGCTCCTGACATGAGTCAAAGCCTTCAACGAAATTTCCAAGCTTTCCAATAAGGACACCATTTCTACCATTAGGGTAATGATATCCTTAGAGAATATTGATCTCAGTATAGCTGAGAATATATCCTCGTTGTAACCTTTAAAATCGTCTGAAGTCTGGCTCTCTACGCCAACAACATCCGACGGTAGGTTTGAAGACTCGAGGACCGGAGTCGCACCAAGGGAATTGCTACCTGTCCTCTCGCTGGCTTTTTTAGTACGTTCAGAATAGTATGCTTCGAGTTCCAATTTTGTTATCAATTTGTGATCAACCGGTAGAGATCTGAAGGGTGCAGCGACATTGGTGAGACCATTGCGAAGTTTCAAAAGTGATGTTTCGTCCATTCTAGCCAATGTAACCTGATTGAGGAACTCTCGCATTCCCTCCGAGACATCAAAATCAACAGTTTTTCCAATCGTTTTCTGAAGCGCCTGTAGGTCTTGGAGGTTGACGCAGTCAGTTGGATCAAGAAGTTTGACCAACAAGTGCTTGATTGCAGTGAGCGAAGACGAGAGCTTGCCGACGATCTCTGCTTGGCCGGCATAAGGAAAGATCAGTACACAAACTAGGAATGACAATATGAGACCAAAGAGATAGGACATTCCAAAGTCCCAATACAGCTTCCAGTTCAAAAGGGACTTATTTCCTACCAAGCTGACCGTGTGGAAAAAGGTGACTGCAATGCCATAAGACATGGAGAGGTACAACAGCCTCTGGTTGGCTGCCATGAGCCAAGAGCATAAGTAAATTGCAATGAATAAACTGCCGAACAAAAGGCCACCTTGATGGTGAGCCGCTGGTTTTGTAGCGACGGAGATGTACCACGCTAGACTTGACCACCCCATTCCTAAAGCGGCACCTAGGACAGACCACAAACTGATTTCCAGCTGAACTCCAACGTTTCTTGCTGGATGGTGGATGACAACCGCCAAAGGCATGAAGTACCTGAATTCTTGGCCTATCCACGATCCTGAAGGCCGCACTAGACATATGCAAAATGCCGAAAAAAAGGCGATCCAAAACTTGAGCATTCTTTTCCAGTTTCCCCTAAGTTGATATTGCTGCTGCGATATCCACGAATTTAGATCGGACATATGCTGACTTGAAGAGTTCACTACAGCGTCTTCATGGTCAAAATCCATCTGAACATTTTCATGTTTGGTGAAAATTGGGTCAAAGAACCCGTTTCTCAGCTCTTCAATCCCATAATCTTCCAAGAATTCCCATTGTTTCCCGTCAGTCAATAAATTCAGCTTAAGTTGTGATAAAGATGTTCTTGAAGCTGGTAAACCTGGTCTAAGCCGTTTCGAGCTCAAATTGAGAGCTGGAAAAAAGGACTCTTGTCGGTAAGATCCTTTGGAGACTCCAGAGTCTGCCATAGCTACTTAAGGTCAACCTGGAACTCCGGTTGACTGCTTTTAAGTGACTTTTTCTGTGAAGGTCATCGGATATCTTCAAGGAATCCTTTGAGTTCAATCACTTTAAAACTAATTTGACATCACACCATAAACCCAACTTGGAAACATACAAAACCAATAGCTCTTTCAAAGCACCAACCGACCTGGGTTTGACGCAATGGTATTAGATCAAATGCCGTGGTATTTGAAACAAGCCGCACGCGAAATCCTCGAAAAATTCCGATACATCCAACAGCAGGAGGACCTACAACTTCGAGAAGCTACCTTGAACCCTGAAAGCTCAAAATGGAGTTTGGGAGTTTCTGTGAACGAGGAAAACAACGATCGAAACAGGTACATTAACATTATGCCCTATGAGCGCAATCGAGTGAAACTGCGGGTCGAATCAGGAAATGACTACATCAATGCATCTTACGTCAAAGTTCAGGTACCTGGCGAATCGTTGCGTGCAGGTCGCTATATTGCAACGCAGGGTCCTACAGACAACTCCTGGCCGCACTTCTGGCAGATGTGCTACCAGCAATGTCCCGGGGAAAATGCAGTAGTGGTGATGGTGACGCCATTGATGGAACAACACCGACGCAAATGTTTTGAATACTGGCCTCGCGAGCCGGGGTCGCGAGCTATTTCTCCTCGAGAGCAAGGCTCCGGTCTGGTATTCGAGACGGGGCTGGAAGTGCACTTTGTGGATGCAGAACGCGAAAACGACTATACTCTCACGACCTTAAAGCTCATCCCAACAGATCAACGTTTCCCCACGAAAACTGTACATCATTTCTACTTTGATCAATGGCGGGATTTGTCGAAGCCAGACGAGGTGGTGCCGATTTTGGAGCTTTCGAGGCACTCGCACGGTCTCAATTCACCCGAGAATCCAATGATTGTGCATTGTTCAGCAGGTGTTGGGAGATCAGGCACTTTTATAACATTGGATCATTTGTTTCACGATACGATCGATTTTACCCAGCCTCAACCTGTTGCAGGCTACCAGCACGATCTTGTCGAGCAGATAGTCCAGCAGCTCCGGTCACAGCGGCTGAAAATGGTCCAGACTCCAGAGCAGTATCTTTTCATCTACCACGCTGCGGAATTGATCAAGCGTATGGCATTTTCCGAATAAACCACATAGATCAAGGAACCGTTAGGTCCTCAGCATAACATGGTGGGAATGATTGGGGGTTGACGTTGAGCAGACTCAAGCAGACTCATCTCAAACTGTTCAGAAGAACCCTTCTTTCGAGAGTGCCCGTAAATGGACATCATGAGTCCTACGGTTTTGGGTAGCTTTTTGAACTGCATCGGACCGCAAAAAACAGCCTGAAGAAGAAGCTCGTTGAACTCAAACTCTGGCAAACACCAAGTGGGACAGAGTACTCGAAGATGCGATGACATGGAGTTCCCATACCAATTGTGTTGCCGTACGACGGCACATCTTGACGATCATTGAGTATTTAAATGTCAATATAAGTTTGTGCACCAGTGACCTACCCTTTCAAACATCAACTCGAGCTTTTTAGAGCTCAAGGAGTACTTTGGCAAGTGATCTGAAGGTTCCGCTGTAATTTTTGCATTAGAATCACCCAGAAACTGCAAAAGATCGAATTCCGCAGCTGTTTTGGGACTTTTTTTTCATTTTGGTGTTCGTGTTGAATTAGCCGCCGAGCTTTCGTTGAAAACTGAAGGGAATTATGAGCGCGCTTATACAAGAGGGATCAGTGGTTCACGAATTTAGCAAGTTTCCGAATGAGAACAATCGTGAGAAACCCGTCCTTCAAGACTTTATTCCGCGAAGTTCTCCTGCTAAAGATGAGATCCGGAAACTTATGAGTGCAGAAAACTTGACAAGAGATCTGAGTACAAAATCAAATAAGTTTGCTGTGGAACAGCTACAGATGCTATTCGAGGATCAAGTGAAAAGCGTAGCTGTGCATTTTGCGGGTTTACAAAGCGTGAAAACTAGCCAGCGTATAAAATTGATCGTGTTCAGGAATCGAATTCGCGAATTCTTGCAAATGGAGGCAAACGCTGCAATTGAAACAACACAGAGCCCTCCAGAGGCGAGTATATCTATCTGGAGCGATTCTTACCATAGCGTTGTGGTAGAATGTCCGCTTGACAGGGCCTTTTTGCAAAGTTTGTGTGGTCAAAAAGTGTGCATGCTTTTGTCTCGAGAATTAGTTCATATGCTGCGAGTGGGCCATTTGGAGCTCAAAGCATCGCTCGTGGCACTAAACTCGAGGTCCGTAACGCTGGGCGGGCCGAATTTCGAGGATATGTTTGAAGATATGCGAAATCTAGTGAATAATCCCTTTTACAAATGTCCCCCCAAGTTCTGGAAAGCCGCGTTGGCAGCCGAATCATTCGACATCTCAAGCGCTATGCCCAGGGTGCTGGGGGCCCATAAACCTGGGATGGTGACACACGACATAACCCTTAACAAGGCGGAGATCACGTTCTTGATCGGACACTTGGGAACTACCATTCAGCAAATCAGAGAGCAATCCGGGGCGACCATCAAGATCATTCCTATCGGCTCACGACTGAGTGCGGGGCAGCAGAAACATCCGAAATCAGTGGAGCAGCATTTGAGCATCACCGGTGATATTGATTCGGTAACTCGAGCTGTCTGTCTTATTGACGCCGAATTGGCATTGTACCGAAAATGATCATTATTTCAGACAACGTCCGCCAGATAGTTTTACACTCATGAAGTGCTCCAGGTTCGATTCGAGACAATACACTGAATCCCAATTGATCGCGAATTGATGATTCCAATTCCACAAATTGTGTCATCAACCGACAAAAATACAAGTGAGCGGCCTCTCCCGCACTTCATGAACATTTAGCAACGTCAACGTCGCTGAAAGTTCAAATTCTGTCATCCCATCTCATCCTTCTGCGAGGACAAACTGACGTCTCTTCACAGGTCACCTGCCTGTGTCCGCGAACACACCAGCACGGCTCAGCGAACTCTCCGGTCCGCACAAGCAATGAGCACACATCCAAAAAGAAACGTCAGCTACCCGATGAGCGCACGCTATTATCCTCCAGGCTGAAAAATCGTGAAAAAGAAAAATTTTGACCAACGCCCTCTGAAAAATTTTTTCCAAGTCGAGTTATAAAACTTTCCATTTGAATAGTGAAAAGTTACACCTTTTACCTATCTATTTGGTCTTTGGATTGTTACTGTTTTTTCCGAATTGCTCATTCAAGCTCAATCCTCACATCACAAAAATGGCTGAAGGTGTTTTCGCAGGTGCTGTCGGTATCGATTTGGGTACTACCTACTCATGTGTTGCGACTTACGAGTCGTCGGTTGAAATTATCGCCAACGAACAAGGTAACAGAGTTACCCCATCGTTCGTCGCCTTCACTCCAGAGGAAAGATTGATCGGTGATGCTGCTAAGAACCAGGCCGCTTTGAACCCAAAGAACACTGTTTTCGACGCTAAGCGTTTGATCGGTAGAAGATACGACGATGAGTCCGTTCAGAGCGACATGAAGACCTGGCCATTCAAGGTCATCGACGTCAACGACGCTCCAGTCATCGAAGTCGAATACTTGGGTGAGACCAAGACCTTCTCTCCTCAGGAAATCTCCTCCATGGTGTTGACCAAGATGAAGGAGACCGCTGAAGCCAAGATCGGCAAGAAGGTTGAGAAGGCTGTCATCACTGTGCCAGCTTACTTTAACGACGCCCAGAGACAGGCCACCAAGGACGCTGGTGCCATCTCCGGTTTGAACGTTTTGCGTATCATCAACGAACCTACCGCTGCCGCCATTGCCTACGGTCTAGGTGCCGGTAAGTCCGAAAAGGAAAGACACGTCTTGATCTTCGATTTGGGTGGTGGTACTTTCGATGTCTCTCTTCTACACATCGCCGGTGGTGTCTACACTGTCAAGTCGACCTCCGGTAACACTCACTTGGGTGGTCAGGATTTCGACACCAACATGTTGGACCACTTCAAGGGTGAGTTCAAGAAGAAGACTGGTTTGGACATCTCCAACGACGCCAGAGCCTTGAGAAGATTGAGAACTGCCGCCGAAAGAGCCAAGAGAACCTTGTCTTCCGTCACTCAGACCACCATCGAAGTCGACTCCTTGTTCGAGGGTGAGGACTTCGAGACCTCTATCACCAGAGCCAGATTCGAAGACATCAACGCTTCTCTATTCAAGTCTACTTTGGAACCAGTTGAACAGGTGTTGAAGGACGCCAAGATCTCCAAGTCTCAAATCGACGAAGTTGTTTTGGTTGGTGGTTCCACCAGAATTCCAAAGGTCCAGAAGTTGCTATCCGACTTCTTCGAAGGTAAGCAATTGGAGAAATCCATCAACCCTGATGAAGCTGTTGCTTACGGTGCTGCCGTTCAAGGTGCTATCTTGACCGGTCAATCCACTTCCGAGGACACCAAGGACTTGTTGTTGTTGGATGTTGCCCCATTGTCTTTGGGTGTTGCCATGCAAGGTAATGTTTTCGCCCCAGTTGTGCCAAGAAACACTACCGTCCCAACCATCAAGAGAAGAACTTTCACCACTGTCGCTGACCACCAGACCACTGTCCAATTCCCAGTGTACCAGGGTGAACGTGTCAACTGTTCCGAAAACACCTTGTTGGGTGAATTCGACTTGAAGGGAATCCCACCTTTGCCAGCTGGTGAGCCAGTCTTGGAGGCCATCTTCGAAGTTGACGCCAACGGTATCTTGAAGGTCACCGCCGTCGAGAAGTCCACTGGTAAGACCGCTAACATCACTATCTCCAACGCTGTCGGTAGATTGTCTTCTGACGAAATCGAAAAGATGGTTAACCAAGCCGAAGAATTCAAGGCTGCTGACGAAGCTTTCGCTAAGAAGCACGAAGCCAGACAGAGATTGGAATCTTACGTTGCTTCCATCGAGCAGACCGTCACTGACCCAATCTTGTCCTCCAAGATGAAGAGAGGTAACAAGACCAAGATCGAGACTGCTTTGTCCGACGCTATGGCTGCTTTGGAAATCGAGGACTCCTCCGCCGATGACTTGAGAAAGGCTGAAGTCGGTTTGAAGAGAGTTGTCACCAAGGCCATGGCCACTCGTTAAGGTTATTGAAAAATTGAAATGCATCTTTTACCTTTCATTTTCACATTTTTTTGTTTACCGAAAAATCGATCTTGATGATTATATCCCACGTCCTCATTGTCTTACCACCTGTGTATCTAGTCTTAAATATGGATAGGTTTTTAGCTTTTTTGCCCATATAAGTAATGTACAAAAAGCACTATTATCTAGAACGGTCTAAGTCACACTGCTTTGTTCTGGTGGCTTGAGTTGTTTTTTGAAGAAGCTGTACTGATCTGTTGTATAATGTATTTCGTTTTGTTGCATTATTATTGATCGTCAGATTAGAGTGATAAGTATCGCAAATGTAAGTATAGATAAAGTCACGCTGAGAAAGGACTCTCTTGTGATTACCACTGTTCAAGCCATTAGAATTAAAAACGGATGATAGTAGAAGCCGCGCCCTATTCTTTAACTTACTACAGCTTTCTGCGTTGAGTTTTCAAATATCACTTTGTACTAAATATCATTCAAAATCTGTCATCTGTCATCTGTCATCCTCTGTGAAATGCATTGCCAAACAATGAATCAAAAGGTCAAGAGAATTCTTTGGACCAGTGTATTGAGGGTATTGCCATATTTTGCGGTATTGTATCGAAGCGAGACGTGGCTGCCGATTTCAAGAAAGTCATTTAATTCTCAAAAAGCTTCGAAATTCAGGAAAACTTAAAACCAATTTTAAAGAGCTTGAGATCAGCAATTTCCAACCAAAACTAAGATCCTTCAATAGCTCAGTTTTGAAAAGAATTTTAGGCATATTTTACTCGTCATTGGGCTCTCTACTACATTGGATACAGCCCTGTTTCCATAAAATTCTTGTAAATTTCGTAAACATGCCAAAATTGAGCCCAGCGAAACGTTAAAAAACTGGCTGAAATAAGAAGCAAAATTGCAGCTAAGTTTAAAATTAAAATTCTGTTCAAATAGTCTGATCATTCTCTTTCCCATCCACTGTCTTTCTTCCTCTGAAAAGTGACAGCGCCAGGCTTACTTTCTCTTTATAATTAAGAAAATTTTAGCTCATCGCGATGAGATGACATCGGTAAAATATCAAGAACAAGATCAAAAACCACTCGGGACCAATCTCAAAACGCTTTTTCAAAAGCTCAAACGTAGCCCACGATGAAGCTCGATACCAGTAATATGCGGTATATGACTCCTGATGACTTTCGTGTCCTACAAGCCGTTGAGCAGGGCGCAAGAAACCATGAAGTTGTTCCCACAACGTTAATCCACCAGCTCTCCGGAATGAGATCTTCGTCGGGCACCAACAGGTCGATCGGAGATCTTGCAAAGCTCAAATTGGTTTCAAGAATGAGAAACATAAAATATGATGGATTCAGACTTACTTACAACGGATTTGACTACCTGGGGCTGAAATCTATGCTGAACAGAGATACCATCTATTCCGTGGGAAATATCATTGGTGTTGGAAAAGAATCAGATGTATATAGAGTCAGCGGTAAAGATGGGTCTGCCAGGGTTTTGAAAATTCATCGCTTGGGTCGTACTTCCTTCACCACCGTTAAGAATAATCGTGATTACCTCAAACGCAACAAGTCAGGTAGCTGGATGTATCTTTCTCTTTTGGCTGCCACGAAAGAACACCAGTTCATGTCGCTCCTTTATTCGAGGGGCTTTTCTGTACCTGAACCCTTTGACAATTCCCGCCATATGGTTTTAATGCAACTCATCGATGGATATCCCATGAGAAGGATGCGCAGTCATAAAAACTTGCCCAAGCTATACAGCGATCTGATGTTATTCATCGTGAACCTTGCAAACCACGGTCTCATTCATTGCGATTTTAACGAGTTCAATATCATGATTAAAGAATCTATCCAAGACGCAAAGGACTGTGGTTTTGTCGTGATCGATTTTCCGCAGTGTATATCGATTCAACATCAAGATGCGGAGTACTATTTCAAGAGAGATGTTGATTGCATACGCAGGTTTTTCAAGAAGAAACTGAAATATGAACCTGTCGTTGACGAATCGATGGTCGATCTAGACGGCTATGGTGATGGCTTCAAGTATGCGTATCCAGATTTCAAGAGGGATGTGAAACGAAGTGACAATTTGGACGAGCTGGTCCTTGCTTCTGGTTTCAGCAAAAAGCACCCAAGCGACAAAAGGTGGGAGGAAGCTGCAGAGAAGATGAGAGAAGAGCTCGATGAACAAAGTGATGGTGAGGTCTCCGACACCGTCGAGAATTTTTCGAGCGAAGATTCTTCAGAATACTCTGACTACGACTCACAAGAGGAGGAGAGTTCAGACCAGGACGATCTTGACGAGGAAAACGAGCGCATAGTAGAAGCTCTTTCAAGTGGTGTGTCGAATTTGAAGATGGACAATTTAGGCAACTATATTCTCGAGGAATAAGTGCTCAAACGTGAAATGATGAGTTATCTACTACTATACAGGCCTTCTTATGTGGCTGTTGCGGGGGCTATCAGTCGTACTCAACTCCGGAGTCGTCTTCATCCTCACCTTCCCTTGATTCCATTGGAAATGACATTTCATGCGTTAGGTCGTCAAAATCGTTAGTATTAAAAGGATCATGCATCTTCTCCGGCATTTCATACTGCTGATGATCTATACCGTTTGAGAAGTGTGGGCCCATACTATCGAGGTCATTTTCCGCTTGCTTTTCTGCCACTTGTTCTTGTCCGGCATCTTCTTCATCCTTCTCCTGCTCCTCCTCCTCCTCCTCCTCGTCTTCGTCCTCATCTTGTGCATTATCTTCTTCCAAATCCTCCTCATCCTCCTGAGAAGACCCGACATCGCTTCCATCGGACAAATTGCTTTCTACTTCGAAGTCGTTGTCAGCCTCTTCGTCGTCTGAATCCAACGGGAGGTCGTTGATCTTTCCTCCATTTTCGAGTTGCTGTGCTGCTTCTGCTAGAAGAGAATGTTCTTCCGTGCTATGTTCCTTATTAGTCCGTTTAGCCTTGTTTTCCTCGCTCATGGAATTATCGATTACTTGTTTCCGTTTGACGTAGTCATCGATCAAGGCGTATTCATTCTGGTCAATCATGGAAAACTCGTACCTTTCGCCGCTCTTCGTAATCAAAGTGACATTGAACGTCAATCGCGTAATAGAAGAATAAGTAATGGATTCGATCTCCTGCGAAGAGAATAGTAATATAGGTTTCTTAAAACCAAATAGAACATTATCAGGCAGGAAATAAAGAGTTCCTTCTTTTGTTCCTCGATGTGCTTCTACATGGAACGGTTTGGGACCTGTATTGGACGCAGAAAAGGGATCTGCAATGCGGAACCCCACCAGTATGGCCTGCTTCCGGATGTAGTCAATGCAGGGCGAAAGATCATTTGCAGGATTACTGATTAGCCCCGAACTTTTCAGTTGCGCCAATGTTGCGTCCTTATTAAGCGTTACCAGAAGAAAGTCATTGGCATCGGACAATGCGTCTGACCGATAACTTATAAACAAATAAACCACATTGCTCTTTTCAGGGACCGGTAAAAAAGTGGCAAATTTGACACACTTGTTGAGCTCAGAGATTGTCAATTGCGGAACCATATCTTTGGATAGCGACAATGTAGGCTTGCCTGTCATTGGTGACAGTGAAATAACGAGGTTAAGCTTTTTGCGAAACGGAGTGAGCACAGAAACGTCTTTCAATTGGAAAATGATCGAGTTTTCTGCTACTTTGGGAGCCTCATCATCAGTTTTGGACTTTTTCCTGCTTTCTTGTTCAACGCTTAGGTAGTTGTACAGCTCTTCGAAAACGGCAAGTGCTGAGGGCTCAGATGAGCTTATAATATCAATTTTTTCACGCAGATCTCGCGGAATGCTATTCAAGAATGACATTTCTGCTGAGGCTGGTGGTATTGGAGCCTTTGAAACTGAGTCTGAAGCTCTTTCTGTAAGCTTTTTAGTAGAGATGATGTTACTCTTAGGTCTGGAAAGATCAGAAAGTGGTGATAGCACTATGTACGGTTGCGCTAAAGCTTCAGCACTCGATCAAAACCGTAACTCCAGCATTACTAGCAGTGTGTGCCAAAATACAACGATTTTGATCTTGTTATTGGTTTAACTGCAGACCAGATAAATTGTGGACTTATATATCTGCGATTTTCTATTCAATCTTACCACTCATTAGGCTCAATTCTTACCCAATTCTGACACTACTAAATGCCATAATGTGTGTCGAAAATATTAAAAATTCAAAGGTTCTCAGATCAAATCTCAAATCCTAGAAGAGGGTTCTCTTATTAGGCCTTCACGGTCCATCGCACTATATAATTAGGTAGTTACATCGACGACGCTCAAAATTCATCCCATTCGTCTTCTTCGGACTTTTTGGGTTTTGCGCTGCTCGCGACTGTTGCACTGTCATTGCCAACATCATCAAAGAGTTTAGAGAATTGACTCTCAGCAGCAGGCCCCTGGCCAAAGTTTTGTTGATACTGTCCTTGCAGATTTTTCGTGAAGTTCGAGAGTGCCTGGTAGCCATAATTTGAGGTTTCTTGAAATTTTTGGCCGAATTGAGCTGCTGCTCTACGGGTCTCCTCAGAGAGATCCTTGTTATGCATTTGTTGCACCCCTGGCTTGATCATGGTGTCGTTCACGTCTTCAACGTGTTTGCTGATGGCATTGGAAAACATACTCCATCCTTTGGAAAAAGTCCCCAATGGATCCTTTTGCAAATTATCGAGAGACAAGGTAGCCATTTTGCCGTTCAGATCGTCATTTTTTTGAGGATTAGCAGGCGTGTTGCCAAAACCTTGATATTTACCTCCCTGTGAAGGTGGAAGCGAATCCGATTTAAGCGAGTTCTTCTTACCCAATTCAGCAAAATAGGTTTCGTTTTTCTCACGTTGCAAGTCAGAAGCCTGTGGGGTGCTTTTGCGCGATTCCAAAGCCACAGAGCCTCCAGAAATTGATGGTGCAGGTGTGGAACCTCTGGAATCTTGTTCTGAGTTCACAGGCTGCTCATTTGAAGAGCCCAAAGCCTTAGGATCAAAGTCCGGGTGCTCAGGTTCAGTCCATTCGGTACCCTCGATTTCAGCGGTAAGCTTGTCCTTATAATCAGAAGCAATTGGGTTGTTGTATTTGATCTTTTGGGGTAGTTTGGTATCAACGCCGTGCGATTCCAGATAATCACTGAAGGGTTCGTTTCCGCCCTTTTCCATGCGTTCCAACTCCTCTGGCTTGAACTGATCCATCGTGATCGATCTCACGAAGGAGATGTGCACACCAAGGCCCCTATGGATCCCTGCACACTCCAGGCAGATAAAAATACCAAATTTTGGCGACGCCCATTGCGGATTTGGTGCCCCACAGTCCACGCATTTCTTATTTCCGCCTAGCTTCTGCAATTGCAGAAGTCTTCTTCGATTATCTGGATTTACCTGCCATTGTTCAGACATCTTCGAAACTTGGAGAGCGTAACACTGAGCTGAACACGGTAGCTTTTGGTAAGTTGAGTCAAGTTGTGTCGAGTTGAGTCTAAGATCTCGAATAGTTGTGTATACAGCTACCATAATCTTAAATTGATTTGGAGAGCATTATATACGAAACAATGGATTCACGCGAACTATAAGTGAAAAGGTCAAGACATGGAGAGTGCTGATCCATTGACTACTTAACACATCAACAGAGCATCGAAGACATTTTTTGTGATAGGTTAGATGGGTGTCAAATGGTTTTCAAGAACTGCAGCGTCAGATCTGTCACCAAGTGGCATAGTCACGTGACAGAGATGACAGCGACTGCACTCACAAATAGTATGGCAGAGCTTCAACAGACTACATGTCACAGTCTCTCTGAAAACTTGAGCTCCCATAAGAATGACTGGTAGGTCTTTTTTTCTTGCCTCTAGTCGATCTGCAATTCTGATAGTATGCCTTCCAGCTTCGTGAATCGAAAATTGAAAGATAAACAAGATGGGATGGTTGGCGAACTTAGGCAGTTCGAACCATTCAACTTTCTTTTCACAAACCATTGCCTTCTACTTCATTTTGCTTTGTGATCCTCTTCTTATCTACCTCGATACATTATGGCATGATTTGAGGCCATGATCAAGTACCCAAGTAGCATGACAGAAAACGGACATCGAGTATCGTGGTGTAGCGTAAGCTGGTGGCACAATTAGAACCCGCGTGGTATACATTCCTTTGGGAGGCTTTACAGACCAAGCGTTGATGCAAGCTTGATTGTGTAAATTTGTCAGTATGCCGATTCTGGCCAAATGCAATTAAAACCGATAAATTCGAATCACACATCTTGACGCTAGCTTAACTAGCTGGAGGTGACCTTGCAACTTGGCAGCCTTGCAACTTGGCTTAATCGCTCACCTCGGTCGAGCTGCTGATCAAAGAAAGCCATCGAAATGTCACACCAACTGGTGATGAGAGTTCAACCAGTAGACCCTCGTGCTTGTAAGTTGTGTCTCAATCATAAAAGCCAAGTAAACGTTTTGAGAGTGCCCATCATATTGATTGATCGGTATCTTTTTTTCCACAGGTCGATTTTATTCCGTTCAGACTCGCTATAATACCAAGATTTTGCGATAGCCAAAAATTCCCATGTAAAAACACTTGAAGTTGACAAGTGAAGTCCATTATACCCCAAATAATTCCATTTGAGCTTCTTTCTACATCTTGGCCCCAGAAGCTGCCGTTCTTCTATGGCAGTACCCTGTTAGAGGTCGCTATCCATACTAGTGAAATCCAAAGTCTGGAAATCAAGTACCAGAGAACAGAATAAAACCCGTCAGAATTTCAAAATTAAAGCCTCTCAACTCCAATGCAAACTCAACCCCAATGTCAGAATTAGATCCTCTTCTCCGGTGTTCACGGCAACGGTGACAGTTGTGATCATGCTGAACGCACGACACCGTATCCCCGCATTAATATATTGATACAACTTAGTATAAGTAGATCATCATCGTCACCCGTGGAAACATCTCAAGCATAGACAACATAATCTTCCATACCAAATTCTGCTTCATCCACTTTGTTGTTTTCACCCTTCGTTAAAACCACATCTTCTATAATTCCCTTTATACTCGCCATATAGTCGCCCTCGTAATGCCCAACACTTTGGATAACTCGTATATAAGCAACGGGCCATGGAAACCCGCTCTCTTCGAGGGTAAAGTTGCCTTTGTAACAGGCGGAGCCGGTACCATTTGTCACGTTCAGACTGAAGCTCTGATCCTGCTCGGTTGCAAAGCTGCCATCATTGGCCGCAACAAGGAAAAAACCGAACAAGCTGCTGAGGAGATGTCAAGACTCTCCAGAGTTCCTGACTCGGTTTTACCCATTGCCGGCATCGATGTTCGTGAGTTCGACCAGCTGGAGACCGCAGTGGCCCTCACTGTGGAAAAATTCGGAAAGATCGATTTTGTCATAGCGGGCGCTGCAGGTAACTTTATAGCCCCATTCGAACAGCTTTCTGCTAATGCGTTCAAATCTGTGGTATCGATTGACCTATTAGGAAGTTTCAACACTGCGAAAGCATGTCTACCACAGCTAAAGCTTAGCAGGGGCTCCATCCTGTTCGTCTCAGCCACTTTCCACTATTACGGAGTGCCATTTCAAAGCCATGTTGGTGCCGCCAAAGCCGGCATTGACGCGCTTTCAAACGCACTTGCTGTCGAACTCGGAGTGTCAGGAATACGCAGCAATTGTATAGCGCCGGGTGCCATCGAAGGCACGGAAGGCATCTCGAGGCTTTCCGGTGCAGTCTCAAAAGATCAAATTTGCTCTAAAATTCCTTTGCAACGTCTAGGTACCACCAAAGACATTGCAGATACGACCGTGTTTCTGTTTTCAGATGCAGCAATGTATGTTACTGGCACAGTGCACATTGTCGACGGTGGGATGTGGCACCTTGGCACGCATTTCGGGCGTGAGATGTATCCTCAAAAATTATTGGAGGAAAATGCTAAACTATGATTACATATGAGACCGCCTTCAAGATCCATTGCCCAGGAAGTCTTTCTCAAGAGATCTCGGCGCGGGGGCAGCCGCCAGCTTCTCCATTGCCTTTTTGAAAGTCGAAGTTACGCCCTCTTCTTCGAAATGCGTTGATGAGCTCAAAGAATCCGAGGCCTCGGAAAAAGTTCTTTTGGCAACGTCATTGATTGCCCTCCCTTTTCCTCCAGCCCCCCAGTTGTATGGCTCTTCTTCTGTATCGTATATCCTAATCATTTCCTGAGTAAAAGGAACATAATCAACAGCCATCAGATCTTTCCTGAAGTTTTCCACGAGGTGTTTGTTGAGCAATATGAAATTCGAAATCTCACCCGAATGGTGCTCTTTAGCTTGTAGCGCCTGTGAAGCGATTGTTTTCAGAAAATCGAGAAGACATGAGTTCGCCATATTGTCATCATGAAGGTTTCTTCGCAGTAAATCGAAAATGGGTTCGTACAAGTTATTGGAAATCATATACTTGTGGTAGAATTCGTCATTCAGGCTCACTATTCCTTTCAAGCACCTAACAGCGGTAAGCTGCAACTGCAGCATATGAGGCGACGTAATAAGCTTGCTGATATTGGCAAGAATGTTATGCTCCAAAATGAAATCTCGTGACACCCGGCGGTTATGCTCGGCAGCTACAAAGCTTACCAACTTCACCAGATATATGAGAAGCACATCCTCATCTGAATCTTCGTACACGCCTTCCATTAATGGTCCAAAAAGAATAGGTGCAACCTGAGTATAGAAGTTGCTGAAATACTCTTTCATGTGAAAACTGAGAGTATCCATGGCAGGATTCTCCCCGTTTCCATTGCGCGGCTGATCCTCCAGACCCATTATTATGTCCATATTCCCAGGGTCGTTGTAATCGGGGTCGATGCCCATGCATCCCTCCGGATGTAGGAGGGTGTTTAGAGCTTGTACTACCTGTTCCTTCAATCCCATATTCTTATCCGTTATCAAAATTTGGGACAGAATGGATAACAAGGAAATATCCGACGATGCATTTGATTGCGATAAGCTCGATGTATCGCCTAATTGCCGCTGATCTTGATCTTGATCCATCAGACGCGGCTGATGGAGCTGCTCACTTTGGACCGCATTGATCAACAAAATGTCATGCTCGATAATACTGATTACCATATCTGTGGCCAGAATCCTTATCCCACTATCCGTTTCCATACCAAATGCAAAATCAAAAATTTTGAAGAGGCCCGCCCTTACCAAAGCTTTGAAAAATTTTGACTTTTCTGCGTGTTCCAGGTTCTTGGTGATCTGAACACATTGATGTAACATACGGACACCATCCCTTTTCTTTTCCATATCAGCGTCTATCTCAAATAACGACATGACCCTCTGAAGGAAATGCTCCGTTTGTATAAAATCGATAATGCAGTTCTGTGAATCCAAGATCACATCTGAAATCATGCTGAAAGTATGATCATCCAAAAACCGTACCAAAACCACATCCTTGAGAAATTGCAGTCGATAAGTCTTTTTGATGATGTTTTTGATTTCCTCGCTTTTCAGCGGGACCACTTCTTTAAAATGCGGACCCGCCTGCAGCAGATAATCACGGTGGTTCGCCTTACTAAAGGGGAATTCGGTGTCGTACTCTAGGATTCCGACGATACCCATAATATGATCATCGTCGACCATCTGCTCTAGAACGTCTCGATGGTTATAAAGCGTCAGAGTTTTGATGATGTTACTCAATAACAGGAGTTCGCGAAGCCGGTGTTTAGATTCTGCATTTTCAAAAACGCGTATTAGAGTGAGTAAATAAGCGGTTTTAAGCACAAAGTCCATAGTGCCAGTTCTCAAGTACTCAAACGCCATGTTTTCGTTAAAGATTTTAAGCGCATCCATGAGTGATTTTTCGTCTTGTTGCAATTCATTACTGGGCAGATTCACAGGACCGGTGATGATTTCATGCACAGAACCCATGCCATCGTCATTAGAACGAACTGCTATCAGCGATATGTTGCTTTCTGTAGTTTTTTGGATCTGAATAATGAAGTCGCAAAGCGCGTCACAACCTGTGCTTTCTTCGAAACTCAGTGCTATATCTTGGCCGGAGAGGTCTTTCCACACAATAAGAGTCTCTTCTTGTCGCTGATATTCAATGTTTCCCTCCAGTCTGGACCACAGAAGCGTCTTGTCTGGGGAAGCTTCGTCGTTGACAACCAAATAAGCGGCTAAACTCCCCGTTTCCTCGTCGCTCTCGCCCGTTGCTGGCGTCAGTGCATCACTTTCGCTTAGTTTTCCCACGCAAAATCCAGTCCCAGTGTCTTTCCACTCATTATCTTCCAATATATACACTTTTACCCGCTTGGAGTCTGTTTCTCGCACTCCATCTTGTGTCATTTTCACCATCTCTGTAATGGCTACTTAATGCTACAAAACTTCTCTGTACCGTATCTGTAGTGTCAGTTTGATGTTTGCAAAAGCGTTCCGGGTATCAAATAGCGCTTGGATTCTCGATGTTGGATGCTGTTGGTTTGACTTAGTTTCGGAATTATGTTTAGGCGATGGCCTATTTAACGCCAAACTCAAATTTTTAAAAGCCCGGTGAAAGAATAGGATAGGATGATATCGCCAAAAAATAGCTGTGAGTGGACGACGAAAATATTCGGAATAATTCCCCTTTGAAGCATGTGATAAGCACGCGACCCACTCGAGCTGGGTTATACTTGGCGTGGAACTTGTTTAGGTTGTCTGTGGTAAGATGCACTGCAGTCATAACTGATCTTGAGCCTATGTTTTCTTGTTTACGCGGAAATCGTGTATTTTTGATACACATTGGTCGTAGGTTTTGGACTGCCACGCCTTTGTTCTTGCTGAGCGGTTGTTGTCTGTTATCTGATGCACTGCCATAATTTTTCAATTCTTTGAGCTAGCTTTCCAGAATGCCAGAATGAATTGAAATCTTGATTTGTATTGGTGCTTTTAAAAATGGGTGTTCGATGGTCCTCCTTTTTCCAGCCTCAAATTCGACTTTCCCTTATTCTCTCACGCAGGTCTTAAACCCAACTACACACACCGCCTGGGCTTGGTCATCTCGCAAGTCATTTTTCTTTCAAGAAAGCTAAGAAGATCTCTCTTCGAAAACAAAAGTGTTATCAACGCTCAGGCTTAAAGACAAACATATGAGAAAGCAAATGACACACTTCGGGCTTTTGCGTGGGCAAAACACCGCTTCCCTTTCTTTGCTTAACTTGTTTAGTCCTAAAATAGTGTTGTGTAGTTTCTTTGGTAAGATCTCTTAATTTTGCGAAAACTGCCTCTCTATTTATACCCCCAAATAGCCGCCGAACGCCTAACAGAAATGAAAACACAGAAATTGCGCGTCAATCACACAGCCAAAAGAAGATGTCTCTGGTCCTGATCTTTAAATGAAGAACCCTCCTGATACAACTAGTTTAATGAACAACTTGCAATTGGAAAATGAAAGTTCGATCGCAGATTCGCTCACTGTTGGAGCCTACTCTCCCCAGACTTAGTTCATCATGAAATCATGTACATATGTATATAGGTGTTTCGTGGAAAGCTTGTATTTCGAAAGCTTATCGTTTGGCCATGGCATTTCGTTATTTTGGTGACAACTTCACTACTTGGTCAGCGTTTTCGTAAGGAAATGGTGCGAAACCGTACTTTTGAGCAAAATCAATTGGCACAAAGCGTCCTCCAACGTAGTGCTGTGTTTCCAAAGTGTCGATCTTCAAAGCGCACGGTTTAGGGACCGTGAGTGATACCAAAACTTTTGGAACAATACAGTTAGGCTCCACAGGACCTTCGTCAACGTCCCAGCCCGTTGGAACATCGACTGAAACTATGGGTAGCCGATCCTGGATCTTCTGAAGCTGTTGCAAGATCGTATCAAATGGTTTCCGCACCGGAGGCTTGAAAGAGAAGCCGAAAAGGGCGTCAACAACACACAACGTGCTGTTTGGATCCAGGTACCTTGTCCAGTTTTCGTCAACGCTCAAGATCGGGATTTTGAAGAACTTAAGCTGGTCCACCAGTTTTGAGAAAAAGGGTGCCTTGGTATTGGGCTTTGGATAGTACACCACTGGTTCGAACCCAAACAGTTTAAGATGACGTGCACATACCAGCCCATCGCCACCGTTGTTACCTGGACCAGCAAGAACGAGAACTTGGGATTTCGTGTTGGTTGAAAGCGGATATTCTTTCAGCACGGCTTGTGCAACGCTAAAACCGGCAAGTTCCATAAGTTGCTCCAAAGTGAACCCTATCTCAGGCCCCATGAGGTCTTTATCGAGTTGAGATGCCAGTTTGGAAGAAATGGTTCTGTAAGACATTTTGATAGAAGGGTCCGTAAGCCCCTGTTTGGTGTTTCTGTCTGGCAGTTGTTGTGCAAGATAAAGAAGGACAACCTTGACATTTTAATATACAAAATGTGTGTGATACACGAATCCTTTAACCAGGGCTATCATATGACCCATGCTACTGGAATAATACACTATAATACACTGTACTCTTGAATGGTTTGGCCGTGTCATGAACGATTCCGGGAATCCTTATAAAGCATACTACGCACGCATGCCAAATCTTCGAGTAACATTTTTTGCAGCCAACGGGTCTCTTGTCTTTGGGAGTCGAGATCTGCTTCAAGCTGTTTGATTCTGTGATCCTTTTCCTTAAGGAGCCGTTCGTAGACGTCGGAAACATCAGCAATCTTTCCGGAACGCATCAGAAGCTGTTGTTCTTGTTGCTGCTGTTGCCGATGTTGCTGCTGCGATGTGTCTTCCTCAATCGTAGGCAGATCTGACTTGGCCTTCTTGGTGGCCAGCTGCAGGAGTTCGTCCACCGCATCTTCGTCCGGGGTTCCCACACCAACGTATTTGCGTTTCCCCTGTGGATTGCAATTGAGGGCTTCTAACCCCATGTTGAGAGCCAAATTCATGTTATTCAAGCTGGGGTTGATCGCAGCGTTGAAATTGGAATTGCTATGCGTATTCATGGCTGCAGCTATGTTTGGATTGATGGCATTGTCAATGTTGGAAGTCATGCTGGTGTTTATGCTCGGATCCACGTTCAGATTGATGCGGGACGTGTCCATGTTAGTGTTTATGCTGGGATTTGTGCCAGAGTTCATGCCAGGAGTCATGCCAGAGTTCAAGCCAGGAGTCATGCCAGAATTCATGCCAGAAGTCATACCAGAAGTGGTGCCAGAGTTCGGATTAGGGTTGATGCCGGGACTCATGCTGGTGACCATATGGGAGCTGATATTGTTGACATTGTGATTGTTATTGTTGTTCTGATTATTGATATTGTTGTTATTGTTGTTGTTGTTGACCATTGTAGCAGCGTTTATACTGTTGGGGTTGCCAACAGGTCCGGAACCCAGCAGTACTTCTCTCCCACTGGATGTATTGCTATGATTCGATCGCACTCCATTGCCGCTGGCCACTACCGAAGGACTAGCAGGCGACGTGGAGTAGAAATTATGCCGACTGTCCTGTTGCAGTTTTTGGAGTCGTTTCTGTAACTGCTGCGGCAGCGTATGGTCGATGACTTCTGAGGGCGAGTTTTTTGTTGAAGTGGCCATGCTATTGACACGACGTCTATTTTGGTTTAGCATCTGGCCCGTTTTCCAGTCAAACACCGTGCTGATCGATACCGAGACCAGCTGCCAAAGCTGATCGTTCAGTAGCTCCGAGTCGTCTTTAATCTGCCACAGTCCGTTATCGAGCTTACGGAAATACTTGCCGTAGGGACTGACCTCATAGCTGAGCTCCAGTTCTTTCATGATCTGCTGAAACCGCTGGAACAGCTCGATTGCAGACTTCGGCGACGTAGAATTGTCGTCCAGCAAGCTTGTGGAGATAGTTGCGTTGTAAAGTTGTGACAGTCGTTGGAAAAGCGTTAAATCATTATGAGGTGAACTCCCGTTGATCGGCCCATTGGATCTTGGTGAGCTTGACGCCGTATTGAGCACACTCACGTCTTCCCCATTGATCACTGCATTGTTGGACAAGACCCGGTGTGCCTTTATGATGAATACGTCCAGTTTACTCTGATGATGCATGATACCAGGCGTTGCGAAAGACCCACTGGAATCTCGGCGTACGTAGCTCATCTTTACCACACGAGACACCTTACCGATACCACAAAAAAGGTCTTTGCACACACTAATACAGGGGAAGTATCTAAGGAGTTGAAAAATGATAACTTTGTCTAGAATCCGGGCTTTATTTTTGAAAAATGGTTGTCTTGCTGATCCGTCGGGTATCGAATAATTCGAAGTATAATATCACCATCAGCTCTAAGTTCAGATAATCACGTTTGTCGTGAAGATTAGAGAGAAAGAGAGAGAAAGAGAGAGAGAGCGTCAGTGATCAATTGGGAACATGAACTTGAGCTTGTTGAACTGATGGAAGCGATCAGTGAGAGTTATTTTGGATTTTTACAAACATTTTTGAATTCTTTGAAAGCATTAGCGAGTGAATCATGAGATTTGTTCTACACTCTGAATGGATGTCGAACGAGTGCGAAAGCTAGACGAACATGCGATGAAGAAGCTATCGAGTATAATGGCGATTGCAGCTGGACAATTGAAAACACTTATTGCAGATTTTGTGCTGTTCATCTTTATCGAAAATTTGAGAGCGTCAGTATAATTGGTTATTGATTGAATCATGGAAATACCATCTAGCTGAAATTCAACGATAAACCTCGATTTGGGTAGTGTGGAGCGGTGATAAAGGCTGTGAAGAGCGTCACTGGGAAATGGGAGACCACAATTGCCAACCTATGGGGGAGAATAAAGAAACAACAGAAAGAAAGCAGTCCAAGGTGTGAGGTGCTGTGAAAGAACCAAATTCATGCAAACTGCAACATTCCACTCAATCGGCGGTGGCAAAGGGACAAAATCGAGCTTTTGAGATATTGAGAAGTTGAACTTGTGCGACCGTAAACCCGAACTATCGTAATAAATTTAAAGTTCCTTCCCCAATCCCCGAGACGGTATTTTAAAAAAATAGAGTATAGTTTTTCACCTCAATAGTATAAGACTATCGCCACTCCCTTCTTGGCTACTGCTTATCCGAATTATGCGGCCAGCGAAGGCTACAAATACTGCCGCACAGTTTATCACTGACGCTCTTTTAGCGGGGCCATCTTTGCTTCTTCATTTACAACTGCTTTGAAAAGCTGGGATTAAACGATTGTCTCAATACGCCATTTCAGCGAGGTTCCCAAAAGTCTTGATAATTCTCGCCAATACCCATGCCAGCCAACAGGGTCTAAGAGCTACGCAAAGCATCTTGCCACCTTACCGAAACATACATGAAAATGACGGCGAAGAAACAATCTTGAGTAGAAAGAACACAACAAACCTGATAGTCAAGTAAATATTAAATCAAAGTGGGCATCACCACCGGGGGGCGCGTCCCACGTCCTTGAACAGTACAGAAAAGGTGTCTGCACACTTGTGCGAAACCAAGAGCTCAAAAGAGCGTCGTGATCATCATCTTTGAGTCACTGAATGCACAGCAATAGCCTCCATTTCCCGCTTTTTGTCAAGAAACACAGTTCGCGACGACGAAGAACATTGTGACATTGTTCACTCAATTTATCACCAAATTTTCCCGAAAAAAAAGTCACGGTAAACCTCAAAAACCCCCTTTTACTTTAAAGCTCTCACCGATGAACGTCAAGCCTCTTAGCCATAGTTCCAGCGCTCAAAGTTCTTGTTGTCTTTTGCAATCAAACGCGTTAAAGATCTTGCAATTAACATTTTATTCGCGTTTAATTGAGACCATGGAACTCGTCAAGAGCGACACACATATTTCATCAAAAATTAACCTGAAATCAAAGGTCCATAGATCTATAATATCAACAGATCAACCTTGAGAGACTGACTAGCTCTTGAAGTACACAATCGTTGCAGTTCACTTCATATCTGAGCCGCACCACTGTTTGTCATTGATAGGCCTAAACTCTAGCTTCTGAACCATACCAAAATCATGTATCGTCGCAAGAAGGCTCATAAACGTGGAATTACATATTCGCTCATGCTGGTGGGTGATTCGGGCACTGGAAAAACAACGTTCGCTAATAACCTGCTAGAAATGGGTATATTTCCACATCAGTATGATATTGACGCGCCCCAGCTGGCAGAAAACAGCCGGGTGAAGGTAGTCAAGCCAACGATGGTGATCTCTTACAATTCAAAAAATGGTATTCCTTCGCATATGGCGCAATTTGATGCTTCACGCGAACATTTCGAGCCTGGCGTTACAATCACATCGACCTCCATGGAGATTTCTACCGGCCAGGAAGCTTTGCCATCGCGTTCGTCGGTTTCAAGTGATAGCTCCTCGACGACTCAAAGCAATGGTCTCAACACGGACAAAATTGCATTTTCCTTGATAAAGACACACGGTTTGGGTGAAAACATTGACAACACTTTGTGTTTTGACGAAATCACGGCTTTTTTGGAGCAGCAATTCGATCAGGTATTGGCCGAAGAAACACGTATAAAACGTAATCCCAGATTCGAAGATACTAGAGTTCACGTTGCGCTCTACTTCATTCCGCCAACAGGACACGGTTTGAGAGAAATGGATGTGGAAATGATGAAAAGGCTCTCTCGCTTCACAAATGTGCTTCCTATCGTTTCTCGTGCAGATTCATTCACTAAGGATGAACTTATCAAATTCAAAAAACAAATCATGGACGACATTGAGCGTTTCAATGTCCCGGTTTACAAATTCGAAGTTGACCCTGAAGAAGACGATTTGGAAACAGTGGAGGAAAACCAAGCTTTAGCAATGCTTCAACCTTTCGCCGTGATGTGTTCGGATGAAAGAAATTCTAATGGCCATTTTGTAAGACATTATCCATGGGGTGAAGTCAAAGTCGATGACGACAGTTTTTCTGATTTGCGAATTCTAAAAAATGTCCTGTTCGGTTCCCACTTCCAGGAATTCAAGGACACAACTCAGAATTTCCTATATGAAAACTATAGAGCCGAAAAATTGTCATCGGTCTCCGATTGGGATATGGACAAAATAGGCGACGGTGCGACTAATAAAAGAAACTCCGCCGCGCCAAGTCTCTCCAATTTTGCTTCTTTGATAACAACAGGCCAGTTCAAATCTTCGAACTCTTTGGCTATGCCTCCACGTTCGGATACGCCTACAACTCCAAATTCAAAAGATACAAATCAAGGCTTTGAAGTCGAATCTCCTGCTCTAAGACAGGAATCTCAAAGTATAAGGCGTGGTAATGAAGAGATTATCAGCAATATCAAAAGCTCTCCGAGATCCTCTGCTCCAGGGTCTCCTGATAAGAGCAAACTAAGAAACATATCAGAAACCGTTCCTTACGTTTTGAAGCACGAGCGTATTATTGCTAAGCAACAAAAGTTGGAAGAGCTAGAGGCGCAATCTGCGAGAGAACTTCAGAAGCGCATCCACGACCTAGAAAAGAGAGCCGCGGATCTGAAATTGAGGGAGAGACTTCTTCGTCAGCAGCATTTGAATAGCTCGAATGCTTCTATAGCTTCAAGAAGCTCTTCTACAGCACAGGTGGCTCCAGTACAGTCAACGCTGAAAAAAGAAGAAAGTGTCACTGACCTGGCATCTATTGTCAGCGGCAGAGCTTGAATAATTTGGATATTCAACACCCATTTCAACGCATCCACCTCTTTATCTGGTAGTATGTAATAGAAGATGACAATTAGATATTACAACGCACAGGTATATGTATATAGAAAAGTCCCTTGGCTGGTGAAGTATATTTCTGAATGCAGCATGAAGAATGATAATAGAAAGTGATGAGGACAGAAAAGGGAAATAGGCTTGTCTTCAGGGAGCCAAGCCAGAACTGTCGACTAGAATAAAGATAACAGGGAAGTAAAATGCAGATCAACGCACAGACCATTTTTTTCACCAAAAAGCAAGCAAATACAAATTTCAGCAGAAAAAAAAACGGATTATGATTGTTCCAAGACCAGTGACAATCAATTGTGCTTGACCAAAGTTAAATGGCAAATGGGCTAATGTCTATCTCACCTGATTGTATAAGTTTGATAGCATCAAAACTTGAAACAAAGAGCGCCGATAGAAAAAACGATGCTCAACAATACAACTTGGCAGTGTAGGGATTTTTAACAAAGCAACAAACACAAACCAATTTAAGAAATTAAAATCAGACAATGCTTTAACAGATCACTTGCTGAAAGCTGTAGTGTAACTGTAATTCCCGTTACCAACACTTCCACCATTACCGCTTCTTCTGCTGTTGGGTCCACGCACGCCCAAAGGATTTTTGGAAAAGCTCAATCTTATTCCACCTTTATTATTGTGCTGAGTGCCCGAACGTGGGAGCTGTCTACCATACAACTCAGCAAGAGCCCGAGTGGCATACGCGACATCTTCAAATTCGACGAAACACATAGGTCCGTGGCCATTCCCATTAGTGTTTTTGTTTCTGAAGGAAAGCCGCCTAAAGCCCTTTTGAGTAGAAAACAATTGACGAAGCTCATGTTCGGTTGCATCTGGGGGCAAATTCCCAACATACAAGGTATTGCATGGAGGGTTTTGATCAGCAGGGTTAGCCGGGGGTGGAACACGGGCCAACAATGACAGGTCTACTTGGGAAATCCCACCGGTTGAAGGAAGCGATGATGATGAGGCAGCCTTTTGAGGCAAAGTGATATTAGGTTGAGAACCCTTTGATGTACTATTTCTCTGTCCTGGAGGCTTCTGAGTTCCATTGGCAGCCTGGGGATCTTGAGACGGGGCAGCAACCGGTACCATTTGACTTTGCGATGGTTGCTGTCTGGATTGAGGTTGAGAGGGTAATCCCATTTTAACAGCAGGTACAGAACTTGTTCCAGGGGCAGGTCCTACAACCGTGAAAGGTAGGTTCGAGTTCTGCTGCAAAGATGATCCCATTTGATGCGGCAATGCTGAGGACATATTCATCGAAGGCATGTCATTAGATGGAACCGAATTGGTTGCCACCGAATTGAAAAAGCTGGAACTTTGTTTTCTTTGCGGTGGACCCCATTCCAACGAGGGGGTAGCAGGCTGCGATGTTGTTGTGGCAAGGCCGCCCATGCTTGACGGTATACCACCATTGGAGCCCCAAATGCTCTCATTAATTTCGTCATTCTCCATCAACAAAAAGGACTTTCCAGCGTCTTGTGATTTTAATGGTGTAGTCGCAACATCTTGTGACTGAGGTTGCGATGGCTGATTACTTTCGGTGGTGAAAGGATCAGAAAATGAAAACCTTGATCTTTGACCGTAAAGACCGGGTCTTTTTGCTGAAGAGGCAGACTGAGGTGGAGAAACCACGCTACTGGAGCCAGGAAGTTGAAATGCATTTTGTTGTTGGTTTTGTTGTTGATCCGACGCCTGTTCCACTTGTTCATTTGAGTTAGACTGCAATGTTGGGTGTTGTTGTCCCTGGGGCAAAGTTTGGGGATGCTGAAGTGTAGTTTGAGATAGCATTTGGGTCTGACGATCTGGGGATGATTGTAAGTGCTGATTGAATGGAATATGCTGATGCGAAAGTTCGTCGTATACCACAACTTGTGATCTATAAGGAAACTCAGGTCCAAAAATATGCGATTTCCCGTCCAGTATTGACGCGTAGCGAGTAACCAAATGCAAGGAGTCAAACTTGGCTTCCAGTTCGCTGGTGTGAGTGTAATTGTTTGCCTCGCTGGGAGGATGAGTGCACAGATTGATGTTATGAACGCCATCTGCCAATGCAAAGATGGCATGACATTCCCGAAGTGTTGCGTCCCTTGGAATGTTTGTCATTTTCAAAATGAATGGACCTTGAGCGCTGCCCTGAGAGGCCGATCCACTCATTGCCAAGTTGTTGAGCATCGTAGCCAGATGAAGTGGCGAATTGTTATTGCTAGAGCTCGATCCTGCCAAGCCCAAAGAGCTTTGATGTATCGGTGAAGAGTTGCCCGGTGTGGCAATGGGGCCCAACTTGTCAGAGCCGGTGCTGAAGCCACGATGCAAGCCGAAATCGCCGTGTTCCAACGGCGTAGAGTTGCTGTTTACCACAGACATGAGCCAAACTTGAAATTCTGGCTTAAAATGAGATCAAATGAAGAAAGAAAAAACGCCCTGGTGCCCGCTTTGATGCAGCGCGGTTGTTGTGTGTCGTGTGCGCGATGTAAGGCAACGACAAAAGCGGAAGAGAAATAATGAATAGTAAAAGGCGACCACCAAATGTTCAAAGAAAAAGATGGCTTCAAAGAAAGCAAGGGCCCAAATGGAAAACTCAGAGAGAAGTTATCGGGAAGCGCACAAGCTATTTTCGCCTGTCACTTGTAAATCAATCTCCTTGAGCCTTGTTTGTGCGACAGAAACTTTTCTGCCGTTTGTCCTTTTGCCACTGCGTGTAACACGCTTCGTCGGGTCTGCACACAGGAAAGAAAACGTTCACCTAATAATACGCCAAGAAAACCCTTTTTCCAGCCTTTTCAACTGTTTCAATCGGTTTCTATCGGTTCACTCGTCCTTTATTGATGTTATTGACCTGTCCTGAGGTCCTTTAATTGTTGTTTTTGCCTTTATATTTTGTGTTTTTACCCACTTTGCCAGTCAGAAGTTAACTCCTTTCCCAGTTCTAAAGTATCCAGTGATCGTTTTCGGTTCGTCCGTAGATACCCTTTTGTTTATAAGGACGTAAAATTTTTTTTCCAATAAGTATCTTAAACCAGGTTGGCACGCACATACAGACGCGCACCGATGCGCGACAAAACGCTGACTGGCGAGCGCGTCGTGGTAGATAGATCTGCACGAACTTTAATTACTCATGGGGAGAGAGGGGCGATGGGACGCGTGCGGTTAGGAAAAAGCGTTGCAATTGAAAGGAAGGTGCTTAGCGATGGAATAAGTGATAGTGGACAAATCATGTGAGCTGTGAGGTGAGAAGCGACGATTGAGGATAGTTTGGTCCGGTAAGTGGGCGAGAAACTGTGTGTTATTTCAGTAAAGACTGATAAACCAGAAGAAAATATGGCGAATGGGACAGATAAACCGCCCAAAAAAAACGTGACTTTGCAGTTGTTTTACCTTGCCAAAATCAACTTTGCGTATGAAATGACCCTTCTCAATTTCGTTTCATGTGATGAATGTTGATCACACAATACGGGAATTTCAAACATTAGGCGTGCAAAGCAATGGTATGGTTAGTAAGGGATGATATCGGTTAAAGGAGGACGGTGGCGGGACCTCATTAGGCGTGCAAGCAAGTGATGCTATATGCTTCATGAAAAATACCCAGCATTTCTAGGAGATTTATCAAACTTGATCTTACTTGAGTAGAGTTTGCAGTGTTGTAAAACCGCCTCATTTCAAGCCGAAAAGATGCAAGCTTACCCCGTTATTTCCAGACCTTCAATTGTCTTCAGACACATTTCCAGCCCTTCAACTGTCTTCAGCATCTAGTTCGGTTCATTTGAACCTCTTTCCTTGTAGTCGACTCTAATCCACGGCCCAATGTTGCTTACACAAGATTCTTCTTGACGCCTTCGCCCTTAGCCGCCCAGCCCAGGGAGTGGGCTCCAGAAGGCCCTAATCCGCTCCAAAAAGCTCTATATATACGTCTCTAGTTCTGACACGCACCAAACCATTCGAATCAGTCCATTACAAGCATGTTTCACTCCTATTTTTCGTTTTTGTACGGTTTTAGTGGCTTCGTAACATATAAGTAGATGGACAAGTTCCTTAAGCTTTATTTACAATTATTTATGAGAGAATAGAACGCCCAAAGAAAAAAATCTATAGATGCTAACATCAGATATCAATGTATCTTCAATAGTCAGAGTTCGAAACTGTTGGTGGTTTTGAAGCAATTGATCACTCGGTCTCCTTCACAAACAGTCAAACTACCTACGTGTTCGCTGATGTTGACAGATTTTACTACTCAAAATGAACAGAGCCACATTGTTTGTTCCCGATCATGCTAATTGCTTGTCTTTGTAGTGCTTCAGAAACTTCTCATTCAAAGCTTCAAAGCTCACACTTGATGAGCTTCCTCACCTGGCCAAATCAAAACCAAATTGTCAAGTTTTCCAGTGGCAGCAGCCTATTTATCACTTCAAATTGATCCTTCCGCTCTTCTCCCGTAAAGACCCCCCACTCTACCTACTACCCTAAGATGAATTTCATGATAAAAAAGTCATTCATTTCGAGGTACTACCCAAAAGTTATACAAAAGTGGTTCATAATATCGTCAAGTGTAGCCAAAAGAGTGCCGACCTGATGGTTTCACCATTCGGCCTGCTGAAACTCTTTGAGCCTATTCTGTGAACGCAGCAGCAGCATTAGCTGGCCGATCATGAGGCTTGCTTCTGATGCGATCATCAATTTGTTCTGCTTTCGCCTCAACAAAGTTGGCGTTTCGGGGGGTACGATCGTGCGTCGAAGTTGGTTCCTCCTCGATTGGAATCTGGGAAGGATCCGTCATTTGACCGGCACCTGATTCAGATCCCACAGAAACATTGCGTCTACTTTGGGGTACCTGAGACGTGTAGGAAGGGTGGTCATCAGTGACTGATGACTTTCTTCTTCCAACGGCACCGTAAGTTAATTCCGAAGGATCGACAAGACTTGGCTGATTGCCGGCCTGCCGAGCATACGCATTCTCGTGCTGGACCCAATCTGGATCGCTGTCGGGCTTTTGCAGTTCGTTGGAATGCTTAATTTTGTATTCCTCCGCACTTGTTATTCCAACGTGATGTTTGTCTTTCATCTCAGATGGGTTTGGTTTCATCTCCCATTGTTTAGAACCACGACTCGTGATGTTACGGTTCTCAGTATCGTGTGGATCAGCAGGTTTACCAGAATCAACATGGCCACTCTTGCGTCTGCCGGTCATAGCACCCCAAGCATCCTTGAAAGTGGTTGAAATCTTAGAGAACTCACCCGAATCCTTTGGACTTTCCTCCTCACGGTGCTCCTCGCCATGACCATGCGATTTTCCAGATAGAGTTCTGCCTAAAGCAGCAAATGGAGCGTTACCCAAACTCATGCTTCTGCTCTTGGGCCTCGTACGTTCTCCACTAGCGTCACTGCTCTCAGCTAGCGAGGACCTCCGTCTTTCAGCATCAGTTACCGATAAATCCCCTAGCTCTGTGTCCAACCCTGATGGGTGATATTCTTCGTACCCAGCCTCTTCGTCTTGTGAAAGAGCCATTTGTCCCTGAGGAACATTAGCTGCCACGTTAGCAGTGCCACCGGATTCAGAATGTTCTCCTTGATGGTGCCCGATAGGTCTGTTGTCCTTTTCGATAGGCGCTTCGTGTCCGCTACCACCAACGGGGAATTTATGCCCGGCAACCCAAATTCCCTTCTCACCATGTTCAGTAGAGGCGGGCTCTATAGCCGTGGCATGTTGCGAATGCTTTTCACCAAGACCAGCAGAAGATTGCTCAACGATACCTGTGGACCTAGGAGTTTTACCGCTGTAGGCATCCAATGCTGGTTCCCTTTTGGAATATTGCGCACTGTTTCCCCCGTACGCACCAGTGATATCCCCCAAGTTTCCAGCATGTTGGGAGCTTTCGCCCCCGGGAGCAGAGGGCGCAGAGCCAAGATTCATGGTATGTGGTGACTTGCCCTGATCTTTAGGATCCAAAGTGTCTAGAGCCGTTGCAAACCGTTCATGCGCTCTTTCGAGAGATTCGCGATTGGTGTCGCGTGTTGCGCCCGCGTTACTTTCCTTTGTAAAACCGCGGCCCTCTTCGACACCATGTGCAGCAATTGCGGGTTCATTTTTCCTAACGTGCTGCGAATCGCCCTTAATTCTTGGATCCAATGCTTTGTGATGTTCAGTTGGTCCCAAGTGTTCGCCTTTGTTTAGGCCGGGATCTGCGAAGAAGCCTTTATCGTGACCTTTGCGAGAGTAGCCGAAGCCCGTTGATGGAGCAGCAGCAGTCTTCTCAGAAACGTGAACGTTTTCATTCTTGGGATTTTCGCCATTTTCGCTTTCCCAATCAAGCCCAGGAGCCCCCTTATCAGGTGGATAAGTAGACTGAGAAACGTTAGAAAATTCCCCAGGAACATGAACATGATCCCTATTCAAATTCTGGTCGCGCCTAGACTCCGATTCAACTCCTGGAACTAGCGGTCTATTAGCGATTCCAGAGTTTCTGGCTTTATCATAGCCGCTTTCTAAACTCGCTCCTTGCTGCAATTCTCCCGCATTTGCCGTTAAATTCGCCGAGCGTACACCGTCATCAGGGTTCACAGCGCGGGATTGCTGATGGAATCCACTACCTTGGGATCCTGGTTGATGGTGCTCCTTGGTAGAGTCCCTTTTACTTCCAACAACAGCACCTGTAGTAGCTGCAGTACCAGCCGCGGTACCAGCAGCAGTACCAACAGCATCGTGATCGGTAGAGCTTTTCCTCCCAAAATGTTTCTTCTGTTCATTGAACTTGTTCCGCAACCCCAAAGGATCCAAGACAGAAGAGCTCGCTTTCGAGTCCGCTGGCTCTTTTGATCCGCGTCCAGCAGATTCGTTAGCTGCACTCCTGGAGTTTTTCCTTCCAAATATACCCCTCTTGTGCTGTTCAGACTCTGGAGCCGAAGCGGCAGGCAGATTGTTGACGTCAGGAGGCAATAGTGCATCCACTGGCAGCGTAGTACTAAAAGTATGCGCCTTGTGCGCATCGAATCCCTGGCCCGACCTGTTTTCCAGACTCTCGCCGTATTTTCGAGAATCTTGAGTAGAGTAATGTTGGTCATTTCCAGCCTGGTGACCCATTCTTAGTTCTTGCGATATAATAGCGTCATCATGACCTCTACCGACTTGACCAAAACTGTCAAGTTTTTCGGCACCCTCGACTGGGTCTCTACGACTGTTTGACGAATCGGAGAGGTACTCTCCTTGCTGCTTAGTTACATTTCCTGAGGTGGGCGATGCATTGGACTTATCCACCCCGCGAGTGTCACTACCCGATTTAAAGGGATTGTGGGAATGTAACTCCGATTCGTTAGCATGGGGGGCAGAGCGAGAAGATGACATTTGTTTGATGTTCTGTTCCGAAGCTTCGTTGGCGTCATCTCGAGGAACAGACGTGTTTTCCTCTTCACCCTTGTGGGTGAGGTTCATGAGGGTCCTGTACAATGTTAGTAACAATAAACATGAATTACTGCTAGGTACTTCTGTTAAAGTGAAGGAAGTCAGTTGCTGCTGTGCTTCATGGTGAAATGGGTGGAAGGGGGGATATTATTTTATTAGGTGTGTGTGTGTGTGTGCGAATTTTGCGGCTCGATGGACCGACTACGCGCGAATTACAGGAGCGCCTTCAGAATCGTACTCTGTAGCCATAATCGGCTGTTGCTGTTGTGGTTGGCCACCAAAAGAGGCGTCAAGAGGGTCGCGCTTGACCCGCATTTTCCAAAACTTGACGTTCCTGTGTCCAGACCGATTATCGCCAGTGTCCAAAGTGGTTTTGTCGCCTCCATAAGTGTCGTCGGAGAACCCGGATTCGAGACCCTCGTAACGACGACGATTCCGATCGTGTCGAGAGCCTGAAAACCGACGAGCGCTGAAAAACGACGCCGCGACAGACGACCAAATGGCACACGCCAGCAACAGAGCAACGCTGGTCCATATGAACGCAAAATTCCGGGGCCCCAGCTTGGCGTGCCGTTGAGCGTCGGAGAACACCTTGCGGCCCTTGACGTAGCAGCCCGTGTACAAACACGCGGCCAGCGTCACGAAAAACCAGGCGAGCCAGACGGCTAGCACTGCAAGCCACGCGTTCACCAGAGATGTGGAGAAAATGGTCACAAACACGGGAACCAACGCAATCACAATGTACACGAGTCCCACCAGCAGCATGGCCCACGCCACGCGCGACAGGTAGTAGTAGGTGTTCCGGTCGTTGGCAAACGCTGCTAGCAGACCGCTGCTCGAGCCGAAATTGTCCCTGGGCGAAAACGGAGACGCCGGTTTTTTCGACGAGCAGCCCTGCAGGTTCCCGTTTTCGTACGCGCACCAGTCGTAATTGAACCATCGGGTGGTGCTTGGGGCACCACCCAGCCCGGAGGTATCAGCCTCCAGCCAGTAGAAGTTTTTAAGAACGCCCGAGTTCCGGGCCCCCGATAAAATCACAAAAAAAGACAGCAGTCCCGCTCCTAGCAGCAGTGTGAAGAATATAGTAGTAACAGACTGTTTGAAACGCATTTTTCTTCCAATTGTTGTTGTAAGCTACGCTTTGTTCGTTTCTTTCAACCCTTATTTCTTTATTGTCAGTATATGATACCAGTAATGCAAAAGTGTTGAGTTCAAGGAAGAAGAACCATGGCCTCCAACCCGCTCTCTTTTATACTTTTCAGAGCAGATATTCTCAACAACACAAAAACAAATACGCCGCAAAAACAAACCCCAATAATTTTTGACAGTTTTTGTGTTAACCCCGTCGGAGTTTGTATTATTGCTCCAATGTTGGCTCAGCGTGTGATGATGATGATGATGATGATGATTCGTTGAGCTGTTTAACGCAGGGTTGCTCCAATGGTCAATGAATTAAGCGTCTGGCCCATAATTCGTTGTAGAGTTTTGCTTTAGCACTGGTATGATGAGGGGAAGAGGGGAGCCCACCCTTGAAAAGAGGTAAACATCATCACTGTTGCTGTTATTGTCACGATCAAATACCCCGGATTTGCATTCTTTACAGAATTAAGGGCCAAATTGGGCTCCGTACAAGATAACAATGGCTGAGGGGTTCTAGCCCTTTTTTTCGGGATTGATCACTTTAGTCCATACTGACACCTTGACATGGGATTTGTATCAGGGCGGTAAAAACAACGGACAACAAACATCACAAAAAGTAGTGCAACAACTGTCTTGTTGAATTGTCTTGCCCGATTGTCTTGTTCAATTGTCTTGTTCAATTTGTCTTGTTCAATGTAATGTTTTCTTCTTGTCGCAGAGCTTGTTGTGGGTGTTTTATGATCTGCCCTTTCTTATTTTGCGTAGTACTCACAACTAATGGTCTGTGATCGATTTCTCCTGCTTGACACGTACGTTGGCCCTGAGAGCATCAAGTTCTGCCTCAATTTCGTATATTGAAAACTCTATAGGGCACCATATGCGTAGGTTTCTGGAAGAACTCACTGGAACGCTGAAAGGTGACAGACGGAAGGTGAGTCGCTCGCCGTCTTCTGCTAGAAGACGCAAAAGCTCCGTTTCGCTTAGACGAGATCTGGCACCACCGTAGAAACTCGCAATGTTGCGGGCACCAGGAATTTCCACACGCAACAAGCGGTGTGGGTCCAACATGTCCTGTGTGTAGTACTCGTTGGTCAGATACAGCACCAAAGATTCGGGGCCCTGGAAAACATGCACGACCTTGGCCTGCACTTGGAAAATCGCAGTGACGCTGCCGTCGCTGCCGCTGTCATCGCCCCGCATTGTGGCCAGCACCGGCAGTTCCAAGTCTTTCGTGACCTGCAAATTGGTCGTGACAACGCTCAAATTGGGTGGCTCCCATACCGGAGCTTGCAGCGATGACTCGACATCCTCGGACACATTAACAACAGCACCAGCTTGTTGTCGATCGTCGACAACGACCAGACCGTTGAACTTGGTTATAGAAAAGAAGACAGCATAATTGTCGAATTTGTTCACCAGCAGCGACTGTGGGATATGTGCAATGCCCCTAGCGTAAAATGAACGCAAAAACTGTTTCTCGTCGGGCCTGAGACTCGCGTCATGAGCCAAGATAGGCTCACACGTGCGGACGATGCCGTCAACCCCGCCATTGTATAGCTTAACTTTTAGTTCCAGCCGACACACTATGCCCTGGTGCGTCAAATTGGTATCGTAGACATTGAAGAGATCCCTGTAGGCAAGTCCCATTTTTTCCCTAACGTAGCGGTCAAATTCAGCCAAATGGTCGTTGTAGATTACAAACGGGAATACTTTGTTCTGCGGCAAACGGTCTGTGTAAGTCCCCAGGAAGGCATCGGCTGCAGAAAGCGTATTGTTTGGGTGTGATGTGAAGTCCGTGAATGCAAACTTGGTGATCTTGCTGCCAAATGTCTTGGCGCTAACAAGCAAGGCAAAAGTCCTCACAAATTCAACTTGATTCGGGGCCACCGAGATGGCTGAAAACGTCTTGAGCGGATCCCTGAGCCCCTGTGACGATTCAAAAGACTGGTTGCTGGATACAACCCCTTGGCTCGCAACTAGTGTGGGCGGAGTAGAAGTCACACCTTTACGATCTCTCTCGTCGCACTGCACGGACCTTAATGCCAGTGTAAATGTGAAATGACCGTTTCCGAGCAACACCGGGACCTTCCTAACCGTGACTGTTAGTTTGTCTTCTTTGCAATATAGTCTGAGCCCTTCCAACAGGGCCTCGGAGCTTGCAGCTTCGAGGATCTGCGATCCGCATTTGATATTATCGACCGAGTTGGCTTCAATCTCCAAGCAATTGACACTGACGCACAGAAGTTCGGACCCTACAGTCAGTTCTTGGTTACCAGGCTGGCAGAAAAGTACCACGCTTGGACCCGGCACGCCCTGATTGACGCGCATACCCGCTACCTTAACACAAAGCTTCAACACATCATCCGTAGAAGCAGCGGTAATCGCAGAAACCATGCTTTTGATGTTCTGATCCAGAGAACCCGAAACTCGCTGTCTTTTAAGTGAGTGTTGGACTTCTAGACCGTCGTAAGATTGTGATTGTGAGCTTGCCGATCCGCCAGACTCCCAAGCAGGGGCCTGTTTTTGATATTGAGTTCTCGTTACTGTATGAGCGCTATCAACGACTTGTACGTTTCCACGCCCAGCTTCTAAGGCTCGCGATTGACCAACTTCCGGCGAGCTTGTGAGCCTCTGCGACCTCGGGTTCATTCCACCATCTGCCGTCACAATGCTGCTGGAAATTGTGGAATCAAGCTGTGAACTTGTTGAGTTTTCAATTTTGTCATTCGTCAAAGAATCGCCCTGTGTTACATTAGTAAAAATTGCATTGTTCGGTTGGCTCAGGTATGCAATTGGGTTGGAATCGAAGTCGGTATCTGCAATTTGAGAGTCGAAGTCGTTCACGGAGTCGTGGTCAATGTTGAATCTTGCAGCCCCAAATATAGGATTTTTCGCTTTCATGGATTGTATGGTTTCATCGCGGAGTTGAAAATACTGCAACATCTCATTAGTTAGATTTGACAACTTCACAAACTTAAATTGAGCCTTCGAATTGCGGTTGAGATTCACCAAGTTATCAAAGATTGTCTTGGCGCTTTCGTGTACGGCTTCGCCTAAATCATTTTTCCCAGCAGCGAAAAGTGTAGCGTTAAGATCGATAGGACGCAGTCCTTGCAAAAAAATACCATAGCTACCACCACGGCCCACCAAAGCTCCCTTACAGAGTACGAAGCACAATTTATCTAAGTGTATATTTTCAAGACTGAAATGCGTCTTTTCGTCTTCTGTCTCTGGGAATTCAAGATCGAAATGTTGGGAAAACAGAGAAAGCGTCATTCGAGTAAGGTTCAAGGTCGCAGTGGTATTGCATATTATTCGGCAAGTGTACTCAGGTTCTTCCCCGTCACCGTCTTGGAAGTTTTTGAAGTACAAATGGCATTTGGTCTGTGAATCGAAATCGATGTCCGTTAATACAGATAGAAACTGTATTTCTTTGTTGACCACAGAGTCTTCCGAGAGAAGGCTCGAAAGCTCTTCTGGTCTCTTGATAAAAGTGCAATTCTTGGCAAGCGTCACACTCATGGCTCACCATCGGTCTCGGCAACCTCTATGTAGCTTGTTGTGGTTGTTTTCGAAACTTGACAAAAGTTATCGAAAAGTCGTTATATAGTTGATGACATCTATTAAAGACGAACACCTTTAAAATCACTTGTACAAGAAATGTGAACAAACTCTGTTGACTTCAAGCAATCATTTCAGCGAGTTGCGATGGTGGCTTTTCCCAGAGCTGGTGGGAATCAAAAGAAAGTGCTGCTTACGCAGGAAGAATTCTACGATGATGCCGTTTCAAAAGAAGAGCAAGCTGAAAGGTGGGCACTTTCCGATATCAAAAAAACTATTCGCCAGTACTTATTGGCATTTGAATCATACGAGAAAGGTCTAAATGCTGCTGATGCCACGTTGAGGGGGAGCTATCATATTTATTATAATCAAACCAGACTACTGTTGAAAATGCATACGGATTTCACTGCTAATGATGGACACATTAACATCCTTCAATACGTTAACCTGAGCGACTTGGGCAATCTAACCGTTTTGTTTAAGCCGCTCAGATCAATCACAGAACGGTTTGAGCTTGCAATTGCTAAGTTTGGAGACGAATGCTCCTGGGACTTACATTTCAATCTTTTGACCTGCTACTATAGCCGGCTCGAAAACTACGAAACTGTTCCTGGCGAAGAACTTCTGCAGATTTTCGAAAGATTCAGGATTCTTAGCCAGAAGCTCATTGAGTTGCATGTTCAGGAACTCGAGACATGGGACGTTGCAAGCGGAGATGAGACCAGTCCTGAGTCGAAGTCACCCGACCAGGAGCCCGAGGCTGTGGAAATGCAGGACGAAATCACGATATGGACGCTGATCGACACGCTTACAGTGAGTTACCGCTGCTTAGCAACCACCATGGAGCTGCTCATCGAGTCTAGTCAAGGGACCTTAGATACACTTAACATTGTGCAAGTCAATTGGTTGAATGACAATACTCAAGAGTTTAAACTCCAGCTGGACTCTTTTCTTGCAAACTCCAGACACATCAATACAGAATTGGCTGACACCACAGAGCTGAGGCTTGCGATATGGTCCATTGAAGCACTCAAGGTTGCCACTAATGATGGTTTCGAAGGCTTGAAGACCCTTGCAGCTAGTCTTCCCAATGAGGACACTGACAGACTTTTGATCACCGTGGATGCTCTGCATTTGACCGGCCAGCCATCCCAGCACACTACAAATTCTGAATTATGGGCCGTACACACGGAAATTGGACGTATTTTAAGGATTGTCGACTCTCAAATTGCGGTAAAGCGACAGGACATCACTAGCGGTCGTCTCAAGAACATTGAAAATGAGTTGAGTCCTACGGTTTTCCAGCTCTGCGACGTTCTGATCAATCGTTCAGATAATGAACTTTTCCGTTACATGATCAAAACCTCTGCCAGTAGCACCAGCAATGATGATGGTGTCTCGGACCCCAACGCTGCCAAAACTGCTGCAGTGCTACTCAAAAATGCCCAAGTCTTGCTCAAAAACGCCAAGTCGATATCTCAGCAGCCTTGCGGATTTCGCGAGTATATTTCGGACAAACTGAAGCGAAACTACATTTTTAAGCAAGCTGAAGATCGTCTAGAGTTTATCGAGTCCCGTAAACCTAATCAAACCATTCTAGAACTCGCCGAAAACAATCCATTTTACGCTACAAATTACAACACCAACTAGGTGAAAAAAGTGGAAATGATAGGTCATCGATCCAATGGCGTTTCATTGCGTCTTTAGATCATCCAAATTACGGGTTTTTACCCTGAAGTCTCACACCTGATTGAGCGTCATCTTGTCTCATCTACATCAAAGTTATATTTGGATCGATCGCCAGAGACGTTAAATCCTCTATTGATTTTGAGATCTGAGTATATAAGACGCGAAACAGAGATCAAACAATTTCGAGGACCTTCAACAGCTATAAAGCCATCCGTTCACGACCTCTAAATAGATGGACTACCGCTACCAACATGGTACCGGGTATGCCCACGCTGATAGCAGCCAAAACACTGTGATGGGATCCACTGGGAATGAATATGAATCCGCAGAAGATCACGAAAACAGGCAACAATATGGAGAATTCTATCAGCAATACCCCCATCAATACACGCAAAGCACTCAGCCGGTGTATACCGACGATTACGAGGGCGACCAAAATCGCCACTATGGTAATCAAGAAATATATCAGATGCAGAATGCGAGCCATCAACAACATTACAATGTTCCCACGATTAATGTATACCATGCTGCACAGCCCATTCCTTTGGCTCACGATAATGTTGTACCAATGCCTTCTGCTAACGACGTAACTGCGAGCAATGACCAGTTGTATGCCATAGATTATGACCCTAGAAATTCAGACTCCAGCGCTCAGATCAGTAACGACGAGGCATTCCCAGCAGAGACTATGCCGATTCTAAATCACCATCATCTTAATCAACGCAGACCACCTCCAGCCTCAAACTCTACAACGTTTGCTCCAGATTACAACCAGCCCTCGGATTACTACAAATATGACCCAGAAGACCCTGTAGATTATATCGACCAAACGGGCGATGACTACCAGATCAACACATTTTATGGTAACAACAACCAGATGGCTAACCCATATGCCAGCACCTTCGATTTGAATGAGTATGCTGATCAAGAAGTATATTCGGACGGAGCTAGCTCTGCGGGCTACGACGAAAGAAGAAGCAGAGATTTGGCCGATTATTCGTATGACAACGCGGACGTCACCACTCTCTCGAAACTTGCGGGCTCCAGAGAACTTTTGGATGAAGAAGACGAGGACATAGTGCTCAACAACCGAGGTGAGAAAATGGATGGAAGCGGCTCGATTGACGAGGGCCGTAGGCCGTTGAGAAAACACACTACTGTCCGGAAGTTCAAGCTGAGCATGGGCAATTTCGTCTTTGATTGTCCCATCAGTGAAAACCTCATAGGTCAATATGTCAGAGCGGTGGATGATCAAGACAAGCTGTCGAACGAGTTCAAGTTCATGCGATACCAGGCCGTAACGTGCGAACCGCTAATGTTTCAGCCCAACAATTTCACGCTTCGCCAACTGAAATATGGCCAACCCCGTCGTACGGAACTCATGATAGTAATAACCATGTACAACGAAGACGATGTGTTATTAGGCAGAACATTGAAGGGAGTCATGGACAATATACGCCATTTCACAAAAAAGAAGAATTCATCGACTTGGGGTTCAGATGCGTGGAAAAAAATTGTGGTTTGCATCGTTTCCGATGGAAGATCTAAGATCAATGAACGTTCACTAGCTCTTATGAGTGCTCTCGGCTGTTACCAGGACGGTTTTGCGAAAGGCGAAATCAACGACAAAAAAGTAATCGCTCACGTTTATGAGCACACTTCCAAAGTCAACATTCGAAGCGTTAAAGATGGAAAGGTAGAACTTGATTGTGGTGTCAATACTGTACCAATCCAATTGCTGTTCTGTTTGAAAGAAAACAACCAGAAAAAAATCAATTCTCATCGTTGGGCACTTGAGGCTTTTGGGGAAGTCTTGCAGCCCAACGTTGTCAACCTTTTGGATGCTGGAACTATGCCAGGTAAGGACTCTATTTATGAACTATGGCGCGAATTTAAAAATCCACAGGTGGGTGGAGCATGTGGAGAAATCAAGACGGATCTGGGCAAAGGGTTTCGAAAGCTTTTCAATCCTCTTGTAGCTTCGCAAAACTTCGAATATAAACTATCGAACATTTTGGATAAGACCACAGAATCGAATTTTGGGTTTATCACCGTGCTACCGGGCGCTTTTTCTGCGTACCGCTTCGAAGCGATACGAGGAGAGCCATTGCGGAAATATTTTATGGGTGACGATTTGAACGCAAGGGTTTTCATCTCTAACATGTACCTTGCTGAAGATAGAATTCTATGTTTCGAAATCGTCACGAAAAAAAATAGCAATTGGATCTTGAAATATTCAAAGAGTTCTTATGGGTCTACCGATGTTCCTGAAAAAATACCTGAGTTTATTTTGCAACGGAGAAGATGGATGAACGGCTCTTTCTTCGCAGCGTTGTACTCATTTATTCACTTTTACAAGATTTGGAGCAGTGGCCACTCTGTGGGCAGGAAATTCATGCTCAATCTGCAATTCATATACCTTGCTTTGAGCAGTTTGGTTTCATGGTTTTCCTTGAGTTCTTTCTTTCTTGTTTTCAGAATACTAACCGTTTCGATTGCGGTTTCATACAATGACCAAAAGGTCTTCCGCGTTTTGTCGGTGATATTTCTGTGGCTTTACGGTGTTTCCGTGCTGATAACATTCATTCTTTCCCTGGGTAATAAACCTAAGGGAACTTCAAAGTTTTACCTGTCAACTTTCATCTTCTTTGCAGTTCTCATGGTGTACATGATATTTTGTTCCATTTTTATGAGTGTGCACTCGATTCGCAACATCATAGATGCTGGGAACGTTACATTCCGCGGCTTACTTCTACAAGAGACTTTCAGAGATCTCATAATATCAATGGGTTCAACTTACTGTTTATACCTGTTGAGTTCCTTAGTGTACTTGCATCCAATGCATATGTTCACAAGTTTTGTACAATATCTGCTGCTGAGTCCGTCATACATCAATGTGCTGAACATTTATGCTTTTTGCAACGTCCATGATATTTCTTGGGGCACTAAAGGTTTCGCGGCGAAACCACTGGGCAAAATTCATTCGAAGGAAGACGGAACAGTAAAACTGGAAATTCCAGTTTCTGCTATGGAAATTGATGCCAACTATCTAAAGCATTGCGAGATATTAAAGAATCCAGCAGCCGAAGAAGAAGATGATGAGCTCTCGCTGGAGGAAAAAAAGACTAGCTACTACGCCATGGTGCGATCCGTGGTAATTATTTTGTGGGTTATTTCGAATTTCGTCATTGTTGCGGTGGTCCTCGAAACGGGTGGGATTGGACAGTACGAGTCACTCAACAGCTCTAGCACGGCCACTCAAACAACGGTCTCAATTCTACCTCAACGGTCTACCGTATATTTCTCCGTCATTCTGTGGCTCGTGGCCTTTATGGCCGCATTTCGTTTTATTGGCTGCTGTGTCTATCTCACGAAGAGATTTTTCCACCGTCTAAGGTTTCGGTCATGAATGAATATTGCAAACGCAGGCGTTGGTTCAGGCAAAGCCATAGAGGCTAACTGGTGGAGTTTGCACAAGAAAGACGCGGCCATTTCCACTAGTCACATGGGGTCACCTCTGCTCTGTTGTTGTAATATTTCTTTCCGAGACTGGCGCGATAGCAGCCAAGATCGGAAAATACCCACATTTGGGCAGAGACACATCGAAGACATACACAACTCGTCCATCATGAAGATCGTGCTTCAAAAAGTCAGTCGTGCTTCTGTAACAGTCGATTCCCAAATCGTATCTGCGTATGTCAAGAACCATAGTTCCATCCGATAAGGGCCCGTTTAAGAATGCCTGCTAACCGATCGAAACAGCATAAATACGGGCTTCATGCTACTCGTTGGTATATCTGTTGACGACACCGAAAAAGATATTGAGAAGCTTTCCAGGAAAGTGGTCTCTATGCGAGCTTTCGATGACAACGAAGGGTACGGCTGGAAAAAAAACATTCGAGAAGTGCAAGGCCAGATCCTCTCAATCTCACAGTTTACGCTTTTAGGACAGACCAAAAAGGGAACCAAGCCTGATTTCCATCAAGCTCAGAAAGGGCACTTGGCCAAGGAACTCTACGACAAATTTTTAGAGAATCTACGCCACGAACTGGGCCATGAAAACGTGAAGGACGGCGTTTTCGGTGCCATGATGAGCTGTGAGCTGGTCAATGAGGGACCGGTGACGCTAATTCTAGACACGAAGGACTAGCGCTAACGCTTCAACTCCTTCCAGTTGCCTGTTACCTCGACCGATGTGTGCGTCAATCGTGATTTTTGTCTGTGTGGGTTTGAGCATTTAATCAGAATGCCACCTTTTTCACAGTAAATTAGATCTCGAAAGACTTTAAACATAGGAAATTTATAAAGAACCAACATTTGAACCAAGCTTTTGCTAAGTAAAAGAGCATAGTGCTGCTGCCGTGGCGTGAGGCTCGTAACTTTAAAAGCCCTTGGTTAACATGTGTCGTTTTTTAATTTTCAAAGGTTCGTTCGGAACAGTGTTTTTGGCTTACGATCACCGATGTGGTGGTGTGGCATGTTACGATGTTGATATACTAACCTAGAATTGAGCTTTCAGGCAAAGAGCCGATTCGTTTATCGCATCTTCTGACGCGACCTGCACATTCGATTATCAAGCAATCGTTTGATAGTCGGCTGCGGCTCGATACTAGAAGACCTATCAATGGTGACGGATTTGGGCTGGCATACTACTCAGCGGACGAAGAACTTGAAGAAGATGGACCCTGCATCTTTAAGGCCATCACACCAGCGTGGAATAACCAGAACCTGGACGTGCTAGCTGAAAAGACCAAATCTGCGCTCGTTTTCGCGCATGTTCGGGCCTCCACGTACGGTGTGCTCTCCGAGACCAACTGTCATCCGTTTACTTACCATCGCATCACTTTTATGCACAACGGTGGAATATCAAATTTCCTCAAGATCAAGAGACGGTTTTTGGCTCACTTGGACGACGAATACTTCAATCTTATTCAAGGAAGCACCGACTCAGAGTGTGCATTTGCGCTTTTCCTCGATACTCTGCACAAGATGGGCTGCGACACTTCTGACAAACGGGGCGATTTTGGACATGCTACGCTACGCAAGTGCATGATGCAGACCATCGAGTACATCAAGGACTGGACCCGGGAGGCCAATGCGTCGGATCCCTATGCTGAGCCTTCGATTTTGAATTTTGCCGTCACAGACGGAGCTAGTGTGGTTGTTTCGCGGTACGTGACGTCCAAGACCGACGAAGCCGCGTCTCTGCATTTCAGCTGCGGATCGCGCTTCGTCGAGTCGTCCCCGGGTGAGTACCGCATGGAACGGCTGGACAGAAACCAAGACGTTATTATGGTTGCCTCCGAGCCTCTCACATTCGAACGTGGTGACTGGACTACTGTACCCACCAATAGCATTCTTACTATCAAGAATCAGACTGTCTTACTACACCCTATTGTCGACGAATACTACCAAGAAGATCCACTTTACATCCGCAGCTCATCGCTTGCAGAAAGAAAGGGTCTTATGGGTTCCGTGCCACTTTCCAAACCCTTGGAGCGGAACGTGCCACCTTTGGAGAGAGAGGGTCGTTCTAGACCTCACACCTCTGCCGTTCGTGCATGAACGACATCGCCTGTCCTGGTGAAAGATGCGTATTTATGGCTATGAGAATACTCTGGGCCCACTGCCGATTACTTAAGCCACTCGAGATCATGTGATGAGAATGGTAAATGTCACTATGAACGAAAATGGACTTGGTCCAGAATGCTTAGCTAAACACTTTTTGTCATGTGATCAGGGGAGTTTCAATTAAGGAAAATATTGATTTGATGACAGTAAATGCTTTGATCTGCGATGAGCAAGCCGAACAACCTCACTTTTGAACGTGTTACTGTTCCCTTTCAAGGCCAAATAGTTTGGTTTTTGCGCTGATACCACAATGCCCAAAGGTCACCGGTCCTTCTGCAACTCTCCATTCTCTTTTACCGTGTCAATTGAGCCGCTGAGTAAGACAAACAGTAAAGGTGTCAGTCTTTACATGGCTGCACTCAGAATAAAGGCTGCAAGCAGCAAGAAGAACAACCACAGCCATTAATCAGAAAACGGGGATTGTCAATAACGGAAAGTTTACGGAGGGACACCTGGATTTTGAGGCCGATCAAAAGCGGGCCGGGACAATTTTGCTGCGCCAAGGATTGCTGTCGCCAGGTGTCAGGGGAGACTTGAGCAGGCTGGACCAAAGTAGTGGAAAAGGTGGCATTGGAGAAGCTTAAGGGATTGACATTTTGAAGTATAAAAGGCTGCATTTGAAGCGTTGGATCGTGAAGTTGGCATATGGTTTTTCCTGACGTTGCAGTTCATCGGAGTTTTCTCGGGATCTTTTTATTAGTTTTCTTTTCACCGCAAGGACTGAGTTATCGAGTGAACAAATAAGATGTCAGCGACTGATAACACATATCGAAACGAGGTTGGTGGCACTGCGGTCGGAGGCCCTACGGTCCCTGCCACGCAGCACGAGAACCGCGATACGGGATACGCAAGTGGGTATGGAAATGAGGGTGAAAAACGTAAAGCGAAAAAGGGAGCAGCCATTTTCGGCCTTGCAGTGACGGACTTTTTGTTGATATCGCTGCGTTTCTGGCAATTCGCTTCGAGTGTGATTGTTTTAGGACTGTTGGGATATGCTATAAAAAGCTACGACTACCATGGCAGCAGAAAAACCAATTATGGTTTGGCGGTTGCCGCCATTTCGACTTTCTACTTGCTGCTATTGTCGCTTTTGGGCCCTGTTTTGCACCGGTTCCTATTACCGGGGCTATACTTGATTATGGAGTTGATTTTAATGATTTTGTGGCTGGTGGCATTTATCGTACTGGCCAAGGCACACGGCTCCAGATCGTGCGGGCTTAGCACCACGAGCAGCTACCAGCCTCGCTATGGGTCATTTAGCGATTTTACCAATTCTGGCGGGTCCTACGATCCTTTCACGTCAAAGTACACTTCCAACCCACACACCCGGGCATGTCACAGCTCCCAGGCGTCTATTGCTTTTGCGGGCTTGGCGTTTGTATTGTTTGTGATCAGCAGCATTTTGATTGGCCTGCTAGTGATGAAGCCCCTTACCTACCGTGGCGGAGGGTCTAAAGCATTATGGACACCATACTCCAATTCTGGACTGAAACTCAACCCTTGGACCGGACTAAGAGTCAGTGATGCTAATCGCAACGATGCAGAAGCTCTCGCAAACAACAGAGGTGGCAATGCTGCAGGTACCGGTGCCGGTGCTGGTACAGGTGTGGGCCAAGACCAACACACCTTCTCTACTGGCGATTCAACCTACAACGGTACCCATCACGATAAAATGGTAGACCCCGACCACAGACGCAACGTGTCTGGTGTCACGGATATGGAACCTGGAGCCAATAACAATCCTACCTACACCGCTAATAACCCAGCTACCGGTGCTACTAATACCAATGCGACTCATAATACCACATACGCCTCCAACGAGCCGATTGTCACAGACCCTTCCCCAAACGCCGCCCCGGCTACCACTGCTAACCGTATTTAGCCATGTGCAAGTATGCCAATGTTGGAGCAAGACTGTATTCCTTACCTGAGAAGCTACAGTGGCTAAAATGACAATTCCCGTTTAATAAGACATGCCATTTCTACTGCGACTACTGCCCGCTCACTACGGGTCCGCGTTCTACAAAGGTGAAGACAGAAAGACATTGGGTTTTCTCCTGATTATTGTGTAAAGAACAGACTTGAGTGTGGTTCGTAGATATGAGTGAGAGTATGCTGTAGGAGATTAGTATCGTTAAAGTTCGTAATAATGCTATATGAAGACATTTAATTGAAAATGTGGATGGCGTCTTCAAGCCGGAACAGTTCGTATACAGTGATGTTGGAGTGAAGTATATAAGAAAGTTCGGCGGCTAGGCGATTGGAACTTCTTCGCTGCACTATTGAACAATTGAAAATAGTAAGAGAATGTATGACAAGCTCAAAGGAAAATTAAGGTAAAGTGACGTTAAGCTCCGGTATTTGAGAGGGCTCTAAGAATGGTTCGCCAGCTTGCAGGCAGAGCTTTGAGATGATTTTGAGTGCGGTGGTGTCGATGTACTGGACGCTTAGACAGGTGGTTGATAGATTTGACGTTACCATCACCGTTCCAATTGTTCAAAGACTTGCGGTGCGCAATGAGCTGAGTGTCTAATGAGGTTTCATCATCTTTAGGGTTTAGCTGCATTTTGGAAGTTTCGTGCAACGCGCTGGACTCAGACTTTACTTTCCCATGAAAGATGCATTTGTGACACATTAGTTTGTCACCACACAAGGTGTTTGATTGAACAACAATTGGCAGTCTCCTATGGTCCGGAAGACTGTCAGTGACGCTGCTAGATTTTGGCAACATCTGATTTTCTACGAGATTGTCCTCAGGAGTTCAGAAGAGTCCTCCATGAAAATAACCACAAGAATTGCTGCCAATTGCGGTTGCCAAGTTAACCGTTTCCCGTTTCAAGCCGCTGATCAAGATTTTCAATGAGCCCATATCTGGGTCTCAAATGATCAACATCTTAAAAACATTACACCAAGAATTCAAAAAATCTCTCCCAAACACCAGTCTCGAAAGTCTTTCTATCTGAGGACTAGGGTGCTACTAGTTGAACTCACTACAATAAATCTTCTACGAGTCCAAACGGCAAACTCCTTTTCAAACAAGCAAAATTAAGCAAAGTTACCATTTCCTCTCTCAAAAGCGTTGGCTCAGGTTCCTGTTTCGTTTAAAACCTCACCCTTCTCCCTATACATCAAATCACTCTCATGCCAACCCTCGCAAATCCTGGACTCCCGGTGTTGTTCTTTTTTTCCCAACTCTCACAGTTATTTTTCATCATCTCGTCCTCTACTGACAACCCGAGAAGATAAGAAAAACTTCACACATTACAGTTACCATGCCACCGCTCCGCCATGTGCGTAAGCAACTAACCAAGCTGCGGTGCCCATATGGCTACTACAAGACAACACACCGACCGACCGCTTTGCCGGCAAACAAAAATATCCGAATTTGGCCAACAACAACGACCATGCGTGCGCCCTTTAAATGTCAACAATCCATACGTATGCCACGCCACGGTCTCATTGAGATTACAACCAGAGAGAAGAAAAAAAAAACAACGGCCCTGGTTGGTTCACAGAGTGCTTCTGGGTAAGAAAGCGTGAACACGGCGTGAGTGATATTTTGACATACCTAGACCAAGAGGGAATTTTTTCTCTCCGCGTATGGCGAAGAAGCTGCAAAAATTCTGCGGAAGTAGTGATATCCGTATTGAACCGGGATTTTTTTTGGGATGGGAAAATGGCAACAAATGTCGCTTCTTTAAAAGGAGCATAATTTTCGAATGAAAAACAAAGAAGTGAGTTTCTTAATAGCCAGTTTTCAAGAAGATAGGCCAGGAAGGACAAAAAACGGTACAACACAGCTGAAAGACCACACGCTTTGAGCTGAATTCTCACGCACCTAACGGTAGAGAAGAGTCACAGAACAAAGCACTTGCTGAACAGCTGGAACCAAGAGATTGTCGTTATCTTTTGTTTGTCTGTTCGTTTATTTCCAAGAGACTTTTCTTTGAGTTCGATTTATTTCACCTTTCTTGCCTGCCTCGCTTGCTGAAAATAAGACCTTTAAAAAACAATGAAGCTAAGTACGGGATTGGCCTTAGGGGCCTTGACTGTGCTGTCGTCTGTCGTTGCTGCTGCTGAGGACCGTGACCATCACACCACTACGGTGACTACTACCCACGGAACTCACAAGTACGGTAAGTTCAACAAGACTTCCCGTACCCATGCTCCAAAGAACTCCGGAACCCACAAGTACGGTAAGTTCAACAAGACCTCTAGAACCCATGCGCCAAAAAACACTGGGACCCATAAGTACGGTAAGTTCAACAAGACTTCTCGTACCCACGCTCCAAAGAACACTGGGACTCATAAGTACGGTAAGTTCAATAAGACTTCTCGTACTCATGCGCCAAAGAACACCGGGACCCACAAGTATGGTAAGTTCAACAAGACTTCTCGTACTCACGCGCCAAAGAACACTGGTACCCACAAATACGGGAAGTTCAACAAGACCCACAACCCTACCTCGACTGTTGTCGAGAAGGCTGCCACCGCCAACGCTGCTGCTGCCGGTTTTGACGGTGCCCACAAGTTGCTGGGTTTGACCGGTGGTTCTGCTGCTGTTCTTGGTGCTCTCATGCTATTGTGAAGCGCAATTTTGAATAAACTCCAAATTACCTATGTGCAAAGCCAAACTGCAATGTGTAATGCAGTGCGCGAAAAATGTGTGTGATTCTTTCGCGCGCCAGCATTGCAATGAGTGAGCGAAACTCGGTGTGTTTGCGTGTTTGTGCGTTGTGCGTTGTGCGTTGTGTGTGCGTGTGTGTGTGTGTATGTGTGTGCGAACTAATGTGCGTGTGTGTTGCCCATTAGTGAGTATCGCCATTACGACTGCGTGTTAAAAGGTGTATGTCAACCGGTGTGTTTGCCAGTACCTGTCCTTCCGTCCCAGATTCCCCTCCAAACTTTTTATACCTTTATATTTCTAATAGATGTGTGTCAAAGCCCTAACGCCCTACAAAATTGACTTGATGTCGAAATATCGTCACCATCGCACAATCGATACTAAAGTTCGACGATAGTAAGCTGTATGAAGTAACGGTGTTGAGAGCAGAGCACTACCAACTCGACTTTCGTCTATATGTCCATGACAGTTCAAACAAAAGTTCGATTATTAGCAGTTGTTTAGTCTAACAAAAGTCCACCAAAAAACATCCAGAAAAAAAGCCAAAAACCGCAATGGAATATGAAAAGTAAAGAACTAAAACTACTGGCACTGTAGCCCTCATTTACCGCCAGGCCAAGAGTCTATTTCATGCTTAACGATTGTTGGCATACATATTGAACCAGCTAAAAGACGTGTATGGTGATATCAATTGAATTGACGAAAATTTTGTAAAATTGCAACATTCTAACCTATCCTTCTGCTATCCCATACTTGAACTTAGACTCCAAAGACCCCATTAAGGCCTTGATTCGAGTCCACTATCACCATCAATCGACACAATGGACGGCGATTCAACATCCTCCAACAAGTTTGTCCCGGAATACAGACGTACCAACTTCAAAAATAAAGGACGGTTCTCTGCCGATGAGTTGCGTCGTCGTAGAGATACGCAACAAGTCGAGCTGAGAAAGGCCAAAAGAGACGAAGCTTTGGCAAAAAGGAGAAATTTCAATGCCCCAGCAGGTGGTGCAGAGTCTGAAGATGAGGACGAGGCAACTAGCTCCGCAGACCAACAGTTTTACACGCAATTACAGCAGGAATTGCCACAAATGATCCAGCAGATCAACTCAGCGGATTTACAAGAACAACTCAATGCCACAGTCAAATTCCGCCAGATTTTGTCGCGTGAACACCGGCCACCAATCGACACGGTGATCCAATCCGGCGTGGTGCCTAACTTGGTGAATTTTATGAACGAGAATCAACCAGAAATGTTGCAATTGGAAGCTGCTTGGGCTCTGACCAATATTGCATCCGGGTCTTCGGATCAAACCAAAGTGGTGGTGGAAGCTGGAGCCGTGCCTCTTTTCATCCAGCTGTTGTACTCTGGATCTGTTGAGGTCAAAGAACAAGCTATTTGGGCCTTGGGTAACGTCGCTGGTGACTCCACAGGCTACAGAGACTACGTCTTGAGCTGCGGTGCAATGCAACCCATCTTGTCGCTATTCGACCTGAGCAAAACCTCCCTCATCAGAACCGCAACTTGGACTTTATCGAACTTGTGCAGAGGTAAAAAACCACAACCAGACTGGTCCGTCGTGTCACAATCGCTGCCCACCCTTGCGAAACTCATCTACTCGATGGATACAGAAACGCTCGTGGACGCTAGTTGGGCCATTTCCTATCTTTCTGATGGGCCTGCTAATAACATTCAAGCCGTCATCGACGCTAGAATCCCTAAGAGACTGGTGGAACTTTTGAACCACCAATCCACACTCGTGCAAACTCCAGCTCTGAGGGCTGTCGGGAACATTGTGACCGGAAACGACTTGCAAACCCAGGTGGTCATCAATAGCGGTGTTTTGGGCGCACTAAGAAACTTGCTCACCTCCACGAAGGAATCCATCCGTAAAGAAGCGTGTTGGACGATTTCCAACATCACAGCAGGAAATACCGATCAGATCCAAGCTGCCATTGACGCCAATTTGATACCCCCTCTGGTCAAGCTTCTGGACGTTGCAGACTACAAGACGAAGAAAGAGGCCTGTTGGGCCATCTCCAATGCATCTTCTGGAGGTTTGCAAAAGCCTGATATTATCCGTTACCTCGTTTCTCAAGGCTGCATAAAGCCCTTGTGTGACCTGCTGGACATCGCCGACAACAGAATCATCGAAGTTACGCTGGATGCATTGGAAAACATATTGAAGATGGGTGAAGCCGATAAAGAAGCTCGTGGTTTGCATATTAACGAAAATGCCGACTACATAGAGCGTGCTGGCGGTGTAGAGAAGATCTTCAAGTGTCAGCAAAATGAAAACGAAAAGATTTACGAAAAGGCATTCAACATTATCGAACAATACTTTGGTGAGGACGACGATGCCCTTGACGAAAGCATGATTCCACAGAGCGCAGGCAACACCTTTGGCTTCGGTTCTAACGTCAACCAGCAGTTCAACTTCAACTAATATCATCTGCTACCCTCTAATATCGAACCTGCTATACACCAATTCCGAATTTTATATAAAGACAGGTAAACCACCAAACAACTTTCTGGGAGTTCTATAATCATTTTCGAATTTGCACTCTTGAATTCCTTGTAGTTGTTGAATTGCGAGCTCAATTGTGATGTCTGGCTTTTCTTGGTAGTTCTACTCTTTAGTTCTTGAGTGAAAGTAATGACTTGATGATCCTAGTTCAAAATCTTGAATTCTACAATAAACATCAACAACCTCAAGTTTACCATCAAAAGATCACCGACTTTCAGTTATTCCAGCCTAGGATACCGTGTTATTACAAAAGATTCCTTCACGAATGAATGAAACCCTCAATCCTCGACCAGTCCCATCTTCCGTCATATGAAAACAGGTTGGCAAGTGAATCTCGAATCGCTAAAATCAACGAAATATACAACCGGAACCACAAGCGAGACACTCAGAGGCATAGAGACTCTATAATATCGGACAATTCCACGTCGGTTGTCTCCGACATACATGATGGTCCATACTTACAGGAAAGCCAGCCGGTTGTGGACTTAAACTACAAACAACAAGAATCATTTGAAAAACGGCCCCCAATCAACATTGCTCAGCCCGATTTCAGTACCATTAAGCCCGAAGACGGTTTCAATCCTTTCAGACCCAAATTCACAGAGGCAAGGCCACGTTCAAGGGACGAAATGGAGCAAGAATTGCATTTCACGCCAAAACTGCGATCTAGAAGAAGTATCATCTATTCTAGAACACCAAGCCACGAGGATCCAGCAAAAGAGGAGGCCCTGCAATTCTTCAAAACCAAGAACCGGGGTTTTTCTGGCGTCGGGAAAAACGAATCTACGTCCACTAGGTCTAGAGAAAGGTTTAAAGAACTGAAAGCCAGACTGGGGAAACCTCTCCCGCTGGGATACTTATCTTCTGCCTCCGAAAGCAAAGAAGAAGATCCACAATCGCATAGAAAACCGGTCGAATCCCGCTGGAAACGTATTCTGTCCAGTGCTGACAAGAAAACGGACTGGAGTATATTGCAAGATCGGATACGTTCCCCATCAGATCAAGGTAGCGTTAGAATGCATGTGTCCGATTCTCAGGCTTCACTCGCCGGACTTTTGAATGATGACGAAGATAAAGCTGATGAAGAATCAAAGGCTTCCAGTTTTGTGGGTGAAGGAGGCCAATTGGACAGCATCAATGAAAACCTTCGAACCAACACTGAAAAGCTGGATCAAATTATGACCATTCTGAATGACAAACGCCAACATAACGGCAAAATTGAGGTGATAGCATGGGTTGCCTGTATTATAGTTCTAGTTTTGCTCAACGTATTCCTGAGCAGTGTGTAGTATACAAAGTTTAAAGAACGGAGGGTGTAATATACAAGACGGGACGACATTTCTATCTACAGGTGTGTGTGTCGAGGCTAGATTCCGCCTTTCTACGGCTCTCTCGATTATGCTCGCTGTGTGAGACCTGGACATTTCTTCACTCGTCAAAGTCATTTTTGGGAGGTGTGGTGTGTTCTTGGCGCATGTATAAGTCAATGGCAGTAGAGAAGGCTGCAAACCCTGCACAACCAACCAAAGCAGCTGTTGGACCACTTTTATATGCAAGCCCGCCACCAGTGAGGCAACCAGCACCCACACCATTGTAGATGTCGTTTTTGGCCCTCAAAGACTCTATGGCACACTCAACACCAGAGTAAATCATACCAATGTAACCAAAGTTCTTCGCACTAGAATATGCTCTTTTCCCCATGTCTGCAAACTGAAGTTTGACCTGCTGCTTGAACGGCAAGTCAGAAATATGCTGCATGCTGCTGGGCAGCTGTGTTGACCCCGGTACCGTGGGTGTATGTAGAGGAGTGTCGTAAGCCATGGATGCCATGAAAAGACCAAAAACACCACCGAGAGCGAAACCCGTAACACCACTTATAGCAGCTTTCCCGGGACAGGACGTCATGAAGTTCACCATCATCTGAGCACCCTTGTCGCCTTGTTCTTCGGGCGTCATCTCATTGAAAGGCTTGTCACTCGGGGGTGACACTTGCTCGAGGCCAAATCCACGGTAAACCATCGTTTAAAAGCCCCAGATATATATTCAAGTGTCCAAAGTAGTATGGAGCGAATAGAATCTAGTCAAGATCACTTCTATGACCGCCAAACTTGTGTTTTTTAGGATCTTTTCCATCAACATTTTGATATTTTCTGAAAAATTATATAAAGTTGATCAAGCTCATCGCTTATTTGAACTAGGCTAAACTGGCTCCACAGCACCGGTAACATGGATCTATGAGATCATTGAATATCGTACATGACACTAGAGACACTTTCCATGGGCGAAGCGTTTTTCAGGCGTGGAAAAAGGAGGATTTTTGGTGGAGTAAAACCACTTGTAATCAGGAATACAATTTCCCAACCTTGGAACGCTCTAAGTATGGACAAGAGAGCGATGGGAACAGTTTGAACACACATATCAACTTGAAGGATCCCACCATTTGTTTAGACTTGAATTGGTCACCCGATGGCACTTCTGTGGTAACGGTGTCCAACGATTTTGGCATTCGTCAATATCTGGTGCCTGAGGAACCTGGCGCTGTCCTTGTACCCTTCAAGCGGTTCTTCAGAGCGCAGTCTATTGTATCAAGTTGCGTTCATCCTTATTATTCAATGTTTGGCGGCAATGAAGGAGTCAACGTAATGCTAGTTTCTTCGAAAGATTTGCCCATCCAGCTCTTTTCATTATCTCCTCATGCCACCGAACATGCTCCATTGTTCAGTTATTCCGTAGTGAATCCCGAGAACGAGAACTATGACAAAGTGTTCGCACTCAGCTTCTTTCTGAAATCTGGATTTTTGACGGGCTCGTCTCGAAATAAAGTTTCAGCCTATGATTTGAACCGCAGGATTCCACTTTGGACTAGTTCGGTTCCGAGCAGAGTTAGTGGTCATCGAAGCATAGTATCGTGCTTTGATCAAGGTTTCGATTCAATAGTCTCTTCTTTTCGCTATGGTGCAACATACAAGAACGACATATTCGGTATCGACACTAGATTAAAATCCGTAATGCCACAGGCCGACAAAAATTCATTGGGAGTGAAAGACGGCAATTGCGGCATTGTGCAGTTAATTCAGAGTGTGAATCAGCATTTTTTGTATGTTGTGAAGAGAAATAGCGAATCTATTGACATCTTGGACATTCGACAAGGTTTATCCAAAATCAATGAGCTGGCTCTACCTTTCCAACTGGATTCTCAAAAATTCAAGGCTTCTTTAGATTCAACTAATGGGCTCTTGATTGGAACTTCAGATGGTAGAGTATTGCAATGGTCGAGCGATGTGATTGAGTTTGGTGGACTTGTGAGGACAACGAACCCAGAGCAAGGGACCCATTTAGCACCCGACGCCGAATACACTGAATACAGTCTTGAAAAGCCTAAGAACAGAATAAACATCGTGGCATCAAATCCATCGAATCCAGACTTTATAGTTTCTTCGTATTCTCCGAACAAATTTGAGGAAAACGGAGAAGCTTTGTCAGGAATCATAACGTTCAGTTTGCAGGACCAATCCACTCCTACTCGTTCCACAGAGTGAAGGCATCTCTGTAATATCGAAGTCGCTGATACTCTTTGAGTTTCAATGAGTGAAGCATGTTACGTTGTACTCGAAATTCAGAAGCCAGAGCCGTCTCTTGAGACACTGGGTCCGACACAGGAACAGCTTCGTCATCTGTTGGTTTCATTATGAGACTGCTTTGAGTGCTCAGTTGTGGTTTCAAGTGCAGGCTCGTCATATCGACGTCGCTTCTTTCGTTATCATCAACAGCGCTCGAAACAGAACTATTTGCAGTTGTAGAGACGGAAATCAAAGGCGAGCCGCTTCTCATCTCTACGTCCTTTTCATCTGCAGCAAATAAGGGCTGTGATGGCGGAGCGTTTAGGATGAATTGACTGGAGGCAGACAGTTTCTGATAATTATGCCAACTCTTGATGCATTCTAAAAGATGTTCCATCAGCTCGTCACCCTCGGGACAGTCTTGGATAGGTTTATCTTGTCTCAGCTCCAGCTGCTGCAAGGCCTCGTCAGCACCTGTCCCGCAGATTTCAAGTTCTAATTCGTAGTATCTAGAGTAATGATGTCCGTACTTTTCACTGTCTTTGACGTCGACCTCATTGACGACCTCATTGACGACCTCATTGACAGCTTCCGAGCTGGAACATTCGGTAACTGGTATTGTTCTGAAGGCTCCAATCGAAAGCTTGTTCTCTTCCAAGGTCCTTTTGGGGTCTACCACTACAGCCACATACGGATCCTGGAAAGTTTGATTCAACTCTTGCGTCTGGACATCTATACCGCTCAGCCAGCACCCGTATCCCGGGTGAGAGTGGTACCAACCCACGATATGGCAATTCTCAGGTCGGGAGTCATGCACCTCGCTCATGTATTGTACCATGTATTCGTAGGACTCAAGCTGAGCATTCACTCGAGTCTCTGTGCCCTCCACGGGTAATGCATAGGAATCATATACCACCACATTTCTCATGTGCACAGTTCCCACTAGCATGCCCATTATTTCTGCCTCCCCACCATTCACAGAGTGCTGTAAAATTTTGTAGGAAGCTTGCTTAGAGAGTATTACTTTCTTGAAGTAAAGGTCCTCATCCTTCCAGGGCTCTTCATTGTATGTCTTTTCATTAGCTGCCTGGACTAGATGCTCAGAAATCGTTTTGTGTTTCTGAACTGCTGGTCTGGATCCTTGGGGTGACATTTCGGGCTGCACAAGACCTTGAGCCCTATTCGAAGCATCAACACATTGCTCTATTTCCTTTCCTAAGGCTTTACAAGTAAAGTCATGGTAATGCATGCTAGACTCTTTACCCTTTCACTTTTTCCAACTTTGAGCAAGCAGTAAGAGTTTAGTCCCAGGTTCCATAAAGTACTTGGATGTATCTGATCCTTTGGTTGCTCAAATTCATCAACAGCATTCATGAAATAGATTCACTTCTGAAATTCCTGATTTTAACTACACACATGTTTGTTCCTGCAAACTGTATAAAGACTACTTGAATCCTCTTGCCTCTCTCTTCAATTCACCGATGTACTCTAAGAACTTTCCAATGTTCACGTCCACACCGTAACTGTAAACGTAGGAACTGGATAAGTAACTGGACAATAAGGCCTTCAAGTACGATTCTGGTACGTTACGAAGCACTTGTTCAGGACCAGCAACGTTGATCAACAAGGCGGGAATGATTTTCTTCAGCAACAGGTAGTTGCGGAGCTCAAGATCATTCATCCACAGCTCGTTAGAGATAATGAGCTCATCGTTCAATTTGTTGATCGTTTGTGAGAGGACGTTGGAAAGTTCGGAAATGGAAGTGCCAGAGGTCTGTTTGAGCTGCCATAACTGTTCAAACTCTGATCTCGCGTTCTTTTCAACTTTACTTTGAATGAACTTGACATAATCGTCATACAATTGCGTGGTTTTGCCCGGAGTTTTGCCGATAAACTCGTGAATGAAGTCATGGTCATTTAGTGTCAATGATGCCAAAACCTCCAGAGAGGAAGATGTGACACCACCTTTATTGGTAGAAGCATCTTTGAACAAAACACATCCGTGCTCTTCCAATGCGATTTTGGCAGGTTGCGTAATGAAAAGATTGGCACCTTCAACAATAAAAGGAATCTTGCATTTGCCTGTTTTGGCATCGATGAAATACTGCAAAACATTTACATCAATCGAGTTAGGTCTCCCACCACAGGGGACAAACAGATCCACCTTCTGCACAAACTGGAAAAGCTCTAGATGAAATCTGTTTCTAAAAGTCGTGCCGTTGGCCACTACCACTCCATTTGGTAACTTCACGTCAATGTCTTCAACGGAAACGTAGAAACCTTGACTACTCAGCTTTGATGTGTCATATTCGGAAATTGTGCTTCTCTTTATAGCCAAAGCTTTTAGTGACTCTTGGTCAAGACCATTTGGATCGCATAAAACACCCGATCCATCAACAATACCCACATATTGTTCGTTGGGTGAGGACAGCAAAATTTCGTTTGACCCCAGATCTCCATCGGGCCCACCGGTTTGGAACTTGTTGATGGTTGTATTTTGCAAGTCAAGGGTTTCATAAATGGCATTGACATAAGATCTGACACTCAATGATGTCATGCCATAAACATCATGAGGGATACCGCCCATGGATGGTGACTTACCTGTCAAAAATGACTTCCACCAAGGACAGCCTCTGCTCTTGGCGTGTGCGGTAGCCCAATCCACAAAAGTAGCTGTACCCTCATCAGGCCCAAAGAACAAAATTTCTTGCTGGTTCAATTTGTCAACGTACTTCTCCTTCAATGGATCCTGAATAAGAATGTCAATAATGGCGTCCACATACTGCGAGAACGCGACAAAGGTTTGTTTCTGTGATGTGAGCGTTGGGTTCAACAAAATCACACCTTTAGAACCACCTTCTGGTATATCCTTGTTCTTCCGTTGCTGGGTGGAGGCCAGTTGATAGTTCTCATCGATAGCCATCTTGGAATTGACTTCGTAAATGTCCTGAGTCTTGGAACAAACGATACGAATACCGCCTCTTGCGATATCTCTGAAACGAATGTGGAAAGCTTTAAAAGTGTTACCTACAACGAAAAACACACCGTATGGTGTTTCTGGGAATTCGGTTTCAGGCATAATCAACTTTGGATCTAGTCTGAAAGAGATGGCTACCTTTCTCGTCATGAAAAAGTTGGTTTTCAACACAGACTTGTTGAACTGAGCAAGCGTCTGTAGGATCAACATGTCTGGCGAGTCATTAGGGATAAACTTGTTGAGGTATTGTTCGAATTCATTGTCGTCTGCAAAAGGCTCAAGCTGCGACAGTCTTTGGTATGACAAGGTTTTTGCAAACCCACTACGAGCAGAAGAAACGTAATGAACTTGGGCAAAGTTTTTGTAAAGCTTGGAAACAATGTCCTTATACTTGTGCAAAACTTCAATGATCATCTGCTGCGTGTAAGTCTCATTTCTTAGTTTTTTCTTCAAACCGTTCAAGATCTCGAGCATAGAGGTATTGTTGGTCATGGAAGACAAATTGAACTGGCTCACCAAGTCCTGGTATTCATTACCAAGTCTGTTGATGAAGTTGTTGATGAAAATGGCACCAATGTGTGCATAGATAGCTTCTTGTGGGGAGAAACTTCTTTGCTGGTACAAATCCTGGAAGTAATTACTTGGGATGGAATACAACAAGGACGCCTCTCTTTCGAATTGAAGAATGGACATTGAAAGACTGTTCAAAACGTCCTCGGACTGTTGCGATTGTTTGACATATAGCGAGTAAATCATAACGTCGTTGGCAAATGTCTCCAAATAGACCTTGGAAGGCTTGAGATGGTAGTAGTGCAGCAATGATGACAATGCCGTGTAGTAGCTCTTTGTGGTACCGCGTTTGAAGCCCACCACAATACGCACTTCGTCTGGGTCAGCCACGGAGTTCAAAGTCTTGATAATAGGCCCCTCACGCTGGTGCATCTGTTGCATAATCAGCCCATACAGTTTTTTGTTTTCTTTGGAAGTGACTTGGGACATGGTCAAGTCGCTGATGGAATCGATTTCACCCTTTGTGAGCTGCTCCGAGGTTAGTTTGTGAGCTGTTGCGGGCTCATGGGCGAAAACCGTGCGGTACACAAATGTGAGTTTTAGATTGTTTTCCGCCGTGTACGAGATCAGTCTGTAGCGGTTTTGAGGGCTGTCCAGCAAGAGGGAGTCGATTTTGGCGTCGAGTTGGTGGCCTGTTTCCATGAAAACGGAGTGGGTGTCGGTGACCACTTGGGTTTTGACGGAAAATGCGCCCGAGGACGTTTTGTCGGCGATGGGGGTAGCAGGTTCGTTGTCGGTGGTGTTTCCTGCGATGTTGAGTCTGGCAAAGGACTCGACTTTTGCGGCGTACAGCGTATGGATGATGTTTGCGATCATTTCCGGCGATTCTTTGGAGAAGAAGAGATCGTCGATTCCTAGGGCGTCGTAGAACCATTCGATTTCGTGCTCCACCACGTCGTCTGGGATGAAGCCTTGCTGGTCGATCAGATCGAGCACTGCTTCGCGCTGTGCGTCTTTTCCGGGGAAATCGAAATTGTGGTAGTCTGACATCGACGAGATCGAAAGTGTCGAGATATCTGGCACTTGCGAGTCATTAACAGAAAGCATTTTTGGTTGTTGTTGATTATTGGTTGCGGGAAGCGAAGGAGGTTTTAAGGAGCCTCGAGAAACGGGTACTTTGGAGGGTACTTTTGGGTACTTTGGAGGGTACTTTTAGGGTACTTCGGAGGGTACTTCAAACGTACTTTTTGGGTTTTTCGAGTATACTTCGAATGCACTTTTTGGGATACGTCAGAACACCAAGTTAAGGTTCAAGTTCTGCTGTGTTTGTCTTCTTCTTCCTGTGTATTTATAGGAAAGAAGGTCGTTTTTCTGTGGTTCTTGTCACAACGCAAAGTGAGAGTGTGTGACGCCGCAGACTTTCGAAAGAAGAAAGAAAGAAAGAAAGAGGGGGAGGGCCAGTGGAGGTGTTAGTGTAACGTCAGGGACAATTGGGAAAACCACGGCAAATACCTGAGCCAATTGCGAGTAGACACTTTATTTGGAAGGTGCCGTGTATTCGGGCCAAATAAACACGAGTCCTGTAAGGTATTTACAGAGATATATCGTTGTTGTCTTTAAAGAAGGACAGCCGAAACTATTGTTGGACGACACTAGATGTTACTGAACCCTTTCCATGTCTCCATACTTATACTCCCATTGCAGCTCATCTATATACAAGATTATACAAGGTTATACAACATTATACAGATTATACAGATTATACATGAAAGATACAAACAAAACACTCGAGATTAGTGTTGTTTTGGCCAGACCAGACAATGTTGATGCGGCTTCTCAACCAGTGAGTCAAGCAAGTTTGTTGATGATGGATTGTCGGGTTTCGATAGTATTTTCTAGCTAATGTGTCGTAAAGTCGCTATCGTTTTGTTTATTTAGGTGATATTTAAGATTGGATAATGTTAGATTGCATCGGACGATGAAGTCCATAGGGAAAGGGAAAACACACGGGATTGGAAAACAAAACATGGGCGATTGAGGCTCGAGTGTGGGAGCGTAGTGGAAACGTAGTTGGAAACGTGGTTGGAAGCGTAGTGGAAGCGTAGTGGAAACGTTGATAAATTCAAGTTTCTACGAACTAAGATGCAGGAAAAAGATGTGCAATTCAATTCAGATAAGAAATGGCTATAAGTTACTATTCGGCGATTGCAACTTAAAATTGTTGTTGATGATGATGATGATCAGATGATCGGTGTGGATGGCTTTATCTGATACACTTGTACGGGCGTTTTTGGGTGTTTATCAATAGATAGGAGAGCCGTAGGGATGGGTGTGGGTGTATGGGTGTGTGATCACATGACTTTTCGGATTTAAAAAGTATCTGGTTTCCATTCTAAGATTCATTCCGTATATAGTTACGACCCAAATTGTGATCCGTGGATCAACCCGTCGAACATGACTGTGGACGAGTACGGGTAGCCACCGCGAGTATGACGTAAATAATGACGAGTATTTTTCACGAGTAGCCTCCGCGGGTAGAATTAGTTTAGATAATAAACAAGATTTCATGAATTTAATTTACGTGCAACTTTCAGAACTAAAGCGATGGAGGGAGTTATCAAGAGCTTGACTAAGGAATTGATGACGAAACACTAAATGGAGAGACGGAGCAATGCTCTTCGTTAGCAGAGCCCCCTTTCTATGGCCTCTTCCAAGCAGTTGTGACACTATAAAGCAAGCGAGTGACATGTCAGTCAACAATGAATCTAACCTGAGCTACAATCAAGAATCCCTTGGTTCTCGCTTAAATTTTATCCACGATTGTCCTCCTTGGCGTTGTCTTTCTACTATACCACATTGTCCACGGCTGACGTCGAACGGTCCTGTTTTATTAGTGGGAGGGCTATCGAAGGGCGATTTTCGCGTTCTAGCGCACAATGATCTTAGGAAACCGCCTAGAGTGTTTTGGATGTTTTGTGAGAAGCTCAAACATATTACAACGATCGAAGAGGTCAGCTGGGCGCAAGACGATATGTCAGATGCTTCTTTACATGAAGATACTTCTAGTGATCTCAATTCTTGCAGTGAGTGAGCTCATTATATCAGCTATGCGAATAGTCGCTAATACAGGACGCAATATATAGTTCAGCACAAGACTTAATCGAGCGCACCTGACAGGGACTGAATATGGCTACCCGCGCAAGCACGTGTAGAAGCTATCACACTGAACGAACTCTACCGGATTTTGGCTCTACCCGTTAAACCTACTTGTCGTCTCATGTGATGAGATGATTTGGGTAGTGTACTTATGTGCGTATGGGTAAGCCCTGAGTGTGCGTCTAATAAATTGTACGACACCATAGCCTTTCCGTATTAAATAGAACAGCAGCCAAACACATACTTGTACGGTATGCCTAGTGCTTGAAAGTTCTATCACTGTATACGGTCTATACCCCCCCCCATCAGGTTTATTTAGTACCTAATGATAGGGAAGAATCCACGGATCCAATGCACGCGCCCACTCGTTCAAAATGCTTGACGATTGAAACCATTTCGTATACAGTGATACAATACCGAAAGCATCCGGCACGAATCCGTATGAAGTGCTTCAATTTATGTTCGAATCAACACTGTTCACGACTCCTGCGAGTCCGGCTTTTTTGGCCATGAGTCCGGAGAGTCGCGACTCCAGTACCTTTATACGACAAAGGAGTCGTCAATTTCGTGACTCCGGTAACTGTATACGATGGTATCACGTGACTCGTGATTATCTGCCGTAGCGCGCCTGTTTCTGAGATTCACCAAGGTCTGCGAAATAAGTAAGAGATCTACATACCAGGTGCAGACTATTTTGCAATTTGTTAATATTCAAGCCTTCTCCATGACTTCAAAAAGCTACATTCATCAATGTCAACAATAATTAAATTTGACTAGTAATTTGCCGGACTCACAGCCGGAATCAAATGAAAGTCACTTTATACGTCGGACTCAATTCCGAAAATCACTACAGACGGAGGTGGACTCTAGGTGGAGTCATGGACTCATGAACAGTCCTGCTTCTGGAAAAAAATTGGGATCATTAAGTCACGAGCCAAGTATCCGAAAAGTACTTGATTTTCACAATTTGGGATCTACTTTGAATTCTAATTTGATATGTCAAAAACACGCAAAATCGTATCCTCGAAGATTTGCGTCTCGTGACTACCGTGGATAATGATTACATACGGCAAGAAAAAGTCTTTTGGACGTGTATAATGATTCCGTTTTAAAATCACGTGATCCTTTTTCACCTCTCAAACTTACCTTCAAAAGCATTCAATGCAGCACGTTTCAAAACTGCACACACACACACACCCCCATACTCTACCATCTCCACTTCCACACACACACACTCTCCCGTCCACCTTGTCTTCCCCCACCCGTCCTTCCTCTCTTTCTTCAAGCCCATCGCCTCTGCTTATGAAAAATTTATATACACTGATATTACCGTAGACCCTCTGAAAAACTTCCCATATTGAAAGAACAAACTTCATTAACATCATCATCACCATCATCGAACTTCGATCTCAAGTCCTAGCCAAAATAAAACTCCAGCTACTGAAGCAAAAAGGCCTCCCCACAAGGCATGCAAAATCAGGATATAGCACAACCAGTGGTGGATAGAATCCTGGCAAATCCATTACAATTTCAAGCTGCTTCAAAACCTGATTTTGAAGAAGGTAGTAGCGGGTCTTCGTACATAGTGATCGGAGACCAACGTCGCACTGCAGCGATGAGAAGTAGTCAGGATGGTGAGGCGATGGTTGATGGCCAAGGCCAAGGCCATGGCCATGGCCAAGGACAACTTCAAGGACAGGTCCCATCGGGGGGTTTGCCCCGGAAGTCTTTGCCCCGCAGCTTTTCCGAGGCTCTGGAAATGTACACTGCAAAGAAAAAACCCGTTGCTCACGAGAAAGATGTCGAGTTGAGCGACCAAGGGTATGCCAGTTCGACTTCAAATGAGGAACTTTCGAGTGGTAAAGGTGTGGAGCAAGATACTGAGTCGTCAGACAATTCCTCGGGAAACGACGAATTCCACGAAGCCCAAGAATACGCCGAGAGCATCGAAAACGATGAGAAAAGTGCTGAGACAAGTAGAGAGGGAAGCGAAGAGGGAAGCGAAGATCTCGGTGAGGATATTGGCGAGGATATCGGGGAAGACGTTGGGGAAGAACTCGGCTTGGAAGTCTCTGAAAATTCACACTCCATAGGTAACTCCGATCAAACCGAAGACCAAGACCAGGACCAGGACGACGACAACGAAGACCAAAACCAGGACCAGGACGACGACGACGACGACGACGACGACAACGAGGACCAAGACCTAGATTTCAAAGATAACGGAAATGTGTCTTCTGATTCGGATGCCTCAGACGATGAAATAGCCGATAGCGAAAAACTGGGACTCATGCGTGAGGCCCAAGAGTACGCTCAAATGGACGCTTCTACCGTTCCCGAACCAGAGATAGACGGATCTACTGAGGATCTCAAACACAAGCTACCACACAGCAAGCGGCCATCCCCCACGCCACCTACTTTCCTCTCAGACATCGACCAGTTCTACCAATTTAACGAAGAGTTTCGCGATAGAGGCTCTAACAAGTCAATTCGCATTCTGAAAAACTGGGGGCCGCAATTATCAAAAATGAGGCCCAAGGGGCTTCTCAACCATGGCGTCACCTGCTACACGAACGCTGCGGTCCAGGCCATGATCCATGTGCCTGCCATCCAGCACTATCTCTTCGACATTCTCCGGGGCCAGTACAAGTCGACCATACAACCACAATCGGTTTCTCATGTTCTTGCCGAAACCACCAAAAAAATGTGGTCGTCGGAGTCTTCCAACACCCAGTATATCAATCCGAAAAAACTGATCGGTAGACTGGACGACATCAATTGTATGATGAGTGAATGGCAGCAGGAAGACTCACACGAATATTTCATGTCTTTGATGTCTAGACTTCAAGAAGACGGTGTTCCGCGCGGCCACAAACTTACAGAAAGTATAATGTACGATATCTTTGGCGGACTACTGCGACAGGAGGTGACGTGTAAAAGCTGCGGACAAGTTTCCAAGACAGAACAACCCATTTATGATCTTTCTTTACACCTAAAAGGCAAAAAACAACCGGAGCCTGCCGAGACTGCAAACACTTCACAAGCCTCGACTGAGGAACAACCTCAACGTCGCTTCTCGATAGAGAAATCTATCAGAGATTTCTTCAATTCTGAGCTCATCAAAGCCGACAAAGCTACCAAGGAAGGTTACTTTTGTGAGAAGTGTCATAAGACCACCAATGCAACTAAACACAATTCCATCCTGAGAGCACCGGAAACATTGTTGGTACACTTAAAGAAATTTCGCTTTAACGGCACTTCGTCTTCAAAGATGAAGCAAGCGGTATCATATCCCATGTTTTTGGATTTAACAGAGTACTGCGAGGACGCACAAAATTCTGTCCCTCTTAAGTATCAACTGATCAGCGTTGTTGTTCATGAAGGCCGTTCATTGTCCTCAGGTCATTACATTGCTCATTGCAAACAACCAGATGGTTCTTGGGTAACCTATGATGATGAATATATCAACAAAATCTCCGAAAGGCAGGTTTTGAAAGAGCCCGGTGCTTACTACTTGGTATACACCCGTCTAACACACAAAAGCGTCCCATTGGCATCAAACACAGGCGCTGCTTCACCTAATCAGGCTCCTGCCTCCGAAACGAGACCAAGCAGTACAGGTTCCGGTGCATTCAAAAAGAAGAAGAAGAACAAAGGCAAAAATAAGGCCAAGAAACGGCGTCTGGGCAACTGACTTTTTTAGCATTTCCGTGGAGAATAGAATCTCACACCAACGACATTTTTTTTATCATTCATAAAATGTACAATAGAATTTGAGAAAAGAGCTCTCGAACGTCACTAAATATTTACACGCTTGTCGACTTTGTTCATTGTAGTTTGGGCCCTCCCATACACCAGACGGCTCGCAGGACCATGCTAATAATATCTGGTTTTTGTTTTTAAGGTACCACATTGATACCCATGCTCTTGGCTACTCCCACCACCGATTTGACAATGTTTTCCAAATCTAGCGTTGCGTGTCTGCCATCGCCTTTTTTGATCTTTGCAATCTCGTAAACATGTTTCAGCGACAATTCTCCCAGTGTGCCTGCTGCAGTCTTGACATTTGGCTGACCCATTCCCTTTTCCTTGCCTAAACTTTTCAGCAGCAAGTAACCAGTTGGTGGTGATTTCATTTCGAAATTGAAAGAGCGATCGGGTTTTATCGTGATATAGACAGGAACAGGAGTTCCTGGTTGGTAACTAGCTGTACGGGCATTGAATTCTTTACAGAAATCGATGGCTTTTATACCTTTTGAGCCCAAAGCTGGACCTACAGGCGGCGAAGGAGCGGCCTGACCAGCACCCACTATAAGCTTGACCAGGATATTCTTGAGGGGCTTCGACATGGTTCAGAAAGCACGATATTTGGCTTCAGAATGGTGTTTTTACACTGAGCTCGATGACCTTTTAGACATCTAAAATTTTCCAATACTAATATACAGCTTAGACGTCAGATCATGGAAACGTGACAAACATTAACCTATAGGACGACACACACCCATTCTGTCACCGAAATGGTAGAGGTATATAAGCATTCCAGTTCTCTTCTATCAAGCCTGCTATTGCAGTTCTTTTGCTGGCTGGAAATATATATCGATACTTTATTCTTGGTTCATGAAATGTATGTTGTTGAAACTGTTAAAAAAATATGGTTTTACTCGACTGGATCGCTAAAACACCAAACCAGACATTTCAAGCAGTTACAAACGCTCTGGTACTGTTCCAGAAGAACAGCTTCAACAATCAATGCATATTTCTTCTTTCTTATTTAACAGATAACAAACTACAAGTTTTCATTAGGTCTTCTTTAGACCTTATTAAATGAACTCTATCTAGGTTCAGTTCGAAAAGCACAAATATTTACACTGGCTCTGTACAGTGTTTTCCGACAATCAAATGAGAGCTGACTCTCAAGTATAGCGACTGTCATATGCTAGGGACAAAGTTTTGTGGGCGAAAGAAAAAAAACGGGAAACGCAGCTGCACTTACAGGAAATGTCCGTTCTTCTTCCATAAATCTTGGATTTTCTTCGCCTAACGATTCTGTTTCTTCTTCTTTTTTTCAAGACCCGCGATGTGGGCTTCGCTCTGGTCAACTTGGGTGTGTTTGTGGTCAACACCCCGTATGAGCTTGCTGGAAAAGCCGTCATCTACAACTTCGCACACATCGATCGATTCGATCCAAGGATCTGCCATGATGTCGTCTATGCTGGCACGACACGCGGGCGCCAAATCAACCATACGGCCAATGATGTGCTGACATTTTTCAGGCAAAGAACTCAATAGCCTCTGCGGACCCACATTAGGGTTGTTTGGATCGGATGGGTTATTACTGGCCGGTTGTGTCGTTGGAGCGGCTGCATTATCATTCTCGCTCAAAGCGTTATCATACGAAGGAGGCTCGAAATTGATTTCGGGAGTCCGCACCACCAGGGCGCTCAAAGAATCACAATCTCTTCCTGAACAAAACAGCTTGAATGAATTGTCCTTCAGTTTGGGAACCTTCCAAGGAAATTTTTTGAGAACCATGCAGGCGAAGATGATGGCCGCGGACCAAACATCGACGGGCCGGGGATCATACTTTGAGAAAATGCAGACTTCCGGTGCCAAGTATGGATCGCTTCCCACAATTCCGGAGGATTCGACCAAAGTCTTGGAGAACGGATACGAAAAAACGGCAGCCGCACCAAAATCAATTAACTTAACAACACCTTCTTTGTTAATTACGCAGTTATCCAACTTCAAGTCTCTATGCGCCAACCCCATAGAGTGCAAATATTGAATACCCGTCAAAATCTGCTTGAAACAACAACAAATTTCCTCATGCGACATCTTGTTGCTCATAACAATTGCGAACAAATCGTAATCGCAGTATTCCATCACCTGTAATATGCGACTGTTTTCGTAGACGATCTCAATCGTTTCGATGATGTTTGGATGGCGTAAAGTTGTACCAATACAATATTCGGACGTTATCTTCTTGACGTAATCTCTCTTGAGCTCGTGCTCGAATTTGCTTCTAAACTCTTTGACTGCAACGACTTTATTGTCCGCGGTCTTCTTGTACAGTTTCACAGCACCTCCTGCTCCAGCACCAAGGTTTTCTCCTGTTTTAGCATATCTTTTGGAAAATGGGAGCGCTGGGGACGCTTGATTAGTGTATATGGTGTCTCCAGTGCTGCTGTAGGATCCCGGCTCGAAGGATGAAGCGTTAGAGGTGTGGGAGCTTATGTTCCCACCAGCGGATACGGGAGGGGTACTTGGAGACCCACTCAATTGTTGGCCCTGACCCTTCCTGAAAAACCTTTTGATGTCTGCAAAAGACGAATGACGCGATCTCGGTATATATTGGTTAGGATGCTGCTCGTGCAAAGATGACGGCGATCCGATGAAAGAGTCCTGGTATGAGCCCGACGGTTGCCTGGAGCTCCCGTAAAGGGAGCTGCGTCTGGCACGCATGGGTTTGGGGATGGAAGACCCGTATGCTGAAGACTGCTGCGAATTGGCTGGAATGTCTCTATTTTGGGATGCCTGAGTGGGGGTCGTGATGGTGGGGTCTTTAGGATTCTTGTTGAGGAATAAATTACCTAGCTGCGAGGAAATGGAACTTGATCTCGGCACAGAACCCGTTTGTGAGCTCGAGTAAAGATTTGCTGCATTATTCTGAGAGGATTTTTGGAACTTTTGTTTGGAGATGATGAATCGGGGCTCCACGGTATCGACTTTTGGCGACGAGATGACGTTGCTGTCGATGGCAGCAATGTTGTGTGGCATAAGACCGTTATTTTCGAGATACGACGACGAAAACGACGACGCAGAGCTATTGGTGCCTGCGCCAGCGCTGTTGGGTCCGAAACCAATTCCGGCTCCGGTTCCGGCTGTCACAGTTGCGGTGCTGGCGTTAGAATTGGGTACCGAGTACGGTATGCTTGAAGAAAGAGACGGGATCGCTTTTGATTTGCTTAACGATCCTCCTGATGACGTTGATGGTGGTGGAGCATTGAAATCGCCATGACCCGTCAAAAGTGACCCTCCGCGTGACTCGACCGTAAGGGGAGCTGGCCGTTCCCGGTCCTTGAAACTTTCACCAAACGTGGCAGTATGCGCCGAGTTCGACGCTATAAAGCTTGTACTGAATCCCAAGCTTTGAGGGCCGTCCACTAGCTCCGTTTCGAGTCCTTTTTCCTCAGGAATGCCCTCTGGAGTCTCGAGATTTGCCACTGCTTGCGCACTCCGTTGTTGCGTTATTATTGGGGCTCCAGAGCCCGTACTGGCCTCATTTTTTCGCTTTTCTTGCAGAAGTTTGGTCAAAGATGACATTTGGCTTGGTTTTACCCACTTTAGAATGCAATATCGATGTTAAAGGTGCCCTTATGTCTTGTGTAAAAGTTGTTTGTTTCTTTGACAAAGTGTGTGTTTTTAATGATTTTAATTTGATTTTAAAATCGGTAGTGGTGATAACGTAGAGACGGAATTTTTCATGTGAACATAGATAAGACGATAAACGGAATATTTTGACGGCAATGCGACTGGAAATGCAGCTTTTGAGTTTTTAGGTGGGGACGGTGCGATCTTGGGCTTTCTGGTGCATTTTTCAGATCTCCAAACGGATTCGTGGGGACTTTGGTAGTGTCATATATAAAAGATGGGACTTTATCTGTGGGTATGCGGGATCGTTTCATTCGTACTTCTCAACTTTAACTCGGCTTGGACGTTTGGGATTATTCTTGGCAAGATATGGTGGTTTATAATTGGTGGAACTTCGCAAGCTTTTGAGCCATTTGAACTGGATGTAAAATGAAGTTGTCGAGTGGATGTGATGAATTTGGCGTTGTTAGCGAGAGAAAGACGTGGCGTAGATGTAGATTCTTGTTTTGTGTGGTGGTGAGAAGGAAGGTGGACCGTAAACTGCGTAGCGCAAATTGATAATTCGAGGGTCTATTTCGAACCAATGGAATCGTCAGCCAGACTTGCTACGATTCATAATGGACTCATCATTTCAGAAATTATCAGTTGTATTTCTCAGAAGGTTTTAATCTGATCCGATAGTTTTTAGCTCTTGGTGGCTGAAAACACTATTTCTCGTCCAAAACATATAATGAATTAACATGTCTATATACAGACAGATGTATTTGAGCAGGTTGAAAAACGAAACATGAAGAATAAGTCAATTTTGGACGTGAAAACTGCACCCCAGAGTCAATTTTCATATTCAGTTCTCGTTGCACCGATTCTACAAGCTTCCTGGTTCTTGGTGGGTTTTTCTCACATTTCCGTAGCGACACTTACGGACAAAATGATATCCAGACACTCCGCTGATCGAGAACAGACAAATATACAGACAAAACTGATATCCAGCTCTCCGCTCCTTTTCGCTTGGCTATGCTAACTACACCCTACGTACTTCTACTGGATTAGTTTCATGCGGTCCGGGTGAACTCCCGACGAAACACCGTCTGCCACAACATCCTTGGATGCTTTGGCTCTACTTTCTTGGATCATCTTGGTGGTCCTGATCTTCCGCTCATCGTCCATTTTCAAGTTCTTGGCCTTCAACTTCTCCAAACGAGCCTGACTATTGCCACCGCCGCCCACTGTGAGCTCAACATTGATTTTCCTGCCCTGCATTTCCGTCTTGTGCTGCAGCAATGCCACGTCCATGCGTGATTGTATGTTTTTCTGATCTTTGTCGGCGTCAAACTCCAAAAACGCAATGTTCTTATCAGGTCTTACGCGGATCTCATCCGGCGCACTAGACTTGAAATGCGCTTGTATTTCGACTTTCGTGACACCTTTCGGTAGGTTACCCACAAATATCAAAAATCTGTTGCCCTTTTTGCCCTTGCCACCTTTACCTCTGCGTGTCTTACGCTTTTTCTTTGGAGCCTCCGTTCCAGCGTCGTCGCCAGCGTCATTTTGTTGTGATTCTAGTGCTTCTTCCGCTGTTCGTTTTGAGCTTTTTTCGTCCTCTTTCTCGTCTTTAGTCTTACGAAACTGTTGAGCCTTGAGCTGCTTCTTGGTCAGCTTTTTATCGTCCACCATTTAGATCTAACTCGATACTTTGAATCGTTATGTGCAAGGCCAAATGTGTTGTTTGTCTTAGGCGATGAGATGAGATGAGATGAGATGCACTTAAAATTTTCTATTTTATAAAACCGTTAACTACAAACCTAGCATCTAAACACACTAAACTGGTACTTGAGAGCTCTTTCTATAGCTCAATGGCTAGTGATTTGTGCCTCTAATCAATGAATTCTAAAGATCTTACAGTTAAGGAAGCTCAGGATTCCAAAAAAGAGGTTTCAGACGCCTCTAAACCGTTAAATAGAAAAGTAGAAGATGAACAACCGAATAGTTGTAAAAAGAGTAAAGACGAGTCTGCTACGGATGACCAGGAGGCGCCATCCCAAGACCTCGCTTCGTTGATAGGTTTTACAGGGTTTCAGTCGACAAAAAACAAAAAGGTTCAGCCAAAAAGAGCTGGTGGTAAAATGGTCGAAAAGAAGAGCACCAAGAATGCTAAGTACAGACAATACGTCAACAGAAAGAATAAGAAACTAGTGCAATGAAGCGGGAACGATCTTTGAGGATTTTCAGAGGAAGGGGGCGAAAATAGGCCATGTTGCACAGCGGAGCCATGCTCTTTATAATATATGCTGCAGGCCTGCGACCATTTACTTACCTAGGATCTTGCAGATGATGACAAGGCCTGGTGCTCTTGTAGCAGCTTGTCGTACATCTCTCGCAGCTCCTTGTACGCATCGGTAATCTCGGCCACATTGGCTCGCAGCTCTAGAACTTCTTCGTTGTGCTCAGAATTGGGTGATGCGTTTTCTGCAGTATCTACGTCTCCGGTCGTTGCTTTAAGCTCTGATTTCACTTGATCCACAACTTTCACAGTGGAAACAACGCTTCCCAATTGCATGAATGCACTCTCCTCCGAGGCCACTTGGTCGAGATACGCATCGAAGTCATCTACCGGAGCAACAGCAGGTTGCCTTTGGGCTGGAATTTGATAGTAAATGTCTTGTAGCCCGTCACGATTGGATACGCTTTTTTGAAGGTTTGGAAACTTGAACTCGGCATTCGACTTGTCGGTGCTAATAAGACTATCGGACGTGTCCTGATTGACAACGTTCAATATCAAGCTGCTGACTTCGCCACAAGTCTCATTAACAACAATCGATTGAATTTCCTTCATTGTTTGTTTCGAGTACACGTCAATAACGCTACACTTGCCCAAAGTGTCACCCACAACTAAAGAGCTCCCATCCATGGAAAGTGCCAATAGCGTTCCGCTGGCGTCCGAAATTTTAGGACACTCAATCTGGCCCATCGAATATAGTTCACGTAGGTTTCTATCAGGCTGGCAATCCACACACGATATAATTGCATTTCCCTCCGCGCTCAACAGATTGAGAATCTGGTTCGAGCTGATGGGATAGTAAAAGTTCACTTGGTACACACCCAGCGGCCCTCCTACGTAACATGCTCTGTCAGCAGGGTCCAAAGCAATGCATTCTAGAGGTCCTGGGAATGTGAAAGTTGCCAGAAGCTGCGGTTGAGGCCAAACGTCCAAATTCAAATCGTAGCATCTAACGGTCATATCGTGAGAAGCTGTGAACAATTTGCCAGACAGATGCGTTTTAGAAAATGCGTTGGATGTGCAAAAATCTGTGATTCCAAGCGTATGGTCATGCAGCGTGAAAATCGGTTTTGGATCCTGCTGTGTGACCAGGTCAACAGTTTGCCAGATCATCAGTCTGGCATCCCCACCGGATGTGATCACATATTTACCATTAACCACCGATTGAATCTTCGTGATCGGCTGATAGTGCGCCATTGCCTTCACGGTCAATAGCTGGCCAGACAGAAGTTCCCATATAAGCAGCTTCCCCGTTGCAGTCGATGCTAAGAGCAGATATGGTGCGTCTGGTTTCTGGACGTCCTGAACCACTTCTAGGCAGCTCACAGGCTCAGGAAGCGCCAGCCTCTGCTCCACCGATTCTCTGGATCCACTCCCGTTGATCTTGTACACATTTATCAATGCCTTTCGACGTTGGGCGACGAACAGATGCGACGAGCCTACTCGTACTGCTCCATTTCTAAATTCCGTGCCACATTGCTTCAAATCTGTCTGTTTAGCTCCGTTCAAAGACGATACAGTACAAGTAGAGTGCGTTGTGAAACACAGTTGCTCTTCCATGGCTACAAATGAAGTCCTTGTTACTGCTTTTTGCGTTTGAAACTTTTCGATGTTGAAGCGATGAGCTAGCGATGAGCTCTAATTATAAAATTTTATTCTTAGCTTAGTTGTCGATCTTGAAGATCTGAACATTCACGGCTAAAGATAAGCTTTGAAGCCTTTTGAACTATGCCTTTGGACATTTTAGCGACTGCTGTTGTCGAGGGTACCGACAAGATTCCTTTCTGGCGCGAAATTCGGACGCTTGCTCCTTATGTAGCAGGAATTACAGCGATTAAGTTCTGGTCGAGAGGTGGCATTAACCAATGGGGAAGAAAGCTTCATGGGAAAGTGTACATAGTCACTGGGGCCACAACGCAAGGTATGGGAACAGCCGTGGCGCTGGAAATGGCGGAACAGGGCGCTCAATTGATCATTTTGGTGAGAAAAGTGGACGAGTGGGCAACAGAATGGGCTGAGGAGCTACGAAGTAGAAGCAAAAACGAACTCATATACTTAGAACAGTGTGATCTCAGCGATTTATACCAGGTGCGGAAGTTTGCGACGAAATGGCTGGACAACAAACCGGCCAGAAGACTTGACGGTGTGGTGGCAATGGCTGGTAACCTGGAGCCCGTATGGAATGGTGTTCGCAGGGCTTCTGCAGACGGGCTAGAACTGCAAATGGCGGTGAATTTCGCAGGTACGTTCCATTTGTTAGATCTGTTGAGACCTGCTTTCAAAGCCCAGCCTCCCGACAGAGATGTTCGTATTATCGCCACTACGTGTATGCTTCAAGCCATTGGGGACGTAAGAGTGGAAGACCCGCTTTGGAGAGATACCAAATACGATCGGCCTCTCAAGTATTTTGGTAGCTCGAAATTACAGCTTGGCTTGTGCATGCTGGAACTGCAGAGACGATTGTTGTCAAGTGACAAGAAAGATGATGGAAGGACGGGCAAAAATGTCACAGTGACACTGGTGCAGCCCGGGATTATGCGTTCTACAAGTTTAAGACGGTTGATCAGTAACGGGTCGGTATGGGCACTAATTTTTGTTTACTCGATTTTGTTGTACCCATTCCTATGGCTATTCACCAAGAGTGGGTTTCGCGGTGCTCAATCTGTGCTTTACGCAGTTATGACCCCGGAATTGGAGGAAGTGAACTTGAAAGACGACCAAGTGAAATACGTTGTGAATACGGGCTTGGGACGGTTTTCTCGCAAAGAATTTGGCGATGCGGAATTGCAGAAGAAGTTGTATGACAGCACTTCCGAGAAGATTTTGGAGTTAGAGAGATCAATGGCTATCAAACGGAATGTGGGAAAGAAAAAGGCTGGGCCCAGCGTTAAAAAGTAGACGTCGACGCATGCAAATCGGTGGTGGGTCAAGAAACTCATGGTTTTGGTAAAAAATATCAATAAGATTATATGTAAATTTACAGTTTGCTGTTGCAGTAACGGGTAGGGTAGCGGTGTAAGCCGGTAGCAGTGGCAGTTGCTTCACAATATACTGCACTTGGGGCTCTTCTTTTTCTTCTTCTTGGTGAGGCCCGAGGAAGCATTTTTCCAGGCGGAACCGTAACCTGAGTCGCCGACGCCAGCGCCCGCTGTAGGATGCGAGCCTCCATGACCAGCGGCCTGTCGATCGTGGTGGCTGGCACCACCATTACCATTACCATTATTACCACCATTGTCAGCTTTGGCCTCGTTGATAAGTCTTTCCGGGTCGACAACGACACACTGGACGGCACGCTCGAATACCTCGGCTACACCGACCTGGGTGGCCGCAGAACACTCGACGTAGCCCATCAGCCCGCACTGAGCGACACATTGGTCGATCGCGGTGCGGGAAACAAAGTCGGAGTTGACTTCTGTGAGTCGGTCCTGTTCGTGCTCGTCGTCACGCAGATCGGCCTTGGTGCCCACCAGCAGGATCGGGTACTTGCCACAAGTGCGGAACAGCTCCATGTTCTCGTAGTTGGTGTTGTGTCTGATCTCTGGGAACCACTTGTCGCGGACGTTTTCGAACGAGTTGGGCTCGTTCACGCTGAAACACAGCAGGAAGATGTCGGTTTGTGGATACGAAAGCGGTCTGAGACGGTCGTACTCTTCCTGGCCTGCTGTATCCCATAGATTGAGTCGGAACACCTGGTGCTCCATGGACTTGCCGTCATTCAGGGCGATAGTGGTTGTGTAGTTGTCGAACACCGTGGGTATGTAGTCTTGTGGGAACGTGTTGGTTGTGTAGGAGATGAGCAGCGATGTTTTACCGACCGCGCCGTCGCCTACCACCACGCACTTTACGGATCTCATGGCTGTGGGGCGTGGAATGGGGGTGAGTTGGGTATGGAAAATTTTACGCTTGGATAAGCGTAGATATCGGGCTTTTGTGTGTTAGTGATTAGCTTTCAAGCTTTCTCAAGCTATTGTGTGTTGATGACTAGTTTTCAAGCTTTCTCAAGCTTCTGTGTGTTGATGACTAGTTTTCAAGCCTTTTTGAGAGTCCTTGAGTTTTTGTCAACGATTCTCGAATTCTTGTTAACTTTTGTCAACCTGTATGTCTTTTAAGCTTTTGACAATGTTCTTGAGCTTGTTGAACTTTAGTAACTTTAGTAACTTTTCAGACTTCTAAGACTTTTCAAACTTTTCAGACTTTTCAGACCTTTTCAGACTTCTAGGATTAATCAAACTTATCAAACTTTAGTTAACTTTCTCGAGCTTCTAAGACTTTTCAGACTTATCAAACTTTAATCAACTTCTCAAACTTTTGTCAACTTCTCAAACTTTTGTCAACTTCTCAAACTACTCGAACAAACTCTATTTTCTTGCAAGCTTCTTCAACTTTCTCAACTTTCTCAACTTTCTCAGCTTCCTCAAACTTTCCTCTTCCTAGCTCAAATCTCCGAGTCTCTCAGATCTTTCTTACACCTTCAATATGCAAGAAATCTCTATAAACCTTAAAAATTTACACCTTTTCTAAACAAGTCTGTTTCCCAGACTGTCGAAGACTTTGACTCTAAGCTTTTTCCTTGTCTAAGGCCAAACTAACGACGCTAAACTACGCTAAACTTCGCTAAACTACGCTAAAGTTTCACACACACCAGGCAGCTAGCTGTGAGAGACGACCGTTCTTAACGGTTCTTACTACGGGCCAAAACAAACTGTTCAAAATTCGTCTTTTTTACAACAAGAAGAAGATCTCTTTACCAAGTATCAATCGTATAAAGAAAAATCGCCGATTTGTATGTATGTATGTGATATCTGACTTTCTCGAGCTTTAAGACGACAACGTTGCTGGTGGTGCACAGTGTCTGTGGTGAAATTCTTTTCCTTGACGCAACGTTCTGGGAAATGTTATTGAGATTGAACCTAATGGTAGTGGTAGTCAGTGGGAACTACTGGTAACCATCGGAGACTACAGGAAAGTTGTCTACACAGGATAGTGTGGGATTGGTAGTGGGACTGGTACTGGGATTGGGCTGGGCTGGGCTGGGCTGGGCTGGGCCCAGCCCAGCCCAGCTCTGCCCAGTATCAGCTCAGCCCAGCTCAGCCTAAGGCCAGCACGCTTGAAAATCTCGATGACGAACGATACTGCAGTCAGTCTGCAGTGCCCTACGAGGAACCGGACTGGACTGGACTACACTGCACTGAACTAGACTAAACTCGACTAGGACTCTGCCTAATGCTTAATGTACGGTCAATTTTTCTGGCAGGTGGGTTTGCAGCATAGAAGGTAGTAGTACGTAGATGATCGACGCCGGATAGAACAACAGTGCATATGGTTAGCTGATGTGGTGGTTATCGGGACAGGACGGTGAGATATTGAATTTGACTCTGAAGATGACGCAACGGGGTTTTAGAAAGGACTACGCAACGCTGCGATGTTGTGATGTCACTAGGACAGCAGAAGCGGGGGAGAGCAGTGGAGAGCAGGGGAGAGCAGGGGAGAGCAGGGGAAAGCAGGGGAAAGCAGGGGAAAACAGAGAAAATACAAGCTATTAGAAGCTACTACTACATGCACTGTTTGCGTTGATTGGATTTGGGCGTAAATTTGTGGACGGAGTGGCACGTTGGCGGAGTGGAACGTTTACGAAGTGGCACGTTGGCGGAAAGGCAGTTCCCGTTTGGATTGCAGTGGGTTGTCGTTACGAATTGGACGGGCGTTTTATGTGGTGTTTTCTGGTTCTCTGGTTGTCTATGTGTTCTGGTTTTCTGGTTTATGGCTGGCATGGGAAAAGTCAGTGTTAGCAGCTACATGGGTACAAAGTGATCTGGCCCGAAACTTATTACTATATGGATAACTATAGCTGTTGGCGGCAATTGTCACCAAAGTTATCCACACACGATTGTTGGCGCTAACAATCGTGGTATTGCTCCTTTTTGTTTCGACCCAACACCATCAACTCAACACCACCGGCTATATTTGGTTTCTTGAAAAAAAAAAAAAGCCTGGACGTCTTGCACCATGGGGAAACTTTTGGACCCCCGAAACACTTAAACCGCCCCCTTCTATCCACCCAAAACCATCGGTTCCAGAAGCTTCACCAAACTCTCTCATGTTTTGGATTTCTCTCGTGTTCAAACCGCCGAAAGACCCCATAAAAACTACAAAACTTTGAAAACCCTGGTTTCCACCGCCCTCTTGCTCTCCTGCTCTCCTGCTCTTCTGCTCTTCTGCTCTCCACACCACCATGAAATACTCAATTTTGGTCCCAACAGCTATTTCAGCAGTCCTGGTCGACGCCGTCTTCGACGCTAATTCCAATTCCAACGTCGCCGTTTATTGGGGCCAAGCTTCCGCTGGCTCTCAACAGTCTCTGGCCACTTATTGTCAATCATCGGATGTGGATGTGATCCTCCTGTCGTTTCTACATTCTTTCCCAGATAATTTGAACCTTCATTTCACGTCAGACTGTGCTACTACGTTCCACAGTGGGCTTTTGCATTGCGAAGCAATCGCCAATGACATCAAAACATGTCAAAACCTGGGCAAAAAAGTCTTGCTCTCCATAGGAGGCTCCACCGGTCTGTACGGCTTTCAAAACGATAACCAAGCTTCCGAATTCGCAACCACCCTCTGGAACACTTTTGCCGGTGGTTCCAGTACCGAACGTCCCTTCAACGACGCGGTCGTTGACGGATTCGATTTCGATATCGAAAATCGTAATGCAACCGGGTACAGCGCTTTGGCCAAAACGTTGAAAGATCATTTCAGCAAAGCCAATAAACCATACTACCTATCAGCCGCCCCGCAATGTTTTTACCCCGACGCCTCCGTGGGCGACCTTCTCGCCAGCGTAGAACTGGATTTTATATTCATCCAATTCTACAACAATGCCTGTAACGTGGATGCACACTTCAATTGGGACACTTGGGCTCAAATGGCTCTTACGGGCACAAATTCCAAAGCCAAGCTTTTCCTGGGCCTGGCAGGATCACCATCCGCTGCTGCGTCCGGCTATCTGCCAGATCTCGATAAAGTGCGGTCCACAATTGATACCATCAGCAAAGGTACCAATTTTGGTGGCATAATGCTGTGGGATGCTTCACAGGGTTTCGCAAACCAGGTAGACGGCAAAAGCTACGTGACGCAGATGAAGGGGATCCTAGATTCCGTCCGCGGGAACCAGCATCAAAATAATGCTGAGAATAAATCCAGCATACCGGGCTCCAGCAATGACAGCTCTTCTGGCGCCAGTACTAGCACGGTGACAGAATATTCAACGTCCACTTCTGTCACAAGTGCATTGAATCTTACGCCTGCTACAAACAATCCCAAGCACAGTGCTACGCGTGTATCGGCCTCGCAAGGATCCACCACCGAGAGCTTTCTCACCGAAATATTGAGGTTTACGAAGAGAGCCCTGTTCTAAAGCAGTGACGGTCTTTGGGAGACAAATTTGGAAATATAGATATGTATGACGTTCAAAGAAACAAGAAAAGACGGCTGTACCCGGAATTCTACTAGCTGAGAGATTCAACGTTGTGTTCTCTCTGGAGGATGTCCACGTTCACTTTTGGTGTTTGTCATGGGCTCTCTCAGCGATTATCTGCGTCAGCCACTTGAATCTTCTACTCGGAAGACCAGAGAAACTAATCACTATATACGAAAACATGAAACTTTAGCACGTATTTGGTCCTGGAAACACTTTGATGCTTTACATTATTGACAGATTGAGAATGCTGACTCCATAGGTTTGTCAAAAATTAAGTTGCAGAATGGCGTCCTATTTAGGCCATACCATCACCCTTTAACACTCCTCTCTGGCTAGCTTCTTCATTCATTTCCAGATGAGGACCTTTCCCAAATTAACTTTCCAGCCTTCACTTGAGACTGTTTCTAAACCCATACATCCATATAAAAAAGTTTTACTCACGTTTTTTCAAAAAAAACTCAACTCATAACATACGAAAACTCGGAAAAAAAACCGACGCAACTATTCTCGATACGTACATAGTGACCATAATTTTTCAAATTCCATCTCACGCAGGCGGGTCAGACAAATTTCCGAAATACTCAGTAGTACGATGTAGTTTCAACAAAAATCCTTACTTGGATTTGAATCTTGACTGTTTTTGATCTTGATTCTACTCTACTTCACTCCCCACTCCAAAGATGGTTGCTGTTATTTCCAAGAAGAGAAAGCTTGTCGCTGACGGTGTTTTCTACGCCGAACTAAACGAATTCTTCACCCGTGAGTTGGCCGAAGAAGGTTACTCCGGTGTCGAAGTGCGTGTCACTCCTACCAAGACCGAAGTTATCGTTCGTGCTACCAGAACCCAGGATGTCTTGGGTGAGAACGGTCGTAGAATCAACGAGCTAACTTTGTTGGTGCAGAAGAGATTCAAGTACCAGCCAGGCTCCATCGTCTTGTACGCCGAGCGTGTTCAAGACCGTGGTCTATCTGCTGTTGCCCAAGCTGAATCTATGAAATTCAAGTTGCTAAACGGTCTAGCCATCAGAAGAGCCGCTTACGGTGTTGTCCGTTACGTCATGGAGTCCGGTGCCAAGGGTTGCGAAGTCGTCATCTCCGGTAAGCTAAGAGCTGCCAGAGCCAAGTCGATGAAGTTCGCCGACGGTTTCTTGATCCACTCCGGTCAGCCAGTTGCTGACTTCATTGACACCGCCACCAGACACGTCTTGTTGAGACAAGGTGTTTTGGGTATCAAGGTCAAGATCATGAGAGACCCAGCTCAAAACAGAGTCGGTCCAAAGTCTTTGCCAGACGCTGTCAAGATCAACGACCCTAAGGATGAGGAGCGTATTGCTCAGCCTTCCGTCAAGGACTACAGACCAGCCGCTGCTCCAGAGGCTGCTTCTGAAGCTCAGGAAGAAGCTCCAGTTGAGGCTTCTGCTTAAATAGTATCAAGCTAAGTAGACACGGTTGTGTACAGATAGTGTGCAACTGAATAGAAACTGGTTTTTCTAATGTCAGTGTTTATCTGAAGTGACAGATATACGTTCAAAGTGATAAAGAAGCGCTTTGGAAAGTGAAAATATGACATAACAAACGTAAGAAAGGAGATTTTCTGATTGAGGATAGTGTTGTGGAGACCGTTTGGAAATTGAAGTATGGTTCGTGGTTTTCTAGTGTTTCAAATGGCTCTTTAGCGAAATGAAATTTGAAAAAGCTGTGTAACTTTCCATGTGCACGTGACTGGTGTCAGCGATAGAAACATTAAAAAGTGAACAAGCAGCATAATTCTGTTGTTAAAACGAACGCTTTCAAGCCATCAGTTCTGATCTGTTCCTGTTTTACCCTTTAAAATTTCATAATCATGCCAACCGTCGTTTTCGCACTGAAAAATAATATAAATTTACAGTTTTAGGTCTCTGGGACAATGTTTGGTTTTAAGTAAGCTCTACATCAACGACGAGTCTACAAAAAATTCTTAGCTTCGCGAGATCAAACTTTCTAAAATATTCACTCGTCTTCTGACGCTAACCAACTCGATTTCCCACTGTCAAGCTAGCCTAAACTCAGAAACATCATATCATCAGAAATTGAAAAAAAGGCGGTGAAAGCAGACTCCAAAAAATGGTCAAATTTTAAGCAGTTTAGTACCAAAATTATTTTAAAGCCTAAAATGCTGTTTGAATCCATTATCGACTCTGGAATTACATTATCTTCTTCTCTTTCTTGTTGTATCTCTCTATCTTGTTCATTATCATCAATTTTCCAGGTTATTAAAGTATACTGAAAAATCATACAAGAATCGAACAAAATAAGACAAAAACATCAGTTCGAATCCAGTTCGAATCCAGTTCTCTTCCAACCTACCGACCCATTTCAAGCCTCGTGTGACCAATGGTATCTTACAAGGAGCTCTGTACCGTTGGCACGACATTAATTGTCGCTGCCAGCTCTTTCATCATGGGTGTTTTCTATGCTAATCAAGCTTACGATGCCCATGTTTTGTTCAACCCTCAAGTTGCCCAATCGCATTTTGACAACAGTTTACAGCACTACCAGATTTTGGCCGAGACCCCAAAGGCGATCCTTGGTGGTCTTGCGTTTGTTGCGTTCGTGGGACTCGTGGGGTGTTTGATTAGAATCTATAAGCCAAATCCTGAGTTGCAGACTTTCGAGTACGCCTCCCTGGTCATGTATGTGATTGGAATCTGTTTGTTCATCACTAACATCAAAACTGGGATCGAGTCTGCTGTTTCTGGAGATTGGGGCGATGTAACCCAGAACCAGGGCGTGGCAGTCATTGGATCATCAAACATCATTTTAATTGTCGTTTTTATCGGTGTTCTCTTCTTGCAAGGTGGTTTGTGGTATTCCAATTGGGAATTCGACCAAAGAATGGCCAAATTCTTGGCAGAAGAACAAGACGCCTCTGTCAAATCCGAGAAAGCTCAACCTGAAGAACCCAAGAAGCAGAAATAAGCGAGCGAAGTTTCCTTCCCTCATGGGCTACACAATAACGGTCTCTCCAAGACTTCTTTCAATGAGCCTCGTATGTAATTCTTAGAAGATACCACTTCAAAACTCTATGTACACGTATCAAATTCTGCAGTTTACCACTTGTAAACGCCTCCCATGGCACCTCTTACCGGCTGGTCCCTTAACTGTATCCAGGGCGCTCTTCTTTCCTGTTTGAGCTGTTGCTCGAACGCAATCCGGCGCTTCGTAACGTTCTTTGTCTTCAAGATGCATCTCACATGAACAAAAGGATGTGTAATCACTCCGTTTCTTCCTCTCGCCTTAATGTCAATTCTTTTCTGCCAATATCCATCACTACCGGTCCATAGCTGTGCAATGTACAAATCGTCCGCTTGCAGACCTAGTTTTTCGGCATCTTGTAAACCTCGTGAAAGGACTTCTGCAACATCACGGGCAATTTTCTTGTCCGAGAAGTGACACTGCGTCAAAGCTACTTTGACGTCCAGCCCATTTAACAATCGAAGCAATTGTGTAGCTTTCTTCATGGAAGATTTGATTCGGTACGATTGCACGTAAACACTGGGTTCCAATGCGTCGATTTCTTCACGGCTTAAATTCAATTTGTACTTGAGTTTTTGTCCGTTCTCCTCTGTCAAAGTCACAGGCGTGTCTTTCTTGTAGAACCCACCATTGATTCTGCAGTTTTCTTCGTATAGTCGCTTTTTAAGAGGTGAGAGTAGTAAATCGGTAGCCAACACGGTAGGTTGAGATTTTTTGATGAAAGATTGTAACAGTTTATCGTTCGCCACTGTTACACTTTTCTTGGGATCCGCATTTTCGTCTTCCACCGCATTGGTGGTAGCTGTAAGCCTGTTAGAGATCCTCTGTGGGTCATCGGCCTGGTCCTCCACACCTTCGGTTATTGACCCAAATAGCGAAGAGCTCTCTTGTTTCTTGGTCAAAAACCCCGTTTGAAAGCCTCTTTTTAGACAAGGCTCTCGCAGTATGCGAACACACCGCAAAAGAGAAGTAGAAAGCATCCGAATGGCTTCCTGTAAGGTCTTTTGAGTACTTGAATTAAGAGCTTCTTAAACTTTAACTTGATTATTCGTTATTATATTTTCAAAATTTTTCAGAGATGAGGTCTTTCTAAGAATTCTACAACGACAGTAAACTACAAATGCGCTGTTTGAAGTAAAGTACGACACTCTGTATAGTTTTATTAAAAGTTCTTGTTGACTAGACTGAAATCTGGAGAAAATGCGTTTATTTGCAGGGTTTTTGGTGCATTTTGGGCTAGAAAACTTCGGCAAGACACATTAATGAAGTCCAACGTTGATAATTATCCTGCCTTGAACAACTATTTTTGGGTAATGCAAGGATTCTTGAATCTTGCTGACCACTAACCCGAGTGGCCATGAAATCAACAAGAGACCTAAGGCAGAGGTTGAATATCCTAATTCTTTTTTGTAAAAAATCGTAACACTTGAAAATTCCCACCAGTGGGTGATTGACCTGCAATCTTCCCACGCTATGATGAGTGAACTATTGGGAAATCATTTCATCATGCAAACATCAAATTTTCAGAGAAAAGATCTGAATGTCACAGCACCTCTCTCAAGAAACTTTGAGTACTTCGAGCGACCGCATTGGGTCTTGATAGCTGGATAGATGATGAAGAATCCGAGTCTGTGCCTGAAATCGAAGACGTGTCTTCACTGGGGTAAGAAAAGTTCGTTTGCAGCGGAGAAGAGCGGGTCGGTACCGGAGGCAGCAGAGGAAGTCGTTTCTGGAAATCGAACTCGTCTTGAAATGGGTTTCCTTTCGCGCGTGGTTGTTCAGGTCCGGCGGACTGCTCTTGAGAATTATGAGGTTTGGGTTTCGCATCGCTTTTGCGCCACAATGGCAATTTGCGTCCAAATGAGCTGTATTTGCTTTTCAAAAACTCTTCATCCTCGTCAGACGACCTGTTCGTGGTACTGCGGTTTGGTGCTGCGTATGCATCATTGTCCATGTTGGCGGGATCATCGACACGACACCCAATCTCATGACTGAAGCCCTGCGTCGAGGCTACTCGCTTCTTACGCCGCCAAAAGACTATCGCCCATATAAGCGTCGCTGCTATGAAAAACCCACCCACGCTGCCCAACACACTAGCGATTATAGCATTTCGATGGCCTGCAGAGATAGAGCCACTCGACTGGCCCGAGTCGAGCGTCCCACTTAGCCAACGGTTGTAAAAAGCCACGTCCGTGGTAACGGCCGCTGTTGGTGCTGTAAACGTAGCGGCCTTGTTAGTATTCAGAACCGAAACTCTGGTTAGCTGCGTTGTAAAGGTCGTAGAGGACTCAGTTATTACATAACTGCGGGTGTAGCTCACGGCTGTCTTGCCCTGATGCAGGCTTCTTGTGGTGGAAATGGCGTCTGTGGTAAAACTCGGCGTTTCGCTTGTCGCTGTATTTGTGAATGTAGACATGTCAGTGCCTGCCGGTACCAAAGTCACTTTCGTTGAGTTTTGGGTTGGACTGGAAGTATAGCTACCAAAGCTTTCTGTTGAATCCAGCGACCAAAAGCACCCAGACGAGCCCTTCGAACTGGAAGAAAAACTGTTACCAGCTGCAAAGCTGGAAGAGCCATCGGGCTCCAATCTAGATGACTTTGTACTGCTCGCATAGCTTACTCTAGAGGCATTAAACATCATTCCTTGATGCACTTCTTTTAATAGATCAAAGTTCAAATGTGATTGCTGGGCACCCAAAAAGGTACCTCGCACCGGCTCGTAAGCTTCAACCAAGTCAATCCCAGCTCGAGGAATTCAACGGTGGTGAGTGTAAAGACTGATAGTGACTGCCTGTACGAGTTAAATGACTTGGGTTTGGCGCGAAGTCTATAGTCGATATTCTTAAATTCATTAGATATCTGATTTAATTTTTAACATGGAAGATCACTATGTTCCGAAGTAACGTGTACCTGACCGTAACGAAATGTCAGCGTCAGTGAAAAAAATGTTGCCTGAAGAGGCCATTAACATGATCACTGACACATCTAAACACTTGTTTATGGTGATTTACTATTATACATGTCAGAATCCAATGATTCTCTTGACTCTTAGAAAGTTGTCTTTTTACCACGAGAAGGTACAATAGCAGCAGAGGCTCTTTGAGCTCCCGCTAGCGCAATACTGCTTTTGGTACGGTTGTTGCTGTCTTTATAATTAGACTGTCTTGATTTTGGAGCAGGTTTTGCAGGTTTCCTTTCTCTGATAGGAGGAGCACTAGCAGCAGCAACAGCAGCTGTGGTAGTGGATGGAGGAGCTTTCTCGCGCAGCGAGGGCTCGATAGTGGGGTCTCTCCTCTTGACCTGACGCTTGCTTCTGTCTTCGCCGAATTCCATCCTCAACGGTCTCCCGGCAATCTTGCGACAACTTTTGTCCTTTAGAGCAGCAGTGGGGCCCTCTTCGTTTTTGAAATCAAGAAAGGCAAAACCTTTGCATTTGCCGGTGTCTTGAAAAGTGGCCATTCTGACCTTGACAATTTCACCGCAGTGCTGAAAGTGTTTTTTCAACAACTCCTCAGTGGTGTCAAACGACAGGTTACCAACAAATAGAACGCGCGATGGGGGGTTTTTGGACCGCGATATCAAATCGTCTTTGTCCGGACGACCTTCAAACGATTGAGAACTCTTTATTAGCATGTTCCTTCCGTTGAGATGCGATTCACTTAACGAAATCACTGCTTGCATCTGTTGCGCGGTTTTGAAATTCATGTGAGCAAAGCCCTTGTTTCTTATTTGTTTCCCATCGTTTTGGGCTAATGGAAGATTGATTCTAACGATATCCGATTCCTGAATTCTGGCTTGTTCGTCTTCTAACTCACGAGTCTTGGCAATGAAGAAACGCGAAAGATCTTCTTTGGAAGTGTCAAAAGATAGATTACCAATCCAGACACCAAACTTCTTGTCTTTGGCAGACTTAGAATCCTGTTCCACATTTTTGTCTTTGTTATCTGGCGTTTCAGAGCCTTCTTTATCTCCTGTTGAGGCCTCTGCTGCTTCCTTTTTGTATTCGTTAACGGACGATGGGTCCAAGTTGAACTTTTCGTTAAGTTCTTCCAAAGTCACTTTCCCTCTCCTCAACAATCTTTTCTGCTTCTTAGACAGCGGAACCGTAGAATTCAAGTCGATCTCAATCTCGTCATCCGCCTTTCTCTTCTTGGTAAGATCTTGCAAAGCATTTTCAATCTTCTGGTCCTTGGAAGCCGTTTCATTGTTATCAGCAGCTTTGTCCATCGTCTTCACAGCATTGTCAGAGGTCATCTTGATTGAATAACTGCTATTGCGAGTTGCACACTTGGCTGTGGTTGTAGCTCATCGCATCGCATCTCATCTCATCGCATGTCAAATTTTATTAATTTTCAAGTTTTGACAGGGCGAGACAAAAGTGATCTGAAGTTTAAATAGTCAAGAAGACATATGGCAAGAACCAGGAACAGAATTTGAATGATCAATACTGTGCCATTAGTTATCAAAAGCTTTAGCTTGGCTGTATTATTGTCTATTCCAGATGGTGGAATTAAACTATACAATTTGATTAAGAAATGATTACAAACTCGCGTAGAAGGAGTAAAAACAGTTTGCGTCAAAAGTCTGTGGCAGTGAACAGTACCGGGGAAATACGGGGCCAAGAGCATATAAGAATTGTTTGATATTATGAGGCGTGTTTTTGTTTTCGCCTAGTTGAAGATTTTCTTTATTTTCGAGAAGAGACCTTTCTTCTTCTTCTTTTTTTCAGGAGACGCTGGAGTGGCTTTTTGTTTGGAAGCCACGGGCTTCTGGGGCTGGGGCTTGGCGGTCTCCTTGGCAATTGGGGCTTGCTCAACAATGACTTCTTCGGGCTTTTGTTTCTGAACGGCCTCTGCGGCCGCAGCTTCGCTGGCCTCTTGGTACTCTGCAACCTGAGATGGAGGGATGTCTCCCTCGACGACGAGCAATTCCGTAGTCTCGCCAGGTTTACCGTGCTTAGGGTCTAGTGTTTTCTGAATCAATTCGGCTTCTTGTTCTGGAGATGTGATAACGCCAATCTCCTCGGAAATAAGGTCTGGCTCTTGTTCAGCAGAAGTACCTGCTTGGGCCTCAGCTTCGAATTTATCCTCTGACTCAGTACCTACGAGATCTGTTGCGCCAGGCACACCCTTGACAACGCCCGTAGGCTCTTCCGCAGATGGTGGGGCCTCAGACAGTACTGCGGGTTCCACGGCGGAGGAGGTCTTCTTGGGTGGCAGTTGGTCCAATTCGCCCTCGACGACCACAATTTCAACGTCTGTGGGGGAGCTCTCAACGGCGTTTTTGTCCATGGCAGCTTTTTCCGCAGACGTTTCCGGCTGCTGTGAAATGTCAAAGTTCTTGACTGTCTTTACAGAAGAAGTTTGACCCTTTGACTGAGAGTTGGTTTCTGGCGTAACATCTTGTTGCGCAGGAACAAGATTATAGTCGACCTTTTCTTGTGCTTCATTTGCAACATCAGCTGCAACCACAGCCGCAGCGGTCTGAGCTTGAGAAGATTCAAGGTCATCCACGTTTTGAGCAGGAGGTAGAGTTTGAACCTCTTTGTTGTGAACTGGTGGTAAGGCTTTGACGTCTGCTTCTTCGACTGGTGGTAGAGCCTTGACATCTGCTTCTTTGACTGGTGGTAGAGCCTTGACATCTGCTTCTTCGACTGGTGGTAGAGCCTTGACATCTGCGTCTTTGACAGGTGGCAGAGCCTTGACTTCTTTATCCTCAACTGGTGGTAGAGCCTTGACATCTGCGTCTTTGACAGGTGGCAGAGCCTTGACTTCTTTATCCTCAACTGGTGGTAGAGTCCCAATATCCGCGTTCTCGACTGGTGGTATCACTGCTGCACCTAGTGGTAGGGCTGCTGCACCCAATGGTAAAGCTGTTGCACCCAAAGGCGCGGCCTTCAAATTGTCTTCTGGAGCCGTTGACGTAACACTCTTCTCCTGGACCGCAGCCTTTGGTACGGATTCCTGGGTTGGCGCCAATTTCAGCGCTGGTGCACTCAAATCCGATTCCACCGCCGAGTAATCTGGAGATTTTATAGCCTCGACCTCGCTCTCTTCTTTAAGCGCAACTGGGAATTCTGGTGCACTCGTGTCCTTTTCCTTGACAGGAAACTCTAGTACCGAGTGGTCTGGTTCTTGAACGCCAGCCTCAGGCTTTAATGAAATGTGACCCAGATCTTCGTCAGTTTCTGGTTTCTTCACACCTTCTGCATGATCCTTAGCAGCCAACTCGCGGTTGAGTCTTTCGTTGAGCTCGTTCTGGTCCACGTCTCTGATTTCTGAAAATTCTTTAATTTCTTGGGGGTTAGGAACAATGGCAATACCGGGCTCGCCTAAAGTTTGCTGTTGGTTCTCTTGTGAGGGCATAACGGTGCTTTGGAATCCATTCTGCACGGATTTCGTGTGTCCAGTTTCCACCACGGCTACAATAGGGGCTTCACCCTCGTTTGCCGACAAGGGGGTCTCCTCTCTTGAAGTAGCAGTAGCAGTGGCTGTTTCCTCGGTCTCATACGTGTCCGTGTCGGTGCCAGACTTTATTTCAGATCTTTCCTCAGACAGGACGGTTCTTTCACCGGTTTTTTTGTTTCTACGGATTCTGCGTTTGATTTGGATCTTCTTCTTCTTGTTTTTCTTGTTGGAACGGGGTGCTGGCTGAGCCTTTTGAGGCGCCTGCGTTCCCAAGACAGGTGCTGCCACTTCTGGGGCCACCAGGTTGAGACCAATTTCTGGGATTTTGGACTGCTTGGGGCCCTCTTCGGATGACGCCTGGGACATAGCGGCGGCAGCAGCAGCTTGTGATGCAAACCATGCAACGCTCACACTGTTATTGACGATACCATCGCGCGAAGTTTCCGTCGGAAATTCGTTACTTGTCTGCCAATCGCCATCCACAATGAATTTGAACCTGAATTTCTCCTCTGGCGTTCCCGAGATAGGCATTGTGATGGCAAAATCACCCTGCAACGCATTTTTCACCAAGGGCAAACTGCCACTCCAGTTGTCGAAATCTCCGGTTAGCAGCACTTCGTTCGGGCCCTTGGGCCATTTAAATGTGTATTCTGTCATAATAGTTTCCAAGCAGTTGAAAATATATAGGGAATGAAAAGCCCGAGCTTTCAACTGGAATTCCAAGTGTTTACTTTCGCAAAAGTGTGTGGTAAAGTGTTAAGTTGGTTGGTTCTAGTTCATTGCTCCAGGGTTTTTTCAACCCCCCTCAATTTGTATAGGCTGAAGCCTTTCGTATATAGGTACATGTATTCTCGAGATTTAAGCTGGCTGGAACATGAGTGGACGTCAGCGGATTATAAAGTGACCTATGAGCAGTCGTGAGTAATAAGATCGCTTTAAAAAAAAGCCAAAAAGGATCTTCTTTTAGGTTATGATGACTGGCAGAACTCCAAGAATCGATGTGACTAGACAAAGTGACTGATAAAATTGTCGGGTGACCTCCGCGTTGAATGGTCCTCAACGAACTAGACAAAAAAAAATGCTGAAGAGACACGTTTCGTGAATAGTGATATCATAAACAGAGGGTGCCGATCAATCGGTGGAAAGACTTCAGAAGGCTGGATTCAAGTAACATCTTGATCACACTGACGCTTCTGGCTGCTCAAGCCAATGGTATTTAATGGAAATTTTCATCATTCGTAGTGTCGGTAAATTGTCCGAAACGTTTCGTACAACAGTACATGATAAGAGCTTTCAAACGTAAGCTACAAAAGTGTCAGCTTTTTTTCCAGCATTCGCTCAATTTCTCGAGCCTTTCTTGCTGCCACTTTTTTTTTTCGCGCGTTTTTTTAACAACAATTCATTTTCTGACCTTCGCGATGTGCATTCCAATTGCCATTTCGTCGGAACGATCAAAAAATTCTGTACGGTTTTTACTCGCGCGACGCTGATGCAATATCAAGATATGGCTAAGTAGGAAGGTGGCGACTTGATAAATTGTTTTTGCTATTTGTCGGATGCGCAACAATTGTACCTACATTTGATCAGGTTACCCTTGACCATTATTCCACCCTGTCGCTGTCATTTGATCACGTGTATGTGGTTTCTCGACACAACAATAGTTTCTCACAGCCCACTCAGCAACCAATTGTAATCAGAAAATAGGATACAAACCGGCAAAGCTGCTCTCCAATTGAAATCCTTTCCAATCCTCTATCGGTTGGTGTCTGATTGGATCGACTGCCACGACTAAAAGAGATGACACAAATATTTGATGATGGTGTAGAATGACAACGTTTATATAGCAGGGCTTAAGCTGCTAGTGGCACCGCATATGTGGCATGGCTTGCAAGTTAAGTACTTTACTATAGCTATCGAAACAAAACTGGTGATTAGAAACGACCCGTTCCCTAGCAAATTCTCTGCAAATTTTTGCATCTGCTAAACATTCTCCTCCCAAAGCTTTGAGATCTATTTGAAATGCTCATAATAGTTCGCTCAGCGCTGATCATCCATGGCTCTATGGTGTTTGTGAGAAAGTGAACATTGACGGTCATGAAGTACGGTCATTTAGTAGATACCCACTGCCAATCTATTCCACAACAAGAAACGAGCTTCACCAAAACAGCTACGTTCCAAAGTGTCTAAGTACAACGGTCAGATCTCCTGGGAATCATGATTGTTGATTTCGAGCTGCAAATGACAAAAACCAGTAACTATGTACGAATTTCGAGACCAAGAGTTTGGCACGACCGTCAGTAAAAATGGCTGTGTATGAACCGTACTTATACTCTACATGATCCAACTAGACCTTTGTTTATTACTGGAATCTCATAAATGATTAACTTTGTTAGCAAAAGGAGCCAAAAAGGCCTGTGAACGGCTAATGACACACCACGTGACCGAAAAAACCTGAATGACACATTCGATATATCGCAGGGCTTCACCCTCACCAATCCTTAGCCGCTACCAGCCTCTTTTCTTTAGATTCTTGCCTTGATCTACATATCTTGCCTAAGTACAAGTATATTACTCCTCCGCGTGTCTACTTGTTTTACCTAATTCACAATAAATCCCCCCAGCATACTAGTAGCTCAAGCGGTTTATTTCTTCGTTTACATGGTTCAAGTATCTTGCTAAACAGGCTCATTTTCGCCTACATCTGACTTTTAGTCCAGGGTATAATGGTTTTCTTTCTCCTCTAATTTCAAGATCGGGCGTGTGGTCTAGTGGTATGATTCTCGCTTTGGGCGAAGTTCGAGCATTAACTCGAATTACAATTCCACAAGCATGCGAGAGGCCCTGGGTTCAATTCCCAGCTCGCCCCAATTTTTTTAATTTTTCAGTTTTAAGACATTTTGCCAACTAATAACTCATTAAAGTCAGTATAATGACACACATAAAGCCACTCAGAAGCAAGCATGTTTGGAAAACCAAAGTGTGGTATTTGTAAACCCAATTCCAACGCCAATATCACTACGTTTCCCTCTCATTTATTCCAGATTTAAGCTTCAACTTATCCATATCACTAAGTACGCAGCATATACTTCTTGTGTCACATAATCAGTAAGAAGAGCTTACCTTTACCTACAACTCTGCTCACACTTCAAACTTCTTTAATTCCAGACAGGCTCTCTACAGCAACCCAATCGTGACATTACTCGCAGTAATGGTCTTATAATGACTCTGGAGTCAACTGTGCAATTTCAGAACTCTCAATACGGACAAATATGGGTTCATAATGGTAATGTTGTGGAATGGAGATGGGATCAGAAAAGTTTGAGAAAGTTTGAGTTCAGCAATGAAACAGTACTCAGGGCCGGATTTGTTGACTTTGAAACGGCTCAAAAGTGCTTGGTAATTGTACTTGAAGATCGGGCTCAGGTGCATTATGTTTCGAAAGGCGATTCCAGTACGGTGAGTTTTCCTTTTTCCGTTTCTAAAGCGTTTTTCTACCCGGCTGGCGTGGTATTGGAGCGCCAAATCGACGAGAATCTACTCAGGCCGGGCTCGTCTATTAAACACCGCTTTGTCACACTATCGAACCCTTTGAATACTTTAGGCTCTTTGGTATTATCATCATCTATGCCCGATCAACAAATCGGTCAAACCATTTTGCATTTCCCCTGTGAATGGGAACAACACATTGCAGTTTTGTACAATGCGTACTCCCAGGTCTTATCGTTCCATAATGTCAAAGTTTTATCTCAGCAAAAGCGAACCACTACAAAAAACAATGACAGTAAAGATTCCAATGGATCTCGCAACAAGTCGTATGCCTCCCTTGTCAGTGATTTTAATGCTTCAAGTGGGAAGAGAGCAGTTTCGGGAGAACGCTCAGAAGCTCCAATTTCGTCTTCATCGTCTTCTGGACCTTTGAATAATGCTTTGCACTCCGCCAATTCTTTGTCGACTGAGCTGACCAACAACCTTCGCAAAATATCCATCATCAATAGAAGGTCAGTATCTGCGACTTTGGGAGCTGACCAGGATCAACAGATACAGATACAGCAGCAACAGCAGCAACAACACAATCAACAACAACAGCAACAGCAGCAGCAGCAGCCAGGGCCCACGATGTCTAGCCACTTAAGTGTTGACTCATTGAAAAGAAGTGCATCTGCAACCCTGGATAGAATGGGGTCCGGTAGTGCACTTGACATAACACCCTCTCACGCCTCACATATCTCCCAAGAGCTCTTTGACCATGCCATCTTAGCAAAAGACATCGTACTCACCAGAATTACACAAACTACAGTTCCAGTAAGGTTGAGTGAAAACACTATCGTGTCGACTTCGAGACTTGACAACAAGGAAGCTATCAGCTTGCATGATCCTGAAAGAAAATGGGGTAAAATATGGATCTTCGAGCACAACAAGTCGTTTACAGAAAACGCAAGGTTCAAGTCATTCAGTAACACCCCAGTGGCTCTGACAAAAATGATCGATACTAAATGGGATCACGTCCGTTCTTCTTGCACGTACAAAAGTAATGCTCTCGAGGGTTTCTTGATGCTTTTGAATGACACAGCACATGAAGTCTCCTTATTCAACCCATTTTTGAACGTCGCATCGATTCCCTTTCCTCTGCCGCCGACAGCTTACAAGAGCAAACTGCACTACGCCCACGGCAACTCTGTCTTTGCTTATGACGATTCACCCCCAATTCAATTAAGGTTAGCACCTGAATCCACAGCTGTATGTCACTACATCGAGGCTCTGAGGTACCTGTGCGATGACTACACATTTGCTTATTTTCTTCTTTTATGGCAAACAGTTCGCAATGCCTTCCCTGATGCTCAACACGACTTGTCTGACTTTGAGGCACTGAAATACGTTTTACTGAGCTTCATGAAGATCGAGCAGTATTCTAAATCTGCCGAAACTCCATTCAATTCCATCAAAGAATCTCCAGTCTTTGATTCGGCTTTCGATCCCAGCAGATTTTTACCCAGGATTGTGATGGGCCTACATTTGATCAGAGAAGAGTACAAGTTGAATTTATTACAAAGCGAAAATGTGAAGCAACTTGGCAAGCTTTTGCGTCTGCTGGTCAAATTGATGCGGTGGCCCGAAGTGTGGCATGACTTTTACGGACCACTCGATCCCATAGATGAGAAGCTCTTGACAGTATCGGCGAATCAAAAATTTGCGCACCCGTTAGATGAGCCACCCTCTATTTTGAAATCCCTGAACAGCGCCGTCGACGGCAGCAGTCTTTCCGTTATACCATTTATAACTTTCACGCGTCTGCTAGATGATGGGTCGTCTGTGGATCACATAGTGACTCCTCGAACACACAGAATTTTGCAACTGTTTGAGAGTTTCAATTTGGGGACATACTCGCAGTCAGATATCCTAGCCGTGATGAGCTCTCTTGGAATCAATAAAAATGAACTAGAGACTTATCCGCTAGGAATATTTGCACCACTCAACCGCATTCTGAGGTCGCTGAAAGTTCACATAAGTGATGTCAACGCACCTGTTGATTTCACGTTAGTGAATCGCCAAGATCTGCAGAAAAACGGTTCATTGTTAGGACTTGTTGCAATTGGAGGCACCGCAGCGCGGGAACTACCGAACTCCCAATCGATAAGTAAGAGTACCCGCCCTACTGAACTTCGCAGGTCGATCAAAGCCATAGTCGAAGATATATTGAACACGACACACCACCATTTTGATGAAAAGTTATCTACACTGGATAATGCTGAAGAAATGGGAGACGGTCGGAGCTTGAAGCAAAATGCGTCTTCCATTTTTTCAGAAGATAGAAGATTTTTTGATGTCGTGGAGCTTCTATTGTACAGTATTCCGCATAAAGTTTCTATGCATGTTGTGGAAAAGAGCTACACGCGCAATCTTAAGAAGAAGAGAGCATATTCACAAATAACTGCTTTGCGAACTTTTGCCTCGGCTGTTGGTTGGGGTGCAGTAGCCTTTTCTACCGAAAGGCCCTTGACCACTCAAAAGTGGCCTCGTGCGAAGCTTAATCTTCATTGCATATTTCCTGGTAAAACAACAGTAACTGTCGACCCTGAATCATGTAATCCCGATCTACTGGCATGGGGTGAGTTCCATGCTGGTGTGAGCTCGGGTCTCAGAATATCTCCAAAATCTGTAGGAATTACCGGGAGTTGGATAACCTTTGCCAAGCCCCCGGAACTCGATGCCCAGCATGGTGGGTTTTTGCTTGGTTTGGGCCTTAATGGGCACCTCAGAAATTTGGAAGAGTGGCATGTGTACAATTATCTCAGCCCAAAACAAACCCATACCAGTATAGGTCTCTTGATTGGTATGAGTGCTAGTTTGAAGGGAACGATGGATCTAAAGCTGACCAAAGTTCTGAGTGTGCATATCGTGGCCCTGCTGCCACAAGGGTCGAGTGACCTTAACGTTAACTACAGAGTACAGACGGCCGGCTTGATCGGCGTTGGTCTGCTCTATCAATCTTCCCAGCATAGGAGAATGAGTGATGTGCTTTTCTCTCAATTGACATCATTTGTGAGTATCAATGAAGAACCGGTCCCAAACGAGGGATATAGACTCGCGGCTGGGATCTCCCTAGGCCTTGTAAATCTCGGTGCGGGCGCCAAAACTCTCAAATCTACAATCGCCACGGCGTCGAGGCTCTGGCACGGCGAGCAAAATTATACCGACGAGGAAAACGACGAAGACTTAGACTTCAATCCAAACGAGGGTTTGTTAGATCCCAAGATTATATCCGGCTTGCTCAACATTGTCAGTGGTGTACATGATACTGAAGAAAGCTGGATGCCTGCCAACTCTCAAATGGGAAGCATTTTGGCCCTTATGCTGATCTACCTAAAGACGAATGACCAGACTATCGCTGGACGGATAGCCCCACGCTTGGATGATATTAACCTGAAGAGCAGACCTTATATGCGCCCCGAAATTTTCATGTATCGAGAATGGGCTTGCCATATGATTTTATGGGACCGTATTGATGGAAGTTTTCATTGGCTATTCAGGGACTTGGACCTTGATGTCCCTCTGAAGCTTGATACCGATTCTTTGCCTCAATTGTACTGCATAGCCGGAAGAGCTTTGGCAATTGGTCTGAAATTTGCGTCTATGGGAGATTTATCAATACGTGATCATCTCCTCTTTTTGATTGATAGACTGCTGCCACTGTATCAGTGTTCAGTTGACGCTCGATTGGACTTTCAGTTGAGTATTAAGGCTCTCAATATTCTGACTGGCGTGCTATTAATCGCTGTCAGTATGGTCATGAGCGGCACCGGTGATTTATCAGTGCTAAGAAGAGTAAAGTTTTTGCACGAAACCATTAGCGGTAAACAATCAGACTTGTTCCAGACAAAATTCACGACACCGCCCTCTAGACCTAGTTCGGGAGAAGATGCGATGTCTGTCGATTCTGCACGAAACCGCAGCCAAGCTCGAGTAGATGACCTTGGAAATTTAACTGTTGAGGACGACGAAATAGTGGAAGCGGAGGTCGATCAGAGCAACTCTGAAACTATGGATGACACGGACACAGGAACAGCTAATGAAAGCAAGCAACATTGGAAAGATGAGGAAAATCACTTTGGAAAATATATGGTGACAAGTCTGAGCCTCGGTTTCCTTTTTATTGGTTCAGGGCAATATGCATTCAAGACTTCCAACTTGGAAAGTTTGGCATACCTCATAATATCGATTCTACCTACTTACATGAGTCCGTACTATCTGCAAGAAACAAGGCATTTCTGGAGCATGGCAGTCGAATACAGAAGTCTCATAGTCAAAAATTCAAAGACGGGTGAAAACCTCAACAAAGTGCCTGTCGAGGTAGAACTCAAGTTGTCAAAAAACGCGGCAGGCCCGCAGACAATGCACCTGGTCTCACCGTGTCTTCTACCTGACCTAAAAAAAATAGCATCCATCAAAATCTCTTCGCCGGATTATTATCCCGTTTCCGTGCAGTTTAAAAGAGATGAAGAATATGCCAGTTTTTACAACAATGGCTGCGTCCTTTACGTTCCACCTCGAAGCGAGCTTCAAGACGAACGGAGAATTGAAGGCGGTCATCGCAACAGTAAAAGCGCGGAAGTGAAGAATATATTGAAGACAAAGGCATCTAAGCTTTTCAGTGATCGTGCCTTAAAAAATTCTAATCGAAATGTATCTCAATTCTTCGAAGACTTGGGCCTCGCAGGCGGAGTTGAACTCGAATTTGGCGTGGAGATTTCTAAAGCGAGTGATTTCATTGACCCATTCATGAACGAAAATCTACTAATGGCTTGCCATAATAGAGGCAGGAATTACCAGCTCGAACTATGGAGGCGGCATTATGGAATGTAACCCATGTGCAAGTTTTTTAGTTCTATATCCTTATTTTGTTTGTATACTCATATCGTTCTCATGTGAAGGAACCTTCCTTGGTATGGAAGCCGTCTACTTGGTTTCACCAAGGACTTGACCCATTTTAACTGTCTGCCCGACGTCGATCTCGAACTCAAAGTCGTCGGGTGCTTCGAAACATAGTACGACAGTGCTGCCCAGCATAAATCCGCCCATTTCTTCACCTTTTACCAGTGGAACACCGCCCAAGATAGCGCTGGTGTTTTCGTAGGTGGCCTCGTAACATGTGTGAGGTTTAATCTTCTCCTTGCGCTTACTATTGGTGACCAGTTCCTTGTCAAAATTCAACTTGATGGACCCTACGTTGGTTGCACCTACTGGAGTCATGCTAAAGAATCCATGTTTCCAATGGCCTAGAAGCGCTACGCGTTCGTTAAGCACAAATAGATTTGGGAAATTGCGCTGAAAGTAGGGAGCAACAGAGAATAGTTCTCCTGGGAAGTGACGACGCAATTTGCAAACCCAGTTCACTGGGGAATGATAGTGATGGTAATCGCCTGGGGCCAAATATATGACGGCAAAACACAATTTGGTATTTTTGGGTTGTGTGCTTTTGATTTTATCCATGTAATGTGTAGAAAGTTGGCTCAAGAGTTTCATGGTTTTGGGTCTTGAAGGAGCTGCTTCTGGTATGGACGTGTCACCTTCATTTTTGTACTCTATCTTTTGCAAATGCGAACTGTTCTCGCCTGGCGTTTCGCCAATCATGTCGTTGAAGGTGTAGGGAATATTATTAATGCGTGCAAATTCAATATGTTCATCATCTGAGTTGGTTTCACCGTTATCGAGACTATCCTTTGACTCGCTGCGAGTCATTTCTGGATGGGAATGTGTTCCGAGAAACTCGCGAACAGAGTATGTCATACCTTTCACTTGCTGAATATCTCCAGTTTGAGCGTCGATGATCCCGAGTTGCAAAACTCGCCCGTCACTGGGACACACAACAACGTTGTCACCAGGAGCAATTGGTCGTGTTTCTGGTCTGATTTCTCGATAGAAAAACTCTGAGAGGTTTTGATAGTGTTCCAAAACAGGATCCTCCATTTCGTCCAAGTTTGCACCGAAAACAGTTGCGTACAGTCTGAAACTCCACGGTCTCAGCCATACGGGCAAAGTGAACGAATTCACTTGGCCCCAAAGACGAGACATGGCATTCAACGGAAGGGTCGAGTACCAGAAAAAAAACCAGTTATTATTGAAAATCTTGATGCGTGGCCGGGACCGATTTTCATATTTTTCGTCTTCGCTGTCCTCTTCACCGATCCTCTCTTCACCGTCCCAGCCCTCTGCATAGTTGAACAAAATGCTTCCCAAAACCAACGTCACTCCGGTCATAACCACTAATTTCACCACCACCTGTTTATTGTAGCCTGAAAATTGCATCAGAGACGTTCTGGAGCTGTAAAACCGATGATTCCAGAGATTGGCAGTGCGTTTTTTAATTCTCATTCCTGCCACTCCACCAAACCGATGCATATTCAACCGGCCTTTCATGCCAGCACCTCCATTTTTCAAAACACCTAGCCGTAACATCTCGATTGTGAAAATTAGAATGCTGATCCAAGAAATATCCCAATATTTCTTCAAATTGCTACTTGAAACTATATTACCACTCTTGAAATCTAGTACTGCTCCCCACAAGATTATCTTGTGCAAGATGAGTTGTTTGTCAAGTTAACCAAGTGGCATCGACACTGGAATTTTTCACTTTTTAATATCATCAACACTACATGTGAAAAAAAGACAGTGACATCGCGAAAAACTGAAATGTCACAGCTTGAGAGGGAAAGTAAGGTGTTTGCCGCTGTGAAGCTCAATGATAATTGTGGAGATTCTGATAGAGTATGAGATCTTTTTCAGGTGAATTTTTGGATTACAGAGGGTGTGTCAGAATTTATGTTGACTCGCTCGTTTTCATTTTCAAAATTTGCTTTTGAGAGCTTGAAAGATTACTGATGTGGACATCAATGAAGCAGTGGATCTTTGGACTGGAATTCTGGACCGAAAATACCGCTCCAGACGGTCGAGATGGCGGTTTAAAAATGATTTCAACTTTGATCACTTTGTACTATTCTGACAGTGTCATGCCGGCTTAAATAAATAGCCATATGGGCAAAAACGGACGTCTGAGTCAGACAGACCATTGAGCTTTGAAGGCGGTCTTGAGGATACATAAGTTTGAGAAACGAGTTGGGATTTCAAGTAACACGGAACAGGTTTTTTTGATTGCTGAGATTTTCTCAACGACAGCGACCATCTGGAAAAAAGTGATCTGGCGAGCAGCGACACACTGCACAAGAAGTGACAAAAGTGGATGTAAACTACCATAGAGGTTGGCTTCGATAGGCTGCCCTAACGGTTCGTTCCAGTGGGGGTAGCAGCTGTGTATTCTTTTCTTATGGCGTTTCATCAGGCTTCGACAGCAGGCTGTCCTTTTTACACCATTTTTTCCCGCCTGTCTGTAAATAAAAAAACTGCGTATCGCTCGTTGTTAAATCGGGAAAACACATTCAAACATCTGCTAAGTAGAATATTCCTGTATAACGCAGCAGTTTCTTCCTCATCAAAACACTTTAGGGCTAGTTCATTTTACGCTAGAAACATGTAAACCACACGCTTTGAAAGCCTGTTAAAAGTCATTCTCTCGGCACTGGAATCTGATTGCGCTGGCCTCATTTCGAAGCTACGCCCAGAGCTCTGCATTTCGTTCGGGTTCTTGACAAGTTCTCAACGGTGTTTATGTTGCTTTATCGAAGGTCACGTGATATCTTCCTCCTGCTCTTAAACCTGAACTGATGCTCAAGACAAAGAGCTTCTTTCAAACATTCTCGAGGAATTTCAACCCGACCTCAAGTAGCCGCAAAAAATACAGCTTTGGTCACACCTACACTGCAGTTTACCAGAACTTAATCTAACAAAACTCAAATCGTATGGTTTCGCTAAAAGTCTCTTATCACTTTGTCCGAAACTTACAATTCTATAATTTACAGAGCGATGAGCTCGAGCATTCAGATCTAACTATCCATTTTCCAGGCCAAACTACACCTCTCAAATGCTTATTTATGTCAGTGAGAACTTGAGCAGTGGAGCAGAGCTGCTAGTCCAGACACTGGAGTCAAAATATCACTTTTCAAGGATACCGACAGATACCACAATTGATGAAGATCGTATTGCCAAAATCATAGACTATGCGACTGCTAACTACACCAAAAACCTGGTTTTCCAGGGCATTTTAGGGCTCGAAAAGCTTCAAAAACTGGAAAAACGACCCTTTTTCATGCATGTAACCATAGAAGCAGCTTTGAGAATTAGGCTTCAGGTATGGTCCCGTAACTTCAATGACAGTGTGAAAGATACCGAAAAGTTTCTGCAACACACAGAAGCTATACTGGAGCGTAACCCAGATTTACCAATGGTTTTTGGCCGAGCGGATGTGAAAATTTACGTAAGAACCGCAGAGAAACTGCAGCTTGACATTCTCGCAAAAGAGCTAGACAAGCACCTGAAAAGTGCCTGTCAAGGCCGCGATGTCGCCGCTCCTTCTGCACATACAACACCATTCAGACCGGATTGGGATACCTACTTCATGAAATTGGCAACTTTGGCAGCATCGCGCTCGAATTGCATGAAAAGACGGGTTGGATGTGTTATTGTCCGTGATTCCAGGGTGATAGCGACAGGTTACAACGGTACACCTCGCCATCTAAAGAATTGTCATGATGGAGGCTGTGCACGCTGTAACAGTGGTGAACACTCTCAACTCAGTAGCTGTCTGTGCCTCCATGCCGAAGAAAATGCATTACTCGAAGCTGGTCGCGATCGGGTTGGTCTAAAGGCCGTCTTATACTGTGACACATGTCCCTGTCTGACTTGTTCCGTCAAAATTGTGCAAACAGGTATTCGTGAAGTCGTTTATTCGCAAAGTTACCGAATGGATGAAGCCAGCTTCAAGATTCTGCAAGAAGGTGGAGTTTTAGTGCGGCAATTCAGTTTTAAGGAAGTGCCACACTATAGTGTGGTGTGAGCATGCTTCGTGTGAATTGGATACGCAAAAAGAGATTCACGGTAATGAGCAATATGGCCTAACTCTTGAGTTAATTGCACTTGTGTGCCACAACTACCTCGCGCTTCTCATCATTCAAAAAAGAGCGCAATGGCCATTCCGAATATGATTCGTCTAGATGAGAGCATAAAAAGATTTATCGGAACATCTTTTGTTTAAGATTTCCGCTGTTTTTCAGACACGGATGTCTCTGTACTGCTGGCGCGAGGTTCTTCCTACCTGTTGCGTTGGATTACACTTACATTTATCATATTCGGTGGCTTTAGACTACGTTCCACAATCTATCACTATAACTTCCTATCAGGATTGGTTGGTTTAAGCCGAAGAACGAAGCGAGCAAGGCTACTTAAGTTTATAGCCTTTAATCCTCGAAACAGTCGGCATATGTCTCAGCAAACGTCTGGACTTTTTACAATTTGTGTGGTATGTGCACCGCGAATGGCGTCAAAACTAAAGAAGTTTGCTCATTGAAACCATCATTTATAGAAACTGGGTTCACCGTGAATACGGCGCCGACTGTTTCTTACCATTGGGAGCCGAGCTCACCTCTGAACACTTGACAATCATATTATATAAAAACTGTCTTAAAGAGTTTACTATCATCTAATAAATCAACTTCTAGGATGCCCCATCATCATACGTTCATTGTGGGACTTGACACTTTGCCAGTTCTGCTGGTTCTGTCAACGGGAATTCCTACACTGGTTTTCTTTTAACAGCAAAGTCCGAAGGGGACAACTTCAATAGAATATCCATCCGGATCTTTAATGAACGCCAAGTTTTTCATCTTTCCCTGGTCGAACTTGACCCCCCATTGAATTTTCTCACCGTACTGCTCTTCGATCTCCTTGCACAGCGTAGCCGGGTCCTCACAGCTCACACAAATGTGGCCGTAACCTTGAGGCTTCTCGTTCCCATTGTGATACTTGAATTCTGGGTCGCTTTCGGTGCCCCAGTTGTGAGTAAGCTCCAGCAGTCCCTCTTGAGTCCATCTGGGCGACGATTCATCGTAGCTCAAGAAGTACAAAGTGAATTTGGCATTTTCGTGCTTGGATGTATCGATAAGTTTCATTCCGAGCACGTTTTGGTAAAATTCAAGTGACTTCTGAGCGTCCTTTACGCGGACCATGGTGTGGTTGAATTTGTAGCCTTCGTCAGAGCATGATTTTTCTTCCTGGCCGGGTCTGTCGTAAGATACAAGCTCAATCCAGTATCCGTCGGGGTCCAATGCAAAGGCAATGTTCTTTTGACGACCGTCTGCAAGCCTTTTTTTGAAGGCAACGCCGTTGGCTTCGAGGTCCTGACACGTTTTCTCGATATCCGCAACGGAAAAGCAGATGTGGCCAAATCCACGGTATGGCTCTTCGTTGCCGTTGTTCACTTTGAATTCTGCATCGTTTTCCGTTCCGTAGTTGTGTGTGAGCTCCAAAATTCCGGATTCCTGGAAAACGTCGATGTCTCCCTCTTTGTTGTGCTTCAAATCAGTCTTTGGGAAGCTCAAAAAGTACAAGTCAAATTTCATATCCGGGAATTTCTTGTGTCCCTGCAGTTTCATGCCAAACTTGGACTCATAGAATTCTACACTGCGTCTTGCATCCTTAACCCGAAGACATGTATGGTTCAGCTTGAGCGATGAGCTGTTGACAGCGCTCTGAATCTTCTTGGGGTAAAACTGCGGTTGCGAGCTCATTGTTCGACAATAGTTTCTGGAACTGAGTGCTCTAACGAGAGGATATAGACGACTTATTCTCATTTTGACGAAAAGTTCGGAAACTTGATGCTATGATGAGTTTATATTTGCTATATTTGAAAATAACGCTTAACAACAAAATAGCAAAGACAGCGACTTATAACAGCCTTATCACAGGCTCATACGAATTTAACGAATGCTGCAGAAATATTATGAATATTCAGTGTTACAAGGAAAAACCATGTTTATCGAGAAGTTTTGTTTTGGTTTGCAGTGGTAAAGACTTGACGTCGCAGCTCCACCTGTCGCTGATAATTTTATTGTTTGCCCGATAACAAGTGCGCAAATAATATCACGTATCTTCGATTTGAGTTATTCTGCGACAAGTGAATTGTTTTCGAAACGGCTATGGGTATTCTTGGGATACCCATGGGTTAAAATTGTCGATGACAGCGACGGGAATTAAATGACATTAAATTGTTATTCCAGAGTTTGGAAGTGAAAACTGCCCCTGGCATAGCTGGCGATGTTGATAGAGATGTTTTTGCGATGAACTTCCTTTCTCTCGCTGTGTGTGTGTGTTGATTTGACATTAATCCCACCTGGCCTAGGATGCAACATGAAGATTTTGAAATCATACATGTCTTACCAGAGATACCGCTGTGTCATACTGCCTAATTTTGCAGCTTACCTGCAATCCTAAAATAATGTGGTACCATTTCATGCAGCCAATCTTCGCGTGGAATCGGTAAACAGTCTCTCATGAACTCCTTCGAGGTCAGCACCAGCCTTTGGTAAAGCATGTATTTCGGTGGTTTGGCCATCTCTTTTCTGAGGGCCTGAAACACCGTACTCGTAGGATGAACGCTCACATTTACTCCTCCTTGGCGCGCTCCCATCGTTTGATACCCGGAAGTTCCCAGTTTCGCGATATTCGAAGGAAAACCGGCAATGAAACTCTTGATTATGCGGGATTCGATTCTGTCCGAACCACTGATGGCTTTGGCCGCCTGTTCATTAAGAGCTATCAGTCCTAGATTATCACAACAGCGCCAAAATTGGTCGCGAATTTTGCGGACTCTCAGCAACGTTTTGAATTGGACCTTGTGATCGATGCACCACGACCTTGAGTAGTTCATGTCTTTCCAATTGTTATAAGTTTCCAAATAAAGCATATGGTCGCTTGACACTTTACCAACAATACCGCTTTTATTCTGCTCGCGATCACTTTTACGGTGAACAAAAAGGGAAGCAGTTTCGTGAAGCATTGCAACTATTGTGATGATCTCTTCTAAACAGCCTTTGCAGGATTCGTGCGTGGCTGCTGTGTGCAGAACTTTACCGAATTCGGGCTCACACGGAAACTCACACATCATCCTTCCTAGTCTTGTGATGGCGCCTTTGCTGTTCAGTGCACCTAGTGTGTATAAATTCTCCAAGGCTTTGCTCATGGCAGGTATGCTGGGCTTATCCAAAAGTGGAAAATCAAGTAAGTCAGTAACGCCTAAGGACATCAGAAGTAATATTACTTGCGACAAGTTGGTACGCAAAATCTCTGGTTTAGGCAGTAGTTCGAGTTCGTGGTAGTACGACCATTTCGTAAAAATCCGAAAACATTTGCCAGGTCCGACACGACCCGCTCGGCCTGCTCGCTGATCCACGGAAGCTCTTGAACAGGGAACCGTCAACAGTTGGGACATGCCCGTGGACGGTACGTAGGAGTTTTCTTTGACAAACCCTGGGTCGATAACGAACTTGATCCCATCGATTGTTAATGACGTTTCTGCAATATTTGTAGCAAGGACCACTTTTCTACAATCCTTCGGAGTGGGCTCGAAGATTTTGGATTGCTGGTCCTGAGGTAAGTTGGCGTAGATCGGAGCAATTATAAGGGGTTTTATCTTGGAGCCCAGCACATGAGCTATTTCTTCAAGACTTTGCTGAGCTGCTTCTATCTCTTCCTGGCCCGTGAGAAACACAAGTATGTCGCCAGGTAGTGGCTGTGTAGTATGAATCTGAAAAATTGTTGTCACGGCAGCGTTCAGATAATTGGCTTCGGGCTGCAAGGTGTAGTGGATATCGACTGGGAAACGTCGACCAGGAACGTTGAAAATTGGAGCGTTGTAAAAAAAATCGGCAAACTTGGCAGCATTCATGGTAGCAGACGAGATGATCAGTTTTAAATCCTTTCTATGAGGTAAAATATCCTTCAAGAGACCCAGCAGTACGTCTGTCGATAGCGTACGCTCGTGGGCCTCATCAATGATAATGCATGCGTACTTGTTCAATTCAGGGTCTGTCATGAACTCTCGCAGAAGCATACCGTCAGTCAAGTACTTGAGTACTGTAGTATCTGGTGTTGTTTTATCATCAAATCTAATCGAATATCCCACTTCCCTTCCCAGTATTACGTTCATTTCATCCGCCACTCTTGTTGCCACTGATGTTGCAGCCACACGCCTGGGCTGTGTACACGCTATTTGAAATTTCCCATCCTGTGTGAACCCTTCCTCGACCAGATATTGAGGAAGTTGGGTAGTTTTACCGGAACCTGTCTCTCCCACCACTATCAATACTTGATTCGCTCTGATGGCGTCAAGTAACGGTTCTCGAAATCGGTATACAGGCAAGCTTTTCCGCGTATCTTTGATGGTTTGCAATCTTTCGTGTTCTCGGTCAAGTTCCTGGATCAACTTATCATTGTAATCAACCTGGGTTTCTGGAATGGCGCTTTCTTCGTCTTCAGCTGTGAACTCCACCATGGCTTCCTCGTCAAATACAAACTCATAATCTTCGGACCCATCAACGCGAATTTCATCTGTGTCGCCAGACGCCTGCACCGCATTTTTCAGCTGTTGGTCCTCCCAAAGCTGCTGTCGACTATGTTTTTCAGATCTAGGCGCCTGCTTTGCTTGTAAAAGCTGCTTCTTCCTACCCGAGTCTATTCGACCTTCTTCGTCAACATAATCGTTTTGTAGCCTGAACCCGTGTTCTTCACTCTGAACTTCCCGATCTTGAACTAGTGCTACCAATTCTCGTTTCAGATTAATCTCATCCCGTTCAGCTTTGCTAAAGTTGTTCCATCCACGGGCCAACACGTCTTCTTCTTGCAGGGCTAGTTCCTGCTTCAAGACCTGCAGTTTCAGTCTTTCACGGTCCTTCAAATAGCGCTCTCTAGCCAAGAGCCGTAGTTCTTCCACTTCCTGTTCTGTTCCCAAGCCATCCTGATCAGATTTCGTTTTGGTATCGACTGCTAAGCCTGATTCGTCTTGTTCATCTTGTTCATCTGTTTTGTTCAATTTCTGAGTCTTCAGATGGCCGTTTTTAGCTGCTGGAAATTCGTCACCCACATTGTTACGTCTCGCCCGTCGTTTGCCAATGCCAGAAACGTTACTTTCCATGCTTGGAGACTACTTTTATGGCTAAACATTCTGATCTGCACGATTTCCCAGTAGCTCATCGCATGCTTAAATTATTCAAAATGTTAAAGCTAAAATACAATTCAACACCAACTTCAGTCTACGAAGCCATACAAGTAGTGACTCCACTCCCTTGGTGGATGTTCAGCTCCAAATAGCTCAGTTTATCATTCTAGCAAACTTTTCACAAACATGAGGATGGAAGCGGGCGCTTTAGAATCGAATCCTGAGCGTAGATCTGACGAAGTTCATCAAGTGAGCAACAATGAAGCCCGAAGCTCTCGGTATATCCCACCATGGACCACACCTTACATTATTGGCATTGGAGGAACATCTGGATCTGGTAAAACTAGTGTGGCAGCGAAAATAACGTCATCGATCAATACTCCATGGACAGTTCTAATATCGTTAGACAATTTCTATAAGCCTCTGAGCCCCGAGCAGCATGAGCTAGCAGTCCAGAACGAGTTTGATTTTGACAAGCCTGATGCAATCGACTTGGATCTTGCCTATGAGTGTATCAAGAGTTTGAAGGAGGGCAAGAAAACGTCTATTCCCGTGTACAGTTTTAACAATCACAACCGAGTCCCAGGAAAAACGATTTCGATTTATGGATCAAGTGTTGTTGTAGTTGAAGGGATCTATGCTTTGTACAATTCGAGACTTCTGGAGCTCATGGACTTGAAAATCTATGTGGACGTCGATTTGGACGTATGCCTTGCCAGACGGCTCTCCAGAGACATCGTGGCTCGCGGTAGAGATCTAAATGGGTGCATTCAACAGTGGGAGCAATTTGTGAAGCCAAACGCTCAAAGATACGTGCGTCCCACGATGAAAAACGCAGACGCCATCATCCCATCTATGGGTAGCAACGTCGTTGCAACGCAAACGGTTATCAACCACATCAAGTCTCGATTACAACTGAAATCACGCAGGCATCTTGAAGAGCTCAGCGATTTGGGTCATGTCCAGGAGCTAAAACCATTATCTAAGATGTCCAATGTCTGTCAATTGGAACCCACAAGCCAGGTTGTTGCTTTGAAAACGATTCTCTTGGACAAATACACGTCTAGAGACGACTTCGTCTTCTATTTCGACAGAATTGCGACTATTCTGGTCTCCCGCGCCCTTGACGACATTTCTACTTCTTTTATGAAACGTCTTGTAACGCCCACAGGTCAAGAAGTATGTCTGCCCTCCGTGGACTTTGATAAAGTTACATCCATCAGCATTGTGCGTTCGGGAGACTGCTTTATGCGATCTTTGAAGAAAACAGTTCCTAGCATGTCTGTTGGAAAGGTTCTCATTCAATCCGATTCGCACACAGGAGAGCCTCAACTTCACTGTGAGTTTCTACCTCCGCATATCGAAAACTATGAGCAAGTGCTTTTGGTGGAAGCTCAGATTATATCTGGAGCTGCAGTTATAATGGCAATTCAGGTTCTACTTGATCATGGTGTCTCTCTGAAAAGAATGAAGGTACTCGTTTACTTGGCTACTGAGATAGGCATACGCAGAATTACGAATGCATTCGACGATGCCGTTCAGATCTACGCTGGTGAAGTAATTCCTACTGACGCCCTTGGAGTCGATCACTGCAAATGGGCTAGAAAACGTTTCATTGACTCCAGATACTTCGGGTGCGATTGAAGCTAAAAACTTGAGCAGATAATAGAGAAAGTATAATAATTTTATAGAAGTGCGTAATATTAAGCGTGAGTGGGCAGGCCTTTGTTTGCGGCATCAATAGCCCATTAGTTTCATTAGCCCATAGCCTACAGTGGTGATGATCAAATATGACCATATACTTGCTGGAACACCTCTGGTTACGAAATTTCCAACAGTTAGATATCTGTCTCCTAGCTCGTCTATCATAGAGATCGCAGTAACATTCGGGAACCCCGAGGTAGGTAATCCCATGGCTCCAGAACAAAGTAAAGCAGCCACCATGACTAAAAGACGGGAATGATCGCCAGATGGCAAATTTTTGCCGATTTCGCCCATCAGAGGAACGATGATCATTGCTGCTACCGTGTGAGATACAAACGTTGCCATCACTAAGATCACTATTCCGAAAATCAGGACGATTGCAAAAATAGGTTTATCCTCCACATACTCCTTGATTGTGGAAGCTATAGAGGCCAGGAGGCCAGAAGAGGTCACGGCTTTGCCTAAAGTGGTACCACCCATTGCTAGAACCACAATGGTCCACATGAAGCTGTTAAAGTCACTCGAGCTTAACATCCCAGTGCCAAAAAGAAGCAAGATAGGGATGATGGATATGATGCCCATTTCTCCAAACACGCCTGTCAATTGTTTGGCCATACACCAGAGAATGATGGTTCCAATGGTACACAGTGTAACGAACCATTGCTGAATTGTGAAAGGATCTCTTATGGGGTGCAGCTGGAGCAGTTTCAAATCCTTTTCAACTGGAAAGGTCATGACGAGCATGGCCCATATTCCCAATATACAGATGCAACACACAGGTAGCGATACGACGAACCATTGCGACCATGTGGGCTGTGGGTCCATCATCCCAATGGAAATTATATTTTGTGGGGAGGCAATAGGAGATGCCATGCCTCCGATGTTAGAGGCGAGTGCGATACCCAAAATCAGGGATTTTGCGAAAGAGCTGTTTTTAGGCAAAGTGCGAAGCAAGGGCTGGATAATGGAATAGCACAGTACCGGAGCGGCGACATTCGAGACCCACATTGACGCGAACAGCGCAACGCACATGTTGGTCAAAAGAATTACCTTGGGGTTAGTTCCGGCAGATGCCAATACGTGAGTTGAGACCACTTTGGCAACGTTATATTTTGATAAAGCGGCTGCTAAAGTGAATCCTCCAAGTAGAAGCATAATGACACTGGACCACATTGTCGATAGAATGTACTGTGACGCTTCCTGAGGCGCCATGATATTGCCCTCAGTATTCTTAAGTACCGGTAGGATCACAATTAAAAGTGGAACGAGTAATGAAGTGACAAATAGTGGTAAAGTCTCAGTGGCCCACAGAAGCGACGCGTACACCAGGATGGCTAGACAATTTTTCTGCAGCACGTCTTGAAAAGGGGATATTTTGAGTAGTAATAGAAAGACCGCTGTGATAGCAGAAAAATGTATGAGACGACTCGACTTCAGGATTATTCTGAGGTAGTGAGCGGGCGTCATATGCAAAGCATCCTTTAACGTGGCGTTGGGAAGCTCTTCGGGCGAAGGAGAGTTCCGAATTTCGTCACCCATCAGCTTCGCGTTATGAGCCTGACGGTTTCGTGCTTTGCTTGTCTTGACATTTTGAGCCTGGCGTTCTAAGTTCATCATATCTTTCCATACAGTATTTCTTTCCCATACGACATGTTCTCTCAAGTGCACGGAAAGCTCACGTTCTGCTTCTTGAAATGTCAGCACTTCATCGCCATTTGCCGCGGTTCCCATCAAGCTCGCGTACATGCCTATGGTGTCATTGATTCTGCCCTCAACAGTGGATGTGGTTTCCGGACTGAAAATATGAGTCCTCACGGGCAAAGCGGCCATAAAATCCGCCTTAATGCTAGTTTCCAAGCTCTTATCGAATTTTTTGCAGATTTTGGAAAACCCGGTTTGATTGAGCTCGATGAAACTCTTAAGTTCCGATAGTTGGGTGAATGCCACGACAAGACGTTTTTTCAAGTTGATTTTGTCTTCCATCACAGGATCAAGTCTTGCGATATAGTGGGCGCTACGGGAAACCATAGGCCCCATATCACTACCCGTAAGACCGCTTCTATTGATATTGCCATTGAGATTGTCCTCGTCATCCGAATACGACGCTGTTGGCCGGATGTAGGGTCCTGAGCCACCTGAGACTTCAGAAACGTTGGAAATGCTGCTTCTCCTGCTGTGAGAGTCTTGCAAGGCCAGTTGTAGCTGAAATTCGGTGAGATCGTCTTTCACTTCTTGATACGAGCCAAAAATTCGCGACTGCTGTTGCTGGTAAAACTTGTCGATTTTTTGAACTTCCTTGTCGAGTGCTTTTAGGAACTTTTCGGAGTAAGAGTCCCGCAGTGGGATCTGTTCCGGGTCCGTGAAGCTGCTCTGGTAAAGCTTGTCCTTCTGTAAAGTGTAAATCAGTCTTTTTAGCTGTGAATACGCCAAATACCTAGAGGACCATTCGGGCACCGCATTGAACTGCAAAGAGTGGGAAAATTTCATGTTCAACTAGAACTTTTTATCCACAAGACTCTGGAGTCTGTTGAAGCCGTTAGAGGGACTAGATGAACGACTGGAAAGACGGGATTTGACCGAAGAAACGATTGAACAAAACTTGGATGTTGAATTCTTTTAGTTTGTAGATCTAGAATAAGTTCGATGATGTACTAATTTATATATATATTATGAGTATATATTTATTTATTCACGCGCATAAATAAAAACGTACATAGAGTGTTTAAGGGATTCACGTGCTAAAAATGGTTTTTGTATATCGTTGTTGGTTTTGGTAAGAGTTTGAAGAGGGCTGTGATATTTAAGATAAAGGTTTTTACTGGATGGTGATGTACGCTAGTTGCCAGGGTTAAAAACCGTCCATTTTATCGAAGCCTAGCGTGAGAATCGTAATAAAGTGATATTTCGTCTTTGGGCACGTGACCCGGTGTCAGTAAAAGAAAGAATGCAACAGAACAGCACCAGTAAAAATGTCTGAAAGTCCTAATGTCCAGGCCTGAGTGAGTAGTTTGGGATTTTTACCACTTCACATGCGATAAAATTACCTTTCTGATATGTGCTCGACCGCAGAGCTCTTTTCAAAGAGCACAAGCGATCTCTTCATAGGGTTGGCACGAAGAAGTAAAATTCCAGCAGTCGTTACGATCAATACCCAGCCAGATCCAGAGACTAAAGACCACATTTTGCCGATTGAACCACCAGGGTCTCCCGTAGAATTGGATCTGTAGTAAAGTTATATATCACTGTGTCTCGGGTTGTCATTTCACCATATCACTCTGTACTCGATTGTCATTTCATCTGATCACTCTGTACTCGATTGTCATTTCATCTGATCACTCTGTACCAGATTGACATTTCACCATATCACTCTGTCCCTAGTTGACATTTCACCATATCACTCTGTCCCTACTTGACATTTTGTCATATCACTCTGTACCAGACTGACACACCCAATCCCCTCCACACACCTCCCATTCTCTCCACAACCACCCTCCAACCCAGTCTTCTCCCAACAACACAGCCCCCACCCCCGCTCCCCGTCTTAATCAACCACCAAAACCGTCCCGATCCCGATTTTCTATCTACCGATTCCCCTCAATCCCCTCTCTGAAATCTCGTGTTCTAGACTCATCGCTCGTCTCCTGATGCTCATGGCAACATCCCGATGCCAAAGCCAAAGCAACAGCTCTGACAACAACACAGGGTAAGAAAAGAAAAACGAAACCTCCCTCATTTCCTGCTCCTATTACCGGAACAATTTTGACAGCTGAGTTGCGGCCAATATGCCTGCTGCTCTCGACCTTGTATTTTTTTGCTTGGCAACCATGGATTCTTTCTCCCTTATCATCGCCGCAAACAGTGTGCCACAGTCCAGCACATTTATGGCGATGATGATCATTAAAACAATCATAATGACATGGCTGCTTTTTTTTCCCGGTTCCTCTAACAACGCTGTTTCAAAATTCTTGCCTGTGACGCTGCCTATTGCTGTGAAACCCCCCGGTTGATTGGATCGGCTACACTCGTAGTAAAATTTGCACTCTCTCCCCGGCTGGTGTGCGATTTTCTCCGCCATTCAAGGGTCCTGTGCGGTGATGGGCCAGCCCATAGAGAAGTTGACCCAAATTATCGACTTATCAGACGATCTAGCTGCGGGGCCAAAAGGTACACAAGGAGTAGATATATAAACCGCATTGTGTTGCCAAAATTGTGGGCGTAATTTAGATCATTATAAGGGTATATTCTTGGATCAAAGTTGTTGTAAAAGTTGTTGTATTCTTGTTCTGGTTTCTAAAGTCAAGAAACTAAAAAACTAGCAGAGAGCATTATAGCCTTGATGAGTCTGTAAAAGATAGTCAAGAAGAAGAAGAAGAAGAAGAAGAAGAAGAAGACGACGACGATTACGACGATTACGACGACAACGAGTGTGTTTGGACAGTTTCTAGAACAGTTTCTAGGATAGTTCTACATATTTCAGCAGCTCGACTATTCGTTTGCTGACTAGAGACCACTTAGCATTTATAGTATAGCTAGTATAGCTAGGTTTAGCATCGGTTGGGCCTTCTCCTGTGCAAGCACAACACAGCGAGTCAGGTTGAACATAGCATTCATTTTACGTACGTATTCACATATATACGCTCATTTCGGGAAAGCAAGAGACCGGGGATTTGGGAGATGTCTGGAAATGGAGTTTCGCCAGTGGACGCACATCTAGTGGTGCGTTACGCACCTCAGGAAAGATCTGGATCGGACCGTGCGCAAAGAAGAAGATCGTCGATCCAGGGTACTTCGATTTGCGTGACAGAGCCGTGGCTACAGGAGGAAAGCGAGGAAGACGCAAATAGCGAATACGGAGCAACTTCTGAGTCGAGAGGCTCCGGAAGACTTTCAGCTTCGCTTCGCGTCTGCGATCTGTACCAGTGCGTCCATCAGCACTCGTCAGCAACGCTACATCCACAGCTGTACTCAGGATCGTCCGTGACACGACCAGCGTCCCAAACGTTCAATACTTCGGCAAACTCTCTCAGATACCGCAGTCCAACAGAGCGTTCACGCCGTTTCAGCGATACAGAGTCCGATCTAGCGGGATTAGGGGCCCATTTCCTACTGGATAGGGCTTCCTCATCGTTTTCGAATGACCCAACCTCAGTCGCAGCAGCAAGCACAACTGCTGCTGCTGCTGCTGCTGCATCACGATCACCACATTTTGAGGAACTGGCATGGCGAATACCCTCTAGATCTCGACAGTCGAGTCTGTCTTCATCTTCACAGGCTTCGTCTGGTATAGGTCCCACGTCTGCGACAAGCGATCATGCCGATATACAAGACCTTCGCGACGACGAACATGGCTCCCACGCCGAGACTCGCGGGCAGAATGCAGATCAGCAGTCGCATCAAGATTGCTGGGTGGATCTCAGCAACCCATGCTGTCGACACCATCACCGACGCAATTCCACAGCCATCAAATTTCGCAAAGCCCTCTACGAAGAGGAATGACTGTTCAACTTCGCACTCCAAATTACGCACATTCACGACATTTAACTTGGGTTCGTTATGGACCCATACATACGGTATAGTACATCATTAAAGATCTGGTACTGGGGAGTAGCATCTCTGACCGTTACTCATCATTGCTGCTGATTAGTTGTCTTCAAGCTGCGCAAACTCCGTTTCGTTCTTAGCATAACATTTCTAAACATCATGTGAGTCGGACTGGCAATATCTACAGGTGAAGATGGTTTGCTGTTGGCCTCTAGCCATACGCCATCTTGATCTGCAATATCGCTGAGATCGCTTGCGCCGCTGTAAAACATATCGTGGTCTTCTTCAGAGTTTTGATCCTGATCACCGTGGTTTACTACACTGACATCCAAGTGCTTCCCATTCGCTTCGAGCTTATTGCTAGCGTGCGACTGAGTCCCGGTTCTGCTCCCGAGCTTCAAGTTCTTGAAGTTTCTGTTTTTGTCAAGCTTATTTGGAGGAGTCACATTGCAACTAAACCAGGTTCCATTTTTGGAGTTGATGGATCCCATTTTTGAAAATTGATTGACTGGACTAGTAGCACCATCTTCACCGTTATGATCAGCTTCTTGTTCTTGGTGCACTATTTCCTGTCGTTCAATTTCTGGTTGAGCACGACCGGCTTCGTTCAAGCCCTTTTCGTAAAACCCTTTGACTTGTTCGAAGACCGTGGGCCCATCCTCATAATTGAGTGGCTCCGCACTTAATGTGTTGTAATTCTCCAAAAAGTCGTTCAGAAGATCTACTGTGCCATCTTCCTGTTGACGCAGCTTACTCAAATCATTGTTTGAGGAAGAATCTAATACGTTACCATAACACGACGATTGCTTATGCACAACATTTCCATCTTCGTCTACATCCGTGGTTTCTGTCAAGTCGACGCTTGTGTCAGCGGAATGTGGAATCATCGTCACGCTGTCCGGTGATCCAATCGAAGGATTCTGCACCCTTTTGGGCAAATTCGGCGCGCGATCTGGAGAGAATCGACTGATTGGGGTGGTTACTGTGTCTTTGAGATTTTGGGAACCTGCAGGAGCAGCAAAAGGAGATGAAAGCACCTTCGGGTTTTGGTCAGAACCAGTGTTATCGGCTTCGTTAGATTCAGCGGTCTTTTTGGATAAATCTGGGTCATTCTGTCCTTCGGTGCTCATTTCATCGGGCTGCTTAGTACTTTGGAGAGAACTCGGTTGTTCTTTTGTAATCTCTGCTTTATCATTCTGGAATGTATCAGCTAGTTTTTCCAGAGGTGTAGAACCAGCAGGCTGCGTTTCCGGCGTAGCTTGTTCGCTCAGTGGACTTGGATTCTGCTTTGTTGGCTTGGCGTCGTTGCTACTACAATGTTCACTTTTCTTCTCGTTGGGCCTTGACTCATCTTGAGCTTTCGAAGAGTTATTGGAACCTGATTTCGCCATGAATTCTGATGCCTTAGGTGGCACTTTGGGCGATGACTGTTGTAAAGGGGAGTCTGATATTACAAAATCGCTAGGTTTCTTCGAGTGAACAGAATTCGCTTTCATATGGGCCTTCGCGAAAGCGCTCCCTATATCAGATGGTGGTCTTGAACTGAAAGCAGAGCCCGATTGATCAGAAAAACAGCCGCTGTTCGAATTGATCAAGGGAGAGGATGAAGGTTCCCCAAGCAAGCTAGGAGGTGGAGGCCGGGGTTTGCTCGAAGCATCACTGAGAGTTGCAGCGTGGTATCTTTTACCTTTCGAGCCGGCCGAAGGTGTTCCGTGTGTGCTGTCATGCTCTCGTGGTTTCATGGGCGATGTATAGCCCCTTTTCTCCGTCCTCTCATCCATTGCAATTATGAGCCACTCACAGTCACCAACTCTTTTGGTCAGTTTGATGACTAAAGTATTGTGTACCATGCCTAGGAAAGTTTCGTACTTCCAGGACGAAATGAAACTTTCTGAAATTTCTGCTTTAGAAACTTTAAGCGGTGGTAAGCTCTCTGATTCTTCGTGTGTAGATTTAGGAAACGTGAGACCGAGAGCTAAAGTTCCCTCGCCGTGATTATTATCGTCAAGTACTGAAAGGAAATCATTAAAGCCGCGCTCCTTGCATGAGTTGATCCATGTAGCCACTGGAAGCTGATCAGCAGGACCCAAAGTAGAGTTGCCACCATTTCTTTTAGACAGGCCTTTGAAGAATTCGACGTCAAAAGAGGGATCAAACTTGTCCAGGTAGCGCTTTGAGGACCTAGAGAAAAGGTTGTTAACGACTTTGTAAGGATTGTCCTCGTAATTATCCAAGAATGAGTTCTCTAGTTTTGAAAATGCGTGATGGGGTGAATAAATCCGCGTTTGTGCTTTGGCTGAAACTCGTATTAGTTCGTTGAAATTATTTGTTTCAGGATCCCAAAGCTGTGGGATTGTCAGGGTCAATGCACGCTGCGTTAAAGGCTTGTAGGGTTTTGGAGGATATTCATTTATGCGGAAGTTGTCAATGAGATAAAAGTCTTTGATCTCTCCCTCTTCCGCTAGCGAATTGAGGTACGACACGAATAATCGATACAGAGCTTCGCCTCGGGCTCGGTAAAGTTTTGCAAGGACAATACAGTCGTCGGTATCGGTAGACTTGATCCGAATATAATTGAGAAGCTCGGGAGTTCTCACGAAGCACACCTGAGCAGCTGTGAAAATCAAATCCACTTGAGCGACCTTGTCCACCACAAGATCAACCTTTGAGATGATTGCGAACAACAGATCGATGAATTCGAAAGCACAGCGCTTGTAGTCGGCGTCAGGAAGAATTTGGGGCATGAAATTCTTGAAGCACATTTTGGAAAAGTTTTGCTTGGATTCAACTGTGCAAAACTTCAAATAAGACTCCCAGGGCACGATTCCGCGCGTCAATCGCGACCATATGATGCGGAGAGACAATATGAGCTTGCTTTTAGAGGAAGCTAGTTTTGTTTTAATTGCTGAGTCTAGTGCGTCGCCTGTGAGTGAGCAACCGGGCCGGGGAAACAAAGATTCGATGATCGCTTCAGTTTCTTTGATTTCGTGCGGCACATAGTGCGAAAGGTTGGGTTTGAAAATTTCCATAGCGGCCCTAATGCTACTGTTATCCTTTTCGATATCGCCTGCATTTTGTTGAATGAGGGTCTTTTTGAATTGCTTGATCAAAGCAGACAAGACTTCGCGAGCCGATGTTGGGTTGATACCGTCAGAAAGCTTCAGAATGTGGAAATCTGGGTCAACGGTTTTGCTGGTTTTGCTGTTTTTGCCCTGGGGACCTTGCTCGAATGACACTGGGTCATAAATGTAGTATTTACCATCGCTGCTGATATGCGATTCCTGAGAGAAAGGCCGTTGTGTAGTGCCATTTTGCAAGCCTTCTTGTGACCGCTTTTTGCTGTCAACAGTGTATTGCTGCTTTGGTAGTGGAGGAAGCGAAGTTTCAATATTCTTGGTTGACGAAATCGCTCTTCTGCGCAGAAGCGAGCGACTTGTTTTCACATCGGCGGGTTTCCGGTCGTAATCTGATACAGATCGTTTTTGATTCGAAGACGAACCGTCGAAATTATGTGATAGCTTCTTTGTAAAAGCTCTTAGTTTGATCATAGTGAGTGAACTCTTAGTGCTGTTTGTCTTGTTTGTCCTGTTTGTGAGAGCCTGTGAGCATTGCACAGTGTGTTACTGAGTTCTGACTTGTCTACCTCGCTTTGGTGTTTATCTTTATATCCTAGATTTCGCGTCTGACTTACATTCTCGAACATCGCGAATGCTGTTTTGTCACACATGAGACAAGAAGGTTGTGATCACCCACGAAACTCGTTGAAAAAAAGGCGAATCTGGAACTGGCGTCGTTGAATCGTACTAGGAGTCGATTTTCAGCCTGATACACGTCGCATTCGCGGAGAATCACGCGTATACGGACTGTGAGGGCAAAGCATGTAAATAGATATAGAGAATGAAGGAATAAAGGTATTAAAGATTTTCGAACTACTTGAAACTTGATGGAATCACGAGCATTTTGCAATCTGTCAAACAAACTGGTTTCGTTGCACCGGATTGGGCTGGTGGGGGGAGATCGTCGTGTTTGACTTATCCTGGATAGCTGATGAGCTGAAGAGGAATGAGAATATAGGTCTTAAAATCTCTAAATTTGACTAAATTGGATATTCTCTTTCTCACTTTTGACGGCAAGTCAATTGGGTAGTATGTCAAGTGATTTTAAATTAAAAGAGCTGTGAGAACGGGCAGGATTATTTTGTAGCTCTCGTCAATTGACAAACCATTTTCTTATTTTTTCCAAGATTTGGGGAGTAAGTCGTTTGTCAACTAAACATCAGATCTGAGGCCAGTTTTAATCAAGAGATGGTGTGTCACGTGATCGTTGTATCTTCTTATCATCAAACTCTAGAACTTTACTACTGCTGTATGTTATTCAGTTTGTAGAGTCCAGAATCATTGTTCCAGCTTAGGCTCCTCCCAAATCTGACTTATCTGGAAACAGTTTGTGACCAATGTGAGTTATACTAAGGTCTCGTTCCACACATCTCTTTGTACGGGTGTTATCCAGTCAAAACGTCACTTGTTTCTCCACCCAGATCTCTAGTTGATGTTCAAAATAAATCTATCAATGCTCATCGCATCTCATCGTCTTGTAGACTCCACTACACTAACAACGAGATCAACCCCGAAAATGGTCAGCTATGCCGGGAAGTTGGTCCTTGCTCCTATGGTGCGTGCAGGCGAACTTCCAACGCGGCTTTTAGCGTTAAAATTCGGTGCAGATCTGGTATGGTCGCCAGAGATCATTGACAAAAAGCTGATACAGTGTAAACGGATCGAAAACAAGACTCTGGGCACCGTGGACTTCGTGGCACCTGGGAATCAAGAGCACAAGCCACCCAGTGTGGTGTTTAGAACTTTTCCGGAAGCAGAAGCCGGAAAACTCATTTTCCAGATGGGATCATCCACCCCACAGCTTGCTGTTCAAGCTGCAAAAGTGGTTATAAACGATGTGGATGGCATAGACTTGAATGCAGGGTGTCCCAAACACTTTTCTATCCATTCTGGAATGGGTGCGGCACTCTTGCAAACGCCCGATACGCTTTGCTCAATTTTGACATCACTAGTGAGAGAAGTGGGCGAACCCAACCAGAAACCTATAAGTGTGAAGATTCGCCTTTTGAATGATGAATTACGAACGGTGGAGCTGGTCGAACGGCTGTGCAGTACCGGTATCTCGAATTTGACTGTGCATTGTAGAACCACTCCTATGCGGAATAGAGAAACACCCATCAGAGACTACATACCTGCCATTTTCAAGGTTTGCCAAGAGCAGAACGTGAGTCTTATTATCAACGGCGCATTTCAGGGCAGGTCCCATTTCACTCAATTGCGAGGTCAAATGGGTCTGTCGGACAAGATTGGTGGAATGATTGCAACTTGTGCTGAGGCAAACCCAACCATTTTCAGCTCGTCGCCACTAGCTTGGCATGACGCAGTTAAATCTTATTTTGCCATTGCTTCACAGTTCGATCACAACGTGAACAACTGCAAATACATGCTGACCAGAATTGTTCCTGGGAAGTCCAAGTTTTATCAATATTTTACTCGTTGTAAGGCCATGTGTGAGGTCGAGCAGGTCCTGAAACTGATAGGCGATGATGGGGAGCCCTTGGGAGATCCTACGGATTACCTAGCCAAGCGCAGAGAACAAGAAAAGCTGGATAAGAAAAAAGCTGCTGATAAAAAGTCACAACTACTGCAGCAAAATAAAGACACGCCTGTTCCTTCGGAAAAAAGCACATTAGAGCTAAAGAGAACTCTTGAACAAGTAGATGGTGGTGACGTGAAGAAGATAAAAAGCTAACCATAAAAGCTTCAACCAAGAATCGGTATTTCTTTCAATCTTTACTGTACATATATCTTATAATAATAATAACAATGATAATATAATAGAACTTATTAAATGTCCCAAAGGCTCCACGTATTATCATTGACTTTTTCCACCCTGAAGTCAGCAACAATACTCTTCAGCGGTCAAAAATGTCAGTCCAAGGTCTTTCCCTTGTTGAGACAAAATAAAACTGAATGTTTCATTGTTTTCGCAAGAAGCAATGTGGTATAAGCTTCTTAGCCAATTCAATGAAATCATTTCAGACTGTTCAAAATCTTATCTTTGTCATCGGCTGATAGAAGTTTTAGAACCTCACTCAACCCGTTAATAGTGTTTTCGTGATCGTTTCTGATAGATTTAGCCAAGTTTTGAGCGAAGGATTCCATTCTCAAACCCTTTAGGCGATCCTCCAAGAGACTGTAGTTCTCCTCAATCCAAGTGGCAACAACTCTATCATCATCTCTGTCAACGGAGGCAGGGTACCATGAGTTGAGTCTGGCAATTTTTTCGAGTCTTTGTGCGTTTGGTAGCTCCGCATTCAATCTCTTCACCAAGTACTCTTCGTTGAGCCTTCTTCTTAGTCTCCAGAAGAAGAAACGACGGGCCTGAGGCCAGTCCAACTCTTTGCTAATAACGCCCTTAGCAGTCATACGACCGCTTCTGTCGTGCAGATCAGCGAACTGGACAGAGATCTGGTGGTAGATTGGCATCAACACTTTTTCGCGGGCAGCTAGTTTGACAGAAAGCTCCTGGTGTTTCTCTGGAGTTATGTTCGAGTTTTCCAATTGGCTCTTCAAGTCCTTGTAAGTAGGGTCTAGTCTGGCCATGGTCGCTAGCAACTTTTCCCTACGGTATTTGATACCAACCATACCTTCGGGTTCAAGAACACCGGCTCTGGAGTTGACATCGGCATACATTTCCATCTGTTCGGCGTTGATGGTTGGGTCCACTACAACCCAAGAACCACCACGCAACTCACCAGTTGGTGGAATGTAAGTGAAGATAGGCTGTTTGTAGTCCACCAAAGCGTCGACAATGAAAGAACCATACTTCAACACCTCGTTGTACATATCACGCTGACCACCAGAGAAACCTCTCCAGTTAGCCAAGATCATCAGAGGAAGCTGCTCACCGTAGTTGAAATCGTTGATTGCTTGAGCAGTCTTGAACGCGGAGTTTGGATACCAAACTTGACCAGCTTCTTGAATTAGAGATTCGGTGGACGCTGGGTTAGCAGGATCGGCAGGAATCATATTCTCCACCATTCTGGTTTCAACACTAATGACACCAAGTGGAATACCACCTAAACGAGCTCTACCGACAACAACACCCTTGGCCCATCCTGAAAGGGTTTCTTGGAAAGAGCCCTTGTCGAAGAGACCATATTCGAATCCTTCCTCGGTGTCGCGACCTTCAATGAGCCATCTGACGTCATAAGGTTGCTCGGTAGATGGGGTGAAGTCAATTTCTCTATCCCACTTGTCATTGTTTTCCAAGATAGGAACAGGCATGTCACGCTTGGCAGGCACGTAAGATAGCCAGTCCATAATCTTTTCAACACCAGCCAAATCATCCTGAGCTGTCAAATGAGAAACACCGTTGTTGTACATGATTTGCGTACCACCTAGTTGCAAGTTGGAAGAGTAGACTTCACTGCCCAGCAACTTGTTGATGGCTGGAGCACCCGTCAAAATAATAGGTTGACCCTCAATTTGAATTGCTCTTTGACCTAGTCTAACCAAGTACGCACCAATACCAACAGATCTGCATGTAACAAGAGTAATAGTGAAGATATCTTTGTAGGCTCTGGAAGTGGCACCCGCGATAAGACCTGACCCCTTCAAACATTCGACACCTAGTCCGTCATCAGCACCAATGACGGCCTTAATGACATGACGTTCTTCGCCTTCTTCCACAACACGTTCTGTAACGACAGAGTTCTCCTTGCGCTGAGTCTTCAGCTCGGTGAGACCTTCAGGGGTCATGTACAAGTATTGGAAGCCCTTGGCTGGATTCTCTGGGTCGTTCCAAGCAACCTTGAAAAGTGGAACCAATTCTTCTGCGATTCCAATTCTGGCACCAGAGTTGGCAGATAGGTAAATTCTTGGGATACCACGCTTTCTAGCGTACTCGGTAACTTTGTTGAAGAAAGCGTCCTCTTGAGGACCGAAGGAACCAATTTTGTACGTGATATCGTTGGCGACAATCACAAATTGACGGCCGCGTGGGTATTCTGGAGTCCTAACTGTGACCTTGAAAGCGACCATACCAATGGTGTTGGCGCCAGCTTCACGATCAATCTCTGTTAGTTCTCCATCCTCCTCTTCAATCAATTCGTTGGCAATGAAAAAGTCGTCAGAAAGCTTGGTTTTGGGAGAGATCTTTTTCCATTGCGAAACGGTGGCCTGACGGAACAATTCTGGGAAGTCATAAACGTAGGTGGTGCCCATCAAATGAGCCTTGTAGCGCTTTGGCTGCAAAGACTCTTTGGCTGGGTATGGGGTGGCAATAGGCCTCAAATGCATAGAGCCTGGCTTGTCCAAAGACTTGAACACCCATTCGCCTTGAGCGTTTTTAACTTCAGTGTATAATTCAGTCTTGACAACGTAGCCTGAGACATTGTTAATCAATGCCCTCAATGGAATTGGTGCTCCGGTTTGAGGGTCCTTGATTATAATTCTAATCTCTGCGGCCGCAACGCGCAATCTCAATAATCTCTTACCGAATCTCTCCAAGAAACCTCCAAAAGCAGCCTCGACGTCTTCAAAAGAAACGTCGAAAACAGCTGAAAAGTGAATGAAAATGTGATTCAAGTCAGAGTTTGAAGTGTCAATAACTTCTAGGTTATCAAGAATATTACTCATCAGGCGGTTAGCTTCAGAGGTCAAATATTCTTGAATAGTAATATCATCACTGATACGACCAGTTCTGATTATGCCTCTGGTGAAGAATCTTTTATCAACGGCAGAATTCTTACCAGTCGCTTCATAAACATGAATGTTTCTGTTTTCGGTGAAAATCTGCTTGATATTGAAATTGGACATTCTTCCGAGTTCCAGCTGGAAAGCCAGAGCAGGCTCGATATGACGGATGGTTTCATCCTCAACATATCCAGGACCTCTGAAAGTGTAGTACTTTGGATAAGTACCATCGTTGTATCCAAAGACGAAAGTGATACGGCGGATCGAGGCGTCAACGAGATGCTGCTTATTGATGTCAAGAATCTCCCTTAATCTTGTCAAAACTTCCTCTTCTGACTCAAATCCATCAGTCGACGAAACTGTGACATTGGCAATATTGCTCAAAGTGGCACTGCTGCCTGATCTGTCTGGAACGGGTCCACTGTGACCACCTTGGTGGTGTGGAATTCTCTGCAAGCCTCTAGAAAGTCCATCATCAACGTCGTCCAAATGCTTAGAGGCGACCAGGATACCTGTTCTTAGAGGCTGGTTGTCACCCTCAGAGATGTAAGTTAGATCGGACACCGAGATAGCTCTGTGCATACCCATCTTACTTTTAACTTGAGGAACAGACGCGAAAGCAGCAGATGGCAGCTGGAATTTCCATTCAACAACGGCATTGTTCGCATTGCTGAAGTGCTTCAAATCACCAATCGTGTACGCTCTGTACGCACGACGGATGTAAACCTCGGCAGCAGCAGCAGCCACAGCAGCATCGCGGTGCGTCAAGAATTGTGTAAGAACATCAAAGACGACGTAATTGGAGTCAATTAAATCCTTCAACACCTCCAAGTCAGGATCAGTGCGCTTGTTGTCAAAAGCACCGTAAGCTGTCTTGACCACGGAGCTTCTCAAAATGTGCTCGATCTGATCAGTTCTTTCCCTGACAGAAGGCAAAGCAGCTTGAATCAGGATTTCCCTAGCCTGTAGCGCTACCTTGGCAGTTGTTTTAGATTCCAGTTCAACAATTTGCTTCAAAGGTTCGGCAATCAAGGATGAGACCTCGGAAGACATTTTGCACAAAGGCTGGTAGTGCTTTAGGATGGCCAAAATCAAGCTGTTCTTCGCCAACACACGCGAGTGCGACAACACTGTTACCACAACGCTGTCCAAGTTTTCGGAATTTTCGTCACGTAGTTTCAAGATGACATCTTCTTCACGTATGTTAGAACCACTGAAAAGCTTCTCGACCTGGTAATAGTTCTGTAAAAACTTGACGAAGACAGAATGCTCGTGGGCTTCTAGACCATTTGCATAGCGTCTGGTGATGTCTAGCAGTGGCTCGATTACCGTACCAAATAGAGCATCGTCAGATTCGCTCAAAGCGTTTTCAAGCATTTTGCCCAACTGAGTGGAGGGAAATTGAGCTTTTCTCGCCAAAGAGCGATGAACCAGCTGCTCCAATTGCTCATCGAGTTTGATGGGTAGTCTGGAATGCAAAGCAGAAGATTGCATCTTCCATTCCGAGTAAGGTAGTTGTGGGTTTCTCAAAACTTCAATCAATTGCTGCAAAGAGGCGTTCATGATAACTTGATTATCATAACCGTTCAAAATATTTTCCAAGGTGGAAACGAGTGATTTGAATTTGTGAGCGGGCTTAGTACCTTCCACGATTGGAGCTCCCATGTCAGGTAGGAGACCTTCAAATGGTAGGGCATGCTTGACCTTTGTTGGGTCGTCAAGGGCAAGAATGGCAAGTATATCTCCAGCGGAGACGGTAGATCCTGGTTGCTTCAAAAGTTGAACCACACCACTCTCTTGAGAAATCAGTGGCATTTGCATTTTCATGACCTCGACTTCTGCGTAAGGCTGACCTGCTGCAACATGCTCACCATTTTCGACCAAAAATTTGACAAGCTTACCTGGAGAAGGAGTGCGAAGTTGAGTTGGATCGTTTTCGACCTCTAGTAAGGTGGTCATGGAATCTACAGACAGTCTGGTGGCAGAGACTTCTTCCTTCCAGTAGATCGTGTGCGATTTACCGCCCAAGGCTATCAACAATCCTCCATCGGACAACTTGCGAACACCCACCTCACACTTGGAACCATTGATGAATAGAGTGTAACGATCGTCGGCCGATTTTGCTACAGTGAACTTGTATCTTTTCCCCTCATGAATAAATTCAACAGGGTACATAGTCTGTAAGAGGGATTTGTTAGGAACTTGACCTTTTTGGAGGCTGGTGACAAAAGCCTTGCGACCGTTTTCAGATGCAATGAAGACTTTAGTCGCGGCTCCACAAATGACAGCTAGAGTAGAGTCAGGTTTCTCAGCAGTCATTTTTTGGGAAATCAGATCGTCTAACCAACCAGTAGTGATGGAGTTTCCTTCAAAATCTTCTGTCTCCAGAAGTTTGATCAGATACTCCACCGTAGTTCTGAAGTCACCTCTGATCGAAAGTTCTTTCAAAGCTACAACCATGTGCTTCCTAGATGCCTGTCTGTTTTCACCGAATGCGAAAATGTGACCAAACTGCGAATCCGAAAAGGAATGTATACCACCGCTACTGGAAACGGAGAAATAACCCCATACATTGGACGAGGAGCGGAAATTCAATTCATGCAATGAACCACCAGAGGGTTTGAAACCTTCATTTGGATCTTCGGATGTGATACGGCACGCAGTACAGTGACCCTTAGGAATAGGTTTTCTTTGAGTTTGGAGAGAGCCTTCCGAACTGAAATCGAAATCAATTTCGCTAGCAGTATGAGGATCAACTCCGTAGAGTAGTCGAATGTCTCTAATTCTATGCATTGGAATACCCATAGCGATTTGAAGTTGAGCAGCGGGAAGGTTGACACCTGTCACCATTTCAGTGGTTGGATGCTCGACTTGCAATCTAGGATTTAGCTCCAAAAAGTAAAACTTATCATCATCATGAGAGTACAAGTATTCCACGGTACCTGCAGAAACGTAACCCACCAATTTACCTAGTCTTACAGCAGATTTTTCCATTTCTGTGAAGGTATCAGGTTTGGCAATAGTGACAGGGGCTTCTTCTATAATTTTCTGATGACGTCTTTGAACCGAACAGTCACGACCAAACAGGGAGATATTTGTTCCGTACTGATCGGCCAACAGCTGAACTTCCAAGTGACGAGCCTTTCCGGCCAATTTCATGATGAAGATAGGAGAGCCAGGAATTTCATTGGCGGCCTGTTTGTATAGAGAGATAAAGTCCTGTTCTCTTTCGACTTTTCTGATACCCTTACCACCACCACCTTCGGAAGCCTTGACCATGACTGGGAAACCGATTTTTTTGGCCTTGGCCAAACCATCCTCTGGAGAATCGCAGCAACCTTTCTGGTAAACCTCATCTTCAACCGACACAAGTCCGCTTTCTTTGTCCAAGAAGACATCATCAACACCGGTACCTGACCATGGGATACATGGAACTTTAGCGTGTTGAGCCACAATAGTGGATGAGATTTTGTCACCAAGGGATCTCATAGCGTTACCGGGAGGACCGATAAAGATGATTTTACGGGGGGAGCTGGCCAATTTTTCTGGCAACAATGGGTTTTCTGAGGCATGACCCCATCCAGCCCAAACGGCGTCAACATTTGCTCTTTCTGCTATTTCGACGATCAAGTCAACGTTGGCGTAATTATTGTTGTTAGTGCCGCCGGGGACTTCGACGTACTGGTCTGCCATACGCAAATATTCTGCGTTGGCCTCGAGATCTTCTGGAGTGGCCATTGCCACAAACTGAACTTCACGCTCATTGCCAAAAGTTTCGTAAGCCCATTTACGCACTGAACGGATCTCCTTGACGGCTGCGATACCATTGTTGGCAATGAGGACTTTGGAGATGACAGTGTGACCGCCATGGGACTTGACAAGATCCTTGAGGGGCGAATCTTCCGCTCTGTCGATGGTGTTGAGACCCAAAAAGTTTGGGGCTAGTTTATGATGTTGGGAGGTGTAATCTGTGGTTTCGTATTGCTCCTTTTGAGAAGCGGCCACCTCGGACAGGCTTTCTTCGCTCATTTTGGTGCGTGAGTAGGTTAAAAAACGGGGGGATTGTTGTCTGGCGAAAAATGGGATGCAAAGGGCACGGCGATTTAAAGCGAAATTGAGTGGAAAACGGCTAGTTTTCAGAACAACAGACACAAGTCTGGGGGTGCTGCCGTATATGTTATTGTTGCTGCTGCGAGAAGGAAAGTTAGTAAAGCGTCTTTTAGGTTTTAGAAACCGTGAGGGAAGCGACAAAACCACCAATGCGTGAGCGAGTAAAAGGCGAGAGTGAAAGAGAAAGAGAAAGAGAGAGGAAAGGGGGGGGTAGGAAACGGAAACTCTTACGGGAGCGCGTAATGCGGGAAAGATGCCCGAATGTCGAGCTCAGCCGTAGTAGTAGTAGTAGTAGTACCTTTACTTCGTTCTAGGGTACCTACCTTCTTACTTTTTTTTTTTCACTAGGTTAACGTAAACTTTTTAGTTTGTTTTTTTTAGTTTTTTGGTTCGGGTCAGACAACTTACTAAACCAAAACGGAAAGGAAAAGGGTACGGGGAAACTTAACTACGTACCGTTACTTCTAGTTCTTACTTTCTTTCTTCTTCTACTAAGTTACCGTAACGACCGTCGTACGACGTACGTGTACGGAACGACGGAACGGACTAACTACTAAACCAAACTAAACGTAAAGGTTTGGGTTAAGGAACGGACGGAAGGAAGAAAAAGGAAAAGGGGAAGAAGAAGGAAAGAAAGAAGAAAAAAACAAACAACACACACACACACACACACAAACACGGAAACACCAGAGATGAATTGAAAAAAAAAAAAAAAAGAACCATTGACGTCAAGTGCTTCGGTAGAAGCACGTGAAACCGTGTAAAAGAAGAAGAAGAAGAAAAAACAGCCGCCGAGCGCCGGATTTTTTCCGTACACAGTTACTTTCTTCGTGTTTTCTCTTGAACAGCTCTTGTTTCCGTCTCCTAACTTTGCCTCCACCTCTAGCTCTACCAATTGGGCCCACGAGCTTCCCAAGGGCTTCCCCTGGATTCACTAAACCCTCAACATACCTCGATAAAAGAACAAAATAAAAAAAAACAACGAGCCAAGAACCTGCTATGACTTCGTCAGTTTCCACTACTGTATCTTATCTTGTCTTCTGTGGGGCAAAAAGCTGGGACTGTGCAAAATTGTCCTGTGCGTCTGTAGAAAAGAGTATACCACTGCTCTTTTTATAGATGACCGGGACTTCCGCAGAAGGTGATTGTGGAGAGTTCAAGCGCTTCTTTAGCTGGCGAAAACAAGATTTTTCTAACAAGAAGTTACCTACATCAAGCCGCCCAAGTCCCACTGGCCACCCTCCTTCTTATTTATATACCCGTTTTTTTTTTATTCTTCTCCCTCTTGCTGGACCGTGTGTGCCACAAAAACAGGGGCTACAAGAACACACAATAGGCGTTGGAAAAACACCATATTTGCTAGCGCTCGCACGTGAGTCCTGCGATCTGTTCTAAGCCGTCCGCGCCCTTTGGCTCGAACTTGCCCCCTAAATGTAGTAGTATCGAGAAAAAGACAGGCATTTTGTTGGAAAAAAATTGGAATTCCCCTCCGGAAAGCGGAGCACGTGACTCTACACAGAAGTGTCATGTGACTCTAGGCAGGCCTCTCTGAGGTCCTGGTCCACTGGAAAAAGATCAATCTCGTTCCAACATTGGCTTTTTTGTTGGGAAAACTAACTAGCCTAAACACCATAAACACCACAAACACCACAAACCCGTACACGGAATTCTGAGAGATGACGGAACAGAAGGGGAGCGGGACCTAATGGTGATGTCACCTATGTTGGGTTGGGTTTAGCGCGACAGCGTGTAGTAGCGGTATCGAGTCTCAGTTGAAGGTTGAGAAGTAAGAGCAGGAGGGACAGGACGGACAGGACGGACAGGACGGGACCAAAGTCAGTATTGTAAGACCATTTTTAGTGTGTCTAGCCTCGAAGTCTGAGCTCAACAATTGTTAGTTAGTTTTAGGTAGCGGAGATCGAGTTAGAGTTTGTTCAATGGGACCAAGATTGCCCGATTGCACGATTGCCCGATTGCCCCGGGGTTTTTGACACAAGCAAGCGTCTTGATCTTAATGGATTGTTTTTGTAGGCCCGTGTGCAGTGCACACGTTTGTCTTTTGGCCTAAGGCGTACGCAAGTAGTATTAACCTTGGCGATTTGAAATGGCAGTGACACAGAGCAGTATTTCGGGTTGACCCGGATCAAAATTTGGCTACCCGAATGTCCACAAGCGGGTCGTAAACGGGTAGTGTGTTTTATACGATCGAGTCCTTTCTGGGTACATGATTTAATGTTCACAACTTATATTGAGATATTTCATTTGCGCGTTTCGGATGGGACGCGGGTAGGCAGCTTGTAAGTCCAATATATTGTCAGTAATTCGAGAGAAAGGCACTAGTTTTCATCGGTGTAGTCTTGAATTCGATTGATATACCAGCTTTACCTACTAAAACTCCAAGTCGTCGTCGTCGTCGTCGTCCGATTGAGAGTAGCATTCTACATAGTCATCATCTTCATCAGAATCTTGCACATTCAGTGTCACTTCTTGATCGAATAGACTTCAGCTCTCGATTCTTAAACGGGTATTCAGCGTTAAGAATGCGGGTTGCTAACGGGTTGCATTTTTTTTTCACCCGAGTTATAAACGAATCATTGTGACTGACCACGTGACTGCTATGTGGGTACATTGAACAGGGGTTACCCTGTCTGAGTGGGAACCCAAAATACAGCTGTGTGGCAGTGAATGTCACATTTGAGGACTAAAAATTGAAAAATAAAGAGGGAAGGTGGTAAACGGTGGGAAGCGGTGGAAAGACAGTGAGGTAGAGGGGCAGGAAAAACATAGCGAATTTAGACGTAAGGCGTAAGAAAAGATTAAAGGAATTGTAGGAATTGTAGAAATTGTGCAGATCGTGGAACGAAAGTTTGAAGTTTTGCATGTCCATTGTGTTTAGGGCCGGGTGCTTAAAAATAAATGGCGACGATGAATTGTATCACACAATGGCATTTGCTTCTTCTTCTTCTTCTTCTATTGTTATCACTGCTATATAAACTAGGACTCGGGTGCTTGAAATGGGTTGTTTACCAATTTGTGACGCTGACGCTGGTCACGTGACAGAAATAGTAATATCCAAGAGAGAGAGAAAATTTGCCAAAAAAATTCGCTGAATACAACTAGGTCGGTCTGCTTCGGTAAGAGTCTCTATCTCTACTGTGTAATATCAGTAGTGTCACAATTAAATCTTTCGTAGGTCAAGTTCCAAAGATGACGCGATATCATATCCATCGAAAGCTGCACTCCCTAAACGGTTACCTTTCCATACACACACACACACACACACAATCTGCTATCGGTTTTCAGGACATTCAACACTCCGATACTTCCTAAACTGACTGTACGTTACCTCATGTTTTCCACTCACTGACACGAAGATCACGTGACTCACACACACCAATACCGATGAAGTCTCCGATCTCTGATCTAGCGAAAAATCTCGCGCTTACAAAACTCGCATAAAACTCTGCATTCCACATCGGCTTAATACCTCATTCTCTTTCGTGTATCTCAAGCATACCACTATATACGAAAACACATTTCAAATATTTTTCGTAACTTCTTCTTTCCAACCCATAACAATTCCTCCTCCCATCCACACCCAACAATACATAGTCCTTCTACCATCTATCTGAACCCTTTCAAGCCTTGTTTCTAGTATATTCTTCTCTTCCTGGCCAATGCACGTGACCCTTCAAAACTACAATTTCTCACCTTAAAAGCTCTTCCCCGTATACTAAACTAAACACACACACAACCTGGAAAATTTTCAATATTGAAAAAAAAATAGACTCGAACTTGAAAAACTAAGCTTTCAAAAGCTAAGTAATCTCACTCTAAAGCGTCTATTTCCACATTAAAACGAACCCGTTTTCACGCCTAGAATGTCGTGGTTATTTGGCGGACGTAAATCAGAAACGTCTGAGCCCGAAAACAGCTTTCAAAACGAACCAAAATCACAAAATTCGCTTGGATTCGACCCTAGCCAGGTGACAAATGTGTCGAGCATCATTTCTACACCAGGCGCTCTAGATGCGTCAAGATTGCACCCTTTGGCCGACCTGGAGCGAGGCGTGGAGTATCTAGACCTGGAAGAAGAACAGCTGTCAACAATGGAGGGATCTCAAAGTCTTATTCCGTCCAGAGGTTGGACCGATGACCTGTGTTACGGTACCGGTGCCGTTTATTTGACAGGTTTGGGACTTGGTGGAACGTACGGGTTTTTCGAAGGGCTCAAAAACATCCCGCCCAACAGTCCGGGCAAACTGCAACTCAACACGGTGCTGAATCACATCACCAGAAGAGGCCCTTTCATCGGTAACAACGCCGGTGTCTTGACACTCACATACAACCTCATCAACTCGTCTATCGACGGATTGAGGGGCAAGCACGACTCCGTGAACTCTGTGGTGGCTGGTGCACTAACAGGTGCCATTTTCAAATCGTCCAAGGGCCTTAAACCCATGGGTTACGCCTCCGGTATGATGGCAGCAGCAGCGGCCGGCTGGTGCGGCCTCAAATCCGTCTTATTGTAGGACAACAAAGAGAAAAGAAGAACCAAAACAATCGAAAAGAAAGCATTCTTTTCAAGAACACGCCTGGGGGCCTGACATGCATCAAAAGTGCCCTTCCGCTGTTACACCATTTTTATGATCGAGCGTTACGTTTCTGCTCGTGAATTTGGACACAGTGTTTCCCCCGACTCCATTCCCGTCCACACAAAGCTTCCCCATTGCATTAGGAAACCGGGGCACCATCACGTCATTGTACACTATGCATGTCAACCTTCTTGGCTAGAAGTCCGGAGTTGATTACTTTACCGAAAAATAATGACCATGCTGCCCTTTCTCCATGTCTGACCTCTGATCTCTGTGATTATAACTGCACAACTTGTACATAAACTAATTGAAGTCTGTTACCTTAATGACTTAGTACGCCGCCGCACTGTAAGTAGTGCAAGCAGGTTCCGCAGCAGCTGTAGCATAAAGTGGCTTCATGAAAGGCTTCAAAGTTGTGAATTGAGCTCTTCTATTAAGCTTGATTTCACCCAATGGCAACGTTGCATCGTCCTCGGCTACGTGGCCGTCCTTATTGTAGTTTGCCAAATCATTGACTAACTGGTCGATGTCAATTCCGGGATACACGGCATCGTCGAAAAAATCGTCTTGTTTGTCAATTCCAGTGAACAAAATCCTGTTTGGCGTACCCGGTTTGAAAAGTAAGCTTCTCTTGTGGAAAACAGAGTCAGTTGCCAACTCCATGATTCCAGATTTGACATCGAGAGGATGCACTCCGCTATCCAAAAGTAAAGCTGCCATACCAGAAACGATCGGTGAAGCCATAGAAGTACCAGAGTAAGCCACCGGTGCGAAAGGTGCCTTATTAGCAAGTGAATAAACCCTTACGCCTGGCGCGAAAATGTCCACACAATTGCCCCAGTTTGAAAATCTGGCAATGGTGTCAGTTCTGTCATCAAATGCGCCTACTGTAAGGGCTGACATAGAAGACGCAGGACTGCTCCAGCACGCATTGGCATTCGAGTTTCCGGCCGCCACAACGATCACAACACCTGCCTCTAGTGCTGCCTCAACTGCTTGATTCAAAACGGAATTTCTGAACGATCCAAGACTCAGGTTTGCAACGCATCCTCGCTTACTCTCGCGGCAATGGTTGACTGCAAATTCAATGGCACTAATGACTGAAGTCAAGTTACCTTGACCTTTGGCGTTCAAAGCTTTCACCTCAATCAATGTAACATCCTTGGCAACACCATATGTCTTGGATCCAATCAAGCCAGCAACGTGCGTGCCATGACCGTTGAGATCCCCGGGTCCTTCACCCACAAGATCTGCTCCAAACTTGGCTCTGCCTCCAAATTCTTTGTGCTCCTTGTGGATACCAGTGTCAATGACATAGGCATTGACACAAGTGCCCAAAAAGTTTTTGTCAAAATAGTAACTGAAATTGGAAGCAGCAGTGTCCACGTCGTTCGGATTGTATGGCAACGCAGATCTGCGAGAAATTCGGGCAAGATGTCTTGGAGAAAACTTTTGAGAAATAATGTCACTTAGTTCGTCATCGTCTTCTTCGTCATCATCGGACTCATCATCAGACTCATCATTTTCACTATCATCTTCATCCATCTCACCACCATCATCGTCCTCGTCGTCGTCATCTTCATCGTCGTACTCGTCTTTCTCGTCTTTTTCACCGTTTCCGTTATCTTCTCTATCGCCAGTTTCCGGTTTCTCGTCTGGCATTTCTCCGTCAAACACATTGAACTCAACGTTGGGCACAATCTCGGCAATCAAAGGATTGTTGCGGAGTTTTGAAATGGAGTTGATAGGAAAATCGACGGTAAATCCTTCGAATTTACCAAACGAAAATGTTTTGAGAATTTTGCCTTCCGTAAACGCATTGAGGAAATCATCACTGAATTTATTCTCGATGAGTTTGGCCAAAGTCTTTGGCGCTTTCAATCGAATAAGAAACTCTTCTGCTTCCACGAGCGTGAGGGTTGCTGCTACAGTTGTAACCAGTTGCGAGATTTTCATGTCGTTGATGGCTGAGAAGAAAGGGATGAGAATTACAAATGAGTGTTGCCTAGGTTCGGGAGAAGGTCCTTGTGTGTGCATATGGCTTTTATAGTTGGATCACAGACTCATGGGAATATCGTGACGCTGACATTGTCAAGAGACAGACTGACGCGATGGACTGGCGAGGGTGTCTGGGTGGAAGACAATCAACAATATTTTTTTTGAGCTTTTTGGGAAGTTAGAATGGTTACTCGGCTGCCAGAGGAATGAATAGAGAGCTGAGACGTTATCAAACTGGAATAACGTTGAATGACTGACGATTTGTGTGCCAAAACAAATACCTGTAAATGATCACGTGATTTAGAGGCATATTGCTAAGCTTTAGTTTTCCTGCTCTAGTCTATGCCGAGAGTCATTTTGTAGATATTGAAGGCTTGATTGTCCGATCAGATGTAGCCTTTTATTGTAAGATATAAATACTCATATCACCTTTTTTTTGGGTTTCAATTTTGAAAGCACGCTTGCGTGTGCCACTTTATCATTTTTTCCCTATATGACATAAATTTCTGATGCGTATGACTGACGTTTTAATGGGTGAGTAAAAAAAGAACTCGAGGCCCTGGTAAACCAGTATCCACTGATGAGAATGGTCTACCAAATCAGGCTACCGTGCAGCAAAATGGATCTACTTTTGTATGTGATTGATGAAATCGAGTATAGATTGGTCCTTGGTGCGACGTGCGTAATCACGTGACGAGCAGTTGTGATACAGTGCTGTTCTTAGTGGTCTGCACGCTACTGCTGTATGACTCAGGCCGTGTCTGTCGTGATAGGACATTATTTTCATATATTTTTGGTACAATGTTCCTGGAATGTTTTAGCCAATGCCCTCAAGTTCTTTCAAAAGATAAAAATGTTGTAAGTCAAAATTTCGAGGTCGGTTTCGACAAAAGAGGTACTCGAGATATTTTATTAGAACGGAGCTGATATGATAAAAAGGAAGACACCTTCTTCTCTTGGCCGATTTTTATGGTGCTACAAAGGTAGGAATTTTGGCATTTTGAAGCTGAACATTGATTCTGACAGTGTCATACATCACGGGCAAGAGATCACTTTATCATGAGTCTGACGCTGGAAGTGGAAAATGGTTCTGTTGATTCTCACCTTTCGATATTTGGTTAAATCCAAGCCCGATGTCACCGTGAGCACATAAATTGCAGTGATACTCTCGAGATACCTGGTAAAACTTGAAACTGCCTTCAGGTGATGGCCTCGAGACTTGCAATAAATTTGGACAAATTTGGTGTGTGGAGATTAGATGACAGGTAGCGGACGGTTTAGGATTCAGCAGTGATTTAAAACCAGTCTCAGATGCTAGAGCCAAGATACAGGCACAAACAACAAAAATCTGTATGCAAATGTGCTCTGCACTGCACGTACAAAATGACACGTTAAACACATTAACAAAGCAGGAGATTCCCACCTGTTCTTCAGTTGTATTCTTCTCCTCCTAATCGTATCAATTCGTATCCACTAAAGTAAGGCTCTTAACCTCATCATCTCAAGACGCTAACGATTTTCATCAATTATGGAGGCTTCAAGTGACAACAACGAATTTCGAAAAAAAAATTTCTGGCGCGTACAAGAGAGTTTTGAAGATGAAAGGCGAATGAACGTTCAGTCAACCTGGAAAGACTACGATAAGGTTGCATCTTGCAGGCTTGTGGATTATGATCACTATGTACGGTATCTATAGCTTTGCCTCAATTGCAAATGTCACCAAAAGAACGTTCGACGCGAAGGTGAGTTGAAAGTATGGTCTGAGTGCAGCTTGTTGTGTGGGGAGATTAGATTAATAACAATGAGTCAGAATATATATGCACTTGTCCCCTGTTAGTATTTCCCCCGTGAAAATAACATTTGACGAGAAGTGAGATTGTTCTGCCAAATACTCGTACACAACGACAACCCATATAACACCCGTCTTGTAAGATACGTAAATAACGACTACCATTTCAAAACCCATCTACGTCCCAAAGTATCACTCCCAGATCACTTCGAACGCCAGTGTCATTTTTCCAATAAATTAAATAAAATGATATCTACCATTTCCAATTCCACTTCCAGTCCCACTACAACAACTACATCCATAATCAACATCACCCACACGTCGCCCTCTCCCATCCATCTATCTATCTATCAATTCTGTACCATATTCTGTACCATATTCTATCTCTTCATTTCGTAAATAATCCCTGACGGAGCTACATGCCCTAACGTTCGTTATCAACCGTCAAGATATCACACCACTTCATCCATTCATTCACCCATGCAATCCAAATACTGCCCGCAAATACTCTCCGAGCCATTCAATCTCTTGCAGAAAGTGTCATCCACCGTCCACCAAGCTCCGTGCACGTTCATTTTTGCCGTGTGAGAGCGTGCGGGTGTGCGTGTGTATGGGTGGTCGCTGTGCCACTGGCCAATGACAATCTTTCCTTTCCAATACACCGGTAGAGATAACCATGCCAAAGTCTCCCTGTCAGCCTAACCTGATGGGCACACTGCTAAAGGCGATAAATGAGTGTGCACTAGTTGCTAAGGGAAATGTAAGCTCGACCGACACAACAGGCTGGACAGGACAGCTTGAAGCCGGCCCAGCAACGCAGTGGAAAACGTAGTGGGAAATGCAGTGGAAAACGCAGGAGAACTGCAGTGAATACACAGTAGAATCTTAGTCAAAACGGCAGTCAAAACGGCAATAAAAACATAGTAAAAACCTAGTCAAAACGTAGCCAAAATGCACTGAAATATAGAGAGAAGTTTGTATAGATTTGTATAGATTTGCATTATATGGTATTATTGTCAAAAATGGTATAAATTGTGTAGAAAGTAGCTGAAAGGTCCGGTGTTGTGCTTAAACAAGCTGAAGATTCTGTAAAAGTTGTAGATACCACATCAAAAGCTAAGTAGAACAGCGTACTCTCCATAACCATGAAAATCCTCACAGCAGAAGAAATCGAAGCCCACCACTACCACACGCTTTCCGGCGGTGTGAAAGGAGCCGTGGCCGGAGTGATCATCTCAGGTCTGATTTTCAAGCTGGCTCCCATGAGATTCCCAAAATTCCGTCCAGCTAAAATGCCCTGGTCGCTGAAGACCGCAATGTTCATTACACCACCAACACTGCTGACTTCGATCTGCGCAGAAGAGGCTTCCACTGCGTTCGAACAGCAGATGTACGGCTCTAATGCCACCACCAACGCAGCAGTCGAAGAACACCGTCGTTGGAAACAGCTGCCTCTGTCTGAAAAATTGATCGAAGGTGCCTCCGCCAACAAGTACAAAATCATCGTGGCAGCTTGGGCAGCCTCGCTCTACGGGTCCTGGAAACTGGTGGACCGCGACCCAATCATGACTAAAACGCAAAAGGCAGTGCAGGCCCGTATGTACGCCCAGACTGTGACCGTTATGCTACTGCTGGGCTCGATCGGTTTGTCCATGTACGAGGAAAAACAGCATCCGGATGCCCGTAAACTTGAGGAGTCTCGTCGATGGGAAAAAGCACTGGAACGTGCTGAAGAAGAGGAGGCAAACTTGAAGCAGTCCGGTCACCGTACCAACGAAGACCGTGTCAATGCCAAAATCTTCAAGTAAGCTATCTCAAGTTCATCACCTCCCGCACACTCCTCCTCGAAACGTTTCACGACCCCCAACCCTGTCTATAGATATTCTGTTATAATAACGTCGTTCTTATTCTTCAACGCTTTGTACTTTCTCATTTTATTTACACGTTTTCCGCAGCAGCAATGCCAGTTCTTTCTCTCTCCCTCTCTAGTGGCATTACCGTCTCTTGCGCATACCGGCTTCCAGATCCTTAACGTCCAAACGGGTGTTTCTGATGTAGTAGTGTTTGCCTCTGTGTCTGCGACCATCCGCACGTCTGATCAAATCGATCCGTTCGATCAGCGGCGAGAAAATCGGAACCCGCACCTCCACAAACGTTTTAGCATACTGGTTTCTCAGCAAAATCGACGCATCTTGCGTCAGTTCCTTTCTATCAACCGATAGCACGTATCCCATCAAATTATCGTATTTGCATTTTTGAGCGTTGTAAGCCACACGAACCACATCGCCCGCACGCAAACGATCCTTATTATGAGGTGAAACCAGCGTCCGCCTCCAACTCTCGCGGTCCAAGCTCTCGTTCATGTCCTTTTCAGATAGTCTTTTCAATAGGTTTGGTTTGCATGGCTCTTCCACCGCAGGATACACGGGAATCGTCTTTCTGGTGGTGCTACTAAGTTGGTAATTCCTCACAAAGCCTCGAGCCAGTCCCGGAAGCCCTAACACTGCTCTTAAAGACATCGAATGTACTGTTTTCAGGCTTTGATTTCTTCTTTTGTCGATGAGAGTTGAGCTGTTAGCTATGGTTAATTTTTCAAAATTGTCATTATAGTATACAAGTTTTGAAAAATGCGAGAACTTGTTGAACTAAACTCACTGACACCAAGAATTGCGAGACAAGAAGAAGAGTTTTTACAATTTGGAGTAATGCATAAAATGGAAAAAAGTTTAGGGTATCTGGAGCCTTTTTCAAATTTTTAAAAAGTCGCCGGGAAGGATGCTAAAAGATTCACCTAATATAATTAGGCTAGTATGATCTATTTAGCTGCCCATCAAGGACAGGAGAGGTGTAATAGGTTACCAGATCACCGACAGAAAGCCTGAGCCTTCTTTAAAGACATCAGTAAGTACAGGTTGACAGATTCATACATCAGTTTCAGGAAAAAAGAGGATTTTGAGTTAAGTCAGGCTCTTAAAGAATTAAATTCAGACAGTGGGTAAAAATTCCACTCTAGACAAATTCCCATGAGTCGCTAATTGTTGTTCCTTCCATGTTCGTTACGATCGAGTTATATATAAGGTGTTTTCTTTTACCCTTGGGGTTTTCTATTGTACACAATGCCAAAAAAATCCTCGACCCTATCAAAAGCTTAAAACCGACTTCTACGCTTCCGCCCTGTGAACTTGGAGTCCTTGGCCACCGTACGACCGCGCTTACGCATGAGGTCCTTTTTCCGCTGCAGATACATCTTGTTGGACTCTTTGGCGTTTTTCTTTTCCCGACGCACTTTCACCATTTCTTCCGCGCTCATCGTCACACCCTGTAAGTTGACACGCTCATCTTCCGCAGAAGTGCCCGAACTCAACACCAGATAAAACTTCTTGTTTTTCTTGGACTCTGGGTCGTCCACAACCAAACCACCACTGAACCCGGCCACTTTGGCGGCCCCCAGGATCTGCTGCGTCTGATCGTCGTTCTTAGGATAGAACTGCGCAACGAACTTGCCGCCTTTTTTCAAAGAAGCGAACAACGTGTTGAAAAATCGCATCAGACGTCTCTTGGGGTCATTGTAGGATGTGTCAGCGTTGCAAAGCCACTGGATAGCACTGATACTGATGGCTGCATCGAAAGTACCTGCTCTGAACGGCAGGCCTTGTCCCATGTCGTGCAGCATCAGATCACCGTCAAGCTCTCTGGTCAGACCTGTTGCCAGCATAGATGGTGAGATATCCACACCGCACCAGATATGGCCCTCTTCTGTTAGGATCTCTCCACTCAGCCCCGAGCCACATCCTATGTCCAGCACAAACGATGTCTCTGAGAGGTTAAGTAGCTCCAGTGCTCGCAACGACATTTTAGCTTGGATGTGCTGCACTCTGGTCGAGGAAGTGTACTTTTGCGACTCAGAATCATTGTAGAAAACTTCTGGCGGCGCCAAATCTTCTGGACGAGACATTGGGCAACGATTTGGGAGTATAAAGTGAACTTTATGGTTGTTGAAGCTCTTGTTAAGTTGGATATTTTTCAAGCGATGAGCTAGTTTGTTCTGAAATTTTTCAAATATTAGAACAATGTCAGTATAGAAGAAGAAACAGTGTTCACGACGACAGCGGGCTGTGGCGAAGCAAAGGCTCAATAAAGAAGCTTGTTAGAGGTAGTTTTCAAAAAGCTCGAATTCCAAGCATTTCAGCCTTTTTTTCAGGAAGTTTTTAGCGTAAAAACTTGGCCTTATCTCGCAAGACGAGACCAAAAATTGTCCTTTCAACTCGACCGTTAAGGTTGCACTGATTTTGCTGCTCGAGAAGCATTCCGACGTATGCTCAATGTGTGATGTGCTAGCTTTCCGCTGAGTTCAGGAGTCCGACACCTCAAATTCCTATCAAAACAGTGCAGAAATTGGCAAACTCCGGAAATCTACCAAAACGACTCGAAAAAGACAGAAAGAAACCGTTAAAAAACTCCAAATATCCTCAATTGGATGCTCTGACCCATTTTCTACAACTATATATCTTAAATTTGTAGTTTTATGGTCAGTGTTTCGATAAATCTCTAGAATACGCTAAAATGATCGTATTTAGACCGTTGGAAAGCCAGAGAGAAGCCTTTATCTAGGTGAGTTGATATTTTCAATTAAAGATGCAATTCTCCCATTTCTTTGGTTGTTATTGCCCTTTTTCTACGTCGATGTTCGTTCCTATGCACTTAATAAACCATATATAAAGTTAGGGTCACTTCGTAAATTCCATGTATCCCACAAGTTCAAGAAGATACTTCAATTCAGCATATAAAAAGGCCCTTTAGCTCATCTAAGACTCCCCATCTGGACCATGGCAAAGGGTAAAAAAGCTACCAGCAAGCTCCCCAAAAAAGAGGTGCGAAGAATCGAGGAAATTACACGTCAAACGGACGGTCGAGTTCCGCTACCTGGAATCGAAACAGGATTTGAAGAATATGGGACCGAAAGCGGCGACAGAACACATGCAGAACAGTCTCAATTCAAACCTTATGAGGCCAGTTTGAGCACAAAGCAGAAATACCGGTTTCACCGCGATACGGGCCAAATGCGTTCATTTTTCGGTGATGTGCGTTTTGGACATAGAAGTACCATAATGGACGACCTGGTCAATGCTTCGCTCACAGAATCTTCCTTCAAGGGCTCGGGCTGGGGCAAAATCAAGTCGCAATCGCAAGAAAAGAACGGTGACGGCTCCGGAAGCGACGAAAAGGTCACTTCTGTGGTGTTTTTCAATTTCTCCGGGTTCTACGTGTTGTTCTGGATGATTGTGGCATTCATAGTGCTGAGAGTCGGGGTGGACTACTACATTTCTCATAACGGAGACCTTTCCCAATCTGAAATTCTCAAATTTATGACCACAGATATCGTATCCGTTGCGCTCATTGATTTGGCCATGTATCTAAGCACTTTCTTTGTGCTATTTGTGCACTTGGCAGTCAAAAATGGGTGGATTGCATGGAAGCGTACTGGCCGGTATCTCACTTACAGTTACGAAGTTGCGTTTCTCTGGACCTTCCTGTACGTGGCAGAGACCGTGATGAAATTTCATTGGCTTTCCAAGATCTTCATATTCCTGCATTCTCTTGTTTTGCTGATGAAAATGCACTCCTTTGCTTCGTACAATGGGTACTTGTGGGGTATTCTTGAAGAGCTCGAATTTTCGAAAAGCACACTGGCTAAAGCCAAAGATATCAACATCCAGGACAATTTCAGAACTGTCCTGGAGAAAAGCTGCGAGTTCTGCCAGTACGAACTCGACTTGCAGTCTATTACCGTCAAGTTCCCAGCCAACATAAATTTCAAAAATTTCTTTGAGTACAGTATGTTTCCAACTTTGGTTTACCAGGTGGAATATCCAAGAACTGAAAAGATTAGATGGTCTTATGTGTTTGAGAAACTGTGTGCAATCTTTGGAGTCATTTTGGTTATGATGATCATAGCTCAATTTTTCATGTACCCAATCGCGATGCGCGCTATGGCAGTCAGAGACATAGGGATGCCTATTTTTTGGGATCGCATCTTTGAATGGCTGTACTTGTTTTTGAAACTCGTTCCCAGCTTTATAATGATGTACCTCATGGTATGGTACTTGATCTGGGACGCGATCTTGAACTGTATCGCAGAGCTGACACGGTTTGGAGATCGGTATTTCTACGGCGACTGGTGGAACTGTGTGTCGTGGGACGAATTCAGTCGTCAATGGAACGTTCCGGTCCACAAGTTTCTGTTGAGGCATGTTTATCACAGTTCAATCAGTTTCCTGCACTTGAACAAGATGCAGGCCACTTTGATGACTTTCTTGCTAAGCTCGGTTGTGCACGAATTGGCAATGTACGTGCTATTTGGCAAGCTCAGGCTGTACTTATTTACTCTTCAAATGGCCCAAATTCCCTTGGTGCAGCTAGGAAACTCCAGGTTCTTGAAGTCTAAAAAAATACTGGGAAATGCTATTTTTTGGCTCGGTATATGCACCGGTCCCAGCATGATGTGCACATTGTACTTGACATTTTGAAAAAAGTTAACGATTCCGGGGTTTTATCTACACGGATTCATTATATACACTTATGCGTGTCTATAAATCTATTTACAGAGCTTCTTGATATTATCAAACCTAAAAGTTGTGGGTAGGCCTATCGATAGATTTCTTCGAAAGGACGTGTGTCGCCGAAACAACTGTCCCAGACTTCGTCTACAATTTTTTGCGCATGTTGTTCGTTCTTGCAATTTGGATTTCCCATCACACTGAGCGTTGCTCTACGACGAACGCATTCCTGGTGACCTCTATTGACTTTGAATCCCAGCCCACGGCGGGCAAATTCCTGCATGAAACGACACTCACCGCTCAAACTTGAAGCACGGATTTCAGAGCATGCATGGTGCTTCAAATCCAGCCAATCCACCATCCATCTGGTGTTATCGTAGTAATGGACCATTTCGTGTGCCAGTGTATCTTCGAGATGCCATTTATCGCGAATCCGGTTTTGGCACAATAGAATCCCCAGTTCTGGGTGGAACCCGCCACTTCTCCACTCGGGACACACATCGCAAATGATTTTCGATTCGTCAAATTTCAGAACTGCTTGATCTCCAGACTTTTCGAAACTATCATCTTTACCACCACCACCACTGTTGAGTCTTGCAATTTGTTGTGCCATGAATATCACAGTGGGTGAGTATTGTAGTATCCAGTCTCGGTACTTATAGCAGTCATTACACTGTTTGCGCTGCAAAACAAACTCGTAATCGTTTTCGTACTGCTTCTTTTCCGTTGGTGTCAGTCCCAAACCTGTCTTGTATTGGAAAGTTCGTCTCCACCACTCAAATCCACGTATTGAACCCTCAGTTTTGGGCTGAGTGGGTTTCTCAAGGGCTTCAACAGGCGGAATCGATTCATTCATGATGCCAGCAATCGATCTGGAGCCTTTATAGCTTTATCGCCAGCGACTATCGGTGGATCTTAAGTTTTGGAAAATTTTGAGATGAGCTTGGTTAACTACAATATCCTATTCAATCTCATCGCACTTCTTCAATTACCTGACAAAAACGCAAAAATACACACAAGCAAGAGCTTTTGGATACCAAATCATGAACGTATGGATAGCCGCGAGTGACGGGAATTTAGAGAAGGTCGAATCATTCTTTTCGGCCGGTTTTGGACCTGAATCCAAAGATCCAAACGGATATACACCAGTACACGCAGCAGCAGCATATGGTCACATAGATTTGCTGCGTAAGCTGTGCTCAGCACCTTACAACGGGGATATCAACGTGCGAGACAACGATGGTGACACCCCATTGCATCATTGCGAAGATTTAGCGACAGGTCGAGTTATCGTGGAAGAGCTAAAAGCTGACCGGGATTTGCAAAATAACGAGGGCAAGACGGCACTGGAAGTGTTGGAAGAAGACTCGGAATTTCCAGAGCTCATCGATTATCTACGGGAAAAAAGCGGTGTTGTACAGCAATCGGACGGCATCGACAACGAACAGATGGCGCAGTTCAAGGACAACTTGCGTTACACTTTGGAAAATGAGCCAGAGAGTAATGATCCAGAAAGTTTGGCTCGTCGCCAAAAGATACAACAGATTCTGGACGGTGGAAACGCAGACCAGGAACTCGAACAGTACTTACGTGAGCTGATACGGTCGCAATGGACAGAGACGGAAGAACCCGACGTAAAACGCAGAAAGGATTGAGCTGGAGCGAGATAAGGAGAGAAAGCCTTGAAAACCGTGAAAGCTAAAACGGTGCAAGAAAGATGTGGGAAACTGGGGAAGAAGTCCAACGGACGTCACGTGACTACAGATGACCAGCTCAAAGTATTTGATAAGGGCTTGAGTTTAGTTCGGTTTGAAAAACCACTGGCTGCTATGAGCATCTGAATTTCGGCGCTATCAAATGTTTGAAATTATCTGGTCTGCACCCGAAGGATTAACGCGCATTATGTATTTAAATATGTATATATATATGTGTTCATCTAAGAATCTACAGAGCCTGCGACGGGCTCGTGCAAAACGATAGCTGTTTTTTACAGGATCGAAGTACACTTTTCCATCTATATTCCGACAAAGTCTGGTAGCGTCATAGTTGTTTACGACCACTACCACGAGTATTCAGTAATTCATCCAAATGTGTCTGAGAGCGCGTTCTGATGATATTATAGATATTTTTTCATCTTTGAAAGAAAGCCGGCGGAAAGTTAGATAGCATCGAAGATGATATTGAACTCCCCATAATGATAAAATATGAACCCTCTAGTATACCGAACTGCCCTCTTATTTGTTGTATGGGTTTTTTTTTTGATCGCTGTCGCTGAGTCACGTGATCTAAATGGTGAAGCTAGATAAACAAAGACACACACATCTTAGAAGCCGCATCATTGTAGAAACAAAACGGTCAGGTTATCAAATCCCCAGTAAAAGTGATGCTCACCATAAAAAGGTTTTTGATGCGGAATTTTGGGCAAATTATTATCAAAACGCTAACCAGAATCGTATTTCACCGGTATCACTATCCACGAAATATCTAAAATAACATAACTTATCTCATTGTTTGTCAAATGTATTCAACTCGTTCGTCAAAAACTCAACTTGATCGAATCAAGATCACGACCTCGATACTTATCGATCTCTGCCCACTCGGTAGTCAGTGTCCTTCTAGCGATGTCTATTCTGACTCCTCTAGTGAAATTGGCCGATGCTCTGAATCAGCTCAATGCCAAATATACAGCATTGACCTTCCAAGAACAAAAAGCGTTGACGATCACTGAAAGAATCCGGTTTTACAATTGGACATTTGAATTCTGGGCCATTGGTTGCGTGGGGCTCATCTACTTGTTCCACGTCATTGGTACCAAGATCAACAAGAACCGCGCTGATAATTTGTTCAAAGGCTTCAAGCACTGTTTTGATGAGTTAGCTTTCGCCAAAATCGGGTTTTCGACCAAATCGGGCCAAAACCAATTGTTCGTGGCCGAAAATAACAACACTTGGTTTACCAGTTTTGCTACAGGTCGCTCAAGTGTGGAAAGCATCACGGTGCGTGCCCGTCTGCTTGCACGCTTCAATCCGCTTTCGATTTTGATGGAAAAATCGTTAGGTCTGTTTATGCCAAGTCTTTTTGAATCTGACACAGAGGAATTTGTAGATGTTACCATTAAGGCAAACGGAGTTTATGTGACTAGTGCCACCGCAGATCTTCCTAAATCTCCTAATGACCCAGCAGCTGTTCTGTCCAAGTTCAAATTTGTCACCTCTATCGTGAACAAGTCCGACATGACCAAAGCTCGCGAAAACAATTACTACTTGTCACTCACACATACTTCGGAAAGTGAAAAGTTGCCTTTCCAATACGTGTTCATGTCTGAAAACAACCAGTTGAACTCATTTTTCGACCACTATGGCGGTCCCGCTTTGAAAACGCTATTGAGCGAAAGCGCAAATTTCCTTTCGGTCATGGCTTTCACGGACCTTCCAGAGGCCAAACCTGTCACTGAAAAATCTTGGGAGCGCAACCAGCAGCCAAGATGTGTCCTGAGATTCAAAGTTGTGACCGCTGATGCCGACATCGCCCTTTTGACCAAGCTTGTTACTGCTGCCGTTGGCATCATCGATGCTGCCACGCAGGATTACGTTCAAAAGCCTACCAAAGCGTTTGTCACCAGTGACATTTTGAAGAGATCTGCCAACTTGCGTTCTCAAGAACTGGCCAAGATTGTTAAGGTGATGAAGCAGGCCGAGAGGGACCTTTTGCAGGAAAAAAAGCAAGAGCAAGAAAGAGAGAAAAGACGTGAATCCAGAAACAAAATCAGTGGGGAAGAACAGGACAAGCACGAACAAAAAATGCGCGAAAAGAGGGAAAGACGCCAGCGCAACAAGCAGAAAATGCGTATGTGAATATAAGAGAGAAACGCCAACGCAACGGATAGAAGAGGCGTATGTGAATATAAGAGAGAAACGCCAACGCAACGGATAGAAGAGGCGTATGTGAACACAACAGCTGGACAAGTCTTGTCAAATAGAAACATTTCTTCTTAAATATCCCGTTCCTATGGCCGTGTCTCGACCATAAATCTGTAATTACGTTAAGTGATAATACTTTATTTACAAGAAACTGCGTTCCGTGAGAGATCGCAGTTTATAGCTCTACCAACAATCAAGGACAAACCTCTAGGGTAATCGCGAGCTTATATTGCTAGTCCAGAGTCTTGACGTCATTAAGAGTAAGGCCCTGAAGTTTATATTTCGAGTCCAGGGATTTTGACGTCTTTCAAAGTGATGCCACTATTAAAGAGTTTGGGCTGTTTTTTCTTTTCAATTTCCTCCTTTTGACTAGTCTCCTTTTCCTCCACTGGTTGTTCACCAACGACCATCTTGTCTTGATCCTTTTTGGCCACTTCTTTGACTCTGAGGGCGGTCAATTCGAATGCTTTTGCTTGTAGCTGCTGGTCTATGTCTTCGTCGGCTAATATGTAACGAGCTCCATTCTTCGAATGTAGATAGTTTCTCATCAGAGATGGACTCACCGATGCGACTTGACCTTTGTAAAGTTGGAATTTTGGGAAGTCTTTGAGAAGCTGAACCTTGACTTTATTGGTACGCTTCGATAGCGCGGAATATGATCTTGGCAGGCCAATTCTGAGCATCGTTCTTTGATTCAGCTATGGGATCTAATGCTGGCTAAAAGTTGTCGTGATGAGTTGAATTTTTGGTTTGGATATCTAAAACTTTTTTAATATAAGTTGTTCACAGTGTGAGCTCGATGGACGTGATGGGCAAACAGAAGAAAGAGTGAAGGAATGAGGACAGGATGGCAGTAGAATTTAGGTGATTAAACCTCTTTAGTACAAAATTATAGAACATGTTTAAGAAAGTTGCAGAATCTTGTTTTTTCTCAATGTCGTGATGAATTTTCCCATTTTATGCGTTTCTGTCATTTTGAGTACACATCAAGAAGGACCATAGTGGGAGTGCGATAGAAAGACACAAGAGTTGCGGGAGAACTCTTTGTTGGGACTCTCAGAACCAAAAAAAGGCTTCCAATGGCTCTTGGAGCTTTGTTAAAGGTGAAGATCTTAAATTTGTCACGTGACTGATGACAGATGTCAAATGAAGTTGAATATGGTAATCTGACATAGGGTAGATTCTACCTATGGAAATACAGCGATAGTTTTAGGAGTCAAAGTAGTGGATATTGTTTTGTCCTCAATAATTCACAAGTGCTTGTCTAATTTTCTTCTTGTCCCGAATCTCCGGGTTTATAATTGTTTATTTACATGACAGTGAATAACACACCCAATTTTGATTGTTTTTCCGTCCTTTTTGAAGCGCCATTTTTCATCAATTTGAAATTTCCATTAATTTCTCAAGTCAACCAGCGTTCGGTTCCATTCGCATGACGAATATTTCAAACTCGTCTTGGCCAATTCACAATAAACTCGATATTTCAAGAAATTTCAAAACAAAGATACAAAAGAAGTCACCTAAAATTCCCAAACTTCACCAAATAAACCAATTCCATTAAACAATATCACTTCGCATCTTTCGAACCGGCTTGAGCTCATGTTGGCATGAATAGTATATCACTTCTTTACATATTCCCACCTCGTACAGAGAGATCTCAAACAAGATTAATAGTTATTATCGAAATGCATCAACATCAACCTCTTCGAACTCGAAGACTTCGACAAACAAACTTCAACTTAACGCCTCACGAAGAGCTGCTGACCAGTTGTTGGTGAGATGTCTAAAAATCGCAAGCAAAGCGGTGTTCCTAATACCCAACAACAGACTGCCCCGGTCCCAATCACGCAGCCAACGGACTCGTACATCCCATCTTTTCTAGCAGCCCAAGTTCCTGAACTAAAGTCCTACAAGCAGCTTTTAGAAGCAGAGAAGAAGATCGATCTGTACATTAGCCGAAAGAAAATCGATTTGTTTCAATCTGTGTCGCAATGGAACAATCTCAAGCAAAATAATGAGGAAAAACAGTATCTGCGTATTTTCGTGTCGAACATCGCTGAAAGCCAACCTTGGCAAGGCCACGAAGGTGATTTCCCACCTTCGTGGACGCTTCGAGTAGAGGGTCGAACTTTGGATTCACAAGACGTCGGTGCACCCGATAGACCAAAATTCAGCACATTTCTGCAAGGCATTGCAGTGGACTTCAAGGAAATTCAAAACGGTCATAATGCTAGTCCGAGTGAACCAAATAAACCGGCAGAGGAGTCCGTTCAGCAGCAACCACAACAACCACCACAGCAACCACAACAGAACCAACCAAATCGGGAGAGCAATTTGCCGTCGGTTGTGGAGTGGCATTTCGACCCCGCTAATCCTGCGGATTTCGATGGACTGGATATTAAGCGGGAAGGATCCGAGAATGTCGAATGCAATATCGTCATTCAGCCGCGTGGCACTACAGGGGAGTGGATTCAATTTTCGCCCCAGCTGTCGTCTATCATCGGTACTTCGCGGGGCACACTCCACGAGGCAGTTTACTCGTTGTACAAATACATTTTGCTGAACGATTTGTTGAGTGATGAAGACCCCGTTGCAACCGCAGCGCCCCAGCCGGCCCAGGGTTCGAACAACAACACGAATGGTGAAAGAACGATTGTCAAAATTGATAAATATCTTGCTGGACTTTTCACAGAAGAGCGCACAAGTATGAAACTCGCCGAAATCCCCGCTGTCGTCAACAGACATGTTTCCCCGCTGCCTCCGGTGCGTATCGGCTACACAATTCGCGTTGACAAAGCCTCTACATACGGTGAGACTGTGCTCGACATCGAGGTCCCTGCCAAGACAGACGATGAGGTGACTCGGCAAGGCATGTCGTTACTGTCGGAGCTGAACCAGCTCAGCACTGCGTTAGAGCCCCAGATGCAGAGGCTCAATCAGGAGCTCAATTTGCTACAACTGCAGCTCAACTCAAGTGCCAACAAGTGTCAGTTTTTCGCAAAACTCGCCGAAAACCCTGTGCCTATGCTGGAAGAGTACATCGAATCGTCATCCCGGGCTTTGAAAGTGTTGAGCGGCGATGACGGCTTCAATGAGGACACTGTGAGACGTGCCAATTTTTACAAAGAGAATGAAAACATGCTTTTTGAAAACCTTGGCGTGCTTCTGTCCAACGGGCGTATGTGAATTTCACAATGCCTCGAAAAATTGACTCCACCATAAGCATTCAGCGACAACCAGTACGATCCAGGTACCATAACCGCATTGTCAAGGTATTTCGCAGAGTCGTTGAACCATGCTGTCACCGTCTCTCATCGTATTTTTGAATCTACGTGTACTCGTACTCGTACTCATGATTCATTCGCCCAGTGGGTAATATCCCGGACTCATCAAAATTTTTCATCAGTCATCGTGGCCAGCAGTCTTGAACCCATATTTGAACCCATCAACAGCTGTTTCGATCCGACTCATTGTCCTTGCTTTATCAACTGGGATTCACTACAACGATTGAGATCACCATCCAAAAATGTCCCAAAGTTATAGATCTACCCGTTCTTCCGCTAAGGAAACTCAATCTTTTGAAAACACTATTATCCAGGGTCTGGGATCCGACGGAGGTTTGTTTATCCCTTCTGAAATTCCCCAGGTTGATGCTCAAACGCTTGAAAAATGGTCGAAGTTGAGTTTCCAAGACCTGGCTCTGGAAATCATGAAGCTTTACATTTCGAGCGAAGAAATTCCGGAAAATGATTTGAAAGAGTTAATCCAGAGATCTTACTCTACTTTCCGCTCCAAGGAGGTCACTCCGTTGGCCAAAGATATTACTGGGAATGGTGAACATTTGCACGTTCTTGAACTATACCATGGTCCAACTTACGCCTTCAAAGATGTGGCTTTGCAATTCGTGGGTAACCTATTCGAATACTTCCTCCAAAGAGCCAACAAGGATCTGCCTCAAGAAGAGCGCAAAAAGATCACCGTTGTGGGTGCTACCTCTGGTGACACCGGTAGTGCTGCCATCTACGGTATGAGAGGCAAGAAAGACGTCTCTGTCTTCATTTTGTATCCAACTGGAAGAATCTCGCCAATCCAAGAGGAGCAAATGACCACCGTTCCTGACAAAAACGTACAGACTCTGTCGGTGAAGGGCACCTTCGATAACTGCCAAGACATTGTGAAGGCGATTTTCGGTGATGTCGAGTTCAACAAAAAGCACAATGTGGGCGCTGTAAACTCTATCAACTGGGCCAGAATCTTGGCTCAAATGACATACTACTTTTACGCCTATTTCCAGGCTGTCAAAGGTGCTCAGAGCAAAGTAAAGTTTGTTGTTCCAAGTGGTAACTTCGGTGATATCCTCGCCGGCTACTACGCCAAAAAGATGGGTCTACCAGTGGAAAGACTGGTCATCGCCACTAACTCGAATGATATCTTGGACAGATTCATGAAGACTGGTGTTTACGAAAGATCTGACGACGTTGCGGCCACCCTTTCGCCAGCTATGGACATTCTTGTCTCTTCAAACTTTGAAAGACTATTGTGGTATCTAGCTCGCGATGTTTTGGCCTCTGGCGATGACCAAAAAGCCGGAGAAATTTTGAACCAATGGTTTGTCCAGTTGAAGACGGAAGGTAAGTTCGTCGTTGACCAAGCTGTTATCAACGCTGCTTTGGCTGACTTCGATTCCGAAAGAGTATCTGACCCAGAAACGAAAGAAACGATAAAGCAAACATACCAATCGTCTCAAAATCCCAAGAATTATATATTGGACCCCCACACCGCTGTTGGTGTTTGCGCTACCAAGAGACAGATCGCTAAGGACAAGGATAACAATATTCAATACATCTCTTTGTCCACTGCTCATCCAGCCAAGTTTGCCGACGCTGTCAACGACGCATTGTCCGAGTTTGACGGTTACTCCTTTGAAAAAGATGTGCTTCCTGATGAGCTGAAAAAATTGTCCACCATGGAGAAGAAATTGAAGTTTGTCGAGAAGGCTGATGTAGAGCTTGTTAAGCAAACTATTGAGGAGGAGCTGGTCAAAATGGGTTTGTTTTAGAATTGCGGGTTAGAGTCGCCGATTCATCTAAATGTGTAAACGAATAATACTACAACTGAATAATTATTAAGATCTATTGTTTAGCAGGAGGAGCAATTTGAATTTTGCCATCTTTACCAACGTTGACCTTGTATCCTGCGGAGCTCAGTAAGTCATCATCCACTGGCTTTTTCGTTTCGAGTTGGGCCACAATCTTTTGATTCTCTGCATTGTCCTCTAGTAGCATCTTTATGCACATTATACTTCGCTCTTTGATAAACGGGTCATTGTCGTCGATAACGCAATTGCTGAGTACGGCCTCCAGACCTTGGAGCTTTCGCATTTTATCCTGTACTTCCCTGTCCTTGTAGACCAGAAAACAAAGTATTTCGATGATCAATAGTTTGCACTCTGGGAAGTTGGTAGCTTTGATTTTCCCGATGTCAGAATCAAACCGTGATGCTATCACTGCGCTGTCTGATATCTGCACTCCGTTGCTGTTGGTAACTTTTAAAGAGCTGGAGTTCTGGCCAGTGAGCCTCATCACATTTAGCCTCAGAAGCTTTTCTTGGAATAGATGCAGTAGGTCAACTAGCAATTCTAAGCCTTTGTAGAAGTTCATAAACTTCCGCACATGTTCATACTGGGTCAAATTAGTTAACATATCCAGCACAATTATGAGTCTGTCATGAAGCAGCTTCGCATGATCTTCATCCTCATTGTTGTTCTTGAAATAGTCCTTAACATCGGAGGCGGTTTCTTCCAACAGTCGGAAACACCATGTCATGATTCCAGTCAGCTGAAAGTTGTCCCATGATTGAGAGCTGGTTATAACCAAACGTAGAAGCTTGATGTATTCGAGGAAATGGGCCTCGTTGGATTCTTGCACCCGTTGAAGGTAAGGTGCAAAAGATTCGTGTGAACAGATTGTCCAAAAAATGGATACTACCAGCGCGCCCAGTGTTGAAAGCTCATCTCCAGTACTCTGAGCTCCGTCTATCACTTGAGGAATTTCAGTTTGTTCTTGAGACACTGTTTGGATTAGATAGTCGTAAAGGATCGCAGGGGCCTGCTGAGTCTTCAGAAAATAGTAGACAAAATCGCCGTTTCCTGCCAGATTGCGTAGAAGCATTGTGTGGGGGGAAATGAGGTCCCTCCTTTCATTATTCCCGATAGGATAGCAGAGAAACCGAGCTAGGTCGTCGATGCTGGTTCTATCAAAAATGACAGATTTCGTTGTCACATTACAGGAAAACTCAGTGATGCTCTTGAACAAATTTAGGTCCATTTCCTCGTACTGGGAATTTCTGCTTAGCACATTGAAAGCTTTCACAAACTTGTCTAATAACATTGCTGTTTGAGGAGTCTCATTGTTCGATACACTCAGGTTTCTGGCCAGCATTACCAATCCGCGGAAAGTTCTCAAATACCAAAACCGCAGTTCATGATTTTCACCAAAATCGTTGTGGTAGTCTTTTAACTTAGCACACTGGTCGACAGTATGCCAAACCTCCTTGTTCTCAGCCAAAACTTTACGATAATCTGAATCCTGCGATGACTTCAACACTATCGAGCTTAATGATGGAATAACGGCTTGAAAGGGCTCTTTTTCGAGCCTATAGCTGCACAGTAGCGAGGCAACCGTATTCAGCGTGTGAAGCTCATCAAATGACATGACAAATGAGAGCGATCGGCTTCTTTGATGGGTAGATTGTTGTTTTGAACTGAGCTCATCGCTTGATTCTTGAATTTATTGATATTTCATATATCAACTGCGATGACAGCGACAACAACGGTTTAGACCCAACTCAAGTTAAGAACACAAGAGGCTCTCCCAATATCAAGATGATAGGCCACTCTTCTTCAAGAAATTATAGATGACTAGGTCTATATATCTATTATATGTACATTTGTCTATGTGCTATGTCTGTCGGTGACAGAACTTTGTTGGTGATGCAGATGTGTAAATTTTCCAGTGAGCTTGGATACTCGTAGTTTAAATGAGGTCCTCGTCGTCATTGTCATCGTCGCTGTCATCGTTGTTTTCAACGATCGGAAGAATATTGGTTTTGGCGTCTGAAAATCCTATCCATCCTTCGCCGTCGTCGTCGTCGTCGTCGTCAGAACCGTTTCCCATCACCACGTCGTCATCGTCATCGTCGTCGTTGTCAGAATTGTAGTTTTGTTCGACTTCAGAGGCAGCCTCGTCGACTTCGGCTTCTATAGATCCATCTGTGGAAACGAGGAACCAATGAGCGTACTTGTTGTCACTCGAAGCGGAGACCACGTCTTTCGCAATGCGGGCAAGGAAACGCTGAACAGCACGCAGAGATGACGCAAATTCATGCTTGTGAGAGGTGATATAACGACCATGAGCAGAAAGAATAGCTTTCACCCATAGCACATTGAACTCCAGGTGTTGGGACTCCATGGAAAATTCTCCAATGAACCTGAGCATACGTGCAACGTAGACAATCGGCAGCCCTCCACTTACCAAATTTATTTCCTTCACCGGCACAGACTCGTAAACACGCTTGATAAGATACTCCTCATTAAGTCTAAAGGACATTACTAGGGCATTCAAGTATTCCTTCTCGTTAAGTGCCTCCACAACGGCCTGTGGAGTAATGTCGATATCCAGATCGAACGGATCAAACAAAAGACTCTCATCAACAGAATAGATCAAAATACCCTCCGTGGATCCCGCAGCAAACGCATTGGAAGTGGGAGAGAATTTCAATCCTGTAACTCTCACCTCTGGTCTTACTCTCCTAGTAGAAAGATCACCTCCTCTATTTGAACCGGGCAAGGTGTTATCCATGCGATCTTCCAAATCAGAGTTTTCACCGTCCCGGTCAATTAGATCAAGCGAACCAGCCTCTGTCATTCTTTTGCTGTTCAGAAGTTGCAATGTACCATTCAAAGACATATTTCTGGACACATTGAATCTTTTGAGCAGAACACTATTGGGAATGTCGTAGAGACAGATAGAATTGTTGTTACCACCTGCTACCAATGAGAGACCATCGAAACTGTAGTCAATACTGGTGAAATATTTTGATCTGGCGGAGTTTTTTGATGTAAATCTGTCTTCCAGGTGTCTACCCGAAAGAATGTCTTTCTTGCCATCGATGGCATTGACTTGCTTCCCCTCGTTGATGTCGAAAAACAGAACATTACCGTCCAATGTCGAAACAGCCACTTCGCCACCATCAGGTCTCACAGAAATAGCCAATACATCTGCAAAGACTTCTAAAGGTTCGACTTGCTGTGATCTACCAAATATGGACCATATTCTGACTGTCTTGTCCCATGAGGAAGAGGCTAAAACTCCGTTCTCTTTACTGAAGGACAAGCAACTCACTGGGCCCTCATGTCCGTCCAAGGTCTCAACCAACTGACCGGTTTGAACGGACCACACGTGAATAGCGAAACTGTCGGTAGAGCCTGCGCACACAACTTCACCAGAGGGGTCTGCAGCTAGGCAGTTGAACTGAATACGCTCGGCAGCAGTGAAAGTCCTGAAGTTACGGTACCGAATAAGATCCCAAGCTCTCACCGTACCGTCTAAAGAGGCAGAAAACAACACTTGACCTTTTTTAGCAAATGCAAGCCCTGTTACAGCCGCTGCGTGCTCCTGAAGTGTTACTAGGCAAAAGCCAGAGACCACATCCCATATCTTAATTTTGCCATCGTCTGAAGCGGTCACCACGCGAGACCCGTCTGGAGAGTATGCAACTGCGTTAGTGGCATCGAAATGGCCTTGTTGTTTCAAAATATAAGACTCAGACTGCCACTCGTAGACTAGAAGCTGGCCTAGCTTACTGGAACCGAAAGCTAACCATTCCCCGGTCTGATTTACCGCAACTGCATTTATGGCATTCTGGCCCATTGATAGCTGCTGGATCAAAGTGAAATCAGGCAATTCGTAAAGTCTAAACTCACCATTGCTGAAACCCACTACCAGAACGTTAGATTTTGCATGAAACGTAACACGCTTGACTTTGGCTGGAGATGCGTAGAAGTAATTTTTTTTCACGATACGCCAGCTGTACGACGAGGGCTCCGGTTCCTCGCCTTCCTCAACCTCTTGCTTCGATGTGTAGCCCCACTGGAATAAGGCTCCATCCTTACTTATGGTGTAGATATGTTCCTGGTCTGCTGAAAAAAAGGCCCCCACCACGTAGTCTCTGTGGCCAGCAAATGTTGTGGCTGCTAGATCTTGTTCTTCTTGGTCCAGAGACCAAATCCTCGCCGTTAGGTCTTTAGATGTAGAGAGCAGAAAACGAGAGTCTGGCGACCAGCTTAGCGAAGTTACCTGAGCAAAATGGCCGGCATGCACTCTTTGTCGAACAAACGGCGCAAATTGTCTATCCTCAGCCACCTCTGGAGTCTTCCATATTTGAATAAAACGTCCACAGGCCAATGCGAAAGTCTTACCGTCTGGCGAAAACTGTAGATCACTAACAGGCTCTTTGAAATTGAAGTGGTGTAGTACCGTTTTGGCTCGAAAGTTGACCAATATCGCTCTCCCGTCCACGTCCACCGACAGCAGCAGTGTGACCTGTGGGTTCAAAGCGATGCAGCTCACATTTTTGCGATGCTCGTACTCAAACGTGAAAGATTGGTTTTTTACCAGGTCGAAGACCGAGACTCTGTTTCCCACTGGAGAAAGTAGCACAGTCCCGTCCTTGGAGAAAATAACATTGCCCTGTCGGTAAACCGTTCCTAACAGATTTGAAAACTTGAAGTCTGACCTCATAGTGCCACGTAATGCTTGTGTTGTGTGGGTTTGTATATCGGAAGGTTTAGCTCATCGCATCGACATCGAACTTGATGCTTATTATTTTTCAAAATTTTTCAGACCATAAGAAAACTAAGATTTTGACATTAACACTGCAAGAGCTTCGACTGGAAAATGGATCATAGATCACTTGAGAGTTGAGCTAGGCACAATTGAAGATGGCAGAAGAGGTGAGCGGACGATTGTCGAGCCGTGTGCTCAATATGAAGTTCATGCGCCAAGCGGATCAGGCGGAAGAAGCTCAAAAACAGGATGAAGAAAAACGGCAGTTTATCGACTCTAGCGAATGGAAACTGGCCGGAAATGACCACGTCAAGGCCCGTCTGCGGCCGCAATGGCAGAGTGTTGGAGCAACAGCTCTTTGGGGCCATCCTCAGGCGACAGGCGCCGTTGGAAGACGAAAACTGGGTGTACCAGAAAAAACGTCCGACGAAAGGCAGCAGGAGGCAGATCTAGAGACGCTGTGGAAGTCCCAAAAACGCAGTAGAGGAGAAGAAGAAGAGTCTACCGCTAGCGAGGGTGAGCCAGAAGCTTCAAAGAAAAGAGCCTTGGACGACGAAGTTGTGGAAAAGAAAGGGAAAGATTCTCGTAGGCCCAGCGACGGGAATAGCAAGACCTCTCAGCCGTCTCAGAAACGTGTAAAGTCTGGTACTGCAGGCAGGCAATCAAAGAAACATGTAAAGGACAACAAGTAGTTCAGGCGTGCCATCGGGGAAAGCCGCTCTGGTTTCCAGGTAATAATTGGAACAAAAACCCATCATTTGTATAATATCAGTCAATAGAGAGCTTCGAAAACACCATGTAGGGTTCATATTGTTCACGCTTAAAGAAGTTTCCCTCTTTCATTGCAACAGCAAGATGCGACCTATTTCTTCTTTTTCCCAGCCTTGGAAGCGTCAACAAACGAGCCTTTCAGCACTGCATCGCGTGCAGTGGAGTTGATATGCTTGAAACGGTCTGGGCCGATATGAGTGCCGGTAAACCATCTGGCAACCGCAACAACAACGTCCCAAGCGTCCATAAGGGTTAATAGATGCAGCAGTCTACCGCCTGCAGCAGTTTCGCCGTCGTCGTCACAATCTTGGTAAGTCACACTGCCCGGGCCATGGATCCGCCAGGCGGTCATGACATGCTGACACCTACTCACCTTGGAGTCCATTCGCAGCTGGTCTAGTTTCAAACGTGCGTCATCTTCATTCGAGACCTGGGTCGTGAAGGCTATAAAAGTTGACCCACGATCTACTACGGGTTCGCTTTGATGCCAGGTGATATCCATTTTTTCAATGGTCTTTTCAAGTTCCAAATTTTCTAGTTGTTGAGCCAGTAGCTCATCTGAAGGCTCCAACGAATTTGCGCGGAGCTCATCCTGGCTGTAATTTGAGCATAATAGGTCCGATGCTTCTGACAAGAAATCGAAGACACACACATCACAGTTCCAAACGCTTTTCATCACATTTTCGAATTCTTCTCGCAGTGCTTTATTTGCACCAGTACCGTCAATTTCCAGCACTTGCGGTGCCGCTTCAGTAGGATAGCCACTTGGAAACGAAAGATGGACTTTTATAAAGTCATACTCCGGAACCTTTAGCATGCATTGAGTATCGGATAAACGTTCCATAAACTCGGGATATATGGCATCTATAGCATCAAGCTCTTGCTGCAATTCTTCCTGTGACATTGAATGGCAAGGAATAAGTTCAAATTGCAGGATTTGAAGACCAATTGAAGCGTTTATCAAGGTGTCGAGCTTTAAGATTTTGATTTCAGTTCTGAATTGAAGTTGAGCTAGCTAATATATTAGACATCCGATGAGCCAAATTTCATGAATATGAAAAATACCATCTACGGAGCTTTGAAAACGCAATTGAGGTCATCGATTGGAGCACGAAGGTTGACATTTGTAGCGGTATCCTTACAGAATTTTCTTGGGATCAAAAGCTTGAATTTGGGACTCTTACGATGCAATAATTGAACAAGACGTGGAGGAAAGGAAAGCAAACGATGGCTTGGTTTCTGGTGAAGTTTAGAAATTTTAGGGAAAATGATTGAACCATGAAGTACAAGATTCAAATACTGAGGACCAGAAGGCTCGGTCTGGTTGTATGTTTCTGGCGAAAATAAAATAATGGAAGCACGATAACCGGGTATACTCAAATTGCTTGAAGAATGAGACGTAGAAGTCAATATGAAATGAGACCAAGCTTCTCGGCATACGTAGGTTAAAGATAGCGGGCTTCGGTAGTGTAAAGATCGGTGTTCGACGAAATGGACAATGAGAAAATATGATCACGTGACTTGGCGACAGATGACAACGTATTATAAAGTGCTTTACCAAATCATTGAACTTTAACGGGCAGTAATCAGAGAAGTATACCAATAGTGGCCGTTTTCCTTTATGTCTGACGTTAGTGTGTTTTTGCAGATCGGCGTGAGGTGGTTTCTTTTCAAAATTCAACTTCATCCGCAGAAACATTAAAAGAGCTCGGAAAGCTGGTGTCTTTCAAAAACTGTTGTTTTTTTTGAACCAAACTTGCTCAGGGGTACCATTGCTATTTAGCGCTCCGAGGTTAAACTACTAGTGTTCAGACTCGAACTGATGCTAAATCTAACCTGCTTCAATTTTAGCCTGCTTACGTGGATTAATTTGGTGCTGTCTGGCGCAGAAGTGACATGTTCGTTGAAAAGCGATATCGAAAATCACATGACCAGGCTTCAAAGGAAGAAACGTTTCAAGAAAACTCTGGACTTCACCTGTTTATGGATAGCTGCAGAGAATGGCTGTAGCGGACATGTACTTCTTTCACGATAGCTTTTGTGGCGGTCTCTAAAGACGTGATCCGTGCATTATTTGGAAGGTCTACGTACAAAGCGATCTAAAATTTAGTGATCGAAAGATTCTGCCTAACGCAGTAAATTGAAGATTTTACTCCCCATATAGCAGCGTGTTCTGCCCAAGTGTATAATGTTAGGCTCGGGATTAGTGGCGGTTCGAGTCTTGGCCTTGTCGCAAGGAAGTTTTAGTCAAGTCATTCTAGACGAATAAATCATTTTCATGTCGCTATTCAAGAACTCCTCTCTACTAGCAAATGTGAGCCAAAGACTGTAATTGATATCTTCATATATCCATTCAGTAACAAAGCCATTTTTTGACTCTGTCTTGCCTTTCTCGACAACTAAACAATTCTACCAAATCTGTCTGATCCCATCACGTGACAGTTTACATAATAATATATTTCTGGCGTCATTTTCTGTAAAGCTCTATGAAGTGAAAGCGTTTACTTGATTTAACAACTGCTCGAAGTTCGATTATAAAGTAAAACCGATTAAAGAGCTGCATTCTCACACGTAATTGAATGCTTCTGTTTCAGCGACCAGCAACCCGTTCTCATTCTTACTTTGATCATCCTTGTCCCCAAACCTGAGTATATATATACACAATTTTTTCCACTTCACGTGATGTGTGTCACACTCTTGAGCTCCTAAAAGGCATCATACAGCAGACCTTGATTGCTTGGATCACGGGCAATTAATTATACGGTAGGTTCGGTTCAGACACCTTAGTTTTATTCTAAAACGGGTTGCGTCCTTGCCATCTCGTGTGCGCTTGCGTTTGCATATATGAGTGACAATTAGAATAGCGAAAACCAGGGCATTGATAGATGCGAGTTTTGTTGTAGGGAATGATCTTTTCAGAAACAGTAACGCTCAAGGCATCAGTATTAGCTGGAATGCAACTAATAATAGTGAAACACCCAGACACCGACACGCCCACACACCGCATTGCTGAGGTGTTCGCTAAATTTGACGGTGTTTTTTGCAGCTGCAGTAGTGAAAGCCCTTGTGATAACAGCTCATAAAAAGCTCGATGACTTGATTGTCATCAAGTCTGTAGTGCATCTCCTAGCGACAATTGCGAGAGATTGTGGATTTCTGAGAGACTCTAGAAATGAATTGGTGTCACACTACAGTCGCGTGTTGCGACTTGACGCATTTGTCCACCGAAATCCTAACCAAATGCATTTATTGCCCGCATCTGATATTTCTGTTGCAACATCATGCAATTTCCATACCAGTAATAATGGAAGTCTAGCCACTGGCTTTTAGTCAACTCCAGTGTCTACAGGATCCACCTAATTTGATCCCGATGTTCACATCGAGCAATATAACTTGAAGGCACAAATTATATGTCTGGCTTCATTCTCGACGCAACAACTTCCTCATGCTTCATTGTTGGCATCTTCCATTCTCAACTTCGCAAGTTGGCCGCTCTTCATTGAATTGTCCATAAATTGAGTGATGGGAGTTGCCGAAGGCAGCCTATTTCTTCAGCCTGACGTGTATTCAACTCCCGGCCCATTTGATAAAGGAAGGGGTTTGCATCGAGCTTGGAACGTAAGCACTTGCGTGAAACTGCAGAGTTGGGGGCAGTAAAATTAAAGCTCAGAACAGTGCTGCGGCTGAATTCAAAATATAAGTCTTTTGAAAAACTTTGAGTTCATGTTTTCACCCAGAAGCTCCATGCTCACCATTATAATCCATAAAATTTGTTGAATTGTTTTGATACTATTCTCTGGCTTCATCAATCTGTTTCTTAAGCCTATTTCGAGCCTTGATCGAATATGGCACGTCAGAGACCTATAACCTGTGTGAACTACTTTTACGTTTATCGGGTGCGATCTCAGCGGCGTGATTGCCGAATGAATACACATTATCAGAATGGCATATTGTGCACTCTGTGCTCGAGCACACAGGTCCCCTGGCCGTCGACGATCCTGGCTTCAAGCCAAAACTACTCTTTTCTCCGAAAAAGATGGCTTCTGGTCTTTAATGCTGGCTGCTCAAGCATTTAAGGTTCTTTGGCATCGAAACTTGGAGAGCACCTCTAGAGCCATTTTGTCGATGAGCCCAATCACTTCACACAAAAAACGGCCACCAGGGGCATTTTTGACACACCTTTTCGGCCAGCTTTATGCGATTCTAGTAGCGGCAACTTTTAGGATCAAAAATTTGGCCCTGTCTATGACGACCGACCGACCGAGCGACGTTTGTGAAATATACGCATTTCATGGCAAAGGAAGAAATTACATCACCATGTACGAAAACATTCGGGGAAGGCTATCTGGCAAAGTGTTGATTGAGTTCCAAATTTATCATGATAAACCTTCTTTAAGCCCAATTCTTCATTTTAATCGCAATGAAATCTTTTTATTCCATGCTCTTCTCCTTGAAAGACTCATCGCAGTAAAAACTTACTAATCGTCACCATCACGTGACACTCACTCACTCTGCTCTTCGTTTCCTTCGTTCAACGCTCGCGTCCATCAAAATTCGAAATAAACTCCCCGACAACTCCACTAACCACCGATAGCCAGATTCATGCCACAATTCACTAGCACGTACGTACACTAGTACACACACACACGCTTCTTTACATTCCTATGCACTCTTCAACATTATCCTAGCCACGCAATGTCGATTTTACCACATCAAAACCACGCAAATCTGCACTTCTCGCAGCAATGCACTCTAGAACACACTAAAAACGGCAATAAACGCCCAGCCAAACAACACTGAACGACGACAATCACCACAAACTACAGCATCTACAAACACACACACACATACACATACACATACACATACACAAACTATACGAGCTGAGCTACACAAATAAGCCGCATTTCTATAATCCCAAAAGGCTTGATAGTTTCCGATACAGCTCTCTTTCTCGCTTTTTAACGATAGAAAGTGGTCCTGGAAAGTCAACTACTCATGGTTATTACCCTTGCCCTTATATAGTCGCCGATTCTCATCAGTCACAAACTCGGCGGCAAGCCCCTAATAACCAACTCGAACCCTTGAATTGCTGTCACGGCCCGGAACCGCTCCGCGGAACCCCCGTTTTGCGAGCCGCCCAGCATATATATCCGTTTTATCCGACGGCTGACATATTCCCGTACGGAGTGACTAGAATGCGCAAGATTATTTACACTGAAAACCGCAGAGGCCAAGGATAAAAGCAATTTTTAGGGAAGAAAGGGGCCCGGAGCGCCCCTAAAAAACGATGCGCAACTGAAATAGGCCCGCCCGCCGCTGACGTAAGCGCGGTTATTCGGCTCCGGCGACCTTGTTTTTTTTTCCTTCAATCCCGTTTTGTGCTGTATGTGGTAAGCGCGTAGGGTGCGTATATATAGGTATATATACACAGGAAAGAACACCAACTGGCGATGAGCGTGGTTGGGTCATTGTTTTCCTAAAAGGGCAAAAGACAGCGGAGAAAGTTACAGCCCAGACACCCAGGGCATCCGGACACCCAAAGAACCCACACACCACGGGGATGAAGAGCACGCTACGATTAGCGCTGTTTGCGGCAACTGCAGCCGCGCTCGCAACTGCAGCTCACAGCGAGAAGAGAAATGATGATGATGGAATGCCCATGGATATGGATATGGATATGGATATGGATATGGATATGGAGCAGGGGGGAATGTATGGAAAAGTTGGCAATAGTAATGAAGGCACTACAGCTACTGCGTCTCAGTCGGATCGAACCCCTGTCTCCTCCATCAAATCAACACCCACACCCCACGAACCCAAACACGTGCACGGACTCCCCATACTACAAACTCAATTGACGCCCAATGAAAGGGCCTATTGGGAAGCATACACTACCACCACGTTCTTCAATCTGCCCAAGGATTCACCAAAATCCCAAAAACGAATTGCAAGTATACATACATGGCTAATGGCAATGGTCACGTGTATCGGTTACCCGGTGGCGCTTGTTTTGGGTCACGTGGCTTGGAAGCAGGAAGTATCACCCAAGACGACGACCAGCATTGACAACGACAACAACAACAACAACGACAACGCCAGTGACGGTGTCGATACGCCGCCATCTACGCAGCGCCATTGGCTAAAATTCTGCCACGCAGCACTCACAACCGCCAATGTTTCGGCACTTCTTCTGGCAATGATCATTTTGACCGGATTTTCCGATCCCGCCGTGCAGTATCCCAAAAATGCCTATCGCAGGACGTCTGTCATCGTGGCCATTGTGTCGGTAGTACACCTTTTGGCCACAGTTGTGCGGTACCTGGGCTTTGTGAAAAATGCCAAAAACAAGTCGTATACGCCATTGTCATCGACGCAACACCACCAGCACTCATTGGAAAACTACGAAATGGATTCTGCTACAACTAATAATCGTCACCAGTCCCAATCGTCACATGACTCGGACCTTACTGCTGCGACTTCCGCAAGCTCCCACGCCGGCCCTCACGGCAAGCCCACCGCTAGTCCCGGGTCGCCTTTGGAGTCCCCACTGGCTTCAGCATTAGACTTGGATTCCCGATTCCAACAGAACGACCTGGAAGCCCATCGAAGGTCCCTAGCCGCATTATCGGTGCCGCAGCTACCATTTGCTGCCCGCGTTGCAGCATTTGTGCTTGATTTCACGTCGTGGCCTCTTTTCATTCTCTTGGCTATTGACTGCGTAATTGGGATTGCCGTGGGGAATTTGTTTGGTACAGGATTACGGGTGTTCAATCTTTTGGCCCACTGGATCAAAGGCGGTGTTTTCGTTGTGCTTGGAATCTCTTCTCTTGCGCGCTACTGTGGCGTAGGTGTCAACAAGGGCTGGGCATGGAACAAAACCACCGCCCAAGTGCACCCTACCAGTGGTTTGCGGAATTGGGGGCGCATGATTATGCCCAATGGCTCTATGATCACCATGGAGTTCATCGAGTCGTTTCTCATCTTCTTCTATGGGTCCACCAACGTGTTTCTGGAGCATCTCTCCAACGTCGACGGTCAGTGGCATGCTAAAGATCTCCAGCATGTCTCGATTGCATTCATGTTTATTGGCTGTGGTCTATGCGGGCTGATTGTCGAGTACAAGATGTCAGACTGGCGCAGAAACCAATCTGTAGGGGAAGATGCAGACGCACTGGCCACCGGCACTCCAGGATACACGCCAAATCCGTTCCCTGCATTTACCATCTTTTGGACAGGAATTTTAATGTCTCAACATGCACAAGCGTCTGTCACCTCCACCAAGATTCATGTTCAATGGGGGTCTTTGTTGTCGTATGGGTCCTTTTTCAGACTGCTCACATTTCTACTTCTTACCTGGAAACCCAACAAGGACAACAAACCCTCAAGACCCTTTACGGAATTGATTGCCTCATTCTGCTTGTTGTGTGGTGGTCTAATTTTTATGGAATCGACGGATCAAGTTGTTGAGGCATTGGAATACCGTGGACTAACGAGTATGTTTACTTTCAACCTCAGTGTTGGTGTTGTGACTCTGTTCATGGCCTGGGAAATGCTTCTGCTAATGTGGAAAGACTGGCTAGAAACGAAATGATTCTACGATACATGATAGACCAAAAAAAAGAGAAAGCCCTCCGGCAACGAATAATGTTATTCGAACTTGCCTAGGAGAGGAATCGAAAAAAAGAAAACTAAAAATCTCTCACGAAGGAACGCAACTAATTTCTCAACTGTTCCCAAGGAGGGTTGGCACCTTCAGCTACCGCCGACCTCAAACCCAAGTTGCAACTGTATGAAAGCTCGAGCTTTATAATATTTTAATTTATTCACGTCGTCCATGGGCTGTCTCCTGTAAAGTGGCACTGCTCATCTCTGACACATCTAATAATACATATCAATAAAAATTTGAAGTCTATTTATTATAACTGTAGGTGCTAACGACAATTAGCAAGCTTGATGTCGGTTGATTGTAGGCTTTCTCTTCCCTATTGACCGAGTTTCACGACTATAACATGCTAGTGGGTCTCTTCACATGATGCCTAAAGGAGCTATATTTGCTTACTACCCGCTTTTCACCAACAGAAGCATTATAGCGTTGTGGTCAAGATCAACCATTCTCGGTGATCCGGCCGGCGTTCGAATTCGGACGGAGACGACTATTGCGGAAAATGTCAGTTTGGCCGAGTGGTTAAGGCGATAGACTCGAATAAATTCTTCCTTTGGAGAACACATTGCAATCTATTGGGCTCTGCCCGCATCGGTTCAAATCCGATAGCTGACGTTATTTTTTTACTGGATACTTAGCCTATGTTGCATCTAACGTTAAAACCATGATAGTCATAGAATAAGAACTCTGAGTACCCTCATGAGTACTCATTCAATTATGCCTGCCCAATTTGAGAAAATAATCACTTATTACGATTATTGATCATTTTATAAAATTATCAATCTACACAAAACCACTTGACCTAATACCCAACACAATTGTAGTACAGAAATAACCGCCCATCTCTGCAATAAGTGCGGTTGCCGCATTCCACGTATATAAACTATTCACAGCACTCAGTTTACGTGTACAACTTCTATATATCCTTTTTATACTTGTGTAGCGTCTCCTGTATATAAACATGCCCCGGATCAAGACCAAACGCACCAAAGCCGCACCCGACGGCTTCGACAAGATCCAGCCCACTCTGATAGACTTCGATCTGCAACTGAAGGAAGTACAAGACCAACAAGCCTCGAAACTCAAAGCCAAAGCCAATGAAGGAACTTGGAAAGTCTTGCGCATCACTCATGAGCGGTCCCGGTACATCTACAGTCTGTACTACAAACGCAAAGCCATTTCCAAAGAGCTTTACGAATGGCTGTTACGTGAGAAGTACGCTGATAAGATGCTTATCGCCAAGTGGAAGAAGCGTGGATATGAAAAGCTGTGTTGTCTGCGGTGTATACAAAGTACGGAATCGAGTTCCGAGGGCAACACCTGTATATGCAGGGTACCAAGAAGCGTGCTAGAGAAGAATAGCGAAGATGGAGTGGTCACATTTACCAGATGTGTTCATTGTGGTTGTGCTGGGTGTGCCAGCAGCGACTAGCAGTGACATGGTATTGAGCAGATCATGTGGTAAGCAATTGTTCGTGGCAACGTATTGTCTTCCGATTCTTTTCTTCATGCGAACTACGAGCTCGGTGTTTAGCAACGAAGAGCCGCAAATTGTCGAAAACTTCGATGCGTGAGGAGGGCAACTGGCGCTTTTTGCGGACACACTGACAACGCGTGTGGCAAAATCTCTTGGCCCTGAAATCTAGGCTATTTCATGGAAATGTTCTCCAGAAAACACGAAAAAATTGACGCGTCTCCTTATGCGCTCTAATTGATTTTCGTCAAGGCCCAATATCTGACGCGTTTGACAAACGCGAAAAAAATCAAAATCGAAAAAAAATGTGTGTCGTTGCTGTCCTTCGTGGGCCTGCTCCTCAACCCTGCCAGGGTACTTACAGACATATATATAGTAGGTGATGAGCGCAAGAGGCGAGCGGCCGTGAAAGTCTAACAAGGATAAAAGAAGGATCGCAATCCCCGAACCCGCATTGTGAATCAATACTCTATTACCTAAATGGACAGCTGCGCCGTCGATACCCGCGTCAAGCGCAGATCAAGCTGTGATGTCGCGGAAACCACGGCCTTGACACCGCCAAGCTCGACTGTCAGAAAACCAGGAACCCCAGTGAAACGCACCAAAAAATCACATCCGCTTTCTCCAGCACTTTCATCGCCAATCAGACCGCAAAAGACGCGCAAATTATCGCAAAAGCCAGAACCTCACTTGATCACCACTAGATCCTCCAATTCACAGACCTTAGAAGAGCTGATCGAAACTTTCACAGACGAGAAACGGCTTGCGTTGCTCCAAGATTCTCAGAAAAAGCCTCCCTTCTCCTACGCGATGCTGATTGGCTTGGCCATTCTGCAGTCCGAAGAAGTTAGGCTGACGCTATCTCAAATATACCAATGGATCACTCACCATTTCCCTTTCTACAAACTCTCTGACTATGGCTGGCAGAACAGCATTCGCCATAACCTGTCACTCAACGAAGCTTTTGTCAAAGGTGATAAATCATCGGACGGCAAGGGCCACTATTGGCAAGTCAAGTCGGGCTGTGAGGGTAAATTCTTCAAAAGTGGACAATCAGACGAAGAAACTAGACGGAAACTATCTCAACTTTGTGTGAATGTCTTGGCAGTGACAGCAGTTGCACAAGAGGAGGCACCCGTGACAGGATCGCTAGCATGCGAATTATTCACTCACACAGGAACGCAAGATGGAAAACGCAAATTAAACGTTAAAAAGAAGCTGGAGGAGCCCTGTGAACTTGAAATTTCCACCGACGAAGATAGTGATGATGGTAACGACGACGATGACAACTATCCAAGGCTCACGGCCCCTTCTTCACCATCCCCATTCGAGACGAACCACCACACTGATCACCACGACGCGTTCATAGATGGTCCTGTAGTGGAGTTCTCAGGTACTGAACCATTTCTCAAACATAAAGTTGATTCAGAGTATCCTTGGCGCGAAGATAGCATTAATTTCACGCCACGTCAAGAAGCGAAAAAATATTCTTGCTCTTTCAACACTAGTTTCGAAGGCTCCCCTCATGTGAAGACTCCCAAAATGTCCTCGTCACCTTGGGGCACTTTTGACTCACCAGAGCCTCAGCAAATGACCTCGAGACCCACGACAGGATCGCTAGATTTATCGAAGACGCCGCAGATCAACAAACCTTCAACAAGCACAATAGGCACGCCACGCGACGTTTACTCCATGCGTAAATGGCGTACACCTTCGGCAATGGTCGACGATTTCACACGGTCCCCAATACTAATCAACACCTCGTCACGTACACCGATGTTGCTGGGCGACCACTCGGCTACTAATGATGGCGTTTTAGATAGAGGAGCGCCGTTAAGCGCTCAATCCAACTCCTTTTTCGAAAACATCCGTTACAGTTCGGGCTTGTTCGGCGTCGACGTTTGCTCCGTCTGGAAGAGGGCAGTGGAAAGCGTGCATGACACGTCCACAGGGCAGGGAGCAGGTTCAGAGAACAAGCTCGACACACCGTTCAGGGCTTCACACGAATAGCGGCACAACGGTGAAGCATTATGAACTTTTGGGATAGGGAACACAAACTAAACGCTCTTCATGAGGGAAGAAGGTATGTAACATTAATTATAAAGACAATTAGCATTGGTGAATATGAATTTTGGGTCTTAAGAGCTAAAAGTGGTGATTGAAGTAAAGTTGGTTAAACCATATTTTTTTGACCAAGGGTATTCCAGTTAACCACCGTTCGCTTGAACTTCTCACTCGTGGTTAGTTGATGTTTTTTCAAGAACGCTCTCTTCTAGTTTGACAAGTTCTTGTTAGTAGCCTTTACTTTGACTTAAGCGTAATACCAAATTTCAAGAAGCTATAGTTGCTAGTCAAAAGTTGTCAAAAAAAGGACTTAAAAGGACTCATTGCACAGCTTTTGGAGCCTGTTTAAGAGTTTACAATCGTTGAGAATCAAGCCAACTTAAGGTTTGGACAAGTTCCGATGTCAAGAAAGAGCACCGTTGAGGAGCAAATAAGCAATGTCACTGATCCAAGAGACTTCAGCAAAACGATGATACCAGAGCTTCAAGATACAGACACTTTGCTGCGATGTCATATCTGTAAAGACTTCCTCAAAACACCGGTGCTAACACATTGTGGCCATACCTTTTGCTCGCTGTGTATTCGAGAATATTTGAATCGAGAGCAGAAGTGTCCATTATGTCTTGCTGAGTTGAGAGAATCGATGCTTAGGAGCGAATTTCTGGTCAACGAGATTGCAGCTAGCTACACCAAAGTACGAGCAAAGCTTTTGGAGTTTTTGAGTCGAGAAAGGGAGTTTGAAGCTCAGCCAACTGGTAATAGCTCATGCATGGTCATCGAAGATCATCAAAAATCTCCAGATCGCAGTATTTCACGTATTGGCAATGATAACAGTGACGATGACGACCTTCAGATTATCGCTACAAGGGAAAACAGGCCCGTCAAGCGGACCAAAGATCCAACGATGATTGCAGGTAATAAGAAAACGCGCAAAGAGTCTCCAGGAGCAGGTATTAGCTCGCTTTTGGGCAAAGTCAAGAGTCCCGTTCCGCTACAGCCCAAGCTAGTGGACTGTCCTATCTGTGGAAAGGCTTTCCCACTCGATGTTTTACAAAGAACTCATTTAGACGAATGTTTGTCCACGGAAACACTGGATAAACCTGACAATATCTCAAGCTCACCGGTTGCAGCGAAAATTGCATCCAATTCTTTACCTAAACAACCTTTTGTCACCAACAGCGTCGAAGGGTCCGTCTCAATCCACTCTAACCGATATTCGGAGTCTACGGCCAACAACAGCGTCAGCAGGCTTGCCAAACTAAACTTCTCGTCAACGAGCTTACAACAACTGAAGCAAAAGCTTTCCTCGCTCAAGCTACCCACAATAGGAACGCGACAGCAAATGATAAATCGTTATAACCATTACGAAATGCTATGGAATAGTAATTACATCGACTCAATCGACCCTGTGGATGAAAGTGAACTTCGCAGACGTCTTGCCAGTTGGGAAGCAAGCCACAATACGTCCGAAGCACAGCAGAAGTCCGGTAGCATATCCAAGTTCCTGACAAAGAATCCCATGCAAGATTTCAAGACGGATAGATTTGACAGAACAGGCTGGGTGCGTGCTCATAGGCGAGCATTCCGCAGACTCAAAAAAGAAGCGAAAGCGAGTCTTAAAAGGTTCAAAAACGCCGACACCACTGAGCATGCTCAACTTTCCCAAGTCGAGACCACAAGCCATCTGAATCACAGCTTAAGCAGCGAACAGGGTACCGTACCCAGTAATCAACTTGTTACCAGAAATGAGCATATCACAGCATCGAGCCAAAGTTCATCGTGAACTCAAATCTTAACTAAAAGTTCTTTATTTAAAAAACAAATGAAACACTTAAATTCAAGTTCTCTAGTCAAAGCTCATCGTGTGCTGGTAACTTTTCTTTCTTCAATTTTGCTGCATCAGTGTCTGTTCCGTCAGTTGCAAGATCTGAAGGTTGCTCGCCAACAGCGGGCTCTTTATGTTCATTATCAGCTTCCGCAGTGGCCTCAGGTAAAGGATTCACCTCCTCAACTGGTGCAGGTTCGTCGACATAGGTAGAAATAGCATCTGGAGTGACATCTTCATTGAAGCTTTCATCATCTGCTGAACCGGAGACGTCCGGAGTATAATTCTGTTCAAAGTCACCGGGAACTGCACTTGAAATATGTCCATGAGCAGCAGATGCTTGCTTATGTTCCCATGAAGACGTCAAAGCCAAATTCGTTGGGCTTGTGGTGGTAGTTGAGCTGTCACTAACGAGATTTCCAGAACTCTGTCGAGTCGAGATTGAAATGCTCTCTGAAGAGATTGGCTTTGGATCCTGAGTAACTTTCGAATCAGCCTGAGATGTGGCTAGCGGCATTCTCTCGGCGCTCTCAATATATACCTCCTCAATTTCCTCGAGGTCTTCCGTTCTCTGTCCTTTCTTAGATGTCAAACTACCGGCCTTTGGGGGCTTTACTTCGCTTTTCACGTTCTGCGCCGTCGACTCTGCATCTACGTGAACTGAAGATGCTGCCGTTTGTGTGATCGTGGCAGGAGTCGAGAGCAGTGTTGATGAATCTTTGGCAGAGGAAGACTTGAAATTCTCGAGCACCTCGCTTCCCGAGTTTGACATAGCTGTCTTTTGCGTAGTGGTGGAGGAATTTAGCTCCATGATGATTTTGCTGGTTGTGACATCTGCGCCAGATGGGCTACGGACAATTTTCGTCGTAATCGCCTCGGGTTGTATGGCAGAGTGTGAGATATCAATATTTTTGCTGTCAGACCCTGACAAACCCACTGCAGAGGATAATTGGCTCGATTTTTTGCTGGGAAGCGACGATGATTGTGATACTACACTAGCCTCCGAGATTTTAGAAACTTTCTCATTGGATGCAGTCATATCAGAACTAGTTGAAATGGCAGAGTTGCTGTTCTTCTTAGGCGAAGAAAAGGCATCGCTGTCTTCTGCGGATGCGGTTGTCATTTGAAGACCAGGTGTCTCTTCATCACTGCTACTATTAGGAAGACTTGAAGGGCTATTCTTTGCTGCAGATTCCTTCACGACACTCGTAGTGGGCCATTGGTCGTCAAAAATTTGCGAGCTTGCGCTCTCAGCCTCGATATAAGCAGAACTTTCGCGACTACTGACCAATGACGGCTCATCAGCAGTTTCCAGCTCTTCCGTTTTGAGATCCTCAACACCCGATTCAGCTGTCGATGAAGTTTCGTCCGCTTTAGAATTTTCAGGGACGTCTGAAGACCAAGAAAGTGCAGGCTGAGAGCTGGTGGTTTCTACAGTTTTTGTTTCAGCAAAACTGTGAGAGGCAAGGCTCAGATCTTGACTCGAACTCGAAGTAAAAGTCGAGAAGCTCAAATCTTTCTCAACAGATGGTCGGATATGTCCTGAACTTTGAATCGAATCGCTGATAGATGAGAAGGTCACGGTCTCAGAAGTTACGAATGAGCTTGTAGGTGTTGTAACAGAGCTCTGATGGGTGGGGGCCTCTTTGGTTTTGGTTTGGACACTCACCACATCGCCCACTAGCGTTGTTTGAACAAATTCGTCATTCATTTTGAAAGAAGCATTTCTAGCGTTCCACTTGGCCAAGGCAAACTGGTATCCCTTTTCGTGTAACTTGTACTTGTAGGTAACTTGCACAATAGCCGCAAATAGGACAATAAGAACAAAGTTGGCCAAGAATTTAACAATCTTTTCGATAAAAGACGTTGACGTAGCAAGATTGTCTGGTACACGAATAGCGTGTATTGTGTTGGCGGCCGAAACACTGACCAGGGCTTTCCCATCTGGCGAAAATACGACCCTTGTGATGGCAAAAGAGTGAACTTGTTTGAAGAATTTTGCGACCGTGAGAGTTTTCAATTTCACAATCAAGACGGAGTTATCATTACCAGCAAGGGCAGCTAATTGACCTTTTGGATCCACGTCCATGGAAGTTACACCTTTGATCTTAGTGGTCACAATTTTGGTCTTTAACACAGAGGTTGTGCCAGACTTCAAGCTCACTTTGCAAAGAACTATTCCACTGCCCTTTTTGAGAGCTGCAGCAATGATTACAGTGTCTTCGCCTATGAACCGTATTTTGGAAAGGGTCCAGTTCTCGTTGAAATCCGTCTTACGCACGATAAAGCGGCCTGTGACGATCGAAATAACCTCCAACGTCGAAGCAGTTATGTAGCTGAGTACTTTGCCGTCGGGACTAAAATGTAGATCTTTCACGTCGTTCCCGGTCTCAATTTCGTACGTTTCAGTCAACAATGCTGGATTCAAGATTCGGATCACAGTAGGCAGTTTGGACGACGCAATTGCAGCCACGGATCCGTCCTGAGACATGTAAGTGAGTTTGGTATAGTCATCCGCATTTTTTGAGCGGTCCATATCGACGCTGGCCACAAACTTCAAATGTTCGTTTTCGAATATGTATTTGCGAAGATGATGGTTAGGCTGCCCTGCTTTGACCTTGGCAGAGGATTCATTGCATCCCATCAAAATGATGTTATTTGCAGCATCCAAAGTTGTGGGAGAATCGTCGTTGCTATCAAGTGTCAGCTCCCGGAATCGTTTGATAATTTTCCGTTTTTCAAAGTTCACCTGAAGAGCTGTCAGTTTGTTTGGTATGCCATTGTTGCCCTCACCGCCGCCTCCAGTGACCAAAAGAACATTGTTGTTAAGAAATCTTGCCCCGTAGATTGGATACCCAATACTATAGACTGATTCTTGGACCTTCATTGTCCTGTTTTGTGTGTTTGAAAGTTGTTGATGAGGCTGTACCTTACTTAGTTAAAGGTTTGGTGATCCAATTTCGTATTATACACGTTGAAAAGCTAGCAATGACCAAAGACAGATGGAAGGTTTAAGTTAGAAAAATAAGAGAAGGAAAACAGAAATCTCTTGTTTGACTAATGCATTTGAAAGTGCTCAATTTTCTCTAGAAAATGAATCTACTTTTGCCATGAAAAGCTTGTCCAGGCTGCTACAATAATTCGGCAAAATTGTGAGAGCCAAAACGTTGTTGATTGGGAAGAATGAAGAAGGAGAATAAGAACAATGGATGGTCGACATATTTTGCCAAAAAAATTGACGATAATTTTATTTTGAAGAGCTTAATTTCGGTGGTTCTTGAGTCAGCTTTCAACTAATTGAATCATATGTTGTAGACACATCTTTTTTGATAGATTCTGGAAAGCTCAAAAATAGCCGGAGAAGCTCAGCAGCAATTTCAGGGAGCTTTTGATGATTCTCTACAATTTTTGGGCTAGTTCAGGTGCTCAGATTCGATAATGTCACTTTTCTTCAATGGGATCTCATACTCATATCATAAACTCTGCCTATACTTGGCCTACAGGGCACATTTGAAAAAGCTGAAAAATGCTCAAAATAGCCCTGGATCTCCACTGTACACATCAAGACAATTAAAGTGCTTATCAGCGCAATTATAAACCCATAAGACTCTGCTGTCGCTCCATCTGCTCTTATCTCGTTGCCAGTGGTAAATTAACAATTTTTTTCTAATCTTATAAGTACCAGAAGCTCACCATGGCTTCCTAGCACAATTGTCCACCCAAAAAGGGCCATCCTAGCATCGTTCCGTGCCCACACGCAATCTCACGTCGATTTGGTCTGACTCAGGCTTAAGGTTGGCCCAAACTTCCAACTTTTTAGACGTTCTGCCCCTCTACTTATGACGAAAAAAGTACTGTCTATTCAATCGCATGTAGTTCATGGCTATGTTGGAAACAAGGCTGCCACGTTTCCCTTGCAATATCTTGGATGGGACGTGGATGCTCTCAACACGGTTCAATACTCGAACCACCCCGGCTACGGTCATTTCAACGGGTTTCGATCCCAGGCCAAAGATCTCCGCGATATCATTGAAAAGGGCCTTTTAGAAGGTCTACAGCTCAAATACGACGCAATTCTCACCGGATATCTACCAGACCCAGAAGCACTGTGTGAAATCGGCGAAGTGCTCGGCAATTTATGTGAAAGTGACGCAAATATCAAGTGGGTTCTGGATCCCGTTCTGGGCGACAATGGCAAACTGTACGTGTCCCCGGACGCCATTCCAGCCTACAAGAGTATTCTCTCTCGAGGAAATGTGTATTTGGCTACCCCAAACCAGTTTGAAATGGAAGTCTTGACTGACATCCAAATTACAGACCTTCACACTCTGAAGCTTGCCATAACACGATTCCACGAATTATATCCCAAAATTCCGCATGTGGTTGTTACGAGTGTCACTTCGCACTCGTTCAGCGATAATGCCATCATCTGCGCCTGCAGCGAACGCTCGAATCCCGCCTCAACCTGCTATTTCAGCATTCCCAAGATTGACGTCCAGTTTAGCGGCAGCGGAGATTTGTGCAGTGCACTGCTATTGAATGCGCTTCTACGGCAAGCTCCGGACCTTCCTCGAGCCGTCAACGAGGTTTTGTCACTGGTTGACAAGATTTTGTTAAGAACCCTAGAGCTGGAAAAACAGCAAAATTCGTCCGAAGAGAAACATCCAAAAAAGATAAACGACCTTAAACTGATAGAATCTCGGGATCTCCTGGACGACAGGCCGCAACTCAAGTATACACCAATGCCTTTATAGAACTGAAGAAGCTGATTTTGAGCGTAAAGTCTCGTGACTAAAGTACTCATTCAAGGTGTACTCATAAACACGTACTCATGAGCTTACGTAACGCTATGTACTCATGAACAGATAGAGAATAATATAAGATATTGTAGATATATAAAAACCCTTAGATCAAAGACGCATCCCTCCAAGACCAGTTGAACAGCTAAACAAAAGCGTCTCTGATGGAGGAAAAAAGAGGTTTGAGGCGCTATAAATGCCCCAGGAATGTAGCTGGGTTCTGGGCGATCACAACGACACTTTTTGCGTTGTTTTACCTATACTTTAAGGCTCAAAACCACTCAAAAACTAACACATCTATGTTCACATCAGACCGGGCTTCGATAAAAGGATCTTTCAAGCTCCAAAGCATATACAAACATGGCGTGGGTGCTCATCCTTCAATGCAAGTGCTCGAGGTGAACGAAGAGGTACTGGACGCTACCAAATCCAAGTTTTCGGAGTATACAACGAGCGCTGGAGATGATGAAGAAATGTGGACCTCAAGTTCGCAATACGCAACAGAAAACCCGATGAGTTACGAGTTCGAGCTCTCGTACGAACCACAGTCTCTGAAAAGAATGCTGTATCGAGATCCTGACTTCGTGGAGTCATATCTGGATTTTGCACATGAAAATCCACACATGGCTTCCCAAGTGCATCTAGATTGGATCGATGATACGGTTGTGGTGCCGAAAGTGACGGATAAAAAAACGATCATCAGTCTTGCACTCATGTCTTCTAATGCGTACGTAAGACTGCCGCATACCGGAGACTGGAGAAATCTTTCAAGGCCTTGGAATCACACGGAAAACTCAGGTCATGGCTGGGATGATGATGGTCTGAGAGGCCATGTTTTCAGCAATAAACAGCAGGATATTGTCGTGCTAGCCGTAAAAGGTACTAGTGCCCAGGGACTCGCGGGTTCCGGTGAAGACGAAACTACTGTGAACGACAAGCTTAACGACAATCTGCTATTTTCTTGTTGCTGTGCAAGAATTAGTTACTTGTGGACGACAGTGTGCGACTGTTACATGAAATCCTACACCTGCGACGAGGCCTGTTTGGAGCGTGAACTCAGAAGAAAGGATCGTTATTACAAAGCAGTGCTGAACATTTACAAGCAGGTGGCCGAAAAATATCCAACATCAACTATTTGGGTTACAGGGCACTCTTTGGGTGGCGCTTTGGGCAGTTTACTGGGCCGCACTTACGGACTTCCAGTAGTAGCTTTTGAGGCCCCAGGAGAACTGCTTGCAACGCGGCGCCTACACTTGCCAATGCCACCTGGATACCCCAACTACTTGGAAGGCGTGTGGCATTTCGGAAACACAGCAGACCCTATATTTATGGGAACCTGCAACGGAGCTAGCTCATCATGCTCAATAGGTGGGTACGCAATGGAAACCTCTTGCCACACAGGCAAAGTTTGCGTCTACGATGTTGTCAAAGACAAAGGATGGCACGTAAGTCTCTTCAACCATAGGATTCACAAGGTCATAGATGAGGTTTTGGAAAGTTACGAAAAGCCTGCCCGATGCATACCTCCGGGCCCTTGTCATGATTGTTTTAATTGGGAATACGTCAGAAAAGAAGCACCCTCTCATACCATGGTGTCTTCGACCACTACATCGTCAACAAGATCAACAATCACACCAGAACCAACCATCACCAGTAGCTGCGTAGGTCGCAACTGGTATGGATGGTGCACAAAGTACGATTAATCACCCCACAAACTCTCGCGCCGGCCGTCGAAGTTTTTATACAAGCCTCCCAAATAAGAAGAAGCTGGATGTATTATTACAGTCGTTTCATAAATAGTCGTCATCAACATGAATTTCATATTCGGGAAATTTGTCTCGAAGACATGATTCTAAGGACTTATGATATTGTAGAATAACGCTAGGTATTCTTAAATCAACCTCCTCAACCCAAAAACTTTTCAGCTCGCCCTCCCGTATCTTATGAAGCCTCAAACTGAACTTTTTAACATCACTCAGCACCTGCTCCAGATTTTCTTCTTTCAGGACCGGACTTCCAGAGTCAAAGAGTTTACGAGCCACTACCAAGCACATCAATGATGAATGAACGCACTGAAATATCAATTGGTCAGAAAGAAAGCGAAAATTCTCAAAGTTTTCACTTACCATTGCTTCCACGGCTTTGCGAGCGTGGTCAAGCACTTTTAATTGCATTTCCACAGGCATTGAGCTCACAACATGAAGTATGGAATTTTCTTGATCCAGTGCTGTTATAGCTGGGTTTTGGCTAGGTATTCTTGAGCCTTTGGTATTGCTGGCACTGCTAGACCGATTTCCAATGGTTGCCTTCCTGGCTTGACTGGCTTTGTATAATCTATGAAACCAGGTGTACAGTACAATGGTATGAGCGTAATCCAAAGCAAACTCGGCGTATTGTTTGGAGGGGTAGATGGGTTGAGCTACGAGATAGGCCCACTCTTCATTCCACTTGCGCAGTTCCTCATTAACAGTCTTAAAAGCCACAGCACCCGAAGCATCATCTAAAGGGCTCAAAGCACATTGCTGTACAAATTTGTACAGGATCAATTGTAGCGCTATTTCTGCCACCATTCTTCCATCAAAGTTAGTGGACTTCGAGAAATCCAAAGTTCGACGACAAAGATCTGCTCTCAGCCCATCAATAATACACATTCTACCAGAGAATACGCAATTGGCAGTATGGGCTAGACATAGGTGATTCCAAAGGCGAAATAATTGTAATCTCCGGAACGTGAGACTTGAATCGCTATCCGTGTAGTTGTCTTCGTCCAAGGAACCGTGCAATTCTGAATCTGACACTTGATTTAGTCCAGCTTCATCTTTGTAGTCTTCATCGTCGACGGTTAAGGTCAAAAATTGTTGTAAGCCTATTCCAGAGAGATACCAAGCGTCGAAGGTCATAATGTCACTACTAAAGGAATTTGCGTACAAGGAAAGTAGTGTTATTGCTTGTAGGAACTCAACTGTTTGCGGGACAGCTCTGAGGCTAGTTTCTAGATCGTCTTTGAGTTTGTAAAGCAGAATTTTGTATATTCGAGTCTTTAGATCATGGTGCTGGATTGTATATCGGAGGGCCAGCACGCATGTGGTAGTAAGCAACAAACTTGCATTTCGGGTTCTCAGCATCCTGACCAGTTCACTGGAGTCCAATGACTCCGGAAATGAACACCACTTTCCGTAGCCATGCCGGAATGATTCCATTAGTAAAGTAACTTCGTCTAACGACAGGATATTCATGTCAATGACATCAGTGCTCGTTTCATCTGGTACCAGAGCACAGTGGTACAGTTTGGTTATGGGAAGGGGCACGTTTTCAGTAGCTGCCAGCTGTGTGAACATGGCGAATGGAGAAGCCAGATGTGGTGTTGAATGGCGATGCTCGATTCTTGATGTGGATTCGCCTAGCTCCGGGGAGCCTGCTCTAAAGCTAGTAAGACCCATAGTTGAAGATGAGAGACTGCTGGGCTCATTTCCGACCACTTGATGAGATGCGGCGGCCACAGTGTCGAAGGTAGAATTCACATCTTGCAATTTACGATCAGAAGTGTCCGACGAATTTGCAGAGCCGGTTTCTAACAGTTTTAAAATTTTTGTAACGTTACTGTTGACGTTTTGCAGCAGTTTTGAATGGATTGCGAAATGCTCCGGGGTATACCCACTTTTTAAAAGTCGTTTTGTCAATTCAGCGGACTCATAACTAGTAGAACTAGTGGTATTGCTCGATTTGCCGGAATCCTTACTTTCTTTGTTTAAACCTCCCGCTTTCACCTCTTCGTCGCCCTCAGCTTCCCAAAGGTCTTGAAAAGAGCATCGTAGCTTTAAAGTATCGCATCGAAGACATTGATGTTCATTTGGTAAAGGCGATGGGATGCATCGAGTTTTCATGCGACGACAGGTATCGCAAGCTTTTAGCGCTCTATTACCATTTGACTGAATTTTTCGTGGTTTGCTGATCTTATTTGAATCCTGGTCAGTCATATTCCCAGCTGTATTCGAGCTTTGGTCTGAGTGATGGTAAGATAATTGGGCTAGGAAAGTCAACTTGACTTCAAGATTAAAAGACGTTATTGAACAAAGATAGGTAAAAGATACAGAAGGGAAGACTAGACGAATATGATGGATGTAGATTTGACGTTCATGGGTCAATGACAATGGTTGAAAAGCGTTTGGAAAAAAATCCGAGCTCAAACGGATAAAATTGAGAAAACCAGTAGTAATCTGTGAGCAATTGAATAATTATTGGACATTTCGGTATGTTTCCAGGAGAGATAGTACTTCGTAAGTTCGAATCTGGTTATGGGTACTGGCTTAGTAGCTACTTGGGTCGGTGAGTTGTCTGGAATACGCAATATGATATTCTTGTCGTGACAATCGATCGACTTGATGAGTAAATGTTGAAGATTGAAAGGAATTGGTGGTGCACAGAATGTGGAATTTCTGTGCTAAGAGGGCAGAATGGTATGTTGAGGGAAGTGAGAACGTAAGTCTCTGGCCTTTTGTTTTGAAGTCTGAAATTGAGGGAGGAAAGTGAGGAAGGAAAGTTAGGGAGAAAAGTTTGTTCAAATGATAGGCAAAGTGTTCTAAAAAAGGTTTAATGGTTTCTGACCCAATGGTGTTGACTTTGACCGGGTAGAAAGGTCGGGAGGAATGGTGACGAGTGCTTTTTCGCGAGATGAGCACTTTTGGCGACAGAATAGTACAGAGTGACCTTCGATGAGATCTGCTGTCAAAACCTTCAAAAGTAGCATGCAAAGAATAGAGGTATCGAAAGCATGCGGTTCCGCCTGCAATGTTCGATTTACCCGTGTGCACGGAAACGGCTACATCACTTTTCTTCCAGGGTCTTCTTCAAGAGGCTAGTTTTGAATTTAAATTCCCTAAAACATGCAGCAATAGCAAGAAGAAACTGCATAAGATTTTAAACAATTTACAAGCATGCAAATGACTCCCACGCTTAGAATCACAAGCTGAAGCGCAGAATGGTCACTTTTCTACGTTATCTTTATCATCACTTTATACTAATTTGTCTCGAGAAGGACAGACTGTCTTTAAATCGACAGCCAGCAGCACATCGCAGCGTATATTATTCAACCAAGATCCCATTCAATTGGCCAGCCCAGTGCTTACCACAAATTCAGGACAGTCATCGTGTAATATGTCTCGACTTTCGCTTCCCACTGAGTTTCTCGAGGCTGTAGTAGATGAGCCAGGAAAAAACCCAGTTCTTAATTCGTCATCCTCGTACTTATGTTATGAGTCGAGTGTTACATGCTACAATATCTACGTACCATCAATCTTGAACCTTGCCATCGCAAGATACCATTTCTTTCACCGTAACTAGATAACATCGTTAGTTACTCAAAAATGATCGAAAAATTCTGAAAGTTTCATCATTAAATAGCCCAAATTCACGGCAATCAGCGTAGTTATTACTTTACCCCTTACTCGCATCTCTCGGTGTCTTTTTTCTAGTCGAAAATCTTAGTTTTTCAATATTTTTCGGCAATTATATATAATGTCAAATGGAAAATCTCCGGTCTCTCATCAACAACTCATAACAACAATTATCAAATTAGCCAAAACAACGCATTGATGTTGTTTAAGTACTTCATTTGGGCTGCTTGCGCAGCTGTTGGACTTGTGAGAGCCGCTAACGTGCCTTCTGAGAAAACTTACGAGCCAAATCCGCCTGTTACGCACCGTGTTTTCTTCACGATCGAATACACGGATGAAACTACGCAAGAAGCAAAGGACTTCGACGTAACCATCGAATTGTATGGCACTGTGGTGCCAAAAACCGTGGACAACTTTGCTAAAATTTCCAAGGGTGTTACAGCAGTAATCAAGGGCAAAGACGAGGTCAATGACCGTTTTACCTTGGGTTACCAAGGCACCATTTTCCATCGTATTATCCCCGACTTTATGATTCAAGGTGGCGATGTTTTGCCTAAAGTTGGACCATTCAACATCTTTGGAAAGCAATTTTTCGAGGATGAGAACTTTCAGTTGAAGCACGATAGACCCGGAAGATTGTCTATGGCCAACCTCGGAAAAGAAGACAGCAACGCTTCTCAATTTTTCATTGTGACCGCCTCGGAGCCTCCTACGCATTTGGATGGCAAAAATGTTGTCTTTGGTCAAGTCGTTGCGGGACTAGACGAGCTCATCAACAAAGTTCAATATGTGAAAACCAACGATGAAGACAAACCTTTTAACGACGTTAAGCTCAAGTATGCGCTAATGGAGGAGCTCAAAATCACATCACCTGAAGATTTGCACAAGCAATGGATGGTCAAGGTCCAGAAGTACCAAAACGGTGATGAATCGCAGGGTGTGACTATGGCGGCGACTAAAGCTAAGGGCGAGAAGGAGGAAAAGATTATGAGAGAAGAAAAATACGAACAATTGCACCATCCTGCTGTTAAAGTAGCGATCGGGTTCTCAATTCTCCTTGCTCTCTACATGATCCTCAGAACCAGAAGCCGCATTTTTAATAAAACCTCTAAAATCGTGTCTATGAGACATGACTGAGCGCTGGAAGAGATCGCTGACTCTTTGACTGTATTCTTTATCTCTTTCATACGTAACTATTTGATATGAAGCTGTATAGCCTGTTTCGAAACTCAAAGAAGAGCAAGGGTGCTGATGATGCAGGAAAAGTCAGTTTCTAAAGTTTTTACAACTGTACACTTTTATATGACTCTCGATAGATTGTCTTCTAGAGATTGCTTTGTGATGCCTTTGCCTATGAAAACCACCTTGCAATTTTGGGTTTGCTCCAAGTTGAGACTGGGCAGAACATCAAAAGTCTCTCGAACGCCCTGTATGATTTTACAAGTGTCAGCAACACGAAGCAGACCTTTTGTCCTCAAAACTTCCCAGTCACCTTGAACATCACATCCAAAGCCTTTCCAAAGAACAGTACGCAAGAAATCTTTGAGAAACCTCTGAAATTCATCCTCGTTGACCAGAGGTCTAAATTCAAGAGTTACTGTGGTAATACGAGGGTCGTGGAAAGTCGCTTGTGGAGCATTTTCGAACTTCACGGTGTCAAATGCGTGCAGATCTAGAACTTTGTTCAATGGGATTTCAGCATAGCTTGCATAATGTATGGGAGCCATTGAATTTATTTGGCGCACTTTGAGTTCAACTTTTCGTACCATCTCGCTATCGCTGAGTCTGTCCATTTTGTTCAAAACGATGGAGTCGGCCATGGCGATTTGCAAATGTGAAATCGTCATATTCCCCTCGATACCGACATCTTCGCCATGCCAGTGTGTTGCAGGAGAAACATCGTCCAAACAAGTCAAGACATTTTCGGCGTCTAGAACAGTCACGATCGAGTCCAAGTACACGTTGCTGTAAAGGCCATCGTCCTGCCAGAACATTTTTGCAATTGGATGTGGATCTGCGACCCCAGACGTTTCTAGCAAGATATAGTCGATTTTTCCAGGACAACGAGATATCAGACCTTCGATTGCTTTGACCCCGACGTCCTGCATGCTACAACACAGACACCCGTTTCCAAGATCGAGCCATTCTTCGTAAGAGCTTCCGCCCTCCCGTATTGTCATGGACTTTTCAATCTCGCTCGAGTCTCCGAACTCGTTGAGAATAACGGCAATTTTTTTGTCTGAACCCTTTAGGGCTATTTTCTCCAGCAATGTGGACTTACCAGAGCCCAAATATCCAGTAATTATTGTAACGGGAATTTTCTTGTCACCAGTGGCACTTCCAACTTCCAACTGCTTGTTGGCCTGCTCTATTTTCCTGTCAGTCGCTATGCAATGTCCACCATCAGAACTAACGGCTCCCAGAAGCTCGTTCAAATTTTGTTCGTTTCCGCCAACCAATGCGGGCAGTTCCCCGTCCTCTTCCTGTCGATAGCTGTAGTCCTTACGTGCCGACATATCAAAATTTGTTGTTCTTGGACAGTGCTCATCGCTGAAATAAGTTGTAATTGGTATTCTATACAGGTAATTTATATACATAATCATTAAAATGGAAAAGAGAAGACAGATAATAGAACTTGACTTCAATTTTCGAGGAATTGAAATGTTAGGACGGTAGCAGCAGACTTTTTAAACGTAGCAATGAAAATAGCATCGTTTTCAGATGCCCTATCCTGATTTTCGGAGCCCATAGCCATTTTTCCGAAAATTTTGGGTGACATGAGTCGAAATAAAACAATAAAGCTCACAGATTACTTGATCGGAGTCTAGATACGAGAATCAGGAATTAGTGGATATTTTTGGATTCATCAAATGTTGTTTTTATGGCTGTTATTTCCAAAACATCGAATCGATGACAGTCGTCGTATTAGTACAAAGTGATCTGGCGCGAGGTCAATATTTCATTGTATTTATGGATAACCACTATTCACAAGAATTCAGCCACCATAGACACTGACCGGTTCCAAGAAAAATAGTGTCAATGCATCCTCGTCTTATTAGAGCCCATTGCCTTTTTTTATTTGGTTCCAATTAGCTGACTAGTTCAAGAATCAATTTTAGAAGGTCACACTGTAACGACGAAACCCACTGACACGAAATATCAAGGCTACACGAAGAGCACCAAACACACTGAAAATAATATCAATGTAACACCAATATACACATCAAAATCTACAATCACCTTTTGAGTTCCCTCGGTAGTTCTTGTTTCTATGATTTTAAACACCGTCACAACATTTCAGATCACGAGGTGCAGTAATTGTATATTTATTAGGAATAAGGTAGACCATTTCCCACATCACCAACTTTTCACCTCTTATTCGATACCAAAGCACGTACTATTGAAGCATTCAAGATGGGTCAATTGAGCCTTGGAACAAGCCTTTTGATACTCTTCACAATCGGTGCGCATTTATACCTTTCTCCGTATACCAAAGTCGAAGAAAGTTTTACTATTCAAGCCGTCCATGACATTTTGAAATATGGGATTTTCGATATCTCGAAATTTGACCATTTGCAGTATCCAGGCGTTGTTCCTCGCTCTTTCATAGGCCCATTGGTGATAGCAGCAATTTCCTACGTCCCCCTTGAGATTTTGAAGTTTTTAGGACTGAAATCGTCAACGTCGAACTTGGACGCTCAGTTGGTGGTGCGCTCCGTTATTGGCTTGACAAACGCTTTGGGACTCATTTACTTGAAAAATAAAGCCCAGGACCTACTAGACCGCCAGGGAAATTTGTCAAAAACTTCAAAATCAAACGAAAATGCAAAACCCAAAAAAAGCTCGATTGGCACCTTTTTCTGCTTGTTGCTTGTTTCTCAGTTCCACATCATGTACTACAGCTCCAGACCCTTGCCCAATTTTGTCGTGGTTTTGCCTTTGGTTAACGTGGCGCTGGGACTCATTCTGGAGGGCAAGAAAGCTCGTTTCGCGCTGTTGATCTTAACTTTTTGCAGTATTGTATTTCGTCTCGAGCTTGCTGCATTAACCGCAGGTGCCGCTCTTGCACTTCTTTTTGCCAAACGAATCACTTTCTCTGAAACGGTAATGTTCGGGTCGTTGGGTGCTGCACTGGGCGCAGTGGCATCTCTATACGTGGATTCTTACTTCTGGCAAAACTGGACCTTGCCAGAGCTAGACTCTTTTCTCTTCAACGTTGTGGAAGGCGAATCCGTCAAATGGGGCATAATGCCTTTTCACGCATACCTCACGAATTCTTTACCCATGATTTTTGTCCCACCTACCGTGCTTTTCCTCAATATCGTGGGATTTGGTGTCGCTCCAAAAGAGCTCAAGATTATAGCACAAGCTGCGTATTTCCATATCTTCGTTTTGTCTTTCCAACCTCATAAAGAATGGAGGTTTATTGTTTACACCATTCCTGTGCTCACAGTTGTGGCGAGCTGTGGAGCTTCGCAAATCTTTAACTCACGGAGAAGCAGCTTTTTACTAAAACTTGTGATTGGTACTCTTCCGATATGCTCACTAGCAATTTCGATTGTTTTTTCGATCGTGTCCTCACTAAACTACCCCGGAGGTGAAGCTTTGGCTCAGTTCAATAATTACGTTCTGGAAAACAACATTAAAGGTGCAACTGTTCACATGGACGTTCCTGCTTGTATGACGGGAATCACCAAATTTGGTGAATTGGACGAAAAGTTCAACATCCACTATGACAAAACTGAAACTCTTTCCGCACAAAGGAGAGCATGGCCCACTTTCGATTATCTCATTTCAGCTATTTCAGAACCTAAGCATTTTACAGTCCCTGGCGAAAACGCTTGGGAACCTTTGCACACCACAAGAGCCTTCTCGGGTATTCGCTTGTCTTTCTTCAAGGAACTCGCTCAAAATGAGCTGACATCAAACTTTCCTCTAGCACGTCAGGTCTTGAAGTCTCGAAGCCTTCACCCTCTCATATCGACGATACAGGCCAGTGTCACAGACGATGCCTTGTTCACATTTCGCAGAGTCAACTCAAAATCCGACACTTGATTGCAGGTCAGCTATTTACAGATACAGATAAACGTGCATAGTTAATGCAACCATTTGCATTTATTTCAGAACGTAGTGGACAACACCTGCTTCACACGTTTTACAACATCGCCCTGTATGATCACCTTTCTGGACTCCATCATGACTCTAAACTTGTTTTTTGGTATATGCTTCAAAAAGCCCTGAAGGTCATTTCTCAGTTGCACAGGATCACCACGAATTCTCCGAATCTCAGTGACTATCTTGCCATCTCTTTTGACATCTGTGTAAACTGGCAGGTTCCCGGTTGCAGACCTTTCTACAAAATAGGATTTTACACCAAAGGGAGCGTGTCCAACTAGTTCCTCAGGCTTCACATCGTGGATCGAGGGAAATATGCTAAATTCGGGCTCCTCAAGAGCGCTCGACAGATCTTGAATCTCCTGTTGTGAGATGGGATTCTTGGAATCATCCTTTTCAGTAGTATTGGGTTCGGAACTGTTTACTACTGTGCTCAGCGACCTTGCTGGGCCAAAATGGCCGGCCAAAACTGCAGAACGAAAAGCAGATTGACAACCAACAGCTCTGAAACGTATCATGCTCAACATGATGTGCTTGGAGGGTTAAAGTACCACTGTTTTGATCTTCTTTGGTGGTTAGCCCATACTGAACTTGGATATATGGTCAAAATTTTTGATTAGCACCTCGTTCGAAGTGAGCTCTCGAAGATACTCCCGTCATATGGACTTACCGCCTGGTATCTATCCCTGGAAGAGCTTTGAATTGGATTGCATGGATTCAATGCTGTTTGGCTTATTTTTGTTCACATTTGAGTTAATTTACAGTTTATAAACGCAGCATTTGAGCCTGCAAAAAATGCTAGCAAAATTCCAACTAGTTCGAACATTTTCAATGAGTCCACAGTCTCACCATTTTGTCCTTGCCAGCACTACAAACTCGTTTACCGTCCACACTCCAGTCGACGGTATAGACCTCGTCGTTGTGGCCAGGAAGATCGACAGACAATTTTTTGGTTCTTACATCCCAAACTTTAAGAGTAGTGTCTTTAGAGCATGACACCAGCAGCCGGCAGTCAGAAGACCAAGCAACCTGATAAACACTGGCCACATGGCCACGGAAAGTGGCAACAAAATTGCCGTTTCTGCCGTCCCACAACTTAATGGAGTTGTCAAAAGACGCAGAAACAATGTATCTACCGTCTGGAGAAAATGCAACGTGATTAACAAGCTTCTGATGTCCCGTCATCCTTGTGATGGGCTTGGTAGACTTAATTGGGTCCCATAGGTACATGGTGAAATCGTCACTAGCCGTTACCATGATTTCTTCGATCTTGCCACCCTTCTTAGCGATTTTCTCATAGTTTTGCAACGCTTTTTGTTGAGCCTCTTCAGCCGACGCAGGTTTTTGGCCTGTGTGGTCAAAGGCACCGACTCGAAGCGCGTAGTCGGTGGAGAGCGACAAATGATTAATCCAGTGCGCGTGTGACTTCATAACGTTGATGCACTGGCCCGAAGAATTCATATCCCAAGCTCTGATGGTTTTGTCGTGCGAACCACTGTAAAGCACATTGCGTCCACCCCATTTGACGCAGGAAACAGAGTTTGTGTGGCCACTCAAGGTCATGAGGCAAACACGTCTTGTGGTATCCCATATCTTGATGGTTCCGTCCTTGGAAGCCGATGCCAACCTGGGCTTGTTGCCAGGTTTCACAAGGTGCACTGGCTCCCAAGCGAGCGAGGTAATCCACTTGGTGTGTCCCTTCAGAGCGTCCCCACAGCTTTCACCCTTTTGAGCGTTCCAAAGTCTGATTGTGTTGTCCATAGATCCCGTAGCAATCAATTCCCCGTCCGGTGACCATGCCACGCACAAAACCCAGTTGTAATGGCCTTTCAAAGTGTACATGGGCGTACTGGTGTTGCAGTCCCAAATTCTTGCAGTATTGTCACCGGACCCGGTTACCATGCGTGCACTTGTGTTTGGTGCAAATGCAGAACATAAGATCGTCGCTCCATGACCTGCTATGGCCGATGAACTTCTCGTTACAGGACGCACCTTGAAAATTGCACGCGGTGTGAAGACGATGGTGAGGAAGTCTTCGGTGGTTTTATGGCCAGGTTTCAGCAGTGAGCTGTATATACTGTCTTTGATATCCACTGCTTCCTCTGGTTTGCCCTTTTGGCCACCTACAAGACAGCTGAAGGAGTACGGAACAGGTTCATCGGATTCACCTTGCAGCTGATTGAGAAGCTGCTCAAGCTGCTGCTCAGTGGTGCCACCTGGGACCCGCAGGGATCCTCCCACAGTCTCACCGGTGTCGAAAGCTTGGAATTTCACGAGAACATGAGGCAGATCGTCCGGAATAACGTCAACTTCACGAGGCTGTTGGGCCTGTTTTTTCTGCTTTTTCGAGGGCGGTGGTACTAACGTCGCCATGGCTAGTCAAAATGCGTTTTTAAAGATGGCCTTTTCCGATGCGGCACAGTCGAACTGGTCCTTTTATGTCGGCTAGTTAGCTCATCCCATCTCATCTCATCTCATCGCCTTGAAAGCTCATCGCAGCTGGCACCATAAATTTTTCAGTCACGTTGAACGGAATCTCGAATTGAAAAATTCGATATTGGATTACGTAATTTGATTTAGCCGCCGAGGCCTAAATTGGAAATGCTCGAACTGTTTCTTTTTCGTGCATATTTAGGCACAATGGCTAAAGGCCGCCGTGGACTTAAGCTTGATTGCCAAGAACTTTGTCGGCTAAACAGTTTAGAAGTCTTATAATCTTGAGTGTTCAAGCCTTTTCAAGTGAAACCGATAATCGTACGCGGTTTATCAGATCATTTGATCTTGTTTCGAAGCGATTAAAATAAGGACAGATTCATGAACAAATTCATAGAGAGACGTTAAAATGCTTACTTGTAAGAAGGAAATTTGGGCTCACTCTCGATGTCAAAGCTGTATTTATGCTGGTGGTGGACGCCGATTCACACTTTTATAATAAATTACAGCATCACAGAGCCTCGATTTTGTTGGTCACCCAATAAGATACTATCTTCAGAGTGGTTCTTCTGGTGAGGAAGCACACCATTAATCTCCATTTCACCTTTAAGTCATTTGTGTGGTACGGATACTATTTCCGACCATAAACTTAGTTGCTTGAGGGGACAAGCTTTAGGAACATTCTATGCCAGTTCTATATCTTTATAACAGAGTGAGCATCTTCAAGCTTTGACATACATCAAAATCTAGCAGAGCACCTACATGAACAAAATAAAATGTTACATTATTAAAGTATATTCGAAACGCTAACATCAATTTCTGCCCCGTTTATCTTATCTAAATTATTCTTCCAAAGTTTCTTCTGAGTCATTATCATCGAATGCTAACTTGCGAATTTCCAGCATCCATGGGTCGCGTAAGAGATCCATAGCCGTCGACCTCTTATTAGGGTTTTGTTTTAAACAACCAAGCAGAAAGTTCCGACCGTTTTCTGAAATTTCGTCCTTCGAAGGCATTTGGGGAACATGCCCGGCAGCAACATGGTACATTATTGCCCATTCATTATCCAGATTGTACCAAGGCCGACGTCCCGTTGCCATTTCCAAGACAACACAACCTAGAGACCAAATGTCGCCTGAGCCGAAATTACCCCTCTCGGCTCCCGTTACTGCTTCCGGAGACATGTACATCGGTGTACCCATCATACTATTACCACCCTCTTTATTATCACCGCCTTGTGCGCCGACTTTGGTTCCATTCGCAGCGAGCGAACGAGCGGCCCCGAAATCCACAAACTTAATGACACCGTTAAAATCTAACAGAATGTTTTCAGGTTTAATGTCTCGGTGCACCACACTCGATTGATGTAGGTAAGCCAGACCTTCTAGCATTTGTAGCGTGTATACTTGAGTCACCATTTCGTCTTCAATTCGACCATGTTCTAGAAGTTGAGCCAACGACCCGCCTTCACAGTACTCCATGAACAAGTTGACCTTGTCTCTATGCACCTCCACACCGTAGTATTGAACCACATTAGGATGATTAAGCATTTCTAACACACTCATTTCCTCTTTGATGGCAGGAAATACTTGCTTCATTGAATTTCGGTCTTGTATCTTAATTTCTTTGACAGCAAGAATTTGACCGGTATCCAAATTGACGGCCGAGAAAACTGTGCCAAACGCGCCTCCTCCAATGAAGTGTCTTTTTTGCCATCTGATGGAAACGTTCGACAAGGAGGAAGCAAGTGACTGCAAATACTGATTGTCGCGATCCGATTCGTCCAAAACCTTTCCTATGTGCCGAGGGTTCTGTTTCACTTGTCTTTCCATGTCTTGTATCGCTTCCACTCTCACTTTAGAGTTGACAGCCAAAATAGAATCATTGTCGTTATCGCACGCTCCGATATTAGTTCTTATCTGACCATGACTCAGTAAGTTCTCTGACTCAGTAGTCCGAGTTCCCATAATATCAAAATGAGAAATTAGAAGTGTCATACAGCCAGAGATCTTTTCTTGCAATACAGAAAATTGCCTTTCATCCAGACCCAAAATATTCCAACCCGTGGTCATTTGCATCGCAAATTCCATAGCAGGTACGCACCATCTAAAGGTACGCAAGTCTTCTGGGTCGCAGTCATCTACCAAAAAATTGATCCAGGCAATGCTGATCTTCATCAACATCAAGATTATCATTGATTTCTTCTCATACGTTGCCACGTTAACCCTTAAAAAGTTACGTGCAAAATCCCGGCAAAAGATGAACAAATTGTTCAATACTTCGTTGCCTCTAAATTGAGATTGAACATGGTCGGTTATTTTGTTGGCATTAGCCATCACCGTGTAAGTAATCCTAAAGTAAGCACGGTTAATTTTTTGAAGAGTATACTCCAGTTGGTTGATAGAGGACCTTTTCTCACTAAAAGAAACCGCGTCGCCAACAAAGTGCTCGAATCTATCACACTGATATTCCATTGCATAAGTCGATCCTTGATTCATCAAAACCAGGGTGTCAGCCGGTAGTTTGACGCTGAAGTCATTATTGGTCAATATGACAGCATCTGAGAGATTGAGCATTTCACCTTCCCACAAAATTGGTTCCCGAGGACAGTATGCAACAATGTAGCCCAAAGTTTTGAGCTTCATTTCAAGCTCGAACATTTCTCTCTCTTCCAACTTTATTTCTTCTGCTTGATGAGTGCTGTTGTTGTTTGCAGTTCGGCGGCCCCTCATGGTCGGACCTCGCCCGTGCGGTTCAGAGTGAACATGATAATAAATCACACCATTAGCACCATATTCTTGAAATAAAATGGCATTTTGGTCCCAACCGCTCTCGAGTGCATTGTAAACACTCAAACTATTCTTAATCTCAACAGTTGGAAGAAGGTCAGAACCAATAGCCGAGTTATGAAGAATCTTTATAATTTCTTCGTCAGACGAGCCAAGAAGTTCTCCACTACAAAAGAGATAAACTCCGTCCTTTTCGAGCTGCCCGCCTGTGTACAAGAGAAAGTGGCCAGAGTCCTTCAAGTTTCGCAGTAGATTTTGATTATCATTAACTTTGTAAAGCACGGAATTTTGGAACGCTTTTGTGAGTACGTTGGAAAACCGGTTGATTTTTCGTTTCACTGAGCCAATATTTTCGATAACTTGCACTAGCCATCTTTCCGCATCCGCAGCCTTTTCAAAATTAGGTGGATGATTTTGCTCGCGAAGAATATAGGAGTGTAAGCGGTTAAGCAACCGCAAGGTGAGATTAGCGAAACCTTCGGCTACAACATTTCCAGCACCAGAGATAAAACAGCCAACGTTTTTCAATTGATCCCAATACTTGAGAAGCTCGTCGGGCTCTTTGAAAGTCTTGAAGGACTTTCTAGCGCTATCGATCAATTTTAAATGCAGTAGCTTGAAAAGGTACACTATAGCTTCATTGACAGTGTCATCGAAATCGGCATCAATTTGCGTAGAAAATGTCCAACCAGAGCAATACAGTACTACTGTATGTTTGATTTGCACAGATAGTCTGATGTATGAGCTGAAATCGTCTATCATTTGGTCGATCATCATCATTGTTGGATTGTTCAGTTTCTTGGCATATTCAAGTCGAATCAAAATGATTTCTTTTACAAGCTTGAAAGGAAACATCAGTAGAATTTCCAAGCTTTTGTGCAGAAGTGGCAGATTCATTTCCTTCACAGTCTCAGACAAGGTGAAGATGGAAACCTTTGCCTTCAGAATCCATGGAGCATGGCGGTAAAACAGTTTCTTTTGGAAAATGCTTTCAATGTCACGCTCCTTCAAGATTTGTTCAGCAAAAGTAGTCTCGTTTTTGAAAACTCCGTCCTCTTCTGGAAAAGAAGGCTTTAAGTTGACATCTAATGAATCGCTACCAGTCCACGCTTTGAGAGCTTCTATTTCGCATTCAAAAGCTTCTCTTAGGGTTAAAAAAGCATTCATGGCAGCGACACGATGTTGGAATTCCTCTTGACCCGTCAACGGTTTTTCATAATGCATGTGTTGGGAGTTTCTCCAGTAAGATGTTACTTGGTGAAAATTCTCCAAAAGAGGCTTTACTGTCTTCGCCGCATAATCCACATCGACATTGTCGTCGAACTTTACATTCATAATCTCTTCGAAAACAGGATCAGTAGAGTTCCTTAAGTATTCTAGAGTGTTACGCTCTTCTTCAATTGACCTGCAATTCATCCAAGCTTTGAGCTCCAGCCAAAGTTCATCCGCGTATTGAATACCTGTGTTCACGCGATGCCCGTGAAGCGAGATCTTGCTCTTTTCGCTTTTCACTATATCACCCTGCAAAACATTGGCCAAGATGGCTTGCCATTCTAATCTCTCCAGTACATGTGGATTCTGCGATAAACGCTGAACATACGCGTAGCTATCGCCCTCAAAGCTTCGAAGTCCTGGTGAAATTGACGTCCTGCCACTACTTGGGCCCGCGGGAATCCGCTGCTGTGTGCCAAGTAACCCTTTGACCTCCTGGTCCTCTGGATCGACGTTCCTGAGCCAGTCCATACGAGCTAGTAGGAACTTGGAGCTCATGGTAAAAAGTTGATCGTCAAACGCCAAGGTGTTACCCTTTTGAGTCGTGGTGTTAAAATTTGTGCCAAAAGTGGATTCATCAGCATCTGTGTCTTCTGTCTCCGCTTCGTTGTCTGTCTCATCGTCGTCTTCATTGGAAGAGGCCGCGATTCCGCGCGTATAGTAATCGTCGAGACTGCTTTTCTTCATATGATTCAAATACAGTTCTTCATTAAGCACGTATTGCTTTTGCAGCGGCTTGTAAGACCGATGTGATGAGTTCGTACTTGTGGCCTGAGACGGCCGTGACGAAGACTTGGTAGAGCTTAATTCTTGATGAAGTGAGGCAGTACTGCCAGCGTGGGAGTTGGTGCCTTCAACGCTGCTGAGCTGACTTTGTGGTGAGTTCAGCGTTGAAGTGCTATGAGAGTTGAGGGACGCAAGGTTTGGAGGCAGCACCAACGTTGGTGTCATACTAGTGTCCAGACTCACAGCTGAAGGCGCTCTATTAAAACCTCCACTGCTATTGCTAACAGAACTAGACCGGGTTTTTTGACGCCCCGGGGACGTTACAGAAGCGTCCAGGCTTGCTGCTGTTCCCTGAGTACCCTGCTTAGTTCCCGACGCGCCCGAAATGGAGGGGTGTCTGCTGTTTCGCGCAGAGGGGGCCCCCGAAGGTGGTGAAACTAGGCTCATGGCATGCTTCAAAGCGCTCGTATTGAGCTTCATGGTGTTGAGCGGCGAATGATTGTGCGACCCTGATGGACTCCTTAGCGATGTAGCCGTGTTGTAGCCGGGACTTCGAGGCTGCTGCGACTGCAGGGGCCCCATTTGCCGCGATGGTGAATACGATCGCGAATTCCCGTTAGAAGCCATAGATTGCTTCAATTTTGACCGGGTTTTCGCCCTTCCGGACGTCCCACTCTTGTCTTCGAGCGTGTAGCCCTGTTTGAAGCTGAAGTAGTCCTTATCCATGATAGGGTACGTGGTCCTTTGATCTTTTTGACAGTTTGGGAGGTTACACAGTTCCCATGATTCTTCAATTATATATATTCGTGTTTCGATATTTGACTTGCGGTCATGTGACGGTGCGAAAACGCCGTGGACAGAAAGAAATGGACGAATGAGTACAGAATACATTGGACCAGGCGTGAGAAGCCGCATTTATTCGGCATTGTTTCTATTGAAATTGATGGAAGAAAGTCGTTTGAATCAGGTTCAAAGTTTTGGTGACTTTCTTATTATCCAATTTTTTTTTTTCGCGTCGTTGGCTTTCTTGTCGTTTTGATGTCTTGAAATTAGGCGTTAGAGTTATCATCAATTAGAGGGAGGAGGCGGCCTCTTGGAATGCTATCTTCTTTGATTTTTATGGTCAAATTTAGCTCGGAATTTTTGTTTTCATAGCATTGAAGCTAATTGTACAGAAAATTAAGCAAACTTGAGGGTGGGTATCGATATGTGAATGAAAGGTGAGATTTAGTCTCTTTGCGTCGCCACTAGTTGACAGCCGCAAACACGAGCCTTGGGTGAGCTTGATGTGTGGTTTTGTTGTTGTTGCTGGTGGCAATGGATTTATATCTAGTTTTATTGAATTTTCTCATGTGTGAATTGGTGGAAATTCTTGCCGTGAAGGACGGCTAGTCGGACAGTCACAAATGGTCAAAAACACGAGAGAATTCTCAAACGCGAATAAGTGCCATGATAAAGGCTTTACCCATATTTTGAGAACTTGAAGTCTAAATGGCGTCAAATTGAAGCCAGAGTGATCATGTGCACGTGATGTTTGCGACAGCGTCAGAATAAAAATCCATGACAGCTTTGATAACTGTGTTTGAGTCGTAAACATACAGCGGGTGGCAACGAGCATCTTGTTCCAGTTTTATCGATAAAGAGGCGTTCTCTCTTGTTTCTGAAACGCAAAAGAGAGCAGCTTTCCTTTATTTCAAGGATTTATTCCAACGAAACTGTTTTCCCCTCGAAGTATCCCATGTTTGGTGTAAAAATAAATGATTCACAACCGTATTTCTACAAATTCAATTGCCACTAAGTGTTAGTGCCTCCAAAAAAGCCCATTCCTTAATATTTTTCTCTGCACACAGCTCTATCAAAAGCTTTCCGCCGGCCGATTATCAGTGTTACGAAAACTGGCTTTGAAAATTGCACACAAAGTATTTTGTTGTAAGCTTTTAAACCACCTTCCTTATCAATAATCAAAATGCTTCGTTTCGCTGTGGATTTTCGTTACTACTCGAATGGCTCTAGGTTATTCACCGTATGGTCAATTCAGTTTGCGGTGCGGCTGTGGGCCTGGGCATAACTTTCTTTCGTGTGAAGAGTTAGCTTCTAAATATCTAATTACTTCAAAAGCATGCTTTGGAAGTGGTCTACTGGTGATGGTGAGAAGATACTAAACGCTTTCTGTTCTCTTTCTGAGGAAAGTGTCAGATTTATAACTTGATGTTATTTTGAGTCACGTGTTTGAATGTCAGCGATACAGTAGGTAATAACGATAAACTTTTGAGAACGTCGCCGTAGCCTCTTATTGGATCTCGTTCCTTCATCGAATAGCTCGATGATTTTTCAGCATGTTAAACTTTAACGAACGCCCCACGAAGAATCGTGAACAATTTTAGTAACAAAATGAACCAGAGAGTCAGTTTTATATCAAAATCTCAGCAAATTTCCGAACCTGAACTCCCAAGGTAGCAAAAATAACCAATAAAGATGTCTAATAATTCTTGCTAGCTCAGCAACATGTTTCCACAACCATTGTCCAACAAGAAGACTCAAAATTATCAAAACTTTCTTTTCAAATTTTATCCGCGCTAATGTGGCCATTTTGGACCTGGAAAAAAAAGAGAATAGCCCAGAATTTCTGATCTTGTCATCGAAAGCTTTCGGCAACCTCTAACGCATCAAAACTTGAGTTAAAACCTCTAAAAATAAGCTTTCAAAACTATATCACTATGTACGTTGGTGTCTCTCCTAGGCCCATCGATATATATTAGATCTTAACAATGGCTAATTCAAATTCAAATTCAAATTCTAATTCTAATCCTGGTTTTAACCGTTGACAATTGACCGAGTATGAACACCCCACAACTGTTCTTCCGTCCATTCTTTTGCTGCTAATGGAGCTTGACAAGTGTTTAGAATTGCTGTACAGCGGTCAGCTTTTGCCCGAATCTACTCTGAGGGCGTTATGTTTTAAACTCAAAGAAAAACTGGTTAAAGAGTCCAATGTGGTGCATATGTCTACTCCGGTGACAGTTGTGGGAGACCTACACGGCCAATTTCACGATCTGCTGGAAATCTTCCAAATTGGTGGGGCAGTGCCAAACACAAACTATCTTTTCCTCGGGGACTATGTTGATCGCGGTCTGTATAGTGTTGAGACAATTTCGCTGCTTATTGTGCTTAAACTGCGATATCCCAATCGGGTGCATCTTTTGCGAGGAAATCATGAGTCGCGGCAAATCACGCAGAGCTACGGTTTCTATTCAGAGTGCCTGAACAAATATAACGGTGGAAGCGGCGTGTGGCAGTGTTTCACAGATCTATTTGACTATTTGGTCCTTTGCTGCATTATTGACGACGAACTGTTCTGCGTACACGGAGGACTTTCTCCCAATGTGCAGACGATAGACCAAATTCGAATTATCGACCGGTTCCGGGAAATACCGCACGATGGTGCCATGGCAGATTTGGTATGGTCTGACCCAGAAGACTCAACGGGATCAGAGGCCAACGGGGGCCGGCTCACAACTTCTGCGACTCAATTTCAGGTCTCTCCTCGAGGAGCAGGCTATACATTTGGGCGCAGCGTGGTGGAAAAGTTTCTACAGCTTAATGGAATGTCACGCATCTACAGAGCGCACCAGCTATGCAATGAAGGGTATCAAATATATTTTGGTGGCCTTGTGACAACAGTATGGTCAGCACCTAACTACTGCTACCGCTGTGGTAATAAAGCATCGATTTTGGAGCTGTACGACAAAGATCATAGTTTTTTCAATGTTTTTGAAGAAGCGCCTGAAAATAAGCTGCTTAATAGCTCAGCTACATACAGAAATGGTGGAATGTTGAGCGAGTATTTCGACGAAAGCGTGGAATCACCAGACATGTTCTCGGATGAGTATCAAGTAGCTTCAGCATCGAAGCGACACGTGGAGTACTTCCTGTGAAATTACGGTGCTGGCACCAAGCCCAGGTGAATGTTCAAGGATAGCATTGCTGGTATTACGTTTTGGGACCTATATTGCACTAATTAATGTATAATAGCATTAACAACCCTGCATACATACCGCTTTGGTTTGCAATAGAGGTGTAACTTAAGTGGGAGTCCTGGCGATAAGCAGGACAGTGCGATGTCTAAAGTTTTGACAAAGCTTTTGATTCTGGGAGCAATCGATAAATGCACGTTAACGCACGTATAGTAGCAGAATTTTGATGAAATTCGCACAAATCCAAGCTACCCAACCGGTACAGTAATCAAATTGCTTGAAATGTGCATATACGTAAATTTGCAACCAAAACCAAGAAAATGAACTTACAGCCTATCGGGCTGTTGCATTCCATTCAAAGGTAGTATAGTTCAAGGTATGTTCCGTCATGAACCTCGTAATCATCTAAACTGATATGATCCTTGAGCACAGAACCACCTTTCTGAAGCTCGATTTTCGTCCAAGAAACGCCCAATTGAAGCGCTAGAACTTTCTTGAAGTCCCCAACAAGATCCTCACTCATGCACTTGACCCTGATCTTTTTTCCTAAACGATCATTGACCTCCACTTCTATCATTTTCGAGATCAGTCTGTGAGTATTGAAGCTGTAATGGTGATGAGTATATATAGAGCCTTTTTACTAGCTTGAAAAAGACTTGGTGTTGATTGTCTGCCGATTAAATGGTGAATAATCTGACCCACAATTTGAGGAAGTGTTTATTTACCAAGAAAGTAACTCTCACTATTCAGATGCTTGGCTTAGTTTTAGAAGATGGTGACTTAATGTGTAAAGTTCAATTTTTAAAGATCAATTAAGGCTTCGTTCTGGGAAGAGCTTTGATCTTAAAGAAGCGTTGTATGGAAAAGACTTCAAGATCTCGAACCAATTCGATATTGAAGTACGTATGAACTACGGATTTACTGGTGATTGAGTGTATTTTTAAATCGGCTGTGGGCCAAGAATTGAGATTATTTGAAAACAGTCATTATTTTGATATTTTATCTGACGTCTCATATTTTGCCTGCCCTCGCAGAGAGAATCACAATGCAAAAAGAGTCTCAAATACCAAAATTCAAATTTGGGAGTCAGTTGCATTGTATGGTTCTAGATCGATCTAAAACGCATTTCGAATGAAAACCACGATATAAACCGGGGTACTCGATGAAAAGACAACGACAATTCCGAAAATTTCTTAGGCCAAGACTGGTGTTATTTGACAATTCGACTCTTAAAGTTCTACCAAACCCTATTTTCAAAACCTCGGTGCTATCTTATCGAGAGAAAGACGATTTATTTCATTTTGGTATAAATTTCACTGTTTGAATACGAAATTCTAATGAAAAATTATTGGTGGACAATCATTCAAAAGCAGTAAATTAAGCTCTGATAAGATGCAGTCTTTCCGAAGGTTTCTCTTTGAAGCGGTGGGTTCCTTTCCATCTTCCACTGACAGCATCGAGACGATTGAGTTTGATCACTATCTACCTGGCCGCATCACTGATTTTTTGATTCACGTGATCTCGACTATCTACAGTTTAAAGTCTCCCATTTTTGGCACAAGTTGAACACCTAGGAAACCCATTTCTCGTGAATTCTATCTTCAGGTTCCCCAGTGGAGTTCAAACACTCTTCTTTTTACACACTCTGATTTTTACACCTTCTCTTCATCAATTTATGGGCTCTGAAGCCTACCAAATCAGATCAAAAATTATTCACTGCTTCATGAAAAGCTTCAGTTGCGGACTCCATAACCAAACAAGAATACTGGCAAGCCGGATCGGTTTTGCAACAAAATAACTGCCACAAATTTTCGTTTTACGAAACCAATGCTGTCGTCCAACTACTTTTTTCAAAAACGACAGAATTCGATTTTTAAAGATGGAAAAAAAAGCCTCGTCTTCTTTCTTCAACTTCGATTTATCCCAAATTCTCAATTCACAGAATATCTCTAATCTATTCACAATTCCGCTACCTATACGTCAAATTATCCAAGAACAATGGCTTTCTTCAATGTTTTCCTGACGTACATATAATTTAATTAACATAAATATTGAAAAATTTCAAGCATCAAGGGACCTACCTAGACCATTTCCGATTCTTACCAACACATAGGACACGTCTGTGGACTAATAAGACGATGGTAGTCAATGTTCTGTTCATCGATTCTTATGACTCTTTTTCTTACAATTTAGTGAACTTAATTCGGGCTCAAAACGATCAACTTCATGTTACCATCATTCACAATAACACATTTGCTACTTTCGAAGAACTGCGACAGTTTTTGGTGTATTTTGACTGTATTGTGGTTGGACCTGGCCCTGGAAACCCAGAAAATGGCTATAAAGATGTAGGATTCCTAAACGAAATGTTCAGCAGCGATTTGCAAGTTCCAGTTTTGGGCATCTGTCTAGGATTCCAAGTGATGTGCCGCGCGGTGGGATGTGGCATTGAGCAATTGCTCGAGATAAAACATGGACAAGTATATTCAGTTCATCTGGTGGGTTCAGAAGTGGCCCAAAATAAAAAGAAGGATTCGAAAGATCTAAGTTTGTTCGCAGACTACCCTACAGACTTCAATTCTGTACGCTACCATTCACTACATGTGTTAGCCGAAAGCGACTGTGAAAGTATCGTGCCACTTTGTTATACCTCCGATGAAAATGGAAAAGTGCTCATGGGTGCCCAAATTGCAGGAACTCCGTGGTATGGTGTTCAGTACCACCCAGAATCGTGCTGCTCAGATCTGGGTGGTCTTCTCATCTCTAATTTCTTGAAAATCGCACACCAATACAATGAGTCGCCCGCAAGAATAGGCTCTCGCTATTGTCTAGCGAAGGACAATTCCCAGAAACAAACCGTTATTGCATTTCTGGATAAAACCATTGATAAAAGCAGTGTTTACCGCAAAAAAACGCCCAAAGAGGCGCAACTGTCCATAAAAGAATGCAGCACCAAACCGAATTCAAAATTAGCAGTGAACATTTGCGACGCTTTGGACGTACCTTTTTTCCTAATGTCTTCATCAACCATACAGAACAATAGAGGTGAATACTCGATAATAGCATTACCAAACGAAAAATCGACTGTCTTCACGCACTACGATCAGCTGCAAAAGACATTGGTCTATAAGTGGCGGGATCCTGCGATCGATTTTAGTGCAATAGCAGAATCGCTCTCGGATAGCGGCACAGTTCAACAAGGCCTTGAGTGCATCAAAGAACATAAATCTCAGTTCTGGAAAACAATAGGGAATTTTATGGAAGACCGTTTGGTCCTCAATAGGCCTGACTTGCCGTTTGTTGGAGGCCTAGTGGGTGTTTTGGGTTACGAAATGGGCAATTTCACAACGAACAGAGAAAAAGGAAAGCCAGTGCCGGATGCGAAGCTGGTCTTTATACAAAACAGCATTGTCGTTGATTTGAAAAAAGGAACTGTTTCATTTCTTTCACTCAGCAACGATTTCCCCTCCCATGTTGAAGAGACGGTTCGCAAAGTAGTTTCCGATGCTAGCGTCGATCTTCCGGTGTCGGATTTGTCCAAGCTGCCCAGCGGAATCAGCTACAACATAAAGATGGCATCAAAGGAAAAATACGCGGATGCGTTCGAAAAATCCCAGAAGTATTTGCACCAAGGAGACTCTTATGAAGTTTGTTTGACGACACAGACTGAGGTAAAACCGACAGAGCGTATTGATCCATGGCGGATCTTCAAGACACTGATAAGAAGAAATCCGGCTCCATTCTCGAGTTTTTTTGAGTTCAGTGATGTAGAAGCAGGGGTTTCTGATCTGTGTTTACTTTCGACGTCTCCCGAACGGTTCTTAAAATGGGACAAGAATTCCTGCGAGCTACGACCTATCAAGGGAACAGTCAAGAAAGATGGATCAACCACACTGGAGTCTGCGACTGAAATACTCAAAACGCCAAAAGAGTTTGGAGAAAACCTTATGATTTTGGACCTAATTCGTAACGACTTGTATGAGCTGCTAGACACTGTGACCGTGGACGAGCTAATGTCGGTGGAGGAATACGAGACGCTGTATCAATTGGTGAGCGTGGTCAAGGGACATGGCTTACTGGAGTCGGCATATTCGGGGATAGATTTGCTGCGACATTCTTTGCCAGCTGGTTCCATGACCGGAGCGCCCAAAAAAAACACGGTTGAATTGCTGCAAAACGAGATAGAGACTGGTCTCAATGCCCATCTCACCACGTCAGGCGCTCGTGGAGTTTACTCTGGAGTTACAGGATACTGGAGTTGCAACGATCGCGGAGATTGGTCGGTGAATATTCGGTGCATGTACTCGTACGACAACGCTGAGTCGTGGCGGTTGGGAGCCGGTGGAGCTATTACTGTCCTGAGTACACTTGAAGGCGAATGGGAGGAGATGCATACCAAACTTTCGAGTGCATTGCAAATCTTTCGGGATGACTGAGTGCGCAAAACAAAGATGAAAGACGGAACACGACTCTTGGATAAGGAAGTATCTGTTGCAGTACAAGAGGCAGTTGTAAATACCTGCGAGATTGTCAATTAGATATCTTTCGACAAAAACGTCGCGGCGATCCAAGGACCGAAAACAAAAAAAACCCCCCAAGACCATCTTCATAATTGGAATATGAAGCGCAGGCTGCTACACGCCATAGCCTATTTGATCTCATTCCGAGCTGTCATTCATCGGTTGGAAGACTGCAGATTGTCGGTATTTCTCTGATCACTTTTTCCCAAACCGGCGCAAATTCAAATTGAGACAAAGTAATAAAACCAAGAGAGCAAATCAAGGATTCACAAGCCATTAAATCTTGTACAAACTATGGATATTCACCTCTTCCTTACGATCGATGCTGTCACCATCAGTCTAAATGTGAACTTCTTTCTAAAACTGACACCTCTTACTCAGGTCACGTGCTCTCAAACTGATACCTCACGCCCAATCTTTAGAAAATTATAGTAACGTCCATCATCATATATATTATAACAAGTACTCTTACAATCCTCCCCTGCTGAAATACTATCAAAATCATTAAAACAAGGACCATTTAAGCTCCAAAAGACTCACAAACAAGTCTTTCTCCGAATTCTAACGTTACAGCACGTTACAAGCTTGATTTTCTGTTTCTAACCGTTTTTTCAGCGTTTTGTTTGGTCAATTTTTGCATTACAAGAAAGAGGTTAAACCTGGTCCGCAAAAGGTGCTGAAATCGTTCGAAAAACAGGTTTTAACCAGCATTTGAAAGGCCTTTTTGAAGCATTTCTGGTTTATGGAAGAATGACTACCACAGTTCCCAAAGTTTTCGCTTTCCACGAGTTCACAGGGGTGGCTGAGGCCGTTGCAGACCATGTTGTAAATGCTCAAAATATGGCACTTGCAAAGGAACCGTATGCCATTCGGAATGGAAGTATAAGTGGGGGGCATAACGCAGGAGCTAACGGGTCGTTAGCGGTGCCCCAACTGTCAGGACCCGTTTCAAGACAGCCAAGTACCAGAAGCATATCTGGTCGTGAACCAAGCACACCGGCAAGCGGATCGTCAAATCCAAACATCAGGGCTCCCAGCAGCAGCAAACTGAAAAAAATCAAGGAAAAACGGTTCAAAATCGCACTTTCAGGTGGGTCTTTGATTCAAGTACTACACGAGGGTTTACTCAAAAGACGGGACGTGCAATGGGGGAAATGGGACATTTATTTCGCAGATGAAAGACTGGTACCCTTCGACTCCCCAGACTCGAATTTCGGGCTCACCAAAAGCAAAATTTTGGATTTCATCGATGTAGCAGCATATGGATCTCCCCGTGTTTTCCACATCAACGAATCACTGATTGAGGACCCTCAGGAATGTGCCGATGACTACGAAAAGGTGCTTATAAAGGGCTTTGCTGGCAGAGACTCTGTTAAACTACCGATGTTCGACCTTTTTCTTTTGGGGTGCGCACCAGATGGCCACATCGCGTCGTTGTTTCCTAATTTCCAAGAAAACTTGAGAGAAAATTTGGCATGGGTGATTCCGGTCACCAGTGCTCCTAGTGGGCCTTCAAACAGAATATCGTTGACAATTCCCGTGATCTGCCACTCACATCAGGTAACATTTGTCGTGGAAGGTTCCACCAAGGCTCCCGTTGTAAAAACGATTATGGAACGTCCTGAAAAGGGTTTACCCAGTAGCATCGTCAATGAAGGAGCTGCGGGACGTGTGGCCTGGTTTGTTGATGACGACGCATTAAGTGATGTCTTCGTTACGAAAAAGAAGTACAAATTTTTGGTTCATTCCGAGCATTCCGAGCAGGCCCACAATGAGAGCTAAGACTGGTCGATAAGTTGGGAGACGGAACTTCTGTATTATTTGAAAAGGCATCAAATCCTCGAAGCGGTTTGTCAAATTGTATTTTCAAATGTTCTTTATATGCAAGGAAAAGAAGAAGAGCTCACCATATTGCGTTGGTTGGCAAATGTCTAAGTGGCCGAACACGCATTGTAATGTTGGTTTCGACGGGCCTGTATCAACTTCTGGAGTACTATTGTGTGGCAAGTGATCAAACACGGTCCTGCGTCCTGTATTTCATTCTTCGTGCTATATTCTATACACAAGCCACTGGGATATGTAGATGAAATTAAAGAGTAATGTCACTAGAGCGATACCGATCCTGCCAAAGTTAGCACCCGCTACGCTCAATGTGAGGATTGCATTGTCCCTCTTAATTTGCAGTGTCAGCTGTGACAACGAGCAAATGCTACCGAGGACATCACAAGCAACACTTTGAATGGGAAAACCCTTCATGCTTTTCCGCTCGAAGTTGTGTCTGATCTGTGGTATATACTTCAAAATAGACAAAGAGATTTTTAGCAAGTAAAGCTTGTTACAGTATCTCAGGGTGTTCAAGTTTCGCCAACCATACTGCGACTGTTGCCATAAAAGCTGCACAGTAGAAAGTAATCCGGAAACAACAAATAAAGTCAATATCTTGGCGTATATGGGTTTCATTCGATTGCTTCCAGTTTGCTTGAATTTCCACAACCAGGAACCCATGGCGACCTGGCTGAGAATCACCAAGTTCATAACAAACCCATGCAAACAGTACCAAAAATCAAAACTGGTCACTTTTGGTCTAGGTACTTCATTCTTCTCTCCTAGTTCGTCCTGCCACTTGAACAGCTGAAGTGACAACGATATCAGCAGGAAGAAGTAGCCAACAATATTTAGCATTACGAAATCTATAGACATTGCGGCTGCTGAACGGCGTCGCCAATTGTTATATACTGGTGGGTAAACCGAGATCGACCATGGGATAAGATACCCATAGCCCAGTAATTGCTCGAGGTTCATGCTAGAGACGTTAAATATCTCTTGATGGCTGAAAAACAGTCTTACTTCGGACTTCAAGATCTAGACGAAAAGTATGTAAACTTGACTAAATTACTGCGAGCGAGATCTGGTGAAAAATACAGAATGGTTTACAGTCAACACGAACCATTAGACCTGTTTCCGTGATCAAAAAGTCACTAGAGTATTGTTAAATGAGTGGCCCATTTCAAGTGCGTAAATGCCATCATTTTGTTTCTTTGATGGTTGTATTTCTCTATATCGTTGTATATCAGATGTTTCTTCCGTATGCCTGCATACAGAGATCGTTCTCCTCAAATATAAACCCGTTGTTCCGGGGCTGTGTTGCTTTCAACCATGCGATGATTGTTGGTTGCTCTTTGGAAAAGAAATCTGCCGTCCTGGAGCGAATATTCATAATCTTCGTCCAAACGAGAACGGTTGATAGTAGCAGGCACTACTGGCTGCGAAATCTGGGAATTCCCACCGTCCGGGTTGGCAGGGTCGGGAAGTATGCCAAAAAGCTCATAGCAGTATTCTTTGCCAAGAATTTTGATGAGAACTCTGTTTTTGAGATCGAAGAAATAGCCCACAGGCACGGCAATGATGAAGATCACAGGTAAGTATCTGTTGAGGATATCAACAAGTGGGATGAGCTTCAAATCGCTATACAGTACTTTTTCGAAGCCGCACTCCTGTATTCCGCTTGCATGGGAGATCAAAGTGATAAAGTTGAAGCAGAGCGGTAGCAAGAGCCGGCTTGAGTAGAGCGAGAAGTAAAGCGCGTTTTGAGGACTACTCTGTCCATTGGGTATCAGGTGCAAATTAGCAAACTTGAAACAGCTCATCGCGTACAGGGAGGCCAGCGTGTTGTACACGAGAATCGATATTTCGAGCAAAAAGTTAAACCAGCCGCTGCCTTCGAAAAGCTTGTCATGAGCGAAACGAGAAGGCGTCAATTCCAAAAAAACTACTAGACACGAAAGAGCCAGGCACAATAGTCCGAGAACCCATTTCCCAAGCTTCTTAGTCCAGGATACCGGCTCCACTTGTGATTGCGCAAGGCTGTGAATGATGCGGTCTGATTTGGTCTGATAATACAGGTAATTGAAGTACTCGGTCTTAAAGGCGTTGAAACGTTCATTTAGCTTGTTCAAAGTGGAGGGGGACTGATCCCTGCGACTGGTCACGGGCAGCTGGATTTGTTTCTCATTGACTAAAGACTGCACTTCCAGCTTACATTCGTTCAAAGCCTGGTTCAAAACAACATCTCCATTTCTCACTTCGGCCATTGATAGAATTTTAGTGGCATATTCAGTGAGAGCTAACCTGGCATCGTTGGATTCATCGTTGCTCTTACTCAGCTCCACGAACAATTTATTTTCATCATCATTTTCCAGAAGAATGTCTTTGGGAAGTAGAATGAGACCCATCGAGAGTAAAATCAAAGTGTATGATAGTGAATAAAGATGAGAAAGCGAAATGATCAAGGGCTTCAAATCTGCTAGGCCTCGTTTGGCACCAAATTCCAAATAAATGATACCGCCAATCAAGCCGAGCGCACAGAGAGCATAAAATTTGAAATTGGTGATAATAGCTTTCTTTACCCTATTCAAAACCGGTCTCTGTTGTGAAGCGTCTGCTTGTGCGGGGAAGAGGTATTTCAAATCCAAATACGAGATCAAAACGGGCAGTATAAACCAACATATGGCAAATTCAGACCAGTAAATAATGTACCACAATAGAGATACATCGGGCATTTGATCGAAAGACTGCAGGTCTCTAATTCCCCATGAATTGAGGTTTTTAACATTCGGGGCATTCAAACTTGAGGTCTGACGACGCACCTGAGATCCCGTGGGATCTTCAGAATGCTCTATTGACGACGCCCTTGCCGCGTAAAACACATCCAGCGGCAAAAGATAGGTAATTGATAAAAGAATCCACATATTCAGCAGTAAGATTGCCAGCGTAAACGGGATCGTATTTTTGTGCCGTTTAAACGACAGATACCGGTTAACAAAGGAGAAAGAGCATATTGCTGTAATTCCGGTAGCAGACACAAGGACCAGCCAAAACAGCATAGTTGACAGAGAGTCTGTTCTCGTGAGGATAGAACGGTTGATGAATAGCTGGATCTACGGTTTTATTTCTATTTTGGATATATATTGATATTTGGCTATTCGTGTGTAATGACTGGGAAATGTGTGCTCATGAATGTGTATAATGGGAAAAGATGTAGTTTCATTATGGCAAATATTTAATACTAGCCGAGCCAGTAAATGGGATCACAGCCGTTTCGCTGGTATTGAAGGGAGAAATATTTGAAATCCTTGGGCTTGTACTTGTATCACTTTGTACGTCGGTGACACCTGCTTTATCAATTTAGTTTGCGATAGACACGATGTGAAGCAAGGGGTACATTTTTTTGAGCTATAAGTAATTGTAGCTCGATTTTTCTGCAACAAAGCTGTTTCATAACAGGACAGTCAACAAATCCAGCAAGTTTGAGTTTTTATCACTTTTCACGAATGTGTCATATTTGCAAATTCTATTCTTGAACGCTATTCTTGCCATCTATCGAAAGCCAGCAGTTTGTTTCAATGCTAAGCTAGCTGTAAGAGTATAGTTTATGACCATTCAAGCACTGTTAAATCCGCTCGAATCGCAGATCTTGACAATTTCTATTATTTTCTATGTATAGTCACGCGACCTGCTAAGTACCCAATACCTACACCATATTTCAAGACAATACCCTGTTCCACTACTGAACATACAACTAAGCTGCTCCAAACCAAGTCAAATGAGCTCTGAATGGGCTAAAAGCACGCTGTTAGCTCGGCTGGCTCCAAGCTCTGTCGGTTTGCTTGTTTTTGACGAAAACTGTAATGTCCTTGAGGCTTCTGGCGTAGGAAAAGACCGATTAGAAGATATTGTAACGGTTAACCGAACCGAGGTCGATGGCAACGGATTTGGGTCTTTAGAGGGACCCGACTTAAAACTAGCAGTCTATAAACGCGATGGAAACACCATTGTCATTTACAGCAGGAAAAACAACTAAATGTACTTTTCTTCATTGCACACTACCATGTATACTATATAGTCAATCCAACAAGCTATTTAAAATTCAATTCGTCTCTCATAAGCATCGGGGGCCTCTGTTGTGAAATACGAGATTGGCCAGCGATTCAGACGAACCCGCCACCACCGCCATGGAAGTCAGGTCTGCCAAACGGATCGTCGAAGCGTGCACCTGGAAATGGCGGTTTGGGACCTCCAGTTGCATTTGGATCTCCACGAAGAGGATTGGAGCTGGGATCTGTAGCATTACCCCTGAAGGGATCAAATGTCATCCCTCCTGGGCCCGGTGGACGGTTAGTAGCTCCAGGAAACTGTTGCGATGGGTCCTGCAAATTAGGGTATTTTTGCCCTGTTGGATACAGATCCTGATCGCCGTAGCCGGATGCTAGCCCCGGAACTCCAAATTCACCTGTAACCGGAATCCCGGCGTTTCGATTGATTTCGTATTCGTCGTCAAACCGTGGCATGTCAGAAATACTGCTTCTCCGACGGGTTGACTGACGACCCAAGGATAGAGGTGGATTTCCGAATTTGAGCCTTTCTAGTCTCTGGTGAACTGCTGCATAATCTGGCGATGATACGTTCGAGTTTTCGGGCTCGCCCTGCGGTTCGTCTCTCTTCGAAGTCCCGCTTCTTAGACGAAATTTGCCTTCTAGGCTGGTGTCAACGTTAGGAGTATAAAATTCGCTAACACTGCTTTTGGCCACTGGAAGTGGAACTTTGGTTTCACTGTTGAAGAAGTCTCTGTCGTAGTTGAAAATCCCATGGACAATTGGTCTTTCTTCCAAACACACACTAATCATGCATTTCTGACCGCCGCTCATATCCATCAATACCACTTCCACCGCATCGCATGCGCCGCATTTGAACTTCTGGCTTGCTACTTCAGGATTCGTGCTCACTTGTAGCTCAATATTCTTGCGTCCAACCTCTCTGAACTGAATGTTAGCGTTATCTGCCAGAAGGTTGCAATGGCCTAAATATATAATGAAAAGGTGTGCTACAAGCTCCAGTTTATTTGTTATCTGGTCTGATTGAGGTTCTGCACCCATAGTTACTGAAGTTTATGCTAAAAATGGCTAACTAGACTGTCGTTGGAGGACCTTTGCTGGAGGTTTGGATCAGTTTATCCCTAGCTCATCGCGGTGATTTTAAAGGAAAATGATAATTAGAACGTGATCAACTTGACTATTTAATAGTGACACATTTATATATTTAATACACAGTTACTTTTACGCATTGTTGTTTTTGAGAGTTCGTCTGATTGAATTGATGGTGATGGAGGAGCTTTATAAAACCTCGGAATCACTTGAGCTCGCTTATTTCTCCGTCGCGAGCAACTAAACCCATGACGTTCAAAAACAAGTTCAAATCCTGGTACAGTTTATCACGCTGGTACAGACCAATCTGTTGCTCTTCTGTGGGCAAGGAAGACATCAGTTGTTCCGCTCTATTGATAGTACCAAAAATCTCCTCTCTTATCTCATCGATGATTACCCTTTGATGATTCAGTTTTCCACTGAGGGCCAACGATGCCAAAAATTGCCAAATATAAGATTGGTCGTAAAATTGGTGCTTCACGGATTGACCAGCGGTTGCAGATGTGAGCGTGCCAGCAGAAGATGCAGCAACAACCTTAGAAGTATATTCGTCGGGAGGGAAGACTACCGCAAGCTTTGTTTCCAGAGCCGTGAACAGCTTGTCGTAAATTTCATTCCAGGAAGAAGCTTCCATTGACGAGAGTACGTTCCCTCTGCTAACATCCTGTTTGATAAGCGCTGCTCGAGATATGAGCACAGTGATGAGATTCAATCCGATCTTAGAGGTGCTGATGAAAGATACATTGTTGTTTTTCACTAGAGCCAGAAGTAGTCCTAGTACCTCAACAAACTCTGCAGAGCTTGACAAAAACGATACGATGATCTTGAGGAATACGGACTGGAACAGCTCTAACTTTTTGAGCTGTGTGTCTGTTGGATCTGGGTTTGTCTTGTAGGAACTAGTAACGATGATGTTTAAGTGCGACAACTCGCTGAAAAAACAATACAATAGCTTCAGTTTCTGGTCCTTGTTCAAGAAATTGAAAATTCGAGGCATGATCTTCACACCTTTGTCAAAAGACAAAATGGAAATGAATGGGGACACCTCATAAGCATCGTCGGCGATGTGCAGAGCTTCCCACAAATCGGTGCTATCCGTGTCTTTGCCGCTTCTGAGTTGGGCTTCGAGCTCCAAAACTTCGGCATAAACTGTCTCGATTAGAGACAAAACAAACTTTCTACCACCGGAACGCGAGAGAACGGCACGTTGATCAACAGAACGGAAGGCATAAGAGGAGCGTCTTCTCGCCTTTGAAGAAGCCGAGAGATCGACTCCATTCATACTCTGAACCACGTCTTCGATGGCCGAAGACTCGATTTCCTCGTCGTCACCCTTTTGTAGAGGAATTTGTAGTTGTCTTCTTGGCGCTTTGCTGTTTCTCACAGATGAGATTTTGCCCAAAACCCCTTCCTTCGCGCTTTCCAGATTTTCACGGCTTTTGTTAGGCCTTTCCTTTGCCACAGTAACAGCTTTTTCGACCTGACTTTGCATCCTCTGTAAAGCAACGTCGGCGCGCTTGTAACGACCGCCCAAACGGTGACCTGAATGTTCTAGATAGGCGCGAGCAATTAAGCCCTTGTTGGATTCTCCAACAATACCGCCACGTTGAATAATCTTGTAGACTTGGAAATAGAAATCCTCGTTGTACGGATCGTCCGTGACAATTTGAGACAATTGGTAACGGGTGATAAAATCTTTGTCTCTTGGTGTCATCACACCGCTATGTCTAAGAATTTTATCGACCTTAGCCTGACGAATTTGAAGCTTTTTGATTTCCTCAGGACTCAATGTCTCTTGCATTTTACGCATCGAACCACGGCGAACGCCTCTTGGAGTACTCTCACGAGAGTCCTGCTCGGAAGCAAGCTGACCTCTAGAGCCAGATGCCCTTGCTGGCTTGGGAATCTGGGAAACGGCGCTAGGCATTGACGAAACGGGAGACTTCGTCATAGGCGCTTGCGCTGGAGGTGTAGCCGATTGTTGGCTCAAGTCCGGTGACTGCGAAGCACTAGGTCCCAAGAAAGACGATTGAGCCGATTGTTGGGTCGCTGCAGTAGGCTGTTGGTGCTGCAAGACGTGAGGTGGTTCCGAATAATGCTGGGGAAGACCTGACATAGGCAAAGGTACCGGCATCGGAATTGAGAGGCCATGGGGCATTCCTTGGGGCATACCTTGAGGCATACCTTGTGGCAAGCCTTGGGGCAAACCTTGAGGAAGTCCTTGGGATAAGCCTTGAGGCATTCCCTGGGGCATACCCTGATAACCAGCCTGTGGCATAAAAGGTTGCGGTGGGTAGCCATATCCTGGAGGTGGTGGAGGAGGCATGCCACCAGCATACCCGTGTTGGGATTGCTGCTGGTGTTGCAGCCTTTCAATTTCCTCCATTGAAAGAACCTGGTGCTGTTGCTGGTACTGCTGAGGTGGTGGAACCAGAGCCTGATTCGTCCATAGTGATTCCATCGGAGTGAAGTCCATTCCCTCGTCGTGATAAACAGAGACCGGAGCTTCGGGCCCAGTAGAAGCCGCCGCAGATGCATAAGAGCGATTGAGGCTAGCACTGGGCTGGTTTGCAACGTTTGTATGGCCAGCAGCGTCTAGTTCACCTTTTCCATAGCCAAAATCGAAATCGGCACCCATTTCAGTTGCATTGCCAAACGTCTCGTCATTCAAATAGTCGTCTTCCTCCTTTTCATACCCCCCAAAGCCTCGGTACGTGTCTTCGAAATCCATTGCGGCATCAGGACTCTTACTTTTATGGTTACCGGCCTTTTTTCGATTGTCTCCTTTGGAGCCCTTATTTTGGCCCGGAGGACCGGTTTCGAACCCAAAAAAAGACATGAAAATGTACAGAAAAGCTGGATTAACAGACGTACAGTTTTAAATGCCGGTGAAAGGTCGGTTTGCGGTGGTTTTTAGGGCGTCAAAGTTCAATTTCACTTGGTGAGCAATTGGTCACTTAGGAGGACTGTATAATTATTATATTAGATACTGGAAAATTTTGAAAAAGCTTGTTATATCGTTATATACGTTGTGATGGTAAGTTATCTATATGGGCGAAAGAACAAAGTGACCCAGCTTAATAGCCTGTTGCTGGAGTTCTCAGAGTACTTTGAACGGAATTTGCGTCTTTACATCACCATGTTTTCAATTGAACGTGAGAGTATTCTTTGGTACTTGATCATTTGGTCGCTTTGTACGGACAAACATTCGCTCACCAGCACCGTTTTTTGCCCTGCCAGCGTCTTCCAGACGAGCTTCTAGTACACCATTTTTCTGCCTGTAATTGTGCGGCGTGTTTGTTGGTCGGTCTCGTCGGTTTCGCCAACCTTGGCACGGTTCAAAACCTTGATGAAAGAATCAACTCTGTAGCGCATCCGCGAGTGCATGAAGGCCTTGGAACACTTAATGTGATAATGGAAGTAGTTGCGGAACAGCGCCAGGTGACACACTGATGAAAACTGCAGTTCTGGTGTTTGGAAATGGCGTGGGAAAAGAACAAAGGTGATAAACCTTCTGTCTTTGTCGGTGCGGCGATTGGACGTCACAGACGCAGTTTCCCGCGGAGGATCATGCGAAAACAACACCTGGGGCGCGGACTGGATGCTCCTGTTACGCTTCCGAGCGTCCACGAACTCCTGTAGAAAAACTTTGCCGAAGACTTTGTCGGTTTCGTCTTGGAAAAATGTCTCGAATATAACTGTTACGCGGTCGTTCGAGGGCTTGATGTAGATATTCTCATCGTCCCTGTACTGAAGATGTCTCAAAATACCTGCGTCGTTAGACCCGGAAAATGAAGACGGGTCTTGTGTCTGTTGGCTCAAAACAGAAAACTCCTGAAACGCCAATTGGAACGCAAAGCTCATCACATGGATCTTTAGCAATGAAAGCTGGACCATTGCATCCGGATTCAATTGGGCCAAGTCCACCGTTACTGTATAATCGTAGCCCTGCTCCGCTTGTTCGGCTGGTGTGATTCCCGGGAAATTGGCATATTTGCTTTCCAGGTGCTCCAAAAATCCGTCTCCACACTTCAAGGCGCTTTGCCACACCTTGGTCTTGATACTTAGCCAAAGTATAGCCTTATTTTCCGGTGTGTTAGACACATGAAGGGTAGTGTAGTCGAAATCTGAAATTACTCTGTCCAAAGTTAAAGGAGCACCACTCTCATTAGCGTTCCACGCTTCCGTGAGCGTTTTTTGCACCAGCAAATTCTCAGGTCTCAAATGAAGCATATTGGCGGTGTAAGCTGCTGGCCAATTGGGTCGTAATTGAGTCCTTGAGGCAAATCTTCCGCTCGAATTGGCTACAGTTCTGAATAGGATTTAACGTCCCTATGCTGTTGATAATCTATATATCATTATAATATATTTACCAGATGTCACCGTGTAACGTGATACATCTTGAAATGTCGAGCAGCCTGGTTTGCGAAGGAGACCCATGCCTGTTAGCCATTAGAGTCCCAGGTTGTTACCGTGTGCATTTGTATTGTTTTTATTTACAAGCTAAGCCTTTTGAGGCTTTTTAACCCCGTATTTGGAACGAGATGTGATCCGGTTGACCACACCGCTTAGATCGCCCCCACCGCGAATGACACGGTATTTGACACCTGGCAAATCCTGGCAACGACCCCCACGAACAAACACTATACTATGCTCTTGAGCATTGTGACCTTCGCCAGGAATATACGCAGATATCATCTTTCCATTGGTGAGTCTCACTCTGCACGCTTTTCGCTGCGCAGAGTTAGGTTTCTTGGGCTTTAGGACCATCACTCTGAGGACCACACCTTTGCGAAGCGGGCATTGGTATAGATCGGGCGAGACGGTGGCCTTTTTGCGTTTTGGCGGTTCAACACCTCTTTTGATTTGATTTAAAGTAGCCCATCTAGGTGTGCTAATGCTAATAGAACGACTTATTCCGAGCATTGGAGACATAGATTGACGGAGCAAAGGCAATCTTGGAATAGCAGAATAGGACACAATTCTGGAGACAGCCGTCCTGGCCGCTAGTAGGCCGGAAAACATGGTGCTAAAGGCGTTCTAGGCGTTGTCGTGAGTTGGGATCCTGGCAGAGAGCTTGCTAGCGTCAGTAATAATTATTAAAAGTTTTCGATATTGTATGGTGTGTCGCTTGGTACGGGAGAGTGAAAACAATAAAGAAACATTGTTGAAGAAAAGGTGATATTATAAACTATGAGCGCGAGCGTTTCATGGATGCTAGTTTTGTGGTCGATATTCTTTGACATTCCGTGGGAGATATGTATCACTCTTAGATGGTATGGAAGTCTAGAGGATTTCACCAATTATCGTATACTGTGACTAGCTGCCTTTTTCATATGTCAGATATGTGAAAAATGCTAGAAAGAGATACAAGAGAAGACGATTTCAGACGAAGAATAAAGATCCTTTTGCAGGAACGAGCCCTGCAATTTAGCAGCCCTTTGCTCATACGTTATCGCAATCATCTCGAAGTGAAACCTTTTTCACCAGTAGTGGTCACGTGACGAGTGACGACGGTGCCAAAAGCTGTTCTCATATCTTGCGAGCTTGCAAGTTGTTACAACTACATTAGAGCCTTTTCGACCCTTTCCTTAAGAGCAGACAATTGGCAATAATTCACCTCTCACCAGTGACTTTTGAAGATGCCTCTTTTCAATGTTCTGCGCTCAGTATAATTTCACGTCATTTCCTAAAATTAATAGTTTTGTTCTCCCTAAACGACATTCAAGATTGCGAAATTTGGAATGAAATTCCATTAGACTAACTGAACACATATCATTTGGCCACATTTGCGACTTCTGCATAAACTATATCAGCCAGTTCCAAAGTCCTTTCACGCAATGTGCTCGACGGCAGCCTTAGATTTCTATCAACATCACGAAACAATATCACTTTTTCCCATTGTGTCGTCTACTCCAGACCCTCAAATGCCACACAACTGCCGTTGAAGCCCTCTGGTATTCCTTACACCAACAAAATGCCCACCAGAAGCTCCAAAGATCGTCGGCATTCGTCGCTGCCTATTATAGTGACTTTCAAAATTAAGTAAAATTCCAGGATCACTATTATCCTTAATCTGTCATCGTGGGTTAATACACTCTGTTCTTAGATTCGCAAACAAAGAGGTTCAGGTTAGCCCTGAAATCGTCCTACTAAAAGAAAATACTGGACCAGCTTCTTCACGCCTGGGTTCTTGTTCATTTTCCATTCTGGCTTTTAACGTCCTTCTCAACATCAAGAATCACTACATCATATAATATAAGGATATCAAATCATAGACGAAAGGCATCACGATCAGATACGTTAGCAGGAGATGGGTAAGGCTCAACCTTTTGTACATTTGAGACCTGCCAACCTTGTGCTCAGAGCATCCGAAAAAGCCAAGAACCGTAACTCTAGCTCTATACTTCATGCAAAAGATCCATCTAATTCATCAGCATCGCGTTCACCAATGCTGAGAGTGAATCTTAACAAGTTTCCAGGTGTGATAGGGCATTGCTCGAGCAGAATCAATAGAGCTGCAAATGAGGACTTCTACTCGATTAACATGCTTAAACTTCCAGCCTCAGGTCCCGAAATGAACTGCATACGGAATAAAGATCTACTGAACAAACGGGAGTTTTGGAACTCTCAATTACCACTCAAGAGATCGATTTTGAACTTATCAGTATTTGACGGTCATGGAAGCGACCGGGTCGCAAAGCTGCTGGCTCAAGAACTCCACAATGAAATCGTAGGCACGCTTCCTTCGCGAGATGCCTTCTTCGATCTGCTAAAAGAGTATAAGACCAAAATAGGTGGGAATTACTGGAGCAAGATCTATGCTAAGCGTGAAGAGTATTTTCATCGGTTCATCTCTAACTGCAACACGAAACAAGAACAGATTCTATTCAAGAAGGGAAATTCTGGATCACGGATGATATTTGATTCTTGGGGCAATATTATAGACAAGACAAGCTTACTGACGGAAAACGAAAGACTCAGGCTGTTCACGTCGTTTCTTAATTTCGACTTGAAGTATTGCTGCGACCCAAAGATCGCCCAAGGGCCGGAAAACGAACAGCAAAAACCCATTGGCGGTTCAACTGCCTCGAGCGTTTTCATCACCTCTTACCATGAAGAGGACTCCTTCGACGAATCGTTTTTTGTCACTCCAGAAGGTCTCTTAAAGCTGGTGGTTACTCAGGTAGGTGACACGAAAATAGTGTTGTGCGACAAAAATGGCATTGCGCATAGTCTCACAAAAATACATCATCCGTCCTCGTCGCAGGAGTCGAAACGGTTGGAAACGAGCTTTCAAACAGACTCCTTTGGCAATACGAGGTTTTTAGATAATTTTGCAAACACACGGTCCTTTGGTGACTCTGTTGGGAAACAAGAGGGCTTATCGTGTGAGCCGGATATCTATTCGTATCTCATCGGGAGCACAAAGTCGCTGCAACACTCGGAGATCAGCAAACTCCAGTTTGGGGGAGACGAGTGTTTTGTCTGTCTCATCACCGATGGTGTGTCGGACCTCATAAGCGATCAAGAACTAGTCGATCTGATTACCAGCACGGTGAACATGCGAGGTTTGAAGACCGCTTCTCCGCAGTATGTTAGCGAGGAAGTTGTGCGCTTCATTGCAGCTATCGGTGGCCGACACGCTGACAACGCTACCTGCCTGGTGCTGAGGTTGTCAAACTGGGGAAACTGGCCCTCTATAGACCGCACTGGTGCCATTCGCGAGGAAAAACTAATGACTGGGTCCTCTGGAAGTGGCAGATCTAACGTATGAACGCTTCCCGCGCTGCGCAGCAAGACTTCTTACTGATAAAGAAATATGTTCACCATTGTCCTTTTCTGTTCATTACTATTTACAGGCTATGCTCTCAAACCATCTATTTATTCTTGGTTTGGGTGTAGCTGAATCTCTTACGTGTGGGAACAAATTCTCCCAATTTGCTTCCTACCATGTCTTCCGACACTTCAAAGGCAACGTATTCCTTACCGTTGTGAACTTGGAACTTCAGACCCACAAACTGCGGCAGAATCGTCGCTGATCGCGCATTTGTTCTGATCGGGGCACCCTTTGATAATGCCTCTTTTACTGGGAGCGGCACGATGTTTGGTCCCTTCCACACAGACCTCGATAAAAGATACAAGCTCTGGCGCATTGTTATAGACTATTGGGAGCTCACTATCGTGCTATAGATACCCTTTGAGCTTGTTAGTTGACATCTTGAAATACTCATGGTCTAAGATTTTTGAAAATTTTCTAGCCATAAGGTCAAATGAAATATCGAATTCAGGCGATGAGCTAACGGAAAAGTAAACATATGAGCCAAGGAGACCATGTTTGCCGCCAGATTTGATCCATCCCAGGTCCAAGCTACACCACAAACATCCAGTGTTATTCAAAACCGGCCCCGCCCAGTGGTTCCCTCAAAAAGAGGCAATGAGTCGGACGATGAAAGCGAAAGCGAAAGTGAGAGCGCAAGCGAACTAGAGGGCGTGAAAGAGAGCCATGGGTCAGACAAAAGTGATCAGGAAGAGCCTGATCAGGACTCTGATGTTTTGGAAAATACAGGTTTTGGCGTGAGCCATATTGATGAGGTAACAAATGGAAATACACAGTCCAGCATTGGGACTGCACTCAACGACAAGCATTCCGGATTGTACAACCGTTTCCAGAAGACCATTTCTTTGCAGGAAAACTTGAGACCTTCAGATATGGTAGATTCGGAAGATGACAACACAGAACAACTAGAACAACACGATCTCGTACCAATACCACAACCAGCGGTAGTCAAAAATATCTACCCTTCAACAGAAACGACCAGCGCCATGAGCAAATCGGCTGCTTGGCTGCAAACGCAAAAGATCCATTATGACAACTTCATGGTGAAACCTTTCGCAAGCTACGATACGCTACTCAACGAAAAACTGCTGGCCAACATCATTACCAAGTTTTCGAGCCAGACGTTTCCAGTGCAGACCATATTGCTCGATACGGTGCTGCCGAAGCTGAGCTTCGCGCAGTCTGTCAGTAAAAGACGTTTCCCCCGCCGTGTTGGAGACATCCTTGTCAATGCGTCAACAGGGTCCGGTAAAACTTTGGCATACTCCATCCCCGTGGTACAGTCTCTCTCAAAGCGCACTGTCAATCGGCTGCGATGTCTGATTGTTGTTCCGACCAAGATTCTGATTCACCAAGTCTTCGAAACGCTAACCAAGCTCTCACAAGGAACGAGCCTTGTCACCGGTATTTCTAAGCTGGAAAACTCCTTAAGAGATGAACACAACAAGTTCCAAAACCAGCAACCCGATATTCTTATTATTACACCGGGCCGATTGGTGGATCATTTGCAATTGAACTCCTTTGATTTGAAAAACCTCAAGTTTCTGATTCTCGACGAAGCAGATCGCTTGTTGAATCAGTCCTTCCAAAACTGGTGCTCAGTGATAATGAACAGGCTCAAATCCGACAAAAACGAAAAGGCTCCTGTGAATGTCATCAAAATGGTTTTCAGCGCTACATTAACCACCAACACTGAGAAATTGCATAACTTAGAGCTCAACAGGCCTTCTCTGTTCATGATGGACTCTGTTAAACTCTACCATCTACCGAAACTTTTGCAAGAGTACAATATTCAGATTCCTACAGCAAAGAGCTCCAAGAAGCCTTTATTCATATTGCAACTCATTTGTGCGCTTTCCAAGGACGACTCCAGAATTTTAGTTTTTGCTAGAAGCAACGAAGCGTCTCTGAGACTTTCGACTCTTCTACAGCTAATGCATGCTAAACGGGTTGTAAACATGGGAGCGAGTTTTGAAGTGACTTCAATCAATTCTAACAACACTAAGGGCCTCAACAACAAATTGATCAAACAGTTCGCTGCCGCTGATTTGAAAAATACTGTTAAAGTGCTTGTCGCTACAGATTTGATGTCAAGAGGTATCGACATCGACAACATCACCACCGTCATAAATTATGACCTGCCAATATCTTCCCAACAGTACGTTCATCGTTGTGGTAGAACTGCTAGAGCCCAAGCTCAGGGTGTGGCTTTCAATCTGCTTGTCGGGAAGGGTGAGCAAAAGTTTTGGTCGGAACACATCGACAGCGATCTCAGTAGAGACGCTGATGGCTGTCATCCCCAGTCGTATGATGAGGTTGATGCCTTGAAGGACATTTTGATGACTAGTTCAGAAGTTGATGAGCAGTACCGGGACTGCTTGGAACAGCTAAAGGGCGAAGCTCAGGATCGTTGAACTTTATGTTGAATTCAGTCTAGGAATGAGCGTTAGCCATTTATGACAAGAAGGCTCATGTGCATGGTGCATCAGAATGGTGCAAATGGGGCCTGTAATGGACCAGGGACTACTGAAAATGCTCTCACCGGAATGCTCTCAGCACTCGATAATGCATTGCCGCTCCAGTACAATAAAAGTCGTACTAGCTTCTCATGTCAATTTTCAGATTCGGCTCAACTAGTGTTAGTTTCGGGCTTCTGTTTCTCAAGCTTCAGTTGAAACTAGACAAGAAAGAATGTTGACCAAGGGGAAGACGTTTTTTCTTGATGCTGAAAACTGGTTTTTAAATACGTCTTGAGTATAAAGAGTTTTTATCGAGGTGTTCTTTATCACCATCATTTTTTGCATGTACTGGTGTTTCAGCCAGTCTACTGTGCGAAAGAGACTGTTTGCTCGATAGCGGAGTATGGGAAACAAGTGCGATGAATTTTAAAACGGAAGAGTGAACGGTCGGCGGCTAAATTGGAAGACTTCCAACTTCAAGTCCTCTCATCCGGCCTGAGAGATGGCGCTGAATGATTTGATTACTGCTCAAGTGAGATTTCAGAAGAAGCATTGTTTCGAAAGACGTCAAGTCAATTCATAGACTATCTTAAGGGTCAAGTGTATTCTGTGCTATGGGTTTTCGACGCAAAGAGCAGAAGAATACAAATCCTACCCATCCTACGAAGGTATGCTAAAAGTAGCACGTCTTGATGAAAGAAAGATGTGTTTGGTACTGCCCTGTGTGCTAGGTCACACAGCACAACCGCTGCCTGGAATCCCAGAAGGACTTGTTTTGTGAGAGCCTTCTGTGTTAATTGAAACTGTACATGAACCCAAGATGAAGTCCAGCGCGCTTGAATCAGCTGCGAAGCAGTTAGAATTCACACACACGTTTAATAAGCGCTTGCCAAAAACTTCATCGACTGCATATCTTCTCATCACGAAGTAAAAAAGGATTTCAAATGCTGTTGAACATCTACATTTACCCACAAGCAACAAACAAATGAGACGCCAGAAACTACAGAACTTAATTCTCATCTCAATTGTGTCTGGACTTTTGAAACCCAGTGTCTTAGTAAGTTTTGTTGAAGCCGAACAAGACCGTGGAAAAGACCTTGCAAACAAGAAAACGAGAAAACTTCAACGGCAAAACCTGCTAGTACTAGTCAAAGAGCCGTGAGCTGTCTCAAAGCTTTGTTTGACTGCTCTTTACCCGAAGAGCTGGGATCTTTGAATGCTCCACCTGCTAAAATCTCTGAAACTACAATTCCATCAATCCACCACCAATTTTTGATCTGAAAAGCTCCGAAGATAGCTGAAATTCACCGAACTGATCATAACTGCTTATCCATAGAATCAGGACACTGCTAGCTTCGGCTCAGGTCTTATTCAGTCGTGAAAGCGTTCATCACATGATATGCTTTTACCTAGTAATATCATCGACCTCGACATTAATGAGAGCCATCAGTTCAAAGAAGATGCCCTCTTGAACTTCACCAAGACTACAAGACGAGAGATACTTGCCAGTGTCTAAAGACTGGCTTTCAATTTCAAGGCATATCAAAGTGCTGGGAGAAATGCCTAGCAAATATTTTCTAAGTCCGCCGGAGGATCTGCATTCGCTAACGGCTAAGAACCGAAATAAGCCAATATATCCAGACTTTGATCCCTGGAGACACACACCAATTGAGGACAAAATATTCCTGAACTTTGTTTCCAAAGGCTACTACAACACCGCAAAGGTCAATTTCGAAAGTATCTCGTCCAGATCTTCTTTGCAAGAATCGCTACCGGCCGTCTCTGGCTTATTAGCAGATCAGCTTTCGGAAGTTGTGAAGATTAGAGAAGAACAAGTCAACAGGGTTCCAAGTAAAACACGGGATTTGAATGGCATCAATAGTTCTGGAAGTAAGCTCAGCGGTCCCGGCTTCGCGCTGCCGAAAAGGGTGACACTTACAGATCACAAACGTGAACTCTGGCTCCAGGAAATTAGCTCCACCAACAAGCCACTCGCAGAGGCGGTCAAGACGATACCGCATGGTCTCAAAAGACGCCATCTTTTGGAACAATGCTATCAAAAGCAGGTACCCATTGCTCGTGCGGTTTGGTTGATCAAATGCTGCTATACCTTGGAGTGGAAAATATCCACTGGCAAGCAAAACTCTCAGTTGAACGATGAAAAGTCTGTGAAACTTCTACAGGAATGGTCAGAAGCAATGGCCCACATTTTGGAACGACTGGTTTTCGAAATGACACAATATTACAACGAACCTTCAAAACTGAAGAAATGGAGAAAACGAATAGCATACTTTTTGAAGTTACTCGGAAGCTGTTACTCACTTGAATTGATTGATCGCGCAACATTTCACCACTGGCTGGTAGATTTCGTCGGTAGAGTCGAGAATTTCGAATGTTTGCCGATGACATTGCATATCCTCTCTGTCTTCTGGAGCGGAGTATTTTCGGAGCATGAAATCTCGCAAGACCCTCAACAACAGTTCCTTATAAACAAGATGACCGAGACTTTGATTTACAAATACTATATGGTGTCAAGAAGTAAATCGATGATTAATGACGAGCAGTACCTCATCAACGATATTAAGAAAAACGACAAGCTTTCGAAGGCTATATCTGGTACATTGAAAGCGTTCATAATTGAGATTTTTCACAAACAGTCTCTGGAGGCTTTTGTATTCACCGGTAGCAATTGGGAAATTTACAAGAAATGCCTTTATGAAGTGTTGGACATGGACAAACCAGCGAAGGAACAATCGCCTGATTCAAAGACTTCTAAAAAGCTGGAGTTGATCGTTTATCGCAACGACTCCTTGAAATTCAATACTATTCTACATGCAGTAGAAGAAAGAGATTGTGATCAGAGCGACGCGCCAAACACAGATTTAGAGAGCATTTTCAAGCCTAACGAAGTCTTAAAGTTAAGACACATCGACTATAGTCTCACCAAGTTGCTGGACGAAAACAGTTCAGGCGATCACTGGGTCAGTTGTGTTGCTCAAAAAGTGAACAGGATAGATCAAATTATCCAAATGATCCTGTGGGCAATAAATCCCTCCCGATATCACCATTATGAAGCACCACATCTTGTTGCGAAGATATTTCTAATCCAAATTAACTTCAAAAACACACTACTGGAATATGGGTTAGAGGATAAAATATGGTCTCTTATTTTCATGTTCGCGAGATTGAGAAGTGAAGACTTGAAGGCAGTTGTCAGTCTTCCCAGAATCCACCAGCTTTTGAACGTTTTTATCGGTTACGGGATCATCAAAGTCCCCACGTATATTCGAAAGCTCATAAGCTCAGGGGTTCTCTATTTGCCTCATTCAGAAGATAAGTTCTTCCACTGTGAGCTACTGATCAATTTGAAAATCTCGCCTGTTATGAAAAGCCAATACAATATGGTACTACGGAATGTCATAGATGCCAATCGTTTGTATTACGAGCGCTTCAATTATGACAAACTAACTGAACTGTTAGAGACTTCGAAAGAATCACTGTTAGCTGGTCGGTTTGATAGCATGAAAGCTCTACCCTACAGTGTAAGGCTCATGACGTCAGAATGGTATTTGAATTTGATCTGTTCGCCAAAGGATGGCGTCCTGACTCCCGTTACGAAAAAGGATGTGGTCGAAAAGCTGAACGTATTCTGCGTTAAGCTCGATGTTTGTCATCAATTTTACAAATGGATCGAATTTATTATCTACCATCAGTTACTCAAAGACCTAGAATCATTGGAATGCCTTACAGACATTTTAATCTACTATGAAAAGCTCTTCTGCTTGTTAATCAATGATCATGCCTTATTGATGAAGACAATCCTTCATTTATATTTTGACAAATTGATTCCTGAAAGCCCACCGAGTCAAAACCTTATTCTTCTGGGAGATTTTTGGACGTTTTTTCTAGTCCGATTTCCTCAAGTTTTGGAACTAGATCCTGATCTTCAAACAAGGCTCACAGAGGCGAAGGAGTTTGAAAAATCGAAAATTGAGAAGGCTGCTAAACCAAGTTCTTGGGAAAGCCCACAAGCCGAGGACCGCTCTGATGACGGCTTTGGATTCGCCGCCGAGGAGTTCAACTTTCCCAGTATTTTTCAACCTAATCTGAAAGCCATTCTTTCTGCCGAGACAGATACAGATCTTCAGTTGCGAAGGAATAATTTAAGAACACTGATGGCTGTAAATTTGAATGAGTACAACAAGTTCATGTCCATTTATCTCAAAAGAAAGGTCGCTACCAATATCGAATTGGCTAAGTTGATTTCGCTAAAAGTTCTTTCCTTGAATTCCATCGGAAAAGTACTTGGTAACCACTTTTTAGTGGATCTACTACAAACGTCATTTTACGCACACGGTGTTGGGTTTGAACTACAGAAACGAAAGTTCAAAAAGCATAACCTGCGGCTTGTTTTGAAAACATACTGTGAAGCTCTTAGCGAGCATTACGAAGAGCTTTTAGACAGCCTCGCGGAATATTGCTCATCAAGGACAGTAGAAGAATATGTGATCAAAATATTTTCCCAGATTGAACGTGAAGGAAGATACTCTATCCATACATTTGCCAGTGACTTGCTCAACGTTGGGGTGAAGTGCTTCGAGGCAAGGGACCCCTCCAGTAGCAATGGGTTTGAAACCAAAGATATCGATTTAGGCAACAACAGTGATGTCACAGAGGATGAACTGGAACTTACGGACTTATTTCCAAGACTTGATTTCTCCAATATTTGGATATTCCAAGCGTTGACATGCCATCACTTACAAAATGAGTCAGGCCAGGGATGCTGCGCGCAGGATCTACGCAGGTTCATCTTGGAGAGTATAGAAATGACCAACTATGATATTGCCGCCTCCAAGCTTTTTGATAAGATCACTGACGCAAACACTCTACAAAAGACCCTGCAAGTTCTTGAAGTGAGTTTTTTGAAAGATGGACCGAACGAAGACCCTAAGGACCTTTCTCAATATCATGTTACTGTCGAAAGCATTGTAAGCATTTCCAGGAGGCTTAACAAGGCATTGAATGGCGCTGTACCGATCAGTGAGGAAGCTTTCGATCTTCTTAAGCTTTGCTGTCAGGAATTTGCGACTAAAACCTCGGAAGACCTAAGGCTTCTTGAGTGTAGGCTAGACATTATCCTCAAGATACTCATTGTTCACCAAAAGTTCATTTTCAAAGAGCGGCTTCAAAAAAAACTACCACTGCTGAATGATAGCTACATTTTCCTGAGAACTCTGTGCCTTCTTTTTCACAAGATTGACTTCAGCTTAAAATTGAAGTTGTTGCTGTACGACCTGCTAGCTTCCTTGAAGGCATTAGTAGTTTACTCCCCACCGGGAAAAGCTAGCCCGTATAGTGACCAGTTAAGCTCCTATGTGCCGCAGGAACTGGTAGATTTACCTCCGTTCCAAATCTCATCGTTTTTAACTGACGAGAAAGCAGATGATGCCGAGGAATTTATCGAGCTTGGATTAGAAGAATGCGACTCAACAAAGAGCGTTACTAAACCGTGCTTTTTCATTTTCAATCGAAAGATGAGAGCGTTTGACACAAAACTTATTCTGAGACCATATCACTCATTGGGTACCTTTCAAGAGGGCGAAACAGAATTCAACAATACTCCTCTGAACTTGTGCCTTTTCAATACGGTATTTGACCGTCGAAATCCTACTTGAAGTGGAAAAGGGTCGAGTTGGTGAAGTTTGATCGCACTCGTTTTTTTGGCTCAGCCATCAGTTATCATACATGAATATCATAGTCTATCTATATCAATTGTGGTTTCAACAGGTTTCAAAACCTTTCTTATGCATTTATCAACTGAAACTCTAAGGTTCAGCTCGTCGTCATTGGACCCACCCGACATGTCAATTTTCAGGAGAACCACGTACTGTTCGAAGTTGATTTTGAAAATAGTCAAATTCTCATGCTTAAGTCGACAATTGGCACGGAAGACTGGTAGATCCTCAATGGCTTCTTTGAGTTTGCTTTTCACGACTGTGGGGTCGCACAAAACCTTTTTATCATTTGATATTGGCTTCAAGGTAGCCTTTTTAGATGTACGTAGCAATCCTGTAGTGTTGTCAGCAGGTAAAGCGCCATGTTCCATATCCTCCAACATTAAGCCTTTCAATGAGGCCGTGGAAAAACCGATCAACAATACTGTTGAAGTCCATTTCGCGATCTTCCAACCGTAAGTCATAATGAGCAAGGACAGCATACCGGTGGCAAAGTAATCTGAACAGCTCGTGAATTTGGAAATCATCGGTAGTAGCACCAGATAAAAGATATAAGTGCATGTAATCAGCGGATTTTTGGTCTTATACCTAGCATGAGAGTTGGATTGGAAAATCTTGAACAATGTTGAGGAAGACAATACTAGATTGCAGATCAAGATACCATACCAAAGCTGAGAGTCTGTAGAGCTCTGGAGTAAAACGGTCGAATGATGTGAATGAGGGATCTTTGGAGCAATTTCATCATGATGGTCGTGATTGGCAGACTCCACAAAAAGAGCAATTGTTTCCTCTAAAATATGAAAGAACAAATCCAAACCCATGAAGCACAGTGATATGGCGAGCGCAAAGCTCAGTAGTAGATCCATGCGATTTAGTCCAAATGGTAGTTTCACCGTGCCTGTGTTCCAGACCTGAAATTGTGACAAGTTTTCGACCAAAACTATGGCAAGAGATCCTATTACATCGTACAGGATCAAGTGCGACAATGTGATGAAGTTATTCCATGCCTTTGAGTGACCCAGATGGAAAGTCACTATGCAAATCGTAGTTTGTAAGGCCACCAATGCAAGCTTCACATAACCACTGGGCCAAGGAATGTTACTTTTTAGGTCTGCAAAATCAGGTATTGGAAGCGACTTGGCAATGCTCAACGGTATTTTTACCTCAGGTTCTTGAAAGAAATTCATCGACACAGAAGAGTGCTTGTATCTGTGACCTTTACGAAATGATGTTCTGGTAGCAGAGCCACCTGATTTCGGCAGTTGCAGCGTGGAAGATGAAAAGTTGAAGGGTTTCTCGATCACAAGTGATGAGCGTCTTTTAGATTTTTCTGGAGAGGGCGATCGATTGTGTCTTATCGGTGATTTGGATCTTCCCGACAAGGGCGGAAGTTTGGGACCAGGAACGTATTTTAGTGAATTGCGTTTGCCATTGCCAGCTGTGATACTTTCCTGAAGCATGCCATTGTTTCCTCCAAAACTGAACGCTGGATTGGCAATTAGACTGTTACTGGAATTGTTTCCGTCGGCTACAGAATAAAGTGAAATGGGTCGTTGCGGCGTGTTAATCCCACCGGTTTCCAAAGCCCTTAGCGTCTCTTTGCATTCTTCTTTTATAGGATCTTCTTCCACAATACAGTTCATTCTCTGAGGTGTCAAAAGAATGTCTGAAAACTGCGAATCTGGAGCCGTTTCGTCCCGGGACAAGCCGGAACTTGGTGAATTCATTGTGGCCACAGTCAAGCTCTCTTTTCTGATACCAAAAAAGACTCAACAAGCCTGCTATTTGGCAGATTGGACCAGTTTAAGTTGTATGATCAACTTTGGATGACCTTTATGGTGAAATACTGTTATAATAAGTCCATCGTGGAAAATGAAGTGAGCGTCAGGAAATAGCTGGAAAACAGTTTTCGAGTCAAAACTTGATACAACAACGTCAGTAGATCATTCGAAGATGTCCAGTGCTATTGTTGAGAGGCCTAGTAATGTTTGGGAGTTTTTTCGAGCAATTTCGATACCTTAAAGGATGAGATGACAGGCCTCGAAGGATGGATCTTGATGAGTGTGAATAAGGTCAACCTGGCCAAAAATGGGGCCATAAGATCTGTGAAAGTAGTGTTCCAATAACCTAGAAACTGCTTTGAATCATCATCTATCTCTTTTAGAGAAGGATTGGCGGACAGAGGACTGCCAGTAAGAAAATCAGGTCAAACGGGCATTATTCATTGGTCGGGATGAAAAATGTGGAGACTTCGAACCCAGAATGAGTTTGGTGGATAGCCAATGTCGAGTAGAGCGAAAGGAAAATCAACTGTTGGTGTGGTGAGATCCAGGAAAAATTGCGGGTCCAAGGAAGAAGGTAAGAACCGACAAGAAAAAACGTAAGTATGATAAAGATTGTTCCTTCCTGCTGATAGGGTCACTATAAGTTTTCGCTCAACCTTGTATTGAAACTCGATCTTTTCAAAGGTAGCCTTAGAATAAAAGTGTCTGTGGCTTATAGAGTTTGACTTTCAACTCTTTTTGGGTTTTGAGAGTAGAAGACAAAGTATATCCATGCATGTGCGCGTAAAACAATCCTGATATCAAGCGATTGACACAAATTCCAACAGTCTGAAGCAAGTCCAACATCTCAAGCCCTCGGAAATTGTGCAGATAGACTTTTGATTCTTCAATCGTGAAATCTCAAAGTCTCTCTAAATTCAGTCAGAGCCACCAATTTTCGTCATTTCAATTCTATTCCAGCATCCTTGATACAATAATCACTCTGGCCCTTGCCCAATCCCACATTGTGGTTCTTCAACCTTAAAACCTCAGCTCGAGATTGACTAACTTAATTTGCTGATTCCTTGCTCTACAAAACTCGCCTCGGCATCGTTCCAAGTCAGACCAAGTAAAGCTCACCAGAAGCATTAGTTGCGGTACCAAATATCATTGAAATTGAATGCACTGCGTCTGGTTTCCACTCACTTTCTTAGTTTCTTTGGTAGTAGAGATCTACCATATTTAAATGACATTTATAATTGATCAACTTCATCTCGAGCAAGACAACTTTGAAAAATCGCTTTAAACAACACTTGCTGACCATGTTAGGACTTCGAAATGCGTCTACTGAGCTAAGAGCGCTAACAGGCTTGCGCATAATTTTCAAGCGATCAAAACCGTTGCATAATGCCACTTTGATAACTAGACTAAGTTCTACCTCTGCTGGGAAGAAGAATAAGGTAGTGTTCACCGAAGAACAGCTAAAAGAGGCACGCGAAGCACGTTTAAAGGGTTTGGAACCTTATGTCTCGAAACTGCCCGCCAAGATTATTCCTTATGCCGAGCTGATGCGTTTGGAAAGACCAGTAGGAACCTGGCTATTGTATATTCCATGCACTTGGTCCATCACGATGGCCGCTACCCAAAGCTTGGCACCGGTTTCAACGACATTATGGACCTTGTTTTTGTTCGGGGCAGGTGCATTGATCATGAGAGGCGCCGGATGCACAATTAACGATCTTTTGGACCGCAAGCTCGATGATAAGGTTATTAGAACAATGGAAAGACCCATTGCAGCCGGAAGAGTCTCTCCGACGCAAGCAGTGACGTTTCTGGGAGCTCAAACTGCTGTGGGAATGGGTATTCTTGCTCAATTGCCAGCCGATTGCTGGTGGTTGGGTCTTTCGTCGCTTCCTCTGGTTTTCTCGTACCCATTGTTCAAGCGGTTTACATATTATCCGCAGGTGGCATTGAGTGCATGTTTTACATGGGGTGCACTATTGGGATATCCTGCAATGGGATTTATGGACTGGTCCGTAATGCTTCCTTTATACGCCAGCAGCTTTCTGTGGTGTATGACCTACGACACTATTTATGCGCACCAAGACAAGAAATTCGACATCAAAGTTGGCATCAAATCCACCGCTTTGGCGTGGGGTGATCGGAGTCGGAAAATATGTCTGGCAATGTCTGTGGCTCAAATGGGTTTACTAGGAACCGCGGGTGCCGCTAGTGGACTGCTTATGGGACCCGGATTTTTGGCAGGTATGGCTATTTTCGGTTACAGGCTGTTTTCCATGGTTTTGAAAGTTGATTTGGACAATCCTGCAGATTGTTGGAAGTATTTCACCAGCAACATTCGTTCTGGTTTGTACTTCAGCGCCGCCTTGTTGTTTGACTACGTTTTGAAGATCTTAGGCGTATTGTAACATTACCATAGAGATATAATGCAGATAGGAGTATATACAGGTTGAAGCCGAAGCGAGAATAGATCTCAATTGCCCTTTTGTTTTTTCATTACGATTTTTCTGGCGTTGACCGTCGGGTTGCGGAGTTTTGAGCGAGATTGCTGTTCTAGCAGTTTGTCTAGATGGCCTGGATTTTTGTCTGCCACGGATGTTGTTGTAACAGAGTCGATTTTACGTTCAAGGCTTTTTATGCTCTCACCACCGAAAAGGACATCGAAAATGCGACCGTCTTGGCCCCAAAACTTGCCCGACCGATTCACCACATAAAACCGATCCCACCAAGGATTGTTGTTATGTGTGAGCAGGAAGGCAAAAGACGCCTTGTCCTCTGTACCCTGAGGGCCTACGCCTGTGTAGACTCTTGTTCTGCTGTTGCGAACAATTGCGCTAATGGGAGCACTTTTTGAAGTAGGCTTTCCAGACAGTAGCGCTCGACGAGTTATTTGGCATCTACCCTTTGGAAGATATGAAATGTTTGTGACAATTCTGGACGGCACATAAATCGACAAAGCGGACAACGCTAGCGGGATGATTGAGAGCAGAACCGATCCTGCGATCCGCACACTCAAAAGTAAAGATGGATGATTCCACCAATTTTCCCAGGACGACAGTTTCTCTTCCTTATATAGTTCCCAGGAGCTCGAAACCGACCAATTTCCAAAAGAGATGCCATACACTGCAAAAACACCGGCCAAGGTCCACGATCCCGTTTTTACGAGCCGTGATGGCTTGTAGATATATATTTGTTCGGGCGATGACTTGGCCAACAAACTACCTATTTTGGCCGACAACGAAGCGTTTGAGGTCGCATAAAAACGGGTCCTGAGCAATTCTATAGGCCTGAGTCCCAATTTGAGCATCGTTGGTGAGTAGAAATGCTCTAAATCTCAAGTTTCTTGGGCATTTTCAAACGGTTTTTTTGGCTTAAATTTCATCGAATTTTTGTTGTATATATCAATTGGGAAAGGGCAATACAGAAAAGAGATGCCCTATGCCTGAAAAACTAAGTAAATGGAAGAAAAGACAGGGCTGGAAGTGTGTGCCGCTTCGTCCACATTAGTTCTTCAAATCCTGGATGGCCTGTTCGAGTCCTCTGACGTTTGCCCCGACGATTTTGCCCACGGTTTGACTTTCTTTAGCTAGTAGAAAAGTTGGCATCGCACTGATCCCACAGTAACCGGCCACATCTGGTGTAGCGTCTACATCCACGCGGTAAAAATCAACATCCGTGTGGTTTGAACTGAGCTTGTCAAAATGCGGAGCAATGGCCTTACACGGACCGCACCAGGTCGCGTAGAAGTCGATGACACTGAGGTTCTTGTTGGATATAGCTTTTTGGAATTCCTGGAGCGAATCTAGCGACTTTACGGTCGATTGAAATCTCATAGAGCGTAGAACGCTGGGGCGCATCATGGCAGAGCGTTGTGCGGCGAATTTGAACATATTTGGTGTTGATTTGGAGGATGTTTAGGAGTGTAAAAGTGGGTTTTTGTCTTGATACATCATGTCTGAAGAGGCCTGTCATCTTGGCATGGAATGGATGAATTATTAAAGTACTCTTCGTCTATAGTGACGAAATTCCCGAATTGGTATTTTGAGACGATAGATGTTGGCGGATGCCTGTAAAATATGCGAATGTAGTCGTTTGAGCTCAGGGGTGGTATTTAGAGTCTCGTTATGGTCCTTTTTTTTACTTTTGAAAAGTAAAAATCTCGCTTTAGGTCTTCGTATCACGTGACTGACCTGAAGGCCTATCAAAAACAAGTCCCAAAACCTTGCTATCTGGATTCCAAGTGTTACAAATTAAGTATATCGCACTCTAGTTCTATTCTGAATATATGATCTGACAATTAGAATGCCTATTAAAGTTTGTCACGTTTTCCCAGTGTGTCGTCAGGATCAAAACTGCATGTGAGTGTATATTGAAAGGCCAACACTTAATGCCAAATTAGCCTCTCAATCCAATTCACATTTACAACAGCTTCTTCGACCTCAAAGAACTCGTTACATCTGTTTCTTATACCTCCTGCCACACGATAGTACAAAATGATATTTAATACCTATTACCTACAAAATGACCTAATAACCTCATTAGCAGCTATGGTAAAGCATTCAGCGTTCAGCGTATCGACGTGGAAGCACATCAATTATGCTTTCATGGTTACCAGGATAACATGCAGTTAGAACGCTCTCAAGCATTGAAGTTTGGCCGTCGTTTCATGTTTCTCTCAAAAAGCAGCTTTCTAGCTTCAACGGTGAAGCTAAGTTGACATGGTAAATTTTCTGAAAAATGAGCATACTTGGTGTTTAAATCCATGATTGCAGTCCTTGAAGGTCTTCGAATTCACTAGCACAAAGCTGTGCAGCATTTCAGTAACAACAATTTGGCCAAATATCCTACCACCTCCCAAAAAAACAACAAAAACGTCGCTGGAAAATGGTGGAAAATACCTGAATTGTGCTCTTTCCACGTTTCCCAAGATACGGCAAATAATGGACGCCAAAGTACTAGTTGTTTTGGCACTATTCCCAGGAACATTTTCGCCGCACTGACATGCCGTCTAGGCCAGCTTCGATGACGCTTTTTTCATCACCGAAGAACCCTTATTAGTACGGCTCACACAACCCTGGGTTTCACACCCCTGGGTTTCACACACCCTGCCTATCCCATTCCCAATCTGCCTCATTACCATTCGTTAAAAAAGTTCTATTTACATGTCGTGAAACACCCAACCGCTCTGGTGGACTAAATCGCGACTTGCGTCGTTTGCTAGCAAATACTCCTCCACATCGACGCCATATTTACTCCATTTAATACTGGGAGTAGCCACATCGCCCCAACTGGAGTGTTGTTGTTGATGCTGATTTTGGCGAGCCTCTGCGGTCACTTGCGACGAAAGCTTCGAATGTTGTTCTAAAGCAAACACTTCGCGTAGCAGCGGTCTGCTGCCCATTAACGTGTCCACGAACTCCTGGTAGTTGCGTGTCTTGTCGAGCTGTGCGTACAGCAGCTGCAGTTGTTTCACCAGGTATTTTTTCCGCAGTAGCTTATTTTGAAGATGTGCTCTCGTGTGCTTTAAAAGGGCATAATCTGAATTTTCCGCCAAATCTTCCTCTTGAAACTGCCTTACAAAGCGAGCGGCGGACGTCTCAGTGGACTTATCGCTCATGCAGAATGTTATCTCGTGTAGCCAGACACTCTCGACCGTGCTCAGAACAAGGACTGACGGGTGAGTTGTGGGTACTTTCTTAGGTGATGGGAAGCGTCTTCCAATCTTCTATTTTTCACCCTATAATAATGTGAAAAATATTATTTAGTGGGCTAGCTAGCATCGACTTTAAAAGTTTAGAGAAAAAGGTGAGTAGAGGCTTCGAGATGGAGCTCAAAATGTTCTTGGTAAGAAGCGCGTATGGAGAAATGATATATTTGTCTCTCTTGGGACTGGTAACAACCTTTACAATGGTGTCTTACACTTGGAAAAAAAATTGTTTCGTACGTAATGATGAGTAAACTTTCCAGTCTTTTATTTTATGTAAGAGCTCTGATCCGGGTGCTACAAATCCTCAGAAATAGTGAAAGTGTGATTATGTTTATTGTGTGGTTTCTACCGGTATTGGGTTTACGATCTATTTGTTTTTTTCACGACCAGAGGTGGAAATCCCGGAGACACTATAGTACAAAGTGATACTTTTCAGACACGCACGCCTTTAAGTATGACAGCGAATCACTGATTGTATTTGGCAGATACGGCCGCAGAGTTGGGAACTCCAGGGCTGCTTAATTTCTGCTCATAAAAGTTTTTTCTTTACGAGAATTTTGCGAACTACTTCAACGTGCTGGGTTTCTCAACATTCAAGATAGAGCGAGCCACCTGAATTCAAAAATATCAGTCATATACCCAAAAAAAACACAGTTTCTGTGATTTAAACTCCAAGCTTCGCCTGGAATACTTGAAACTTACCGAAATTATCATCTGCGGCGACCTTTTTACGCTCCAAAAAAAATCAAAACTCAATTATGCGATTTCCGATACGCATCATTTTCAAGCTCAAAATTTCCCGACCAGCTTGAAAACCGCCATACAAAATCAGTGAAATCCCGCGCTTTCACATCGGAAGTTCAAAATGGGCCTTTTGCCTTTGTTGTTTTCTGTCATTTTTGGTACTTCGTGTCGCTCGTTTACACGCATGTCGGTTTAATAACCTTCCTCATCACATCGATGAACTGATTTCATCAAACTTTCAAACTCAGAGAAAACAACGATACAACACCATCAATGGCCATTTACACCGCCTCTAAGACTGCTCCAGTCAACATTGCAGTATGTGCAACTTAATGCTCTTTCCATTGAGCTTTTTAGCGTGAAATTTGAGTCAGTACAGCTCTGTCAAAGTCTTTTAAGTTATAAAACTGCCATTGACAAGGCATTTTATGTTCAGGTCTCGAAATCTCTGGTACTAACCTCTGGAATCAATTTTAGACCCTTAAATACTGGGGCAAAAGGGACAAAAAGCTAAATTTGCCCACCAACTCTTCTATCTCGGTGACGTTGGCACAGGACGATCTTCGCACCTTGACATCCGTTGCAACTAGTGAGACGTTTTTGGAAGACCAATTGTGGCTCAATGGCAAGCTAGAGTCTCTAAATAGTGAAAGAACACAAAACTGTCTGCAAGATTTGCGCGATCTTCGCTGCAAGCTCGAATCTGGCGATAAAAACTTGGTTCCCATGTCCAAATGGAAACTCCACATCGTCTCCGAGAACAACTTTCCTACAGCAGCAGGACTGGCATCTTCTGCCGCAGGCTTTGCCGCTCTTGTTGCGGCTATTGCCAAACTATACGAGCTTCCAGAATCGGCGTCTGAGATTTCCAAAATTGCGCGCAAAGGCTCAGGGTCTGCATGCAGATCGCTATTTGGCGGATATGTAGCTTGGGAAATGGGTTCTGAGTCCGATGGATCCGATTCCAAGGCTGTCCAAGTCGCTTCCAGGGAGCATTGGCCAGAAATGAAGGCCGCGATCCTCGTTGTAAGTGCTGCCAAGAAAGACACGCCCTCGACCAGCGGAATGCAGCACACTGTCGCTACTTCGGATCTTTTCCAAGAGCGTATTCAAAACGTTGTGCCCAAGAGATTCGAGCAAATGAAGCAAGCCATTGTGGCCAAGGACTTCCCAACCTTTGCTGAACTCACCATGCGCGACTCCAATTCGTTCCACGCTACGTGCCTGGACTCGTATCCTCCCATTTTCTACATGAACGACACTTCGCGCCAGGTTGTGAAGCTATGTCACCAGATCAACGCTTTCTTTGGCGAAACCATCGTGGCGTACACGTTCGATGCAGGTCCAAATGCAGTGTTGTATTACTTACAACACAACGAAACCAAATTGATGGCTTTTATTCACCAGGTGTTCAAGCAAAACTCCGGCTGGGATTCCAAATTTTCTGCAAAAGAACTTGCTGCGTTTGAAGAGTATTTCACCTGCAACGTCGCTCCTGATTTGGCCTTCGAGCTTGACGAGACGCTGCATAAGAATGTTTCTCGTGTTATTCTCACCCAAGTTGGTCCAGCTCCGCAAGACACTGAAGAGTGCTTGATTGACACAACCACCGGAAAACCTAAATAAGAGCATTGTGCTACTCAAAAACCTCAACAAAGCAGTTCAGCTCTATCGCTTCAAGAAATCTCCAAGACTTACTACGTCGCCGATGTCAGATCGCCAAATTATATAAAATTTAGGTCTTTGGGTACCCACAATTCTACAAAACTCTCCCAACCATAGTTGGGACAGCCTACACAAGTGTCACCAATAATATGGGCTGTTAGAGAAGATATAATACGAATGATCATCGCCTTTTGTATGTTTACTGGTATTCTTTGGATATAAGTAAGTTTAATGAAATTAGTCCAACTTGATGGCTAAGATGCTTATAAAACAAGACAAAATCAAGACAATACAAGCCGATTAAGGCCTCTAGATGCTCTCATGTCGTCCAGTGGCGGTAATTCCGAGTCTTGGCAACTAGGAAATGACATTGGTGAGCATGAAGCCAATGGAAAGAAACGCAGGAAGACCATTAAACAATGTCTGTTTTGCAGAAAGAGAAAGCTGAAATGCGACAAGAAAAAGCCTATGTGCAGCACCTGCGCTTCAAGAGGGCTCAAAGAGTGTGTGTACGTGGAGCATTTTGGCCCTGAGTTGACGACTCAGGAGCTTTTGAAAAATACTCCGAATTTGGAGCTTATAAATCGAGTCAAGGAGCTTGAAGAAGAGCTGAAATTATACAGAGCGGAATTCCAATTGACACAAGGTTTTGGTCCTAATCCTTTGCCTCACCGTGAAATTATCATATGCAAGTCTAGCCGCAAATTATACTACGGTTGCACTTCCATAAAGGTCCTGATGGCAGACAGTAAACTCAAGTTCGACACCTACTATGAAATAGTGTGGAGTAAAATCAAAGAAGAAAGAAGACGTTGGAAATCTTTGAATGGATACTCGACGCTGAGAGAAGTCACAACAATTGAAGATAACCCGCAAAGCAGGTCATCAGTCGTGGAAGCAATGTGCACAGCTTTGCCCTTCTACGAACAACTAGAACAGAGTTTGCACGAATTTTTCAACGGTCCCATCCACAAAGGGTTTGAAATGATAGATCCTATGCTGGCATTCAACATCCTGGAAAAATGCTTTATAAGAGGTCCCAGAGATCCCATTTCTGGAATGCACCCGGTGTCACATTTGATACCGACAGCCAAGAAAAACTACTACGGTATTGGTCTCGTCACCATCATACTCACAATGGTCAATCACAATCAGCCCGTCCCACAGGCGCTTGACCATTTCGACAAGTTTCTGCTTTCATGTCTAACAGCTAAAGTTTACTTCATCGAAAGAGTCCAGTATCTTTTCTTGAAACGAATATACATGTTGATGAAGGGATATGTTTGTGGAGACCATAGCGGCACTGCAACGATCACACGCATGCTATCAATGGCCGCTATACAGATTGGACTGCATAAAAATATCAAAAAGCTATTCCCGGAACATTCAGCGTCCCATGGAGCGGTCAAATATCTCGAAAATCTATGGCTATGGATAGTCCATGCAGATTTTGAGACCTCAGTGGGTATCGGGACGCCTTCTCAAATCCCAGAGTGTTTTATGGAGTACGACTTGATGGAAAGAGACGATTTCGGCTCGTTCTCATACCTGAGAAACATAGTCAGATCGCAAAGGTCCATTTTGAGGGCTCTGCATGATAAAAACAGGCTGCCTGATATAAGGGCAATTATGGATCTTACGAAATCGCTTTTAGAAGCCAACTTCAAACCTGCGTCGTTTTACGCTGAGAAGGAGAATCTCAAGACTGTTAGCTTTGCCGAGCTCAATATTTACGTCGAACTTCTTTCAAGCTTGAGTCTTTTTGCGAATTTGCAGCGGATTTACTTCAAAATTTATGATCCGATTTTTATCAACAGCACCTTGCAGTTCTCGGCTCAGACTGTGAAGTTATGTGGAGCCCTTGTGGAAGCATTTTTTGAACTGGATAAAGCAGAGGCGAGGCAGGGAAATGTGCCGATGGTCAAAGGTATCCCTCTCAATCTTTGCCTCGCAGTTTTAGTCTTGCACAATTTCTACCCCAGGTGTATCGCTGATGTTTACGTTTTGTTGGCTTCTCTCCCTAATGTTCACGCGATGAGGGACCTTAGATCGAAGTATGGAGTTTCAGCAACGTTTGACCTACCAATGGATAGTTTGGAGACCGTCTCTGATCATTACGTTCCTCTTCTTACTGCCCACGAGTTTCTTTCCAGCTATTTCAACCGCTGGGATTCCCCAGAGAATGCAGAACTGACAAACTGTCTGAGAAAGTACTGCTACGGTTTTGTTATTATGCGGGCAATTGAAGGCAGCGGCCGTGACTTGTTCCAACACTACTCTAATATTATGAGAAATGGTAGAGCTAGCCTCACTGGGATTGAGCAACCTGAGCAAGAGACACAGATGTCCTTCGAGCTCCCTCAACCGAGCGCCGAGCTTTCGGATGAGATTCTCAATGCCATGGCTGACGAATTCTGGGATAATTATGATTTGGACCTTAACAAATGGCTGAACGCTGATATACTGGAGTTCAACTCAAGCTAGCTGAGTATTTTGTTTTGGGAGGTAATTTTCAGCTATGAATAGAGTCAAAAGTTCTGCCTGTTTGTAACCATATGTCACTTGTAAATAGAGATCGAACAAATAATTCTAATCGGGTATTGTGGAACGGCACGATTGTCTATAATTCCTTCAATCTTTTAATATTTATCTAAAATACATCTGAGTGCTTAAAGAATTCATTCGTTAACCTCTCTAATTTTGAGTTCTGATTCCGGTTTTCTCTTGGTGTATTTCCAAATTCTTGCTTTGCAATCGCCGCTACCTGTAGCAAACACGCCATATTCGGGACCTAGTGGATGATCGTTGGCCACTGCTACGGAGATGACTGAGTTTCTATGACCCTGGAGCATCAATAAAGGATTTCCAGAAGGCGTATCCCAAAAGAGAACACCGCGATCTTTTGAGCCCGAAAGTATGAATTCATCATTCTCTGTTGTCGCCACAGACAGAACGAAATCTTTGTGGCCTGTATACGTCACCTCACTAGCCGCATTGCTGGCCTTTACATCGTTGGCGGTACCATTTGCACTTCTGAGATTCCAGAGTTTTACCGATCTATCCAGGGATCCAGACACAACGCCGTGACCGTCACGAGTGAAGACGACACTATAAACAGAATCTTTGTGGCCTGTTCCTAGTTCGTTCTCGGAATCTAGCCTTTCGACCAAAAACCCTGTCTCTGAATCCCAAATACGGACAGTTTTATCTAGAGAACCGGCAGCTATGAATTTACCATCTCCAGGTGATACGGCCACAGTAGTAACGCCATCTTCAATTGATAAAGTGAGAGAGCATTGACCAGTGCGTAAATCCCATATCCTGACCGTTCTGTCTCCAGAGCCCGATACTAATCTGTCACCGGAGGGGAAATAATCCAAAGAATAGATATCTTGTTCGTGCCCTTGCAAAGTCATTACAATTCTTCTAGTTGTCAAATCCCAGATACGAATGAGCTTGTCTTCGGCACCTGTGGCCAAAAATTTGCCGTCTGGAGAGAAGCAAACAGATCTGATGTAAAGGTCCGACGAAGCAGTGGAGACCGCCACGTTAGAATCCGAATTTTCTGTAGAGCCGTTAGCTCCAAAAGAATTGGAAGCAACGTCTTCAGAAAGTCTAGCCACAAGCTCACCAGTCGACACTTTGTACACTTGAGTGGTCTTGTTACAACCTGTAGCCAAAAACTCACCACTGTTGCTGAACCTTACACAGCAAACGACAGAGGAGTGATCGAGAGAGACGTGCAGATCAACGTCGAGCTCACGGGGCAAAGCAGGGTTGTATAGGATATAATAATCGCCGGTTTGTTTTTTCAAGTGTTGAGGAACCAATTGAGAGTCTAAGTCAAGCAAGAATGGTGGGATTGGTTTAGCATGAGATCCACGTTGATGAGGTGGCACTAAGTAGTATTCCTGTGGCTTAGTTTCAGAAAATGGAGTTGCTGTTGTTGCAGCCGCTGGGTTGCTAATCACTGGTGGGATGGTAGGTGGGTTTTGAACAGTAGCAGCAGACGTACCGGGGGCAGGAGGTGATTGCTGAAGAGGCACAAGGCCCGCGTTAGGAGCTTGAATCTGGGGAATTGATTGAACAGCTGCAGCGGGCGTATCAGGCGCAGACTTGATGGAAGGTGCCGACACACTACCGGGTACGTTGTTGGCAGGAGGTTGGTCCACTGATGAAAGCTTTCTCATCTGCGGAGCCTGGGTGGCTCCCGAAGCAGACTGGGAGCTTTCCAGCAATGGTCTGTTGGCGGAAGGTGTGCCTGTTGGATTTGGAGCCAAGCTAGCGGGACCCACCAGCGGAGTTTGGGAAGCCTGAGAGTTCAAGATTGGTTTCGAAGACGCTGGCACGGAAGTAGCGGCTACTTGCTGTTGCTGGAGCTGTTGCTGCTGCTGCTGCTGCTGCTGCTGCTGCTGCTGTGCCTGTTGTTGCTGTGCCTGCTGCTGTGCCTGCTGCTGTTGTTGTTGCTGCTGCACTTGCTGTTGTTGTTGTTGTTGCTGCTGCTGCTGCTGCTGCTGCTGCTGGGCCTGTTGTTGCTGTTGTGCCTGTTGTTGTTGCTGTTGTGCCTGTTGCTGTCGTTGCTGGGCCTGATGCGCCTGCTGAGCTTGCACCTGCTGAACTTGTTGCACCTGCTGCACCTGCTGCACCTGCTGCTGTTGAGCAGCAGCCGCAAGCGACGCAACCTGCCGGTCTCTCTGGTCCAGTTCCAGTTTCAATCTCCCAATTTCCTCCTCGTACGCATCCTTCATCTTGCGGTGTGTGAGCTCCAGCTCATACACGGTGTTCCGGATCTGCTGCATCTCCGCCAATTGCTGGTTTATCTTGAAATCATAGTCCTTCTGGTTCTGTAACCGGTAGGTGTTGGCTTCTTGCGAGATTTGTCCAAATTCATTACGAATTGCGTCCAGAAGCTCGTTCAACTTCGTTTGAGAAGCACTCGTTGTCGCAGCCATTTTTGAAGACAAACAAACGTGTGCAAAACGGGGACGATTGGGCTCAAATAGATGTTGTTTCTGCTGGAGTCAAAGATGGAGTTTGTCGCTGTTGTTGTTCTTTACTTGTTTGATTTTTGATATAATTAAATGGGGCATTTGGTACGATAGGAGAAGATTGGGAAAGGTGTTTGTGTCAGTATTGGGACAAAGTGACTTTGGAGAATACGTGAAAAGCGATATCTTCCAGAAGGCGACGACGGTGTCGTTCGTGGTGACGTGTTTGTGTGCTTAGCCAGCGTTAGTTATTGGTGAGATATGAGTTATCCGGCTGTGATGCTCAGTTATGTGGAAGAGAGAAAGCTTGGAAAATTATACTCCTACAATGACGGTAGTGGATTTTGAGAGTTTAAGAGTGGTCACGTGACTGGATGTCACAATTCATCATTAGCCACACAGGACACAGACCATATCAGGATGGCTATGTTCGAGAATTACAAGAGACCTCCCGCCACTCTCCTTTTCTATAAGCTCTTTTGTCTGATTTAGAAACCCAAATTCGCTCGAAATTCATGTATATATAATCCAAATGTCACCACTAAATTACACCCCACCTCTATTGCGAAGCTCGAAACATCCTCTCCACAATCATATTTGCTACTTTGATTCACTCTCCATGTATTTTTTAGGCGTTTTATGGTTCAATTTGACTCGAATTAACCATTTATATCTCGAGGCTCTGCTTTATTTCGACGAATTGCTGCAGCTTCCAGCCCCATTCGAATAATCAGAATAGACCGAAACTTACATAAATTTTAGAGCTCTACTCGCCCCCAGTAACTATACTATCCTAAGCATCTTACTTGGCTATGTATTCTACGGTCGTCAAGTTGTTCAAGTTTGGCGTTCTACTACAACATACTTAATACGTCTTGAAAATAATCATCAACGCGTTTAAAGGTAATCACATCCCATCATTACCAGTCGTAATTCCAGACACAATGGACCCGCTGGCACAATATAAGACCTCCATACAGAACCGACTGGATAGTGCGGATGTTTTGGTATCAAAATTGGTACATGAAAACCGCATGCTGGCGCAAGAAACAGAGAATAAGGATGAAGAGATAAAAGCATTGAAACAGCAACTGGAGTCCGTCAAAAGGCGCAACGAAGATGATGAAAAACGAGCAAATGTAGCAGAAGAAGAGGCCGAAATCGTGCGGGACTTGTTTGAGCATTTGTGTGGAGTCAGGGTTCACAAATCTTACGAGGACGATACGGGACTCTGGTTTGACACATCGCAAGGAGGAAAATTTGGCGTGATGGATTATAAACTTGGTTTTGTCAGAGCCGAGGGCGAAACGGAGGGTACTGAGGTGGTTTACGTGCCGCTTCTGAAGCAAAGAAGTGCAGAAGAGCTTCAATTGCTGCAGAAACAGCTACCTGGTTATCTCTTCGATACATTGAGTTTCCCACTCAGATCTCTTAACCAGTTTTACATGAAACTAAGCAAATGTCTGGGTAAGGCTGAAAAAACATCTGAATAGGGTTCGGTTCTATCAAACTGATTCTATTTACACTCTATATCCTGGATTTTTTTTCTCTCTTCAAAAGTCCATTTCACGCATTGCATACGCTAGGATCCATGCCAACAATTGTTTCGGAATGAAGATTTGATCTTCGTGAGCCGCGGCAGATCTTTTGTCTCGAAGAAGATGATCCACTGCGATTCCATGGGCTTCTAAGTCTCTATTCTTTTTTTTTGGTTGTCTTATGGCTGAATTTTGATAAGGACTCCATCGGAAGCTTGAACACCCCCCAGCGTACAACTACGTTTGCTCTCTCATTCATTCTGATAGATCAAACGGCCCTCTTCATCAACCACGAGATTCTTCAACAGCTTCTTTTTCTCGTCCTTGTTTTTCACAGATTTGAGAATCTTGTACAAGCTGCTGCCCTTTTTTCCGGCAAGCGAGATGCCAGAGGCATCTGCCGGTTTTTCCATTGATTTCTTAGCACTTTTTGGGGCCTTTTTCTTCTCTACTTTCGCTGCAGGTTTCTCGTCATTCTGTGCTTTCTCGCTCTGTGGTGGTTGTTGAGGCTGGACAGGTTTCTGCTGTGGCTTACCCTTTTGTTTTTTGCCCTTGTACAGCGCGCCTTGATACCTTTCGTCCTCACTTATGCACTGGGTGTGTGCCTTATAAGAAACTCCGTCATCGAAAGTGACGTTACAGTCGATGCAAGTGTAATAAGCGTTAGGACATCTGTAATAATGTTTTTCGGTGTTTTTCTTAGGAACAGTGTCGTTGCAGACCTCACAATTGAAAGTTACCATTTGGATCGGAATGCTAGCGGCTATTGGTTGCAGGATGAGATGTCTTGAATCTCGAGGCGATGAGCTGATGAAATTTTGCATTATGTAGTGTTTACTGACATCACTATGTACTTTTCTGTCACGTGGATACAAAGCACTGAGGTAAAAGATCTTTGGTACAACCAGTAAGCCCCAATTTCGACGATAGCACTTCTGAGCACACTGAAAGAAGAGAATTCTACTCAGACAGTTTCTGTTGCCTCGCTTTTTTTAATCCATTACCGCATTGTAGGCTTTCACCACTTTGATCACTTTGTACTAACCTGACATCGATCAATATCAATGCCAATATCACCTTCTCGAAGACTCCCTACAACCCTATAGGCGAAACACTTTTAAAAACAAGTACAGCTGTTATTTATCAACTAATGATCTAACTCCAGGTTGAGTTTAACTTCAGGTTGAGTTGAATGTCAAATTTCGCTTTACGATCTGTCATTTCCTTCCGCAATATTTTTCCAAACTTCTTCCCAAAACATACAAAACAAAACCCAGGGTACCGCACAGCTCCAAAAAGTTCCTAAAAAACTAGAAATTTTAGACTAGACTCACCAGTGATTCTTGCAAGCCCGCTGTCGCCTTCAAATCCATTCATCTTCAGACCTGGCGCCAACAGGCATTTTGAACGGCACCGCCCAATAGGGGATTTCTGCTTAATATCGATCTAACTATATATAACAAGCATCTTTCAACATATCTCGATTTCAGCTAACTTCAAGCCATAACTCCCGTTTGCGATGGCTCTCGAACCAATTGACTACACCACGCATTGCCATGCCATTGAGGATGCTTTCCAGAAAGTTGTCCGGGCTTCAGACGATGAAATTGACTGGCTAATTCTTACACCAAATGGACAGAAACAATATGTTCCGGAAAAGTTGGGCAGTGGGTTTAGCGAGTTTCTAGGATCATTTGAAGAATCCAAAGTGGAATACGGACTTGCCCGAGTGAGTCCTCCGGGTTCTGACGTCCAAAAACTGGTTTTGGTCGGATGGTGTCCCGATAATGCGCCTTTAAAGACAAGAGCGTCTTTTGCATCTAATTTTGGCGTTGTGGCCAATCAGGTCTTAAAAAGCTACCATATTCAGGTCACTGCGCGGGACGAGGATGATTTGGATGAAAAAGAGCTTTTGAATAAGGTGAGTAACGCTGCAGGGGCCCGCTATTCGATCCAAAACGAGATCCCCACAAAAACGAGCTCTGCTCCAAAACCACGTCCTTCAAGTGTGCCAAAAAAGCCAGAAACTACAACACCCAAGCCTGCTGTGAGTAAGGAGCCTGTCACAGTGCCCAAAAATGAGCCCACCAAGACTTCAGCTGGCGATGATGATTGGGACGAACCTGAGGTTGAAGAACGCGACTTAGATGCCAATCCACTCAAACCAAACAAATCATCCTGGAACCCTGTAGGAAAAGTTGACTTGCAAAAGCTGGTGGCTGAAGAAAATTCGAAGGCAGATCCTCGTTTGGTGAACACGGTGAAGGCTGAATCCCCATCCAAGCTCAACCCAAAGGATGATATCGAAAAACTGAGACAACAATCTAAAGCGCAACGGGACGCTGAGATGAAGAAATATCTTGGAACAAAGCCCCCATCCGTCGTGCTACCCAAAAAGAGCGATGACATGGTTGTGAAGGGATTCCAAAATGAGAAATCTCCAGCTCAACTTTGGGCTGAAAAACACCAACAAAAAACTGACTTGAGTATCGAGAAAGCATCTTCTGAAGTCGAGAAGCCTGATCAGACTAGCGAAAAGGAAGAAAATGACGAAGCTGCTCCAGAAGTTTCTGACATCAAGAGCAAGTTCGAAAAATTGAACACTGCAGAACCTGCAATTATCAAGCCAGGTCAGGTTAGAAGCCCTCCTCCCAGCACTGATGCGAAAACATCAGTACCCACTGGTCTCTCCGCGGGGCCCAAGAAACTCATAGGAAATCCCCTACCGGGCATGCAAAAGGAAATCGATAGTGATTCTGGAGAAGAACGGGCTGACGATGACGACGATTGGGATGATGATGAAGATGATGATAACAAGGCCACGGCGACGATCTCTGCCCCTCCTACGCAGTCAAGACCCGCTGCTCCCGCACCTGCCCCACGCCCTGTTGTGCAGTCTAGGGTTTCCGGAAAAGAGTCTTCCCCAGAGCCATCTCCAAAGCCTACGGAAGCAATGCCACCTGCTTTGCCTACACGCTCCAGTGAGTCTACATTTGTGCCACCTCCACCTCCACGCAGAAACGTGCCTGTAACCGCTGAGAAGGAGAAAGAACCTGAACAGCCTGCCGAAGAATCTGAACCGGAGCAGCCAGAAGAATTTGAAAAGCCAGCTTCTACTAAACAAGAAAAATTACCTTCTGCGATTGCTGAGTACGATAACGAAGCAGAAGAGCATAATGAGCTTGCCTTCAGCGAGGGCGACAAGATCGTCAACATTGTTTTTGTTGACGATGAATGGTGGTTAGGTGAGCTCGAAACTACTGGCGAGAAAGGTCTGTTCCCAAGCAATTATGTTCAATTGGTCGATTAGATACAAAAGGGTACTTTTCTTCACCACGACCGTTTCAAGACCTTGTAAGGACCACGAAAAAAGCATCTAAACACTGTTTAAAACCTTCTAGAGCCTCTTCTTGTTTAAAATAGTATAGAATTCAAAACATGTTTTAGGTCTATACATGATTTTGACATTGTAGCGTAGTAAAACAAAACCTTAAACAAAAATGAAACTTATAACCTAAACACACCCAAGATCCTGGGGAGGTCTAGAACTCTCGATCAATTGTGAATGGTCTATTGAAGTGACGCTTGTAAAAGTATGTTTGTCTTTGGGTGGAGCTGTGAGCTACGCTTAACTGTCCTGAGCTTTATATATGTAACAGACATGTTAGAGAAAACACTTCATCAGTGATCAGCACATTGCGCCCTTGGTTTGACTTACAGTCTAGCATGGAATGTATAAATGTACTGGTAAATGGGATTGGGACCAAGCCCCATGGTTGATGCATTATCTTAGCTTTTTAGGTCAGTAAAGGGCCAAACGTTGACGTTCTGAGAGCATGAGGTTGTCAACCATTTTAGCTACCAGCGGAACGACACTTGCGGCATTGTACCCAAGGGTATATTATGCCAATAGTTCTCTGCCTTCTGCAACGCATAGCTCGTTTTGGGATCTCACAACAGTTACTGTGAAAACCACCGACTCTGTAGGTTCAGCTGCAACTTATACCTCTGAGGCCCTTGTATCGCTTTCGACATCAAGTATCGGCAACACATTTACCGTTTTCACCACATGGTGCCCTTTGTCTTCAACCTCTGGAATGGACAAAACCTCTTTTGTGACTACCGAAACAAGTCTTTTCACATCGGAATCGGTTTCTACCGATCAGAACGGAAATTCACATACTGTTGCAACCACTGGAACTGAAACCTTCACTATCACCATCTGTCCATCGTGTAGCCACCACCTTACTACTGCTATCACGGATTCTAGTAAAGGTTCCAGTTTAAGTCCTTCGAGTCGAAAATTCACTTCAATCGGATCTTCGGTGACAATTGGAAGCTCTGCTTTAGTGAACAGCGATTCCACCATACCAAGTTCAGTTTCCTCGGCCGTTTTTTCACAAGAGACATCCTCGCTGGTCTCCTCTAAGCTCTCTTCTGGCTCATCATTAGAGAGCTCGATTTCATCTCCAGCGACACAAACTTTGCGGACAATCACCACTAATACTGTCAACAGTGCGGGTTCGACCTTTACGACAACGTTTAGTGCAACACCTTCTCTGACCACGGAAACTTCAAATGGTGTTACAAGCGTCTACACCACTTGGTGCCCTTTGAGGTCCAGTAGTCCTGCTTCGGAAGCGATAACAAGTACGATTGCCACAACAACTATCAACAGTGCAGGTTCCACGATTGTGACAAGTATGGCGGTTACGCCATCTTTAACGACAGCGATTTCGAATGGAGCGACAACGGTTTACACCACTTGGTGTCCTTTGACTGCTAGTAGTAGCCCCGCTACTCAGACAGTCAGTACTGTGACAACAAGTACCACCGACAGTGCGAGCTCTACCATAGCGACGACTTTTGAAGCTACACCCTCTTTGATCACGGCAACGACAAATGGAATAACCACAGTTTACACCACCTGGTGTCCTTTGACTGCTAGTAGTAGCCCAGCTACTCAGACAGTCAGTACTGTGACAACAAGTACTGTCAACAGTGCAAGCTCTACCATAGCGACGACTTTTGAAGCTACACCCTCTTTGATCACGGCAACGACAAATGGAATAACCACAGTTTACACCACCTGGTGTCCTTTGACTGCTAGTAGTAGCCCAACTACTCAGACAGTCAGCACCATAACAACAAGCACCGTCAATAGCGTGAGCTCTACTATCGTGACAACATTTGAAGCTACACCCTCGTTGACCACGGAAACGTCAAGCGGAGTGACCACAGTGTATACTACGTGGTGTCCCTTGACGAGCACTTCTTCGATTCCAGTGATCAGTACTATCACCACCAAAATTGTGAATAGTGAAAGCTCGACAATTTCCACAACGTACATGGCCACTCCATCCCTAAAAACATCGACCTCCAGTGGCATAGTCACGGTATACACTACTTGGTGCCCCTTCTCGACTTCTCTGTCTTCTTCGACCGCGACAAACGTCTTCACAGAGCAGTCTCCCTCCAGCAATGCCACCCCAAAGACTGCTAGCCAAAGTGTTATGACACATTCAACAACGGGCACAAGCAGTTATAGTCAAACGTTGCCGGGAACTACTAGTCACAAAACAGAAAGCACTGCTCTGCAGTCCGAAGAAAGTTCAACAAAGACGCAGATTTCGGAGACGACTAGTGGAACATTGAATTCCCAGCAAACTTCCATACCCAGTACGAGTCTCATCGAATCAGAGAGCTATCGATCGCAGAGCCAATCTCGCACTCAAGTTTTGCCGCATACTGGAACCACCAGCATTCTCACACAACAGTCGCCGTCGGTAAGAACGAAAGTCTACACAACCACTTCATGTTCTTCTAACCAGTGTCACACGAAAACTATTTCAACTACTACGGGATCAACCACTGGCATTCAGTCTTCGTCATTACCCTCCGCCTCTTTGTTTTCAAAAGTCGGTTCTTCCACGACAAGCTTAGCTCCCAAAAGTGGATCCTCTTCGGTAGTATCGATCACTCAAACCGAAACCACGGTGTGCACGGAGTCTTCATGTAGTACCGTGTCTTCTAGTTCTATCGCCTCTTCGGGTCCTGAGAAAGAGAAGAAATCCACCGGAATTGTGCCAAGCTCGTCAACGCAAAACTCGCGTTCAGTGTGTACTTCATGTGCTACCAGTTTCGTTGCGACTTTATCAACAGTTCAGTCAAGGGCCCATAGCAAGTCTTCTCTATTGTCGTCCACGACTCAAGTGGTCACACTTACCAGCGGCGGTGTCGTTACTGAATACACAACCTGGTGCCCGATAACTGCTTCCTCTGCTGGAAGTCTTTACACTACAACAGCGTCACAGACTACATCAATTCCCAGCTCAAAAATTTTGGTAAGTGACAGTACAACTCCTACGCCTAAATATTCCTCTGCATTGTCGAGCACATTTGAAGCAGGAAGTGGGGCTTCCGTGGTTTCGAGTGTAGCGGAGACACAGCCTGGGTCTGGGACTTCGCTTTCGAAACCTCAATCAACTACTTTGGCCACTACTGCTACCATCAGCACGAGCAAAATCCAAGCAGATACATCCGATCATGTCGAATCAACGACGAGCATTTCACACATATCTACAGGAGAAAGCACAACCTTCATGCCCTCAGTGAAGACAACTTCTGCCACCAACTCTGAGACACTAAAAACGAGCACAATCGCTGCCAGTGAGCAGTGTCAAACTTGCTCCAGTTCGAGCACCACTACAAGCGGCAAAAGCTCCTATGACTGTACGACTTGCCTTGGCCAAGTTTCCTCTATTAAAACATCATCTGCTACAAGCACAAAACCCACTGACGAGTGCACTTCCTGTGCCACTTCGGCCACCTCCACTGTGAGTTCAACAATAACGAGGACCTGTTCAACTTGCGCGCCGCTTTCTTACGCTTCGAAGGTGGTAACAGAGACAAACAATGGTGTGATCACTGAGTACACCACATGGTGTCCTATAACAACTTCAAGTAGTCTTGCAGCTCGTTCAGAATCGCCAAGCTCGGGCGTTCCTTCGCCAAGCTCGGAAATTTCTTCGCCAGCAGCTTCAACGATCTCATCCTCTATGAATAAGGTAATTCTCACTAGCTCAAAGGTCGAGACGTACAGCACATCCTTGACTACCATGGTGACAACGGTGTTGCCAATCACCACGACGTCCACCAGCAGCGACGGACACTTAGTGACAGTTGTTAGTTCGAAGTCAACAGTGGTACCGACAGTCACAACGCTGCTAGTCACTTCCAGAGTGCCCATCTCAACTTATGCCACACCAGTGGAGGTATCATCGAATCCAGGATCTAATTTCGGCTCAGTCACCACAGCAAACACCCTTTCCTCAACGTGGGTTACCACACCGGTAATTTCGACGTATCAGGGAGCAGCCCCCAGAGCCAAGGATTTGTCTAATGAGTTTTTGAACGCGCTGTCAGTGATACTAATGATGCTGCTGGTATAGACATTTCGTGCCTATTTAAAGCAAAGAGTAACCGTGATATATAGGAAATTCCAGACCATTTCAAACTGAACTAGACTTGCTCGGCACGGACCAAGACCCAGAGACCAAGGCTCCTGCTTATCCACAGGAAAAAATTGACGGACTCTCACTAATGGCATCCTTCGAAATCTCTTTACTTTCCATTCGTCACCTCAAAACACAGGTCTACTACTGACACTTCTTCGGCAGATTTATCATCATAGTCGTACCATTCATTTTCTCCCTCGAAGACTGCTTGCATTTCAGTCCCTGACGTTAGCTTAACGTCGAAGGTCAAATTTGAGAAATCCACTCCTGTGACTTCGCAACCTCGACAGTCGAGTGCAAGCTGCACTAGTTTCGAGGCCTCGACTTTCTTGATACTTTTCTTCTTCCTTTGACGTTGAACTTTTTCCACAGCTTCGCCGTTTTCCTCCACGTCCAAGTTGAACAGTTTTTCTTCCGTCCGTTCCAAGTTTACGGTGCACTGATTGCCACAGAACTTACATTTCATCACCAGCGATGTCTCGCCCTTCCCGCCATTGATTTCATGCTTTTCCAGGCAGTTCACATAAACAAGAGAATCGTGTTTCTCTCGACAGTTCGTGCACACTATCTCGAGAGCGTAGTCTGCGGCCTCAGAATCGGTATCGTGTACAGAAAACTGACTGACATTATCAGAAAGTGTTGCAGAAACTACGAGGTAAAGCATTGGTACTTGTGAAGCTCAAAAGGTCTCTTTAGAAGTCACTTTTATGTCAAAAGTTGTGATGGTCATCTGGTGGACAATGCAAGGTGTCTGAAAAATATCACACTTGTTATAGTTATTTGAACTACCAAAGAAGGAAAAGGAAGATAACAAGAAGAGCCTTTGAGGATTAAACTAGTGCTGTGCGTTAGTGGGCTGGGTGCCGGTAGGCGAGAAGAGGTTATGTGCGGAAATCTGCGAAGTTTGGGACGCATAAACTCATTGGTACGACTGAAATGGCCGTGCAAATATGATCGCATCAATACCCGAAATTTACGATCCTTCCACGGCCTTCGGGGCTTCAACGGCCGCAGAGGGGGACTACCGCCGGTCAAAATAGGCTCTACACTTTGGCGGTATTTTAATGCGCCCGGAAACGTCATGTTTGTAACTACAAATGTGGTTACTTTGGTGGGAATTGTGTCTTACTCGACATTGCAAACCATGGCGCGCGAAAGAGCTCTCCAAGATTATGTGGAACAAAGCGGGCTATCAGGTGAACCGGTGGTTGAAGAGGCACGCTCGAGTCACCAACAAGAAAGCCCGATGGCATCTTATAAAGCAGGTAAAATTATGCTGCCAAAAAGTAGCCCACCACAAACATGCCACATGCAACACCTTAAGATGTCTCTATTTCATTTGCTATACAGCTATCACATCTATTGTGACGTTGTCGCTCTAGAAGCACCCAGCGGGTCGATTGAATACAATAAGGAGGTGGAGGAGCTGCGACGAGGGCAGATGATGGAAAAACACAAGGCGAGCAAAACGTCGCCGCAAGCATTTTACAACGCTTGGAGCGACGAATTTGAGCATGAACTGAGAAATCTAAACCGCTCGCAGCAGTTCCACATGCCCAACTGGACTGCTTATCCCAAGAGTCTCCAAATCCTATGCCGAACGCTATATGAGAAAGACATGAAAACGATGGCTGATTTTAAGAAGTTTTACCGGAGCATTGGCTCGGGGAATCTACGTGCCATATTGCGCTCCTGGCTTTATGATAACTCGCGATTTTTGCAAATTGAAACAGATTTCGACTCCGAAGCATTCTACCGAGATCTTATCAGGTCTTGTCGCAGCGACAACTCGCTTTTCAAACTGTATTCGTCCATTCTGCTCAACTCCAGCAACCCAAGGCGTTATGCATTTTTCCAGAGTCAGGGCCAACGTCCTTTGACTGTTTCGCTCGAGACTATTCTCGAGGTAATGAAGGGCAATCTGCTTGCAAGCACTGATACGGAATGCTACAACTCCAGTTTGCAGCTTATCTCTATGATTCGAACTAATTGCATAGCTACACAGGGTGCCGGAGGCAAGAAAGAAGTACGCATCATTTTATCGGACGATGACTCGTCCAGTGACATACCCGGAAAAATGTCGAGCCAGGAAAAACATGAGTGTTTGGAACTGGTTAGTCAAAACTCGGAAATAATCGCCATTCTCGGTGCTCTCTCCAAGCTCCCGGGATGAAATCAGATGCACTGCTCTACCGAAAACAGAGTTGCATTGATTTTCCGGCAGTTGACGCTTTGAGGCCAAGTCCAGGTGCTATGGCCACAACTGCTGGGGGAAAGAAAAACGGGAAAAACGGTGAACAAGAGAAATTTGCAAGCAAGTCACAAAAAGATACACCAATAGCTATAGCACACTGCTTTCCATTTCCTCTTGCTCAAAAATCATTCGATCTCAAATCAAGATCGAGCTCAATCGCATAATATTGAGGGAAAAGAAAAGCCCCAATATTGAACTTTCATGTATATAATCATTTTAAAAGCTATTTAACAGACAATCTCGGCTACAGGAAATACAAGACTTCACTAACTTCTTATAGAGGCCTTGAGTTTCTGTTAGTTGTTGTACCTTTCCCATACATATAGATATATATCCAAAACGCGTCTTTTTTCGTTTTCTCTAGTTGAAACTCTAGTCGGTAGAGATCCGAAAAATTTTTGAAATTAACAATTGATGCGATGCGATGAGCTAAGTTCACTCGAACTCAACACCATACAATACAGTACATTGCCCATCTTTCGCATCTATTTTAACCCGCGATAATGAAGTTTCTTACTTCCAATTTCTTAAAATGCTCTGTGCAAGAGTGTGATAGAAGCAACGACAATTTTCCGCTTAAATTCAATGGTGAAAAGTGTCAATTAGAGCAGGACGAGAGTTTAGAGTTCAATCCACAATTTCTGCTTCGAATTATTGATCGAGTAGAATGGCCGGCCATTTTGAGCGTCGCTTCTGACCTGGGCAACACCACACTTCCCCCCACAAAGCCAGACTTTGCCGATGAAGAACTGTCGGAAGAAGACATGATTATTTTGCGAGACCTGCACACACTGCTAATCCAAACAAACATAGTAGAAGGAGAAATGGCATGCCGCAATTGTGGCCATATTTACTACATTAAGAATAGCATTCCCAATCTGTTGTTGCCTCCACATTTGGCTTGAGGTGGGGTGTGCCCAGCACATTCTGACCGATGGATTTGCTGATATTCCGCGAAAGAATGCACACGGGGGGAAACACGATTGTCCAAAAATTGCTGTGGTGCATCACCAATGAGTTCCTGGAATAGTGGGAGGTTGGGGGGGAAACCACTTTTGCGAGAATAGTCGCAAAAAAAGTCGCCTTTTTGAGGGTTGCAGTCTACGAGTTTTTGGTGTTGGAAACATCTGTGACTGCGGTAACGCTTGGCTTTCAGCTGAAGTTGTTGATAGTAGGTTTCGACATGGTAGTGGTGGTGATTGTCGAGCTTTATATCACTTTGTACTATCGTGACACTGACTGTTGTCAATCTCGAGAAAAATGCCGGGAAACTTCCTCAATCGCGGATTCATTCGAAGAAGAGAGGCCACGGCTGTCATTTCCGTGCTAGTCGATAATCAATGATAAGTGTCTGCATGACGAATATATATACCCACCGAACAATGCAAACAAACTGGAAAAAACGCCAAGAAGTGGTGAAATACATGCATTCCCATTTGAACAACCGTGGTGAACCCCTAGTTTTGGCAGTTAAACCTACTGCCATCTCTCTATGTGAAATATTCAAAATATCTAATCACTACGTACGAATAATTTTTTTTGTTGGTCCCAAATTCACTATTTCAAGTTTCTGCACCATTTCCGTCGAGTCTCAACACCCCCCGCTACTCTAATTTCGGTCTCTCGCATCGCTGTGCTCAATTTCCATATCAATCCCACCTTTCTTATCGCTGAATGTTTTCCTGTCATCTGCTTGTCTCTGAGCTCTCTTTCTACGTTCCCAGAAACAATTTAAACTATACTATTTATAAATTAGATATACCTACATCTACAAGCTCAAGTTGAACCACTCCACTGTACCCAGGGATTGAGCATCTTAGTGGAACTTTGTGATCACCACGACGATTCCATTAAAATCAGCGCTTCCTGTTCACCCCAAAACGGTTTTCACCCGGAATTGCTAGATGGACACATTACAGGCAATAACCCATTCAAACCCGGTTGGTGGAAATGGTGGTGCAAGCAATAGCAACGGTGAATTGAGAACACGAAGCGTTTCGTTTTCTAAATTGATAGCTAGGTCATTTCGGAAACCCAGCGGGACAGAAAACGATGCTGACTCAGGAGCCGGATCAGCGTCTGTATCGTTTAATCAGCAACAACAGCAACAACAACGGCAAAAACAAAATTTAGCAGTATTGGACGACGAAAATGGGGGTAATTCTGCACAAATTCCACAAGATACATCAAAGGAAACCACTCCGGACTCTCAACAGTCTGAAAAACTGTCCGTAAGGCTGCGGAAAATGTTCAAGAAACCGTCGCCGGAAGTCACGTGCGAGGAGGAAGAGGAGTCATCAGCATCATCACCACCATCAAAAAACTCTTCTAAAGCACCATTGACCTTTCCTGAATCACCCTCTATGGTACCCGCAAGCCGTCCGCTTGGTAATGAAGGCTCTTACAATGGGACCACAAGTCCCCGTCTCGAATCGTCCATCGGTAGAGCCAGGTCACCATCTACGCCTATCATGACTAGCCACATACCGGCTACAGGTAATGGCTCGCACGGCAATGTTAAGGGTCCCGTCACGGGCATGGCTAGTCAAACAGGTGCAGTTGATCGTCGCAATACTCGGTCGGATACAGTTCGCAGTAGCAACCCATATTTTGCATGTCAGGGCCTTCCGCCTCATGCATATTCTTCCCAGGAATTTGAATCCGCAAATGTATCCAGCAGTACGCGGCATGAAGACTCGACTATTTTGATGACTCCGCCTGCTTCCAGCTCTACTGGTATGACATCCTATTTCCATAATAGCTATCACAATGCCAGCAACAAATCATTAAACGACATAAATGAAAATGAGGAAGTCGAGGTGTTCAAGTCTCATGACCCATCAGACCCAAATTTGGGCGCTAAAAATGCTCCAGATATTTTACCAACAATGGCGGCTCCTTCGCCTTCTTATGCCGGATCATCCCTAAGCCCTCAGTTATTTCCGGAAAATCCTGTCATCGTTGTGGAACAAAACTACGACATCTCACCCAAATTGAACGAGATGTCTCCATTACCGTCTCCGAAAATAAATGCTGAAGCTCAAAAGCCTGTTTTAAGGAGAGTTGCATCCGAGCCTAATGCTTTACGAGCAGTGAAGGAGCAAACGCTTAAAGCTCCTAATAAGACTACTAACGGTTCCACTTCATTGTCAAACTCTGTCAAAACGTCGCCTATAGCACCGTACGCGATAGAATTGGAAGAACCACAGCGCTCTCGCCGTTTGAGAAACAAATCCTTTAGCAGCAAATTCAAGGAAGTCATAGTTGGGCCCACGTCTTTTGAAAAGATCAAACTTTTAGGCCAAGGTGATGTGGGAAAAGTATACCTTGTCAAAGAACGAAAGACTAACAGGCTATATGCGCTCAAAATTTTTAGCAAGGCGGAGATGATCAAAAGGAAAAAAATCAAGAGGATTTTGGCAGAACAGGAAATCTTGGCCACTAGTAATCACCCTTTTATCGTGACCCTTTATCATTCATTTCAATCTGAAGATTATCTCTACCTTTGCATGGAATATTGCATGGGAGGAGAGTTTTTTCGTGCTCTACAGACAAGGAGAACAAAATGCATTGAAGAAGACGAAGCTCGTTTCTATTCCAGCGAAGTGACGGCTGCTATCGAATATCTGCATTTGATGGGCTTTATTTATCGTGATCTGAAACCTGAGAACATCCTTTTGCATAAATCTGGACACATTATGCTGTCAGATTTCGACCTCTCCGTCCAGGCTAAAGATACCAAGGATCCAGTGGTGAAAGGTTCGGCTCAAAGTTCGTTGCTAGACACCAAGATATGTTCGGATGGCTTCAGAACCAATTCTTTCGTTGGTACTGAAGAATATCTAGCTCCTGAAGTCATTAGAGGGAACGGTCACACTGCTGCTGTAGACTGGTGGACTCTTGGCATTCTCATTTACGAGATGCTTTTCGGTTTCACTCCCTTCAAAGGCGACAACACTAACAAAACGTTTTCGAATGTTCTGAAGAATGATGTAACGTTTCCTAACAATAATGAAATCTCCAGAAGTTGCAAAGATCTTATCAGGAGACTTCTCATCAAGAATGAAAGTAAAAGACTGGGATCTAAATTTGGGGCTAGCGATATAAAGAAGCACCCATTTTTTAAAAAGGTTCAGTGGTCACTTCTGAGAAATCAGGAGCCACCTCTCATTCCAGCACTTACTGAGAATGGGTACGATTTCACGAGATTGACGAACAACTTTAAGGGAAATGGGAAGGGAGAAGATAAGAATACAGTGGTAGATGAAGTCTCTGAACAGGAAAAGATCATGTTTGAAGAAAAAGTAGAGCGAGATGATATTGTTTCTGACGACGATCCCTTTCATGATTTCAACTCCATGAGTCTAATGAAGCAGGATAACAACTCTTTGATCTACGGTGACCAAAATTCTTACGGGAAAGTTTCTTATACTCCGAATCAGAATCGATCTAGAAGCAATAGTCACCGCTTTTTCAAGCGATGATGACACGATGTAATGTTGATGAACTCTTACGTATGCAATTTATAAGTTTTAAAACGTCTTAATGCAAGGAAGAAGGGATCACCTCATCCATGTTGAGCAGTCTTGACAATTTTTCCTTGTGTGATAGGTTGTTCGCTGTAATGATACACTTGAGTATGCTGATAAAATGTAAATGTTCCTCATTTTCCATTTCGGCCTTTGATTTCTGAGAAATTGTGTAGGCCTTGTTAATAACCTCCGTTGGTATTCTAGCAAGCCTGGCAACATTAAGGCCATATGAATCGCTGGCTAAGCCTTTTTTCAGTTTATACAAAAAAACGACGGTGGGCCAGTTTTCTCCAGGGCGCTTCTCCTCGATATAAGCCATATGGTAATTATCGAGTAGATTCGATCTGATGGATCCTAATATTGGGTAGTGGGTGATGAACAGAATGAAAGGGCACTTTTTCTCTAATCCGAGGAAGTGCTTTATTATCGAAAATGAAATGCTAATGCCGTCTGTCGTACCAGTTCCTCTGCCTACCTCGTCCAATAGAAGTAGAGAGTTCTCTCCTGAGTTTTTTATGATATCCAGCATTTCTAGCATTTCAACCTTGAAGGTGGAATCACCTTTTATGAGATTGTCATGAGCACCAATGCGAGTAAATATGCTTTCAAATAAAGGTAGTTCAGCGCTGTCTGCGGGGACGAAAGAGCCAACCTGCGCCAAAATGCTGATCAAAGCCACCTGACGTATGTATGAGGACTTACCTCCCATGTTGGGGCCTGTAATTATCATGAGTTTATTCTCGTCTTCTCTCATGTAGACATCGTTTGCAACATAATTCACATCTAACGACTCGATTATCGGGTTTCTCCCGTTTCTGATCTTGACATGCCGTCTGTCATTCAACAATTTGGGCCGCACATAGTTTCGATTCAAAGAAGTTGCAGCTAAAGAGAGTATGCAATCAAATACTGCAAGGTTTCCTATGAGCTCTCGCAGTAAATGGTACTCAAGGCTAATGCGCCGAACAAACTTTTTGAAATGCTCTTCACAAATAATTGTCAACACGTTCTTATGATATTCGAGCTGCTCTACCAGTTTGCTTGTTTCGGGTGTTCTGAATCTGCTTAGTGTTTTGGTGCTGTTAACTTTGATCCAATCTTTCGGCAGACCAGCAAGCTGAGTGTTGCGAACTTCTATCAAATACTCAATCTCATCCCTGAAAAAAAATCTAGGTCTTCTCAAAAGCCGTCTGATGTTGTCCAACTCATTTTTCAAGGCTTGTTTGACATTCTCGATATCGTTCAACTTTGCGACTATGGCTTCAGGCTGATCGTATTTGCTGAGGTTGAAAAACTCAACGCACTGTTTTTCCTTGTCTTTATCCAGAACGGCACCCGCGTTTATCATGGTCAAAAGATTTGTGACATCGATGGCTTTCAATGTGTCATTGAGCTGGGTCAGCAATGACGCTACCAAACTGGACTTTTCATGAACTCTGCCGCCAGGTGCAATGACCTGTTCTTGGAAATAAAAGTGGTGACTTTGAAAGTGTTTAGAGATTATATCAAGGTGCTTCAGAAAGAAGTATAGCTCCTTCCTTGATGTTTGACCATAAGATATTCTGTTCAAGTTTCTCAAAAAGTCTGGGGTATCCTTCAATACGTTTCCGAGACCTTCCATAAAAATATTGGTGATCTCTTCTTTGACACATTCAATGGCGTCTAATCTTCTATCGATAGCGTCTCTATCAATGAGTGGTTTAGAGGTCCAGTCCCGTAACAGCCTGTAGCCGTATGGTGTTCTTGTATGATCAAGTAGCCACAATAGTGATCCACGTCGAGTTTGATCGGTTTGATTCTCAAAAATCTCGAGACTTTCCAGCGTGTTTGGAGAAAGCACCATGTGGATCTTCGAGATGAATGGTTTAAAGTTGTGTGGGAGGTCAACGATCTTTTCGGTGTTGTAAGTCTCCAGGTATCTTCGCATCAATGCTCTCAAGTCTAAAATTTCGCGTGTCAAATTGAAAGAGCTCAGATCCGCGGCGTCTGTGTCTTCGGGGATAAGGCTGTCTTGATCGAAAATCTGAACCTCAGGCTGTCGGGATTTGAGAAACCGCGTGGTCGGTTCGGGCAGCTTTTTGGAAGAAACTATTTCGACAGGTTTGAGGTAAGAAACTCTCTTATCGAGCTCTATGGTAGAGTTCCGCATGTCACTAAAGCTGTCATATATAATTTCTCCACTGGTTAATTGAACAGACAACAGCCAGTAATGGGTGAGTCGCGGATCTTCATCGATGCGTATTGTCCAGATAGTGTTAAGGTCCTCTTTGTGATCTATATCTGTCCGACTGAATGTTTCATTGATTGCGAAGGTGGCTTTGGTGAACACTTTATCCACCTGTCTTTTGAAAACGCCACTAGAGCTTCCGGTCACTTTCTTGATTGCTTGGGTCTCCACCTGTTCAACTACACCCACCTTTAAATTGTGATGAAGTAGTCTCTGTAAATGAACTTGAAGCCTGTTATCTGGAATACTGCAATACGCCAATTGCTTGTAGTGACGATCCTGTGGATTCGAGTCGTCTAACGTCAGCTTACCTTTTATTAGCATAATTTGGAGGATTTTACTGACCATAACGGCGTCCATAGCGAAAAACTTGTACTTGTAGCCAACTCTGATGGCAAGTACTTTGTCCATATGTTGCAATTTGAGGTCTTTAACCTGCTGGTCCAGCGGCGTTAGTTTGCCAAATTTCGGTTTTTTTTCCGGTGGAGGGCCGTGTGATCCTCCATCTGTATTTTCAGTCTCGCTTGGTGTCTCAATTGCCCCTGCAGATCTTTTCAAAAGCGCATCAGAGACTTTTTTAGAAAACGCATCCGAATTGCGAGCTGGTAAAGACTCACTTTTGGATGTGTCATTGGCATTTTTCCGGCGTAAAAACGAGTATTCGCCAAGCGCCGACCTACTGGCCATCAAATTCATAGACACCTCTGGCCTATACGCAGGTGGTTTTGTGAGATCAACTACTGCCTGATTCGATTCATCTGATTCTGGTTTCTCGCTAGAAATTTGATCATTTTGAGCGCCTTTCGAACCGTTTGAAGAGGACGATAATTTCGAATTAGACTTAAAAAACCTACTTATCGATGGCTGGTAGGGCATACGATGGTTTTGGGCGTCAAAAAGCTTTGGTATTTAGGTAGATTTTGTAGAAGTTGCTTATTCTTAAAGGCCATCTAATATATATCACTACAGTTAACTAATAAATCCTAAAAAGACGACACTATGTTCGGGTGAAGAAGACGGATCAACTAGACTCCTGGATTTAATAGAGAAGCTAAATGCCTCGATGCCCTGCAAATGTTTTGTGAATCGGAGTGAGTGATTTGACGAGTATCCAGCCATGAATATGGCCTAAAATTTTAACTTTTCAGCTTAAGGTTAATCTCTAATATATCTTATTTAATGTTTAGGACGTGAAATCAAACATTCAGAAATGTTTAAAAAAAAATCAAGTCAAAGGAACAACGGGAAGGTTACGAGATTCTGTTCATCAATATTCCAAACTTAAAAATATAGTCATCGAGTCCAGGCTATTCTTTCTGGATTCTATTTCCTGATTTAGACCTTTCAGTTTCATTAGCATTGAAGATAACAAAGACCTCGATAATTGAGCACAGAAAAAGAAAGCTTACAATAGACGTACCTATAATTAATAATGCGGCACGCTCCTAAGATCTAGAGATCGCTGTTTGACCACGCAATCGCTACTTGTTTGGTGGAGCCGTGACACATCACTTCATTCCAATTCTGTCACCTAATAATGTCCGGGTAGCTCTATTTTTTTAAGGCGGGCAAAATTTTCACTATTAGGCTTTATACTACTAGGCCAAATTATCGATAATTGAAAGTTAGGCGGTTTAGGATTGTAAACCAAGGAGTAACTCGAAGCGAGTGTAAACAGCACACAAACAGCCCTAAAGCTCACAACAGAGCCGCAAGGACACTAAAAGTATGTGGAAATCGAAAGAAGGGCATTAATTCGAGCTATTTTGCCTCTCGAACGGCAAAATTTGGACCATTTTTCGCAAAGTTGGACCAATTCTTATCGAAAACCTGTTCCATTCAATTCTTCAGAGTTGAGCCCCTTCACAGCTTAAAAATCTCTTACTGACAACACAGCGTTACCAGCCACTCCTGCATTCACTAAAATACATGCTTCCAAAGCAGCTCCCGGATCACGATTTAAGCACGGAAGAAATTGAGGCTGCAAAAACTACATCCCAAATTAGCATCACCCAGATAAGTGTTCTTATCACCAGTCTCCACGAGGAAAACTACGCACAGGTCGAACGAGAAATTCACGACCTACTGCAGAGATCGCCAGCCTACGTTTACGAAAAGTATTGGAGAAAACTATTGCCCCTGGCGTCGGTGCACATTAAACAGCACCATAAACTTAACACGGAAACAGACCTGGTACACCGTCTGCTGTACCGTTTATTTCAGGATCTACCGCTCAAGAGCCCAGAAGTTCTGGATCGTGTGAGAAAAGACGTGTTTCAGAACCCTGAAATTCAATCCCAAACCGGATTACAAGTTCAAGATCTTATACAGACCCTAGATCCCGAGCGTGACCAGCATATTGTTAGCCTGATTGATCCAGCGCCTACGATTGACCGTTTGACACGTCTCAAAAACCTCACAATGAACGCAGCACTGTCTTTGCAGAGATTTTTGGCCACAGAGTCCCCAACAACATTGGAACAGAACTTAAGCAGTCTTCTTTGTTCTCTGAAGGGCGAAAACCTCAATGATTTTGTGGCCCTGATTCTATCCGAAACCCTTGCTCCGCATTCACAGAATATTCAGCAGCCAAACTCGGCATGGTTTACGCCAATTGCTATCGGTGAAGCCGGCCAAAGAGGAACACAACTTTCGAATGCCTTCACGAAACTCGGCCCATCAGCTGTGAACTGGAATCGGGTCTTCAATTTGATGTCGACAAAATATTTTTTGGACCTTCCAATTTCGGTCTCGCTAGCATCGCTGAATCAACTGTTGGCGGCCCTGAACCGCGGCCGTCTCATTGACCAATTTCTCAACTGCGATTGGAATGTTCAGTTCAAGCTCAATATTTGTCTTCTATTTCACAAGTGGAACCTACAACAAGGTTGTATTGACCTCTTGAGTATGCCCGACATTAAGAAAATCTCCAATAATCTATCAAGCAATTCCTCTAAAAAAACCTTGCTGTCTTTGAAGTCAATCGCTCGTTTAGATGTGGAAATTTTCCTCCTAAGAGAAGAGCTTGCAGGTAATCCAATGTTGCCCATTTTTCAAGAGTGTTTTTTCGAAGACTACGATTTTGCTCCAGAATACCTGGCATTGGCTGTGATGACAGAAGCCAGACATTTTACCTTGTTGGTGGATAACGCCGCAATAATCGACGATTTGCTAATTACTTTGTTAGTCAAGGTGTTCGAAAAGATGCCGACCTCAATGTCCGACCTCATCAAGCAGCTACCGTTCGAGAAAGTGGTTGATCTCGGCATTGTGATAATACGGAAGGAGTCTGCACCATTGACCTCTTTTCTGCAGGTTCTATCTGAGGAGAGCTTACTAGAGGATTTCATGAATGCGTTGCCATTCAACGAAGCATTAAAAGCAAGCCCGCCCGCTAAGAAAGCTGCGTGGACAGCATTCGATGAATTTATGAAAAAGCATGTCACAAAGGAAAATGTACCTATCATACTTCAGTTCCTGGAGCTTCAATCGAAAATGGATGAATCAACCACACCGTTCTATCCTTCGAAAGTTTACGATCTATCTGCATTACACTATATTATCACGTTGTTGAATTCCTTATCATTGAGCCAAGCCCAAAGAGAGAGTCTGGAGAGCATCGAGTTTTCTCTCATAATAGCATTTCCAAGACTAATAAATTTTGGTTATGGTCATGATAAGGCAATTCTCGCTAACGGCGATCTGGTTCCAATACCTATGGATGTTGAAAAGGAGATGCAAAATTATCTTCAAAAGATGTACAGTGGAGAATTGGCCATCAAGGACATCATAGAAATTCTCAGAAAATTGAGAGATAGCGAGGACCCTCATGATCAGGATTTATTCGCCTGTATGGCTCACGCCGTGCTCGCAGAATCTAACTTCTTCAAAGATTATCCACTGGAAGCCCTAGCAACCACCTCAGTTCTTTTTGGTTCCATGATTTTATTTCAACTTTTGCGAGGATTTGTGCTAGACGTCGCCTTTAATGTTATATTGAAGTTTGCCACCGATGGCACAGATTCAAAAATGTTCAAATTCTCTGTGCAAGCACTTTATGCTTTTAGAATGAGGCTAAAAGAATTCCCACATTACTGTAGGCACTTGATAGAGGCTGTGCCCGCTCTACAAAGTCAACCTCAAATATTTCAGACGTTGAGCCAGGCAGCAGCTCAATCGCCTGAAAGGCCATCGAACGGTCAACCTAATGTTCACAGACCCCCCGAGATGGTAGCTCTCAATTTTTTTGCTATCAATGAAGTTCCTCCAAAGGTGATCCAAGAGAGCCCACCGAAGGAAGTTACAGAAAAGATTTTGTTTGTTGTTAATAACATTACAGATGACAATTTCGAAGGTAAAATTGAAGCATTGAAGTCGAGTCTCAAAGACACGTATTATGGATGGTTTTCCAATTATTTGGTCAATCAGCGAGCAAAGACGGAGCCAAACTATCACTCATTATATGCAAGAATCGTGGAGTCTTTGAGTTCCGATTTGCTCTTTGAATATGTCCTGAACGCCACTTACAAACAGCTACTACTGTTACTCTCTACTAAGGACGTTCAATCCAACGAGAAGAATTATTTGAAGAACCTTGGCTCTTGGCTGGGAAGCGTAACTCTTGCTTGCAACAAGCCAATCAAGCATAGCAATGTCGCGTTTCGCGAGCTATTGCTCGATTCCCATCGCGCAAGTCGGCTTGAAGTGGTTGTACCTTTTGTTACAAAAGTGTTACAGCAAGCTGCCCACTCTAAGGTCTTTAGACCTCCAAATCCATGGACAATAGGAATCCTCAAGGTTTTGAAGGAGCTCAATCAAAAAGCAGGTTGGAAGCTTAATCTAACGTTTGAGGTCGAGGTGTTGTTCAAGGCTTTGAAGGTAAAATTAGAAGACGTGGAAGCTAGCGAATATGTTGACAATGCTGACAGCATAGCACTGCTGAGCGGCGAGTTTGCGAATTTGAGTCCCGAACAGCAACAAGTCGAGCAACAACAACGGGTTTTGCTAATGCAACAATATCAACAACAGTTGGCCCTCATGCAGCAGCAACCTAATCAACAGCCCCAACAAACACTGCAGCAACAGAGGGGTCTTTCGAACGGCAACCTCCTCCACGCCGATCAAGTTCCTAGTGCCGAAGGACAAACTGCGGAGACACCTTTCAGTACCCTCCATGGTAGCACTTTGTTTGTCACACATCCTGACCTTAGACGCGTATTTCAAATGGCCATCGCCAAATCAGTTAGGGAGATTCTTGTTCCAGCTGTCGATAAATCCTCAAGCATTGCCGTAATTACTACTGTCAACATTGTGCTCAAAGATTTTGCTACTGAGGTCAATGAGCTGAAGCTTAAAACAGCAGCTGTAACCATGGTCAGGCATTTGGCTCAAAGTTTGGCCCGCGCTACCTCAATCGAGTTGTTGAAGGACACAATCCGCTCAACGACACAGTCCCTTGCTCCCAATTTGATGAATGTTCCAAATTCACCTATCGAAGAACTTAACACCGCTATCAATGACAACATAGGTTTGGCGCTTTCCTTGATAGAAAAAGCTACCATTGATAAGGCGACACTTTATGTTGGAGAGCAACTGATGCAAGCAATAGCCATCAGAAGATACCATAAGGAAAGACGAGCGGACCAACTATTCCTTGCTCAAAATGCGAACCCCTATTCCTTAAACTTGCCAGAACCGCTTGGATTGAAGGCCACGGGTATAACACCACAGCAGTTTAGAATATACGAAGAATTTGGGAGCAATAGCTTGATAGGACAAGGCAGCGCCAACCAAACTTCCGCACTACCTTCGGATGGTACTCCTGGACCGGGTCAGCAACAGCTATTCGGTCAACAGCAGCTACAACAGCCACAGCAGGACCAACAACAGCTTTTTAGTCAACAACACCTACAACAACCACAGCAGGATCATCAACAGCAACAGCAGCAGCAACAACACCAGTTACTTCTTGAGCAACAGAAACAATTTCAACAGCTTCAACAGCTTCAACTTCAGCAACAGCAACAGCAGCAGCAACAGCAGCAACAACAGCAACAGCTACAACAGCAGCAGCTTCACATTCAACAGCAAAAGGAACGAGAGCAGGAGCAGGAAAAAAGTCGCGCTGTTGAGCAAATGCAGGATACCGATTCAGAGTATGCTCCTTTACAACAACAATTCCAACAGCAACAGCAACAGCAATTACAGCAATTGCAACAGTCTCAACAAAACCATATGTTAATGCAGCAGGTACAGCAACAACAAGGGCAATCCCAACCAAGCACACCTCAGCTACAGCCACAGGCTGTTGTCCAAGCGGAATTAGAACAAAGTCATAGGGTTTTGGTGCTTCTCATGGACAGCCTCGTGGCACAGATCAAGGAGAATGCTGATAAAGTTTTAGCCAATTTGGGTCCGAACAATGGAATCAATGACATTCTGCTTCAAATCCTCACACTCATTTCGAGAAGCAACCAAAAAGATCAACTTGCATTGAAAGTGTCTCAAGCGGTTGTGAACAGCATGTTTGCCACCAGTGAGAGTCCCCTCTGCAGAGAGGTACTTTCTTTACTATTAGAGAAACTGTGCTCTCTCTCGGTAGTGGCAAGAAAGGACGTAGTTTGGTGGCTAGTTTATGCGCTAGATGCCAGAAAGTTTGACGTTCCTGTTATACGGTCACTTTTAGAAGTGAATCTCATCAATGCATCAGAGCTTGACAACGTTCTTGTTGTGGCCATGAAAAATGGGATGGAAGGTGCTGTGGCCTTCTCTATTGATCTGCTCCGCAATGTGGTTTTGTCGGAGACTCCTCTTTTCATGAGGTCAGAATTCTTGGAGACCATCAGCTTCCTCAAAAGTATTGACAGCGATTCGACTCATTCATTTTTTGAAGACTTGGAGAAGTCGCAGGTTTTACCTTTGAGTAAAGTTTCGAGGGCCACCAATCAAGAAAAGATGTTTCTTGTTTTCACCGAATGGGTCAAACTTCTCCAGCGCGTTCCAGACGACGACGTTAAAGTGACGGTCTTCATTCGCCAAATGATGGACAAGGGTGTGATAAAGTCGACAGAAAATGTTATCCAGTTTACAAAGGCAGCTATAGAGCTTTCTGTTGGGTCATTTAAGGAAAGTGACCCAGCTAGCGAAGTTTTCATTGCTGCCGATGCTTTCAGCAAGTTGATCGTCAAACTGTTGGTAGTGCAGGTATTCACGAGTCTGAGCCGTTCCGAGTATCTCAAGCTAATGCTCTCTGTCATTACGATTGTATTCTCGGAGGATCAAGGGATGACGGGTAACAGCTTCAACGAACGGCCATACTTCAGACTTATTTCAAGCTTGCTGTGCCAATGGGAAGAGGCTAGTGCGCACAACTTTATCAAAGTCCAGGATCAAAGCTACAGAAACGAATTGATTGATTTCTCACCTGAATTTTACAACATCATCGCCTCTTTCTTACATGCCTTTCAACCTATCGCATACCCTGGGTTTTCTTTTGCTTGGATCACTTTGATATCGCACAGAATGTTTTTACCCAAGATGTTGAGACTTCCGGGCAAGGCGGGATGGTCGAAGTTGGTTTTGTTGTTCACAGACCTTTTGAAATTTATGGCGCAGTACACGAAGAAGAGCGATGTTCCAGACGCAGTTTCTGTAGTTTACAAGGGTGCTCTTAGGGTGTTCTTGGCTGTTGCAAATGATGCTCCGGGGTTCCTGGTGGAAAACCATTATGAGTTGCTCAATAACTTGCCTCCAGTCTACATGCAATTGAGAAATGTGATTTTGAGCGCGATACCCAAAAATATGGTTTTGCCCAATCCTTATGACGCGGAGCTTCGTATCAGCGACGTAGAGGCCTGTCAGCATGTTCCAAACGTGTACTACGATCCTGTGCAGGACCTCAAGAGTCTCAAGAAACCAGTGGACAATTATCTGAGAATCCCAAGTGCTTCTTTGTCAAGAATGGTTTCAACTAGTCTATTCAAACCTGGCTATGAAAAAGATACCGGTATTGGATACGATAGTGTGTCGGTCGACACAAAGCTTATCAATGCCATTGTTCTGCACGTTGGTATTGAAGCTGCTTTGGAGAAGGATAAGACCACCGCCACAGCCATTTTCAACACGAAATCTTCGTACTACACTCTTTTGACCAGCATGCTCAGTGATGGCAACACAGAGGTCCGTTTCCATGTCGTGCAAGCGATTGCCAATCAACTGCGTTTTCCAAATGCGCATACGCATTGGTTCAACTACGTTTTAAAGAACTTTTTCATATCTGAGGACTGGGGCCAAGACACCGCTGAGATACAGGAAATCATCGTTCGGACGTTACTGGAGCGTGTTGTGACTAACAAGCCCCACTGCTGGGGTATTGTGGTCACATTCACTGAGCTTCTCAGGTCCTCTGAGTGCTCTATCATGACGCTGCCATTTGTGAAAGACATTCCAGAAATTGAACACATTATCAAGCACCTCTCGAACTACATCAACAATCCCAAAGACGTTTCAAAAGCCGACGGCGAGGGCGAAGTCAAGCTTGTAGCATCGGAAGCTTGATCTCGAGAACGAATCCGTTAGAGTTTTTGGACAAAAACAAGAATGATTTGGACAAAAAGTTGTGCAAAATACTCGAAACGCACCAATGTAGAATCAGCTAATCGATAGCACTATTGTTGGTGGCCGTCAGACCAGTTCAAAAGCCTTACTGGCCTGCTAGAATCGCATATATAATATTTGAGTCAAAATATCGAAATTCACTATTATAACCTTGGGATATAACGAAATCATCACTACACCTCTCTAACAGCTAGAAAACACATTCGAACCCACAAAGACCTCTTCTCAAAGGACTCACACACATCAAAAGTACCATTATGGCGTGGCTTCGAAGACGCGATGCCAAAGATTCCGAGCCAGGCGAACCAGCTACGACAAAATTAAGAAAACCTCCTAACACAGCCTTTAGACAACAACGACTCAAGGCATGGCAGCCAATTCTGTCACCTCAATCTGTGCTACCATTGCTGATTTTGGTGAGTGCTATATTTGCTCCCATCGGAGTGGCGTTGATCATCACTGCCAACAACGTTCAGAACTTGAGCATCGATTACAGCCATTGCCAGCAGTTGGCAAGCTCAACGTCCTTTGAGGCAATCCCATCGAAATATGTGCATTTCCATTTCAACAAAAAGGTGACGAACCATCCAACGTGGCGTGTGGCAGTAGACGCTGATTCTGGTGAAGCTACGTGTGAAATCCAATTCGAAATACCCACTGCTTTGAAGAAATCCATCTACGTCTACTATCAACTGACGAATTTCTATCAAAACCACCGGAAGTACGTCCAGTCGTTCGACGTGAAACAACTCAAGGGCCAGGCAGTCGACGTGGATGACTTGACTTCTGATTGCAACCCATTGCGCGAAAAAAACGACAAGATAGTATATCCTTGTGGGTTGATAGCCAATTCTCTGTTCAACGACACTTTCACGCCGCGGTTGACGGCTGTGAATGAGACTGAACTGGACTACGAGCTCACCAACAAAAACATCGCCTGGAAAGCAGATCGCTCGCGCTACAAGAAAACCACTTACAATGCTTCGCAGATCGTGCCTCCTCCAAACTGGTCGGCAAACTTCCCAGAGGGCTACACTGAGGACAACATCCCAGATATCTCGCAATGGGAAGAGTTACAGGTATGGATGCGCACTGCTGGACTGCCGAAATTCTACAAACTAGCTCTCAAGAACGAAACTTCTACGCTTCCGAAGGGCGTTTACCAAATGAATATCGGGCTTAACTATCCGGTGACCCTCTTTGGAGGCTCCAAATCGCTCGTTCTCACCACCAACAGCGTCATTGGTGGCCGCAACATGTCTTTGGGTGTTCTCTACCTGATAGTCGCCGGCTTTTCCATTCTATTTGGAATCGTCTTCCTCATCAAGCTCATCATCCAACCAAGAAAGCTAGGAGACCACTCTTTTTTGAGTTTTGACGACAACACTGAGTCAGAAACCCGTCCTGCCACTCAAGACATCCCTCTGAGAGAGATCCTGTAGTTGCAGAGTCAAAAGCTTCAAGTTCACTGGTATAAAATTCTTGTAGGGCATCTCATCATATATATATATGTAAGTCAAATCAAGGTCTTCCTTTCACTGTTGAACTTTACCAACTTTCACAGGACAAAAGCGAGTCAAGACGCTTCCAAACTACATCTAAAAGCATTGTCACCGATAATGTCAAGAGCCAAAAGAGTTATGAAGGAGTTGCAGGGAATCAAAGACGATCCTGAGGCCAAAGTTGACCTGCAATTAGTGAATGAGAATGACATTCATCTTTTGAAAGGATCATTCCTGGGACCACCAGGAACTCCGTATGAGCATGGAAAGTTTGTTGTGGACATCGAGGTGCCCATGGAGTACCCTTTCAAGCCTCCAAAAATGAAATTTGACACCAAAGTTTACCATCCCAATGTTTCTTCCGTTACGGGAGCTATTTGTCTTGATATTTTGAAAAATGCATGGTCGCCTGTGATAACGCTAAAGTCTGCTTTGATTTCGCTGCAGGCGCTGTTGCAATCTCCCGAGCCCAACGATCCACAAGACGCAGAGGTTGCCCAGCATTTTATCAGAGATCGTCAATCTTTCAACAATACAGCAGCACTTTGGACCAAAATGTATGCTCCTATGGATCCTGACTCCCAATCCCAGCAAGCAGTGGATCAGGCTTCGCTGTATGGCATTGACTGCGGATTGGTGGACCAATTCGTCTCGCAGGGATTTACAGAAGAAAAGATCGTGGAAGTGTTACGAAGACTAGGAATCAAATCCATGAACTCAAACGACAACGAAACTGCAAACAAGATTTTGGAGGAACTTCTGCGCTGATCAAGAGAAAGCAGAAGTCTTGTGCAGGAAATGCTTGCGATTTCGAGTCATGGTTGTTTTTGGCTCTATCTACCTATTTATTGTTCTCCAAGCTCTATAATGGATAGAAGAAAGCCTTGTTTCCCAGGTCTACGAGATGAAGAATGAAACTGCGATGCCAGGTTGAAGGGCTCGCGATGATCAAAAATACACCCGTTGTGTCAGTGACAAGAGGTCCATTTGATATTGCCACTGTCGTGCGAGGGCTATTCAGTTTTGAATATGATAAAGGCTATACTGTGCCATACGGCTTTCTAATCACATTATGGAAGAAAAGCTTCGCCATGAGACTATTGGTCAACTGATTGCACTCGTATCTACATATGTGGTTGTGTTACGTTCAGGCAAGTTTCATTGCCGAGCAATTAGCGACGAACGACAGGCATGTAACATTGACTATGTAAGTAGTCTCATCATTAGCCCACAAAAAAAGAGTTCAGTTTGTTTGTATGACTTCGATGTGCTCCCTTGGTAATGCTGTTATTTGCGTGGAGGTGAAACCTGACATGTCAGGAATCAAACTAGTCAATCGAAGAACTAGTCATTCCGTATCGACACACTTCATTGTCTGTCTGTAAATCCAATCCGCACGCCAAATGCTGGACGCTGGGAGCGTATTTATGATGGTGTCGCAATGGTACCAAAAGAAAGTGACGGAGCTCAACACCTCGTTCTGGCTCATAAACATGCAGGAAATCGTCAAACTTAACGATTTCCCGAAGCTTTGGTGTCATATCATCCACGAACAACTGTTTAGCTCGGTAGTACTAAATTTACCGATGCTTGTCGACTGCAAGTCTGCTGGCAACGTATGAGAGTAGACTTCAGATACACTTCTTGTTTTAGCACTTGGGCTATAAGCCAAACATTCGAAAAAGAAAGCAGCCAACAACCCAAATGAACCGATTGACAGCCAGAAGTCGTAGATTTCCCACTGATGCTCAATTCAACTTTTCTTGCATCTTCAGAAAACATTTGAAAGAATCTTCGTCGATTGAAGTAGTTTCAAGCCATACTTTTGTAATGCAGGAAGCACAACGAAGTTCGATTCTAGCGCATAAGTTATGTCAACCGATGGCGAAACTAAATCCTCAAAGTTTTAAAACTCACGGAGAATTGCCCCACCGAGCATTGCAACTCCATGACTTCAGAATCGAGTGCGAAATAAAATCTCGTAGCGCAACAGAAACCGGTTCTGCTTTGTCGTAGTATTGCAATTGGTTTCGATGTATATGATTTCTGGTCTCTGCTTTTGGCTGGACAAACTTGGTCTTCTACTTCCGTTTCAGTCTTTCACGCATCAACATCGAAGATGTCCGTTGTGTTGGAGCTGGAACCGCGGCATCTCTTCCGTCTTGTACAACAGCCGATGGCGGAGCTGAAGCCGAATGTGAAACTCTAGCACTGGCCGTGCTTTTGTAAATTCCCCTGAAGTCTGTTCCAGCAGTAACCCGTTGCGAAGGAGCCGTTCGAGACACTGGCTCGGTGTGTGAAGAGCTCTTCGTCGAAAGCTGCTGGGCTGTACTTCTAGGATCGTGAGTATGCAGCTTTTGCTTGCGAAGCACCTTCTGTTCATCAGGAAGCTCCTCTTTATGACCCAGCCAGTCTGGGAAGCCTTCGAATGGCTCTCTATGTGTGTAGTACTTGACTAATGCTTTATGTATAACTGTAGATGTAGGGGTGTCACCATCGCGCTCTTGTTTGATGGAAAGCTGGGCAAAAGATGTGGAAAACGACTTAGTAGAAGACTTGACCTTATTCCAAAACCTAGTGGGTTTTTGAGCGCTTGTTGAGCTCATGTTCGTCGTTGTTTTCGGACTGTTCATAAGATGTAGAACTTCAAGAATGAACAAGTTATATAAATAATTAAGTTAACCTTCGAAAACACATAAAACCAAAGCTCAAGAGCCCTGGAGAACATTACCAGTGGGTGCTTGGGATCTGCTCAGCAGTCCGAATTTTTCTGAGTTTTTAGAGACATCTTTCGTCTATAAAGAATGATATTTAGATGAGCTTTAGATATGTAATGAACACCCGCCTAATTGATTGTCTTTTCCGTGAGGAAGATACCGTACTTCTCCTTCAATTCCTTCATGATTGGATCGTTGATCTCAGGAGTGTATGGAACGACAAGACCGGGGCTCTTGATGACGCCGCTCAGAACTTGTTTCGTGGCAATGGCACATGGTAGACCGACGGTTGCAGCCATAGCGCTGTAACCACCAGGCTGACCGTAGAGAACCAAGGTTGAAGTTCTGGTCTCATTGGAGCCATCTGCCCATTCGATTCCGAATTTGTGTTGCAAGATGATCATGTCGCGCTCGCCTTCTTCGAATTGCATTAGCTCTTCTAACGTAGCGCATAGGGTGTCCAAAGCGTTGCCCTTTGGTGTTATCTTGTTATCGGAGAAAAGACCCAACCAGCCAAACCCATTGATGATTCTTTCTCTGTCCTCCTCGGTGACCCATTTGGTCTTGGAGTCGATCGAGGCTATCAGGTCCTCCTTGGAAGCAGATTTGCTGCCCCAGTATTGGTGTAGAGCTTCGTTCCAAGCAATAGGCTTTTGGAATATTTCGTTTTCCTCGTCCTTGAGCATACCGACGTCGACAAGAACTTTGACAAACTCTGGGAATCCCTGGAATCTCAGAGTACCTCTAATGACGGTCTCAGCTTCTGGAATTTCGTACAGGTCCTTGAAAGGAGTGGAGTCTCTGTTTGGGTAGCAGACGAGAGCAAACCCGGGGAAGATGAAGTACGGTTTGGCAGAAGCCATGAGGTCTTCAGACGAAACTTCTTCAACCTTACCGTCTTTCCAGAATTTGGCTTGGTTTCTCAGGGCCAATAGTACACCTCTAGAAGACCAGGAGAATTTGTAACCCAATGGATTGTCTGAGTTTTCAGGAGCTGGCAGGCCACCACAGTAAGACAAAAATGACTTTATTTTACCATTGGCCTTGTGAACTTCGTCGATGGTCTTGATAGCGTATAAGTGGTCGATACCTGGATCCAACCCTATCTCGTTCATAACAGTGATACCAGCCTTTTTGATTTCAGGTTCCAGCTCTTTCAAAGCTGGAGAAACGTACGATGTGGTCACAACGTCTTTCTTGAGCCTGATGGCACTCTTGACCACAGCAGCGTGGTAAATGTATGGAATCAACGAAATCACAAGATCGTGCTTTGACAAGGCTGCATCCAATTCTTCATCCTTGGTCACATCCACAGAAATAGCAGCCGAATTTGACGCAGAAGCCAGCTCCTGCGCCTTCGCCAAAGTTCTACAGGCAACAGTTACATTGATGCCTTCAGATGCTGCCAGAACATCCACAACAGGTTGGGCAACAAACCCAGATCCAAGCAACAAAACGTTTTTCACCATTGTTGCAATAAGTTTTAGATAATGCTGAATTCAAGAATTCAGATTGAATTGACAAGCTGGAGTTTGGATGGGCAACATGCTAGATGGTTCATCTCTTAAATACTATTTTGACAGTCTTGAAATCTTCCAGAGAGTCGAGATGAGCTTCTTTTTCCGCTGGAATTTCGCAGATCTGAAATTGCAGTGGAATTAATGGAAGTGACTAAGGTCAGCTGACGAGTGTTAGTAGACATAGACCAAACATCGGAGGACGAAGAACGATATTTGATCTCAGAGCTGGGTCGTGTGCGATAGTGGGGCTTGGGAGTTGCATGCTATCTTGAATCTCCTGGAAACTTCGACTCAGATGAGAAATGGTGTCACTTGAAGGTCATTTTTTCTTGATCAAAATTTCCCTTGGCATTTGCAAATCCAACTAGAGTCATCTTTAATGGTAAGTGGCTTTCGTGACAGAATGGAAATGAAAGAGCTCTTGAAAGTTTTCTTATGATTGGTTATCCTAGAATTTTGGCCTTGACCAGATTTTGCACTTTTCTTTGGAAAAAAAAATGGAACTTGAATCGTCTCATTTTGCCGGGTGTGTGCTGTACCGCTTGAGCTGGTTGATAATCTCTGGTTCGAGATCCTGGTTGACGCCTCTTTCAGAAACTCCTGTTTTTTAAATGTACTCTTGCAACCCTGCCCATTTTTCAACATAATCTCAATATTTCGCACTACACGAAAATGCTCTCTTTGTAAAAGTTGTGGTGTTCTTTGGCATTTTCGTTTTCCCACAGATCTCGCTGGCGAATGAACCAACGCGGCAGCAAGGGGTCTCGGGGCAAATGGAAGGTGATGATATTGTGTTTTCCGCCTTTGTAAAAATCGTAATCTGCCCATTCCTTCTTGTTGAAGGCCAACCGGTACCTGTTTCCGAAAATCCCTAAATCTGATTGACTTTTCGCCATCAAGGGAACTTCCAAGTCAACTGGATCGTCAAATTCTTTGTTGTCGTCTCGAACAGCTTCGAGGATGCGTAGTAAGTGAGCTGGTATGCGCGGTGGATCGTTCAAGTCCGATTCGTGAACCACTTCCCACATGCTGCACACGCGTGAATCGCCCGTATCGCGAGTTTCACCAATTTGCAGATCTTCAAGATTATTCAGGCCCAGGTTTTCCTCTTCTTCCTGTACGATTCTCACATTTATCATCTCTAAAAGCGTCTCAGAGAAATAGTTTGCGTTTTTGGTAGCGAATAGTCGGTATTCGTTGATTATAGAAACGATGTTCCACTTTTGAATCTTGCGCAAAACGCCAACAACTATCGACGTCTTATCAACGAGGATCGTATTGTGGTTAGAAGTGTTCAAAAGTAATTCAAACGTTCTTTTCAAGCTGTAGCTCTTCAGGATCATCAAATCGTCATTGTCACTTAATTCGTAGCTATCGGGCACAAAATCCTTGCTGGTCTTGATCGATTTTTCGTCCTGAGTAGCTTTCAGAGCACTAGCGTTCACTGGAGCCATGTTCGACGACACATTGGCTGTTCTAACGACAAACCACTGAACATAGCATCGCTCAAAAAACTCCTGGAAAAACTTGGAGGGTTCTTGCCCACCCACAAAAATAACCGTTCGAAGGTTTAAGGTCTCCAAAAATGATAAGTTAAGCGTTTCTATCTTAGAACATCGATCTACAAGTTCTTGGCTGTTAGTACACGAGTGTTACCTAAATGACCTCAAAAATGGCTCAAAAAATGTCCAAAAAACTCCATACAAATGCCCTCCTCAGCAATTCCAAAGTTGGCTGGTGGTACCAGCATTCTGAACAAGAAATAAGTGACTCAAAGACCTGTTTTGACCAATTGAATGTCAAATATTTAAAGGTTTACATTGATTATGCCAGGTAGATCACTTATAAGTTGTATATACATGAGTATTATTGAAAAATACATACATGTGATTAGTGAGAAGATAAAGTTCAACAAGTCAACTGTGCTGGCCACGGCGGTGAGTTTTTAAGATTAACGCGGTTCGAACTGCCGGTGGCAAGAGTCATGGTTTGGTCTTTCACCCATTCCTGGGACGTTTCCCGGATCGCAACGAACGCCCTGCCGATTTTGGTGAAATCTGTTTGCTCACGACTGAACGTTTGCTGTGCGTATATGCAAACGTGCTAACTGGCTGACCTGCTGACCTGCTGTGCTGTTAGTGAGCTTTTATCATGTTGTTTCTTCTTTTTTTATGCCATTTCACACCTTTCTCTTATTGGTGTGTTTCTTGCTATAGCGCTGGCCTACGGATGGTGTGGAAGAGGAGGCAGCCGAGGACGGACTATTGAGCTTGCGTACCGTTTTAGGCTCCATGTGAACTTCGACGTTATTAACCTCGAGCGTACCCTTTTCAATAGCGTCAGTTTGACAGCGTTGGTCCTCAAAGTCTACCACGGCAAACGTTTCTTGGGATGAGATCTTCTTCACAACGCCAAATTCGCTTTCGAGAGCTCTGACTAGCTGATCGTCCGTGACACCACCGGTTCCCTTTACATATACCGGGTAGTAGCCATCCTTGTTCACGAAGTAGAACTGCTTCTTTTTCAGGTTTTTCCCATCTTTTCCGTCCCGTGGCGCACCGCCTGGTGACACTGACTTTCTTTCTGATGCTTTCTTTATGGGTTGCGCGGTCTCTGGTTCCGCACGTATGTATTTTGTCGTGATGTTGGGAACGTCCTTGGATTCAGATGCGGCCAATTTTGAAGCCCAGTTCATCTTTTTGGCAGGCTCCGGAGTGATAGGTTTCTCGGGCTCAACGCCTTCATCATTCGTGGTCTCGTTACTTGTGGAAGCTTCTGCTTCTTTCAAATCGATCTCGGACTTTTCCGTTCCCGGTTGTGAGGACGATTTCGACTTTCCGTTTGCTGAATGTGTGGCGTCTGGCTCGCCGGCAGTTTCACCTTCTCTTACTCCCTTGCTTGAGCTCTTGGCTGCCACTGGTTCGTCACTCACCAGCTCTGGTTTCGCAGTATTCTCCTCTCTTTTTGAGCTCTTGAGAGGTTTCTCAGATACTCGTTGTACGCTCTTTTCTGCTGCTTGAACTTTGCTCCCGTTTTCCACGGGCGGAGCGTTTAGTTCTTCTTTCTTTGGCTCTTGCGGAGCCGGTGTGCTTTCAGCAGCATACTCTGAGTTATGCTCCTTCAATTCTTCCGAAAATGAGCTTTCTATCTGAAGCAACGGCTGTGGTATGAAGCGTAGTATATCGTTAGTGAGATCGTAAATTTTGGGGTTGCTAGGCACCGGCGTCAACAAAAATGTTTGACAGAATCGGAACGCTGGCGTCTCAGACCAGCACATTTCGCCCACCGCTAGAATTAAAATGCTCGAACTATTAGCACCTGCGGACTGGAAATCGCAGCCGTCCACCTTTACTTGAATCGAACGTACCTTTTTGGTGTGTCTGGTGTAGAATTTACTGATATTTTCCTTACCGATGAGCTTGATCGTGGGCAATTGCTCTTCGTTCATGTCCCATTCGTTTTGATAATTCACATGTGTGCATTCTGCAGTCGTAGAGTACAAGTGATGCAGTTTGGTTGGGTCTTGATACATGCGTTGATAGTAGGTCTTGAGAAATGCATATCCGATCTCTGGAACGGTGTCGATGCTTGCCATGCTGGTGATTTCGCGATGGATTTAATGCAGATGAGTTGATGCGGTTATTGTAGCGAAAAATGGGTCAAACGGAACGCCCAAAATTTCTAGTCTAGTGAAACGTGTGTTTCTCGTGCGATGCAAATGGTGCAGGACTTCCAAAACGCTCAAAAACGTTGGTATCTATTCGATTTATCAAGGTTGACTAGCTTATTCAAGATTCAACTATTAAAATTTTTCAGTGTGATATTATATGATCAGATAATAAAGGTTTCGATCGGGAACTGGCCTGAGAAAAATATAGATTTTGGAGCGAGACAATAGAGCGTGAAGCTCTAAAAGTCAAGTTGATGTGTCGAAATGGTCCGTTGTGCTGTAAATATCGTCGTGAACTTTAATCTGATATTGGATTTGACGTACTCGGAATTACACTGTCACTACTTGGAGCGCTGACGCGGATCACGTGATCTGAAATAATCTGGTAAAGATCTATGTTCAGAGCGTTGAACCAATACTAGATTTCATTTCTGCATTTAGCTCCAACAGCTTTTAGTTCTTCTCCTTTTTCCCTGATGTCATCGTGTGTTTCTTTGTAATTTTTGTTAAGAGTTTCGCAATTTTGCTAGCTACATCTAGGATCAGATTAAGCAGCATTCAATAACAATTCGCTGCTTAGACAAATGAGAAATAATCTTACACTATTATATGCTATTAGGCAGCCAAAATGCATTTCTTAGAGCGAGTTCTCGTTGAAGATCACCAGCGTTGAATGCTCTGCATCATGCTTTGAAATTATATAGGCTAAATACCGACCGGTGTTCCGTACAATGATAGCGACTGCCTGTTGAATGTCCCATCGCCTCGACTTCTGTATTGAATGCGATTGAAGGAGGTTGGATCCACGTCGTTTCACGCCAACTCACTATATACAGTGACAGAATCGATGTGCAATGTGTTGAGCCTTGCGCGTTTATAGTTACAACTGCGTTTGGGTTGCCTACTCGTTCGTGATTCCATAAATCATGTTCTTGTATCGAGCCAAACTAGGTCCCAACTGCGGATGAGGAATGCGAAGCTGGAATAAATGCGTAAAAGTTAATAGAGCCAGCAGACTTTGACCAGCGGTCGAAGAAAATAGTGGGAACCGAGGTATACCGATCTCGTCGGCCATAGCCTCAAGCGTGGGCTGCGGGTGTTGTGGTGCGGGAGGTTTCTGTTTCTGATTCTGCTGAAGTTGTTGCTGTGAAAACTTGTTGATAAGGTTGAGATCGTAAAAATTTGTCATGAACTGATGGACCCACCACACGTAGTCCTCTTTATTGTTGGGCATGGCATTATTCATGAGCATGTTAACCAGAAATCCGAAATCGTATGCGGCATGGTAACTAACCCACGTAACGTCGCTGGATATCAGACCTGAGTCTGTGAGTAAATGCGCAAACTCGAAAGCGGAAACGCCCAGGTTTTGATGCCGTTCGAAGTTGATGCCCGACTTCTTTAGCAGTTCCAAAGATTCAGCTGAGACCATTTCTTGAGTGACGTCAAAATGAAAGTTGAATTGCCAGGTCGAAGGTCCATTTTCGGGTTTGTTGCCCCGCGAATCGCTCAAAGATAGCCCAACCTGTACGGGATTCAAAAGATCCACATTTGAACGCATTGTTTGGTAATGATAGTCGTTTTTTGATCTAAAATTGCCCATAGGCCTTGCAATGGTACCCACAAATTCCGTACTGATGGCTGCAACGTTGTATTGGGCTACCAGTCTTCTAATTTGTGCAAACTCAGCATGCAAATTGTTGCTCCACACGTCACGTACCATAAAGTGGTTTGGGGGTGGTAATGCAAATGATCCTGTAAGCGGAGCCTGAGGAGCTTGTGAGAGAGTTGGAGGAGGAGGTGCCATTGCTGCGGCTGTGGAAGATAGTCCCAAAGTCCCAGCTCCTGGCTGTTGCACGAGTCCCACCCCAGGTGGTAAATTCCCTACAGAGGCTGCCAAAGAGCCCGGGAGCGAGTTTTGACCGTTGTTCAAAAGCTGTTGAGGCTGTACTTGACGGGGTCCAAATGCAGCGTTAGCAGCTTCCATTTTTTGTTTCAGCAGATACACGTTTTGCAAGCCCGAATTCCCGTCCAATCCACGCAGTTCTTGCGGATGTTGTTGCTGTTGTTGCTGCTGTTGCTGCTGGTGCTGGTGCAGCCGTCCCTGCATCATTTGAGGTGAAAACAACTGCGTTCCAATCCCTGGAGGTTGCTGATGTTGTGAGCCCTGGTGCGGGAAAAAAGGGTCACCCACCGACATCTCGTGCAATTGTCTGTTGACCGATTGCATGGCAAAGACTAATGTGTGATATTCTGGAGATCAAGAGGGCGTTTAAGAGTGAATGAGAGATAGACAGGGTTTATTCTTTCAGTTGAGTTAGTTCGTCAGATTGAATGAAATCTATAATTTTTTGATTGTCCGGTACTCGAGTACAGGCTAAGCATTGATATCCCAATATGCTATAAAATATCATGAAAGATCAGTTTGCCGGTGGTTGATGGCTTAACGGGTTTTGAAAGTTGTGATTTCTAGTCTCTTTAAGAACTCGCTGATTTTCTCTTTAAATTCCGTGTAAAAATGTGTACTTGAACCTCTGTTTTCATGCGTTTATGGATATTTTAGTTGAATATGATTTATCGCTGTCATCTTTGTTAAATCTGAGGAGGATGCTTACATGGAAGGCACTATTGCACTTGAAAATTTGTACTTTGTTCGAGGTCTTGATTGATGCTTTCAATTGCTGTTATTGTAGTGGTGGTATTGCTGCCCATCATATATGGTAGTTTTACGTAGCACTACATGCGTATGCTCTTGAAAAACAGTATATCGAATTGAAAGATAATGAGCAATAGCATTGGGAGGGCGAATGTGCATTTGTAAGGTATGAAATAGCTGTGCGACCTTTTGGAATAAAATGTTTGTCTCTTACAATTGGCTTCCCGTTTACCAATTCTTTTGAATTCGCTCTCCGAAAATGAAGAAAGAATAAAATAATTGTGGCTCTCCAAGCTGCTACTCATTGCAATTCATCGAGTTAAAAAGTGCTCGGAAGGTGAGTTTCGCAAACATGGCTACAGATTGATAGGAGTTATTACAAGAGCAGCAAGCATTGGTAAAAACCAACATCTAAGCGACCATTATATTGGAATAAAGATGATAAATATTGCGCCATTTCATAACTGAAAATGGAATAGAGCCAACCAGGTGGCCCGGACTAAACAACATTTAATCCTGAACTCCGATCTTATCACAACTGTTTATGCTGTCTCTCGTTCACGTGATGCTACCAGAATATATTTGTTATGGGCCTATTTGACTTGAACAACCTTTGGAAACCAACCTATACCGATCCAAGGCTCCAAAATGGATACTTATCTCTTGCCCGCTGCCATCATGCCCATCTTAAACGTGCGTCAATTGGCGCAACTTGATTTTTCATATTTTTATGTAGCTTCAAAATTTGCACCAAAAGACACTCAATTCTCGGCGTTAAAATACATTTCCAGCTATTATTCCTTTCACCCAACTTGTGGATTAGCTTTAACTGAACCTCTTCCATAAGTTCGTTTCAACTAGCTGGTTAACAAGATGTCTACGCTACTTTCAGTAATGACAGATGCCAAATAGTACATAGTGACTTCATGGCTCGTCCTTCCATTAAGCTGTCACACTAACATACACGACACTCAAAGAACCACCCTTTGACGTACTTTTCATCAACATATCAAGTCCAAAATCGGGAGCATTTGGATATCACTAAACTTCTCCTCTCGTCTTTTTTCAAATTTCCGGCAAAACTTTCTAACCGTTAATGGCATCTGTCTGCATGTTACATGCGCTCCCATAAAGCTTTGATCCTTGCACGAAAACCCGAACCTCGCTTTAGTTTTTAAGCCTTGTGAACTTGTTATGGTCACATTTAAGTCAAGTTTACAACAAGTTGGTATGAGCTATTTTCAGTATCGCACAACAACTGGAAAGAGTGCAGCATTGCTGACAATCAAAAACTCGGCCTGGTACCAAAAAACAATTGACTATGACTTGACTTTTATTTTAACAGCAATTGTTTAAAATCGTCCTGGATTCCATCAGCTTTGGTAAGAATTTCTATTTCAGCGATCATATACACATGTTTTGCGCAGCTGATGTTTTCCTCATCGGCTTCAGCCTGCGCGGCATTTATTGAGGTGAACGATTGTCCTAAGGACGCGCTATCGCATCTCCTGACCGCTCTATCTTGTTGTTTTCCCACTATCAACTCTTTCTATTAAACTAGTATACAGAATATGCACGAAAAATCACACGGTTATGGCTGAACAGCAGGCCAATTAGATCTTGGCTTTCTTGGCTTCCTGAGATTCTGGCGACTCGGCTTTAGCTTCAGATTCAGCTTCAGCTCCTGTCTCTGCCTCATCAGCAGTTCTTTTCTTGTTTTGCACAGCCTTGGAAGATGACTCGACCACCTCATCTTTGTTGTCCTTCTCGGGAGGTGCCACAAACCATGGAATCTTACCTCTGTTGAAGTCATTGAGCACTTGCTTTGAAACACCCGATTCGTCAGGCTCACCACCTTTCAAGAGTCTACCCATCTTTCTAGCCAACAGCTCAATAAACTCTGTGGAATCCTTCCAACCAGATATTTCGTACGTTCTTTCCAAGTGCTTCCTCTGGCATCTTCGCAGCACTCCTGGAATGTACTGTTCTGGATGCGTTACGTGCTCCACTCTTACAACACCTCTGAACAGAATGTCCTCTTCGGTGTCCTTTGCCGAGGGCGGTACGATACCGGGACAGTCGATTAGGAAGATCTTTTTCATGAGTGTAATGTATTGCCATACCTTAGTTTCACCTGGAATTGGTGCAACTTGGCAGACCTTCTTCTTCCTTAAGGTGTTGATAATGGACGACTTACCAGTGTTAGGGTATCCAATGAACCCTATGGAAATCTGTTTTCTGTCCTTGTGAAGTTGCGAGAACTGACGCAACAGCTGGATCAAAGATCCTTTACCAAAAGAATTGGTAATGGAAGCGTGGAATGCTAAAGTTGGTCTATCTTTTGACAAATGCTTTACCCATGCAGCCTGTAGTGATAAAAATGTTAGTAATTGAATGATTGCTCCCAAAAGAGCACTTGATCGCACGATTGCACGTTTGTCAGAATCATTTTGAATGGTACGATGGTTTCGTGGTTAAAATCTAATGTCCGGCCTTCAACTCATAAGTTCGAGGCAGAAAGCTGTCAAAGAAGACAAAATTCCTCGCACTCTTTGAATCAATGGCCTTGCCGCTCTGAAATGCGGTGGCATATCGTCAAGACGACGATTACCCACCGAATTTTCTCCGATGTGTATCCAAAACGGGTACGGCCGGGGAAAAACAAGCGGCATTGATCTTCCAAAACAGTAACAGACACTTTCGTATTTTTTCGTTGTCCTCAAGGAACGGAAAACATCCTGACTAGAAGTTTTGGTGCTTTAATAAAAATCAACATCATACCCACAACCAAAATGTTCGACAAATCCAACAAGTGCCCTAACTTTGATAATGTAACATACTGCAACCCACGTAGGCACCAAATCACATTTATTCAGCACATATATGAGATGCTTGTGAGGTGTGTCTTTCCGCATATATTCTTCCACAGACTTACATCTGGTTCCCATAGGGTCTCTGGCGTCCAAGACGTGAATCACCACGTCCGAGGAGTCAATGACCTTATACAACTCGTTCCAGATACGCTTGGATTGCCCCTTGCTGAAAATGGCTTCCTTAGCGGTCTGAGACCACCCGTCCTCATTTTCATTATTTTGACCCATGAGTCCCAAAGTTGAGTCCAATTCGGCCTTTTCCTCGTACTGTTTAACGTTTTCGGCCGCTGTATCCGCCAGGTCTTCTAGACTTGAAGCAGCCATTCTGGGCTTTTTCCTCTGCGCCTTGGGACCGAAAGTCTGCTCGAAACTTTCGGTTTCCAAGATCTTCGCCTGCGGAGATTCTTGCGTATCTTTTTCGTCCAACAGTGACATTGGAAGCTTATTACGACGTAGCAGTACCTGATAATTGTTTTTCTCCGTGTCACCAAGAGCCTCACGGAAATGCGAAAGTGCATCCTGTGAAATTACGCGTGTGTTTCCAAACCAACGACGATCAGGTTGTACCCTGGCCGTTGGAATATCTGTGCCTTGAAGAGGTGCAGCACGAATCAAATCGCCCTTTTTGTTACGGATCGATTTCCCATCGGTGTACATGTTCAGGAACTTCACTTTCTTGCCATCACGGTAGAAATTCTCACCTTTCACCCTCAAGTTCCCGTCCTTGGTGTCATTTTGACGGATACGTCTTTGTTTCTCCTTTTTTCCGGTACCCATGGTCGCTTTTGCTCAAAAGAAGTATCTTTCTAGAGCTTATGGTTTGGAGAAAGCGTCTGCAATGGTATCGTCAAGATAATCAGAGTTCTTTGGTACTGAAGTTCAACTTGAACAAAAATCTTCTAAGGTCGATGAGATGCGATGAGATGAGATGAGATGAGCTTCTGAAAAATTTTATAGCCAAACATACAAAGATCATTTTGTACAACGAGCAGGATATAATACACGGTAGAGACCCGCTACGAAGAGACAGACTCATCAGTCAGGAAGGGTTCACCAGTTTTTATTTCAAATGTGCGATATCATGCTTGAAATTAGTTCACGTAGTTCTGGAATGAACGATAATAGTCTATGAAGTTTATGAATTTTGATTGCTATTCAGAATGCTAGTTATTCGCCTTAGAATAGGTTTTGTATGACAGAATCCAGACGTTTCGAAGAGCTCGTTTTGTGCTCTTCAGGGCCTGCTGCCCGATTAGTGGTGACCCTGCGTTGCTTAAAAGCTGGTGTATCTTTCTTTTCGGAATGCGAGTCAGCTGCAGAATCCTCTGGAGAATTCCGTTTTTTGGACGCACGAATGTTCTGCAGCATTTTGCTGCGCTCGACGTTCCGAATAAATTCTGCGTTCATCTTGTTGGCCTGCGAGACCTCTAATTGTAGCTTGGCTTGACGAACGTCGTTTTCACGCGCAATCTGTTCTGTCAGGTCGGCCCATTTGAAGCCTGACAAGTATTTCACATTCATAACGTCATCGTGGTAAAAGTTCCCCTTTTTACCGCCAATGATGTTACCGTTGAGTGTGCTAGCACACAGCTTTGCGTCCTTCTTACGCACGTACTCGGCCCAGCCTTCCTCAAACATCGTTTTCTTATTTCCGCCGCCCTTGACACGGGTTTTGTATTTCTGGTCATCTTCACGCTTCAAAAAAAGCCTATCTACCTCCCCAAATCGGGAAAGTAGTTGACGCATCTTGGCAGGCTTCATGTATGGCGGTATCTTCGACAAGTACACCACGCCTGTCTTGTGCTTACTCTTTTGCGTGGTTCGCAGTTTCTTGAGTCGTTCTAGTCGTTCTTTTCTGAGTCTTTCTGGGTCTACCTTTTTCTCTGTGAGTTCTGAGCCTTTCGATTCAGTAGCGGACGTTGCATCGGCATCTTTGGGGCCATCAACTGATTCATTTTCGGATACCGCGTTTTCTTCTTCTACAACACTTATTTCCTCATCACTGTCGCCGTTTGTGAACGCATCTTTTACAGTGTTCTTCTTTGATGTGATTAGAACTTGATTAGACTCTTCGTCGGAAGAGTAATCTTCGTTACTGCTCTCTGAAAGATCCATCTTGCTTGCGATGAGCTGCGATGAGCTGGTGTGCGATGAGCTCAAGATGATATTTTTCATTTATTTGGCTTGACGAGCACTTGAGACGATATGGCCTGCAAGTAGTGAGCGATTGTCAGACCGGGACGTTGAACGTCAGATATACTGTAACTAGCGAGAAGACCGGTTCTTATGCTTTGGAGAGCTGAGACAAAGATACAAAGGCGTTCTATCATTTGAAAGAACAAATTTAGACGTCTGGTGCAAATTGGATTTGAACGCTACTCGTAGTGCGATTTGAAAGTTGGGTAAATAAACACAAGTGATTATCAATAGATGAAGTCGGTAATGTCAGGAAGCAGGTATTTTAATTGCATGGTAGCCGTTTTGCTGTGAAAAATCACCCTTATGAATAAGACTATTGATGAATCTTTATAAGATTATATTTACTCGCAAAGTGTTGAGAAGAAGGTAGGGTCGGGGCCCTAAATTATTCCATCATGAACGTTCTGAGCTTCGAAATTGGCAGGCATTCTGTGGTCGCACCGTTGAGAGAGTCAGCACTGGGTGTTATACTGTATTTAGCAAAGGCAACGACGGAGGCGTTCGAAGTGATAGAACAAGAGCCGACAAGTCATTCCTGTCTGCCTTCAAGGGCCGAAGCATCAGCTGAATAAATTAGCTGTTGGGAATGTAATACTTTGAAAGTTTGAAACCATGCACTGTTACAGAGGGTGCTTGTGTTGTTGAGACCCCGAAGAGAGTGTCACTTTTGACGACACTATCCTAAACACTTGCGTGTCGAGAGCACTTTTACGCCGTTCGTCAGCTGTAACAGCTGTTAAGCTATGGTGATCGAGGTGGGTATCTTTCCAGCCGTCATTTCGATGGCGAAAAAACGGCACGCACGCAAGCCTGCATTTGAAAGACCATTTATTAACCATTATTCTCTCGTTTACCACTAAAGATTCGATAATTTACTGCGACTCACATCAAGGGGGGGAGAGATTCGAGTCTGGACCTCGGCAACAATAAAAGCATTTAGTAGCCGTTTAAAGTTGCAATACATTTGATGCTTCTTTGATATCGTTGGGACAAAAATTCATGTTCAACGCTAGACGGATCGTCAAGAAGTTTTGTAAAGCTCTGCCGTTGAAGTACCTGGGCTACACAAACACAGACACAAGACGCGTGGTAAGGTGGTGATTCCCAAGTTTACACATAGCATTGATTATACACCACTGACGCTTAGCAACTCACGTGATGATTCGATATGAGACTAGCTCACCAATTGTTTTCGTTCCCGCGTAAAGCTGAGACCTGTCACTGCAAAACATCTTTCTTCGGAAATATTTTCCAGGATTCTGAACTCAACCATTGAATTCCATGAGTCCTAGTGCACTCGATAAAGCTATTTTCTGTCACTGTTAAAAACATCACTATTCACGTATACCGCCAACCATGAATTCTGTCATTTTCCAATCAATATATATATATATATATCTCAACAATCGAATCCATTTCCAAGAAGCATCTCACAACATCCCAAAAGTCTCCATTCCCATCATCATCTTGACTCTCAACCGACACTAACCCATCTTTTAAAACCATACCACATAACATGCCCAAAATGTAAGTCCTCACCCTACCCCATTCTCTTCCACTTCCCACAACAATTGTTCAACGACCGCCGTTTTCCATTGACGAGCTTCAAACCTCTCAATTTCCTCTACAAAAGCCATCATATGTACATTAAATACATCCAAACAGGCAGCCCGTGTGCAATCCACGCACCACGACTGCTCCGACAAAAATCGGACCACCTTTTCTTCCAACCTTTTGCTGTCACTGTCGCCTGATATTGTCACTTATCACTTGTTCACCAAACAAGCAACGCACGGCAATTGTCCGGAATACAATGGCCCGTTCCGATTGATCGCGGGATATAATCAATCAGTGGTTCGGAAGAGAATAGACCGGTTGTTCCCGAGTGATTGTATGCGGGGAATAGGTAATCTAAAGTTCTTCGCATCTGGGGTTGGGCTATATATTATTATATATATAAAAGCGTCAGTTAAACCCTCCAGGACTCATCTTTGAACGGTTCTTGAGCATAGGTATACTCAAATTTAGAAGCAGTTTATAGGTGTTATATAATTGCCAAAGAGGCGGCTTTGCTAGTGGTTTATAGAGCGCTTTCAAGCGGTTTTTTGGGTCCAGTTGTAACCCAGTTTTTTGGACTTTTATAGCTCTTTTTATAGACCATATTTGAGACTACCCAACGATGGTGGAAATGCCACCTAGATCGTCATTGTCCTCATCTTCGTCATCTTCTTCTGAATCGCAGAACTCGCTTGAAATCAGAGCAGTACCCGGCGGTGAAGCAAAGAATACGAACAGAACCGATGCAAATGCTGGAGCCAAGGCTTCCGGACAAGTGAAATGGAAGGAAAATGTGAAAAATGCAGACACAGCCACTCCTGGAGGTGCCAAGCGTACCAGAAACATGGCGGAAAACTCGTTGGGGGGTTTTTCAAAGGGTAAACTGGCACCACTGACGCCGCTTTCAAACGAAAGAGGACCCGCTGCCACTGTAGAAACAAATGACAGAAATGCAGCGTTTGCCCGTACGGCAGTGCCAATGGGATTCACATACTCGTCTCCAAACCTCAAGGGCATGCAGGAACTGGCTTCCAACTACGAACAGGCCCGTTTGCGGGATTACTACCATCAGAACTTTGGAGACCGTTTTTCGCCGTTTGTGGATCCCATGTACCAGCAGCTCAATCCAAGATTAGGAGGATCTCAAAATAAGCCCGTTTGGAGCTTAAACCAGCCCTTGCCGCACGTTTTGAATCCTTCTTTGGCACGCAAAATCAGCAAAAACATGGAAGCCCAATCGCGGAATTCTTCGCAACCTGGTTCGAAAACAACAACTCCGGGGCCTTCCCATTCGGGTTCTTTGGCTTCCATCAGCGACTGGAGAAAAACGTTTCAAAGGGTAAGCTCCAGTCGTAAACTTAACGATATAGAAGCCCAGCTGTCAAGCTCAACTGCTGCTGGGCAACGTCCAACAGCAGCGTCCAAACTGGACTCCGATAAACCATCAAACTTTCACGTTGAACAAAAGCCTAACGTGGCTGGCAGAAATCACACAAATGCCAAGTTTACACTAAATTCCGATAGTTATCCAAACTCTATCGCAGGAGATGACCCAACACTGGCTAACAACTCCAACTCAATCAGTCCACCTGAAATTCCAAAAGCCTCACCACCGCCGGTCGTGACGACTGCGAGCGACGATTCCGACCCACTTACTTTTCCCAATTTTTGGGCCAAAATACGGTACCAGTTGCGTGAGCCGTTTGCAGAGTTTTTGGGAACTCTTATCCTAGTAATTTTCGGTGTTGGTGGAAACCTTCAGGCCACCGTCACTAAAGGTGCCGGAGGCTCTTACGAATCTTTGTCGTTCGCATGGGGGTTTGGGTGTATGCTAGGAGTTTACGTCGCAGGCGGTGTCAGTGGTGGCCACGTCAATCCAGCCGTAACGATATCAATGGCCATTTTCCGCAAGTTCCCATGGAAGAAAGTCCCGGTTTACATTTTTGCTCAGATTGTAGGGGCTTTTTTTGGCGGTGCTATGGCATATGGATACTTTTGGAGTTCCATTACAGAATTTGAGGGAGGCGCACACATCAGGACTGCTGCTACGGGTGCTTGTCTCTTCACCAATCCCAAAGATTACGTTACATGGCGTAATGCGTTTTTCGACGAGTTCATTGGTGCGTCCATTTTAGTCGGATGTTTGATGGCATTGTTAGATGATAGTAACGCTCCTCCAACCAGCGGTATGACCGCTCTGATTGTTGGCTTTCTAGTGGCAGCTATCGGGATGGCTTTGGGATTCCAGACCAGCTTTACCATCAATCCTGCAAGAGACCTCGGGCCGCGGATTTTCGCTTCCATGATCGGCTATGGTCCTCACGCATTCCATCTAACACATTGGTGGTGGACCTGGGGTACGTGGGGCGGTCCTATTGCAGGTGGTATCGCAGGAGCACTCGTTTACGACATTTTCATTTTCACCGGTTGTGAGTCGCCCATCAACTACCCCGACAACGGCTACATTGAGCATCGTGTGAAAAGGATTATGCAGACTGAAATGCACTTGCATCGAGCACATGCCGAAAAAGATGTCACGGACGAATGAGTGTAACTCGAGCTGTGATGTCTTCGGAGCTCAGCAATGCGTATACTAGTGGTGAATGGTGTTTATGAATCCAGCCTTCTTGCACAGCAAGCCGTCGCAGAATAGATGTTGCAGCACAATGTTAAGACAAAGACGAATCAATGCAGTGAGAGTTTGAAAAGACGAGAAATCGTGCGTAATAGTGGAAACTTCCACTATTTGAAAGGTTTTCGCCAACAATGAGTATTATCTGAACCTTTGGCAGGCGTCAAAACTTGTCTCTCATCCTAGTTGGACAGAACCCGAGGGCGAGGGCAATGGAAAGCAAGACTAAATGGCCTGAACTTCAAATGCCAATGGTCTAATGTATAATTTGATATGTGACACGAAAATAATTCTAATGATCTTGGTTTGAACTGGCTTAAGGCAGTCATGTCTGCCATCTCTTGTGTCGAACCTTACAATAGAATTTCTCAGCAGTTACTACTTGGCTTTCATAACGCTGGACGCTTTCTAGCACAATAAGCCAAGATAAACCGCGTTTTCTTGTCTGCCATTGCTGCTCGTCGTTGCAGCAGGCTTCAAAAGTTTTTGACCACATTTAGCTCAGAGACTATCCATTCCGTCTTAAAGCAATGCTTTCTTTGTAAGAGAACGGATCTCCCAAATCATTTGAACTGTTGTTGAGAACGCACGTTCGCGCCTCTATGAATGTCTATAAGTATGCTATCAGACGTGAGCACTGCTTCTTTTGACGGAAGGCAAAAATACTCTCGCAGATTAAAGTTTAGTAGAAGTTTCGGCCGGTCTCTTACTAGCTAATCAACCGCATCGAAATCTCGAAAGCGGCAAATGTGGCTCCGTTCACTGGTAAAGAGCGGAGTATGGTAGGTGTGAATCCCTTTCCAAATGCTTTGATCCCGCGCTCCTGGTAAATCTTTTTTGCTACGGACCAAACGTTGTTTCCATAGCGAGGGTTTCTGAAGTCATCTGCTTGCATAACGGACTTGACGACGTCAAAGGGATATGTCAAAGACCAGAAAAATGCTCCAGAAAACGCTCCGAAAATACAAACTTTCCAGGCGGGAATATCCTGACGAGCTACACCGTGTTTTGCTTGATTGGCTATCAGCGCTTCATATGTGGAGAAATAGACACCGAATCCATGAGAAGTTCTCAAAAGCGTGGCAGTAAAACCATGCATCAGAGCACCTTGTTTAATAAGTTGTCTGGCGCAGTCCAAAGAACTGCGATATAGACCTTCACCCTTTGCGCTCTTTTGAATCTGCATTCTGATACGGACGTGCTCAATTGGAGTGGCAAGCAATGCGTTGGCCGACCCACTTGCGAACCCGCACACGTAATATTGGCCTAACGACAAATGAGTTCCTTCAGCGGCACCGGTGCGAGAATGAAAATACCTTTTCATGGACTCGTTGACACCAAACTGGCACGAAACGCAAGCTCCTACGCCCACCAGTGGCACGGCGGTGCCTTTGTAAAACGCCATTATTCCTTCATTTTTTACCAGATTTTTGACTGTGTCCATCGCCGTGGTCGGCACAGACGATGTTTGTAGCCGGACTTTAATGATGTCAAACGGTTGGCCCACCAAAACCTGAGCGATACCTCCTACAGTACCGCAAAAGATATCCTTTGCGGCCTGTTTCAAGTCCTGAATAGTCTCGAGATCATCGACAACTTGTGGCAGTGTGAGTTCCTCAGACATGTTTAACTTGCAATAGGCCTTACTTTTCCGTCCACTTTTGCGCTGCTGTGATCTCTTTCGAATTTCCTTTCAAATCTCACCATCATATCCAATTGTTGAACAAGTTTCCAGCTTTGTTGTTTATTATATACTGGCGATGCGTCTCGGCGCTTTATCTGTAAGAACTGTGCACATTGATCGAGACATCAGATCTTCACCGGCAATGTTATTCGCAATTAGATGCCCGTCGCGCATTGAAGTGCGACGAGCCCTTCGAAGACGCATATCTTCACAGTAATATATCTTGCGACGAAGAGCGATAGTAACGAATCGGAAATCGTTGATTACGCCCAAAGCTTAAGATCGCATCCCAAGTAAATGCAAACTTACCTGTAGCCCTACCGTTGTAGTATGAAGCTCCCTTCTTAGCGTAAGTAAACACATGTAGCACTCACTACCTTCCTGTCTGTCTCGAAGTTTGCGCGCGCTTCCCTCTTAGATAAGACACGACAGTACTGATAATCCCGGGTATTTTTTTGCCCCTTTTTGAACATTTTCAAAATCTTCTACTTGAACAGGTTTTATCGTTTGAGCTGCGGGATTGCGCTTCCACCGAGCAATTCAGTGTTTACCCATAATTGTGAAAATCATGCAAGCGAATAAAATCCAAGGGAAAAATGTCAGCCACACCAGCGGCAACGTTCATTAGTGCATATTCTGGAGGAGCAGACTACTACCTGTTCAGCTCAAGCATGAAAGCCCCAGCTTTCATGTATAGTAGTCTAAATCAAGTATTTCGAGCCCTCAATTGTTTCACGCAGTTGCAGCACGGACCTGCTTTCTTATCGCGCGCGTCAGAATGGTTAGTATTTCACTCGTCTAGCCGCGGCTAGATGGCAAATGACAAATCTAGGTTTCTCTCCTCGAGGACCTCCCACCAGCTCTTCTCATCCTTCCAGCAGTGCTCCATCACCACTTTTGCTTGATGAGCACTCGTCATGCCGTTACGCAGAAGTGTTTCAATGTGGCACATGTAGACATCACGGTGCAAATCTAAGTCGCGCCCTATGAGCTCGCAACCACAACAAAAGAGGCAGACTATAATGCACGACTCTGCTGAAGAATCAAGCGGTATTTCTTCGCGTATCAGCCTGGTAATTCGCACCAATAACCCTCTGTTCACAGGGGTATCTCGCGGGACGTTCAAAATCCTTCGATTTATTTGCAAGACTCCCGTGAGCGCGAAAATAGCGTTCGTAGCTCTGAGTGTTTTGTAAGTTTTGTAGTTAGCGGTATTGAACGCTGTTAAACCTTTAAGATGAAGCTCGTGATAGATCCGGTCCCTTTCGTCCTCTGAAGCATTCAAATAAGATTCTATACTTTGAGCCAGATCAATAGCTTCTGTGAGTAGTAAGTACAGCCCGTGTTCGTTATCGCAGGCTTCTTTCTGATTGATTAATTTGGCAACTTGAGCTAGCAGTGACAGTATTTTAGTCTCCAATCCAGTGAAGTAGTCAATATCCTTGAGTTGAGCTCTAAGCAATGAAACGACGGTGGTATCATTGTCGTAATCAAAATCGTAATCGAGGGCACCATGATTATCAGCTTTCGCAATGCTTTTAACGGACGACAGAGACCCGATAATGTTCAAATACGAAAACCAGTGGATAAGAAACGTGTCCGCATCAAGCACTCTGGTTTTCGACACTATCCGCATAGCTTTCTTTCCGCCGGCGCTCAATCTATCAAGCAAAAGCCCTCTTGCGCCATTAACATGTGCTCGCCACTTATTTCGTCTGCCACCGAAAAATATGTCGAAACCGGCCAGCATCAGTATAGTTGCCAGGGTACTACTGCTATGTCGCTGCCTCTTATCGGTGAACTGAGACAACAGTTGCCCGAAGGTCTCGGTCAACAGATTACCAGCCAATTCTTCGTCTTTTCTGCTGGTAGCGACATCAGGAATTTGCAAGGCCCGGGTCTTCTGATGATAGTTCGAGATTTCCTTCCTGTGGTTGGCTGCGAAGGCCAACAGAAGCTTCAGCAAAGTTGGACTTTCCATGGCCAGTTGGGGAAGAATAGTATTGAAAGGATTAGAACGGTAAGCATGGTAAGGTGTCGGAACCAACAAGTGAGAGGTTTCGCTGAGATAAAAGCTAAAGAGCTCGGCGTGATGCGATGAGTCAAAGAGGAAGTCTGGAGCCGGATGTGCCAGTGATCGAAGGCTAAGACCACATCCCTCAAGTGTCGAGGGTGTGTTGTTACTGAACGGTTCCTCGCCCCACAGTAGCTGCGGAGCTGTATTCAAATGCAAATCATCCTCAAGAAAAGTGTGTACAGAGACATTGCTCGAATAATCACCTTCAACTATGTTTTCCCCCGGAGAAAAAAATGCAGTCAGATCGAAAGGTTGAGAGTTCAGTTCTGGTGCTTCTCTAGATTGTAAAAGCGTGCTACCCGACTTGCATTCGAGCTCACTCGACGACACAGCTCGCTGTGTACCTCGCTTTTTGCCCTTCTCCCTTTGCATGACAAGTACACCGCTATGGAAAGAGGCATTTGGCAAATCTTTCATTACTTTCTTAGCCCCTCTGCTAGACTGACCGCCCCATACAAGCTGCAATGAGTAATCGCATTTTCCCTTCTTCCTCCTCGAGCAGTTATGGCATTCAGGCTTGGTCTCGTCACACTTGATTCTTGCCCTCCTACAGTTATTACAACCAGAGCGCGATCTTTGGCCAGTTTTCGTAGCGGTCATATTGACATTGTAACGGTACACTTTGTCTATAGCTGTTGTGTCTCACCGTTTTCTTACTTCGCTAAGTCATGGTAAAATGGAGTCATCTTAGATTTCAATATAAGTAATTGGTAGTATGAATCTTTATCCAGGAGACAGAGAGTGATAACAAGCGATCAACGTGTATCTTCATGATAGTCATTGAGACGCCAAATGTTGGAATATTTGAGACTCGTTACTTTCAATTCCAAAACTTGTAACTAAAGCTGAATGTTTATGATTGGAGATGTAAAAGCTAAAAAGAAAGCGTTCACCAGTAATGTTCCGGTCCAGGAACTCCGAAGGTCTGTAGAATTTCTTTCAAGTAGACTTCACCTTCTTCAGAAGCAACGGAATGCCATATACATGTCCCTTTGCTACCCTACAGATAAAATCACCCCTTCGGAGGCTCGAATAGGCAGTAATAAAGACATTTGAATTGACACAGTAGTTCACTGGCGCAACTAAGAAGAAAGCAACAGTAAAGAAAGTCTCTTTTTGGATTAGTCTATAAAAGCCATCTTTATAAAAAAGCTGAATCTACGCTTTAGATGATTGACCAATGCTTCAATATATCAGGCCTTGGAAAAGTAGTTGAACCAATCTACTTGATCTGCAAAAACCTTCTCCTTGTAAAAGCTGACCAGCGGGTCACTCAAATCACCTCTTGCGGCAAATCCGTGGGACACAGTGCCAAACAAATCTATTTTGTAAATCGCACCTTCCTCGGTCAGCGCTTTTTCGGCCTCGAATCTGGCTTCGATTGGGAACATACGGTCCACTTGAGCTGCGGAAATCAAAAGGGGGTTCTTACCAATACCTCTAAATTGCTCAGTTTCAACGCGTGAAGGATGGGCGATCGCAGCTGCATTGGCAGTGGGTTCGTCCTTCTTGATATGGTCCATAACGTACCTAGCGCCAAAACAGTAGCCAATGAGGCCTAAAAACTTGGGTTTCATTTGTTCCTTCAATGCAAAGAGAAAACTATCGACAATTGGTTTGGTGACCTCTGGTCTGTGTTTCTCGAGATACGCACCAAGGTCTACAGACCCATCCAATTTTACAAGGCCATCTCCAAACAAAATGTCGGGAACGAAAACCTGGTATCCGGACTTGGCAAATTGATCTGCGATCAATTTGGTATTGGGGATCTTCAACCCATATATATCGCTGAGGATGACAATGACCTTCTCGCTCGAGCTCGAGCCGGCAACGTACGTAAGCAAACCAAAAACCTCTTTGATCTCACCAGCGGGCTCACCCTCGTGTAAACTTCCAGTAGTACAGCACTTTCCACTCATATTTCACGCTATTGACTTTATGCCTGATGTCAATTCAGCTGTGTACACTTAATACCTGTTCAGATCTTATACTTCTTCAGATCTAATATCCGGAAATTAGCACCTGTTACCTCCGAACAACACATTTTGAAGATTTATAGGATTTTCAGCTATCCGTTTGGTATTTAGTAAGCGTCCTTCAACGTGAGTAACAAGAACGCATCGCTGAATATCTGATTGGCAAATAGGAATGATGATGATGGTTCAAAACCCATGATTAGCTTCATGTGTCACTTTGACCTGGCGAAACCATTGTCACGACAAAGTTGACAACGAACATATGAACTTGAATCCTTCATGTAGTACGGCGTTCAAGCCCATTTTCCCAGAAGAGTCATTAATCCAGCACCACTCAAAGTACAAATCACCATGTAAGCGAGTTTTCGTAGATCTTTTGTGCGGTTAGGGTCGAATATGAAGTCTTTAGCCAATAGCTCGACTAGACCAGTGTAGATTAGAATACCGGCAGAAATAGCGTCTAGGACACCGCCGATTAGGCTCATATTAAAAGAGTGAGCCATGAATTTGCTTCGGACACCAAGACCGATAGCCATGGCAATAGGTGTGCTGACACCATAGCACAAGCACAACGCGAAAGGCCACCATCTTTTACCTTCTGGAAACGAGATCGAAATTAGTCTAGCACCGATTCCGAGACCTTCAAAAGACTGATGGAACACAATGACGGGATACAAGACCGAAAATTCACTACCAGTAGTACCAAGCTCCAAACCAATCATAACAGAGTGGAAAATAATACCGAATTCCATGACCAAGAACGCACCTATCTGACTTTGGAAAGGTGTGACATTGACTTCGTCGCTGACGCCAGAAACCAAATCGCTGCTTGCGTCTTGTGCTGAGTAGCTGCGATAGTTGGTCTGCTCTTTATTTGGTAAGCTATACTCTAGGTCATTTGAGCGAGAGCCCTCGATGTCAGCCGTTTCTTGATCGCTTTTGTTGGCAGTAATGGCAGCCTCAGTATGATCACCAGGTTGATGCGAGACACCAAAGCGTCTTTCAACGTATACGTCCCCGAGGAGATCGACCAAAAATATTATGAATACGGTCAACATCATAATTGCTGAACACCAAGGGAATTCTGCCCAGCCGCCTGTCATTCCAACGCAGCTGCTGCTACCGATAGACAAATATGAATGCTCCATCAAGTGAATAAAAGCCGTGGAAACGATAACACCAGTACCAAAATAGCGAGCAAATAGATAAACGTATTTGGGTACACGGAGGCCCTTCACTTTGGTCAAAACAATTGGCAGCAAAGTGAATGCGGAGCTCACAAAGAAGACCACAAATATCGAAGAAATACGGGCTTTGATACTGCCGCTGTATTCTGCCTCTCCGAAGTAAACATGGTCCATGGCGCATTTTTTCCATGAGTTGGGGACTTTCTCATCCCATATAGTCACCTCATTTGGATTCCACTGGGCCCACCATTCACCACTGTTCAGCGCTTCAGATATGTCATGGCCTCCTCCTCCATGTGAATGGCTGTGGCGCTGTACAAATTTACTTGTGTCGACACTCATTTTTGCTGGCTTTTGCAGACAAGTCCATCAAGCGATAGTAGGTTTCACTACCTTGCTCACATCTTGCAATATATACTTCATTATTCGAACGACCCTCACAATGCCTAACCTTCAGGGTCCATTTGACGTTTGGAAATGAGACTCTGTGTTGAGCAGTCTGGGGTGTCGTACGCTTAGTGAAGAGGCACTTCAATCGACACAGCATTGAAATACTTGAAGGTGACTATGGGAAACGCAAATAACTGCTCAACTTGAAAATATTGGGCGTTAACCTTTCCCACGCTTAACTCTTTTCTTTTCACTAGCTTAGAGATTTCAGTGGCGGCTGAAGCCCCTAGGGTGCCTTCGTTGCACCCTGCAGGACGCAGGGTCCAAAATTGGACCCCCAAATTATTTGAGAAAAATAAAGCCTCTGAAATTTCTTACGCTTTGAAACGCTGTATTTTTTGGCACGTTTGGAAATTTAGTTTGAGCATGAAATTCAGAAAATAGTTGTAGCGATGAAAGAGGCGTAGGGGCCATATAATCACCACACATTCGCAACATGGAGAGGACGCGTTGAAATGAAGGCTGTAAAAGCTATTCTAATGGTAGTTTGCTTGTGGGAGCATTAGCAGGTCGGCTAGAAAAGCCATATTGTGTGCCGTAATGCCCGAATGTAGACTATAAATTTGAGAGCTGTGACATGTTTGGTTTCCCACGGCTGTTTCGAAACTCAATTGGGAATTGGTGAAGCTATTAGGTCAAATAAATTCAATGGAACACATAATTGTGTTTCTGTCAACAGAAGCCTGACCTTATTTCTTCAAACGCTCTAAATGATTGAAAGCGGAGAGGCTTAACAACTCGAAAATACATAATGGCTCCAAAATTTAATTTAGCTTCGGTGAGATTTTTATTTGGATGTTTCGAAGACTTCAATTACTTGGCCCGCTGACTATGGCCTACTTGCTATCTACAACGCTTGAAAATCCATGAGCGCCTGTGAAACGCACATGCTTTCTTATGTTTTTCCATCCACTGTGTTCAGGGAAATCACTTCTACAACAGACTCAATCGCTAGTTGAGTCTTTCCCTTTAGACCTTTGGTTAAACATCGGCTACAAGAAATGTACATTAAAACCACTTGCGCATCAAATCAGGAATCTGGAATTTTTAGGACCTGGGCCGAAGTCCCAAAAAATTGCGAAGATCATAATTGCTAACATGCTCAACACACTTTCTCTCTTCGACTGTTCATAGATGCTGGCTAGCGTATTGGTAGGACCTCTGAAACCGTCCAATTTCGACTCACAACAGCTCGCAAGCTAAAACTGCTGGAGCATTCCTGAACTCTCCGATCCCATTTTCGGAGCTTTTTCTTGGCTCAATCCCTTCGCGCCCTCTGACGACGGCTTCGGAGTGTTCTGCTCCGGCTCCGTACCCTTTTTTTTTTGCTTTTTCGCTGCCAAGACCGCTAGACACGCTTTCTCGAGCGGCCTTGTTAAATTGCTTGAAGGTCTTGGCAAATGCGGCTATAAAAGACAATAACAGTTTGAAAGATGAGAATTGTGAATCCTGAAAAGTTTATTGTTTCAAGTTTAAAAGTTCTTAACCAACAAAAACTGCCTCGAGCGTTGAATCCGGTTTTAACATCTTTACATTTATCACTCTCAGTTTCATTCTCATACTATGGGTTATATCGAAACCACAGCGGGACAACCGCTTCAGTACATGTCTGCTGTTTACCAACACGGCTTGAATTCTGAAAGGCCTCCTTTCACTTTCCATAGTAATGACTGGGAAACACTTGCAAAAGAACAAATGTTCAAAAACTCTTTAGGCTATGTTTGCGGGTGTGCCAGTACTGGCGAAACGGACAAGAAAAACCGGGCGGCTTTTCAAAAATGGTCTATGATTCCTAACCGTTTGGTTAGGACTGATGATTTTACGTCTCTGGAAACTCAGTGTTTAGGCGCAAACTTGCCGGTACCAATCGCAGTTGCTCCCGTTGGCGTGCAAAAGATCTTCCACCCAGACGGCGAAATGGCTGCTGCCGCTGCTGCTGCTCAGGAAAATGTGCCATACATTTATAGTTCTGCGGCCGCAACCTCAATTGAGGATGTGGCCAAGGCAAATGGTAACGGCGTTCGCTGGTACCAATTGTATTGGCCCGCGAACGAAAACAACAATATCACCAAAAGCTTGTTGAAAAGAGCAAAGGAAAATGGATTTTCAGCGCTTTTCGTTACCCTCGATACTTTCAAATTAGGCTGGCGGCCGAGTGACCTGGACAATGGTTATAATCCATTTCTTCGTCCGGATTCCATTGGTGCAGCCCTCGGTTTCACTGATCCCGCGTTCCGCGAGCAATTCAAGGAAAGACATGGTAAAGAAATCGAAGAAGACCTTGATGCTGCTGCCAAAGAGTGGGCTGCAACAATATTCCCAGAGTTCAGCCATGGATGGGAAGATCTGGAGTTCTTGCGCAACAATTGGAACGGACCCATTGTTTTGAAGGGTATACAATCGGTTGGCGACGCTAAAAAAGCCGTGGAGTATGGAATGGATGGTATTGTCGTATCTAATCACGGTGGTAGACAACAAGATGGTGGTGCGGCGTCACTGGACTGTCTTGTTAAAATAGTTGACGCTGTTGGAACCAAGATCGATATTTTATTTGATTCTGGAGTAAGATGTGGAAGCGACATTGCCAAAGCATTGGCTTTGGGTGCCAAAAGTGTTCTCATCGGACGTCCCTACATATTCGGGTTGGCTATGGGTGGACAAGTCGGGGTGAGCCATGTTCTGCGTTCGTTGCTTGGCGATTTGATAATGACTTTGCATTTGGCAGGAATTCCCTCCGTCGACCCAAAGCACTTGAACCGCGACATTTTGGAGTATTCTGCTTGAGTCTGATATACAAAGTATACTATGCCCTAAGTCGTGGAAATATAAAATGATGAACTAATACAGTATGGCCAGAGATTTTTGACCAGAAGGCTTCTCCTTGAGTTTATGAGTCTTCGTTAGATTATATAGCAGCACGGATCAGATTCCAATGTGCCCTGGAGAATCGCTGTCGTTGAGCGTTCGCCTTTGCGTCTATAAATTTCGAGCTGCTCTTGAACTAAACGCTGCTCTTCACAAAAGAAAAATTACCTTGCGCAAAAGCTGCAACCATGGTTCCGAAGGCCGTCGGCGTCATTCTAATGATGGTTATTTAGTGTGAAACGTGAACCTTTGACTTATTACTTGGAGAGAAGACGGAAATGATTGTTGATGAAGATTGAAAGTTCGAGCAAATATGTCCACCTATGATCAATGTCATATCTGCACAGTTTCTTGGCAGACTTTCAGGCAGTGGTCCAATACCGTCAACTATTGAATCGTTCAAATTTGGTATAAAGCAGGTGTGGCACTTAACACTCAAAGTGAGTATCTGAAGTTTTTGTTCTCAAAGTCAGTAAGATCCAAAAATTCGACATTATCTGGTGCCACATACCATGTTGGATCTTCTGCAAACTTTTGGTCGCGCTTCTTGTTCTCACGCATGTTCAGCAAGAGAAGCAGGAACAGATCAACTGTCGATATCGCCAAGCAGGCAACCATAGTCACTCTTGCCGGTTTATATTGAGGAGCATCGGAAGCACGAAAAGTCTGAGGCCCAATAACGTTACCAACGCAGTAAGAAACCAAGAATGCTGCGGACACCGTCAACTTCTTTGTGTGCCCCGATGCATCCGATGTGATTGAGGCCAGAATAGTTACCATGCCAATGGCGAAAAATGGAATTAGATAATACCCTGCAAGCCGAGCTTTAGTAGATTCTGGAAAGGCAAGCAAACAAGTGGCGAGCAAAGTGATTAAGCAGCTCACGGCACCAACAATGACTCTCTTTCCGGTCTTAGTGGCAATGTAACCAGTGATAATACCCGACAAAATCTGCACAGCGCCATTACCTAGTCCGACCAATAGAGAAGCCTGTGAAGAGTAGCCCAATGTTTTGTGTAGCAAAATAGAGGAAAAGGAGCCAAGACCACCGTTTGGGATCTGTGCAGTCAAGCCCCAGACAATGTAGATCCATGTTCTAGGGTCTCTGAACGCTTCGGCAAACTGGTACCACTTGAACTTCTTATTTCCGTACCCTTGCTGATTGGCCTTAATACGCTGCACTTGATAGAGACGTTCTTTCTCTGTCAAAAACCAGGCCTTACTTGGATTCTCTGGTATGTAGAAGTAGAACAAAACTCCGAAGACCACCGAGATCAAGCCGGTTACGATGAATAAGATCTTCCATGGGTCAATCGTGTACGAATCGGCATGGTGAACTAACCCATAAGCGATCAAACCTCCAAGAATACCTCCCAAACCATTACAGGAAAACCAGTAGGCAATTCTTGCAAAATGCTCCTCTTTCCTATACCACTGAGATGTTAGAATGACAAATCCGGGGGTAATGCTAGATTCAAAAATACCAAGGAACACACGAGCCGTGATGATGCCTGCACCATTTTTGGCACCTGCGTGTGAGCACAATACAATACCCCATATTACGATACAGGCAGACATCGTTTTCACGAAGGAGAATCTCTGCAACAGCTGTGACATCGGAAATTCTGCACCGAGATAAGCCAAATAAAAGGCAGTTCCGAGCCAGGCAAACTCGTTCGGCGCAAAGTTCAAGTCTTTTTGGATACCCATGACGCCAGCATAACTGTTGGTCACTTTATCCATATACTGCAAGGTATAGAGCGCCCAAATCATTGGTTGAATGTATAGATCGACCTTACGGAGCAACTTTTTGTTGATTTCCTCCGTGATAGCAAGGTCCTTACTTTCGAGATTGAACTGAAACGCATCATCAACATCACTGGCTTCTTCGGAAATCGTAGACACCTGTCTGACGGCGGCGACGGTCGAATTCTTTCCCTTTTCAGTTTCAATATCTGTCATTGCGATCGGCCTGCTGATTGATTTTTACGTTTCCAATCGAACTTGGCGATCTTGTGTTGAGCAAGATATCTTTCAGTTTTATACCCACCGAAGTTGATCTTGTGTTAACCAACTCGTTATTGGAAAGTCTTTTAGTACTTGTGGCTCCTAGAATGAGGTGATCTAGAAGTCAAAAGTTCAACAAGGAAAGTCGCCGAGCATTGGTCGATATATCGACTAGCTCTTTTATCAGATATTCGCCACATTTCGGAGTTCTGGGGGTCAATGTCACACGCCAGCTTCTTTATCATTTCTCGAAAAGATATCGTATACTTCAAATTCTGGATGGCATACCCTTTCGTAGATGCAGCGGTCCGAGATTGTCTGAGTGACCGATCAGCAATCCTGAAAGATGCTTCTGCCGCCACGAAGAGTGCAATCTACTGTATTGAAGTTTCTCGAGGCGCGACGGACTTTCTTTAATTCTTGATCCTGTGGCTCTTTTTATGCACGGTCACGGACTATCCTGCAAGCGAAAAAAATACGGCCATTCATTCTAGTGGGTAAACTCAATATTCGATACTTTGGAACCGTAATAACCCTGAAACTATTTTTTCTTTTGACAGATGTTATTCTCGTTTGAAAAGTTTGGCTCAAAATGATCAGTTGAAAGCTTGTCTTGCTCTTGTAGAGTTTTTTGAAGACATAGTGACACTTTTCTGGCAAGTGCTGTGAAAATGAGGAAATTATCACATCGGTAGCTTATTGGGGTTTTAGAGACTTCAGCAGAGCGCCGCTTTCAAAATGTCTGCAGAGGCTGGTTGAGGATTAAAGGTCAGCAGGTTCGTAAAACCACCGCTCACAAGACATGTACATACTCTTGACTTCCATAACTCACTCATCTTGAGAAGAAGTCTCGCTGGAATAGCCTTTTAACACCATCTGTTGTTGGGAAAGCCATGCCCTTTTTTTTTTGGCGTCCTAGGAGTAAAGACATTAACTTCCCAAAAACTATCGCAGAAAAGCTTTTAAATCTTTAGACCTTTCTCTAGTCTGTAGTGGGATTCGAGGTTCAACACACTGGGACGAAAGCCCAGGTCTTAAAAAGTCATATTTTGATTGTCCTTCAAATAAGTAAAGGGCGTTAAGACATGAAGCTGCCGTCGAAAACCCAGCTCCTTCAATCGGTTTTTATTGTAAATTCCAGAGTTTTGCATTTGCGCTCGGGATGAGAGCCGATTTATGGGAGGATCGGGGCTGAATGTGTGAAGGCTAGAGAGTTCATAAGAGCTGTAAAAACAGGAATGTTTTGGTAGAGTGAGAACGCAGCACTACTATGCTGTCGCTGTTTTGGCATGTCCCTTTCAGTGAATAACAAATTGGCAGTCTCTGAAAAAGAGGGATCTTAGTTTTGTATGGATTTCCGTACTGTTCTGGCCATCACAGCTACTCGACACTTGACTGCTAGGAGTTCGGGCACGATAGGCACGGCGCCACGAGACAGTAAACCAAATCTCTCTGAGTTTTTCTGAGATTTCAAGACAGAAAACCTAGACTTTTGTGAGCAGGAAACTCGAATACTCAGTGTCATGATGGTATCAATATCCCGGGCAAGCCTGAGTCTCTCTTACCTAGATGCTGGTTTGTCCAATTGCTCAAGGAACAGCGACCTGGAGCCGCTTTTTTTTTTGAGCGCGGCTGGAGATTTTGATGGTCAAACATCTGACGCGGGTATTCGAAACAACTAGCAGCGTCCACAAATCGGCCCCAGTTCTTTAGAACGTCCACATCAACTTCAAGCGCTTGATACCATCTCTTAACTGATCCACATCTAGCTGCAATTCCTCGACCCAAACATCTATCCGCCTTTCTCAATCACCTGCAAGTTCAGCTAGAGGAAAAAAGAAATCAAACGAAAAAAGAAACAGAAACCATGAATGCAAGGTCACGTTTTCTGCTTATCTAAGATTTCTTTTTTTTCTTTTATTTCGTCTGTGGTGACATGTACTCGTCACGTGCGAGTGCCCGAGACTCGGACCGTCTAATTTGACACACATACACCAGAAATTGTATGTAGATGATATCCAAACTCATCGGTCGGCAACGAAATGCCAAGAAAAGAGAATACTAGAGAAGCCAAGACTCACAGCAGCTCTTCGAGCCTAGTTGGCCAACAACATTTAGTAGGGAACATCACAGAAGATCTCCTCACAAACGTCCAAAAATCTGCGTCTGGTGTTTCCATTTGGGCTTCATCAGCATACATAATTTTATCTGTCTTGGCTCTTTCAACTATAATTTCATTCTCTTATCACTTACAATCTTATAACAAGAGATTCAGAAACTCCACCAATCGCTGCTTCATCTCACCCCTACCGGTTTAGCGGCGTCCGCAAGACCCATGGCTTTCTAATCCAGCGATATCAGCTCTGCGCTGGGTTCAAGACCCACAATCAGTAACTTTCATTAGCCGTCTGTCATAATGGCAACGCCAAGGCTATCACAGCTTCCTGGGCAAGATCTCAAGCGATCCCTGTCTGTCCCACAGTGGCCATTGTCCTCGAAGTACTCGCTAGCTTGCTTGCTTGACATGATAACACCACTCATGACCTGAACTGAGCCAATTTTTTTTCCTACTGACCTATAGCCGTTACAACAGATCTTATTAGCCTTGTACTCGCACGGCAAAGTTACATGACACTAGGTCTTTAAAGGCTCTTCTTATCTTACAGTAAGCATTATGTGGCACACAGCTGTGTGCATAACGCCATATCAACTGTTTGCCGGCTGTGCGAATGGCTCCACCACTAATGACCTGGACAGAACAGGAAATGTAAGGTTGGCGAGAATTAGAGCGCATATATAAAAATGGAAAGCATCCAGCGTTGGAAACCGTATTCCAGGTTGGAGGATATACTTGTTTATAGTTTGGTTCCCATAGTATCAGCAGGCCAGCATTTCAGTTGAGTGTTTGCAGGAGATTCATCCTTCACTTTGCTTATTTATCTCATCGCATCGCATCGCTTCGCATCGCATCGCATCGAATCACAACGCTACACACTGACGTTAAAAGTTGACCCTCGAGCTAGAATTTTTATAACCAATGGCGACCAAGTTAGTTCCAATCTCCAGCCCAGGACTTCACCTCGGTGACAGTGACGGGCTAAGAGAAAAAGAAGCTCGTCTCTCCGGTACCGAAGTTTCCTCCAGTGAAGAACCGCACATAACGCACAAGACCTTGCCTCTGCAAGCATACATGCACTACGCTGAGATCCAGCGTGACTATGAAAGAGTGAATGACACGGAAGGCCTATTTGCTGCGCAGGCGGAGCAAATCGAGGCTGACCCGCATAGTAACATGTCGAGTGTGAAGCTGGACGCTCAAAGAGCACTTCGTATTGCCAAAGCGTCTTCTGTTTTCTTTTTGATCACCACAGACATCCTGGGTCCTACCAACGCACCATATGCAGTTGCACAAATGGGATGGGCGCCCGGTATTATCCTTTACGTTCTTTTTGGTATTTTTGCTGCCTTAGGCGGATGGCTACTGACCCGTTCCTTCTGCAAAGTTGACTCCAATAACTATCCTATTAGGACATTTTCAGATCTTGCTGGACGTGCTGTTGCACCTTGGTTCAAATTTCCACTTGCTATTCTGCAATTCATCCAATTGATCTTAAACTGCGGGGTGCTTTTGCTTGGTGTCGCTCAAGCTGTGTCTCAAATGCAAATTGTTACCAAAGGCCACGATGGACTGTGCTTCACGGTTGACATCCTGGTGTGGGCTCTGTTGTGCATGGCTGTAGGTCAGATCAGGTCTTTCAGAAAATTCACGCCTATCGCCAACTCTGCTGTGTGGATGAACATCGCAATTTGTATCATTACCATGGTTGGTGTTGCGGTGGGAGGTCCTTACTACGGTATCTTCACGCAGTACGGTAAGGGAGCACCTTATTTCGAGCCAGATTCCTTCATTCCATTGCCTGTCAAGCATCACGCTATCGCTCCTGGAACCATCAGTGACAAAATCTCAGGTATGAACAACATGGTTTTCGCATGGGGCGGTGCGACGCTTTTCTGTGAAGTGATGGCAGAAATGAAGAAACCCATGGACTTCTGGAAGGGTATGATTTGCGCCCAGGGTCTAATCATGGTTGTCTACCTCTTTTACGGACTTTTCGTTTACGGCTACAACGGCCAGTTCAGTTATGTGACCGCCAACCAGGGTATTGGTTCTATTGGTCTACAAAACGCCGCAAATGTTCTGAACATTATCACGCAATTAATCGCCGCCGTGCTTTACGGAAATGTAGGTGTCAAAGTCTTCTACCAGGGTTTCATGGTACCGTACTTCAGGTTCCCCGAGTTGATGACCCGCAAGGGAACAGTGGTCTGGGGTTTCTTTGTTACCGGATACTGGGCTATCGCCTATATCCTTGGTACTGCCATTCCATCGGTGAGTGCCTTAGTGTCGATCATTGGTGCATTCTGCATTTTCAATTTCTCGTACACTTTCCCATTCTTCTTCGCTTTCTGTCTGCTATGGCGCCAAGATGCTGGTTTGAACGATACTTTCGATCTCACAACGCTTACGGTCGAGCAAGGTGATTCATATTTGAGCGGCTTCTCCCGTTGGAAGCGTGCTATAGCACATGGTGGCATGAGACGCTTCACTATCAAGCTTGCACTAATGTTGGTGTGTTTGGCCTCTCTAGCTACCTGTGGGCTATGTTCCTATTCGGCAATTGAAGGTGCCATCGACGCCTATAAAACAAATCCCGCTCAGCCTTTCACTTGTACTTCACCTGTGACCTAAGCCTGAGGCTTGGGAGGAGAGATGGTAAAGGTTCTTATACCAAATGGTACGAGCGAGTTTGTAATATGTACATTATAAGTGTTATTTTCTGATTATCAAGTCGTCGTTAGAAGCCAAGTCCAGTCGTAGGGACAAGTTTTCAGTGCTCGTTGATGTGGCAGGGTCTCTAAAGTTTATCAACATGTGTGAGAGAAGAGTCTGAGTCGAATCTCGCAGGTAAGCAATAGAAGGCCGCCGAACTCAAATAACGTTTTTAAAAATTGTTATAATTGCTCCCAATCGGAGATTCGGAGTCATCAGATGTAAACAAATGGCGACTTTCGAGTTATCTTGCAATTGATTATTTTTCATCAGAGCTGACGTTCGGACTACCTAATATATTGACCTGTTAGGTCAAGAGAAGAGAACTAAAGGGAATGACTCAAAACTTCTTGTAAAAAACAATAAGAATGAGTCAGTTTGAAGCCAAGGACTCTACAAGCTGAACTTTGTCAAATTTTGTAATAACATAGACTGACCAAAACATTCGCACTTGCGAATTTGTAGATTTCACGAAAGAATCTGTAAAATCTTTTAAGAAAACCGGCGTCGCAGAACCCAAAAACAAAGAATCAAGAAGAAACGGGAAGAAGCATGAACTGAAAGATATCAAGTCACAATTGATGAGTGTGTCATTCAATAATTTCCTGAGACTTTCGAGTTGGTATGGCAAACAGCCGATTTGGGGTCACGTGCTTATCTCTCAGAAAGTTTCCATTCCTGGACTCGGTCTCAACTGCCCTTTTTTGCCTTTAAAATATCTGGACGCCTTTAAGTTATATTGGATCTAAAACCAAGCCGTCCTGGAGCTAAGTCAAAATTCATCGATGAGCCCATCATAGAAGCTCGTCGTGACGATTCGCTGAAAAGTATATAAAACCTCGATGGTTTCAACGAAGCAGGTATTTTCTCTTACCCATTAATGATCCAAAATCAACCTTTAACGTTAAGCAATGCCGGCTCAGGAGGATTTTTTGGTAGAACAATTCATGGACAAGTACGAGGACAATGCTGTCTATAACGTTGGTGAGACCTGCTGCTACTCTCTAAGTTTGGGTGAATTGGCAGAAATAACAGGCGAGAAATTTGAATTTGACTACGAAAAAAGACTCACTTACGGATCTATTCGAGGCACTCAGCAGTTGAGATCACTGATTGCGGAGATCCACAGTAACGACGAAGTGCATCTTAGTGAAAAAAACGTCTTGATCACCAATGGTGCGATTGGTGCAAATTTCCTGGTAAATTACGCGGTAGCTGGACCAGGCGATCATGTCATCTGTGTCGCCCCAACGTACCAGCAATTGAACAGTGTTCCGCAAATGTTTGGTGCGGAAGTCGATTTGCTGCAATTGGAGGCCGCTGACGACTATCTCCCCAACCTTTCGAAGCTCAGAAGCATGCTAAAACCCAACACCAAGCTCATTGTCCTCAATAACCCTAATAATCCGCTTGGAAGTGTCATCCCAACCGAGATGCTGGCCCAAATTGCCGCGCTGGCCGATGAGGCCGGAGTTCGAGTTCTGAACGATGAGGTCTACAGCCCTCTATTCCACTCCTGTGAACAACCCAAGTCAATTTGCCAACTGAGTAGTACTGGTATCACAACAGGCTCTATGTCAAAGTCTTATTCAGCAGCAGGTATCAGACTAGGGTGGATTATTACTCAGGACTTGGACTTCATAGAAACGGCTGCCTCTCGTAGAGACTACAACACCATATCCGTGTCCATGGTGGATGATGCGATTTCTTGCTACATTTTGAGAAATCGCCAAGCCGTGCTTGATCGCAACTTGGCTCTGTGCAAAGGAAATCTGGACATCCTCAAGGAGTTTGTCGAAGGATCTGAAGGAAAGTTTACTCTTGTTAATGATCCAAAAGGTGGATCCGTTTGCCTTTTGCGAATTAATGGTATGACTGACACTGAAACCTTTGCAGCTACGCTGGCAAGACAGTTCAAAGTTCTAGCAGCACCCGGAGAGTGCTTTGGGATACCTGGTACTCTTCGTATTGGGTACGGAAACTCTAGAGCCGAACTCGTGAAGGCGTTGGAGTTGATCAATGTAGCGTATGACCAGACTCGCAATTGAAGGGAATTCGAGGGAAGCTAAACTTAACTAATTTCACGCTGTCAATGCAGGCTTGCATTAGCCGTGACATGGGGACCGAGCGTTCGACAACTCTCTTACTCTCAGATCCTGTACAGTTGGCCTGTGTCTCGGTAATATGGCTTGCTTATGGAAGCAATCATATATCGAGCGCTGGCATTACTATCATAATGTAGCGTTGTAAGTCCTTTTCATCTCTCACCTCATGTTCACGAGATGAATTTCTTTCCTTAGAAAGTTCTTTTACATGCCGTTAACAGTATAAAGACACCCACCCGTACATTCTCTATCAACGCATATGTCCCTAGCATAATAGAATGTTTTTACCCACTGTGAATGAACATCAGCGAGTCTAGTCTGCCGCTATGTTTTACTGACACTTCTACAGTCAGTCGCTTGATTTACTGACGCCTCTTCTTAATCACTCCCCACGTTTGTGACGCTGTCTCTCTGATCACGGCACACTCCCGCCAACGACACTGAAAGTTGGGTATCTATGGAGTAGTTCGAGGCCTGGTTTTGATCGAGCACTTCATGTTTCGCCACACATTCATATCCAAATACTGATTCCCAGCCTCCGCGAGGCTAATTTCACGTACTTGTACAAAACACATAGATGAACCCGGGAGATTTCACCTCTCATCTTGCAAGAATTATCAATCGATCGGGATCGGCAATGTATGCCACTCGTACTGTCGATTGGATTTTGTAGGTTTTTAAGCTATACTGTGAAAGCTATACCTAATGACCTCGAAATTTAGCTTTAATTTAAAGTGCCTTTTTTGATCCAAAATGTAAAAAAATGAGTTCGGTAAATTTAGACTTAACAATTTTAAGATCCTTTCCACAGGGAGCTTCCTGCTATCTAAATCTTTAACGATCTCAATTTATGTGCTACGATGCTTTATATAACCTTTACTACCTGCCTTTGTAGTATGTTCACCACGACCGCTGGATCTGCACTGACACCTTGTGTCGTTTTCTTCTTGTTCAGCACCGTGTGGCTGATCAACAGAATGATTTAAAGCAAATAAAGTTTTAGGGCAGGTTGAATATCAAGAACAATTTCGCAGCCTCCGGGAAAGTACTCTGACGACAATTGTACTACTTTTTCTCCCCAATCTATGTGACACAGTGATTCCCGAACTTGGTTCTTCTCCTCACGGTCAGGACTCGAAAGTGAGAACTGAGTCCATTATGGAACTCTGGAATCAAGCTACCTTATGGCTGAGAGCTTTGTTAAGTGGTTGCATATTGCGTAAAAAAGCCAGTATGTCTTAATTCTAATAAACTCAATAAGCTAAAGACAAGCCAATCAAGAATCACAGGCTAACTAGCGTCTTGAAGTAAGCTTTTTTCTCACACAACTCTTTCAACGCTTATCCCGATTTCGTCCGTATTCAGCGCAAAATTCAATGTTCAAGAATAGTAATAGTTCAAAGTAAGTCATCTAGTTATCTACACTCAAGAATATCTGTAACCCAAAAACATAGCATTGAGCGAGATCCAAGAACTTCTGTATCCTTACGATTCGCTCTTTCATTATTTTTCAGTCGCTACATCTATTCAATATATTCGCCGGTATTGAGATTAATTTCCACTGTTGAGCTTCTTTACCAAAATCGAAGCTCCAAAAGACACCAGAGCAGCGATGTTGAGATGAGTCCGGCTTCCAAACCGTGCTAATACACCATCGCTGATTGTAAGTGAAGTCTGGCGGTCTTTTCTGGATCAAATTTCGCTTACCAACTACACCGTAAGCCTTCGGCCTACTCAATCTGATAATAGATGAAAACTCAACGAACAGCAGAACTATGTAGACATCTGAAATAAAGAAGGCCGAATCTAGCTCTGACCCTACTGGGAGGCTATTTCGTAGTCATACCCAAGACTTCTGAACATACTTCTGAACAGACTTCTGAACAGATAGAATTCATTTGTCGGAGCTGGTGTGCCCTTTTTCTCCGACATATTAGATTAGAAGAGATAGAGACACTGTTCGGATTATAAAAGCCAACTTAAGAGAGACATGAAGGGATACGTTGAGGTGGTTTCCATGTCATTGCTCAACTAGGCGTTGGAATTAACTGAAGTCCAAAATGGCCAAGATTAGAATCGCGATTGACAGAGGCGGAACTTTTACGGATTGCATTGGTAACCCTGGATCCGGAGATGCGAAGGACGATGTGGTCATAAAATTGCTGTCTGTGGACACCAAAAACTATCCAGATGCACCTTTGGAGGGTATCAGAAGAATCTTAGAGATCTTCCAGCAAAAATCTATACCAAGAGGTACTCCTTTGGACCTGTCTGATGTGGAAAGCTTGAGAATGGGTACTACTTTGGCAACCAATTGCGCACTTGAGCGAAATGGTGAACGCTGTGCTTTTGTCACCACCAAGGGTTTCAAAGACAGTCTTTTGATAGGCGACCAGACAAGACCCAAAATTTTCGATTTGAGCATCAAACGTCTAAATCCGCTGTACGACGATGTCATTGAAGTTGATGAAAGAGTAACTTTGGAAGACTTTTCTGAGGATCCAGAGAACATCAAATCAGAAGCCAACCCTGAAGAAGGTGTATTTGTGGGCAAAAGTGGCGAACTAGTGCGAGTTTTGAAGAAACCGGACCTCTCGGCATTGCAGGCTTCTTTGCAGTCTGTCTACGCTAAAGGCATCCGTTCCATCGGTATTGCCTTACTTCACTCTTACACCTTCCCCGAACATGAAGAATTGGTGGCGAAGCTGGCCTCGGAGATTGGCTTCACTCACATCTCTCTATCGTCGCAGTTATCGCCCATGATCAAGTTTTTACCAAGGGCAAATAGCGCCATCGCTGACGCTTATCTCACACCAGTTATCAAGAAATATTTGGATGGTCTACAAGCTGGTCTCATTAACACCCAAAATACAAGCATTCAGTTTATGCAATCTGATGGTGGTTTGGTGGACGGCTCTAAATTCTCCGGTCTGAAATCGATTCTTTCCGGTCCCGCAGGCGGTGTAGTTGGATATTCAGCAACATGCTATGACAGTGAATCCAATATTCCCCTCATAGGTTTTGATATGGGTGGTACATCCACTGACGTTAGCAGGTACGGCGAGGGCAAACTGGACCATGTCTTCGAAACAACTACAGCCGGTATAGTAATTCAAAGTCCGCAACTGGACATTCACACTGTTGCTGCTGGTGGAAGTTCGATGTTGTTTTGGGAAAATGGTCTTTTTAGAGTCGGGCCAGAATCTGCCACAGCAGAGCCTGGGCCAGCCGCTTATCGTAAAGGTGGGCCTTTGACCGTGACAGACGCCAATCTTCTGCTGGGACGATTAGTTCCAGAACTGTTTCCGAAAATTTTTGGGCCCAACGAAGACGAATCTTTGGACTTGAGTATCACCAGGACTAAATTTGAGCAGTTGACGAAGACCATCAATGCTGATTTAGGCTCGGATTTTTCATGCGAGGAAGTTGCGTATGGTTTCGTTAAAGTGGCGAACGAGTCTATGGCTCGGCCAATAAGAGGACTGACAGAAGCCAAAGGTCATGTCATTTCTGAACATCAGCTTGTCACATTTGGCGGTGCAGGAGGACAGCATGCCGTTGCAGTGGCAGAATCCCTTGGGATCAACACGGTAATTGCACACCGCTACTCTTCAATTCTATCAGCATACGGAATGTTCCTTGCAGATGTTGTTGAGGAAAATCAAGAGCCTTGCTCATTAGTCTTGGAGGATTCCGATACTCAAAGGAGAGTGACAAAAAAACTAGCCAAAATGGCGAGTGAAGTCACTGACACTTTGACAAAACAAGGCTTCTCGAAAAATGACTTACTATTTGAAAAGTATTTGAACTTGAGATATGAAGGTACGGAGACCAGTTTAATGATACTTCAAGATGATGAGGAGTGGAATTTCAGTAAAGATTTCACTGCCTCCCACAAAAGAGAATTTGGGTTTGTTTTCAAAGATAGGTCTATCATCATTGATGATCTTAGAATCAGAGCTGTGGCAAAGTCACCAGTGAGATCTACGAAATCCATCACGAAAGAGCTTGACTCGCTAACGACTACCACTGCCGAAAAGGGAAGGGAAGTCGCCTTTTTCAAAGATGTCTTTTTTGATAACAAACTTTTGAAGACTCCCGTGTATCGAATTGATAACACTTCAAGTGGCACACGCATTGAAGGCCCTTGCGTGTTGGCTGACGGTACTCAGACTAATATCATCCCAAGAAACGCTTCTGCAGTGGTCCTCAGCTCTCATATTGTCATCACGATAAACCCTACTACCAAGCAGGAAGACAAGGCCGCCGGTTCCAACATTGATCCTGTGCTTCTTTCAATATTTAGCCACAGATTTATGGACATCGCCGAACAGATGGGTACACAGTTGAGAAAGACTTCGGTTTCCACAAACGTAAAAGAACGACTGGACTTTTCATGCGCCCTCTTCGATCCTGATGGTAATCTTGTTGCCAACGCTCCTCATGTACCCGTACATCTTGGCTCGATGTCTACGTGTATATCTGCACAGGCCAAGCTATGGAAAGGCAAATTGAAGCGGGGAGATGTATTATTTTCGAATCATCCGGAAATGGGCGGAACCCATCTTCCTGACATCACAGTTATAACACCAGCTTTTTCTGACGTCAATGATGAAATAATATTCTATGTTGCTTCAAGAGCACATCATGCTGACATCGGTGGTATCCTACCTGGATCTGTTCCCCCAAATTCGAAGGAACTGTATGAAGAGGGGGCAGCAATTTACTCGGAGCTTCTGGTCAAGGGAGGAAATTTCAATGAGCAGCTAGTGACCAAGCTGTTGCTCGAGGATCCTGCCAAATTTCCTGGATGTTCAGGCTCTCGCAAACTAAGCGACAACATCAGCGATCTCAAAGCACAGATTGCTGCAAACACAAAGGGAATTCAATTGATCGCAAAGCTGATGAATGATTTCGGAATTGATGTGATAGTGAGATACATGCTCGCAATTCAAGAGAATGCTTCATCCACAGTGAAGCTTGCCCTGAAACAATTAACAGAGCACTTCAATGCGTCTGAATTTTATGGCGAGGACTATATGGACGATGGTACCGTGATAAAGCTGAAGGTGACCCTTGACGTCGCAAAGGAAGAGTATATATTTGATTTCGATGGGACCTCGCCACAAGTTTATGGTAACTTGAACGCGCCTGAGGCAATTACAAATTCAGCGATTTTGTATTGCTTGCGCTGCTTGGTGAATAAGGACATTCCTTTAAACCAAGGCTGTCTTAAACCAGTAACGGTAAAAATACCAAAGGGATCTATTTTGAGTCCTACCAAAGGCGTTGCAGTTGTCGGGGGTAACGTTTTGACCTCTCAAAGGGTCACTGACGTAGTTTTGAAAACCTTCAAAATAATGGCCGATTCCCAAGGTGATTGTAACAACTTCACGTTTGGAACTGGCGGAAAAGACGAAAAAGGTGAAGTATCCAGGGGATTTGGCTACTATGAGACAATTTGTGGTGGACATGGAGCCGGAGCGGATTCTTGGAGGGGTCCTGGATGGAACGGAGCGCACGCCGTCCACACAAATATGACGAACACTAGGATGACAGACGTGGAGATCTTCGAGAGAAGATATCCTGTTGTTCTTCGCGAGTTTTCTGTGCGGAAGGAATCCGGTGGGAAAGGAAAATACAATGGAGGCAACGGAGTTCTTCGCGATATTGAGTTTCGCCAGCCTGTCCAGGCGTCTATACTATCCGAGAGGCGTGTTGTTGCTCCTCATGGACTCAATGGGGGCAGCGATGGCGCAAGAGGCTTGAATCTATGGATTCGCGGAGCTACCAACTCTGTCACGAATATTGGTGCTAAGAGCACGATAAAGGTCAGTCCTGGCGACAGAGTTGTGATAATGACCCCTGGAGGTGGTGGATGGGGCCAAGTAGAAACCAATTGAGGTGGTCGAGAGGGTTTGGTAGGGAATTGTTACCACATAACTACTTATTGCGTATTTTGACACTGAGAGAGATCCAAGGGATAGGCGTCAATTGGTAAGCGATTGGACAAGTCTATGATGACACAACTTCTGACTACTTGTGCAGGCTTTATCGAATGATATTCTTTCGATGCATTGTTGTCAAATAGGCTCGGTAACCATCCTTCCAAGACGTTCTTGACCTGTGAAATATCTGAAGAAATGGGGCGGTAACAACTGCCCACAAGCGGAACATACAAATAAAGCAGTAAAGCGTCACTACTCTCATTGGTGTGCTTATCGAGTTTTGGCTCTACATCAACCCGTCTTCTCAGAGTATGCTATTCGCCTATTTTCCGTCACAATTTCATTGCTACATGGTCAGCCTCCACTGTACATCTCATTGTAGCTCGAACGTCTCAATATTCAGATAACCACTCTGTGCACGATTGTATAAACCCATCGCTACGACTACGATCGCTAGTGGCATCAAATCAAGAAGAGAGACAAGGCGATTAGTGATTGCAGAACGTTATGACTTCTAGCTTATCGCATGGTAACTGCGCTACAGATAATCACTAGCAAGGACCACCCTAAAAGGAGGTCTCGAGTAATTGTCAAGGAAAGCAGAGTCCAAGCAAATGAGGAGTCAAGTTAGGTTTTCAAATAAGAACGAGAAATCAGAGGTATAGAAGATCTTTGGCTTCGTGATAGTAACCCACTAATGCTGATGATGCCAGTGATATTTAAGTAACCAGTGTAGCTTCCTGAACTAAAATATTTGAACGCTCGGATGAGATTCCCTTCTACAGCTAATGATGATATTATATCTCACGGAAAGAGAGGATGCTCTTGAAAGATTATAGAAGATCTTGTTTTAGACATCTAAAGTTCACAATTGGGAGAATTTGATAGCATCACAATTGTCGATATTGTAAAACGGACTTCACAAGACACTTGTTTCTCATCGCATGCAAGGTGGCAGCGATCCATGTAAAGAAGAACAACAATTGAAGAGGGCATGCGTCCAGTGCAAAACAAGAAAGAAGAAGTGTAGCGGTCAGCTTCCGTGCTCTTACTGTATAAAGATAGACAAGCCACAACTTTGCGAGTATCGGGCACGACGCAGTTCTAAAAGAATCAACGTCACAGTTCGATATGTGCAATCGCTCAAGGCACGAATCCATGAGCTGGAACAGCAGCTGGAGCAAAAGAAGACCACAGAAGACTTCCCATTGGAGAAGTTGGAAACTACCACCACTTCAAGAAACCCACTTATAGAAAATGAGGACAGTGACGATTTGAATTTGTCTGATGTCAAGAACGTTTCCGATCCGGTTTACGTGCAACGTCTTGAACACCAAAACGACAAACTTGAAAGACCGTATACCGGCTACTCTTCCTGCGCCAAGTTTTTGCAGAAAGTCAGTGAATCGATAGTGGGGCAAAACACATCGCTCCCCTGGAGCAACGAAGCGTCAGCAGCAGCTAAAATGCTTGCAGCAGACTGCTTACAAGTCAGAAGCGGATTCCATGAAATTAATCAAATGGCTACAGACCGGCTGCCAACAATTGCACAAGCTCTTAGACTTCTAAGCGTAGCCGATGAAACCATTGGCGCTGACTACATGTATCTCGATCCCGACTACGCAACCCGCATATTGGAACCCATCATTTACGCAACAAGTGTTCCAGCAGACGAAGAAGAAATAATTCGCTATGTTACTGAAATGTCCCGTTTCTACAGCTATCTTGCACTTGGATCTCTCTTTGACCGTGGCAATACCAGACCTCGATTACCTGGCTTACTGTATTTCGAAACGGGAGTCTCTTTGCAAGGCTTTCTGCAGAAAGCATATGATCAGGCTACAAGTAGTTCCTTGATACAAACACAGCTTTATCTCACATTTTACTCGCTATCGCTGAACAAGATGTCCTTTGCATTCAACATGATCGGAATTGCAATCCGCATGGCCTTCTCACTTGGATTTCATGAAATGACAGGAACTCTTGATCAGAATCGAACCTTCTGGCTCTGTTTTGTCTACGACAGGCTAATTTCTATCAGAAAAGGGCTGCCATTCATGATCGAAGAGTCTGAAATCAAGATACCATTTTTAGACGCAGCAGACGAGACCTCAGAATCGATATCGTTAAGAAAATTCTATCTGGCAGCACACGTCGGACTGGCAAAAATCACTACCAATATCATAAGGAAAATATACACCAGAAACTCTAGTTCGTTTGTCCAAAACTGCTGCGACATTTTGTGCAATCTGCAGAGTTGGCGCAGCAACCTTCCAGGCACACTCAAGTTGGATCATGAAAAGATAGAAGGTTGGGAGACGAGATCTATATTCAATCTCCACATCAACTATAACTACTCTTTGATTGTGACTACGCGGCCGGTGTTGTTTTATGTGTTCCAGAAATCTTTGAATGATGATGGAAAGCGTTGTCTGGATTCAGACAAGCTGTCGGGCGTTGTCTCTAACCTAGTTGACGCCTGCACCAAAGCAGCAGAAATCCAGAGTCGTATCCTAACTAAGTTGTTTCACGATCAAAAGTTTGCAGTATGCTCGTTCTTGGATTGCCATTTTATTTTCAACGCTACAGTGATTCTCATACTACGAGCATACTGTCAGTCAATCCCAACTTTCGAGATCAGGTACCAATCTGATGCGACTGCACTATTTGATTTGATACAACTCAATCTGAAGGTCTTATCATCTCTATCAGAGCACAACGTTGCTGCCTCGCATTTCAACGAAAAGCTGACTGACCTTTTGAAGTTATTGAGATCGAAAGGTGCATTTGCTGATGTCCTTTCCACCAAACCCAGAAATAATGCAAACTCTTCAGACAGATCACAGGAAGATAATTTTGACATTCTCTGGGAGGATGAAGCTGTGTTTGAAGACAGATTTATCGATACATTCGAGATCGTTGACATTGCGCAAGTTTTGAATGGCATTGAGAACCAGGGTTACGTTGGTACTGAAAATCCTTTTCTATTTGAGGACAATGACTTCCTGAGATCTTTGGATTCGCTCTGAAAACCGGAAGCCACCTTGGCTATCCAACTACAGCAAGTTAACTTCCAGCAATTATTCTGACCAATACTTGTGAAGGTGAGATACCATCTCCAGGAATCGAATAATACCTTACTTACATGCGAAATTGAGAGCCAACGTCCGGGGTTCAAGAATGGATCTGGTAATACATTGGAAGAAACACTTCCTCGCATTTCATACAGCTTATGAAAACCGGTGATGATCATTACGGATAGAGTTTCATTAATTTCTGAAAAGCCATCAGTTATATTCGCTATACCTGAGTGGAGCACATCTGGAGGCTCAGATCACCCAGAGAAACTCAGTTTTACAGCATGTGCGAATTTAGTGATCAACCCGCCCAATTCAGCATACGCAGTATAATGTGCGTGGTTTACACAATTGCTTGGCTTGATGCTGTCACCCATTTACAAGCTCAAAAGAAGCATTACTGTCAATTAACAGCTATGATGAAGCCTAAGGCCCCAAAGATAGGAAAGCTTCATGTAAATCACGTCGCTTCTCATTTGGCTATTACACACAAAGAAATGGCAAGGCAGGTCTCATGAAGTCTAAACGATGTGCAGCCTATCTCTTGGATTACATTGACTGATATCCTGTCATTAAGAAGATATGTCTATATCATAGGACACCAAAGCAAACATCTGGTATGAATACCAAGAAGTCAATCCTTTCAAGACACTGCCCCATTTTCAGCAGGTCTCGAGGTCCAATGTTGCCAACAATGAAGTCCAGTTCTCAGAAAATATCAATAACACCAATCCACCGCCTTATCCCACGCACTCGAAGAGATCTCTCTTTTAGCCGCAGCCTCTTTACTGTCCCGCTCTGCCTCAATCAATCCTGTTGTAACATCAATCATATCTACAGAATACGCCCAGGTGAACCCACTCCTGAGATAAATCTTATGTCCAAACCACAGAAGCAAGAAGACTGGCAGCGTAATGTAAGCGGCAATGAAATTTGCTGCGCTCCAGTTTTTGGCTATGAAAGTAGCATACCCGTTAGTCAAACAGATCGCAGCAACAATCAAAAGGTACAAGTAAGTCGTGTAAGGTTGCAAGGGTGCTTTGAAGGGCAGTTTTTCGTATAGACCTTTGAAAAGAATGGCTTCGCGGAATCTAGTGTAGGTGATGCCGATAACAAATCAACCAATGAAACCAGAAATAGTAGAAACATTTGAGAACCATGCGAAAACATTGGCAGAGCTGTTCTTGACATTTAGGTATGCAATACACGAAAGAGCTGCACTGGCACCCACCGCGTTGTAAGGCACACCATAGCGGTTTGCCCTTTTGAAAACGCTAGGCGCATTTCCATCTTCTGCCAAAGAGAAGAGCGAGCGTGACGCAAGAAAGAGGAACGCGTTTCCAGAAGAACTAGCAGATGTCAAAATGCACGCATTTATAAGATGTGGCAACCCTTTGATACCTGCATTTTGGATGCCTATCACAAAGGGCGATGAGCCGGCGCCAGGTTTGCTTTGTTCAAGCGCTGTCTTCAATGCCTTATCATTGTAGGCAACAATGCATCCTATGGCCAAAGCTGACAAGACATAAAAGAAAAACACTCTGTAAACAAAGCGACGTGAAGCTTTGGCAATGTTACGTCTGGCATCCACAGCTTCCGCTGAGGTCATGGCAATCATTTCTGGTCCCAGGACAAACGCAAATGCACTTTTGATGACGCCTGTCCAAATGTCCAAAAAGTGACCAGTATTTCCGGTAGTGATGTGATTGGCAAAAGCCCCAGGATGCTGCCAAAACCTGAATCCCTGTCTATCATGATTTGGGCCACCTTCCAAAATTAGCACGAACGACAGGATGAGTAGACCAACTAGGGTTAACATCTTGATAATGGCAACCAAAACTCGGCTTCACCATAATACTTGACGGGGCCGAAGTTCAAGACCGTCACGATAAGGATGAAAGTGGTGATCCATGCTGCCTAGGGTACAGCTGTGGTCCAGTATGTTACTACACCAGAGGCCGCGGTATGCTCAGAGGCGAGCATTATTGAAAAAGTGTAGAGGTAGTTCCACCCGGTCGCAAAGCCCAACGAAGGGTCAACGTATCTTGTAACCAACTTAGACACCGACCCACCAGTTCCAGTGCGAGAATCAGGCAAGTAGCATACCATTCCCGCCAGAGAGTACATAACGGGGATTATTAGGAGGGACATAAACAGATACGAGGTAAACAAACCTGCTGGACCACACATATGCAATGCAGAAGATGTGCTCACGAAAAGGCCTGTGCCGATCATTGCACCTAATGCGATGAGTTGAACGTGACGGGCCTTCAAGCCCTTTTTCAGAGTTCTTGAGTGAGCCTTTTTCTTTGACAGCAACCCGTCAGATTTTATCGACTCGAGATCGACAGCGTACACTGCTTCCCTCTGTTTAGAGGTATCATTCTTACCAACATTTTCGAGTTCAGATGGGAGCCAAGACATTATTCAGTGCTTGGTTGGAGCCCCACGAGAAGAGTTTAAGACGATGTTGGAGAGCACTCGCGATCCTAGTGCAAGAAAAGTCTACATGAAGGCCAGGACAGTAGAGTGGAATTCAGAACTGCCATCTTTATACCGTGAGTCTACCTTGGGTTCAGACGATCTACAAATTCGAAAAAGTCACTGCAACTACAGGGTCATACACTGAAGCAAGATTGAATTGCAGTCTGCTGGCGCATTACGTCTCCATCATGAATTGATTCGGCCAGCACCGTGTGAAGTCTCAAGAAGCAGCCACACACCGGTTGTATTTTGGCAGTATTTATGAAAGACGTTCAGCGTTGTTAAGACTGGCGGCGAAATCTCCAGTGGATATGCCGAAACCTAGCAGAAAAGACATTCCACGTAGCGAAGGAAGGAGAAATTTGAGAAATGCATAAATAACTATTGGTTTCAAAAACCGAGCGAGATGTGTGGCCAGGTTCATGTTCTGGTGTGATATATGCTTCTCTTACTCATTATATAAGTATAACTGTAGCAGTGTAGTGGGAAAACTTGAAAAGTTGATAGAAAATCAGCGATTGAAGCAAAAGATGTGGAAGATCAGTGAGTAATTTGGTAGCACCATGATTGTATGTGTAGCACAGTGGCTTGCACATGTCTTGACTTTTCGTTTTAAAGATTTTTGCGGGATTGTCGACAAGCACCAAAAAGCATGCGACGAGGTAATGATCTACTTGAGATGTTGATATAGAGGGCGTAAAATCAACGAATGATTCAGTGGCCTGCTAAAAATCTGAGGATGAAGCAAAAGACAAAGACTACTTTCGTGTTGTTACTCGCCTTGACTTGGAGGTCTGGGCGACGACAGAGACGTCGAACGTGATAACGCGGAATAAGAGGTCCGGGCATAACTCTTTGAGGTCTGGTTCTAGCCGAAGAGATGGAACTGGAGCAAGCCGTTGGTAAGGAGGGATTGAGTTCCCATAGTATTCAAATCCGCAGCATATCTGTATAGTCTTGATCATTTTTTGGGAAATAATAGTTGAAATTGTCTGGTCACGTGATAGATGACAGCGACGGTACGAGAAATAATAACATGGTTTTTCGACCTGATCAACATGACGATGGACAATGGCAGACAAGTTGGGTTCCAGTTTGGTATCAGACAACCCCGAAACCGCTGATTGAAGAGGACCTGAAGTTCAGTGCCATAGCTGTAAGTCAAAATTCTAATTTCTCTGGATACCCTTTTTATCGCTCAGATACAGCTTTGAAAACAAGCTCTTAACCTCCAGATGGGCGAAACCATCGCTTAAAAAACGTCTCTTCTTGAAACAGAAGATCAAAATCACCCTTTTCCAGGCATAATTGAAATTCACAGATTTTGTCCGAAACTGTCCCGAATGACAGGTCAATTTCAAAATTGATTTTCCGGCGCAGTAACAGATGTGAGTTTTCAAAAACAAAACCTCCCACTAGTTTTTACCACTTTCTTATAATTTACAGCGTTACCAGCTATTATTGCGGTTCAAACCATTCTATTCTGCTCCCGTTTCGCTCCAAACTCGCTTTTTAGCTATCTTTATTCTTCCTTTATCTAATTTAGACCATTTTCTATCGTTGATATCTCAACATTAACAAAAATAGTACCATTTGAACATAAACACCACATCTTCAAGATCCGATCCGTTTGTTATGGTCTGCCAGATCCTCTTCAATCAAGATCTCCCATTGTTTATTGTATAAAATGTATATAGGTGCTTTGTTGAGAGCCGATTGTTGTAGATCTGTGAATTAGGCCTCACTTACTCTATGATAACCACTTCAAATACGAAAGAAGAAGTGCTAATCGATAGACTCACCTTATCTTGCATCTTTGCGCATATTCAAAGAGGCAAGTGCACTGATTGCAAGTGATCGCGAGTAGTTTTCGGCATTTACAGAGGCTTTTTCGCCGACCGATTAACTGCTAGTGCTCGAGATAGAAAGACATTCACACCTAGGATGGTTAAACTTATCGTGTATAAAAGAGCCTTGGCACGGATGATGAATGAAATGCCACAATTGATGTAACTATCACGAAGGACAACTATGAGTTCCCTAACATTTGTTTCGCAAGACAGTAAAGTGAAAAATTATGGCAACAAGAAGCCTATACCTGCTTACTTCCCTACGTCTAAAGATTCCATCTTGATTCCGGACTTCAAGTTCTACGATTCGGTGAAAAAAGCAGAGCGTGTTTTGACAAACACTTACGAAGTTCCAGTCAGATCTGGAAAGGCTTGGAAGGCCTCCAAGGGATCTATAGTGCGCATTTCCACTCCAGAAGGACCTCAGGTATGCGATTTCAATTGCTGGGAGCAAAACTCAGACTTCAAAGAGCATTTGTGGGCATCGCGGACTAGACAGCTACATTCTGCGCATGTTTCTGTTTATGACAAGTTGTGGTCGAATTTGCCTTATTTGCGTCCACTTCTCACTATCATAGGTGACACTCTTGCAGGTTATGGACCCAACGAGAATGGCGGAAGAACTCATGATCTGTTGGGAACCCGCTGTGACCCGTATGTGGACAAGCTTTTGAGTGGCCAGGATAACGACTTCCATTGTCATTCCAACTTGTACCGTGCGATTAAAGAGTTTGGCGGCGAGGAAGAAAATGTGCATGATGTTCTCAACATTTTCCAAGTTACGGGGTTGAATGAGAACGATCAGTACTTCATGGAGACATGTCCTGCGCAAAAGGGCGATTATTTCGAATTTTTTTGTGAAGTTGACCTTTTATGCGCGATATCTGCTTGCCCTGGTGGGGATTTGTCCAACTGGGGGTGGGGAGAAGGAGCAGCTTCTGACGAAGACGGCAATGTTGATGATATGACCGGTGTGTGCAGACCATTGAGGGTGGAGGTCTTTGAAATTACAGATTCACAGGTTCTATCAAATTGGAAATCGCCTCAGCCTGTGAAATACAATGGGAATCATGGCTTGTGAGAGGAGAGTTGGTATGAACTTTGAGAACTGAAACGAATTGGATATACACCAAAGTGATGGCGATTATTTCTTCAGGTAGAGGAACAAACTGTTGGTGCAGTGAAAAGCACTTCTGACAATTCATTGTTCAGAAATTTACGCATTTGTAGGAAAGCTGGGCTCTACAAATTTACATATTCACGATGCCTAAAACTGAGATGGACTTTTGGTGCTGTGAAAAGAATGTTTTAGAGTAAATTCGAACCGAGATTCGTCAGATGAGAAAGGTGATAAGTTCACTGTTGTTTGCTTCCTAGTAGTGCAAATGGAACTGGTCCATGAAATTAAACTTAGCACACTTTTGGATGTCGTAAGATGATTGTCTACTTAGCTGAACAGCAGATGGCATGGCTAGTAGGGTGCGGTGGTGACATCAAAAGTTTTAACATGGGACTCGAAGAATAGGATAGATGCAGGAATACACTGGTTTTCAATTGAACTTCACGATGACCCAATTGGCAAAAAAGAATGGTCTGTGCCGTCTAAGCCTAACAGATTGAAAAATACTTGACCACTTTCGGTAAAGAAAAACAATAGTGTTCAAATAAGTTGCGATGGCTGTGCCGAGTCGCTGGAAATTTGCCGCAATAGCGATTTCATTCGCTTCGTTATTCTATTCCATCTAGATGAAATTGGTCGATCGATGTGTTTTTTGGTAATGGCACAGATGATCAACGGCCTTGAATACTATTTCAAGCGCGCTTTCTTTAGAATTCGAAATTCCAACCATATGCTAAATGACGAAGAAGCGGAATCACACAACACTCTGAATCGATTGAGTTGCAGTTGTTCAGATACCTATGGCTATATTCTGTGGGCCCTGACGCTGTCGTTTTATCGCGCGACCCTTCATCATTTGGGGATGGAACTGACGCTGAGTTCAAAAAGTGCCATTCAGAGAACTCAAATTCACCTTCTTCCACAACCCAAATCAACTATTCTCTATCAGTCATCGCTGGTATCCAATGATCACTTCATTGTTCAAAACTATCTTTTCTTTCCATAGCCATCGATGACTTGAATTTAAAAACTCGACTGCTGATGATGAAAATCCGTTTCCGTTCCAGCAACGACCAGCAACTCAAAGGCCAAGCCATAGTCGACAATTCACAATTTGACTCACTTCTTTCCACTCAAATAGTCACAGAAAACCTCATTCGAAACTCAACCCTGGTGCTAACAAAACAATGGATTTTCTTGTGAGCCGCTATTTCTCTAAATCCAACGTCACATCAGAAATGTCAGTAAAAAGATCAAATCAACGACAACCACAAATTTCACAACTTCTCACGGCTCTGGCAATTCTAGTCGTCGTATGAGCATTTCCCGACGAATAAGTGGCTCTACAGAATCAACACAGACGTTTTGACTGTCAAACGGCTCGAGAGTCCAACAAAGTACAGACGTCAATAGAAATCACAGAAGTCAAAAGTGTCAAAGACACTAGGACCCAAAGATTTGTAGTTGGCACCATCCGTCGGGAGTAGTTTTGCGAAACAGGTTGCTGGATTACAAAATGGTATAAATACCATATTGCTCGAGAAAGCAGGGCTGTGGAATCATGAAGATCTCAAGTCTGGTAGAGAGCACGAATCATACTACAGCCACCACCGCCAAATTTGCTGGTAACAATGACACACGCAAAGGACATCTCAAATTTGGGAAAATCGACACAGTTGACATTGGTGGGCAGAAACACCCAACTACAGCACGGATTCGTCAATCCACCGCTATACAAGGGCTCAACGGTTATCCACACAACTCTTGATAGTCTCGAGAACAAAAAAGGCAAGTTCTTTTACGGAACTGCAGGCACTCCAAGCATAGAAAACCTCGAAAATGCCTGGACCCACTTGACTGGCGCTGCAGGTACTGTTCTGTCACCGTCGGGACTTGGATCCATAGCATTGGTGCTGCTGAGCATAGTTAAGACAGGCGACCACATCTTGATTTCTGATAGCGTCTACCAGCCCACCAGACACCTGTGTAATGACGTGCTGGCAAAATTCAAAGTCTGCACCGAATACTACGATCCGTTACTTGGAGCTAAGGGCATCGAAAAGCTCATTAGGCCCAATACGTCGCTTATCTTCTTGGAAAGCCCTGGATCGCAAACCATGGAGGTCCAGGACACGCCTGGTATTGCTAAAGTGGCCCGAAAACACGGCGTCAAGACCGTTCTGGACAACACCTGGGCTACACCGCTGTTTTTCAAGGGCCACGCGCATGGAATCGATATCACTGTTGAGGCAGGAACCAAATACGTTGGGGGGCACTCAGATTTGCTTCTCGGACTGGTATCGGCAAACGCAGAGACTTTTCCTGCGCTTCGCGATACCTACGAGACACTATCGATGCTGCCAGGAGCCGAAGACTGTCTGGCAGCGTTGAGAGGACTGCGGTATCTGCACTTGAGGCTAAAAGAAGCCGAACGTAAAGCGTTGATACTGGCAGAATGGTTGAAAGATAGGCCAGAGGTACTGAAGGTCCTCCATCCCGCGCTGGAGGAATGTCCCGGCCACAAATTTTGGGTTCGCGATTTCGAGGGATCTACGGGCGTGTTTACCATACTGCTACGGGAAGGTTTCCATAGAGAAAATTTCGAGGCCATGCTCGAGAAGACCACGATCTTCCAAATGGGCTATTCGTGGGGTGGATACGAGTCGCTTCTTACATCAGTTAATCCTGTGTCTTACAGGACTGCGGCGCCTTGGGAACACAAAGGTTTTGCAGTAAGGCTTCAGATTGGAGCGGAGGATGTCGAAGATTTGAAGCACGATTTGGAACTCGCTTTCCAACGTCTAGGATTAGCTTCTAAGTATCGTTTGTGACTTGATTCTGCATGACTCAGAGAGCTCATGCAGTTCTAAAAATGATCTGATATCATAGCGTCCGTCAAAAGCCATTAAAGATGGGTTAGATGCAATGATAGTTCTGTAGGTTACGAATTATTTACAAGCCACCATGCTGATTGTGTAACTCTTCCACATCAAGCTCGACGCTTGCGCTGTCCTCAATTCATTAACCTCAAGAAAATGACTTTGCAAGAATACAGACCATATTCATTGATTTAAGTGGTCAAGAGCTGTAAGTCTTGACGTAATATCACGATTGAAGCATTTCGGTGCGCGCCTTGATTGTGTCGCTAGCCAATACCGAGGGCTCTTCAGCCGCTATAAAACGTTATGCATGACTACATCTTCAAAGCGCACTCAGTTGCGTCGGGATAAAGCACTTCTCACAAAACCTGTTGTATAGTCTCACCATGGTTGATGCGTATACAATCGAGCTTGTGTGATGGCCCTGCCATGAGTCACACCAGAATATTCTTAGTCGTTTCAAAGCCGTTATTCAACGACGTAGATTCTCCCAGCATAACTCACCATCTGACAAAGAACAGAAATTTCCCGAACTATCATATCTCTGGGTGGTCCCCACCAGCTCAAAGTGACCGTCTATCAAATGTGATTTCTATCCTTCTCAAATAAGGTACGCCCGCGTAACCCATTACAAACAAGCAACATTTAGTGTTCCTGCGTTCAATTTTTCTTTGAGTCCAGTAGCCTAAGTGCGAGACTTAGAATAAAGATGCACTCATCATCAGTAGAAAAACGCTAGTTCTCGATTATTGCGCATTCATGCCACATTACATCTTTTCAAATGGGAGCCACTTAGGGACATGATCCGTACCATTTAACCGTCACTAAAATATGCCTCACAAACTAATCTTGATACTCTGGTGGGTTTCAGTGTTATCCACAGTAGTGACAGCTTGTCGACATATGTCGACAAGCATGAATAAGTAAGGAATTGAAGTTGTCAAAGTGGAAGAATTGTTGTTCATCTGTGAATGTCCACAGAACACACACACAGAATGTTCTCAATCGTCTGTTCCTGAGACCCGCGGTGTTGACGCGGTTGATTTCTTATGGCAGACAACTAAATCGAAATGTTCCCTGAAACTTCTCGTAATAGCGACCTCAACTTCTGGGCTGAAATTTTGTTGCTCAGGTAGGTTCGTGTCTGCAATAACAAACGTACTGCCCTCCATATTCCAATTCTCGAGCTTCGAAACCTCTTCGAAAACGGCGTCCACAAAGCTTGAAGATGTATTTTTTGAGTTGGAATTCAAATTGTAGTTTAAAGCCATTACTTGAACATCATCACTTTTGGCTCCGTGACGCGAGAAGAAGTCTTTAAAATAGTCTCCATTTGTACTGTTGATACAAATAGTTATTTTCATTGTTTCGTGAGTAGCTTCACTAAGGATCTTGGACATGATTAACATCAGTAGATGTACGCAAAGATGGTCTGAATCCGTTAGAATGTCATCGGGAAAAAGAAGGTAGAATTGACCTCCCATCATTGTTCTGGAGCGTTTTTCTGGCTTGGAATTATTGATGAAAAATACCAAACTCGTCGCATGCTTTGTCGCGAGCATTTGCAGGAAGTTTGCAGGAAGTTCGTTTGCAGCAAACATACGCGCCAGCTGTTCTTTGGGCCGTTCATTGGCAGCTAGGTCCCCAACCCCACTCAAAGGAAACAGCAAGAGATCTGATTTCGTTGCCGATATTTCGTTGATGTGGTTTACTTTATCATTTAACAAGGAAAATATTACTTCTCCCGAGTGAGCGGTATTGATCAGTTCACAAAACACTTGGAAAGTCTCCAAACAAAAATCATTTGGATAGTTAGAAGACTGCTGAGAACCGTTAAAATTTGGTAGATTTTGTAATAGGTCTGTTGTTCTCTCGGTCAAGAGCCTTAGGTATATGGTCCTGAGTTCTGTGCGGTCGAAAGCTGGATTGGTTAATGTGATTTGCTGCTCTAGATAGGAATGATCAACGCTATCCAAATGCTCTGCATCAGTAACATGTTTGTCGGAACGAGGAGATTTTGGTGTCGAAATTGTTTTACGACTGGACATCGGGGAGCGTTCTCCATGCACTAAGCAGTTTAACAGGGTCACAGTAGGAAAAACTAGCTCAGGTTTGTTGAGAACAGTGATAATACGCTCAATATGGTGATGTTCCATTTCGTGATGAGAACTCCCTGTAAAATTATCTTTTGGATCTTCTTTTGACTCTTCTTCCTGGTCGTCCAGATACGACTTCAATTCTTCCCGATAAGATTTAGGGAACAGCCACATTGTCAGAGGTGTTGTCACGAAAGTGGAAATTAGTGCCATGAAGATAAACATCGAGTAAACCTTTGTGGAGATTATTCCAGCATTCAGACCGGTTGTTAGCACAACAATTTCCACAATTCCCTTACAAGACATTAACACACCTACTGCTAAGGACTCGCGCCAGAGAAGCCCGTTCAATTTTGACATTAGGAAACCGGATGCTACCTTGGTAGAGACCGCTATTCCTATACTTGCAAAAGTGAAGCCCCAGTCTCTTCCTGCATTGAGCTTGGTCAAGTCAACATTGAGTCCTGCAATTGTAAAATAAATGGGAATCATCACGATGTTGGGAATATCCTCCATACGATCAGCCAGCTTAACGACGTAATTTTGATCTCGAGGAACAATGAGACCCGCCATGAAGGCTCCAAAAATCGGATGAACACCGATGATGTCTGTGAAGTAAGCGCTAATGAAAGTTAACAGCAATACTATCAGAGTAGCTCTCATCGAAGGCTTACTCCTTTCAAACTCATGCATGCGAAGCAAGCTCCATCTCAAGGCGTACCGTACGGGAAACGCATACATCAAAAACCAGCCAAAGGTGCACAGCAGGATGTATACCACGTTAACCGCGTGTGCCTGCGAGTTGGACAAAATGATGCAAAGTGCTAATAAGATCCACCCTATAACATCATTTATTGTGCCTGCTGCAAGAACAACAATACCAACACGTTCAGCTAACAGCCTCAATTCAGCAAGGATACGACACAGAACCGGAAATGCCGTCACAGACAATGAGACAGCGATGAAGACCATAAAAACAGTGAACTTGACCCCCTCTTCACTGTTTGCATTTTGCATGTAAGTATTGTAAAGCGGAATCGCGAATAAACACCCAAAACCGAAGGGTACAGTCAAAGTTGCCATTCCCACAGAGAAAGCAGTCTTAGCGTGGTTTTTAATGAAGCGAACATCGACTTCGAGCCCTAGGAAAAACATGAAAAGAATAATTCCCAGATTGGCAACCAGATTAAGTCCCGCTACTGAGTCCTTGGGAAAAATTGTGTTGGTGTAATGTGGAATCTGGCCTAGTGCCGTAGGTCCAAGAATAACACCAGTGATCACTTCAGAGATCACTTTGGGCTGTCTCAATCTCGCCAAGAACAAGTGCAGCCCGTTGGAAAGCAGCAAGATGATACACGCTTGGATGAGGAACAACGTCACTGGCGAGCTTGCATTGTAGTGGAAAGGGTTTACACCCGATATTACACCCCCAACAGCTGCTGCCATGCTCAAAAACCCGTACAATTGATGGATGAGCTTGTGGATTTGTTGAACATCGCTCAAGAACTTGAACTGGAGTTGTACACCCCTTTGCATTTGAGATTTTAAGGCAGAATTTGAGAATCTTGATATCACTACCGACGAGATCAGACCTAAACTCAGAGAATAAGATGAAGAAGCACAGAGAATGTAAATATGAAAGTTCAGCCCAGGGAGTTTCACCATTGCAGTTTTTCATGTGAATAATCAGGAAAGATTACGGTACAGAGTGGCTTTAAGGCAAACTAGATCGAAAATGAATTCTGTAGTTTAGATGAGTGGGCACGTGACCGGCGTCAGTGACACACAAGCTTCTGAACAATAGGAAATCCAAGAATGTAGCGCTGTCATTCGTATTTTTCTAGCTTGAGAGAGCATTCTCTATCGCTCTAAATCTTTTCTAGAAATGTGAGGGCACCTTTCAATTGTTTTCTCTTTTCACTTTTTGTAGGCTCATAATACTCTGAAAATGTTCTCATACCTCTGCATTAAGTAACACACTGACGTAGCTTCCATTGTGCTCCATCTGATGCATCAGTATCTGGCAAATATAGTCAGAGGAAGCTGTTTTCATGTCAAGCTGTGAGGTTCGATCAGGAGTCAGTAAAATGCAATTATCAATATCTGTCGTTCCATCAATTAGCTCAAAACAAGTAAAAACAATATAGCACAACCGCTACATTTCACCAGTCCGTTTTGCTCTCTTTAGCTCATTCATAATCAGCAGGAATCAGTTCACCTTAATCGCTGTGTTTTGGGCTTTTTATCTCACAATGGCGTCCACCGACACTCTCAAGTGCGCATTAAACCATCATCACAGGATTAATTGCATCAGTAACAACCACTTCTACAAACACCAGTCAAGTATATAGCAAAGAGCCGCTATCAGAGAGCACAATAATGTTTATACAAACTTAAATCAGCGGCTTGCCACGATTACATCATTATAGCACTATTATTAAACACATTATATACTTGTCGTATTGTAGTCAGAACTCCGGCCATTACATTACGACTCTCGAAGTCAAGCTTCTAACTACAGGGTATTCGATAGAGAGCTTCCAATCGTCTAGTTTGCATAGCGGGATCTTCCTCTCATTTGTGGACCATATTTGTAAAACACGAATGGAATAATGGCCAGACCGATAGAGAAGAAGCCTATTAAAGAAGAACCCCATCCAACAGGGTACTTTTCGCTGCCCAGATTGTTGTACATTGCTTGGCCAAAGAGTGGGAAAGCACAAGCAAATACAGAACGGCAGAATCCATTACTGGCGAACACTGACGCAATGTAGCGGGGGTAGCATATCGCCAGATAGGCAAACGCCGATTGAAAGAGGTTGAAGACATTCAAAACAAAGAAGATCTCTGAGATGATGGGTAGTATCCAATGAACTCGTGCTGTCCATCCAAATAAAAAAAGTGATAATGGTAGTGCCCAACACACCGCCATGGAAAGCGGTAAAAAGTCCTCAGGTGTAAACGTACCCTTCTGGAACTTTGGCCCAATGTATTTGGCAAGGTATACCAGTAGAGCAGCGTATGCTATCAAACATCCAACGCAGAAACCCAAATATGCTAGACCCATTTCCACGAGTGTGAAGTTATAGACACCGATGAAAACAATTGGAAACGCTTCAAAGAAGAGATAGAACGCACCGTAACACAGCGCAATGTAAATGTCAAACGCCAGCACTGCAGGCTCCAAAGCCATGATCAGAAAGGGACGCACAAAGACCTCTTTCAAAAAAGCGGATACTTCAATTTCTGCATCAGCACGTTCTTGCTTGGTGTAATAGCGATTATCGCCTGTTTGCTTTCGCAAACGCCTGGCTCTTCTATGCAGAATGTTCTGATGCTGGGTTTCGGGGAAAAGAAATATGAGCAGTATCAGCGTGAACGCACTGATCCACATCAATAGCCAGAAGATGTAACGCCAGTCTTTTGCAACGGTCATTGAGGCGCCTAGCAATGGAGCAATGACTGGAGCAGCAACGGCCCCAATGGCCCACAGCCCGATAAAAACAGACACAATTTCGGGCTTGATAATGTCGCCCATTGTGCCGCCTCCTGTGGCAAGAGATGGGGAACAGAGGACGCCCGAAATGAACCTGATAACTATCAAGCCACCGATATTGTGCACTGTGGCAGCGCCAACTTGGAAGATCATGAAGAAAAACAGGGTTATGATATAGATTTGCTGACGTCCAATGCTGGCGACTTCTGAAAGCGGAGAGAACACAATGGGGCCCAAACCGTAACCCAGAACATAAAGAGATAGGTTCAGCGTGCCAACAACGTGGCCCACGTTGAACTCCTGCTGGATGAATTCTTGACCTGGAGTGTAGATAGATGCGCCCATGTAGGTGGTGCACGTGAGCAGCATCATTTCAAATACCACCAAAGCCTTCTTACTGCGTTTCCAATTCAAAGGATTGTCCACGTCATTTTCGCCCTCCCAGTCTACTAGAAATGGGTCTTTATCATAGGACGAATTATGCTTGACTGAACTGCTTTCCCCGGCTTCGAGATCCTGAGAATTTTTGGATTCTTCAGTTTCTGTCGCTGACACTGCAGTTTCCGTTGGACGCCGAACATCGATCTTGACGAGACCAACAGCTTCCAGTACATCAATAAGAAAAGTGTCTTTAAATTGGTGTTTATAGCCCATCCTGGCGAACTCCTCTGATGATATTTCGCTAAGTTTTTGATCAATGACAGTGATGTATTTATTGGCTAGTAAATTGTCTTTGAAGAAGACCGTTCTTATACCAAACTTTCAAGAAAGCTTGGTGTAAACCATTTCAAGTATACACTATTGGATTCTATACCCATATTCAGTGTTTCTGCTGACCAATGTGGCTATACTGCTTTATTCTAGCGCGAGATAGCCACATTGATCCTTCTTACATCCGTAACAGTTTATAAGTCAAGTTCGCTTTATAGAGCTGTTTCCAAGTCAACTCTGCGATTATCCATTAAAAGTGGCAGATGCAGGGATAAACTGACCCGCACAGGCTGTGGAGCGCTCTATTCCGTCAACATATGCATGAGCTTAAGGGAACGGCCGAATAATGGTGTAGTGGCTGCACCAACCAGCGCAAAAAAGTTTCAGCCAAGTGTTTGCCTGGATGTAAGCCGAACTAAACACATTTGACATCCCCAGAGGTCTTGCATGCAGCCGGTAAGTTTTGAGCTATGTAGTCACAATAAGGGACCCCTAGAGGTGGTAAAACGGAGATTTGGAAGATGCGATTATGTTACATTGCAAAGAGAGGGCAACTTCTGGTGGGATGCTGGAAGGAAATAGGAGATAAGTTTAAAGGTTGTGGCTAGTACTGAATGTGACTATCACGACCTTTTTAGCATACTATTTTTTTTGGAAGAATTGCAATTATCTGTTTGGGCTGGATCGCAACCTACTGGTAAGCTAGCTTGTAGCCTAAAAAAACAAGCGTCTTCAAGTGATGTGACGTCAAGATTTGTCCAGATAAGAGTCGACTGCGTTACACCGGCCTCTTGTGTACTTCTCGTAGACAAAGAAGCACGTTTCATCAGAATCCGGGGAAGTGTATGTTTCCATCAGAATCCGGGGTATTGTATTATAGTAGGCGATGATATAATATAATTCAGCTGCGAGCCCTTTTGAATGTCAAGAACAGAATTTGAAAAGGTGATCAAATGCGATGGAGATCGAAAGGATGAACAACATGTCAAGCCAGAACGAGAGCAATGAACAGGAGTCGTTCTCAAGAATTCAGTTATTACCAGAATCAAGCGTTATATACATCACTTGCCATTAGGTTTCGGCCGGATACTCGGACTTCGAATTCGTAGTAATAAAAGATGGAATGAATAAGGTGAATTTACAGGAAAATGCCATTCGTTAATTACTCGGGCTAGAGAAGATACTAGGTAAATGCGGAAGCTGATTGCTTTAGATTCCACTGTTAAAACAATCTATCACCTACTCTCATCGGGGTCTTTTAATTACATAAATTCGTAGCGTAGTATTAGTGAGACTCACTTTGTACGACATTGTCATCGGCTGCGTTTGAGAAGCAAAGCTTAGCTTTGCAGAGCCGCGTATTGCTGGTGATTGCACAGCCTTTGTTTCTTTCTCCAAAATTATGCTTTTATATGCTTAAATAACTGTACCCTACCTTTTGTTCTCAACTACATAATCACGCAGTCCTTTTCATTATTTTTACGCGATACGAAGTTCGTCGATTGTTGCACTCTTGTAGCAGGCGGCTTGACAGTGCTGTGGCCCAGTCCAGCTGTAGACAGTCTATTGTTTTCTTTGAAAGAAAGAGGATCCAAAAGCGACTTTGGACCGGTTTTGGGTGGGGCGGGTGGAAGCTCCGATTTTGGACCGTAGTTTTTAGTTTCTGAATCAGGAACGATTAGCTCTGGAGCATGCATTACCACAACTTGTTCTTCGCGGCGTCTCACCACGGGAGTAGGTGCTTTATTCTCGAGAACGGGATCAATACCAGCCTGCAGTAAGCTATTGGCCAGAAAAGAGTATACACGACGCCACGTTTCTTCGAGTTCGTGCGTGCAACCAACGCCAAATCTTTCACGCACGGTTTTAATGAAAGCGATACCGGCAAATTCGAATTGTTCGGCCTGAACACCGATAATACGAGCGTGACGTTTACCGAGAGAACCCAAATACGTATCCAAAACAGATAAATCTTCCAGGTTATTGACAGCAATTGTAAGCATTCCGGTCACACCAACGGCGATGTGCTTGATCATTGGGAAAAGCGTTTCCAGAACTGGCGCCAGCGCTATGATGTTTTCGAGAAATTGATCACCAAAAAGCGAATTTGAGCTTTTGATGTTGCTGCCATTCCGCAACCGGTCCGAGCCGTATTGGTTATTTTGAGAGCTGGGACCTGCCAACTTGCTTGTTGCCTCCGCAATGGAAGGCTGCATTCTGCCGATCCCGCTCATGCTTTGATGGATGGTTCTTCTGGGTTTCTTTTTGGTTGCTTCGCTTGACCCAAGCGTTCTTCCAGAATGCAGCTTGGTAAGAAAGCTCTTAAGCTTTTCCGGTTGACACTCGTCGTCTAGTAAAATGGACCAGGATTCTCTAATGAGCATGATATCGCGCGCAGAAAGTTTCATGGTCAGTTTGTAGCGTACTCCATGCTCAATGCTGGACTCCAACGAGGAGTTACTGGAGACACGCGTAAGAGGCTCGCGACTGTCGTTTGAAGATGCCTGGCTTTCGTGGCCTTGGTGAATGCCTCCGGTACTCGCGATGGACTGACGTCCAGACAACGAGTACGAGTCGTCTTCGGAGTATTCTGCTCCGGGCGCTAGCTTCGAGAACACCATCGACGAAACGGTCTCTTCCGACGAAGAGGCGTCCTCCGCACCCCCGTGACCACCTCCAGCACCGTTGCTTTCACCAGCAACACTATATCTACCCATCATATCCGAAGGTGTACCAGCACCATTTCCATTACCATTTCCATTACCATTACCGCCACCGGGTGTTCTATAGCTGGCATAGGGGCTTGCTCTTGCGGGTGTGATGGGCTGAAAAGTCTGGTCTCTCGAGTTCATCATCATCGTCATCATGCTATAGAAAGCAACAGAGTTTTCCAAACCTGGGTTTCGAGCCAATCTTGATTCACCACCCGCCCCACGATGCTAGTTCTTCTTATATATGCTAGTCCATCGTCCTTTTGTCGAAATGTTCGGTCTTCTTGACGAACAGTAACGATTGGCAAACGAACGGTCGCTTATCCTTATGCACGACGCATGCGATCGTCATGCATGGAACTTCCTCGAGGCCGAAATGCTCAGAAACACCAGCACTGCATGTACATGCAGGCCTACATATGAAGTCTAAAATCCGTAACGCTGACCTACGAACGAAACACGGCCACCCTAACCTGACAAACTCTTCGACACAGCGATGCCTCACTCACGTTATATCATCCCGCGATCCGGTACGTATGACAAACGCAAAGAAAAAAAAGAGACCGGTACTATCCCAACGTATGGTCATTCTTCGCTTTTTTTTGGTGTGTGGGACGGGCCTGTTGCTCATGACACGGCAATGGCTGCACTATAGCGTGTTGCGAACTATCACGGAACATATAGTTCGTCGTGCATAATCGAGCGAGTTTCCATAGCGAGTGCGTTGGTCGTTGGGTGACTTTTTTCTTTCCCTCACCACCGGGGCCTAGAACAGTGGGAAAAAAAACGATGAATAAAAAATTATCCACGCGCACTAACCGTAATGGGAAATGAGAAAGAATGGTGTCAGCATAACGCGGGAGAGTTCACAGTAGAGAAAAGCGAAGCGGATGCTCAACGAGGCGATGTGAGGATGGGATCGGAGCTTGAAGGCACTTGATGAAAAGTAAAAGGGGCAGCCAGGGAGAAGAGGAGAAAGGAAGAACAAAAGTTGTGAGTGTGTCACGTGATTTTAAAAAGTTTGACCAATGGTTTAACCAATTTCATCGTTTATTTGGCAGCGCATTGCAGGGGGAAGTAGAAATCTGTGTTTTGTGTGAACAATGCGCCAGTGGTTTTTATGGTACGCTGTGCTCAATTCGTGCTTGCTTAGTATAGTACAGAGATAAAGCAAGTTCGAGCATTTGACGACGTTTTGGAAAAAAGTGATAAGCAGTTTTTTTTCCATCTGTCCGGGTAAAACAAACTCAAAAAATTCAAAGACCCAATTGGGATCCGTTTTGTAAAGACAAAGTAGATGACTCGAAAATACCCGGTCTGCTACTCGTTTTGCGATCCGTTTTGCAACTCGTTATGCAATCCGTTCTGCGATCCGTTTATAAATTATGCGAGTCGCGTCGGCTCATCTGACGCTACGCGTGAACTCTTACAGCACTTACGTGACGGACTTTAAAAAAGACATCCAATCTCATTCAAATGAGAGCCTGTGTACCCACACAGTTCATAATATCTTGTTCAACTTATGCTTATACTTTCACAACTATAACTAGTTTGTAAAATCTCATCAGCCGGCCAGAATCGCTCGACAGCGTCGTTGTCCTTTTGATGTATGTCTAGCCTGGCTCTGACGCTTCTGCGGCTCAATTCCAACACAATCTCTGCCAGATTTCGAAATCCCTGATTGACCAGCGCGATTTCCCGACGCGGACTAGAGCCCTTCCAATGGCTTCTTCATGACCACCCATAACGTTTTCCGAGCATTAATATTATCTATATACAGTTACGATGCTTCCAACACCACGACAAGCTCCTTGTAGGCCTGGAAAGACCTTCGTATTCGTCGCAAGGAACTCGACTAGTCAGTATAACGGTACCACCTTGAGATCCCGCGTCCTACACATTTTTATAATCTGGAGACTGATTACAATCGCCCAATTTCTCGCCTTTGACGCTCAAGTTGCTTTCACTCGTTATGCTATCGCTGAGAGGCGTCATCTTGATGTTGTACTCAGTGTTATTACGGACAGCGGCTTGCTTGTCAACATATTGGGTCTCTTTTCCACATAAGCCGGCAACTATCGTCTTGATCGTCTTTCTTCCCTGCCATAAAGGTGCCAAGATGATGTACAGCGCAGCTACGAGAAGCCATATCAACATTACCACCATAAAGGCAGTAAAAGATCCCCGACTCAAGTCTTTGCCCCAGCCATATAGAGCGCACGTCAGAACAATGTAAACGCCAAGAAACAAAAACACATTGATGAACAGACTCAACCATGTTTGGAGGCCCAATAATTTGTCGTCATCTTCAGTAAAGGCCAAAGCGTCTTGTTCATCTGAATCAAGATCGTCCGCTATCTTCAATTCTTCCGTGTATCTTTCCATTTGGAAGTTCCCATCAGGCTTGATCAACGATATGACAACAATGTAGATCCCACACGAGAACAGACTCACGATGTTACCAATGAAGGTGGCTTCCGTTGTCATCAAGGTGTCTCTGTTGATTGCACCGCCAGCATAATGATAAGTAGCGCCTATCCAACAAGCTATGCCAGAAAGGGTACCTAGCGGGACACCAATGAGCAGCGACAGTTTTGTCATTCTGGGCCAGAATAGCGAAAGAGTCACAGCGGGTACCTCTGGATTCAACACAATTCCCACAAAGCTCAATAGCCAACTGACAGTGACATGACAGTAATTGAAAACTACTGCTAAAGCTGCCATAAACAACCCAAAGAAAATGACACCAGCGTGGGAGGTCCGTATTAGCTGTTTTCCCGATGCCCGCGGATTCACATAGGTTCGATACATGTCGTAAGTCACAATGGTAGAAAACGCAATGAGCTCAGCAGATGTAGCAGACGTGACTGACATCTCCAGCATCACAAGGCCCGCTGCAGCTCCACTTTTCCCAAAAATTGAGGCTAGTCCGTACAGAAACGGCAGACTAGCACCCACTTCCTCGCCTGTCAACTCTCGTGGATAAGTTATTGACGCTGGGTTCAGTAAAAGCGCTCGGCACGCCAGCCCGGCAGAAGACCCTAACGCAAAGGGAATAATCATCCAGCATATCCCACCCATCATGTAGCCGACAAAAACGCTTTTGGAATTAGAGGCGATTGCTCTCTGCGAGTAGCCAGGATCGCCGAAAACCGATGACAGACCTCCCAACATGACTGACCAGGTCAGTAGAACCATATCCTTGTCTTTGAAGGATAGATAACTTGTTCCTGACTGTTTTGGAAACACTTGCTGTACCGCTTTCAAAAGGTCCCACATTTTGCCGGGAGACCCGATCAATGGAGAAGTGCAGAAGACCGTGTACGCTATCACAATCAGAATAATGTACACGATCACGGTGTGCACCCAATCGGAGATGAAAGTCGCTTTTAGGCCTCCCAGAGCGGTATAAATGACCACAGTGAACGGAATCAGAAAACTGGCGGCCACAGTGTGCATACCAGTGGCCGCTGCAAAGGCCTGGGAGCCACCTAGCAAAAGCAACGATGAGACCATGACGTTGGTTGCCGCGCAATAGCAGAGATACAGCAGATGTCCCGCTTTGCCAAACCGAACATGGATAGTTTCGGAGACCGTGTGCGCTGTTGGTGCACGACGTTTAATCTGAAGTGCCAGAAACGCAAACAGCGTTATTTGAACTGTGCCTCCTACTGCATACAGCCATGCACCGCTAATACCATAAATGTAGGACCAGGTTCCAGATAACAACAGCGTAGCAGGCCATGTCCATGCCGACACTGTTGAAGAAGCGATCAGTCCAGAACCAACGTTTCTGGAAGCCGTGGAAAACCGTTCCGAGTTCTGGGGTTGTCCCATGTATTTTGAAATGAGAAAAGAGATGGATACCATTAGAATTGCAAACCCGGACCCGACACCAAGGGCAAAGCCATAACCATAGCCCTGGGACAGAATCGGCTCGACCATTTTATATTCGGCCCACTTTTAAAGGAACAAGAAGACGTTTGGTAGTGAAAAAGTGTAAACAAATGCCAAGAATGGAGTTTAAAGAGTTGAGTTGATTTTAGACGTTAGTTTTGGCGTGTATTTATATTTATATTTATATATATATATATATCCAGATCCGATGAGCATCGCCCAGGCCTCGAGAAAAGATGAGAACCCTGGCTTACGTAATTCAGCGCTCGAGGATAATGCATTAAACGAGTAGGTGGTGGGCTAATTTAAATCACGCGATGTCTCGGCAAAAAAAAAAATATGGACAACGGGCAAAAGTGAGGAGATAGTGAGAGTATGAGTCATCTCGTCTGTGACTAACAGTGATTTTGCAGTGAAATTGGTGATTGTTGCAGATCAAAAGAATTGGTTTGGGCAAAATTTTTCGTTAAGAAACTTGGGCCGGGTGTCATACCCGTGGGAAGTGATGTGGGTGTAGAAGAGGAGTCAAGGACTGATTTTGATGTGGTTATGTGGTGGGTGATACGTGCTTTTTGAGATGTCTGTGTAGCGAGATGAGTTGGTGAGATTGGGGGATTATGCAGGGTTAAAGTTGAGTTCTGTAAGATTGGGTTCGTCAGAAGTGATATGGACAGTGACTGTTATTTCGACGACACATAATACCAAATGTGATTGAGATTGGATTCAAGTCTTTTGTTTGCAATGTGGGTGGGACGTGGCGATGTTTTGGTCATTGCCAAGTGGTTTAGAAAATATGGCTGGGCTAGCTTCATGGTAGAGGCTACCCGAGTCAAGCTACCAGCTTTGAACGAAGGTGTGAAAAAAAAAATACCAAAAAAATATCAAAAAACTCACGGTGATTGTCTTCTAAGTGCTACAATTGGCGAAAAGAGCCATGGTTTTATGCCCGCGTTATCCTGTTTTTGATAAGCTATTTCAGTTGAAGTATACAGTGCAATATCTCCTCATACCACCATTCATATGAAAATTATGGCTTGATTTATGGTAATATACTTTCAAAGGCAATGACAGCCACATTCGCATGAAAAAAATCATTCTGGTGTATTTGAAAATGTAACCGTTGACCTGTGCTTTTCTCTCGGCTCCGGAAACACTTCTTAACTCGTCAAGAAACTTTCGTGTCACAACTTACTCAAGTGATATATATATTCATTCAAATGCCTTGAATCTGCTCCAAACGTAGTTTTAAAAACAAAGTTTGAATTTCCTCTACCATACCACAATTTCAAAAATAATAGCACACCGCCCCCCCTATTGCAATCTTCGTCCCGCTTTCTCTGCTTTTCACTGACGTTGACTTCCTCAAGCTCTATTCCAGCTGTTCTTATTAGAAAAATTAAGTTCAATTACTGCATTACTTCTCTAATTCGACCAAACAACCCGAAAACAACCCATATACAAGCTCCCAGAACCCTCTAGGCTTTCGTCAAGTATGGTTTCGGTCGCAGAAGGAGTCTCTCCCGACATGACATTAGAATTCTACCGCAAAGCTCTCAATTTCAACGTTATTGGGAGATACGATGCTAAGATTAAACAGCTTTTATTTCATACACCGCATGCCTCAGTATACAAATGGGATTTTGGAAAAGACGAATGGGTTCGTCTGGAATACCAAGGAGTTCTGGCTATCTATCTAAGAGACCTTACACAAGGCGATGAAACTCTTCAAGAGGAAACCGAAGAAGAAAGATCGGTCTTGGCACTACCAAGCAGGCCAAATGGACCAGAACATAACACAGAGATACTGAAGGGTCGGGACATTTACAATTACGGGCTAATACTGCTCAACCGTATGAACCCCGAGAACTTTTCTATCGGCATTGCACCCAACAGCGTTATAAACAAACGCAGACTGTTCTCACCTGACGAAGACGCACAACAACCACTCGAATGCATGAAAGTTGAAGTCAAAGACGACCTAGTCATCATCAAAAACCTGCGACACGAAGTGTTTGGTATTTGGATACACACGGTGCCAGACCGCAAAAATGTATACGAGCTGATCAAATACCTGCTCGAAAATGAGCCAAAAACCTCATTCGCCTGATGACAGGCAGCAAGCTCACACCACACCATCCTTTTTAGAATTTAAGTACCAATCCCCACCCACAATATATTAACAATACGACGCCTCCGCTTATTTCTTGGCTTTTGGTGCCTTTTTCTTCTTTGCTGGATCTGGGGTCGCTGCCGGCGTGGCCTTCTTCGTGGTCTTACGCTGTTTTTTGGGTTTGTTCTTGTCATCCTCACCTACCCTTTTGTTAACTCCTTTTTGTTGTTCCATTGTTTGCTGTTGTTGTTGTTTTATTTGCTGTGCCGTTAAAGGCGCAGACATTGATATCCTTTGATTGTAAGTCGTGGGCGTGACATTAGCGCTCATGGCTTGCTGTTTCCGTTTTTCTTTGTTTGCTCGCCATTGTTCCACAAATTTTAGCCGACTGAATTGATTATTGTCGTTACTACTCGACCCCACAGCGGCAGCTGCTGCAACAGCAGCGGCTGCAACGGAATTACTGCCGCTTCCTCTGCCTGTGGACCCCGAGACAGAAGAAGCGCCCTTGCCGCCTCCACTCTTGAGTGACGAACTTGTCAAGTCTGCCGCACTTTTGGCCAAGGATGCCGCAATTGTGGACATTGTGGTGGTGCTCGTTCTTTCACTCATAATCAACATCATCTGCTCGTAACTTGAGCTATGTTGAGGTGATTCTTCGTGAAGGTCTATGTGACCAACCTGGCCCTTAGTACCCTTTCTGGATGAAAGTTTCCGATGACTGTGTTTATCGTTTGGCAAAAAGTCGGCATCGTCCAGTCTATCGCTATACTCATAAGGATTCAAAGGGACATTCAGCTTCAGATTGCGTTTCGTTATAGTGAGAATTTCAGACTCAAGTTGTTGATAGATGTTATCAGAAAACCGCGTATGGTCAGCGTACGACATCATATCATAGTAATGGGTGAGACAGTTGGGTCGTAGTAAAGTACGATAAACTCTTGGTCGTTTGAAAGTGGCAATCACCTCTTTGCCACCGTTTTCTTCGGGTGCCGCCTTTGAATCACTACTGGAGTGTGGTTGTTGCTCAGAAGAGCCGGGCTTGGATGCATTTGGAGTAAGAGGCGATTCATTCAGTTGCGAGCTCTGATGGCTGAGCGGCCTACCCTGTGAATCCTGCCGCGGTTGCTGGCCATAAGCTTTTTTGAGAGAGTCCTTGGAATCTCCGGTCGACGTTTGATCCGGATTGGCTGAGCCAGCTGTCTGAGGTTGATCTGATGCCGCTTTTTGCGTCTGTTTAACATCTACTGTGTTTGTGTGATCGTAAACTTGCAGAATCATGTTTCCTTCATAAAACTGAATATTGCAATCCTTAAGAACCTCCATTATAGCCTCTGGTATACTTCCACGCGCAACGTACTCTAAAAACTCCTTCAAGGTCTCGTTGTTCTTGTTGAGAATCAAACCATCACTAGTGGCTTGGGGCATTCTTTGCTGTTGTTGAAGCCGGGTATTTGCTGGGGCGCAGATCTTGTAGTTGTTTTCGTAAATGTGGAATTCAAAGCTAGGGCGAAACTGCTCATATTTTTTAAGAATTGAGTCCATATCTTCTGCAAAATTGTACATTCGTTTGGGTTTTTTGTTGATAGTCATAAGAAACTGGTAGAATTGATTCTCGTAGTTTTGCACCGCTTGCTGCTGCTGTTGCTGCCGTAGTTTCTGCTGCATTAACAAGCGCTGTTGTTGCTGTTGCTGTTGTTGCTGTTGTTGCTGCTGCTGCTGCTGGAGTTGGTGCATTTGCTGCTGACTGCCCATCGCACCAGGCGTACCCAAAGTCGGGTTTACCTTTTCATTCCTCAATCCAGACCCGTAGTTTCTTTGACCATAACTGCCGTCAGAAACATCATTTGGAGTGGTCCCTGCGCTGTTAACAGGGACGCCAAGGCCAGCTTCGTTCATGTAGATTAATTGAGCTTTCAATTCCTAGCCAACAACTTCCTAACCTTGGGAAAAGTGATGGATCTTGGCCTTGTTTTATCAACTTTCCATCTGTTGAGGGCCTAGTTCTACAGCTAGCTCATCTCATCTTGTATTTAGCCATTTGGTATAACTAATTATCATTCATTACGTTGTGGTGTGAAGCATAATTTTGAATGGCACAGCATCTCTTCAATTGAAAGCCATAGATATCATTCGAGCCATCCTATTTCCTGTTATTGAGCCTGTGAGTAGTATTATGTACCTCAAGCGGTTTCCCATAAGCTTTGAATCCCAAAGAGAGAAGTGGCAACACCTGCCAACCCAATGGAGCCGTCGGGCGATTTCAAGAATTGGAGATTGTTCAATACGATGAAAGTATCGAGAGAGTCCCATAGTAATCTCTTGAGCGCAGCAGCCCGGTCCTGGTAGTGTTTTGTGAGCTTTGAAGCGTTCATATTCTTCTCGTCGTTGTCAGTGACAAGAAGCACCTTGATGTGTTCTTGAGTAACCTGCAACTTGCGGAGATCCAAGACCAGACCGCTGATTAGTCCGGCAAACCAGCACCAATTGGCCCACCGTGGAACTTGAATGCCTGTCGTTTTAGTTACTGGAACAAGCTTCAAAATGCGCAACAAATTGATTTGATCAAGCGTCAAATACCCGGCGTAGGCCAGGTTTTTAAGCACGTTGAAGACACGCACAACGTTGTCGTTTGAGATCTTGTTGTCGTAAAACTTGGAAGCCAGCTGCAAATGGTTCAGAGGCTTGAGAAATCGTAAAATCTTCCGCACCGTGGTGAACTCCGTTTGCAATTTCTTGGCCAAGATCGATGAATATTGGTATCCCAGGAAGCGGCATAGATACTGCAATAGTCTCAAGATTTTTTCTCTCCCGGCAGTCGTGTCTAGAAGACTTATAAGTCTGGAGATCGATGGATGATAGACTAAAGTATCGCAAACCATGGTGTCAAAAAAAACAGTAAAAACGCTTTACTTGTGAGATTTGAGTGCGGAAAAAAGGGTAAAGACACTCTATTTCTGAGTTTGATTCACAATGCTTTGCCACGTATTTGCAACTATCCTGAACAGAATGGTGTGTATTCTTATGAAAACCGATTCGTCGTGTTTTCAGCTGAGTTTCGATTCGAGGGGATCGCCAAGTTCGAAATGTCACCGATTTAATGTTTTCCTTTATATACGTTTCCCCACTTTAAATAACGGTACAGCATGAATGGAGATACCTTTATACGGGTGTGAATTATAAGGCCTATAGTTAAACTTGAAATTGTAAACTTTGGAATTTATTGACGAGGATCTCGATAAACACTTTTTTCCGTTTCGTCTCCCTTTTCAACCTGCACATATCAGCTCACTGGGCTTTAAATACTGCAGCTGAAACATTTGTGTTCGTATGAAATGATCATAGCGACACGATAATGGACTTCTCTGCTGTGGTAGTATGCTCAACTTACCTTTTGGTGTTTGTTGAGGGAAGAAATACCGCGACCACTTTCATGTTTTAATTGAACTGATTGGGAGTTCGAATTTTCATGTTTTCTTCTTGTGGAAGCTTGTTTTTATTTTTGACGAGTAAATTCAAAGCGAGCTCGTCATACTGCATCATATGCCATAACAGCATCCTATTTTTTAAAATATCTTGGAGGTGAATTCAAGCTGTCTTAATTTCATCAAGAGACTTTGCAAAGAACGGTGTTGTAGGTTGATTGAAATGTGCAATATATATTATGCAAATTTGGGACTCAAGGCCAACAAGAGTGAGAATGAGAGACGAATGCTAAACACATGTATGGTGGTGCCGACGAGTTTACAACTCAGGAAACCAGCGTTCCAAATCTAGTTCGCCTGCACTGACGTTGTCACGAGTCACGTGACCCAAATATTTTTTATCTTATTCTATTCATGACGTTTCAAGCAAGAGGAAACTCCATCGACGTTTTTGACTTCAAAAGTTGACTACATCGCGACTTTGAATATTTTAGCTTACAATGCCTTTAGACCAACTGTTCTTTGATATCCCTTCCTCTTTCCATGTCTGCTCTTGATATCTGGAAAAATCTTGAGATTAACGCGTATTATTTATTATATGCCAAAATTCATACTCATCACCATCACCAACATCATCAAATTCAAAAAACATCAACTAAGTGACTAAGGTCTTCTAAACCATGCCATTATGAGCTACTACGATATCGACGACATTCTGGCAGATTCCACCAAGGTTCCGTGCCGGTTTAACTACAACATTCCTGGTCTTGGATACCTTGAAGGTAACATTGGCCAGGATATCAAAAAAAATGCTAAAGTCGAGCTCCCGCTGTGGCTAGGTCGGGTTTTGGCTATTGTAGGAGGAGATTCAGAGTCATCGGGGTTAGAGGATGACGAAGCATTGTCTTTTATAGAACTCATAACTCCTGAGTTGCTGGCACCAAGAGTTATCAATGCCATCAAATCAGGACCTGTAAGTTTAGATGTACGGTCCATAAATTCGCACTTCTACGCGCTGGCCGTTAAATGGGCAACACTTTTCAACGACCGCAATTTGGTGGAAGTTTTGAACTACATGTTGCTCGAAAGAAGTCAGGAAATCCGCAATCATGCATCCAGTACCGATTTGGATAACCTTGCACAGGGACGAGACCCAAGTACATTCATGTTAACCTTGGACGAATTTGAAAAAGTAATCTATAGGAGTAGTCATGAAAGTTGCAAAGATATGAAACAATGGATGGTGCAAAAGTAAGATTACATGCTCTCTTCCTTCTGTTAGCCGTCCGCTTCACTCGACGCATAACTTCAATACTACAAGTTTTAAATCAATATAACTTGGTGGGTAGTCAATTTATATATACCCAAGACACGCAGATCAAAAACTCACTAATATTACACTAGAATAGCCCATCCTCCTCGTCGTCTTTGTCCTCAGCGTCACTATTCTTTCGAGGTGTGGATTGGGCTGACTTATCATCTTCCATAGACTTACCATCTTCTTCGTCACTGTCGTCAATAAACTCTTTGGATAGATACGGCGACTTGCTTTTCCGACCAGGCTTCGAGGTTTCGGGCTCCGCGAGCCCTTCTTCTTCGTTTTCGTTGTCTTCATCATCTTCAACAACGGCTCTTTTGGTTTTCCTCTTCTTTTTTGGAGCAGCCTTCTCATTATCCGCCTTCTTAGTACGTTTGGCTCTCTTCTTCTTCTTATCTTCCCCGTTTTGTTGGAAATCCTCATCACCGCTCAGCGGTGGGTTAGAATCCCTAGCGTCTTCCAGCGTGTCCATTTCTGTACGCTCTTCCATCAGCTTACGCGCTTCTTCCTGAAGTTTGTTATATTCTTCGGTCTGTTTAGCAATACGCTGGCGTTCTTTATCTTCAAGAAGTCTGCGATGCTCACGCTCCTTCTCCTCGCCTTCTTCAAATGCTCTTCTCGCGTTCTCCAATTTCGCAGCAGCTTCCGCTTCATGCTCTTTTTGCTGCGTAATACATCTCTCAAGAGCAGTCTTCATAGTAGTATTGCTCAACTGCAAACGTTGATCTAACTCGTCGATCGGCATGATATTAGTGCCTTGATCTATCAGCTCCTTTAGTATAACAGAGGCGGTGTTCAAGCCACTTGCGGCGTTTTCGAGTTGGGAAACAGTTCTTTCATTGGCAGGTGCTCTACGAAGAGTTTCCGCTATCTGGAAGTGCAATAAGGCCACATTGAACTTTATGCTCTGTATCATGCTTGAATTTTCTTTCTCTTGTTCAGCCGCCAAGGCGTCCTGAGCATACTCTAATGACTTTTCGTAACATTCGAAAGACCGCTCTTTCACCCCACGAGAGTACCAAGCACGACCCAGCAGATTTAATAATAAAGGCCTTGAGCTTTCATTTGAAAACTGTTTTAACGCAATTTCGTAGTTTTCAATAGCTTTTGCGTGCTCTTGCATTTCTAGCAAGCAGTGTCCTGTGTTAATGTGAACAGATTCGTTATCGAGAGAATCTCTGACCTTTCTGAGAATTTCTAAACATGGCCCAAACCTTTTGTTTTCGGCGTATATCATCGCCAACCCTTGAGCTGCAAAAATGTTGAATGAGTCCACTTGTAAGACCTTTTGCAGCAGCTGGATAGCCTTTATGAAAGATTGTCTGGATTTGTCTTGCTCTTTGGGTGCAGACGACTTCTTGGATTCTCTTGCAATGGTTATGTACAGGTTTGCAAGAGAAAGTAGAGCATAGGAGTCATGAGAGTCATACTTCGTTAGCGTATCACGGTTGTGATTGGTTTCCAATTTGTCGGCCCCTTCTGTTTTCTTTTCAACAGATCCGTTTTTCAAAAACCAACTGTAGAACGACCGTGCGTCCAAATCAGAGTTGTGATGCTCTAAAAGCTCGTTCGCTTGCTTGTCCAATGACGCACTTTCGGCTTTCATTACCGAAAGATATAGATATCTTATTCTGGCATGCACGTAGCCAGGGTGTACTGCTAAAAGATTCTCATAGCCCTTTAGAGCTTCATCAGAACTTTCATATTCAGCAACCCTTGAGTTATTGAAATTGATAGTGATGGAAGCTGGACTTTCCTCTCCAGATTTGTGAGTCATTTTCGAAGCTTGGTCGAAATATTTTTGAGCTTCAGCTTGATCGCCATTTATGAAATAAAAGCATCCCAGATTATTGTATATCTCTAGTGGTACCATGTTTTCGCCACTAGTTTGCAACTGGTCGACAACACGAGAAAGAACTTCTAGAGATTGCTTGTGTGAATTTTGGAGCTGGTAGAGCTCGGATAAGAACAGGTACGCCTTGACAATGACAGATTGATTGCCCTTGGCCTTAGTTAGCTTGATGTATTTTTCAAGATAGTCAACCGATTTTTGTAAGAGTTTATTTCTGTCATTTGGCACCATCGAGTTCCAGGTATTGGCATCCAGGCATTTGGCCCCGCAGAGAAGACCCAAAATATAGTTGATCTCTTGGATATTTTCATGAGTTCCGTAAAGATTCTCGAATGTCAAAATACTTTCTTCGATCAAAGCGTTCTTGATTTGAGTTTGACCAAGCCCGACACGTGCAAGTAAACTGTCTTCGTTGGCTTTGAGACTCTCCTGGAACGCCGCAAAGGCTTTCCGCGGCTCTTGTAAGGCGTAGTAGCCTCGCCCGCACCAAAAGGCTGACTCCGATACAACGGTGTTAGAGTAGCCCGATGCATATGGAACGATTTGTTGCTCATGGATATCTATAACCTTTTGAAAATCGGCTTTCAAATAGCAGTACGTTTGATAAAGCACTAAAAGAACCGGGTTGTGCTTGTTTGTTGAGAGAAGTTGACCGAGTTGAGTGAGTGCAGCTGTGTATTGCTGCTTAAAAGACTCGTCGTCTTCAGAGTTCGTGAGCGTCTTATGGAATTCACCGAGCAAAAGTAAAATTTTGACGTTTTGATTATCAGGTACTAGCTCCAAGCTGCGCTTCCAAGCGCGAAGGGCCATTTCGTAGTCCTTGAGCTGCCAAAAGCACATTCCTATACCAATTCTTGAGTCTGGCTTCAAAACCGGGTTCAAAACCAGCAATTCTTGGAAAAGTCTCAAACTAACCGGATAATTCTTCTTTTGGTAGAAAAGTTTGGCCCTAACGAGCAAAAATAGAACGTTGGGTTTTGAAGTACGCCCAAGCCGCTGGTCTTCGGCGTGAATACCACGCAAGAAAAGCTCTGACATTTCCAGAGCCTTATCGTATTGCCGTCTTTGGTAATACAGGTCGATTGTTGCCAGCATGTTTCCAACACCAGAGGGATTGTATCCAATAGCTTCCTTGAGATGTTGTTCGGCTTGTAACAAGCTATTATCCCATTCACTCTGGTGCATCGACTGGGCCTTGGCTTGTTTCAAAAATGCCCAGGTTAAACATGTGTGCAACGCAGCCGATTGCGGGCCTTGAAACACCTCTAGCGCCATTTCCACCAGACGTATGCACTCTTTCAGCATCCCGCATTGGCTGTAAGCGATTGCAATTGTCAGCCAGTGTTCTTTGTCCGAGTTTTCTTCCACCAACAACGTTTTCAGGTCGCTTGGGTCTTCTGGCAAATCGTTCGCCAGGTCGATGCTGACAACCTCTTCCGAGTCTTTCAGCGGGATGTCCAGCGACGTATTCCATTTCACACTGGGATACCCACCATGCGTAGTGTCGTGATCCATAGCTGAATGGCTTGTTGGGCGTCTAACACTGTGTTGTTGGTTGGTTCTTTTGATGGTGAGTTACTGACTGGACCAGATGGTTTTAATATATCAACGACGTTATTTACCTAAAAAAACAGATGGCCGGGTAAGGAAGCGGCGAAAGACAAGCACGTGATTTAAAACTGAGAGAGATATGAGCACGTGATGGGCCAGCGAATTTGAAAAGAAACGTGAAGACCAGAAAGCTTGGCGTCATTCAGTTAGTTATCTAGTCGAGTCATCTAGGTGTCGACTCGAAGTATAGAGACTTAGATACTGGATTCCCAATCAGAAACACTTTGCACTGTGTAAACGTTTTGATATCATAACTAGATTCACGATTCAGCCTCTTGCGACTGTACACATCTGTCACTTATCGGACGTGACGTTCCACAATATTTCAATTTTTTTTCGATCCGAAAAATAATGGTTTTTTCGACTTCTTCGCTACACATTGAAACATCCAAAAGATCCCAACAAGCTCGCGACAATCATCACACCCAATGCCAAACTTTTAAACCGCCAAAAATTCTACCTAATGATGAGACACAAACTTATCACTATTGTATTCTGCTGTCGCCGTCTAGTCACGAGACCTCTACATCACTCCGGCATTTTCGTGTCGTCCGCTGTGGCTCCCCTTTCGATAACGTCTTTCCTATCAGAAGCGAAGCCCGATTCTTGTATATAAACAGCTAAGAATCTCTACCCAAACTCTTCCAAAGATGTGAACCTTTTTGAATCTAATCGATTAGTCTCTGGACTTAAACTTCTCACAGCTCTCGGTCGCTGTTTTGTCGCTGTTTTGTATGCTGAGAAAACTAGCCATGAGTACCATCGCTAACACCGGTAAGATCATTCCCAACCGAGCATTGACCCAGAATCTCAGGAAAGATGTGTGGTCGTTGACCAACGAGGCAGCAGCAGTTGCATCGCAAAACGCTCAAAACAAGAATCGCGAATTGATCAATTTGGGACAGGGCTTTTTTTCGTATTCACCACCAGAATTCGTGATCCAACAGGCCCAAGAGGCCCTTACATCGCCCATGGTCAATCAATATGCTCCCACTAAAGGCCGTCCATCTCTCCTAAATTCGCTAATAAACTTGTACTCGCCCCTTTACGGTAAACAGCTGGCTCCCGAAAACGTGCAGGTCACCACCGGTGCCAATGAAGGTATTCTATCGTGTTTGGTGGGTCTGCTCAATCCGGGCGACGAAGTAATTGTGTTTGAGCCCTTTTTCGACCAGTACATCTCAAATATCCAAATTCCGGGCGGGAAAGTTACTTATGTGCCCTTGCATCCCCCTAAAGAAATCTCAGAGCGTGTCACTCAGGGAACAGAATGGCGTGTGGATTACGATGAGCTGCGTCGTGCTGTGACGCCAAAAACCAAGGCTTTGATCATCAATTCGCCTCACAACCCAGTTGGTAAGGTTTTCACGCGCGAAGAGCTACTCCAAATAGGCCAAATCTGCGTGGAGAATAACATCATTATCATTTCCGATGAAGTTTACGAACACCTGTATTTTACACCCGAATTCACTCGCATTGCCACTTTGACTCCCGAAATCGGACAACTTACGTTAACTGTAGGGTCCGCTGGCAAAACTTTTGCTGCTACGGGATGGCGAGTCGGTTGGGTCGTATCTCTCAACGCAGATCTTCTGAAATACGCATCCATGGCTCACACCCGAATCTGTTTCTCGACGCCATCTCCTTTGCAAGAAGCCTGTGCCAGTTCTCTTGAAACGGCACTTGAAAATGGTTATTTCGAAAAAATGCGTCAAGAGTACATTCGCAAGTTCGAGATCTTCACAAAAGTATTTGACGAGCTTGGCCTACCTTACACCAAGCCCGAGGGTACTTACTTCGTAGTTGCCGATTTCTCGAAGGTCAAGATCCCACAGGATTACCCATTCCCAGAAGAACTACAATCCAAGGCCAAAGACTTCAGAATCTCTTACTGGCTCGTCAACGAACTCGGTGTCGTGGCCATTCCACCCACAGAATTTTACATTCCAGAGCATGAAAAGGTGGCAGAGAACCTGTTACGATTTGCCGTTTGTAAAAGTGACGATTATTTGCAAAAAGCCGTTGATAGATTAAGGCTATTGAAAAACTACATTTAGCTTGATCGCTCAACAAGTGTGGATACCGCATACCAAAACATGTATAACCTTTTATAGAGACTAAGGCTTCGATGATAGTTGGCTTGAGTACTTACAACAGTTTTCCAAGTACTCATATGATCTATAAGTCAACTAGATTGATATTTAAACTAAAGATCATTGATAAATATCGAAATCAACAACTTAAAGACGAATAACAAGAAGCTTCTGATGGCTTCTGACTCGGTTATTTTCCGATATTTCTGGATTTTTGGACTTGTTAATAATGTTTTGTATGTCGTTATCTTGTCAGCGGCGGCCGATATCGTAGGACCGGGTCTGCCAAAAGCCCTAGTTCTTCTGCTCGACATATTGCCGGCATTTGTATTGAAGCTTAGCGCACCTTTCTTCATCCATAAAGTACCGCATAGCTACCGCATTGGCATGTTAATCGGTCTCAGCTGCGTCGGTATGGTTTTGGTGGCCGGCCGCAAGCTGAGTGTATGCATTGCCGGCATAATTTTGGCTTCGCTGTCATCGGGACTGGGAGAAGTAACGTTTTTGCAATTGACTCATTATTACCAGCAACCGGGTCTCAACGGCTGGAGTTCAGGAACCGGCGGTGCAGGCTTGTTTGGAAGCGGCGTTTACATGCTGCTGACGTCGATTTTGAAAGCACCCATTGGGCTATCGCTCCTGTTGTTCAGTGTGCTGCCATTTGCTTTCCTGCTGTACTTTCGTCTTGACTCTCATCATGTTTATACTGCCATCGAGAATGCCAACAGTTTGGAACAGCCGGAATCGGCAAACGACAACGCCACGACATCTTTGTCCGATGAACAAAGAAAATGGGCCACTTTCAAAAGCCACGTATCTGACACACTTGGCCGCATTCTGAGTCTTGTAGCGCCCTATATGTTGCCACTGGCCACTGTTTACCTTTTTGAATACCTCATCAATCAAGGTGTATCGCCAACACTGCTGTTCCCGCTGGACGAGAAACACAGTCACCCATTTTTCTTCCACAAATACCGTGATATCTATGTGACATATGGAACTTTGTATCAGCTTGGGGTATTCATATCAAGATCGAGCGGTTCGCTTTTCCGGATAAAACGACTCTATTTTCTCTCGGTCTTGCAAGGCATCAATCTCGGTCTGGCCATCTGCCAGTCTTGGTTTTATTTGGTGCGCTCGGTATACCCAGTGATGTTTCTTGTCTTCTTCGAGGGTCTACTGGGTGGCGCATCTTACGTCCACACCTTCAAGAACATAATTGATAAAGTGGACACCTCTGAGCGGGAGTTCTCATTGGGAGCGGTATCAATGTCTGATTCTTTCGGTGTGCTATTGGCAGCATTTATTGGAATTACGCTCGAACCAAAATTATGCTCACACCAAGTGGACAATGGGAGACCGTGGTGTTTGAAAGAATGATATCAAATTGCAATGTCATATACTCATTCTGATACCAATTAATAGTTCTTCAATAACCTTCTGTTTAATGCCTGTAGTGCGTATGGAGGATAGAATGCCGAAACATTGCAGTAGTGTCAGTTTATCCCGCTGTGTAACACCTTTTTCCTCCTCCTCATTCATAATGTACAAGTGAAAGCTAGTGCTTGCACCCTCGTTACTATTGATGAAGCTTTCATAGTATGGTGATACTATGGAGTCGCGAAAGCTAACCAGCAACAAAATGTCGAGCGAAAGCGACCCTGTGCGTACCCCACTGAGATTAGTTCCATCAAAATCGACGTTTGCCTCGGACCAATACTTGGTGTCGGTTCTAAAACTGAGCTCTATGGGCAAAAATATGGCCATTACGTTGTGATACACCTGTTGATAAAAGACTCCCCATATTAGACAAAGTCTCTTTAATGCGGTGTTGATAGTATTCTCATTGCTATAATTGAACACAATTTGGTTTTCCAAAATGAACAAACAAGTGTTCATGAATTCCTCAACTTCACCAAGGAATTTAGAGCTGCTATGTCGACTTTGGGATGAAATTTTGAGCTTGATGTAAAATGAAAAAACATGGTTCAAATCTTCTATTTTCACTGGAAGCTCCCATAGTTCTTTATTCCGGAACAAAGTAATCACCACGCTGCAGAAGACGCCCCATATGTTACTCATGAGGGCATCTAACTCTTCATCTGTGAAGTTCCGAAAATTACTTTCCAATGACCGTAAGTTCTTTATCAGATCATATAGCATTTGTACATCACTCGGATCCAAGCTGGGTTCGCGTGCCAGCTGTAAAGACATATCTTTGACGGAATTGGCACCGCTGGTGCCAAAAATTTGCGAAGACTTTCCAGAGTCCATCAGACTCCCAGCCGAGTGTTTGTGATGCGCAGTAGCTTTGCCGACATGCTTCCCATATTTACTATTGAGAAATTTAGCAAAAGTCAGAGAAGCACCGGAAGTTGGAGACTTGAGAGATTCCCTTGATTTTTCAAGTCGTGCATCCTTCTTGCTGAAGAGCTTTCTGGCCGCCATACTGAACGGGTTTTTTCGGGAGCTTGGAATTCGCAAGCCTAGCGATGAGGAAGAGCCAGGAGACCCTTTATGGGAGTTACTTGAATTGTCGTCTCTTCGATGGTCGCCTGAACTAGTATTTGGCCTCTTTAGTGTGTCGGTTCGCCCCAAAAGCGAGTTTTGACTCTTCTTGTTACTTATCGTTGAGACATTGGAATCACTCTGAAATGAATTGTGACTTCTCATACCATTACTTCGGACCGAAGAAGTGGAGCTTGTAGTTCGAATCCTACGTCCTGATTCACCCGCAGAGCTGCCATTCTTTTGGCTCAACTTGTTGTTGCTGGGATTTTGATAAATCGACTGAAAACCTACTCTTGACAAACTAGGAATTGCTGGCGAGAAGTTCAAAACCTCTGCGTTCTTTGTATTCGACTTTTCAAAATCATTATCTTCATTGTCGCCATGTTCATCAACTTGTATTGTCTGTGGGACGATTTTGGATGAAATACTGTAGAAACGAGCTCTTGTCTTGTCCTTCGTCTTGTTTGGCAACCGCTGAAATGCAGGGAGTGCAGAGCTGCTGCGCTTGCGGTGAAGATCAGTGGACATGATCCATTGTTGAGTTGTTTTTCTAAAGTTTATCTGAGATGAGTTTATAACTTCTTGTATGTCAAATTGATGATCTAACTAGTCGAAAACAGAGATGAGCTATTCTATACATATCCTCACCAGAAAAATATCAATTGAGATTGATTGCCGATGTTCGTGTAAGCTGTGTTTTTATCAGCAAAATGGCCAGGTTTGAAGTTAGCAGAACCGCTATAAGGAACTTGCCTTGTCCACGATACCTGGCCTGGAACAAAAGTCCCAGAAGAAAAACAGAAATGAAGGGAAGATAGGAGGTGCGACCATACCTGTAAACAGTGAATATAGTGATCGCAGTGCTGCAAGGATTCCATAGATATTTGGACAGATTCGAGCGCGCAGAGACCAACTTTAGCGTGTTTTCAGTGGAGGAGGAATCGTCCAATTCTGAGTCTGAAATCTGATCTTGATCTAACTTTTCAGCTGCTTCTTCCAACGATTGTTGAGACGTCGAGTTTTGGCGAAGTTCTCCCATCAAATCTTTCACATAATTCCTCACCTCCACAGCTGTGGGTCTATCGAAAGCGTTAGCTGACAATAAACTCTCGATGAGATCGAAAATTTTCGGATCGATCGGTAACAACCGTAGGTCACTGTGTTTTCTTGATAGATCTTGTTTACTGATCTGAAGTGCTTTGATCTTGTGTTTAAGTTGAGGAAGGCTCAGGTCGCTTATGAAAGGAAGCTGGCCGAATGTCAGGAAATAAATCACCATACCAAGTGAATACATGTCTGACTGGAAAGTAAATTGGGGTAGCGAAGCACTCGTGGCACCACCACCTGTGTTCACAAGGACAACTTCGGGTGCTGTGAACTCCAGAGTACCTGTAGCACCTGTTGCGGAACGCAATTGTCCGCAGGTTTGACTTTCTCCAAAATCACCTATCATGACATTCGGGAAACTTTTTTCACCGTACAGAGGCTTTTCGGGGTCAAATGTTTCAGAAAGTAGACAGTTTGATGGCTTTAGATCACGATGAATGATGTTCATTTGATGCAGCTCTTTCAATCCTGATGCAATATCATATATGATGGACAATAGTTGCGACGTGGTCAGGCCTTGCTGCTTGAAAAGACCTGCTTCTCGTTCGGCTCGTTTCAACCTGAACTGACGTTTTCTTTCCTCAGAAGATTCGTGATCTGCGAATCTTCCAAACACTTTCTTTTCAATGACTTCTTCTAGGTTTCCTCCGGGACAAAACTTTTGCAAGATGAAAATGCATGGAATCTTTTCCGAAGCCAATGCATCTACACCGTCGGTTGCCCTTACGATTCCGCTAGCACTAGCCATTTCTAACCAAACATGGTTGTAGGTTATTAAGTTGGTACAATTATGCGTCAGGGCGCTTAAGAATTTGACCTCTTTCATTCCCAGCTCAAGCCACGACAGGTCGTTTCCGATGTAGATTTTTTTCAGTGCGTACACACCTAAATGATTGTCCATCAGAACATGTTCAACTTTGTAGACCGAGCCACGGGCTCCGCTTCCTAAGAGCGATAGCTCCCTGAAAAATCGTTTATAATACCCGGGAGTAAACAAATTAGACGGAATCGCTGAGAAATCTTCGATACATGGTTGCTGAACGCGGTACGCACTGTTCTGCTCCAAATATTTGAAGTAATTTCGATGCACAAACGATCCTGTTTGGGATCCAGGACTATGCTGGGAGGACTCGTATTCAAGTCCTGTGCCAACCTCACTACCGCATTGCGGACAAAGATAAGATGCGAGTAGACGCGAACGATTTCTGGGGATCTTGGCATCAATACTTGGACCTCTTATTTGTCTTACCAGAGATATCTCACCTGAGGTCTGGTTCATCACAACCAAAGAACGTGAATTCGGATCCCGAAGAACTACATTTTGCGCGTTTTTGGGGTCGTCAGAAACATAATCGCCGTAAACCACCAAGCTCATCACACTGATTCGATCCTTAAGTTAGCCCCTTTCAAAGTGCCCGATATGACACATGGATCAAAAAGTCCGCTCGCTTACAGAAATACGGCTTTTTTTATCTCAGCAATGGTCCTTTTCGAACGCTTTTTTTGCCTCTTCAAGATAAGACGTTTGCCTCAAGGAAACAGTTGCCTGGACTTGCTCAAGAAGCTGTGCTCAGTTAGTCTTTGACTCTCAAAGGTGCTCTTGTCTTTGAAGGAAGATGAACTTCTCCGAGCTTCTTGTTCTTACTAGAGATACATTATTTCGAATTTAAATTAGGTACTCGTGATGAGCATGTACTCGCTACCTGGACTTACGTAATAATTGAAAAATAGATTGAGATGAGATGAGATGAGATGAGATGAGATGAAATACTCATCAGTTGATTCTGATTTGAAAGAATGAAGGCAGTAACCTTCAATCTCTTTTCAAAACTTACTTGAGTCCAACGCTAACCTTAACTGGACATATGTTTGATCCCCTGGAGTTTTTCAGCGGTGAAAAACGGCCACTGGAAGCCGAGATATCGGAAAAGACGAGCTTTTCGGGAACAGGGAACACTGAGGAAGTGGTATCAAGCTCGAAAGACGATGTTACCGACGAAATCGAATTTGAAGATAGTGATGTCCCGATGCAGGTCATAGACCTTCCTATTCTTCAAATTGCAAAACCGGTGGTCATTTTGACGGTATTGCTGCTGCTCAGGCCCGCAGTCGGAGTGAACTTCTCGGAACAAAACGGTGAACAGGATGACACTGAACTCACAGAAGAAGGAAGTGATATTCTTGAATCAATAGCTCCTGATTACGTTCAAGAAACGATCAATTGGTATAAGTACGTGGGAAATTCAAGTCTGGACTCGGGACCGAAGTTAGCCAGGAAGCTGCATCAACTAGCAGGCAGCGCCACGGAAAAAGATCTTGTAACGTATTTCACTAATGTTCTTGCAAAATACAGTCGATTTGAGGAGCCGGACGAGCTTGTAGTACGCATCTTGAGCGAAGCGAGTCTACGTATATCTGAAAAATGTGGGCGAACGGCCCAGCCGGCGATGACCAGAGTGTTTCAGATCAAGGGATTACAAAGCTCTATTCGATTACATGAACCAGCTTTGACGGCAGACAATCTTGGTTTGAAAACTTGGGGTGCGTCGTTGGTGTTGGCGCAAAAACTCTGCCAAAAGAATGAAATGTGGACGGGAAACAACCATCATCTTCGGGTGTTGGAGCTGGGGGCAGGAACGGGGCTCGTAGGAATAGCATTGCTCAAAAAGCTATGTGAAATCGGTAAAGGCTCTATTGCCGCCTCGTTTCACTTGACGGATTTGCCGGAAATCGTGCCTAATTTGAAGAAAAACGTACAGCTGAACAATTGTGACGAAAGCGGACAACTTGAAGTGTTTGTGGACGTCCTGGACTGGACGGATCCTTCTTCCTTCGAAAGTCAACACGGATGCAAAAAGTTCGATGTTGTTCTTATAGCCGATCCCATCTATTCACCACAACATCCTGAGTGGATAGTAAATATGATGACCAGGTTCTTGGCGCCTCACGGGACGGCTTACCTTGAAGTTCCTGTTCGCGCCAAGTATGCTGCGGAGAGACAGACACTTTGGGATTTGATAGACAAGGCCAATCTCGAAGTTGGCAGAGAGGAGACAAATGAGGGTGTTGATGACTGGGGTCAAGTTTCGTATCTATATAAAGAGGTAGTCTTCAAGCGACCACTTTAAGTCGTGGCGCTTCTCTATGAAATAACTGAGATCTTGAAACAAAGCCCAATGACAGATGCGTCTATTATGTTAGGGTGAGTCATGCATATTTTTTGAAAGTCGCACAGTGTGAGCATCTGTGTTGATGCACTTCGAGTTGCTCGGCTAAATCAAAGCTCCTTTTACAGCCGTTGCACTTATACTTTCTTTCATGCGTTCTCATGTGCTTGCTCAAATTAGAGCTCTCGTTGAATCTCTTTCCACACACTTTGCATTCCAGTGGCTTTTCGCCGGTATGTGTTCTAATATGAATTCGAAGCGAGCTGGAAGTCGCAAATCCTTTACCGCAATGTGAGCACTTATATGGTTTTTCTCCCGAATGTGTGCGAATATGCTGTAGTAAAATATCTTGCGTTGAGAAGGTCTTGCTGCAATGCGGACATTTGCAAGGTTTGTAACGGGTGTGCACCCGTAAGTGTCTGAGCAGCTTTTGCCGTTGTGTGATGGTTTTTCCACAGTTTTCCCATTCGCAGACATAGGAAGATCTGCCACGGGGTATGTGAACGGCCTCTATATGATCATTCAATTCCGCGCAAGAATTAAATTTGAGACCGCACCCATTCCATTGGCAGTCATGAACATGCTCATGGTTATTCTCATGATCACCGTCTTCCTGCGGAGTTACTGCAACGCCGTGTATGCTCGATGTCTGAGAACTGGTAAAATCTGGGCATTCTTCACAATGAAGTGCGTGCTGGTGGTCATTCTGTTCCAACAGCTTTTCACGATCCAAACATTTCATGTCAAAAGCCACACCATGCTCTCCGTTGATATGATTTATCAAAGTACACAAATCGTCACCCTCAAAAGCACAATCCGTCCATTCGCAAAAATAATTTCTCGGAGTTGGTAGTTTGGTGTCATTCGGATTGCTGTCCACGACGTGATCTTTCAAAACATGCGATTGTAATTCCAGCAGTGAGTCGTATACCTCTGGACAGTGGTTCCAGCCACATTCGATATTTTGATGTTCGTTTTTGTAGATCCAGTTGAAGTTTATAGTGCTGTTTTTCACATCGGATTGAGAGATTTTTTGCGGTGAAGCGGCATGGTGCAGTTTTTCGACTGTAAAAGAAGGCCTGCGATGGCTGGAGCTTGAGTTGTTCTCTCCATTGGAGCAGAGTTCGGACGGTGATGAAAAACTTTGAATTGGATGGGAATGCAACTCTAAGGAGTGATGATGATGGTCGTGTGACGATTTGACAGGTGAAGCCTTTCGAAGTCCACTTTTGGAACCTGGAATAGACGTTTGTAAAAGGTTCAGATTAACGTCACTGGAATTCTCATGTGGATGGAAGTGCTTTCCGAAGGGAAAATCGTACATGTTGGAGATGTTAACAAGGTCCTTCATAACCATCATGTCCGTTGATGAGTTCATGACATGGTCATGACAACGCGATGAATGAGCAGATTCGTAATTCAGTGTTTGATCGTGGTTATGATTGTGAGGAACGTTTGTGTAAAGGTGCGGAGGAGAGCTGGAATTCTGAATATCGATAGGCGCCTCATCTACTATTGGTAGTGATGAATGAGAATGTGGGTTGGTTTGGGGTTCAGAACACTGTGCTTGGTCTTGATCGAGATCCACACATTGCTCACAAAACTTTTCATAAAAGGTATCCTCTTCGGATTTTCTCGGCAGACAGGTCATGTTACATCCTATGAAACTCGGGAGTCTGTCATTCGCCGTTGTGTCCTCCATGTTCAAGGAGCTGCTAGCATCTTGGGCAACAAGGCCATTGGCATTGGTGTAAGTTTGATGGCCAGGAAATGCGATTGGTGGAGCGTGATCCGGTATCGTGATTGTATGTGGTGTTTCACCTTGCTCGTGTTCCTCGTCGCAGCACAGTTCCATGATATTGGGCTCACATGTATCGCATTCGCGCGTTTTTCGTTTCTTTATTTGAGGCGTGGGAAGCTGATTGTCTTCGCCAAAAATGTTGAGGTTGTGGCAGTTCATGAACTCAAACAACTGACAGTTGTCATGCTGCTCTGAAGATAAAGGACCAGATCCGGTAGGTGAGAGAGGTAAATTCGGTACTACCGGTGTATCGGCTCCCGCGGGATATGTGTACTGTGCGAATTGCTCGAGAGAAGTGCTTTCTGGTTGCAACGAAGCTGATTCATGGACGTGGCCATGGATGTATGTGATATTGTTAAAATTGTGAATATGGCCATGGACAATACCTTCTGAACCGGGCATTCGGTACTGGTTTGAAGACAGTCGCATTTTTTTTTTTTGGGAAAGTTAAACCGTCTCTATTGGTTCCTCTTACTTTGATGAAATATCCTGTAGCGTCGATCGTTGGCTAAAAAATCCGCGCTGAGAAAGAAACCGTTTTGTTGTCTATCCAATGGTCCAGTTCACCCGATCGCTACCACTCAGTTTCGAGTGCGGTCTTCTTTCTTTCTAAATTCACCCACACGGTAGGAATACCGCTCGCTGATCGTGTATACCAAAAAATCTTGGGTTTGGTTTAACTTTACCACCCGATGGTTAAACTGTTTTGTCACCGCCGAAACCAAGAATTGAGATTTCACAATGTGAAAGGACGAAACTTTTTGCCCGAACGTTGGTAGTTTTTTTTTTCTGAATTGTCTCCAGATATCAACAGTGACTCTAGTCTTTGAGAGGACGAATGAGTGTAGCGAGCATCCTGGCCTTGTCTAAAGACGATTAGCACCAAAACCAGCACAAGAGCTTTGTAGTATTCAATTATTACTGTGGAAACACAGTTACCTTGCTGGTTAGCTCCGAAGTGCAGAGAAAAATAAATGTACTCGAGTACCTTTCACGTGCTTCACACTTTCAAAACAGATGGTGGACAAATATGGCGAGTATGCGAAGTCTATGGATTGGTTTGAGTCTCAGAAATAGGAAAGATTCGGTTGCGCACGGCAACCAAATTGATTTCCAAACTGGTCGCGATGGAAATAGTGCATGCGAGGGAGACCGAAAAAACCAAAAAAAAAAAAAAAAGAAACAGGAGAGGTAAAATATTTCTGCGTTCCTCAGATATCAATGGCGTCATCTAAAATCGTGGCCACTCATTTCGCTCCTTACCAACGCGAATACCTTCCTATGTAGCACGTTTTGTTCGTGCTTGCTTTCATTTCTCAACTTAGCGGGATTTAGCTGATCACTTCCGACGATCTCTTTCTCGAGCATCGGATTCAGGGTGGTGATAAGGGACAGCGTCAGTTGTGTTGGCAGAATTCCGGGGATCACCCTGCGAAATGTTCTCGATCTGCTTGCTTCTTACTCCAGACACAAAACTAATTATCCACATTCTGTTTGGCATTGTGGTTTTTATTAGGTTTTGTTTGGCGCAACTGGTTTGTGCTTGGAAACAAATGGCCCTTATATAGTTTCAATTGTGCTTTGGACCACGCGTTTGGTAAATGCTGCTAGCGAAGATTATATTCCGATTTGTTCTTCCATTTGCGGGTAAAAAGAGCTCCTCGGAAACGCGTGCTTTCCTCTTGAAAGTTGTATAACCTGTAAGTGTGTTGGACGTTAAGTTTGAAGTTTCAGAAGGGCGGCAATCTCATTTATATAGTTCCGGGAAGTCGTTACGTACGACCTGGACAAAGTTAAACTTAGTATTGTTCAACAACGAGAAGCTGCGTTAATGAAGAAAAGTGAGCCGATGATACAGGGGGGAGGGTTTTGAAGCTGTGTAGTTTGCTTGGCGTCTTGGTGTTCTGCCTCTGAATACCAGACTGTCCAGGATTTATATTGCCGTATCAAACGATCGAATTCATGTGGCAGTTTTAATTCTTTTCTTACCTTGTTCTGAGCCTTACTAATGGTTTTTTTTAATCTATATTCTGACCATAATGTAGTGAGTGGTATGGAAACCTGAAATAGGCCGATGTGCAGTGACCAGTGTGTTTACTAGTGATCGATATCACTCCACACGATATAGGTCTTCGGAGTTGCAGGTCAATATATTTGAATATATATATATATATATATATATTTAACGATTTGAATCTATGGCAACCTTAAAGACCACAGGAAAGCCGTTTGAGTTCAATTGGTGGTTAAGCACACGTTCAGAGACGTCCTCCAAAGTGTATGATTCATTTTGTAATTGCTAGCGGCTCCTAACGGTCGTTCTGCAGTTCTCGAATCTATTGCTGCCGGCAATTTGCCGATCTTGACTACCCAGATTTCGGCAGCTTTGACGGGCCTTTTGGAAGAGACTTAGTGCGAAACAAAGTCTATTCACTTCATTGAGATTTGTGCTTACAATGCAGTGTCTGGTCCGTCCTCACATCGTTCAAAACCTCACTTATTCCTCACAATGATTGGACCCTGGCGAACTTGAAATCTTTCGCCGAAGGTAATTTGAATAAACATCTGAAAGCAAATTTCACGGATCTAACTGAACGCGCATTACAGCTGCAACCATTTTGCTCAAATAAGACCCAAAGGTCAGAATTCTCTTCCAAAAAAAATCACCCTTTCGTGTCCGCTGGGTGGTTCGTGTCCAGCCGAAAAGCTTCCCATACAATACTAAGTGCCTCTGAGTCTCCTATCTCATGTTGTTTTCATCTTCAAACGCTACCACACTCATAAACACCCATGCACCACAGCCTTTACTTTGAAGCTGGCTCAACGCTATGATCGCGTGACCTTTGTCAAATCGAAAATATCCGTTAAATTAATCATGACCAGATTCAAGCTTCAACAAATAAACCTAGTTGGATAACAAGAAGTTAAGTCAGTGAGCGGTAAAGCCCCGGCCATTGACCGAGCAATTTGACTCGCTTACGGCAACCACTTAACATAAAGACTGTGACATATTCAGCCCTTTTTTCCAGCTCTCGGTCTTTATTCCCATTAAATTACATCAAATTTTAAAGATTGACCATATTCCTAGGTGCCGACTGTAACGACTTTGCCAAATATAACCAAGGTTTTCAGACAGACAGGCTCAAAAGACTTTTCTAAACCTTTCAAATTCAACAACTGCAAGGAGCACTACTAATAGTGATCACTATCTTCAAAAATGGATCCCACTAGAGCACCAGACTTCGAACCACCTTCGGAAAACAACACGCCCAATCCTCCTTTGGCTCCACAATCGACAATTCCGAAAAGTGGGCCAATTATGCCGTATGTTCTGGCAGACTACAACGCATCAATTGACGCCCCAATCCACCCAAGAACGTATAAAAAACACTCAAAAGTAGGTCGCAGAGTGTCTACAGCTCACCACGGCTCGATCCCGCTCAAGCAACCCGAGCTGCAGCCCGCGTCGCATGAGACTTCCGAAGAAGAGGAGTCCAGCCATGTCACGGTTGAAGAGGACGACAATGACAGTATCAACACCAGAATCGACCGTCCGACACCTAGTCCTGCCACAAGTCAGATCTATATCCATGAACCGCAACTCACTGCTAGTCGGGCGGACCTAGCTCGCCAATTTACTCAGCAAATGAATCTCGTCAACAACTTTCAAGACGAGGAAGCTGACCATCGGATTGGCTCTCGAATTCATAAATATCAAATCGCTGATCTCGAAGAAGTTCCTCATGGTGTGGTGCGTCAAGCTACCTCGTTGGATCAATATAGCTTCCCAGCTCACCGTTTGCAAAAAGAACTAAAAAATCCAAACAAGTTGCCCTTAATTGTTGTTGCTTGCGGCTCTTTTTCTCCCATCACCTATTTGCATTTGCGGATGTTTGAAATGGCTCTCGATGCCATTTCCGAGCAAACCCGGTTTGAGGTGGTGGGTGGTTACTACTCCCCGGTGAGTGATAACTATCAAAAGCCGGGGTTAGCACCTGCTCACAATAGAGTACGCATGTGTGAGCTCGCCTGTGAACGTACTTCATCGTGGCTTATGGTAGACGCCTGGGAGTCTCTACAACCTTACTACACCAGAACGGCAAAAGTGTTGGATCATTTCAATGACGAAATCAACGTGAAGCGTGGGGGTATTGCCACCGCGTCTGGCGTCCGTGTTGGTGTCAAAATTATGCTTCTTGCTGGTGGCGATCTAATAGAGAGTATGGGCGAACCGAACGTGTGGGCCGATTCTGATCTACACCACATACTTGGTAACTACGGTTGCTTGATCGTTGAAAGGACCGGTTCTGATGTGAGATCGTTTTTGCTGTCTCACGACATCATGTATGAGCACAGGAGAAACGTTCTTGTCATCAAGCAATTGATCTATAATGACATTTCATCAACCAAAGTTCGTTTGTTTATTCGCAGAGGTATGTCTGTACAATACCTTTTGCCTAATAGTGTCATTCGCTATATTCAGGAGCACGGCCTGTATGTGAACCAGACCGAACCTGTTAAACAGGTAATGGGTAACAAGGAATAATCTTTCACGATACCATACAAACTTGGAAGTTTTCCGCCAACCTTATACCATTCCATCTATTGCAAGTCTTATCTATGCAAACAATAGATGTTGTATAATAGTAATGAATAGCTTTAAGCACCAGTGACAGTAGCAGTTTGGATTATCACAGAGGTTTCATCTAATATTGCCGCTAACAGTTTAAAATTCAGGAATGATACTTATCCAGTTGGAAAAGTAGGTGAACGGATGGATTTATTATTCCAGGGATCTTTTCACTCTTACGTGATACATTACACATTAAGTTGGTGTTGGATTTCAAACTATAGTAAAATTGTGCCGTTTACATTGGTTTGTTAGGCTTTGATGTCAGATATGATCAACATCATTCAACGGAGGACCAAGATTTGCAGCTTCGCTTCGAGAGTAGACAGGCCAAGGCTGAGTGCTCTGGTGAGGACTTTTGAAAAAGTTGAAATTAACTTGTACGCTATCCCAAAATCCTGGTGGAAGAGGAATGGAAGTTTTTTCAATTGGTGTTTGTACTCTATCCTCGGGCAATTCTGAATGTCTCTTTGGTGTGTTGTGAATCTCAGAGCCAGAGGTGTATGCCATGGCCGGATTGTTTACGAGATTCGATTGCGAAGCATCGGGATGAATGGCAGCTTCGTTTTCGAGAATAGAATCATGAGGAATCTGGGCATAGTTATCGAAATGGAAATCTGCGGGCAAAGGTTGAGAAACGTCTGGAAACAATAAATGTGGGTCGAAATTTTGGGTAGACGGAACCTCATACGGTATATCAGTGGTGGTAAAGCTGAAGTCCCGCGGTGACCCTGGTAATGGGAAAGAAGGTGGTATTGTAGCCCCGTAAGACGAAATCGGCGCATTGTAAGCCATGTATGGAGGATACTTCACGCTAGGATCGTGGACAGGTTGGGGCAAATGTGGGTTCCCCGATGTGAATGGCGCATACATGTTGTAGGGTTGATTTGGCTCTTTTATCCCAGCAGGCTGCTGTAAAGGCGGACTATTCCAATTTGTAGCATTTGGTGGGGAAAGCTTTTGAAGCTCTAGGTCGAGACTGCGGGCCGGACTTGGAACCTCGATGGGTATGGAAGGGTTTTTCTGATTCTTTAATTTGGCTTTGAAACGCGCAATGACAGCGCGAATGTATTCTGGATTTTGACCAAAAGCGAAAAGCACTTGACTGAGTAGAGTGCAAGAATTCCATTGTTTCCCAAGTGCGAAGAGTACTCTTTCTAAAACATGATAGCATTTGAGAGCGATTTCCTTGAAAATGGAATCCGGGTCGTGCATATGATGCACGAAGATGATCATGGCTTCAAAGAAGCAGTAGGCGTGTCCCACGTATAAGTAACCCGTTTCATTTCGATCCAGTAGAATTTGACCTATCAAGCTCAAAGAATGCGCGGCTTGGAAAGCGATACCTGCGGAGACAAACTGCTCGTCACTGGCAGCTTCCATATCGTGGATGTTAGATTTATGCAAAAGACATAGCGCCTTGTAGTAAAAAGCATTGACAAAGGCCTTGGGTAAAGAATGCCTGGTAAAGATTTCGGCGTTGGAGTTGTAACTCAAAGTTGATGGTAAATTTTTACGCCAGTGTTGAAGAATGATATCGAAGTGTCTGATAAGACCTCTTTTATCGCTGTGGGTGGCCCTGGGCGTATTAAGTTCTCGTGAGATCCGAGACATGATTTCTGCGATTTGAACGGTGCTGATGACACAATCGCGATAGTCTAAAGGATGGGAATGACGAGGATCTTGTTGGTCGAATGCAAAATCGTCGTGGGTCAAAACCGGGATATCGCAGTCTTCGAGGTTGATGGCCTGCGGTCTGCCGATGGAGATGGATGCAAAAGTGTCGAGGGTGTACAGGATCCACCAAATAAGTTTGCGGGTCCTTTTTTCGTTATTGGTCAAATTTGGATGGAAATCGGTGGAGCGATGAAGACCGTGGGTGAACGCTACGGTTACAGCACTTTTCATGAAATACAAGGGCGAATGAATTAGGTTTTTTTCGTGGAAGGCTTGTTTGCTAAGCAGGATCATACCTTGAAGCAAAGGAATTTCGTTTTCTTCGTATCTACCGTCGTAGAGCGATTTGGCACGCTCGTAGAAGATATTGGAAGCCAAATCTGTGGAATTGTCCTTGTCCATGAGTTGCGGATTTTTGGAAAGTTTGACAGCGACGCATAACACGGCTTGTAAGAGAAAGATGGAGCAAGTGTTGGAATCGTATTCTTTGCGGAAAGCGGTTTGGTCCATTACGGGCATGAGTGGATGGATCCAGTTGAAATAGAGATCGACGAGTTCGTCACAGATGGTCTTGGAGGGAAACAAAAACGCTCCGGAGATGCGTAGCATTTCCATGTTGGCTACACGCGGGGCACCTTCGCCCCCACGGGGCAGCGTGAGCCGGAGTTTTTGCGCCGAAACGAAATGCGATTCGTCTGGGAAGGACGAGCCTGTGAGTAAGCTGAGAAAACTGGAGGAGCCGAAATACACATGTACGCGGTCTCGATCTCTACGTTCTGCGTCGACGAAAACGCCGGGTTCCACGCCTCTTTTACGTAGGTAATCGTCACCGTAGGACATGCCGTTGGAAACCGTTTCTTTGACGGTTTGTGAGGAGTGAGTTGGGGCAGGGCCAGGGCCAGTGGCAGCAGTAGCAGCTGCAGCGTCAGCAGCGTTAGCTGCTGATGGTGCGGTGACCGCTTGTCCTCCTTCCCTTTCTCCTCCTCCTCCTCCTACATCCACCGTTCTTGTATCACCAGCGTTTTCAAACTCCCCTGTGGTGCTTCGTTGTGCTCTTTTCACCACTCGGAGTCTACAAACCAAACCAAACGTCTGGCAAGAAGTGCATGGCATTCTTACATGTGCGTCACATCTCACTTTTCGAGCATGGCAAACCTCGCAAGCTCTTGCAGATCTTCTTTTGCGCGATCTAAATCCTGTTTTTTCCACCATAACCAACACCACAAACCCGTAGTTTTGTTGATTGTTGAGTTTTGTAACTTTTCTTGTATCAATGATGTACTAAGATATACTATGATACAACTTTGGAATCATACACTATTTACTACTTTAACTATCAAGGGTCTCTTTATAAACTAGAAGTAACAATAAGTTTAGACATATAAGCTTAATAAGTGCTAGTATTACTATTTGTATTACAACAATTACTAGAATTACTATTAGTATTACGAGTACTACTACTATTACTACAACAACCACTATCACTACCACTTTAAAACCAACCAGCCCGAAAATCAAAGATATTTTACGGCTACAAACACAATCGAGTAATTGAGAGGCTTGGCGATCAATTGTTAATAAGACAGACTATAAGCACAATTGAACGATTGAGAGCGTCAGCGATCAATTGTGAATAAGACAGATGACTATAAGCACAGTTGAGAGCGTCAGCGATCAATTGTGAACAAGACAAATGACTATAAGCACAGTTGAACAATTGAGTGCGCAGCGAATGATTTTGAGCGCAGTTGACAATTGAGAGCGATAGCGATCAATTGTGAAAGAAAAGACTATTAGCACACCTGAACATCTGAGAGCACCTGTAACCAATTGGGAATAGCACAAATCGCTACGCTCTCAATTGTGAATAAGAGAAATGTGCTTAAAGCGTGGTAAAAGCATCTTTGAACAATTGAAAGCGATAGCGATCAATTTTGAATAGAATTATACGCTACAAGCACTTTTTACAAACCAATTATACGCTACAAGCACTTTTTACAAACCACAACTGATCGCTGACGCTCTCAGTTGTTCAAATGTGCTAAAAGTCATTTCCTTCACAATTGATCGCTATCGCTCTCAATTGTTTAATTGTCGGTTGTTAACCACATTGTCTTATCTTCACAATTGATCGCTACGCTCTCAATTGTTTAATTGTTCAATTGTGCTTATAGCGATCTTCGATGCGTGAAACGGAGTCAGCATAGAAGGAATGGTCCGTAAAGGGTGATCCGAAAGGTGGAAGTATTCGTGTGTGATGCTCGGCCGGAGTCAAGGTGGCTGGAAAGCCATAAGCTCAGCTGAACAATTAAGAGCGTAGTGAAATGACTATAAGCACAATTGAACAATTGAGAGCGTCAGCGATCAATTGGGAATAAGACAAATGGCTATGAGCTTTATTGAACAATTGAGAGTGTAACGATCAATTGTGAATAAGAACTGACTATAAGCTTAATTGAACAATTGAGAGCGTCAGCGATCAACTGTGAATAAGACAATGTGGCTTACAACCAATTGAGAGCGTCAGCGATCAATGTGAATAAGACAATGTGGCTTACAACCAATTGAGAGCGTCAGCGATCAATTGGGAATAAGACAAATGGCTATGAGCTTACTTGAACTATTGATCGCTGCACTGTCAATTGTGAATAATACAAATGACTATGACCGCAGTTGACCAATTGAGAGCGTAGCGATCAATTGGGAATAAGACAAGATGGAAAAGCGACCAACTGAGAGCGTCAGCGATCAATTGGGGATAAGACAAATGGCTATGAGCTTACTTGAACAATTGATCGCTGCGCTGTCAATTGTGAACAAGACAAATGACTATAAGCACAATTGAGAGCGAAACGATCAAACGTGAACAAGACAAATGGCTATGAGCTTAATTGAACAATTGAGAGTGTAACGATCAATGGTGAATGACAAATGACTATGAGCACAGTTGAATAATTGAGAGTGTAACGATCAATGGTGAATGACAAATGATTATGAGTACAGTTGAACAATTGATCGCTGACGCTCTCAATTGGGAATAATACAATGTGGCTAACAACCAACTGAGAGCATTAGCGATCAATTGGGAATAAGACAAATGGCTATGAGCTTAATTGAACAATTGATCGCTGCGCTGTAAATTGTGGATGGTATTACACGCTACAACTACATTGAACAATTGAGCGATAGCCATCAATTGTGAATAAGACAAATGACAAATGGCTATGAGCTTAATTGCACAATTGATCTCTAACGCTCTCAATTGGGAATAGGACAAACCGCTCTTGGCATACTTGAACAGTTGGAAGCGTTACCGATCAATCGTGAACAAGACAAATGACTATAAGCATCGCTGAACAATTGAGAGCTTTAGGTCAGTTGTGGATCGTAAAAATGACTATGAGCACACTTGGGAATAAAACAAATGGCTTTGAGCATATCGGAACAATTGGAAGCGTTACCGATCAATTGTGAATAGTACAGATGACTCTTAGCATCGCTGAACAATTGAGAGCTTTAGGTCAGGTATGGTTCGTAGAAATCATTATGAGCACAATTAAACAATTGAAAGCGTCAGCGATCGATTGTGAAAGATATGACTTCAAACACACTTGAACAATTGAGAGCATAGCGATCAACTGTGAATAAAGAATGACTATGAGCGCGGCTGACCAATTGATCGCTACGCTCTCGATTGTTCGAGTGGGCTGAGAGTCATTATGCTCTCAGTTGTGAATAAGAATTTATCAAAAGCACAATTAAACAATTGATCGCTATCGTTCTCAATTGATAATAAGGCAAATGACTATAAGTGTCGCTAACCAGTCAGCGATAACCAGGTGCTCGATTAGTGGAGAAAAGTCGTGGAACAACTGGTCTTCTGAAAGCTTTTGCGCCACGTAATTGAACGACTCCACGGCTTCATCACCCATCAATGAATCCTCGGTGGAGGCTAGAACTTCTAGCGCGAGTTAAAAAAGTGTTGCGAATTCTGCTGCGCTCTCAATAGTGAATAAGATATATCACTATGAGCGCATATGAGCAATTGGGAGCGTAATGAAACGACTATGAGCGCAATCCAACAAGTGATCTTTCTTTGCCCTCAATTGCGAGTCGTGGAGATCTACAAATACGAATCAACACCTGAAAGCCTAAGCTATCAGCTGTGAACGTCAATGATGGCCACCTTCGCAAATGAACAATTGAGAGCGCAGCATTCAACGGCTTTAGACGAAGAATATTGAGCACGATCAAACAATTGAGAGCGTAGCGGTCAATAGTGGAGATAAGACAAGGTCGAAAAACAACCAACTGAAAGCGTAGTGGAACGACTGTGAGCACACTTGAAAGTTGAGACCTTAGCGATCAATTGTGGATGGCAATACACGCTACAACTATCTTTGAAAAATTGAGAGCGTAGTGATCAGTTGTGAAGTAAAGAGGAGGTCGTAAACAAGCAACTGAGAACCTAGCGATCAATGGGGTATAAGAGAAATGGCTACAAGCTACAGGCTTCAAGGTACCAGCCACAAGCTACCAGCTACAAGCTGCAAGGGGAATTTTCCATGGTTAATGGAGATGGATAACTACTAACTCAATAACTGGGACCGTTAGCGGTCAGTTATGGATCGTTGAAATGACTACAGGCACAGTCGAAACAAGTGAGAGCGTAGTGATCAGTTGGAAACGAAAAACGACTATAGTCACATTTGGACAATTAGTCGCTTACGCCCTCAACTATGAAAAAGACAAATGATTGTGAGCAAACTCTAACAATTGGGAGCGCTGGCGATCAATTGTGAAAAAGGAATTGGCTATCAGCTGCAAGCTACCAGCCACAAGCTACAAGCCTCAAGCTTTCAACTGCAAGAGCGATCTTTCATGGACAATGGAGTTGAATACTTTACTAACTTAATAAGTGATGACTGACGCTCTCCCTTGTGCATGGCAATGATGGCCATATTCACAATTGAACAACTTAGAGTGTAACCGATCAATTTCAAACCAGAGGAATGACTGTGACACAATCGAACAATCGAGACCACGAGCGATGAATTGTGGGATTGGAATTGACTAAAGGCTTGATCGAACACCAAAGATGGAAAACTACTATTCCAGCAGCTTTAGCGTTCAGTTTTGACGACAACAGAGGGTCGAAGTCAAACACCTTAGAGCCTTAGCGATCTGTTGTGAATCGTAGAACTGACTATAGGCATAATTGAACAACCGATAGCATCGGCGGTCAATTGTGATAAAGAGAAATTGCTATAAGCTACAAGCTACAGGCTGCAAGCACAGGTTATCAATTGTGAGAAGTGGTCAATAACACACGCGCAGTCGAACGACACAGCCTTTAAGCGTAATTTTGGGTAAGAGAAATGGCTATCAGCCACACGCTATCGCCACTCTAACTTAGCTATTGAGCGTAGGCGATCAATTGTGATGAGATGCAACAAGCACAGTTTAATAGCTGAGAGCGTAAGCAGTCAATTAAGAACAAAGGAGAGCCTTGACGATCCTTTGAGAGCCTTGGTGATCTGATGTGAATAAGAACGATGGCTTCAAGCACGTTAATACTACCAAAACGTTCGTGGTCATTCGTGAATGAATCAAACAAGCACAGTTGAACGACTGAGAGCGTAAGCAATCAATTGTGAAAAAGTCGAATGATTGTGAGCACAATCAAACAATTGGGAGCGCTGGCGATCAGTCGTGAATGAGAAAATGGCCTTTAGGCACAAGCTGTCAGCTTCAAGCTACCAGCCACCCGCCACAAGCCACCCGCCACCAGCATCAGTGATCCGTGAATCAAAGCGCAGTATTCTGCATGCTCACACATGCATATCCAATTTCCAATGCCCACAACTGACAGCGTTAACTATCATTTTTGAGATGCAACAAGCACAACAGAGCCACTGAAAGCGTTAACCGTTGATTGTGAATACACACTAGCTCTAAACATGTCTGAAGAACCAAAAACGATTGTATCAATTGTGAATTGTAGAGGTCTATGAGCACAATTGAGCAAATGAGAGCAAAATCCCTAAGCATACTTGAACAATAAAGGGCGTAAGCCATCGCTTGTGATAGTAAAATGGCTATAGTCATCATTAAACATTGTTTGCAGATGCTCTCAGTTGTGAAGAATGGTGCAATAAGCATAATTCACGCCCACACTTGTTACTCCGATCTCAATCGCCCGCAACTGAGAGAGCTTGGCGAACAGTTACGAATCAAAAACACCCGAGGCGCTCAGATGTGAATGAAAAAACAACCAAGACTCTAAGTTGCAAATGAAAAACAGCTAGGGCTCTCAATTGAGCAATTCACAGCGCTAGTGATATGTTGTGAGTTCTAGAATGGACTAAAAGCGCAACTGGAAGCGTTCGTAATCGATTGTGAACAAGAAATGGAAGCAAGCACAATTGACAACTGTTCGCAGATGCTCTCAAACCCATCTGCGTTGAAACTAGCTTTTTCTCACCCACAGTTATCCAGACTCTATTGCTTAAACCGGAGAGCATTTGAGTCATCTTTGTCAAATGGAGAATGTTAGCTTCTAATTGTAGAGACCTACTAGTTAAACATTGCTCTCGGTTGTAAGCAAAGAATGGCTAACGCTCTCGATTATGAAATACGAGGCTTGCTTGAAGAAAAGCCGAATAACTGAGAGCATTAGCGATCGATTGTGAATAGTAGAGGCTCCCAGTGCTCAATTGAGCATTTTGAAGCTTCGACGATAACCACAAGCACAATCGAACATTCAAAAGCATGAAAGTTTGCTCGAAGCATAATTGAATATTCGAGAGCGTTGGCGATAAGCTGTGGCTGGAAGGACTTTTTCAGGCACAACTGAATACCCGAGAGCTTAAGCAATAGTCGTGATTGGAAGTAAAGTTTGAAGTATTTCAATACTAGCCCTTCTTCGCTCCCAAAGTTGGATGGAAGAGGCGCGATAATACACTCTACCAAAGGTTTCATTCGAAAGCGTGAGCGATAATTTGATACTTCTGGGAGTTGCCAGAAGCATAATAGCACAAGAGACTATAGGAAAGGTGGATAAAAACACAATTGAACAATTGATTGCAGACGCGCTCGTTCGTGGATGAATTGCGGCTATACTGGCCTATCCGAACTCGGCCAAATTCGCAATCATGCCTCATTCCCTCTCTCTATCAACAACCTGACTGTTATACTTTCAGCTCTGAGAAAGTCTCAGCAGTTTCAACAATCAGCTAGTAGCAATTGATGAAGTCGGCGAACTTGTACAGCCTCGAAAATGCAAGCGTCATTACAGGCCCTCAACGATCGGCAATAAACAACACGAGTTGGCCGAAACACCAACAAGTGAGAGTTGTCAACTTCGGTGTCTGAGACTCCAAAATTCAGGATTATCAACACCATCTCGTTAGAGTGAGTTTATGAGAATCTACAGCGATCCACTGTAATTAGTAGAAATTGCATTCGAACTTATGGAAAATTCGGCAGCGCCTGTGATGAAACAGCCATAAGCTAAGTGAGACTTATCGCTGGAGTTCTCACTTGGAGCTTAGTGTTCACAGCTCAAATTGATAATCGGTGCAGCTTCCAATTTTGCACGCAGCCTCTGTGTTCGTAATCGATCGCTGAAACTCTCTATTGGTCGACAATTTTTCACAACAATGTTATGAACCTCTGGTCCGCTCAACACGGCAGACAAAACTTTCCTGTTTATCTTCTGACATTTACACATATGTCTCTTCAAGGTGTTAAATTCAAGTTAGGCCGTGCAGTATTGTTTCCATGGCACTTTCAGAATATCCTGATCTCGCCTGCGTTATAAAGCACAATTGCAAAGCAGGCCATGTAGCTATTGTCGAAGATCATACAAGTCGGAGCGAAGAGGGAGACAGAAGGTCGAGAAACTTTCAAGCACCGCTGACGCTGTCACAGGTCACGTGATACTGCTTCTTCACACGCAATTGCGAACAAAAATGAGATGGAATATTTTGCAGACACACGCACACGCTTTCTCAAAATCAAATGGCTCTCATTCAGGGCTTTCCTGCTTCCTGGACATTGCCGCACCGACCTCCAGCACCAACTTCATCAGTTTAAGCTGCAATTGTAAAGGATCACGTGATCTGAAGTAGCATAGGCTAAAATCATTTTCGATTCCTAACAACAATGGTAACCACAAGTGTTTGCTGCGCTGGTTGTTCTTTTGTGATGATTGGCTTTGATCGGGAGCCCTTTTTTGTCAGGTTTTCTTTTTCGATCTAACGTTAGAGTCATCACAATCACAGACATGTGATGCGATGACAGCGTCAGAATGGATATCCAGAACAACTTCCAACCGCATTTCATCTGATGGCTTCAAGATTGATAGGCCTGGTATGCCACCCGGTCTCTATTTTCCTTTCTTTACTAGCGGCCTGGAAACATTACAGAACCACGTTGACGACCGTACTTTTGAACCACTATAATACGAGAGTGCTATCAGCTCACATCCAACCAGTCAAACGACTTTCCTAGGACTCATCCTGGCTCTCACCGCTAGTCTGAACATTATTCTCCATGCAGTCTGAGGATACCTTCCCTTCTCCCCACGATAGCTTTCACTCGTACACCATGCAAAGAAAGGCTTAAACAACTCTCTGTTAAGGGCCACTCTCTATCCACGGAGAGCCCTGACAACTTTTGTACAGCTTTCAAAACTATTCCAGATAAATCTGCTTCCTGCGTTCAACAAAGAGCTGGTCGATTCCCGTACTTATTACGTTACACTCAGATGTGTATTAGCAGATGCGTCCCATCACAGTGGAATCGATCTTATGCTCACCCTAACCTCATCATTACAACACTGATGTCTGGCCCTTGATGAATCACCGAAAAGTTTCCCTTCTGAGTTCCCTTCTTGCAACTCAACGAGAAGCTTAGAGACCATCAACTAAACATTAACTAAACTGTTAGTAAATACGTAGTGACACCAGCTCTAGGGCTTGAATATCGCGAGAAATTACGGCAAGAAGACAACTTGACGCTGCTAATTCTTCGATTACACTCAAAGCGGTCTCTTTCGTCCACAATTGATCGCTGAAGCTTTCAATTGTTCAAACTCGGTCTTCCATCTCATCTCAGATCTAAACTTTATACTCATCAAATCTACAATTACCAACAACCTAACTGAAAAAGATCTATTTCACGCTACGAAAGCCTTGTCAGGATCACTTCAATGGCAGATTCGCTGAACTGGAACAAATGGATAACCGTCTCTGCCGGTTTGGTGGCCGCAGCGTCGCTTTACAGCGCCATAAAAGCATCAACTAAACTATCGACGCTATCACCTCCCAGATACAACGTTGCAGAACTTATCGGCAATACGCCAATGGTTAAAATCGAGTCTCTTTCCAAAGCAACCGGATGTGAAGTTTATGCCAAATTGGAACTCTCCAATCCTGGAGGCAGCGCCAAAGATCGAGTAGCGCTAGGTATAGTACGAGCAGCAGAAAATCAAGGTCTTTTAAGACCAGGAATGCCGGATATCGTGTTTGAAGGCACCTCTGGGTCCACCGGGATATCTATAGCGACTATTTGCAACGCCCTGGGCTACAAGGCTCACATTTCGTTGCCTGACGACACTTCTGCCGAAAAACTATCGCTTTTGGAGAGTCTAGGTGCTCACATCAACAAAGTACGACCTGCAGGGATTGTTGACCCCGAACAATACGTCAATGCAGCTCAGAAGGCATGCGATGATCTCAATAACTCGCAGCAAACAGAAGTAAGAGGAGTTTTTGCAGATCAATTCGAAAACGACGCTAATTGGCGTGTACATTACAATGGGACAGGACCTGAAATCTACAGACAATTGAACGGACGCATAGATGTTTTTGTGGCAGGCTGTGGTACGGGCGGTACCATTGCGGGCGTTTCCAAGTTTCTGCACGAAAAACTGGGCACCAAGTTGAAAGTAGTGCTGGCAGATCCACAAGGTTCAGGTTTCTATAACCGCATAAAGTTTGGGGTTATGTACGACCGCGTCGAGCAAGAGGGCACTCGCCGAAGACATCAGGTGGACACCATCGTGGAAGGTATTGGACTGAACAGGTTGACCCACAACTTCAGCCAAGGTGAGGCATACATCGACGACGCAGTACGAGTTACAGATAAGCAGGCCATTCGTATGGCGAAATATCTCTCGGTTAACGATGGCCTTTTCATAGGCAGCAGCACGGCCATCAATGCTGTTGCGGTCGTCAAAGTCGCCAGAACTGTGCAGCCTGGATCCAGAATAGTCATCATAGCATGCGATAGTGGAACCAGACATCTCAGTAAGTTTTGGAAGGAGGCTTTGAAAGTGGATGCTTCTATTAGATTGCAAGAGGTTCTTGATGAAATTTGAGGATGAGCGCTTGTAAGAGGCGTGAGGGTATATCGTGGATACGATGCATTTTTCTGTTCAGATTCTCACCGCTTCGAATCCGTGATCGAACACAGACACAGACACAGACACGATGACTGGGCACATTCCAACTGGGCTCCTAATGATAACGAGCATTATTGTTTGAAAGCGCTCAAAACTCCAGCTTACATTTCTTCTACTCATCTCGATCGTCTGGAATATTTCTGAACTACCGGACTTTTTTATCGCTGACTTCTTCCACAGAAGTCGTTCATGTTCACCATTAGCTCACACTGGACCTCAAGTGTCCGCATTCAAGACTAACACCACTATCTTATAGTTCAGTCGGCAGCCTTGCACTTCAACTACATGCTACAGTCGTCAACCCATAAAGAGTCGCTTCACCATATTTGGCAAGACCCAGGCCGTCATATAACTTCAAAATTTCAACATATTTACTACAACAAGCTACAATGGGTTAAACCAAGTTCAAACGCATTTTCGTTGGGTTGCGACACCGCAAGCTTTGCTTGATTGTTGTAATGGGCTGTCGTCAAGCTAAATTTAAAGATCCTACAGGCTAATTAACAACTCATCACGAACAACTTAAAAAGAGATCATCGTTGAACACCATAACATCAAGATGAGCTCTATGGTCTATGTTTGTCCTAGCGCATATCTTGCCTCTCAAGGTGCTGAGCAATGGCATAGCGAGAGCTTCAAGCCCGGGTTTGTTCCTATACTGAGAACCAGTTTATTGAAATTTAGAGATGAGCTTGACAAAGTAGTCTCGAAAGTGAACCAACAGAAGGCAGCCCATGCATACCAGACTTCTGACGGTAATGCCACGACCGCAGGGGAGCAGGAAGCAGCTTCTGAGAAAGTGGGAGAAGTTTCAGAAGATTCTGTACTGCACAAGCACCAGGACTTGAAGCAGTTTTTACCAATAACGCTTGAACAGCAGATATGTACCATTTCGGTGGACGGGCTTCCTGAAAGCTTGACACGGGCGCAAATGGCCGAGTTTGTAAGCAGTTTGGAAACTCTCACTGCTGAAAAAGTTGGAATTTCAAATGTTTTGCAGAACTGGAGTTTTTTCAAAGGATTGAACTCAACGGCACTTCTGCTTAGATGCAATGACTCGAAGCAGTTGCCATCAGTGCTTGCACTCTGGGTTCGTATTTTTACTCGATGGTCTGAATTGGATGATGTAGTCAAGCCCAGTGTGCATCAGGATGAAAACACAATGCGATTTTACAATGACCATATGAAGACTACTGATGAGATTCCAATAGCAGAACTTGACGAGCAGGTTACAACGTTAAACAATCTTTTGAAAAAACTGAAGCACTCTAGTTCACCATCTAATGAGGAGAACGTTTCGGTCGATTACCATGTAGATGTGACTACGTTGAGCGATTTGCCGCGATTCTCGCTTGAACAACTATGCAAAGACATTGTCCACTTCCGAACGCGAGTGGTGTCAATCGAAAAGGAAAAGCGTGCGAAAGCTGAATATGAGGAAAACAAACGCATGGGACAACACATGAAGAACGTTTTCGACCAGATTCGCAAGAGCAAAGGTGACGCTAAATTGGCAGAAGACGACGACGAGCCCGGAATTCTAGAAGACGAGGAGGCTGATGATCAAGAAGATGACTGGGTGGTGGAAACACGCGAACAAGAGAAGTTGCAGATAAACACAGACCGTCTGTTTGCAGAACTGCTGGACAATCTAGCGACCCGAATAGAGCCACGTCTACAACGGCTCCAGCAGCAATTGGCTCATGAAAATAATTACGAAGCTACGCTCGAAAAGGAAAGGCCACTATATTTGAAAGAGCTGTTGCATTTGGGTTATAGTCCGTACTACGACCATCACCGGTCCTTCAAAGATGAAGAAGTCCGCCGCGATAAAGAAAACCGGGATGCATACGGAGCAGCAGAGCCTTTGGTAGAAGAAGCGCCTGAAGAGGAAGTACCATTGGTCACTGAGCAAGGTAAATTCAAGTTGCAGATTGGCAAAGCAAAGGAAGAGGAAAAAGAAGCTGAAGATAAACTATCACAAACGGGTGAGGATCTTGATCTGCTGTTACAGAAGCTACGCGACTCGAATCTCGTGCGCGATTTGGCATTGGAATATTTGGGCGAGGCAGACCAAGATCTGGAAGATTATATTTTCGATCATCTCAAAGAGCATGCCAGCAGGCCTGAATTGCTCGCAGAGCTACGAGAGACTTTTGACGAGGATGCAGACGTGATTGTAGCCCGCATTTGGGAAAAACTGGAGAGTCTTAGTCGTGGAGAAATATAATGAGAGGGGCGAGAGAGGCTGAACTGTCAAAATTTAAGATGCTGTCTCGAGAAATGGTCAAGCCAAGAGGCTGACCTTGGCTCCTGGATGATGGATGATGGATGATGGAGACTATTGTTACGTTGTCGTGTGGAGTGATTCTCAACCTGCAAAGTTTATCATTAACATTCGATAAGGCTACATACCACTGCTCGGTACTGCAAGGGACTTCTATTGCCATTTCAAAAGAAGAAGGTTCTCAAAGACACACATGTTTGCAATCGAACCTTTGTTGATCGTGACTGAATTGAAGAACTGTCCAATCACGTGACGCATGTCGATTGGACGCCTGGATCAAAATTGCTTGGACCCACAAGCTTATTTTACCCAAAACCAGACCACATAAGGTATCGTCCCTCCCTATAGCAGTCTCATCTCCTCAAATTCAATCGCAATCGCATCACGAACCATGTACCCATGTACGAACGCACTTTTTCCTAATTTAAACCTTCTTCATATATCACGTGACCCTTTCCTCATCGATTTGTTCTGGCCAGCATTAGTCACTCTATACGTCAAATCGGTCTTCCACTTCCTCTTTCCTAATCGGGTTAGAGATCTGAAACCACGAAAATCGATTAAAAAACAAAAAAAAAAAAGAATCATAGTACTCCTTCTAATACAACCGTTAAACGGCTAAACATTCTTAAACCTCTCTTGACCACTTTTTGGGTTTAAAGAATGCGTGTTATTTCGTGTTAATCGTGGATCACTCACCTTAATTCACTCGTCCAACCTCCAAAGTTCTCGTTCGCTGTATACTGCTTTGAGTGGCTTTCCAACGCAGTTTCTAGCTTTCAAATAGGCCTATTAACAGACCTGTTAAAGCGATACCCGGTTTTTACTATTTGAACCCGTTTGGTTTAGTTTGCTAGAGTTTGTTTCTCTTGCTGAGAGCCTTTGCAACGCGTTGGTATTTCATTAAGAAGAATAGTACTGGAATCAGTTCTTGTTGTTGTGTGATTCAAGCTTTTTTGGCGAGAAAACCCAAGGTCGAAAACCCAAGGTCGAACAAAGTTAGCAACAAAGATCGCCCTTTTTTAGGATTACTTCTGGTTCTTTCGGCTCCGGGGCTTGTATTATCAATCTTTTTCCTTCCGTTTCCCGGCTATTAGCCACCACAAGACAAAGTGTCGTCGTTTTCTTCACTTTTGAATACCAAATATACCGTTGCGGTTGTTTTTTCACCCTAGTCACTCTCTTTCCCAGTCTCAACCGACTCTTTTCCTTCGTTCATTTCTCCAGTGGTTTTTTTATCCTAACTCTCAATGAGACTTTCCGAACGCTGGATCTTGGCCCTATTAGCGGCCTCTGCAGCAAACGCTGACAACTATGCTGATTTTGCAAGCAGAATGCAGAACCTTCCAAAATCGTCTCAGCAGGACACCACCGATACCGATAGTTCTGCAACTTCGTACACCGCCAGCTCGGCTGCGGAAACGGGTCCATTCACGACGTCGTCCGCCACCAGCTCAACCAACGAACCTTTCACGACCTCGTCTGCTTCCAGCTCGACAAATGATGTGCTTCCGACTTCTTCTAGCTCCAGCTCTCCGTCAACAACGAATGCAGCGTCTACGAGCGACTCTCAGTCTCAAACTACATCTTCTATCGCTACTTCTACGGAAGCCTCATCAACGACAACCCCGCAAAGCGCCAGTTCCACTTCAACTAGCAATTGGTGGAATTGGTTGAATAAATCACAGACGTCTTCTTCAACAACTGCTGCACCAACGTCTTCCACAACTGCCCAGACATCATCCACGTCCGAGGCATCCTCGTCTGAATGGGAAACGTCTTCCATACCAATGACTGCCTCCGCTCAACCAACTTCTACTGGTGAACGTGAGCATTTGTCAACAGATGAAGCTTCAACCACCACACCATGGTCCTCCGAGAGCCAGCCCACTTCAACTTCAAGCGAAAGCTCTTCGACTACCTCGTCAACATCTTCCACAGCAATCGAATCACCTACTTCCACGACACCTACAGCTAGCAGCTTCTGGGCGGGTGATAGCACTCAAACCACAAAGCCTTCTACTTCTGCCAGTTCAATTGGTTTCACGTCAACCTCTGCTGAACACTTTGAGCCTTCAACGTCTTCCTCGTATTCTCCAACCCCACAAACTACTTTCGAAACAACTCCTACAGAAAGTTCGAGCACGCAAACAACATCGTCGCTGACTTTCCCATCGACGTCAGAAAATGGATTCCAAACATCCTCGTCAACTTCGGCCACCACAACTGATCAGTCGAAGCAGAGTAGTGAAGCTCCAACAACATCGACGCAAAGTACTGAAGCTCAAACAACATCGACGCAAAGTACTGAAGCTCCAACGACATCGACGCAGAGTAGTGAAGCTACAACGACATCGACGCAGAGTAGTGAAGCTACAACACCATCGACTCAAAGTAGCGAATCTGCTACAACATCGACTCAATCCTATCCTGAAGCCACCTCATCCTCCACAGACCTTCAAAGCTCTAGTTCTACTACACCCGCAACACCAACGACCAGTTCTCTTGACGTTGCAACTACAAGTAGCTCTAGCGACTTTCTCACCTCATTGACGTCCTCCTCAGAAAGTGCAACAAGCAGCTTCGCACCCGCTACAAGCACTTCTTCCGAAACTAGCCAAACGACTTCAGCATCTTTGACTTCTGAAGTGACGCAAGCGAGTTCATCCGCGACCAACGAAGCTACAACGACATCTGTGAATTCTGTGACAACACCGCTAACTTCATCAGTGGCTACCAGTTCTTTTACAGTACCCACGACCACCGAAAGCACTTTTTCATCCACGTCTTCGCTTACCGATACCACAGGAGCAACCCCGATACCCATAAGCTCAACAAGCTCCGCTCTAGCTACAAGTGCCAGTACGGAATATTTCTCGTCTCCTTCACCACAAAGCGAAGGCACTACGGCTTCTTCCTCGGAAACTTCCACGATGTTATCTTTTTCACCTACCTCAATTACGACGGAGAGCGAGAGCTACAGTTTTAGCTCTTCCCCTGTCATTGAGACAACAAGCTCAAATCTTTACACGAGCCAAGAGAGCTCTTCTACGAGCTCTTTCACTCAAGAGGAAAGCTCGCAGGCAACTTCCACGAACTGGTATCCTCCAAGCAGTCAAACTGCGACCTACAGTACTGAGGTCACATCGCAAGTTTCGCAAACTTCAGGCTCGATGTCCTCGACATCGTGGCCTCAAAGTTTTGCCACAGCTCCTGAGTCCTCCTCCACTGATACAACAACAAGTGGGAATTTTATCAGTACACAAAGCTCGGTATACACCACTGCACCCTCTTCGGTTGTGGTCCCTTCGAGCGATTTTTCTTCGACATCCCCAAGCTCCTCGGTCAGTGTTATCAATCCCACCTCCTCGAGTTCCGATCTGAGCTCCAACCCGGTGGCCTACCCGGAGACCTCATCTTCGCTCACATCCGAGACTTCTTCGTCAAGCACCTATTCGGAGTATTCAGAATCTCAGACCCTCTTGTCCAGCAGTCTGAACTCCGCGACTTACCCATCGAGTTCTTCGGCAAGCTACCAGGTGCCTTCGACAAGTTCTCAAGTGCCTTCGACAACGCCATATTCTCAAAGTGCGTTTTCGGCTAGTACTTCAGTCGTGAGCTCACAATTGAGCACAGAATCTGCTTCCCAACTTTTCTCCACTTCTTACAGCTCTCAACCTTCAACAAGTTCCATAACTAGTGTTGATTCGGGTGCTTCAAGTGGAAGTTCAGCTACAAGTATGAGCTCTGGTAGTATCGCTTCTCAGGTGCCATCCGAATCTTCTTCCTCGTCCTCCTTTGCGGCTACTTCTTCGTCCTATTCAACGCAATCATCGGAGGCTGGTCCTTCGACGTCGCCGGAGTCCACGACGTCCATTTCAACTACAACCCCCAAGTCTTCATCTTCCATTTCAGTGACTTCATCTGACTACTTTACTCCTTCGTCCAGTGCTTTGGTCACAAGTAGCTTCTCTTCGTCCAGCATTAGCGTATCGGAGGCAAGTAGCACAAGCGTGGTGTCTTCGAGCTCGAACCCTATTCCAAGTTCAGAATTCAGTCCACCAGCAAGTGTGGTGACTGCAACTTCCTTGTCCGCGCAGCCAGTGCCTGCAACAGAATCTGCACAGGCGCCAACTGAACTTCCCTCGAGCTCGGTCCCAATCGCAGCAACTCAGATAAGTTCCGTGCCCTCGTCGTCCGCAGAGCCCTCGACCACGAACTGGCTTCCAACCGCTATGATCGCTGCTTCCGCCTCCTCCTCTGTTGCAACCAGCGGTAGTACAGGATCCGTTGACCCAAAGCAAGCCACCAAGACTCTTCCTCAAGCGATTGGAGCGCCAACTGCTGTTACCAAACCTAATGGGTACAGTCTCATTACGATAGGTTTCAAGAAATCTCTAAACTACCCGTTCGTGGTGGGAAACCCAGTTACCAGCGCTCAGATTTTTGCCTACCTTCCAAACATCCTCAAGAGTCCATTTGACGAAACCTTGACGAACGTGGAAGTCGCAAGATTGATTCCACTCACTGTCAAAGGAAGAGACTTTCTTTTGACGGTGGCTGAAGTCTACTTCCCTACCAAGCAGGTTTCGAGGTTGCAGGAACTAGTTCAAGATGAAAGCAGTGACTTCTATAGCGCTAGCGGTCAACTAAGCAGCTTTGTCGATCCCACAATTCCTCTAACAGGACTTGTTGATTCTGGATCGGACTCTTCATCGAATTCCGGCGGCAGCTCGACTTCTCCAGATGCTAGCGGCAACGTTTCTTCGGGTGGAAAACAAGCTTCGGGCTTCCGCAGTGCAGGCACACTTGGTTCTTCGAGCTACAGCTCTGATGCTGCTGGGTCTAGAGGTTTCAGCAGTAAGAAGAAGATTGTTGGTTTGGTCGTAGGTGTTACTTGCGGTGCATCCATTTATCTGGCTTTGATGGTGATAGCTTTCAGATACATCGTCAAGAGGAACAGAATGCAAAATAGTGCACCACATTTGGACGAAACATCTAGTTTTGATTCAGGATCGCGTACTGGGGCTGTCAACGATCTCGAGAAGAACATCGACGACCGTTCGTCTATCACTCCAAGTATGCGCATTAACGAGTGGATGAAACAGAATCATTATGGCGACGCACCTGAAGCAGGACAACCTGTGGTAACTTCAGAAATTGAGAAAGGTGGCGTCTTGAAGATCTCGAAACCAATTGCTACGGAAAACTCCTTAGGCTGGAATGAAATCTGAGCTGATCGCAAGCACTCTCATGCAACCTTTTTCGACATGTTTTCTATAGGAATCTATATAAGTTTGTCATGTCAATGGACCTTTGTATCATTATAACAAATCACAACTTCTACTGATCAGCGCGGTCAAGCGCTCCTGCTGATAGAAATTCGATGCACGATGTGTAAAACTCATTGGGAGCTTCACTCATTATTATATGACCAGTGTTAAATTCAGCTACTGTGTGGCTGGGAAAGTGCTCAAGCAATGAGCTGTGAGAGTCGCGAAACAAAGGTGAGCGCAGACCTCGCATGAACAAGATTTGTCCGTGTGCTTTCTGTCGGAACTCTTCCCGAGGTAGCGTCTCGATCACTGGGCTATCCTTCACATCATTAAGTAAACACTTCAAGTCATCTAAGGGCAGCCGATAGTTGACGTATGGATCCGCGTCCTTTGTAGCATTGAAGGTTGCATCGTTATCCTTGACTTCTAAAAAGCCGTGTGCGAAGTATAAAGCATACCCTGGATCACTATTCGAAGGCAAGGCTCGGAAAAGCTTAAGAATTTTCTCTCTCCACCCTTTGACACCCTTTTCCACCTTGTAAGTTCGATCGCTGATTTTGAGCATGAGATCGTAGTTCTCCATAAACGTTTTGCCAATTGACGAGACCTTGTATGGTGGCATGTCTATCGATATGCATTTAACGACATTGATCTGACGGGACAGAGCAGAAAGCAAGCCAACCTTACCTCCCATTGAGAACCCAACGATAGAAATGGGACGTTCTTTGCCGAACTGGTCGTGTAAAAGCTTCACAACGTCTCTTGTTTGAGTAAGGTAGTCATATGGACTTGCCGATGGTGATTTGCCGTGGTTCCTTAGATCCAGGCTGTAGACCTCGGTGTTCAAATCTTGGACCATCTTCCTGCTCACAGCAGCGAAGGACCGCGAGGAGCCAAAAAGACCATGCAAGTTCACCACAATTGGCTTGAGAGGTTGATTCAAAGTTGCTGGTTTGAGCTGTCTGAAGGCCAAATCAACAACACTTTTATAGGGAAGACTCGATTTTAGATTTCCCATAGTCCTGACGTGCTCTCTTACTTCCTGGAGGCCCTCTGGTAGACATAAATCTGTTATAGAGGTTCTCGTTGTAGAGTTTTAGTGAACGCAAGCTCATCATCATCATTCACAAGTTTAATCATATAGTCTCATCACAGCAGCAGTAGTATCGAATACCAATGTCAAGACTCAGGAAGTTCAACAGGGGAGTGCTGGATAGGATACATGGCAACGACGATGGAGATAGCGAGATGCCGATGCATCCCATGGACGTGGAAGAACAGGAAGAGTTTATTAGTAGCTTGGAACTTCGAAATAATGCAAGCAATAATCAGATTGTACAGATCTTGAGCGTGGCATATGTTGTTTGCTGCGGAGTATTTCTCTCGCTTGTGGTGAGGGTCAAAAAGCTAGGAAAAGAGGACCAGACGTCGACTTACAAGCGACTGTTTTTGTTTTCGATCAATTCCATCATCTGTTCGTTGATCACCTTGAGATACGAGATCATCAAAGATGTTTCGGTTTCGAGAAGTGTGGGCGTTCGAATCAGCAATGCGAGGATCAACGGTGTGAACTGCATTTTGCTGTTGCTGATATCATGGGAAGTAGCGGACAAAGTGGAAAAAATGCCATTACGAGCCCTGTTCCACGTACCCTTGGTGCTGTTTGTTCTTTCGCAAATTAGCAGACGATGGATGAACCAGCTACAAGTTGAGATCAGCAACTTGCGTGGTCTGAAGTATAAGTACAAGAACGTTTGAGGATTTGAACCGGGGAAGTTCCGTTTTTGAATTTAAGCAGGCGAACCAGTTTGCGTCGATCGCTAGATATTTGAACCATGCGACAACAAGTGGTTGCCGTCTTGTCATTGGAAATGATCTTTATCAGCTTGGGAACCATGGACGCCGAATTGGTCAACGCATAGGACACAGGACCCAACGATGCTTCTTGTTGCAGGAATCTGAGACGACACACTCGCGAAAAAACCAGTGGGAACTGGAACTCGAGTTGCGATATGAGCAGAGACACCAGGAAGAAATTGCAATGCTTGACGGCGTCAATTTCTGGTGGGGACGAGCTGGTGAATGTTGCGTGCACTGTGAGCGCTGAAACGGTCACCAGATGCTCATCCATGTGCTTGAGAACGGAAAGTGGTTGTTCCAGTAGGTTTTTGGTCTTCATCACAGTGAAAACCAAGCATTCCAACGTCAGAACAACACTGTTATCATCAACAATGCAAACTCCGGCGCGATAATGCAGATCATGCCAGAATTGCAAACATTGTTGGAACCCGTCAACGAGTGCTTGAGACACACTTCTGGACACCGGTTTGTTCTCGCTTGAAGACAGCACGATCTTGAACTGTGAGGACACTCAAAAGATGAGTGTGCGTTAGTATAAATGGATACGTTGCAGGACGTTGGCTATATAAACAGGAGCAGCTACAGATTTGAGGCTTTACATACCAATAAGGGTTTTTGTCTTGGCGGTAAAACGATAGAATGGTCATTTAAGGCGGTTTTGGAGTTTTTGGAATCGTTGGACTCGATGGAAATGGCACTTTTCCACTCAGATAACAGGTCGCGGCTGCCATTGGTCAAAAACACAGGTTTGAAGTCAATATTCATGAGTAAAGCTTAGTTTGGCGGGTATTTCGTTAATTTATTGTGAGCATTACAAGTGTAAATGTCATTATATTCTACATAAATATTAAAATCCACAGAATCGGGAGAAAACACATAGTAGAGACAGAAAACAGAGGAGAAAAAGAATAAAGTAACAAAACAAAGAGGAAATCAAGAACAGTATTCAACGACTTTTCCACATTGATCAGGCTGTTATCTATCCATTTCGTCTGTTACTCATATTTGAGTGTGACGCCTGAGTCACATGTACTTGTTCTTGATATGGATACTTGGATTCTGGTCTATTTTTCAACAAACGGTTGTTTGGCCGAGCGGTCTAAGGCGCCTGATTCAAGAAATTCGCTTCTTAACACTGTTAAACAGTGGAATCCTCAGGTATCGTAAGATGCAAGAGTTCGAATCTCTTAGCAACCATAATTTTTTTAAAGGTGTTGTTAAATCATAAATCATTAATATTTATATTTGATGATATATATACATAACTTATGAAAAGAGCTCACAAATCTACAAGAACTCACACCCTCGCACCCTTAAACGATCCAACGGGCCCTGGAATTGTCAATACACATGGCCAAGTGTCTACTACGATTTTTCCAACTAAAAAAGGCGAGCTGAAAGAGTGGTTTTGCAGCAGTTTTGGTTGATTTTAAAGCGAGACATTTTCGAACATTCAAGACGTCCAGGATCCTCAGGTTTCTTCTTGTTTGATAAAACGGAACTGTTTAGGAATCAAGTAGTCATCAGAATCATCATTGTCGTGGTTTTTCTCTACAAAAGTGTGTCGAGATGCCTAATTTCAATCATAGCATCATTCAACAATTTCAATATTTGAATAACTCCCAAAACGCACTCATAGTAAGCAACCGACTGTGGGCCTCAGCGGTCAATTACCCTTACCAGGTCGTGCAATCGTTTTACAGAGCCATTCTATTGCAGTACGAAACACAATTCGTGGCAGATGTGGCTTCAAATGGCCTAAACCTGGGAGCAACGGCATTTGTAGAAACTGCAGGCTACTTCTTCAGCAACTACGCTGTGGGATGTTTTGTGACTGCTTTGGTGCTAAACCGGATCGTCTCGATGGCTTCGTTGCGGTCGCCCGCTGCAGTGGTGCGACTACCGCTTTGGCCCCGCGTTTTGTTTCATGGGACCGCCATTGCGGCCCTCTTGTATAACTTGAGCATCACCATACGACCTGCTGCTGATCAAAATGCAAGCTCATACTTTGCAGTGACTTATGCAATCATCTGTGCGTCACATTGCATTGAAACTTTCATCACCACCACCTCCAATGCCAAGCCCATGGAGGAATTCGATTACAGCATTTTCGAGCTTTCGATGCATTTCTACTCTCTAGCACGATCGGGCGCTGCGCGTCGAGACTACGTGCCAGATTGTTTAATGGCGCTGCTGGGACGTCTCATCATCCACAGCGTCGAGATAACTCGAAAAAGAAAATATCGTCTGTTATGTTCTACCATCATAAACATGTGCCATATGGGGTACCTCGGCTGGACCGTACTCCACCAGGGAACTCCATCATTACCGCTACTGGTGAAATATCGTCATATCCCCAAGACTATGGCACTGGCATGTATCGTCATATCTCTCGCTTGTTACGCTTTAGCGTGTTTTGTGAGACTGAGTCCATTTGGAAGCGGCGGCACTTCTGGTTTGCGTTTTCATTCTTTCATGAACAACTGGTACAGCACATTGAATTGCACCGGCGAAGAAGAGTTTACCAGCACCTTGATAAATTTCGCGGTTTTCATTTGTAACCCTGCGCAAACAGATCAAGCTGGCCTTCATCGTGAATTGTCCCAGCTAACACATCAAAACGAAATCAACCGCTCATTCTTGGTAAGCGGGTACATGAACAAACAGCAGACTGGGATGATGGAGCCCGAGGCTGGATGGGGCACTGTCCAACCGGTTTGGCGCAGAAAATGGGATGCTATGTGGAGATTAGAAAATGCTCTAAAAAATCGGATAAAAACGTTTCTAATTACACCGATTTCTCAGAAACCTGAACCTTCTGAATCAAGAATCAAAGGGAAAAACCTCAATGATTACTTGTCTGATACCAACTATCAGCAGTTTTTCGCCAAAGCACCGGATGTGAATGCAACGGGTAAAGGTGTTCGATCGACGGATTCCAAGTATCTGCTGCCGGAAGACGACTGGTCAGCCGATTATATCGAAGATTGTTCTGCTTCAGACGGAGAGGCTAGCGAGGAGAGTGAAAGTGGTGACGAGAACTTGGACTTATTGGGCGGGGACGACGACCAAACGCAATCTTCAGGACGACACATAGGCAGCGAGCTCACGGATCTTCTGCTTCCGGTGGTAGCGGCGCCAACTGACACTGAAGATCAAGACCCGCAATGGCTAATATCCATGTGGTCCATTCTGCAGTACGAAACTCGATGTGATCGAAGACTAACGCGTTCTCAATACGCACGCCTAAACGAATCGAGAGTATTACAAGAAATTATGGCAGAGCGAACTTTCGACGCCCGGAAAAGAGACGACCCTGTCAATTCCGCGGACCGCGATCTATCCTGCGTCGTTTGCAAGACCAATGTTCGTAACATCGTTCTATGGCCCTGCAAATGTTTTGCCCTTTGCGAGGAATGCCGCGTTTCTTTGGGCGTTCGTGGATTTAACACCTGCATCTGTTGCAGAGTGCCCGTGAACGGCTACAGCAGGATCAATGCGGTTTAAGTGTGCCGTAGCATCTGTCTTCACATTGCAAGAGAGATATAACTTGTTTCGCTGTCACTGTCGCTGTCGCTGTCACTTAGGCATATACAGTAAATCTTTTAGGACGTCTTTACCGAGCCAGGTATCCGAAAAGTACCTGAATTCCACAATTCAAAATCCGATCTGGGATCCAAACAAGGATCCGTTCCGTATATAGTTACGACCCAATTGGGATGCACTTTTTGCGGTATTCAAAACAACCCGTTTTTCATGACAGTCTCACTTTTCTAATCATACTACACGAAATCATACCAAATAGAAATGATCTAGCCCTACATACGAAGCATGGGCCGGGTAACATCATCGCACTTTTTCTTTTTTTCCAAGCAAAATTGAAAAAAAAGGACTATATAAGAGGCCAGATTTTCGGGTTGAAGACCTTTTAGAGATTTCTCTTGATTTTACTTCAAAATACCCAAGGGACCTGATTCGACAGGACGGAGTGCCGGAGAAATACTCTCACTTTTCTTCGGAAAACTGCTGAGCTGTTTCTTGCTATTGCTGCTTAACTGGTCTCTATCTTGTCGAGTTTTCGGCGCTCGAGAGGCAGAGTTTCAAGGAACCACTGTTTTTCGGGATTGAGTTCGCTTCATGGCATCTCCTCTGCTTCGGCGGGGTTTTGAGTAGCTTTTGGAGTGTTTTCGATTCCGAGCCTATGAACAGTCGGTTGTTGCCGTCGGATCTTCGATTCAACGGATGAAACAGAAGTAGCCCCGTCGACAGGTACCCAGATAAAGTGGGACGCGTGTACCTTGAGTTCTCGTGCATTTTTATGCGCGATTGAGCTCGGTCGCCTTTGTGTCGTTCTACCGCGGTATATTCCTAAACACTATGTAGGCCCTATGGGCCAGTGATCATTTGGGTCAAACCATACTGCTGACATTTTTGTAAAATCTTGTTTTGATGCTACTGTGTATCAAGTTTTGTCGTAGCTATCTTTTTTGGTCTTGAAGCGGGGGAAACACTGATTATCTCGTCGTAACACACGCGTCCATTTTTTATAAAGGTCACTCCTGTTAACCAACATTAAATGGTTCACTACTTGTTGTTATTTACTGTACAATCGTTGCATAAGACGTTTGCTTTGTATGGATCCTCCAATCAATGGTGGAACAAACGAATTGGGTTCTCAACGTAGACCAAGTCGAAAGAATCGGCAGCGGAGAACACGGCCTTGTCCATAACGGAACCTGAAGGTGCGGCAATGTATTTGACACCAGATTTAGCGGCTCTGTAGACGTTATCTGGGAATGGGAAGAAAGCATCCGAGGACAAGGCAACGTTGTTCAACTTGCCCATCCAGTCCTTTCTTTCCTCAGCAGAGAGAGGAGTTGGAATCTCAGCAAACTTGGATTCGTACTCCGATTTTTCTGGGTCCTCTGTTGGAATTTGACCTGTAACAAACAAATCGATAGCGTTTGATTTCTCAGGTCTCTTGACACCCTTGACCCACTTGAAACCTAGAACCTTTGGATGTTGTCTCAACCACCAGTTATCGGCCTTGTCACCAGCAAGTCTTGTGCAATGGATTCTGGATTGTTGACCGGCACCGAGACCGACAATCATACCGTTTTTGGCGTAGCACACAGAATTGGACTGAGTGTACTTCAAGGAGATGGTGGCCACAGTCAAGTCGATCACAGCTTGCTCGGTCAAGTTTTTGTTGGCAGAGACAATTTCCTTGAATGATGATTTGTTGATGATGGCATCGTTTCTCTTTTGTTGAAGAGTGACACCGTAAACTTGTCTGGATTCCAAAGCCTCTGGAGTGAAGTTAGGGTCAATTTGCAAGATGCAGTACTTTCCTCCCTTTTTCTTAGATAGCAGCTCCAAAGCTTCTGGTTCGAAACCTGGGGCAATCACACCGTCGGAAACTTCTCTGGAGATGATCTTGGCAGTTGGTACATCAACAATGTTGGACAAAGCGATGAAGTCACCGAAAGAAGACATTCTGTCGGCACCACGAGCTCTGGCGTAAGCGCAAGCAAGAGGCGACAAGTTTTCAATGTCGTTGACGAAGTAGATCTGTTTTTCAACATCGCTTAGAGGCAAACCAACAGCGGCACCGGCTGGGGAAACGTGCTTGAAAGAAGCTGCTGCTGGAAGGTTTAGCGACGCAGACAGTTCCTTGACCAAAGGCCAAGAGTTTAGGGCATCCAAAAGATTAATGTAGCCAGGAGAGCCACACAACACTTTGAATGGTAGTTCTTCTTGTAATGAGACATAAGCCTGAGCCGGCTTTTGATGTGGGTTAGCACCGTAACGTAGAGGCAGCTGAGTGCAGCCCTCGGAGTACTGTTTTCTGAAAAAGTCCGCGATGGCAGCGTCGTAATCCGCGGTGTGTTCGAAGGCCTTCAAAGCTAGTTTGTTTTTCAAATTCTGACTGACATCGCCCTTGGAAAGTTCCTGGAGAAATTGAGGATAGTCCTTGGGGTCCGAAAGAATAGCCACACGCGAGTGGTTCTTGGCTGCGGCTCTCAATAGCGTCACACCACCGATATCCACTTCTTCCACGGCTTCAGGGATCGTCACACCAACTTTGGCAACGGTCTCTTTGAAAGGGTACAAATTGCAGACAACAAAGTCCACTTTGTCGATGTTCTGCTCTTTCAAGTCCTTTTCGTCAGAGGCCAAGTTACGAGCCAGAATACCACCGTGAACAGCTGGATGCAAAGTCTTGACTCTGCCACCTAGCATTTCTGGAGCGTGAGTAATCGAGGAAACGTCTTCCACGCTAAATCCGGCTTCACGCACCATACGGGCGGTACCGCCTGATGCCAAAATACGCACATTGTTCTCCGCAAGACCCTTGGCCAGATCTAGCAGTCCGGTCTTGTCGTAGACCGACAAGATAGCGGTTTTCGAGTATTTATTAGACATATTGGGCTCAATTGATAGCTAGTGAAAACCAGTATTGTTGAAAAAACCCTCTAGAAAGAATTGAAAAGAGAAGAAAAAGCCTCTCAACGTCGGAATGCAAAGATGATTGACGAACCGAGCGGAAGATTGACTTGAAAAATCGGATCTAGTTCGACCTTTTACACATATATATATATGGGTTTATCAATGCTTACTGGTGTTATAATTGAATATTTTAAAATTTTTTTCACAGGCCAATTAGACCATTCGTGAGTGATGATATCAATAAACTTGACCTTCCAATAATGAATTCAATAATGAATTCAATGTAGAATTAAGTAATTTAGGAGTCGGTAGAGTCAATCAGATAGGCGAGTCAGGGCAAGACGGGACGAGATGAGACGATTAGAAACGGCTGGAGATCTGTTCTGACTTGACCGTAGGAATTGGGTTTTCAAACGACGTTTTTTCGAGGAAAACTCGCAAAGATTTGTACCTATTTTTCGATTCTTAGCACACTAACGTACACATGCAACAGTAGAGATTATAAACTGAACCAAAGCGGAAGATGCGACCAAAAAGAAGCTCGAAAAACAAGAGACAGAAAAGAGCTAGCAAAGGCGCTTCGCTTATTTTCTGTATCTCCACAAGGACAAAGTGTTCTGTCTCTTCCAGGTCTTTCTTCTACCGGCCTGGGTGTTGTGGAACAAGTGACCCTTGTTGATACCACGAGACTTCTTACCGGTGGCGGTGAGGCCTCTGGCTTCACGGTGCTTGTGGACTGGGTTGCAGATCCAGTTGTAGCGGGCGTCTCTTCTGATGGCCTTGTGAGATGGGTCCAACAAGATAACTTCAAAGTACTTGTAGGTGGAGTCCTGGTTGACCCAGTAGGAGTTCAACACTCTCAAGTTGGCAGCACGACGGCCAACACGCTCCTCGGCGGTGGCTCTCAAAGATCTCTGGTACTTGAGCTGGTTGATACCCTGGTTGGTGGGCTTACCGTAGGTGGCACCCTTTGGAGCAGGTCTCTTTCTGTTACCACGTCTGACACGGACACGGTAGATCACGAAACCTTGCTTGGCCTTGTAACCCATTCTTCTAGCCTTGTCTGGTCTAGAAGGTCTAGAGGCACGGTGGATGACAGTCTTCTGTCTGTATTCCCAGACACGGACTCTCTGCAAGAATCTCAAGACATCCGACTGCTTCTTTCTCTGTAGCTCTTCCAAATATTTGTAGGCACCCATTTTATTCTACTGTTGTAAACCGAGGTTTTGAGAAAGGTTTCAAAAGTTGTGTAGAAGGGAATCGAGTGTTTACTACCGATGAGTTTATATAATTATAGTGAAAAAGTTTCAGAATTGTTGAAAAAAAATTTATTCAAGAGTCGGTGCATGGGTAGACCAGAACGTGCGCACCCCAGACCAGTAGCTACGCTGAAAAGGACGGAAAGATATATATATATATATGTATATCCTGGGTGCCACCCTATCTACTTGTTGGGAAAGCCGTAACCTACAAGGGAAAAACCCAGTGAACCGTGCAAGAGGAATATTGTTTCAATTACCATGGGAGAAGGGTTAAGGGCCTCCTCGTAAGAAACACACTCTCCAGCCAGCCTATGGCGATTATTCGAGACCCGCACTACGTCTAGAATCTTACTTTTCTCCATGTAGCGTTTGTATCTGTCCTGGGGACCACTATTCTTGGTCCGCAAGTCTTTCACAGGAGAAAACGCTTAATAACACTAATATAGGTCTTGATACGATTAATACCATCCACGACATCTTTCCGCTGACCGAAAAGCATTATCGCCGGCCTGACCAACGTTTGTTTAACTATTAGACTTCCGAAAGGCCGTTTTGCCAGCTCCTCCTTCAACTTCTTGAAATTCTTCTCCATCTGCAAATGTCTAGATCTCTCACACGTAAACACACACACACACATACGCTGGCGTGTGTTGTCGGTTGTCGCGTAGCAGCTACCCTGATTTTGGTCACCACGTAATTGCAATTTGCACTTGCATTTCGGGTCTGAAACCAAAGCTCAGAACCGTTCGCGGCGCTGCAACCTCGATTACAATTTTTGACGCTCCTTTTACATCAACACTGCATTGTTATACTTTTACTGCTGTAGGTATAGTTCTTCTCTCACAGCGTAGCCTCTGCCGCGTGCCGTTCGCCAAAACTTCTCGCTGGGCCCGCTGGATAAAGTCCAGACCAACTTGTTACAAATGGACGCGTTATTACCAACAACTGGTGCGCAATTACGTAGATGAGATCCTGTAAGAATCCCTGGTAGCACCCGCGTTTCATGAAATACGTACGTGGTGGTAGAGAGACACGCGTGTGAATTTGAAAAAAAGCGTTGAGATTCATGATAGAAAGACAGCTTGAGAGCTGCGCTGCTGGCTGTGAGTAAGTATGAAATGCGCTGGTATGTCAGATTGAAACTGAAGAAGAGACAATGCGTTTGAGGAGAAGATGATGGATGCAAAAAAATACATCTATATAAACCTTAAAGAACGCTTGGTCGGCGGGAAAGACGTGTCGCAGAGGGGCGAGGAGGTTCTTTCCGTTTAGGTGTGTTTTTCGAGAATTCAAATCTGGTACCGTTGCATTCGTGAGCTTGATTTTCGATATCCAGTTCACTATAGCATAGGATACTGACGAAAAATCCAAGTCACGTAAACGAAGCCCTAAGATCCAAGCCCTAAGATCCAAGCCCTAAGATCCAAGCCCTAAGTCGCAAGCCTTAAGTTGCAAGCCCTAAAAATAAACTCACCATAAACACATCTCTAAAACGTACAAGATGGCCATGCAAATACAAATAGATACGGCCAGCTCATCGCAGGATCCATCTTCAACTGTTTCTTACGCATTTTTGGGAGGCTCAACGGGCGGGGTTCTATCGCTGGATCAATCACAGATGCTGTCCACAACAGCGGTGTCCACACGCCCCAGATTCACAAGATCAAGGGACGGTAGCATGGATTCTGATTTCATGATGGCGACTTCCACATTGTCGGGATCTGCATCAGCATCGACGCCAGCATCATTATCAGCATCAGCATCATCATCATCTAATACGGGCGCGTCGTCGTCGTCGTCAACGATACCCAAAACCGCAACTACAGCGGGCTCGACTTCGGCGTCGCCATCCGTTCAGCATTCCAACGGAGCAGCACTCGGTGCTGGTCAAGCGCTCGGGTTTAGGTCCAATGGGTCCAATTGGAAACTTGGCGCTGCAATAACGCTTCTCACGGTGTGTGGAGCATTGTCCGTATGACGGGAGGGGTTGTAAATAGCATATATGCATGAGGGAATGAACTTAATAAAAGGTAACGAAATAGCGAGTTGTGTGGATCGGGTGAGCACCGAGTAGTGGACTTTTTTACGACAAGCAGACACAGAGGAAAAGCTGGTCACGTGCACTTTGGGTGCGACACTAAATAACAAGATGACATGGTGCGGGGCATTTATTCATTCAACGGTGCATACTTGACCAATTCACTGGTCTGGCGCAGGTATCTGCTTCTTCTTGTGTCTGTGGGCTAGTTTTTTTTTGATTGTTCGGGAAGCCAACTTTTCATAAGTGTTTTTTTCTACCGTACGAGATGTTATAGTGTGCCACCAGACGTGGTCGAGCAAGCAAGAAACAACCCGTTTCGTACGAAGCTATGACCCACAAGAACCTGCTTTTTCGATCCGGCAGACACGAAAAAAACCCGTTTCGTATGGAACTACAACCCGTTCAAAAAATACATCCCCGGTAAAAGTAGAGCATCACGTGATGCGAGTTGTACGAATCATATTTTTCCCTTCACCACCAAATCTATTTGCTATGTTGACCCGTATTTTCACTCAATCAATCTCTTTCTCTCTCCCTCTCTCTCTCTCCACACCCACCCTTTTCAACACCGTTCATTCATCTTTTCACCGTTTCACCAGCCATTGAAAAATTTAACATATCAGTCAATAATTACTCTTCCAATTAACCAAACCTAACCTGAATAGCCCTTCAATAAAACCCACCACCCATTCACTCAAATCCAGCGTTGAAACACTCATTTGGGCTTGGTAAGTGTGTGTGTGGATTTACGCCATAATTTCTCTTTGTAGCGTAGTTCTGATCCGCTGCTTCTATTCTTAGTGCTCGCAACCTGTGATATTCGCTGACGCGAATGTAAGAATGCTTGGCATCATCGAGAAATCACATCTTGGTCTTGGTAACCCGCTACTAGCTCCTAATTTTTTCTTCCACGCACGCACCCGTGTGTGCAACAGCGCCTCACGTCTGGCGAGATCAGAAATCGATACACTGGGCTTTTTTTTTACCTTACTAGGAAGTAAGTAGACGGAGCAACAGATCGCAAGACAGTTTGAAAGCCGATGGCGTCGTTGCGATGTGCGGAAAAGGAAGCAGCCATGAGCCAAGGTTAATTTTAGCGTAGAAGCTGCTGTGTCAACCGGGTATTGGCAAAATTATCATGCCCAGCATGAAATCAATTTTCGAGAAACCAGCCGACCCAAACGGGAAAAAGTGTATAAGTAAGTGGAAGAGAATGAAGTTATAGAGAGAATACGGTTATGAGAGATCTGTTTTTAGTCTTATCAAACAAACTGCATCAATTCTCAATTGTAACAGATCACATTAACCCTCACTTTCACCAACCAAACTTTACACACAAAACAAAATGGCTTCTTCCTCTTCCTCTGTCGGTACTGCCTCTAACTTGGTCTCTAACGGTAACGTTAAAGCCAGTAGCGTGACTTCGTCCGCTGCTTCTTCTATGAAATCCGGTGCTTCTTCTGCTAAGTCGTCGATTTCGTCCGCTGCGTCGTCTGTCAAATCGTCTGTCACTTCTGGTGCCTCTTCCGGCAGCTCCAAGGCTTCCAGCTCCAAGGCCTCGAGCTCTTCGTCCAGCGGTGCTGTTCCAAACTCCGTGGCCAACCCAGTGTCGTGGAAATTCGGTGCTCTTTTGGGTGCCACCATGCTTGGCTCTTTCGTCCTAGGCGCTGGCTTGTAATTGCACCAATGGTGAACCAATGGTAAAACCAAGGTGAAACCAAGGTGAAACAAAGGTCAGGAACCCGCATTCATTTCATTTCAGTGCGTTGGGTAACACGCATCATACACACGCACAACTACGACAACAAATTGCATAATACACGGGAAAATTTACAGGTTTGTAAGACTATGTACTTTTACTGAAACAAAAGTAAGGTTTTATGAGAAAGAGATTGGGAGATAAAGGTGGTATAGGTATGGACACTGGAGTTGAGCGAAGGGATTGGTTTTTTGGCCGAGTCTTAAATGCCCTTTACGATATTGACAATTCTTCGAGAGATCTTGAAAGAGCTCGAGGTCACGTGACCCCTCAATTTCTACGAAACCATACATTAAAAAGAACTGAATTGGAAACATATCGTTTCCAAAAAGGATCAATTCAGAAACAAGTGCTCCCCTCCTCCTTCAGTCAACATTCAACCCCAGATATCATGAATCATTGATATTTGGACCTAAAAGAACCAAAAAAATGCTCTTTCAACGGTATATCACTACATACGTCACACATCATCTCTCAAATTTAATGTCCTTTACAATGGTGTGCAAGATACTCGTTTCCCAGTTCTATCTGGTGAATGGCATCAACTCAACCCTATACTGAAGCATAGAACAATGGCCAATTTTGCCGAAGAGCTCTGGCACAGCATTTTCACCCCGGGAACGTCGCCGCAATTGGTTTTCGCCACTCACGTTTCGTTTTTGTTACTGGCGTGCTGTCTGGGTTGGTTGATCTACTGCACCAAAAATGTGCATTTTGTTGCGTTACTGGTAATTGCAGTCCTACTTTGGGCTACTGTGACGTGGTTTATCGCCGAGTTACAGTATGCTAAGTTGAAGGACAATGAAGAGCTGTCACGCGAGGCCGGAGCTAAAGGCAAAAAAGCTGAAACTGAACCACAGCCTCTCAAGGACACGGATTCGATTCAAAAGAAACCGCAGGGTAAAACTACGGCCACCAAGAGTGCCAACAAGACTACCAAGTCTAGAAAAGTTTGAGTGGATTTTACAAAGCCAGGATAAACCGTATCTATCTGTACATGTAATTAGAATGTAAATCTGATACTGGAAAGGTGGTGATTAGTCGTTTGTATGTAGCCAAGGCTCTTTCAGTTCTGCAAGATGAACACATGACGTCTGAACATGCTAATAATTGAAAGTCCAAAATAGAGACTAAAACATTAAACTGCTTGGGGAACGGCCGATGGTATGAAGAATTTATGCTTGATTTCCTCGCATTCAAATTGGCGACTTCAAAATCTATAAGTGTCGTAGGTGTCGTTCGAAACTGTCATTGTAGCTATACAAGAGTAAGCTAAAGAACGAGTCAAATCAATTATGCCGCTAACAAAGACACACACAAGAAAAATACACACAATCACCTAAATAGCTTCTCCTCCCCGACTATCGGTGCGTTCGACTTGTTATAAAATATCAATGCGAACCTTCACATCACTATATACTATGCTGTCATGTCACACAAAGCATCTAATACGAAAAAAGTAGTTGTTCACGCGTCCGCTTGATGAAACACGAACAATCAAACAAGACCGCTACCTAGCTTCTTGAACAACTTACTCACTGTTTCTGAACAGATAAGACCGACTTAGACTCTTCTAAAAACAGTTTAAAACAGTAGTCATCATCGTATACGGAACACGTGAAAATCATGTGTCCTCATTTATGGGAATTTTCTTGGCTGTGTCACCTGCTCGAAACTCACTAACTATGCGTGTGCCAGGTATAATATAATAAACCCATCACTATATAGTTTTTCGATTAAACTACAGAAAGTTATTTATACATTCCTTTAGAGTTTACCTGCCGAATCGACTCCTTTAAGCTTTATTTCGTGAGTATTTGAAGTGTTTATCATTCGGAAACCCGCGTTCTTTTGTTTTAAACGGTTCTAAGCGCTTTTCCGGCGACTTCTAGCGATTTTTAGCGAATTCTAGCGACTTTTAGCGACTTTTAGCGAGTTCAGACCATTCCTACAAGGTAACTGCACGATCAAGAGAGTTTGAACTCTCAAAAGCTCTCAATACCATACGACCAGTACTGACTAGCGTTGTTTTTCCTGCTTGAAAGGCCTCTCTTTCGCTCTGCCCTTTCACAACTTTCAAAATAATGGAAGCTGGTACAGCGGCCTTTGCCAAAAACCAATCCGCCCAGGCTCAACTGCGAAATCAGCTCTTAAGCAATGATATGGGAAATATAGATTTTGCTGATGAAGAGATAAGAGCAGCCGGACCACGGAACTCTGGACCTCCGGCAGGTTTCCCTCCAAACCATTACAATAGACCACAACCACAACAACAGCCGTATCAACAAGTACCATATCAACAGCCCCAGTACTTTGCCCCGCATGAACAAATGCAACCAATGCAAAATGAACAGGCCCAGACGTTTGGAAATATTCCTTTCAATAACAGAAGAATGCCAGCCTCAGGTTACGCTCCTCAAGACCCAAGAGCGTCTTCCTTGACGTCTCAATCGTTTGCTCCCTCTGGCAAGAAGTCTCTACAGTCCAATGGGATTTCAAATTTGTTCAAGTTGCGTCAAAACCGCTCCAAAGAGGTGGAAAATGACAACGAAGAAGAAACTTTTATTACGGACGCAGATAACTCTCTACTGACATTCAATGACATTTCGTCGTTGCGCAACAACGGGGGCCATAAATACGGCATGGGTGCTGGCATGGACGATACATCACCCATAATTCCAACTCTAATGACGAAAAGCCACGATAAAATGAACAACGTTGAGTACAGGAAGTTCCTGGCCGCCCAAAAGAAGATGAACTACAGTGCAATCTCAAAACAAAATAAACAAGGCGCACAGGGCTTCAACAACGACCCTCGAGCCATGTCGTTGCAGTCTTCTCAAAATCCCTATACGCCACAACAGCAAATTTATGGCGGTCAGATGGCTCCATATTCGCATGCCAATTCGATGACCTCAGGGACTCCTCAAATGATGCCTTACGGGCGTACCAATTCTATGATGGCAGGTGGTCCGCCTCCGACCGCACAGTACGGACGTGCAAATTCCATGATGTCCGGCCCGCCACCACAGGCTCGAGGATGGTCCCCGCAGCCCCATGTACAGAGGCCAATCAACAATGGGCAAATCAACAATGGGCCAAGAGCTATGTCGCTTACTGCTGCCGCAGGAAGAAGACCGATGCCACAGGCGTATCCTTCATCACAACCGCAAACCAGAGCGTTCCAACCACGCACGCAGGGCACTCCAGGGCCATCCATTAAAGATCAGAACATGCAAACGACAACACTGCCACCTGGAACAGTAGGAAACAATTACGCTTCTCAGAACAGTCAACGTTTCAAAGCTGTCACCAGTGCCTCTGTTGAAACTGAGCAGGATGATTATGATGCAACCAGCACACAGGCTTTGAGGGACTACGAAACTCATGCATCTTCATCTTCTGCTTTGAGTGATAAGAGCTTCCCCTCGTACCGTGCACGTAGTCAAACGCCCGACAGCCAGGCTGAAATGAAAAAGGAAATGCCGAATATTCATGGCGGCATGGATTCAGAACCGCAAACGCAACAAAAGAGCACAATCAATACCGGGAAATTGAATATCATCAAACTCTCCACCCCTCATCAAAGAGAGCTTTTGGATAGGGGAAACACCATGCATAGCTCAAATATGGACTCAGAAATTGTCGATCAAGCGAATTCGAATTCAATGGATGGCAAAAACTCAAGCATGCTCGGCCGTAAGCTCGAAGAATCTCCGAAGTTCAATTCCTCCGAGAATCGAGCAAGCCCCCAGCACCCTGGGATGACTTATGGGAATCGTAGACGATCTCAAATTCAGTCCATGGCCACGATGGAATCGGCTGTTAGCACCGATTCTCCTACAAAGAAACGCAACCAGAATAATTTGTATATGCTCGACAATGCAACTGACGGTAATGCATATGTCACGGCACCCGAGTTGATTGAAAGGGATGATGGAGTGAACGAGCACAACCTTTCGGAAATCACCATAACCAGCAGAGCGAACTCCTCAAAAAGTATCAGTTCTCAGGGCTCTCAATTCAACAGAGCTGGAAACAAATCCTCAGAACGGAAAGAAACCGGATTTAGTAAAACCCGTAACCTTTTCAGAAAACTTTCTTCTAGAGGTAGTAAAGGCGATGGATTGGATAGAAATTCCCGACACTCTAGTGCCGGTAGTCTTCTTGACAGAGTTCAAACCTCGGATAGTGCTGTTTCCGAGAAAGATGGAATTCCAGAGGGAAAAGTGTGGAGTTCAAAGTCGAGTAATCCCAAGAGAAAGTCTTTCCATTCCCTCTTTTCAAACTCCTCGAGCGGCACAAACGCAGGTGAGCGTGTTAAGTCGTATGCTTCTTTGGCCAACATAGAAGAGAAATCACCCGTTTCTGATGCCGATGCCAGCAGGCGAAACAGCCATGAGTCTCAATTGGACACCACTTTGAATGCAGATGACATCAGAAGGGGTGAAACCAGCATGCATAGCTCATCACAGCCTTTAGGATCGCAGTTCATGGACTCTTCCCGGGACCAGAATGACGACGACTTTAACTTCGACAACACGGTGTCTGAACCTTACAAGCCAATATTCGCATCACAGGCAGAGTTGGATATTGCGCCAGATGCCCACAACAAGCACAAGTTCAAGACTATTTTCATATCAAGCGATCAAATGAGTGTGCTTACGGAACAGACCACGTTGATGAAGGAAATCGACCTCTTGTCTCAAGAGCTCGCAGAATCGGTGGCACGAGAAGCTCGCCTAGAACAAGAGATTACCGGCAGGATCAGCGATACGGATGCCGCAAGGATGTCACTATCATTCGTGGATTTCGAGATCGAACTACGAAAAAAATCGTCTAAGGTGGTGGAATTGATACAGCAACTGAACGACGAGCGGCTCAGACGTTACATTGCCGAAGAGCAGTTGTTGCTACAAGAAAATGGTGCGAAGCCCAGCACCGCAGACTTGGTTCACAAGATACATTCTCTGACGCAGGCTCTTGAACGAAAAGATCAAGAGATTGCTGCTTTGAGTGATCAACTTACCAAACAGTCTGTGTCGTAGTTGTGCAACAGAATAACTCACGCTGGCACGAAAACGGACTAGATTTCTAGAGTTCAGATAGCACTTCCACTACTTCAGGCTCGGGCCAAGAGACAGTCTCTTTATACGAAGGGTTCAATTTGGAAAAGTTGACCATCATGAACTATATTCATCTTTCAACGTATGTAGAACAACATCTCTAAACAAACAGATAAATAGCTATCTGTACCATCGATTTGTCTTCAATGGTTGGCGGTAAAAGATCGAGAAGTACGTATTCTTATTCAACGGCGTTTGCTCCCAGTCCTGAGATTTCCCCACTGTTGAGCGAGTCAATGACGTTGACGCAACTAGAATTGAACAATCAACAACTTGACGTTTGACGACAGATTGAGAGAGACGTTTTTGTGAGTGGTGAAGATCGCATCTTTGATTTAAAGGAGCCAGTATGACTAGTCTTTCCTTCTTAGACCTTTATCTTTGCCATTGGTGACACAAACCATCACATTAAGCCATTCAAAAACATATATACTAACAAAACCATGATTTTAATCGCAGACTTCGATGAGGATGACGGATACCGGGATTTCCGGCCAAGGATGCCCAAGAGACAGAGAATTCCACCTGTCGTACAATTATGTAAGGAAATGATGCCAGACATCAGAACCTTGGGTGAAAGTATCAAGGCTTTCGAAGAGGACATCAAGTTTTTAAGCGAAGCTATCGCGAATGAATTTGGCAACGAGGAGTATTTTCAAGATGCACTTTACAAGACGATCAGTGCCGTGATAGTGGAGCAACCCCACAAACAACCTGCAATTGCGCTTTTGACAATGGTCGTCAACGCTGCCAACCCTGTTGCTGGTAAAAGCATTCTAAATTACGTCTTTGAAAGAATGCAGGAATGGTGCAGCAATTCCATTGACGGCGACTTGGAGGTTACATCGAGCGAAACGGGACCATGGAACAAAATCAAGCTTCTATTGAGGTTTTTGTCCTTGCTGTCACCAATGGTGCAAGAAGATGAGCTCATTTTGCTGTATCAAAGATTGTTCGAGCTGAGTGTCAGTTTGAACAATCTCAATCCAGACAAGAGAAATCCACTATCTGAGGCCATATATTGCAACACGCTTCTGAATATACCATATCTGTTTTATTTTTCCAGAAGCAACGACAGCCTCAGAGAGAAGGTGGCAGCACTGATCGCAAACGTGGAAAGCTCTTACACCGTGAAAAACACGAATCTGTCCTTGATTAAGGAATACAACACCAATAGCCCTTATGAACCTGTGCAATGGGTTTCTGCAGTTCTGCCAAACGTGAAAAGGGTGCTTGCAAATGATATGCAACAACTATTCGAACTATTCCCGGATTACAGTACAATGATGAAGCCACAGCCAGGAAACCAGGGATTCAACGATCCATTGAACTTGCCCTCCGCAGAGCAGCTAGAGCCCTTCAGTGGTCTCGATAGAGGTATGGGGTCCATTGATGGTATGTGGAAAGTGCCTCGCTATTCGTTTAGGGTCTATTTGCCAAACCAAGTAGGCGAGTTCGAGACTGTTGTCCCATTTACCACTTACGCGGGTATGTTATTTGAAGACATTATCATCGACATTGTGGAAAGCATGGAATTTAATCGTAAGGAAGTTGCCAAACAAGTTGTCACTTTGGACCTGTTTTTCAAGCCTGGTATTTTTACGGAGCCAGGACAATCGATAGCTCAACTAATAGCTCTACATGAAGAGAATCCGATCATCACGACTTACAAAATTGAAGATCTTGCCATTGAAAAGATTCTCAGCATGATTTTCAAGCTTCCTACCGTTTCCCATCCCTTTGCTTATTTTTACACACTTTTGGTAGAAATTTGCCAAAACTCGCCAAAAGCGATTGCTCCTGTTTTTGGAAGGGCGTTCCGTTACTTTTTCAACAGCTTAGACGGGCTAGATCTAGAATTGAAGCTGAGATACCTTGATTGGTTTTCCATACAAATGAGCAACTTCAACTTTTCGTGGAAATGGAATGAATGGGAGGAAGAATCCGCCAGGTTCCACAATACTTTTTACAGCCCAAAAGTGACCTTCATGAGAAATTTAATCAGAAAAGAGTTGAGATTGACTTCCAGCAAGGCTGATGTTGAAGAAAGTCTCACTGATGAGTTCAAGCCTTATTTGGACAGCTCGTTCGTGCCAAAGAATGACTTGGTGAATTACTATCAATCGTTTTTCAAGGATTTCCAAGTGGATCCTAACCTGTTGAAAGATAACTCAATGTATTTCACCCAGGCATGTTTTCCATTCAGTGAGCTAGTCCAGGAGGTGATAAACTATTTCCATAAGCAACCGTTAGACAGAAACGTTTCTGAACTGATCGCAATATTCGAGGAAATACAAAAAAACCATGGCAATATCATCGCTGACTTCAACAGATTTGTCGTTACTACGTTATTGCAAGCATTGACATTCTCCGGTAACAGATCACTTTCGCATGCTAACAAATATATTGGTGATTCTCAGAACGACTTGTTAGAAATTTTCAAGAAAATTGAACTAGATCAAGAGTCGAAGGAAAGGTGGATCATTGAGGCCATCCTTCGGTACTGGAATAGCAATTCTCAAACCGGGTATTTGATTGTGGATACCTGTAAGAATTTCGAGCTCTTATCGGCCAAAAGCATTCTCAACTTCTCGTTTTTGGAGGACGCGGGAAGGAATTGGGGTCTTGTGGATGCAACGTCCATCGAGTCCACATTCAGAACTCTCACAGAGCTGTCTCTACGCCGTGATGCCAGCGTAGAGACCTTTGTGTATCTTTTCGAAAGACTGAGCGAAATCGCTTCTGACACCGTCAAAGAGCTTGGAACTGCTTCCGATGCTGCTGTGAGTGTGTCCCAAGATTCTGGAGATATAACAAAACTTGAGCTCGCTTGGAAGTACGAGAACTGTCTAGGATTCATGAAGAGCATACTGAGAAAGTACGCTGATGAGTACGCCACCAGTATCGATCAGCTCAATGCTATCTTGAGTGAAAAGGTCTCTCATGAGAAAACTAAAGAGATCATCGCAAACTGGTTTAATGAGCTACAGCAGCTGTGATCGAGAGAAATCTGAAGACAAAAATAGATGTAGTATAAAATTGATAGTCCTGTAAAGGAACCAAATTAAAAAAGGTCTAAGTGGCAATATCGCACCCACGCAGAACTGATTCGTAACTTTCCGTGTCAGAGGTAGATGTCCCTTGACCTCGAGGCGAATTTGGATCGAGGTGTTCTGCTGTCACTCTTCGGGCCACCGTACTGTTGGTGTTTGTTGTTGTCAAATAGTGTACCTCAGAGCCGTGATCACCGACATTCAGATAGTCTACCTCGTTGTAGCTATCCGAGTCGTCTGGCTGCGGCGTCCGAGGTGCGGAGTCTTGATGCATGCGCAACAGTACATCGACAAAGAAAAGAGAAAGGTCCATGAAACGCAAAAATTGCTCGGAGGTGATTTCCTGACCAGAAAAACGGATCTGCTCGTAGAGTTCGACGTACTCCGTGGCCTCAAGAGGACGCTGTCCAGTGTGCGTGAACAGGCTATGAATGACGTCGGCGAACGTGTAACCAGTGGGAGGATTTAGCTCCGTGAGCCCAAAAAAGGCTCCTTGATATTTCAAACGACTGGTGATAATCTTGATACTGTTTTCGTAATTGAGCAGAGGAGGTAAATTTATGAGTCCATCTTCCTCGTTTTCATTAGTGGGTCTCGATAAACCTGCATGCACAACCGTTTCGATTGGTTTTTTGAAAACTTGTGCCAATTCATGAGACCGGTCCATTTGGCGTAATATGAACTCTCTGCTACCACGATGAGGCAAATCCTCCGGAGTGAAAGGTAGGTACCTCTTGGGAATTTCCTGCAGACAACTGCGCTGGACAAAAACCCTACCAGCAGCTATGATGATACTCAGAACACCAAAAGCCACAAACGCACCTACGACAATAAAGGTATTGAGGGCGTCATTATTAGAGCGAGAAGCCTGTGCCATTGCGTCAATAGGCATCACCACAGAAAATCCGACGAACAATAAAACCAGCACCATCAGCGATCCCCGATAGAGCCATATTGACACTTTGCTCTCGCGTTTGACATCCATTGCTTCACCAATGGAGACTGTTGCTGTCGAACTAAAGATATCAGCGCTAGAAACGGTTTAGGTTTCACTGCACGGAAACAATCCCTAAAACGGCCAAAAGTTGTTCAATTTTTTCGTTTGAAAAGGTGCACAAGTTATCTTTGTGGAACGCGTCAAGACGACACAATCAATCCATCATGCAAGACCTTCTTCAGCCTGATCTTGAACTCTTTTGATTCTTAAAGATGATGGTGTCAGTTTTGATTTCATTATAGACGCTCTAATTTGATATTTGAAAAAGATTAATATCATATCGAACGACATCTTATATTTCGTACAGAAATATAGTGTTACATAATCAAAAATTTGAAAATACTAATCACTTGAAACGAAAATTGGAGCTTTCCAAAATCCGCTATAGAATCGTAATTATCAAATATGATCTACGATTCAAGACGCGCGCGATGAGCTCGATGGCACCAACGTTGCATCTAACAAAAACACATCGATTGACTTCTATAAAGAAGTCCTAGTGCTTGATGGACGAGAGAGACGAAGCTAACGATTCGAATGGTGAAGGTTTGACCAAGAAACGATTCTTCAGTGAAGAGTTAGAGTCGAACAATGATGCAGACACCATACTTTTGGAAAATCAGCAATCATTTTTGTTCCAAGCACCAGACTCGAACAATGAACTTAATGAGGACGCTTCATCAGACTCCAAGGAGCTGCAGGATATGATCCCGGGTCTTTCGGGCTCACAAGCAGCCAATTTGCTTGCGAAAACAAGTGTAGACGATGACAGGAACACGAGAATCTCGAGCGCCGTTGAGATGTATTTTGGCAAGGAGCCCAGTCCAGAACCTACCATTGAATCTCCAGTCAAAACTAGACCAGCTGAGAAGGTCACAAACTTACTTTTCTCAAGACCCTCGCAAAATGTCGTCCGCAAAAAAGTACGCGATTATGGCGAGAGGCTTCTGAAAAAACCTCGTCCCTCAGTCAATTGGCGTCGCTTTATTGGATCGATTCAGGTGAGCGCCTTGGCAACAAGGCCGACTGTCAAGCCTTTGAAATATGGGAGCGAACTTAAAATTACCAAGATAAACAGTGAAGGGTCATCAAAATTGTACAGTGCCAATGGACGTAAAAGAGCTTCTATGGCGAACTTTGTGCGACTTGTGGATATAGGATTGGGTCGTGAAGTGGGTCGTGTTCCGGAAGAAGTGGCGATGATTTTATTTCCTCTTCTGGACGACGACGAATTGGATTTCGAAGCAACCATGATTTATTGTAACAACAAAAGACTTAGCGTCGGGGACTCATTCATAATACAGCTCGATTGCTTTTTGACTTCTGTGGTATTTGAGAGAAATGTCGCGGGCAGCGAAAGGGCTACAACTAGCGCGCTTAATACCGAAAGGCGTGCCTTCTCTACAAATGTTGTGGAAAATGGAGAAGAGCTGCTGATGAAATCGAGACGTCTGGCTCTTCTATCATTGTTCGACAAAGTTCAACTACGACCCATAGCGCTAGGACCTGATGAGACTCCAGAAAGTACACCTGAGGCGACAGAGGTCATCGATCTCGACGAAGGTGACTGTGAGGGCCTTGTTGCTTCTGAAACTGATGCATTGCATTCAACTCAAATTCAGGAAGACATTTTGAATGTGAATCAGTTGAAATCGCTCTACAAAGCCACTTTGTCAATGGAGTCGTCTAAACATTTACCCGAAACGACACCCCGCCCAGAAGTTTTTAACCTAGAGCTCCGAGGGTATCAAAAGCAGGGTCTTACCTGGCTTCTGCGACGTGAGCGAGAATTTGATGAAGTGCCTGACTCGGCTGCGGCATCCCAAGACATTGAAGGGAGCATGATGAATCCCTTGTGGAAGCAGTTTAGATGGCCAAAAGATTTATCATGGGCTGCGCAAAAGATTGAAAATAGTCCCGTCGCTTCTCAGGATGACGAATTTTTTTATGCCAATTTGCATACGGCCGAGTTCTCTCAAGAGAAGCCGATCCTCAAGTCGCTATTGAAAGGCGGAATTCTCGCTGATGAAATGGGTCTCGGTAAAACTATAAGCATATTGTCGATGGTTCTCACGGTGCCGTTTGATAAAAAATATCTGAAGCCAAAACTTTTCGAAGACCCGCCCGACGCAGAACATTCCAATTCGCAACTTCTCTCTCAATCACCTGAGCATACCAAACCTTACGCATCCGGTACCACCTTAATAGTGGTACCAATGTCTTTACTATCACAATGGCAGCAAGAATTCGACAAATCATCTGCGGCTAAAAATGCCCACTGTGAAATATACTATGGAGGGACTACAGGAAGTTTGAGAACGTTGTTAACGAGGAATAAGAACCCTCCTGTAGTTCTCTTGACAACTTATGGAACAGTGCAGCATGAATGGAGCAGACTTGTGACTAACGGGGTTGCGCATGTGGAGGATGACACAGCAGGTCTTTACTCTGTGGAGTTTTTCCGAATTGTTATCGATGAGGGCCACACGATCAGGAACAGGAATACGAGAACATCTAAATCGCTGGTTGATCTCTTCAGCTCAAGAAGATGGATTCTTACAGGAACCCCAATCATAAATCGTCTTGACGATTTATATAGTTTGGTAAAATTCATGCGACTGGAGCCATGGTCCCAGGTTGGATATTGGAAATCGTTTGTTTCTGAGCCATTCGAGAAGAGAAATTATAAAGGCGCTTTTGATGTCGTATCCTCCGTTCTTGAGCCAGTAATTTTACGGAGGACTAAACAGATGCGCGACGTGGATGGAACGCCATTGGTCGAGCTCCCTCCGAAAGAAGTCACTATTGAAAAGGTCAACTTCAACAGACATGAGGATGCACTCTACAAATATTTTCTGAATAAAGCCGAGAGCTCCGTGAAGGAGGGTCTGGATAGAGGCGATTTGCTCAAAAAGTACTCCACAATCTTGGTTCACATTTTGAGATTGAGGCAAGTGTGCTGCCATGCCGATCTGCTTGGATCACAAGATGAAAATGATGAAGATCTAGCTGGTAATAAAATGCTCACGGAGAACTTCAACACAGAAAAGGCGCTTTCAAATGAAGCTGCTTCCAACATTGCGATTAGCGACGATGAGGCCAACGTTATTTTGGGTAAAATTAGAGAGAAATTCCCTACCAGTGACAGTTTTAAAACGCTGGAGTGTTCCATTTGCACAGCAGAGCCCATAGAACCGGTGAAGCAGATTGTGCTTACCGAATGTGGTCATGCATTTTGCGAAATGTGCATATTGGAATACATTCGCTTCCAGTCTGAAAGACAACAGCAAATCAAATGTCCGAACTGCCGCTTTGAGGTCGACCCTAAGCGGTTGGTGTCAATTCAAGAATGCTCCGATGGAGAATTGAAGCCAGTGCTTTACGACACAGGATCCAAATCTTCGAAGATCACTTCGTTGATGAAAAACTTGAAGCGACTACAAGACGCATGTCCCGGTGAACAAGTTGTTGTCTTCTCGCAGTTCTCGTCTTTTCTGGACATAATGGAAAAAGAGCTGTCTGCTTCTTTCCCGAAATCGGAATTGAAGGTATACAAATTTGATGGAAGGCTGTCTATGAAGGAACGTTCAAAGGTTCTCACTGATTTCGCAGAAAAGGATCTAACAAAATTGAAGGTTTTATTATTGTCCTTAAAGGCTGGAGGCGTTGGTTTGAATTTAACATGTGCCTCTAGGGCGTTCATGATGGATCCATGGTGGTCGCCAAGCTTGGAGGATCAAGCAATTGATCGTATACATCGCATTGGTCAAAGAAATGATGTTAAAGTGGTCAGGTTTATCATGGAGCATAGTATCGAAGAAAAAATGTTACGGATACAAGAGAGAAAGCGCTCGTTGGGTGAGGCGGTTGACGCAGATGAGGACGATCGGAGAAAGCGTAGAATAGAAGAAATTCAAATGCTTTTCGAGTAGGTCATGAGATGCTTGTTATTATTTCCACTATTATTTTGTTCTATTGAGAGGTCAGTCATCTAAGATCAAATAGTTGTCATTGACAAATGCATTTGTGTTTTGTTTGTTATTCTTGATCCACCGTCGGAGGGCCTGCAATGAAATCTCATTTTTCTCACTCAAACACTCGAGGCTTTGAAGTGTAAGCACGATGTCGCCAAGACGCATTCCTGTTGACTTAGAAATGTCCTTCAAACCCACGCGGGCTTTCATTTGTAGCGGTCCATCCAAAAACTGTAAGCAAAGTGCAGTTGACCAATATTTCAAGTAGCCAGCTAGTCCGAAGGGCGATAGTGGCTGTTCTGGACCAGATACGATCCTGTCACGAACTGATAGTTTGTAGGAAAAGTCCATCAAAAGCGTTCCCAACCCTTTCCTCTGGTACGGCGGGAGGGTCAAAATACACGCCAGGTTATTTTTTTGGAACGAGGTCAAGTCTTTGGAGAAAAAGGCCATCGGTTTGTTGTTCAGATTACTATAGGCGATGTAGAAATCATAATGCTCAACTTTGAAGTACATTGACTTGTTGTCAAGAAACAGTTTTGTAAAGAGACACAGGCATTGGCAGAAGAGTAGATAGCGGGAGCCTGAAACTTTGCGGATGCTCAGTTCTGGTGTGCGATACTGGATCCTTCCTGGAGCTCTGTCACGAAACTGGCATTGCGACGCATGTTCTTTCAGCTCATCTGCAACATCTGTGTATTTGAAACAAAATTCGCATACGTACAGAGTTTCCAGCCAACAATCTGGCGTACTAAGCTCTCTTTTCCTGGACTTTTTGACTTTTTCTTCTTTTTCATCTGGAAGATGCGCTGAATTGCACCGAGATCGTCGACCGTCGGGGTCTCTCAGCCCCAAATGTCGTGTTGTTTGCTGGAAATACGCTGTACTTCCGTACCATGTGGGAAAACGTAGGTCTACGCCAAACTGAACATACTCTATGTTGCGTGTCTCGATAATTCCGTAAAGCTGTTCTTTTACAGTTGTTCTCCCTTTCTTCTCCATCTATAAATGCTCGTCAAGTGTCAATCCGGTGGATCTATATACAAAATTTTGCAAGGAATCGATTCAACGAGCTTACAAGAGGCCTGGACTGCTCCTCGGTCCCCCAGTTGAGACTTTACAACTTTGCCTAAACCGTATTCAGTTCATGGTTCTTAGCTCATCGCATCAATAAGTGAAAAATATCTTGAAATTTAGAACTCATCTCATCTCATCGCTCAACACATCTCAGTTGAAAAGCTGTTAAGAGCACTCAAATACCAAGCCTAAAGTACTCCAAGACCGGCTCAGACCATTTGTATAAGAATAGGCGGCGTTTTGTGAGATGGGAACATACCGTAAGCGTTTCAATGAGAAGGCTAGAGCAGGCCAAATGGCCAAGCTGAAAGAGCTCAAAAAGGTGAGGAACAAACAGTTTTTAAGACATTTGGACGACGGTACTGAGGTGGAAGAATCAGTAGAAAGTAGCGAGAATCCCAACAGTAATGCGGAAATCTTGCAGCCGCTCACAGATGCCGAAAAGGAGGCGAAAAAGAGAAAACTTGAAGAACTCTTCAAGCCACAGGAATCAAAAGTGTCAAGACTCAAAAGGAAGCGACTGGATAAGTTTGTGGAGCACCAGCTGAAAAGGGAGGAGAAAAAGGCCATTATAGAGAAGCTACAGGAGCACAAGATCGACACATCGATGCTAACGAGCTCCAAAAACCTGGGACATGGCCGTCAGACTAAGAAAGAGCAGTTTCAGGAGGCATTGCAACTGGAAAAGATGGGTCGTTCCGACGAAAATGTTAGGAATATTCTGTACAAGGAGCACGAGGTCAAGGAATGGGATGGAAGCGACAGTTCTGGCGAGGACGAAGATGTGTCCGATCACAATGCTATTAGCGACAATTCTGATGGCCAAGAAGGCGAAACAGAAGAGCCTACGACCATCCAATCGTCCTCGTCTTTTGTCGACAACAGACCAGCCAAATTCGGAGGGTCCGGGTTCGGTTTCGGGTTCCAAAACGCCAAAGTCGTGCACAAGACGAAAGCGCCATCTAAACAGCGATACAATTGGCGCGAAAGAGTCCAGATGCAGGAGGCACGCAAGCACAACAAGGACGACGAAATGGATTTTGAGTCCAGCGACTCTGAAAGTGAAAGTGGAAGCGAAAGTGGAAGCGAAAGTGGAAGTGTAGCCGAAAGATCTACAGGTGACGAACTTGAAGCCTCTGATAACGATGGCGAGCAGTCAGAAGAAAGGTTCGAGTCTGCCAGCGAAGGCTCAGACTCAGAATCATCTGTTGAACCCACAGGGAGCAAAGCAGACGACTTCAAAGAGTGGGCAGAGGGCCAGATAAAAAAACTAGAGGGCCGAGAAACACCATTGGAGACTCCACAATTGGCTCATCCATACCATAAGATCATCAGAACCGAGGATTTGGAAGACGGCCTTATAGATGACAGCGCACCAATAGATCAAGAGTCTACTAGGAAGGCATTTTACGTCAACGTAACAAGGTCAGATGAGATTCAAAAAGCTCGAATGCAGCTACCAGTTTTTGGTGAAGAGCACAAACTTATGGAGGCCATTCACCACAACGACGTTGTAGTCATTTGTGGTGAAACGGGTTCTGGTAAAACGACTCAGGTTCCACAATTTCTTTTCGAATCCGGCTATGGCGATTCTCATTCTACTGATACACCAGGGATGATTGGTGTTACACAGCCGCGCAGAGTCGCAGCCGTTTCTATGGCCAAGCGTGTCTCTTCTGAGCTTGGTAATCATAAGGATAGTGTGTCATACCAAATAAGATTTGACTCCACGGTGTCAGATAACACCAAGGTCAAGTTTATGACGGACGGTGTATTAATGAGAGAGATGATGAATGATTTCATGCTCGCCAAGTACTCTGCAATCGTCATTGATGAAGCACATGAAAGAAATATCAATACAGACATATTGATTGGGCTATTGAGCAGATGTGTAAAATTGCGCGCCAAGAACCACGCTAGCGACGCCAAGAAGTTCAAGAAATTGAAGCTGATTATCATGTCAGCGACACTCAGAGTCTCTGACTTCAGCGAAAATCATTCTTTGTTTCAAATACCGCCTCCTGTGCTCAAAGTTGATGCCCGTCAGTATCCTGTGTCAGTACACTTCAATAAGCGTACTGCATTCGATTATGCGGAGGAGGCTTTTCGAAAGACATGCAAAATTCACCAAAGGCTTCCGAGGGGTGCTATTCTGATCTTCATGACGGGACAACAGGAAATCACAAACATGGTGAAAAGACTTCGCGCTGAATTCCCTTTTCCTAAGGCTTCCAAAAACTATAAAGAAATGGTGAAAAGCAACCCAACGATCAAAGTCAACGCGAAGAATGTTGACATCGAGGCTGAGGATGTTGACTTCAGTGTAAATGTGGCTGATGATAGAACTGACGAAGAAAACGATGATTTTGAAAACGACGACTCGGAAGAAGAAGGATTTGATGAGAATTTGGAAGAAGGTCAAACGGCTTCGGATCCCCTGTATGTGCTTCCACTCTACTCACTGTTACCCACTGAAGAGCAGCTCAAAGTATTCAACGAACCACCAGAGGGATCCAGGCTATGTATCGTCGCTACCAATGTAGCTGAAACTTCTTTGACCATCCCCAATGTTCGTTACGTTGTTGATTGCGGAAGAGCAAAGGAACGGATTTACAATGAGACAAACGGGGTCCAGAGTTTTGAAGTGGGGTGGGTAAGCAAAGCTTCTGCAGACCAAAGAAGCGGAAGAGCTGGGCGTACTGGTCCCGGTCACTGTTATAGACTCTACTCATCTGCGGTTTATGAAAATGACTTTGAGCAGTTTTCAAAGCCTGAGATTCTTCGCATGCCTGTGGAAAGTGTCGTTTTGCAAATGAAAAGCATGGCAATTCACAACATCCTGAATTTCCCATTTCCAACGCCGCCCAGCTACAGTTCGTTGCAGAAAGCTATAGCAATGCTCCAGCATTTGGGTGCACTAGACATCAAGGAGGCCATTACCGACGATGGCAGGAAAATGAACATGTTTCCTCTAAGTCCGAGATATTCAAAGATGCTGTTGGTGGGCAACGAAAACGGATGCTTGCCTTATATCATTTCGATTGTGAGCGCGCTCTCTGTAGGAGAGCCATTTTTGACCGAACATGAATTGGGAATCAGTGCTACTGACGACGAGTCGGAGAGTTCGACACCTCAAAATGATGCTTTGATCGACCAAAAGAAACAATTGCGAGCTCAGTACTTCAAAAGTCAATCGAAATTTTGCAAGCTTGACAAGTACAGTGATGCAATTAAGCTACTGTCGGCCGTCAGTTCTTTGGATTATGTTGGGCCAGATAAAAGAATCACCTTCATGAAATCAAACTTCATGAGGCCCAAAATTGTAGAAGAAACCAGGAAACTGAGAAAACAGATCTTTTACATTGTGAAGTCCAACACGTCCAGAGAAAATGTCGGAGCCAGTGTTTCTGAAGACGATCTCAAATCCAGTGTTCCAAGCGCGAATCAAGTGAAATTACTGAAACAAATGGTGTGCGCTGGATTTGTGGATCAAGTAGCTATCCGGGCTGATCTTTTTGCTCCCGACGACTGCCAGATCACAAACAGGACCGCTGTTTCGACAGTACCGTACGTGCCGGTCCTAGCTCCAATAGTGCCTGGTGACATTTCTCAGAACTTCGTTTATCTGCACAATACCTCGATCCTCAACGATATCGGCGAGCAGCCTCCCAAATACCTCGTGTATCATTCTTTGCATTTGAACCAACGGACTGAAAAATCTAAGACACGCATCAAGCCTCTGTGTGACATCAAAAGCACACCTTTGGTCAACATCGCTCGTAAGGGCTCTTTGGTAACCTACAGCAAGCCTCTTGCCGGCAATGGAATTCGTCCTATAGATATTTCAAGCACCGAAAGATTGTGCTACGTTACTCCACGATTTGGAAGCACGATTGACAGCGACTTGAAAGTTGGTTGGGATCTCAATCCCGTTGCTGTGCGTCAGAAAAAAATAGCCGGCCAATGGGTTGTTGAGAAGCTCGTCACAGCCAAGAATTACAAAGAATCCAGCGACCAAAAAGCCGGCAAGAAATGAGTATTCTACTGATTTTCAACGCTGAACGTAGTGGCACTCGATCATTATTTGATTGCATGGATTTTTGAAAAGGTAAAAACTTCGCCAAAAAAGCAAACCAGACACAAAACAACGGTGAAATGACTACAAATAAGCTTAAATCCCAGCAGCATTTTGAGCGGCAACGACGGTGGTGTGCTCTCGATTCTCGATTCCATTTTATACTACTTGGCATTTAAATCACTATACACGGAAGAGCATAAGTATAATCAATTAATTTCGTGATGTTATATATCATACACAACATAAGAAACAGACACAGTAACTTTAAGAAATTCGTGGACCTGGAGGCCTAAATGGAGCTGAATCAGGTTTTTGAGAATTTGCATGCGATTCTACAAGCGTATGTTTGCTCCAGGAGCTTTTCAAGCTGCTTTTTTCGTTATGTTTGAGGCTAGTTGTCCAAGCATCAATGAGCATAGAGATACTAACAAAAACAACATTCAGTGCTTCATCGAAATGTAAAGTTATCGATGAAAAGTTCCCTAGCAAGTTTTACGAGAAGAATCCCAACAAGATATTCGAATCCTACAAGAAATTTTTGAAATCGAAAATAAATAGCGAAGGAGCCATCAAAAACGAAGAGAACTTTCCTGTAACGACTATTAGTGAGCGATTCGAGAAGAATGAGTACGCTAAAAAGCAAAATGCTTTTTACCGCCTGCATCACGACGTGAAGCTAGTTTGTACGTTACTGATCCATTTCTACCCCCAGGGCACTCGCACGTATCAGATGGTGGATAAGTTCTACAAATTCGCAACCGAACTTTTGCTGCGAGAGTGCTATAGACTGGGCATACAGCTAACGGACGAATCAGTTCCAGAGGAGCCGTATGATTCGGTAAAAAGTCCTTTAAGCCGGCAAGTTTCGCATGATTTCATCAAAATTTCAACGGCGTACGCAGTTCCTTACGCCGAATCTTACTATGTTTCGTCCGGAGACTTGGACCTCTTCACGTCTACAATCTCAAAGTCACAGCTCGACCACAGATCAACAGAAGCTCCAAACAGTAGTTTCGAATTGAATAAAGTCATCCCACAGGCTGGAGATGAAATCGCTCCAAAACTGGGCTTTCTTGCAGCCAATGTAAGCAATATTCCAGATCCGACTTTACCACCATACGAAATAATGTCAAAGTTCTTGCATCCAAATTGGTATGCTATGCCGACCACTGTATGGCTTCAGTATGGCGAATATCAATCATGGGCCCCTTCTTTCAATGAGAGCAGCACTGTTATTGACGCTGGCCATAGAGGGACTATTTGGCTCGAAAAAATTGGGTACATCAGGCTGCGGAACATGCACGATGTCCAGGTTAATGAAAAACGGGCGCGAGCTGCGAAAGATCAAGATTTGAAGAATACCGTTGGATCTGAGTTAAGCACAGAACAGATGAAGGCTGAATCAGTAACTGCTTCTAATACCGATTCTAATGAAATTCAAAATGCACCAGTGGAGAGCAAACCAACTAATGGATCTGATCAAGAAAGGCATGCAGAAAATGGTACGAAGGAGCTCGACGAAGAAACAAAAGTCGATGAAAAACAGATAACCGAAACAAATCAAGCAACATCAACAACACCTTCGATAAAGCTTGAAAATCTCTACGATTGGACGCCCGGTAATTCCATTGAAAATGACGAACTTGAAGCGGTTTCTAAAGGGACGCACGAGCAATTGGTAACGAGAACGCTTCTGGAACTAGCTAGCTTAAAAAGGAAACGCCTTATCACTAGGCGAAGAAGTCAACCTTCCGCAAGAGAAGTTCAATTGTATCATAAAGTTCAAAGGATCATGAAGGAAGTACTTCTTGCTAAACAAGTGAGGAAGCTTCCTCAGGTAACATCACGTTCGTTCCCTGTATTACAAGCCAACTACATGGGTAGCATACCAGTGGTACGGAGTGTCCAAACGCGAAAGAAGAAATACAGAAAATGAAAAAGAAGCTTGTCTATCAAATTCTACCTATAGATCATTCATGTGTAATATATATTTGACGAAGGCCATGGCATGGCATTAAAAGTGAACGTCGGCTCCTGACAGATAAGCTATAACAAGGTAGCAGTTCAATCCACTAATCGTAATCCAAACCAAGATGGAGGTTATGGCGAGCCATCTGCTGTTGGCATAGTTGACTTTTCCTACTGGTCTTGACGTCAATGCTGTAGTCTCGGTGGCTTCGTATTCGTCTGGGTTCAACTGCCTGCTTTCATCCACCGACATGATCTTGCTGTTGCAAGTGAAGTAGATTAGAGGCGCTGATACAATAGGAAGGATCAGTGACAGCACAACTTGACTCAAATTTAAGATGCTGGAAACACCCTTTTCACCGAAAAGGGCAGCAACAAAGAAACAAGGCAATATAGCAATCAGTCTTGTCACGAATCTAGTAACCCATGGTTTGAGAGTCCATTTCAAAAATCCCTCCGAGACAATTTGACCTGCCATTGTACAAATTACACCGGCAGATTGGCCCGAGAAAAGCATCGCAAGCGCAAATATCAAACCTGCGGCTGGAGAAATGTAGTAGCTCAGCAGTTGGAAGATTGATGTGAGGTCGGCGTCTTCTGCATCGGGCTGTCCATGCAATGTTGCAGCTGCAACGATAAGAATGGCTGAGTTGACAAACGTAGCTATGAGAAACAAGGAAATGATCAGTTCCGCATATGAGTAGTTCAAAGTGTACTTGATGGCCGCTAGGGAAGGTTTACGGCTAACTTTCCCGTACTGTTTGAGATCATAATCATGCAGTCTGGGTTTGACGACTGAGGAGCCCAAAAAGAGCGAATGTGGCATGACAGTGGCACCTAAGATTCCCAAAGAAATGTACATGGCCTGGTTATTTTCCAGGATGATAGTTGATGGGAAGTAGCCCTTGAAAACAGCAAGTTTGTTGGGTATAGAAATTTTGAAAAGTTCCAAGATAAAACAAACCACAGTGGCCGCGACCAAAGTTGTGACGAACATTTCAAACAAACGCACCTGTTTCATGGACTGAGCTTCAGGCTTATAGAATATCAAGATCGCCAGGACATCCAAAATCGTCAACGCAACACCCCACAACAATGGTATGTGGAATAGAATTCGCAATGCTACAGCTGTTCCAACGACTTCTGCCAAATCGGTAGCCACGATAGCGAGTTCAGCAAACACGAAAATTGCCACGTTCAACTTATGAGGTAGGTGTCGACGACAATTTTCAGCCAAGTCTCTGCCTGTTATAGTCCCCAGCTTCACACACAGACATTGCAAAACCACTGCAAAGATGTTCGAGACAAAAACCACAAACAGCAGCTGATATTGGAACTGTGCACCACCGGATACACTGGTAGAGTAATTGCCAGGGTCCATATAAGCAACACTGATGAGAATACCTGGCCCAATAAACTTGGCGAACTTGGACAAAACCTCTACCGCAGACATCCTGAAAGGAGGTTAATGAGCAAATGGACGGATTTCAAGTGAAGATAGCGGCTAGCTTGGACTACTTTTCTAATGGACTTGAAGCTCGTTTGACTCAAGATTCCATTGAATTGTAGATAATTAATTGTCATTAACCATGAGGTTACGCATGTGATGAGCGATGAGCCAGAAGCTCATCGCGATTTGACGATTTTGATGAACTTGAGGTCTGATAGAGGATCGATATAGTGATTTTTGTTTGTGATTTGCAAACTTGTGAATTTGCAGTGATTGAGAGCTTTTCAGAACAAAATTTGAAGTGATTTGGACGTTTTCCAGTCCATTAGCGAATGCTTGAAGCTAAAATGGACTAAAGTTGGTTTTGTCCTCCTTTGCAAGAGGACTCGGAGCTTTTTTGTCGAGCAATTGAGACAAAATCATTGTGCTCTTTCATTCAGGTGCATTTTTCAATCCATTGTTCTGCAAAGATTGGTCAGTTCCTTGCTTCTTTGCAAACCGTCTTTGATATTGTAAAATTCGGGGCTGAAGTGTTGAGCTAGTGGTTAGAATGTATGAATGATAATTCAAATGTGGAGCAACACAATTTCTGGGAGCAACCATCGGGTTTTTGCAGCCGGTAGTAGCATCCCGATGGGCATTTTAGCCTGTCAGCTCTCGTTGCAGAAATCGGAGATACCAAAACTGTGCGGGAAGAATTGAACGTGGGAAATGAAGTCGAAAAATGATTGGAAACAACACCATGGTCTAGGTATTCAAGCGTCTCAACAATTGGACAGGTATCGAATATCAGCTAGAGTGACAATTCCAACCAGTACTCTTCAAACCAGTGCTATTATAGCGGGAAAAAAACGGTTTAAAGTCGGTAGACCAATGGAATCATGCATTGAAATTGTTGAGAAGCATCGCTAGCTCACGAAAGTGACTCAACACAGCTAATGGAGATACTTATAAGATCCCAAGACATCGCCATACTGACAGTGACAATTGTCATTTTAATATTGATATGTCGCTGGCGCTGTATCACGTGATCTCGATAAAACAGTATAAAATGTTAAAGATCTTCGAAGGACATAAAAGCAAGCACTCTTGGTCGAGCCTCTTCGAAGCAATTGGAAAGCTTGTTTTACGTCTTTTGTACTCTTGTCCAAATGATTCCTTTTTTTCTTTCTCTCTCTCTCTATATATATATATATATCTGACCACCAAAACCAAAGATAACGTCCCGTGAAATAGAAAAATAATGAACTTCAAGCCCTTAGAAAATATGCTAAATTCAGAAATCCTCAATAACGCCTTTAAATATCCAGTGCCACACTTTTCTTAACGCTTAAAACGCTTAAATAGTGCTTGTAATATATATCACTATCAACGAAATACAAACTTTCAAAAAAACGCTAACGTATATTACCTTCACCATACATAAACACACTCAAGAGCTCATCAACAATCATCAAAAAGCGGCCACGCAAAGCTCACACGTCGGTATACCATGGATCTGAGAGATCGTTTCAGCGATCGCAAACCGACGTACACGGATCTCCGAAAAAAAAGACCCGATTTCGGCTTGCGCGAATGGCCACAATCCAGAAACGAAAACCGCTTTGATTCGAGTCCTCTGAGCTCAAAGCAGGCCACACACCACTCTGAGCTAGGCAACGATGTCAAGCGCAAAATTGCAGATGAAGACCTGCCGCTGATATCCTTGGGAGCGCTAGACATTCCAAGTCAAAGGGCGCTTGTTGCGTCTATCTTCGCTATAATCCAGGCCTATAAATTGTACGATCTGATATTACTGAAAACAGGACTTCCGGTTTCAGGAATACTGCTGACAAGCTCACGTTTCAATTTCATAGCAAAATACGTGGTCATCGATTCCCTGTTTCTCTACCTTCTACCAAACTTGAAGATCCCAAAGTTGACGTTCAGTCCATTTGCAGTCTTTGTGCAAATCTTACTTGCAACAGCCGTGACTGTGTTTCTGTCAAATGAACAAAGCTTTCCTTTTTTGACAGTGCTTATTTCTGCATGGTCCAAGTTTAATACCAAACAATTGAGTTTGACGGGTAGTTCCGTCAACCAACGCAAAATTATGGATCCCACTTCACATTTCAAAGGAGCTTTGACAATCAAAATTCTACCGGAAAATACTGCAATGCTGAACCCATTCCACGATTCATTCTGTTTGAACATGAATGGCGTCAACGTTGAGGATCTCCATATCCCTCTCAGAATCAATTCGACTTCAGAGATCGAGTTTCTTCAATTGGAGTATCGCGACTTGGATTCCTCGAATGCTCAATTGCTAAATTTTACGAAAAAGCAACTCATTGAAGTACCGAAATCTCACTCTTTTTTCAAAAAAGACCAGGCTTCTCATCACGCATCAATTCGCTACTTTGCCCTTCCAGTGGAGAAAATCGGCTTTTACCAAGTGAAAGAGATAGTTGATTCCAAAAAATTCAACTTGAGGCTGTTCAAGTCCCAAGTTATCGTCCCACATTGTCCATGGGGTGTCATAGCTGGCTTGGGTGAGCAAGATAGATGTGTCGGTGATTTAAGCAAGGTCTCTATTGAGGCACATGGTGTTCCGCCACTCAAGCTTGAGTATAAGCGTTCCATGGATGGCGAGTCTGCTCGATTCGCCGACACAAATCTAGCACCCGAGCGATTCGAATCACCGCTATTATCAAGTCAGAAGATTTTCTCGGATGACGCAATAGCTAATTTGCACTGGGCTAGAAATCATCCCGTTGCCATCAGTCTAGAGTCAACCCTGAAAGATGACGGTACTTACACCTACACGCTAGAAAAAATTACCGATGGATTCGGCAATGTGATGGACTTTTCAACCATGTCCCCGGACTTGCTGCAAAAGTACGGTGTTTCCTACAGCTTTGACGTTCACAATCTGCCCAAGGCAACCTTGGACTCTAAATTCGATCATAATTCTCCCACTAAAAGGTCTTTGGTGGTGAAATTTGAAAACACGAGAAACTGGGAGCAAGGTTGTCCTTACAAAGTTGCCCTTTCGGTATTAGGTGACGACGACAAGGCCTCAACTTTCGAGTATGACCTTTACAAACCCACAACGGAAATTCCCATTGAAATACCGGGTACCTATAGTCTAGAGTCGGTGAGCTCACGGTTTTGCTCAGGTATTGTGATTGACAAGTCGAGTATTCTTGTAACGAAGCCAATCCCTCCTAGCTTACAAGTCAAGTCCACACCAATCTTAGACCAATGCGTTGGACAAGTTGGGCTGAATTTTGACCTGACATTTACCGGGGTTCCACCATTCTACTACAGAACAAAAATTTACAAGATCGAAGGCAAGAATCGTGTTCTACATGACACGAAGAAATTCACTTCTCAAGGAACAAGAAATCAATTCCGTTATAGTCCAGCCACTGAGGGAAACTATGAAATTGTTTTTGACCAAATTTCCAACACTTTGTTTACCAAAGCAATTCCTTTAGCTCCTGTTGAGAATTTCACATTCGCCACCTCGATGAGAGTGAAACCGGATGCTTCGATCTCTTCGAAGTATGCTACTCAACTCTGCTTGAATAGTCAAAGCAAAATACCGATAACATTCAAAGGTGAAGCACCATTTGCACTGGAGTATGACATTCTAGAGACCTCAACAAATAAACGGTCGACCTATTCTATTAAAGATATCAATTCCTATACATTTGAGGTCGAAACTCCAAAGTTTGATGTGGGTGGTGATTACATCCTCTCGCTTGTTTCTGTCAAGGACAGCTCTGGCTGTGAGGTGGGCATCAGCTCGACAGACGCTCGCATAGAAGTTCGTCGTGACATTCCTTCCGCTGAATTCAATTCTTTCGAACACAACAATGAAGTGCTTATTAAGGAGGGCTCGTTCGCCGAGCTACCCGTAAGTTTATCAGGTATAGCTCCATTCGCCGTTAGCTATCAACATATCAACAAAGCAGGGCAAACCACGGGTACATTCAAGACAGAATTTTTATCAAGCTACAAAGCCACTTTGAGGGCAGAGAAAGAAGGTACTTATAAGCTGCTATCTGTCACAGATCGGAGCTGCTCTGGAAGGGTGGGCCTGAACCAGGAATTTGGAGTGTCTTTCTTGAGCAAACCAAGCTTTTCTGTCGTCGAGAATAGCAGGCTCCGCGAAAGTAATGGTGTCTTAAGAAAAACTTCAGTTTGTGAGAAGCACGAAGAAACAGTCGACTTAGTTTTGAAGGGTTCTCCACCCTTTGTGGTATTTTATGAGCTCACATCCCCCAGCAATCAGATCATTCCCAAATCTGTACATGTGGCGACAAAGTATGCGACAATAAACTTGCCCAACGACAGAGCTGGCCAATATACACTGACAATAAAGGGAATTTCAGATTCTCACTACTCTGAAAAGGACCTGGCCAAGGTCGGTTCTGGCTCCGTTCCCAAAATCATCAGACAAGAAGTAAAGCCTTTACCCAGCGTTCATTTCTCAGAGCCTGGTAAGACGTATCGCACTTGCTCAGCCGATTTGGACCATACTGCGGGACTCGAGAAAATTGGTTTACACGTAAAGGCGGGGCAGGCGCCATTGTCTGTTTCCTTCAACATTTACCACGAGAGCACGAGTAAAACTGACTACGTCACCATCAACAATGTTACTAAGAACAGTTTCGACCACGCTAAATTATTCAAAAATCTCAACCTAGGCAACCACATCGTCACAATTGCTGAGGTAGTCGATGCCAATGGTTGCACTTCAGATCTTAAAGCGGGGAACAATCACGTCATAATATCCATTACAGACGTCCCACGTATATCTTTGGTGGAACCAAGCATGGACGTTTGTGTTGGCGATTACGTCTCGTACCAATTGGGAGGTATGGCGCCGTTTACCATCAAGTACGAATTCAATGGGGTGTCTTTGAGATCCAAAGAAAGCACTTCCCAGTTTGTGAGACTGGCGTCCGAAGCAGGCAGAATATCCATCAGCTCCTTACAGGACTCTGCGTCTCAATGCGTGGTAAATTTCAAGAAGCCAGGCATGGAACATCAACTCGAAGAGCTATCGCTTGATGTTCATCCAATTCCATCAGTCACAGTTTCGCGAGGCGACTACATTGTGGAGGACATTCATGAAGGAGACCAGGCCGAGATAATATTCTCATTCGAAGGAACTCCACCTTTCTCTTTGACCTACGTCCGGACCGAACAAACAGACGACAAACGTGGCAAAAGAAGACCCCAGATTGTCGAGACCCATAAAGTCGAAGACATCTACGCATACGAATACAGAACTTTCACGAGCTTACAAGGTAGATACGAGGCTATAGCCATTTCCGATGCCTACTGCTCCGCGAAGAACAACGCATATTTTGCTTGAAGAAGCTCTCGGCATTTGAGCACCATTTTGTAGAATATAATACCGCGTTCATAGACGATCATATAAAAATTTTAGCATCCTTTGTAGCAAATGGTATCGAAAGTGAAAGTAAGTAGTCTTGTTAGATACAAAAGTTTGGTAAAAGGTTGTCCGTTTTTCACAAACAAGATAGTTTCCTCAAATGATGCGATACCCAAAGCGCTTTACACTAGAGCAATGGGACTCTTTAGCAAATCCTCTAAAGAAGCCAAAGTTGATCACTTTCGATGCGTATAACACACTTTATTCAACGACACTGCCGGTAATGGTCCAGTATGCTAAAGTGGGCCACCGATTTGGTATAAAAACAAGCGCAGAGGAGTTGACCTCACGGTTTCCCAAAAGTATGTTTAGAGACAATGACTATTTTTCTTGGCAGGATTACAGACTACTAACACAGACCTAGTCTTCAAAAACCTTAGGGACACACATCCGAATTATGGCAAACACACTGGCTTGACCCCAACGCAATGGTGGGAACTACTGATTTCCAGTGTATTCGCTCCCGTTGACGTTCCTAAGAAAATGATATCTGAGATCTTACGGCTTTTTGAAGGCCGCGATGCCTATACCGTCTATCCAGATCTTTTGGAGCTTTTGAAGATCCTTCGCGAGCGCTATCCAGAAACGGTATTGGCAGTTGTGAGCAACACGGATCCTATTATGTACAAGTTGATCAAAAATCTCGGTTTGAAGTCATATTTCGACAGCCACGTCTACTTGTCCTATGATCTCGAGGTTTCCAAGCCGGATCGTAGATTTTTCGACGCTGTTTTACAGGACGTTGTGGGCCGTTATCCAGCTTTGGCTTCAGAACACGGAATGGAAGAACTTAAGTCATTTTGTTGGCATATCGGCGACGAAGAGGCCAATGACTTGAGAGCCGCACAAGCTGCAGGTTGGAATGCAGTTTTACTCGACAGAACCAACAAATATGGGCATTTCTCGGAGACAGGAACAGCTAAGGATCGTCAACTTCATCAACTTTTTGCAGACAAAATCGATAATGATGCATACAAAAGCTGGGAAGCGTCGCTGCAACAACCTGACATCCTACAATTGTCACAGCGCGAGTTTGTTGTCGCCAATTATGCCACGTTTGGCGAGCTGCTATTCAAGAAGGAAGGTACAGCCTCAAAGTTGAAGGAGAGCATCAAAAGAGAGACTTGAACCAGGAAAGGGTCGAAAACAATTGAACACATTGACACACGAAGCTTCTACTTCTTTAACTGAAAGCATCGGTGTTACCAATCCTTCTTTTCCACTAAAACCTTGGAACAATCGCCAACAAATTCTTATTTCTCAGATTCCGCTTATATATGGGAGGATACACAGGATAGAAAGGAAACCGGCGAGGTCCATGCAAAAAAAAAAGTCTGCAACATAACTTTAGGGCGTTGGTGAATGAATGGTACGGGATGGTAAAATAAATTATAGTAATCGGATGCATAGAGAGTATACCCAGGTTTTCCGATGTTGTTTTTCAAAAGGTCTTGTCATGAACACAACACTTTTGCCGTGTATGAATGAATTGAGGAATGAAATGAAATCAAATGAAAGTGCAGTTTGAAACCCCTCTCTTTAAATAGAGATGTTCCTGGACTCCAAGCATTTCCTTTCTTGGTTGAACGTACGCTCTTTTTTGGATTCTCATTCTTATGGCTTGATGTCACCGGTGAATTTGCCCTTCTCTCTCTGGTCATCCCATCTTTCCACCCACTCAAGAGGACACAGGGATGAGTAGGTCTTGAAAAACACTTTACAAGGAGCAAAGTCCTCACCCTTCATGTTCACGCACTTGTGGTAATCCACATAGGATTGCCAGCAGTGCATGGTTTGGTTAACGTTTGGAAATCTGGCATCGAAGCCGACGGTGTGCAATGGGGATTCTTGTTTGTCAGACATTATTTCGAATGCTGTTCACGATGCAATTGGCGATGAGAAAGCAGCGGCGTAAGTCGTGGGAACTGGAAGTATCGACAATGGATGGATAACGATTCTGGTCAACATTTTTCAACATTGGGCTAGTTTTTTCCAATATGGATTTTTCGGAACTCAATTAATTTGCCCAAAATATCACTTTGTACAAGCTGTGATTTTTTAGGCCCTCTTATTGGTCTTGAATCATGTGATTTACTTGAGCCAATTCCTCTAGGTGCCAATGACAGCGACACCATAAGGTGTCAGCGACAATACAAGAATCCAGCTCATTATTCAACTTAAGATCTGGACAGCGCGTTGCACCAGCGAAGTTTTGTTTTCGTTGTCTAGAGCCTGGATGAAACGTACCAGCTGAAAGCTCATGTCCCAAAATTCCCGGGCTTCTTCGCGTTCGCAGGACGAAGAAGCAGTGTTCACGAGCACTCGCAAGACTTGCAACATCAGCTCTTCATCGTTCAATATGGTGGATATAGATCCGGGCTCCGTATCTTGAATTTCCGTCGGAAGTTCCTCTTGGTTTTGGCGTAAATCTTCAGTTTTTTTACTGCCATCGTAATTCAGGAAAACCATCAGCAAAATGCCTAGAACACGAGCCTCATCGTGCTCGATGCATTGCACTAACAAATCTCGTGGAGACAGGTTCAATTTTTGGAACAGATAGTCCCAATGCTCGACTTCGATTTTCCGCAAACAATTGCTGATAATCTCCAGTCTCCCGCTGTGCTTGGGACCCTGGTCGTAGAAATTTATGAGACTGACAATATCTGAAAGCGGCTCGTTCGTCAGCACTTTCCCGGATAATATCTTTTCCAAACTGAACTTGTAGTGCTGTAAGGAGCGGTACCGGGAGTCAATGTTCTGGTAGCTCGTGCCTGCAGCTAGATGATAGTCTATCACCTGGTCGAGGTAAATGGCCTGTCTGGGGATGATCTTCGAGCGCTCATTGGAAATAACAAATTGAACGCTGTGAACTATCGCCGCCTCCGGTGAAATCACGACTGGGTAATCCCCTTCTGTGATTTCAACAACTGCAACTGGGCCCTTCGCATTCCACAGCTCTTCAATATTGTGGACCGTGACTTTACTATCTTGAACAACGTAAATCCAGGCTTCTATAATGTCCAAAGTGCGTTCCACTTTCTCCAATAGAACCGAAGTTTTCCAAACTCCCTCTTCAGTCTTCTCCAATTTCAAGATCTGATCCCCCTGGCTCACAAAATAACCCCCGTTGTGATTCATTATCCATTGGCATTTCTTCTCCTTTTGGGAGAAAACATTCTCAGCTGGATGCTGGTGAAAGACCTTAATTTCGACAGCCTCTCCAGGCCCGATTTTAGATATGATGTCAATGGTTCGCAGGCCGCCTTGGTCATCTTGAATCAGCACTTCAGCGGTTTTAAACAAGTTTTGGAGTTGTTCATTATCTGAATTTTTTGACTTTACTTTCAAAAGCTTGTACCGAGACAGAGTGTTTGCGTGAATGCTCTTTATTTCTATCGTAGGAGAGATAGCATAGTCCCAAATGAGTCTATCAGACAATTCTGGGGTTATACTTCCTTGTGCTGGAAAATGGTAGCACTGCAGCCGTTGCTTCATGTCTTCGCCCAGCGAATGGCAGAACAGGTATTCGTCGCCCAGCCATTGAACATCAATAAAATTCAAATCCATAAAGCTGAGCCACGAGTTGGTAACCAGATTGTGAATCAACAAGATGCTCTTATTGGACACAAACGCTGCCAGGATTGTAATGGAACCATTTGTCCTGACCAGAGGAACATGATTATTTATCGTTTGAGAAGGCAGTTTGATCACTTGGAAAGGAACATTTTCTAAAGAGTCTGATGTCGGTGCGAAAAGCATCATATCGTTATTTTCAGTTTGCAAAATCAGAGGAGTCGAGTTCCTGAAATTATTAAATGGTGTTATGACTTTCGACCACAAATCCCATTTGCTAAGCTTACCGTCGAGTGAGGTTGTAACAATAGACCCGCCAATGGAAGTAAAGCTAGAGGAACCTGATAAATTGCCATCTTCCTCGCCGTCTTCATCATCGTCGAACGTAGAGACGATACAGTTACCACACCTTGTAAACATTTTGAAGCCCTTCTTGGTAAACATGATGTTGTCTTCACTGCTAATTGAGCCGCTGCATATCAGGCTGTTTCGCGATCGTATCCGTTTGATTGTTGTGTTTGAATTGAGATCGTAAAGTGACACGTAAAACTCATGCACGAACGTTAAAACGTTATTGTTGATGTGAATATCAAGCAAAGGTCCTGGTGCGTCGTAATTGAGCTGTATTTGACTGCCGCACTTCTTTAAAAGGTCAAGTTCGGTCAATGTAGTTTTTAATTGCGCATCGACAGACACAACACATGGTTTTCCGTGATATTGTAATAGTCGGTAACCGTTTGGGACATCGATTAAAATGTTGTCTTTCATTTGGAAGTTTTGAAGAACTAAAACATGTACGCGATTCGGAAACAAGAGCATTAAATATTCATGCCTCTTGGACTCACCTCTTGAATTGGTATCACAGAAGCCTGCAAGATCAATAATCGAGCGGCCAAAACTGAACATCACCTGTAGACGCAGTTCAACCTTTTTAATTGGAATCTCATCGAGCGTATCAGCGGATTTCGTCAAAAAATGTAAAAATCCTTGTTGTTTATCCACAGCGTATCCATTTTGAATTACCTTGGTGGATTCTTTCCTGTCAAAGACTGTCAAGGTGTCGTCATCCTCAGTGTTGTTCATAATATCCTGTCCGTAATCATGGTCCACCTTATTTATGTCTAAGATAGGAATTCCAGTTTCCTTGTATAGACTAACAGCACCTGAACTCAACAGAATCTCAAACACAAATACAAAGTTCAGTGAGGATGTCACGTAAAAGGTCACTTTACTGCTATTTGTCGTATCGAATTTGATGTCAGTCTTTGGTATGAGGTCTTGAAACATTTCCTTGTTTAACGAATCCGCATAAGCTCTCTTGTTTTCACCGTACTTCTCAAGCGAATAGTCACTACGCAGAAACGACGATACCAGAGCCATTGGCTTGTAGTTGTAGACTAAAATCTGCTTAGTGGTCAATACCACCATGCAGTTAGAGTACGGTAAGTGTAAAGCTTGTAAAGCCTCGTCGGCTATTGACGATACACAATCTTCATCAGTTTTCAGTAGCGGTACAGCAGATATTTGTGGTGGTTTTGAGGGACCCAAGAGCATCACTTTCTCCTCGACTGTTTGTAATGTTCAAGCTGCTCAAGCGAGCGTGTCTGGTCTACCTTTATTTACCAAAAAAATTATCACTCTGGACGTTGTCAAGTGACAGCCCATGCTAGTCGAGCGTTCAATCGAAATGCCACTGGCGCCAGTATTTCCCAAATGGCTAGGTGCACACTGTCTGTCTCTATAGTTTTTAAAATGCCGTGTATAATTTAAACACTGATGGTCTTCCATATATTTAGACCGTCACTACCAGTACTCACGAGGCAACCTGGAATCTGCTTGTGCCATTTGACGTCTTTGACGTCTTTTTGCCAGTGAACGAAAAGAAGCTGAGCTGGAATCTCTTGCAGTTCCTTGGTCTCTGCAGCTTGCTGTTTGATTTCTTCATCATCAGCCTCAACGGATAAATCCCATAGTGTGACAGTATTGTCTTCGCTGGCCACAGCTATGATGGAATCGTCGTTGGGGTTGAATGCTATCGACGTAATAGCACCCTTGTGAAAGTTGTACTGAGCAACAGGAGTCGTGGAAGCTGCTGTTGCAGGAGAGAATTGTCTCAAGTCCCACACACCCCAAGAACCGCTGTCGTCACCACTGGCCAAAAGATATCCGATCTTTTCGTTCCAGCTGATAACGTTAAGGTCTGTATTGGAGGCCTTTACGGAGATGGCAGGTTTATGCTTTTTGGACCTGGTGTCCCAAATCCTGAGATAGCCATCGCAGCCAGCTGTAGCGAAGACTGTCGCTTCTGTGCGGGAAAATTGAATATCCTCAATCGATTGATTATTGTCCGCGCTGAAGGCAGTTTTTTCTGTAACCCATTTGGATGTGTGTCTCTGTGTAAGGTAAACTCTTCCTGAGCAGTCACCAGTCAGTAAAGAGCCGCTTTTATGCAAGGGCGACCAGTCAAGAGCATACCCTTCCACAGAGCCGTGGTTCTTGATGGTGTGAATTGGTCTTTTAGCGGTTTTTGGTATCTGATAGCCTGGGGTTTCGAAGGCCTTGAACTGGGGGCCTAGGTCGAATATGTGCACTTCCCCGTTTTCACTCATGGTCGCAGTGAGCTTTTCAGGCGATTCGGATGCAAAAGGTGAGACGCGCAATCTGTTGGTAGTGTCCTTTAGTGGGATGTTTTCATTCTCGACTACGGGATCCTGGTCCTCATCCTCGTCGTCGTCCTCGTCATTGTCGCTGCTGTCTTCATTTTCGTCTTTCACCAAAGTCTTGCTGAGCTGAGATAGTTTCAGACACAACAGTTCATTGTCCTTCTTCTTGGAGGCTTGAGTGGCAGTCGCCATCAGAAGCGACTGTGGGTAGTTTCTACGCTCAGACCCAAGACGGTCGGGAACAACGTCTAGTGTCATGCATGGCCATGTAACGTTGACGTTATGCAACATTTCGTAGACTGAAGGGTCTGCCTCTAAAACTTCGTCTGGACCAAGTGGCTTTGACAAGTGAGGCAAATAAAGCTGCTGCTGCGGCTCTGCGTTGGAGGAACCCTGATCCTGCTCATTAGACTCATCTTGCTGGATGGTCTCGGAACGGTCGCCCCCATCAATCTCAGCGTCCACCTCGATATCCTGGTCCTCGTCGTCTTCTTCTCCATCCATCTGAATAATTTCGCCATCACTCTCAAACTCATCACTGAACTGGTCCTCGAATTCACCCATCTCGACATCATCGCCTGCCACAGGTGTCACACCAGCACTTGGAACAGCATCGGAAGCAAGCTTGCTTGACACCGCGCGGTCGTTGTTGACGCCATTTGAATCATCAATTGGTGCGGATCTTTTCGACATGTTAAGTGATTTTTTTCAGGTCGCTTTAAAAGGTGATTCAATGGGCTAGGTAGTCGACTAAATAGATAGTCCTAGCAAAAACCAACTCTTTATGCTTGCAACTTTCAGATAATTGATGCAGGTTGCGAGCTCATCGCATCTCATCTCATCTCATCTATTCCAATAAAAAATTTTTTGGATTTCAAGTCTCGTCACGTGGTGTACGATTTTTCGAGTTTGAAAAGTGTCATTATGTGAAGCTCATCAAAGATAAGCCTAGATTACTAGCATCGAAGCTTAGCTTCTGATCTCATTTTTCAATTGTTCATGTTTCCGGAGATGCCTTATTTTTTTTGGCCTTTTTCGCGGCTTTTCTTTCTTGCTCTTGTTGTAAGAGTAACTCAGCATTATTAGCTAAATAAACCTCAAAAAAGTCCGGATCTTTGGTCTTTTTAGCTTCGTGTAGCCACAATTCTACATTTTCCACGACTTCGAGTCGAGTCTTGTCGAGTTTGTTCAAAGCCTTGTTGTCGCGGGCGTAGCATTGTAATTTTTGAATTTTGCGCAGGGATTTGAATGCAACTTCGCCAGGTTTCATGGTCCCATTCTTTCGCAAGTTAATCCAGGGAGTGGCAATAAGAGTACACTGTGACAACTTATTCCCCTGGATGGAGTTTGCTTTGCAAAGCTGTAAACAGTCCTCGATGACGTCTTTCGGCACGTCAGCCAGTTGCTTTTCGTCGTCCTTTAGCTTGAGATAAACGTGACCACTGGAGTACTTGTCAGCATGGAACCACATGTAATTGAGTTCCTTGAAGCCATGTTTTATGAGCATATCATTTTCGTATTTGTCCTTCCCCAAAATAACCGCGTAGGATTGTCCGTTTTCACTCTCGCTTCGGTAAAAATAAACCATTCTAGGGCAACTAATCTCTAGAGCGGAATATCAGTTCGAAAAAAGCCGTTTGGTAGTAAATGCAGATGAGTTTGGGCTTTCCACTACGGTCCAAGATGTTTTTTATGGCATGAATCGAGCAATAGCATATTGAATTTGATTTTTAGATCATCTACGTACAAAATGACCGTTACAAACATATATATTGGCAGCAATCAGTTCGGCGGCTAATTCTTAATCTTCACATAAAACCCAAAAGCACGTTAGTACAGCCCAAGCTACGCTTTTTGTAACTTATATAGAAAACATGAACACATCTGCGCTGAGCTTGGAAGTTAGACGTTATTCAAGCTATTTAGAGTATGCACCAGCTCCGCAAGGATTCCAAAGCACAAGAATTCCTACAAACATCAATCAATGGCAACATTTTCAAGGCAGCGGGAAGATACATATAAAGCTGCACCAGCAAGGCTTTGACGAAGGCTTAGTGCAACTGGTTGTGGACGCTCAGGTCGTGGAACAGATCGCATGGAAAAGAAGAGAGTCCTTGAGCCAAATTGCTCAATATTCAGCCAAATACCCCGCGGTGCTGTGTAAATACCTGATACAGCTGCAAGGCAAAGTATTCATGAAAAGATTCCAGATAGGCTTTTATAGTGTGGGTGATTTTGAAAGATGTTGTGAAGCACTGCGTTCTCAAGGATTCCACATCAAGATGGCGCCCATGTTCCATGCAAGCCAGTTCTCACAAAGCTTCGAAGAAACCATAATGAGCTCCCAGTATGCTGATGACAAGACTTATTCGACCCCGCCCGACTCTCAGATTGTTAGCACACGAGCTATCCAGAACGAAAAACGCCTGCCGCCACTAAATGTTCAAAGCAAGGATGATTTTAACAGTCAATTTGCCGGTGTGTACAATATTTCTCCGTCTTGTACGGGGCTAGACACGCAAAGCTTTTCACAGACCATGAACGACCCTCTGATACAGGAGTTAAATGACTTCGAAGTACAGGTAGCTAATTATCAGCTACCGGCGATATTGCATGAGAATAAAGCCAAGCAACCCAAATTATCCGCAAACTTTGAAAATGGCTTTGTTCACCAGAACTCTTTAGCAAAGTCTACCAGCGTAAACGTATGCTCTGATGAGGTAGGTAAAAAGCCTCTTCAAATTGAAATGAATGCCGACGATCCTGTGAGGTGTCTAAACTCTGCTACAAATGTCAATGAAAGCTATGCTGTGTCTGCGTATACCGCGCCTGAAATAGAGCAAGAAAAATCTAAAGTGGATGAAGTGACAGTACCCGATCTTGATATTTCAGTTGCAGCTACAGATGTCAGTTTTAAAGCTGCAGATAAATCACCACTTTGCATTGAACATGGAAAGTTACAAGATTTTGCTAGCAAAGATAAAGCCCCATCCTATCCAGTTTCATTCACATCACCGAAAACCCAGTCTTATGGCGAGTTTACCCAAGTAGAATCGATTTTAACGCACCCATTAGAAGGTCTATGCCAAAATCGACGCTCAGGTTTGTCTGAACAATCAGAAGAGACTAATACCGCTAAACGGAGAACTAAAATATCGCCCGACATCATAAGCGAAAAACTCAAAGATGTCGCTTTCACCACTTGGGTATGTTCCGAAAAAAGCATTTACTAACCAATATACTTTCTACTAACTAGCCGCACAGGTTGACGAGATCGAAAAAATGCTCGCTACGCTGGTCGACAGGTGAGTGTTTCCCAGTGCATTACAAATATAAGCCTAGAACCGTGTCGTGCTGAGCATTATGCATATAAAATTTATCATTTCGTTTTCCCTTCACATTAGAAAAGCCATTGCAGCCGCCAAGGCCCCAGCACCTAGTGGAACTCCCAAAGCTTGCGCGCCGCCTGAGCTTAGCTGAGATTTGGAGCTGCTGGAATTCTTGGAACCAGAACTGGATCCACTACTTTTAGGACTAGACCCTGAGCCAGTGCTTGTGATGAAGGCAGACCCGGCTTGAGATGACAAACCGTTGCCGCTGCTTCCACTACCGCTGCCAGTGGAATTACCAGAAGTCGAATTGGATGATGAGCCCATACCACCAGTTGAAGTAGTATTATCCGAACTGCTGCTGTTGCTGCCAAACCCAGGAGAAATTGGCGCCTGGCCAGCTGGGATAGTAGAGTTTCCAGAAGATCCCGATGGGCCCTGCTCAGGATGCTCAGTACTAGCCACAGTGGAGTTGACTGTGCTGGGTAATCCGGAACCGTCAAGCGTTGTTGTGGAATTTCCAGGTGTGTCAGCAGCGTCAGAAGCGATTGAAGGAGCGGCATTGTTGGTCATTTGAGCGCCAGGCTGTGTGGTGAAAGTATTGGCATTCGCGGCAGCTGGCCCCCCGGTCAAGTTAATTTCTGCTGCAAACGCCGTGGTGACTAAAACTGCTAAGGTAAGTTGAGGGTACATTGTTGTGTTTTATTCTTGGTTGATGTTCCGTGGTTGTGTTTGCTCGGATCAGTGTTGACACTAAGAACAGAATTAAACCCGTTAACCTTCTACTGTCATTCAGCTCACAAAGATCCTATTTATACAAAATCCCAGCGAGAAAGCAAACATGGCTTGGCTATTTTGGAACTCTATTCCGAGTATGGTCTAGACGGCAAAAGTGAGTGTGACGCTACGAAAACGGAAATCATCCTTTTGACGCTTGCAGATCGGATGGTGTTGATTCTAGACACCTATTTTCCCAGCTCTCGAGAGACAGGAGCTCTCGGCTTAGATTCAGATCAAGAGCGATGCCCAGGTTTCTCCGAAAAGCCTCGAGGGCCAAGCCTCTGGCGTTCTAGACTCCGCATTCTATTATGCCCTTTCCACGTGAGATCTTATAGAGACCGTTCGTTCACCTTAGCAACCCATTTCGAGTATTGCATATTTCCAAGTCGCGAACAACAAGCTTTTAGAATGTACAGACGGTGTTGAGAAATACGAAAACCGTCGCCCACACCAGGCTGAGCAGCTGGCTTTCATTTTTCGCAGTCGCTGGAGTCCGCGACGCCAATATTTCTCATGGCTGGAAGAGTATTTTTGATGAACCATTTGCTGACATAAGCAGGCTGAAAAAAGATCGAAATTTTCGAAGGTCTGTGTCGTCACAGTCGTCAAAATCGTATGGCCAAAGTGGCCAGACTGTACGAAGCAATATCACACCTTTAAAATTTGGAAAGTCAAATGAGACTGGAGGCTCATCGGCTAACAGAAGTGCTAATTTTGAAGCAAAACAAGCCATTTTTCGTTGCTTTACTATTAGGAATAAACACACAAGCTAAACATCAGTTCGGCAGTGAGATTTGACGCGAAATTGCAAAAGCCTTGAAGAAACATTAGGTGAAGACCCCGTGGGTATTTGACATCTAAGACGTTTGCTTGATTTTTGGGTTTTTATCTTCCCCGACCTTTGGTGATGTGGGGAGCGCTCTTGACAAAGTATCTGGACTTTGAATGCAAGGCCATCGGTCTTTTGCGAAGGTTCCCTTTTATGCACGAGTACACTAATGATCCCACAAGTGCACGAATTACGCTGTTCTTAACAACAGTTGGCTTGATGGCATTGGTGAATGAATTCTATATCACCATTGAAATGAGTTTACTGCAGAAAAAAACGTACGATGACTTGAACAATGCTCCACTCGACGTGGAGAGCCTGAGAAATCACCCATTGGTTATAGACGACGAATTTCACGGCAAAGAATGGCTTGACGAGAAAAGCGGGATTGTCATCGAAGAGTTCGAGACGCTCAATAGGTTCTTTGCCAAGCCAGTGCATGTATCGCACTTGTACGTTGAATGCAGTGTCATAGAGGAGGACTCGTCTGAAAATAGCGAAAAGGTTTTGTCAGAACCTTTTATATTTCATCTAGAGTTTTCACCCGAGGAGTGGGAACTCGAGAAAAGGCCCGAGTTTGGTTGCATACTGGAGACTCTGAGACGCAAGCTCTACCACTTTTTCAAAGATAGCCATTTGCACGAAGAGTATGTTGTGCGTGGTCGTGAGGTGGGTGTGTATGAACCCTTCACACTCTCTAATAGCGTCCGGATATACAATATCATGCAGGAATTGCTTCCCACTACAGTAGACGACGTACAGCTATGTTTTTTGAAGATGGAGACCGGAGATACCATCAAGTGCAAGTTTGTTGTGTAATTACTATGAAAAGAAGAGAAGACCCAAACCATAAAAAGTCTCAATTTGCTAGTGCATTGAAAATTGAGCTTAGGCTGCTTTCAGATGCCGCCCTCAACGCGAGGTACGCCCACCCCACAATGATGGAGCTGATTCTCGCACCATGCCCACAGCTTCATCACCTGTTTCAGTCTGGCTTCGTACTCGGCATGCTTGTAAAGATCTGTTGCGGGTCTCTCTTGTAAATGGTCCTCTTGTTCCATGCGCCGACTGGTAGTGTTCCATGAGCTCTTTTGCCAGGGTTTCTGTTCGAAAGGAGTTCGAGAAGTCGACCCAAGGTTTTTGGGATTATCAAACGGGGTTCCGAATCCAGCGTCCTCATCGTTGTTAGAGGGAAACATCCCATGGTATCTGCCAGCATCGTGATCTGAGGCATTGAAGCCTATAAGGTCCGGGAATTTGCGATCTTCTGTGGCAGCGGAAATCTGCGGGTGCATTGATTCCAAGAGCTTACGATTTACGAGATCTGCGATCTTGGTGCGAAGGGAAAGCGAGTACAAATTACGCAGACTTTTGGGCAAAGCCATGTTCTCGACGCCATTTTTTTCGGGACATTTTTCCATTGGGAATAACAGAAGCGTCATGACGAGCTCCAGTTCTTTCATGTACTGTGTATTTGCGTCTGCCTTGGAAGCCAGTCTTTCTTGGGAGTATTCGATGAGTTCCAGGATGAAATCACTAGAATCTTCCGGCGAAGCCCCGCTCTGGTGGTGTCTTCGAATCATTTCTATGAGGTTCAGCAGTAGCAGTTTGAAATGCAAGTCATCGTCGTCGTCGCTACTGGTCTTGGTTCCGTCCTCAATGCCTGATCTGTCCTTTTCTAGAACTTGTACCCCGAACTCGGTGTATATCTGTTCGATGGCTTCCAAGATTTTTCCGGACTTGATAAGTTCTCGCACACGGGCCCGTTCTTTGATCTTGTAGATGCGATTGAAAGTGGAAGCGTCTTTGTTGTTGCGAACGTACCCGAGTTCTCTGGCCATTCGAATGCTGGACTCCTCGTAGCTCATAACGACAAAGTAGTTGAGCAACAGATGCGCAATGGATGGTTCCAAACACGTCCTTTTGGCGACCGAGTCCGACCCAACTGCGGAATTGCGTTCAAACCCAACAACGTCAAACGGGAGTGCCGACTCAAGCACGTATTCTTTCCATTCCTGTCGCGAGAAGGTCTTGCGGTCATAAGTGTCTTTGACACGGGTCATTGTGGGTATTCGAGGGCTTTAAGTTTGGGTTTGGGTTTGGGTTTAGGTTGATGGTGTTTGAATTCGTTCTCATCGGTTTATATCCCTAAGCCAAGTAGATTACTGTATGATGATATTATTACTGGGGAGGAAAGAATGGGATCGCGTGATAGTCGCGTGATAGTCGCGTGGTTGGGAAAAGGTTGATTACGTAAGCATTTGGGGTGCTTATGTAATGATTTTTGTGCAGTGCTACACGTGACTTAAAGAGCTTCTAAATGGGTTCCCAACCGGGTCCTCAACCGGGTTCCCAACCGGGTTCCGAAACGGACTGTAACTCTTCACGACCGGCAACAAAGAAGCTACCCATTGAATAACAGCATTGTGTGGTGCTCCACTCTATGACTGTGTGCTGGTTGTATAGCCATAGGCTGTATACTTTTCGAATTTCATTTGATGGCTAGCGGGCTATAGAATCTGTTCAACATCACCGGTGGCGACGCAATACTATGCCTAGCAACGTTTAAAAGTGTCACTATGGAAATGGGAGGTTACTGGTTACGATTCATGAGCAATATGCAAAGCTTGTAAGTAGCCAAATGTGAGAAAAACCGGTACTGAGCTCAATGAATGTGCCGCTGGAACCCCGCATCGAGCAGGGTCGGACGATATTTCGATAAGTCACTGTACAGATGAAGCGTCTCTTGCAAATCGAAACCCGACTTGGTACCCGTTTTCAAGCTTCCCGTTGATCATGATGACCCGTTTTCCAACCCAAAAAGAAACCACCTCCCCTATTTTCCCCTTTTCCGTACTCGCGAGTCCATCCTCGCCATCTCTCGCAAAATATTACGTAATCCATGTTCCTAACACCGATGTTTAATTCCGAAGACGATCAATCATTCTAGAATTTCAACAACGTCGTCTTCGTCCAATGCCAGTGTCAAAGCCAAAGTCAGGGCCAGAGCTAGAACTCACCAACTCATCCAGAGTTTACACACACACGCACACACCCACACTTGTATCTAGTTGCTCTATAGTCATCACGAATTTCCCGGTTTCCCGGTTGCCCTACCCTTCTGTAGTCTCGAAACTGTCCATAAGACTCATCTGGACTCACCCGGCAATAGTATTCTTGCACGTCGGTGTCCGGATCTTCACGGCACGTCCTTGCGTCTCCGTGGATTTGCAACGCAGCAACGCATTCCCCTTGCTTACCACATTCAATGCCCATCGCCAAACTCGACGCCGCAAGGCAGCTGGTTCCTAGGCAAAGGCAGCAAGTGGTCAGAATGTGAAAAGAAAACAAGTTGAACAAGGCAAACAAGACATTCAAGACGGAGGACGTGTGCAAGACAGTTCGTGTGCAAGACAGTTCGTCCACAACTCTTTCACTGCCACTTGCAAAAACACTCTAGTTCTTCTAGTTCTTTCTTATCTGGTTGTAGAGAAGATGGTAGAGTATCAACAGGACCATTTTTTTTGAAGAACCAGTTGAATAGGCCTCAAGAAACTATCAGAATGTCTCGTATCTGTCTTGTGTGTATCTTGTGCCACCGCTGTAGTTAGTTAGTCGTTAGTTGAGTAACGGCTCATATCTGTCAGTTCGTCTAATAGCCATGTCGTAGTAGCTCTGGAAGATAAACCGAAAACCTGAAAAACCGAAAAACCAAGATCAAAGAACAATTCTTGTGCAGAAGTATGGAGCTCAAATTGTAATGTCGGTTTTCTCGCCGGTTTTTCTTGTAGGTGGTGGATTTGCCCCAGATATCGCTCTTGTCATTGAATCTGGACCAGTCCGGCGAATATCCTGTTATAACGGCTTCTATGCAGCCCGGTAGTAGTCACCGGCTGACAATTGCCCTGTGCATCCCTCCGTAGTAGTAGTAGTACCGGTTGTAGGCGAAGAAGCCGTTGATAGGGTAAAAGTAAGTTGACCAGAACAGCGCACGGTAGAAGGGGAGTCCAAGTCTGGTGGGTAAACAAGCTTGGCAGACAGACTGACATATAAATAGCCGGGAATGTATCAAGCTTCCAAAAAATCTTGTCAACAGTCTCGGAAAGTTGCGGCACGTAGATCGCTTTGGATTTGTTGTGACAAGGTCGTCTATAATTTGTAATTGGTGTGTAGTGTGTAGTGTGTAGTGTCTGTGTTCTTATAGCTCTTATAGCTTGAAAGTGCGCTTTGACTGGCCATCATCATCATGTTGCTTGCCAAAACCTCGTGTGCGGAAATTCTGCAAGACCCCAGCAGACAGCCCAGGGTCAAGGCATTGCATCTGAATAACCACATTTCGGAAGTACAGGAACTCAAATCCTCGTCTAGCCATAACAATGCCTTGAATCACCCAAAAAAGCCTAGTTTGGCCAATATCCTAGCGGTCAGTCCGGACCCTGACGACAACAAAGTGACACAAACACCAAGGTCCCCAAGCTTCGACCAGCATCGAACAGTCTCTCCACCGGCGCCCACAGAAGCCTTAGAATCCAACTTGATCCCAAGTCCAATACGAGGACACCGTCACAACCACCATCAGCAACATGTCGCAAAATTCGGGTTTCCTCCCTCAAAACAGCCCCGGAGCCGCAGCTACAAGATCCCAAACCACGCCAGAAAGCATTCCCTGGACTCCCTGATGACCGCAGTCGAAGCTGTCGAAACTGCCCGGCCAAAACCAAAGCAGCAAAACAACAGCTCAGACTCAGAATGGCAGGCCAGACTAACCCACATTCTCAGGCTTAAAACTGATATTGTCCGCAGTCTGGAAAGCTGGTCCACAACTTCCGCACCGCTGAGTGCTTATGGCCACAATCAATGTGCTTTCGACAGCCTTTCTTTTGAAGACATTGGAGTGGTTATCCAAAGATCTGAAGAACTGGCCTCTGAAGCAAGAGCACTGCTTCAATTGAAACACACCGGAGGCCAGGTCGGTATTCGTCACGAAGAGCCCGCTAATTACACCTACCAGTCCCAACACCCGACCTTGCTTCCTGGCTACAACACCATAATGGGCTCGTCCCAACGCTTTGAGAATGGTGCTGTACCGAAAGCAGCGGCTGAGACCACGTTTACATCGCCAATAGTCACAAGCGGCATGGTGCTAGTTAACGGAGCGGCTTACCACTCACCGACGTTTGGTGCAAGCGCCAAAAACAATTCAACTACCACACCTGTAAACTCAATCGTCAAGTCGGGCGAAGCACACAACGATTCAGATATCACCAAGCCGTCCACAACAAGCACCCCGTCAAGGCCAACAACATCCTCAACGACAAGTCCATTGTTAGATACGCCCCCAAATGAAAGACCCGCTAACGCTATTCGGGGTATGGAATGCGTCCATTGTGCGAGCACAGAAACTCCAGAATGGCGCAGAGGACCTTATGGGAACAGAACAGTGTGCAATGCCTGCGGCCTGTTCTACTGTAAGATCGTCAAGAGGTTTGGCATTCAAAAGGCTAACCTACTAATGAGATATCGACGGCACACCTTACCGGAGGACCGCAGGGTTCCATCGCACTTATTCGTGCCAGAATCTTTTGTGGAAAAGTTAGAATCCGATAGGTCGCTGGATCAGAATTTTAGTGTTCTGTGAACAACGAACCCATATGTAGCCTTATAGTTCTGTTTTATGATGTGAAGATGCTGTTAACTCTTTGGGATTCGTGCAATCAACGATGTTCGTTCTGTATACTCTTCCAAACATCAAACCACTGCTCCATTTGCTGCACCATGTATGCATCATGAGTGTTAACGGTGGGAATCATTTGGCTCCAAGGAAGTTTAACGCAGAAGTTGGCCAAATCTTTAAAGCTGCTATGTTCAGAGTAAGGAACTCGAAAAACCTGAAATCGAGCTCGACTGTCGTATTGTGAATATAAAGTGGCAACATCCAAGTTGTCTACTTCAGTATTGTCCAGCAATTCCAAAGTGTGGGTTCTTTTCTGATCCGCGGTTTCGTGAAGTTTTATAAACCTACCCCCATTCTTGAAGGACCAGCCCGTAGGATAAAAACAGATCATATTCTCGTAAATGTGTGAGATTGGCTTGAAATATAGCTCAAGGCTTTCTTTTGACGCCAGAGTTCTGATCGATACAAGGTGTACGCAGGATTTGGTTATGTCATGGGTAATGATACCCTCAGGAAACGAACTTTGATAGGTTTGAAATATGCGATGTTTGGTAGTGTCCTTGGGTAGAAAGATCTTGGTCCCCAGCTTTTGAGCAATGGCCACTGCAAGCTTTTCCTTGCCAATTGTGTAGGTTCCGACCAGAAACACATACTTGTAAAGATGTCTTTGACGCAGCGACTTGGATATAAAGCTCATAATGGAGGTCTGGCGATCACTAAAGAGCTTTTTAAAACCTTCATCTCTCAGTTTGCAGGTGAAATCACTCGTAGCGTCCAGTAGCAGATGCTGGAGGGGGAAATGATATGATGGGTACATGTATGTTGTGTCCAAATACACTTTGTCGATACGAGCGTTGTTAGTGTGGGAGTTGATGCGCGAGATGAGATCATTGTTACTTCGGAAGTCACCAGTATGAAGCACCCACTGAACGGTCTTGTCCTCGTTGTCGAATTCGCGAAACAAAAACACGAAGGACCCAGGGCAATGGTTGGCATCAAAACAGATGACAGATAGATTCTCTGCCACCTGCACGGTGACATTTTCGGGCAAAGCTACCATCCTTTCATGTGGAACCTTGAATTTGTAAGAAAGAAGGTCTGCGGTGACCTTCGAGCAATAGATAGAGCCCTGGGCCCACGACTTTTTGACGCCCATGTAATGATCGGCATGGAAATGAGATAAAAAGTACTGGTTGATGGCAGGATCGGAGTCGAAGTTGAAACCGTCAACCACAATGGTATGATTTTTGAAATGCAGTTTTTTGACCTTCGGGAGTTTGGGCACAGGTCTGCCCGTTCGTTTTGTAGTTGAGGGTCGCTTTGTTGTCAGACAGGCATCGCAGTGATTTTCTCGTTCGTGGATTTCAAGCGCTGTTAAAACAATGCCACAAGCGGGACATAAAACCTGTTGCTCAGGCCCTACTTCTGATACAGAAGGCAAAATTCTCAACTCTGAACCTGCTAATTCCATGTCCACTTTTGAAGGCCGGGATGACACTTTAGGCTTCTTTTCGGGTTTGTACTGCAATTTGACTGGAAATGCTTTACTGGCAGAAGAGGTAGTCTTAAGGCGATTTGAGTTCGTTATTTCCGTGCTGTCATACTTTTCAGGCCAATCAGTAGCCACAGGTTTTGTTGTGGAAATATGTGACACCGTCACTTTTTCTTCAAGCTGTGCTTGACCAGCAGCAGGATCATTACGATCTGTTAAAACTTCCAGTTTTTCAGTGTATTCGTAGTCCTCTTCGGTAACGAACAGTTTCGGCCCGGTTGAAGACGTTTCTTGCTTTACAGATGATTCTGTCTCTAGCTCATCGCACTCTAAATCGATGTAAAGTGGTTCAGCTCGACGTCTTTTTGGCTGGTTTCCTGGTAAAACGTCTGTTTTGGGGATCTTGAAGTCCACTAGGGTTCTTTGACGTTTATTTTCTGGCATCCACAAGACGCTCTCGACTGTTGTGTGCCGCTTAGCTCGATTTGACTTGGGTAGTCCGTCAATATGTCTAATTTGATGCTTGTAATGATGTTAATCTAAAGGCTACCTGGGCTAGTTTGTTCAAAAGTTGAAGAATACAATGAGTATCGTAGCTATATGGGGCTATTGACCATTATAAAGAAGCAGAAACTCAAGGACAAGGAGTGTCGATGCCTAGTGTTGGGTTTGGATAACTCTGGAAAGTCCACGGTGGTGGATTGGATTCTGAGTACTTATAAGCATCAAGATCGCCAAGCGATTACGCCAACGGTGGGCTTTCAAATCCATACGGTACCGTTTGCCGGCCATAATGTGCAACTATGGGATATCGGCGGTCAGTCTACTTTACGGCCTTATTGGGACAACTATTTTGATAAAACGGACGTTTTACTGTGGGTAATGGACATTGCTGCAGCAAGCAGGGTGGACGAGTCTGTGCACGAACTACAAACGATTTTGCGGAATAGGGATAGACTGGGGTACAATTGCCGGATTGTAGTGCTACTCAACAAGAAGGATCTGGTGAATGAAGCTGAAAACGTGTCACAGACGTTGCAGAGAGATTTGAGCCGTTTACTGCAACTCGAAAATGTTCCCATCGAAACAAGGGCTACCAGTGCTCTGGGTGGGGAAGGTCTGGAAACATTGATGGAATCGATTGTGGGGCGTAAACGGAAAGTTTTGGAAAGAGTGAGCTAATGGAGATGAGGGAAGAAATAACGAGATGTAAGTGCTACGTGAAGAGAGGATCAAATGTCTGGAATGGTTTCAAGGCATATCCAAGCAAGTGCAAGAAAAGGAGACCAAGGATGAATAAAGCATCAAGGTGCTGTGAAGTATCTGTAGGATATCCATTATCCAACTATCCGCTTAAAGTGTCATGTATTTACTGTATTTACCATATGTCTCGAGACCAGTGCGCGTGGCCATATGAACATGACGTATATAGTGACAATTGCGCAACTGGAATAACACTATGATCTCGTTACATTAAAAAGTTGTCTTTAGTTTTGGGGCCGGTCTTGACTGGTTTGCAGATTAAGGGCGTTCGTAGCTGAGTAGACTTGGTGGTTTGTCAGTAAACTTATCTCCCTTTGACATTTGTTGTGTCACTATGTACGGGATATGCTGCAGTGAAAGATACAACCAGGTTGAAAGTGCCTTATTGTTATCGAATACCCCAGGTGCTTTCGACTTGAAAGGAATCTGACCTTGCCGTTTGAAGTCTCAGCCCACAAAAAAAGAACACGCAACAACAAAACCCATCACTTGACCCCTGGTACTACTGGTGAGTACATACTCTTTATAGACATAATACTGAAGTTTCTGAAATAGCTACATCACTTCTTACGGACCAGGTCGAAACTTCCCACCGCTATGGTTTCTGCTATTATACCGACGCGTTCTTCTTCTGCCCCCGAGCTCTGGTCCTTCTTTCAGATTCAAGATTGATTTCATCTACTAGCAGCTTCTTGAGGTATTCTTCCAATGCTCTAAGCTCTCCATTGGAGAAAACTCTCCTATCCTCTAAGTTCTCGAGAACCATTTGCGGTGCGCGCTGTGTGGTTGCGTTTGTTAGTTGACGAATATAAGCATTGCCATATTGGTACCTCAGAAAAAATTAGCCTGAATCATAATTTCGTAGGAACTCTTGGCGCCCGTCAATTTATAAATGCCGGTCCAGATACTGCAAGTATCCCGTTAAGCTATGAACACCGCAGATCTCTCGATGTAACTTAGCAAGAAACTCTACCTAAGGGCTCGTTATATTAAGGAGTTATCAAGAGCAGACGTAATTCGAGTAGGCTCGAGACTAGGCTTGCTTTGGGATACATTTTATTTTTCTAGTGCTTCATGTGTATTGCAGACGCGTAAATAAAAGCCTTTTCACGCCAAATGCCATTTTTTTACGCGTTTTTTCCTGTAAACCCCAACCTGTTTACAAGGCACACACCGACCACCTTGGGTTTTCATCCTTCCACGAGTCGTTTCACATGATGAGCTAGCAGTCGTTTAAAAGTACTCTTTTGCATGAAGCCGTATATAATTAGCTACCCACAAGAAGATCGTGCTCAGTTACTTACTTACTTGGTTACCCATTATCACTCATTTCACACGGAGGTCATATGACAAAGCTCATCATCACTATTGACGCAAAATCATTTGTTTTCTGTTACCCGCACCTATCTTCAATAACTATATACGAAAAATTGGGGTAGAATTCATTTTTGTGTTTTTTATCGAAAATAGATAACATCGTCACGTGACAATGATGACTCCGTTCTCCTCAAAACCTTGTCGGTCCAAAGCGTAAATCAAATTCTGAAAATAAGGTATATAAATATATATATATAAAGAAGAGAGGATCCCGATAGGAATATCTTCCCATTTTCTAACTGATCTAAACAGACTTCTTAAACCCAGGACTACCGTTGATCTGTTCAAAAGTGTAATTGTTTGACATTGAAACGTCATTAAACCTGTTTATCTAGAAAGAGCAGATTCTAACGATTTCAACGATACCAAGAAGGTTCCCATAGCTTGAAATCTGAACCATACACACACACACACACACAAGAAATGACCAAAGTCACAGTTTTGGGAGCCGCTGGAGGCATAGGACAGCCTCTGTCGCTACTGCTGAAAATGTCGCCGTTTGTCTCCACGCTGGCGCTTTACGATTTGCGTCTGGCGCCCGGAGTGGCTCGCGACTTGTCGCACATCAACACCAACTCCACTTGCAAAGGATACGACAAAGACCAGCTGCAGCTGGCTTTGGAGGGAGCCCAGGTCGTGGTCATCCCGGCAGGCGTTCCCAGGAAGCCCGGAATGACACGGGACGATCTTTTCAAAGTCAACGCCGGGATCGTGGCCAATTTGGTGAGTGCATGCGCTCGTTATGCGCCCAATGCCCGCATTTTGATCATCTCGAACCCCGTAAACTCAACAGTTCCGGTAGCCTGCGAGACCCTCAAACAATTGGGGGCCTTCCAGCCAGGCAAGGTGATGGGAGTCACTACCCTGGACGTTGTGCGTGCTCAAACATTCTTGAGTGATGCTCTCGGTGCCGACAGTTACAGCCGCGAGTCGATGAAAAAGCATGTAACCGTAGTGGGTGGCCATTCGGGTTCGACAATTGTGCCTTTGATCGCCAACCCCAGTTTGCGCTCCAAGCTCGTAAATCGTCGTGCGTACGACGCCTACGTTCACCGCGTGCAGTTTGGCGGGGATGAGGTGGTGGAGGCCAAGCAAGGCGCCGGTTCTGCCACCCTATCGATGGCACTGGCCGGATTCCAGTTTACAGATCAAGTGCTTCGCAGCATCCATCTCGAAAAACCGGACTCAACACCGCTACCTGCATTCGTGTACCTTCCAGGCATTGAAGGTGGCCGCGAGCTACAGTCCAAACTGAACACACAAGCAGAATACTTTGCCACGCCCGTTGAGCTATCACGCGGAGACGTGGCTCGTATTGATGCCAAATGGTTGGACTCCGTGTCAGCTGCAGAGAAGAAATCGTTAGCAGTGTGTCTGGGCGAGCTTGACACCAACATCCAAAAGGGACGTCGGTTCGTGAAGAGTAAATTGTGAAGCAAATGTTTTGTAAATATTCAAGCATGTAACGGGTTTTGACGTTCAAGCGAGAAAGTGTCAAGAACAGGTAAGATTTTTGAAGTTCTGGTGAGGAGGAAAGAGAGGTGTGGCCACGTTTGAAGGTTTTGTTCGAGGAGGTGGAGAAAGCATTGGTGGAATTTAAGTTGTCGAATGAAAACGAAGTAGGAAGCAGATCAACCATTATAGTGGCGGCCCTGTAGGCCCTAGGAGAGAAGATTGTGATCGTAATACTGACACTTGCCGAGCTGCAAGCAGATGTCGAAAAACTGCTATCATGGGTTTGGAGATGGTTGAAGCTACGATATTGAGGCACAATTGTACTATTCTTGTGGTTGCGCTGCGTATGGAGTATTGCGAGTGCGGAATTTGGCTATTTATTGCATACCGTTGATACATGTCTCATTCAAAAGAGAAGGAGTGTATTTTTTGACTTTGAGCTTGTCATAGTTGAGGTTTACAATTGTGAAAATGCATCCGTGTACGCCAGACTGGGTAGTTTACAACGCCAACGAATCCAGAGGTGAAAGAGGTTCTGCAATGCTTGAGATCAACGTATCCTACTTTCTACAGTGATCTGGACAGAGCAGCAACCAAGTAGAACGTCACTTACACAGTGGTTTGAGAAAAAATCTGATTTTTCAATGTCATCAAGATCTCAGACCCATCCTCTTTTCCTCTCTCCCTCTCTCCCTCTCTCTCTCTTCATATGCTTGTTGAGTGTGTGTCGCTGTGTGTGTCGCTGCTTTTCGGGTTACAAAACGGATTGTAAACTTTGGAACCCGGGTATCTGAAGTCAAGGACCCAAATGACAACCCGTTTTCCACCAAATCCTTTTGCACGATTGAATCGCGAACGACGCGCTCGTGGCCTGTGTTGGCGAACCTCCGACTCATTTTACATCCACAGCACGCCAAAATCAGCGTCCTGCAAGCATCCTGCAAGCATCCTGCAACCGTGCCGCTCCCGTGCTGCAGGTCCAAAATCAACGACCCTTTCCACAGTTTACCCAACACCAGGCTGTTTGCCCTGGCAACGAGAAACGAGAAATTGACACCGGTGCTGAGGAAGACAAACCAAGTTGAGAATCGTTCCAAAAATCTCGACAACCACATGCCACAGAGAGACCAATCACGCAAGAGTCAATCTGAACACTACAACATGTTACAAGCTTACGTCCATGCGATAGCCATGACCATGTCGATAGCATTTTGTTTGCCAAGGATCTTCGTAAAACCAAGATCGTTCGAGCTGGAGAGTTAATGCATACAGGGCAGCGATGCCCTACGCCAAACCGAGAAAGGAAAAAGAGAAAAAGAAATCTCGGCATGCACCATAAATGCACTATCATGCAGGGCGTGCCTTTGTGTGTACCTTTATGCGCCTTTATGCGTCGTTATGCACCTTTGTGCATTTGGATGTACGGAAGCTAATTTAGTTTCCAGGTAACGTGGTCGGGCGTGGGCCCCGGTTTTATTAATACATGAGTTATTATCGCGATGAGCCCGTGGAAACCCAATAACTCAGTCCCACGCACACTGTGGCGACCGTTGTCAAGCGTAAGTGGCATCGCCAAATATTGGCACACCAACGCGTGGGTAAACAGCGTTGCAAGAGTGCATCAGTAGACCAGCTGGACGAAATATATAAACAGCGCAAGAGGAGCTGCGGGCCAAGACCTCAGCAGTCTTGTTCGTTTTGAAGAGGGATTAACGATAGAACAAGTTTGAAGAAACGAGCATACGCACGCTAAAGACTGGTTTTTCTCAATAGAAAACCAAACAACTGAGTACTCACGGTGGTTTACTGGTTTGTTTACTGGTTTGTTGTTGCACGAGTACAATTATAATGGAAAACGAAAAAAGGCCGGAGATTTTCGTATACGATGATTGTGATCACGTTTGTGCGAGCCCGTCTGGGCAATCGTGGTGGTCACGTGACGGAGCTGTAGCCAATATGGTTCATGCAATTATGGCGGCACATTTGATCACAGCAATGATTTTGTTGTACCACGAAATACCGTCTCAACTTGCTCTAGGTCGCATCTGTCTTTTGTTAACTGTCATTTTTGTGGGCGCACGCAGTCGCTTCACACGGCTCTTCAGTTTGGCACCTACAAGCATGGGAATCATCACTGCCCTGGGGGGTCTAATAGACGCGTGTTCATTACATCAAAATGCGGTTGGTTTGGGTGCTGCTGCGTCTCGTACGGGAATTTCGTTGCTATCAGACCTGAGGTCACGTGCCCTAATGCACGCGGCGCTTCTGGCGTGTTTGGGTTCCGTGCAAGCGTTAAATTTGGCACTCCATTTAAGTTCTTTACGTGTTCAAACTGCTGAGACTCTGTTAGCAGACAAATCCGATACAAAAGCATAGTTCCAACACGTGCCTGTCTCTTATCGCGTTTTGTCACGTAAATCCAAACACCCACACATTTGCCGCGCGCCTCACTCTTGACGAATATTAGTCACACCCATATCGCGCCCGCCCATTTCGCGTAATCAGATATAAAAAGGAAAGATATCAAGATCCAAGGCTTTCCCAACCCACCAACCACAATTGACGACCACCAACTAGCACTGATCCACTCAAGTAAAATGTCGCTCGAGCACCGCTACAAACCATTTCTATCATCGCGCGCAGCGGGTCGCAAAATGGAACCTTTCTGGAACCGCGCTGTTCCTGACCATGTCAAGCCGCACCCAAAGCCTATCGATTTGGGAGCTGGACTGCCCAACGAAGGCTTGTTTCCTATCGAGTCTGTGCATTTGAATGTGGTAGACTATCCGTTTCAACACCAGGATTATGATTTCCGGTCTGCCAAGCTACATCTCAATGCAGCGGCTACTGATGGCAAAAATGGCAGTGATAAATCCGAGAATAAAGATCCCAATGCACGCGATGAAAGGGAGCTGGTCTCCCAGAAGTTCAGAGACGGGAAGATGGTGGACATGTGGAGGTACGAGCCTGAATCGTCTCAAAACATCCCAATCCAGTCTGGGTTCCAATATAACGATACCCGTGGTCTTACTCAAATGCTAGATTTCTGCCACAAGTTTGTAAAATACGCAAATCCGCCCGCCTACGAGGATTGGGACATCACTTTCGCCAACGGGTCTTCCGATTCGCTTTTCAAAATCTTCGAAACTCTAGCAGAAGCCAATGTCACAGTCCTGGTCGAAGAATTCACTTTTTCACCTACCGTACACAACATCATTGCAACGGGCGCCACGACGGTCCCCATGCGGCTTCAAGTGACTGCAGACTCGGAATCCCAGGGTATCGATGTGGAGTATTTGACCCATTTGTTGGAAAACTGGTCCCAAAGCGAATACTCGCATTTGCCCAAGCCTCGGCTGCTGTACACTATCCCAACAGGTCAAAATCCAACCGGTATGACTCTGTCCTTGAAGAAACGCAAACAGATCTACGCGCTCGCAGAAGCGCACAACTTCATCATTGTCGAAGATGACCCATACGGGTACCTAAGATTCCCACCTTTCGACCCAAAATCTCCCTTCTTCAACCCGTACGAGAGCAAAGATTTCAGCATTGATCAATACAAGAACGAAATGCTCGCAAAATCGTTCATAACCCTCGATACTTCGGGCCGTGTTATTCGGTGCGAAACTTTCTCTAAAGTTTTTTTCCCCGGTTTGAGATTCAGTTTCATTGTTGGTAACAAGTACCTGATTTCCAAGATCCTGGACTTCGAAGATGTATCCACTCGGGCCGCCAGCGGTGTTTCTCAAATGATGGTCAACAACGTTATTCAAAAGTGGGCTCCCGAATTCGGTTCGCCGCAGAAAGCGTGGTTGGCCTGGGTCATGAAAGTGGCCGGTCAGTACACGCATCGCAGAAACGTACTATTCCAAGCACTGCAGTCTTCGGAAGCTTATAAAAATGGATTGTTTTCCATGCTTCCTGTGACCGCTGGTATGTTTGCTGCTCTCGAAATCAATTTCGATCATTTCCCCAAAATCGAAGACCGCTCCAAAGCCATGCAAGAACTTTCATACATTCTTCTAGAAGAAGGTGTCAAAGTGGTTTTGGGAATTAACATGGCCGTTTCCAAAACTTTTTCGGATCATAGATCTCATTTCTTGCGAATCACTTACGCATATGCTGCTGATGACGAACAGTTGCAAGAGGCTGCTAAAAGGTTGAGCCAAGGCATTCAAAGACTGCACGCACTGTGCTAGCTTTGTTACCTAGTCTTTTTGAAGCATTGAATACACTGTGTGGTGTAGTGGTGTGGAATCAACCAAAGTTCACGTTTCCTGGTTCACGTTTCCTGGTTCACTTCACAACATCCATGATTATGTAATTTTCCTTTTATAATACGTGAAGATGCCGAATGAAATGAAAACTTGGAAGATATTTCAAATCTAGCTTTGATCAGTTGAAGCACTCCAGCGAAAATAAAAGCTTTAACCACCCCGAGACACTATAATAATGGAATTGGTATGTTTAGTCATTAGTTCAGTAAAACTCTCTCTTTTAAACGCTTTCTAACCGTGTTAAAATAGCTACCAGAAGGTAAGAAAAACGCTGTTCAAGTGCTGTATGAGGATCAGCAAAAGATCAACGAATTTTCCAAGCTGATCATGAGAAAGGACGCCATCAATGTGGAATTGGCACATTTCAAACAGGAGAAGGGATATTTGGACGATGTGGCCCTTGAAATCGAGCTTATCGACGAAGAAGAACAGATCCAGTACAAGATTGGCGAAACATTTGTATTCCTGAAGCAAAGTGAAGTGGCAGAACAGTTGGAAAAAGACGGTGAAACCGTGGATGCCAAAATCGAACAATTGGAAGATTCAGAGGCCGATATCGACTCTCGTATCGCAGAGCTGAAAACCGCTCTGTATGGCAAGTTTGGTGATAACATCAATCTCGAGCGTTAACCATGTACAACAACATACACACTCGCACTCGCAGACTCACACACGCACAATTAGGCTAGCATTTACCACCGGATGGGAAACGCAAGCGATGAAAACCTTCGAACCTGCCATAATGGAGAAAAAAAATCTACTTACAACCAAAATTCCTAGAGAACGAATACACTAGATAAAGACGCCGTTTGCTTTGGAGAAATAAAAACTTGCATTGCTACCATCGTTGCTGTATCAATGCACTGGGCCATTGGGACCCTTTTTCATGGCGTGCACTTCCTGATCCTGTTCGATGTTGAGATTGCATTGCAGCTTTTTAGCATACTTCGAAAGCTGATTAACAATATCTGACGAGTGTGCAGAAGGCAGTTCCATGGAAAAACCCTTGACCAGCGAATATTCGTGCGTAATCTTGCCGCCCGCTTGTTTCACCAGAGACTTGAAATCGTCCAGTTTACCTTTCCAGGCATCCTGGTCTTCGTCAAGCGTCAGTATATATGATTTAGCTTGATCTGCCCGTATACGTTAGTAGGGGTGGGTCGAATATAAAGCCAGCCTGAACTAGTAAAAAACATGATCTACTTACCGAAAGTCGAGGCATAAGCCACGACACCCATAAACACTATAAATAAGTTCCACAATCTCATGAAGTCGAACTCTAGTTACCTCTTTTCTTTGACAGTGGTTTAACTGTGATGCTGCTTTGGTATATCAATTGAGTCAAGTTATAATATTGTCACCTTACTCTAATTATCCGTGAGTAACGAGCAAGAGAGCCGAACGCCTACTAACATGACCAAAACGGCCATAGCATTAAACATTATACAGTATTTATCAATGAGGGAGTTGAATTTGACCCAAAAACCTGTTGGAAGGCTACAGTGCCATTTCGGCAACATTTCTTTGTTGTAATCAAACAATAACCTTTTCGGTTGGATGACCGGTGTGATCGCTGCTTGGAGCGTCGTCAGTTTGAATCTTGTCATCAATGGTGGTAGGGTTTGGGACCTGGGCGGATTGGTGAGATCTGATCGGCTCAGGGATGTACATTTCGTGTTCTTCGTAAGTGAACTCGCCAATTTGAGCACCATCAGTACCAAGTTCTTCCTCGTCGGCTCTCAATCTGAGTCTTAGGAATGGAATTCTGTCCATGATGAGAAGCAAAGCAGCGGTGACAGTACAGGTCCAGGCAACAGTGGAGCAGATAGCGGCCAGTTGGTAACCCACTTGTTTGTAGTTGTGGTTAATCCAGCCACCAGCAATAGGAGCGGCTTCTGCACCAGCAGAATCGTTCACATAATCAGCAGCGAAAATACCAGTCAAGACAGAACCGATGGCACCACCCACACCGTGCAAGGCGTACACGTCAAGACCGTCGTCGATGTGCAGCAAGTTCTTCAAGTCGACGGCAAAGTTGCATCCAAGACCAGTGACAATGCCGATGACAACGGAGGCCCAAATAGGCACGAAACCAGCTGCTGGGGTAATACCGACCAAACCCGCAATGGCACCGGAGCACAATCCAACGGTGGTCCATTTGCGACCAAATCTGAAATAGTCAATGAACATCCAAGTTAGAGCAGCACAAGAAGCAGCCAAGTTGGTGTTCACGTTAGAGTACCAAGCTCTGATGGTGGCGTTACCAGCGGAGCCACCGTTGAAACCAAACCAGCCAAACCATAAAAAGACAGTTCCAAGAACGACGGAAGTCACAGAGTGAGGCTTATATTTTGGCATTCCACTTTTGGTAACAGGATCATTTCTCTTACCAAGGATCAAAGCGTAGATCAGAGCACCATGTCCAGAACAGATGTGCACGGGACCACCGCCGGCGTAGTCAAGAGCACCCAAGTGAGCCAACCATCCTTCGGCGTTCCATGTCCAGCATGCAATCGGACAGTAAACAATTGTGATCCATAGAAACAAGAAAATCATCATTGGGAACAGACGGGCACGTTCGCATGCACCACCAACCATCAAAATACCGGTGACCATGGCAAACATACCTTGGAACAAAGCGAATAAGATATCAGGCACACTGCTCACGGAACTTGGAGCGCCGAGTACATCTTTGAAACCGAAAAATTGCAAAGTACCAATGAATCCATGCCCTTTGGTGTTGTGCGAGAATACCAGTGAGTAACCCCACCAGAACCATTGGAAGGAAACGACACCGACGGCCATGATGGATGCCCATAGCAGCGAAAGTGCATGTTTTTTACGCGAAAGACCCGAGTACAAAAGACCGATACCGGGAACCATAATCCACACCAAAGCGGCGGCAGTGCCGACCCACACCATGTCAGCGGCTTGAAACTGGGTGTTCAAGTCCGTGTTGAGTGTGTTGCCACCCGTACCACTCCCGGTCGGGGTACCAGTAAGATTTAAACCAGACATTGAAGCAAGCGATGCGATGAGCTGCGGTTTTTTTTTTTGGGTCAAGCTCAGTAGTTCAACGAAATGAGGTCCGTCCCTTGCTGTGAAAAGACAATGTTGAAGATGCAATGTACAAGTGCAACTGTTTTCCCGGACTCAACGCTCTCGTAATGAGCTAAATGCATCATATACTTATACCTGTTAGTCTCGTCGTTCCCGTTTCTGCTAGATTCACCAACCGTCCATCTTCTGGCCAACCACATCACCACGATACAAGATAAGTATTTCTCTGTTCAGATAAGAACCGAAAGATAGCGCGGGCATCACCTTGCAGATTTTCTCAAAGTTTTTGGAGGGGAGCTCTCTGAAAAACCGCTGAAAAAATTAACAGTTAACTTGCAGATAAAATACCACGGGAGATTAACAGAAAGCCATCAAGGCTGTATTTGCAGGTGTTCACATTTGCAGGTATCACAACGGCGATGAGATTGGAGAGGCCTCACTGAGGAGAAGTAAATGTGGAAACTTTATACACTAGCTGACTCCAGTGCCTCATAGATTTTGTTTTTTTGGTAAGGAAGATGCCATTTCTGAGAGCTTCGCGCCTAACTTTAGAGAATTTAATGCAATTCCCTTTACTGTCTCAGGAAAGGGTAGGTGATAAGAATTTTTTAAGGCCGTGAACAGTAAAAGGTATGTTTATCTGCTTCCAGCCAGCGTGAATGCACCATCGGTCTTGGTAAAAGCATGAGAGGGAAAACACAGGAAAAAAGAAAAAAAATAGAGTCATCATCCCAAGAGAAAGATGATGTGGTGCACGGACGCTCGTGAGTCAAGTCATATCACGTGATGCGTAATACGTGTGGGATGATCAATGTCCGTCTTTAGTGATCGCGGGTATTTTCATTGTCGGTGGCGATTTTGTGTTCTTTTAGCGGGTTTTCAAAGTAGCGTTAAACAAAACAACGTCAACCTTGTCTAATAAGCCTCAATGACGTTCTTGCTGCCAAAATAAGTTATGGATTGCCCCCATCTTTTCGTTCCTGAAGTTTGTCGGTCCATTTCTCGATTCCTATGCAATTTCACACCGGGAAAACGGGCACATTGAATTTCTAGCACATTTTCTGCATTCTGAAAGTAAGTTCTCTGTGGTCTCTGACTGCTTCAATGCTCTATTTCATGTTTTTGGCTTTGGTTGTTTTAAAAAGTGACATGTAAAGGAAAGAGTTTTAATTGTGGGGATCGAAATTATTAGACTATATATATAAGATGTGTGGATAAGCAAGTGATGAGCTATTAAAAAGGCGAGGAATACCAACAGTTTAAGCCCGGAGACTGAACGATAATTCATCCAGACTGCCAGTTTTTATGCTGTACAGATCGATTCCAAATTCCTGGGTCTTTCTGGTGCCGTTTTCAAGTAATTCCTCTGTGTGATTACTTACTTCTGTAATCTTGTTTTTATCCAGGACTGCTGTTAAAACTTAAACTTACCATTGAACTGTTACATTCCGTCATATCATTGCATCAAGTTTTGGTGAGCATTCAAAAAGCTTATGAATCGTTTTTGTTAAGTTACTACTTCTACGATGACAGGTGAACCTGGAGCAAGTGTAAATCATTGCAAAATGGCGGAAACACTCGACATTGTGAGCTCAAAATTCACACCGAAACCGTTCGATTGCAAGGTTCCGGTGACCTTAAGACCACTCGGTGCGCTGAATATCGTCTGATGTGTCAAGATACCTATATTAATGGAATTTCAAAGTCAACTTTCAAAGACGGCACCGATTGCATCCGGTTTTTGTATCCAGATTCCTACCCAAAATTCGCAAACAAGATCATATTCTGGGTTCTTGTTGAAAGTCACGTACTTTCCCCACGTTTGCTTGCGGTTCCTTAGGACTCTTCCCTACCCTTTTCGTTGTATTTGCAACTTCCACACCTGACATCAGCAATACCGTCAAGTTACCTCCCCTACGACAAAAGGAAGCATAACACGAGTTGCATCCAACGCCTTGCTTTTCAATCGTACACCCCACAATAAATTTGCAGATGACGGCTCCCTACCTCTGCTCCACTTGTGTGTTCTCACTTAGGCCCCTGACCCTACCCTTTAGCCTCAGTGTTGTATAAAAGAATACGGGATCTTTCCAACCCGTCTTTTGCGAGTCTGGTGTGTTGGGTGAATTCGCTAGCACCAGACTCTCTCACTGCTTTTCACCGAGTCTTCAGAATAATGGATGAGAAAGTACTAGTAACGGGAGCTTCCGGCTATATCGCCATGCACATTGTGAATATCCTTCAATCGGAGCGCTACCATGTGGTAGCTACGGTGGACACTCAACAGAAAGCTGACCGGATTTCATATGCGTTTGAACACTACTATCCTTACGCTGTACTGGATGTAGTAGTCATCGCTGACACTGCAGCACCGGATGCATTTGAAACTGTGTTCCAGAAGCATCCTGATATCCAGCATGTCATCCACACAGCACCGCCAGCGTCTTTGGGAGAAGGAAATACCACAGAGGCCGCATATTTGACTCCGGCAACCGAGGGTACGAAAAACGTTCTTGAGTCCATCCATAAGTTTGGTACGAATGTCAAAAGGGTCGTGGTGACATCTTCATTCTCTGCACTCATGGACTTGGACCGTGCCGGTGACCCCAGGTGTGTCATTTCGGAAGAATCGTGGAACCCAATCACCTGGGAGCGGGCCAAGGACAAAGACAGCAAGGCGTACTCTGCATCCAAAAAAATCGCGGAACAGATGGTGTGGAAATTTTACAACGACAACAAGGATTCTGTGAACTATACAGTTACAACCGTAAACCCTCCTTATGTTTTCGGCCCGCACGTCTTTGAATGGGGATTGGAAACCGGAGAATGGAACACTACGGCGCAATTTATCAAAAAGGCGCTCGATTTGACACCAAAAGATCAAGGACCTTTCATCAAGCCCCGGGGCATTAGCTGTGATGTAAGAGACGCTGCATTGCTTCACGTCCTGCCGCTCAGAAACCCTGATTTGGCCGGGAAGAGACTATTTCCTGTCAACGGAACAGGGGTCAAGCAGCACAGTTACGAAGATGGTAAATTCAATCTACAGAGAATTGTTGATATTCTGAGTGCTACGTTCCCAGAGTTGGAGGACAAGTTGCCCGCGGGCTCGCAAGTGGAAAATCAAGCGAATCTTGAACAGTTGGCACGCTATAATAACGATGAGACGTGCAAGCTGACTGGTATGGAGTTCAAATCTTTTGCAATTACGTTGCGGGATGCTGGGAACCAAATAATGAAGGTGCAGTCCAAGAAGTGAGATTATTTGGTGGGGACACCTAGGGAAACGACACACTTTTTTTATGAATAACAAAAATACGTAGAAACACCGAAATCGATGGAAAACTGTAAGAACAAGACGCGTACAGCTATCGCAATGGGCTGTTTTGAACGTAAAACTGGTGGAACCGAGGAGAGTCGTCGTAAAAAATTCCAATCAGACGTTTGGGAAGTAGGAAAGAGCGGAGGAAGACATGAGGTATAAAGAAACAGATCAACTGGTATAGACAGTTGGGTGGAAATATCTTGGAAGCTCTCTTAACTCTTCACTGTCATTGGAACGTTATTTCTGATCACTTTATCTGTCATGTAATGTCGAATGTCAAATGTCAGTTAATGTGTTTGGATAAACACTGTCACCAGAAGCGATAAATGTTCACTGAGGTTGAAAAGGTCTAGAATGCCCGCTTGAATTAGCTTTATACAAATAATTGATCAAAACGTCGAATTCGCGATAATCTCAAATGCTTCCTAATGATTGAGCTAAATATATTGCATTGCACCAATGTGACGATTTCAAATCCCACATTCGACCTCGAAACACCAGAAACTAATCAAATAAAGCCTAGAATCGCCCCATAATCATGGTATATCCTTGGGGTTGATTCAAGCAGTTTCAGCCTATAGTAAAATCCAAACTTTCTTGTTTTTAATGTTTTTGAGCCCAATATGAACATTAGACCTAGCTAGGTATTTGAGTAGTCCAATTAGTCAATCCAGAAGAAAGAAACATGAATGTCCCAGTATCCAAGCCATTGACATCAGTTGCTGTTCAATTTGGCACCAGGATCTGTAAATATCAACGCAGATACCCTTACAAAAACAGGCCGCGCTAAACGTGGTAAACTCTGTCTTTCTAGCACTCACCAATCTTTTGATCAAAACTACAACGAATCTTCCACTTTTGGTCAGAAATCAGTAAATATTCTCACTCTAGCTCTCTAGCTTAACAATGGCACAAGTAGGTACATTAATTTTACATGTCTAAACGTTATTTTGGTGTCATGTACGTTGTAGCGAGTGTCTACACTCGAAGGTATCATCTTGATGAAGTATTATAACGAACAAATGGGTTGGACGATGGGCATTAGAGGGTATCATAAAACGGACAATTCAACTGTCCAGCGTCTCTGCGTCTCCGAATATCAAATTGGGTTCTTACCAATGACTGGCTAGTCTATGACAAAAACAAGTCTTGCAAACCGGAAGGATCAGTAGCGTTACTGGCAATGGCAATCGATAGTAGTAGCTGTGCTTGCACAGGCGAAAACAAGCCGCCAGCAATGGCACCAGAAGGTACGTCTTCTTCAAAGACGGGCTCTGCGTCATCGGAGGTGAACACAACAGGCACAGAAGGCGATTTGAGCTCGCTGGTGGTCGAATTGCCAGAAGAAACCACGACCAGACCCTTAATGGAGCTGCTGAGCGAGTTCACTAGCGATGGGTCGAAGTAGCCGTCGTACAGCACGGGGATGGTTGGAGCAGAGGAGCTGAAAGTTGAATTTGCCGTTGTAACTTCGGTGAAATTGGTGTATTCGTAGCGTAGCGTGTTGTCAGGCGACAAGAAAGTGGGCCATGCAGGTGTGAACCAGAACCAAGGTTCGTACTGATAAATAGCGCCTATCTTGCCCGCATGAGGCTTAGAGGCCGAGTAAAGGGCCCCAGAGTAGATAGACGTTTTGTGGGCCACCAAGACTCCGCGCCACCATGAGTCCTCAGACCATGCAACCTGGATACCTGTGTCCACATCGTCAGTGACCACCAGGCTCTTTGGCGAGTCTGTCACGACGCTGAGGAAGAAACCAAGCGATTCCAGAGCTGCTTCCGATCCAACAACCACCACGCCTGTGTACTGCTCGCTTTCTAGCGAGCTAGAGACCGAGGCTGCTACGCTGTATAGATACGTTGCGTTGAGAGACGAGTGGTTGAACAAAGTGGTGACTTCCACGTCCGGAGACATCGTCCAGTTGGACATCTGGTATTCACCGCCCGTGATGAAAACCTGCAACTTGGGCGATGGCCAGCCGATGCCTGGGAATCCGCCTGTGGTGCCGTTTCCACCAACAGCAGTACCGTTTCCACCACCAACAGTACCGTTACCGGTGCCATTGAATCCCGAAGTGCTGTTCCAGTTCGAAGGGTTGGTCCAGTTTGACCAGTTGGACATTTGCGTTAAATTGCCAGGATATACCTCTAGCGGGCTGAAGTCGTCTGAGCTGTCTGAGCTTTCCCGCTTGAAAAGCTCTGAAAGAAACCCAACGGGTGACGCTGTAGCAACAGCTACAACGTAGGATAGAGCGAGAGCAACGTGCATGCTTTCTGCTGGGTTGAAATGGGAAATGAACTTTGGCTTGGTAGATTTGAATTTAAGCTCTAATATCTACAGGAAAGGAGAAGAAAGTCATCTTTAAACCCAGTATTCACCAATATTTCCCACCCAGTACTTTCGCTTCTTATACTTCCCACAACCACCACCCGTTTGCACTGGTTCCAGACTCCCCTGGACTCGTTGTGCGATTGCTAACAAACAACAACAACAAACAGCCCCGGTTATCCCAAGCCACCGTTCTGCTACGGGAAATACGCACAAAACGCATTACCAAGACTTTTTAAGGTCTCTGCATCTCAACTGAGTCCCAATAGACACTTCAGTCACCGCAATTTGGCCCAATCGGGCTATACACACAGACCACAGGCCAGTTTCCCCAGAGATCTGTCATGGAATCTTTATTTAGCGCAACGAACCGAAGCAAGAGTCTGAACGTTACGTTCAATCGCTAGCTCCATCTGCAGACGGTTCCGGATCTCCCCTGCAATTGCTACTCATCTAGTGCAACAATTGAAAATCCCGAAAACTTCCAACCCTGACGCGGGAGGTGTACAGTTGGAATATCCGCAAGAAAAATACATGGTTAGAAAGCCAGAATTCGTCGCTACACAACGAGCCCACTGGCTGCATTCCAATGTTTCTGCTTCACTTGTGAGAGTTCCAAACGTGTACCAATTGCATCTTTTTACCTTGTAAGTTTTTCAATTTCTACTACCCGATGCCCACTGGGATAGATGCTGTCCAGCTAGCGAAAACAGCTCAATAGGGTGTGGCGGACAGCCCGGATCGAGAAGCAAGTAGCAAAAACCCGGATTCGAGACCTGGAAGCCATGTTGGGTCTTGTCTTTAAGGAAAATAAGGTTGAAGGTTGCAAAAAAATCCCACCCGAATCGGGACCCGGAAACCAATTGTTGTAGACTCTCACTTTTGTTGAAGATTCAACCTGGGCACACATACACGACTGAATCGATCGATCGTTCAGCCTGAAATAGAAAATTGTAGCATTACAAGGTCGCTTAAGTGCTTCGTATCGTCGATTTTGGTCGTCTCATTAGCCTACCCGAATCAAATTAACTTCGCTGATGAGCAGCAGCAGCAGTAGTGCGAGTAATGTCAGCAACAGTATAGTTCGCACACCGTCGGCCATTGTCCATCTGGTAAGCCTCAGCACCAGTTTGTGGGGTGCGTATCGCGCAACCAAAGTAGTGCTGCCCATCCGTTTGCGTGAAGCAGGCCATCGCCAGTTTCTCACCAACATTGCATTGGCAGCCACGATTCTGACCAATGTGGTAACACTGGTGTCGTACGCAAGGGCCAACAGTCGTTCGTTGGGACACACCAGCCGACAGGTGGCTTTGCCCCTGGCGCTGGTGCTTGAAACGGTGGTCGCATTGGTGTACTGGCCATTGCGTTTGTTTTTCCTGCCTCTGATAATGCACAACGTGAAAGACGGTTCCAGGGTCCCCCTGCCAGTGCCTGTGGACTGTGCAATTCATCTGCTGCCCGTTGTGTATCTGGCAGTGGACTATCTGGCGCTGGAACCGGCTCCGTTCCAAATGTCGACCAAAACGGCCTGGTTTGTCGTAACAGCGCTGGGACTGGGATATAACCAGTACCTAAAAGTTATAGTCGATCATGACAACGGTGCGGTGTATCCGTATCCGTTTTTGGAGGTCAAAGAGCCCTACAGAAGTGCGATATTCGTGGCTGTCACCAGCATCGCCTGGATCTGGTTTGTGATTTACAAAAAACTACACAGAGGAGGCATAAGAGGAGGGCAAGCAAAACTGGGCAAAGCGAATTGAGACGGTCCTGAAAATGTCTTGAAAGTGCTATCTTGTCGGCCGTTGTTGAATGGTTAGACACTTCAATACGCTACACACACAGCCAAATCGTGTCACTTTGTACTAATCTGTCAAAGCACCAATCGTGGATTTGCCAGCGACAAAGCATGAATAGCGAGCGCGAGAATTCGTCGTTAAGGTCTTGAGCACTGAATTCCGATGCTGAAGGCGGAAGAACTCATGAAATCCGATTTTCTTTTATTTTCTTCATTTTTTTTACTGACATTGAGCTTGTGAGCTACGTTTCCATCCCAAAGCACTTCTTGGAAACAGTTTGTAACTCATGGCTAAGCTACCGTGAAATACTGAGCCATATATGTGTCGTTTTCCGAGCTTTTAGCGACAATTGTTGTGAATACACCACGTACGTTTTATGGATTGTTACTTTAAAAAATCGCTAATTTTTGTTGGGAAAATCCCGAGAATAATAGGCCTAAACCTGCACTTGAATTACATCATATTGTGCGTTCCATTTCAATCGAAAAGATGGGATCTTCCAAAGCTTTTCAACAAACGTCGTTTGATGTTCATTTCACTAGAAGGCCTTATTGAGCCCTGGTATTATATCACTCTAGACGTTACCCGGCCTCAAATCCAAGAGTATATAAAAGGACAGACTTATTTCACTTTCTTTCCTCTTCCCTCCTGTCCACTTCTTTTTAAAGAACCAACATCATTTTATATCGCTCACGCTGGCCCCATAATTTTTCATCAGAGGGAAAGGACAGTGCTCCCAGCTTTTCCAGGTTCCGGGGTTGGCAAGAAGCGTAGACTAAATTACAGAACGTTGCTGGGCGCCTTATGTTGATTTTTCTCGTAAAAATAGGAGACATCGGGAATCAGCTGTATCTACATTCTTAAAAATCAAAAGTCTTGGTAATTTTCTCACGTACATGGAGTAATGAGGCGAACTGCCTGTCTTGTTCAGTCAAGAAACCCAGACTTAATGTTTATTAGAAGATATTTTATGTAGTCTTCAAATTGGGGCCTTACAATGCGTTTTTCCGCGTCAAATAATCGAAACGCGAATAGGTGTACCCGATGAAGGGCAAGTCCTCTTTGCTCACCGGATTGCCAGCAGCACCGCCTTGCTGCATCATCTGCTCTCTTTGGCGGGCAGCTTGAGCCATAGCTGGACTGTCCGGTACATTTTCCAGCTCGTCTGTGGGGAAAAACCGAGTATCCGTAATGCTGCTTAGTTTTGGAATGTAAGGCGCTTCCACTAACCGTATACTGTTCCAATCAACACCACGGAAAAAGGGATGGTTCTTGATCTCATCAGCCCCACCGTGTCTGCCGAGTCTTTGATCTGCATGTGTTAAGAACCGGCGGATCAAGTCTTCAGCTTCATACGAGATGTGAATGTCGTCTGGGAACTGCAAGGTCTGCTCAAAGTTCATGATCTTACGGTAAGTCTCTTGAGGTGTTTCAGAACAGAACGGTGGCCACCCAATCAGACATTCGTACATGATCGCGCCCAGGGACCACCAATCGCATTCTTGGCCGTAGCCTTGATACAAGAAAATCTCAGGCGCAATGTAGTCAGGTGTACCAACTGTCGAATATGCCATTAGCCTACGCGATTTCCTCCACGTTTGTATCTGCTGCCTGTTGGTCATGGTCAAATGAATGGCATCCACAAACATGGTGTTACGGTTTTTACCTGAACTGTTGGCAGTGATTCCCATTTGTGGTTTTTGGAGGTTGCCTGCTGCTGCGTTCACTTCATCTTGCTGTAGAAGCTTTTTATAATACTTTGAGTCATGAGTCTTGTGGAAACCAGTGGAAAGTCCAAAATCGGATAGTTTAATATGGCCTCGTATATCGATCAATATGTTGTCTGGCTTGATGTCTCTGTGGATGAAGCCAAGTTTATGAATGGCCTCAATGGCCAAAATGCACTCTGCCATATAAAATCTGGTGACATCTTCCGTGAAGATTTGCCATCTAATAAGCATAGTCATTAAATCACCGCCAGGCAGAAATTCCATGATGAGATACAGATACTGAGTATCTTGAAAGGAATAATACAGCGATACCACCCAAGGCGAATCGCTTCCGGCCAAAACGTCTCTTTCTGCCTTAACATGCGCCAACTGATCCTTTTTGTACATTTCTGATTTCAGTAGCGTCTTCATCGCATAAATTTTGCCCGTGTCTCGTTTCTGGACCAGTCTTACTTCACCGAATGCACCTTTACCGATCACTTTCACGGTTTGGAAATCTTCTAAAGAAAGTCGAGTACGACGTAGTCGCAGAAACTGTGATTCTTTTTTGCCCAACGTGGAAAGCTGTCTGCTTTTGCGTTCATCGGACCAGTCTTGCGAAACCAGTTGATTCTCAAGCTCTACACGCCTTTGATTGCGTTCTATGGCATAGTTAACGGAAGACTGGTAAAAGTTCTCAATTTTTAGCTTGACTGTCGCGGCTTTGTCCTGAGTGGACTTTGAGAGCAGATCGGGCCGTCTTTCGAAGTACATGTAGTTCGAAGCAGGTGGAGCAGCAGCAGAAAGACGTTGCTGCGAGTCACTGTTTGGCAGGCCCTGGAGGCCTCTGACCGGGCTTTGCTGGTGTACGCTGGCGTTCGAACCGTACTGCTGCGCATGCTGAGGACTGGCCATAGCCTGGAAGGGCGTACTATGCTGTGGACTCTGCCTAGTGTTATTATACTGAGAGAGATGCTGAGGACTCTGTAAGGTGTGATTTTCGGGCATGTAGTCCGATGTCACGGAATACTGGCCCGGTGAGACTTGAAGGTTTGGATAGACGTTGTTGCGCAAGTTACTCTGGGAGTTGTTGCCGTGGCTATAGAGACTAGGGGCCGCGTTGTTGCCGTTGCCAAAAGTGCCTACCGCTGGTGGTGTGTTCATGACGTTTTGGTTATTTGGAGATGTATAGTTTTGCTGGGACGTGGTTGGAGTGGACGGATACGACAAACTGGGCACATCAGCAAACCCACCGCCCACAGATTCCACTTGATTTTGGAGATGTCCTTGCAGAGATGGATGTGAGCCCTGTTCCCTCATATAGTTCGAGCTAAACGCCGTTGCAGGTGGTCTAGACAGCGAGGTATGGGACTCGTTTGATGCCCTTGGATAACGAATCTGATCTTCATCATTACTACTGTAATTACCGCTGTACTGGTCCGTTTTCATCCCTGAAAACTCGTAAGTAGGGTTGGGTTTCGTGTACGCGTTGTTGTATCCATTGAACATGCTCCAATGCTTGACCTTTCGGGCACTTTTTGACGCAAACGGTTTGGCCAAGATGCTATGATCTACAAGAAAGTTCGGTTATAAGTTGTCATGTACCATTATTATTATTATTATTTCAGCTACTCGCGTCGTACGGGTAACACCGTTCACGTTTTCGAAAGGATATCACGTTTTAGTAAAGACGTCTACAACAACGTTAAACTGATGAGCTAGAGGAAGTGATCGACACGACTGCAGGATTGCACTGGTTGTAGTGGCGTTGGACTTATGTATCTTGAGCCAATCTGCCAACAGAATACCGCCGGTTCAGAGACCTGAGGGTCCTTTCTTGATTATAGCATCTCGTTGTTACCTATTTAGTTACAGATGGGAACAATGTAGGTGGAAAAATGACCAAAATGTGCGAAAAGAGTAGTAAAACTGGATAATAAAAGCAGCACTTGAGCGCACACTTAAAATTGCAAAGCTTGGCCCTTTTGCTTCTTCTCACCACCCAACTCAAAGTGCTTGCATCTCTTCAAGCATAGCTGAGCTCTGGTCTTGCAAGCAACACATTCCAATCTCAACACGACCTTCTTGGTGACCTTGGCTTTCTTGTGGAAAACAGGCTTTGTCTGACCACCGAAACCGGACTGTTTACGGTCGTAACGTCTCTTACCCTGGGCGAACAAGGAAGCCTTACCGGCCTTGTATTGGGTGACCTTGTGTTGGGTGTGTTTGCGGCATTGCTTACCCTTGCAGTAGGTCCTTCTGGTCTTTGGAACGTTAACTGGGAAGGAGGTTAGTACTTGGATTGTGAAAGTGGGGTTTTTAATGCAGAAAATGCGGGTTGCGAGACGGGAGTAGTAGGACCAGTGAAACCCAAATTTTTATGAGCTTTTTCCCGTTCATTTTGTGTAAAAGAAGAGGAGTCAATAGTTCATATTGATGTGCGCTAGAACGTCCTGATAGCTTGCATTTCTCAAAACCATGACGCTGCTCCTCGAGGACCTGCTCATAGGTCTAATTGTTGTTTCCCAAGCTGATCACTTATTTTCTGGCGCTGTTACGCATTCTCGCTCCAACAAGGTGCACTTTTGGCTCTCGGCTCCCACATTTTCGCTGTTGCTTATCCCGTCTGAATCTGTTCACTCGTCTGTTGACATACCCATTGCGACTGATACTTCTTTACTTGGTGGTGAACAGTATGAACGCTATACAGCAGTGTTCCGTCAACTATATTGAAGATCGTAACTAGTTTTCCACTCCTGGCGAGAGTGAACGGCGAGGAGCGAGTTGGATTCCCACCACGGCTAGACAGAACTCTCCGGTAGCGATCTCTAACCGTGGGCAGAGAGCTGCCCAGGAGCTGGGCAGAGACTGAGCCTGGAGTGCTAGGCGGAGCGCTGTTCCAAGTCCCTTCACGCCTGCACCTACGCACTCTCAACTTTCCCACGCAATATATCTTTTTTTCTGGAAGCTCATTATTTTTCATGAAAAATAATGAAATGTATGGGTGTTGGTAATTGAGAGCAGTCATATCAGAAATACTTAGTTGGCATCGTCGCCGTGAAGTTTGACACAACCGCAGGTTACGGCGCGGTCGAACTAGAGGTAAGGGTCCAGCTAGTTTCGTGTCATTATCTCAAGAACTACGAATATTTATGCAACGAAAACTTCCAGAGATGTGAATTATCTCTTTTAATTTTTAATCAGGGTTTTCGAGCCAAGACCAAAATTTAACGATGCATATCACATACTTCTTGTTGAGGGCTAAAATACAACGGTCCTGGCTCAAATCAAACTTTCCAAATGCATCGGTCAGGTCTATTATGAACACCATTTCGGAGGGTCGAGTTTCCTTTATCATTGTAGACGTACGTGACATCAGCATGTCAACACTCATAATTCACCAATAATAAGGTACGTCAACACCATAGAGAAAAGCTGTCAAAAGAGGCTGACTAGATCCTTCTATTTCGCCTTTCCCGTTCCAATACCCACCGCTTTCCTTCACCTATCACTACAGTGTTTTCGCGTCGCTTGGCTTTTTTTTATCGCGTCTTGTATCACATGACAATAATTAGATTTCGCGTGTCCAAATCTCATAAACCGTTCTACAAGATATGCATCATGTTTCACAAAGCTCGAGCTTTTGATCGACACCAAATATCTCTTTTGAACGCTTCTTTGAGTCGATATTCCAGCGTGCTACTCACCACATCGAAAGCTGACCCTAAACTGCTGTTCATCTGTGCTGTGCGTTCGAGATCGAGATTGGATCAATAATTTTCAATTCGAGCTGTTCTCTATATATAGATCAAAGCTCATCGCGTTCTTTTCCAAAAAATCCAAAACTCTAACAACCAAGCCTATTTGACCATGGGGTTCGGCAACTTCGCATCGATCTGCTCTAAGACTCCGCTGCCATTGTGCTCGGTGGTCAAATCATCTACACATTTAGTCCTCGCGAATGAGCAAACCGTACACGATTTCGATCCCAAGGGCCTCACAATGGGCATTTTGCCCCGGTGTTATGCGCGCTCGATCGATGTGGCAAACACGGTCGTTTTTCAAATTGGCAACGCGTTTGTTAATATTGGTGCATTGGGCGTAATTCTGTTCATGATCTATTCCACGCGCCGGAAATACACTGCAATTGGCAGATCTGAGTATAGCTTTCTGTTCGAGCTGTGTTTGGGGCTTATAGTGTTTACTCTAGTGGTTGACTGTGGGGTATCTCCACCAGGCTCGTTGTCATATCCCTATTTCGTGGCCGTTCAGATAGCATTCGCGGGCGCTTGCTGCTGGACGATGGCTGTTGTTGGATTTTTGGGTTTCCGGTTTTGGGAAGACGGCACGCACAAATCGATGGCCTTGACGAGGGGCTCTGCTTTCCTCGGCTTTGTGATCAACTTTCTCGTCGCCATTTTTTCGTTCGAAGCCTGGAAATCCTCTTCCACGTTCACAAACTCCAATACAATGGGTCTTTTCGTTGTCATGTATGTGCTGAACGCTCTGGCCATATTGTGTTACATTATCTGCCAGCTGCTGGTATCATTATTTGTGATCACCAACTATTGGGCTGCAGGTGCTGTGCTCCTCGGCGTTTTCTTCCTGTTCGCCGGTCAACTAATCATCTATGCATTTTCCGCTGCCATTTGCACGGGTGTGAAGCACTACATCGACGGGCTCTTTTTTGGAAGTCTATGCAACATTTTTGCCCTGATGATGGTGTATAAGACTTGGGACATGACTACGGACGACGACCTCGAATTCAGCGTTAGTGTCCACAAAGGCAACAACCACGAGGTAAACCATATGCTGAGCTACAATTTCTGAAAGCTCCAGACCGAAGATCAACGGCGTCAAATTGGACAACCATGTAAATTATACAAATATAGACATTTTAGCATCTAAATCGTAACCCTACAAAAGAGCCCTCTGAAAGAAGCAAGAAAAAAGGTCTGTTGTCTTCCAGTGCTCGTTCTCACGACGCGATCATCTTTCTAAGGTTTACTCTTGTCTTCCTGCTCTTCTTTTCGAAGACGTCTTTTCGCTGCATCTAAGATCTGCGAATCTTTGGTATATACAATATTGTCCATAACTTCACGCTCATTGAACGGATAACCACAGTTCAAATTTGTGCACAGCACCAAACTGTAGTTCTGCTGGATCAAACATTTCTGAAGCTTGCTGTCACACTGCGGACATCTTGTATCTCCCATCAAGTTTGTCGATTTTCTGATTCTGAGCTATCTACAAATTTCAAGTTTAGCAATATAGCTTTTAACAGAAAGAGATCTTCTTCTAAGAACAGATCAACCAAACTTGAGCTTAAAATACTCCTAAGATGTCGAGAGCTGGTCCAGAAACATCTAAAAGATTGCAGAAAGATCCATCATGTATCAGAAACATCTGTATATTAGCACATGTGGATCACGGTAAGACTTCATTGTCAGACTCATTGCTGGCATCTAATGGCATTATTTCACAAAAGCTCGCGGGAAAGGTAAGGTTTTTGGATTCTAGGCCCGATGAACAGCTCAGAGGTATTACGATGGAATCTAGCGCGATTTCTTTGTATTTCAGGGTCTTGCACAAACAACAGGGTAAAGAAGAGCCTTTGGTAAATGAGCACCTTATTAATTTGATCGACTCTCCCGGTCACATCGACTTTTCCAGCGAGGTTAGCACCGCCTCTAGATTATGTGACGGTGCTGTTGTGCTCGTAGATGTGGTCGAAGGTGTTTGCTCGCAAACGGTAACAGTTCTAAGACAATGCTGGGTTGAAAAACTCAAACCTGCGCTAGTGTTGAATAAAATGGACCGTTTGATCACAGAGCTCCAATTGAGCCCTCAAGAAGCATATTTGCATTTGAACAAGATTATAGAGCAGGTGAACTCCATCATCGGCTCTTTTTACAACGGACAACGACTACTGGACGATCTGTCATGGCGAGAACAGCTCGAAGACAATCAAGCGACCGAATTTGTCGAGAAAGACGACTCGGACATTTACTTTAAACCAGAAAACAACAACGTCATTTTTGCATCGGCCATTGATGGCTGGGGGTTCAACATCGGACAGTTAGCCAAATTTTATGAACAGAAACTTGGTGCCAAGAGAGAAAACCTACAAAAAGTGCTTTGGGGTGACTTCTTCATGGACCCCAAAACAAAAAAATTCATCAACAGCAAGGGACTCAAGGGACGAACTTTAAAGCCTTTGTTTGTAAGTTTGATCCTCGAAAACATATGGAAAATCTACAACAATATCTTGATCGACAGAGACCCAGAGGTCCTGGAGAAAATCACTAATACTTTGAATATCAAGGTTCCACCAAGGGATCTACGTTCAAAAGATTTGAAAAATCTACTGCGAACAGTCATGGGACAATGGCTTCCGGTCAGCTCCTCGGTTCTTTTAACAGTTATCGAAAAACTGCCCTCGCCACTTGAAGCTCAAGGTGAGAAAATTGAAAGAATCATAGGTACTGCACCTGGGCACGAAATGATTGACCCCAGTCTTCGGGAAGCTATGGGACGCTGTGACAAGAACGGACCTGTTTGTGCCTTCGTTTCGAAAATGATTTCTGTTCCTAGAGAAGAGCTACCCTTGAATGCTGGCGTCCAGTTAACCCCAGACGAGCTGATGCAAAGAAGTCGTGATGCGCGCGAAAGAGCACTTAAAGCTGCAAAGGCGGCCGAACAAGCGGAAAGTCTCAAGCATGCTAGTAAATCTGAAAAGGACGATACCGGCATGTACACTAGAGCACAAGAAACGACGGCAACACCCAGATTGGATGAGCAAGCAAAACCTGCAGCTCAGAAGCCTTCATCAAACGACGAATTCCATATTGTAAGCGAAGCCGCACCAGAGTTTGATTTGGCGCTGGATCTAGGTCTTGAATACGAATCGGAACCCGGTTCTGAGAGCGAGTCGCACGAAGACGGCGACGTTGAACCTCAGTATATTCCGGCGGATATTGATGTGAACGATCCACTAAGTTCGATGTTCGAGTATGAAGAAGAAGATCCGTTCGAAACTGATGTTCTAGAAAAGGAGGCCGACGATGCTGAAGAGCTATTCGAAGAAAGCGATGAGGTGATGATTGGAATAGCGAGGCTCTATAGTGGCACTTTGAAGGTCGGACAAAAGATAGCCGTCTTAGGCCCCAAGTACGACCCTCACAATCCAACTGCTTTTGTTGAAGAGGTTGAAATAACTGAACTTTATATTTTCATGGGCAAGGACCTGGTACCACTAAAAGAATGCCCACCGGGAAACATTGTGGGTATTGGTGGGCTAGCGGGGAAGATTCTCAAGAACGGTACTATTGTTGATCCACTTGTTCAAGGTGCAAATCTGGTTGGTGTAAATCTTCACGTAACCCCCATTGTCCGCGTGGCACTTGAGCCAACCAATCCAACACAAATGAACAGACTCGCGCGTGGTCTGAGACTGTTGTATCAAGCCGATCCTTGCGTTCAAACCTATGTCGAGGACACAGGAGAACATATCCTTTGTGCTGCGGGTGAACTGCATTTAGAAAGATGCTTGAAGGATCTGACGGAGAGATTTGCTGGTATCAGTATTACTTCATCAGAGCCCGCGATTCCGTACAAGGAATCGTTCTTGTCCACACCTGATATGAACCCTGCAAAAGACGCAGACCTAGGAAGAGGAACGTTCAAAACGTATCTTGATGAGTATGCCTTGACGATCAAAGCGGTACCCATGCCCGATGAGATAACGCAACTTTTGCTTGAACATGAACACGAAATCAAAGCCATTTCAGAGCGCAAGGAGAACATGGCTGGCGTCGCAGAATTCAGAGCTTCATTGGACAAATTATTTTCAGACGCTGCCTCCAAAGACAAAATCTGGTCGCATTCTAGCATAGACGTATCTGCTTTTGGAGGCAAAAGAGTGGGTCCAAACATTTTAATCTCCAATTGTGTGAAACTCGAAAATTCTTCAAACGACTCTGGCGAACGAACTTTTGAGTATGGAAGCTCTCTCATCAATGGGTTTGAACTAGCTGTTAACCAGGGTCCACTTTGCAATGAACCGGTCCAGGGAATGTGCGTTTTCGTAGAGGACATACATGAAATGAGTGCCGAAGAGATAGAAGAATCGAACTTACAGAATCATCAGGTCGGATTGCCCAATTTTGCAGGACGCTTGATCACGACAACCAGAGATTCCATTCATGCCGCCTTTTTAGATTGGTCGCCGCGGATTATGTGGGCAATGTATCAGTGCGACATTCAGGCATCTGTCGAGGTTCTGGGTAAAGTATACGCGGTTGTACAGCAGAGACGCGGTCGTATTGTGTCTGAAGAGATGAAAGAAGGCATCCCGCTATTTCAAATCGAAGCTAAGATTCCAGTTGTAGAGGCTTTCGGCTTCAGCGAAGATATTCGTAAAAAAACGTCTGGTGCCGCTCAACCACAGCTAGTCTTTGCCGGGTTTGAAACTATCGACCTGGACCCATTCTGGGTCCCTACTACAGAAGAGGAGCTGGAAGATTTAGGTGACACGGCCGATAAAGAGAATATTGCAAGAAAGCATATGAACATGATCCGCAGGAGAAAGGGACTGTTCGTGAACGAGAAGTTGATCCAGAACGCGGAAAAGCAGAGAACTCTGAAACGTTGAGAGACACTGTCGACCATGCCTTATGTTCCCGAAGCCTTTTATATGCTTTTTCGATGGCTACGCTGTGGATCGTGCAGAGGTATGTAGCTTATAAGAACTCTAGGTAATTGCCGATCATCACCCAAAGTAAGCTCATCGCGACAGCATTTTGACCAAAACGTACTGTCTAGAAGCCCTTTGACTGCTGGTTTGATGCCTATACTCAAGAATACATCTGCGGAAGTCTTTCCGGGTGATGGACGTGGCGATTTCAACGCAATGATGCAAGAAGGCGTAAAAGCATTGACAAACATGTTAACAACCCATTTGCAAGAAGAATCTGGCCCTGACGAGAATTTTCAAGTGGAAAGAGGTCTGAAACAAGGTTTAAGAGATGGGAATGGTCCTCAGGAGCTTTTTGAAGCCCTCGAAAGCGAGAACTTTGAGGAAATCGATGGTGATGAGCAAGTGAGATCGAGTCAAAATAGTTGCAAGTCCCATCAACTACCAAAGACGAGCCAGGTTCAGGAGGAAAGTGAGAATAATGAACCGAACATGGAGCAAGACTCAGAAAAGGTATTAGACGTGGTAAACGCTGGCTCTAGCGCAGGTCACAGACATGAACAAGATATGCACATGCACAAGATGGCACAGCCAGTGGAAGACGGAAAAGACCAGATAATCTTTGATACAGGCGAACACGAGCTGCTTTCTTTTCCGGAAGAGCTCAGCGATAACCTGAAAAAGATGGTCGCCTCGAGTCTTGCGCAGCATGCCCCGCATGGAAAACAGCCGAACATCGATTTTGATTTCGACGTTGACGTGGACGTGGACATGGACATGGCTGGGTGTCGCGCTGACGAACCAGCTCTATCCCAGTCATCGTCTGCATCTCGCTCGCATTCGCATTCGCATCCACATTCGCATCCACATTCGCATTCGCATTCGCATTCGCATTCGCGCTGCTGTCACGGGAACCGGGAGTCTTTTCAGTATCCTCGCGGCGCTAGGAGTGCACCAGACTTTTCCCAGCTGATCAACAACGATAAGCCAATGTGCATATTCTGCGAATACTACGTCGTTTTCGGGGAACCACCAAAAAACATGATACGATGGTTTGACAGAGTACGAGGCCAATCCGCTGCATCTACGCATTCACCTCAGCACACGCAACGATGAGCTCAGGCGCATAGGGTATACTTCAGAACTCTTTTGGCGAGCCCTGGCACCCATATCATGGCGTCGAACGGTCTTCAACGCCAGCAGGTATCGATATTCCTCACTTTTTACGTTTTTCACCAGCGGTTCGACCGTTAGCCAGCCTTATTGTTTGTTTACAGTTCACGAAAAGTAAACAAACATTACAGGTCAAAAGTTCACAATGCTGGTCTTTAAAAAAAGCGAACATCAACAAACGAGCGAAGCTCTGCAGTGAAAGCTAGGAAAAACTCAAGCTGGTTCAAAACATGGAAAATAGCTTGTTTTGGCTGGTGCCATCATCGGTGATGCATCGGTTCGCAGTTCTTCGGGAATCTTGTAAGATCGTTGTACCAAGGTTGAACGTGGCAAGCAAAAACAAACACAGCAAGCCCGAGTTATACTCAACAATAACAGCATAGCCAGCACAAGCTGGTAACCTGGCAGCAAAAATTCAAGTGGCTGACGGAGTATAAGAAGAGGACGAGAATGTTAGCAGGTATCTTGAATTGGGGAGAACACTCAATAGAACCAAACCACTAAACATTCCTTTCTTTAAGTAACCAACTCCCAACTTTCCTGCCTAGCTTTCGGTGACTGGCCCTATAACTACCCCGACTTTCCCAACTGCGTTCATTCATTCCTTTATCGACTCGTTCGCTCAACATTCGTTTTCTCAACCTCAGTCATTCCTTCAATTTATCAGATGCAATTCTTCAAAGCCGCCTCAGCACTCGCTTTCCTATCTTCCCTTGTCCAAGCGGACTCCGATGTCAGATACATCACATCCAATGGTGTAGTGTACAGCTTTGCAGTTGTCACTAGTACTATCAGACCTGCAACCACTTATTTGAGTACTTTGTACTATACAACTACAGAGGTGGTTCCAGTGACGTTAGCTAACGAGGTTATCACATCCTCCACCAAAGCGGTCACGAAAACATCTACAATGTCAGTCACCAGTTCGGCAACCGTGGCGCCGGCAAGCACTCAAGGCAGCTCCATCTCTAGTCCTGGTTCCAGTTCCAGTTCCATTTTCAGTTCCAGCTCCAGTTCCAGCTCCAGCTCCAGTTCCAGCTCCAGCTCCAATTCTGGTTCTAGTTCTAGTTCCAGTTCTTCTACAAGTCCAAGTTCTAGTTCTAGTTCGAGTTCAAGTTCCTCCTCGAGCACAGGTTTCAGCTCCAGCTCCAGCTCCAGCTCCAGTTCTTCTGGTGCGACCAGTACTCTAAGTCCCTCTTCAAGTTCTGCTGAGAGCTCTAGCTCCTCGCAGCTGCCAAGTCGCACTTCTAGCTCCGGCCCAACCACTCTTTCCAAGTCGACTGTCACGTCGTCACCAAGTGCTTCCTCAACCTTTTCTTCCACGCTATCGTTGAGCGAAGAGGCCTACAGCACTCAATTTGATGAAGATGGATCGTGCACAGTATACTACGACGACAGCGATTATTACACCACAATATATTTGACAGACCCTAGCCAGTCTGTGGATGCGTTTACCACGTACACCAGTACCAGCACCGTATACCAAACCGTTTCACTATGACGAGACTGGGATCCATGCATACAGGGCCATCTATAACGACAACAATGTACATTAATCATATAATAAAATAAGAATTTAACGGTTAACTTCGGATTTTAACCATTGGTTAAGACGGGACCCGCAGTGTATTATACCATCATGGGCAATCCTCGTCCGCCAATACTCATGGAAGATCCTTTGTCCTTACTGCATTCCATTTCGTGTAGAAACATGCACATAGTAGTGAGTATCAGTGTTTCTCTTGGTATGTTACGTAGACCTTTCCCACATAGTGCTTTCTCCTGCACGTAGAAATCCGCACGACGAAATGTACGCTTTTTGGGCACAATTGACCCTCGTTTATCGCTGTACAGACCCCAGCTCGGCAGTTGCGAAACGTTGCGTGCTGGATGGGCATTGTTGCAGGCTTTGCTATATTCTGTTTCTGTTGCGTAGTCTGCAAACGAGGGCATATCGTCATCGAGCACTCGCAGTTGAAATTCCCCGGTGCCACTTACGAACGCAAATCCTGAAGTGCCATGCCATCTTAATCGCATTCCGTCCATGACAGTGTCACAATCTCTTTGCTGAATATGAACGTTCAACCGCAATGTGAAGCAATTGTGATCGGATTTATTGTCGATGGAAAACACAAATCGGTATTCTACCTGGCCTGATCTCGAGTCGATGTGCTGGAAGACCTGACAAAAATCCAAACAAAATACATGCAAGTTACCAGACTCGGCAACTTGTTTGCAGTGTTCATTTTCACGATAATGGTCCTTCATTTGAGATTCCACTTCAGTGTCAACGACTGTATAGCGTTGAAATTTCATCACTGGAGCACCATGGCTAGTCATTGAGCTTAGCAAGCCGGGTTTCGTGGCATGCAAAAAGGGAAACCCCACTGCTTCCTCATTTCCAACAGTATCCAATCGGCGATGGTTCACTCGAAACGCTTCAAAAGCGGTCTCACTTGGGAACGCCAGTAGTCCCTTTCCCATCACGACAGAGACGAAGGGGACATCTCTTTGATCCTCGAAATGAGGACAATTATTTGCAGCTTCAAAACTGCTTCCTATTTCATCCATATCAGTCTCAATCTTCCCTTCCTCGTCATCATCATCATCATCATCATCATCATCATCATCATCATCATCATCATCATCATTGATGCTATTTCCTCTGTCAAGCTGTAAGTCGCTGTCTACTGGGTCTTTCACCACGGAAACACCTGGAAAAGCATTCTTTCCCTTCACTAGACGCGTGAACCTTTTCATCGCGACGTCTAAGTTGTTTTGAGGACCATTATTGCTTACTTTGAGTTGCTGTTCCCGGTAATCTTGAAGATATTGAATCTTTAAAGATCTATAAAGATCTTAAATAACATCAACTTTACCATCTACAAACCACAACTTTCGAAAGAGAACGTAGAATCGGAGTACCAGGGCGTGGGTTTGAGTGCTGTTAAGTGTTTCTAGGAGATTCAGGAAGAAACCAGAACAAAAAGCGGCTCGAAAAGACCTATTTTACAGCATTTAAAGACCAGAAAACGAAACATCGAAACAAGAAACGGAGTTGTTGTGAGATGGACCAGGAACAGTTGCGTAAACGCATGTCTCAAATTGAGCTAGAAATAGAGGAGATGAATAGTGTAATTGACGAGAATTTGCAGCTGGGCAAAATCGAGAAGTTGGACGAAGAAGAATTGGACAATAAGGTGGATGATGGTAAGATTGACGAGAGAAAGGAGCTACGAGCCAAATTTCTGGCCAACTGTGAGCGTGGAACGAGATCGAGTGGTGATAAAGAAGGGCAAGAAGCAGGGTCCAAAAAGGAAGAGGTAACGAGTAAAATGGCGGATTTGAGTATGATTGGTGATGAGTTTGAGGGACCGAAGCTTTCCATAAAGTCTGGAAATGGGTTAGAAGATGAGAACGAGAAACAGAAGATTTTTGTGGATTCTAAAGACATGGTAAACAGCGAGATCGAGCCCCAGAAGCTGTCCATGAAGTCTGGAAACGTGGTAGAGGATGATTTCAAAGTACCGGCAAGTCCAAGTGCGAACGATAATAATCTACAACGTCCCATCCCAACTGGTGAAACAAAGCAGATACAAGAATCATTGCCTCTCGATACGACCGCAAAAAAACTGAGTGCTCCTAATGGCTTTGACGAAAAACCTCCAACTCCGGCTATCACAAATTCTGGGCCCCTACACGAATCTTTCGAGGAACAGCCGGAAACTTTCACAAGCCCAAGTAATTCACCTCAGCCTCAACTACTTCCAAAGACTCGGAAACCCACCGCTGATCCCTCTGCCACCCAGCCACTCAACACCCCACAGCAGCCCCGTCATACCTCCAACCCCAGTCCGTTTCGCGTCGTATCAATCTCGAAGCAAACAGAACATGGTCAAGCCCAAAAACTTCAGACTCGCCACCACTACCTTTCCGGAAAGTGTACTAAATTACAGCGAGAAATTCAATATCTCTCGGATTTACGAGATCGTGGAGCTTTGGCACCTGAGGACTCTCGCAAAATTTCCAGTGCTTTGCAAAAACTACAAGAATACCTGGATCGCAAAAACAAGGAACGTTACGAAGTGGGGGTACTATTAAGCCGACAGCTAAGACGAGAAATCGATCGCGGTGAAAATGGTCAATTTTGGGTAGGAAATTAACCAAAAAAAAAGACTACGAAAAAACACCTAAAAAACCCAAAAAATCTACAGCTCTATATGGATTCCATGAGCCCAAATTACTGTTGAAAACAATCGCTGCTCTTACCGATTTTGTCTTGTCCCGATACCCATCAAGCGATCGGTTCAAATCACTTTGTACTAAATACTCTTGAATCATTTTTTTCAATAATATTCAAAATTTTAAGCATATATATCCTGTAAGAATATCCATCCCATCGCATCGACTGTTTTCTTCTCTAAAGGACCAGCGTTCTACTTTTTTGACCGTTCCATATACTTTCTAATGTCTCGCGAAGGTTTCCAAATCCCTACCAATCTTGATGCCGCTGCTGCCGGTACCGCAGCGGCAAGAACGGCTACTTTGAAATATATCTGTGCTGAATGTTCAGCCAAGCTTTCTCTTTCGCGTACGGATCCAGTGCGATGCAAGGAATGTGGCCATCGGATCCTGCTCAAGGCCCGCACGAAACGGATGGTTCAATTTGAAGCGCGTTGAGCGCGGTCGGGCGTCACCAGAAAACGCAAGATTGTAAAATAATAGGTATAGACAGCATAGTTCGAAACTATACATATATATGCATATGTATATATGTATTCCGCATAATTGGAAAGATCGAGGTCAAAAATCAGGGTTCGGATGCTGGCACGGTTCCCTTTCGATGAGCGCTTCTCTCGCACGCCAGATGAAAAATGGCCATTAAGCTTTTTTTTGATCATTGTCCTTCTTACACGGCTCTTCCCATTCTTGAATATAATGATTACAATTTTTTTACCTTTACCCCAGCTTCCCTTTCATCAACCGCTGTTTTCGTCCGCACCTCCTAAGGTTCGATTCTCATCGGCTCCCCACTGTGCAGCCGCGACAAACTCTACAAAATTGAGTCCGTGTGCAGGCTGGAAATTTAAAAGTCTGTTCCGCAGTACAACGGCTTGCTTCAAGCTCATGCTTCCTTGCGAAATCGACGCATTTAGCGCTCCGCGTCCCACTCGGAACCATTTTTCAACTTTGTTGCTCGATAGCTTGCAGTTATGCAACGACAGCGCCAGCTTAGCTAGCATGGGGAACTTCTTCTGATTGCGGACCCAGTATTTTACCACGTCAGTGGTTTCTTCAGTTGGCTCATCCAAGTATAATGCCCATTCAGATTCAAGACCCAATTCGTGTTCAGTGAAGTTCGCCAATGCGGCAGCCTGATCAACTAAATCTAATTCGGGACGTCTCTTCGTGGTTGCTGGTTTTGTGACCCGTTTGAGGTTTGAACGTATGGCCCGGTTGCCAGCAGCTTCTTCCAGCTCCACAACAAAACTTTCGCTTTGCTTTTTCAAGTGGTGGTCAATATAAGACGATGCGTTCCGCAGAACTTCGTCTTTAAACCTTGCGTCATCGAAGTTTCCTCCCAACTTGGTAGTCTTGTAATGCGGCTGCAAAATGTGCGCAACCCAGTATCCACTCTGTTTTAGCGCCCATTCCAATTGTGGGTTGAAGTAGGAACTGCACGTTGAAATAATAGTAAAGAGATTGTTCTTCGTATTCTCATCAATAGTCAAAAGATCTTCATCTCTTAGTCCGACAAAAATCACATCTTGTTCCGCGTAGATGCCACTCAAAATCCTGTCGCAAGCTTGAAAGTATTGTCCAATCTGGACGTAGTAGTCAATGGCATTGGGCAGGACATCGACCGTATCGTCCTGCAAGATTTTGATATAGTTACCAAAAATTCCTATCGCCTTGAGAAAAACCCTCAGGACTGCTATCTCCTCCGATGAATATGAAAACACGCGAATTTCGTCTGCTGTCAGGTCGCCAATCTTCTCATGTCCACCAGTGGAACCAAAGCTTTTGATTTCGTGTTCGAACTTTAAAAAATTCAGCAAATAATGGTAGCGTGAAATGGGTCCAGCTTGTGAGCTCAACGAAGTTGCAATGTTTAAGAACTTCTGGAACAGTTTTTTCAAGAAAACATTCTTTTGTAAAACCATAAAGAGACCGTCAATCTTGGCCACAAGTTTTGGATAATTTTCCCTGAAGATTCGCAACAAAAGCTCAGTGACATTTTCCAAGATATGGCTGAAACTTCTGATCTCGATTAAACTCTTATCGTTCTCCGCTTGCAAACTTTTTTTCAATTGATCTGGTAGATCGACCAAAATGTTTGATCCGGTATCTACTGTGACGCTACCAATCTTGTGAAGTATTGCGTAATCAGAAAGCGTTTGAAGCACGATAGGCAGGATGTTCGCGGACTCGTTTCCGACCTCTAAAAGATCTAGAACGTGGACGTTAGGGCCTGATTTTAGCGTTATCGAATCTCTTTTCAAAACTTGATCCTCTAGGGCCAAGTTGGGACAAAATGACACCATCAACGCAAGGTACACTCTGTTTTCCGGTGAAGTCCATGTGTCAATCAGAAGGTTCACCAATGTAGTAGATTGCAAGATCTCTTTGAGCTGGGCTTCGAATTCGTGGAAGTATTCGTCCAGCTTCAAAATCATATCGTCCGGGGTCAGAAGAAACTCGCTGTTGCTAAAATTGCACGCTTTTAAGAATTGGGCAAAAGAGCCTGCGGTGCTGAGCGGAAGAAGCGAATCTATGAAGACGTTTAGCTGCTTCTGAGGAAATTGTTTATTCTGGAGCAAAGGTGCCAGCTCTTTACGCAAGGAGAAGGCTTTTCGGGGCGCGGAAGAGTGCTGCGCTTGTTGATCGAAAGCGTTCCCGTGGCTTGAAGTGGTGCTTTTCTGTTTTTGATCACGTCCCAGAAGTGACACAAAGAGCTCGTAATCTTCCTTATGGCGCCTGCGCATATGTTTGATGATATTGGATGTATTTGCATGACCGTCGAACTTGAATTGCAAGCGACACTGAGAGAATTTGCATTGTGCGTATGGTTTGGAAGTAGGGTATTTTGTGACCCAGATTCCAAACGGCGAGAGACGCAGCCAGTTGTCAAAACGAGCTGCAGTCTTGGGGTCCACTTCCCCGTCATTTCTGATGGACGTTTCCAAATTTGGACTCAGACAAGGATTCACGGTGAAATTACGGAAATCAAATCCATACGTGTCTCTGAAATGCTGTTCTGTGAGAGCAGCATCATGGTCTGGGCCGGCCACCAAGCCTGCAGCGGCAGCGGCAGCTTCCAATCGGTCTGAATGTTGGACATGAGCGTCGTGACCAGTGTGACTGTTTAACTGCGTAATTGCAGCAGCAATCGTTTCTTCGTTTGTGGGGTCCATTCTGTCAGAGGCAGCGTGTTTGTGCAATCCGGTTTCAGGATCCAGCCGGTGGTTAGCAAAAGCGTTTACTTTGTCTACAATCCCGGTTTTTGTAGGATCCATAGCTAGGAAAAAGAGGGGGGTAAAGTAACTTAGTTTGGTACAGATTTTGACCAAATCAACGGGAGTTTCAAGAACAAAAGAGCGCTTTTTGAAACTGCAGCAGTGTGTGTTTGAATAGTAGAATAGCCGCCGATATCTGAAGGACTCAAGTACTCGGTGGAATCGTGGTTTTTCTGTGAGTACTTTGAGAATCTTTGTTTGGAGCTATCTGTTTATGGTGTCTTGTTGTCTTGACAAAATGATGAATACTTTAATTGAAATATCTTATAGTGAGAAATGAACTCGCAGTGGAAGGTGGTATCGTTTTAAACGTTGTGGGCTGGAGTTATTGAAAGGCGTCAGAAAAGGTAAAGTAGGGTGTTAATTTTAGTTTAAGGCGTACTTAGTCGAGACATTGAGTTTCTACTGGGAATATCAGGTTTGGTTGATCACAATGAGGTGAAAAAAGGGGGAACTACCAATAAACATTTTTCGTATATAGTGACGAGAGAGAACTCCTACAGGTAGGTGGCTTCTCAAGCATTCTATGTGATGAAGTTAAAATGTTGTTCAAAAACTATGAATTTCAGTGCTAGTTTTGGGCTCTGGTAAACTAGAAAGAGATTTGTAGTGGCTCGTGTGTAGTGATAGAAAAGGTTTTTGATAGTTTTAAGAGTTGGAGGGTTCTTTCAAATACTTTGATACTGTTAAAGTGTTTCTAATGCTATTCTCGGGGTTCTAGTATGTTGCGAAAGTCTGCTACTTGACTTTTTGTTCAAAAATGATGAAGTTATCGTGATTTTATCGATTAATCGTAATTATATGAACGACACGATATTAAACAATGTCGAAAAGCTTCTAAGACGAAAAACAAGCAATGGGGAAGGCGATTGCAATATCAATTTCAATTGGATGTGCGCTATTTATGGGTTCAGAGTATGCTGTGAGGTTTATAAATAAATCTGGGGCCTTTGTGCATTTTTTTTTGCGTCTATGTTAGCGCTTTATTGAGACGACGACGCTCATTTCATCGATTAACACGATTTAGAAGAAGCTTGGAAAAGGACTTTCACAAAGCGCCACTGGACATATCTGAGTGAAACATCGAATAATATAGAGATAAGGGCGTGAGAATTAACGGATACTAGCAAGTAGTGGACTCGCATATAGAAAAGCACATGCAGCAGTAGCAGTATTAAACATCACGTGACCTCTGTGAATAAGACAGGACCTCGTTACTCAAGTTACAATGCGTCATCATAGGTTTCTGATAGACATTTCGGACTTGTTTGAACCTTTGCAAAACCGACAACTACATCATAAACCACACATTTCCTGGCGCCCTCTTAGCTTCTCAAAGGTATGATTTTGAATCCTACAGAAACATTGAGCTGTTGTTAAAGTAAGCCTGAAAAATCTTCATTTGACCAACTTGAGTCATTCGTTGCCTCGAAATCACTAGTGATAACTCATACCACTTTCTATGACCAGCTTTTCACGAGTTGTAAAATTGACCTGCTTCAATATTCAATGTCAAAGTATATGCAGTAATCATCTACTCTACAACAAACCTAATATCATCTATCTTGACTAAAACAATAAATTGAAAAAATCTACTGAATCTTAAAATAATCCACCCATTCCTCACCACTCTGCTTCCACTCAAACTGTGTTGACGAAAAATTCGGAGCCTAATAGGACAATTACTGCGTCCTCCATTTCTTTGTCTTTAGAGCCTTCTTTATCACTCGCAAATTCCCGAAAAACCAGATATAACAGACAAGTCACCTACAAAGAAGCTGAAAACTGGCACAAAGAGATACAAACATCATCAAATACCTCGTAGCTTAACCTACCATCCTTTATTAGAACTTTTAACTCCTTCAAGGTCTAATTTCGATGTCATCGTTTTCACTTTCCGAACTATCGATCGCTGAACGGCTAAAGAATGGAACCGAACCGGAACTCAACAAGCGTCAGAAAATACTGACATCCAACCTGATTTCCGAGATACTTGTTCGGTGTGAATCTGATCGAGTTGCAGTCGCTGACACCCAAGGAAAGTACACTCACGAGTACACTCACGAGTACACAGCGTATGCTCATAAAGTCGCTAGACGCTAGAAAGAAGTCATGGTGGCAATGAACTAAACACTCACAAAGAAACCCACAAGAATACGATCCATTACGATCTGAAGCTGCTTCATACTAGTACCAAATCATTTCGATCGCATTTATGTCAAAGAAACCGTTAAAGGTTTCCTTACTGTCGTCTCTTTAGTTATCCATGTTTATTTTGTATATAGTTTGCCGCCGATGGCATTTTGTCGGATTGATCGATGTCTTGGACGTCAATCATGTCACGACGTGAGGTTGAACACTAAAGTGACGTTGAAAGTTGCATTTTCTGCCTTGGCGGTTCTTCAGAATCACCATTTGATGGCAAGTTTGCGCTTGTTCCATAACAGGATCTTCAACGTATGCTCTGGGTCTAGAAGTGAAAGTTGAAGACACTAGAGACCAAAAACATATCACAGCACATTGATTACAAACAGAGCCATTTTGCTGAGATGATCAGGTTGAGTGTGTTACTCTGGAACCCCAGGTTATGCTGCTGCTTGACTGAGTAATCAAACGCTGAGAATAAAACAGCTCATTTCGCGTGCTCGAGTTAACCCAATGGATTATTCCTTGAGATGTCAACAGAACTGTGTCTCTATAAGTGATGATTTTCAGTGCCGGAAGCTGAAATCGAAAGGTTATGGGAAGAAAAACCTGGCGCCAACCGCAGATGAAACGCTAAACCGCATATCAAACGTTCACTCCCGCAATTGGTGCTAATCCAAGGCGTTATTGATGCCTTATTGAGTTTTAAGCCTCTGTTACCTGACAGCGAGTTACCAAACTCACAATTTTGTTGCCATTCCAACATTCCTACAAACTACATTCATGGTCATGGCTTCACCTATGGCAATCGTGTTTCAAAAAGCTGGGTCAAGTTCTTTTAGATTCCTCTCAGCTGCTGCTGCTATTAGCGAGCGTCGCGATCGTCAAGAGTACATGCTTAAGTTCGTTTAGAACAAATTCGTCATCCAACTATCCCGACGTTCCCGCCCTGCTTTTGATCTGCAAAGTGAAGATAACTCTTCATCGGACGACGATACCCACATTCCTGGGCACTGAACGAGGCCTCCAAGTGGTTTGATCGTGAATCGTAAACCTGTTTGGTTCATCATCCATCGCTGGCGCTCTCAGAACTGAGGTAGTGTTAACAAGCGAGTACTTGTACTCACCGCCACCACACTCGAGACCTCGTGACATGCTTCTCTACACATGAAATGGCTAACCTCTGTCTAACTTCTTCAAGTACAGGCTGATCTCTACAATACCAATGCCACAGTTGTGTGTGTTGAGCTGGTCTCGCTTAAGCTGAGAGTTTTTCCAAAATGAATCTGACCTCCACGACGCCCGCTCAATTCATATATAACAACGATGAGAGCGGTTTGGACAGCCATTACGAATCCAGCTCATCCACAATCTCAAAGGCATACGCAATGGGTAAGCTTACTGCAGCGCAGTACTTGGCGCAAGTAGCCCAGGCCACAAATGGCGATATTTATTACACTACCGACTTCAAAGCTGCCCAGTCCGGCGTCTCAGCAGCTCTGCAAGCTTTGCAAACTAAGAGTGATGACGGCACTAAAGCTGTAACCCAGTTGGTAAATGGTACAGACCCATTTGCCGCAGTGGTGGAAAACAGCAGCGAAAATGCCGTGACAAACGTGTTCACAGACGAAACGACCCTGGTGCGTGGTCTTCCACATTTGTATTCTTTGCAACGTTTGCCCGCGGTGGTAACGGTGGAATTGCGTTCCCACGAATACGCTGCCATTCCTTTGGTCAAAGATTTGGCATATGCGACTCTCGTGTCGACCTCGAGTTCAGTGCTGGCCAGACACGCCGTAGCTGCCGTACAGATCGCCACTACAAAGCAACAGGCAGTTTTCCATTTTGTGGAGTCTCAAGCATTGTCAGGTCCAGTGGAGAATGTGGTCGCTTCTGCTGAAGTAGACGAAGAAAAAAATGTGATCGAAGAGCTGCCCAGATTTGCATACCAAAGCTCTGCCAAAAAACCGTCGGTTTTGATTGTCAACCTTTCTCCATACGCCCAAGCGTTCGCCGATGGCCTTCCTGCCGACGCGGCTTTGCTCGATGTGCGTGTATACAGACCATGGTCTGCAGAGCAGTTCTTTGAACAAGTGCCAGCGTCTGTGCGTAAGATAGTCATAGTGCAGCGCACCAATGGCGCGTTCACAACCAGTGGGTTTGAACCTATCTTGCTCGACTTCTTTGCCGATTTCAACACGTTGGTTGAAAGGGGCGTAGATCAGCTTTTGGTGACCAACGTGGGTGAGCTACAAGATATTTCTCCCGCAGCGGCTCTCCAGGAAATCGTTACAAACGCAAATGCTGAAAGCCCCAACCACAACTTATTTATTGGCCAAACGCCCACCACAGCTGCCTCTGAACAGGCTATTCAACTTCAATCTTCTATCAAGGGCGTCATCTCTTTGGAAGATGCCTACTTGAAGGTTCTTCGGCAATTATTTGCCTCAAACCTCCAGATTTTGAATCAATATCAGGATCCAGATGTCAACGCCACTAGCCCTGAGTACGGGTTCGGTTTGGCCACCAAGCAGGAGAGCGAAAGGCAGCGTTTGATCGAGTTGGTTCGCGCGTCTCTTGATGCTAGCGCTTATCAATCACCCAATGCTGTCCGTATCGTGGAACTTTTATCCAAATGGCTTCGCTTGAACGAACAACAACAGACTGTCACTTCTTTAGAAGATGCCAACCGTACTGCCACAGAGGTTTTCCAGATTCTGGAGCAAAATCAGGACTCTAGTGTAGCCTTAGAGCTTCTGAAGGCCGCTCCTACGGAAGAAAGCTTCAAATTTGCTTCGAAATGGCTCATCGGGTCCGATGCCTGGTCTTATGACTTGGGTAATTCAGGTGTCCATCATGTTCTTTCGTCTCAACAGGATATCAACATGCTCATCATAGACTCGGAGCCTTATGAGAACGTCAAAAACTCCAAATCTAAGCTCAGGAAGAAAGATGTGGGTTTGTACGCTCTTAACTTCGGAAACGCTTACGTTGCCTCGGTGGCCGTATACTCCTCTTACACACAGTTGCTAACGGCATTTATTGAAGCCTCCAAATACGCTGGTCCTTCTATCGTTTTAGCATATTTGCCATACTCTTCGGAGCGCAACACTCCTTTAGACATCTTAAAGGAGACCAAAAATGGTGTGGAGTCTGGCTACTGGCCACTTTACCGCTATAACCCTCAAGAAGAAAATCCCGATGAAGCCTTCAAGCTGGAGTCCTCCGTTATCCGCAGACAGCTCCAGGAATTTCTAGATAGAGAAAACAGGCTAAGTCTTTTGACTCGGAAAAGCCCCGAGCTTGCGAGAAACTTGAAACATGGTGCCAGCGGCGGAATCGAGGCCAAACAACTCAGAAGAGCAAACGCGGCCTACGAGCAATTGCTCGAAGGTTTGTCTGGGCCTCCTCTTCACGTTTATTACGCGTCGGACGGTGGTAACGCGGCAAACCTGGCGAAAAGGCTGGGAACTAGAGCTGCTGCTAGGGGATTGAAGGCTACAGTGTTGTCCATGGACGATATAGATTTCGAAACCTTTCAAGACGAGCAAAATGTTATTTTCATTACTTCAACTGCTGGCCAAGGTGAATTTCCACAGGACGGAAAGGCTTTTTGGGATCAGCTCAAGGCATCTTTAGACCTGGATTTAGCAAGTCTGAACTTCTCCGTTTTCGGCTTGGGTGATTCCTTATACTGGCCTCGTAAAGAGGATAAGCATTACTACAATAAACCCAGTGGAGATCTTTTCAAGAAATTGGAAGTTCTGTCCGCCAAGCCTTTGGCCCCACTAGGTTTGGGTGATGACCAAGATGCTGACGGATACCAAACTGGCTATAGCGAATGGGAACCAAAAATTTGGGAAGCTCTTGGAGTGTCTGGTGCCGCCGTTCCAGACGAGCCTAAGCCGATTACCAATGAAGATATGAAGATAGAGTCCAACTTTTTGCGTGGTACCATCGTAGAGGCCTTGAAGGATGACTCTACTGGCGCCATTTCTGCCACTGACCAACAATTGACCAAATTTCATGGTATTTACATGCAAGATGACCGTGATATTAGAGATACTCGTAAGGCACAAGGCTTGGAGCCTTACTATATCTTCATGAGCAGAATTAGACTCCCTGGTGGTAAAGCGTCTCCCGAACAGTGGCTCATTCTCGACAAGTTAGCTGATAAGACAGGAAATGGTACTATAAAGATCACGACCAGAGCCACTTTCCAACTACACGGTGTTGTTAAAAAGAACTTGAAGCACACTATTAGAGCCATGAACTCTACGCTTATGGATACCCTTGCTGCATGTGGTGACGTAAACAGAAACGTTATGGTCTCTGCTTTGCCTGCAAATGCAAAGGTTCATAAACAAGCTTCTGACATTGCTGCTAGAATCTCGGAGTATCTTTTACCACAAACAACCGCCTATCATGAGATTTGGCTGGAGGGTGCCGATAAAGAGGACGACGACCCAAAGTGGCCTTCAATTTTCGAAAACAGAAAAGAGGGTCCAAAGAAGAAGAAGACCCTGGTGAGCGGCAATGCCCTTGTTGACGTTGAGCCATTGTATGGTCCTACCTATTTGCCAAGAAAGTTCAAGATCAATATGGCCGTGCCCCCTTTCAATGATGTCGATGTATGGTCGATCGACGTTGGTTTGATTGCCATCGTTGACGAAAGCACTCAAATAATCAAGGGTTTCAACTTGTATGTTGGAGGTGGTATGGGTTGTACTCATAACAACAAGAAGACATACCCAAGAACAGGTTCTTCATTGGGTTTCGTAAGCGCCGACGAGGTTCACATCGCGATCGAAAATGTAATGCTTGTTCAAAGAGACAACGGTGATCGTGCCAACCGTAAACACGCCCGTTTGAAGTACACCGTTGATGACATGGGTGTCGACGTTTACAGACAAAAAACGGAGGAGCTTTGGGGTAAGAAGTTCGGCCCTGAACAACCTTACGAAATCAAATCTAACATTGATTACTTCGGATGGGTCAAGGACGAGACGGGAAAAAACCATTTCACGATTTTCATCGAGAACGGTAGAGTGGAAGACACACCCGACTTGCCTCAGAAAGCTGGTCTTAGAAAGATCGCCGAATACATGCAAGAAACTGACAGTGGTCACTTCCGTCTGACAGGTAATCAGCACGTTGTGATCAGCGACATCTCCGATGAACATTTGGCTAAAGTCAAATCCCTGTTGAACAAGTACAAGCTCGACAACACCAACTTTAGTGGATTGAGACTCTCATCTGCGGCCTGTGTTGCCTTACCTACATGTGGTCTTGCGATGGCCGAATCCGAGCGTTACTTGCCTGTGCTCATCACCAAATTGGAAGACATTTTGGAACAATACGGCCTGCGCCACGACTCGATCGTTATGAGAATGACCGGTTGTCCAAACGGTTGTTCGCGTCCATGGTTAGCTGAAATAGCCTGCGTCGGTAAAGCTCCTGGCACTTACAACTTGATGTTGGGAGGTGGATATCACGGACAGAGACTAAACAAACTCTACAAAGCTTCCATCAAGGAGGAAGAGATCATTGCGACTTTGAAGCCGATGTTCAAGAACTGGTCTCTACACAGACTTGAGGGCGAACATTTTGGTGACTTCCTGATCAGGACCGGTGTCATCAAGCCCACGTTGGAAGGCAAGTACTTCCATGATGACGTTTCTGAGGACGCATTGTAAAAAGCGGAAAATCGCTTACAGACTGTAAGCAGAATTATAGAGGGCTTGCGGTGACCATAAATGTAACAGCGTTTCTAATCGCGTCGTTGTTCTTAGCTTCCTGTTACTCTTATTTCATCGGCTATTATAGTCAAACTATCTTATATAACCCATTGATTATGTAATACTCAAATCACGTTTTATTTATCAGATGAATATCAGCTGACATTAAAATGGGTTACGTAAGATATATTTCAATTCAGAGATCATAGAACACGAAGACCGGAATTTATATAGGTTCAGCTTCTCGATGGATCGCAGCCTGTCAAGGGATCAAGACCAGGATATCGTCAAGAACTCATCCATTTCGCCACACGATATGTTCGTCAGAATTAGCAGAAAGTCACCAGCAGTACGCGAGTTACGACTCTCTAAGCTGTTTTCACACAGACGATTCAGCTCCCACCGTGCTGCGAAAATAAGCTTTTGGGAGGGCACCAGATCATCGTTTGCAATAAAGACCGTTGGGCTAGGATTGGGACTCATTGGCGCAGGCCTTTCACAATGGGAACAACCGCTTTCGGTCGGAAACGATGTGGGTCTATTAGAGGATAATCGTGAATCGGTGATGGTTGATAAATCAGTTGCACCATTTTTGACCGAGTTGGGTCCTCCTGACTTCCCTCTCACGACCGCTTATACGCTTCTGGGGTTCGGAACCCGCTCTGTTACTTTTGTCAATTTTAAAGTTTACGCTCTGGGGCTTTACGTAGCCAAGCAGGATTTGTCGTTGATATCGCAAATCCTCAGCACCAATTATTTGTCGCAAGCGTTTGTCGACACGGATGCTTCGAAAAGCCATTCTGAAAACATTGAGTTAGCTCTTAGAGATCCTGTCAAATCGAGAACACTTATTGGGAACCTGATTGACGGAGGGGTACGCATGACAGCAAAAATAACACCTATCAGGAACACTGACTTCAATCATTTGAAAGAGGGACTAGTGAAATCTATCTTGAACCACCCGGACGCCAAGAGCAATCAGGAAGTAGTGTCCAGGGGGATTCAACAACTGAAAGATGCTTTTATCAGGAAAGGTTCCGTCCCCAAAAACGATGACTTGCTAGTTGAGCTACAAGTCAATGGCTCATTGCAGTTATCGTACCGTTCTCGAAAATCAGAAGAGCAAGTGATGCTGGGCCGGGTCGACGAACCGCTTATTGGGAGACTTCTCTTCAGTCAGTATCTCAGCGGACCAAAACCTTTGAGTTCGACGGCAAGAGACTCATTTGTAGCCAAAGTTAAGACTTTAGTATGATCATGTATTATAAGGCAGATGGAATGACGCATTTTCCTATTTCAAGTTTTTGAGACTCTCACTCACGGCTGTAGTGTCTTCAACGGTCAATTTAGCTCCCAGTTGCGCTCGTCTGAAAGAAGCCAGCCGAACAGCAGCCGGAAGTTTGAAAATATCGCCCTTATGACAAAGTTCATTACAGAGCACTCCAAGTAGAGTATCCCCGGCGCCTGTGACACTCACAACTTTTGAAGCAGCCTCCGGTATTTTGTAATGCTCGAACATCATTCCTATTTGTTTCCCCCCGAAACTCAAACCCTTAGACAAGAAAACATAATCTGCCTCGGATTCAAGCGAACGCACCTCATCCAGATCTTCTATGAGAGTAAAAACATAGATCTCGTTCGCCCCGTCCTTGACCAAAATCCTTGGAAAGTATGGTAGTATATTAGAGGCCATTTGGAAAACGCCTGATCGTCTTACGTCGCTCAGACTTTTGGAGAAGCCTTTAGCTTGATTTTCTAACCTCAATGCATTGTCGATTTGTAACGAGTCAAGCACGGGAAACCATTTGTCAACGTCGAACCTACCAGCTTTCTCAAAAGACTCATAAATGCTTCGGAGCTCAGAGGCTGTAGGCGTTATAAGGTAGATCTGGGTGTTTGGATATACCTCGATATTTTTGAGCAAGCTTAGCTTTCGTGCCTTAGTGTCCGAAACCGGCTCAAACACTACCATGTAGCCGAATTTTTTTTCTAGATCAACTAAGTCCTGAATAGTCTGAACAGCGACATTAGCATCCACAACCAATACTTTCGGTTTAGCACATTCAAGCTGGTACGACAAAAATTCAGGCGGCAGCTTAGTAGCTATCTCCATATCTGCACAAGCGACAAGTAGTTCACCATCATTTGAATGCATCGAAGAGTATTGAGCTGTTGAATTTTTGGAATCAACATAGATAGACTCATTTGGCATGCCTAGTTTGGCTAAAATAGCAGATCCTGATAGGTCATCGCCCACAGAACTTATTAGCCTCGTGGACACTTCAGGGTACCTATTAGACCAATGCGCAGCCAATGCGACATTGTAGCCGACGCCTCCAACTGAAGTTCGGACCCTGCCTACGTTTGAATCTTTCATGCGAGTATCGTTAATGATGGTACTCTGTGTATCTAAAGCAACTGCACCAACCACGACAGAGGAAGAAGTTGCTGATTTAGCCGGGACACTGATACAAGCTGGCTGTGCATAGGAGACAGAACGCGTATCTTTGTTAAGCTTCGACAATTCTAGAGCGATTTGAGCGCCTGCGCGGGCATTATTCAAAACGAAGTCAATATTGCTTTTGACTGATTTTCCCCTCGTGGCCTCAGCGATCTCCCCTAACAAGAACGGTGTCAGGCTTTTACCGCGAATGCCGAGCTGACCGGCTCTATGGTTTGCCTCATCAATGATACTTTCAACCCACGAATCATCTAAAGCGACTTCCTCTGGAGGTGGAATACACATCAGGTAGCCAGACTGAAGGTCCATTTGACGCCCAGCATGTATAATGCGCGCAGCTTCGGAGAAGTTCTCAAAATTGTAAGGGGACGGTACACCAGAGTCTCTAGAGTAAAAGCCTGGGACGTTGGATCCGGGAGGTCCGAGAGTAGCTACCATACAGCCCTTGGTTTCGAGATATTCCATTGTCTTTTCAATATCCAAAATGGCTTTGGGGCCTGCGCACACTACAGCTACAGGTGTCCTGCCAAGTTCGTCTAGATCGGCGCTGATGTCCATTGTGGTTTCTGCTCCTCTATGAACGCCCCCTAGCCCGCCCGTGGCGAAAACATCGATACCTGCCATATGAGAAAGTATCATGGTGCTCGAAATTGTAGTGCCTCCTAGCAGTTTGTTGGCCATTGTGTAAGCGATGTCTCTTCTAGACACTTTATTGATAGATTTCGACTTTGCCGATGCGGCTAATAGCTCGAGTTCTGAACTTTGCAATCCCACCGTAGGAATCCCATCTACGAAAGCAATTGTCGCAGGAGTAACGCCCTGCTTCCGAATTTGAGATTCCACTTGCATGGCCATTTCCAAGTTTTGAGGGAACGGTAAACCATGGGTTATGATGGTAGATTCTAAAGCGACAATTGGTCGTTTGCCGGATAAAGCACTTCTCACCTCATCTGAGATTCTTAGTTTATGAAATTGTCTTTTGCACCGTAAGATAGAAGAAATTCTGAACATTGGCCCCTGGATGGATTGATAAATTCGAGGCAGTTAAGCGGTTGTGATAATAAACATATCGATTGTTGAGGACTTTACCATCTGTCTATCATGTGATGAAGCATGAACAGTTGTGCTGCAGCAGACCAAAGGTCAAGTATCACAAAGTAGAGACAAAGTAACTCAACGGACCAGTTCATTTCATGAGTTGATAGTTGCATGAGTTCCGCGAAGAATCGTATTGCATCTTTTCAGGTTTCGTGATGTTTTTTCACTTCGTTCATAACTTCATTGTCCTCTTATGAAGAGACGATGTCAAAAGAGGGAAAAGGTCACTTTTGAAGTCTATTCTTTCTGGAGCTTTACAACAGACGATAACGAGGACTTCAAAATCCCACATAAGCTTTCTTTCGTAACGGAACCACAAACTGGCTAAAAGATGATGGAGTTGTCCTTTCGCAGTCTCAAACAAAGGAAAAGCTTGACCTTGCGGAGTCGTGATTGAAATCAAGGTGCTAAATCAAAAAATCCAGTGTATTTTTCCATCTTCCTTACACATTCATCGCCCTCCCGAATGCTTAGAAAGTGGCATTTAGGTGCGAATCATCCCACGAGATCTTTCCAAAATGCTAACAAAGCCCGCGAAAGCTATAACACCAATGTTGCAGGGTAAGGCCAATCATAGCTCAGAATTTTTAAACGGTAAGCGTGTGAGATTAACCAGTGACCAAGCTTCTTTTCATCGCTAAACAAAACGATGAATGTACGGAAAAGTAAGCATTTAACAGAGTTTGAAAGCTCAACCAGATCTTTTAATGAAAGCTCAAACGCCTTAAAAGCTCTTGACAACGCTGTATCTCAGCTTAAAGCTCATTCTTCGTTATTAGAATGTGTTTTTGCCACTGGTAAGTCGATTAGCCGCCAGGGATGTTTGAGTTCACTTTATATTAATTTGACATAAAAGCCAGCGAGTACATTTGTACTTTCAAAAATGTACTCGTGATTTTTCCGATATTTGTACTCGAAAGATGATTTAAATATCTACATAATGCATTAGATGTCAGCGTAACGCTGGGAAGTTGAGTTGTTGAACAACCACGAGTTAAGAGTGTTAGGACGTCAATGGATTGCGAAAGCCGGCTGAAGAGGTTTAATGAAAAGGTCGAAGAGTCGTATGACTTTCGTCCCAGCCCCAGCGAGCTCCAAACCGTTTGCACAGATCTTTTAGAATGTTCCAATAGCCTGACAGCCGCAGATCGTGTAAGAAGTCTAAAGAGCATGGGTTACTTTTGTTTAGGTCCACAAATATCTTTCCCAATGAGAATCGAATGCGAAAACTGTTTCAAGGCAGTTTCTGATTCGAAATCACTAGCCCTAATTATCCAGGATCTACGCCCAATGCTTCTACAAGTGAAAAATAGCCGATTATCAGAGCAGGGAAGATTCAAACAGCAAGAATTATCGGGTTTGAATCCTAAAAAAGGTCTGGCTTTCAAAGAGGACGAAATCCGCTCAAATTGGGCTCAACAGGGGGGCACAAGGACTGTATCGCTATTTTACGTGGTTCTCGGTCAATTGAAAATAAAAGATGTCTCGTCGAATCTGGGCTGGATAGTGCCCGGTATTCTCAATCTAATGGACGACACGTCAGACCTCGAAGGTATCAAGTTGCAAGGTGCAGTACTACTGGAACGCTTCTTGACCGAAACTGTAGGCTTTTCATCTCAGCCGCAATTCGACTTCTCAGGTACCGGTCTTTTCAAGGTTTTTGAGCCTATACTTACGTCGATGTGGTATCATTTCCCACAGTCTACTGATCCTAACCTGACCAAGAAAATCTGGGGGACAGTTTTTCCGACCCTAATTGCCTTGTACCGCGTGGAGTTCATCACCAGACCCGAGCTGCTCTACGAAAATGTGAGCAAGTTTCTATCTGAAGTGTTACTTCAAGTCACTCTTCCCAGAATTGCCATAAGCTATCCTGACTTGACGATCGATACCGTGGATAGAGTCGGTGCATGTGTGCAGATCTTGGGGGAGAGGTCTGTGATCCACTTACAGCGAGCCATACATGTGTTTGGAGACTACCTGATACGTAGCGTCCAAATCCAAGACCTAAAGAACATTCTACACAGCGTCTTCACCGTGCTCAAAGCGTTTATCGACAACTGCCCTAAAGATAGAGTCATCGCCCACAGATACAATCTGTTGGCCTGCGCTTTGGTAGCGTGCGAAAGAACCCTTACAGAACAAAAACTGCAAGAAGACGAAAATGTACAAAGAGAATGTCGTTCCTTGATCAAAGCTCTAGAGGTCAAAGGTGTTGTCTGGACTGAAGAGGAACGTCAACTGATGAAAAGCAGAGTATCATCATTGGATTTAGAGATCTGAATGGGTGATAGAAAGCTATTGGTGTGCATGCTTTCGAACACCTGCAGAATGAAAAGAGACTGCAATGTATGGGGGAATTAGTTTAAAGTTGCGAGCAGACGTTAACGGTCCTGGATGCGTTCAATAACGGTATAAAATTCGTTTCAAAGCTATTGACATTATTTACATGGGCGAACTCATTGCACTTTCGCTTGATTGTCATTGTGTGTTTTGTCCCGTCCGATTACTGGATACCTTGCAAGCCTTTGACGATTCTGATGTTCGTGTCCAAGAAACGGTTGACGCAGTTTTTCAAACACGTCTCCTCCTGGGAACTCAGGTTACTGTTGTTGACGTTCGATGCACACTGCTTGAAGCATATATTTGTGAACTGGTGGATCGACATCTGAACCTTTTGCTTGGAGTTCTCTGACTCCAAAAAGGTCATAATTTCCTTCTTGGAGCTGTCATCTAGATTTGCAAGGTCGTTAGGGCTAATGGAAGACATCTGAGATGCTTAGAATTGTGTTATACTAAGCCAAGAAAGGTTCCCTGTCGTAGTTGGTCGAGTTGAAGAAGATACAAGTTGTCTTAGCTGCCCTACAACTGAATTGCATCTTGAAAAATGAAGATGTAGTACAACATGATCATCGATTCTGGCTAAAGTCACTACTGTTGATGAAAACACGAATTCTGAAGCCGCTGTGCTTGATAACTGGCACTTGAGACTCGCAATCCATGGGTGATGGATATCAACGAGGAATTGGTGGATTACCAGCGGAAATTGGAGCGAGGAATCGCCAATAAAGAGTACTTTTTGGAAAAGGCAAAGGCAGCACTGGAGGTCGAGAAGAACACACCAGATACACTCTTAAAAGATGATATCGGGCTTTGGAATTCGTTTATGGAAAAACCCATGTTTTTTCCCGATCATTCTGATCCTTTCGGCTGGAGTCTGGCATCGTTCGAATTGAGAAAACGGCTCGAAACCAGTGAAGAGTACTTAGAGCAGGAACCATTGGATCAGTTGAAAGATATGCTTAGTATTCAAGAAAAGCTTAACAAAGGCATAGAAATACTGGAGTCTTTGCTCAAATTGAGACTCAAAGACCATCATGAAGCGCTCGAAAACCGCAGATCAGGATCCCTTTCTGCGGGCTCTTGTAATGCAGAATTATGGAATATTTTAAACTTACTTGTGCGGAATTTTGTTGCTGTCGATCTTTCACCTGAGGGATCGGATATCGACTCGGTGGCGGACGCTATGCTAGATGTTTTGAAACGATTGATGAAGGCAGATGGGAAAGTGCCGGTGGAGGATTTCCATGGCCAATGTTCGGGGCTCTACAGAATTTTATGGAGGGCTAAATTTATACGCAAATCGAAAGACGCCCATTTCATTGAATTGGTAGACTTTTCAGAGATGTTTTAATTTTGTCGCTTTATTCTTCGTCGTCCTCGCTGAGATTGATTTCTGGAATCTCAAATTCAGAGTCGTCGTCATCATCATCATCAGCGTCACTTTCATCCTTTTCGTGGACTTCAACGACTGTTTGCTTCTTCTCAATAACCTCTACTGGAATACTGCGAGTTTCTGAATCGAGAACTTGCTCAGTTTTGCGGATCTTGGTTTCCTGGGTGCGCTCGTGAATGTCAACACTTCTTTTCCGCATTATACTCTCAGGCTTGTCTTCCTTTAGCTGGTCAAAGTAGGTGGTGGAATTCGACGGTTGCGGGTTGTTGTCCTCCTCCACAACTCTTGCCACTTCTTTCACTGCCTCAGTAATTTCATCGGCTTGCTCCATCTCTTCATCTTCGTCGTGTTGCTCGCCTAAGCTTCTCTCTTCGTCCTTTTCAAGAGCGGCCATAGGTTCTTCTAGTCTTTTAACGGATTGGACAGGGGCAACGGGCAGCCTTGGGTTGCAGAAGACGTCGAGAACGTCGTCACCTTGGCTTTTGAGAAGTGTTACGGCTATTGGAAGAATGGAGACCTTTTCATATCCGGGGTGCATGACTAGCGCCTGAAGCAAGCCAGCAAATGACGAGGGCAGACGGCCGAGTTCCCGCTGAGCTCTCGACGCTACTGTTATGGCGTACCTGGCGATCTTTATTTGCTGTGCAGATTGGAGCTTCAAATTCACTACAATTCTCACCAAAAATTGGTTTAGAGATTCCAGGTTTCTGACAGAGCATTTATCAATAAACGCCTGGGGATGTGAGTATACATCTGACATCGAACCGGTATTCTGCTTCCCAGCCTTTTTGGATTTTTGCGAATTTGTTTTGGCAGCTGGATTTTGCTGTTGGTAAAGATGCTTCAATGGTACCAGATCTTTTGTCAAGTGTAATGCAATGTCTATAAGTTTGGTGAACAAGGTGGTCTCACTGAACAAATGCCCCGTGTGATTCAAAAAAATGTCCACAACCGTGAAAAGCTCGAAGAATTGATATTTTAATGTGTCCACCTTGTCGAAATCAATCGAAGTCGTTCCTTGTTTTATTGGGATGAAGTATTCCAACGAGCCTAGAATGGACGGCGTGTAAGATAATAAAGACTTACCATAGGTTCTCGACAAACTTCCAAGAAGCGAAATGCCGCTTGCCTGGAGGGTAGGTAGTAGGTCATATATCGTAGCCGTCAATTCTGCGTCACGGCGCAGCAAGCGCTGCAACGGCAAGTAATTAGTAGTCAAGCTTAAAATGGCCTCTGCGACGGTAGCAATGCCACCAAGAGGCACCCGCATCCGAAAAGGTGTGTGTTGGGAAACAAATGCCAAAGTGAGATCACATAAAAGTTCCAATCTGTCGGCGATTGCCCATAAAGTTGTGGGTTTATTCAAGTCTACTTTCACGGGAGGCAGAAAGTTCTTTGAATCGTCACTACTCGACGGCAACCGATTCAAAAGGCTTCGCATGTCTTCGTCCGCCGAAAAGTCTAGTATTTCACCACATAGACTAATTACGGGTTTGAAGCTGCACAAGACATGCATGATACCCTGTCTCCATTGTTCATCTTGATGGGCTTTGTGATGACGCATGCTGTCATCCTTAGCTGCAGAGTTTTGCTTGAGCAAGTGCAACAACGCATAGTTTTCGAGAATAAGCTTTCTGGTGTGCTTGTTAAAATGGTTGTAGTCTTTCACAATCAAAGTGACAATGACATTGTTGTATTTGTTGATATGAGGGCGGAAGGTGGTCGTGTTTTTGACCAGAATTTTCTTCAAAACAGGGCAACACAGTTCTGGTTCGAATTGTGCCAGATTAACAAGAACCGTTATGATGGCAGGAAGTCTTGGTGTGAGAACTTCACGGGTCAAAGCCGGTTTGCCACGGATCAAATCTAGCAAAATGTCCACCGATCTGACTAGCGAAAAGAGCACGGTTTTTCCCTGGGTACTTGAGACGGTAGTGCGGTAAAAACCCGCTTTCTGCTCCATTTTATTGAAAAGAGCAGTGAGAAGATGACCTGCTTGAGAGCACAACACGACTGCATTGTAAGAGCATAGCACATCTGAAAGCTTACAGCCTTTCCAAACAAGATAATCATCGGAAGACCTCAAAAGTTTCAAAATCTTGGCAACCAGGACGGCCAAATCTGCTTTCAGAAGCTTATCGTCGACATATTTTGCCGAGCTGATAGTTTTCAATACAACTTGGAATTCATAGCCGGAACAAGTCTCCAAAGTTTTGGCTACTTTAGATAATGGAAGCGGCTCAGCAGACATGATGATATTTGGTACACACAAGGCGCAGAATAGCTTGTCTTTCTAAGATTTGTCTAGGCGATGAGATGCGATGAGATGCGATGCTCTCGAATTAAACACTAATTTTTTTTTCACTACGAAAAGAGTGCTATTTTAACATATTTACACACCGCCAATGAAAGACGTAAAAACCTGGCGCCGGTATCCGGAAGTAGGCTTCAGATCGTGGTATTTTGTTCTTGAAAATCCTTGTATTTTACTTTATTCAATCATTCAGCTCAAGAACGCTTCCGCTGCCTGACAATAGTAGTTGTGTTTAGTGACACTTCGGCGGATTATTTACCAGTAATAGAGTATTCATTTTGTCTCATGAATAGCCAAGTGATGCTCACAGCAGTTGAAGAAGTTGGAGCAAATCCCAGCAAACTTGCAGCATTTTGTAAAGATGTATGACAAGAATAAGAAAGATAATTTTACTGTCGCCTGTTTGGGTTGGGTGACCTCAATTTCGAGAAATTTAGTGTTTGTACATCTTTTGGCTTGCCGGTCAACTCCAAAGATTTTCAAATATCGACATTGTGATCTTTCGTTCGAATCTCTGAAAGGTCTTCAATATGCTAAATTACACCAACATCTAGTGAAATGAATACAAGATTTAAGCGAAGTGCTGAATGAAATCATCTCTAAGTCAAGCGAAAGAGCGAGCTTAGATCCACAACCAATCGTCCCAACTTGAACTTCCCGCTCAATTCAATGTCAACGGGAAGTGCCGCTGCTAAAAAGCTCTCTGTTGAGGAGAGACTTTCTCTTGCAGCCCGCGGAAAGACGCGCAAAAAGGGCAAGAGACTTGACTCCCCATCTCCCGCAGCACCTGTGCTCGAATCGGAGGCTGGAAACGAAAATTTGAGTCCAGCAGAAGCACAAGACGCCCTTGCTACTTCAAATCAGACTCCTAAGCAATCTGGCGAGCTTCAGCGCTCCCAATTGGATTCTGGATTTCTGCAGGAACTCGCAGAAATATTGCCTACACATTATCATGAACTTTCTGTTGAAGATTTGTTGATAGCTTTGCGACCTCATCTGAAAATGTCCGAGTCGCGTACTAAAGACACCAGCTTGGCCAAATTGATCAAGGAAAAGGACTCCATCATTGCTGATCTTCGCAAAGAGGGCGAAAATCTGTCTAAACTCGAACTGCGACACAACAATACCATCAAGGGACTTCGGGATAAATTGAAGGCCTCAGAATATGATATCGAAAGGAGTAGAGAGGATACGGAACGCAGGAAAAGTGAATACAACTCGTTGTCCCAAGAGTTGGAATTCATGGAAACAGCGCATAAGGAAGCTAATGAAAAGCTCGCCGAAGCTCTCAAGGAAAGAGATGAAATTAGAGCCAGAAATGATGCACTTGAGAGGGGCCAATTATCAGAATTACAGGAGCAAGTTAGTGTTGATCAAAAGACCATAAAATCTCTGGAATCGCAGCTGCAAAGGGCGCGGGATCAATTGGAAACAATGACTTTGAAAGCAGATATGAAATACCGAGGTCTAGAAGAAACGTCTCAGGGAGAAATAGGCCGCCTTGAGACCATTTTGGAAGAGACAAGGATAAAACTAAGTCATTTCTCTACTAAACCAGAACAGCTGGCAGATTCACGGCAATTGGCTGAAAAGCACGAGCAGCTCGAAAAAGAGTTCGAAAACAGTCGTCAAAATTGGTACAAACTCGAAGCTTCTCTTCGCCAGGAATTGTATGATGCTGAGAATAGTTTACGCGAGTCCACCAAATCAAATACCCATACCAACGAGAGCCTCAATGCAGCTCATGAAGAAATTGCCAGTTTGAAGTCCAAGATCGAAGCCTTGAGAACGAACGAAGACGCGCTGAACAAAGATTTGAAAAAACTCCATGTCGAGATCGAAGAGTTGAGGAATTTGTTAACTAACGCTCAAGATGAAGTAAAGCTCTGGCAGGAGAAATACAGGATTCGGAAGTCAGAACTCGACACTGTCTTACAAAACCCCGGCGCTCGAGATGACCTGCGCGTCAAATCAGAGACAGACCATCCGGACAGAGAGGTGACTCCAACGAACCTTGAAGATCTCGACAAAGTGTCCAATTGGGAACTTCAAAACTTGCAGACACTTGATATATCTTGCAATGAAAACAACGGCTCTGTCAGTATCAAGTCTCAATATGACTTGGATGAACTGTTACCCAATGAGGAGCTCGATTTATCTAACTCCTTGAGAAAGAGCAGCATGACATCGCTCGACTACACTCCGTCAAGACAGCTGAATAATACTGCTCAAGATCAACAAGTTACCCAGTTAAATGCCCAAATGATTGGCAGGCTTGGAAGTCAGATAAGAAGGCTCGAAACAGAGCTCGCATCGTTACAAGAGTCTCATGAGAAATTGGTAAAGGAAAAGCAGACCGTAAATGACACAATATTCAGACTGATGGAAGAAAACGAACGCTTTGCAGAGGTCAAGAACCAGCTCGAAGAATCCTCTGAGCACGGAGCTGAATTAGAAAACAGGTTGAACGAGACGACGCGACTTTTAGCAGAACGCACGGAGAGGGTCGAGGAATTAGAAAATGATGTTGATGATCTAAAGGAATTGATGCAAATGCAGGTACAGCAGCTAGTGGAACTCCAAGAGCTAGTCAGGTGAATTATAGAAGTGAAGTGTGATACAAGTGTATTTAAAGTGTGGGGATCTTTATGGAAGCAATGATACTCAGTTGTTTCCCTGCTTTATTGCGAGCTCAGTGTGCTCCTCAATGTCAATTGCCTCCCAAGGATAGCACAACCACACATCAGGGACAGTCTCAGCTGCTAAATAACGGCCTTTGTCCATCATTTCGGCGGGTAGCGAAGCCTTCTTGGGCTTATCTTTGTTGTGAAGCACGAAAATCGAGAAAACGGTCTCCTCACCTAGTCTGTTTAGCTTGATCTGCTGCTCTTTGACTTCTTTCTCGAGTTCAGTGACAGCATAGTGCAAAGTCGTTCTGGTGTCATCCACTTCGTCGACGATCAATACTCTTTTGCCGATCAAGGAATCAAAATGTTGTTCGAGAGATCCAAAGTCTAACCACTGAGTTCTAATCACCTCTTTGCCAATAGATTCGACATGATCGTCTAGCCCAAGATCCTCATATAGCGAGAGACCGATAGCTTGGATAGGAATGTTCTTTTCACCACGACTTTTCAAAAAGGATCTGATGATTCTAGCAGGAATCATACCTCCGCCAGTGATGGCAATGATCACGTCAGGTCTTTCTCCCTTCGCCATGATTTGACTAGCGATCTTTTGACAAGATTTATGGATATTGTTATAGGAGATAAACATCTTCTCAGAGTCTGAACCTTCAACCATTGTGGATCCCGTTGTATTGAGTGTTTGCAGTTGAATAATGTGAACTGAATATATCAGTCGATTGTAGATGTGCTCTTTCTTCGAGTCTCTTTTGAATTTACAGGATCGATAGGAAGGTCGATGCTCATCGCGGAAAATTTTTAAACCGCTCTGAGCTGAAAAAAATCACACAGCTCAAGGACCTTCGCTCTCACGCGATCAACAACAGCTCATCAGTTCGGTTCAGAAAGTGGTCTTACCATTTGACTACACAATTTTACCGTATGAACTTTTCCTATCTTATGATTAAACAGCGAACGTAAACTACTATCTGACGCTCGAGTAAAGTCAGTTTGCATTGGCTTTGGCAACACGCTCCTCGGCATAATCAACAGCATCGACGTACTCATCTCCTTCTCCGTTCATATATACGGGTTCCTGCTCTTCGATTAATTCTTCATCCTTGTCGTTAATGGCATTTGAGCCCTCTGAGCTCATAGACAAGGCAGTAAACTCTTGGCGAAGTTTAGCTTGCTCACTAAGCATGTCAAGCTTTCCCTTTATCGAAAGTAAGAGAGGGTAGGATTCCACACTAGGACGTAGAGCTGAGCGAACTTGCTTCAGTCCCTTTTGATTCGAGCGGTTGTCCGGCGGGCATACCTTATTATGACTTAGAGTGAGAAGCCATTTTAACCAACACGATGACTTGCTATTCGTAGACAGAGGATTCTGGGCCATTGTGCGCGATAGGATTGGAAATATGCTCTGTACGTGATTTTCTGATAGCTCGAGATCGACCATTTCTTTAATTTGAGCTTCAGTCCAACTATCAGATTCCAGAATTCGTAAAATGTCGTCTGAATTATGACCGTCTTCTAAAGCCTGCAGAAGGATAGCCGCGTTATCCTCGCTTTTTACCTGTGCCTTAGAATTTTTGAGATTTTCCAAAACTTCTGTCTTGGGCTCCGCTTCTGCGACCTCCGCAGCCTCTGGAGAAGCTTTTTGGTCTTGATCGAAGATAATTTCGCGGCTCTTGAGGAGCACGTCAAATGTAACGTGCTCAAATTTGGGCTCATTAACATTGAGCCATGCAATTATTATGCCAGAGTTCAATAATGTGAAGTCGATAATTTTGGAATGCTGACATCTGAGTGAGCAAATTTCACCCTGATTACCAAGTTCGAAAACGGACACAGCTCCGTCAACGGATTGGGCAAACACCTTGCCATCTTGGTACTTGAGTCCTGCGGCTTGAAATTTCCATTTGGACACCACTTTCCCAGTTTTCAACTCGACAACGTGAACCTTGTCGGATCCGGCAACGATCAACTGCCCATCAGCACCCAAAACGCAGCGCTTTCCCATAGGCAAATCCATGTTCACCACAGTGGAGGGACGTCTCTTCGAGGAATCCACAATATATAGGTTGGTCGTGGTGAAAACTGCCAGCAGCACGCTGTCTTGCCATTCCAGCACTTGTAGATGCGTAATTTCATCATTTTTACCGTCCACCAAATGGAATGTTTTCAAGGGTTTCGAGGAACGGTAGTCGAAGTGCTTGATTGTTTTGTCGGCGTCCAGAATCCATAGCGTGGAACCCGAAAACCCAAGTCCCAGAATTTCTTGCTTGTTTTTTATTATATTGACGATTTCTTTTCCCGTGGGCGAAAAGACCACAATTTTCCCACCTTTGAAAACGTTCACAAAATATTCCTCTATCGTTTTTGCATTTCCTAATTGTTCATTGCCAGTTACATCAATTTCAGTCCTTTTCCGCTTAGTTTTTGAACCTTGACTGTTCTCCGAGCACCACGTCGTCAATTTTAAATCTTCAAGCTGCAAATCGCAGCTTTCGTAGTCGATGTGGTGTGCCTGCGAACTGGTAACTTGATAATCGCTTTCTTCGCTCAATGGGTACAGATCGACATATTTCCTTTGCAGACCGTTGGACCTGAAAGCGAAGCTTTTAGAATGCGGCGAAAAGCTAGCAATAATGTCATTATTCGACAGCATTGTTGCACGACGTCAAAAAGTCCCAATTGTGACGATTATAGGTCAGAAATTCGAATGTTTGCGAACTCTTGTAGTGTGCTTTCTATTGGCTGGCTAACCTTTTAGCGATGAGATGAGCTGAATTATTTTTCAATATTCGAATTTTAGACGGCGTCTCGAAATTGAAAATTTTCCAGCTCGAATTCAGACTAAAAATTACCCGCATATAGTCGCGTGACTTACGCGTGATCAATGCAACAAGATGCGATGAGCCCGACCCGAGAACTGGATTCTGACGGATAGAAGATATCGATCAAGGATCTTTTACCTGGTCTCTGGTACGGAGATCATGAGTTCATGATGGTCGTTATAGCTTGACGATCGTCAGGCGACAAATTGGCGGTGAAAAGATCATACTTTACAGAATCAGATTGCATCGCCGACAGCACAGTTTTGAAAACGTCATAGACGTTTACATGATCGACAACGGAGCCAGAAAGAGGGTCTTCGTCCAGGTCTTCAAAGTCCTCGATAGGATTAAATATGTCGGCACTTCCGTCAACGAATTTGAGACTATTGGCCTCTTTGTTGAGAAAATCGAGATAGGCCTCTTCATCGAGATCATCTTCTTCATCTTCTTCGTCGTCGTCGGCGTTTCCGCCTTGCGCCGCATTGGTAGTACTGTCCTGCTCAAACTGCCCAAACGCATCGTCTGGAAGGCCACCGGCGGAATAGACTTTACGTTTTTCGTCCAGGTCTTTCAGCGCCTGAGGAAAAACAGTTAGTAATTTCACAATCTTGGAACCCGATTGCCCTACCACAGTTTCGAGCGACATGGCTTGAAGATCCGAGAGTGGGACACTGCTGTTTATACTCAGAAGCGCCATCAAAGACAGTTTTATGTCGTAAACTCGCTTGTAGTGAGGTATTAGATACGAATACCAAAGGTCGAAGAAACTTTCCAGGGCGTTTCTAGAGGAAAGGTAACGTAAGGTGTCGGTGGGATTGCAGGCTAAGCATGCAATTATGACGTTGAAAGAGCTCACGGTGAAAACAACATTTTTTTTCAAGTCGGCAGCCTCACGAGTAACAGCCTCGAGAACGTCACTTAAAAACTTCTCAACGAATGTAGCAGGGATTGAAGTATCCAAAGCGAGTACAAGCTTTTGAGCCAGCTCGAAAACATGCGCCATGTCATCGAGCGAGCTGTCCTCGTTGATAATAGCTTTACTGTAAACTTCAAATAAAATGTTCGAGTAAAATGGATTCTTCTTGAGTTCTTCCCGGCCATAAACGAGATAGTTGTTGAAAGCCACCATAAAGTCTTCCAAATAAAATGCCACCATACCCTCTTCTTTACGGTTACAGTCTCCAATAAGCTCCAATATTTTCCATGAGAATGGTGTAACGTCTCGCAACAAGAAGGTGGAATTCTCGATAAACTCACATACTTCGCGGTAAAAGTCTTCCATGTCGTTTTTGAGAATGAACTCAGCCGCTGGATAAAAGGACTGCTCCAAGTTCTTTACAATATCGTGCGAATTTTCGAACGAGAGTAAAATCGAGATGGCAGTTGACAATATCCCCAGCGCCGCCATTTGCTTGTCCGTATCGTCAGGTAGCTCACTGTAGTCGTCAATCTTGTTAACGTCAAAGTTTGACGAGTCGTTGAGATCAATTGCCAACTTCAAAAATTGCTGGACAAGGTCAGTCATGAGCTCAATGCCGAAAGGCTGCAATTGTTCAGAGAAACATTCTACAAACTCTTGAAGCACGCCTGAAACAGCATCGGACTCAATTTCATTTGAAATCCGCAGTAATTTTTGAGTCATTGGAACGACGTTGGCAGATATTGGTCCTTGAAATGCAGGCTCGTGAATAAATGCCTGAATTCCAAGAGCTGCCAAAAGCTCTACAGGAAGGCAATCGGAATTTTCCATAAAGCACGAAACTATTCCGTTGTAGATTGTTTCCAAAGCTTGAGGATTTTCGAATTGCTGCTCGCCCAATTTGGAGCATATTTCACAGACGCGAGCTTTCAGAATATTATGAGGAGAGTTGAAGAAAGGAAAAACCAATGAGATCAATAGCTTTTCGACGTCCTTTGCAAACCCCGAATTTTTCTGAAATAAGCGGTCCAGAATGTTGGAGAAAATCCTGAGCGCGGATTCCACTTCAATAAATTGGTCAGGATGAGCCAAGCTCTTGTTCAGCTTTTCCGTTACGAAAAGCGCGGTAGGTGCCAAAGTGGTACCACCTCTTTTCGTCACGCAGGTTGTCAAAAGCGCCAAAGCTGCAAGATCAGGCGAGTAATTGTCGTCCCACACTTCTAGGTTCCGATGAATATACTCCTGAGGATCTGTTTCGAAAGTTTCCAGTGTTTCCTCAGTTGGACATAGAAGAGGAAAAATGATATGCTCCAGCAGCACGGGGTAGTAGGGTTTCATCAACGGCCATGTGGCTTTCTGCACTACTACCTGCTCGAAAAAGCCCAAAATATGATACATGGCCTCGTCGCTGAGCCAAAGAGATTTTTCGCTCCACTGTTCAATTTGTTGAAAGTACAGTTGGACTATCTGTGGTAAGAAGTCTTCTAAATAAAGCTGCTTGAAGTCATCATAAGCAAACTTTCGCGAAAGTGAGGTCGATGCGTATCTCTGAAACAGTCTTGACAAATTGGCATATGCCCATTTCTTAGCTTTGACCCATGGCTGATACCGTGGAGTACTTGCGATCGCAGACGACACAATCTGAGAGGGTAATGGTTGCTGAATGATGGCTACATGCAAATTGGCCCACGGAATAAATTGTTCGGGCCTCTGAAGGGCAAAGGGCAGATCATGATAAGTGACAAACTTGTAGATTTTAAGTACAAGCTTCACCATTTCACCTGCTTTGGCGTTATCGATATTTCTGCCATTGTCCACAAGCGTACTTGTGGTGAACTCAAGCAAAATAGGGAAATACTGTAGTATGAGATGTTCCAATTCCTGTCTGGAATCGTTGTCTTTCCAGCGATAAGTTCTAAAAATCTCACTTAAAGCAAGCAAACCGATGTGCGCCGAATTCATGTCGTTCGAGCCGAGAAGCTCAAAGGATGTATTTAAAAGCGAGTCCCATTGCTTCTTAGGGTACTCTTCTGCGACGATGGTGCTCAAAGCTGGCTGCAAAAGACGAACGCAGCTAGGAGAGTATATCGACGAGTGCACCAAAGCTTTTACCAGCATGTCCTTAACGACCGGTTTTTCGTCATTGTCCACATTTAGGTTGAGCAGTTCGTTTCTTCCCAATTGGCGGCCACTCCATCCGTGAACAATTTTGTTCTTGAAGTAAAGAGCTGCAGACAACTTAATGTCTTCTGGGATTTCAGGTGAAGAAATGATGTCCAAACTTGCACCAAGAAAGCCAGTAGTCTTTCCCGCAACTTTCAAATTAGACTCAGCTTCACTGCGCACATTCTGATCATGACTCAGTGTACCAGCGAAACACTGTAGTAAAGTCGAGGGATCCATTTTCTTTATGACAGGTTTCTTCGCAAAACGAGAGTTTCTAAACTATCCAAGATAGTATAAACGAAAAATGCAATCAGGTCTGGCAAGACGAGATATAATGATGCAAGATAAAATGAACAACACAGTACTCAGAGCTTGTCGTTTCTGTCTGAGTTTGTGAGAAGAGACCAGTCCAAAATTTTTTGTCAAGGCGATGATCTCAATTAGATGAAAAAGTCACGAGACTGTCCGGTTCAGTAGATAAAGGGCTGTGAGTAGACCTGCTCCTGAGTCACCGCGGTTCTCAAAATGCTAGATTTTGCTGGAGATGGGTGATGAAATGCATGCAAAACATGTTCTGGAGTGCAAAGGGTGTCTTTTGCGTTTTGGGAAGACGAAAAGGATGTTCTGGAAGAATTTTGAATTTCTAGCACCAACGGGTCTTTAGATAGGCTCACAGCAGCCGGTGCATGTCTCGGTTCGAAGCCCGGTGAGACCGGTGTCTTTGAGGTAGGTGGTGAGCTGAGTGCAGCGTCTAGGCTTCGTTTAGGAGTGAAAAGCTGCGGATAGTCTTGGCTTGACGGAGAACTTGCCAAACCAGCCGTGGAGTTATCAACCGGTAGCTCATCGGACTGAGGCAAAGACAAAGACCGTTGAGATATGGCTGTCTGCACGCCAACAGACGCGACGACCGTCGATGGTGATAAGTCGGAAAACATCGCGCCTGGTCCGTGTTGTTTGAGCAATGGCTTGACGACTCCAGCCGGCAACAGAAAATCTTCCTCTAGTATCCAGGAGTCTTCGTTGCAATACTTGAAGTTCAGCTTTTTGTGCCTTAATTTCTCAAATTGCAGTAAGGCTCGTTCTCGCGGTCCGTACGGTGAAATATCTATACTCTGACCATCGGCATCTGTTTGGTCGCATAATGCCGAATTTGGCAATTGGGTCATCTCTCTGCTGTAGCTCTTTCTCAAAAGCTTACCCAATACCAACAGTGTTTGAAGAACCAGCGCTATATTCAATATCAAGGGAACCCAGCCTGCATGTGTGAGTTCTGCAAGCTGACTTGCGATAAATCTGAAAACATCAGGCCAGCGCATGCCGTGTTCTGGACACCGACAAACGTACACAATACTTTCCGGTTCCATGTGGCTTCGAACTTCAGCAGGTCCTGTGAGCCATTGCGGAAATGGTATCTCAAAATGTGTCAAAAGCCCTGCAACGACGGCCAAAGGTGCCCCAAAAATAACACCATCTACAAGACTAGGCCTGCTATGCATGCTAAGTCGTTAGCACAGTTCAAAGGTCTCAGCTGTGCCCAGTGCTAATAGAGAAGTGTCAGTGAATATGCTACTGTTCTTCAAAGATCGCACCTTGTGTGCTCTAGGATTGACTTAAAGGTCAAAAATACGAGATGTCACATGGTACGGAAACGCTCTTCCCATGACAAGCTCAGCTTGGCCTGGCCAAAGGTAACGACGGGTTAGGCTATTGACCCCAAGCTGAGGAGAACTAATTGAGCCAGCAATTGTAATGACCAGAACCCTATACGCTTCAAACGTATGTTCTTTCTTTCATCATCGGCAGCGTAGTCAGCAAATGCGTCGTAGACCTCAGCACTCAGATCATCCATTAATCGACAATCGTAGATCGTCCATGAACCTTCGAAGTCGGACAGCTCTTTGACGACTTGACATTTGATTGGAATGTAGGTACGTCTGGAGTTGATGTAGCCAACAATTGGCCTTATCAGCGCACTGTTAATGTAGCTGAGTGCGTTGTCAAATAGAGGAACCTCTGCAGTTACGTTATGCAGCCTTAGAAAGAAATCCATGATGAAGTATTTCTGTGGATCTATGTCCTTCTGCTCTGGCGTCTGGAATGGTTCTGGCAAAAGAATTGCAGAGTGACGCTGCGCTTCCTTCAGCAATCTCTGTCCAATGACAGTGAACATTTCGTTTAATTGAAGAGCGTCTGGGTCTTTGTCTGGAAGTAGAATGTCACCGATCATGTCCACCTGACCCTCGGTGATCCATCCAAAAGGACCCTCCACACCTGCATTGAGGTGGTCAATGTCTAAATTATCCACACGCATGCGCGTCACTTTCTTCCACGGAGACGCATTATGAGGCGAATCGTCCGCCTTGTACTTCTTGTGAATCGAAAACAGCGAGTTGTCGTAAGTACCGCTTATATTGTTAGCGTTGAGAAAATCGAAAAAAAGCCAGTGTTTGCGCAACTGCGGGAGTTCACAATTGAAAACGCTCACTTGGAATGGGCGAAATCCATTTGGCTGATAGAGTGTGATTAAAAAATCATTCATTTCGAATTTGGAAATCTCAAAATCCCCCGGCTGATGTACATTCAGATAATTTCTTGCATCATCGTTCTCCTTCCATATGACATGAGTTCGATCTACCACACCCCGCAAGCCATTTATTGTCACCTCATCCAAAATACCCCGTCCGTTGAACCATTTGCTAAAACTCAACGAGATTTCGACCTGGTCCATGGTCAAATCGAATTGAGCGTAATTGCCGTCATCGAAATCTTCTCTGCTTACAAGCAAATTTTCCGTGATGGCTAGTTTAGCCCTTTCAGACGCCTCATATTGGGACCCTTTGGTGAAGCTATGTGATACTTTGGGCCTGCGCGAAACGAAAACGTTGTTGAAGCATATTTTGCGGGAAGACCAGTCCGGCACAATAGCGCTTTCGAACACTACGGAAACAGAACTATTTTTTGTTAGTAGGTTTCCGATATGCGTGGCTACATATTCCTGGGCGAAAACGGTGTTAGCGAGGTATATGATCAGGGACGCAAACGTTGTGGTTCCGAGTATGATTAGAATCACATTGCTGACTAGAATCCAAGAGATAAAAGCACTGATATCATCGGAATTGAACGGTTTCATTGACCTGGTAAGGGTCCATTTCAGGTTTATCTGTAATTTTTGAAGCAGTCCTGTGGCTTGCAGCAACAAGCGATCTCGCTCCGTGATGAATTTGAAAGGATTGACGTTCGTTTTATGTTCCGAAGAGGGTCTTTGTTTTGAGGTCTCGTTTTTATCTTTGGTATTGTTTAATGGTCTGTATGAAGAGTTATCGTGGTGATTCCATCGCACCCACCGTATGCTTGCAGGCGCTGTTAAAGGACTAAGTCTGGCATTATTGGCAATTTTGAGAGTCGAAAGACGTACTTCACTTTTCAAAGGCGACCACAAAAATTTCGAGAAGGCCAAAGGAGATCGTTGCATCGTTCACCTGGCCAGGGTTCGTGATTTCCACGTTTGATGATTTCCTACGTGAGGAATCGTGTAATTGATGCAAGCGTTATGAAAAAAAGGGCTGGGGAACCTTGCAATTGCCGTCGGGAAGATTTCCAAGGTCCAGCACGAGCAAGAAAGTTTCAGTTCAAGTATGAACCACGCTATTAGTTGATCCTGCTGTGGATGTTGTCCATGTTGGTGTGTGCCTTAATAGTTGTATATTACACCTGTAGGAATCGAGAACTAAACAGCGTGAGCACCCCTAGCCATTATATACTATTCAAAATTCCCAACTTTCAAGAAAAAGCGGATTTAGCTCAGTTGGGAGAGCGCCAGACTGAAGAAAAACTTCGGTCATCTGTAATCTGGAGGTCCTGTGTTCGATCCACAGAATTCGCAATCTTTTTTATTTTTGGTAGGTTTTCTTGATCACGTGCTACTAAGATGTAGATCGAAATCGAGATACAGAGCTGAATAGTGGCTACGTCGTTCATTACTTTGAGAGCCTGCTAGGCCTTCCTGATTCTTTTTGAGGTCTCATCATCTGTGAGGAATGTCGGTTCCACTACAGGATAATCGAAAATGGCGTTCGGAGTGACAATAACCGGATAAGAAATCTTTAAGTACCGGCAACGGAACAAATATAGTAGAGGCTTATACTAAATAGATGAGATTTAGAATTATTTCCCACAGAGCTCATATCAAAAAAAATGCTATCTGAGACAAACACAGTTACCACGCTGTTTAAAAATCACTATTAACGAATGCGTCGTTGCTGGCCAGAAGTTATAAACAGGTTTCCCCAAAACAGAACAAAACATACCAACTGATATCCTGAATTTTTACAGCTACTGCTTGATAAATTGTGATCTTTAGAACAGTCAAAGGCCGTTTTTACAAACCATTTGGATCTGACATCATTTTCACGCTCATCTGTCACGCGATCACTCCTTCGAAAAAATAGCTTTGTACGAAGCTACCCATTTACCAAATTTTTCATCCACTGAAAAACTCTCTCATCCAGGTTGAAAGTTTCTTGTTTGACAGCAACTTTGCTCAATTTCGAAATCCTTCTTCGACTATTGAATCATCAATTAGAATCACCACAACATGTCTGAAATCCCAGCCGACGCCAACGTTTCCATCTTCGCCAAGAACGAACAAAAAGCCAGAGAACTCATTGGCCAATTGGGTCTAAAGCAAGTCCCAGGTATCTCCCGTGTGACTTTCAGAAAGAAGAATAACCAGATCTACGCCATTGAGAGACCAGAGGTGTACAGATCGCACGGTGGTAACTTTGTTGTCTTTGGTGAGGCCAAGATCGACGACTTCCCTCAGAGATTGGCCAAGGCTCAACAAGAAGCCCAAACTGCTGGCCCAGGTGTCTCCACCGCCGGTGCTGATGCCATCTCCAAGGACCCTCAATCCATCCAGGCCGACATGGTCGCCGCCGCTGATGAGAAGAAGGTCTCTGAGGTCACCAACGACGACGAGGGTGTCGCCGATGAGACTGGTTTGAACGCGGACGACATCGAATTGGTCATGCAACAGACCAACTGTGCTAGAGGCAAAGCCGCCAAGGCCTTGCGTGACAACAACTCCGACATTGTCAACGCCATCATGTCCTTGTCTTAGATTCTCTGCCAATTTTATTCCCTTTTTAACAAATATGCTATTTAGGTATTAACCTGGGCTTCGAACTCAAGTCGTTAGAGTCTTTTTGATTTTGAGCACTGGAAACTACACTTTCAGGCTCCTTCTTTTTCTCGCTAGCCATCAGCGGCCCCTGTTCCTTGCTGTCGTAACGCCAATTGCATAATGGGCACACGTACTGAAGAGCTGCGCCTGGAACAGTGTAGCTACCGGCGTGCTTTTTACATTTTTGACACACCACTGGTTTGAGCTGGGAGTCCGTCTTCATCTCCCCGCCTGATATTACGTCCAGCACCTTGTCGAACCATTTGTCCCTCTGCGCTTCCGATTCGTGCGGATTGCCCTGTTTTTGAAAATCTGCAAGCTCACGCTTCAACTTGCTCAATTCTTCGTATTTCGTTTTCATTTCTTCGTCCATGAGAGTCACAGCGTCTTCTTCCTCCTGCTGACCCGACGAGAACCGTTTGATAAGCGAGTTGGTGGAGTAAAAATGTGTCTTTTGTTTTAGGGTTTCCAGCTTTTCCTGGTGCTGAGCTCTTAGTCGTTCCACTTTCCGCATTGTTCGTTGTCTGGAGAAATCGTACCACCTGTCGACCCCAGATTTCAATGCTATTATAATCACAACCGACATGATTAGCGACGCAATGACAAAATGTTTATCATTAAGTTGTGCATACAGCACTGCGTTTAAAAGTGCCAAAATTCCAGAGCCATGTAAATAAAACCGTTTATGCCACAACGACTTTCCCGCGTCTTTCTGCTTCAAACGCTTATCTAGTTCATGTATCTGGGACGTTATTCTTGCAAGATCTTGTGTATACTGCTTGATAAGGCTTTCTTGACTTTGAGCTTTGAACAGTCCGGTTACTTGACGAAGCATGATTTCAGCTCAGTTTGTTGGTGTAAAGAGCGATAAACAAGAAAGGAAAAAAGTTGCAGACAATCTTTGAAGCCGCCAGAATCTCACGATTGATCACAACCAGGCCAATTGCTTTGATAAGTGTTGATGATGACTTGGTTTACCCATCGATCTTGACTTTACCCTGTATTGTATGAGTTGACATATACTAAATTCAATTTTTTGAATCATGTAGATATCACTCCACACGAGTTTTTTAAGATGAGCTTAATTCAATACAGTGGATAAGTGCAATGGAAGACAAGTAATATTTATAATTTGAGCAGGTACATAGTGTCGCAACACTGTTTCTACGGGTCTGAATTTGCTCCGAAATAGAATAACAAAACTTTTGGCTTTTTTCAAGTGGTGTTCCTCTGACACATTTTTGATCACGTGACAGAAGACTTGAGTTCTGACTGCGGTTGACGTGCGTTTACCAAGTGATTTGAAGTTCAAGGGAAAGCTGTAGCTTGCTGCTTTATTGAGTCTGGAACTCATAACCGCACGGGATCTACTCTTGAATTTTCTAAATACATGATTAAATGCCCTTGGCTTTGTTGATCACGTGATCTATTTTTTTCATAATCAAATACTCATACCTTTCTACGGTTGTTGTTCAACGGAGATAATCCATTCGTTCGAATAATATCAGCTTCCGTTTCGAGATCAGTCTCTTAAGCCACAAAGACTTAATGTCTGAGCAGTTGGAACATTTTTCAATAATCTTAATACGGCTCTTGTAGATTCCAAACCAATAATCACAACTTTGAAATCACGTGACCCAAAATTCAAAAATTTGAAGCCCTTTTTCTCCGCGAGCTTGTGTTTTATCTTAAGCCACCTCCCAGTATTTCGTGCACTGAAAATTCCAGACCCTTGGACGATTGCAGTTCCAGATTTCCTTCCGTTCTTTCAACGTCAAAATCGAATCTTGAAAATTTCGACACGCTCTCTTCAAATATCGACTAAGTAGGACGAAACAAATAATTGGCACAATGCTCAATATAGTCAGAGGTCAAGATATAACCATGAATTCCCAGCTGAATGATGCTTTAAACCTCGATATAGTTTGTTGACGGTCTACTGTCACTACGTAGATAGTGATCTCAATATAAAGATTTCAATATTAACAACTGCTACCGTCTTTATAGATCACATCCATGAGAAACATGAACAAACAGTAGGACCAATGCCCGTTGCAGAGGTCAATGTGTCTAAGTTAAAGGCCCTTTTTCACAAAGATGGTAACGTTACTGTAACGACGGCTTTAGGAAATACTTTACTTGAAATTCAAGGCGAGCTGGAATTTCCACGAGCTCCTCCTTATAACGACGCTGAAAATAAGTTTAGCATATATAACAACGACGATATAGTGAGATTCGGTCTGCTGCAGGTAGATCCAGATCTGAAAAAGGCAACAATGTTTGTGGGTGAAAAACAACGGCTTTTGGGCTCGGTTGTGAAATTGGATTCACCACTGGGCCTACTCAAATTCGACCATCTCACAGGTAGCATTGATTTGCAAGACGTAATACGTTACAAGATTATCTTCAAAGATAGACCACTCCCGATTATGTGAACCTCGGCTTTCGCTAAGATACATCTGTAAATACGTAATTGTCTTTCCCTTTGCATTGCCAGTCAAGCTTCGTGTTAGACTAGCTCCCAACCGGTATTCAAAAGCGCGCCGTGCTGGGTTTGCTCGGGTGTAATGATGGGAAAAGGATGCGCTTCGGTGTTGAAGACCATGCTTCTAAGATCAACGTCGTCCTGGAACAGAAGGTGCAAGTATTTCAGCGTTTCAGCGTACCAAAAGCTTTCCACATTGTCTGATCTTGTTGGGGGGATTGCCAAAACGTTCTTTAAACAGGTGTAGGCACATTCAAAATCGTCAGATGTGCATTGCACGCCAGAGTGTTTCTCAAAGGACCTGAAAATCTCCCATCCCCAGTCGCGATACTTGGAGTCCTTTGTCAGATGGTATAAAAACATCAGAGACTCCACGGTTTCGGGTCTTTGTAGGTTGTGGGCGTCTGCTGGCTTAATGAAAAAGTCGCCCTCTGCGGACTGCCACCAAGAGCCCGATCCACCAATATAACCATCGTTGAACACAACAATCTCCGGAGACAAACCAGAGGGCACTTGGCGGTACATCTGATAACACGTGTAAGTTAGATCTTGTGCTAAGGCCCAATCCTCTTCGCGCTCCGCGTTCCAAAAACTTTGTTTTCTCGCTTCCGCGATGGGCCAGCCTTCAGTAGCACCCATTGCAATCAAACCACCCATGAAACACACCAAATGATCCATTTTGGACGAAAGTCCACCATTCAATCCATGTTCCTTTTCACCAATGTAAACTAATCCATTAGGCTTGGATCTTGAGACTAAGTGCCGTTTCACACCCTCTATCGATTCACGATATAGTTCGTAATACAATTGCTCACCCGACTGCAGATACTGTTTTAGAAGATACTCGTAGAAGGAATCGCCTCGGGATCCAAGTCTGATAATATTGCCCCAGAATTTTGCAGTGTCAGGGTTAGTGTAAATAGGTACAAGACCATCGAAGCGGTCAATGACTTGGTTTTCTTCGTACAAGGGCTTGTAAACTTTTTCCACCTCTTTCCAATATCTGGCGTCTCCTGTGATAGCGCTTAGATATTTGAATTCCAGTTGCAATGTAGTGAATTCTGCAGTCGAAGATGCCCCCATATCCACATGATTTTTCCTGGATTCTCCCGTATGCAAATTCACGCTGGAATAAGGAATCTTGGCGTTGGCGTGATGGAATGCTGGCAGCATTCTGTCAGCCAAATCCTTGGCCTTTTCCAAATACACATTAGGATTGCCTACGGCCAATGTACTTGATAGATGGTAAGCTGACAGCAGACCGCCTAGCATGCGAATAGTGGTCTCGAAAAGTGACACAGACACGTCTATATCGTAGTCAAGTTTTGTGCTGATCCAATGTTCGGCTCGAAGAATTTCGACTTTGAATTCTTCTTGATGATGAGTGCTTGAGTTGTACATCAAGAACATGCTATCGATGGAATCCACGATGATCCACCCTAGAGGTTTTTCTGTCGATCCATACATATAAGAACCCTTTCTTGAAAGTGGGTGGTAGACGTCTGCGTCCCAGCCATGCGAGACGTAGTCGTGCCATGATTGTAAGAAAGTAGCTTCAATGCGGTCCCGCTTGTACTGCACAAAACGAGATGACGGCGTGAAAAACGCTTGATACACCAAAAGCGCGGATGCAAATATGAGTAGGTTGGTTATGATACGCATTTTGGTGAAAAGAATGGGGTGTGGTGGGACGTTTTCGAGAGATCTTGAAGCGTTTGCGTATCAAAATGAGCTGATAAATTCTATGGTAGCTCAATTGAGCCGTTCCGTGGTGTAATCTCTAAAACCAGATGCAGATATTGTCTAGCAAAATTTTGAGAGTTAGTTGCTAAAGCAGGCTCTCGAAAGCGCTTTTTTTTTTTTTTTTGGGGCACACAATACAGGAGCGTTGAGGCTTACTGAAAGTCTATTTGTGCGGTTCAATGCACCGATTCAATGCTTGGATCTATAGTTATTCCAATGCTTTGGTCGATGGACTCTTTTAGCTGAAGTTATTGAATCCGGGGACGGTCAATTATCCATTTAAAGGTCACGTGTGTTTCTTCATGACATTCTCCAGTTGGGAATTCTCAAGTTGGTGGTGATGGTTTCGTATCGATTTGAAATATATCGTAGAGTCGATACCATCTCTTTGAATTTTTCCAACGTTATTTTGTCTCTTCTTTTAGTTGTATGTTCTAGTTGAGATTTCATAATATTTGAATTCCGCTCACACTACAAGCGCCATATAAGATCAACATGACCAGCCTGGATCAAGAAATGATCAAAAGCATCTGCAAAGTCTGAATTTATCTACCTCGACTGGCTCAATGGGTTTTGTGTTTCCAATTATGGTGTTTTTAGGATCGGGTTTTCGAGATGGTATTATTCATTGGACTCTACTGTTATAAGGACAGATTCGCGAATATAAAAGGTGAAAGAAGTCCAAAATGAACCATCGGTAGAATGAGGACGTATTTTTAATTTGTTCGGCTATCATGGAGGAACTTGAAAGTAGTAAAAATGTCTTCTTCATTGTTTGGTTTTCCAGTTGTTTTCGATGTCAGTAAAATAAAGTCTAAAACTAACTAAATATTGAACTTATTATACCATGTAAGTGCTGAGATATACAATACCTAAAATTCGGTTATAGTTTTGAACCAGCTCAAATAGCACTAGCGTAGTTTTGGCATGGTTCAAATGCGTAAACTCTCTTTGTTTAGACACCCTGGACGCAGCGAAAAGAGTTTTTTTTTTAACTACCGCAACTACAGCTTTGAAATAGCAGTCTCTAAGAAACTTGAACGAATGTAGTCTTTTTTCTTTGTATTTAGCTTCTAAACCTGAGCTGCCGTTAATGGCATGTCTTTTAAATACAACAGTAGCCACCGTCTACGACAATGTCGGAGCCGGTGGTGAAAGTGGACGCATCCGAGGCCAAATACAAATATGCCCCGACCAGCTCTTCCGGCAAACCCTCTCTTCCCATTGGCGTTAGTTCCAGCCATTTTTCCTTGATTTCCGCGCCTGCAAAAACGCTTATAGGCGTGGTGATGTACCCGGGAGAAACCGTGTTCACACGGGCGTAGCCTGACCACTCGACTGCAAGCGATTTGGCCATATGAATGACCGCAGCTTTTGTTGCGTTGTAGCAGGTTTGCAACTGGGGCACGTTGACGATGTGGCCCGACATCGAAGCCGTGGCAATCAGCGAACCATGGCCCTGTTTTTTGAAGACGGATCCGATAAATTTGCTGCAATAGTACACACCTTGGAAGTTGGTTTGCAGAATCTTGTCCCACTCTTCAGATGCTTCTCCACGTTCTTCGGCCTCCACAAGAGCGCCTGTAGACCCTGCTACACCAGCGTTGGCCACGAACACATCGATTTTCCCACCAAAATCCTTCAAAACCTGCTGGATTGTGTCGTACACTTTTCTTTCGTCTGTGACAGGACACTTGTAAGCGATGACTTTGACGTTGTATTCTTCTGCCAGTTCTTTGGCCGTTTGAATCAAACCGTCGTGTGAATTATACCACACTGCAATATCAGCACCAGCTTGGGCAAAAGCTACAGCAACAGCACCACCGATGCCGGAAGATGCTCCTGAAATACATGCTACTTTGCCCTTGAGCGAGAACATGTCCTTCACATTTTTGGGCAATTTTGGTGCTGGACGGGGAACTTCCAGTCCTGTTGCAATAGTCTTTGGCATTTGTTTTGGCTGTGAATCCTAGTTGTAGAAATCTATAATAATATACTATGGAAAGGTGTTAAACTAAGCTATCGACGCTTTGTTTAAAGGTGCTATTCTGACGGTTATATACCGGTAATCGTGTAATTAATCAGATCTGCTTCTGGATGAACGTCAAAGTAGAGGATAAAGCAAAACAAAGCTTTACTAAACCAGACATTTTTGACATCACAATTTATACAATTTAGGGTCGCCCATTAACCTTTGCAATCAGCTTATTCCGGTCTTCTTGAGTTGCAATTCCGCTTCCGGTGCGGGGTTGTTGTATTTTTGTATTGGAAAAAGGCGCGGAGAAGCCTGTCATATATGCTATAAAATACGGAAAAATATACACATACAACTGACAAAATGACCGTTAATGGAAAGTCCCGATGTTCCTATCTCGGATGTCAGCGAAACTAGGTTTTTGGCTTGTTGTTTTTTATCATTGTAGACGGGTGTGACAGTGGTAAGATACGGCGACACGAAATGCAAAAAAAGGTCACGTGAGGCAGACACTAAGTTTACGTAATAAGAAGATCACGTGAGTGATGTTTCTATTTTAACGGAAAAATGATTTTAAGTGTGTGCGGTAGAGTCGTAAAGCTTTTGTATTTGTTTTAATGGAAATAGATTGAGCTGGAGACTGGTATCTGAGGGCTGGTATTTGATTTGGGGGCTTCCTTGGGGTTAAAGTGAGTCCTCACTTTTTTTATGAGTAGATTTTTTTTCATCTTCGGTCTTTGGTGAAAACCAACGACAAAGCAATACAAAAAATAAGAAATGCTCATCGCACAACTACAACTTCAATTGCTCTTATTTGCTTCACCGTTGAAGTTCTCGCTGCTACGTGGTAAAAACGTCATCGTCTTCTACGAAATAAAACTAAAGTGTCTTTCTAAAACCCATCACTAGCCACGGAACCGTTTCCATACGAATATTACAATCACAGTCTCTGGATTTATAATGTGAAAGCGGTTGTTGTAAAGAACGCATTAGAAATAACCTCATAGTGTTCAAATCCTAGCCTTTGGTGAACCAACCACTTAGGCCTTCCCCCCAGCTTCACATTGAGGGTCTTTCCACCTCTTTTGGACCACTTTTCGTCATTTTGTTGCACCAACTAAAATTGGCATTTTACGCTAAAGACAACTGATAGACAGCGAAAATCTCTAATTCCAACACTCATTCAAAGCTCGATTACTGCTACCGATGATTTCTACGAGCATTGGTGAATCCATTCCCCCCAACACCAAACATGCGGTTTCGGTGTGTCTGCCCACTTGGGCTTCATCGGTAGGCTACGAAGAGGGCGATCCCGAAATTATAGGTAAACTTACAACCGGATACCCACGGTTTTTCATCCACAAATCTATTCAAAAACTCTGCAACAACTTGGCGGCCAAGTTTGCCAAGGAAAACGAAACTTGTTTGGTTTTCCCCAGTTACCAGGTTGCCAAAAGATGTCGTGAGTTTGTTAGAACTAAAAGTGATGGCACAGCTCGTGTAAGAATCTTGCAACTTGCAACTCCACCACCGGCAGTTGACGAAGAACGGGCTTGGCGTCGCGAATGCCGCATTTCTGTCGTTTTTGTCGCCAAGGATTCATTTCCCCTGCTTAAACAGTACTGGCAACACACCGGTGAAATTGTCAGCAGCCGGATGGCAGAATATGTTTTGCAAGAACTTTCGCTGGTAGAAAAACAGGAACAGAATTACCAAAAACTGCCTGTGGGCGACAAAATAGTGGCAGACGCCGAAATTAAGGACGAGGAAGATTTTATTGAAAAACGGTTCGGCAGAAATTTAGATCTGTCATCTGCAGAGCATGCCAAGCTTCTGATAAAGCGCAGAATCGCTCGTAAGGTGGTTGACGTTGATGTAGAGGATGCGGAAACTTCCCGCATGCAGGAACTCAGTATCAACCCTACCAATAATACCAATCCAGCTGCCGCAACGGTCACCTCAACAGACTCTAGTATCCCTGCAGAGGAAATCGAGCAAGAGGAGCATGTTGTGGAGCCCACCCCGTCGGAAGAAGGCATCCATGTCAATGCAGATCATGACGTTTTTCTATTCCCCAGCGGCATGGCCTCAATTTTCACGGCTCATAGACTTCTATTGTCGTTAGACGCATGTCGTGTACGCCGCAGAACCGCTTCGCAAAGTGACCGCGCCGACAGTCCGGGAACTTATTCGCCAGGCGCCTTGAACTCAGAGGTTATAGGCTACGGAGCGCCTTATAAAAAGACTGTCATGTTTGGATTTCCCTACACCGACACACTCTCGATTTTGAAAAAGTTCAACCACACACATTTTCTGGGCGACGGTGACTGCAAGTCTATGCAACAATTGAAGGAGATACTGCATTCAGGGGAACAAATCCTTGCCGTTTTTATGGAGGCACCATCCAATCCGTTACTCAAAATGGGTGATTTGATAGAGCTACGAGAATTGTCGGATGCATACGGATTTTACATCGTTGTGGATGAAACTGCTGGAGGATTTGTAAATATCGATGTTTTGCCCCATGCAGATATGGTATGCTCCTCCTTGACTAAAATCTTCAGTGGGGACTCCAACGTAATGGCGGGTTCACTGGTGCTCAATCCACGTTCCCGGCTTTATAGCTTTGCCCAGCAATTCTTCCAAAGCGGAGACTTCGAGGATTTGCTCTGGTGCGAAGATATCATTTACCTGGAACGCAATTCTCGAGATTTCGTGTCTAGAACCTTGACGGTCAACAACAACACCAAGCAATTGCTGGATGACGTGTTAATTCCCCAGGTGGGCAAGCTGTTCAAAAAGATATTTTACCCCAGTCTCACATCCCCAGAGACAACCAAGAACTACGACGCTGTGAAGTGCGCTAAAGGTGGCTACGGCGGTTTGTTTTCCCTAACGTTCCACTCAGAGAGTCAGGCACACGCGTTTTTCGATGCCTTACAACTGTGCAAGGGTCCATCCCTCGGGACAAACTTCACGCTGGCGTGTCCATACGCCATTCTAGCGCACTATACAGAGCTTGACGAAGTGGCCAAATACGGTGTTGAGCGAAATCTCGTTCGTGTCAGTGTTGGTCTCGAGAGCCCAGAGGCTTTGAAGGAAACTTTCAGACATGCTGTTGCGGAGGCTGAGAGTGTCAAATGATGTTCAGCACGTTGGTTGGGGCAAGCCCTCCGAGATATACAGATTGCCCGAAAAGAATCACTTTTAAACTCAATCAATGTTTGCTGTTTTTCGAATTGTATGTGGGTTGAATATATATATATATGTGTTTGTATACAATCTGTCATTAAAAGAAGATGGACCTTACGAATAAAAAGACGTTGCGAGTAGCTATATCAAGCCCCATACATCTTTGAATTCCAAAATGCCAGGTTCCACCATTTTCATTCCATCATTTCTATTTCAATTCCACGGGTTTTTCGCCCCTGGCAAAACGTGGGTTTCTAGGATCGTTGATGAATTCAGAAGTCTGAGCAGATGCACTGGCAGCTTTACCAACTCCCCAGTAAACGATCACTCCTCCTACAAAGAAGGGCCAGTATGGCTTCAAAATTGGTGTTGAAAATCTCTTAAACATGATTGAATCGAAGCAAAGATACAATTGGCCCTTGGGCAGGTGACAATAAGTGAAGTGCCAAAGGTATATGGATGCTTAGTTTACCGTGTTTAAAGGTGTTCTAGTTAAAGCTAGGTTTAAATTTCGAAAATTTTAGTGATTGAAAATTAATCTAGCTGAGAATATTGAGGTTTAGCGAGATGATTGGGTCGTGCAAAGTGATGACGACTCGCAACTACTAATGAAAGGTAGAAATTTACTGGAAAAATAGACAAGAGAGACAGTTTGCTAAGGCAATTCAGATTTTTTGTCAATGGCGGGACAACAGACCTTTCTGGATGATAAAATCGCAATTTTTTTAATACTGCGTTGGAAGTGTCACGTGACCAGACCAGATTTCTTTAAGCGAAACCGTCTAGTTTTTTTTTTTTTTTTTTCCGTATTTAGGAGCCCGGAATACCTTGTTCCTACTGATTGTTGTGCTTTGAGAGCACTATGTGGGTTCCTCAAACCACAGTCTTGAAATTTCCCCGCCCGTGTTTTCTTGGTGAATAATCGATTTCATTTTGAGATCACTTTGTACTAATATGTCACTCACGTTTGATAAAAGCTTGACAGTGGCTAACCTAGACCGACACTGCTCACTTTTGAAACGTAGGGTTTCGTTTTGATAGATCGGACGACTTTTCCAAAAAAAAATCTGGCTTCTTCTCTACGCCCGGCTGGCTTATTGGATTCTTCACATTAAATTTAATCCGTAAGGTTTCTGCAGGGAACAGCACCAACCATTCTAATTTGTTTCAAAATCCAATTTGTAGCCCGTATTTCAAAGCCTCCAATAGCCTTCAAATTCCCTCCTCCAAATCATTAACCTCTTGCGAGCTTCTCGTCGCTTTCACTTCAAATTCGAAACCAAAAAAAAACAACCAAAAATCGTTGCTGAGCAAAGAAAACGATGGGAAGAAAGCACCTTAATCACCTAAACTTGATCATCACCCCTATGAAACATTCTTCGCAAATCTGGTTCTCTCAGCAGTAACCAGTAGTTCCACATTTTCAATAAAATTATGAGCAGACAAAAATCCTCACAATAAGACCAAACAAAATAGCCCAAATTCTCCCAGACCCTCTCATAATTCCCATGAGCATTCCAAAGTATTTCCATCATCTTTCGAGACCATCTGGTGAGTTATACTGAAGAAGTTTGACGATTTATTCAACCCAGATCACTTTCGTCAATGCTGACCGACCATATAAGAATATGGCATTACATCCAGAAGAACACTGCATCCAAGCCAAAAGGATAGCACATCAAGACCCAATTATGAGCATCCAAGAGTCAATTCCCGACTCAGCAACGTTGAGGCACCTTCAAAATGCCTCCAATGCCTTTTCTGAGTACTTGAACGCGTACATCGAGGCCTTGAACAAGTACATTGGGCATCAACGTCGAGTTTCGACGCTTAGGTTCGAAAGAGCAACTCTGATCAAGCACGTTAAGAAGCTTCGCTTTTTCAACGAGCAATTGGTCGCAATGAACCTTTCTCAAGAAGAAAGATTCCAAGACAATAGCCTTGAACTAGTAGTTTCTTCATTCGGATCATTTTTCATTAGATGTCTCGAGGTGATAGACCTTCTGAACTACTATCTCACACAGGCATTGAAAAATGAAACCATTTCCAAAACGTTGAACAAGGATCTAGTGGTCAGCGATCCGTGCATAGTGGTGATCGAGAATGTGTATCGCCATTTCGTGAAATTCACCCAATGGATGCTCGAGGCAATAAATCTGCACGATGCGACGCTCACGATCGAGGTCTTGCAGTTTGCCCGCAAATGCGCTCAAGAAGATGGCATTGATACTGAAGAAACCTCAGACATCTTGTTGCAAGAAGTTGGGATCGTCGAGGACACTTTCGAGTACACACTTCTGCTGGAAGAATGGTGCATGGTTCTCGATGGCCAACACGAAGACCTCACACGAGCATTTGATCTCGAGACAGAGCGGTGGAGCCAAATCTTCGAACAGCGTAAATAGCCTCAGCAGAGGGACCCTTTTTTGTAGAATAAAGAAATTGGACAATTGAACCACTCGCATTTTAAACTGATCCATAGCTTTCAATCAATGTATCTTTTTTCACTTCATCGCAAGGCGGCGGAGCAGTAACCTTTATTTCTTATTCCTCTCTATCACAATCGACCTCTCCGTCTTGATAATCATGAGACCCCTCAACCTCCTGGTGTTCACCGTGTCGTTTTTCAAACAGCTGGACCCTTCGAGGTCTTGCGAAATTTCGCAATTGCAAGCTGTAGTCTTCTGGCCTGTCCATTTTTTTGGCCAAGTACATGTACAATTGGTTTAGAGTCATTCGCGTTGACTGCCCTTGGTATAAGTTGTTTCCCAGTCGCATATTTTCCACAACACGAGTGGCCTTTTTCAAGGACATGTCGGCCGGAAGCCCATATCTGTCTGGATTGTCTTTGACATCGATTATCTTCTGTATGATATGCATTCTTTTCGCGAAGAAAGATCTCTCAGAGCTCTTGCATCGCCAGCTTGGCCCAAATCGTCGTTCCAATGCTACTACAGAAGGTTGTCCTTGAAGACCTTCGAAGTATTCTCTTGCTAGATCTTGCACGGTTTTAAGAAGCCGATTGAGACGATAATGGGCAGCTCTATCGCTGAAACTTTCGTCCTCGTCAACATCCGCATCACCATTTTCGTTTATTCTTAGATTCACCACTGGTGCATTCGGAGCTGTGAAATCGGGATAATTGAGTCGTTGCCACAGTTGACCATTCTCCTGTTTGATGACCTGACCCAAATGATTCCTGCCTCTTCCTTCGGGTCTCGTTGCAGCCTGCTGCATACGATGGATGGTCTCAAGGTCGGAAGTGGACGATTGAGAATTAGCGATGGTCGCTGCGTCTTGTGTGGTAACATTTTCGTCGGAATGATCTAAAAACCGTACCCTTTCACCACTCATGATGGCCACAATCTCTTTGAAGACCTCTTTCATACGATTCACTTCATCAAAACCTTGATTGGAACTTCTCAGACATCTTTCTAGCTTCTTGCAAGTGTCGAGGTAGAGTTCTTGCTGATCCTCCTCCATTTGCTGCATTCGCAGTTTCAAAGTCTCGTTTTGATTCTGAATCTTCGCCAACTGGTCGAGAACCATGGTTTCGAAGCCAGCAGTGTTGGCTCCTGGCATTGATTGGGTTGATTCATCGTTGATGTTGCAAGCATCTCCATCAGCATGGCTCTCCGATTCCGCAAAGTCAGGTACACCACTATTCTGAGTCATTTCCCAGGCTCAAATTCTACCCTGGATGGGATATTCTATGCCAACCAACGCTTTGATTCCTTGTTTTTTTGATGGTTGAGGTCAGCTCTTGTGAGAGATGAGTATACCGATTTTATCAACTTGATTGAATAACTTGATCAACTAAGAGCTGTGAAAGCCATGTTCAGCCAGTAGCATCAAGGTTATGCCGGCTTGCGAGCACTGTTATGTATTCCTCAACAATAGTTTATATAGAAACACCACGACTTGGTTTTTGTTTTTGGTTTCCAGGCGATGCTTGGTCAACAATCAGAGTTCGATCGACCTTGATCAAAGATTTCTTGTTGAGATCATCAATGCCGGGTTGTTCGACAAGACTTAAGCCGTGAAAAGCTGTTGGATGGATAGGTGGCATCAAACGCACCAGACCAGGATCCTTTTCAATCGAAGAAGGTAAAATGCAACAACCTTTTCCGGGAGACTCAGAAACTTTGCCTAACTGACCAATGACCTGATCTACTGGAAAAGCAAAGCTGCTGCAACATCAGAATTGCCATTAGCTTGTTGCAAAGCTTTAAGTACTTCTGTCCTCGAGAATCCCAGATCCATCAATTGTCGGACTGCAGATTCTGGATACTGGGTCGCACTGGGAGCAACCACAGGTGTTTTTGGAACGTTTCTGCTTGTTTGCGGATTCTGCACGCTAGTTTCGCCTGCTGCAGCGGTACCGAGAACTCTGGCATCAAAGTCCTTGGGCAATTCTGCTTCGCTCAAAAATTTCGTCTCTACGCCCGCGATCTTCAAAACGTCATTCTGCAAATCAATACAGGACTGATGTCTTTTCAGCATATCTAGTCCCAATAGCATATCCACATGTGTGTCGATTACGGTAAAGCTGCAAGGGATGTATTGGGTCTCGATTTTGACCTGGGCAACATGAATCTTCCCCAAAATCTTTTGAACGCCTACCCCGTGAGCTTCTCCTTGGAACCGTTTGTCAATGAGCCTGTGAAGTCCAGTTTTCTGTGCTAGTTTCGTCGATATGATTGTCGTTTGAGCACCGGAGTCAACAAACGCTTTTACCGGCGTACCGTTGATCTCTAGGTTGATGTAAAGCATGTGCACGGGCGTGAACATTTCAGGTGTGAACTCCAGAGCGTTGCGCATTTGTTCGTCAATTTCCTGTTGGCTCTTCAACTCGTCAAGACGTTCTTTATTGGCAGGATCAGTTGGATTTCGCATGAGCCGGTCGTATTCCTGCTGAGGTATGCCGAATTCATTGCGGTTTTGAGTTGCTTGTGGATTCAGGCCTTGTAGAACGTAAGGGCCTGCCCTTTCACGGAAAGCCACTGGGTCGTCCACTATGGTAGCGAATTCTGGGTTCGACTGTGCCAATTGAGCTCGAACAGCAGGGTTTTGGGCCACCTGCTGTCTAAATTGTTCAACCAAAGCGTCTTGCGTGGTGGCAAAACCTCCGGTTGTGGTTCGATTTCCAGTCTCACTTCTGTTCTTGGCTCTAATGGCTACCATTTCATCTTCAACAAGGCCTGTTTGTAGTAAAGTTTCCGATCCCAGAGCATTTAAAGCACGATTTGTGAACCAAAGTTCGTGGATTCCGCTGTTGAATCCGCAATCAAGTTGTAGCAGCGCTGTGAGATCTTTGAGTTCCATATCAGAACTGACATCTAACGTAAAGAAATCATCCGTGACTTCGTTGTTGATGGTAAGTCTCATTGCCAAAGTTAACCGGATAGAAGTTGTTGTTTGTTGATCACAAATGATATATATGGGTTCACAAAAGTGGCAAATTGATGATCGAGTTCTTATATCTGGTGTCAAATCTTTAAACTTGATGTTTTATAGTCAATCTCAAACTAAAGATGAGTAAGTAAACTTGTAAGAAGAGGTGATCAAAGAAAATGCTCGAAACAACAGTCAAGTGGCAAAAGTATATACATAATGTTAGTAATTCCAGGCTGAAGTAGTGTTTGAATCGAAGCCTACACGATTTGGACAGATACATTGAAATGCCTCCTCCAGTGCTGTGACAAATCTACCTGAGAACACAACATATACCTGGAAAAAACGGTGTGTTGTGTTCACCATCTTTCAGCTTTTTTTGCCATTGCCACCGCTCAATTCCCGCTCCAAGACCTCAAACTGATCCCGCAGCTTGCCGTCGTCTTGTCCCGTAGCCTTTTTGTTAACATTTATGGGCAGAAGACGAGTCCCCACGTTATCGTCGAGATACTTGATTTCCCGTCGGAGTGCGACCGTTGCGTGCTCCAAACTTGAGTAAAAACCACGGGCATGGTTTTCAAACTGCGTTTTCATCGTGTCGTTGCCTCTTTTCAGCTCTTCCATCGTCCCTACCGCTTGTGAAGCATGTAAAAGCGTCGACAGTAGAAGATCATCGATTGCATCCAAACTTTTGAGTCTTCCCTGTATATATTCTGGTTGTGGCATCGTTAAAACCGTTTAGTCAACAATTGTCAAGTTAAATCACCTTGTAAAGCTTCAAAAACGCTTCTTGACACCGCAATCGATGGTCTTTCTTCAAATCTTGACTATTCTTTGAAAGATGTTAATCTAGCTTAAATACTTACAACTATTATAATAAGATCACCTTTCCAAAGCTCATCGCATCCATAAAAGCGAAATAAAGTCCTCTGCTAGGAAGCTATGGCTATCGAGCTGGGACTCACCAAGATACGCCATCTTTTGTCACATCTGGGAAACCCCCAGGACAAGTTTAAGGTACTACACGTTGCTGGAACAAACGGAAAGGGCTCTGTCTGCTCATTGTTACAATCTGTGCTTCAAACGAATGCAAACTATCGAGTAGGGAAGTTCACGTCGCCCCATTTGGTCCACATCACAGACTGCATAACCATTAATGGGAAACCTATCCCATTGCAAGACTTCCAGAGCATAAAAAACCAGCTACAGGAGACAAATAGAAAACATGGATTTGGATGCACGGAGTTCGAGCTTTTGACTTGCACTGCATTCGAATACTTTCAGCGCATGAAATGCAACTGGTGCGTCCTGGAGGTGGGTCTGGGTGGTCGTTTGGACGCTACAAACTGCTCGGCGGGCGTTCATAAAATCTGCGGAATCACCAAGGTTGCAATGGATCACCAGAGCTTCTTGGGAGACACTCTGGCACAGATTGGCACGGAAAAGGCAGGTATCATTGTGTCTGGTGTTCCATTCGTAGCTGTGGATGGAACTAACGACCCTGAGGTACTCGATGTCGTTGAAAAACGAGCTGCTGCTGTCAATTGCATGGCCTCAAACACCTCTTCTATTGTTTATGGCAGCATGATCAAGAGTGAGTCCTGGGGATACATAGACCGCAAAATCGTGCCACTTAATGGCTCCTACCAGACATCAAATGTGGCGGTCGCCATCTCGATGCTGGACTATCTTCAAAAGAAGCAGCTTATTTCCATTTCATCGCAGCAGCTCCAGAGTGGGCTAAAAAGCGTCCGCTGGCCAGGTAGGCTGCAATACGTGGACTTCTACGATAAAGACGACCATAAAAAGCATTTGAAATTATTGATAGACGGTGCACACAACGGAAATGCCGCCGCAAGTCTTACACAATTTGTCACAGACTCGTTTCGCCCGACTGGATCAGAGGCGGTCACATTCGTAATTGCCGTGACGCAGGGGAAAGACGTGCATTCGCTGCTTGCGCCTTTGATCCAAACTCAAGACACTGTCATTGTCACGCAATTTGGAGAAGTGGAAGGCATGCCTTGGATATCGGCCATGCAAGTGTCAGATCTAGCATCACAAGCCGCGAACTACACGAAAAACGTTTCGACAGCTTCTGATATTCAGTCCGCCCTGCAGCAACTATGTGAGAACCATTCAGGCCAAGTAGTGGTATGCGGATCTCTCTACTTGTGTGGAGAGCTTCTTCGTAACAAAAACGTTGTATGGTGAGCTAGCGGCGCTTCACACGTTTTGCAGCGCGTAGTTTTTGCGTGATATCTCCTTTACCAGCTTTCCGTTTCTGGCCACCAATTCCTTTTGTATCCTCGGTTTCTGACTTGACCTTTGGAAGTTGTTCGTTGAGACCCTTGTCTACATCTTGCCCATGTTCGCGAACAACTGGCTTCTCTTCTTCTTCGGCCTCCTCAGCTTTGACATCTGGCTTTCCCCGATCCTCATGCTTAAGAGACGAAGGCTCCTCATGAGAAAATCCGGTACTTTCTTCGTGCTTTGCCAGCGAAGTGGTAAGTTTGTCCTCCTTTTTGAACAAGTCTCGAATCGGAGCTTTGGCTGGTTCAACAAGGTACTTTCCGTTGTTTGAGACTTTACCAACATCTGAACTAACCTGCCACCATTCGAGCTCATCCTCGTTGCATTGGGCTTGTAGAACTTCTTTCAGTTCCTTTTGGCTCCATTGGGTCTTGGACTCATCCAACCACGAATTCCATTCTTTTGAACCCCAATTCAGGACCACGGGCATCCGTCTGTGTAACCATTCCATGTTAGACGGAGCTGGTGCGGTGATGATTGTGAAAGTGTACAGATCCTCGGACTCTACCCTGTCGTACATTCCCGCCAGAAACATTATTTCTCGATCCTTACGGGTTACATAGTAGGGAATTTTCTTCTTTCCCTTGGTAAGCCATTCATAATACCCACTGGCGGGCACAACACATCTTTTATAGTTGCAAGGCGCTGTCCACATTTTACTACTGGAAATGTTCTCACAACGAGCATTGAAGGTCTTGTAAGGTTGCGATTTGGAAATGTCCTCTACCCAGTGTGGAATAAGCCCCCATTTCATGTCCCGCAGTTTTCCGTAATTTGTGTAAACTGGCGCGGTGTTGGTAGGTGCCACATTGTAGGAAGGTTGGATTCCAGTTGTATCCTGCTGTCTGTCATTTTCAAATTCAAAGCCCAACTCATGGAATCGTTGGTCCAGTTGCCCAGTTGTACAGTCAAGGGCGTATCTGCCGCACATTGTGAGATTCTTCAGAGGTTACTTCTAGGTTCAATTGCCAGCAAAAGAGGCTTTCGCAGAAGTACAAGAGTTTGGAACCCTTTTTCAATCGTCTTGGTTGTGTTGCTTGGAATCAATTAATCTCACGATAGAGGTAAGCTAGGACAGGCAGTTTTTACTTACCTTGTCCAATATCTTTACCTAAACTAGTCTGTGACAGTTCCTGAGCTCTCTACTAGCGTTTTGCAACGGTTTCGAGACGAGATGGTGTGCTCAACAACAATTGATAAATATATAATATACCCATTGCACTAACCCTTTTTGATGACCAGTAACGCTTTCTACACGGTAAAGGCCTCCTTGAAAACGTCTAAATTCACGTATGACTACTTCAAGCTGAATTCACAGGTAAACTAAAGATGTTGATGTTTTTTTTTACCTTCACAACTGTCTTGAGCGGTACCCTTTACACTTTCAACAGTGACGATGTTTCTATAAAGTGGTGCTCAAGAAGACGCAAAAGAGGCAAATCTATAGAATTTGAAAACTCATCATGGTTTCACGCATCTGATTGATGGATGAATCAACGTAGTTTGTTGCTGTGTAGCGTACCTTCTCTGTTCTTTGATCAAAGTTCATCTTGAGTGAGTTAAAGTAATATGAAGCCTGTAATTTATGTCAAATACTCATCGGATGTACAGTTATAAGCAAGAAATCGACACATAATCGCTACTAGAGCTTTTGAAAACGGCCTAGAAATGTTTGCTGCGCGGCTTACAGCAAGAAATGGCTTTCGTAGAGCTTCCTGCGCTTCATTTAAGACCAGATTGCCTCTAGTTAGACATGTCACGACGAATTCGTACGGTGCTGCCTTCAAGTCAAATCAAAGCATTTGGCAAAAATGGCTTTACGGACTGGGAGCATTTGGTGCGCTTTCCGCTGGTCTGTGGTACTTTTACTGGCCCAGACATACTTTTTCAGCTAGTGTAGCAAAAATCTTACGACAGGCATTGTGGGAGGAAAGTGATCGTAAAGACCACGATTACCAGGCTGCGCTGAAATACTATCTAGAGGCGTTGCAGGAATGTGACAAGCTAGAAGTTGATCCCATCAGTGATGAGTACACGGGCATTGAGCTCAAAGTGGCCGAAATGTACGAAAGACTAGACATGAGTGATAATGCCCACGATCTGTATTTGGAAATGCTATACCGGTATTTCGACGCATTGCATAATCCCGGACGTGTTGCAGACAATTTGAGACCCCATTTGATCCAGAAAGATCTACGAGTGCTCATCAAGTCCCTGGAGATGAACAAAGACGTTCAAATCGGAAAACGGAATTTGCTAGCACATTTGCTGCTAGCACAGGAAGAGGTTCTAAGCCGTTCTCCAGAACTAAAGAAATATTTCGATAAACGCAAGGACCGCGCTGCAAAACTATTTCGAGGCGACGCTGTTCAAGCACAAACTCTCGATTTTCAGAACCTGGTCAACGAGGACAACATCAAGCTGAATGAGGAGTCATACATGATTGTAGATCTGGCCAAAAACAGCAGTGCTTGGGAACCGTTCAAGGAAGAGTTTTTCACCGCAAGGGACCTTTACACCGCATACTGCTTGTCCACGCAAGATATCACATCCGCTTTGAGTTGCAAACTCACCACCGTGGAGTGGATGGTGATGGCAGATATGCCCCCAGGCCAAATCTTACTTTCCCAGGCCAATTTGGGCTCTCTTTTGTATTTGCAAGCAGAAAACTTTGAGTCGAAAATCCATAAGCTGACCTTACAGCGTGAACAGGCCGCTACTCCATCTGATGACGAGACCATCATAAGAACTTTGCGTCAGCTTCATCGGAACAGAGATTCCTGTTTCGAAATGGCACACCAGTGCTACGACAGTATTATCAAATTTTCCAAGAAAAACAAAAAACTAAGGTTCAATGCCAAAGATCTCATGGATCCCTCGGCGGCTCACGCAATTGCCCTTTCCATCTATGGAACTGGGGTTATTAGCTTACACAGACGAGACCTAGCGAAAGCGGAGAGACTATTGAACGAATCCATAACCCTGGCCGAAGAAACAAATTTCCAAGAACTTTTGACTGAGGCCCATCAAGAACTACGCAAAGTCGCACTTGCTAAAGAGATCGCAGCGTCTAAGTCCACGGACGATACACCATCAAGCTAACTAGCGATTTCAACAACTTAGTTGAAAGATGTCACTATTTGCGAAAGTGATCCTGTATTTAAAGACTATGATCTTCCATTTACCTATATAATAATCGTAACTCTATTCCAAAAGACAACAACTTCTCGAACAATGCTTTACTTATCTCTCCATTGAGATCCTCAAACTACGCTGGTCGAGCCATTAGCATGATACTGCGACGTTCAGGCGCTTCAAAGGTGTATCGCGCCGCTTACCACGGCCAACTGAGGCTTCTGGCAACAACTTCTACCTTAAGATCCAAGCTTGACATCAGAAAAGTGTTCGATAACCAACGGTACTGGCGAGAGATAAATGATGAAAGCTACCGTGCAGCCGACCACAACAACAGTATCCTTGGGAGAATCAAAAATGCGACCAAAGTCGCAGATAAGCTAGAAACAGGCCTTTTCCAAAATCCGTACCTTACATCGAGTCAGGGTCTGCGAAAGTTTAGCCTTAGGACTTTGGAAGAGGCACAGCAACTGGTGGATACCATGCGTTCCGATCGCTCCACTCACGGCTATTTGACATACATTCAAAGGCTCGACAGACTTAGCGATATGCTGTGCCGAGTAATCGATCTGTGCGAGTTCGTACGGGCTTCGCATCCAGATCCGCATTTTGTTCAAGCCGCACAACTATGCCATGAAGAAATGTTCGAATTCATGAATGTTTTGAATACCGATACTTCTCTTTGCGAAATACTCAAATCTGTGCTAGCAGACCCGGCGTTTGTGAGCAAGCTCAGCGATGAGGAAGTACGGGTAGGTAAGATACTCCTGGAAGATTTTGAAAAATCGGGCATCGACATGGCTCCTGAAATCGGGGAACAGTTTATAAGTCTGTCACAGCAGATCAGTCTTGTGGGACAGGATTTCATCAACAATACCGACTACGCAAAAACTCAAAGCGTGTCGATACCTTGTTCTGATCTGGAAAAAAGCGGAATGAGTAAAGTTCTGCTTGCTCAGCTCTCGCGTGACGCTCGCGGGCGTAGCTACAAGATCCCAACGCATGGCTATACCCCTTTTGCCATCTTGAGAAGTTGCCCGGATGAGAACATCAGGATGAAAGTGTGGACCGCAATGCATAGCTGTCCGGATCATCAGATTGTAAGATTGAAGCAGATGGTGAAGCTGAGAGGATACTTGGCTCATATCATGGGCAAAGAAAGTTACGCACAGTACCAGTTAGAGGGCAAAATGGCGAAATCACCAGTATACGTTCGTGGTTTCGTACAATCTTTAATGGATACTACTAAGCCATTGGCTGTTCAGGAGTTAAGGGTGCTAGCAGATTTGAAAAGTGAACATATCGGTGTCAAAAAGCCGAGTACGGACTCTGAAGTTTTGGATTTAGTGCGTCCCTGGGACCGCGACTTCTATAGCGCTGTGAATGCCCTTCAACAACAGCGGAAAACGCTGGAAAACGAACAGATCAAGTCATATTTTTCTTTGGGAACGGTCGTTCAAGGTCTATCAAATCTTTTCCAAAGCATCTATGGCATACGCTTAGAGCCAGTAGTTGCTAGTCCCGGAGAAACATGGTCACCGGAAGTTCGTCGGATAAATGTGGTCAGCGATACCGAAGGTATCATTGGTGTTGTGTATTGCGATCTTTTCGAGCGCCAAGGCAAAACGACAAACCCTGCACATTTCACGGTGTGCTGTTCACGCCAAATTTATTCAGAAGAAACAGATCTCTCTACAATTCAAATTGGGCAGCTAAAGTCAACAGGTGAGAGGTTCCAGCTACCAGTGATCTCACTCGTGTGTAGTTTTGCTCAAGGGACGGAATCCGACGAAAGCGCATGTCTGCTACAGTTTAGCGACGTGGAGACATTATTCCATGAAATGGGGCACGCCATGCATTCGATGCTTGGGAGAACATCGTTACAAAACATCAGTGGAACTCGTTGTGCGACCGATTTTGTGGAGCTTCCTAGCATTTTGATGGAGCATTTTGCTCGCGACCCTCGCGTCCTATCCAGTATTGGCAAACACTACATTAGCAATAAGCCTGTGCCACTTGAGCTGCTGAAGCTGAATCAAAACGAATCAAACTATCTGCAGCACACTGAAACGTACTCCCAAGCCAAAATGGCTATGTTGGACCAGGGCATTCATTCTTCAGCCATGCTGACAGACCAGCCTGTAGACGTCGTGCAGATGTACCATAACTTGGAAAAAAAGCTCGAAGTTCTGAGCGATGACAAGAGCAACTGGTGTGGGCGATTTGGACATCTATTTGGCTACGGCGCCACTTACTACAGCTACTTATTTGATAGAGCTATTGCTAGCAAGGTGTGGAGTCACTTGTTTGCCCATGATCCTTTTAGTAGACAAAATGGCGATAAATTCAAGAACGCTGTGCTCAAATGGGGTGGATCGAAAGATCCGTGGGAATGCATTGCAGACGCATTGGATAATCAAGAGCTATGCAAGGGAGATGAGAATGCCATGAAGTTTATTGGTCAAACAGAGGATATTTTGTGACGCAGGGCCCCAAAATTCAAGGAAATGAAGACCGGACTGAAGCGTCAAAGAAAAGCAGGAGATGAGTCACAACACCATTTCAAGAACAATCAAGAATTTAGCATCATGTAAATATTAGCATAGTCGGAATACTGACCTTCGATATCTGGTAAGTGTAGCATCACCGTTGGTGTGGTGCATACGGTAATACTTACACCTTGCACTTAGGTGCTGACTTTTTCCATTCTTCAGGTTCGTAAAATATTTTTCTAAACTCATACAAATAAGAGCCTTGTTGGCGCAATCGGTAGCGCGTATGACTCTTAATCATAAGGTTAGGGGTTCGAGCCCCCTACAGGGCTTTATTTTTTGATTTTTTGTTCTTGACATATTTAGTAAATTAAGACTTTGATCCTATGATGGATGTTTCTTGACTCAACAACAGATCGACAGACACAGCGTCCGAGTCCTTTTCACGTCAGATATCTTTCTGTGTGGCACTTCAATCACATTTAAGTGTATTCCCAAGTGTTTGAAATGGGAAGTGAGGCAACGACTTTCATATTAGATGTGTCACCAGCGATGGTCAAACTAGGGTTTGCCGAGCAGGCCATGGCTTACATCGAATACGTCCTGTTCATGAAAGCTAAAAAACAAAGAAAGACTGATTGGGTAAACTGCTATCTGGCCAACTGTCCATTGACTCGAAACAATCAGAAAATCGACAACGTCTTCGAGCTGCTACCGTTTACGGCGCCTATTTCTGCTGATAGAATAATAGAAGTGCTTCAAGAAATGCAAACTGTAATCGATCAACAAGATATCAACGGAAAAGCTGTCAATTCCATGGTCCAAAGTCTTTTGGTTTCTTCTGTTGGCATGCGGGATGAATTCAACAAGCGTAAGGTGAAAAAGCAGATTATGATCTTCACCTGTGATTTGGATGGACTGGATTTGACAGAGCAGGAGCTGGATACTTTAAAACAGGAGCTTGATTGTCGAATAATATTGGTAACGTGTGGTTTAAAGCAAGAAGAGAAAGTGAAGCTTGAAAAGTCCGTATGGGAAAAATGCGTGGATATGATACCAGGCTCCATACAAGTCTCAATGGCCGAACTCATTGAGGCAATAACCACACCAATTCCTTCAAGTGTTAAACCCGTTTGTATCTTTCATGGTGAGCTGCGTCTAGGAGCTCCGATTGGGAAGGTGTGCCCTCCAGATTCGGGCTATAGCTATACGTCCATTAAGGTAGAGGGATACCCAGCTACAAAAGCAGTCCCGAGTCTCAATCGACGCGTTGTTGCCAAAGTAAAAGGCAGCCGCTACGAACCGGTTAAGGCAATCATAGAGTATGAGGCGTTGGATCGTGACAAGAGCCAGAGCGAGGAGGAGGATGAGGAGGCGGAAGACGCTGAAAGGGTCGATGGGAAGAAGAATAAGAAATTTCAAACAGTTTCGATTGCACGCGAATCAGTTACTAAAGCGTATAGGTATGGTACAGACTATGTGGTATTGCCTCCATCCATCGAATCTGAGCGAGTTTACCATACCAGTCCAAGTTTAGACATCCGTGGATTCGTCGGTCGTGCCGAAATTCCCCGGCATTACCTGAGCTCAGAATCTACATTCATACTGCCTTCCATCAAGAATGGCACACGAGCGGATACATTGGCAATAACAGCATTAGTGGATTCTATGATTCATCAAAATAAATTAGCAATTGCCAGATATGTTCAGCGGACAGACAGCGAAGTACAACTATGCGTTCTATGTCCTCTGTTGATTCCCCAAAAACGGAAAAGTCCTGACTCTGACGCAGACACTACAATCCGAGCTCTTGTATTGAGTAGACTACCATTTTCGGAAGACGAGCGTGTTTCGGACTATCCCAGATTGACGCCTCAAGCGACAGATGCCAGTTCGGCGCAAAAAAATGCGGAGATCGATGGTTTGATGGAGGATTTTGTTGAATCTAGAACTCTGGGCAGTGACGCTAGTACAACCTGGTACTCCACGCCGCTGTATCGGCCTATAAGTGATTCCACGACGTCAGAATCGTCACTACCGTTGCCAAACAAATCTCAGTCACGTGATGTTAGTGTTTTTACCGCGCCTGCGATGGGTATACATCGTACGCAGCAGATTTTGGTTGAGTATATGCACCAGAAAATTGTGGGCAGCTCTGATACGTTTGACGTTCCGGAACTTCCAATCGTTTACGAAAAGCTTTTGAATCCCAAATTTGACAACTCAGAAAAGTCAACTGAAAAGCTACAAGAACGATTAGCGATAACGTTGAATACCGCAAAATCTTCAAACAATGCAAACTCTGATGAACAGCAAGATGAAGACGAGGAATACTATGACATTCCATCACTAGAGAGTTTGCTAGCAAGAGGCAAGTCGTAGAACAAGTCTATCACACGGAAACCACATGACCAAGGAATTTAATTTATCGACCGGCTCGACAAAGGAACAGTAGGGAATTGCGGAACCTGGATCAGATCTAAAGTATAAAAGGGGCATTGGAACGGACTTCACCCCCACAAACTTTAAATTCTCGCTTTTCACTTTGAAAGTGCAGGCCTTTTTTGATATTCATCACCAAAACTTCGAATCAAGCGTATCAATTCTTCGCAATTGAAACATCACTGAGTTCGATATTTACTGCAAAAAAGCTGAACAAATTTGGACGATTTTGAAGGAATTGAGGTCAACAACTCGATAATGTCAGCTTCAATTGAGACCGTTGCCACTAAGGCGTTTCAGGATCAAAAACCGGGCACGTCTGGTCTACGTAAAAAGACCAAAGTTTTCATGAACGAGCCTCACTACACGGAGAACTTCATTCAGGCCATCTTGGAAGCAATCCCCGAGGGAAGCCAGAATGCCACTTTAGTTGTGGGAGGAGATGGTCGGTTCTACAACAATGAGGTAGTGCAGATCATCGCGGCAATTTCTGCTGCCAATGGGGTCAGAAAACTAATTTTGGGGCAAAACGGTATTTTGTCCACACCCGCTGCATCGCATATTATTCGCTCTTACCACGAAAAATGTACAGGTGGAATTATCCTGACTGCGTCTCACAACCCTGGTGGACCCGAAAATGACTTTGGGATCAAATACAATCTGAGCAATGGCGGGCCAGCACCAGAATCCGTCACCAATGCAATTTTCGAAAAATCGAAGCAGCTCACAAGCTACAAGATAGTGAAGAACTTTCCCAAAATTGACATTTCCACTCTGGGCACAGACAAGGACTACGCGGGGCTTTTGATTGATGTCGTGAGCTCCACCTCGGACTACGTAGCCTTTATGAAGTCTATTTTCGATTTTGACTTGATCAAGCGCTTTATCGATGTGCAACGGTCTTCAAAGGGATTCAAAATCTTATTTGACTCCATGAACGGTGTTACCGGTCCTTACGGAAAGTCTATCTTCGTGGATGAGCTTGGATTGCCAGCAGAGGAAGTGTTGCAAAATTACATTCCTCAGCCAGATTTTGGAGGGCTGCATCCGGACCCTAACTTGACTTACGCTCACACTTTAGTGGAGAGAGTGGACAAAGAAAAAATTGCCTTTGGTGCTGCTTCTGACGGGGATGGAGACAGAAATATGATCTACGGATATGGTCCTGCTTTTGTCTCTCCAGGTGACTCGGTTGCTATTATCGCAGAATATGCTTCTGAAATTCCATACTTTAAGAAACAAGGTATCTACGGGTTAGCTCGTTCGTTCCCTACATCTGCTGCCATCGACCGCGTCGCCAAAGCCCAGGGTTTGGACTGCTACGAAGTACCCACTGGTTGGAAATTTTTCTGTGCGCTTTTCGATGCTAAGAAATTGTCGATTTGTGGCGAAGAGTCTTTTGGCACTGGTTCCAACCATGTCAGGGAAAAGGACGGGGTGTGGGCCGTTGTTGCATGGCTGAATATATTGGCGATCTACGACAGGGATCACCCTGGCAGTGACGTTTCGATCAAGACTATTCAGGATGATTTCTGGAAAAAATACGGCAGAACTTTTTTCACGCGCTACGATTTCGAGCAGGTGTCGAGTGAGGCTGCAAACAAGGTGCTACACGTTCTAGACGATCTTGTCAAGAACAAAGAAGCGGCTATTGGGAAACCATTTGCGGGCGAGCCAAGCTTGACAGTGACGGATTGCGGCGACTTTAGCTACACTGATTTGGACGGTTCTGTATCCGAACACCAGGGGCTATTTGCCAAACTTTCCAACGGGTGCCGTTTCGTGGTGAGACTCTCGGGTACCGGATCTTCGGGTGCCACCATTAGGCTATACGTTGAGCGCTACAGCGACGACGCTTCTCAGTACTCTTTGACCGCTGATAAGTTTTTGGCAGCTGACATCAAGGGTGTTTTGAAATTTTTGAAATTCAAAGAATTCCTCGGTACTGACGAGCCAACCGTCAAAACTTAAGGCTCATCGAGCTTTTTCGAAATCGCTGTACGCTTTTTGACCGCTTCTGCAATCCTCCGCTAGAAGTTAACAAAGCATTTTTACAACACATGATGCACACTTGCACAATGAAAGCGTTTTCGGTATGTGCAATCAAACTTCAAGACAATGAAGACAATAAATAATAAGAATTGAGCTACCAGATACTATTCAAAGTCAGAGCCTTGTTGCTCGCAACAGGTAGATGAACGTTCTCTATTGATATTTCATGAACTTTAGCACCTTCGTCATTGACGATAGCTAAAATCAAAAACAATGATATAGTTAAACTCATCCTCAACCTAAAGATCAACAAGGCATACCATTGTAACTGTTGACAGTTGGTTTCTTCAATAGCTAACGATGTACTCATGGAAGATTGCCAGCAAGTTCAAGTTTGGTCGTTCTAAGGAAGACAAGGAACGGGAGAAAGAAAAAGAACGCGAAAAGGCCAAAGACAAGGAGAAACATGGCTTTTTCCATCACAAAGGTCATCGCAGTGAATCGCCTTACATGGAGCCCCCAAGGGACTCAGTAGACCGGAAAGAAACAATAGTGGCATCAACGTCTCTTATAGCACCTGTTAGACTTTCTACGGATGTTAACAAGTATTCAACAACGAATTCCTCGATATCCACGGGAAGAGACTCTCAAAGGACTACGGGCGAGTTTGACGACAATGAGATGGCAGATTCGAGCGGTTTCACACACAACAGCAGATCAAACGAATCCGAGCAGCTGTATAGTGCTGCTGATGACGAAAGTGTGAGCTACGGCAGAGACTCAAGCAGACTAAATGGATCCGGTAATTCCTCGAGGACTCAGGAAGAAGCGGAAAAAAGCACAGAACCACTCTTTTCCGGTATCATGACAGTGAAGGTTTACGGTGGTGAAGGTTTCAAACTGCCAGTTCCAATCACTTCAAATGTGCAGATTTTGAAGAAACTGTTGAGCTCCGGAGTCATTCATCAGTCAGCAGAAGAACCGGGCGTCGACCAGCTGATATCGTCTCTGTCTCAAATCGAGCTTGAAGACAACGGTGATGAGGAGAACTTGATAGAAGGGGATGTGGCTACGCGCTTTATTCCTGCCACAATCACGTTGCCAAGCTCAACGGACCTGAATCCACTTTTGTATTTCACCATTGAATTCGACAACACTGTCGCGACCATAGAACCAGAATCAGGTACGATATCCAACCTCAATTTCAATAAGATCTCGACATTTGACGTGACACGGAAATTACCATTTTTGAAAATCGACGTACTGGCGCGCATTCCATCCATTTTATTACCATCAAAAGCATGGCAACAGTCCAATTCTTCCGATCCTCAAATTCGAGACGTATTAGACCGAATCAACAGCAACCAGGACATCCATCTGGACTCTTACAATTTACCGTTGACCCTAGATTTTAACTCGGCCACGAGTTTCAGGCTCTACAACCATCAATGGATTAGTCTTGAGAAAGGAAACGGTAAGCTGAACGTGAGTGTTGACTACAAACCTGCCACCAATAGATCTCTGAGTATTGACGATTTTGATCTCCTGAAAGTGATCGGGAAGGGCTCCTTCGGTAAGGTTATGCAAGTGAGGAAAAAGGACACTAACAAAGTGTATGCTCTGAAAGCGATTCGCAAATCTTACATCGTTTCCAAGTCTGAAGTGGTGCATACTCTGGCGGAAAGAACTGTGCTGGCTCGCGTTGACAACCCATTCATTGTACCACTGAAATTCAGTTTCCAATCCCCCGATAAGCTGTATATCGTGCTCGCTTTCATCAACGGTGGTGAATTATTTTACCATTTACAAAGAGAGGGACGGTTTTCGCTTTCGCGCGCGCGATTCTATGCTGCAGAGCTTTTGTGCGCATTGGAGACTCTGCATAGTCTCGATGTAATTTACCGAGACCTAAAACCGGAGAACATTTTGCTAGATCATCAGGGACACATCGCCTTGTGTGATTTCGGTTTGTGCAAGCTGAACATGAAGGGTCAAGAAAAGACAAACACGTTCTGCGGGACCCCTGAGTACCTTGCGCCAGAACTGCTTTTGGGTCAAGGCTACTCAAAAGTGGTAGACTGGTGGACTCTGGGGGTGCTTTTATATGAAATGCTTACCGGACTACCACCTTACTACGACGAGGATGTGCCAAAGATGTACAAGAAAATCTTACAAGAGCCTTTGCGGTTCCCGGACGGCTTCGACAAAGATGCCAAGGACTTATTGATCAGTCTTTTGAGCAGAGATCCTAAACGCAGGTTGGGATTTAACGGTGCTGAAGAGATCAAATCTCATGCATTTTTCAGCCAACTCAGTTGGAAACGTTTGTGGATGAAGGGATACATTCCACCATACAAGCCGCCTGTGATGAGCTCGCTGGACACCAGTAACTTTGATCAAGAATTTACAAAAGAGCTACCGGTGGACAGCGTGGTGAACGATTTTCTGAGCGAAAGCGTGCAACAGCAATTCGGAGGCTGGACTTATGTGGGTAGCGAACAATTGGGAAGAAGCGTAAGGTGATTATGGGATAGATGGTGGTATAGCGTCTCGGCATGTGTATGCATGGTTCTATGTCTCTGTAGCGCTCAACAGATGAATGCAGAGCAGTGTGAAAGGTCACGGGACACTAATTACCTTACTTATGTAATCAAATCGAGGTAAATTACCTATATACTGATCTAGTGAACGACTAAAAAATGCATGATTCGCGATCGACGTATATGGTGATCATTCCAGATTCAAATTTCCTTCCATACACGCGATTTTTCACTTTGGTAAAACAGCTCTGGCAACTCTTTGGGCTTTCGGTCTTTTTTTAAGTGATTATTTGCTACCTTTTAACCCACCTTCTTCTAAGTTGTTGGCAGAAGAAAAGAGTCACGTGACCATATGCAAATGGATGACAGAGTCTATCGAATCACAGATGCTGTAAGTCGCTGAAATCTTTCTCTCGAACAGAAAGTCAAGAAAGTTCAATTGATTGTTATTTAGGAATAAACTCGAAAAAACTGGTTCTTTTTTGGTTTAGCTGAAAGCCAATGAAACTCATATCGTTTTCTACGATTGTCCCAGCTCACAGACTTGTCACGATTTAGAATGAAAAGGCAATTCTAAGCTAGGTTTCGACGATTGCATATCTTAGATAATATCTAACATACACTCTACATTTACTGCCTCCTCAACGTCGTTTTACAAAAAGCCTGCTACTTCATTCCACGCGTAATGTATAATAAAAGAAACATGTCAGATTACGTAGCAAAGATCTGGATCACGAGACCTAAAAGTTCCCGTGACTTCTTGTTCATGTGATCTGTTCTTCGGTCATTCTTGACGAAAGCCCTTCTTTTGAAAAAATTTGAAAATTATAATTTATAGCTTATGAGAATCAATCTCATCTCATCTCATCTCATCTCATCACATCACTTTCCAACTTCGAGTAGCGACTCCACCTTCCAAGCTCATCCTTCTCAATCCCGTGACTAAAATGATGGCTATTGAGCAGTCTTCGAAACGGAGTTCGGACTCGCCTGTGGTCGCTGTTGATGGCAAAAAACGACGGGTGGAATTCGCCGATGAGGTGATGATTCACAGCGAAAACGGCGAACATCACACCAACAAAGAGTTCTCTGCAAAGCTTTACCACAGTTTTGTGATGAGTGCTATCGAGGATCTCGATAGGGTATGTTGTTTTCGGTCGAAAAAACGGATAAAGTGTCGTTGATAGTAAGTTCATCAACATTCATACTAACAAGTTTGCTTTCTCATCTTCAAAACAGAACGATGCATCTCAGATAAACTCGCTAGCTTCGCAGCTTTCGCTGCCCAGAACACACCCCGATTGCATTTCACAGGAAAACTTAAACGTCCTCCTGCGAACCCTATCCTACAACGTGAGTAAACTGGACTCGCAGCTCTGCACACCTTTGATTCAGGCCATCATCAACTTCGAGAAGTGGTGGGAACTTCCCCAGGCTTCTCTAGGTACATATATATTTTTCATTAAAATTCTGTGCTCCAGCTTGCCGAAGTGGTGGCAAGATGTGTCGCTCCCGTTGATCGCTAATTTCACTCTGCCTGTGGAAAAAACTGACCAACATCATCAAATGCTCAAATATTTCCTTCGCACGATACCCACATCGATTGGATTTATTGACTCCTACATTGCGCGGTTTTTGCCGAATAAGAACGACTCTAAGAAGAACTTAATCAATTACGCGGCAAACGTTTTGCAGCTTACCGATTACTGCAACGAGTTGAGATTTCAATCGTGGTCATTGGTCATTGAAAAGGTTATTTCAATCGACGTTGAACTTCAAAACGAACTAGACGAATTGGACGACGAAGTCGAAAATGACATTGACGACGAAATAGACGATGACGACGTCGATGACAACGAGGACAATGACGATGACGATAACGACAACGACAACGACAACGATGATGCCGATAATGGGTACGACAAGGACACAGACGTCAACGGAAATCTTGAAAATGCTAGCGACAACGATTCTGACAATGAATTCAACGATGACCTCATGGATGGTCAGGAAGAGTATAACGTCGTTGTCTCGCAAAACATAAAACAACTCTCGTCAAAACTAGACTCAATTCTCTCGCTCATAACCAAACGCCTGTCGCAGTCCTTGACGCAAGAAAGCATAGAAAATGGAGACGGCGTAAACATTTTCAACACTCTGATAAGTCTGTTCAAGTCCCATGTTCTCCCAACTTATTATACCCGTTCAATTCAGTACATTTTATTCCATGTGTCACAACAACAGTTGGAACTCATGGACGCGTTCTTAGTAACGCTCATCGACATCGCATTTTCCCCCAACGAGACAATCGAGAAAAGGATAAAATCGTTGCAGTACATTGGCTCGTTCATTGCCAGGGCCAAAAAGCTATCGCATACTCAGATCATTTTTGTTGCGAGCTACCTTATATCTTGGCTGAACCGCTACGTCTTGGAAAGAGAAGAGGAAGTGGAACAAAATGGAGGCGTTGAAAGATTCAAGCATTTCTATGCTGCCTTCCAAGCACTTTGCTATGTGTTCTGCTTTAGGCATGCCACATTCAGGGACGGTGACAATTGGGAATGTGATCTAGATAAGTTCTTTCAGAGAATGGTTTTATCTAAGTTCAACCCACTGAAGTACTGTAATGAAAACGTCATGATGATGTTCGCACGTATTGCTCAACATGAAGGCGTGGCATACTGTTTTGGCATTATCGAAAATAACAACAACGAGAGACTCAAAGGTATAATGGGCAAGTCTGACACTCGAAACTCCGGTGCGACGGTTAGCCATTGGTCACTGGCCACCCGTCAACAATTCATCGATCTTCAAAGCTACTTTCCATATGATCCACTTTTCCTCAAGAGCTACAAGCGAATGATGAAAGATTACTACATTGAATGGGGGGACGTCAGTCGGGATTATGAAAGTGATGACAGCGATGAGGTCGATGACGGTCGAAGCATATAGGTTTTAAAAAAAATTGCATCCTGGAATTCACTATAAGTAGCAGTGGTAGCTTGTCCAAACTTCGGATTGGCGCCGTGGCGATACTAGTCTATCTGCGAACAAAAGTTACTGTTGAGCACACCTTGTCAACGACGCTATACACAACATGATATACAAAATACACATCCTGATTTTGGGCCCGTTTCCATGATTCAACTCAGGCACTATCGGGAAGCGTGTTGCGGCCTCCTATTGTATGTGTTATATCAGTGTTATCATCCGATGCTGTTATGAGAGCTCTCTCGCTGTCGATGTTGGGTATATCCGTCGCAGCAGAATCCGTTATGAATCCTGTGGTGCCTTGAGGCTGGTTGGGTGTAGTTCTACCACTTGCGTTGGAAGTAGTATTCTGACCGGCAGATGAGCTTCCAACTTCCTGACACCAATACCTGTGGTAGTTCCACGACTGCAATTGACATTCTCTAGAGCAATACTTCGTTCTTTTGCAACGTCGACACTTAGCAAATCTCTTTGGATAGTCTTCCCATTTACCGCAGGAGAAGTTGGCACATTGTCTCACGCCAGTGCTTTCATTTTTCCGACACGAGTTGCGCATGATCACAGAACTCCAATAAGTCATGTCTCTCTCGTTTTCCTTTTTAACCGTGAATCGTTCCACTAATGGAAACAGATTCAGATGAGGGGCATTTGCTATATGGAGAAACGTCTCTTCGTCTAACGTTTTGTCCAGTGTATTGTAATTCCATTTATGACTGAACTCTTTCTTAAGTGCTCTCATTTGCTCTCGTGGCCCTGTTGGATCTTGATTATTCTTCCGCACTGCAGAGGGACGATCGTTACTGTTGTGAAAGGAAACTCGACCACCTATTTTTTCGCATCTTTGTTTCATGTCTATGAAGAATGGATCATTCATGTCAACAACCGGTTCACCACGTTCAGACCCTGGTTTCGCTATCACTTCGGTGTCCGAAACGCTGTTTTGATGTTCTACATGGTTTGCCAGCGATATTCTCAGTGACGAGATGTCGGGAGCTCGCACGCGAGTTTTCCAGGCGATTGAATAGACATTTCGCAGAGAAAGAGACTTAACGAGGTGCACTTTTTGTAGGTGAGGTTTCATATGCGTATACTTTGAAATGAAGGCAAGTAGCTGTAAGGACCAAATTACATCGTCACCTTTGGGTACAATTTTGCCCCATGAAAAAGCCCTCGGTATTGATACCACAATGTTTTCGTATAGATCAGTTTCATTGGTACTAGTGTCTTGTGTATCAGCGCTGGATTGCCAGAGCTCGGCAAAACTCGTGCCCAACTGTGTGACAACAGGCTTACTCAGAGCTTTGTATTTTCGAACAAGACTATCCAAGTCGACTTCCTGTGATAGAGCCCAACCATTCTTGAAATCCAGGTGTCTCATTTCCTGCAGCAGCGACGTATCATCGATGAAGTCGTAGCCCTTCTCCAGTAAAAGATAGTTGTCGAGGACGGTGGCGAGAATCGGAATGACCCCAGACGAAACCACCTGTTTACGAATCTGTTCCGTACCTCTTGTTCCCGTAAGTACTAAGCACTGGAATGCTAGTGTCCACTTCCATGCTATCATTGCAAGCTTCCTTTCTCTCTCAACTCTTTGAACAACGTTCAAATGGCCTTCCAGCCGCATATTGGGCCATTCATCGAGTGAAATGTAACAATCGTGTAAAATCGAAACCAGTCTAATCAGAGCGCCATCATTTGCCACAGTTTCCCGCACTTTGGCAGAGTTTGACGTCAAATATGTTAAATGGTTTAGCGAGTTTATCAGTGGAATATCTGAGTTGCAGTCTAAACCTCTTCTGTCATATACGCTGGACGTTATAGTCACACTGGACCTATTCAGTGGTACGCATCGGTGACTAGAATCCCGCATTATCAACTGTAATGCTCTTGGGGTCGTCCTGTTCTGGGTTGCTCGCTTCTTCAATGGTAATGTTGTCAAATGATGTGATGATATATATAAATCACAGGTTTAAGCCAGCTGGAATCCTTTAAAGACGAACTTACAACAAAAAGAACACAACTAGCCGAAACTAAGGTCGCCATCCGGTCGTGCTATGTTTGAGATTAAGCTGAATGATAAACTGGTAGAGATTCTGGAGCCCATGGGGCCTGAAAGCCCCGAAATTCAAAGATTCTTGGAAGCCAGAAGTATCCCGGTGAAGAACTTGTTGGCATTGAAGAAGGAAAAAGTGGGACATATGCAGATCAGCCAAGTCTTACATCCCTTGGAGTTTAGCTTCAAGTCGCGGCCCACTCGTGGCTCTGGGTACAGTGAAAAGTTCAAAAAACATCTGGATCGCCTGCGACTGGAAATAGATGAGAAAGAATACCAGGAAATGGTGAGACGAGATGGGCTTACTGCGTCCCACGATGAGGAAAATCTCACGCCAGCGCAAATGAATAAACAGGTGAAAGAGCAAATCACAACTGTTTTCAACATTCTGGTTTCGGTTGTGTCGGTTGTTTTTGCAGCATGGTATTGGTCGGGGTCTTCTTCAGGAATGCAGCCACATAATAGGATATTCTTGTGTCTGTTCAGTGGGATCTTAGTTTTGGTGGCAGAAGTGGTAGTTTATAATAGCTATCTGCAAAAAATCGATGACGCCAGAACCAAAGAAAGAAGCAAGCGAGAGGTTAAGACGGTCGTAGGACAGATCTGAAATTCTGTGGTTGTTTCGCCTATCCTCTTAGTATGACTGACACGGCCTGAGGCGGCTCTGGCAAATCTTCGTATGAAACGTGTTTAGGTTTAAGGGGAAACAAGTTATCTTTGAGCAAGTGGAACGCCTGGGATCTGAGTGACGTGTTTGCCAGTTGTCGGCGTTGCAGGCATGTAAGGAAACTCCATTTGACCAGCATCACAAAAAACTCTATGAAGCCAAAATCTGGCCATAAAGTGTTTGTGAACTCGATCACCCCGTTTTCGTGGACTTGCCAAAGCATGTAGTCGGATAGCCTGGTATGACCACTGGTTCGGATTAAAAGGTCACATTTGTTGGAATATTTGCCCAAGAACATGCCGTTGGTGAAGTTCTGGACGTCAATTTCTTCGATGAGCTGGCCATGATACTTGCAGCGTTCTGTGGCGTCATAAACCGCATGGTAGATCTCGTTTCGAGACGTATAAGGGAAGCACACGTAAAGTATCATTGAATCACCAGCTTCGGTCATTCTTTCAACTTGTGTAATTTTATCGTTGAGTGCTTTTGAAATCAAAGATCTTTCTCCTACAACCCGCAATCTGACGCCAAAAAGCTCACTTTCGTGGTCCAATGCTCTTCGAGCAACCTCGTCCAGTTTCTCAGCTAGCATTGAGGTCAAAAGTTCCACTTCTTCTCGTGGACGGTTGAAATTTTCGATCGAAAACGCGTAGGCAGACACCGTCTTGACTCCTAGATTCTTACACGTTGCCAACAAACTGAGCAACGTCCAAGCTCCAGCCTCATGGCCTGATTTCGTGGGTAAATTTAGAGCTTTGGCATAGCGTCTGTTGCCATCCATGATGAACGAGACGTGCTGTGGCACTGGACCCACTTGTAAGATATGCAAGAGCGCGTTCTGAATCTGAAACACGATCCAGTGGACCCAGCTCAACTCCAAGATCCGCGAGTACACATAAAGCTTCTGGGCATGCAAATATTGCCGAACTGATGTATAGCTCCACCAGATAGGTAGTTCGGGTCTTTTTTGTTTGGAGTGTTTCTGAAGCTGCCTCAATTCTTTCTCCACCCTTCCTTCGGCAATACCAGCCCGTTCTTGTCCGATTGCCATTGTGGACAAATAACCTGTTTGCGTGTAAACTTGAACTTACTCTGGTGAATTTCCAAGGGTCTCTTAAAAGTCAAGAACGGGTCTCAGAGCTTTTGAAACATGAAACCAAAATTAGCCGCCAAGCCCAATTTTTTTAAATAATTAAAAATGCGTCACTGTGTACGAATGATCATCGTTATGAACGTAACTTGTGATCGCTTTCTACGAGTTTTAGTTCTTATATACAATGACAAAAGCCTCTAGAAACCCATTTTTAGTTCATCACAACTAACTGAGTCCGTCTTCAGTTATTTCTGTCAATACTGCTCTTCATTCTGGTCTTTCCAGGTGCGCCCGAAGGTCTCTCTTCACATCTGCCATTTTATTTCTATAATTTTGATTTATATATACATATACTGACGACAGTAAGACATCGAAAACTGGTCAAAATAGAGTAGCACCAGAACGAAAACAACAAAGCTAGAATACTAACGTCTAGAGCTATTCTGACATTTCACTGGCACTCTCTTGGTAGTTCAAAATTTATTAGGGCTTTAAAATCTTTTTCAAGAACTCCAAAAAGTTCACTTTCGGGCCCATGAGCAACCATTTTGAAAGAAGGAATCATCTCTTTAACTCTATACTTTGTCTCGATGCTCAGCTTGAGCGAGCCTTCAAAATAGTCTCTTATTCTTGACGAATGGCTAAGAATTTCTGCACATCTTATTTATCTGCTTTATGTGTCGTCAAACTCCGAAGCTCAGTGAACTCTTACTGCTGAAAACTCCGAAAGCATCTTGCAAACTCGCGGGACGCTTCAGCAACTTGTAGCGCTTTTTGGGAAACAAGAGTGTGGAGAAATTTTCAACGGTAAGCTCAAGTTGATACACCGATCTGGGACTTTGCGGGCCACCCAGTCGCTCTAAAAATCTATATGCCCTGAAATCAAATGTGAACAAAAAGTATAAAATGGTCAGAAAATCAAACTCATGACGCTTATGCAGTGAAGATCTTCTTCTCGACGGCGTAAACGAGCTTCATGGTCTGTTCCATAAAGGTCAAGCACAAGATCGTGTGGGGAGCAATTCTGAACAGCTGGGCCTCGAAACCCTTGTACAACGCACCAACACCTTCGATTTTGACCGTCTTGACGAAACAGTCTAGAGGGCCTTTGTAGAGATTACCCTTCTGGTTGTACACTCTTGTCAGAATCACGTCCCATGGGTTCATCACCACACCAACACCGATACCTGACATGGTACTAGCAACCAAGTGAAGGCCGGTTCCGTCTTGCATCAAGTTGTTATCAAGCAAGAATCGTTTCGCAGTGTTGTAGATGGGCAATTGGACAGATGAGCCGGCACCGGTTCTTAGAATGGCAGCGTCAACACCGCGGAACAAACCTTTGAAACCCTCAGCACGGAAAATGGTCGACAAACCGTTGGCAATCGACGTGTAATGGGTCTGTTGGCCAATTTGGACCGCGCTTGAATACGATTGCATACGAGTTTTGATCAAAAATAGCGGAGAGCCCATGATGGCACCGATAATACCGGAGGTAGCACCAGAAGTGACATTAACGGCCACATTTTGTACCTTATGTGGGTCTTGACCCGGGTAGAAAGTACGGTTCAAAAGAGACCGGATAGGCTCATAAAATCCAAGTCTGGATCCATTCAATCCAATCTGGTAAATGTAAGCGCACGACAAACCTTTTTGCAAGCCACGAATACCCTCGTTCTTGAAAATCATAGCCAACGCCTGCAATGGGTTCTTATATATTCTTTTCGCATCTGCTGTCATTTCACCTTGTAGCTGCATTCTTGTTTTGACCAACTCGATAGGATTTGTAACCGTGACAGCAATACATGCGGCCATCCCACCGGCGAGAAAAGATCCAGTCTTACTCACTTTTTGAGCAGCTGGCTTGTCAGCGTTAAGCTTCGCCTGTACCTCTTTTTCAACTTTTGACATGTTGTAGTAAAATCCAGTGAAAACTTCTGGAGATCTAATGTACAATGGTTAGCAAACTATTAGCAAGTTTTTAAAACAGGAAGAGAACCAACCTAAAGCTACAAGAGTGTGAAGTTTAGGTCCTTTTGCGTGGAGTTTTTATACCGTTGCTAACTTTGATGTAGTATGATTCATTTTTTTTCACGCTACTATATCTAAACTTTACACCCGGTCAAATGATCGATATTGTTTAAAATACCAAAGAGTCTATGATACACTATTAAAGGGCCTTCAGAAGCTTCTGAAACACTTGATTCTACGGTGTCAACAAAATGCTATTATTTGTCGTTTTCGCTGCGCATTTTGAAGCATTTTGAAGCATTTTTTGGATAATTTCTTGCGATTATGCTGACATTCCTAAAAAAATCTGAATTGAAGGATGAACGTGTTTGTCTTGGTCATCAGGATGTCTAAGGAATCATTAAGATTAATCTCTTGCAACATTATTCTTGTTATCGTTATTCGTTTGTCGTTTTTTTTTTTCATTTTTCGTCTAATGGTTGCTGGTCAACGAGGGACTTCCTGCTGACTTGATAGAATGCGTGGAGTTCCCAAGATGCTTAGACTTCGACAACGTCGAGTGCGCTGCCTTCTTTGTTAACCCTAGCAATCCGCCATGGCTGTGAGGATAGCTCACATTGCAGCCATTGCAGCCGCATTGAGTGGCTTCAAAATGCTCGGCGGAGTATTTTAACAGCTTCTTTCTTACGTTGCTTGATATGTCGGAGCGAAATACCCTTATCACACCGGAGCTATCAGTGGAAACGACAATTGAGCCAATAGCCTCTATCATTGACGGGACTCGTCTCTCCATTATATCGTGCTGCGCTTTTTGACGGTGTTTCCCGGATTGGCGAAGCGACTTGACCTCGCGAATCATAAAAACGTCATCATCTGACTCGCTGAGAGCCATTGTGAGCTCGCAAATGAGATCATCAGATAATGCAAGAATCTTGGACGTGCTCAAGGGAGCTGCCGCTGTGGTTGTCGCGGTGTGGTGATGGGCGTGAAAAGCAACGTAGTGTGAGTTCTTGATACTCTGATCGAATTTGTTTCTGGTGGGACACGGCGAAGTTGCTCTTGCCGTTGATTTTTTGCCCTTCGTATCGCTCGAATGATTACTCCCTATGCTCAAACTTCTTCGTATCAAGCCGCGAAGTGAGCCTTTATGATGATGCTCCGTTACTTCTGGGACGTGCTTATCATCAGGCCTTGCTATACTGGATTCCAAGTGCCAACAGTAAACCCACTTGTTTTCGCTGGCAGCAATAACTAGTTTTTTCTTACTCGGTGGTATCATTAAACTAGCACTGATCTGAGTGTGCGTATTTTCGAATCCCTTTAAGACCTCTAGTAGCCTCATTTGTTTGACGCTAAAAACTCGAATTCTAGAATCATTAGACGTTACCAAAATTCTTAGGTCATTATCGGGCTCGTTTTTGAAAAACTCAATTCCCGTTATTTTGGGGCCATTTGGAGAGCTTTTCCTATTGTGCTCTTTGCTCGACTCGAGAACGTGGAAAGTGGTCATCAAATCCAGACCTTTAGTGTATAATATTGTTATGTGACCGTTAAAAGTACCAATGGCCGTGTATCTGCCATCGCCCATCGATACATCCATGGAGGTTATGATGTCACCGCAGTAGTACTCGAAAGAAACTTTATGATCCAGAATAGACCATAGTCGACAGGTATGATCGAGACATCCGCTGATAAAAAATCGGTCGTCGTTCGGGTGGAAACTGGCGCATGTGACGAAATCCGGATGGGTGAACGTTTTGATGGCCTTGGGTCGATCACAGTGCCACAAGCGTGCCGTTTTGTCCATTGATGTTGTAAGGATGAAACCATTTTTGGACCAGTCGATGCTTAGAATATCTTGCGTATGCTGTTGAAAAGTCCGGTACGGTAAGGGATGAAATACGGGAGCATATAAGTTCATGGGCTCTGCTAAAGAAGCATCTGCGTCATTGATACTGCGGCCCGTCGTGGTTCCACCACTTAATTTACGAATTGCCACTTGCTTAGCGTTGGGTTTGGCTGCAGAAAATTGTAGTTCGTTCCGCTCCAGAGGCGAAGAAATTACTTTCCAAACACGTAGTGTACAATCCTTACCGCCTGTGGCCATATATTTGCCATCGCGACTGAATTTCGTGGCCCATATCGCCCGTGGAGCATTACTGGTATTTATGCTGCCATCTGCGAGGCTGCTTAAAGTATTGCTGGAGCCTGCGCATCGATCGAGTGTTCCTGAACTGGTATTGAGCTCTTGTGCGAGAATCAAACGTCGGAACTGTTTGATTTTGGGTTGTTTTTTGTAGATTCGTAAATGCTCCGGTTCCTTGAGATATTGCTCAAACTGTTTGCGGTCGATCCGGCCGAAAAGAGAGCTCAAAGCCATTTGAATTGGCGACTGAACCTCTACGGCTGCTTCCACTGGCATCTGAGCATCCGGTTTAACCACATGGATAGTTGGAGGAGGCAAATTTTGAGCTCCACCGGTAATTTTGGCTTTCTCGAACTTTACGGGTCCCGCAGCGGTGTAATACCTGCTTCCAGGACCTCCTCTACTTGGCTCATTACTTTGTACTCCACTGCCACTACCACTGCCACTACCACTGCCACTGCCACTACCACTGCCACTACCACTGTCGATGCTTGCTTTACTCTCAGATTCCAATCCTGCATTGAACAGTTCGCTGCTTTCGCTAGAGTCCGAACTTGGACTACTCAGACGCTTGGCCAGGCTCAAATCCTCCATTGAGCTATCCAGCTCAAAGTGAGGCTTTCTGTATTCCATCAAGGCCAGTCTCTGTAAGTTGCAACCGACCGATTTCGACCATCATCTGTGAGTGGTTGTTAAGAGAGAGCACTTTCATTTTAATCAGCTATTATTAGTGCGGCGACGGAGACGGTTCCGATACACTACCCTATGTCACATGGGGTGAACAGTAGTAAACCGATCGATTTCCAGTGTGTCAATGAGTCACCAGTTTACTAGCATTGTGCGATTTGGATAATCAAGACACTTGAGTGTATCGGAGCACTTTTGAGGTTGTTTTGGGTGTTGGTCATGGAAAGCACCTACTATTTTCTTTTAATGTTCCAGCAGTATGAGACATCGGCCTTTTGGATGGTAGGAAATCGAAGCGCTTAGATATCTCTTCTCCGTTAATAAGGGTTCCTGAGAAATGCATGTGTGGATGATTTTCAAAGCTGGCGTATGGACCAACTTTTTGGTTTTTTGATGTGCTCGGACTTTTTTTCGTCAGAGTTAGATCAGTGCGGAAGAAAGAGTCGGTGGTGAAATTCGGGCGTGATTCGAAGAGAGAGAGAGAGAGAGGTTTGTTTCGCTTTCATTTTTGAAGGTAGACGTGCTCGAAGAAGGAAAACGCATTAGGTGGTTTTCGAACAAACCAGAACTGTGTCAGAATGCAGCGTCATTTGGGCCCAAAGAAAAAAAAAAGACTCTGGAGCGATATAAAGGCCGGGGAAAATATTCCATACAGCAAGGAGTGCAAGCTTGTGCTGTGTTAACGGCATAATCTTGTAAGTCTGACGAATCCCATCGAGATCTTTGGTTGTTTTAATTTTTCTTGGGTTTTTTGGGTTCCCTGCGTTTTGCATCGCCAAGGTGAATTGTCGCTAGTGATATTGCAGCAGTAGGATCGGGTATCTTGATAATGGCAGATATTTCGATTGGCACTTTTCCTCGTTGTTTCACCAAATTCGAGTTGACCGATAGATATCCCGCCAAAGGTCTCACTCGATCGCTTTTGGCACTTCCAAACAAACTTTCGAATACCCTGAACGGTACACCCACGGAACAATGAGCTCCCCCGACTTCAAATTAAAGTTGCTTCATTTGAGCCCAATTTTTAACTTTAAACCCGCAGCGGGATCCTTATTTATAGGTGTAAATCGGTGTCAAAACAGCCGGAAAAGCTTTGTTTGTGAAACAATTCTGCATTGTAACTAAGCCCGTGAGTAGCTAGGATTCCATTGCCCATTGGATTCGAGTCTTCACGGTTATACCAGCTTCGAGTTCTTCGAGGAGTTTCAATCCTGGGCGTTGTAGAAAAGATCTCGGAGTTACTTTAATAAAGGCATTGTCGCGATAGGTTACGATGACCGTATTGTATAAAATGATATGAGATCGATGCCTAGTAACAGTGCCGGACAACGACGTCAAAACCTTTGAGAAAGAAAGCATACAAAACCGTTGAATTTGGTTTTCCATCTTATCATGCGTACTTATTTTGCTGAATTTTCGGTTTCTTATTTTGCCCAAGTTTATGCCATTTGCGATAAACGCACAACTTTCCTGAGGTTAGAAAAAGGTTCTGTATTTTTTGAAGAGGAAAGATAGAGGAGAATAGTGGAAATACCTATATGGAGCGTTCCTTTCGTTCTTGATTTGACCATGAGTTTAAATTTCAGTTTTTTTTTCAAATGCAGGTTTTCAACTACTGGTATTTATATCTCTGACATTGTTATTCGGTGTAACTTGAAAATGTGCTATGCGGCGACTATAAGCCGTAATTTTCCATTCAAATCAAGTTAAAACAGCCCGAATCATTGAATATCTTGATATTTCAGCTACAGGACTATTATTTCACAGATTATATCCGACATTGGTCGTTCAATTGATAACAATTGTTATCAACATTTGCAAGGCTAAAGTCGGCTCAAAAAAATGCCACTAATCCACACAGTTGTGACAATATCTGTATACTTATCTGAACACCAAATTCCTGCAGCTTCTTCGACGTCTCTTCAATGGTTTCCCGTCGTTGTTGGTATAGCTCATCTCAATATGAAATCCATACTAACACTCTTATAATATATTGACAATAAAATTCGAACTAGTTGAATCTGATGAAAGTTTAACAAAATTCCACGAATTACAGGTCAAAGTAGTCGTTTTATAGACCCATTTCCGTGCTCATTGGGAACCAAGTCTTGAGTTTTGGATCCAAAGATGTCTTCAACTCGCTTGGATGGTTATATCACCAGTTCCATCGCTCTTTTGGAGGCAAACCCATCTTCAACGGTGGTGAGTATACGATACCAAAGTGGAGCCAAAGCTGGGAAAGTTACCTTCCGTACAACGAATGCCCAATTGCTAGCACATCACAAGTTTTCTACTTCGAAATCCAAAGACGTTTCGAGACTGTTAAGTGCATTGGGACCTCGTGGTGTATCGATCCAATCACCTAGTAAAGTGGCCCGTCAGCGTAAAAAATTGGACGCTAGAGGCCCAACTGATGCGGGTGGCATGGTGACGCTAATGACGAACGTTGATATTCCCGAGGCAGTGGAAGAGACTCCTCAGCCGAAACCAGCAGGCAAAAAGAAGAAGAAGGGTAAAAAGCGCTAAAGCAAGACAAACTCAAAATTACCAATACTCTTGCTGTTTCTCTCCCTCTCTCTCTCTCTCTCTTTCTAGACCAAATAAGTACCCACGTTAAACACAAAATATAAATTTACAACGCCTTCAACAAACAGAAAACAGACCAGCTCTGTTTTCCCTATTTACATAGCCACCCGCGCGTGTCAAGTCTTACTACCAGTTGGACCGTTTGGAGTTGCGTTTCCCACGCTTCTTGCGACCTCGTTTCTTGCTGGGCTTGGGTTTGGGCTCCTGACTCCCGTTGTGAACACGGTCGAAACTTGACGAGTCCTGCTCGTATCCTGCAGGGTCCAACGAACTGGGTTCGCCTTCCTGTAATGTGATTGAACCGCTTCTGATGGGCACTAGCTCTTCACTAGGATATTTGGGCGGAAGTTCATCGCCCTTTTGCAAAACCACATCTTTCTTTATTTCTGAACCATTGTAGGCTGGAGGCACACCAATATCCCCAAAAACACTTCCAAATGCATACTTCTTCACATTGGCCTCTACGTACACGAAACCGAGTTGACCCAGGTTGACATGCAATTCGATTTCATCCGATACCAGATCGGACTCCGAGGGATCATGCACAGTTTCTAGTTGCTCGCTGATCACCCGTGGTGCCTTTATGTCCAGATCACTTGCCAAAATCCTTTCCCGCAGCGAAATGTTATCGCAGTCTTCCAGCAATCCTTCGCGGCTGTAACTTCTTGTGTAGGCTGCATTCATAGCACCAATACCCACAAACAGATCTATACCCACGTTGTGAGCTAGATCCATGAGTTTTTTACCATTGTGGGTGATGAAAATAGCACCGTTTCTGTAGCGATACCCAAACCCAATAACGTCTCCCTCCTGCAATTTGGGGAGCAAAGTATTGGCATAAAATGGGTTATTCATTCGCAGTTTGCCCGTAGATTCATAAGCTATGGAGAACTGAGCCATCCCAGGCATGCGGAAATAAGGGTACGGACACGTTGTAAGGCCACAGCTGAAAATGGAATTTGGTGTACGTGGGAACTTGAAAACCTTAACTTCAAAATATACAGCTTCCTTCTTGTTGTGCGGAAGTGGATAATTCATGATGGTGGAGGCGCTTTTGTTATATTTGGTGAACAAAAGGTCGAGTTTGTCTTGCACGATAAAACTGGGCAGAAAATTACCATACTGGTCCACGTTGTCGTTAATCGAGGGAAGTAAGTAATAGCTTTGAATTCCGCGGTCCTTGATGATTTGTTTGTCGGTAGCGTCCATGTAGGTACCGAACTCTTTGATATTGGGAGGACACATTTTTTGAAATTCTTGGGAGCGACGATACAATTCGACCTCAAATTTAGACATCCGGGGTAACTCTATGGCTTCTTGTTCCAAAAGTGCTTGGGAATCGTCGAAATGACCCGGTGTAAGAAACGAACCGTCTAACAAAACGCCACTACGTTTTTTGCGGAAAATATTGGGCATCGCTGATGCCACTTCTTCGTCATATTCAGACTCATCTGCTGCGCAAAACGTCACATACAGCGCCACGATGATCAGCATGACCATCAGCACGGCAAATGTGACCGACAAACTGATCAGAAACACAAAGCTAATGGCTTCTCCATCCTGATACTCAGGTGGTGGCGGGTCCAGCATTGACTCCGCCGGGAGGCTAAAGTCGCTTTGAGCGTTTGAAAACAGATTCTGCATGCGCCTAGCGATGGGGAGGAGATGTAGGGGGGAAAGCTTGGAATATGTTTTTGGCGTTGTTTTCGGGAGGAGGTAGAATACCGGGTGTGGGGTGGTTGTATAAGGACTTGTTTTGATATCATCTGTGTGATGATGATGATGATGATGATGGATATGGGTTATTTAAATAACGGGCCATGGTCACGTGTATTTCCGTGAAAGACGATGATATATTTATAAGTAAGAGACGCGACGCAATGTTGATCAAGGAAAGGTGCTGTGTTTCTGGTGTGATCCAGTATTCATATCGGGAAGATTTTAATGCGTTTTGATATGGTCCAAGAGCTTACAAAATTTCACATATAAATAATAAGTATGTGTTATTCCGTATTAAGTGATCTGACTTATTTGAATTCGGGTTCTCTATTTTTTTTGGAAGTTTCTTTACACTGCTGAAAGATGGTGCTATCTTGTACCTTGTAGATTCCTGCCCTTAACCTACGGGTCAGACCATCGCTACCATATGTTTTGAACCATGTTTTTATCTCTATTCTTCTTATGTTTCTCTGAGAAGTCTTTTAAGACCCAAAACCAATTTATATATTTATTTATTTTTCCTAAATTTTGGTCGCGTGTTCGATCCTCGCCAAGAACCCTAATTCTCAAAAAAAAATCAAAATAATTACCCACTTTTTAACAAACAAAACACAACGCATATCGAACATCAACTATGAGCCAAGAACCTTCGACAATGCCACCTCAATTGATCGCTACAATATGTTCAAATTCTGATGGCATAAAAACACCCCGGTTCTTCTAGAATCTTCTAGACGTGTCACTGTTCACGAAACGATTTCACGTTGACTATATAAGGGACAAGATTCTATTCAATGATTCTAAGCTACCCACACTTTTAACTAAAATCGGTCTGTAATTAAGCCAAGTAAACTGTTATTTGAGCTATCATCAGAACTTGTTCTCCCAATCATGTCTAAATCTCTCACACCAGAAGTTCTATGGGCCCAAAGGTCCAGCGCAACGGAACAAGAACGCAACTTTTTATTGGTTACCATCATGATTCCCGACTGTGAACAGCCCAAGCTGGACTTGAAGGCCACACACCTCGAGTTCACAGCCAACTCGCCAGGACACGTTGGCGACGAAGAAGAGCACAAGTACAAGCTGCACATCGACTTCTTCAAGGAAATTGACGTGGAAAAATCGCAAAGCAGAGTGGCCAACGGCAGGGACTATTTCCTCAAGCTATACAAGAAAGACTTGGACGCGGAGTTCTGGCCCCGTTTGACTAAGGAAAAACTCAAGTACCACTTCATCAAGACCGATTTCAACAAATGGGTCGACGAAGACGAGCAGGAAGACCAGAAGGACGAAGACCTAGGGTTCGACGGAGGTCTACCAGGCGGTCAGGGAGCCCAGGCAGCTGCTCTCCAAGAACTTCTCAAAAACGGCGGAGCCCAGGGCCTAGAAGGTCTGGAGGGTCTAGGAGGTCTAGGAGGTCTAGCAGGAGGTGCTGCCCCCGCCAGTTGAATAATATTCAATTCAGAAAAGGTTTTGATTATCGACCGTGCTCATATCACATATATGTATAATTTTATACATAACGTAACGTAACGCTACAGAATTCCGAAAAGTATCAGAAGAGCAGCACAAAAGCTGTCACCCGATTGTGTTCATCTTCCTTATCGTTGAAGAACCCATTTTTCTTAGATTACTTGGTATTTCAATTCATCTTTGTAGAGTAGTTGATAGGCCTCCCATGTCTGACCCAGCTGCAATTGCACGAAGTCGTGCACATGGCCTGGTTCGATGCAAACCATCTCTTTGTAACCAGTCTTGGGCTCGAAATCGGCCATTCCCTTCGATTTCTCAACCCATGGATTCCAAACAACCGCATCGGGCAAATTGTGTCTGCGAATGGTGTGCACGGGTTCGCCCTTATCGATAACCTGCACCACACGGTCGTCTTCCACTTGTTTATAGATACGGTCGAGTTCTTCGTGGAACGAAACAACAGGCTGTCTGTCCAAGTACGAAGTCTGAAGCATCTGGTCGTAAAGTGTGGTTCCGGTCAAATTTGACACCATGGTGTCCTCCACGTCGTCGATCCGGAGGTAGGTGTGGAACAGCCAGTTGAATTTCAGCAATTGTTCGGCCGAAGTGTTGGTGACCTCAATGTGCGTCTTCAAGTGCTCTGAGCCCAGCTCCACCGTTAGCACCAGCGAGTAGTCCAATGGCCACAATTTAGTCAATTCCGGGTTGGCAAACTCGGGACCCAGCCCAAATTGCACGGTGGGAGGGTTGCTACTCACCTGGCCCAAAAATTCCCACGTTGAGTTTCTGGCCAACCCATGCTGGGGCAATTTGCTCAGATGTTCGTCGTCCGTGTTTTTGCCGAAAACCGGGAAAACCAGCGGAATTCCACCACGCACGGGCTTGGAGCCGTCCATCTTGGCTGCGCTCGATAGCCAGAGCTGTTCTTTGCCCTTAAGAGTCCATGAAAACACCGTGGCCCCATATTTCAAGATTTTCACAGCCGTGTGGTTGTTGTCGGGATGAGTAAGAATAACCTCAGTAGCGGTTTCTTCGATGGCCATTTTCTTTTCCTTTCAATGGATCAGCTGAGCAATGAGATATCAGTGTGAGGATTGCTTGAGTGCAATGGTCCTGGCCAACTTTGTTGATGAAGCTGTTGTTCAAGATAGAAGTTATGGGTGAGATCTTCTTGATGGCTTTAATTGTTGGCATTATTACATGCTCTGCTGGGATGATGAATTTGACAATGAGTTTCTAGCACCACGTGACTTTCAGATGACGAGCAACCAAGGTAGAAACGATGTGATGTGTTGTGGACAATACGCCCGGGAGTTAGTAGAGACAGCAGTGTTGAGAACCAGCTGGTTCATCGTGCTATTCAGGTATTTTCGGTCAGTTCAGATTCTTGATTTTGGCAACCTCGTGGGAAACATAGTCACTTTCGTAAATCTTTTGGATGTCCCACCGTGAGTTTTTGCGATTGACACAGTTCTCCACAATTTGCTTGGCCGGTGAGTCTGAATCGAGCATTTTGATCCAACGCCATTCGTACCGGGATATCCTGTGAGCGGTGGAACTGCGTCTTTGTCGTTTCCCAGGAACGGCAGCTGGCAACGGGTCGAACGGCAGCCGGCCCTCGAGCAGCGCATATAGTATGACGCCCATGGCCCAGGTATCGCTGAGACGACCGTCATACGGAACACCCATGAGTATTTCGGGCGAGACGTAGTCTTCAGACCCACATCGCGTAGTGCACATCTCGTCGGGCGCGATCCGCCGACAAAGCCCAAAATCGGCCAACTCCACAATGTGTAGTTGATCCAGTCTTGTTGTATCTCCGCGTTCTTGTAACTCTATCAGTGTGTCGAACGGGTACTTGAGAAGAACATTTTCCAGCTTGAGATCGCGGTGTACTATCAAATTTTCATGCAAATACTTTACCGCAAGAGTGAGCTCTGCAAAAATTCGGCGCAAAAGCCAATCGGGAAGCACGTTTTGACTTGCCACTTCGAACAGATCTCCACCCGCACAGTACGACAAGACCATGTGGCATGGCGGCAGGCTATCTCCGGGCTTGGAAACGGCGCTGCTGAGGGGCCGCTGGCTGGAGATGAAAATCGGGTCATTGATGGCGATCAGATTAGTGATGCATGGATGCGATATGCTTGCAAGGACCTCGAGTTCGCGGATCAGTGAGCTTTCCACGCGTGAAAGTAGCTCGCGAAATCGGGGAGATTTGGGCGACGATGAAAGAATCAACGCGTCTGGATATTTCACATGCTTGACAGCAAACTTCCCAATTGTGTCGTTGCCGTTGTTGTCGTGATCTGTTATCTCGTACAAATACACGTCGCTGAAGTTCCCAACGCCGATTTGACGGGTCTTGTGCAACCGAAGGGGCTGAGAAGGGTTGCTCACGAGCCACGTAGTGAGATACTCATCAGTCGATGGACTTAGCGACTCTGGCGTGTAAGTATCGTCTATTCCAGCGACCGATGTCTCTTCCACGGCATCCATCTTGCGGTCTACGCCTGTAAGGGAAGAGATACGCTGCGATAGCGTGTTTGCAGTGGCAGGGGCGACCGCGCTGTGTGGGGCGTATTCGGACAAGATCCGCTGTTTGTCCTCCAAAACATGCGAGCGATTAAAAGTTTCCGCGATGGGCGAGTTAAGAGTACCGTATTTCTTCTTGGAACGAGCGCTGGACGGCGTCGAGCCGGGAAATCTCGGTTCCACCGGCGATCTCGCGGCCCTGTAAGGCGACATGGGGCTGTACACCAGAGGAGTGGGAAGCATAGACATGTCCCCACTGCTGCAGAACTGCTGTGTGGATAGTTTTGGAGGTGTTTGGGCAGTCCAACCCTCATTTTGATCGCTTTCTTCGTTGGCGATGGCCGAAAACTCATTTTGCTCCAATATTGGCGCTTGGACCGGGCAACGGTACATCTCAGCAGCTTGGTGACTCATTGCCCTTAGTCACAGGATAAAAGTAATTGATTACACTTGGATAAGCGCACTGACAAGGTGAGTCTTTGTGTGTTTTTGTCTTGTGCGTTGTAGATATGCTAGACAGAATCGAGATGTTTGCCCTTTCTTGATATGACGTTAATGAATTCAAGATGAAAGATCGCCCCACGTGACGTGTTAGCATTTTGAACGAGATGTACTCGCCATCGGGACGGTACTCGTGGAACGGTGAACCGTTTGAAATGGTGGACGTTAGCGCTTTGACCAACTCACTCACTATTGATCCTCAGTAGCATCGTCCGAAGATTGTTGTTCCTGTTTAAGTTTCTTGGTTTCAGTTTCTTCGTTGTTTCCAGTTCTGTCAGCTGTTCTTGTTCTCTTAGTTAAACGGGTTTGGGTTGTCTTTTTGACGGTCTTCTTGGGAGTCTTGGTAGCGGTCTTTGTATTCTTCTTGGCAGTTTTCTTATCGAACTTCGCCAATTGGTCGTTGCGCGATTTGGCCCCCATCGATTGCAAAGATTCTGTCTTTTCGTCAAATTCCGATTTGTCCTTAGCGGAATCGTAGTTTTCGAGCCATTCCAGCAGCTTGATCTCTTCGCCGTATCCGTCGTCCGAAGGCTGTGGTGTTTCAAGCACAATCGGGATCCCCTGTAAAAACTCTGCCTTGGCCACGAGTTTGAAAACGGTAAGACCCAAAAAGCCCTCCCCGAGTTTTTCGTGAAGATCGCGATTCGCAGCCAAAGGCGCCTTGGAATCGTTCAAGTGCACCGCAGAGAGGTACTTGAACCCCACAGTCTTGTCGAAATCCGCCCAGAAGGCATCGAATGCGCTTTCTGTGCTGATATCGTAACCTGCGGCAAAAGTATGGCATGTGTCGACGCACACACCGATTCTGGACTTGTCGTCCACCAGATCGATCACTTTGCGCAGATCGGCCAGATCGCTACCCACCAACGACCCTGTGCCCGCCATGTTTTCCAAGACAATCTTCACGAACCCGGTCGCCGCGTGCGCTTTGTTGATGTACCCAGCCAGTTGGTGCAGCTGTTTTTCGTGGTCTGCCTTCAACGATGAGCCAGGGTGGAAATTGTACAGCCCGATGCCCAATTGTTCGCACCGTTGGAGATCGTCCAAGAAACTTTCGTAACTCTTCTCTGCCTTTTCCAACTCTGGGTTGGCAAGGTTGATAAAGTACTGACCATGTGGTAGAATGTCTACCAGCGGGTTGTATCCTAGTTCTTCACAGTTTTTCTTGAATTTCTCGATCTCTTCTGAGCTGTAATCGGGAGAAACCCACCGACGTGGTGATTTCAAGAACATCGCAAACGCATTACAACCGATGTTGAAAGCATTCGTAACGCTATTAGAGATACCTCCAGCCGTAGATATGTGAGCCCCAAACTTGTATTTAGACGTAGTACATCTGGCAAATTGAGACATCTCGAAGAGCCTTCAAACTCTAGTTGTTAGTATTTTCTTTCATTATACAAGGTTCGCTTTCCAGTTCAGTTATTACAACAATGTTCTTCCAAATTTCAAAGTTTTCCGAGAATGCTATAAAAACAGCACTTTTTTCACAACAAAACCGTTGATTTTGATGGTGAACGTTTAGATGACCACAATTGTCTCTTTAGATTCCTTTCGTAGTGCGTTCGTTCAGCGTTCGCGACTTTTCTTGAAATACCTATTTTCTAGGTTTCCCAGGCTTCATAACTTTACCTTTAGTCTTGGTGTTGACTGTCTTGGCCTTAGCATTGGCTGCAGCTAGCTGTTCTTTGGTCTTTGGTTTGACTTTGAAAAAGCCATCGAGTCTACCTTGTACACCGGTTTTCAGTCCCTTCTGTAGACGTTTGATACCAGAACGGATTCTCTCTTCGTTAAAACCTTTTTCCTTGCACATAAACTCGATCAGGGCCTCTTCTTGCGGCTCAACCCATTTCAAATCGACCTCGGAGCCCTTGATGACGTCGGGATTCAAAAATAGCTCGCGTGCTTCGCGGAAGGGCCAGTTTTCGGGTATTTTCCACTTGTTGTTGGCTTCTCCGGATTCGATGTATGTGACGATATTTTCCAACGTCTTGTGTTCTTTGATCAGTTTGAGAGCAGTCACCGGGCCCACGCCGCGAATACTTTCACAGTAGTCGCATCCGAGCATGATTCCCAGGTCGATGAATTGCTCGATGGTCAGTTCCAGACCCTCCAACAAGATCTCAATGTTGATCTCGTGAATGGGTTCCTTTTTCGCTTCTGAAAAGGTCAAATGACGCAGCAGGAATGGTGAGCGATAGCACAATGTGTCCATATCCTCGCTCGCAGCGGCATACACTTTACCGGCTTTTGCCAGTTCCGCACACTGCGCTTCTGCCTCGCAAGGTGCATTCACGTAAGGTAATCCCATCAATCGCAGTAATTTCTTGGCCTCCTCGTTATGTTCAGGGGTGACTTTAACCAGTCTACGCTCCTGTTTTTGTTTTTCGGCTTCTTCCACTGCCTCTCTCAGTTTCTCCTCTGTGGTTGCTCTTCTGGCACTTCTTTTGTCTAGTTCGTGCGATTTCAAGATGGGTGGTTTACCATCAAACACGTAGCAAGGCTTTATACCATTGTCGATCATTCTCAAAGTTCGGTAGAAGATCCCCATTAAGTGGGATGTGGTTTCGCCAGATTCACTTGCCAATTGTACACCATCTTGTTGTCTTACAGCGATCAAAAACTGGTATAAGGACATCGACGCATCGATGGCTACTTTACGACCGAAGAATGCCTTGATTTCAAGTTTGCGAACTGCTGACGGAACATGCTCCGATATAATAGCGTTAAGACCCTTGATACCCATCGTTAAAGGCTTTTGTTGTGCGTTGGATTGACGAATTCAAAAGGGCGATGAGATGGATGCGTTAGATTTTACATTACAGACGAGACGCGTAAACTTTGGAAGGTGCAGAAAAAAAAGGTTCGTGTAGTGTCACGTGCCTTGGGAAGGGAAAGAGTTTAAAGCACAGTTACGCGTTTTTCGAAGTGAATTTGACGATTCTTGGACCAAGATTTTAGGTGTGTATGTGACGTCGCACGGATATATAGGATGGTAGGTTTTAGTATTGAAGAGTAGTCTTTGTTTCTCAGTGGGAAATGTTTTTAAATTTTTTATATTTTTGAAGGAAAACTTAACATTTGGAGTTGTAATTACAAACTCATAAAGGATTCTTTTAACTTTACAATAGTTCATTGGAGGATATATAGAGCAACTAGATAGATGCCTGCTGCTGCTTTATAAGACGAGTGAAGACTTGTACTATGCAGCCTAAAGTACAAGTGTTTACCGTGAATTTTGCAGTACGGCACGTGACCTGGCGACAGATGACAACTTCTATCAAAATGATCTTGTTTAAAGGATTGTAGCGTGTCAAATAGAATGGTATACCGAGGTTTGACCAGGCATTCTGTGAGGATTCAGGTCGAACGTGAATTAGTAGCAAGCATTTAGTCAAGAATGAAGGGGAATCGGTTTTACGATCTGTTGGCTTTGTCTTTTAGTTAAGAGCAGTCAGATTCGTGATAAAGTGATCTGGTTCGTCTAACAACTGGGCAGGCATTCAAAGCTACCTATAAAACGCCAGATTCCAGGCGAATGGCATCACTTGGTTCCATCACATCGCTTGCTGCCGTTCCAGTCTTTTGTTTTGAAGGTCGAATTTAGGAAAATATATAATCTCTCGGCTCTTCAAGATACGTAATTCATTCTCAATGGAACGGATGTCACACTGAGACACTCCAGAGACTTAGTAAGAGTCTCAAAATGTGTATGTGCATCAGAATGCAAACATGTAGAGTGGTTAAAATTTAATTCATCTCACAGCGAAAAATTCGACAAGCGTCTTAATTTTCACGATTGGCGATCCATCTTGGGACGTGCCACTACAAAGACTAGAGTAGTACATATTCGATTGGCGGATCGGCCTTGAAGATGAGTTGTATAGTTATCAGATAATTGTATAACTTGCCCAACTTCGCTGTGATCTGATTTTGAAGAACGCGATCAATATTGGACTGTAGTAACGACAATATGAAAAATTGAACAATCGAGAACGTTAGCAATCAAATGTAAGTGGCAGAGATGACTGCAAACACATTTGAAGAAATGAGAGTATTAGTGGTTGGTGTGAGTAGTAGAGGTGGTCAAGAAATTAGCAGAAGAATTGAGAGCAGCAGCGATCAATTGTGAGTAGTAAAGGTCGCAATTAGCACAAAAAAGTGATCACTTTTAATAGTAAATCTTATAGAAAACTAAAAGCGCAGCAAATAAGTAGCGCTCTCAGCTGTTCTATAATGCTTTCAGTAACTTAGCTTGAGGTCACGTGTTCTTATCGTCATTCCAACTGATTGGTAGCGATCACTTGCTTACTTGTGCTTGTGGCCACCTCTACGATTCAGAATTGATTGCCAACGCTCTCAGTTCTTAAAACCACCTCTTTTATCCTTGACTGATATCTGGCGCTCTCATTTGTATTCGTGGCAGTCTCCTATCACAGTCGAGAGCGTCAGCGAACCGTTGTTCAGTTGTCCTTGTTATCACCTCTAGTATACACGACTGAGAGCTTCAGCAAACAGTTGTTCATGCTTGTAGCCACCTCTATTGCTCACGACTGAGAGCTTCCGCGAGCAGTTGTTCATGCTTGTAGCCACCTCTATTGCTCACAAGTGATCGCACACACTCTCGGTTTTTCAGCTGTGCTTAGAGCCAATTCTTTCATTCACAAGTGACATCCATTGCCCCCAGTTGCTCAATTGTGCTTTTGTTCACCTCTTCTACTCACAACTGAGCCAAAGCGCTCAGTGTTTCATTTGTGGTTGTATTTTCCTTCACTACTCATAACTGATTGCTGGCCTTCTCTACTGTACACCTATGCATGCAAAAATGAATGCAATTCCAGGTGATCTTTGACATCTAAGTTGTTCTACAGTGGTCAGTAATCTCAAGTGCCCACAACTGATCGCTAGCGCTTTCCTTGTTTTATTTGTGCTTGTAGTCACCTCAACTATTCGCAATTGACATCCATTGCTCTCAGTTGCTCAATTGTGCTTGTTGCCACCTCCACTATTCACAACTGAGAGGGTCAGCGAAGATTACAACTGTGCTTGTAGTCATTTCTACTATCCACTGCTGTTCGCTGCCGCTCTCGGTTGTTCATGCTCTCAATTGCTCAATTGTGTTTGCCGACATCAATACTGTTTACAACTGACATCCAACGCTCTCACTTGTTCAATTGTGCTTACCGTCACCTCTACTATTCACAACTGCTCGCTGACGCTCCCAGTTGCTCAATTGTGTGTTTGGCCATCCCTGCTATTCACCACTGATATCGAACGCTCTCAATTATTCAACCATGCTTATCGCCACCTCTACCATTCACAACTGATCGCATGCGCTCTCTAACGCTCTCAGTTGTTCAACTGTGCTTGTACCCTATAATAGAGTACTTGTAAACGACTTTGGGTTCATCATGTGAAACGACTTGTGGAAGGTTAAAAACCCAAGGTGGTCGGTGTCCCTTGTAAACAGGTTGGGGTTTACATTGAGTATTGAGTGTGGAAAAAACGCGTAAAAAATGGCATTTGGCGTGAAAAGGCTTTTATTTACGCGACTGCAGTATACATGAAGCGCTAGAAAAATCAAATGTAACCCATAGCAAGCCTAGTCTCGAGCCTACTCGAATTTCGTCTGCTCTTGATAACTACTCAACATGACGAGCCCTAAGGTAGAGTTACTCGTTAAGTTACATCGAGAGATCTGCGGTGTTCACAGCTTAACGGGATACTTGCAGTATCTGGCCCGGCATTCAAAGATTGACGGGCGCCAAGAGTTCCTACGAAACTATGATTCAGGCCAGTATTTTCTGAGGTACCAATATGGCAATGCTTATATTCGTCAACTAACGAACGCAACCACACGGCGCGCACCGCAAATGGCTCTCGAGAACTTAGAGGATAGGGGAGTTTTCTCCAATGGAGAGCACAAAGCATTGGAAAAATACCTCGAGAAGCTGCTTGTAGATGAAATCAATTTTGAATCTATAAGAAGGACCAGAGCTCGGGGCAAAAATTTCCGGTATAATAGCAGATATCATAGCGGTGGGAGGTTTCGACTTACTTATACGGGCGCTGACTTCCGCAAGTTGACCGGATTTAGTAAGTTCGATCTCGATCGCATAGTCAAGGCACTGAAGATACCTTCTAACATTGAGAAGTGGCTGTACTTACACAGTACTGACCAGCATTTGCGGCAGAGAACCCACTACAATATCCAAGATTATCACATTTATGACATGCTACTTGTTCCACATTGTAAGCCCATCTCTGTCAGTTGCAAATGCGCCGTGGCTTGCGAGCCGCTTATCGCTCATCGACCAAAGCCTTCTGAGATCCAACAAATCAGTCCCTAACAGCAGAATTGTGGGCTTTATCGATGGCACGCACGTCAAGATTGCGAGGCCGCATGGAAGTTCTGAATTGCAAAATTCAGCGTATAGCGGGCATAAAAAAACTCATATCTTGAAGTATCAAGCGGTGACAACGCCTGATGGTATTTGCATAGATTTAGCAGGACCCTTCGCTAGTAGTCAGCACGACTCCTTTCTTTTAGCAAATAGCGGCTTATACGGAAGATTGAAGCCAGCTCTAAAGATCAGTAGCGTTCAATACAGAATATACGGGGATCCTGCGTATCGGAGTTCTGACGTGCTCACGGTGGGGTTTAAAGGACAGAATCTGACAGCTGCCGAAAAAAACTACAACAAAACGGTGCGTACTTTACCATCGCTGTCTTTCTGACAAACCTCAAACATTGTCTAGAAGGATCGCAAGGATCCAAGTACTTTGGTATTGACCCACCATCCTTCGAGGAATTCACGAGTAGGCTCAAATTTCCAAAATATTTTGACCATTTTATTATCGATAATCAAGGAGAGGGCACTTACTACTCTAGACAGTATGAGCACTTAAGCTTTGATCAACTGGAAAACCTTGCTTGAGCCAGCTTTGCAATGAAAACTTTGTAAATCAGCCATGCGGATAAAATTTAGCTAACACTGACACTCTAACATTTGTGATAATTAGTTCACGCATAGTGTGCTAAAGAGTCTTGGCTTTGGGCCATGAGCGTCATTTCCATTACAGTCTTAATCTTTTTGGCTTCATGATCGAATTGTTCACGCTTTTCTTTTGAGCGCTGTATTCCATTTGTTGTTGTTGAAATTCTATAATCTGCTGTTGAGCTTTTGCTTCGCGTTTCCTTTCTTCCGAAAGTGTTGCTTCAATAGTTCGTAGCGCAGAATCTTGCTAGTTCTCTTCGTTGGTGCTGAGAGTTCAGAGAAATAATGGGCAAATGACGCGACATCTCTTGAGTTCAGCGACTTGCCTGATCTGTTCCTAGGCTCTCAATGACACTCGGAATACTATTTGAGCATAGCATCTGGCCCACAGACCTCTTATTATGTCGTTGGTCGGTAACACGTTTATGGTATTCTGCTTTACTCAGTTCCGAATCATTTTTCAGCCTACAGAGCTGTTCCAAAACGTCATCTATTTTGTCAACTCCAGTAATCGAGAAAGGATTTCTCTCATCTCCTGTAGTGACAGCAAATAATTTGGGATGTGCCATGTACTGTTAGATATCTGCACTCTGTTAATTTGACCCTCTGTTGGTATGATATTGTTTTCGAATTGTAATGACAACAGAAGATCATACAAAATCAACTCCATTTAAGAGATATGAAGCTGCTTCGTTCTAGCTTCTCAACTCTAGGTGATTTCAGACGTTCGAAGCCGTAAAATGGACCGATTTCGTTGCAATACTTGACCAGGTAGTACGTCGAGTTGTCAGTCCACCTGAACTTAAACTCTTTCCCATGATCTGATGATCTGTAGCCTTTCACTCTTATCAATTCTCTGATAGCATTTGCCATTTTATCTAGTGAAAGGCGAGGATTCTTTATAGTAGCTAAATCCTCCCTTATGATTGATGAATGAAAGTACTCAAGATAAAGCTCCGATTGTTCCATTGCGGCATGATTCGTTGAGCTCGCGACGTATTCAGCGGTGGCTGATGTTCTGTACTCATCAAGGCCAGCACCAGTTGTTGCTGGGTTGGCTTGTAAACCCTCATCAGCGAGCGAGTCACTTGATGAAGCGTCAGAATGATGTTGACCCGTTGACTGGTTGTCACTTGTACAAGAAGCTGCTTCCATTGCCCTCTTGAACTTGTTTCTCAATGGTCAGACCCACTGGTGATCATCTTCTGATCGACCTGATACGCGCTATTGTTGTTACTTCAATAACAATTCTTTAATCCACAAGTCACTGGGAACGAAATCAGCTCGAAATCAACTTGTGGAAATATTTCCCAAGGTACTCGAAAAATGTACCTTGCGTTTCAACTTGTGGACAAAAAAAAGAAAAAACGATCCACAAGTCGTTTCACATTATAAACCCAAAGTCGTTTACAAGTACTCTAATATCCTCCCGTATACAGTTACGACCGCTTGTGATCCAAACATCAAACACCCGTGCAACACGACCGTACAAAACGACACTACCACATACCACCCATTAATATTTACCCCCCCCAACCCAACTATAGTACCCACCCACCCATCTGACTCCCAACTCGCTCCCCACCACCTTCTTGCTCTCCCACTCCATGCTCTCCCTTCCTCATCACTTTTCCCCATTCTGTCGCTAGCCCTCCCAGCCTGCCCCCTATTACCCGGCCCCCCTTCCCCTTTTCGCCCACACAAAATTCTCAAAAAACCCAACTCAAACTTTACGAAAACTTTTTATCATCACACACAACAAACAAAAAACCTAAAATCCAAACCCGTCTGCCTCCGTTTCGTGTGAAAGAGATCTAGGAATACCGCACGTCCAACGAAACCGGCAATCCCCCCAGATCATTTCAAACCAACAACAAATAACAACAGTGTCGCGTTAGACTTGAACAACAACAATGTCATTGTACGAATACAAACATCCTATCATCAACAAAGAACTGGCGACCGGACCGGACGCCGGGTCGCGCAGACAGTTTGCCACGCTGGAAACGTGGTACGATGTGGTCAACGACTATGAGTTCCAGGCGCGATGCCCGATCATTTTGAAGAACTCGCATCGCAACAAACACTTTACGTTTGCGTGCCATTTGAAATCGTGTCCTTTCAAAGTGTTGCTGAGCTACTCGGGCCACAACAAGGACGGTCCCTTTGAATCGTCGCCTCGTGGTGATGAGAACGACGGCGAAGGTGAGGGCGTTGTTGGTGGTGGTAGTGGTGGTGGAGAAGGCGTCGGAGACGAGGTCGACGAAGACGTGGACGGTCGCGATGGTGCGCATAGCGCACATCGCGACGACGTGAGCGCTGCTATCGCAGCAGCCGTGGCTGCCGTCACAGACACGAAACCAGGTCATCCGGCCAGCGGCGGTGATCTTCACCACCATAACCACAACCATCACCACAACCACTCCCATCACCATCACCATCACCATCACTCCCATGAAGACGACGACGCTGGAGTCACAGATGTTTCGGGACTTGATGCCCAGCAATTGGGCTCGGTACGTGGTCCATTCACGGTCACGAAAATTGATCCCTACCACAACCATCCGTTGGAATCGAATTTGTCGTTGTCGAAATTCGTGCTCACCAAAGTGCCCCGGATTTTGCAAAACGACCTCAAATTCGACTCCATTCTGGAATCGCTCTGTAACGACGACGATAACACGGTCGCCAAGTTCCGGGTCTCGCAATACGTCGAAGAAAGCGGGATTCTGGACATCTTGAAAGAAAGATACGGACTTTCCGACCACGATCTCGACAAAAAACTTCTTTCGCACATTGCTCGTCGTATCACCACCTACAAGGCTCGTTTCGTGCTCAAGAAGAAGAAAAACGGCACTTACGGAGTGCCCGCCAGCGCCATGAGTGCTGCGGCCGCCGCAGCGGCCGCCATCAACGCCAACGGTTCCGGATCGGGCTCTCAAACGCCCCAGCAGCACGACCAGCAGCGTCTACACCATCTCCACCAGCAACAACAACAACAACAGCAACAGCAGCAACAGCAGCAGCACCACCAACAACAACAACAGCAGTTGTCACACCAGCCACATTTGGGATCCCCAGATGTCGACAAAAAACGGTCTTATGCAACCCACGGCTCTGTGGCAGATCATGACGATGACCTAGAATCGCGCAAACGGTCTCGTTCCAACAAGCTTTCCACAGCGGTGAAAATGGGGACGCGCTCGTCTTTGGTGAACGATCCGGGTCTTGCCCAATTGGAAGACGTCAATGACGCCGAGGACAACAAACTACCTCAGGACGTGGCCGAACAATTGCGTTTGTTGAGTTCGCACTTGAAGGAAGTCGAACAACAACAACAACAGCAACAACACCACCACCCTGAGCTGCGCGACGAAAACGATGAAAACATCCAGCCCGAGTTGAGGGGCCAGTAATCGGGGCTCCAAGGTGACAAACAACGTTGTAATGTTCGGGGAATATTTTCAAGTTGTAGTATTGCACCTAAAAGTGCTGGTCTCAAATCCTCAATTGTAATCATATATTTTTTATATATCCGCTTAAGTATCTTATGAACTGTGTCTTTTTGGTATTCTTGTGGGAGCCGTCGAAGTCCTTGCTGATGCTTTGAGAAAGTGTGTGTGTGCGATGATGATCACTATAAGCGTCAGCGACAGTAAATTCCCAATTTGAGCTCATCTCGTTCTTGAGACTTCAATGACTCTTGTAAACTATGCCAAAGAGACTTGGAATAGTCACGCATAAATCCCATTCATCTTCGACCACTCGTAAACCAAATTGCACGGTTCTTTGGAGTTTCTCAAATCGCACTACCCAGATCACTTTTATTGACCTGTCATTTGACATCGACTTTAAACAACTTCTTGGAATTTTGAATCCATCAACGTCAAAAAAACTCCCAAAATGCCCAGAAAGCAAGCACAGATTCAATTCCATGGGCTAGGAAATAATGTATCACCGCCATGTCTTGTTGGAAAGACATCGCTTTCCAATTTTTATTCAAATTTATTCGTTGAAATCGGTGAACAATTGCATCTTTCGGAGCCATTTACTCCAGACTCCAGAATTTCCACTTTACAGACAAGGACTCAGATACTCCATCATCCCATCCCATCCAATGACTGCGACGTTGCTTGTAGCTTCACCTATGACAGATGTTGGTCGGGATCATATAACACGGGCCATCGCAGACTTAAATTGTATAAAATTGTTGTCAATTTCAACAAGATCGCTATCCTACAACAGCTGAAATACACCGAAATCATGCTAAGAAACCGGTTTGGTGCAGCTTTGAGAGCTTCTGCTACAATACCAAGCTGTTACAGACCACTGGGCTTTTTTCCGCTCTCAAAACGCTCTTATTCTGAGGATTCAGCGGTTAAAACTCACATCCAATCAACCAATGACTTACAGGACCCAGAAACTCAAGAAAGTCCTGCTGGCTTACCTACTCAAGAGGTTTCAGCTAAACCGGAAATCCAGCCTTGGTACCTGAATGTTGGCAGGGAACAGCTCCAAGAAAATAGCTTCCCTCAAGAGAAAATTGAACTTCCCAAGGACGCACCAGAATCCTTGCAAATACTGACCGCATTTCTCAGTGACGAATTGGGACTTGTCGATATTCTCATATTCCAAACCAAAGATTTAGACGATGATCACACTACTGCGGTTGCCAAGTTCAGCGACTACATCGTGTTGGCCTCCGCCAAATCGGGAAAACACTGTTATAAAAGTTTCGTAGAGGTCAACACTTTGCTGAAACAAAAGTTCCAAGTGCAACCGCATGTTGAAGGTAACATAAGCGCCAACGAGCTCCGCAGACGCCAGCGCAGACTGGCAAGACACACCAACCTGAGCAAATCGCAAGGTTCTCGCCCCGCGGTCACTAGAAGCGCTACACAAGCGGATTCCTGGTATTTGATCGATTGTCGAGTCGACAACATTTTCCTCAATATCATGTCAGACACGAGGAGGCAGGAATTAAATTTGGAAGAGCTTTATGCACCATCAAAAGACAAGCATCTTTACAGACGCCAGCCTCAAAGCCCCGACGTTTCGGTTGGGGAAGACGACGACAACGTTTTGGCAGGACTGAAACGGCTAGTGGCTCGAAACCAGAAAAGATTTTATTCCACTGTTTCAGAAAAACAATTACTGACCGATCGGTTGCTGAAACAGGACTTTCAAGCTGCAGAGCGTTTGACAACGTCGGAACCCAGCTCATTAAGCACTCTCAAGACTATTTCAGGGGCTTTACAGACGATACCGGCAGACACTACCGTGCAGACACAACGCTGGTTGCAATTCTTCAACAGTGTGTGGAGTCCCCAATTTGCATTCGACACAGAATACTGGCACCTCAGGTCACACCTTTTGAAGTTACTGAACTGTTGCGGAAAAAGCCGGCTTTCCCTAGAGGAAGTCTTCGCCAACTCACTACAATTCAAGTTGGCGAGCGGTAATTTGTTAACAAAGGAAGATCTACTAGAGTTCCTACAATTGGCCGACGCCAATATACAGGAAGGGCAGGAGCTCGCCCAAGTCAATAAAATAGTGGTTAGAGCTCTACAGCTATACAAGGGCATCGAACCTGAACTTTTACTCGATACTGAAATAATTTGCCAGTTGTTTAAGACCATGAATGGACCGCACGCATCACTGGAATCACTCAACGGGATGATCGATTTCATTTGTGCAGAATTTCCTTCACAAATTCCGGTCCCCGTAATCGACACTGTATTGCAATCCTTGGCTAAGAGAAAGGAATACATGAAGGCCCTAAAGTTTTGGGAAAACGGGATAATATTGCGAAATGCCAATGATTATAGACCTTGGTCCATATTTGTCAATATGGTAGCAGAGTCTCGCGATGTCAAATTCATCAGAAATGTACTGAATGGAGGACATTTACTGTGGATAAAGCGGAATAACGTTATAGTGGGTCCGGAACTGGGTAAAGCACTTGAATCTCTCTTCGACGCAGCGGATCCCAACAATATTGCATATACTGATCTGAGAGAATATCTCACACAAGATTGAATTGTCTGTGTTGTCATTAAACCTGATTGTCATAATCACTTACTATTTACTCAGTGTTCAAGTTCTTGTTTAAGTATTCAACGAAAAGAGGAGCGATTCTTTCCTGCTCAAGGCTTCTCAAACGATTCATGGCAACAAATTGACGTCGTATACGTTGCAGCTGGGCCACGGTGACACCTTGAGAGGGAACTTCCACGAAAAGACAACGTTCGTCATTAATGTCTTGAACATCTGAGATTATAATACGTTTTGCCCCGGACACGACGTTTGACTGTAATGCGGCCAAGAAAGTTTTTACGAGTGTAGTGGTCTCGGCATCCAAAACTTGAAGGGAGTTGCTTTGCGTAGCTGGTTTCAGGATAGTAGCGTTATTGGGCTTCAAAGAATTCAAAAGCTTTTCGGTTTCTCTATCATTATTCGACTTGTATAGCTGTGGAAAAAGAGCCTTGAAAATTGGGTCAGCGAGAGACTCCATTGTGTCTTCATCAGCCAGAACAGAAATCAGAGGCGAATCCCATCTCGTTTGCGGATTTGGTTCCTCATACCGTTGTATTAGTTGATTCAGAAGCTCTTTATCCCAGGGAATTCGTCCTTCAGCACTCGATTCATTCCACTCCAACAGTTTTGCACTGGGACACATAACATGCACGAGACAGTACGTTGTCATCAAGTTTTTGGCTTCACAGTGAAGCTGGTATCTGACGCCTTTGATGTAGTTCAAGGAATCCACAATCACTATCTTTTGTCTTGACAGATCGCGCTTTACTGCCGAGATAACTTTTGATCTTAGTTTTCTCTCGTCCTGCGATGTGATATAATCAGTGTGTTTGATCCCCAAGCTTTCATCAGAGTGACATACCAAAGAGTATTTGGCCAACTCCGGCTCCTGCTTGATTTTGTTTTCTAGAAGCGCACACAACTCTCTAGTCTTGGAGCTTTTGCCACTAGATGGATAGCCAGTTAGAAGTACCAATGGCATATCTATAAGCTTGACAAAATGTTGTAAAAAGGTAGCTACCCAATGCTATTTCAGTGCCAAACTGGCTATTCTTCGATCTATGCTCGAAGTTCATCTCATCTCATCTCATCTCATCTCATCGGGCTACAATATAATTTTCGAAATTCGAGGACACACGTACAATGTGATAAATTTCAAATAAATTAATATTGGAAAATAAAGAATAGTAACCGCCAAAAGAACTAGTCTTCATATCTTTTTCATCCAAACAAGTCTTGTGTGGCACATTTAAACTATGATTAGACGCTGCTACTCTACATTCGTTCCGCGGTATGCTTTCCCAGATTACAGGCTGCCACTTACGGACTTCAAGGGCCACCAAATGCGCGCTATTCAGCGATTCCGACAATTGCTGCCACAACTGAATCTTTTACTAGAACTTCGAGACAGTAGAGCACCTATAAGCACGAGAAACGTTATATTTGACGATCTGATGGTGAATAGGCGAAATGACAACACCCAGAGACTGGTTCTATACACGAAATCGGACCTTTGTCCGAAGGAAACTATAGACAAATTGAAGCTATGGCATTCCCAAATGGGAGATGAGTTCATGACACTAGACTGTCGATCAACAAAAGAAGTACGGAATCTGATTAAAATTTTGGAATGGAAATATGATGAAACCGTGAAACAAAGTTTGGGCGATGTGGCAGGAAACGAGGGATTGCCCCTTGGGTATCGAATCTTGGTTGCTGGGATGCCAAACGTGGGGAAGTCCACGTTGGTCAATACCCTGAGGTTTGTGGGGGCATCAAAGACAAGAAATACAAGCGAAAGTATCCACGGCTCGGTGACGCATAGAAGACGCAAAGTGGCCAAAACGGGCGGTCAGGCGGGCGTTACAAGAGCGACCAGCGAGTGTATACGAATTGCAGACCATAGAGGCGGAATCTATCTATACGATACGCCTGGGGTGTCGCTACCGGGTCGGGTCACAACGCGGGAGAAAATGTTGAGTCTTAGCCAGTGCGGATGTGTCAAGAGTACTTTGGTGGATCCCATCATCCAGGCCGATTTTTTGCTGTACGTGATGAATCTTCAAGATACCAACGCCTACACGCAGTACACCAAGGGTGTGCCCACAAACAACGTTTACAAAGTGCTGAGTGGGGTTCGCAAAATGACGGGTATCAAAGATGATAACGGAGCGGCTATTCATTGGATCGATAAGTGGCGCCAAGGAAGCCGTGAAACGAAACAAAAAGTATCGTTTGACGTAGAGACGTTGTTGGATGATCAGAGTTTTTCGTATTGCGGCCTTGTGGAACGAGAACTAAAGCAATTGGGACCCTGGTTGCACTCGGCGGCGGCGCCGCCGAAAGCGGGACAAAAAACTTCAAAACAGACCTTGCGGGCCAGAAACAGTAATCAGTTGTTTGATTTGTGAGAGGACACTGCCAACATAACAACTTGGCCGCATGCAGCGTGATGAGAGACTTAAAGAAGTCGCGCACGTGATACATCATCGGGACTCGCTTTCCGCAAAAGACAATGCGTCATGCATCATGCAATGCACTCCCCCGCATATTATGCAATGCACAATTAAATAAGCATGCATTTGGGACTCCAGACCCGAGTCAAAAACATATATACACACACACACCCATAAGTTTACGTTCCGGGACAAATAAATATTCCCCACTATTGCCCTTCTGCCCTCCCCACGCCCCCTTTTTTTTCTCTTTCTCCTTCCCGTTTCGGTAATTTCGTCTTTTTTTTTCAGAATTTTCTCTTACCCGGCCACTCTTCCCCGCCCCTAAAAAAAATTTAAAAAAAACCCGGGTCTCTCCCGTTAACAATGATCAGTACCCGTATAGTCACGTGCTCTTGCATTTTTCCCTTTCTTCTTTCCTTTCCCCCCCATATCCGTACATAAAGATCTCCATCGGTGCCGACCGGACCAAAAAAAAAAAACTTCAAAAAAATAAAATTACTCGATAACATCGCATTTTTCAACTTTATGAACTTTAACCACTTTTCTCTCTTCCAATCTATATAAGAGACAAGAGCTCAGTACAAATTTCAGATTCACGAAAAAACAGCAAGAAACTTGATCTTGTGTGTTTTCAAGCGTATTTTGGAGAAAAACGCCGTAAAAGAGGGATCTAGCCCATTGAATAACGCGACAAGCTTGTAGGCGTGAGGAATCCGATCCTAGTACCTTTTCCAGCGAGTTTGTAGCGTTAAAATTGAGCCGAAAACCGCGGTCTTTGCTTCCTCACAAAAAAAACTCGGTTTCGCCTTTTGGATCTCGAAAGAGCACTGCCACAGGCTCGAATCGGTATTCTGTCGCCGTTGTTGCCGCCGCTGCTCGCCTACGGGCCCCCCAACACACCTTTATTTATTGCCGTCTTGGCACACACGAGGAGAAGGAAAAGAAGAAGAAGAAGTGGAAGTGGAAAAGGAAGAGAAGAAATAGTGAAATCATCACCCGGTTATTTATTTGAAACTTATTGAATGGCGCTCAAAAACCTGCCGATCCAGCCCAGCAACGTTTCGATTGCCCCAAACCCGAAACCCAACGCTACTCGCGATACACGGAAACCTGGAGGCCACGGCCTTGTGATTCGTACTTCCAGGCAATGGGTGCTTCCTCCAAGGCCCAAACCGGGCCGTAAACCGTGTTTGAGCGCTCTACAACGAGGATCCAAGTCAAGTCCACCAACGCAGCAAAACTGCGGGAACGGAAATCCAGCCACCGATAACACCTGTGTGGCTCGTCCACCAAGGGCGAATAGCATTAGTGGAAGTGGGAAATGTGACAAAAAAGTGGGAACTGAACAAAGCTTGGAATCGCAAACGGAACCCAAAATTGGGCCAAAAACCCTAGTGAAGCCTGAAGTTAAAACGGAACCGATGCCACTGCTCTCGTCTTCGTCATCATCGCCCATTTCTTCAATCCCAGCACCTGCGCCAGCAACTCGCTCAATTTCGCCGCTATCAACACAACCCATTGTGGCCCCTGTACCTCCCGTCACGGCGATTACGAGCTCTGCGTCCAATGAACCCGCCTCTGTCTCAGAAAACACTTCACGCCCCGCCTCTGCCGTGCCACGCACCAACGTACCGCTGCCATCATTAGAGCCCTCAAATGCTCCTTTACGGTCCATCGCGTTGGTCTCAAAACAGCAAGTTCAAGGACCGACACTTCCCCGTCAATCCTTGTCTCCCACGTCTCCAGGAACCACGTCTGCGTCGGCTACAACCACTATACGACCCCAACAATCGTTACCGGCTACTGGCGCTCAAACTGTCAAGAAACTCACCAAAACTGCTTTGAAAAAGGAGATTCAACACTTGAAGTTAGAGAATTTCAAACTCAAACAGGAAATGGGTCATTTGGTTGGTCATTTGCAAGACCTCAAACATAAATTTTCCGCGCGCAACGAAGCCTCTTCTGCCATTGCACCTGCTAGCCTACATTCAAACTGTAATAAGAAAAGAGCATTTTTGGACTCAATGGAACAGAAGGAGTTCTTCGACAACACAGAGAGTTTCCTCAAGTTTGAGGACGATGACGCTGAAGCTGATGATGCCTCACATACGATCATATCGGCAGCCCACATGAAACCCACCATGTCATTTTCGTCCCAATACAGCTCGAAAACTAATTTGACAGACGACGAAGATCCTGGATTTTCGTCGTCTACGCCCAGTTCCTTGTTTTCTGCAGAATTGCAAAGAACGGTCACCAATAGCAGCCTTGCAAGTTCGCAACCCTATCACCATCATTTGCAATCACTTCAAAACACGAGTTCAACTTCAAGTTATTCGCCTCTTCTTCATGGAAGCAGCAGTCCTTCTAGTTTGGTGGCCAATAAAATACAACCACATCCTCTTGACGGTATGAGGTTTGTCGACGACTACGAACATCAAGATTTTTACAGCAAACATCGTCAATTGTTCGAAAATAGAGTTGCTCCTAGTCTTCCCAGCACTTCAAGCGTTTCTCCGTCGGCATCGAATCAGCTCGGCGACTTTCATTTAGACGCCATCAAGGAAGAAGATATGGATTTCCGACTCGAACATGACTTTGGTAACGAAAACGTGAGTATACTGAATTTCTTGGAAAATCATAGCTCGAGATTCGACAACGACACAGCAGCCACCACAGCAGTGACAAACACTGTTCCAAGATGGCTTATGAAGGAAGAACAAGAGGTGGAAAAGTCAGACATGAGTGTTTTCCAGAATTTCAGTCCTGAGCCTGAGTTATTAAAGGCAGAGTTCCGCATGCCGCCTTCGCTGGAAGAATTGATGGGGGAGGCGGATGCTCCTGAGATTAAAAGAGAAGATGACGAAGAAGACGATTTGTCTCGAATGAATATTTTTGATTTTGCCTAATGATACAAGACATGGCAGGAAAACATGTTTACATGATGATATCAGATTGATGACGTTACGAACTATTTTATGATGCAGGACAAGGTTATCGGGATACACGCCTTGTCCGACTTACGAACTATGATACTAATTCGCCTAAAGGCAGACAACACTATTTGTAATGGTTTTTTTTTTTTGGGTCTTTTTTTTCGGCAACTTTTCAAGTTGAAAGCTATGTTCTCGCCAACCTTCGATGGACAGTGAATGCATTTCTCAGTCTGCCCAGGTAGCAGATGCCTGAGCTTCTACAAGTATTTATATTATTCTTAAATAACAAATGGCTTGTGCTGATTATGGATGGTTTTTGGTTTGGGAAAACATCTTGAATACCTACATGTACTTGATTGGGATTACCATCCAATCTCAGAAAGACGAGTGCCGTTGGCCTTGTTGATGCTGTCAATGCTGGTACCAGGCATCAAATCACCCAAATCAGTGGAGAATTCCAAAAGTTTCTTGGGGTCTTCGTAATGAGTAGTGGCCTGCACAATAGCTCTGGCGAGTTTTTCTGGGCTGGACGACTTGAAGATACCGGAGCCAACAAACACACCGTCGCAACCCAATTGCATCAGCAGAGCTGCGTCAGCTGGAGTGGCGACACCGCCAGCGGCGAAATTGACCACAGGCAGCTTCTTCAATTCCACGACTTCCTTGAGCAAAGCGACAGGAACACGTAGCTCTTTAGCCTTGGCTTCGAATTGCTCTTCGGTCTTGACGGTTTCGATGACTTGGGCGATTTCGCCACGAATTTGAGTGATGTGTTTTACAGCTTCGGAAACGTCACCGGTACCGGCTTCGCCCTTGGTTCTGATCATGGCAGCGCCTTCGTTGATGCGTCTTAGCGCTTCACCGAGGTCTTTGGCTCCACACACGAAGGGCACTTTGAAGTTGTTCTTGACAATGTGATTGACCTTGTCTGCTGGCGTCAATACTTCACTTTCGTCGATATAGTCCACTTCTAGAGCCTCCAACACTTGAGCTTCAACTGTGTGGCCGATTCTTACTTTGGCCATCACTGGGATCGAAACGGCAGCCATAATGTCACGAATCATCTTTGGATCAGACATACGACACACTTGACCAGATTTGCGCATATCGGCTGGAATTCTTTCCAGAGCCATCACAGCACAAGCACCGGCTCTTTCAGCAACGATAGCCTGCTCAGCGGTGACCACGTCCATGATCACACCACCTTTGAGCATTTGAGCCAAACCCGCTTTGACCTTGAATTCAGACATATGTTTGGAAAATTAGAAGAGTATAAAACTGGATCGAGTTGTGTGTTGATCGTCGAATCTGCGATCTGGCAAGCCGAACTTAACAGTTTTTCCTTCCTAGCCAACTGCCTTTCCCTGGGAAAATAGGTCAACCTTCTTATAGCACGCAAATTATTGTCGATCAAACTCTAAAGCCGCCAACTTTCCATATCCAGAGTCATCAGAATCATGCAAACAGGGACGTGCGGCTTTAGCTATCGCAGTTTAGCCACCCGTTTGGTTAAAATCCCATCGATTATTTTTCCCGTAAACCCAACAGGGCAGGTTACGTGCGCACCGATCTTGACTGATATCCGCATAGCGACTCATTTTCTGTTGCTACCCACATACCCATGAGTCACTTAGTCAAGTCAGAATGCGCTCTGGATTTCTTACAATGCTCCTAACAACTGCCCTTCCGAATTTTCTGCGAAAAATGCTCGTGGCAAGAGAAGTCAAACGGGATATTCACTCCTAGAGACTAGGGTGAGGAGTGGGCAGTGAGCAGTGTGAAGATGAAGATAAAGATTGGTTTAGCCTCATATCGGGTCGAGTTCATGATCCGCTATTTCAACGAGCGCACTTTAGCCTGTGCAGCGGGACCTGCCTTACGAGGAATAATGAATCGGAGTCTGTCTCAGAAAGACTCGTCGGATAGATAAAAAGGAAGAGAATATGTTTTTACAGAAAGGAGAAAGGTCTTGCTCGTCCTTACTACTTTTGGTTCTTTTGACTTCCTGGCAGATCAGTCATAGACATAAGAAATTGGAAAAATTGTGAAAAAAGACTTTTGGAGGTATTTTATTCCGGAATAGTTTTTTAAGCCGGTAGTTTCGTGGTCTAAACGTTCATTCTCTAGTTCACCAGTGAGAAAGCCTATCGTTCTTCTTGGAAACTGGAGTCAAATATATTTTAGGAGACCCTTCTGACTAGGCGCAAAGACACCGTGGTCGTTTATTAGGTTTCTTTTGATTTCCTTTCCTGGAAACTGAAAAAGGTAATACCGATTACGTCAGCAGGTAGTCACAGGAAACTGCTGACATAAGCATACTTGAGTCGCGTTCCCATTGTTTAAGATTGCCTACAGGCAAGGACCCTGCATACGACGCGCATATTGTAATTTCACACATAGCATCAAAAAATGACAATCACGAAAACTGTGGGCGTTTTGGCGCTACAAGGGGCGTTCAAAGAACACGCACAGCTCGTACTGGCATGTGTTCGCGAAAACGAGTATCCAATCACGGTTTGCGAGGTGAGAACAGCGGAAGAATTGAATCGCTGCGATGCGCTCATTATACCCGGCGGTGAATCAACAGCGATGTCGCTAATTGCACAGCGATGTGGTCTTTTCGATCCACTGCAGAAATTTGTACAAGACCCATCAAAAGCCATTTGGGGTACCTGTGCGGGACTTATCTTTCTCGCGCGCGAAATCACAAGCGACGCAAAGCTGGTAACCCCGCTTCAAGCGCTGGACGTGGCAGTCCAGCGCAATGCGTTCGGACGTCAGGCCCAATCCTTCGTTGCCCAGTGCGATTTCACTTCTTTCATGACCCCAAACGCTAGCATGCCAAACAGCGGAAAGCCGTTCCCCACGGTGTTTATTCGTGCACCCGTTATAGACCGTGTCTTGAATGCAGATTCTGTACAGATACTCTATGAAATTGATACACCTGCAGGCCATAATTTGGTGGTGGCCGTTAGACAAAATAACATTTTGGGGACATCTTTCCATCCAGAACTCGCCGATGACAACCGATTCCACGATTGGTTCTTGCGCGAGTTTGTATTATAGAAAAATAACCTGGTCCGCTTTGCTTGTCCCAGAACATTGCACTTGACCACTGTTGTATAAACACATGGGCAAAATTGGGACGGGCTCGATGTCCCTGACGTCGATCAGTTGCACCCGGTGAATGTGGCGCAAAATGTCCCATAATAGAGCTTTGCATTTGTATAACTCAGAGGAGTCCATATGTTTCGCAATATTTTTGATTCCGGCCTCAAGGATTTGATCGAGAGTATCGGATCGTAAACACGAACCTGGTAATCTACTACGTAGCTCCTCAGCGCTCCACCATTTCAGCTTTTTTATCTTGTAAAATCGTAGCCACACACAACGCGGCGGGAGTATTACTTGGTTCATATCCAGCTCCTCTAAGAAAGCAAATGTCACCTTCCCCACCGCTTCCCAGCGCGACAAATTGGCAACCGCTTTTCCGAGCCCCAGAGACCCACAGCGACTAAGTTCCAGCGTTGCTACTCTTCTCTTCACCGCATATCCAATGGTATGTCCAGGATGATCTCTGAATCCATGGAAGTTCACTACTCTTTCGAACATGCTTTCATTGGTGACTGCTATGGTTTGAAGACTCTTCAGACTATCCAGCATTCCAATGAGAGCCAAAATTTGAGATTTTTCGACAGTTTCTTCATCGTGGTAGAATTTCACTTGATGCACCCAATCTTTCCGCTCCATACTCTCCAACTGTGCGTCTAGCGCTTTTAACTCTTTTTCGTTAATATGCTCGAGGTCCAGCACTGTTGAAAGGTTTAGATCATTATCAATCAAGGTTTGATACTCTTCCAGAGAGCACCAAAATTGTAGTAGCCCATCGGGACTAAATAAGCCCAATTTCAATTCACCAGAGATGAATATCCAATGCAATTGCGTTAGTTGGCTTTCCAACTCCCTGTTTACTCTCAAATAGTCCAGCACTATGCAATCGAACCGCAGATATGTCATGTATTCCAACCAAGAGTCCACGAATTCTGGCATATAGCTGTAAAGTTCCACAAACCTTCGCAGCTTCTTTTGCAAGCCTCGCAAGCTTTTTGATTTTCGAGAAGTCTTCTTCTTTGACGTAAAAGTGCTAGTGAATAGTTCATGGGTTGCAGGCGGCTTCAAATCGATCAATTGCGAGTTCAAATGCCAATATACACATTTCCTCAAGGTAATAGGCTGCTGGAGAAATTCGAAGGCATCGAACATCGGTTCTCAGGACCATACAGTCCTGCTATACCTATCAGTTTAGCTTTTTGTTCTCAGGCTCATCGCATTATTTGAAGATAGCTTAATTAATGGTTAATTTGACAATATCACTACATCTAACGCTAACTTCAACTAAAGTTGAGGATAAAACACCTCTGGAGCTTAGCGTGAACCTGGAATAAACATATCGATGGATCAACTAAAGCTAGAACTCAAGAAGTTTGAACGAAGATTCGAAAAAAAGCACGGAAGACCGCCTGCACGCGACGATATTCGAGCACTGCCGGATCTTAAATACAAATACAAGCAGTACGCTGCACTACAACGCGAAAGACAGAGAGTCAATGTGCTGCAAGTGACTCCGCGGAGAAATGTGGAAGACGAGACCGACCTGCCTTTGGAAATCGGTCCAACGCCTCAGATGTACGGAAAGGTGCTGGGTTTATTCGATATGAAGATGTCATCGCCAACTAAAGGAGTAGCTGTAATGTCACCAGAGGGCTCAATAGACAATTTGGGAGCTGACCAAAGTAATCAACGCTCACCGTTGAGAAATGGCGTAAAAACTCAGCATCTGGATCTGACGGTATCAAGCCGATTATCACCACAGAAAAGACCATATGGTCCTAACTCACCTTTCAAGTTTGACGGTGTTGAACTATCAGTACTGACTCCCAGACGCAATTTGCAGAACCTCATAGCTGAAACAGAGAGTTTTGGTAATGTAAGTCCGTCCCCCATCATAAAGCGGCCTATGGGGAAGCCTTTGCTCCAAATCGTCCGAGAAAGCGAGAAGCTGATGGAAGATGCTGACGAGTTGAGTGATGACGATGTGATTTCGCGAAGCGTAAAAGACGTTTTCCAGAACGACGAGGAGCAACAAGAGGATCCAACCACTGAAGACGAATCAGAAGTTATCTTCAAACGTGCAAAACGAAAGCATATCTTGCGACCGGCTGCTACCGGGTTGAGCACATCAGATACCATACAAGTGAACATCAAAGAGGAAATGGCAAGACTGAAGCAGCAAGCTATCGATGAAGCAAACGGTATTGAAACCACAAGCACCACAATTACTCAAACAAGTTCTAAGGCCACAAGCACCACAACTCGGAAAAGGCCTCAGAAATATAACCTGGTCAGCAACAACTTCAGAAGGTTGAAACTTCCAAAAGCCAAGGGGAAAGGCAGAAAATGGGGGCGACGCTAGGATTACACTTTACCAAAATAAATGCATATATACAACGGTAAAAACTAATGACTATGAACATCATGGGATTTTTACGCTTTTTGTTTTCAACTGATGAGTAGTTGCAACATTCCCTCTATCTTTTGAGCTTCCTCGGCCCTATGCACTTCCTGCTTGACTTTCATCTTCAAGACGACTACCATCTCCTCTAATAAAGAAGACCTGGCAATAAGATCGCCGTACATTTCTAATACCACGGCGATCCAGTCGGCAACGATAGATGCACTTCTAACATCCTCAACACCGCGAGTACACCAGTTCAGTAAAGGCTCCAGCGAGGATTCGTCTCTTCCCATCAATGCTACTCTGATTTTACCTCTTTTGCGAAGTTCGCTTAGTGCCGTGAGAGTAAGCTCCTTGGCCATGCCCGAAAGGAATGCTGCGTCTAGAGCTTCAGACCACTTGAAATGATTCAAATGGCGCTCGAAGGCCCTAAGCTTACGCTGCGGACGAGCCTTATCATTGTGAATTATATGTTCTTGGTCACCTGCGTATTCAGATCCTCTCATCATTCTTTGGAAGTTGTTGCTCTTGGCAACTTTCTCAATTTGAACTTTGGCAGCACTTGCCTTCTTCTTGGTCCTTATAGCAAGTAGTCCAGAAGAAAGACCAGCAACTAGATGTCTATTGCCCTGGGCATCGCCCGGAGACACAGCACAGCTCAACACTGGCGCAGAGAATTTCCAGCCGAATTTTACTTTATAGCCATCCAGCGGATCAAAGATTTTGACATGACCATCCAGAGACGAGGCGACCAGAGTTGAACTCATTGGAGAGTCCCCGGTAAGATCCACGTAATCTAAGCAAGTAGTAGTTTTTGCAAAATTTGCTCTTTCCAAAAGTTGTCTCTGGGCAGTCAGATCCCATACTTTGAAGCCAGGTCCACCGCAGAAAACTAGTTGAGTAGGAGAAACGGCAACTACATCTTCCACAGGCAAGCCCTGAGCCAGGGTGATTGGTTTGGAACTAGTATTGGCTCTTGTATCGTAGAGACGGACGTGCCCGTCGTACGAGCCGGTCACCACAAGATGGGGCGCCTGAGGAACCATACAAATAGAGCGGACATAGTCTGAAGCTCCTGTGAGCTCAGCGATAGGCTCTTGAGCTTGTGAAATGTCCCAAACCCGCACTACACGATCGTCGCTGGCGGTAACTAGCGTTTGAGGGTCTGTGAGATGAAATTTTGCCACATGGGTGGGGTGAGTCGACGCTGGGATAGATACCAGCTGCGTACGCGGGTTGTACGAGTCATAAACCGATACGAGACCGGTGGCATCTCCCATGGCTAACAGCTTTCCGTCGGGACGAAAATTTGCCGCGTAAACCACATCTTTGAAACGAGAAAACGTCTTGATAACTTGCCTCGTGCGTGAAGAGAACAGCTGAACTCTTGTAGATGCTGCTACAGCAAAATCGTTTGGTTGCTGAGGGTTAAAAGCCACGCTTGTGACACTGTTGTGCTCTCTCACGAGTTGGGTGGTCCCATAGGCTCTCCAGTAGCGCTGTTCGGGCGTGGTTTGTTCCGGAAGAACTGGTGCTCTTAAGAGCGTTGTTCTGGGCTTCACGGAAGACATTCAACGAGCTACAGGGTTGGATTTTTGATAGTTTTCTTCGAGCGATGAGCTGCTTCGATATATTTTCAGTGATCAAAGTCCAATTTTTCACATCTATAAATTTGATATCACGTTTTGATTCTCGTGACACTCTTTTGAAGTAGACAGCGACACGAAAATCGAACGAGCGCCCTCATCTGTTAAAAAGGCTCTGCCAGCTCATTACCAGAGTCTTCCTTAGCTAAAGCTTTTTCTTTAATTCAGTCCTTTGCTTCTGGCTGTTTTCGTTTTGTTCTAATAATTTCGAGATTGTTTTTTGAGTCCTTGTCTTGACACTTTTCTTCTGGTATTTGACTACTCTGAAGAACCATGGCGGTTTCTCCAAACTCCAAAAGTCCTCTTTTCCTAGTCCCAGCTTATTTGCATGAATTTAAATCATATTTGATGTTCAAATCTCGACGACGCTGGAATATAAGTCGTTTGCTTTACCATGCTTCGTCCAGAAGCCTCAGTGTTTATCAAAATTAGAATACCATAAATCAATTGGGTGTGTCGCTCATATCTGGACTGCTCCGCACAGTTCTTGCTCGACATTTCGCGGAATTTTATGAATTGAACCCTCTATAATGAACTCTCCATATCGCTGTTTGTCGATTTAAGAAGCTTCCCGTTGTTCAAATTCGAATCTGAAAACTGTATTTAATCCAGAAGGCCAGGACGCTTTACCCAATGCACTATTTACCAGCTTTTGAACCATAACTTCACATCCTTTACACCTATAGCTCTGGTGTTATATCAAGATCTCTAATTATAAGTGATATTTAACCTTACTGTCGATAAAACTAAACTAACCCTTCTGTTGACAAATCTGGATATATCAACACAAAAGACTGAAAGCAATGGCACAATTGCAACTGGAAACGACTCTGGCACCTCTGCCGGCTACGGAGCGTAATTTCTCGACCAAACTTTCCCATGATAAACAATCCAAATGTATCGGGTATGGATGTGGGAAATCAGCTTATGTTAGATCTCTAGATTCAGATTTTCAAGTCCAGTTTACAGGCCACGGCACGGCAAAAGTGACTGTTGTGCGATTCCAACCGGTTGTGGGGTCTAGATACATATGCTCTGGTGACGATCAAGGTCGTGTGATCGTGTGGGAATGGTTCCCTCCTTCTAAGCAGTCAGATGTTGAAACAGCTGCAGAACCATCAACAATTGTGAGAAGCGAATTCCAAGTACTCTCTGGGCCCGTGACCGATATCAGCTGGGATATGCATGGTCGTAGGCTATGTGTTGTGGGCGATGGACGAGACAAATTCGGAGCTTTTATCTCTTGGGATACCGGGAATTCGTTGGGCGAGCTTAGCGGACCTTCCAAACGTGTCAATGCATGTCATATCAAGCCCAGCAGGCCTATGAGATGCTTCACCGCCGGTGATGACGGCGCATGTGTCTTTTTTGAAGGTCCGCCATTCAAGTTTGCAGGTAGTGACCGCACCCATCATGATCAAGGAAAATTCATCCGTGATATCAAGTTTTCTCCAGGTGCGGGCACTTATGCGATTTCTGTTGGTAGTGACCGGAAAATTGTGTGTTTTGACGGCCGCACTGGTGAATTTATCAAGTATATCGCAGATGAAAACGAAACCGTAAACGGAGGTCATTTTGCAATTGACTGGTTTGATGATGGTGCAGAGTCTCAAAGATTTGTCACGGCAAGTGCAGATGCTGTTGTGAGAGTTTGGGATGTCGAAAAAAATAAGTGCGTTTACAAATGGGCGCTACAACCTACTGTTTCGAATCAATTGGTAGGTGTCACTGTTATTGACGAAAACCACGTCGTTGCTGTTTCTTTGGAGGGTGCACTACATGTTTTCGAAATCGGAGAAGCTTCGCCCATGAAGACAATCTCCGGGCATAATAAAGCCATTACAGCCTTAGTCGCAGCTCCACTTGTTTCCGGATCATACGACGGTAGAATCGTGACATGGGGAGGCGATGGCTCCCAAAGTGCTATCATGGATAATGAGCACAACAATGTGGTCGTAGCAATACAGAACAAGGATGCTATCACAACAACGTCTTGGGATACTACCTTGAGAGCCAATGGCGAGGTGAAGCACACATTCGGATCACAACCGAAAGTTGCTGCAGTCTACGAAAATTCGGAGGCCGTCGTTACCATTACAGATGATCTTGAAATCCTTGACGGAGAATCTGGCAAGGTCGTGGCCTCGAAAAAGTTATTGTCTCCAGCTTCTGCCATAAGCTTGGGGCCAACTTATGTCGCTATTGGATATGAGCAATCCAACAAAATTGAGATTTTCCATGTATCCGATCTTTCTGTGAGCTTTAAAATCCCAACTGTCCTGAGAGCTCAACCCTCCAGCTTATCGCTCTCGCCATCTGAGAAATTTTTGGCAGCTGGAGACGTGATGGGTAAAATATTGTTGTTTGACCTAGAGTCCAAGAGTGTCAAAACGTCCAGATGGGCATTCCACTCAGGTAAAATCACAAGCATGTCTTGGAGACCAACAGGATCCGATGAAGAGGACGATCTTATTGCTACTGCTTCTCTCGATACTCATTTGATGATATACTCGGTCAAGAAACCCATGAAAACTGTGAAGCATTTGAATGCTCATAAAGATGGGATTAATGCCGTTGTTTGGGATGGTGAATCAACGCTCTTCACTGCAGGAGGGGACTCGTGCATCAGAAAATGGAGCTTTGAACCATAGCGTTCAGCATTACACCAGATTTTCTGAAGTCAGAGACACGACCAATGGATAAAGAATATGACAATCGAAAGGAGGCAAAGTATTTCGGACAGATTCGGCAATTGAAATCCTGACGACTCATTTTAAACCAGATGATACAGAACAGAAGGACATGAATTACCTCTGAGCTATACGTTATTCTTCCCCGGTGACAGTAAATTACATTTTTCATAGGAAGTAAAGCTAGTGCCTTGAACGTTTGCGACTAAAGCAAACTGAAAAGGTTTTATAAAGAGACCATTCTCGCTGCAACGGAATCGTTGATCTGGACTAGAGAGTTGAACTATTTGTGGGTTTTATATGGCCTTATAGCTAATGTGACGCTTTATTTCATGGCCATTATATAAATCCTAACGAATATTGAAAGACATAATAAAACAATACCTTCAAGTTCTGGACAAAACAAAGAGAAACCATCAACAAATGGCCGGCACCTCGCCTTCGAGAGCAGCTAAGTCCTCATCTAGAAGAAGATCAACTTCGGCAACCAAAAATGTCGATTACTCGTTAGACGAGGACGATGCAGAACTGAGAGACGATGAAAATGATGAAGATTACAACGAAGATATACCTGATGATGAAGACAACGAGGATGACAACCTCGAACTAGAAAATGAAAAGGGTGTCAGGGGATCGACAAATGGGAGCCGACAGACTTCTCAAGATCCTGGTATGACTTTATCCCGACCATCAGGGCCGTCCAGACGAGGGAGACCACCAAAACGTAAGAATACTGCAGTCGACACAACTTTACCACTTATTGATAGTTCCAAACTAGAAAATGGTGGCACGAATAATAACAACAACGGTGGTGCTCCGAAGCGGCCACACCTGTCATTTCCAGTCGATGAAAACGGGGATCCTCTACCTGTTGTAAATGACGAGTATACGCTTCCTGACGACGCTGAGGGAGACACCAAAATTAATAGAGACGGCGATTTACTGGGTGGACGCCAGTTTTTGGTACGAACTTTTACGTTGTCTTCGCGTGGCGAAAGGAAGTACATGCTTTCGACAGAACCTGCGCGAGCTGTGGGGTTTAGAGACTCCTACTTGTTCTTCCAGTATCACTCAAACTTGTACAAACTGACAATATCCCAGGACGAAAGAAATGACCTCATCCATCGCGGCATAATACCGTACTCGTATAGAACACGCACAATCACTCTTGTGGCTGCTAGGGGAGTTTTCAAGGAATTTGGTGCCAAAATCATTGTTGATGGGAAAAACATTACAGACGATTACTATGCTCAAAGGTTGCGCGACGAGGGCCGAGTTGTAGAGGGATCGTATGCACGGGAACCTCCTGCCTCCTTCAGAGGTGGTGCCAATGGGTTAGCATTCTCACGTTCGGGTTTCAACCCTGCGAAAAACGCTGTTGATTTTTTCGACAAACGCAACCACAACATTGCACCAAGCAGCAACATCAGCTCTACTAATTGGCTCTACCAGCATGCTGCAGCGTGTAGCCGTTTTAACAGCGATTTGTTCTACGACCGAGAAAGAGTGCTTTTGATTGAGCACCAAGGATTGCGTGATTCTTATACAAACACCTTACATCTTCCACAGTCCACGCAATCTACAAAAGTTTTAAGTTACACGCAAGATGCGGATGACAAGCCCGCGGACGGTGGTGTGGTCTATGAAACCATCATAGCAGACAAAGATTTGACACGGAGATGCATTGGCATTAAAGACGTGTCGCTCGATATATTTGAGGACGTGGTAGACGACGATATCAAGCTGGCCATACTCGAACAGCAACAGTTCGAACGGAACAGCTAGTGACAGCTTCCACCTACTGCCGAACTAATGCAGATGTACTGTACTATATTGTAGCTTTTTACGAACTCGACTATAAGCATTATTTGGGAAACTCATCTGCAACTTCAGTCCCGGACAACTACTTCACCTTTCCGTGCTGCCAGCCCAACCGTCAAGTATAACACCTCGCCGAGAATCAAAGAGGTCACTACTCTTTATCAAATCAGACTCAGTTGTTTTCTAATCGGATCGTTCTTTTTTGGGTGGCAAAAGGACCTGGAAGACACTCTATACTCTTGACGACGCAAGATGATAACAGCGCTCCTGCGGAGTCGAGCTAGTTCCACATTATGGTTGAGACCTGGTCTAACTAGAATATCACCACGGTTGTGTATCAACAAATCTAGAGCTGCCCTATTACATTCCAGTTCAAGGGTTTACAAATCCAACTCTTCAGATCAAAGTCACAGCAATGGGGACGCCAAGGATGAAGACGTCGAAAACGTCAAGAAGGAAGTCGAACGTTTCATTCGAGATGCAAAGAATGACACCGCAGAGAATCGTGAAGAGCGTAAAAAAAGACTGGACGATAGTATTAAGAGACTAGAAGAAACGATGCAGCGACAGCAAGACAAGCAACAGCAGGAGGCCCAAAAGGCTCAAGAGACTCAGAAAAACGATGATGTAACAAGCGCTGACAAGTCTGCCCCAAAGGCCTCGGAACAAAAGTCCTATTTCGACGAGGAGAAGGAAGCGTTTGACCAAAATAAAAAAATCAATGATCGCAAGAAAGCGGAAGAAGAGAAACTAAAGAAGATTCTAAATGACCCGAACTCTAATGTTCTCGCTGTGAACATTGGGTTTTTGGAAATCGGCGTTTTGTTGTTTTTGGTGTCGTTTGTTCTGAGTAGAGTTTACAACACGGAAGAACAAAGAGAAATTACGTGGCAGGATTTCAGATCTGAGCTACTTGCAAAGGGATATGTTTCAAAACTTGTTGTGATCAACAAGTCGTTTGTAAAAGTGATTTTGAATGAAAATGGCAAAAACCAACCGGAGCACAGTGGTCATGACTTTTACTTCTTTACCATTGGATCCATCGAAAGTTTTGAGCGCAAATTACAAAAGGCGCAAGAACAGATTGGAATCGCTGAAGACTTCAAAGTTCCTGTCATTTACACTCAAGAAGGTAATTGGGCCAAAGCCATGTATCAAATTCTTCCGACAGCCTTGATGATCGGAGGTTTGATTTGGATCACCAAGCGTTCGGCATCTGCTGCCGGTGGCGGTGGCCCTGGTGGTATATTTAGCGTTGGTAAGTCCAAGGCCAAACGATTCAACAAAGACACCGACGTCAAAATATCTTTTAGAGACGTTGCCGGTTGCGACGAAGCTAAAGAAGAGATTATGGAATTTGTGAGTTTTTTGAAAGAACCCTCTCGCTACGAGAAATTGGGTGCTCAAATTCCTCGTGGTGCCATCCTGTCTGGCCCTCCCGGTACTGGTAAAACTTTAATTGCCAAAGCAACTGCTGGGGAGGCTGGCGTGCCCTTTTTCTCAGTTTCGGGTTCGGAGTTTGTTGAAATGTTTGTTGGTGTCGGTGCCTCAAGGGTACGTGACTTGTTCAAGACTGCCCGCGAGAACGCTCCTGCGATTATCTTTATCGATGAAATAGATGCCATCGGTAAAGCTCGGCAGAAGGGAAATTTTTCGGGTGCCAATGATGAAAGGGAGAACACTTTGAATCAGTTGTTGGTGGAGATGGACGGTTTCACCTCGGCCGACCATGTGGTTGTTCTAGCAGGCACCAACCGTCCCGACGTACTCGACCAAGCTCTCATGCGTCCAGGAAGATTTGACAGACACATCAACATCGACAGACCCGAGCTTGAAGGACGCAAACAAATATTTGGAGTTCATTTATCAAAGATCAAGATCGCTGGTTCTCTAGATGATCTACAAAATCGACTTGCAGCGTTAACCCCAGGGTTCTCCGGTGCTGACATTTCCAATGTTTGTAACGAAGCTGCTTTGACTGCTGCAAGAAATGACTGTTCTACTGTGAAATTGAATCATTTCGAACAAGCGATTGAACGAGTCATTGGTGGCGTTGAAAGAAAATCAAAGCTTCTTTCGCCAGAAGAAAAGAAGATTGTTGCGTATCATGAAGCCGGACATGCCGTTTGCGGTTGGTTCTTAGAATTTGCCGATCCTCTATTAAAGGTGAGCATCATTCCTCGCGGTCAAGGTGCCCTCGGTTATGCCCAATATCTCCCCGGTGACGTTTACCTCTTAAGTGAGCAGCAGCTGAAGGACAGGATGACCATGGCTCTAGCTGGCAGGGTTTCGGAGGAATTGCATTTCCCATCTGTCACGAGTGGCGCTTCGGACGATTTTCAGAAGGTTACTCGTATGGCTACCGCAATGGTCACAGAGCTCGGTATGAGTGACAAGATTGGCTGGATCAATTACCAAAGGAAAAGCGAGAGCGATTTGACAAAGCCATTCTCGGAGGATACTGCTGCTATCGTGGATTCTGAAGTTTACAACATTGTGCAGACATGTCACGACAGGTGCACCGCTTTACTGCAAGAGAAAGCTGACGAAGTGGAGAGAGTTGCTCAACAACTATTGAAGGAAGAAGTGTTGACAAGAGAAGACATGATTCGCATGTTGGGCAAACGTCCATTTTCTGAACGTAATGATGCCTTCGACAAGTACCTCAATGAAAAAGAAACAGAGAGGCTACGGAAGAACGAGGAACGCGATGTTGGAATGAGTGTGTGATAGCCATTCAAGCTGAAAACCTGAAATTTTCGCAACACTGTCTAGTCAAACCAAAGTCTGTTACTCATTGTGACATCTACTCAACAATTACCTGTAAATAGAACATTATAGCACAAGACAAAGGCAACGATTTACAAGTTTTTTTTGGATTGATAGCCTGTGTATAGATCAGGTTAACTGCTATCGCGAGAGGTCAGAACAGGTCAAACGACTTCGATAAATTCCATCGGAATAATTTTGACGATTAATTGATAGCTTCCATCACCAGTTTTTGATCTAATGACTTCGGTCTACTCCGATCAGCATCTTGCCAAGACAATGCCTTCTAAATCGTCCTTATAAGCAGCTTTCCCGCAGCCTGGTGTTGCCGCGTTTGCAAGATAAACTTTTCAAGAAACAGCCATCTTTCGAATTCTGTAAATCTCTTGAGTGTACGGTTCTTGAAGAAGATCTAGTCGAACCGAGCTTTTGACATCGATATGGAAGCAGATAGACAGACTGAAGAAACTGCGCTGCTCTCAAGTGGTAGTGAAAGTACTGGGTCCAAGAATTTTGACTCACTCGAACAGAAATGTCATAACCACAATATGGGCCTAAGCAAAGCGCCCATTTTGATATCGCTCTGGCTTGGATCATTTTTGGTATCAATTGATGGAACTGTGGTGGCCAACATTACCAACGCTATAGCTGCCGAGTTTCAAGAGTCCGACAGGAAACAATGGATCGCAACTAGTTTTCTGCTAACTAACACGGCTTTTCAATGTTTGTATGGTAAATTGTCGGATATCTCAGGAAGAAAATTCGCTCTATTGACAGCACAACTTTTCTTTGGATTGGGTTGCTTGCTGACTTGTTTTGCTCGCAATGTGACTGAATTCTCGTTGGCACGAGCAGTGTGTGGTATCGGCGGTGGTGGAATCAGTGCCATGAGCAGCATTACTGTTAGTGATATTTGCACGGCAAAAGAACGAGGCATGTACCAAGGCTACGCCAATATCGTGTTTGGAACTGGCCAGCTTTTAGGAGCTCCATTGGGAGGGTTTTTGATCACAACTGTAGGTTGGAAACCCATTTTTGCAGTCCAGGTTCCAATGGTTATTCTGTGCATGATTTTGGCTCATCGCAACGTGAACATCGAACTTGCTCACTTGAAACCCCATAATGAGCGGTTCTCGTTCGAAAATCTTTCAAGACTGGACTTGATCGGATCTGCCTCGTTAGTGGCCTCTATTGGAGGGCTCCTGGTTTTGTTTTCGAGCAATCTTGACAAAAAGGCAGTCATGGTGTGCACTGCGTTGAGCTTTGCTCTGTTCGCCTACAATGAAAAGTACTGGGCTCGTGAGCGCATCATTCCATTTGAGCTGTTGCGAGGAAACTTCGGGTTGACGTCTTTGGTCACCGTCGCATCAACTTTTGTCATGTACGGGGACATCTTTAAATCGCCAATCTACCTCCAATTGGTTCAAAACATTTCGATTGCTAAGAGTGGAGTCTTTATTTTGTTTGGATCCGCAGCCACCGCAAGTGCGTCACTTGTTACTGGATACATAACGCGGCATACTAAGATGGACCTTGCTAAATGCTCCTTTTTGATAATCCTAGCTGCCGTTGTTCTGCAATTGGTCAGTACGGTACTGAGTACTGTACTGGTGGCCACTTTGGAGCCAGTACAGACTTCATATGCCGACCACCAAGGTGAACCTGCAAAGATCTTGAGGCTCGAATCCAACGGATTTCTTTGGAAGTGCTTATATGTCTTGGCAACGGTCCTCAATAGCTTCGGGTATGGCAGCTTACTAGTTTCAGTTCTGGTGAGCATTGTGTTCACGGTGCCCAAGTCACAACAGGCAACACTCACGGGCATTTTCTACCTGTGGCGATCCATTGGCGGCGTTTTGGGAACGTCAATAACACTAACCACATATGATACAACCCTCAAATCCAAATTGTGGTCCTACATGAGCACACATGGCCTATCAGAGTTTTACTCAAGACTACTGCGGGACTCCGGGTATTTGCGAGCGCATTTTTCGGGCAAGGTACTTGATTCTCTTTTGACGATCTACCGCGAGTGTTTTGCGTGGTCTTTCGGCCCTAACCTCATGCTAGGAACTATTTCGTTTGTGCTGGGACTTATTCTGGTAATCGCGTCGCGGAAACCTGAGCATTAGGAGAGGTGGCAGGGAGATGAGGCAAAAGGTGTGAGATTGGATCAGTGCGTGCATCGTATGCGAGCAACTGGGAAAAATTGATACCCAACTCTTCGCATTCTTTTGCACATCCGTCGAAGACAAAAGCGTCGTATCTGTACCCAAGAAACTGCATAATCACGACATTTTTGAGTTCTTGCGACATTGCTTCTGATGCCAGAAACAATCTGATTGCGAGCGCCATGGCTTTGCTACACACCTCTACGGGAACTCCGGCGTACCCTGTTGCCAGACCCGGAACCACCAGAACGTGCGTATCCTGGGGTGCGTGCAGAAAAACGTTCCACAGCGTGTTGAATACGAGGCTGTATCCGGTTTCCACGGGTCTGGTCGCATCATATATTTTACGCGAAGGTGCTACCATTGTTGGAGCATGGATTACGCGGGAAATCCCGTTTCTACTCCATTCAGTGCCCAATTCCACCACGGTGGTCGTTTGCACTGGTTTGTAGCCTGCTGATGATCCCATTCGAAGCTGATGTCTAAAGAATGACTCGAATTGTGGTCCTCCGAAGAACACCTTCAATGCCAAATCAAACCCACCGCCGAGCCATCCAAATGAGTTTCCAGGAGAAACAATTGCGGCTTTCTTCGTCTCACTCACTCCCATCGAACTAAGATCAATACTATCTAAAGTATCTGTACTTATCTTTACACACTTCAAATCGCCTAAACTACGTTTCCAACATTCAACAAGCTCGATGTTCGTGTCCAGCAACACAATGCGACGAATCATTGGTCAAGTTCACCTCGCTTGAGCTTACTTTCTGGTCAAAACTTGAAGATGTTGTTGATGATGATGTTTTCAAGATAATTCTACATCTAAATTGATGATTTATAGACATCTAACTTCAAGAACTTGAAGAAAGTCAAAATAGCATCAATTGCATCGCTTTTATCGCTATTCTAAGGCCTCTGATAGCATAAGCACACTTGGGAAAGCTACAAGCCATATTTGCATTCGGTTTGGACAATCGAAATAAGAACGGAAAATGCTTCGACGCCAGTTAAGCAGTTTATCTGGACGAATACAGTCAATTCCAATGGCTCCTCCAGATAAAATTTTAGGTCTGACAGAGCAGTTTAATGCTGATAAGAACTCGAATAAGACCAATTTGACGGTGGGTATTTATAAAGACAACTGGGGCCATGTAACGACTATGCCAAGTGTTGCCAGAGCTCAGGCAATGCTGGATCAAAGTTTTGAGATGAACACAGATCTGTCGTATTTGCCTATCAAGGGCTGTCCCGACTTTCGAGAAAACGTTTTGAGGTTCTTATACCGCGAAAGCTGCCCGCAAGGCGTAGAATTTTTAAACCAGGAACGAATCAGCTTCGTGCAGACGCTTTCTGGAACCGGAGCGCTAGCCGTGGCGTCGAAACTGCTTTCGTTATTTATGTCCCATTCCGTGTGGTTCCCCAATCCGTCGTGGCCAAACCATGCGAACGTTTTCCAAATCAACGGTTTCAAAAACGTCCACTACTACTCCTACTACAAAAATGGGCAACTGGACGTTGACGGCTGGATTCTGGACTTGGAAAAAGCCGCCAAGAAAACCACCGACAGCTTTCCCTCTTGCATAGTGCTGCATGCGTGCTGCCACAACCCTACTGGACTTGACCCAACGCTCGAACAGTGGACTCGCATTTTGGACAAAATTCATGAGCTTAAAATGATCCCCATCCTAGACATGGCCTATCAGGGTCTCGATACAGGTGATGTGTACAAGGACGCATATTTGCTACGTTTGTGCTTGGACGAAAGTCGATACCAGTGGTCAAACGGACTATTTCTATGTCAGTCATTTGCCAAAAACATGGGTCTTTACGGAGAGCGGGTAGGCTCTCTCTCCGTTGTCACACCAAAGGGTGGAGACGAAAAACGTAATGTCGACTCTCAGCTCAAGAAAATCGTGCGCGGTATGTACTCCTCGCCTCCAGGTTACGGCTCAAGAGTAGCCAATATCGTCCTGTCCAACCCACACCTGAAAAATCTATGGTTTCAAGACGTGGAAAACATCGCCAAGAGATTACAGTCTGTCAAGGCCAAGATGGCAGAGCGCTTGGATTGGGAATCGCTTCAAGATCCTACTCGCCAGCATGGAATGTTTCTCTACACTGGACTGAATCCATCGGACGTTGATACCCTGAGAGAAAAATTCTCGATCTATTTGGTACAAGACGGACGGCTGTCTTTAAGCGGTTTGAATGATTCGAATATAGACTACGTTTGCGACGCCTTGCGCAAGCTCAAAAATTGAGAGAAGCAGAGGCCTTTTAAAGTCATGGCGTTCTTTTATACTGGAACGCATTGTTAATTAAGTAATTATAGGCTCTATTCTATCGTCGACTTTTATTTCTTTCTACCAAATAGCTTTTTCAGCTTCTTACCAAAGCTCTGCTTTTTTATCGGTTTGCCCTCCTCATGCCCTCCTCCTGGAGGAAGTTGTTCACTCAAAAAGCGGTTACTCAAGTTATTGTCAGTCTTTGCTGGTGAGGCTTTAACGGTACTGCTCGCAGACCTGAGAGACAGAGAGCTGAATTTTTTATTGGGTGTATTGTGTTTCGAATTTGGAACAGATGCAGACTGGGCGTAACGGGGTTGTGGTGGCTCAAACACGGCCGTGTTTTTGTTCTTTTTTGAGAACACACCCGTTTTTGCAGGAGGATTGACAGCCGCTACCCGTGGCGGTGGAAGCGCGGATCCTTCGTCTTCAGAATCGGAATCTTGGAATCTCGAGTTCCATTTCTCGCCCGAGGAAAGAGCCGCTTGAAAAGGTATGCTAGCACCTTGCCCTTTCGTCGGCGTAAAACTAGTATTGTTAGCGGCAGGCGCGTCGTCATTCAGTATATCAGCAGTTGAGTCTCTAAGTGATAGTTTCTTAAAACCCATGTGAGATTGATTGGGTCTTTCTCTCTCAAAGCTCGAACGCTTCTGTGGTGGCTCTGGTGGGTAGAAAATTGAGTCAGTATTACGAGACTGTCCCTTCGCTCCACCAGCGGCTTTGGTCCTTGTGTTCTTTCTTGATGAGTCCGGACGCCTTTGAGATCTTGCAGGCGGCTGGATTTCCGATTGCGGCAGTGATTGAAATGAGTGATGTTTTTGTTTTGTTGTCTCGTCCCTTTTCAAAGCTTTTCCATTTGTCATAGACTGAGGTCTCGCTTTACGCACAGATGGTTGACGCTTGTTCGGCTCATTGGCCAGCTGCGCGTTCAGCCTCGTGTTTTGTGCTGTTGCTAAGGACACATAAGCGTCATTGGCGGTGGAATTTGAATCGTGATGGTAATGGTCGTTACCAGAATTGTTGCTTGTAGACCGCTTGAGCGCTGATTTCATTGGAGAAGCATTTCTCCCTGTTGAATGTGGATCGTGGGGGGCGGTTAACGCTCCATCATTACGGCCCACCAAAGTGCTGTCTTGAGAACTCGCAGTCTCATCACTGGTTGCTTCATGAGCTTTGTTCAGGTATTTGTTAGCAGACCTAATGTACTTGGCCATACTGTTGCCTGATTCTCCCTGTTCTTTGATGACATTTTGGCTAGGAGCCGAATCCGGCTGAACTTGTTCAGATACTGGAGTCGCACCTGCCATATTGTCTTCATTGATGACATCCTCAACTGTTTTCATAGGTGCAGGTGCATCGCTAGTTGTACTCGCAAGACCTGGGCTCGGAACGACACCAATTTGAAGTTCGTCCGAGATCTCCTCACCTGGAGGCGAAATTAGGATATTTGGTGGTGATGGAGGTGTGTTGTTCTTGGACTGAACCGTGTTGGAAGTCTCTAGCGCCACAGAATCCAATTTGGATGTCTCTTTCTTGGGTCTAGACGAGTTTGATGCTGACGAAGGCATCACTATGGGGTTGACAGTATCTTTAATGGCACTATCATTTTGAAGCTGCTCGTCTGTTTCTTCTTTGAAAGAATGTTGCAGCAACGTGTTACGAGTGTTTGAGTTTCGAAGTGGACTACTTGGAGTCTCGGACTTTTGACGCACAGCAACCTTTTCTTGTACAATGGCTCTTGAGTCTGAAGACTGTGAGTTGAGTGACGATTTACGCCGCATGGAGTTGTTTCGCAAAGAACTGCTACGCAAAGATTCATTGCGGGAATTGAGAACACTAATGAGTGAAGGTGAACGTCTGGTGAGGCTTGAGCGCCTACTAGAAGGTGGCTTCACATCTGTAACTGGAACTTCGACCAATTTCAACCCTGTTGGCCCCGGCACGTATTTTTTGACTGTCGCCGGCTTTGTTTGTGCTTGTGGCCCACCAAATTGCTGAAATGTGTCTTGCGCGTCGAAAAACTCACTTTCGTCAATACTGTTCCTAACTTTTGGCTTGTATCCTTGCAAACTCGACGCGCGAACCGAATTCCGCTTGGTGCGTAAGCTATTTTGTCTACCACTCATTGACATCGAGCGCACCATTGAATTTGAACGTGAGGAGCTATTGTAGCGCGGTAACTTGTCTGCTTCCACCCGGGTTCCCCTGTTATCAAGTGCTCTCCCAATGGCTGCTGCAGCAGCCATCGCCTCTGAATCTATTGCCTTGCTTTCCCGCGACCTTCTGGAGTGTAACATTCGTTGTGATGTGCTTGCAGAGACCCAGCTGATGGTTTTGAAGTTGTTGGTTTGAAAAGGGGAGAAGCTGTGGGAAGTCAAACTTCGACGAAACTTTTTGCAGTTAACCGAAATAATCAAAACCAAACTAGTGTTGACGGGAGAATTGCAAAAGCGTGACTAGCGCGTGAATCTGGCGTGACAGAAATGTAAGATGGCTCTCATGAGAGCTAGAAACTCCCAACTTGAATGATTGTGAAGACACCTTTTTGTTGCCTTTATTTTCTTGTAGTGTGATTGAAACAGACGGTAAGGCTTTGTCTCTTTGTTTTGACCGGTAAACCTTGATCTTTTGATCGTGATTTCTTTGAGCGAGTCAAAATCGAGGCTTCTTCAACTCAAAGAAAAGTGCGGCATTCTGCTAGAGAATGGCTTTTTAGGAGCTTGACACGCTGGGCTATACTTTTCATAATGTAGATTTGACAGATTTCATTTCCGGGGGACTTTGTAGACCTCGAATATCATCCTTATAACCTGCTTTTTGGAAACTGAACAAAACGTTGTCGGTTGGGACCATTGGAAAGCCTTTTTGAGATGTAATCAGCGTTCTTGACACTTAGGTGATCTTGCAATCAAAATCAAAGCTTTTGTCGTAAATTTTTGTAATCATTTAGGCCTGCTCACTAGCTTTCTATGCAGTGTAGAGGTGAGATCAAAAAGATGTCTGGGGTTCCTAAAATGACGTCAAACTGCCATCTAGAGGAAGAGCGACTAGAATTAGGATCAAAAGTAAACGGGTCACTAACATTTTTCTGCCATCCTATCGAAGTTCCCATTTTTTTTGATCAAATCACACATCATTTGAATCATTTGACGTTAAGTGAAGCTCAACATCTCTACCAGAATTGTTTCTCGCTTTTCCATCGCACAGGTCATATCTTTACCATCTCCAGAATCCTTAAATCACACAGCTCGATATTAAAATCTACTTGTATCTTTTGAAATTCACAAAATGAGCCTTGTTTTCAAAAACAATTAGCCGCCAAAGGTAAAACAGCTCAAATTTTCATCAGTTCGCCAACCTTACAGAAAAGCTACCAGCATCTTCAGACGGCCAGCAAATATGTAGTAGTACAAAAGCACCATAAAAGACTCCACGTAGGTGCTCTGTTCATGTATTCTTGTGGATGTGTTACTGCTACATATCTTAAAGGTTTAATTTCTGATTTGTATTTAAATACTCGAGATGTGCCGTACATAGCGCGATGTGGTAAAGAGTACACCCTTCGTTAAAAGAATGCTTTCCCTGTGAGCATTGCACTAGAGTTGACTAGTGTTTCTTGCCAAAGAGTTGAAGCGGAGCCTTGCTTCTTTGAAACATCTAAATTTCATAATTTCTTGATAATTCTGAGTTCGTTACCGTAGACAGTCTTCATTCGTCTTACGTCCAATAATTGGCCAATAACGGCATGAATTATCAATCGTTTTGGTTTCCTCGATAACAATTTTACACCACAGATCCCTATGGATTTACTGAGCGCTGCTATTTATCCTTTTGTTAAGCAATTTTTTCGCTTTTTATGCATTGGAAGGAGTATCTTGATGTTGATACAACAAGTTCACTGAGTTTTAGCAACGTCGTATTTACTCCACGGTGACCGATTTCGCCAGGTTTCTTGGGAAATCAACGTCGATGTTTTTGTTGACAGCAAGCCAGTAGGATGTAAGTTGCAGTGGGATAATGTTTAGCAAACCTTGCAAACAGTCAACGGTAAGTGGGACCTCTAAAGTGACAAGACTTGCGTTCTTGGCCTTTGCGTTCCAAACCTCATCGTTCTCGTTGCAAATAATAATAGGACGCCCCTTTCTGGCAACAACTTGTTCGATTGAAGAAACAACTTTGGGAAATAGCGAATCTCTTGTTGCAAAAGCAATGATTGGTAGCTCCTCGTCAACCAAAGCGAGTACACCATGCTTTAGTTCTCCAGCAAGAACACCCTCGGAATGCATGTACGAAATCTCCTTAATTTTCAAAGCACCTTCCAGGGCCGAGGCAAACTGGTATCCTCTGCCCAATAGCAGAAGGGACTTCTGATCCTTCAATTCTGTGTTGCACAGATCTTTGATAAGAGGTTCCAATTTCAATACGGTTTTAATCTGTTCAGGAATATGCCTTAGGCCTTGTATGATCTCTTTTCTTCTTTCAATCTTGGACACTCTGTCGTCCGACAAGGATAATGCAAACATCACCAGAGCGATGTACTGCGAAGTGTAGGCCTTTGTGGAGGCCACACCAATCTCTGGGCCTGCATTAATGTGTACACCACAGTGGGTAACTCTCGAAATCGAAGAACCAACGCTGTTCACAATACCAACAGTCAAGGCACCTCTCTCCAAGCAGTATTTGAGGGCAAGCATTGTGTCTGCAGTTTCACCACTTTGGGATACAAACACGGCGACGTCGTCTCTGAAGACAGGGGTCTTACGATCCAAGAAATCAGAGGCCAGTTCGACACTCACAGGGATTTCCGAAAGTTCTTCGAAAATAGCTCTGGTTGCCAAACACGAGTGATACGAAGTACCGCACGCGATCATGATCAATCTACGTGCCCTTCTAATCACGGGCAGCCAAGCGTCCAGTCCACCGAGCTTTACACTGTTATGGTCGAAGTCCATTCTACCTCTCATGGTGTTGAAAGTGGAGTCTGGCTGCTCGAAGATTTCTTTCTGCATGAAATGCTTGTAAGGACCTCTCATGATTTGAGCAAGCTCCAGTTCCAGAGTTTGAATAGATCTTGTTGCAGACTCGCCCATTTTGCGTCTGGATCTGTGGATATGCAATTCACCGTCGTAAATGTGAGCAATATCGTCATCTTCTAAGAACAGCACTTTCTTGGTGTGTTTGACAACAGAGGCAGCATCAGAAGAAACGAAAAATTCAACTGGGTTGGGTGCACCGTCTTCGGACAAAAACGCGCGTGATTGCGAACGTCTTAGTGCCGATTCGTTTGCAGCAATGGGCAAGAAGCTACGTTGTTCCCCACGAACAGTGTTGATGGGCACCTCTGGTTGAGCGTCTTCGTCCGAGTCTGGGAATTCTACGTCGACAAAGTCGACTTTCAGCTTACGCTCGGACTTGACGCCGATCAACAGCGGAGAACCCTTACGCGTGGCAATTACCTCATTGGGGTAGTGCACAGATCTGCACAGCAGCCCGTACGACCCGTCTAATTCCAGCAGCACTTGCATTGTGAGTTCGTGGAAATCGACATCCACGCCGTTTGCCACGTTCGTGTCGTACAGATGCTTAAAAAGCTTGGCAATGCACTCCGTGTCTGTGTCAGACTCGAAATGGTAGCCCTTGTTGGCCAACAGCTGTTTGAGCTCCCGGAAGTTGGTGATGATACCATTGTGTACAATCACAAAATCGTTGTGGGAGTCAGACCGCTGGGGATGGCAGTTCACCACTTTGGGCTCACCGTGGGTGGCCCAACGAGTGTGGGCAATACCGCAGTGCGACACAAAGGTGGCTTCGCGTTCCGGTTGCTGTTTTTCGATCTCTTTTTCCAGCGCTGCCACTTTACCAATCTGCTTGTATATAAGTGTAGAGTCTGGCTCATCGCCGTCGATGGCTATACCGGTGGAATCATAGCCACGGTACTCCAGTCTTTGCAGACCTTCCACTAGGGTGTCGATCACCTCCCCACGCGATTTCTCGACCAAATAGTTGCAATATCCGAAAATACCACACATTTTGCCTTGTTTGAACCCACTTCAGTTGTTGTTAACTTGAAAACTCGAAAATGGTCGGATTTGCTTGCTTTCTTCACGCTTTTCCCTTAATATGGCCGTCCCAAATCGAATGGTGAATTCAATGACAAGCCTTTCAAGCTGAGAAGACCTTAAAGTTACGTTTTAACTTAGAATTTGATTTCGCGTCTTAGTGTTATTCAACTTTATATCTCGACGGATTTTTATTTTATACATTAGCATCAATAATAATTATATATTTCACAATTACTGTATTTACAGTCTGTTTTAGGTATCTACGTGGTAACAAGACGAAGATGAAAAAAATTTGGTGAAATTTTGAAACTTTCAGTTTAGAACGTGATCGAATCTGGAGAATTGGCGGTATACGCGGCATTATGCGATTGTTTGTCTATTTTTAGGGCGTTTTAGTATGTGAATTTTGAATTTAGTTATGTAGGCAACAGGGTCCATGTAAAGAATTTATTTATAGTGTTGTGCGGCGAGAGAGAGGGAGTTTGGTGAAGAAGAAGATGCGATCTTGGGAGAGAGACTTCATGTAGCTCACGTTGCAGAAATCGAGATGATCCAGAGTGTGAGTGGATGAGAGTTCTTCGGGAATCGAGAATCGTGCGATGAGCTTTTCTCGAGAAAGAAAAAGTACTCGAGTACACGGACCGTTTTAATATGAAAACTTTGGTTTGGCCACTGGAGTCTAAGGGAGGAGTGAGAACTTCTATTAGTAGATGGAGAATGTGAAGAATTAGGTGGTTTAAAAGGGTTCCGGAAGAGATGAAGAATTGTTATGTTCAGAGAAAGAGCGATTTTTGGACTATGTCAATAGGCACCATGTGACTTAATGACAGATGTCAATTTAATGACTAAAGTGATAAGAAAAAAGCGGGAAATGAGTGGAATGAAAGAGTATACATCTTATTCTCGCCGATTGATATTTAGACCACAAATAAAGTCAGTATGTAGTTTCCAGTACATTGAGGACTGTCCCGTCATAGAAAAAGAAAAAAGAGACTCGCATATGCTTTTATACGAAACCCCCTCTAATAGTGCTTTAATTGCCAGATCACTATAAATAGTGGTAAACACATCAACGACCGAAAATTCCAAGATTGAGAACCCTTCGACTCTCTGATGTCCATATCTTGGGGGGTCAAACCCGTGCTCTCCCACCGAAACATATGTCTGATTCGCTTCAAATTAATCCGGCCACATATTTAGTGATCCATCAAACACGTGACAAAGTGACAGCGACAGAATTTGAAACTCGAACAGTTGTTGACGTCGCTCTCACGAATGGTGGAAATAGTCCATCACATAGGTGAGTTGTAGCATCGAGTACTGCGCGAGACTGCAGAAAACCAGTGAGTCATACGAAAGATTAATCATTATCTGCCAACCTACAAGACCGCTGTACTATGGCACACTACTCAACAGCTCAGTGGAGAAAGAAACCCAAGCCTATAATGATGCAGCAAGTAACTCACAATTTGGAATATTTGCCGCACTAATACACTTCAGGGATCCTACTTGAGTATCATAATGAAATCCACAAAAATTAAAGCCACATGGCTTTTAATGGCAACAATACGGGTTCTGAGTGTCAATCAAATTGAACTACAATCCCAAAATCTTATAGCTCAATTCTCTATTGGACCAAGCACTATCACTCAGATAACTCCAATAATAAGTGATCTATCTAGATCACCAGTCTTCAGTTGTTTGCGGATATTTTATACTCATCATCAATATCTACTCACAGTAGTCACACAAATCCAAGAGTCAAACATATATCAGAGGTACGGAACGCGCGCTCACTCCCGGTCACTGAAAGAGTAGCAATTACTCTACTCACTCTATCAAAAATCTGATCAAGACAACCCTCCATTGCCAATTTTCTTGGTATCAATGCGACCCTGCCACCCTTTACTTTTGAATCTTCCAGCCATTTGACTGGTGCCTGCAATACGTGACCGTTTCTCCCCCATGAGCTTCACGCTTGCAATCTTTCAGCCGCTGCGAAAGGACATCAGCTCGTCTGTTTGGACATTCAAAAATCGTCTTATTATGTGGTTACAAAATTCTTTTCTGCTGCACTACGCCGGCTTCATTTTCCATCAAAGGTCCCCAAAGCTGTCGTAGACAGATCTCCAGTTGGCAAAGAATCCTTTGAAAAACTTTATGGCCAACCCAACATCTTTTGAACCAGTAGCTGCTCTTATACTATGCATTGCCAGTTGAGGAATTCCTAAATCAATTGTTCTGGCACCTGTTTGGGATGCAATCGATGGGCCGATAGTCCCTCCCGACCTTGAGTTGTTTTTTATTTGGAAATACTGAACCTTGTCACCGTTCAATCTGGCCAACTCCTCGGTGAATGCAACTCCTACCACATCGGTCGACATGTGCAAATTTGAATCCAGCGAGAGAGCAACACCGACATTGGGCTTGGGTCTATGATGCTCCAAATACACCGACTTGAAATTGGGGTTGAACAAGTGGTTCACATCGGCAGACAAGATAATCGAGTTCGCAAATGTTGTCCGTAGAATTGAAGAATCATTTCCGTGAAGACTTGTGGCCACTCTTTGCACCACACTTTCCAGGAGACCGCCTTTGGCGCCCTGTCTCGAGAGAGAGCCAACTTCTTCGTTGTCATACAGAACAACAACGTTGAATGCCCCCGATGGGATTGAGCCCTCTTTGGAAAAATCAATCAACGACTGGAGTGCGGTAAAACTGCAAATGCGATCGTCAATGCGAGGTGCAAACAAGAAATCATTTTTCAAACCTCCCAAAGTACCCTTTTGAACATCAAACAGGTCAAGGTCCAATTGCACAATCTGGCTGACTTTCACTTTGGCCAACTCCGCAATGTATCTTAGAAGCCCAATAGGATGTTTCCCAAAAAGAGGGGACTTAGACTCGTCCTCGTGGTCTCCGCCTTCATCGGTTTCATCGGGTGATGAATAGCCAATTACTGGCACCGCTTGGTCTTCTTTATCAAAAGGTCCAACTGCAGGCTCACCGAAATGCACGGCAAGCGAAGGAATTTTGGCGATAGGTTGAGGACTGGAATTGATCAAACGAGACTCAATTTTGCCGGACGACGTGTCCTTGACGAGCACTCTGCCACCGATACCCAAGTCTCTGTCAAACCAAAATGTATTCAACGTTCCGCCGTAAGGTGCCACGCCCAATAATTGGTATCCTTCAACGTCGTCCTTTTGAGAAACGGGTTTCAATTTAACCGCTAGGGCGTCAATATGGGACCCAATGGCCCCAACACCGGACTCGTACTTCCAGTCTTCGCCCAGAATGAAAGCTGCCAGATTGGTGCCATTTCTGATGGTGTAGTACTTACCACTTTTAACATCACCCCAGGCAGACTTTTCGCTCAGGTAAGTGAAGCCAGCTTCGTCTAGTTTTTTGGAAAAATATTCCACGACATGATAGATGGTTGGACTTTCATAAGTGAAGTCGATATAGTCTTGACTGCTTTTTTTGAAGTAGTTTTCCTTATTGTTCTGTGAGCTTAGTGGATTCGATGTCTTTGAAGAATTCAACGCAAGAGCGTCACCAGAACCGATAACTTGTTGTTGTTGTAAGGATAAAAGCTCCAGAGTCTGTTTCAACTGTGCCAATGCTTCCTGAGTAGAGTTAGGCATATTTGGTGATACACTTCAGTAGTGATAGATGGCTGGTTATTTCAAGAAGATACAGAATGCTGGTTATAAATAGTGAAATTCATGTCAAGTAGCTTCATCCTTTTTATATGTCGAAAAAGGAGTAGAAGCTCGTTCACGGCACCCCTTACGGGCCCTTACGGGAAGCAAGCGGAATGTTTACGTTTACCGTACAACCTTACGGAGATTGTTGTTGGTCAACATAGGCCGTGCTTACTGCTGGGTTGACGATAGTCAAGATGAGATAGCTATTTGAAGAATTCCGAAGGAAAAACAGTGAACGAAGGATATGTGTCAAAGTACCCACAGAGATAGACGGGATTGGCAAGAAGTGCTATCAGTGGAGCGTATTCTCAATTCTTGATTTGTAGGACAGTGTGACTTAGTAAATGCTGGCGATTAATGCTGTGTTCTTTGTCAATACCACGTCGAGGTGAAAGTCAAGACAGAAAATTTCAGATTGAGCGTATGCTAGAAGGAGCCCCAATTGTGTCTTTGAAGGGCTGCTTGGACCTTGACATTGGCGGTTTTGTGTGGATATTAAAACGATTGAGAGCGTCAGCGATAATTAGTGAAGAGGCAAGATGTTCTTAAGGTGTTGCACCAACAATCAGCCATTGGTAGTAGCGACAGAACTTCTCTTGAATTGAAAGCGATTGTCTGGCTTATAATCGGGGGTCTTTGAGATTGCTACACGCACAGTTGAGGAATCAAGAGAATTGGTCGTCAATTGTGAAGAAGTATGATGTCTTAAGGTGGAATCATATACCTGATGGCTTTTAAGTCTAATCACAGCATCGCCACGCTTCCGATTGTCAGTTGAAACTATGGCATCAAGTTTGGTAGCACACTCGAGAGTGCCAGCGGTCAAAATGACTTCGAGCACAATCATTGTGCTGATTGCATAGCTGGTCAATAAAACTATACATCAGCAAATGAGAGCATCAGCGATGGTCAGAGTTAAAGAGGCTTCGAAGTGAATTGACTCAATAGAGCTCCAGCAATCGTGGGGAAAGTAATAGAGATGATCACAAGTATTGCTGAAGTAATGATGTATTCTCGGTTGTAAATTGTCACGATGGCTATAAGCAAGCTTGAACAGGTGAGACCTTGACCACAAGCATTTTTCGTTCACCCGAGCACGGAGATCGAATTTCGGATTTGAGCGTCAATACGCACGCAATTGAGGTTTATATGAGCTTTGCCTCGCCATTCCCAGCCAAAATACTAACAATTGATAGAGGAACGATGTATACGTCTATCAAATGTTCAGTTTTCTACTAATAAGAAACTGTCTTGGCACCTCTTTCAGGTGAACATGGATCGGTGGAAACTCAAGATGAAGTCAAAAGAATGGAATGGAAAGCACAAGCAACTATGGAAAGCACAATTCAAAAGATACCTAGTATACAATGTCATCAGTATCCTCATCAAAACATTTGTCGTCAGACCTGGTACAAGTGTCGTCAGTCAAAAGACACGTGACATCAATAGTCACGAGGCTATTTTCTTCAAAACCTGGAAATATCTTCATTGGCGAGTTTTCCCATGATAACGGCCTCTTTGTAAAACTTTCGTTGCTTTCTGCTGCTTACTTTGGTATCCCTTGCCATATCTGAATAACATGTAACTGTGTACGAAAACTTTTCCGACCTTGCCAAGTTTCCGTTCTCGTATCAACCAAATCATTTGGCCCTCTCGAATCATTCTAAGCACACCATAATCCTTGCCATTTTAACACGTTACCTACCACTTCACAACCGTTAACGCTAGGCCCATCTTCACATATTTCACATATTTCATCGTTTCGTCACAAATGCCATCCGGAACGCGAAATTTTTGTCCCCTGTTCGAGTCCTGTGATATGCCTATTTTTGAAAAAAATTGGAAATTCAAAACGATCAAAAGCCACAGGCGTCCCAAGACTAGCACAAGTATTTTGAAACAGTGTGCCAAACTCAGTGCCGAATCCTCTAAGAGCTAAATAAAATCTTGCTCGTCTTGCTCAGCGATTTTGGATCGAAATCATATGTTGCACGTGACTTTCTCACTGTTTACATCTCAATTTCGTATCCCACAAACAAATAATTCGCGTTCTGGATATTCTCATCAACAAAACAACAACATCCATCACTACCAAACTGTTCCCACTTCTTCCCATAGTGATATCCACAGCCAATGTTGATGGCTCAGCAAGCAGCAATGGCAGCGGCTGCCCCAACTGTGCACATAGATCGAGTGGTCCATTCTGTGACAGATGCGACAAAACGGCTTTCGCAGATTTCTTCAAGTACTACAAACACGACAACACAGTCATCAAAACGGCGTTCCAGAGATACGATTGGCCCGTGGAAGCTTGGCAAGACACTCGGGAAGGGTTCCAGCGGCAGAGTACGGCTGGCAAAAAACATAGACACCGGAAAACTCGCTGCCGTGAAAATTGTACCCAAGACTCGAGCAGCCAGGCAAAATGGCGGCGGGGCATCGCCATACGGAATCGAACGTGAAATCATCATTATGAAGCTAATTTCACATCCCAATGTAATGGGACTGTACGAAGTATGGGAGAACAAGTTTGAGCTGTTCTTGGTGCTTGAATACGTTGATGGAGGCGAATTATTCGATTTTCTCGTTTCGCGCGGCAGACTACCTGAAAAAGAGGCAATTCACTATTTCAGACAAATTGTAGAAGGAACAGCGTACTGTCACGGCTTTAACATTGCTCATCGCGATTTGAAGCCTGAAAACTTGCTGCTAGACAAGAAAAACAAACGCATCAAAATCGCAGACTTTGGGATGGCCGCATTACAAACCTCAAACAAGCTTTTGGAAACGTCATGCGGATCTCCACACTACGCGTCACCCGAGATTGTGATCGGTAAAGCTTACAACGGTGGTCCCAGTGACGTGTGGTCGTGTGGGATCATTCTATTTGCGCTGTTGACCGGACATCTGCCCTTCAACGACGATAACATCAAACGCTTGTTACTCAAAGTTCAGTCTGGTAAGTTCCAGATGCCACAGTCCATATCGGATGAGGCCAAAGATCTGCTATCGAGAATTTTGGTGGTGGATCCTGCAAAGAGACTAACCATCAACGAGATTTTATTCCACCCTTTGCTTGCAAAATATAGCAGTAAGCGTACCAAGTCAAGTTCAGATCTCCGCATTCTAGATCGGCCATTACCACAAGTCGTTGCCCTCAACAGCGAAAAGGACGTGGACCCTACCATTTTGCAAAACTTGCAAATATTGTGGCACAGTGCTCCAAAAGCGCTTATTTTGAAAAGACTGATGGACCCCAACCCCAACGAAGAGAAAACTTTTTATGCCCTTCTAATGGCGTATCAGCAAAGACAATTAAACAACCACAATGAGGCACCCGCAATCAGTGCGCCAAAAATAATGCAGAGATCTCAATTTAGTGTTCCTTCCATCAAATCACAGACATCTCCAAGAAAGGCACATATTGCTTCTTCCTCTCGCGTTTTCAAGTCAGCGTCAAAACAGAAAATGAAGGCTTCAACTTCCAAAAAGTCGTTGCATTCTTCTACGTCAAAAAAATCTCTTGATAGGATCCCAAATTCAGCGTCACGCAAGTCGATGAAAAGTAACTCAGCAAAAACTTCGGTGCCTCCCCTTCCTTCAAGACAATCATTGTATTCGCTCAATTCAATTTCCAAGAGGTCGGTCAACTTAAAGGATCATTTGCATGAGAAGGAAGTGCCTCCAATGCCTCTTCAGTCGGAATTTGAAACTCTTTGCGAGGAAATCTTATTTGGCGATAAGATTCATGAAACAATTCAAGAAGAGGACACCAGTGACACGCTGGACACTGCCCGTGATAACTCTAGCCGAACCTCAACAGAGGACGATAGAAATAAATCAGATGAAAAAGAGAATAGCCTATCGCAGGACGAAAAGAGAGCTGCTCTCCCACCGGTGTCTAAAATGAAACACACTCATTCCAGCCGCAATCTTAGAATCACCTCTGCCCCATCTGGTCAGCAGAATAACGAATTTTCACTGGATCCTCGAAGAAACGTGTCACAACCAAACTCGATCGAGATGTTACTCAACAAATACAATATTCGTGCCCGTCTTAAATCTAAGACTGACTTGAAAAATCTGAGGAACAGTGGAAATTGGCAACATGCTGCGCTCGATCTTTCAAAGCCTTCAGACTCGCCTGATACGACCGGTACCGAAAGTAAGCGTACGGTGCGCCCCACTGTGGCACCGTCTGATGATTCATCCGCTGTATTAGCTCAATCGACGACATTGAGACCGAAGCAAAATCAGGATGGTCTTTCGGCCGGTCCACAGCAATCGCGGAACGTTTCAGGAGGTTACAGGACATCCGCATCGTCGCCCTCTACAACATTTAGTAGCTCTGCGACTCTCAAAAACCTCAAACAATTTCTGCCAGGAAAAGATGATTCTGCAGCCGATGAGTCTATCATCCATCATCCTATTAGGGGCTCAATGAAATCAGAAAACGTCCGCGCTTCGGCCAAGCCCTCTTCCAATAACTCTGCGCTTGCAGCAAACCTTTCTGGACAAAGTGTATTACGCAAGTCAAGCAAGGCTAGCAATTTTGATGGCCGCTCTGATATACTCTCAGACATGTCCTTTGCAATGGATATTCCTCTGAATACTTTTACGGCACAGGCTTTTCGTATCTCTGCTGAACGTTCCCCAGAAAATGACGACAATCGCGAGAAACCTATTTTGCATCAAGGAGACGTGGCAGAAGAGGATGAGATTAATATTTTCGAAGATGCGACTTGTGATTCGGCCTCCATGGCAACAAGCTCTTCGGGACTCGATTCGCAACCGCATGTGCATAGAAAAGCAACATCAATTGATACTCTCAACGCAACGAGCGTCTTGGCGCCTAACACTGATGTAAGAGTTTCCCTCTACACCAACAATTTGACCTCTTCGGCAAAACTTCCCAGAGAAACCACCGAAGAGATCCTCTCCAAATTCAAATTGTCGCCACAAAAGGACTTAGTAGCACCACAGAAGAGATTCTCGTACCAAAAGTCTAGGAATTCGATCTCCCAAAGTGTAATGTCAATGTTCAAGGACCTTGATGGTGAATATGATGGTACATTTAACGGTGAGTACCAAGGTGAAGAATTGGCTGGCTTTGATGGAAACCGTCAGCAAAATGAGCTACCCAGAGATGCATCTGGAAGTCTCAACGATGCAGTTTTGGAAAAAGAACCGACTGCCAACAAAAGAGTCACTATGTTATTTGACGATGAAGCCGGCAATGTCTTTAAGTCTTCTCTTTTGAAAGCGGAAAGAACTGGTACTACGCCCCACGGGCCTTCGCACGCACCTGTCTCAACTCCCGGTGCACCTATCACTTTCGGTAACAGCAAACTTGATCCGGTGGCAGAAAGTATTCCTAGGGAAGCTCAAGACATCAAGAAACCTTTGCGCCCTGCTCCTCCACCCCCAGTAAAGCAAACTTGGTTCGGAAAATTATTCCGTTCTTTGACTTTGAAGCCTTCGAATAAAGAAGAGCTTGTTAAAGACCAGTCAACGACGCTCTCATTTGAGGAAGTTCAACTTGTTATGCTGAAAGAGTTCGCCAAAAATTCGATTGATTACACGCTCAAACGTCTCGATAAGCGGAAAGGTAATTGTCGTGCCGATTATAGCTGTCAATTTCATCAGGGACAGTATCGATTCAAGATTCGCGTTGATGGGACGCGAGCAGGCTCGAAGATACTCATTAAGAAGAAGGGTCAACAGGATCAAGTCGTTTTCGAAAAGTTCAATAATGATATTTCTAGCGTTCTCAGGTTAGCAGAACGCACATAACAAAACATTTACAAAGTTGGCAGACTAGCAGTAGACTGAACATTTTGATAGACTAGGATGTTAAACCCCTTATATGTACTATAACACAACATACAGCGGATATATTTCATGAGCACTCTTTGATCTCGAATACTACGGACCCCTGCAACTTCTTCGTATCATCATTTCTTGAGCAACCTGTCGCTGTCGTTTACATGTGTAAAGTGCAAGCGTGCATTGTTATATGCGTTGCCTTATTTCGAGGTGTCAACCACGTATCTTCCCAAGATCTTGCCCTCTGCCATCAAGCCGTACACCTTTGGCAGTTCAGACAGGCCGATAATCTTGATTGGAGACTTGACCAAACCACGGTTGAAAAAATCTATAGCTTCACGGGTATCAGCACGATTTCCCACGTAAGAACCCTTGATAGAGATCGACTTCACGACATGAGAGAAGACGTCGGACTTGACAAACGCACCTGCAGGCAACCCGACCAGAACAACAGTCCCGCAAGGTCTCACATACTCTGCAGACATGGAAATGGCAGCTTCGGAGACAGAGACGTTAACTACCCCATGAGGACCACCTTGCGTGGCTTCCTGGATATCGGCGACGAGGTCCTTGCTTTTACGGAAGTCGATGAAAACTTCGCCTCCCATTTTTTCAAACAGCTCTTTTTTGTCGTCTCCTCCATCAATTCCCAGCACTCTCAAGCCCATGGCTTTTGCGTACTGAACGGCTAAAGATCCAAGGCCACCGGCGGCGCCCGAAATGGCAACCCATTGCCCAGGGCTCAGATCTGCGGTCTTGAGTGCTTTGTATACGGTGACACCAGCACATAAGATGGGAGCCACTTCCGCGAGATTGATGTCCTTAGGTAACTTTGCAGCTTGCACGGCGTCAGCGGTAGCGTACTGTTGGAACGAGCCATCATGCGTATAGCCGGACAAATCTGCATGTTCACAGTTGGATTCGTGGCCCTGTTCACATAGTTCGCACGACATGCACGAGCCATTGAGCCATTTGATGCCTGCCATGTCGCCGATTTCGAAATTAGTGACGTTTTCGCCCTTGGCGACAACTACACCTGCACCTTCGTGACCACCTACCAAAGGCAGCTTGACAGGAAGTGGCCAGTCGCCCTTCCACGCATGCAAATCAGTATGGCACACACCGGAGTATTTGACGTTGATTAGAATCTCGTTGGGCTTGGGCTTTGGCACAGGAAGGTCCTTGTAGTGGAGCTCACCTCCGTTCTCGTAAAAGACCACACCTTTCTGGGTGGTTGGGATGCTAGATGCGAACCGTAACGATCCCCAGTACCTGCCTACATGTTGTGGTCTGGCGCCAAGACTTTTTGACGTTGCAGTTGCCGTTGCTGCTAGCGACGCTTGCCTGAATGCACGACTTGCATATCTGTGCATGATTCTTTGCATGACGCTTGGTTGCTTTTTTCTTTCTTGGTGTCTGGGTGTAAAATTTTTAGCAGCACGTGACTTCTCCCAAAACCTCAAATGAATCTATCTATACGACCAAGGGGTTTAGTTCAAAGCAGGTGATGGTGATGGTGATGGTATCGTATCCTAATGTTAAGCAAAACACAGCACAACACTTTCTCTCAGATTTCGCAAAAGACGTTTTTCTCTGTTGCAAGGACTCGATTATACGGTAAAAAGGATCACGTTGAGGTGTTTCCCGTAGATAATCTTCTTATTATCGTCTTTTTTTCACCTTATCCTATCTTCTTTCTAAAACACCTGCTATAAGGCGCACAAATTCTTAGTTCAGTACCCTTTATATCATATACTACCAGTTTTTAAAATAAGGTGCTAACAGATAACTACTGATGATGTTATTTTCATGTCAGGCCACCACTGCCACCTTATGACCGTCGTTCAAAAGCTTTGTTTGTGAGGCAAGCGTGTCTGCTCGCCTTCGTGTCTAAGCACCATGGATTTAAGATGAAGAGGGTGAAAATGATAATTTTTTTTGCTTACCGTAAGAAGAATCGTCAAGCGTGATACGCTGCTCCGGAAAGTTCCGAAGGTGTTTCTGTTGAACATGACATGTATCCCGTAAAGGGAAATGGTAAGCGAGGAAAGAGCAGAAGGGGTGCAAGGGACCTGGTGAGGGGAAGGAAGGAGGGAAAGATCCGTGTGCGTGACTCGTCCTCCGGTCTCCTTTCGTTCGGGAATGGGTGTGTAGGGAAACGAGCGCTCCGAGTCAGCAAGTGTGACCTGAACGGGAACGGGAACGGGAACGGGAACGGTGAACGGCTCCCGTGTGGGTGTGTGGGTGTGTGGAGGGTGTTGTTTTTCTTCTTCTTCTTCTTCTTCTTCCGCGGAAGCTCCGCAAAATTCAAGTGTATCGTCTTGTACGTGTGGCTGTTGTCGTGGTGGTGGTAGTAGCTCGCCGTGGAAAACGACGTATCTACCGTTTACGCTGTTTCTTCCATTTGAACGTTACCTTACCTTCTGCATCCTGTATCTTTTTCTTATTGCCCTTCTTCATGCCCTCACGCTGAGTGTCCATGCGCTCCAATACGCTTGAGAGCTGACGCTCACGCTCTTGGTGTTGCTGTATCTGTCGTAGCTTCTTAAGACGCTTGCGATGTAACGTCTCTACATCCATACCCGAAGATTTCAACGCCGCAGCGGAGCCCGTTTTAAGACCTTGACTAGCAAGCTGGTCACGTGTGAGCCGGTTCTCGCGACGGGCCAACATTTCGGGCGTTGTTCGAAAGTGTTTGGCAGCATCGAACGACTGCAATGCATCGCGGTTGTCTACAAACACCGTGTGGGCGCCCTTGGACTTGAACATGGTCTCCTGCGCCTGTTTTTCCAGCACCTGGCGCTCGTTTTGCCGCAGAGTGCGCACGTAGTTGGCGTCCTGGGTTTTCAGCAGTTTCACCTGCGCGGTAGACAGACTGGGATCCTCATCGCGTGCGTGTCTGGATTGTTTGAGCAAACCACGGGAGTCCACGCTGCGCGAGTGCATGCCATGGTAGAACTCATCTGGGTTTCGTTGCTGTGCCTTTTCGCGCAGAATCTTCAAAGTCGCTTCCTTTTGGTGAAAATTCTGTGCTCTCTTGACGTAGTCCTTGTGTTTTTCCAAAAACCCCAGTCTGGAGCGACCACTCTCTTGGGAACGCTCCCGATGCTGTTTTTTCTGTATATTGTGCACTAATTTGGCCATTTTGTGGGTAGCAAGCGGTGTTGATGTGTGGAGCGGCTAATTTGATTGTAGAGAAGCAACGATAGGAGACGAAATGCAATGAGATAAGATGAAATGCGATGGAAATGAGATGCTATGCTATGCTATGCGATGCGATGCGATGAGATGCGATGAGATGAGATCAGATGAGATGCGTTTTTTCTTTCAATCAATATATTAAAAAATTTTTGGCCTGTGTCAAACCTTAGGGTCACGTGTGTGGTGAAGTTAAAATGGCTACCAAGATCGTCAGTGTCATGAAGAACTCAAATTCCATCAATTCCTAGCGATTTCGTGAGCCCGGGTTGTTCTATAAAAGTCAATTATGTTGCTGATCTTCACATCCTTTGCTTATGTCCTTGAACGCGCACAGATGTGAGTACATTATCGAAGCAGTGACAAATTCCGCACTAATCACACACGCGTCGCTAATTTGAAGCACGATAGCGAGGAAAATATCGGCAAATAGCTTTCCGATTGTCTTTCGATAACACATGCCTCATTCCATCAGAGTGTTCTCCGTCTAGATGGGCTGTGCTTACTTTAAAACAAGTATGGGTAATTAATCTTTACCTGTGTGCTTTATAGTCACTGCCAAGAATGGAAAAACATGAAAGTCTCCATTACAGAGACTGCGAATTTGTTTGTTCACGCCACGTCACCGGTCATGTCTTTTGGCTCGTCCCAGAAACATCCTATTGTCTGACAATTTTCAGCGAAAACAAAACTGGCACACCATAAGCACAAACGGCCAGTGTGTTTCGCAACTTCACGGACCAAAACTGGAAACCAATACTATATTGACGTGTCAGTTTCGGGTTTTTTTTGATACCCACAAGACAAACAGACCCAGAGGCCTATTCACACCGAATTTTCCAATAAGAAGTCGCTTCGAAAAGCAGGAAGAAAGTAAAGAAGTATCTAGTGTGAGAGAGGTGATGAGGGCAGTAACCATCAAGTTATCGTCACAGATAGAATGAGTGTCAAAAAAGCGCTCTTTCTCAACATACACGTGATCGTTCGAATCCATCGAAGTTTGATTTATCGATTAATTGACCCAATGCCGTATATCATAGACGTAAAGATGAGCATAGAGTTTGAGATCGATCGAATTCTAGCCTTTGGCAACAGAGATAGTGCGCTCGTAAAGACACTTTTGTCTGGCGTCTCTATCACATCAAGAACAAATACAGGCTGATCCCGTTTTGACCTCACGGCTTAATCCAGGTTCTCCACTTCCCATGGACTCTACACAACCTGTTCTCCCGCCCATTGGGGCAGCGCTGCCTGCGGCATTGGCTTTTAAGAGAAACCTTGTGTGCTACGCTGCAGACCCTTCCGTTTTGGTCGAGTATTTGCGGCATTTGAAACTGCCGTACTGCCTCTGGAACGACTACGACAACATAGAATCAAAGGAAAAGCCCGAAAAGGGCACCGTGCTGGTTCTCCCGAATGTGGACAAAACGCTCGTCCTTCAACAGGACAAACTGGCTCGGTTTCTGCAAGTGATGCGGTCACAACCAACGCCGTTTTTCGCCGCAATTGCCACGGTCTCGCCCGAGTTTGTACCGTACACCCAGATGACAGCATATTTGAAACGTCAGTTCTGGTTTGCTTGTCAAAACCCGCGGCCTAAAGACCTGGTGAAATTGTCAGAGGAGGAACTTCCGCAGTTGAGGTCTGCTATTGGAAAGATACACATACACCCATCCATCAGACGTTACATCCTCGATATCATAGTGCATCTGAGAGTTCACAGATTTGCCAAACAGGCCTCTGGCGGAGGCTGTAGTGCAAACGCACTGCGTGACATGCTCGAATTGTGCCAGACGCTGGCCTTGGCCCAGGAACGCAGCTTTGTTGTCCCTGAGCTCGTCAAACAGGCTGCCCACTGGTATTTTCCATTCCATATCGAGCTGATCCAAGATCCACGCCATGAAATTTCCCTCCAATTTGGCTCCGACCCGGATTTGGTCGCTCAGGTCCTCACTAAACTGCAGGATTTTTCTCTTCAGAGGTCCCAAGAGTCCAATTACCCATTATATTTTCAGCACATGGTTCTCAGGGACGTTCTGCGAGTAATCGTGCCACCCATTTAGCATCACCTATTTCGTGCCCTGCTTTTCGAAGTTCTCAGACTATTGTCCCACACTGATGGCTTCTAATTTGAGTATACCACCCTGAATTACTGCTCTTGCTCTACCAGCCTTTCCAGGCGGGCCTGCGGCACCACGGAACTTATCCCATCCCACAACTCTTGTGTCCGAGTTTATGCTTCTTAGGGCAATTTTTCACGCTTGGCATCTCTATTCCTGTTTAAGATTCTTGCCCAGAAACGTCTTCTGACGGAGGTGTATGGATGGGATGACGCTGGTGAAAAAACATTGTTTTGTTTTCGAGCAGTGAAAAATACACACAATACGTCATAAAAGGGTCCCTGAAATTAATAAGGCATTGCATATTAGGATACTACTAAAAAAGACCTAATGCCACAACGAGTCGTGCTTAGGGATTCGAAGGAATATAAAGGAGGAGGATTTTGCAAGGTAGAAGATACTTGTAACTTCTAAGTTTTACCATTTAATAAGTCTTGCTAACTCAAAAAGGATTTTGTCCAAGACTCTAGGAAAAAAACCCGAAAAAACCGACTTTTTACTCAAAAATGAAATTTTCTACCGCCACAATTGCTGCGTTTTTGGCATGTGCTAAGATGGCTTTTGCCGACTCTGAGAAGTTCGGCTTCTTGGTCATCAGATCGGGCTCTGCTTTGCAATATGCGTCAGTGTACGCCCAGGACTCGAAATTGTACTTTGGTAGTACTTCTACAAGTCTTTCCGCTGTGGTCACTGACGACGGCAAGCTGCAGCTGTCCGACAACAAATACGCCGTTGTAAGCTCCGATGGATCGCTAGTGGAAGGATCTGAATCCGATGCCTCGACTGGCTTTTCGATCTCCAACGGATACCTGGCTCACAACGGCACCGAAGGCTTCACAGCCATTTCCTCGGGCTCCACATACGTGGTTTCTACCAAAGATTCTAACGGCTCGAACGATCTGCCAGTTGCGGTAAGAGCTGCTTCTCCATCCAACGGGTCTCCCGTGGCTGATTTTTCTCCTAAGGGCTCTTCGTCTTCGTCGTCGTCTCCTTCTTCTGCTGCTTCTGCAGAAGCCAGTACCACCGCAGCTGCCATTTCCCAAATTGGTGACGGTCAAATCCAGGCCTCTACAGGCTCTGCCACCGTGGCTCCAATCTCTCAGATCTCTGACGGCCAAATTCAGGCCTCCACAGGCTCCGCTGCCCCAAAATCAAAATCTACCGTGGCCCCAATCTCCCAGATCTCTGACGGCCAAATTCAGGCCTCCACAGGCTCAGCCGCCCCAAAGACTACATCCACTGTAGCCCCGATCTCGCAGATCTCGGACGGTCAGATTCAAGCCACCACAGGCGCCCCAGCTTCTAGCTCCGCTGCTAAGTCCACAGCTGCCGCCATTTCTCAAATCTCCGATGGCCAAATTCAGGCAGCCTCTGATTCCAGTGGTACTGCCCAGTCCACCGCATCTGCCGTCTCTCAAATTTCTGACGGTCAGGTTCAAAACCCTTCGTCTGTCACTATCCAGACGCAATCAGTGAACGGTGCTGCTCAACAAGCTGTTGGTTTCGGTGCTGCATTTGCCGCTGTGGCAGTTGCTCTCTTGTAAGGAGTGGCATCATTTTAATGACACACATATGTTTTGAGAGCGATGGTTATCGTACTCTCGCTTTGCACATCGGACTAATTAATCATTCACACATAACATTTTACAAAAGGTATACTTAAGGCCCTCAAGCGAGGCGACCTGCAAACTAATAAGCATTAGAACACACAGTAATCACGCAAAAAGTAGCACATTCAATGGCTGTAACTACTCAGTTACTACAATACCATCGATGCTCGCAGTATGTGGTCACTAATCAAAAAATATGTTCGTTCACAACTAGGAAAGAAATAGCGTGAGACAAACAAGCATTTACAGACAATGTCTAAGAGGTATATAACTCTTGCACATCGGGTAAGTAGCGAGTGGTGAAAGATCACTGATGATTGATGGTGTTCACAATGTTAAAGATAGATCACGTGTTTACGTTATAAAAGCTTTGAAATTCGTAAGCCGCGAAATAAATCACAGATTCACTGTAATCGCAATCAACTCCCAAATTAAAGAATATTCAGATCAGATAAAAGGCGTTCCCTTGGAATGCGGGCCAACTATCTTTACAATATCTTAGAAATCTTTTGTCTGACTTAGGCCAAACGCACATTTCGTCTATAGTGATTCACTATTTGGAATTTTAGACATTAGTCACGGGATCTAATATTAAGGAATAGCCGCCCACCTCAGGGGGCAAAGATGAGAACGACAGCTAGGTTTTTGTTCTGACGAAACGATTAATACAGTAGTACATGTTGTTTCTCCAGACTTCTCTAGTTCTGTTATCGTTTCCGCCTCTTAGTATTGTGCTAAAGGCGTTCTTCTTATTTTTTTAGCCCAAGCGCATAATTGTTTTTGTGTCACATCCAAATTTGCGTTATTGTGTCCAGAATTTGACTATAAAAAGGATGCCACATCCCCACATTAAACTTTTGCAACTTTGTATACTGCACAACTCTTTTTCATAGCTACAGCGCTGCTTCGTTTGATCGCGACGCCTATTCTGTAAGATATATAGTATATCTAAATCTATTTACGTTCTTAGCACTATCCCAATAGTCTACAAGCTACCTGAACAAAAAAATGAAGCTTCGTTCATTGCTGGTCTCCAGCGTTGCTATCCTAGCGGAACTGGCAAAAGCCGATTCTGACTCTTTCGGACTATTAGTGATCCGTTCAGGCTCACCTTTGCAATATGCGTCTGTCTACGCTGAGGAAGGGGAGCTCTTCCTCGGCGGCACCATTGTCGGACTATCAGGAACAGTTACCGATGAGGGTAAGCTCAAGTTCTCTGACGGCACCTACGCTGTCTTGGATCGCCAAGGTACACTCGCAGAAACTACTGATAGCAAGAGTGGGACCCAGGGGTTCGCGCTCACGTCCGGTTACTTGGGGTATGATGGATCGATTGGTTTTACAGGGGAGCTCACAAACCGTGGCTACCGGTTTTCAACCGCCATGAAATCACCTGATGACCTTGACGTGCTTATCAGAGCTGTACTGCCAAACGGATCCACCGTACCGGATTTCCAGCCCACTGTGACTGCAACCGATCCTGACTGCACCAGGTACCGCAACACCACAGTTACAGTGACCACCACCGCTCACAATACTACCACGACTACTCTGACAACATGCGAAGAAAACTCCTCCTCGGCCAGCACTACAGGCTCTAGCACCATAACGGTGACTTCTGGTAGCACTGGGTCCCTCCCATCTAGTACTTCTTCGTCAAGCAGTGTTGCAAATTCGTCCAGCGTGGTCACTATAACGCCATCGTCTGCCATCCCATCTTCCCTCTCATCGAGTTTCAGTCCCACCCTCCCCCCAAGTTCTTTATCTTCGTCGGTTTTGAGCAGCCCAAGTGCAAGCAATGTTAGTTCTGGAGCTTCTTCCACTAGCTTTTCTCCTTCGATTCCATCAAGCTCCTTCACCTCTCCGACTCAGAGCGTCGTATCATCGTCAACGCTATCAATTCCCTCCAGTTCGGTCACAAGTTCATCGTCGCCAGCTTCGTCAAGCGCCACTTTATCTCAATCATCTTCGACCTTCTCAATTCCTTTGAGTTCGGTCGTCAGCGCTTCGTCGTCAAGCGTTGTAACTGGAAGCTCATCCTCGAGTGAGACCGTTTCGAGCGTGTCTCCCTCCTTATCCTCTTCGGTTTCTTCAAGTCTCGCTTCAAGTTCTAACCCTTCTTCAAGCCCAGTTTTTTCTAGTTCTTCAGTTTCGAGCGCCGTGCCAAGAAGCTCATCTTCTATTGTTTCCTCTTCATCTGTCCCAAGTTCTGTGACAGTATCTAGTGAGAGCAGTGCATCCCAGACTTCTAGTTCGCAGATTCCTTCAAGTTCTCTAACAGGTTCGTTATCCTCTGGCACCATAACTTTGTCTTCGGCGTCGTCCATCGTTCCAAGTTCGTCAAGTGGAATTTCAAGCTCGAAAATTACCGTCAGTTCCTCCAGCCTTGCACCTGTTTCATCCTCTTCTGTTCCAAATTTTAGCTCATCTTCACCTGCCAGCAGCTCTCGGGGTATAACGTCTTCTTCAATAGCTTCCAGCTCTGAGTCCCAGTCGCTGTCCTCCAGTATCAGTATTACTGCTTCTTCAAGCGGACCAGCAAGTTCGAGTGTCTCAGCAAGTTCGCGTGCCTCCGAAAGTTCGAGTACTTCAGTCTCTTCAAGTGCCTCAGCTAGTGCAAGCGCCTCAGTCTCTTCGAGTGCTACAGTGCCTTCAAGTGCCTCAGTCTCTTCTAGTGCTACAGTCTCTTCGAGCGCCTCGGCCTCTTCGAGTGTCACGCCAAGCTCTAGTTCATCGGCGTTACCATCTTCTTCCGTCGTGTCCTCTTTATCTAGCTCTAGCACATTGACTTCGAGCTTGACCTCTAGCTTCGTTACAAGCTCCTCTGTTGTGTCAAGTTCGGCCAGTACAATAACGCTATCGAGCTCACTCATAAGTTCCTCGAGCGTCGTTCCTTCGGTGACTCCAAGCTCTTCTAGCGAATTGCCCAGCTCGGCTAGCAGTAGCACACCATCCAGCTCTGTGGCATCTTCAGTGACAAGTGGCACTATTTCAGTCAGTTCACAGAGTTCATCAACACTCATCTCCACAAGTGGAAGCTCTTCAGCTATCATCTCTTCTTCGTCCACGCCCGGTTCAGTCAGTACTTCCACCGTTACTTCTACCGGACCCTCATCCAGCGCGCCCGCTTCTTCCTCTGGTTCAAGTTCCTCTTCTAATTCAGTGAGCAGCGTTCAAACATCCTCAAGCTCTTCATCAACGTCGAGCACTGTTAGCGCCTCGAGTAGCGCATCTCAGTCGTCCTCGGGATCTACATCCAACAATGGAGCAGCTTTGATTAAATCCAGCGGTATTGGTGCAAGTGTTCTGTTTTTCGCTGCCATGTTATTGTAAGGGAGCCGACAAAACCAGCTTCCGCTAAAAAAACAAAGCCTCCAGGTGGCAGTGTTATCGCGGTAGTGGTAGCGTTGCAGCTGGCTACTCTGATCGCTCCACACAACCAGTTCGTTTTGAAAAAAAAATTTGTTCGATGCTAAAGAATCACATTTTATAAAGTCAAGAAGCTATTGCCATTAACAGCCTTCTGAGAATTCCCATTAACTATTTATGTTCAAACCTTGCGATTTCATACATTTTTGACTATGCGTCGGTGTAATTCTTACTTCTTATGCCTTATATGACAGAAAACGAATCACGTTGTATAGTACGCGTAGAATAAAAATGAGATGCCCAATAGTTATTGATAATGATGATGATCCAGTGTGAAATACTAAAATGAACGCAGCAGGCTTCACGACCAAGTGAGTGAAATCGATCGGCTGTGGCCCAATAAAGTAGCGATTCTGTCATCATGTCGGAAAGAAAGGTGATCAACAAGTACTACCCTCCCAACTTTAACCCTTTGGAAGCCGAAGAGGCGGCTCGGAAACTATCCAAAAAGTTGAAGACCATGAATAAGGATTCTACAACTATTCGACTAATGACACCTTTCAGTATGCGGTGTCTCAAATGTTCTGAGTTTATACCGCGAAGTCGAAAATTCAACGGTAAAAAAGAGCTGCTTCCAGAAAGATATTTGGAGACCATTAAAAAGTATAGACTGAGCATAAAATGCCCACGATGCAACAATATGATCTCTTTCCGTACCGATCCCAAAAGTGGCGACTATGTCATGGAAATCGGGGGAGTGAAGAACTTTGTGGCAGATGCTGATTCTTCTAGGGCCAGCAACGAAACAGAGTCGGTGGATGAAGCCCTACAACGACTGGAAAAAGAGCATCAGCAGGAAAAAGATGCAGCCAATAATGAGCCAACGGAGAGCAAGATCGAGCAGGTGGAAAAGCGGCTGGTGAAAATGCAGCAAGAACAAGAAGACTATGAAAGACTGGAACATTTGCGACGGGACAACGCGGCGCGCATGAAGCGTGCAGAGCAGCTTCATGGACTTTCAGAAGACGCTGCTAGGGCGAAATTGGTTGACGATGAGAAGGCCGCTGAAGACGCGTTCCGGGCCACTTTAGAACCGCAAGAAACGGCTAAGACCAACAGTGTTCGTCCCGCAACAATCACTGTTCCGCACAAGATTCTAATAAAGAAGAAAAATAAGACCAACCCGTTGGGAGTGGTGAAAAAGAAGAGAAATTGAGGCTGAGTGGAAGAAGAGAAGCCAGCAACTCTCTTTTTCGAGAACTTATTTTCTCCCACAATTTGCCGATAATCATCAACTGATGTGTCTAGCGACGTTAAACTTAGAGCATGATGTTCAAGAACATGAAAATGAATAAAAAAATACTTCTACAAAACGCTCCACTGAGATACCAATGGCGGCTAGGACTATCGAAGACTCAGTGGTTGCCACATAAGCGACTGGCAAAACTCCGGTGGTCGTCTTATAGTGTCACCGTTCGTGTTTCGTGATCGACCGTTCTAATGTGAATTAAACTGGAGATTAAGGCTGGAAATGTGTTTAATCATACACTTCACCAACAACATTCCCACTAAAGCTATTCAACTCACTCCAATCCAGCACTCACCATCAAAGATGTTCTTCAGTTCGGGCCCCAAACTAGACCCCATTCCTTTTCCCTACAATTGCACCAGCATCAAATTCGACACGCTCAAACACAACTTTAACGGTGCAGACTTCACGTATGCAACGTTCCCAGTTTCGACACCATCAAACAGCAAGAACGGTGCAGATATAGCACCAAAGGCGCGTGTGCTGATAGTGCATGGTTTTGACGAGTACACACTGTTGTACAGTCGTTTAATGGATAATTTACACCGTGTTGGAATCGAGTCCTTTGTATTCGATCAAAGAGGGTCTGGTACAACGGCGGGGAAAGCATTGAGGGGCCTGACTGATGAAGCACACACGTTCCGGGATCTCGACCACTTCATTGAGTGGAATCTCAAGGACAAGTCCGCGAACACACCCTTGTTTTTGTTTGGCCACTCAATGGGCGGCGGAATTGTGTTAAACTATGGCTGCCACGGTACCTATAAAAACCAGATTGCCGGCATTATCTGCACGGGCCCGCTGGTCCTCTTGCATCCGCATTCTGCACCCTCGACCATCGTGAGTGTGCTTTCGCCTCTCCTGGCACGGTTTTTGCCCCGGTTCCGCATCGATACGGGACTGGACTTGGACGCCACTACTTCAGACCCCCGATACCGCGAGTTTTTGAGCCGGGACCCACTCACAGTCCCGCTCTATGGCTCGCTGCGACAAATTTACGATTTTTTGGAGCGTGGGAAAAAACTAGCGCGCGACAAACAGTACGTAGCCAAGTTTCAAACACCTGTGCTTATTTTCCACGGCCAGGACGACACCATCAACGACCCTGTTGGCTCTCAAAAATTCTTAAAACTGTGCACGGCACCCGACAAACAATTGATTCTCGTGCCTGATGCACGTCATTCGCTATGTCTGGAGACAGATGCGATATTCAGTGAAATGTTAGCGAAAATGCAAGAATGGATTATTGAGCATTCCACGCAGAGTCAAACGCAGCTTGCTCTTACGGGATGTTTTACCTTCTTTGACTTAAAATGACAGCGTTTTTGGGAAAACTCTTGTGCCTTTTGCATTTCGTGCACGCAATGTCCTGACTTGGCTTCGCTTACTCTTTTGGCTTCGCTTACTCTACAAATACTGGTCTTGACAGCAATCCCACACTATAAAATTCCCATTCATACACAATCGTCGTCATTAGAACGCCTGGGTCTCTTCGTCGATCTATCCCATATACCTTCTTCACTCAACCTGATCGGTAGGTAGTAGTAGCTATTGCTTTGTCATTGCACGTGACACGTTTTAAAATCCATTTACCACGGGTGTTAAATCGATAAACTCCGGTCCACGTGACGCTGTCACGTGGCTCTATCTTTGCTTATGTAATCTTTATGGCCTTCCTTTTTTTCTTTCTTTTTCTTTTTCTTTTTTTGTTTTTTCCAAGCTCTTAAGTCCGCAACCCACAAATCCCCTTAAAAGCGAGTCTCTTTCGTTCTCAGTGATGTTCCAATTTAATTTCTCTAGATATTTTAAATTGATTCGAAACCCTCAAAAAATGATTTGAGTCAAGAGTGGACAGATAAAATGTAGATCCGAAAGAATCGGTATTTTGAATCATAGTAGTTTCTCGAACAGTGTCGCGTAATAGATAACGGTCCGCTTGTGAGGTCGAACTACGAACTCAGGAATTATGGATTCACCAGATTTAAAACCGCAATTGCAAAGGTCCAAAACTCATGAAAAACCACTTCCTGCCGGTAACAGAGACATGGGTAATCAGGATATGGTGTGCAACTGCGAAGACGAGCTAGACATCTTTGAGCGGTTCGTACAGGACCCATGCATGGACTCGTGGGAAGATTTGGACGAGGATAAAGACGGGGACGGTGACGGCGAAGGTAAGGGTGAGTTACACGAACATCTGCAAGATGAAGAGTATGGATCGCCAAAATGGGAAGACGAAGAGGTCTTGGACCCGGTGACTGAAGGAGTGGAAAGCATGCAGTACAAAGGAACACGTCTGGGGCTGGGGTCCGGGACAGGAAACCAGAACCCAAACGTATGTTCGAAATGTCACAAACTGCGGCGCTGGAAAACCGGTGGAAGCACCACTCAGGACTCTGCAGATGAGCCCATTTTGAGATGCTCTCGCACGAACAGCTTTATGTCGCAACTATCGCGCCAGGCCTCCAGACAGTCACTTCCGGACTCAACAGAAAATGCAGTTCCGTCTGTAGGGTCGCCCGCGGAGAACGGCGTGAATATGTCTGGGTCTTGGACCCGGTCCCGGTCCCGGTCTTCGTTTGGTGGGTCTTGCGCTATTCCAGCACATCTGTACTGTTTGGAACGGTTTGTGAGCTGTGAGCTCGATTCTGCAGCAGAGTGTTTTTTCCGCAAAAACCCTCCTCCGCCACTTACTTGCACCACATCTGCTTCTGCAGACCCTCCTGGATCACCAACGCTATCGCGCGTTCTATCGGGATCTTCTTCAACGTCCAAACCCGTCCAAAATGACCTGATCCAGCACTCAACCCAAACCCAGCTTTCTACGGTCCCACTCACGAAACGCAGGTCTCGCGTTTCTTCCATTGAGCTTTCATTGATGAATTCCATGTCGTCCTAGTGCGTCAGCCAGAGATTTTTCCATTCATTTACCCAACAAACACCCACACACCCCAAAGTCATCACCTAATAAATCTACAATGATGCTTCACACTCCCATTCTCCTCACCAAAGCATATTTCGATCCAGCATATTATTCAATTCCAGCACACGCGGGTGTTTTGAAGTTCGCATTAAATGCAACAACAACAACAAACTTCAACTTCTAGCATCAAAACGTCCTTTCTTCGCTTTTTTATCACTTTTTTCAATTCTGTCCGGCGCCAACACTATTTTTTTCAAGCTCTTGAAATTTTTCAAAAATAATTACTATAAGTCAAAAAAGTATCCAGACGATATATATATCAATATCATCTCATCTCATAATCTCATCTCATCTCATCTTATTGTAAAGTAAAAGCTGATAAAGTAACTTCTTTATCGCCTCTAAGAACGTGAACCAAGCTCATTTCATAGCGTGAGCTTCATTCATGATCTGTAGTACCTGAAAAACGAAGTTCAGGGGTTCTTTTTTGATCAAATTTGACCCATTTTTCGTGGACTTTTGTAGGTTTGCGTTGGACGCCGGAGATTACAAACGCATTTGCTCTATAGGACAGAGCGTGAAAGTATCGATCGTTCAGCTTGCAAGCGTTCAATTCGGATTGTTTTGATTTTCGATGACATCCGAGACCACATTTGAAGGCCATGCATCGGCAGCAGCCGAGAAGCTGCCACCCACGGACGAAAACAGCTATTATGCTTCTCAAGAGGAAGAAGAAGAAGAAGAAGAAGATCTAGAAACAGCACTGGAAATGTCCAATGCCAATGAGGCCGAAGAATTGGGAGAAACGCTGGAGACACCGGTGTCTCCCTATGCGTGTGCTTACTGCAATCTGGACTCGCCACGTTCAGTGGTGAAATGCAACATTTGCAACAAGTGGTTCTGCAACTCCAAAAATGGGACTTCAACATCGCACATCATCAACCATTTCGTGCTGTCGCACCACAACAGTGTCTCCTTACATCCAGAGTCGGATCTGGGCGATACAGTGCTGGAGTGCTACAACTGCGGCTGCAAAAATGTGTTTGTGCTAGGTTTCGTGTCTGCTAAAAGCGAAGCCGTGGTAGTCATTTTGTGCCGTCTGCCTTGTGCGCAGAACAAGAACGTTAGCTGGGACACAGACCAGTGGCAATCTTTAATTGAAAACCGTCAGTTTCTGTCATGGGTTGCCGAGGAACCAACGGACGAGGAGTTGCTGCCTGCCAGAATGATTTCGCCCAGTCAGATCTCTAAACTCGAGGCCAAATGGCGTTCCAATAAGGACGCCACCATCAACGACGTGGATATCCCCGATGATAGGGAAGAAGTGCCTCACGTTCTCATGAGATATGCAGATGCATACCAGTATCAGAGATCTTTCGCGCCGCTGGCAAAACTCGAAGCCGACTATGACAAGCACTTGAAAGAGTCTCAGGCTTTAGAACACATCTCCGTATCGTGGACTCTAGCTCTCAATAACCGACACTTGGCATCGTTCGCGTTGTCGACTTTCGAATCCAACGGTTTAAAAGTCGCTGTCGGGGATGAGATGATTTTGAGATACTCAGGCGTTCAGCATGCCGAATGGGAAGGGCGTGGCTACATAGTACGTCTACCGAACAGTTTCCAAGACCAGTTGATGCTAGAATTGAAGCCCAATAAAAACCTACCACCCACTCATCTCAACACTGGTTTCACTGCGGAGTTTGTGTGGAAAGGGACTTCCTACGACAGAATGCAAGAAGCAATGAAAAAGTTTGCAGTGGTAAAGAAGTCTGTTTCGGGATTTCTTTACTATAAAATTCTGGGACACGACGTTCCTGATCTCGAGTTTGACGTTGACATGCCTGATCAATTCTCCATACCTCATTTCACACAGTTGAACATATCTCAGTCGAACGCAATTCGTCATGTACTGCAACGTCCCTTGTCTTTGATACAGGGTCCACCTGGTACAGGTAAGACTGTGACTTCTGCTACTATAGTGTATCATCTATCCAAACTGCACAAGGAACGAATTCTTGTTTGTGCGCCGTCCAACGTAGCGGTTGATCATCTTGCTGCAAAACTTCGCGATTTGGGTTTGAAAGTTGTGCGCCTCACTGCCAAGAGCAGAGAAGACGTTGAGAGTTCTGTGTCGAATTTGGGACTCCATAACTTGGTTTCAAGATCAGCTAAAGGCGAGCTTAAGAAACTTCTCAAACTGAAGGAAGATGTAGGAGAGCTATCCTCTGCGGACACCAAAAAGTTCGTGAAACAAGTGAGAAAATCTGAGCTGGAGATTCTCAAAAAGGCAGACGTTGTTTGTTGTACCTGTGTTGGTGCTGGTGACAAGAGATTGGAAGCCAAGTTCAGAAGTGTATTGATCGACGAAAGTACTCAAGCTTCGGAGCCGGAATGTTTGATACCAATTGTGAAGGGTGCCAAGCAGGTCATTTTAGTAGGTGATCACCAACAATTGGGGCCCGTTATCCTGGATAGGAAGGCCGCTGACGCTGGTCTCAAGCAATCGCTTTTTGAAAGGTTGATCTCCTTGGGACACGTTCCAATTCGTCTGGAAGTGCAATACCGTATGAATCCTCATCTGAGCGAGTTTCCTAGCAACATGTTTTACGAAGGAAGTTTGCAAAATGGTGTTACAATCGAACAACGCACTGTCCAAAACAGCACCTTTCCATGGCCAATTCATGATCTTCCGATGATGTTCTGGTCCAACTACGGCAGAGAAGAAATCTCTGGTAATGGTACGTCGTACCTTAACAGAATCGAGGCCATGAACTGCGAACGCGTCATCACCAAGCTTTTCAGAGACGGCGTGAAACCTGATCAAATCGGTGTCATCACCCCCTATGAAGGTCAACGAGCATACATTGTTCAGTACATGCAAATGAGTGGCTCATTAGACAAGGATCTTTACATGAACGTTGAGGTCGCGTCGGTGGATGCTTTCCAGGGACGTGAAAAGGACTACATTATTTTGTCGTGCGTACGTGCTAACGAACAACAGGCAATTGGATTTTTGAGCGATCCCCGCCGCTTGAATGTCGCCTTAACTCGTGCCAAGTATGGTTTGGTCATTTTAGGAAACCCAAGATCTCTCTCTAGGAACAGTTTATGGAGTCACCTTTTGGTTTATTTCAGACAGAAGGGATGCCTCGTTGAAGGCGCTCTCGATAATTTGCAGCTATGCACTGTTCAACTGACGAGGTCGGCGAATACAAGAACAGCACGCAAACCGAACTTTGATAGATCTGGCTTCAATAACACTTCTGACTTTGGTAAGGTTAATTTTGACGACTTCGATACGCAAAGTTTAATGTCCTATGGTGGCGCTGATGAGTTTGGCGAATCTTCCAACAATCAATTGAATTCCTTTTTCCAAACTTATTCTTCCTTTCCACAGCGGACGCAAGACCACCCAATGACGGACTCTAATAGGATTGACCCAGCACTAGCTCATGGGCTACAGGGATACAATGGAGACGCTTCAAGATTTGAAAACACAGTCATGAACGGTGATGAGGTCAGTGCCTTGGAAGGTATGAAAAATCTACGAGTTTAAGAGGCTGTTTTGCGATCTGGGGAGCTTGAATTATGTATGAGGCTATCTCTATTATGCGCACGTTCCTTTGAACGCTTGTAGGTGAGTGGTCTGGAGTAGTTGGTCGAGTGCGGGAAGATTCTGTTCGCGTGCGCAATTACCATTATACGAAAGCTTCATTTCTTGAACAGTCGAAGAAATTTAAATCCCGATTTTTCGTCTATTTTCGAATCGGAACTCACAGCGCTTTTCTTGAAAGACGACATGGACCTCAAAGAACCGGATTTCGTGCTGGACTTTATCGTGTGGCTTCTTGAAGGATGTTTGCTGGCTGGAGGACTCTGTAGCCTGTTGAGCAGTTTCGTGAACGCTGAAGAATCCGAGCAAAGTTTGTCCACTTTGTCGTGCTTTGCGTAGCTGCCTGTAAGGTCTAGCCTTACGTAAAGGTTTTCATCAAGGCAGAGATGGTCCACGAGGTATAGGGCGAATTCAGCTTTGCCCAGGATCAATTCATTGGGTTGCTCATAACCTGACAAGACTTGGGTAAGGTGCTCAAGTCGGTGATAGAGAAGTAAAGACTCCTGCTCCAGATTCTTTGTCAAATCAGTGACGGCTCCTGAGCGTGTTGGTTTCTTCTCTACCGGCGAACCTTGCGAGTCAATTGCCAAATATTTAAGTAGGTCATCACCAAATATTTCAGCATTGTTTTGAGTCAGTTTTTCAAACTCTAACTCACCGATTTTTGTATTAGGCGGACCGATTGTCGGACTGGGCGCGGAAGACGAATGATCCTTTGAAAGGCGGTTCATACTCACGGTGCTAGGTGCTTCGAGCTGTTTTTCCTCGTGCCGCCGCGAGATCGAGAGAACACTTATAAGCTCCGTTTCCCTCAAATATCTGTCAATGAGATAGGGATTGGTAGGTAGTTCGTTTCGGATGGCAGCATTCAGTGGTATCTTTGGTCGAGCAACGCTGCTACTCAGTTTAAGAGTCTTGGTGGTGAAATCGAGCTTTTTATCTGTTACTTTATCAATGTAGTCAATCAGTTCATCCTCATGTTTCGCTATGAATGAATTCATTTCAGTCATCCATGGCTCTTTCTTGCCGAAAAGTGTAAGATTTGACAAATTCAGTAGTACCTTTGCCAACAATGTCAATGTTCTCTTAGGACCTTCTTCTGGATGATTATCCACTATATGGAAGAGCTTGGGATTCAGTACTACGGGACAAAAGAAGCGCAGAAAGAGGAACCCTGAGACACAATTAATGATTACTTTGTATTCGTCGTCCTTGTAAATTACTTCAATGTTTTTTCTGACTGCTTTGAGCTGTTCCTTAATTCCGTATGGAAGGTCATTGCTTGTCTTGTAAATGCGCACCCATAGTTCCTCGGCAAGCTTCAAAAGACGCGTGTAGTTCCCTCTAATGATGTTTTCCTTCTCAAATTCATCCGCTCTGATTCGATTGGGATCGAGCTCCAGGCACATGTCCGAGAAAACAATCTTTCGTATAGTACCTCCGATGGCCTTTTCGAGATATTCTTTACCGATACGATTGAAGTACTTCTCCATTGACTTTGTGAGGATTGAGTTTCCCCTAAACAGCGAACTGTATATATTCGCAGACGATAGGTTCTTCGTAGTCTTCTTCAATATGCTTGTGTCTATCTCATTGAATTCCTTATCAACTAATGCTTGGAACCAATCGTTGGTCCTGTCGACCGTTTGAAAAATGTCCAGAAAAACCATCGATAGATCCTCCAACTTGAGATAATCTGCAATTGAAATATCATATAAGTAATCGGTCATTTTCGTTAGGCTCATGCGTGAAAGCATGGATTCTAGCCTGTTAAAATTTACTGAAGGAAGAATTGCATTCAGACTCGATGCCACCTTTATGCACAAGGTCCCCAACTGGAAATGTTTATTTTCGACGTCAAATATTGGAATCCTCGTTTCGGCACTAAGACTTCCGTCGTTGATCATCTCTTGTGTAATTTCTATTTCACCCAGTACCTTGTCCTGTGATGAGTAGGATCTTGTTCCGTCAATGGCAAGCATTACTTTGATGCACACTGGAGAAGTCTTGACAGAAAAATTGAAATCAAACTCTTCCCGCCAAAAAGGAGATTTCGCATCCGATACAATTGATGTCCTTGCCCAACAATGATCCCACACCGAAATTTCCACGTATAGTTCTGAAGTATTTTCGCACTGAGTTTCGTTATCAAAGTTTGTAAGATTAATTGCGCTGAAGTCCGCCTCCAGAATGGAAATTTTGAAACGATTGGAAATTCTCAACTCGTTAGATTTGTCTGTTCCAATCAATGACACTGTCTCAGCTTGAGCAAAGGTGCTGAGAGCCACAAGCCAGTCTTCGAGATCAATTCTGAGAGGAAACTGTAACACTATGCCGAAGGAGTTGAACTTATCTTTGTGCGAGCCCACTGAGAAGGAACACGATGGAGACACCTTTAACTGATCTCTTAGCTTTGGAATTACTCCCAAAAATAAAAATGTATCATTTTGAAGAAGACACGGATCAAGAACTTGAATTTCTGATCTTAAAAGTTCCGTGATATCAAAAGACCAAAGCAACGACCCGTCACTCTGTAAAAGAAGATCCAACCTGCCGTCAGAGCTCAGTTTGCCCATTGCCGAAAACCAGCCAAACTCTTCAGGTGCTGACGTTTCATTTGAATAGGGCGGTACGGGTATATTGTCTTTAAGTGATACGCTTTTGTTTCTGGGGATACGTGTGTAGACATTGAATTGACATACCAGAAGCGGAGCCGGTTTCTGCTGCTTCGGAACAATCGGCTGTATCACAGCAGTTTTGTTGAAAATGCCCTTATCCTTCAAACTGGACCAGAAAACAAGTGCTGCGAACAAGTCGAAAAATGTGTCACGATCTGCTACTTGCATGTATGTTGTAGCGTAGTATGTTTCAACTTTCAAAACCGGATAAGAACCCTGACTATTATCCAGAAGCTGTACCTTGCAAGCTTGTAGATGTCTGATGATGGGTTTGTTGGAATTTTCTAGGCCTGTACCTGTAACAGACAAATCCGCCATACTTTTTTCACTGACCGCATGGCAGAGCCCGCCACCACTGTCGATCTCCAGGCGATGAATTTTCCAATCATGAAGCGAAAGATTACTGCACCATTGAACTTCTCCAACGAATAAGCCCTTATTTATCCGAATTTTGTTCACCAAGTCCCGTTTGATACCATTCATACCTGACAATTGTTCAGATCGTAGGCTTCCCAATTGATCCAGATAAGGCCCATTTTGAACAGGAGTAGGACTGGATATACTTAATTGAGGTGACCCCATCGGCTACTAGTCAACTGGCTGGCGATCTTGACAACTTTTGAGTAAAATCTTGGCTGGTTCGCGTCAGTTTGGCTTTATTTTCCATTTATTACGTGCACACGCATAACGAACGGACTCACAACTCGAAGAAATAACGGTGCAATACCCGTTCGAAACTCGATAGAGACAATGAAAAGAAGTGATAAACTTAGTAGTTTAGCATTATATGTTAGATGTTATACGAACTAGTCTATCTTCGAAAGTTTAGACCTTGAAGGCGACGGGAGCCTCGCCCTCTGGCCCAATGTATTTGGGGTCTCTCCAAGGACCAACGTCGGACAAGTAAAGTCCCCCGCTTTCTTCGCTGACCTCGGACTTTCCACCAAATTTAACCGGTAGATTCTCAGCTGGGATCTGCTTGAGGAGTTCTTTGTGGTAAGAGGAGCCCAAAATGAAGATCTTGGAGACTGTCACTGGATCTAGAAAGGGTTTGAAAAGACGGAAAGCAGTGGAAAACCCAAATGGAGCGTTGACCAGATAAAACTTGCCCATACGTTCTGGATAGTAGTTTTGACCAATGTTGGAGGCTTCTCTGACGTAGCTGAGCACTTGGGCTGCAGCAGAAATGGAGATTCCCTTGAGGTCCAAAATAGTGCACGAGGTTTCAACTAGGTAACCGGCCTTTCTAGAGCATGCAGGAAGTCTGTAGCGAACGAAGGACTCGTATTCCCACACCAGGTTTTTGAGCATACGCTCTTGGGTGGTGATCTTGTACATTTCAGTGAGATTGACGGAGCCCAATTCTTCAAAGTACAAGGGACGACCATCGTTGTCGGTCTTGTGGTAGTACTGAGGGTAATATTTCGCAACTAGAGGCTTTTCGTCGTAGTGGAATTCTTCAAAGATTTTGTCGACGCCAAACTCCTTACGCCATTTTTCACAGTTCTCGTACATGAGCTTGGAGGCCGCTACATCGAACTTACGAGCTCTGAGAAATCTCAAAAGGGTCGAGTCGTCAAGTCTTTCGCTGTAGCCGCCTTGCTTGAGCTGCTCACGGAACTCACCGAGCGATTTCTGTTGCACATCAGATAGATTACCTGGGGTACCTTGCACCGCGCTGGGAGCACATGTTTGAGGGTATGATTTCAGCAGCTCTTGTTCCTGTTTCGATGTTAGTACGTGCGCAAAGTTTCACATAGTTTTTGACGCAATTCAAAAAGACGTGAGGGTCAGCTAGGGAAGTTGTTATGCAGCAAAAAATGATTTGGGCCTTAAGGAACAATAGCGGTAAAAAAAGCATCCTTTGCAGGCTTTTTTGCATTTCGAATTCTCTGATCAGATTAAAAGGCACCGCTTAGGTCAAGGAATCGCCATCGTCGCCATCAATTTTGATTTGATGACAACAATCACCCCATTTTTTTTCACTAAACGTCGTCCGTCGCCTAACTTTTAATTCGAACACAGTTGGGGCATGGCTGGATGATTGTCTTGGCAACACACTGGCGTATGCAATTTGTATCCTGTAAGAGTTCACACTCTGTAGCGCCCAAATTGTCAAGTCTAGCTCTCATCCATAGCTACTGCAATCTCGACGATTCCCTTCGCTTTTCGCTGGAACGCGTTTTCGCCGCCTAAACTTGGATATATAGAGTGAGCATATGATGGGAGCAGCTCCAGCCTTCTAGCAAGTACATACTGACACCATTTTTGAGCCGTTGGTCGATTTCATTCAAATCTTAACGTTCGGTCAAAGGATACGTTGATGTTATTTTGACAACTGTATTTGCTAGCCTGGTTGACAGTGACCGGGTAAGTCATGTGATGCCACATCCAAATTCACGGTTTTATCGTCAGGCTTCAAAGAACCCGACGACAAGCAATCCATCGCATGTTCGGAAAACGTTATAGCGTTTTCTACACTAGCGTTGTATTTTGCATTGATTTTGATGTTAGTACAGGGGAATTTTGGTGGTTGTTTGTCTAAAAAATTAATTCAAGAAGAGTCAAACGGAAAACTCCAAAAAAAACAGTCGGAAATACCTTGGCTGAAGTAGCTTCTTACATTGGCTGTTCCTTGACTTTGATTTATGACTAGAACGGTATTCAATTGGGGCAATTTCCGATTCAAAATGACAATGATTTTTGAGAAATCCTCACTTCGACGTGTAGTGCATGCATGACACAAGCTTTTTGTTCAAGAAAGAAGGTTCGCGACGCAAAACTACGAGTTTAATGTAGTGGAAGTAGACTAGAATCAAACAGGGTGGATTGTTCACATGTAGCTTCAAATGAAAACGGCTGGGGCCCTAAAACTAAGAAGGAAATTTGCAATTAAATTTCGAAACGACTGCAAGGACATTTCACAAGAGATCACAGGTGCGGAGCTTCCGGCCTTTGAGAATGGCCGCAGTCTCATTATTGTATCATCTTCAGCCCGGAGAATCAGGCCCGTTTCGCTGTCTTTAGAGATTTTACACTGTTTTCACCTGATGAGGTTTCCAATAGCTAAAGCTATTAAATTCAACGCGTAAATTATAAGGAAAACCACAACGCGAAGAAACGAAGTCTTGAACGCCAACCACCATCAGCAATTCCTCTATTTTTGACATGGACGCCGGACTGGGACAACATCTGGGTGACAGCTTGCTCTTCGAAAGTACTGCAAGCTCCGGACTAGGTTTTGTAAGCTCAAATGGACAGTTGAAGACACTCAACCGAAAGAAGAGCAATCGATCGCATGAGCTCTCCTGGAAAAGTGACGAGACATACGGAATCGATATCAATCGCCTGTTAGACGAATGTAACAGTCGCAGAGAAACGGTAAAAGTCTTAAAGCCTCAAGAATTGTCCAGGAAGACAATACCGGAAAAGCTATGGACTGAAAAATGGAAACCCCAGAGCTTTTTCGATCTGGTAGGAAATGAGAAGACGAATAGACGCGTTTTGAAGTGGCTAAGACAGTGGTCACCACTTGTCTTCGGTGAAACGCTGCCCAAGGCACCGGCAGTGAAATGGAACGGACCCAACTCTGGAGCTGAAAACTCCATTGAAACATTAGATCCGCTGCAAAGGCCACGGAAAAAGATTCTACTCCTCACTGGGCCCCCAGGAATAGGGAAAACGTCCGTGGCACACGTTGTGGTAAAGCAAGCAGGATATTCGACTATGGAGATCAACGCCAGTGACGAGAGGGGAGGACCGGGTATTAAGACACGAGTACACAACGCACTTTTCTCCAACACGCTTGATAGCCAGCCGGTTTGCTTGATTGCAGACGAAATTGATGGAAGCATGGAATCGGGTTTCATCAAGGTGCTTGTGGATATTATCAATGGTGATTTCAAAGCTACACAAAGAATACTGAGCGGAGTTCCTACGAGCTCGAAAGGCAGGCGTCAACGAAAAAAAAATCAGGGCCAAGTAATGACGCGACCGATTATAGCCATTTGCAATAATGTCTACGCATCAGCCTTGGAAAAGCTCCGACCACACTGTGAGATCATTCATTTCCAAAGACCATCTGAAAATGCCGTGGTAGAGCGGCTGTACCATGTTTCCAAAAAAGAAAATCTATTGATGGACAAAAAGAAGCTGAAGGAATTGACAGAACTATCACAGGGTGATGTGAGAAATTGCCTGAATAATATGCAGTTTATGGCTACGTTAGCATCCAATAGCAAATCCAGCAGCCTCGATGAGCAAATGAAAGACATGGGTGTATCTTGGTATCATATCTGCAATCAGATATTTCGCAAGGACCCGCATATTGATTCTAGGCATCAATTCATGAAACTGTTGCGGGATATAGAAACCAACTCAAGCTTCCAGAAAATAGTTCACGGTTGTTTCTCTATGTTCCCGAGTGTCAAATATTCTGATAGTAGTCTGAAAAAACCAAGCATGGCTGCCGATTGGTTATTCTTCAATGATCGGATGTTCCAGTCACTTTTTGAGCACAATGGCGACCTGCTGAGATACAATGCCGTAGTGCCTATGGCATTCTTCCAGCTTTTCAGCGATATCGCAAACAAAGAAGAGATCAGGACGCAGCACAACGAGTTCGAACAAAGGGAAGCGCTACGAAAGAACGATGACCTCGTGAGTGCCATGCTTCAGCGGCCACCTGCGTCTTCTCAAATATTCATGAATAAACGCGCTTTGGCGCTAGAGATTCTACCACTGGTGGATTATATGATAGCTGCTGATTTCACCAAGGTGCGTAACGGAAATGTTAAGACCGCTATTTTCGAAAATATCATCCCTGCAATAACAACTTTTGATCTCATATTTGGAGAACGATCAGACACTGACATGCCTCGTGTCCCTTGTATCGAGCCGCCATTTGATACGGTGGTTCTGATGGATCAAAAGCGGTCCAAAGAGATATACACCAAGAGACCAGCATTATTAAATGTAGTAAATGCCAAGGTACAGGAGAGTAAACTTCGGAAAAGGACTCTAGAAGTTGCAAAAGCTGATAAAGAAGGATTGGAAAATGCACGCAAGAAGCAAAAAACTACTTCATCTTCCGTCAAACCGGCCGAGTTTTTCAAGTCTCAGTACGCCAGTGTCCAACATGGTGGCAGTCAAGATAACGGCGCATTGAATATTCATGATGGAGAGTCTCAAGAACCCGCCAAGGCAAAAATTTGGGTGAGATACAAAGAGGGTTTTTCAGACGCAGTGAGAAAGAACGTTACTTGGAAAACTCTATGGGAATAGGCGCATCACCGCAACATGTAACTTTTCTCAAAAAATAATTTCCAGACAATCGATGACTAAAAGACTGATTATCTAGACACGATTAGCACATTACATACAGCTAGTAGATGAGATATATCACTAATTGTGTTTATGAAGGTCAACAAATTCATGGTGAGTTTTCTGAGAAAACAGTAGATGAGATTTAAACAAACATTGACAACTGAATGTTGCAGGAACCTACCTAAACAAATAAAACGAATACGATTAAAGAAAAGTAGTTTGATTGTACAAACTAAAAAGCAGAATACAACTAGCTGCTCTGCTCTCTGTCTGTGAGGAACATTGACATTGTAAAGCACCGTCGTGCTTGAATTACTGACTTCGGGTCATTCACCAAAGATCTGCAGTATATTAAACAGTTTTCTACTCATGTTCAACAAATGGTTTCGTGGTCTAGTCGGTTATGGCATCTGCTTAACACGCAGAACGTCCCCAGTTCGATCCTGGGCGAAATCATTTTTTGCCGTTATTTTTTACATATTTTAATTGTCACGATGATCTTTTCAATCCTTACAACAATGCTTAGCGAACAGCCTATTTACAAGGTTCCGTCACACTCATCGTGTAGCACAAGTAGTCCTCGACGCTTGCTTCATCTTCAAAACACAATCTCACAGCGGTCTCATAGGCTCTTTCTGTCACTCGCGGAAATCGCGTATCATTACATCAAAGAGAACATCCGGTAGAGGCCGTTCGTCGCACAACTCAGGAAGAACATTCGCGCTTCATTTAAGCAAGCATGAGCACAGATTGTCCGAGCGAAAACGTCATTTGCGATCTGCTTGCAAAAGATTACCACCACCAAGGTCCGGAAGGTCTGTCTCGTCAGGGAGGTGGCCCCCATAGCTCGTTTGATTTTGATAGGCTGGGAGACAATTTTGGTGGGATAAACCATAGTGCAGCCAAGCCTGAGGACGTTAGTGATGGCTCTCATATGGGACAATCCCTTTTTCCTGGGCTAGGAGAGTGGAGGATGGACAGTGTATCTTCAGTGACACCTCCAATGTCGCACTCGCCAGAGGACTCACAAGAGAGTGGTTCTAGTAAAGGTCATACCAAGCCAAACACACAGCAGCATAACGGATCAGAACGTGGTTACGCTCCTGAAGAGACTCTTACAGAGCAGGAGATTTTGGCTCGTAAAAAGGCTCAGAATAGAGCAGCACAGAAGGCATTTAGAGAACGCAAAGAAGCAAAGTTGAAAGAGCTAGAATCAAAGTTGTTGTCGAGTGAACGCGATAAAAAAGCGCTTCTTAGAGAGCTCGAGGACCTGAAAAAACTAAATCTCGAGATCGCCACCGAAAATCGTCTTTTGAGCAAGACCGAACAGCGCTCTTCTCCCGATGTGCGCGCTGAAACGGTCAAGTACCATTTTCCTTCTCGTAAACACTTTATCGAAGTAACGAGCGGTGACCACAAGATTGACCTTAATGAACCTATGCCGCTCTCGTCCTACGAGCACTTCGGACAGAGATTGCTGACTTTACCAGCCACCTGGGAATATCTCCATGAGCTTTCTAAAAGCGAGGATTTTGACGTTTATTTCGTCATGGAGAACTTGCGAGGCAACGAGGTGTGTCACGGCTATGGTCCGGCGTACCCACAGGATGTTATCGATAACATAGTGCGGAATTGCCCTTAAGTGAAGGAATAGACGTCGTTAGATTAAAATTTCAAAAAGACAGGTTCCACTCGTACGCTTCAGTAGAAGTGACGAGAGGATCCGTTCAAAGTTCATGTTTTCGTACGCGGTTATGACCCGAATGTCCAAAAGGTTGGGCCTGGTGATGTATTTTATTTTATTTTAGGTTAACTTGCTTTGTGTGCGCGGCTTCGCTTCACATCACAACGTCGATATGCATTGGGAGGCTCAGAATGGCCAAGAAAACTGGTAAACAAGAAAAGAACTTGTCGCGAGGTACTGCAGGGACCGGTAAATTCAGATTTCCAGATGCATTCTATGGCCTCAATGCAAGTTCAAAGAAATTTGAGTATCTTCCGCAACCGAAACGTCTCTTGGACGATAAAGTGATAGTGATAGGCAAGTTTTTAACTGAGCCGGTGACGCAGGATCTTTGCGCTAGCCTATCGCAGACGGGCGTCATGGAGTTGTTTCGTCAGAGAGGGACCAAAGAATATGCAGAACGACTTAACGAACGCTTCTCCACGGACGACGTCCATGTAGCACACATTCTGTGGAACAGGCTAAACAAATGCCTTGCTCAAGACGAATACATCTTAAAAGAATTGGATTTTGTAGATGCCATTGGTCTCAACCCTCAGATCAGAGCATACCGTTATGAAAAAGGTCACAAGTTTGCCAAACATTACGATGCTTCCGCCAAAGTTCCCGGTGTTGGAACAACCCGTTGGACTTTGCTGATTTACTTGACCGGTGGTGATGAGTTGGTTGGAGGTGATACAATATTCTATTCGTCGCACCGAGGTGAAAGTACAGCTGTGCATCCACAAGTAGGGTTAGCACTTTTGCACAAACACGGCGACGATTGTCTTTTACATGAAGCTCAAGAAGTTTACAAAGGCGTGAAGTTTGTATTGAGGAGTGATGTGGTATTCAAAGACATGAGTTAGTCTAGAGTTCATGTTCTTTTGACTTTCTCGATAGTGAAATCTCATCAGTGTATATTGAATTAAAGATATATAAATTTGTTCAAGTACTTCGATGCCTTCAAGAAGTTCGAATCTTGAATTTGCATCTGGTTTATATCGGATGAGATCAGAGAAGCGTTGGCATTGAAATATCCATGTCTGAGCAGACTTCTACTTTAGCAAGTTTATTTCCTGATGTCAGTGAGCAAGTACTGACCAAAACATTGGAAAGTGCCAACGGAGATGTTGAGATGGCTAGTAATATGATCTTGAGCGAACAAGATTCGCTGAGCCAACTCAGAAATGTTGCCGAGATAAGCGAATTGGACTTTGAAAAACACAATGAACCCAGCAAGCAGGATAAAGGAGCGGTTAATCTAAAAAAACGGCTTTACAGACGGGTACATTCGTTCGACGACATAAAACGACCCAATGACAAGGCCAAGGCATGTTCCCAAAACCAGTTTTGGTCATCTACACAAGAGCAAATACGCAGTGTGGTGGATCTCACCGCTGTTCCCCATAAAATAGGTCAAACAGCGTTTTACAAAAAATCGTTGAATGCAGGGAGGGCTGCGATAGACATAGTAAGTCATTACGATGACTACTTGGCAGAGTTTCATAAATCCCGATCACCGATTCCGCCACCTGTTTCCGCTCAACCTGCGCGAGTTGGTGGCCGCGTTCAGTCTGCACAAGGTCTGGCACACCAAAAAGAGGCAAAGACCGGTTTCCAGGAGCAATCAAAACCATCAGGTTCCGACCAAAGCTCTACAGCACCTTATCCTCGTAATGTTGCCACCGCCCAGGAGCTTCTGAAGGCTTCTCGGGAGCTTGAAGCTATTGTAGCGAGCAATCCCGTGCTCAAGGCAATTAGCCCCCAATTTTTCAAGTTGGCTCTCGAATTTTATGGTGCCGATGTCGCGCGAACCACTACGCTGGCTGCATTCATAATCGAGAATGATTGTTCAAGATACACCTTCACCGATACGACCACAAGTTTTGTTTCTGCAGGGACACTCTCACCTCGCTCTCATAAAACGAGCTCCGTGATCAATCCAGCGGCCCAGCCCGGCCCAGAAGGAGAGCTCGGTGCGGTAGTTCCCGAGTCCGAGTCATTTTCCAGTGACAACAGCTACAATCAAGCTTTACAGATATTCGAAGCCATCTTCCAAACACACACTGCCGATCTACATGGTTTCTACCCACAAGAAGCCAAACAAATTGCCCAGAACTGTCTCACAGCCTGGTGGAGTCGTGAAACAAGTCTGCGTGAGATGAATGCTCACCGCCCTAACCTGATCAAAGCACTCAACGTCGCTCCTCTCAAAATAATCACCGGACGAGGTATTCACAGTCTAGGAGGGGTCTCAAAAGTAAAGATTCAAATCAAAAAACTTCTGGATAGCGAAAACTACGTGTACACCGAAGAACCGTCTTATTTCATCGTCGATGGGCGAAGAACTCAGGTAAGGTCTCGAAAGCGATAAAATGTGCTAGCTGTGACACCGTGATCACATGAGTCTTGATGCAAGTTTAATTTCGGAAAATTACTTAAAGGTGTTGTTGCCAACCTAGAACGCGTACTCATCGCCTAACAGATCGAGCCAATGGGCTGGTAAAAGGCTACCATCATCACTTCGAATGGATTACATGAACTTGGGGGTTACTTCCCGTAAAACTGGAATCAAAATACGACAAGATATACGCAAAGATGAGTACTCCATGGATAATGTTGATGAATTTTTCAAAGATAACGAGAGCTCGATTTCGTTTCGCAGAAAAAGCCGTAAATCATCGCTGCTTCCCTTCGATAATTCTGCTTTTCCACCGCCGGTTTTCGAAGGCAGATCAAGACGAAGTACGAACTTTTTACCCCCCAGTGTGCCCACCATAGACGAAAATTATGCAGAACCTTCAATAGAGGAGGCTATCCAACCAGAGCTGGATGGATCGATGCCGAACGATTGGGGAGACGAAGGCGGAGCTGAAGATAAGGAATTACCTCTTTTACCAGAGAAGCAGGTGGACAACCAACCAAAGAAAAGTGAGAATAAAACGATAAATTATGAACCTGATTATCGAAGCGACGATTTTGAAAACGATGGCGACGCTGAGGGCGTTCCACAGACTCCACCTTCCGACTATGGAAATGAGAGCTATCGAGACGTTCCCGATTTGGTAGCAGACGATGACGACGACGATGATGAGCCGTCCCATGGAAACACGTCTTTCAACACTTCTGAAAATGCACTACTGGAGGATGAGCTGGAGCGAGACAATGGGTCATTGAGTGAAGAAGACAGAGACTACGTCGAACCCTCGGGGCTTCTTGACGCTGTGAATTCAAGCGAATCCGAGGGTGAAGATAGCGAGATTGATTACGGCGGAGCTGAAAAACGTTCTGCTTTCTCAAACGTTACAAACAATTCGTATAATAGTCGACAAAAGGGAGCGAAGAATGCTGGACATTCAGGCCAAGAAGGATCGCTTGAGGAGAGCTCGGATGAAGAGTTTATCCAGGATCAGGCTCAAGACTTAGGACGAGAAGTCAATTTTGCAAGAGTGAACGGGTTAAGGAAATCTAATAGGGTGAAAATAGCGCCCTTGGAATACTGGAGAAATGAGAAGGTGGTTTACAAGCGTAAATCGAGAAAACCCGTGCTGGAAATCGATAAGGTCATAACTTTCGAGGAGGAAGATGATGAAGAAGAAGAAGATCTAAGAAGGAGAAAGAAGAGTAAGAATAGGCCATACAACTATACTTCAACAGGGAGACCGCGTGGAAGACCTAGAAAAGGTCAAAATACAGGTGTGACCTCAGAAACTGCATTGCACAACCCCAATCAGCACTTGATTACCAGAGTCAAGCAAGGCACACTTCAAAACTCTGGGTGGTATGAAGCGGGAGAATATCGAGGACTCGTGAACGCTTCTTCGGATCACAAACATAAAGAAGAGGACATCTTGGCTCGTTCTAACTTTCAGTCGATTCCCCAGTACAGACGCAATACAAAAGATGAGTCGTATACCTTGGCTGTGCTTTTCGACAAAAACAAAGAATCATTCGCAAGTGGAATTTTAACCCTGCCCCTGGGAGCGGACAAAAAGCTATCTGATTCTTATAATGTTGCCATCAACTTCTACCTCATTGAAGGCGTCATAGAGATCACGATTGGCCAAAATAAGCTAATTTGTACCGAGGGTTGTGCTTTTCAAGTGCCTGCTTTCAATGAGTATTCGCTTTCTAACAAGGGAAAAAGTATTGCCAAAATGTACTTCGTACAGGTTTCGCTGCCTGAACTCAGCAATACTAAGAAGCCAACTGGTGCGGAAACGGTAAACCTCCGGCAAGAAGATTCCCGTATGGGAGACTCACTTAGTGACATGAGCATATCGCAAGGTTGAAGTGTTGATGCCAAAGGCTCGTAAGACTAGGCCTGACATTTAGTCTATAACTTAAAGCAAAAACTACTCTATAAATGTATAATACAATCGTCATTAAGCCCCGCAAACCCTTTTCTTCTCCCTAGGGTACAGCGATTCCCACTATATTAAACCTAAACGTAAGAAAATAACTGATCAAGTGCTCTCTGCGCCACTTTCCTCGCCGTCTTCCATCTTCTCTGCAAGCTTCTTCATTCTAGCCAGTTTCACCAAAGGCGCGAGGGACCTCACATCATCTGAATATGTAGTAATGAAGGGGTCTTCAAGCAATTGTGACGCCGAGGCTCTCTCTTCCGGATTTACATGCAGACACCAATTTAGGAAAAACCTCAAGTCCTCACTCAAGGTGTCTGCATCTTTCAATTCAGGAGTACCGTTGGTAGCAATCAAATAAAGTGCACGCAGCGGCGTCTCATTCAAGTACGGCGGCTCACCTTCGATCATCTCTATTATCATGATACCCAGAGACCATATATCGACTTTCGGACCATATTCTTTTCTGGATACTACTTCTGGGGCCATCCAGTAGGGCGTGCCCACCATTGTGGTACGCTTTAAATTTGTCTCATTGATCTGGGCGCAAAATCCGAAATCTGTCAGCTTAATCTCACCTGTCATGGACAGAAGGACGTTATCCGATTTGATATCCCGGTGAATCACACGCTTTGAATGAAGAAATCTCAACCCTTCCAAGGTCTCCCGGCAAACCGCTCCAATTTGACCTTCCGTCAGAATACAATGTGTCACTACATCCGTCAGAGAACCGCCCTCCATATACTCCATCACAACCCAGAGGTCACCCTTCAGCAAGTAAGAGTCAATATAATTGACGATATTAGCGTGTTTGCTGGCCTTCATGACTAATATTTCATTGATTATTAGTTCTTTCTTCGGTTGCTTCTCAAGACTCATTTGCTTAATGGCAACCGAAGCGTTTGTGCATACTTCGTAGGCTGTGTAGACACCTCCGGAGGCTCCTTGTCCGATTTTGATCAAATTCTTGTACAACTTGCTGGGGTCGCCCTCCGAGCAAATTTCTGTTAAAGTGGCGTATAGCTGTTGGATTTTCTTTCTTCTGTCCTCCCGTTTCGATTCGAGCGCTTTCTGCATGTCGCTTGGCACTGATTCGCCCTTTGTATTGTCTTTTGGAACAGGAGGCGGAGGAGGAGGAGCCGCCCTAAGCGGCGCATCTGGAATTTTCGTATCAGGCAAAATTTTTGCCGGCGGTAAAGAGTTCTTCGGCTGGGGTAGAGCATTTTGATTCTGATCAGATTTATTTCTAGTCCCATTTCGAGATAAAACCTTTATTGCGGAACTAGAGCTTCCTGTTCTCTTGATTTTTGGCGATGCTGCAGCAGAACCGTTTTTAGCCAGAGGTGAGGTGATTTCACTCTTTGCAGTTGTGCCAGGCGGTCTTGGCGCTGGACGACTCGGCATATATCGCTCATTGCTCGACGATTGCAGCCTTGGCGCTTCCCTCAGATTGACAGGTGATTGAAGCTCTTGAGGAGTGCCTTTCGTGCCAACACCTGTTTGCGAAGCAACTTTCGATGACATACTCCCAAACCTTTGAAGAGATGGGGAAGAGGGCGACTTCAACTCAGTATTGGATAGGTTTTTTCCCGAACCTCCAACGTGAAAAGTTTTGAACACCTTGTCTTCGCCGTTTGCCTCTGTAACATCTTGATAAAACTTGACAATATCCATGACCGCCTGCGGATGTTGTTGTTGCTCCCTTTTCGAAATACCGCTCGAAGTCAGAAGCCTCTCCCACTCCTCGGGTAAACCGGTATACTCACCTGTTTTAGTATCCACGCCCACATGATGGACATGCTTCGCATTGTAAGGTGTCGAGATCTTGATGGCAGAATTAGATTGCCTTTTCTCTCCTTGTGAAGTTCTTTTCATGTTTTGCATGAGTGACGAAAACACGCCTTTCATTCTACTCCCCCCACTCTTTCGCTTTTTGCCGTCCAAGCTTGGCGATGGAGTTTGAGAATTTGAAATAGGACTTTCTGGAGTAGTATCACCGGAACGAGGAGTCCTATTCAGACCATTGAAAGGCGAAGCTACCACCTGAAATGCCGATTTATGAACTGCGTTTTTTACATCTGGCGAAACCTGTGGTAGCTGATGAAAATTTCCTTGAGGGACCACGGGCGTTTTTCGAGGTCCTGTATCGTTGACTGTGTTATCACTTTTTTGAGAGAGATTATTTTGGCTGTAATCTGCGCTGCCCTCTTCAGTACGATCGTTAGTAGACTTTTCCGGTAGTGGACCGTTGACTGCGGATTCAAATGGCGCATTCTTGAAATTGTCAGGACCACAGTCACTCTTCGGTGTACTGCTTTTAAGGTATCCATCGTAATCAATGTTAGCGGTAGAACTGTTCTGCGTGGAGAAGGCAGGTGACATCTCAGTTTCATTTTCACCTGAAAGTAGCATCGATTCATTTGTGAGAGCTGTATTGTCGGCATTGAACTGGCCCGATGCTCTTATCGTAGAGTTTGTCTTGTCCCCGAGCGTCGACTGCTCTTGAAGATCTGGTACAACGGGATCTCGGGAGTGGAACTGACGCTGTGCCTGAGATGGCCTTTTGTCATTTGATTGTGGCTCATAAGAGCGCTCACTGGCTTCGCTGGCCCCATAAGAGCTCGAGCTTAGTGCAGAGGAGGATGACACTCTAGTGAACTGTATGGGATCGTTGAGAGATGTAGATTGCAGTATTTCGCCAGCACTGGTCACTTCTGCCACTTGCGGCTTCCCGGGATCCATAGATCTGTAGTCTGTTGTTTCACCAGTGCCTTCGATGTCAACACTACTCGCATCATGTAGAGCATTGACATTCAGTAAGCCAGGAGCTCGAGGTAGATCATACTTCTCATCGGATGCGACACTGGTATGATCTGTGCCCTCATTTTTGCTGTCCACTGTCCGCGAGTAGCATACAGGATCAGCCTCGTTTACTTCAGATACTGGAAAGCTCATAAAGAAAGTACTATTGTGAAGAATGCGGACCCACTTGCGCTTTAGAGCTTGATTGATAGTTGACTCTCTCTGCTGCTCCGCGAGTCTTCAACGGCTGATTTTGCGGGAAAAGGTCAAGCTTTAGTACCAGTGACAATGAAATCGAAACTGATTCAAAACAAACGATTGAAGTAGAAAGTAATAAGCTTAATGTAAGGTTATGTTAACCCGGGTATTCTGGCACTTTGCTGTAAAAGCACTTCCAAATAAACTACTTATTTTTTGTATTAAATCGAGAATAAATCGAGAATAAGTTTCAAAAAAGTCATCACGTGAAGATACACTCGAGCTCGATATTCAAAATGTTCAAGAGAATGAAAGGTCGATAACTAAAAAGCTTCGAGTTATGGATAACATGAAATAGCACAGCCTGTAAGTTTAGCATGCCTTTATGCGAGCAGTTTTCACAGTAGTAAATACCACTTGTTTGAAATGTGTATAGTTGTTTTTAAATTCGAATGTTCAGCGCTGATCGGGAGAGCTTCGCTGAAACAGTAAAAACTTAATCTTCTTTCTAGTGATTTGACCATACTAGGATAGAAGGAATGCACCAGATCCTTCAGTCATGGCCTGAGTAATCCTGGATCTGAGAATATCCCTGTCGCTATACATTGGCAATTTGAGGTAGTTGGCGCAAGTCATGACACTAGGCAAGTACTCATCCGCAGTCATGTTTTCCTCTGTGTGTTTGCGAACCACGGTGAGTTTGGGAGTAAGGCTCTTGAAACCGCCAAGTGGCAGTTTAGGTGACCCGGTGAGAAACTGAAGAAAATCACGACGCTCTGTAATCGAAAACGATGTCATCAGCGATATTAGATCGTGGATTATGTCAGAGTCTTGTGTGTAGCCATGATCAGCTTCCACATAAGCCAAGAGTGTTTCAAGGCTCCAATCCTCCTCTACTCTCCCGAAAAGTTCCGTCAGCTCATCTGGTGTCAATATGAGTAGGGAACTGTAGGGAAAGGCCTGCGAAAAACCCTCCATGAAACTGCGGATTTGTTTCTCGATCCCCGCACCCAGGATCTGATCTACAAGCAGATCAAAGTAATCGTCAAAATTCTCTGCTGTCACGGCAATATTTCTTCCATTTGGGATCAAATCTACATCGTAGCCCGGTAAATGGAACGTTAACGAAAGCGACTCCAAATCGTTGGCGCCTTTGTGCTCGAGCAGAAATTGGAGAGATTTCGCCAGCTGGTGGTCCACTTTATGCAAAAGGGAAAAAGTAGCCTCATTTCTTCCAAGATCAACATTCTCGCCATCTGCATATAAATGTGCGAGCTCGAGGAAGGCTGTGTTGAAGCGGAAGTCAAGAATGCGATTGTCAAGCATAGATCGTGCGACGAAAGCTCCTAAATGTTTGAAAAGCTCTAAAGTTCCTGTTTGATCTTTGGAGGCGCTTAAAGAAGCAGGAAAGAGAAGGCCATCGACTAGTTCATCTTTTTCAAACAAAGGATAGCGATCAGTCCTCCACAGACCTAATGATTTCTTTGCGAATTCCTTCGATATTATAGCATAAAATTCCATCGTGGGACCGAGCCCTGTTCCAACCTCATCCGAGTACTCAATTTCTAAGATGTTAGGTGACGAGCCGTATTTCGAAAGTATCTTCAGTGCACTCAGAAACATATTGTCTCGCGATATCCTCAGTTTATGTCTCGTAGGCCTACCCAGCTGATGCAGAACGTTCTCGCCTCTTTCACCTTTATCTCCTCCCAGGCGATTTTTCCAAATCTGAATAAGTCTCGCATATCCGAAAGATGCACATTGTAGGTAAAACATTCTGAGTTCAAGAGGAAAGAGAAAAGGGTAGCGTCTGGTAACGATCGTGCTCCATGCAGGGATGCAGCCGCTGGCAACAATGAGCGGTTCATCCAGTTGGCAAGATAGTTTCGCGCTTATCTTTGAATTAATGAAATGCTCACTACCCAATGGACCTTTCCTTAGTGCTCTAAGAATAATCATGAGGTCATATGCCTGCTTCTCATCAGCCCCTGCGTCACCCTGCTCTGCAGTATAATTTGTCAAGGATCTAGTCTCTTGTTTCGGCTCCAATATCTCCCTAAACTTGAATACGTGCACATCAGTCCAAAGGCGTTTTCCCTCTTTTTCGTTCTTATTGTGGGCCCTGAAGATGGGGCCAAATATCGTGTCTTGATATTTGCATTCTTTCTCTTCCAGGAAAAAGGCGAAGTTCCAGCCATCTATTCCAGTGGTCTCAGCGGGAGTGATTGCCACCAGTGGGGACGATGAACTCATTACTCTAGACTGCAATATCCTGTGCTTCAGGAAGTCATTGAGTGATTTGAATGTCGCAATACAATGAATAGCCACAGTAATCGAACGCAGGTTGGCGGGTATTTTATCGCCCTCATGATCTCCATCGTATTCGAGTTTAATTTTCATCTGCTTGCCCAAAGAAGCAGACTTACCATTCTCATCATGGAGTCCACACTCCATCAAACTAAAACATTCGATTCTTGTCAAAGAAGATTGCAAAATCTGCACGAAAGTTCTCAAGTCTCCTCCAAAGGCGTCAATCAAGGCTGGTTCGCAAAAAAAGCTCTTTGTCCTATTTTCAATGATTATCTTTGACATTTCACGAGCGAGGCCGGTTGACATAAATTCGAAGCTGGATATCACAAATTCAGACGATAATAGTTTGTTTTTAACATCGCGCCAAATGGCCAGCCACTCTTCATACGTATTCGAACGAAGAACCAACTTTTGCAGCTTTTCCACTAAGGTGGAAATTTCACCAAGTTGCTCTGATGAAGATTTGCCTTTCTTAGAGATGGACGAAATAATCTTGAGGTTTTCAGCCAAAGCAAACTTGAGCTCATGCAGGGTCAGTTTTTTAAGAACATTGAAGGAGATTTTGCGCGCTTTCACTTGTCCGAGCCCCTCAATCCCATCAAAATCCATGTCATAATCATCACCATCGTAATGGTCATGACTGTCCTCTGACAAATCCTCTTCAGCGGAAGAGTGTGAGTTGCTCTCGTGGTCTAATTCCTCTTTATCAAGAGAGCTTTGCGAAAGGCCTCCTAACAAAGCGTCAATCATCTCAAAAACACCTTCGCGATAAAAAGCTGGTAGATAAACTTCAGAATTTCTTTCAATCAATAAACGAGTTAATGAAGCGCAGCCAACAAGGAGGGCACCAGACTTTTTATCAGTCAAGTTACTGTCTTCAAAGACAGTTTTATTTCTAGCAAAGCTTGACGCTATCATCGATATTACTCTTTCGTTTACCTCAAAGGAGGCAGATGATTTGCGTGGTGAAACAGTTCGCGCTAATGCGACGAGGACGTACTTTCTGATTTGAAAATCGACGGCATTATCATATATCTCCACCAAAACCGGAGTGACGTCTGTGAGTAATTGTTTCATCTCATCCTCGATACCTTGCCATTGTTCCTCAGGACCTTCATAGTTCGATAAGACGTGGTCACCTTCAACCGGAAGAAGGCACATCAAAAACCGGGAAACACATGTCAACAAGGATTTAGGTGCAAACATTATTCTTTCTTGGAGAGGCGACTTTTGGTTTTTTTTGTAGCCATCGATGGAGCTTTGTATCAAGTTTGGTACTTTCCGAGACTTGATCATCTGGACAGCCAATGCTCTGGAACACAAGACCAGTTGAGTCAGGATATCGAACGCTTTCAAACGCGTTTCTAGTTTCGTTTCCCCACTAATGCTTAGTTGCATGATTTTTTCAACCAGGTCGAATTGAAATAGTTGCGTCAGTCGCTCTCGCTCTTTACTAAAGCTGCTGCAAATACCATACAAGCCGTCGAACACTTTCAAGAGTAGTACACTGTCGGAACATCCCATGAAAACCTGCTTCAATATGGGCATCACATTCGCTATTTCTGCGAAGTCCTGGACGCGGGCTCTGGTGCACGCGTTTACAACTATTGTGAGAGCCTTTCTTTGCGCATGCAAAGTGAAGAAATCGAGATATTGTAGGCAAACGGTAAGAGTGCCCGATTCAAGTATTTCTCTTCCATGTAAGCGGGAAATTATTTCCAGTGTCTCCAATACTTGTTCTGCGAGATCGATGTAACTGATTTCGAGTAGTTTCTCTCGTAGAGCCGCCACGACGCCTAGATCTACAGCGGCCGCTATTATGCTGGGGTTGACCTCAAATAGATTGTACAAGCACCGGCCTGCGACCATCTGTAGCTCGAGCTGATCCTGCAGTCGAGAACTCTCTAAAATTTGAATGACATTTGTCAGAAGCTCTTCTTGTGGAATCGCACGCTCTGCTGTTATTGAGTTCATCATCAGTAACTGTTCAGAAATCTCACGCAAGCTTTCTTGCGCGACGTAGGGATCTTCGTTACATGATGCAATGTTTTCTAAAAGTTTGGTTATATGCGGATTAGCTCTGTTTGGACCAAAGATGGGTCCATTACCGGCGAACCCGAATATTTCAGGGAAAATATCCGCAATTTCTACCCTTCTTCCTTGACGGTTTCCAAGGCCAGGCAGCGAAGAAGAGCCCTGTTCGCGTGTCGATTCGTGAGTTTCCATGCTCCGAGACAAATATCCCAACATCTGTTGCAATGAAGCTGGTGCTCTGTGGCCTTCATTTCCAAATGCAGGATGACTGCCCGTGCCAGAGTCCGCACTAAACGGTCTTTCTTCATTTTCCTCGTCTTCGTCCAGCTGTTCATTTTCGAAGTTCCCAAATTCACCTGGACGTTGCGAAGACAGCTCTTCGTCCTCTTCATTATCGTCTTCAGCTTCTTCGTCTGCATAATCGTACTCTCTTGAGTTCTCAGATTCATCGCGTTCACTTTCACTATATTCACCTTGCGATGGACTGGGTCGGATTACAAAATCCCCATCGTCATCGTATTCTCTGTTCATCAAGGTTGCTCTTTTCTCTAATAACGCTTCCTTCTGATGATTCGGTCGAGTCTCAAGTGCGATGAACCGCTGTCTGTAGCGACGGGCACCTCGGTCTGGTAGTCGATGGCTAACCATCAGATCAAGACAGTAGTGATATTCTTTTTCGACCACTAATTATGGCTGGGGGGGCCAAGAAACTAAAGACATCCCGTGATTTTTCAGATTAAAGACGGCGTCACTAACAAACCTGACCCTCTGACTCTTTGAGAATTGCCGTACCTTGGGAAAAGTGCTTTACTTGGCCTTAAAGTGCTATACTGCTTTTGAGTCAATATTCCTACTAACCTTGATTGAAAAGTTAGGAATTCAATCATACGCTTAGTTTTGACAAACATGGTTGTTGCGCTGCGCAGCTTAGATGGGGAAGCAACACAACAATCCCAGAGCTCTACTCTTTACGAAATGACAATTTGGCGCTGAGTTTTTGACAAATTCGTGGTACTCCCCAAGGCCTACTACAATGTGTACACCGTGCCACGCTTTAAGTGCATGAAAACGCTCACTACGGGTATGCCTGGTTTCAATTGCTGTAGAATGGGGCGGTCAAGAATGGCAAGGGTCAAAAAAAAACTCTAGCTGTGGATCGAAAGCCAGTGTTTCCACCATGTCACTTGTACAGAGGTCTTGTCGATGCCACGTAATCATGCGCCTACCCCAAAGGACAGCTCTGGTCACTTAAGTGCTTGCAACGGTGGATTCGAACGTCACCAGGATCATTTGACGATCATCTTGCGCATAATACGCTGATACAGTTGAGGCCAAGATCGAAGAGGATATATGACGACTAGGAGAAACTACAAAACTTACGAATTCCAAATACCGAAGGTCAATTGGGGTGCTCGAAATAGCATCTGGTGAAAACGGAAACTAGCATGGACCAACCTGATCCAGTTCAAACAATGCTTGAAACCTTGAGTTCTGAGAGACTGTAGCTTAAAAAATCGAAATATAGAGGTAACAGCTTCTTGTCATTAAAATAAAATCCAGCCACGTGACCATTAATATCACTATTATATCATGTGACTGGGCTGAAACGAAAGTGTGCGGATCTGGGTAATTGAAAAATTTTAGCTCATCGCATCTCAGTTTAGCTCCAGGCGCTGAACAGATCTCTTGTACCAAGTAACTTGAAGTGATAACTTTGAAAGCAAGCATTGCCGCCACTTTCCAAGTTTACCTGTTTTCAAGACTTCACGAAAAATGCCTAGATCTAAGCGTTCCAAGTTGGTGACTTTGGCCCAAACTGACAAGAAGGGCAGAGAGAACAAAGAACGTATTTTCGATGAGATCCGTGAGGCTCTAGACTCGTTCAGATACGTGTGGGTGCTCCACCTTGACGACGTCAGAACGCCCGTTTTGCAAGAAATTCGTTCTTCATGGACTGGCTCCAAGCTCATCATGGGTAAACGTAAAGTGTTGGAGAAGGCTTTAGGTCAGACTAGAGAACAAGAATACAAAGAAAATCTTTCAAAACTCACGAAGACCTGCTCAGGAGTCACCGGTCTGCTGTTTACAGACGAAGAACCAAAGGTTGTTCAAGATTACTTCAAATCATATGTCAGAGCTGACTACTCAAGACCCAAATCCAAGGCCCCACTAACGTTCGAGATACCGGCCGGCATTATCTACTCGCGTGGTGGCCAAATTCCTGTCGAGGACGACGTCGTTATGGTCCACTCCCTGGAGCCTACTTTGAGAAACAAGTTCAAGATCCCAACCAAGATCAAAGCGGGAAAGATCACCATCGAAAGCTCATACCTTGTTTGCGAAGAGGGCGAAACGCTTGATGTTCGTCAAGCGTTGATTTTGAAGCAATTCGGGGTGGCCGCTGCTGAGTTCAAAGTGAAGGTTGCATCCTATTTTGACAACGAATCTGCCACGGTCGAAGAAGTGGGCATCAACATGTAAAATTGCATCAACAAATACACTGTATACTATAATCGAGCTCGAAGCAAGAGGCCATTGAGCCGGGAAACCTGCAATTCAGTTTCTACTTCTAAGTAATCTCACGCCAGTACTGCTCCAATTTACCAAGGTCATCGTGGTGATCTTCTTGGCTTGGTACGAATTGAACATTCATCTGGTACCGTTCCTTTATCTTGAAAGCCACATTGAAAATGAGATTGGCCAACCTGGTTTGTTCAATAGTGAGCGATTTTTCCTTTGGGCCAAGAGCCTCGTCCATGCCATATATGATCAAATTCCCAAAAGACAGCTTCTCACTTACCTCACTTACCTCAAACTTCGTCAAGTACATATATAAATACTGCAATTTGCTCAAAAAAAGCACTTTGATTTGATCCCTAGCATTAAGCATGGCTCGAATACTGGACATTGTACCCGTTGAACAGTTTAGGTCATTTTCAAAATACCTTCTCGCAGTAACATCAAGGGCGAAGATCAAAGTACTTGAAGTTTCAGCATCTTCAAGAATCAATTGCGACAATACCCCTTCCATCTACCAAAAAACTTCAGAATAAGTACAGTCTCATCTTCCAACGTGCGATTGCACTATTCAGAACGCCGAATTAACCACGATTCCTGATTGAGACGGTGAATATCGTTCTGCTCGCCTTTATATCGCGTACTTATTTCATTCCAGATATTATTTCAATTGTAATTAACTACATACATAGTACAGCGAACTCAAAAAAATTTTGAGATTTAACTGCGTAAGAATACTTCCTAAAAGGACCACGCTATAGTCACAATAGAACATAGAGTAGATCCCGCAAGGATGCTTTTGGGTACTCGAACAGCGAAGTGCTCACTTCGGGTAAGATTTGCACTTCGTGGTCAGCATATTGCCAGATACATTTCAACAGAGGGCAAAGCAGAAAATGGAAGTAGTAATGGCGGCGCTCTTCCGTCAACAAAGACTGACGATGCTTCCGGGGAGCCTCACGACGAGCTGTCTCTTTTGCGTCAACGAGAATACAACGATCAAGTCAAAAAGCTTTTGAAAACCTTCTCAAAAACCACGATCGAAGAGATCCCGGCATTCAACGATGTACTTTCGAAAGAGCTAGTTGGGAAAGAAAAACAGGTTGACGAAGAATTGACTTCCTTCCTCAAGCAGTTCTCCTTATACAACAAAGTGGTCGAGCCCAAAGAAGAGCGCGAAGCTACTCATAAACTATCAAATCAGTCTCGCACCAAATCGTTTCCGTTCTTGGTGCCGTCCCCAAAAGACAAGCCATACTCCAGACAAGAACTATTTCTACGTCAGATAAAGCACGCTGAAAGAACTGCCAAATTGGGGGCCTCGATAGACGACGTTTATTTTCCACATCGTGATCTTTTTACTCCTCCTACTACCGATCAGCTTTCCATCTCTAAGCTTCTTGCAGCTGGTGTACACCTGGGCCAGTCCACCTCTCTATGGAGATCAAGCACACAGCCTTTCATCTATGGTGAGTACAAAGGTATACACATCATTGATTTGAACAAAACGCTGTCTTATTTGAAGAGAGCGGCAGCCGTGGTCCAGGGCGTGGCTGAAAGAGGTGGCACAATTTTATTTTTAGGCACTAGAGAGGGTCAAAAAAGAGCGCTACAAGAAGCAGCAAAAAGAACTCATGGATTTTACGTATCTACCAGGTGGATTCCGGGTACGCTAACGAACCCTACAGAGATCTCCAGTGTGTGGGAAAGGCATGAGGTGGATTTTGCTGATCAGCCTACCAACAGACTACTGAATGCTGATGAAGAAGCTGGGATTGTAAAGCCTGATTTGTTGATCATTGCGAATCCAACTGAAAATCGAAACGCTCTGAATGAGGCCATGCAAGCCAGAATCCCCACCATTGGAATTATTGACACAGACTCAGAACCTTCATTAGTAACATACCCTATTCCAGGAAATGATGATTCGTTACGGTCTGTTAATCTACTTCTCAGCGTTTTGGCCAAGGCAGGTCAGATAGGGTTGCAATCGCGGCTCGCCAAGGTGGCTTCTCAATAGCTTTAACTTTATAGCATGTAAATATTATCTGATTTCAATTGTATAAGAACGGAAGCGCTTAGTCTTATTGTTTTCTTTATTTAATGCTTGTTGATGCATTATTAATGAAATGTATGTCGATGTTGATATGGCTGTGAAACAATCTTCTGATTCACGACAAAAGCTTGTGGGGGGTTGAAGCACATTAGTTGTCCTTTTTAGAATTCTTCTCAGACTCAATTGATGCATTTGGAGGGTTTTCTGGCTCATCGTCCGATTCACTATCGCTTCTCTCATCCTTTTGAATGCCCTTGAATAGCAAACGGTATAAGATTCGTAAGATCAAGAAGAGCCAATACAAGTTCACCATTTGAAGAGCGAAAATCAGAACAAAGACAATAGGCAAGGAGATCCAACATTTGTATTGTTGAGTTGCAAAGTCCAGAGTGTAGTTCCCCACAGTGCGGAACTCAGTAAGAACTGACCAAAGAATTTTGATGTTGACATAATGTCTCAAATACGTCCAGCTTGCCACGAACAACATGAAAAACGGAGGGGTGAGAAAAGAATCCATATAGTTGAGCGTCTTCGATAGCGAGAGGAAAAAGTCTGACACATCCATGGTAATATAAACGGCAAGTCCCATTTTTGTGAAGTGGAAAACATAAGAGAGCCAAATCAATGACAACGTAATGATGTGGTGAAAAATCAGCTCCTTGAAATCCTTTCTGGGTTTTTCGAGTAAAAGAGCCAAAACGCATGCTTGTTGAGTCCAGAAAGCAGCCTGGGCAAGGTAAAACACCTTGTACAGAAATGGGTTCGTCAAATCAGGGTATGTTGCGTACATTGGTGCAGTTGCAAATAGCCAGAGATCCGTCTGATACATGATGAACAAACCGAAGGGCCCCGAGATACCGTAATAGATAATCGAATAGGTCTGTTCCATGACACGCTTGACTTTGTGTTTGCTTGTGATACCCATGCAGTGTGCGAGCGGACGCAAAGCGACCTCCATTAAGAACTCGCGTAAAAAGGTGAAGAAAATCATGTAAAAAAACACAAAGTACAGGTCGCGGATACCCTTGCCATACATGTCTGTGTCACCCACCTGATATGAGATGGCTACAAGGGCATGCAGAGGATTGGACTCAGTCCGGTTGCCCGACGTGAAATAAGCACCATATACCACGACCAAGATGATTAAAGGAGTGAGCCATGTGTGTCTGTAGCTCATTTCGCGGTAAGTCAGCATAAACTTGCGCAACAAATCAGCGTCGCCCCTAGAGGACTCAGAAAGGGCACGCATGCGAGCCTTAGCGGCTGTTTTCGATTCTTCGCTTTCCCTCAAAGTTGACAATCCGGGAACTTTCGTATCGCCAAGATTAATGGCTCCAACAGAGGAGGTACGTCTTGGCCGCACCGGCGGCATCAAATTTCTCGACGACATGGCTGGCTAGCGGGTAATTGATGCGCACAAACGCTGTATTTCGAGACTGGGTCTGTTGAACTAACGGAAGGAAGCCAATTATCAAGATGAAATTAATATTCGCATTGTCCCGGTACTTGGACTGTGATTTAGATCCTTTTGTACGACACCGTTGCACGTGTGACATAAAGACGTTGAAGTCTCACATATATGCGCCACTGATTACAATGGATTGTATTAATCTGCACAATCCATAGCTTCAATTTTCAACAACTTCCAGCTTTTTTTTTTTTGATTCTTAGTTCTTTATTCGCGCTCTGAATTTTCAAGTTTTCTTTGGGCCATCTTTAAAATCCGAGAATTGTCAATAATTTGATCCTTCCAGCAGTTCGCCGTGCGCTTCTCGTCATTGTTAACTTTCAAAAACAGTATCATTTTGTTGCATTACCTGCTAGAAACCTATTTCTAGCGTCGTCTAGCAGAAAAATTAGGCTCGAACCTTTTTGTTAAATAGAAAGACTAACTTTTCTCCAGAACGTGAATTTCATATCAACTCGATAGCTTGACTCTACCAATAACAATGGTCCGCTTGATCATTATTATGCAGTAGGCCTCAGCATAGTCAACCCTACCTGTCACCAAAAGCAGGCCAGCGAATTAGCTTAACATCACCTCAGCTTGCCGAATCCAACAGAACAAAATATTTCGATCCAGATTGGGCAGTAAATGTCAATGATTAAAATGGCTGTCTGAGGGAGTGAATACCATAAATTCTGATACCTATTGGTCATTCCAACGTCACTGCAGATGGCTACGACAGCAATTGACAAAATGATCGGGATCGCTGTCCAAAATAAAGATGATTTGACGTCATATTGAACGAGATGGGTTTATTACACATTTAAAGGTCATAAAGGACCAGATGGATACACTTTTGTCATATCCACGGGCGCAGCCTGCAGATCAGTCGAGTATGGTCTCCACAAGCACCCTTCGCACCGCCATTTTGAAGGCGACGGATGGGAAGTTGCGTGCTGACAACTGGCAGTACATTCTTGATGTGTGTGATCTCGTCAAGGAAGACCCGGAAGACGGTGGACGTGCAGCTGTTGAGATTGTGCAGGAGCGATTAAAAGTTACGGACGCTAATGTTGTTTTGCGTACCTTGTCACTCGTGGTATCGCTGGCCGAGAACTGCGGCTCGCGGCTACAACAGGCCATTAGTTCAAAGAGTTTTACCAAGGAGCTTTTCAATTTGATAACAAGCAGTAGCGTACACTGGGAAGTGAAGAAAGAAGTGGCGAAAACAATCGCCCAGCTTAGTGACTCGTTCAAGCACGATCCGTCCTTGCGAGGAATGCAGGACCTGCATTCGAAGGTCAGGTCCCAAACGCCTACCTTGCTACAAGAAAACGGCGTTCCACGCAAAACTGAAATGGCTGACCACACGAAACGCAACGAGGACAGAGAGCTCGAAGAAGCCCTCAGACTGTCCACATTGGAGTACGAGCGGGCCTCTAGAAGTCCGAGTGGACCGCAACAAGCTACTGCGGATCCTCCACGCACTGTGTCCCCAAACGGCGGTCACACAGCTTCTACGACCGGGGTAAGAAAAGTCAGGGCACTGCACAACTTGACTGGTAGAGATGCCGAAGAGCTTTCATTCAGAAAAGGTGACACAATTGCGGTCATTGAACAAGTTTATCGCGACTGGTGGAGAGGCTCTTTGCGTGGACGGATCGGTATATTCCCGCTCAATTATGTGACGCCCGTGGCTGAAAAGTCTTCTCAGGAAGTGGAACAAGCACGGGCAGAAGAAGCCTATGTGCTCAATGGGGTTGCCGGTGTTGATAGACTCCACCATTTGCTGAAGAGCTCGGGACAGAACGCTCAGATCATGCAAGACCAGCAAGTCACAGATCTGTACAGCTCAGTTACGCCTCTGCGGCCCCAAGTTACCAAGATGCTAGGATCCTACGCCCAGAAAAGGGAAGAATACTCTTCTTTGCGCAAGGTTTTGGCAGATGCAGAATCTTCTTACAATCAGTTGCTCAACCGGGCTAGCCAAGCCTACACAAACCCGCCTGCACAGACCGTACAGCCGGAGTACTCTCGCGCTCCACAACAATGGCAAAGACCTACACAGCAGTTCGACACCCGCCTACCGCCGGCAAGTAACGGATACGTGCATTCTCAACCCTTTTTGACGGGCGATGGCCCCGAGCAATCACGCCAAAACTATTCGCCTTCTCAGCAGTATCAGCAGCAGCGGACGGCATATCAACCTTCCACGCCCCATCATCCCCAGCAACAGCAACAACAACAACAACAACAACAACAACAAAAGAATAATTACCAATACAGTCATGGGCCACCCACACTGCAATCTAATTCTTTTCACACCAATCAGCATGCCTTCGGGCAACAATTAACGGAGCATAGCAGTGGACCTGTTCGTCCAGCCTACAACCAGCAAGCACCATAATTCTTCAAGAGCAGCAGTCCATATATACTAGAACGTCCATCGTTTACGGGTCAAATCAGAAGCCAAGAGCACCAGGTATAAACTAGAACGCTTACGTTCAGAAATATTCTTGTATAGCTTATTGTTGTAATTACTATATCTGGGCAAGCGTGTACACTGCTTTTCATCGAAGCATGCAAATTCAGAAAATTGATTCCCCTTTAAAAATCATGTCATCGCTCAAAACCAAGGAAAAACCCTGTTCAATACTCAACTTATGGACAATGGCCTCTGAATTCAGTGCTATAATTCAATCGCTAATTGCAAGCACTCCTTCTGGCGAGATCAAGGATGTTTACAAAGATCTTGTGACTATAACTGGCGAGAAGTCGAAACACACTATTTTGGACGCAATAGCCCAATACAACGTCACGAACTTCATTCCTATTCAAGTTAGTGACAGTTCTGTGATAATTTCTAACTACAACAAAGAAGGCTCCAAGTTTTTTGACCCTGTAACTTCCCGATTATTTTCAGTAAATCATCTCGAGCGCACCGCGTTTGACGTGGAACAAAGTGAAAAGGTGCTCGATAGCACCTCCGAATCAATTTACAAAGACTTGGCAAAATACGCGTCGAAAACTTTCCCCGGTAATGTTTCCTATGCTGTATATCCCGAAGGCAATACGCCTAGCGAGGTTGTGATAGCGCTCGTCAGCACCAAATACAGCCCTGGAAATTTCTGGAACGGTCATTGGAAGTCAGTGTACCACTACAACACGGAGACCGGTGAGTTGAAGGGAACAATTGATGTTGAGGTGCATTACTTTGAAGATGGAAACGTGAGTTTTGTATGCAGCAAGGACGTGGAAGACCAATCTGCTCGCGATGTAGTGGTTGCCATCAAAAATTTGGAAAGTGAACTTGAAGAAGAAACAAGTGCTTCCTTCAATAATTTGAACGAGAAAGAGTTCAAGCTGCTAAGGAGAAGATTGCCTGTGACTCGTTCTAGGATAAATTGGGGTAAAGGTATAGGGAGCTACAGGCTTGGCAAGGACTCGGCGGAAAATCAGTTCAAGTGAAGATCTTCGCGTTCTTTCGGATGCGCTGCCCAAGGCATCTTGACCGGCGTCGAAAGGCTTCTGGCTGACTAAAAAACTTTGAATAGAAAGTATACAATGAAGAATATCAAGAGCGAGAGACCGACCATTCTCCAAATGTTGTTGCCAGCATTCATCGATCTGGTAAGTCTTGATGATGAGTTTTTGACCTTTAGTAGCATCGAGTCAAACTGGTTTTGTATTTGATCCATAACGGATGTGTCGGCACGAGCTTCATTCCCAATTTCCGCGTTTACATTCCTGAAGGTAGAAAGCTTGGATGCCAATTCGTCCAACCTCTGATTATTCTGTAATGAATGAACTGTTAGCTACTGTCTCGACATCGCGATCTCTGAGTGAATATTAAAAAAATAAAGAAGTGACCACCAAACATACACTATTTTCCACCTGGCCATAACGGGATGTCGACATTGCGGTGCCTGGTGTAGAAGTCGATATGCGTAACGCGAAGAGTTTGAGCTGATTGCGTCTAAATATGTGCCTCTATTCCAGTCTTTAAAGGTAATAATCAAACCAGCCGTACGCCACTACATCATCAGGCCACATCTATCGACCACGCGTAACGAGATGCTTTTGGGTTGAGACAAAGACTACGTGCACGACATGGTACATCTACGTAGGTAATTAAGTACAGCTGTGGTCAGAGTAGATCTTGGTGTTGTAAAGTTTTTGAATTTTCATTGATTAATCAATTTAGGCGTACTCTTTTCATCACTTGACAGCTTTTCAAGAGAGGTTAGTTGTTGAACAAGAAAAAACCAAATTTCCAGAAATTGAAATCTGAGGGCGGACCCGGATCGTATTTGCAAGTGCCAGTGTTGGACTGTTGTATCGATATGTCAACAATGGGTGGTTTCGGCTGAAACCACGATAGTCTTCTGCGAACGTCAAAACCATTTCGTGTTTATGAGTCCTTTCTCAGAAACTTAAATTTATCGCATGACGCTGGCCTCCCTTAATGAAGCTAGGCATGCCTCAGGATGACCTGCTCTCAATCGCAAATTATATCATCATTGTAGATGCTCGCATGAAGTCTGAAAGAACAACATTTTGAGCGCTCTACAAGAAGCAGAAGACTTGACCACTATTGTCATTGCGAATAAACAATCCTGTCCCGGATGCCTCTTGAATACGAAACAAGTTGCTGGTGTTGATGAAGAGGAATTGACATGTAAACTCGATGGATCATTGCTCATTTTCTGTTCAGCTTATAACGGCGTGTTTATACCGAACTTTCACCAATTCTCGTGAGACTATTTCAAGGTGACTGTTAACCCATACATCACATACTTAAAAAGACCTGCGGAGACAAATTTCTTGTTTTTTAAACTTTTTCATTTCTCTTCTTAGAAAATTTCGAAAAATATAAGTAAATCAGTATTGGCAACCCACGCAAAATGGTACAACCCACGCACGAGGTGAGGCAGCTCACGATTCGCGTGGAAAATGGGACAGCGTGAGCTGGGACTAGGTAGTGGAACGCCGGATAGTGAATTCTACTACGAAATTTACTTCTTGACGTTTGAATTTTGGAACAGCGCTTCAACTCGGTGTACCTAACCTCGATAGAAGAGCAAGCTCAATAATGTCGTCCGAATCTATTGTTAAGAACTCTCAATGGAGATTGGTTGAAGTCGGCCGTGTCGTGTTGGTCAAGAAGGGTCCATCCGCCGGTAAGCTCGCCGCTATTGTCGAAATCATCGACCAGAGCAGAGTATGTTACACTTAAGAACTCAAATTCTGACAAAGACATGTGTGCGTTTGTGTGAAAACGTTCAGACCATTGCGGTCACAGAAGTACGGTCTATGGAAGCTTCAAAAATGTACCTGACGTGACATCCGTCAGTTAGTGGGAAGAGAATCCTCCGTGCAACAGAGCACATCCTTGTCATTGTCCTCGTCTTTCGGAGATATCATATGTTCTGTTTTACTAACTTTTGAATTTCAGGTTTTGATCGACGGTCCAGAAACTGGCGTTCCTCGTCAATCCGCTAACTTGGGCCACGTTGTCCTAACCCCATTGACCTTTGCCTTGCCAAGAGGCTCCAGAACCTCTGTTGTCGCTAAGAAGTGGACTTCCGCTGGTGTCGCCGAGAAATGGGCTGCCTCCTCGTGGGCTAAGAAGATCGCTCAACGTGAGAGACGTGCTGCTTTGAGCGACTTCGAAAGATTCCAGGTCATGGTGTTGAAGAAGCAAAAGAGATACGCTGTCAAGAAGGCTGTCGCCAAGGCTTAAGTCTGTTGGGGCAACTCTTTGATTCAACATTACATCAAAAAAGCTACAATTTTCATCTGAAATCTTTTCTTCCCGGGGCATGAAATATATATTATTTCAGTAAACATAATGTATATCTAACAACCTATATACTGAGTTATCAACACGCTACTCAGTCGATCCGCTATACCGCGTCAAGCTGTTCAGAATTTTTTCGAAGAAATGTGTTTTCCCGTTTGGCACTTCTTAACCGCTTGCCACCATAGTCATTGCGAAGGAATTGCGCAAACAATTTACCTACCTTAACTAAGTAACATCAAACATATCAGGTCTAACTATCGCCACAACTAAATAAGTTTCGCCCTCCGTGAGATCGGTTTCGCCCTCGGGTAACTGGATGTATTTCAACACCCCAAATTGCTGTCGCTCAGAGTAGGGAATCACGTAGACATGCCGCACGTACTTTCGCTTAGCCTTAAGTGCACCGTAGCGCTGCCTGCTCGACAAAAATTCGTAAAAGGCTTCAGACTGCTGGGAATCTTGGTAATTGTTGTGAGGCTTCAACACATACGCGAGAAACGTTCTCGTTGTAGCCATCTGTTCGATATAACTCTCCGCGTCTTCATCTTTCAATCTGCCTTCAACCACGAATTCTCCGTCGCCAATGGCGTCACGACGTATAGTGTTGCTGATGTCTTGCGAGGACGAAAGAAATCGAATATTGCCCGAAAACTTGGTGCGCGTCTCCTTGTACTCCAAACTACAGGCCCATGATTCTTTTGTGGGTATAACTCTACTGATGCCTCCATGGTCAGCTGAAGCGCTACCGCGGTGGTCCAACCCACTCGAGCTTCTGTCGTCAGAGGGATCTGAACCTCTATCGCTCTCAGCATTCTCTTTCAGCTTTGTTGCCACAATATCCCGATTGAAGATGACGTCTTCGGGCTCGTAATCGTTTTGATTCTCAATTAGCTCATCTCCTTTATGAGTTTTGTGGTATTTGGGTCTGTCGGGTTGTTCCAAAACAAGATTATCAAGGGCTTCATTATCTACCTTCTCTCTGAAGTGCCGGAGATCTGGGTTGATGAGTTCGTTTACAGACATCTTTACAAGTTTGTTAAACGGGAGTTTCTTGTTTATAACAAGAGTCTTCATGTCGATATTCTTTTGGTCTTTCAAGTTAGAGAAAAGTACTCGAACCTTTTCCTTGTATAAATCATTCAATTTGCCCGTATCGCTACTAATGCAAGCCTCATAAAGTTCCTTTTCAAGTTCCCCAGAAAAATGATTGGATAGTATGTCTATTGAAGTATCAGGCGGCAACTGGAAAGTCCGAGCAGCAGTCGTCTCCGGTATAATGTATTTGGCGAAGAGATCTTTAAACATTTTTAAAGCGCTTTCCCTTTGCTTGGATTCTGAATCTTTGAAACTTGCAGCCTTCTTTGAGCTTTTTTTACGTTTGACTGGACGATGATAGATTTCTTCCTCGACTCCATCAGACACATTTTCCAACCCATCGTTGATGTAGTCATTTTGATCGTCATCTGCTCGACGTTTTGTGAAGGACACTTCCAACTTAGAATCGGGGTCTATGGCATAAGTCAAATTGGGGTATTTCGATGGTGCGCATAGGCTGCAGTCGTAATTTTCCATGTCGTCGGCACCCTCATTACCCGTCATGCACTTGATATGCTGCCAAGTATTGCAAGTATCGCATTGAATCATGTCTCCATTCGGATCATTTTCTTCATCGTAATTTTCGTCTGTTGTTCCACAAACAAGACACTTCACAACCTCAGGTTTGTCCTCAACGAGCTTTTCACTATTGTGTTGAACCTTTCTTGCCTTGACGTATTCCAGTTCGGCCTGTCTCTGCCGTTGAAGGTGTTGATTTACCCCCTTATTGCTGCGGGAAGAGCGCCGAATGGATTCATCCATAGCTCAAACTATGCTGCAGTGGTAGTTGTTGTCAAGTTACTTGCGGTTATGTTGTCTGCAGTTGGCGCACTCAGCTAGTCACAATTTAAATTAAAGGTAAGTTATTATTGTCGGTACTTACGCACGTCATTAGCCGTTATGAATATTGACCATTTGGAGTAGCGACCCCATGTGGAAGCGCTTGAGGTACACTCTATTTCTAGCCTTAATTCAAGTGTGCTTCTCGAACTTTTAGGTGACAGGATCCTTGGTGAGGGCGACACAATGGCGTGCTATTCCTTGTCCACCGAATCATACTAGCCGATCTTTACGCCTAAATAATTTCGAGAAAAAAACGTGAACTACGTTGAATCAGGCTTGTCTACTTACCTCTTAGAATGTTGCCGGAAGGTTATTTTATTAGCTTGGGAATCGTTTTTCCCAACATGATCATAGTCCTCTGAGGAAGACAGGTTTTGTGAAAGAGGGCGGAACAGCGAAAAAAAGAAGTGGCTTAAGAAACATGACTTCGGTCGCTTCTCGCACTTGAGTGTTTTTATCGAGCCTACAGTGCGTAGAAACTTGACGTATCTGGCCATTTGCCGGCTGCTCTCTTAAATAATGAAGTTCACCAATTTGTTGTTACCTTGCGGAAATTGTTCGGCCTGAATGACCGAACGAAAATTAAAACCCATTTGCCGACCAAAGGTGATGAGTTTATTAGTTTTAAATGGTGCTTCATCTAATCGATGAATCCTGCTTTATTGAAATTGACCTTTATTCGGTTTCCGAGTTGGCCTCAACCGCAGCCCAAATAACGACATTTCTTAACTAACATAACAAATTTTAGGAAACAAAATGCACTTCTTGGCATGATACACTACCAGGTTGGGTTCCAAATAATAGTCGAATACATTGACAAAGTGCACAAACCTTCCTTAGAGAAACTATTTGTAATGAATGCGGGTGAGTGTCACAAGTTTTGAGCTCTGTCCGGCAATTTCACGTCATGACACTGAAAGTAATACTTCGAGGTACAACACTTCTGCATGACGTGCTTCTGCGCTTCGAATTGAGATATTAATGGGGTGTATTGGCTCCATACCGAAGCTTAGGGCTGGCTCTGTCAAAATTCGAAAGAGCAAGTTGATGTGCTTATCAAAACGAGGCTATCTCGCTCATTTCACGAGGCTTCGCTGAACAAGCTCTGCTTCAAAAGAGCATTTTTGGCTTCTAACAGAAACATCAAATCTTATGCAGCTCACTGGGGGTTTTCTCAGTTCACGAGTGAATTCTTATCTACAAATCACCGCAACAGTTGACCAATTTGAATGCGGCTACCTGTCATTGTTGATAGGCTTCTCCCATTCACTCTGCTGGAATTATATCAGGAAAATGCGCAGCCGTAAAGCGTTAAAGCCCTTCTTGATCTAACCTAAGTTTAAAAGCTTTCGAATATTTTGTAATATAAAAGACCAAAATAATATGATACACAAGATTTCATTGAACTGGAGACTGGGTCTGCTTCTGTACAAGATCTTTGAAATTATTTCCTTGTCCGAATACTTGGCAACATGCCTTTTCTTGCCGCTAAAGTCGGATCAATCTTTTCGTACGGGACATCTCACAAAACAAAATCGAGCGACTTTACGAGCTGAAGTAATTTCACTTAGGATGAAGCTCAAAAAGTACTACGGCACCTTTACCGTCTGCAGACCCGGTGGATGAACTGGGCGAGCGTGGCATCAATAAATAAAATACACTCGCTTTGGTATTTCCACGACTCCGCGGTGATCTCAGCATTTACATTAATCATAACAATATAAACCTAACGCCGCAAGCGTAAGGAGAGAAGAGCAGAAAACACCAAGCTCCTTTGCCATGCCAAAACTATTTCGGAGACTTTTCCTTTCCAACAGGCCGACTAATGGATCCAGAGTAGCCGAATTGGAGACAAGCTTAGATCCGTCAGTGACACTTAGGAGACTGCAAAAATATCAACTAACGACACCAGACATCTTTCATTACGGGTTCCTTGGGACCGTTCTGCTTTTCGTCTTTATCGTTCATCCAGCTCCTTTGCTTGCAAAGGTTGCAACCTATCTCTTATTTGGGGGGCTATTCGTTGTACCAGCGACCTCACAATTTTTTTTTAATGCCCTTCCGATTTTCACTTGGTTGGCGCTGTATTTCACGTCATCAACTTTTTCGGCAGAGTATAGACCCCCAATTACTGTGCAAGTGCTCCCAGCCATTGAAACTATACTTTACGGAGACGATTTGAGCGATATTTTAGCCGCTACGTTGAATAAGCCTTTGGACTTCGTGGCGTGGATCCCTTATGGCCTTTTTCATTTTGGGGCCCCATTTGTGGTTGCCATAATTCTATTTCTTTGCGGCCCTCCAACTATCTTGAGAGGATATGCTTTTGCATTCGGATATATGAACCTATTGGGCGTCATTTCGCAAAATCTCTTCCCAGCTGCTCCACCGTGGTATAAACTAATCTATGGTCTCAGTCCTGCTAATTACTCCATGAAGGGATCCCCAGGAGGACTGGGCCGGATTGACAAATATCTGGGACTAAATTTATACACAGATGGATTTTCTAATTCAGCTGTCATCTTTGGGGCTCTACCGTCACTCCACTCCGGATGCGCAACTATGGAAGCGTTATTCTTTTCATACGTGTTTCCCAAACTGACGCCGCTGTTCATCTTCTACGTGTGCTGGCTATGGTGGTCCACAATGTACTTGACGCATCATTACTTCGTTGATCTAATGGCAGGCTCCGTCCTCTCCTACCTGTTTTTCCAATACACAAAATACTTTCATTTGCCGCTACCAGAATCATCTGTGTATTCTCGGTGGTCGTACGGCGAAATTAGGAAATTCAGTGTATGGCAAACAGATCCATTGAATGCCAGTGCCACTGACATTGAAAATATCATAGTATCTGCCCCCGAAAACTCAGAAATAGAATTGAACTTTCTCGAGAACAGTGAGACGCCATCGATTTTTGACCATGACAGATCCGTTTCTCGCTCATCAGCTACATCAAATATTTCTTTGGAGGCACAGGATGACTTAGTTTCATCAGCGAGAACTAACAAGCAGAGAATTGATTAATAGTCAAATAAAGCGCATGCTAACGCGATAGGCAAGGTAGTTTTACTTGTTATATTCATCGAACCGACGTGAAAGCGAAGGTTTAGACTATAATTGATATTGTAATTGATACTATAAACAAGAAATTATTAGATGCCAATAGGATGTAAGGACGCTAGTAGTAGCTTCAAAAATTATCTTTCCTCACTTTATCCAGAATGGAGCTGTATCCAGCTGCTCTTTCAATCGAAGATGCAACGTCGAGTTGCTTTGAAGTGTCCATCTTGACTATTGACGACCTGATTACACGCGGATCCTTTTTCAAGGTTCTGAGAATTTCAGATTGAACAGGAGCAGATGCGTCGAAAAGCATCAGAAAGTGATATCCTTGGAAATGCTGCTCCTGATCTTTTTTAGTGATTTTGGGCAAAAGCTTATTACCTATGGGGAGAATCCGTCTCACAACTCCTCTGTTTTGTATGATCAATTTTCCTATAGTTGTGGCAAGCTCTTTGGCTTCAGCATTGGCCGCCAGCGGATTCACTACCCGAACTACACTAACCAACTCATATAGCATAGCTTGGCGAGAAAAGTTGCCTCACTTTTGGTATCGACTTTCAATAGTTACATTGAACTTCAACAATCATGATTTCAAAATTTTTATTATTTTTCACCCGGGTAAAATATTAATCAAATTAAAGGTGTTTCTCTCCTTGTAACAGCTTTCAGACCAGATGACGATTCCCTACGTCCTTTTTCATAACTTCTCTGGACCAAGAACATGGCAATCCTCGACTGGGTGTTTGGGAAAAGTCTAACACCACAAGAGCGACTCAAAAAGGTATGTGGTAATTAAACTCCAATACTCGTTTTGATATGAGTTACTGACCATTATTTAGAACCAAAGGGCGCTGGAGAGGACGCAGCGAGAGTTGGAGAGGGAACGGCGAAAGCTAGAACAACAAGAAAAGAAACTTGTCACTGATATACGAAAGTCCGCGAAAGATGGACAGGTTGCGGCGGCCAAAATTCAAGCGAAGGACCTCGTCCGGACGAAAAAGCACATCTCCAAATTCAATAACATGAAGACTCAACTTCAAGCAATTGCGCTCAGAATACAGGCTGTCCGGAGTAGTGACCAAATGGCGACATCGATGCGGGAAGCCACCGGACTCCTGGCGTCAATGAACAGATCCATGAACCTCCCTCAGTTGCAGCGCATCTCTGCAGAATTCGAGAAGCAAAGTGATCTCATGGATCAACGCCAAGAATTCATGGACGAGGCCGTAGACGATGCAATGGGAGACGAACTGGAAGAAGACGAGGAAGTGGATGAAATAGTCAATAAGGTTCTTGATGAAATTGGCGTCGATTTAAACGTCAAACTTCAAGATACCCCACGGGAACCACTGGAAAATGGCGAAATACAAGGCGAAGAGAGGGTTGCGGAGACTTCGGGTAGCGGTAGCGGTGGCGGTGCAGCTTTTAGTGCTGATGATGAGTTACAAGCCAGACTTAACAGTCTCAAAAGATGACATCCTATACTAATAACTTTATCTGCTTAAATTATTGATTCCTTTTTCAGGTACAAGAAGATTTGCTGAGCGCATTCTTCAACAGACTGTTTTTCTGTGTCCAAATGAATTTCAGCATTATCTGGAGCTTCGTAAGGTGCAGAGATACCGGTAAACTCCTTGATAACGCCTTCTCTCGCCTTTTTGTAAAGGCCTTTTGGATCTCTTTGCTCAGCAACTTCAAGGGGTACATCGACAAAAACTTCAATGAATTTGAGATGGCCATCTTTGTGCAAGGCTCTAGCACTGTCACGGTCAACGCGATAAGGAGAAATGAATGATGTAATCGCTACGGTACAGGAATCAGCGAATAGTTTGGAGACCTCGGAAATTCTGCGAATGTTTTCATTTCTGTCTTTCTCAGAGAAACCTAGATCCTTGTTAAGGCCAAATCTAACATTATCTCCATCTAGTCTGTAGGCAGATACCCCTACTTTGAGAAGAAGTTGTTCAAGTGCACAGGCAATTGTACTATCAAAAGTTAGTATCCATCAGTCAGTCAAGGAGTATCTTGGGCTCATATACGAACCTTTTTCCAGAAGCGCTGAGGCCGGTCAGCCAAATTGTTGCACCGTTTTGCTTTCTCAGTTCCGACCTTTCGGTGTAGGTCAAGTTGGGATGCCAAGTGATATTAGTTGCCATTTTGATCGACAATCTCTTGATATTAGTCGCGAGGAGAAGAAAGAGTGGTAACCAGTGAAGGTGAAAGATTGTAAACGAGCGGCTTTCTTATATGTCGATGCTTCATAGAGCTAAGCCGTCAGTATAGCCAACCACCACAGTGATGAAGATCATCACGTGAAATTACTATCTTCAGTAGCCCGAAATACATCATTAAACGTCTTTCGAAATATAGAACTTACGTATCACATTACGACGCGCTTAAGAAGTGTAGAATGGTTTTTCGCCCAAACTGAATTTCGAGAACAACAGTGGTAGTGAGCAACCTGTGATTGACAAATCACTTTCATTGAAAAATAATTATGTAAAAAAAAGATTTATTCTTACAGTCAGGTGATGTAATAACTATAAGTTTTTAACTTTATATTTAAAAAACCTTTATTTTATACAGTTATTTATATTTGTGCTGTATTTGAAATTATCTTTGTATTTATTGTTTCCGAAAGTATTTTATGCCGTAACATAAAAGATTTTTAAGAGAAGATCCAATTGAAATCAGAGAAAATCGGTAATTTTAATTAAATCTCTTTTTATGCAGAATATGGTATAGACGTTGTTTAGACGAGATTGAGTGAGCTAAATTCAAGACAAAAGTAATATAATTTATTCACTTAGCAACTTCTATTGATCAACACTTTAGGCACCAAGTCAAACAGACGAGACAATCTCGCTAGCGTTCCGCAAGATTTCGGTCATCTTCTGACATTCTTTACGCCTCTGAATTGTTATGTCATTTTCTTTGGTCAGATCTCCTAGATCTTGATTACCGTACAGCTTCTCGAGTAAAATCTTTTGAATGTCATTCTTACTTTTCACAATCAATTTTAACATGACTGCCTTAGGAATAACATCTGCGACTGTGCGTTTGACGATGTTGAAATAACTTTCAATCAACAGCTTAATGACTTCAGTTTCCATTGTCTCTCTCTCAGTCATTTGACCCGTCGCCTTCAAAACCGGAGGAGGTGATTCCAATGCAGCTAGTTTCTTTTTATTCTTGGACGAAAAAAATCCTCCAAAGAAACCCGATTTATCTTCAGACTGGGTAGCGGGTTGAGGAGCAGGCTGATTGGGTAATGGTTTGCCGGTCTTGGGGTCTACGGCAACCTGTCTCGGATGAAGTTTTTCTTCTATCATCGCCATGGCTTGAGATCCCTTCAAAAGATCTGGATGAGCGGTGTTGATGTAAGTTTGCTCTGCACTTATAATATCAGAAACGAACGAATTGGTAGGAATTATCGATTCTTTCAGAAACTGGACAAAGTAGTTTGACATTGCTTCTCTTAGACCAGGATACCTGCCATATTTTGGTTGAGAAATAATTTGCTTGAGAATTCGGACCAGTTCATCAAAAACAAGGCTTACTAGTCTCAAACTAGGTTCTTCAAAGCGATTTATCTGCTGCTTTACCAAAACCTCAAAAGCTTCCGTACCTACAAATAAAGAAGGCGCAGAACCGGAACTATTGTACATTATAGTTCTAATGTCAGAATCTTTTATCTGGTCGAACGGGTCTAATGCCCTGACACCGTTCTTATAGATTTCGTGAAAAACGAAAGAGATACGAGCGCCTCCGGAAAGTTCTTGGCTCGAAAGCTCTTTTGCTTCACCATCTAAAATTCCACTATACTCTTTAGTGAAGTCAGTAATCATGCTCAGGACAATGGAGTTTGGTGAATCCATTGTTTCAGGGCCCAGATTTACAAGTTCCGCCTGGTATTTTTTTAAAGTCATCTCTATCTTGTTCTTGATGTCAGGCAAAGTTTGTCTGATATGATGTAATAAAATGGAGTTCAACTTTTTCGCCAAGTAGGGAGTGCCGCAATAATGCGCTTTCGAGCTGTAAGATGGGTGATTCTCGAAAAATCTACGTTCATCTTCGAGCGCTGATCTAATCGTCTTCTTTCCCTCGATGTCCTTTTGACCACGGTTGATAACAGGAATGTATCCATACCTCAGAGGGATCACCCGACCAGCCAGAATATCGATGACATCCGTACCTTGGTCCATCAAATCAACTTTCGTGAGAACACCGATTGTCCTCGTTCCTTCGGGATCAACTTCTCTCGCAAGCTTCAGCCCATCACTGTTGGCCAAATCTGTGTTCGCAGCGTTCACGGACAAGATAATGGCGTTTGGCTTCGAAATGTACTTCAATAGCATATCCTTGATCTGTTTCTCAATGTCAACCGGTTGATCTCCAACTGGCACCTTTGTCAAGCCAGGCAAGTCCACCAATGTCAAAGTAAGCACATGTGGGGAATAAATTCTTAGGTTAATAGGAACCGAAGATATACCTGCATTTTTACCTGTCGTCTTGTCTGTTTCTGCAACAATTTCTTGTCTAATTTCGTCGAAATTGTAGTACTTTTTGCCTGGTACGTGTAGAAACTCACCCCACTCGTTGACGTTGTCTTCCGATTGCCCCCCATTCGAGTCTTCGTTTTGCAATTCCAACAAATCATCATTGGTCGCCTTTTTGGCTCTTTTATTGATCAGTTGCAAAACCAAAGGTCTCCGTGTAACAATTCCAGTACCGCGAGGTAAAAAATCCCGGCCTACAATATTCTCCAGAACAGAGGACTTTCCTGAAGATTGCGTTCCAACAACCGTAATCTGAGGAAGATCGATTGGGGACTGGGACCCTCCGCCTAATGGAGCCAATGCATCCTGTAGTTTGTTGATCGTGGCAATTAGAGCTTCGTCCATGGCGCCTGGTACTTTTTACCTACCTGAGAGGTCTCTCGGTTTGGCCTACGGCGTTTCGAGCAGCTATCGATGAGGTTAAAGCTTCCCCTTTTCGCCACCGCTAGGAATATATCTATATATTTATATTTAATTGACCTATATTTTTTTTAGTTCTCCTATTTTTACCCGGATCTTCACACCTTTTTTAATATCACAGCACAAAACAGAGCTTATTCCTCTCTCACAAGGCGTTTAATCGGTGAACCAACAGAACGTTACAATCTCAACCAAAAGGTAAACTCCTGAAAGGTAGCTTTCCGATAGGTTCAAGCGTAATCGTAGTTCTCGAAACTCCGATTAGTGGCACTGAGCACCAGCTACACACCGATTGGCAAGTTTACGGGGGGTGAACGCTTTGGAATTCACATAAACTCGAGCCGTCAGATCAATCTTGCTGAGAACCGAAAACTTTTGGATTGAAATTGAAGAATGAGCCAGCAACGCGTTTATGGTGTCACAGGCCCAATTTCTACGAGCGGTCCTACGGCGGCGGAGAACCAGCTGAATGACGCTTTGATACAAGAACTCAAAAAACAAAAGTCGTTCGAATCTGAAGAAGACACCAAGAAGCGAGTAGAGGTTTTGAAAACTCTGCAGGAACTTACGGAGGCATTCATATATGAGGTTTCCAAAAAGCGCAACATGTCTGATGGAATGGCGAAAGACGCAGGCGGCAAAATCTTCACTTTTGGCTCCTACAGATTGGGTGTTCACGGACCTGGAAGTGATATTGATACGCTAATTGTAATGCCCAAACACGTCACTCGGGAAGACTTTTTTACGGTGTTCGACCAAATGTTGAGGAAAAGGCCTGAACTGGACGAAATTGCGCCTGTCCCAGAAGCCTTTGTTCCCATCATCAAAGTCGTATTTAGCGGCATCTCCATTGATTTGATATGTGCACATTTGGATATCGCACAAGTTCCTGCAAATCTCACCCTGTCGGATAAAAATCTGCTTAGAAATTTGGACGAAAAAGATCTTAGAGCCCTGAACGGAACAAGAGTGACTGATGAGATTCTTCAGTTGGTGCCAAAACCAACCGCTTTCAAAATTGCGCTTCGTGCAATCAAGCTCTGGGCACAAAGAAGGGCAGTGTACGCCAATGTGTTTGGTTTTCCCGGTGGTGTGGCCTGGGCGATGCTTGTTGCAAGAATATGTCAGTTGTACCCCAATGCATGCAGCGCTGTGATTCTGGCTCGTTTTTTTCATATTCTAACAAAATGGAACTGGCCGCAGCCAGTCTTACTTAAGCCCATCGAGGACGGCCCTCTGCAAGTACGCGTGTGGAATCCAAGAATATACGCACAAGATAGGTCTCATAGAATGCCTGTTATCACCCCCGCTTACCCGTCAATGTGTGCGACCCACAATATCAGTGACTCCACAAAGAAGGTAATTCTAGCTGAACTTGAAAGAGGAGCTGAGGTTACCAATGAAATTTTTACGAACAAGAAAACGTGGACGGACCTCTTCAAGAAGCATGATTTTTTTTACCGCTACAAATTTTACCTTACCGTGATGGTATCTACCACAGGGTCGAGTGAACAGCACTTAAAATGGAGCGGCCTGGTTGAAAGTAAGCTGCGTCTGCTGGTTCAAAAGCTAGAAGTTCTAAGCGGAATAAATTTAGCGCATCCTTTTACCAAGCCATTTGAGGCATCCTATATTTATGACACAGAAGCTCAGTGCAAAGACATTATCGATAATTACGGCACTTTCAAGACGCAAAACGTTTTAGAGCAATACACCGAAGTTAATGACCAAAACAAAGACAGTGATGTTATCAAAGACAAGAAGCAAGTTCATATCACAACCATGTACATTGGACTCGACGTTTCTGCAGATGCGAAAAACCAAGTTGACATACACGTTCCATGCTCTGACTTCTTCAATTTATGTCGCTCATTTAGTGAGTTTGACGACACAGACATTTTCTCGCTGATGATAAAGTATGTCAAATTACATGACTTGCCCAATAACGTTTACGACAAAGACGAAGAGAGGCCGGTGAAGCATAGTAAAAGGAAAAAGCAGGATAGAGAAGGTAAGAAACTCAAGCGGCCAAAGTCCAGCTCTCAGAAAGCAGATGAAGCTAACGCCACGCCTAATGAACCCCACACCGAAAATCGTCTGAAAGATCAAGACACCTCTCAGGCACCAAGCTCTCAGGTAAACCAGGCTTCCGCGCTCACTGCCACTACATCGGGTGCCAGCTGAAGTCAACGCTACCTTTTTCCTATATTTGTCTACAGGCGAATTTGCATTCATATAAAACACGGGCTAGCTCAGCGTTTCGGCCCCATACCAAAATTCTAGTTAGCTGTATATTTCAAATTGAACAATTCACGTCCATGAATCACTATGCGCTAAATCCTCTTGTTTACTTTTACAAATTCATGCGCAATCCTTAACATTTTCAGATAATCGGATCGGGCCTTGACATTCAAAAAAAAATTGAGGGTCCAAATTATAATTAACAAATGTCTTATACCATCGATACATAGGAGATTTGGGCTTGAAAGAAAGACAAACAGATACTACAATTGACATGCCTTTGAGCGGATTAAAGGGTAAAACGGCGGGCAGTTCGGCACCTAATGCGTCTGCCACAACAAGCACTTCAGGCAAACCTGTGGTAGACACTGACGATATCGACGAAAATGACGAATCGGGACAAAGTATCTTGCTAGGGATAATTTCACAGCTCAAGCCTGGCTGCGATCTTTCGAGAATTACTTTGCCGACTTTTATCTTGGAAAAGAAGTCTATGCTCGAGAGAATAACAAATCAACTTCAGTTTCCTGATATGCTTTTAAGTGCTCATGAGGAAAAAGACGAACTGGAAAGATTTGTCAAGGTGGTCAAGTGGTATCTTTCCGGCTGGCATATAGCCCCGAAAGCTGTTAAGAAACCCTTGAACCCTGTTCTTGGTGAATACTTTACCTGTTATTGGGACCTTCCCAATAAGCAGCAAGCTTTCTATTTTTCTGAACAAACCAGCCACCATCCACCTAAATCCTCGTACTTCTATATGATCCCTGAGTCAAACATAAGAGTTGATGGTACGACTATACCAAAATCCAAATTTTTGGGAAATTCTACTGCAGCAATGATGGAGGGCCTCACAGTGCTTCAATTTCTAGACATAAAAGGTCCTGATGGTAAACCCGAAAAGTACACATTAAGTCAACCAAACATGTATGCTAGAGGCATTCTTTTCGGGAAAATGAGGATAGAACTTGGTGATCATATGGTCATCAAGTCTGAGAAGTACAAAGTGGATATTGAGTTCAAAACGAAAGGTTTCATTTCTGGGACCTACGATGCTATTGAAGGTGTTGTAAAAGATCGCGCAGGAAGTGAATACTATGAGATCTCAGGCAAGTGGAACGACGTCATGTACATTAAGGATTTGAAAAAGAGAACAGCGAAGACCATATTGTTCGACGCCACTAAAGCACAGCCATTAAAACCACAGGTGCGGCCTATAGAGGAACAAGGCGACTTCGAGTCTAGAAAACTTTGGAGGAAAGTGACAGCCGCATTAGCAAAACAGGATCACACTACAGCTACGGACGAGAAGTTTGCCATCGAAGACGAGCAACGTCAGTTGGCGAAGAAAAGGTCCGAGGAAGGCACACAGTTTCACCCCAAGCTTTTCAGACCTGCCGACCCCGGTGATGATTTGGAATATTACATCTATAAAAAAATACCTTCGGACGGATCTCATGAAGATCAGATTAGAGCCATTTTGGAAATAGCTCCTGTTTTGCCAGGTCAGCGGTTCACGGAAAAGTTCGGAGTATCAGGGCACGAGAAACACCAGATTCAAAACCAAGCTGGGACGGCAGATTGATCGGTGAAAACTTTGTATGTGAATGCTTGGACTTGATTTAGTTTTTTTTGTTTTTTGAGTCCACTTTTTTAGTGTTCCGCAACGACACGATATCAATCTTACTCAATGAAGTCTTGCGAAGGAGTAAGGATTCGACTGATCTCTGGATCAGCAAGCCTCGATTATTTTTATAGATGGCCGAAGCGACTGACTTCTGGTTTATTTCAAAGTAATTTTCCTCAAATGCATCAATCTCATTGCGCCACGTTCGCAGCGAATGGTAGTGCTCTTCACTCGACATGTGTTGAGATAACCTTACAAGGCATCCAAATGGTGGCCAGTCCCGGACCTCCCCAACTTCAATGTAAGCCATGATTTTGGAAAAGTAAAGTGCCACATTGGCACCAGGTTCCTTTCCGAAATGACGCTCGGAGTTCAGTGCCTGCGTGAAACGATTGGTCAAGTGAAATCTTGCCCTCAAAGCATTGTAACTTTGAATAGAATCGGACGCTGGTCCAGGCAGCCTCAATAAAATGTGTCCGAGAGCCCACCATGCAGAACTGTCTTTGGGATGTCTTTTACTAAAATTCCACACCGCCTCGAAAAGCTCTGTCTGTGCGGCTGGCCCTTCCAGGTCATATACCCATCGAAGGGTGTTCCAACAGTAGAAATTTGAAATATGTCGTTCAGCAGAAGACATAAAAAGTTGGCAACAGTTTATTTTTGAATTCACGAAAACTTCTCTTTTCAGCGTGTACAGCTTTTTAAAGAGAAGCCATAATGAGGATGATTTGTTGACTCGATTACTAGAGGATGTCAGTAGGAGCATAATCGCAGATAGTTCGCATTCGAAAAGCAACTTAGATTCCTCGGTGACAGCCCATCGGTCGCCCAGTTGCGTCTTTAGTCTCCTTAACAGTAGCTCTTCGTGCAGATTCAAAACTGTACGGTCCTCTGGGGTAATCAACAAAAGACCCAAGGTCGCTAAGTATGTCTCCTCGTCATTACTTAGAGCTGTTCTTTGTTAGTCAAGGCTTTGGAACCCAGAATAGTATAATTACGTACTGTTCGCACCACAACTTTGTAAGTGGTTTCGAGCTTCAACAAATATTTGCAAGTAGGTATACTTAGAGCAGAAGATTTCGAGGCCATTCTCATCGTCAATTTTGCTGAAAGGTGGGCTATTTTTCGGCAAAACACCATTCGGCAGTATAGTCAGCTTACGACCCGAGTTGCCATGCCCTTGGCTAGTATTGATGAAAAGTTCCCGGCAAAGGTCCATCATTTTATGTTTTTATTTCATTAGTGAGCTTTGAGAGTTTAAATTCAAATGCATGTTCCTTTGGTGATTACAGATAATTATAAGATAATCAAAAGACGAAACGACAACATCGCGTTTAAGGTTAATTTGTTCATCAGTGCTGGTGAAAAGATGCACAACTTTTAACACAGATTCCGCTTGTGTGTAGATACTGTCCTCAAAGATGAGCGAGGCTCTTTGGAATTCATACTTAATGGCTTCCAAGGTGATAGCTATGCGACGATCATTGTTTTCATGAAAGGTGAAGTAAAAGATTTTTCACTACACAAGTGAGTCCAGGGCGGCTGAAATGCAATGCATTTGATAGTGAGATCACACGAAGCGTTTAAAACGCCTATGTACTCAAATATTCGACCTGTTTTCATTTGCCGCAAGATCTGTAGTTCCTGTTCAATTGAAAAGCCGTGATCCATTAATCCATTATTTCCGCAAGGCCCTGATAATGCATTCGGCCTCATATTTACAAGGTATGATCTATACGTAATGCTGAAGCCAAGAAGGTCCTCAGACAACCTGCCTAGCACTTTCTAAGGCTTCTTTGGCACTTTGACGTTCCAAAGCCTCCACTTCAGACAAAATGTTTGACAGCTTCTTTCTTTGATCTTTGGGTGCTACTGGCTTCACCACATGTACTGTATCTGCAGCGTGTGACGAGTTATCAAGGTCAATGGCATTGGGTTCAGCATCTTTATATTTAGCCAGCTTGCCACTCACAACTTCCTTCAGATAAAAGCTGCGAAACTCCAAAGGCGTTTTCAAACGTGTCAACTGGTAATCAGGTACTAAAACCCCGGTCGACGCTTGCAAAGCTTTTGTGAAGTGAAATTTAGTTATCAGGTCCGAAAAAGGCACAGCGAGAGAGTCATCAGTAACAGATGTAACAGCACCACTTTTGTTTCCATTCAACGCTTGCAATATTGCTTGATCGAGCGCTTCAGCAGTTGTCACTTTTTTGGACGAAAGCCAGTTATTGAAAGGTACCTGGGCAACAAGAGCCGTAAGTTTTGCTTTGTGGACTGCGTTAGCCTCCTCCCCGATAAAGGAGTCCTCAGAAAGCTTTAGTTTGCTGTTGGAGGATTTTGTCTTACTTTCGCCAGATTCAATATCTGCGATGACTTCCTTAGTGTCTCGGACCGTCTTCTTCGATTCACTGTCTTGTTTACGTTTGAACCACGACATGAAGTCAGACCTTCTGGCCGACACATGTAGTGACCTGTTGGCAGTCACAAAATTTGACGTGCGAAGCATCTTGATGTGTTAAAAGTCGGACTGACCAATGTCGACCTAGGTGGACTCCACTAGTTTGATATATATATTACGGCTTTCAAAATTTATTAACAGCGATTGATGAAAATCACGTATTACGAGAAATGACATGGAGATGCTGGCGCCAAGTCGACAGATGGATGCCCTCCAGGATCAAAACTATTTATCAAATGAGCGAAGTAATACCAAAGATATCTACACAGTGTCATGCATGTTTCTTGAGGCTTCTTCCTTCTTTAATCTCAATTTATGGCGGGGGTGCCGGCTGTAGTTTTATGCCTAAGCTGACATCTTTCAACCCTAAAGGACTTGTCCAAATGTATTTGGAGTAGATGCCGAGACACAGAAGAGTCGCAACACTGTAAGCTTTAGCCAATTCAAGATCTCATGGATCTTCCAACTTAAAGATGGTTTTGCAGCATGTATGAGTTTTGGGGCGAAAGGAGAATGGACAAATGAACACCGCTGTAGGTTCGCCGTTCAATTGAAGAGAGATCATTTCAAATAAGAGGGCTACGAAGCAGAAATTAAGATGCCATGATTATAATCTAGCCGAAGAAAAGAATGCATTTTACACTTTTTCTTAAAAATTTGAGAAAGGATTGGTATTCCGGAGAGCAAAAAACAGCCGTTTTGATTTTAGAGCGCTGAGGGTTGGTGCGCCCTTTCGCTGCACTGTTCATTCTTTTGGTTGGCCAGCTCTCTCTTTAGAACAAACTTGCTTAAGTCGCGCCAGTCTCATTAAAAGTGATTTATAACGTGACCGGTTGTTGATAATGTCTTTCGGTAGCATATCTGCAGCACAGAGGAGCCATCCGAAGGTCTCCAAGAATACATACGTGCGAAAGTGTTCAAAGGATCAAAGTAAGACGAAAGGATCTCGTCAATCTTATTAGAGTCCCTTTGGTCTATTTGATTGCTTGATGGGTGCTGTTCTGAGTTGCTGCTTCGGAAGTGGAAGCTCAGATGGAGAACCACTTCTTCAGGACGCCCAAAAGGGCTATGGTTCGTTCGGCCAAGATGACAGTGATATCATGCAGAGGAAACTCGAGGAGGAAGAGCAGAAGTTACTGGCTCGGGAACAAGAGCTCGCTGAAATAGTCAATAGCACAAACGACAAGCTGATAGATATATCTATGATGAGCAACAGTGGCATCGTTGTACAAAGCCATGACCTGGGCGATGCGGCCAGCGGTGACAAAACTTCTGAGGGTCAAGTAACGAGCAATGACAAAGGACTTTTGAAGAATTCAGGTCCTGGAGGCTTGACGGGCGAGCAGCGTGACGAGTTAAAATCTGTTTACACAGCATTTTTCTCAAACCTGGAAAAACAGTTGGAGCTACATAACACAAAAGAACTTATCGTCACTTTGTAGACGACCTGAGGGCTACCAAAATCCACTTGAACTCATATTGTGATCTAAGCTAGTTTCGACTCTACAGCGTTATCGAGCCAATGGCCAGCATTATTCACGAATCCGAGTGTAGTGTGGGGCAAAGCTGTTCACGACTCTTGCGAGTACGGCTTTTTGGTCATGAGTCCGAGTAGTTTGGACTTCAGTACCTTTTTACGACAAAAAGTCGCCAATTTCGCGACCTAGGTAACTTTATACGATATTAACATGTGACTAATAATTACTTGCCCTAGCGTGCATATTTCTTAGATCCACCAAGGGCTATGATACGAATAAAAGATCTACATACCAGGCGCGGACAACCATGCACTTTCTTTATATTTAAGCTTTCTCGATGACTTCAAAATACTCAATTCATCAATCACTATCACTCGAATCGCTCAAGAATTGTGACACAATATTTTCACACTGAGGCTCCATTCCCCCAATAGCGGCTTCGGCACGAGCACCACGAAGTTCTGATTCCTCGTCTTCGTGTATCCAGTCTTCCAGCGGTATGTCTTTAACCACACTCAGCTTGGTGTTGGGGTTAAAGCACTTAATGCGGTTCCTGAGTATCATAGTGCGTCTTAGGTTCGCACTAGCCAGCGAGAATCTGTTATCTAAAACCCTTTCGCTTACAGAAAAGCATCTTTCGACATCAGCGGTTGAAAGCTTGGTGTAGTAAAAAGAAAGTGCCAAGGAACAAAGCGCCGGGAACCGGCTCTGGTTCTTGAGCCAGTACTCCAAAAAGCCAATGCTAGGTTCGATAGGTTCCCGCAGATAATTCTCCCATTCATCTTTGACTGAAATACTATACTCAGCCAACTGCTGGAGGCGCACGTTTTCCAGATGTTTCTGCAATTTATACTTCTTACTCTTGATGTGTTTGGCGTTCACGGAGGTTTCCACCGAAGCACCATGACGAACGGCAGAGATATACCAATCGACGTGTCTACCAGCCATTCTCCGGTATCGATCTTGATCCACCTCGTCAAATTTGCTGTCCAACGCAATTGTCTTGACATTAGGTTGAAGGATATGTGCCACCCAATAACCTGGTTCTTCATATGCAATAGCCTTGTACTTGTCGAACAAGGGGCGCGCGCTAAGAACGGCAGAGAGAGCCTGTTCTTTTATATCTTTGGAAAGAGATAAGTGAGATTGCTTCAGTCCAACATCTTCCAGGCATTCGCTATCAGCGGAGCCCTTTCTCAGTTTCTCACAGGATTCAAAGTATGAGTCGATGAGCATGTAGTAATCGATACCATTGGAAAGCGAATTTGCTTCGTCGTCCTGTAGCATCATCGTTAAATCTTTAAAAATATTCGTGAGGCGCACGAAAAATAAAATCAATTCCACATCCTTCTGCTCGTAGCAGAATATTGACAAGTCTTCTGGCAATAGGTGGCAATCGTGATCGTATCGGTTTTGGAAGAAAAAGTTCTTCACACCTTTTGAAACCTTCAAAAAGGCATCCAATTGGCGATGGCGCGAAAGAAAACTTGTGCTGTTGTGTTGAGGAATGATGAGGGCAATGTACGAGCTAATTCTCCCTCTAATGTAAACGTTCGTCTTCAAAATATGTGTGAGTCTATCAATCCTTGAAAATAGATCAGCATGCTGCCGTTCGAAGAGTCTCATTAAATCTTGTAAGAGTAGGTTCAGAACTTGGTTCATACATCTGACCTTGACGATGCCTCCATATGCAGGAACTTCGCGCTGCTGTTGCAGATCTTCTTCCAAACCCTCAAGTATTGAAATGTTGCTTGTCCCATTACTCAGGGTGATGCTGCCTATTTTGGTGGATATGGAATAGCTTCTAAGACATGCTAGAAGAGATGCTTTGATGTTCTGAGTAGTGTGCTTCTCACCATCCAGGTCTAAGAAGCCTAGGTCTAAGAAGCCTAGGATATGGGCGCTAGGTCTTCCCGGTGTGGTGACGTCTTCCTCAAGAATTTCGCGTTTTTGGTTCACGTTAGGACAGAAGGACACCATGATAGCCATGTAGCTTTTTTGGCTAATGGAAGTCCACATGTCTATTAGAAGATTGAGATTAGAGGTGCTCTGCAGGTTGCGCTTCAGCTGCAGGTTGAACTCTATCTCAAAACGACGCAAAAGGCTAACTAAGCCGCCTCTTGAGGAAATTCTTTTCTTTTGTCGGGTTCCAAATGAGTGAATAAAAGACTGAAAAGAACGAGCTTCGACAAAGCTCAAGGGAATAAAACCATCGATGAATATGTTCAACAGTTGTAGGTTAAAATCGTTCAACGAAAGAAACTCCAGAAACCTTTTCGTAAATCGATGAGGTTTTGAAGTCGTTGAATTTATCACAGCGTAGTCATCTATGCATGGTCGTTCACCATTCAAATTAAGTGAGACTTTGTGATCTGGACTTCCAGATGCTGAGTTCACTAGCTCATCTGAGTCACTCGAGCCACTATGGTGATGGAACTGTTCAGGTTGAATGTTCGTGTCATGGGCACTTTTTCTCGTTCGATCGTGAAAGGTAAGCTCTTTAATCGGAAATGAGGCCACTTGGCTTATATCAACTGGGCGTGCTTGCCCAATGTGAGAGCCGGATATTTCCTGTCGCACAATGGACGAGAGTTTTTCGGAGGAAGGTATGTCCACTCTTTGGCTCATTAGCCGAGGGGTCGCTGTTCCAACTGTGTTGACAGTCTGCTGCACTTTCATCGAAGCGCTTTCGGAGCGCAGGGAAGCCAAATTGTCGAGTTCCTCAATGCATTCATCTTTTTGGTTTCCATCGGTACTACGAGTACAGGCTCCAACATCAAAATTGTTGTTTGCTACCTCGCCATTGATAAATTCTTCATCCTCAGAGCTTCCGTCGATCTCATGAATTGAATGCTGCTCTTGACCTTCAACTTCCGGGGAACGAAGAAAATCCGGGACCTCGTAACTGTCGCCTACAAGCGTACTAGCGTTACTAGAATCATCGAGAGGAGCCGTACTCTTAAGTTGTTGTATTTTCGAAGAGCCATTGTTTAGATCCTTGTAATTCTTTCTGCGCTTAAGCCGTAAATTATGCATAGCTTCCAGGTTACCGACATCATTCAAATGGGTTGGTTAAGTGCGATGGTTGTGACTTTTTTCTCGTTTTAAAGTTGATCAATGTGAACAAAGATCAGATTCAACCAATAAATTTCCGGACTCACAGCCGGAATCATATCGAAATCACGTCATACGTCGGACTCGACTCCGAAAATCACTAAAAACGGGAGTGGACTCTAGGTGGAGTCGTGAACTCATTAATTTGCTCACGATATACGTATTTAAAGATGTAATATATGTAAAATGACATAAACCTCTGGTAGGTAACTCGCCTGCGTCAACAACGGCGCCACGAATCTCTGAAGTTTAGTGAACGTCATCTTCAAGCGCATAGAATCATGGTGCCAAAGAAGAGAAAGACTCTCCCGGAAAGTGAGGTTGTGGAAGAAGAAGTCGTTGAGCCGCAAAGAAAGTACACTTCTGGAAAACAACCAAGACTTGAAGAGCAGCTCCCTCAAGTGGACTACCATGCTCCGCTAGATCCAGAAAGCGAGCTGTTTGCAGCAGATGACTGGTTTATTCCCAAGTTCAATCTGTTTATTTCATTCACTCTAGATCACCTCGTCGAAACATACAAAGAAATGTTTAAAGATTTCATCAAACTTCCGAGTCGTAAGTTTCATCCTGGTTATTTCTATAAGATCGATCAGCCAATATCCATCAACGAGATTAAATCAAGAGATTACGAGTTCCTCAATGGTCACAGGACGTTTTTGCTGGATATTGAGCTAATTCAAAAAAATTGTAACTCTTACAACGATTCCGAGAGCTTGATCGCCAAAAACTCCATGCAGGTCGTAAATTATGTGAAATACGAAGTTTTGAAGGCCAAAAACGTAACGCGGAACTACTTGATCAACGCGGAGGTGAAAAACCATCTTTTGGACGCTTTCAATCAAGTTCTGAACGCGACGGATTTGTCGATAGCGACACTAGTCGATAAACCGGTTGAAGGTCTGGATGACACCATGCATATTTGCGAGCCATTTGTGGATGTTATATTGGAAGAGGATCTTCCAGAATACTATGAGGTGATTCACCGGCCCATTGCTTTGAGTCTTGTAAAAAGCAATTTGGAAAATGACTACTACACGAAGATCTACGACTTTTACATCGACATGGTTCTGGTTTTCGAAAACGCTTTAGTTTACAATGATTCGGAAACCTTGATGTACCAAGATGCCGAGAAGCTGCTCCGATTTTTCAGAAATTTGATGCAAAAGTCGTTTTTCGTCTCTCTGAAGGATGCGAGCGAGCGTGGAGAGGTAAAGCTTGAATATGACAAAATTGAGTACGAACAGTATCTGGCTAGTGGGGGCAGCGAAGAAAACGTCGAAGGAGAGAATGAAGCACCTGATTTGGAGGATTACGATTTCAATCATTACGAGGGTTTAGGAAATGGATATAACCGGACTTTGTTTCCCGAAGACTACCTACTTGGCCCCAATAAGATGAAGCCAGGTGAGCTGTCTGCGAAAAGAATTGTTCAAGAACCTACGGAAGAACTCCCCGATGTGAATAAGTTTAATATTTTCAAGTCGCTTGGGAGCGATATAACCAAGAAGAACGAAGAACCAATACCTTTCTCTTTGATTCGAGAGGTAGTTGTTTCATCATCCAGCTCATATTACAGGCAAGAGTCCAAGCCCACACATGTTACGCAACAACCTTCTCTAAGTCAGTGTTGGGTAGAGTATGTTATAAAGGGAGAGAACTTGACAAATAAGGAGAATATGTTCTCTTTGACTTTACCGCCGCCTCAAACAGCTGTGACGATCATGACTCACATAGAGCCCGGTCCCCGTTGCGAGTCCAGTTTGGTAGTCAACAGGGAGGAAGTGAATGCGTCACCAAGCGTTTCGACTGAAGGTCAAACTGCAGCATCACGGTACGAAGTTCGTCTGGTTGAGGGCAACAATCGTCTCGAAATTAAATGTCACGATTTGAAAGAAAATGTTACGGAGATATTGAAGCTATGGATTGTTGTGCTACCGTGATTGAACATTTCCCATGGCAACATTCACCAAGTATTCGAAGGCCAGCGAGCTCTTTTTCAGATTACACAGAAGCTGTTTATTTCACCTTGAGCAGCCTTCGATACTAAACTGGTGGAACAGTGATTTTCAAAGGGAATGCATAAATTTAGCGACTGTTTCTGAATTCTGGTTAAGGCAAGAAGCGCACAGGTAATAATCTTAACAGGTAATGAGGCTTGTTTGCAGACAATCGTCGAAAGAGAAGGCATCATCGACTGCATTCGCTCAAGCGCTTACAGCACTTGAATGAGCGATAAATATACCGTCAGCTGACCATGGACCAATGAGGGTATATAATTTCTCGTTTTAAGTGATACACGGGTCAAGATCCAAATAATATAATCGAAATTTTTGTCAAGCATAAGGACAGGACAGGTGCTAGACCACTAGTACAGAAACCCCACCAAACCAATCCGCCACACGTAATGGTCTCAGTATGTTTGAATGCCAACTGACTTTATTAGAGACGAGCACACAAGATTGGGCGTAGGTTCGGATCGTTGTATGCACCTTTACTAACAATCTCATCAGTACGTCTCGAAACTAGCCGCTAAAACAGCTCCACACTTTGGTAAGTTGAACCTTTCCAACATCATTGCCTACACTCCAAATTTGTTGTTCTGGAGTGGAGCTTCCTGGGCAGGTCTTTTTGTTTTCACTGAAGGATGGCCTTTGTTTCAAGACACTTTCTTTAAAAAGGTCCCTGTCTTCGGTACACACTGGGTTAAAACTGTCGATCCTGAGGACAGCCCACAGTAAGGGAATTAACGAAATCTAAATTGGGCCACTTCAGTCCTTCATCTACACTTCACTCATGACAATAGAGGTCTCATTTAAACAATATTCTAGAAATTCAACAAAAATGGACATACGTTAGATATTTATTATTCATTTGCACATTTTACGTACCAATTGAATGAAAAAACCTTTGAACTATCCTGGCCTTCATTTCAACGGCTTATTTGAGTTAATGAGCGAGCAATTGTCGTCTGAGCCTGCATTAAGATCTGATGAAGTCACGCAGGTATTTCATCAAAAGTTGGCTTTTCCACCAACAAGTTTGAGGGCAGCATTATCAAGGACGACGTAGTTTTGATCCACGTCAACCGTCTGGAATACTATGACGCCATTAGGCTTTTTCCAAGCTTTTACTTTCAACCGATCCCCTGGGTATACAACGTTGGTGAAACGTACCTTAAATTCATCGAACTGGCCGAACTTTTCAAACAAAGCTTTCCCTGTCACTCCTAGCGTGCACAATCCGTGTAGGATCGGTCTAGGGAACTTTGCCATCTTGGAAACATTTGGATCGATGTGCAGAGGATTCAAGTCTCCAGACAAACGATAAATGGCTGCTTGATTCTTATCCGTAGTAATCTCAGCTTCAAAATCGGGTTTTCCGTCACCCACTTTGAACTGTTGAATAGCGAATTTGCTTCTAGTCTCGTTGACTTGTTTCGATTTGGGGACTTTTGCGCCACGGATGAAAAATGTTGCTTCATTGTATACAATTGGTTTGTTTGTTTCCGTATCAATTGTCTGGTATCCTCCAACAATCACAGCTGCCTTTCCGCCCTTGTCGATTACTTGAAGGTGCCTTCCTACTGTTTTCAAAGAACCTTTGGTTGGCAGAGGAAATTGGTTCAACTTGAAATACTGTTCCCCGTGTAAAAGGAAGGCATAATTGAAGTTGTCAACAAGAGTATTCATCTTGATGGAATTACCGCTGGTCATAAAGGGTATCACTCCAAAAGTGGGCAAAACTTGAAAATTGGGGTCATTCTCATAACAATACCTTAATTCCTGACTCGTGCACCCCAATCCCAAGTTATACAAGATAGAATCCCTCTCGGTGTATTTGAATAGTAACTTGGAGGCTGCGGATTCCAGTGCTTCAGTAACATTCTGTAGTATTGACATTGATGATTCTTGAGTAGACGACGGGTGCGTGCTATTTGTGAAATTGACAAGCTTGTTCCAATTGTCCCGCAGAAACTCTGGTGATGGTTTAGGGCTGACTATTCCCTTACTTCTTTCCCACCTGGTTTGGCCGCACCAGCCGCCACCAACCTCAAACAACTGACCAGTGACAGGTTTTCCTACCTTCTTGGAAAGTTCTTGCGAAGCCAGTAAAACGAAGAACGGTGACACTTGACTGGGATCAAAATGGTTCCCCAGTTCCTTATCGGAAAAGATCGTTTTGGTCATTGCGGTTTCAGCATGTGGAGCAACCACATTTACCAATATATTAGACTTAGACCCTTCTAAGGCTAGAGTCTTAGAAAGTCCCAGCACAGCAGCTTTCGCAGCCGCATAATTTGCCTGTCCAAAATTTCCATAAATGCCAGACGTCGATGTTGTATTGATGATGAAGCCTCCCTTTTGTTTGAGAAAAACTGGCCAGACAGCTTTGCATAGTCCAAAAGTGGAATAGAGATGTACTTTGAGAACGAGAAGCCATTCCTCGTCGGACATCTTCACAAAAGACCTGTCTCTTAACACGCCAGCGTTATTAACGAGCACGTCAACTCTTCCGAAATGATCCAACGCGGTCCGGACAATCTCTTCCGCATTAGAAACGACATCATGTGTGTCAGCCACGGCTGAATCCTTGCCATATTTCTCCTTAATTTCTGCAACTGCAGTATGTGGATCACGTATGTCGTTCACGACAACCCTGGCGCCATATTTTGCGAAATATAAGGCATGGGATTTGCCCAACCCAGCACCAGCGCCTGTGACGATCACTACTTTGCCCTTGAGTGAATCGATAGATGTCGTGCCCTGATCGTTGGCGGGCAGCTGTCTTGCCTTGTTGATCAATGCATTGTAGTCACTCAGCTGTACAGGGTGACCAACTTTGTTGAACGGCTTATCATGGTAGTCAACAACGGATTTCCACTGGTTAAGAATAGCTTCACTGGTAAAAGTTTTGGGATCAGGGTTGAAAATCTGACCAGAAGACCGTTCCCACCGAATTTGACTATAGTAACCTGCTGCAAGCTCAAAAATCGAATTTGTCACTTTTGTAGACTCGTGGCTCAAGTAGAGAACCATGGGTGCTATATTTTCTGGGGCCAGGTTTTTGAGGATGTGAGGGGGAATGATTCGTTCCGTCATGCGAGAACGAGCTAGTGGAACAATACAGTTGACATAAATGTTGTTCTTGTACCCCTCTTTAGCCAAAGTTTCAGAGAAACCAACAAGACCTAATTTGGCCGCTGAATAATTGGCCTGCCCAAAATTGCCGTAAAGCCCAGCCGGAGAGCAAGTATTGACGACCCTGCCAAAATTCTGCTTTCTGAAAATAGGCCAAGCAGCTTTCGTAAGCTTGTAAGCGCCGTTGAGATGAACGTCGATTACGGCGTCGAATGCCGAGTCCTTCATTTTAGCGAAACTAGAGTCCCGCAAAATTCCCGCGTTATTGATGATGACATCCACGCGCCCGAAATGATCAATTGCCGTTTTCACAATTCCTGCTGCATTGTCCGTCACCGAATCGTAATTTGCCGCAGCTCGAACCTTAAATTTGTCTTGGATTTCTTTGACGACAACGTCAGCTGCTCGCGAGTTGTGTCCCTCTCCACCTAAAGAACCGCCTAAATCGTTGACAACAACATTCGCTCCTCTTTTAGCAAATTCCAAAGCGTATACCCTGCCTAGGCCCCCACCAGCTCCGGTAATGATCACCACCTTATCTTTGAAGCCGAGAGTTTCGGTCATTGCTTATTGGATCCACGTACCGATTGCACAGAATTATCTAACGATACAGTTTGTAACCTTTGTTCAGCTTATTTTTTACCTTTCTCACTTGTAAGGATGTTAGCCACTTTCGACAGGTATACTTTGATTCTTGAATTTTGGTCTCTTTATATAGTTTCTCGATCATTTTTGTGCCACCGATCATCTCGCCCCGATTTCCCCACATCAACGGTCTGGGTCATGATTATCGGTCCTTACCGCGTGAGCTTTCGGAGTCCCCCAATATTCATGTTCGATGACTTAAAATAAGGGAGAAATGACACGGGATTGAGCCAACGACACTTAATGATAAGGTGATTTGAGAACACAGTTCAAGATCATGAGCTATGTACGTCTAGCGCAGCTGATAATCACCGGTCTTGGCTTGATATTTAACTCCTTTGAAAGGTGTGATATTGCGTGGCATACCCGAGAGGATGTTTACGGACTGGACTCTGAGACCGCTAGGCAATTCGCCTTTATTTGAAAAAGTTACAGTTAGCATCAATGATTTCATTTGAATAGGCGTGGCATGCTCCAAACACCCACGAAGAATGGGCAAAGTACCCGTGTGAGTTTCTTTGTCGAAGATCCAGTGACCAGAGAGGTTGTCAATAGAGTTTTCGAAGTGGCCGTGAGTATTCCGAAGGACCTTGAGTTTGCACGCAGAGGCTGATGTTTGTGCCGCAAGTACGGAAGGAGCACTGAAACTGACGTCAATTATGAGGTTCTCGACGTGCTTTGTATGCTGTGAACTTGCTATGTTGACGCGAATTTCGAATTCGTCACCCATAGTCCCTAGTCCTGTGTCATAATGAACGGAGACCAGGCCAATATTGGATAACACCTTGCTACGGTTGGCAATGGTCTCGAGGTCTATGCTATACTGCATAAGTCTGAACTTTCCATCGGGGGGAATAAAATGCAGTTCGTTGAGCTTCTGCGTATGTCGGTGAGCTTCGCAGCATTCGTGGAGTGCAGGAATGCCCAGATCATGCCCCGCTAGATCCAAGTTTAGCGCTATCAGAGGGTCTCCTGTTAGTCGAGAGCGCATTTCCACGGATCCTTCTAGTACGGCCCGTACAACGTTAAATCTGTTTCCCTTGGTATTTTTTTGTAGTATCACATGGATCTTTTCTATCATATCGACGTAAAGCTCATTGTTAGAGTGCTTGACGCCCGGGGTTCTCCATGAGACAACTTGATGATCGCTTGATCTCGGCGTCGTCCCGCTGTCCGATTGCAAACCAGGGGTTCTTACTTGCAGAGAATCACGGGTCTGGATTCGATTGCTCAGAGTGGAGGCCGTGGAACTGAGCACTTTGGACAGATCTTCTCGGCTAGGAACAATTTCTTTCAGTTTGTTCAAGTCGAGGATAGCGGGTTCATTGGCGTCCACCATCGAGTTCAACAGTAGTGCAATGCGGTCCTGGTTATTTACTATCTTGCTGATAGGCAGTCTTTCCTTGTCAAAGTAGTTCAGAAGAGTAGACTCGAAGATCTCCAAGAAGGTTAGCGGTTCTAATGGGTTTGGCTGCCGTGTCACCAAGCACCAGAACAATAGATCACTTGATCTTGCTTTAATCTTGTATACCTGTAGATCTTTCCCCAGATTAGCTTTGAACCAGGATTGCCCGCTTGCATCCTCTGGTGCCACCGTTTGCATCTTGGTCCATAGGGCCTTGAAAGATGGCGAGTCGTGGTTTAACAAGAGCTGAAACACCAACGCATGATTCGAACTGGTTATATAAAAAGCCAGGAACATATTAATACGCTTGGCGAACGCCTCTTTCTGGTCCTAAGACTGCTTCTTGGTTTGACTGCTCATGACAAGAACAACTCATTTAGTAGTGTGCATTCAATTCTTCTTCGTCACGTGCTCCGAGACCTGTGATATTTTGTAAGTGAATTGAAGTGCACCAAAGGCCAAGCGGCTTGTCCATCACAGTAGAGACATGAAAAGAACTAATTGATATACACTCTTTGAATGCGGGAAAAATTCGCGATGAAACTCATCAGTCTAATTATACTGGCTTGACGGCCAATCACACCAAGACGGGAGATATAAAGCCTTCATAATTAGGTAATAGTACTACCAACGGGTTAATCACGGGATAGTTGATTTTTATCATTTACCAAAAATAAATGCGCAAGCCCGGAATCGAACCGGGGGCCCAACGATGGCAACGTTGGATTTTACCACTAAACCACTTGCGCTAGCTTGAAATTAATGGCCGAGAGTCATATATTAGACCAGCAATAAAGTACATGCTTGATATTCTAATATCTCACGGCTCATGGACATCTGCGATCAGTGGTGCATCTCAGCAATTTAGCACCGTTGTTCCGGTATACATAGAACAATTGCTGCTAATTACCTGCATACCACGACGTGTAGTGGCAAGCGGCTCACTAAGCGATCGCCTTTCAGCGGGCTCGTAGCTTGGGCCAACCAGCCCGCCCCTCCCAGCTCTAAAAAAAAGCTTCAGTAAAAGAAAAGGCGCGTGCGTGAATTCGTGGTCTGCCCTACTAGGCAGGCGGAAGATCATGGCACTAATGGTGAACATCAGCAGGATAATCCGGAGTTGAATGACATAAGTAGAGTCTCGAGCCTTGGTTACATAAAGATGACAGCTCAATAACTAAATTTTATAAGTAAAGAATGTTTGTATGATCGCTTGCCCTTAAATTTTGAACTTAGCAGAGTTTACCCACCCTTGATATGTATGATTAAAGAAGTCACTGATCATCTGGGAAGATTGTTGTTCGAACGCTCGCGCTTGACTCGGCAGTCATGGAGGTAAAACTAATGGATGAAAAGGTCTGTTATTATGGCTCCGATAACATGGATCACGTGGAAATTTCAAATATGCTGAAGGGGTTGAAGATATCCCCATGGTTGAATCTGCTTTAACGGAAATTCTTGTGGAAGGAAATCATTAGGAAATATTCAACTGACAGCTGGCTAATCTTCTCATATTTGCGGAAAAGTTACGTGTTCACCCAATAGCTGCGTTAACCGCGAATGGACGTTGGCTCGTATACAATGATACAACGGAAATGTAAAAATGCTTGATATTAACTTGTTCTTTCAATGCTCACAGTAACGCTCGCTCATTGGTAAAGCAGAAGGGACTCATGAACAACTTACAGACCAATCCGTTTGCCAACATTGGCACTTCCAGCTTTAGCCTTTCACAGGTTCCCCAGCATATTCTGGAAAACCTGACGCCTGTGCAATTGCGCATGATTCAACAAAAACATCAGCAGTTGTTGATGGAACGTCAGGCGCTAATGCGACAGCAGCAGCAACAGCAGCAACAGCAACAGCAAGAACAACAGGAGCGGGAGATCCAAAAGAATCAGGAAACTCAGAGAAGGCAGCAGCAACTACAACAGCTGCGACAACAACAACAACAACAGCAACAACAACAACAACAACAACAACAGCAACAGCAGCAGCAGCAGCAGCAGCAGCAGCAGCAGCAGCAGCAGCAGCAGCAGCGCGTGCAACAGCACCACATTCAACAACAACAAATGCAGCAACAACAACTTCAGCAACTCCATCAAATGCAACAGCGCCAACTGCAGCAGCAACAGCAACAGCAACATCATATTCAGCCCCATCAGCAGCAGGAACTACAACAACAACAACAACAGCTGCCACAAGGCTCACCACAGTATGCGACAAAACCCACAGTAGGCACCGCTCCTGCTCAACAGCTCAATCTTGCCCAAAGAGCTCAATTGCTGAAGGCCAAACAACAGCAACTGAATGCATCCCAGGCGTCTCGCCAGGCGCCAGCACCAACTCCGCAGCAGCTAAATTTGCCGCCTCAGATCGCACAACTACCGCCACAGGTGCAGCAACGTGTGCTTGCAAATCTCAAGCAGCAAGCGCTAGCCAAGAACAATCCCGCTGCTGTGGCGGCTATCACAGCCGCTCAACAACAACTCGCGTCTCAAATTCCTAATCAGCAGACAGCTGCCTCTCCTGTAACACAAAACTCACCCGCTGTGTCGGCTAACTCACGAATAACTACACCGCTACCTGCACAAGTCCCACAGCTTCCGCCTCTGCCCAAATTTCAAACGATATATCAGGATCCCCCAGAGGAGGCTCTGAAGTCACTGACTTATTGGTCAGACTTAGTCAAAGCCGGGAAAACCAATATAAAAGAGCCAGATTCAAATTTGCTTCTCTATGAACAAGTCCTGCGAAGAGATCGCGAAAACTCGGAACAGCTCATAAAAGAGCGAAATGGTTACGAGCCTTTCAGCAAGTATGGATTTAGTCACAAGGAATACTTGATGAGGCTTCTACAGGATCTCAACTATATCAAAGAGCTGAAAGCAGCTAGGATGAAGTCAATCACGAATACGACTCAAGGAATCGTTTCCAAAAGCATATGGGGAGACGGGTACTCTGGGTATGGGAACGGATTTAGCAACACGGCAACAAACGTTTCAACTGGTGTTAACTGGTCCGATAAACGAAGGCAAACGATTTTTGATATGAAAGATGTGTATCAGCAAGCCATGACGGAAACCCAAGAAGAACTTGTGCCGATACGACTGGAATTTGATGCAGAGCGCGACAATTTCTCACTCAGAGATGTTTTTATTTGGAATAGAAAGGAAGGTGTGGTCAAAGTGGAGGATTTAGTGGCGGAACTGCTCCAGGATTACAAGTTCACACACAATGACCAGTTTTTCGAGACTCTTGTTCAGAGTATAAAGGAGCAAATTAATGATTTTCAGGCCGATCCTTTTGTCGACAATGATCGCGACCTGCTTGGAGGTGACGATCTCCGGATCCGGATACAACTAGACATAGTTGTAGGTCAAAACCAACTGATAGATGGTTTTGAGTGGGACATTTCCAACCCGGACAATAGTCCCGAAGAATTCGCGGAGGCTCTTAGTCAGGATCTCGAACTGCCCGGTGAGTTCACTACGGCAATTGCCCACTCGATTCGAGAGCAGGTCCATGCATATCATAAGTCCCTAGCGGTGACGGGATACCAGTTCGATGGTTCTGTGGTTGAAGACGAAGATATTCGAAGTAGACTTCTACCGCTTATTACGCTGGACGACGTTTTCAGAAATTCCATTGACTCTAAAGTTTACACGCCTAGTCTTCTAAAGGTATCTCATGCAGAGCTGGAACGGTTGGACCGTGACAAGGACAGGGACACACGTCGTAAGCGGAGACAAGGTCGGTTCAGTAGACGCGGGGCGGGACCAAGCTCCACTGTTGCCCAAAACGAAAACGCTCTTCCTGATCTCTCGGATATTCCTAAGACCTTCCGTATTCCGGTACCTAGTACAACGCTTCCAGGTGGCGTGGACTTGGGTCCATCCACGAACTCTTACGATGTTGAAACCAAGATTGATTACGAATCACTGCCACCGACACCGGTGGCTGCTTCGCACCAGAATCCCTTCTGCCGTGTCGTTGATAATAACCCTGGACAATATCTTCTCGTGAGCATTAAAGTCCCTCTGCTTCACAAAGATAGTTCCATGAGAGCATATTGAAGAATTCGAGTGAAAGATTGGTAAGAATCGGTCAACCGTGGACACCTATCGGGAGCCAAGTTCCAGGTAATTGACCACTCGAGTCTTCTTCTCTTCTACTACATGTTCGTATATAATGCTATTTATACCGAGAAGCTTAATTTATACGTGTGAGGATTTAAGCTCTTGTAAACGCTGCCTCAGCATAACTACTCAGTCAGAGCAAACAAGAATATTGTCGACAGAGTCAACAGCTTTCCTCAAAGTAGACACAAAGTATGTCGAGTGGCGAATTGATGACAGCTGCAGTGGGAAGGTCTGCGGACGTCAACTCGCCAGAAACAACCGAGGAAATTAATGTGGCGCAGGAATCAGCAAGTGCAACCGAAAGAATAAAACAGGGCCTCACCAGCAGGCTGAAATTTGTGGGAAGAAAGTTCAATGTTTTGGATAGTCTCTTCAGTAAAAATAACAGGACAGAGTCTTTACAATATGGTGCCAACGCAGACGGGGTATTTAGTAACCTGACGGCGAAACCGGATAATACCAACAGAGGAGAACAGGGCGAATCCGACAAACCGCCCAATTATGATGAGGCTGCCTTAGACATGGCACCATCGTACTATGGGGTTGATGACGATAACTTCGGCATGTACAGCAACGAAATATGTTTTGAGGGCCTACCTGTGGGCAATGCAGTGAACTTACTTTGGAACATCATAGTCAGCGTGAGTTTTCAGTTTGTCGGCTTTTTACTGACATACATCCTTCATACGTCCCACGCAGCAAAACAGGGCTCAAGATTTGGCTTGGGTCTCACATTCTTGGGTTATGGCTACTCAATGATTCCTAATGATATAACTGCTAAGGTGGGTAAATCGAAGAATCTCGATAGATTGAAACCGTCAGATCCTAATGAATACGACGACATGCATTTATACACGAATAGCGCGGCGAAAGATATGTTTGAGTCCAGCCTCAGTCACGGAGGCGAAGAGGAGAAGAGAGGTGTACCCTTTCTTGCCATCGTATTGTTTTTGAGTGGGGCTTTCATAATGACAAAGAGCATATACGACTATGTTAAAGTCAAAAGAAAGGAAAAGCAGTACTTCACACAGGAACCTGTGTAATGTAACCAACTAGGAATAAAAGGTAAATATGGTCTATAAAAACTGGAAAATTGAGATTAAAAAAGGTTTACAATTAGCGATACCTTTCATAACGCTTGAATGACCCTAATATGCTTGCCCTATGGCGTTTGAGCCTTTTAGTAGTGGACTGTGCCAAGTTACGCGCCCAGCACGACGAGAACCTTCTCGTAAATGGTAAAAACGATACCACCGCTGAGAATGAGTCTCCCTAGTCTAGGAGTTGCACCTTTCCAGAAAGTTTTTAGCCCTTCTTCTCTGAAGACGGTGGTGAAGCAATTCACAGTCGATGTGTATTTGGAAGAATCGAGACTTTGCATTCTAGTTTTAACGGTATCAATAGGCATGGTGGTGTAGACAGTCACAATACCACTGAAGGCACCCACCACAAAGGTGAGGCCAGATGACAGTGATTGATCCTTTGGAGTATTAGTGTAGTCCTGAACCATGGTCTTGATTTTGTTGTAGCAGCCCAGTCTGACGGCCTGGTTGGCGGCCTGTCTCATCGAAACAGGCAAAATTCCGCGGTAAAGGCCCGAGATCCCTTGGTCAACAACTAATTTAGAGTAGTTGCGCAACATGCCTTTGCCATTGCTGTGGTATTTTGGTTGTGCACTTTGCTTGTCATCTATTAAAGCGGTCTTGATAGCTTCGAAAGGTGTCACAGCCACTACACTTTCCAGTAGCCCTGCTCCCAGTCCAGCTACAATTCCTCTGGGACCGCTGAGCTCTCCCGTGATCGGGTCTCTCAGCATGTTTTTGATGGCATCAAAACCCAAAAATCTGACACCTGCTTTTGCAGTGTTACCAACAATAAATGCCGGACATCCAACATACAAGGCACCGATGCCGTTTGTCTTGACTGTGTTGAAAATGAGTTTAAGTGGATTTCTCGATGCCGTTGACGAACGATCCACAAGCTGTAATCGAGTTTTAGCGAACTCAAATGGGTAGGTGATGGAAGCTTCCACTGCACCTGCTAAGGATCCAGCCGCAAGCGAATGTAGAGGGTCTATCTGTTTTTTCTGTGACATTCTGATTTCTGTCTTTATTTTTTATGTATTTTCAAGAGACTCTGCGCTCTCGTTCTTGATCCACCGACTAATTTCAAAGACGTTAACGGTATTAAAGTCTAAGCTGTTGCCAGAGACCAATTTCAGCTCGTTCAAAAATGGGTGTTTTGAGCTGAACCTCGAATCAAATCTGTCGCGTCGACAACCCGTTGCGTTCTCGTTGGCTTGCTTTTATATTCCAGAGAATCCCATTTTTGTCTGTCACTTGAAGATGTAAGTTTTTCCGGAGGAATTGTAATGTGTATCAATTGACTTTACACCATCAGATCGAACAAAACACTGCAATGGAGAGCCGATGAATGATGCGCACACGAAATGGATGACTCAAGTCGGCTACCGCAATAGACCAGCATTGATGTCTAATTTTCTATTCTAAGACGCTAGTCAATGCGCCTTTCTTATAATCTTGAATGACAAGGGCGAAAATGGAAACTGGGCTGAACTGGTGAATCCAAATTAAACAAGGTAGATGTTCAGCGCCTCGCGTACTGCAAATGTGCATATACACATATATGCTTCTGTTTTATGAACCTTACTTATTTGTCGATCGAGGTAAATTGCGACACCGCATGATTGTTCCAATAAGACTAGAGCGATGTGAGCCACTGTGCACGGCTACAGGAACACAGTAAAATGGTTTCAAATAGCTTTTTGAATGGCTTCCTGTCTATACTACCAAACTAGTCAATCAAACAATTGATGGAATAGAGTAAGTTTGAAATTTATGGCGGTAGAAAAAATGTAAATAAATTCCCAAAAAAATAAAATCCCTAAAAATTATCAAAAAAATAATGCCAAAAAAATAAATAACCGCTCAGCACGTCACGCCTTCAGATCACGAGCTTGAGAAAGCCACCATTCTTTTTCATCGGGATCACGTGATAAGGATTTCCAGAAACCACGAGTCGTCATTCGGTGCATCATCTTCCAATGAATATATATCTAATACGTATGTAGGCTAAGATTGACCCGCAGAGATAAGGCTCTATATTTCGGGGCGGTATCAAGACAGTAGAAAACAAGGATATCAGCAAGTAGAATAAAACACATCTTATGCACTGTCAATCGAAACCTTTGCATATCTTTTACCGTTGTTTTCTCGGCTAATTTCGCTGTAATTATTCGGATTGTATTGAGTCACGTTATACGAACTTGCCTATCGAAACTTCAGCACATTGTCTGGATTCAATGCCTCGAGATTTGTTTTATAGCTCAATTTCGAAAGCTTGTTCTTTTCGTCAAGATGCTTTTTCCCATTATTGTCTTACGGCTTTCTTAGCTCAGTTTTTGACGCTGTGAATTTACTTAATTACTTCGTCAGGCGTTCTAACCCATCATCGTCTCTGGAAAAAAATGATGACGCTACCTCGAAATTGTCTTGGCCCAGCTTTAAACTGAGACGAAGACCCTCGGAAAGAACCTTTTGCTAGTCTTGGAGCTCAACTTCATTGACATTGGCTGGCACACATTGCATTGGCAGGCTGGAAAATTCTCAGATACGGAAAGTAGAGGCTTCAAATCTCGATGAAACATGAAAATAACGACGACGAGGGTCGTGGACAGCCGAACGCTACGAAAATCGACAAACGGTCTGCCTACTATATATGGCGGTCCGGCTTGGCAGGCGGAGTGGCCGGGTCGTGTGCGAAAACTTTGATCGCGCCGCTAGATAGGATTAAAATCCTTTTCCAAACTTCGAATCCACATTATTTGAAATATTCGGGGTCAATGCTGGGACTGTTGCAAGCGGGCCTTCACATTAAGACATATGACGGACTTCGAGGCTTTTACCAGGGTCATTCTGCCACGTTGATTCGAATCTTTCCCTACGCAGCCATCAAATTTATCGCATACGAACAGATTCGACATCTCATGATACCGTCTAACGAGTACGAGACTCCTACGCGTCGATTGGTCAGTGGGTCATTGGCTGGCCTTTGCAGCGTTTTCATGACATACCCGCTGGATCTTATAAGAGTCAGACTAGCATATCTCACAGATCACAAACGCATCAAAATGCTGCCAGTAATAAAACGCATTTATTCCGAGCCGGCATCGGAAACACTCACATCAAAGCATATAGTACCGAAATGGTTCGCTCATTGGTGTAACTTTTATCGTGGGTTTACACCAACGGTCTTAGGTATGATCCCATACGCGGGTGTATCCTTTTTCGCTCATGACTTATGTGGCGATATTTTGAGAAGCCCACTAGTAGCACCCTACTCGGTGCTTCAAATATCCGACGAAGAATTACAATTGCGATCGAAATACGCAAATAATAGACCCCTAATGACATGGGCCGAACTAGTGGCTGGTGGTCTAGCAGGTATGGCTGCTCAGACTGCTTCTTACCCTTTTGAGATTATCAGACGTCGGCTTCAAGTAAGTGCTGTGTCCCCCACGGCTGTCCACAATTTTCAAACAATTCCCGAAATGTTTCGGGTAATCTACATGGAACGCGGCTGGAGAGGCTTCTTTGTGGGGTTGAGCATAGGCTACATCAAAGTTACACCGATGGTGGCCTGCAGTTTTTTCGTTTACGAAAGAATGAAGTGGTACTTGGGCATCTAATCAAACATCAAACGTATGCATTAGGTGCTCGATGGACCGAATTACGTGACATTGATTTAATTATAATTTATTCTTATTCTTATCTAAACTGAGAGTAGTATTTCTCCTCGTCAAGTCTTTTGTAGATCATATCCAAGACCTCTTTTGAATAAACTTCTGATATCTTTTCACCACCGTTAAGAACACGCTCTTCATGGTTCCTTTGCTCATCCTTAGTCATGACAACAACATTCTGTGCGGACACAGGGAGTGACGGGTCCCACTTGGATAGCGTCAGTCTCGTTGAATAACCGCTTATGGGTGATCTCCCACGGAAAACTTCTTCACAAATGTACCCGACGTCCTTGAGTGCGACAGGGACACGTTGATCTGGCATTCCGATACGCGTCATTTGACCTGCAAGCGATTGATAGATACCATCGTAGACTTTGATCCTATTCTTGCCTTCTATGGGTTCCATAGGATAGCCTGATATCTTTGTCAATAGCCAAGTTGCGATGGTGAGACCGAAAACGCCAGGCATCGTTCCAAGAACAGGAAGTATGCGAACACGGAAGTCTTTGATAGCGCTCAACTCATCAACTTTGCCCCTCTGGAATTCATCTTCAGGTAGCGAAAGCAAAGATGCCTTGCGTGGATCTGGTTTTTCGGCACTGAAAACCACAGTTATGCCCTTGATAATCCCCCTCTGCTTTAGGCGTCTTCTAACACAACGAGCTAAAGGATCTTCCTCTGTGGTCGTCAGGTCTCCTACATTGATTCTGGTTGGGTCACTTTTAGTAGCAGCACCCATGGACGATATCACAGGTATTTCGTTACGGTAAACAAATTCTAGTAGATCGACCTTCGTATCAATGTTGTCGATGCAGTCGACCACAAAAGTTGGTTTTTGCTGACCATTTTCGCCAAAGATCAAACGATCCGCATTTTCTTTATTCCACAACTCATTCACGGCGTCAACTTCGCACCATGGAGCGATTTCACGCAGGTGATCGTTCAAGCAATTCACTTTCGAGGTTCCAACATCTTTCAAAGTAGCACAGCTGTGTCTATTCAATGAGCTGAGGGAAACCTGATCAAAGTCGATCACTCTGATTTTGTAGATTCCTGACCTAACTAGCATAGTTACTACCCAAGAGCCCACACCTCCCGCACCCACTACAACAATGTATTGATTTTTCAAATTTTCCATTGCATCTTCTCCCAAGAAGGCATAGTTACGGGCTAGTTGCTCGCGAATGAGCTCATCGTCGTATTTTGCCTCCAAACCGCTTTTGATACCATCATTCTTCTTAGCGCTGTGTGTAATTGTTTGGTTGCGACTAGCCTTGAAGCTTTGATAGAATTTTTCGAAAAACTTAGTACCTGCTACTGCGAAAACCGCAACAGTCGCAAGAGCTTTCCAGTCGCGGCCAGAATGCATTCTTCACTTTAATCCTGCCAATTATATGATCTCAGTAGATCCTCATCGTCTAAACCTTGACCGGTATTCCGCTGAGCCAGTTCCCAGTGCTAATAAAAAATTTGACATCAAGGGTCACGGGACCGGTCTTCTTCAAACGTCTTCAAACTCAGCGTCCATGTCTTCATCCTCAATTTCTTCCACTTTTGTCGTATCAGTCTTATTGGCTTCACCGCCATCTTGCTGTGTGTTATTGCTGTTGTTGACCTGGTCTGCATCTGAGGGTGCAGTTGTATCTTCCTTGACAGTAGATTTGTTATTAACACCAGTACCAATTTCAGTGTCATTTTCGTTTTCGCTACTCACGTCTTCAAACTCCACATCGTAGTCCATTCCTTCGTCGCCATTGTCGGCACCTTCTTCGCCCTCATCTTCTTCGTCTTCCATGGCTTGTTTCCGAGCCAATTGAGCATAGTAATCCGCCAAGGTTTTCTCGGCTTCTTTTTCCTCCACCTCTTTTTGAGTGAGCGGCTGTGCTGGTGCCACGAGTTCCACGTTTGTGAATGAATCGTCGGCTTCCTCTGTGGGTTGTAGATCCTGAGTCTCGTCGACAGAAGCCTGCTGGGAAGCTGCAGGTAGGGCATCGTCGTCGTTATCGAGTCTGCCCAGAGCGGCCTTTCCAACGGTACTCTGCTCGTGCCATGCAGGTAGAGCGTTTTGTTTTCTCTTTTCCTCCATCTCTCTTTCTTGGCGCTCGCTGCGGACCTGCTCGTCGGTAGCTGTGGTAATATTGACATGCAAGGTGGCCTGAGACTTCGCGCCAGCCCTCATGCTGCTTGCATTGTCCAGAGCAGAATTCGTATTGTCACCAGGAGTGAACATCTTACTTTTCTTGGATCTAGGGTTGACAGTGTAGGATGCCACGGAGTTGTTTTGAGGAGGAATCAATCTCGCCAAAGACGTCTCGAAAGTATTCTCTTCAATCCTTGAATCATCGATTTTTTTCAGGTAATCGATGATTGGTTGTACTTGGTCCATGAGCCTATTCAATTTCATCTGTTTCTCTTTGGACTTTTTGCCAGAATCGTCTTCAACCAAGGCTTCTTCGCACAAACTGCATAAAAACTGTGTTTTCTCATAATTCAGCAATGACACCGCCTCAAGTTGCGAATATTTTGTGTGGCAAACAGGACACATATATCCCTGGGGAGCGGAGTTCTTATCTAGATCGTCTTTCAAACGGGACACGATTTGATGAACTTTCCACTTGATGGCATCGATGGCCTGAGGATACTTAATGTAGTAGTAGTATCTCTTAATGCTTCTGGTATTGAAGTGGAATTCCTGTTGGGAATGCACTGCGATCATTCGATCTTCCAGAAGTGTGGTGAGTAGTCCACGAAGCTCTGGTCTTTTTATCCCCAACAGATGTGCCAAATCCTCTTCCGACAAAACGGAATGGAAGAGAATTGCATCCACGACTAGAACATATGTTCCAGTATAAAACCCTCTGACCACAAACTTGAGAAGGTTCTTGACGATTTCATCAATGGGACGGTCCATTGTTGCCAATTGAGAGTTGAAGAGTCTACAAAAGCTTTTTTAGATTGTTCTATCGAGTGCGATGAGATCCATTTCTTGTTTCTTGATCCAATTACTGTTCCGTCAGAAGCGACCTCATCGAGCTATAAGATCTTATATTTAAGGCCTGAATTCGTATACCAGCGACAGCGATATCTAGTTTAAGGTATTACTGAGAATATCGACAATTTTGCTGTCTGATAGTCTTCTTGAGCTTGACGCTTTCTGTGAATATTAGCGACCTGATGATGGCTTTTTCTCGTCTGGCGAACAGGGTTTTACGTTAATTTTGAGAAAAAAATCTAGATTGCAACGGCAGGATGACATTTGGTTCCCACCTTGACTCTTCAGGTTATTCTTGGTGATTGTTTTTCAAGAAATGGCGCCGCTTGAAATAGTTGAGCTTTGATTCAAACATTTCCGCCAGGGTGACAAAATGGTTATGTTATGGTAGCTGTCCGCTGAAGAAGGTTTGGAAACCCTCAGCAGAAAACTTGGGCTACGGGATAGGTGCACATGAGTATTGTAAAGCGACAGATAAAGAGCGAAAAACAAGATGCAAATCTCGAATTCGACTACCCATTGACTGGCTGGCTTGTGATCAAGCTCTGCATTGTCAGGTAGCGCGTCACTTCCAACCACAAGAATTGGGTTAAGTAGAAGCCTGCGACAGTTAATTGAATTGACCGCGATCTCTGGTAGAGCGGTGTGGCGATTTTAAGATTGCACACCTATTAGAGAGATCAACCTAATGTTTTTGTCAGAATAGTGGGGATCCTGGGTTGCCAAAAATATCTATGCCAGTAAGATGAGTTGAATCACCAGTCCGGATTATGCCGCAGCTCTACAAAACCACTGGGGAAATAGAGGGCCTCGGTTCTGGAATCTGGTCTGTCGTTTGAAGTTTAACAAATGAGAGCCGCGAAATTTCTAGGTTCATTACGCATATGTTTTTGGTTATGAAAAATCAAGGCTGATGATAAGCGACGATCGTACAAATTCGACTGCACAAGCAATTTCAGCGTTGAGTTAGGAGTCTTTTACCGAATCGGGCTGAAGTTCATAAAGAAATGAAATTTCCATCATTCGAAGGCAGCCCGTGGTATCTTACACCATGACAAATGATAATGTTTTTGGAAGTGGCGATTAAAGATTAGCATGATGCTATTTGCAACATAGTGATTTGACGACTGCCAGGTAAATCAGTCTATGGGTATTCAACGCTGGTACTGACTGCGTTCCATGGTCTGTCGCCAATGACACTTTCTTTACCAAGTTCATTTAAGTCACGTGGTGCGAGTGACGCATAACATGGTCAAACATGGAAATTAAGCATTTACGAAGCTAACGAGCCCCGACTACTAATGCACGCGTGAGTATCGCCAAAAACCTTCCAACAATCAACATTGGATAAGATCTTTGCGTTCCCAAAAAACACACAAGATAGACGACACTTTAAAAAATCGGGTGTCGCTCTCGTGTAAAGTGATATCACGATTCCCGCTTAAAAGACGATGCCGGAAAAAAAACCCCAGGTTTATCTGGTCTTTCCAAGAAGGGTTTTCTCTTCTCGTCACATTAACTGTTACAATAGCTACCCATAAAGGCATCTCCTCAGCCCGTAGCTCCCTCGTCTGTCACTACTTGCATTTCTCATTTTCCTCTGCTTCCATTGCCTAGAACTTGGCGGGAAATCCACCAATGGATTGTTCCTTTTTTTTTGAAGGATTTCTTTTTTTTTTTCCTTTTCGTATGTATTGATATTTCCATCGGAAAAACCAGGGATTCCCCGAAAAATGTCGCAGTAGGTACGGCACCTAAGATAATGAAAAAAACAGCGGCGCCACAGATAATCCGAACCAAACGCGCGTTTGTCTCTGAGTGGTTTTTCCGAAACTTCAGCTCGGAGCAAACCGGGATCAAATATCGACTATCACTATATAGTTTTACTCTACTACAGGAAATTACATCTAAATTTTGACGATTAAACAGTTTATCAAAATATAACCGATGAGCAAGCTTTTTGTTCATAAACACAGCTATTTGCAGCATTAGAAGTTGGCATTAGAAGTTTGGCAAACCATTTCTACTTAAAACTGGGTTTTTAGCTAGAATTTCTGAAACATTGTTCTGTAAGTTCGGAACAAAAATTTCGGACAATCGTATTGTAGACGGTGCAGAAAGTTTATTGGAACTTTTTTTGTTGTTCAAGACTGTGAACTGAGATCTCAAAAAGCCGGAATTTGTCTCGTTTTCCATTTCATCCCGCCGCTGTCCCTTCACTAGACTTCAACACGATACTCATCGCATCCCGTTGCTTTAATTATCTATAATACAGAATGACTAGCCGTGTGGATTTGCTGAAACGTTCGCTGAAGCTTACGAAGCCAGGTCGTTTCTATGCAAGCCAATCGCCTAGAAACTTGGTTTCGACCACCCGAGACACCACGTTCTCGCAAACCGTCGACAGAGACGACCCTCACACACAATTGAAGCCTGTGGGATCCAAAGCAAAGGCTATGATGGCGGACCCTGTACCCAGACAAACCCGTCTTTTCGTGGAGGGCCCCATCGAGTGTCCTCTAGAAGGATTCCAACTGTTGAACTCTCCTCTGTTCAATAAGGGCTCAGCATTCACCCAAGAGGAAAGAGAGGCATTTGGCTTGGAAGCCCTGCTACCACCCATGGTCAACACTTTGGACGAACAAGTGGAAAGAGCTTACAAGCAACTCTGCTACCTCAAGACTCCGTTGGCCAAGAACGATTTTATGACCTCAATGCGTACTCAAAACAAGGTTTTGTATTTTGAACTTGTCAGACGTCACATTCGAGAGCTAGTACCCATCATCTACACGCCAACCGAAGGTGATGCTATTGCTGCTTATTCTCACCGTTTCAGAAGACCCGAAGGTGTTTTCCTCGACATCACAGAGCCAGATTCCATAGAGCGTCGTCTTGAAGCGTACGGAAACAGCAAAGACGTTGATTACATCGTTGTTACTGATTCAGAAGGAATCTTGGGTATTGGAGATCAAGGTATCGGTGGTATCAGAATCTCCATTTCAAAATTGGCATTAATGACGTTGTGCGCAGGTATTCACCCTGGACGTGTCCTTCCTGTTTGTCTTGACGTCGGTACTAACAACAAGAAACTTGCGCGTGACGAACTGTACATGGGCAACCGTTTTGCCAGAGTGCGCGGGAAACAATACGACGATTTTGTTGAAAAATTCATCAAAGCTGTTAAGAAGAGATTCCCATCCGCGGTGCTTCATTTCGAAGATTTTGGTGTAACAACGGCGAGACCAATTTTGGAGCGTTACAGAAATGAGGTTCCATGTTTCAACGATGACATCCAAGGAACTGGTGCGGTTGTGATGGCCTCGTTTTTGGCGGCCCTCAAACATACCAAGAGAGATTTGGGAGATTCCAAGGTTCTGGTCTATGGAGCAGGCTCTGCTGGTTTAGGTATCGCTGATCAGATCAGAAACCACATGGTCACTCATGGCTTGTCACCCGAAGAAGCACACTCCAAGATTTTCTTGATGGACAGACGTGGTCTAATCTTGAAGTCCATGGAAGCATTTTCTTCTCCCGCACAATATTCGTACTCTAAACCAGATGAGGACTGGACTAACGTAAACACCTCCTCGCTACTGGAAGTTATCGGCAAAGTAAAACCTACACTATTGATCGGCTGTTCCACCCAGGCAGGCGCTTTCAATAAGGCCATTGTCACAGAAATGCAGAAACACAACCCACGCCCCATTATTTTCCCATTGTCTAATCCAACCAGACTACATGAAGCTGTTCCAGAAGACTTATTGAAGTGGACCAATTTCCAAGCTCTGGTTGCTACGGGGTCTCCATTCCCACCCGTGAATGGCTACCGCATATCCGAAAACAATAACTGTTTCTCTTTCCCAGGTATCGGATTGGGTGCCGTATTATCTCGTGCCACATCGATCACAGACACAATGATTTCAGCAGCCGTAGATCAACTAGCAAGTCTTTCCCCAATGACGGAAACGGACTCCAAGCCAGGTTTGTTGCCTCCTTTAGAAGTGATCAACGATACTTCCGCTAAAGTGGCCACTGCTGTCATCTTACAATCTTTCAAAGAAGGAACTGCTCGTGTTGAAGACGAACATGTCCCCGGAAAAAACGAAAAGGTTGTGGTTCCTAGAGACTTTGATGAATGTCTGAAGTGGGTTACCAAACAAATGTGGAAACCTGAATACAGACCAATGGTCAAGGTACAACATGATCCAAAGGTTTTCACCCACCAGTACTAATACTTGAAAGTAAAACTAATCCATTTTATAGAATATTCACAAGTTAACAGAAACGATCCAATAAGTAAACTGCATCGCCAGTCGACTAGCATTTTCTGGCGGGCTATACAAGTAGCGCTTCCTAATAAAATCATAAATTTCCGCCAAAATTTCGTTAACACTTCAATGCAGAACAAGGCATGGTTCAGCGCGCTGGGTGGGCTGTTGAAACAGAATCGTATGATCATTATTCTATCAGAATTATTGTAATTACGCAATTATATTGTGCTCTCTTCGTCGAGCAGTGCCCTTCCAAAAAAGGGATAGTATGGAGCAGGCAAAGGCGTCTCACCACCACTTATCGTAACCAAACTTTTCGCCAGCTTTCACATGATAGTAAGCTTTATAGGCGTGGTCGTACGTGTTCTTGTAAACGTTGTTGCCCCACCAGCTCAGCTTACCTCCAGGGTATTGAACTGCGAGGAAAATAATGACCACTGCCAAAGCTACACCAGTCTCGACACCGGCACCCATGACAAAATTATATTTGCCGAACCATTTTGGCCATCTTTTCCTGATAGTGTTGAGTGCGAAAGACATCGCCCAGAAAAGTGTGTAGTTGTAAGGAGTGCTTGGAGGAATGTTGCCGGGGCCAGTGAAAAAGATCGGAGCGTGCACGTACTTCAAGAATTGGCTTCTCTTGAAAACCTTTTGTAAACCATACACGATAAGAGGCACCGCCAATCCAATCAAGAAAAACCACATCAATGGGTTGTAAATGCGACCTGGGGAAAACAGGTACTGGGGCAAGGCCCAGATGATGGAAGCATTGAAGACAGTACGACCGTTCGAACAGGTAAAACCGTCAGGTTGAGACGAGCTGCAAAGGTCCTTGATATTATGTCTCATCCATTCTTGGATACCAACGTTGACTAGTCCGGATATTAGAGAAGCATAAATCTGGATCGCGAAGATCAATCTTGGGGGCACTTTCATGTAAAGCGCCAGCTTCAAATCTCTGGACATGTCAAGACCGTGTCTTTGTACAATGAAACCATACAACTTGAAAAGAACGTTAGCCTTGGGCTTCAAGGGTAACATATAACCACAAATCAACTCGGTAATGATGTTCAAGCCAACGTGCTGATTGGTTACAGCTTCTAATAGTCCTTGAGGAACAAAGTTGACGAATGATATCAGAAGTGCCACCACGAAAGCCCAAGCGGGCAAACCAGAGTCGAATCCGCAAACTGTGGCAAAACCAAGTCCCAGCATGATAACTTGAAGAACTAGGTACCACCACTCGGGACAGTCTTTGTAGTTTTTAATGTAGGTTCTCATGTGAATGTCCAAGCCGCCATGATTTTTGTTTTTGAGCTTGCCCCACAAGTCCTTGCTGTGGTATAGGCCACAATGAACGAAAACGGCAGTGACTGCTGCGAAATTGAGAGCGTAGCTCAAAAGGTATGAAAATGGCACAAATAAGGGTGAATAGGCCTTATATTTCTCCAAGTTGATTGTGTAGTCTGGATTCAGAATCTTCTGTACATTGAATTTCTTCTGGGTATTATCAAAAGTTGAACTTGAAATCACAGGCATGAACTTTGCATACCAAGTGTTGGTGAAATACAGAATGGGTAGGATAATCACGAAAAATATCACTACCGAGACGCCAGTGTTGGCAGAGACCCAGTATGGAGTGGCGAACACAGAGCCAGCCATTGCTTGAGATATCTGTGTATAGTCGAAAGTGATTGGAAGAGCACCTAGTCCACTTTCTACTCCGAAAATAGTGTTAGCGATAAAGTTGTGTCTCGTCTTGGGACCCCAGAGAACAACGTTAAAGTACGAAAGACCCGTGAAGAGAAAACCTGGGACCCAGTACCACACAAAGCTTGCAATAAGCACAATGACGAAAAATTTGTATCTAGACACTCTCCATCCGTTGACAATAGCCTTGTCGATTGTTCTGTTGTGCAAAGAATCAAAAAGCGAGACGGAAATTAAGGTCTGAGGCCAGATACACGAAGCTGGGTTCACGATCCAGCGCCGACTAAGACCGGCAGCACCGTAACCCAGCATTTGAGTTGTCCACACAAGAAGAATTTGATATCCTGCGTTCAGATCCATATTGTAAAAATTTGTCTGGGCAATAAGGATATTCATTGCGTATGCAGTACTTGATGTTAAAGCGACGGCGATAGTGACCACGGCATGCTCCTTCTTGGTAAAGGGACCGGGATTCAAATTGAAGAACGGAGCGCGTGGACAGTCCCACTGAGGCAGCAACGCCAATATCTTACCAATCGGATAGCACACGACCTGTGCAACAAGGAAATTGATGGACAAAGTTGGGTACCGAAGCGAGAAAAATTGGTTTACGCCTGCGAAAACCACCACAAAGACGGTGGTGAGAAACCACGTTCTCCAATGGTTAAGAAAAATGGTAGGGTCGTCCTCTACGTCGACAGTGGCACGCACTTCCGGATAGGGAGAATTAGGCAACTGTTCGACATCGCCTTCCCACAGTTCTTCGTCATTTAATTTCTCAGCAGAAGATGATGCTGAGACCGAGCTGCCATGTACTTCTGGACCCTTCAAAGGGCTTAGTTGGCTCACTATGGCACGGCCCTGTTCAAGCTCTGGATTGTCGTTGTAGGTCACGTGCGAAAGTCCATCTCGCAAGTTTTCTGATAGAATGATGTCGCTGTCGTCGCTGGACTCACCACGTATGTGTTGTTGTTGAGTCCACAATTTAGACTTGCTACCTTTGTCGTTGGTAGTCCCATGCTGTAACGAAGCCTGTGGCTCAAACTCGACGTTCGAGTTGCTAGCCTTTCTCTTATGGATGGCCATCGCTCGAGAAAAATACTGAGATGCGAAAACAGTGTCGACAGAAAGGAAAAAAAATTTTTGGGTCTACCTTCTGGCGCTATGCCTGCCCACTGATTTCCGAAAGAACGACTCCTTTGATCTTGTCCTTTAAATGAGTTAAAATTCCGAGCTTATCGAAAACACCAGTTTATCTTTCTTGAAGTGCCAACTCGTTTCCCATTAATATGCGATTCCTTGACAATCTCAACATTAATTTCTGATGCCCCTTGCTTGCGTCCACATCGCTTGGAGACCATTTGTTTCTCCTCAAGACCAAAAGCCACATTCATTTAGGCTGGTCATCTGTGTCTTATCTTCGAGGCACTCGTAAAATTCACATTGGTGATGTCGTACCGCGATAGAAATCGGCACATAAAGGTTTCCACGGCAGACAGCGACGCCGTAAGAGAAGGTTGAGAAGACTTCGGTGGTGGTAGCAGAGAGAAAAAGAGCAGAGCAGAGCAGAGCAGAGCAGAGGAGGTTCTTGAAGAAAAAAGCTCGAGCCCTAAATGTGAAATTTTTTTTCTTTTTTTCTCTGTACATTGCCTGATTCTTCTTCGAAAACGGTCTGCTCTAAGCAGACGAGCTGAAGTGTGGGCGAACTTGGATGACTTCCGTTATGGCTGTGGCACTTATGTTGAAGCCTTATTGGAATCTTTTGGCTTCGGTGCCAGGTTCCATGCATTCGGTTCCTGCTCATCTTCCTTTCGTATAGATAGATTCTCCGCACGTGATCCCGGTGTTAAGGATTGGTTGATGTCTGGGTGTTCGTTGTTTCTTCGTTTGTTTTTTATTTCTGGTATCAGTTCGAATCTCGCGGGAGGCATTTTATTCTCAACTTTTTTTCCCTCGTCGCGTAGAGACAGATCACACACTCACTCACACACTCACTCACGACAGTGCTCTCTGAAATAGGTGGTGCCCACGAATATTCGTATTGGATGTAGAGACTACAGGACACCCGTCGTCTTCACACCCGTCGTCTTCACACCCGTCAACACTTTCTTATCATATAGCAAACGCATTCTCGCCGTTCTTCAGTGCCAGCACAGTTCGAACGTCTGTAGTAAAACGCAGCGCCTCCAGAAACGGCAGCAGGTTCAGAAGATCTGTGTCAGTTGGATCGCTGATCCATCCTTCGACCTGAATAGCGTTGTCCACGTGCATGGCGTAACTCACGGGGCTGTTGTCTATGATGCAAACATCGCTGAGCGGTGCGTGTGTTGAGGCCAGTAGCGACAGGTCTTTGATGTAGCCGATGCCGTCGCGTAGCGTGCAGTCCTGGCGGTAAAGACGTCGCGAAAAACGGCCTGCGAAGGACCCCTCCAGCCAGTCAATAACAGGGTCCGCGTATTCTCGCATGGACGCCGTGAATATGACCAAGTCGTACCAATCGCTAACCTTGGTAAGAAAAAAATCGCAGTAAGGCCTTTTATGCACGTAGTATAAGGTTGAGATCCCACTTACGGCAAACTTGACTTCCACCATATGGCCCTGCGAAGAATTACTAGAAGACGTCCCGCGCGACATCGAGTGTATCAGCGTTTCGTCGAGGTCCAGTACAAGCGTACGCCGTTTCTGTCGGTTTAACATGGACTGTGGAATCAGCTTTTTGGGAAATAAGAATCGACCCATACGCCGGGAACCCAGCGTGACACCAGTAGTGCCACTTGTCCCGGACCGTACGCTGCCCGCTTTTGCGGAGGATTTGTTGCTTTTCAGCTGCGGGACCGGTGGGGAAAGCAGTTGTTCCTGGTCCTGCTGTTGGGAAGACGCCAGAATTTGGTTTGGTGTGGATTTTTTGGCTGCCAAAGAACCCTTTACTGTGTCTGGCTGCAAGATCATTTCCTCACCACCCATGTCATCTTCCTCTTCTGCAATGGTATTGAAACTGGATCCTCCGGACAAATAGCCCGTTGAATGCCCCTCTGTTGTTGTATCTGCTTCCGATGGGAGCTCAGCTTTGCCCTTTTCCTTCCCGGATCGTTCGACAAAACTGAGCGGGAATGTCACGACAAACCAAAAAAAGAGCGCAGGTTTTATCAGCAAAAGGTTAGGTACAAATATCAATACGGACCACGCAACTTTTGCTAGCTTTCTGGTACGTGATGGGGATCTTCCATTGTGATCTGAGCCGTTTTTGGACGTTTCTTTTGCTCCAAACGGTTGGGTTTTCTCCCCGGAATGTAATTTCCCCGATTCTTCAGACTGTTCCACACCGTACGCACAGCTCTCTTCGGGTGCAGCTTGTTTCTCCTCGAACTTAGGCGGCAACACCCTATTTGTAAGGTAAGATACAGCATTCATATCTTTTATCGCACAGCGGAGCTACAAGCTTGCTTCGAAAAGTATCAATTGCAACTTGACAAACACTATGGTGTTATAACGAGCTCCAGGACAGCCTGTGACCTTCTCACTTGGAATACAAAGTTGTTGTAGCTTGTCAACTTTGGCTAGTTCATGATGGTAGTTGATTATGGCAATCTATAATAACTTTGTACGACATGGAAAGAACAAAAAATCAATATAAAGTTCAACAATTGAAATCAATAAACGTTGGGACGATGAGATGCCCATCTACTCGAGAAAAACAAACAGCTTTCGAGCCTTTAGAGGCACTGCTCAAGACTCTTGTCTCGAGGCTTTAGAGAGGCTACTTAGAGTTTAGTCATAGACACATACAAAATTTCTCTTTAGTACGAACGAACGCATAATTTTGACGAAGAATTATCGCTGTGATCATAACTACCGTTTGGATGATTAACTCAGCAGCAGAAAATAAAGTTGACCGCGTAGAGTGCTGGGCCAACTCCTTCTAGAATATTTAACACTTTTGGAGAACTGTAGCGTAAATCCAAATACGTACATACATTAGGGCCGTTCGACGTCGAACAATGGCGGATCAGACGACATTGGTTCGTTGTCACTGAGATGAGTTATTACCTGCATCGACAGAGAAAAAACGTCTCACTCAAACAGCGACGGAAGTAGCAACCAGGAAGACTAGTATATGTTCCAAACATACTGGATCAAAGGACTGTTCAAGAGCTCCAGCGCTACTGGTTTTCTCAAGTCGTGTTGATTGTAACGCATTCGAATTTTCTTGGACCAAGTTGGAGACCCATGAAACAACGCAAAAGGACCGTTCTGAGCTGCAAAAACTGGGTGCAGAGTAAAGCGGCATCAAGGCCCGTTGTAATGCATGATGCAGATCCAAAAACCGAATCTCATTCTTCTAAAATCTATAAAGTCTTAAGTCCGCCAAGATCGTTCTTTTCTTAAAACCGTGTCTGTATATGCAATGCAATGCCATGAACGAGAATAAGGCTTACAGCGGTGATCTGTAAAGCGAAAGTAAAGATGACCATAAGGACGCGTAAAAGAAGTTCCGTTCACTGGAAAATTCTGAACTGTTCGATTGAGAAACTGAAGCTACATGACGCACGGTAGGTCGCAGTTTTCCGGTATGTGGAATATTATTATGTCTGTCTTGTATTTTACATGCAAATCACACAGGCCCGAAATTGGTGTTGCGAGGATCAACACCATTGTGAACTCGAGTATGTAGTCAAGCCGTAGAGAAGTAAAGTTGGTATTCTGTGTACGAGAAATATGCATTGTAGACATAGCCCTCGTAAACTGTGCCTTCGTCTTGGTGTCGCGTACTGGAAAAGTTGAGCGTCAACTCAACTGAACTCTGTGTGATTATCCTTGGGACTCTTAGGAGCAAGTTCTGAGGCGTTTTCAATCTCAGATTTCTTTGTGTGTAGCTTGTAGTGGCGCACCATGTTGCTCTTCACGTTGAAGCTTTTCGCGCAATTTGGATAAGGACAGCGGTACGGTCTGTGTCCTGAATGCACTAACGAGTGAGCTTGCACCGCAGTGAAGCTAGAAAAAAATTTGTGACAAAGCGGACACTGCCTCTTTGAGATGCGATTGGCATCTATGCTAAGTTTCGTTTCCGACGGCTGGGGAGCTGAATTATGGCGGCGCCAAATGGAAGCTTCAGATGATGCAGACTGCTGTAAGATGGAACTGGTCTCTGCCGTATTTGAAAAATCGCCTTCTGAATGCCATACAGAGCCTAAACTTGGTGCTGGATCTGACTCAGCGAATGGCGGAAACTGACTAGATGGCGAATTTCTGAGCATACGCTTTTGATCTTCCACATGATGGTGTGAATGCATTTGCTGGTCATTTCGAGAAGCTGCTTGGTAATAGTTGTCGACCACGTCATATTGGGACTGTACGTTTGTAATTTGAGGCGTCTGTTTAGAGGCAGATGGTTGAGTTTCTGAGTTCAATTGGCGAGATTGCAAATTGGCGACATTATAGCTGTTTGTATGCGTTTGCTGAGGATCAACAACAGAATGTAGTATTTCGTTTTGTGCCAATGATGGGTGTGCTTGCCACTGTGTAGTAGTATTTGTAGACAGCGCAAGTGGATGCTCCGGGACGTAACGAGCCAAAGACAAAGCTGACGGCACGCTAACGTCTTGGAGATAATGCGTATATGGGAAACGATCTTGCACGGTCTGCATGGTGAGAGAAGAACGCGAATGCGAGTTAGATCGAGCATTGTCATGACCTCGGGATCGAGATCGGGACCGGGAGATCCTTTTGGTCTGTGGAGCACTCGTGGAGCTCGGTCTGCTACCGATGGCGCTAGACGACAACGATGACGACGCTGACGACGACGCTGACGACGGCAGTGATGTGGGTTGCAGCGTGGTGTGACGGGCGTTCAAACCTGTCGAGACGCATACTTTTTGTCCAATTTCACTAATGGCTTCCGGATGCTCGGGTTCGACTCCCGGAGGGGGCGGGATAGACGCAGGAGAATCTGACCACTCCGTGTCACTGTTTTGCTGATTATTCATTAACGCTTGAAGCACCAGAGATTCACTTCCAGCACTGACTGCGGTTTACAGGCCTCGATCACCACACACTGGTGGGTAATAAGGCCCGAGGGTTCACAGCGAGAAGCCTAGTTCAAAGAAAGTGAACAAAAAGGCGGACGTGTCCCGATGTGATGGAGTAAAACACGCGCTGTAGTTGAGCGAACGACTCCCCTCAAAATGGACCAAAGCACAGCTGTCGCTGGTGACAACTGCGGTTTTTCGAGAATTCAAACGGGTTAAGCCGAAATGATCTGCGAAAAGGGCCCAAAAAGCCACTACTTCAATTGTTCGCGATCCCGTCTACTTTTTGATTCCTTCACCGGCCACAACTGTCTTATTGTTATGATTTTTCTTTAGAAACCCGGGGATAAGCGATTTGACTTTTTTTTCTACCAATTTCAGGTCTTGTTGATCCCACAATGCAAGCTTAGCTGGGTTTATCTATTGCGCAGACAGAAAATGTCTCAATGCGATTCCCGGAACTGGCCTATTTTTTCCCTCTTCCTCTCTCTCTGTCTCTCACTCTCACACACGCTCTCTGTTGCTATCTATCTATCTATCTCTCTCTCTCTCTCTCTCTCTCCTTCGTCTGCTTTTGCTGTGCTTTGTTCTTATGTAACGGCTAGCCAGCAGAATATGGTGAATACAACGAACTGTAATAGACGTTAGTGTTTTTGCCGTAAGAAAGAGAGACAAATCTCAACGTGCAAAAAAAATGGCGCACACACACACACACACAAACTAAACAAAGCGTTTCCGGCTACCCTTCGAGACCCTTTGAGACCCTGCTGCCGTTGCTGCTGGGATCGAGAATTCCTTGGCCTTTGCTGATCCTTTTTTTCGCGCTGTCACCTCTACGGCCAGTAACTGTGTAATTCGGCTCTTATAATATATTATTATAGTGCAGCTGGAATGAAAAAATATCTAGGTTGAGGAAACAGATAGAATATCACGGCCATCGGCTTAAGACCCCACGCAAAACACTAACAGAACTGAGGTTAAGTGTCTTTAGTGAAATTGCATAGCTTTGTGGGAGCTCCAAGCAGACAGGTAAAAATATACCTATCTATCCAATCGCAAATGCACAACACAAGTTTGGCATCGCTAATGAGCTTATAGCGGGGAGTATGGTGGGATGCTTACCATGAACGAGTGTCCGGCCACAGCTGAGGCGGGGTTCCTTTTTTTCATGATCCGTTCGCTTACACTTTTGTATGTTTAAAACCGCATCTATGTAGGCACATATGCACTTGTATGCACTTATATGCATTTATGTACCTATATGCAGTAATATGCAGTAATATGCAGTAATATGCTTATTGAGTCTTAATGATGTGGCGTTTGAGCCATGCGTTGAGAGAAGGGACGGTGTAGGCCAAGAAAACAACACAATGCCGTTTCCCCCATGCAATCGATCGTAACTTTGATGTTCAAAAACAGTACAGCAGGATTGAAGAAAAGCTACATGTGCTGAGGTTGTTGTTTTTTTCTATTTGAGTTCTAAACAACAGCGTGTCAAATGCCGTGATATTATGGCAGTTGCTTGAGAAACTCTGGTGATGTCAACTGCCAGTGGCACTACCAAGAGAGTGTTGAGGTAAGCGTGGCTGTGAGTGTGCGGGCTTTCACGCTCGGTCTGAGTTTTACGACCCGCATCAACAGGCCTTAAAGCAAGATTGTGCCTGCACGATTTACGGGGCTGGTAGTGGGGAGCTTTTATCTCTTGGTTTTCCGTCCAAAGGGTTTGCTAATCCAATAATGCTACGCGGAGCTGTTATTTGTGGTGCGCGTTTTTTCCACGGCATTGCTTGGGTAAGATTGAAGCTACACATGAGAAACGATTGAACGAAGAGAAGCAAGGGGGGGGAGGGACAGCAGACCGCGACCCTGAGGCCTCCAAGAAAAAGAGGTAAAAAAAATAAACAATAAGCTTGGCAGGGACGCAACGCTCTTAATTTTGACGTTTTTTTTCTTCGAAAAAAAAAGAGAAAGTTTGAACGTGGAGTAAGAATTTCAAACTGTCCTAAGACCTGGAGGTTTAGACAGTGGTGGATGTACCAGCTGTAATTTCTGCTTCTTCTATGAACTTTACTCGTCTTTGCTCTTCTATATGTGGATGTTTCCTTTCATGAGAACACACGACGTAGTAGTGACGGAAGGACGCATTCGTTCATAGTGATTGACTGAGTGGTTTTTTGACGTAAACTTGTATGTTGCTTTCAGTTTTCCGTGTTTACGAGAGGCGACAGGCGTGTGTGGAACTCACTGATAGATGCAGCATTACATCTACGTCTACTAGAACTACTAGATCTTATCATAAGGTTTATCCTTTATTTTTGGAATTCCAAGCTGGGCAAAAAGACACCATTTCGAAAATTGCGGAGGTAGAAATGCACCGCGTTAAACAGTGTGTAGTGTACGTTTCGGTAGTTTTGCGGTGTAATCGCACACAGGTGTGTGCAAATTGTAGGTTTACAAACAAATATGCAGCTGCGAGTTTCTGTGAGCACGTGATGAGGAACTACGTAACGAAAGAATATCATTTAATGATTATTATGATCTGGCTGTCATTCAGCAAGGACGAGTAAACATAGAGTAGGAAAGACGACTGGGTATCTTCTAGATCGGAAATAACAAAACAAATAAGCAAATTGCACAAGTAGAAGGAAATTTTCTTGAAAGAAAAATGGTGGCCTCTTGAAATGGGACCTCCCAGATTTGGTGCATGACACAATCGAGTGAAGTTTTAGAAAACGCTGTTTAAGTTAGATTCATATCACTATCCACGGTAAACATTCACTCACCATATACGGTGCAAGACTCATACCCCGGAAGAAGACCGTGATTCGGATTGCAGGTGCCGTTGATGCTATTGTCGTGGTATTTGCGTTCAATCACTGGTATCTGGAGTTCCAGAAGCGGCTCGTATCTGATGCTGTTGTCTTGAACACACGTGACATTAAAAAAATCTTCGGGATTCACTCATTAATGAAAGTAGTGGTATTTTTTTTTCGGAACTTCACGCCTGAGCAGATTCAGATGCCATCCGGCGGGAAGTAGGGTTTTCTTGAGCTGAGTAACGAAAAGTACGTGATTCAATTGCTTATAGTGCAATCAAAAATTGAAAGAGATCACGTGATAACTTATGTCATCACACATATACTACATATAAAAGTCATTTCGTGTTATAAGGCTAACAGATCTTCCTAAAGCTACAACAACTATAGTGCTTTATTCAAGCTTAAAGATCAACAACTTGACCACAATGCACTTCACTTGGGGCGCGTGCTTTGAAAATCCTAAAGTTTCTACTAGTGGCTAAACTAGCTTCCTAAAAAAACCCATCCCCGTTAGTAACCATATATTTTTCGCGGGCTTTTCAACTGTTTTTTTCGTGTTCGTTCCAGTCAAGACTTTTCCATTAGAACAAACCATCATAGTTTGTTGCAGCGCTGGTTTGTCCCTGCACCAACAAAGTTACACCCGGAAGAGAGAACTGAGGGTGCTTCAGGGTACTGTAAAACGCTACTCAATTCGTTTTTGTTATTTTCGAACTTTGGCGCGCCCGTAGTTTTTTAACACCTTTTTCAAGATCTCTCTACTTTCCTCACCCGCCCTCATGTCGTCGTCATCTGAAGATCTACCTGCCGAATGGCTTCTGCCGCACGTGATCTCGGCTTTCCCCGAGACACACGTGATAAACACACCGCAGGGCGAGAACGTGACCTTGCAGCGGGAAGTCTATGTCACGGGCCACGAGCAAGACGACCTTCCACCCAAAATGTTAGCGCAATTACTGGCTTTAGTAGACGCCAATTTGGGCCAAATGTATGGGGAGTTCGCAGGCGAAATCTACACGGGACTTTCGCGACGCAAAAGACCGCCCTGGCCCGCCGCTCAGTGGCATCCGCGCAAGATGCAAGAAATGCGCATACCGGAGCTCGTGTATGTGGTGTACCACGACGCTACTGCCACTGCTAGTGCAGACACCGAAACACAGCCGCTGGCGTTTGTGTCGCTCTTACTGACACACGAGCCAGAAATGGGACCCCACGCAAATGTGGTCTACTTGTACGAAGTGCACGTCGCGCACGTGATCCAGCGCTGCGGCGTGGGCACGTGGCTTTTGCGTGACTGCGCGGGCGCGCTGGTCCGCGCCCTGGGTGTGTGGGTGGACGGGTTTTGCGGGCTGGAGCTGACCGTATTCCGTGCCAACACTCACGCGCTCCGTTTATACCAGGACCGCCTTGGCATGCAGACGGCGCCGTGGTTCGTTTCATGCGAGACGGAACGGGACGAGCCGGATAAATCGGACAAACCTGTGGCTGCGCGTCTGCGTCGTCCACGGCAACGCGACACTCGTCCGGCGTATTGCGTGCTGTTCTGGGATGCTCGTCATTAATGGGAAAAACCACAGCACCGGCAGCGTTGCTGCCGGTGCTTCTAAGCCTTTGCATGCGCTTCCAAGCACAACCGGAAGTCCTTTCTTTCACCCGTTCTTCCCCGCCATCTCTTTCTTTCTTTCTTTCGCTCTCTCTCTATTTTCTTCTGTGCAAACTAAAAGACCCGGTGCCGTCAACTTTTCAGCACCCCAGCAGCATACGGCGTCACTATACCTTGTCAGTAAAGTAAGGCTTGGTTCGAAGGTGCTGGGCATATATGAACACAGGGCCACAGCGAGGGCTTCTGGCCAAAAACATAAGACTAGAGTAGAGACGCGAAGGTTACCAGGGTTATTATAACAACACCTAGTTCGAAAAGACAAAGCTATCTGCTCGTTTTCGAACACTCGAATATACCACCATTGTGTGTGGGATATAGAGAGAGAGAGAGAGAGAGAGAGAGAGAGACAGAGACTAGGTGCGTGTAAGTGTGAGAGAGTGTGTGTGAAAGAGTGTGTGTTGGAGAGAGTGTGTTAAAGAGAGTGTGTGTTCTTCTTCTCGTGCTGTGTTAGTTTAAGATTATATTTTTCTTGAGCCCAGTAGCTAAAGTCCGGAAGCGTCGAGAGAGAAAGAGAGAGAGAGAGAGCTAAAGCTAAAGCTAAAGCTAAAGGGAGAGAGGTTCACAATAGATATCGCTACAGCTAGAGAATTCCCATTCAAGAAAAAAACTCTTGATAGTGACAGACAATCACGGGATATCACGGAACAACAAAGGTGTGGTTTGCAACTAACTTTCTCCACCCACCGTTGTCCTAAGTTGAAGACCTTTAAGCAGGTGGAGGTGCTTATAAACCGTTAAGAGCCTCGAAGGTTCCCACGGACAAAAGTCAGTTTTCTCAAATTGTCTTTAGGTTTCCACGGGAGAGTGAATACCAGCAAGGCTTTCTAAAGCTACTTGGCTACAACTGCTAATCCAAAGCCAAACCCAAAGCCAAACCCAAATCCACCACCCTCCTTAGTTGCTACCCAAACAACTTTCTTGTTTTCCGTTTTTTTTCCGGGTGATTGATAGCGAACTCGGCCATTTGCGTAAGGTAAGCAAGTATTACTACTACCTTACACACAAAGTAGCGATCGATCCGGTTGGAAGTTTTGGGAGTTTTGTTTTGTTGTGTCAGAACCGAGTATAACTACGGACGACGCCGCGGATCTAGCTGCCCGAAGGGGAAAAAAAAAAAAAGATAAAAATTCGAAAAAACAAAAAGTATTTTGGATCGACCACGTGACCACGAGTACGTCACGCTGATTTCACGTGCTGAGTCCTTTTTTTCTTCTTCTTCTTCTTCTTCTTCTCCCTTTCCTCCGAGATTCTAAACAAAGGGAAAACAAAGACAAAAAGAAAAGGCATAGCTCTCTAATTCGCCAGCTTCAAAAAAGGCACGTCATCGTCATCGTCATCGTCATCATTGAGAAAATGAGCATGAGCAGTTTTGAAAAATCGCCCACGCCGTCGCAGACGACAGAACCGCAAACGCATCCAAATCTGCCCAACCATCTAATTCACAACCACCACCACAACAACAACAACAATCTGGTTGGCTCCTCCTCGAGAAACCCAAGCATCAGTAATTTCATCACCACCACAGTGCTGCCGCACCCGTTGGATCCTAGTGGCAGCGAAAATCATAATTTGCAGAATGTCGCGAGATACGAACCGTTCTACAATCAGCATTTCAACTCCACGGCACAATACCAGCAGCAACCGCAGCAGCAGCAGCAGCAGCAGCCACCGGGCTATTATCATCAGGCTCCACCACCACCACAACAACAAAAAGGTTGGATTCCAATTGATCCTGTTCCACCAACCTCACCACAATCAATACATCACGTGACCAGTCTCCCCCAAAGACATGCGTCGTTGTCCCAGCAACTACCGCCTAGTTTCCCACTCCCGTACATAGCGAGATCGGGCACAGACGCTGCAACGACGCACGTGATGCGGGCGTTGGACGGGCGTAACGGCAGCTTCAGCAGCAGCGGCGACAGTAATGGCAATACCACTAATTATACCAATGGCATCAGATCCCATAGCCAGACAGGACCTTCAACGGCTATGCCAGGACTAGCACCACCGTTGTCACAATCGCAATTGGTATTCCCGCCGGCATTCCCACACCCTTCAGTGCAGACAGCCAATGAACCTCCAGGATGGCCATCGGAAATGCCGTCTGCTGCGTGCGGCCCGGAATCCGCTTCCAAAGGGACCACAGGTAGACAGTACATGGTGGCACATCCGTTCACAGCCACACCGGTGTGCTCCACTACTTCTCGTAATGGCAGCATTGTAGCCGGACCGCAGATATCACCACGCGAGGTGTATCCACCCCATTCGCTGCCTTCCCTACAGCATCAAAATCAGCATCAGCATTCACATCCACATTCACATCCACATCCACATCTATTCCCACCTCTGGCACAACAAACACACCGTTTCCGTAGTTGGAGTGGAGCTGGCGATGGAGCCGTTCCAAACGACAACAACGAGAATCCAGCCTGGATGACTGACAAAGAGTTCGCTACAACAACGTTCCGTTGCAACTTATGCGTAAAGTCATTTAGGCGTCGTTCGTGGCTCAAAAGGCATTTATTGTCGCACTCGAGTTTCAAGCCACATGGCTGCCCATGGTGTCAGAGCCGTCACAAGCGACGCGACAACCTTTTCCAGCATATGAAGACGAAGCACCCGCGAGAAGTACTTCAAGAACTATACAAAACGGGCAATTGCGTCAATATGTCAGATATCGAGCAGTTCATGTCTTCGGGTCCTCTTTTTGAGGATGGTGCAACCGGCATAACTGGACCCAGCATCCGGACTTTGGTCGAACAAGGCCGCGTCCGTAAAGATCGAGTTAAAATTGTACTTAATGAGCTGGCAACGAGGTTCAACGGAGAAGACACAGACGAATAGTGATTGGCGGGGATTCTATAAGCAGAAAACCAAAACCAAAAAGAATATAATGACGGGCAAAAAAAAATTGTGCTATGTTTTTATTATAATGGGCAATTATACATGCACTAGACTACTAATTTCAAACGTAAATGTAATCATTCGAACACTAGGCGCATGGCTCCACGCACATTGAAAAGGACCAATTCATCCCATTTATAAGTCTCAATTCTGCAATCGGTCCTGTTTCGACGGACCTGGATCTGATGCTGACTTCAGAAAACAAGCTTTACAGAATCGCAATCCTGTCTCTTCGGAGAATATAATCGCTTGCTGCTTAGATTGTAGATATTTGAGAGCGCACGCACACACACATACAGACAGGAGGTTTGCAACTCGACTACAGCATTTCACGCACAACCGCTTCGTGGGGGAAATCGTCGTCTGCCGGGTTCTTGATCACACTGGTGCTTTGGAACTGTTGGTGCTTGAAATAGGCCACTGTGTAGCTGAGTGCCGAAATTGTAAGGCCCGCTGCGATGACCACCAAACTGGTGACCATCACGGCCATCGAGCAGTATTGAACGGCGGCCATTGCCAAGTAAAAGAGCGCCCTTTTGCCGTTTGTGGCGAACCTCTTGATGAACTCGATGAAATTGTCACTCAGCGGACAGATTTTCAACAAAAACGGAATCTCGATAAATAGAATGACCAGTCCTTGTATTATCGCGATTATACCAAAAATGATCACCGCACTTACGTGGAACAGGTTGGCAATTCCCAGTGCGAGACACAATATGATATTGATGTACCCGAACCATTGGCCGTAAACGCTACTGAATGTTAGTATTAATTTCTCTCTCAAAGAATCTGGCTCTAGAGTGATTTCTGATCATCTAAAACCCTCTATCTATCTTTTGATGATTACTCCCCGGAAAAGGCCAGTTCAGAATAAATACAGCTGTTAAGACCATCATACCTGAAATTGAAGCTCTTCAAGTCGCGTACAATGCCCGCGACATTGATAAACTGTTTGATACCCAATGCCATCACTGTAAGCTTGAACAGATAACCTGTGAATGTCTTTCTTGGTAGCGTGAAGATGCCACTAGTTGTTGTTTTTGAAGGTAGGTTGAGATTCCCATTCTTTATACACACCTTTAAATTTGAGATTGGGTATCCTCATCGTTTATTCCATTTCGTCCAAAGGTACCAAATTTCAAGGTTTATCAAAATATCAATTTGAGAAAGCTGGGTATATAAAGCGATGAGATGAGAACAAGAAAAGGTGTCAAAAGAGGTCACTGTTCGAGAAATCGATTGACCTTGTTGAAACTGGAGGATTGGACAACTATATGGCCTGTATAAAGTGGCTAGGAAATGAATCTGACAGATGAGGGCTCTCAGATTGGGTCTTCTTCATCGTCGCACATGGAAGACGAAGAAAGCGAAGATGAATTGATAATGAATGATCTTGATGCCAGCTTGGCAAAATTGGGACGTGGGTTCCCCAACTTCAATCTTGGAGCGATCTGGAGCGGTAATGCGGCCAGTAGTGCTGGGGATTATGGCCATTGGAGCCGAAAATTCCAGATGCACGCGTTTTTAAACGATCTGCATAAGGGACTCAGTTTTTCAAACGCTGTGACCAGACTTCAAGCGGTCAAAGTACTCACGGAAGAGGCTTTCAATAACGCCATGGGAAGCAAGGACGACAGTGCTGGACGGGAGGAGGCTCAGGACCAAAAAATAGTCGAGCCAGAGGGCCTAGTGCCGGCCGCAAAACCCAAAAAGGCTCCGCCCTACAACGACATGGTTATTCCGCAGGACAAAGACCCGCAAATGCTGGAAGAAGAGCTGCTGCAGCTCACCAAGCTACCCTCGGGACAGGTTCACGACGAGGAGCTGCTGCGGCGCCGCATTCAGCATATCCAGAGTCTCAAGCTTGAACCAGCCAAAACAGCTCTCATGATGCAGCGACTTATGATGGGAAAGTACGTGGAAGACTCCAATCGGCAAAGCACACCGGAGGTAGCATCTCAGGCTCCTGTACATTCGCACGATCCTTTAGAGAAGGAGCAGGAGGCCACATACCATGAAAGCGGCAATTATGGATGTCCGCACTATATGCGAAACTGCAAGCTGCAATGCCACAAATGCAGGGGCTGGTACACCTGCAGGTTCTGCCATGATGAGTCGCCCATAGTGAGGAATTCTCAAAAGCCGCATTCGATGGAGCGGTCCAAAACAGAGCGCATCATGTGCATGAGGTGCCAGCACGTTCAAGACCCGCAAAAATATTGTCAAAACTGCGACGAAGAGATGGCCATGTATTTCTGTGAGGAGTGCAAGCTATTCGATAACGATGAGACTAAAGACATCTACCACTGCGATAAATGCGGTATTTGTAGACTGGGATTGGGTCTTGGAATCGATTTCTTTCACTGCGATGGGTGCCAAGCTTGTCTGTCGATAGAGCTCCAGGGAAATCATAAGTGCATCGAGCGGGCCACGATGTCCAGCTGCCCGATATGTGGCGATTTTATGTTCACATCCACAAAGCCTGTCGTTTACATGTCTCCTTGCGGGCATGCCATTCACCAGCATTGTTTTGACGAGTACACGAACCATTCATACAAGTGCCCTACTTGCCAAGTCTCAATATTGAACATGGAGGCGCAATTTCGCGTTTTGGACAAGGAAATCGAGGAGCAACCTTTACCGTCGCCTTATTGTGACTGGATATGCTACGTATCTTGCAACGACTGCAAGGCTAAAAGTACTTGCAAATACCATATTCTTGGGTTGCGCTGTGACAACTGCATGAGCTATAATACCACGCAGATCAAGTTGGTGAAACCTGAAGAAGAAGAGCAACATCTCGAGAAAGAGGGTCAAGAACATGGGCATGACAACGAAATCGACGATCTGGCCAATGACAGAGCGCTGAGAAACCTCAGTACCATGCGCCAGGAGCTTTTGAGCGGCCATTTTCAACGAGAAGAGGTATCGCCTTTGATTTCGGTAGACAACAACGGCGTTCTTTCGAATGTCGAAGAGTATATGAAAGAGCGCTTTCAAGATTTACCTGAAGAATCTACCCAAAGCGGCCGTCGAGGCTCAGGCCAATACGGGTCGCAAAACGTGTTCAATGCTGCGGGGTTGTTTAAATCCAGCGCTGCACTCGGAGACTTAATCTCAGAGCATAATCACAAGAACAAACCGTTGGGTGAGGCAGACACAGTGGAAAGTAAGGAAATGTTACGGGCACCTTCGTTGACAGAGCGTTTGAGACAATTTCTCAATGATGCGCCTCCGCAGCTGTCAATATCAGATGCATTTCAAAAATTCATACAAACTAGTCATCAAGGTCTTTCTTCGGGAGACGAAGATGACGATTCTCCAATAAGGACCGAAAACGTATAGAGGTGAAGCCAGTGTTGCAATTATGAAGCGTCTTGGTTTTTTTTACGGCAGTTGAAGAAGTTTAAGAAGTTCACATCGATGACACACACATACTCGATTGAATGATAGAGTTTACTTAAAAAGCAGACCGGATAGGACATGCGCAAGACCTGGTCTACAGAACTAACGTATAACGAATGAAAAAGGTTCACGATTGGCAATAGCTTCTTTGCTTCCTTTCTCTCGTTATTTATACATATCTGTCCATTTTAGCATGGCGTCTGAAATTTAAGAATTTTCATGGTTACGTTTATAATTTCCTCTCTTACCAACCACTTTTATAACAACAAAGTAACGAGGGAGACACAAACAGCCTCAATACAACAGAAAAGAGAGCTTTTACGACCCTGAAAATAGCCTCAGGTACTATAAAGGTATGTATATATAGTGTAGCTGTCTTTTGACGCCTTTTTTTTGGCGAAGGAATGGAGGAGCACTCGGCGGCTAAAATTTTCGTGTCAGGAAATCGGTTCAAGCGCTGAAAAGGGTCATTGAAACGCTACCGTAAAGTACTAAGAGAGTATTGAAAAATGATACAGGCTTGAAACGAGGAGATTTTGATCGAATCTGTGCTGAGTTTGTCTTGGGCATACTTCAATTCTCTCGATCATATGCCCCAAATCTACTACAATGACTATCAAAACGCCCTTTTTTCATCCCGTTCTCTCGTGAAGTTCGCCACAAAACAATTATTAGCTTTCTTCGGACTCACTATCGACGAAAACAGAAGAATCAGTCACCAGATACGTACAGTCACGGGGATGCCACTCACCACGTGACCATTTTTATTCCGTGCATTTTTTTGGAGATCGTATCAAGGAACAATGCGGCGACAGCGGCGGTAATCGCAGGACAAAGGAACAGGCTACAATTTACCAGGCACCACAACCTATACGATCAAAATCCTCAAACATACTCGTGCCACAAGAAGAAAGAAATCAAGAACTTAGGCAATTACCTCTCGCTTTCCATCCAGCGCTAAGCGAAGAGATAAAAAAAAAAACAAGTCGCTGGTCAATTGCCCCGAACGGTGCCACCAAGACGTCTGAGCGTCTGTCCACGTCGTTGTCCATTTCCTTGTCTCAACGTTGTCTGTGCCCCTGATTCGACCCACTTTTTGTCATTGGCTACCACCAGACTCGCCGAAAGTTGCATGCACAGCCCAATCAAATCCACACAGTAGATCCGTCGGCAGCAGTGTGTCGTATCAGATATCGAGAATCCGCCTTCTACTAGTGCACACCCCTTCTCTCGCCTATCCTATTCTTTTAATGGAAAACCACGCGCGGATGGTGTCTCGGCGTCATTGTCTATCTCAGAACCCTACGCAACCAAACAAGCAGACAGCTAACGTTTGGAGACAGTGCGACTCTAAAAAAAAATTCGGTCTGGCTCCTCCTAGGACCAAATAGCGTGAGGCAGGAGTTGCCCGCTTCAAGCAGGCAGCACACAGCCAATAGCATGCAAGAATTAAGCAGGAGGCGAGAAAAAATTACAGGAAACAGAAAGAAGAAAAAAAATTTTTGCTAAACATCTTCACATCAACAACTAAGCTCCTGCTCTACGATACGTCCATTTCTGGTGGCTTCTACAACAAGAGTTCACAGTGTTGACAATAGCCTCTTCGACTTAGCCTCTCGCGATTCAGAAAAGTGTGCAGAATTATTCCCTGCCAGTGATTTATCCTTAAACATCCCGGAATTAGGCGTGAGTTCATTTTACGCACGCACACCTTACCGTACGTTCACCTCCGTTCTGTCCCTCCCCTCCGGTAAACAAACCAGCACGACAGCTCATACAGCCTCGTCGAGCCATCCTTGAAAGGCACAAATTGTCGTAGACGGAGTCCCATAGCTGCCGCGCGCGCCTCTACTTCTGAAAAACCTCAGAGTTTACTGCTCACAGAACTTAGTTTGCAGCACAACGTCCCGCAACCTCAGTCCTAAACCCTTTTCACGCAAGCGAAGCTTTCTGCCAGTCTCGTTCGTTTACTTACACGGCAACCTCTTTGCTCCGCACCGAAAGCACCATAGCGTGGTGATATCCAAGCGATAATGAACATCCCTAATATTAGCACCGGAATTTCGCCTCCTTCCTCGAAAGGTATTTCGAATGTCGGAACCATTTCCAATACTAACCATGGCTTGCAGGATCAACTGTTACCTTACCCAGAGCTAGATTCTGCTTCAGCTCACCAAACTCATTCTTTGCAGTCGCATCTTTCCACACCGCAACCAGACGATAGGGTAAAGCTTCAAGGCTTAGGAAATCAGCTGTCACATCTACCATTGCAGCATTCTCTCCATCAACAACACCAGGACGTCTCGATACCTTCTGATCTATACGCCCAAGTTTTACAGCCCCAACTGCATAGCGGCCAACATTACACACAGCACCAACTGCAGCAGCACAATCAGTATCAGCAGCTTTCCCAGGCTCAACAACAGCAGCTCCAACAACAACAACAACAACAACAACAACAGCAACAACAACAACAACCGCAACAACAGCAAACACAACCACAACCGCAGACGCAATCACAGCTTCAGCAACTCGACCATCAACAACAACAGCAGTTGCAACAACAACAACAACAACAACATCAACAGCAGCTACAACAGTTTCAGCTGCAACAACAACAACAACAACAACAGCAGCAGCAACAATCTCAACAGGAATATCACCTCCATCCCCAGCAACACCAATCTCAACAGCAGTCCCATTCTCAGCAACACCCTCAGCACCAACAACAGTATTCAGACGTGATGTTCAACTCATTCTTGACGCAAATAGGGCAGAGGTCGATGAACAATGTACTAAACACGTTTCAGCCAGCCGCGCACGCCATACCGGCCGCCATGGGCACTGCCATCAATCAACCTGCGCAAAGGTACTTTCATGCTGCGATGAACACGCCCTCCATGTTGGACATGAGCCACCCTACCATGGTCCAGCCCACGCCTCATTTCCAGCTTCAGGTTCCACCTCCTGTTGCCAAAAAGATGTCTGCGAGTCAAAGCAGAATTGAAAAGAGGAAGCAGTTAAAGAAGCAAGGTCCTAAAAGGCCCTCTTCTGCCTATTTCTTGTTTTCCATGGCCGCTAGAGAGGACCTTGTGAGACAGTATCCGGACGCAAAAGTACCAGAGCTCTCCAAGCTGGCTTCTGCTAAATGGAAAGAGATGACAGACGAGGAGAAGAGACCATATCATGACAAGTTCAAGGTCAACTGGGAAAAGTATAGAGTTGCGAGAAAGGAGTACGAGTCAAATCTACCCCCCAAGCGTCCATCTGGTCCCTTCATTCAGTTTACACAAGAAGTTCGTCCTAAGATCATAAGCGAGAACCCAGACAAGGATTTGATCGAAATCACCAAATTGATTGGTGAGAAATGGCGTTCGTTGTCTCAGACGGACAAACAGGCGTACACGGAAACTTACAAAAGAAAACTCAAGGAATGGGAAGAGCAATACCCTGAAGAGTCCACCGTCGTGGATCCTCCTAAAATTGAGTCTTAAATCAGAATCGAGCTTGAAGCGAGATAATCGAAAAGTTCTGGTTGTTCACTTTGATTCTTCGCTGGAAAGAAACAAGTCTCAATTACCATAAATATCAAATACCCTTGCAAAGCTTGTAATCGAATGTAAAATTATATCCCATAACGTTAGCTTTTGGTGGATAGTAAGTGGCACTTTAATCTTCAAAGGAAGCCAATTTTTTATCACATTGCATGCAAAAATGCTCCGAGAGAGTTCCTGTTTACTTTCAGCTTAGATTCGCCTACGGGATAAAAGTCCCCACGTAGCTAGTCTCAAGGAGCCTTTCGTAGTTCACCCATCTATGGTATTTCTCAAACATTGCTGTACCGTTCCTACCGGCTGCAGACTTTAAAAGGATCTCGGCTCCACCAGGGTGGAAATCTAGATATGAAGCGATGCAGTATACTTTGTTCCCAATGACACACCAGCAATCATCAGCCGATTTGTGCTGCTTCAAGTGTGCCATGGTGATCTTCAGCGGTGGGTATATTTTGAAAGCTGGTACACCGTGTTGCAAAGCCTTCAATGCTTGAGGATTGTTGATCTTGTGAATTTCTGGATCTGCAAGCAGTTTCTCGATTCCTGTTACCAATTTTCCAGTTTTTCCCTTGGTGTTAGAAAGCACTGACCAATCCATAGCGCTATGGCCAGGCTTCAAAGCTACTTTGTTTCTATATCCACCGCCTCGAAGCGTGCTACAACCAGCTTGAGCTGGCGTACTCATCATATTTGTGCTTGGAGGCTTCAGAAACCTTGATAATAATGAATCATCTTTTGAAGATCTCGAGTTATCTGGAAGTTGTCTTTCAGATGCCATCGTCTTACTAGATTCAGGTTTGCAGGTGCTCTTGATGCTGTTGATGCCACTGATTCTTCTTTAGCTTCGCGAATTTTGAATTTTGCTTGGTAAACGGTATTGTTGGTGAACCTAACTCATCGCTTAAATCTGATTCATCAACAACAACAAGAACAACGTGAAAGATTTTTGAAAGTTGATCGATTTCAAACCATTCAAATCGTTAGACTTGTCTTGACGAAAAATTCGCTTCAAAACAACCAAGATTTGTGTATGCGATGTGTTTTAACAACTAACTATGATTCCGACCAGGCAAGCAAGACCTTCGAAATGATGGTTATTGACTAGAATATAGTTATAAGTATAAGATAGATACGTACATGAAAGAGCTATTGACAAGCTCGATAGAACTCAACTGGAGTACTGCCTTGTTCAAATGCTACTCTTCCCGGTTGAACAGCAAGAAGTCGTTTTAGAAGAAGGCAAGCCGGCTGCTTTCTGAGCATCGTCGTAATAGACAGACTTATTGAACTTGTTGTTGGCCAATGGAACGTCCAAAGCAGGGTTCCTTGTGAAGAAGGACGCAGGTGTGACAAGGAATTGCAGGAAATCGGAAGTCATGACAGGGAATTGCTCGGTGACAGGAGGGTGGGTCAACGCCAAAGTAGGCCACACAACAGTATCGGTGTTTCTAACGCTTTCAGTACCATCGGCCCACTTAGAGAGACCGGTGTCACCTTGGGATTGATTGGTGAATTCACCAGCAGCATACAACTGGTTTTCGTGATATTTGCTGACCCAAAATTGTTTGGTAGCGTAGAGAGCTCTCTTGACATTGTAAGAGTTCTTCGAGGCCATGATCATCTGTTTCGCAGGCATTTCAAACTTGTAGCCCACTGGTTTCCTGGTGACTGGGTTGATGGAATTCTCGTTGATGACTTTGTAAGTACGATTAGTGAATGGCGACTGATCGATGAAGCCCGATTTTTCCATATACGTTCTTTCCTGGCGCGCACCAATATTGTAAACATTCAAAGGTGTGTTTTCCTCCATAGGAACGTAATCGTCGTACACCACAGTGTTGTTGTCACCATCGAGTCTGGTGTCGAAACGGAAAGACAACAAATGTTGGTGGAAAGCAGCCGTCACGCCAGGGCCGACAATTGTAGCAAAATCAGTCACAGTGCCTTCGTCGTTTGGCATGGTCGATAGGATACCGGTTGCTCTCACTTGCACAGTGATGGCTCCGGCTTGATCGAAGATATAGTTCATGACATATTCGTAGTTCGCAACGGTGGCAATCGTTTGAATAACGAATTCTCTTCTTCTGGTGGTAACCGTGTTTCCGTTACGGTAGTTCTGATGCAAGTACAAAAGTCCGTAATCTTGTTCGTGCATGCAAACAGTAGATGGAACCAACACAGGGTTACCGTCTGGGTCAGATCTCGTCAAGTCCAAGTATTTGATCACACCCAAACAATGACAACCTAGCGCCAAAGAATTGGCAGTGTTACCGAACCCGCAGTCACCAAGGTCAAAAGCCTGTTTTCTGTGGAAAGGAGCACGAGGATCCATGTATGGAACAGTCATTTCGTTGTTGGAAATACGGTAGAAGAGCGATCTACCCTTGAAAAAAACATCGTAAATGGCCACACCTTCTCTAACGTTGGTGCACACCCTGAATTCCCATCCTTGCCATTTAATCTTGGAGCCCTCGACTTCAAAAGATGCACCTTCTGGCTGTGAAACGATCAAGGGCTTCAATCCTTGTCTTTCGGTGTAGCCCTCGATGAGGTCAGGATGGTACTCCACGGTGTCCATCTGCTGGTAAGGCAAAGTTTCCAAAATGTATTTTTCGTCAGCACCTGCGGGCAAGTAGTCCATTCTGACAAACTTGTGAGACAAGTATTCGAAAACGGGCGAGAAACGCAGTGGGATCGAGTAATGGTTTGCCTCTGGATGGTCCAGCTTCATGTACATGTACGCCTGGATTAGGGGAATTTTATCGTGGGGAGAGTCAGTACCGTACATCCAAGGCTCACACACCACTGTGTATCCAAGATCCCCCAGTCTTGAGTGTTTAAACTTCAAGGTGTCGATTTTCAGTTTGGCGATTTCTGCAAGCACAACTGGATGCTTCATAACGGCTTCTTCAACGGCGCCCATGTCCTCTGGCAAAAGAGGGCCAATTGTGCCCTCTGGGGTTTCTTGGTTGGCGATAATCCGGTTTTCAGAAACGTTACACAACGCCTTGTAGAGAGGCATCTTCTTGTCCAAGTAGTAGTAAGCATATGTTCTTCTGGGAATGTAAGGAAGCTGAGTTCCTGGACTTTGGTATCTCTCCGCGTTCAAGTACTCAATTGCTTGTTGTTTGGGAGGGTCCAAGCGGTCGACCTGAACAAAGTGGACTTTGGCATCGCCATTCAAATCTTTCAGCAGCTTGGCTGTTGTTCTGATTTCGCAGTCTTGAAGAGGGTCGAATATATGTAGTGGCATAGCGATAGAAAAGCTGGGAGAGAGTAAATAGGATAACTCTTGGTCGAGGAAAACGATTATACAAAGTAAAAGGTCGGAAAGAGAAAAGGTTCTTGACTTTGAAATGGGTTGTTATTTATACTTGGTTTGTCTCGAGATGAGCCGTGAATATTTCGTTATATCGGTATCTTGAGATCGGGCGGGTTCCCAAATATCTTATCTCTGATATGGCGGTGTATATTACTTAAAAGAGTAATCCTGATAACGGCCAAAGATACAGACCACGTGATACTTGCGATAAGACGCGAGAAGCGAGATCTATGTCCGAATTAGGCCACTCGTCTCGAATGCCCCAATCGGGAAATAATGCTGGTTCATAAAAGGCATTATGGACGAGCAAACGGGTAAGCTGAAAATCTTGGATCTTCCCTAAATGGGTAACCCGTTCCATGGTTCTGTGGGTAACCCGTTCTATTGTCTTATGGGTAACCCGCTTTTTGATATCTTTCTATACGAATAAACGCTTTGGATAATCTATATTTTAATTACTACTTTAACCCTTCCCGCTAACAAAGCTTTCTTTCTAATCACCGCAACTTTGTCTCTGAAAAAGCCCAAAGAATCCGAGTTGATGTAGATTTTGACAGCTCAAAACGTTTATGGCGAACAATGCAGAGGTTAAATACAGCTGTACTAGACGATTTCAAGGCTGTTGCTTTAATTTTACGCCGCTAGCCGCCAATTTCGCGATATCACAATATACGTAAAATATCGAACTCTCTAACGTGAGTAGCCAATTGAACCCCTGAACAACTATACCCGCGTATACCGTTTGGATCTTCCGGATTACTTCTCACTCATTGCACATATCTGAAGTTAAAAACCCTCCCTCTTACGGCTAGTCAAAAAAATCGTCATCATCGTCATCATCGTCACCGCCGTTATTCGTGCTACTCGTCACGTTTACTTCGTCTCTGCGATCAAAAATGATCTTGGTTGAGTTTTTACGGTTTTCGTCTCTGGCCACACCATTAAGAATCTCGACAATTTCTTGCTCGGAAACTTTACGCGTTATCTGGCCGCGAGCTGCCAGTTGTTGTAGGTACGCTTCGACGGCGCGCACGCGGTCCGGACGCACTAATGATACTCGCGAAAGACGTTCCAGCGCTTGAGGCTGGAGTAAAGCTGCTACTGCATCACCGGCTGGTCTACAGAGAACAATCGGTGCTATGTTAGTTGATATGTTATGGTACATTGGGGCTTTCTTACTCACCTATTTGAGAGGAAGCCGTGGAAAGTGATCAAAGAGCACATACCTTTGATCTGGATTAGAATCGCCACCGGAACCACCGGAATGACGCTTAAGTTCTTGGAGTCTGGCTTCACGAATAGCCTGTAGTTCTGGGTCCATTGGAGCTGTGAGTTTCCTTGTTGTTTGTGACTAAAGTTTGACTTCTCAGGCTAATGCTGTGGTCGAGATGAGATGAGTTGGCAGAATGCAATTTTCGAAAGAAAAAAATTATAATAGCGACTCTGATGGGTGACACGATAATTTTATACCAAAGTCATGGCATCAAAAGAGAGCAGATTTCGATCTCCAAAGGGCCCAGTTCACTGTTAAAGTGATATCATTGGCCTTGTTTGCGTTCTTTTTGGGAGACTTCTCTTTGGTCCATCTTACAGTCACAAGCTACGAAATGAATTCAATAAATTACACGTCACGTGACATTGGTGACAGCGTCAGAAGCAAGCAATATGAATATGGGCTTTACGTTTTCAACTTCTCAACACCACCAAACGATCAAGTTATAACCACTTTACTACCTGGATTTCACTAGCTCGCATGACTCTGGTGTGTAAATCGGGGCAGTATTCTATGTACTACTTCTCCTTGCGTTAAGTGATCACTTTTCAGATCCACCGATGAGCCCATCACCGAAAAGAAATGTCTGCTAGGATAATATCCCCGAAGATGTTTTGTAAACAAGTAAACACGCAATTCTTTGATCTACTTTACCATTTAAGTCACTCTTAACAGCATTGGTAAACTGTCATCCAAGCGACGATACTGCGAAGACAAAAAGCTCGACATGTACATTTTCAGTACCTCTAATACAGCATTTTTTTCCTGACTTTGAAGAAAGCCAATATAAACGCAATTATCAAATTACTGAAACGATACTAGGCACCTTATTTTGCTTATAATGCTGGAATTTCACGGAAGTTTGACAACTCAACCAACCCGTGTCACATTAGTATAAAGTGATGAGACTGTCTAACGTTCAAAAATTGTCATCAGAACCTTGCTAACAGTATAGGAATTCCTCGTTGATAGAAAGTGAAGTATTGGCATGCAAAAATGCCTACCATTTACAAAGAAGCTCGTAGTCTTTTCTATGTCGCTCTCTTTCGGTGTGTGAATATTTTCCACAAATTTTATTCGTCCAAATTTCTTCAAACCACGAACAACTACATACAAAAAAACCCTAAAATTCCGTACTCTATTTGATAAAGTTAGTCCGTTGCTGCGTACCCTGCCTACACGTCTATCCCTGGTCAATTGTCTACCCAGGTTCAAGCTCAGATCACCAAGCACGGGTTTCTTAAATAACAGTATTCTGGAAATTTAGTTCTTCAACTACAACATTTCAGCGCGAACGCGAACTATTGGTCAACGTCTCACTGCACATTTCAGGGCCAGCTCTCATCAAGCTTTCCGCCCCATACCTGCAACTAATACAGCTTGCACCCAAGGTTTAATTCGGGTCGATAAGTGTACCATTTCCAGATCGAAATTTTACACATCACACCGGTATAGAGGCCATCATTGAACAAGCAGATTGGATACAATATTATAAAAAGATCAAGGATTTCAAAGCAGATACTTTTGTATTTGTTAGGCTTTCTGAAATATACTCTGACCGATTTCGGAGTAAACTTAAGTGGGTTTTTTGGTCCAAAAAGAAGTCGTCATTTGCATGAACAGCTCCACAGATCAATCACCAGCACCAGCATCAAGAACTAGTAGTTCTCCGTCGCGAAATGCAGATTCTTCTGATGCTGGTGGTTACAGAAGGGCCAGGAGAACTATGACTTTGAATGTGGATTACAATTTGAAGAAAAGACGGATAATCCCAGCGGATGATTCCTTTTCTCCAAGACAGCACGCTTCCAATGATAATGATGGGAATAATGGCGACCATGTTTCACCAAGTCCGTCAATGCATGAAGCTTGTGAAGCCAAAGACGTTGTAGTTGTCGATTCTGACGGACAGGTTAGTTTCAAGGAACCAGAATCTCGCGATCCTATCAACGGAATGACCGGCTTACCACTTGGCATGGGTCCTCCTGAAAAAGTGAAAAAAGAATCCTTTTGGTCTTATAGAAAGAATGGCGGAAATGGCACCAATGGGGTGTTAAGTTCTACGAGCAGTGCTGGGAGTAGTTGCCAGACAGCATCAACCTTGGAAAGCAGCGTATATGAGGATCAATTAGAGACGGCCAAGTCCGATGAGTTGACACAACCTAGTTTCCTGCGAACTAACGCCATACCGAAAGATATTCATCGAACTAAGACAAAATACCGCAAAAAAAGCGATCCAACTCACCAAAGAAACAAGCATTTCCCCATACACACCAAAATTAAGGCTTCAGCTAATAAAGAAAACAAGCTTTTTGGTCAAAATTCGATCACAAATCAAAAAGCCATCGCTCCTCCAGTTGTGTCACTTACAAGTTCCACAGTTGAAAACGACGATTTCTGTTTCAGTTGTCGTCAACCTGGTATATTCTTATGTTGTGATACCTGTCCTAAATCCTTCCACTTCATGTGCTGTAACCCTCCGCTGGATCCGGACAACTTGCCAGAAGGGGACTGGTCTTGTGCGGAGTGCCAGTTCAAAATGAGATGTCCGAATAAATCTGCAGCTCAAAAACTGGAAAAAGAATACCTAAGTGCTCTTGAAGCGGCCGAGGGGATATCGCTTTTTGGCAAGCTGCTCTTAAAAGTGGAATTTACCAACCCTAGACAATTTCAGTTGGCAGTTCCAATACGAGAGACATTCGCAGATGTCAAAACCGGTAGCCACGGAGAATATACGGATGGATCTATGCAAGAACCTCTGAACGACAAGCAAATATTGAATGCTCTTTTTGGCCAGAGCTTGACCAAAATGGATCAATACAATCCTGATCAGCACATAGACCCGGATTCAGGTGAGCTACTTATATGCTTCAAATGCCGTGAGACTAAAATGGGAACACTCGATCATCCAGAAGAAGAGCGATTGATTACCAAATGCGATTTCTGTGGTACACCTTGGCATTTGGATTGTGTTCCTGACATACCTCGGGCGTCATTCAAAAATTTGGGCAGCAAATGGATGTGCCCCCTGCATGCGGATCCTCTAATTCCCAAACAAAAAAGACGACTCGCACGCCACCAAAAAACATACACTCCTTCATCGACCTTGAACATTCCAAATAATGGTGACATAGACATTTTGCCCGATGAAATTTCCTTCCCCGTGTCCAAAGAGGTTCTCAAGGAAGGTGCGATCAACAAAGAGCTGGCCGTATTGAAAATTCCCGAACAGTCAATCAAGTTGAACTTTGTTGACAAGGTTTACAAAGCAAAGATGGCTGTAATGGAAAGACAATTCCATGAACAAAAAACACTTCTCGAAAGTGCACTAGATACCCTATCGAAGAGTGGACATCAAAACTCAAAATTAGGGCCTTTCCTTTATTTCACCCTACAAAACAACAGTTCATTGCAGAAAATGTGGGACTTCAAAGAGCTTTGCGACGAAGCAGATAAGGAGGCAAATATACCAAAGCTCCAAAGCAAGGAAATAAGTGAGCTTCTGGCGCTTAAGACGATCTTGGAGTCAAAGTCGAAGAAAGAGGTTATAGAGTTTTTTGGCATGAATAAGTAACATCAAAAGATACTAGCATATAATAGGCTGCGTAAAAGGAAAGACGGATATTAACGTATTAAACCTAGCTTTAAGTATTTAGTCGTTGTCACTGCTCGGATCAGCATAATCGATAGCGCGTCTCTGTCGGGAGCTCTTCCTATAATCTTCTATCGGTGTCTGCAAACTCTTGGAAGGCACGTAGTTATCGTCATCACTGATTTCGCCGGTTGTATCCTGCATGTGGTCTCCCATGACAGCAATACTGCGCTTTTTAGACGGAGCCTTTCCCTCATGAACAGATCTCTTGATGGCTTGAACAGTGCGCTGCTTCTGCATTGCTGGTCGCCTATGCAAACGCGAGATTCTCAGATTTATAGTTTTCTTGAGATCAGTAAGTGCCTCCGAGTTCAAATAGGCACCGAAAACGTTCTTTCGAGCATCTTCGATAGTATCAAAGGGCTCAAACAAATCTGAGGGTAAATTGAGCTTTCCAGGATATGAGGCAAGGTTCCATTGACAGAAGTCTTTGAGCTGGCCTATAACTAGTTGAGCTAGTTCAGATATCACATAGATGCCCTGATCAAATTCCTTAACTTCCCTATTTTGCTCGTTTGACTTGCTTTTGGAAACATCAGGTTCGTCACCAACGCGATCCCTATACTGCTTGATCCTCCCGGCTAAGTAGTAGAGGAGTGCCAAATTGGTAGCATTAGCGACACTGTGAAAGTAATAGACCAAATAACCAATTGCTGTGTTCAAGCTGCTGAGAAGAGTCGCGCCACTACCTTCCAACCCTTCCGCGACATCAGGGTGGTGAGCTATCAAGTGAACAAGCCTGGGCAATGCTCTCTCGAAAAAGGTTCCTTTTCTGAAGCTTTCCTTGCTCAAAGTGGAATTTATCCACATGCTGGTACTTGATTTCAGAGCTGCATCCGGCTCATACGCTGTGAAAAATATCAGGGGAAGATACTTGATTGAAACAGTCTCTTCTCCTACATAATCCTTCAATTTCCCAATAAATAGGTTTCTGACCTCTATCGATTCGTCTTCCACAAGGTTGACTAGTCTGGAAATGTCGTCAGGGTTGATATAAGTACCCAGTTGTGGCACTCTGGCTAATTTAAGGACCTGTAGGCCAGCTGTACACCTCAATTGGTTTTGGTAGTTGTTCGGAGTTGGGTAGTTCTCACTGTCTTCCATCACCAACTCACCTCCACTGGCAATCAGGTAAAAGAAGAGTTTCAGAATTCGTGCGGTAAACGCTTGCGCCATTTCATCGCCATCAACTTCCGGGGCAAGTGCCCGCAACTTATTGGAGAACAGTTTGAGCGACAGCACTTTGGAGGCGAGGGGGTGAAAGGATTCTTCGTTGCACATATCACTGAAAGTGATCCAGTGTTGCTGCCCCTCTTTGTCACCCACCATCTCATTAGCCAGAAGAACATCTTTTATAAGCAAACTAACAATTTCAGTAGAATCGCTCTCGAGCAACTCGGCTTTTCGCTTCAAGATTTGCGATAATACCATCAGATTAGCTGTAAAGCTATGGGACTTCGAATCCAGCGGTAAAATAGTCTCCTTTATTCTGATGAAATAGCCTAGCGGATCTTCTAGAAGACTCAGAAGCTTCACCGCATACTTGGCTACAAAAATAGCATCCCCTTTTGCCAGCTCTTCAAGCTTATCCAGAAAAATAGACTTTGCGGTGTTGATGCATTCGGGCATGCCTTTGCTAACTTTGTAAAGTGTCTTCATCACCTCGCTTAAGGACAGAGAGGTCTTTTCGGACTGATTGACTTCCAGTGATAGTATGCTCTCCATCAAATGCTTCACCTGACCTTTGAATATTCTGGGCTTTATGATAGAAATGCTATCGACAAGCTGGCGCCTCAGAGAGCTCTCTTCATCGTCAGCTTTATCAGGCGTGTCGAGTAGAATTGATAGACTGGAAGTGTTGAAAATTATGGGGGCGGATCTGTATATCAAGACTTTGATCACTGTCGCGAAACTTTCCCTTGTGAAACGAGAATCTATTCTGACATTCTTTCTTCGGAACAGCTCAGGATCCTCTATTCTTTTTAAAAGCTCAGTTACCGCATTTCTGACTGTGTTATGATTGGACATCTCATCTACAGCCACCTTCATGAGATGATACAGTCTTCGGTCGTTAAGCTCGCTGAGAGCAGAGAAAATTTCACGAACTTCAAACTTTCCTGGATAGCCTAGACTCACTATGCCCACTATCTTTTCGTAAAGTGGTTGCGTTAATTCAGCTGAAGGGTGTTCGTTTGAGTGACTATGCTCACAAAACGTAACGAGCTTACTAACGACGATAGACATCTGCTCCTGACGCTTGTTGAAGGCATAGAATGAAGCAATGGCCTTTTTGTCAAAGCTTCGCATCATACCCACAATTCTGTCAACCAAACTCCGCGGTTCCAAACCCAAGGGTAAGAACTTTTCGAACAAAATTTGATCAATTTTGATATTTATATCCAGGTCGTTGATGTAGTAAAGGTTGAAGAAGACTGATGGGATTGTCGCTATTATTTCCCAAACGTCTTTGTTTTCCTCGGTTCTTGGAACCTGTTCGACGGACTCAACGTAAATTTTGGATACCACATCAATGCTAACCTCTCTTATATCTGCACGTACCTCTCTGGTTAGATGTAGAAGACCTGTAAAGACCGAGATGTTGGATACACATTCCCAAAGCTTTTTTATCGGAATTTGTTCAAGCACTCGTACTGCACACAAGCGCACAGAATGATCAGAGTCTATGAGAGCTTTGGCCAGTCCCTTTGACATATCAGCGGACAAATCCGTTCGATCCAAAAGAATACCACCCAACTGGGAAACCCAGGTTTGCCTAACTTGAGGGCTGATGTCGGCCATTTTACTAAGCCAGACTTTGTAGACGTCGTTATGAGTCACATCGAAGTTGATGAGCGATGAAGTTTTCAGCATTTCTCCCACACACCCTGTTGCTGCCTCGCGGAAAAGCTCGTGGTCTGAGCAAAGCAATTGGTAAATGAAGCCGGTCACAGACCCTACGAGGTCAGGTGCATATTTCCATAATTCAGAGGTGAGTCTTCCAAGCTTGATCAAGGTTTTGTACTCAGCGGAAGCTTTGGTCTTTTCTTGACCATCGTCGTCGTTGAGAACTTCATATATTATCTCAGAGTAGAACTTGATAAAGTGCCGGCCCAAGCGATTCGAGTAGTTTTGACAAATTGCAAGACTGAATTCGAAGCCCGGATCTTTTTTCACACTGAGGCCACTGATGGTTTCCTTGTGTTTTTGAGATAAAAACTTATTGAAGACCAGCTTCAGCGCACGCATGGGCATTGTGTCACATTCCAAGATGACTTCTCCCAAAAGCCCGCCTATGATGGCAAAGAGTTTTCCTGGTATGACATCGTTCTTGGAAGAATAAAAAATCTCAAATAAGTCTGTAATGAGTTGGGATGAATTGGGCAGATCTGTCAACAGTACAATTGACCTATATTCCAACAAGCTGGTGACAAGATATGTTTGCATCGAAACATACCCATTTTCTGGATCTTGCAAAAGGCGGAACTGCTCCAAGAACAACTGGAATATCTCTGAAAGCTCCTTGTCTGTGTACGGGGCATCAGGAGCATAAAGCCGCAGCATATCACTCAGACAGCAGGCCGCGTAAGCTCTCACCCCATGATCTTTGTGTTTCAGGATCTTCTTATTGATGAGGTCAGTTCTGTACTTGTCGATGCTCTTCAAATTAACCTCTTCTTGTTTCAGACCTGATAGCTCTTCCTGGAGCTGAGATAGCCTATCCAGCAGTTCTTGGACGGAGAAGCTATCTTTGATAGTCGAAATGATCGAAAAGTTGAAACTCAATCTGGATGAAGACCTTACCATCGAATCCAGCTGCTATTTGATGTTTGTAGGCCGTTGACACGAGTTGTTTGATCTTGTTGATCTTGTTGATCTCGGTTGTTTTATCGTTAATTTCATCCAGACGCGTCAAGTTTCTATTAACTTTCGCGTTTATTATAATCTTTTTGCACGAACAATGCCAACTTCCGTCTGAGTATATACACATAAGATTTGATGGGATGGGCAGCATTTTTCGATGCAAGGAATCTTCGGGTGGCCATTGAGGCCTAATTGGAATGTAGACAGTAGTTTTGTTCTCTTTTATGTTTGTGTGTGTTTTTGAAATGGCGAAAAAATCCACTCGGTATCATATGCATTAGGTTGAATCATGGCTAGAACATCAACATTGAAGTTTCTACCAAGACGAGACCAACAGTAGAAGCAACTGTATCACTTTATTACCGTAATGCTGTCTTGAAAGATTTATGGGTTATCCTTCTCTTTCCGGACGCCTACATTAGCGGCCGATTTATCGAGGCATTAAGAAGTTTTGCCTGGTAGTGCCCTTCGAGGACCAGTTGCCTCTGTCAGATAGGCAGATGAAGGTCTGCGAGGAAGAGATGGCCCACTTGCTGTCGAAACGTTCCTGGATCGATAACCTTGTGGCAATTCGCCTTCACCGTCTCCTTGACTGTGAGATCGTAGCAGATCAGAGACATCTGGCGTAGCAGCGTGGTCCAAGGGAGAATTAATCATAGTCTTGGGGTTTGCTCCGCCGTAGTCCATAGTATCTGGAGCCGATGAGCTCGATATCGGATGCAATTCTTGTGTGGAAATAGGTAAACGGCTTAAAAGATCTTTTTCATCGCGCGAGAACCTCGATCCTAGCCTCGTGATAGCCCTCTCCAATCGAGCGCCCATTTTGGTTTCCATGACGTTTTCCGGCGCCCCCGAGTTTGTTGGAGGTTGCATGTGGCCCAACGAACAAGTCGTGAGTGTCTGCCTCAAGCTTGGTCTGCGTTGGACTGTGGGAGCTATCTGATCGGAAGTTGAGGTCCTAAGTCTTCGTAAGAGGTTGGATCCATTGCTTTTGGAATGAGAAGGACGTGCGGAGAACGTCCCGTTCAAACCACGTTCCTGAGAGGATGTCCTCTGGTATCCCGATAGCCGCGGGGAAGCCATTCCCTTGACTGGAAATAAACCAGCCGGCGTTCTCTGCGGAATTGATGAATTGGATCTCATGCTTGTCGTGGATCTATTTGTGCTTGTTTTCTTCAAAGCCGTGCTCATCCTTGAAAAATTAGAACTTGAATTCCGCATCGCAGGTCTATATTCGACAGGCGGGTTTTTGCCATTGCTCGCATCGGCTATCGAGGAGTCACTGCTAGCAAATTCGAAATCATTCTTTTCCGTATGATTTTCTCTTTCAATATCTTCTTCGCCCTCTTCTGCCTCTTCATCCATTTCTTCAGCCACCTTTGTGGGGATTCTAACCACTCTGGAGTCGACGTTCAGCTCGGGCTGCTCATCCCTGACCTCTTGCTCAGGCAAGGACAGTCGCTTGCGGTCATTCTCCACAGTGACTAAGTGCATATAGAATGGCACTATGGCTGCAAAAGCACCACCCCCAACAATGTTTCCCAGTGTTGCCGCTACCATATGCTTCCAGATAAACCGCGAAACTGACAGGTCGGCGCCATTAATCATGCCGATGGTCAGCATAAACATATCTGCAACGACATGTGTAAAACCCATACCTACGAAACTGAAAATTGGGAGCACCAGCATTAGTAGTTTGACGTGGATCGGCTTGGCCATCATTTGCAGATAAATGGCCAGACAGACATAGAAGTTTCCAGCAATGGCCTTGATGAAAGTTTTGATGAAGTTGAATGAGTCTTTTTCTGCGACTAAAATGTGCGTCCATTTCACAAAATTAGGCGAACTAGTGACCGATGACAAGTGGCATATGACATACATCACAAAAAGGGTACCTCCCAGGTTACCAAACCAGCTAACTACCCAGCTAATGAGCAAATCATATATCGACACGGCTCCCTGCAGCACTCCCACCATAAAAAATAAGATGTTCGAATTGAACAGATCTGCACCGTTGATGACAACGTAAAAGAGGCCGATCGGGAACATGAGTCCACCCAGAAAGTCCAAAAGTCCGGGATTTCGCTCAAAAATACCAGGATTCGAAGCATGACAGGCCGTGAACAGCATACCACCTGTGCTGAAGAAAACACCACCCATTATTGAATTGCAAATCAAGGTTTCTAATCGCATTCTTGATTTTTTCATAGATGTAGCCACCACTGCTAGCGCTGTTTCGTTAGGCGTAATGTAATAAGCATCTTGCGACATTTAGCCGGTAGAAAGCCACGACAATTGGGTTCTTCCGAATCTGGGTTGAACCAGTATTCGCTAAAAGATCAAAATCTCTCGAGGATGCTAACGATCCACAGTTTTCAGCGACAACTAATCCTGGCAAGAGTCCCACCACTGCAACTGCCTGGTTACTCTATCCGATGTCTTCAAGTTCGGATAAAATACGTCAAAAAACTTTAATATTGCACGGCAATGCATTGTCAATATGCGATGAGCAACACATGACCATCTCTTCGAGAAGCGCTGGCATGCGAAGAACACCACTTCTGAGTCTTTATACCAGACAAGATGCCACCATATCTCCCAGAATAAGTGAACGAGATGCAACTACTTCTGCCGGTAAAACCAACAAGCAAACGTAAACCATTTCTCGAAGCTGGACATCGGATATGAATAGCTCTGTTCTGCTGATTCCTTCCAAGAGCATCTCGGCCATGGACTTAAGCGCTTCTGTAGTAATGTTAGGAGGCAGCGTGTCGGCCTTGGTGAGTGCGTTAACCCTCATATTTCCCGCATTTTTCTGTTTTCGATTGACACTCTGTAGAAGAGCGGAATCTTTCTTGTAAGCACCCCACAAATCGATAAACCTTTTGGTGACAAAGTCACCGGAGTGCTTGATCATTACTGTCACACATTCGAGTGCCGGCTTCACCAGTGAAAAATCCGCACTCATTGAAATGTGCACGATAAGGTCCCACGATTTGGCGATTTGCGGAAGAAGCATGTCATATTCTGTGGCAAGCATGGGGAATACATGACGTGCCAATTGCAAGATCTGTACCTTTAAAGCGCGCGACTCATGGGTCAAAAGTCTGTCACCATATCCTGCAATCTGCAGTAGCAAGCGGTAGGAGTCACGCGGGATGGGGGAGCTCCACTTTTCAGAGTCATGAAGAGCACCGCTCTCCTTCGTTGAGTTTTGAGATTCTGCCATTTCTTCGTTGTCATCGCCGTTATCGTCGTCTTCGTCGTCGTCGTCGTCGTCCTCATCATCGCTATCTACTTCTCTCAACTTGGAATTGAAAAATTCATCAAAGTTACCAGGACCGGATACATCCTCTTCCTCGAGCGCTGGATTTCCCGCTGTGCTGTATTTTTCAAGCTCGCTCAGAACGCGCATAACATCCTGTATGTTCCGGAGTCCCCAGTTCTGAAAACCGCCCCGGCCTTGTTCGCCTGATTCTAGCTTGGGCATACTCTCATTTCCGCATAGGTATCTTTTGGCCATCTCATTGACGACAATATCGAACAGCTGGAAAAACTCTATGCATAGATCCTCATGACCATGATAGTAATCCAGAAGTCTAAAGATTGTCTCAAGAACGTCCTTAAAACTTCTAATCGTATCGTAGCCTCCAATTCGACATATTACCATGAGCAAGGTGGCAATCCTCTGCGTCATGCAATTGCTCAGTCTGGTGGAAATAGCGTCAATTAGATAGTCCATGTTTTCCCAAATCAGGTCGCGGACGGAACCTCCGTAATGAGCTCGTGCAATGTCCATAGTAGTTACCTGAGCAACATTTCTAATTGCAGGAGACGATGAGGCCAAGCAATCGACCACGGGGAAGAGCAAATCGATAAGCTCTTCTTCGAACTCTGCATTCATCGAGTCATTCATCAGCTTGATGGCGTAAAGGCTCACCATGGCGTCAAGTTCATCATTCTTGGTGATCTGATGTCCATTTTGTGACAAGCTGTTTAGGATCTCTATACTGCTTTGCAACACCATGTAACATGCTTCTGGTACATCATTGCTTTCATTTTCGAGTACTAGAAACTCATCCATAGTATCACCTGTCGCATTGGCTTGTTTCGTAAAACCGTTGATCAGAAGGCTCGATATCCATGTGCCCATCGCTTTGCCGTGAGCTTCATCTGCGTAGCTCTTGGTCAAAAGATCTGTCACCAAACGGTCTGTTTGAGCTTTGCCGCAGTACGAACCAATGGCTTGGAATAGTTCAGAAAGGGTATCTTCAAGATTCTTTGACACCTTGGGGAAGAGTTGTTGAATTTGGGTAGTCTGAGTGAAAAGTTCTTGTCCAACGATTACCAGAGAGCTTTGCTCCACAACTTTTCGTTCACTGAAACGCAGATTTTTTTGTTCGAGGTATTCGCTGAAAGATTGTTGAAGTACGGATACCGCCCTGCCTATCATTTCAAAATCGCGATCACTTTGTTGTTCCATTGCCGATATGGCCAAACCAAATCTCTTGAGGCCATCTACACTCTCGAATTGCAGAGCTCGGGGAAACTCCGAAATTTGTTTTTCCACTATGCGTTTGAGGGTATGCGAGTTTTCTGGTGAACCCACTAGCACCGATGGCGGCACTCTAGCGTCCAAAGAAGTGGCGATAAACAGCTCAAGACAATTACTGAGGGAAACGTGGCAGCTTTTCAAAAGGGTCTCTAAGAGTTCCCTGACAGCTTTCTTGATGCTAGCACTCTCTCTGTGTAAAAGCTTTGGAAGGACCGCTTCCAGGGCAGTTTTCACCTGGCCAGTTGTTGCAGTTAGCCACTTGTTATTCCTATGCAAAGGTGTTTTCCCGAACGAGCTCTCGTCAATCTTCCTGTTGATCACTGTGGTTTCTTTCGTCTCAGCCAGTCGTTGTTGCAGACCGGGAGCAGGAAGTTTGGCGATATGCAGGCCTGTGTCAGAGTATACCAACGACAGTAGTGCGCCGAAAAGCCGCAGAGTTGAGCACACCACACTGGATTTTACGGTCAATCCTGGCTTCAGTAGTAATTTCGAGAATGCGGAAACGTTGCCAGGCAAAATGAACGAGATGATTTCGCCATCATGCAATAACTCAACATACAGTGTGTGCAAAGCTCTTATGGCCTGAAGTTGTACATCGGCATTGTCATCATTATTTTGCAGGACATCAAGAAGGATTGTCACAGAGTGCCCTAAAGAAGGCAGAGCCTTGGGATCAACGAAATAGTTGTACACGTCGTTCGATTTCTGTACCGCCAGTGCTTCGAAGAGTCTGTCTAGCGCGATGCATCCAGCCAGCTGGAACTCCATGGGCTTGGCTAGCAATTCCTTGTTATCCTTGTCATTGCTGATTAGGAAAGTGAGTAGCGGAAAGAGCTGCTGTGCCAATGCTAACGGAAATGTGCCCACTGATGACCATGACAGCGACAATAAGTGTCCAATGATGAGCAGAACAAGTTCTGTTTGGCTTGTGCCTAAGCCTTGGTGTTGCAACAAGTGTGCTATGGGAACAAACACATAATCCGCAAATGCTGGTGCCAAAGTCTTGTTTTCCTCTAATTTCTCAAGTTCATGTTCTACTGACCGAAGAGCATTAAGTAATGATGTAGACTGAGGATTGAAGGAAGCTGCTGGCAAGAAAGCTTCTCCCGACAGCTCTATACACGCTGGTCTAATTCTCAGGAATGCTTCTGATAGTTGATGGGACATTTTGCCTTTGCTTAATTGTCGGTGTGTGATCTGAGCTGCTGAGAAGTAGATAGAGTAGTGAGAACTGAACTTATTATCAAGTAAAATGGTTATTCGACGCCAAAAGCATTCAAAGATGTACTCAACCAATCTGTTGATGGCTTGAGATATACCTCAACCGTTTCAGATAACTCGAGGAAACTAGGTGAAAGTTCAAGTTAGTGGTAGCTAAGTTTAATGTACATATATTTCATTATTAAAAGGTAAACTGGTGGTAATTGAAGAGTGGGAAACTAAAAGACAAAATCGGTGATCAATGTCTTGGTCTTCTTCCAGCCCTTTTGGCTGTTCAATTGTTCATTAAGAATGTATTCTTCTTCGGAAGGGACGTATTTGTCTGTGACGAAGTCCATGTCTTCGCTTCTTACAAAGGAATCGCGCTTGTAGAGCCACCACGCCGCCCATAGAGCCAAGAAGACAAAGAGATCGATGTAATAGGAGAAGAAATCAGCGGTACTCCAAGGAGCGAACGCTGACCATCCTTGGATCAAAATGATGAAAGAAACAAAAATGACTAGGAAATATGGCCCCACAGGATATGTCCAGTTAACGTAATTCAGTTCATGGGTTCTGCCCTGTTTCTCTAGGCCTCGTCTGAATCTGATGGAAACAACGCTTATGCACAACCAGGCAATCTGGTTGGAAACACCAATGATATTTTGTAGCCAGGTCCACAGCGTTCCTGCGCCGACGAAACTGGAGGCAAAGCACAACCCACCCACGAACCAGGTTATTAGAACGGAGACGTATGGCACCTGGTAGCGGTTGGTTTTTGTAATGAACTTGGGGAAAAAATAGCCTTCCAGACCGAAATTGTAGAGAACTCTGCTACCGGCGAACAATGCGTGGTTGCCAGCGCTAACGACACTGGTCAAAATGACTGCGTTCATGAAAGACCCAGCAGCACGAGAGCCCACCATTTGGAAAACGATGGTGAAGGGGGAGGTGATAATGGATTTTTCACTCAGGTTAGGGTAGTTGTAGGGAACGTTCATGCCCACGAAGAACGCGGTGAACACGTAGAATATAATTACACGCCAGAAAACGGTCTTGATGGTTCTTGGAGTGTTTCTGATAGGATTTTTAGTCTCTCCGGCGGTGAGCGTGATACTTTCAGTACCACCGTAAGCGTAACTGGAAGAAACAAAGAGCGAAGCAAAACCTTTGAAGCCGTTCACAAAGGGAGCGTCTCCGATGCCCCAGTTTTTGAACCCGATGTAAGAATGGTCCTGGTTATGGCCTGCGTTGACAACGATGGATATGATGAAGAACATGATGATGGCAATCACTTTGAGCAAAGCGAGCCAGTATTCGGCTTCACCATACACACGGACGTGTACGACGTTGAGCAGCAGCAGAAACGCCCAGAAAATGAGCGATGCAGCCCAGTATGGGAAATGCGAATCTGGGCTTTTCCAGTAGTCCAGAATCAGTTGCAACGCGGTCATATCACTGCCGACTGAAACCGCATCGTTGAACCAGTAGTTGGCCATGAGGGTGAAGGCGAACGACGGAGATCCGAATTTTTTGGCAAAAGTGCAGAACGAGCCTGAAATCGGCATAAAAGTTGACATTTCGCCCAGCGCCAACATCGTCAGATACACCACGACTCCCATGATCCCGTAGTTGATCAGCAGCGACGCAGGACCACCGTTGACCAGACTTTTTCCCGTTCCCAAATACAAACCTGTTCCAATGACTCCGCCGATGGAGATCATATTTATGTGACGCGGTGTCAGCGACCGATTCAAGTTCTCACGCACATTATTGTTGTTTACCAGGTGTTCCAAGTCTTCTGATCCTTCTGATGAAGTTTGATGCAGACTTTCCGTTATAGGCTCTTCCACATTTTTTTTAGCCACGTCTGACATAGTTGAGGATACAATACTACAGAGAGAGGCCTAAGGTATTAAAACACACACCTTTGAAGACAACAAACCAGACTTCAGCTCCAGACAACTGAGCTGCATTTATATTTTTCCCCATCTTCTTTCATATCCATCTGATTTATCATCAACCATCCATCCATCCAACCCAAAATGAACCATTCCGTCACCATCTCGCTGCTATTTACCACCCATTTACCACCCATTGTGAGCGTTTTGGCAGTTTGCCACAACTAGCAACGGAACGAACCTGAATTACTCAAAACTCACGGCACTAATGTTGCTAGTTTTTCAGCTTCTTTCGGCTGTTTCTCAGCTATTTCTTGACCAGGTTTGGCATCGATGACTTTAGTATGGCGCCAGTGATTATTTTTCAGTGTGGCTGTAGTAGGACGAGATGAGGTAGAGACAGAGAGAAAGAGACAGAGAAAGAGACAGAGAAAGAGAGAACGAGAGAGAGAGGTAGACAGAGAAAGACCAAGCGAGTGGGTTGAATGAGTAGAACAGTTGGCGGCAAACAACGCGATTTCAGTGATGAGATGGACCCAATAGGTTGTTTAAACTAGGATGTTTTCCGGAAATTGAAAATAGAAGGAAGAAAGAAACGGGGACCGCTAGAGGGTTTTCAATTGGGTCGTGTGTTGGTGCAGTAAAGGGTTGGAACAGTGTGCGTCATTGTACTCAGGAAAAGACTGCACTTGGTGAAAGCAGTGTCAGAATTACTCACCAATTCTTTTTAAGTGGATTAGATCAAATTGAGAGTTTGGACAAGACCGCACTTATTATACCCAGTGTCAGGTTCACTTGATGCATTCAGTGTTAGGTTCACTTGGTGTAACTCATTATCAGTATCACTGACTTATGAATCTCACTTGCTGTTATCCAGTGTCAAAATCACTTGCTGCTATCCAGTGTCAGGTTCACTTGATGATATCAATATCAGATTCACCCACCAATTCTTTTAAAGTGGGTTTGATCAAATTGAGAGGTTTGGAAAAGACTGCACTTGGTGAACGCAGTGTCAGAATTACTCACCAATTCTTTTGAAGTGGGTTTGATCGAGAGGTTTGGACGAGACCGCACTTATGGTACTTAGTGTCACATTTACTCACTCATCAATCTCGCTTGATCCACTCAGGTTTACTTGATGAATTCAGTGTTGGGTTCACTTGGTGTAACTCATTATCAGTATCACTCACTCATGAATCTCACTTGATCCACTCGGTGTCAGATTTAACTGATGTAATTCGATATCAGATTCACTGACTTATGAATCTCACTTGCTGTTATCCAGTGTCAGATTCACTTGATGATATCAATATCAGATTCACTTGATGATATCAATATCAGAATTACTCACCAATTCTTTTGAAGTGGGTTTGATCAAATTGAGAGGTTTGGAACAGACCGAGTTGGTGAACGCAGTGTCAGAATTACTCATCCATCAATTTTGATCGCTGAAAGCCAGTAATAGATTTACTCACTCATCAATCTCGCCTGATCCATTCAGGTTTACTTGATGAATTCAGTGTTAGGTTCACTTGGTGTAACTCATTATCAGTATCACTCACTCATGAATTTCACTTGCTGTTATCCAGTGTCAGATTCACTTGATGTAACTCACTGTCAGATTCACTCAATCGCCAATCTCACTCACCACCAATCTCACTGACATCTCGAGTTTTAAGCCAAATTCGGCTCCAAAAACTTCACAAAAAAGACGTTCGAATTCCCAAAAATTCAAAGCTCAACAACCACTACAAACACCTCGCTTTAATGCTCTCCAAATTGCGTCTTTAATTCCATTACTTCCACTCGGTGTTTCTAGTATTCTGACATGTATATTATACCTATATTAGCTATATTATTAAAATCAACCATCTTAAAGGTTTGGAAAGTCATCGATGACCTGCAAAACCCTGTTCGCACGGCTTAAATAGCGATCTCCATGGCTACATTGTACCATATAGTCGTAGAGCTTGAGGACGAACATCAAATCGAAGAAGCATACCGATTTTGGACCGGCCAAACCTTCAATAAGTTGACTAAGAAACTTAAAGAACAGACCAGCACCAGAAACGTTCACGACTGGCGATTCGGCACTTTAAAGATCGAAAACCTGCATATGGACGAAGAAAGCTCCACGGGACTTGTAGAAGCTAACTTTGAGGGCTCGGGTATAGTTCATCTATTCAGAACCGGTCAGAATTTGGGGGAAAAGTCTAAGAATGATGTTCAAAATGATTTGAAGTTGACAAGAGTGGCTGGCAGTGACACAACAGTGGCAATTTTGTTTGTTCCAAGCTATCTCACGAGCCGCGAGACACTTTTTTCATTTCTGGGCGATACCGTCCTGGAACAAGCATCTCATTTCCGTATTGTTCGCAGCAGCGCGGAGTTTTTAGTACTCGTCAAATTTCGTACCGCGGAGTTTGCCCACCAGTTCATCCAAGATTTTGACGGTCGGAACTTCAATGCCATAGACCCAAATACTTGCCATGTTGTTCAAATCCGCGAGATTATATTTCAGCATGGACTCTTCCCATCTGCGCAGACCAAGCCTCCGGCATTCCCCATGGTAGACCCATTCACGGCTTCAGACTACCAGCACGTTGATGTGGAACTGCCGACGTGCCCGGTATGCTTAGAAAGACTAGACTCAGAGGTCACCGGTTTGGCCACCATTCCCTGCCAGCACACCTTCCATTGCCGGTGTTTAAATAGCTGGAAAGACAGCCGATGCCCCGTTTGTCGATACTCGGAGCTCAAGATAAGTAAGAAATCGCTTATACGCGGATCGGCTCGTTGTAGCTCTTGTGGGTCCAACGAGAACCTGTGGATTTGTCTTATTTGTGGTAATATTGGGTGTGGACGTTACAATTACAAGCATGCGGTACAGCATTTCACGGATACTGGTCATTTTTTTGCTATGGAGATGGCCACACAGCGAGTATGGGATTACGCTGGTGACAATTACGTGCATAGGCTAGTACAGAACGAAGTCGATGGAAAGCTAGTTGAAGTGGGATCGTCTTCGTCGCAAACGGCCGGTGGGAAACGCGACAAGCAGTATCATTTGGAGTACGTACAGGTACTATTATCTCAACTGGAGTCGCAGCGGGACTATTACGAGAACAAATTGCAACTGCTGTCCGACGAGACCAAGGCAGAAAAGGTCAAACAGGACGACCTTTGCACGCTCCAAAGCTTGCAACAACAAATGCAGGAGTTGAAGCTAAGTGCTGCTCAGTCGCGCATCAAATCCGAACAGCATGTAGCGCAGCTGCGAAAGCAGGTTCAGGAAGAGAAGTCATTCTCAGACGCTCTGCAGTCCAATTTAGATCATCTCGCCAAGAAGGAAGACCAATTGAAGCGTCAACTGGAGCAAAATAATGCTGAAAAACAAGACCTGCAGGAACAGGTTAGGGACCTCATGTTTTTCTTGGAGTCAAACGAAAAATTGAAGAATGCGGGAGACGACGTTAAAGAAGGAACCGTAATCATGAAACCCAAAAAATCGACTTCAAAGAAGCGCAAGTGATCATGATACTGCAACTGCCAGACGATTGTCAATACAACAGCTTTATGAAGCTTTTGACGGACGCAAATTGGTGTTCAATGTCGTTGTCGTTATTTCTTGTTTCCTAGGTTCCAAAAAAGAAAATTCCAGATTTCGACAGCTGGGACCGCAACACACGAATCCGGTAAAAGCGTGAACATACCAGACATCTTACACCGACCAGTGCTAACATTACAAGGTCTACAACCCAGCCTATCGTGTGTCGCTGTGACCAACGATCACGTGACTCCAATATCACTCTATACTAAAGTCACATGTGGCGTCTCTGGAAAATTTTCAATATCCAATCCACTAAGCATCGCATCGCATCGCAGGACTTCTCCTACTCATGAAAAATTGAAGAACAAGAAAGTAGTTAAACTTTTGACCTTTGGCTACACTTCTTTTGGCTTTCAAATTTAATGGATCAGTACTTGAGGTATAAGCCTTGAAATTTGACTTGTACGGCTTTTTTGGGATTCTTTTGAGCCCAGTATCATACCATACAGACCACTGGTAGGTGATAACGCTTTTTCGACAATATGGCTACCAATTCTATCAAGTTACTAGCACCCGATGTGCACCGTGGTCTAGCGGAGCTTGTGGCTAAGCGGTTGGGTCTCAAACTTACAGATACCAAATTGATAAGAGATCCTACTGGGGAAGTATCTTTTTCGATTCAAGAGTCCGTGAGAGACCAGGACATATTTATCATCACGCAAATTGGGTCTGGGGTTGTGAACGACCGTGTTCTTGAACTTTTGGTCATGATCAATGCTTGCAAAACGGCATCAGCCAGAAGAATCACATCTGTGCTACCTAACTTCCCCTATGCCAGACAGGACAGAAAAGACAAAAGCCGTGCGCCTATCACGGCCAAGCTCATGGCTGATATGTTGACCACAGCTGGCTGCGATCATGTAGTAACCATGGATCTCCACGCTTCGCAAATTCAAGGGTTTTTCGACGTGCCAGTAGATAATCTTTATGCTGAACCTAGCGTTGTTCGTTACATTCGGGAAAACATAAATTTCAGCGAAGCCATCATCATCTCTCCAGATGCTGGTGGTGCTAAAAGAGCAGCAGCTTTGGCCGACAGACTGGATTTAAACTTTGCATTGATACACAAGGAAAGAGCAAGGGCAAATGAAATCTCGAAGATGGTCTTGGTCGGAGATGTCACTGATAAAATTTGCATCATTGTTGATGACATGGCTGATACATGCGGAACTCTAGCTAAGGCTGCCGAAATTTTGCTCGACAATCGTGCCAAGTCGGTCATCGCAATTGTTACTCATGGTGTGCTCTCAGGAAAAGCCATTCAAAACATCAACAACTCCAAGCTGGACAAAGTGGTTTGCACAAGTACGGTACCTTTTGAAGAAAAGATGAAGCTATGTCCTAAATTGGCCGTTATAGACGTGAGCGCCGTCTTAGCGGAAAGTATTCGTCGTTTGCACAACGGTGAGAGCATTTCATACCTTTTCAAGCATTCTCCACTATAAGACAATAAACCTGGAAATATGTAAAACGTACCTACAGAAAAGTCCATTTTTACTGTTCGGGGTGTTTTTGAACACCATTACTCCTGGTTATATCGCAAGTCTTTCATAACCCAAATTTAGCCTTGTCTAACTGAGCAAGAGAATTCAGGACTTCACCCTTGCCACTAAGAACAGCCTCAAGGTCTCCCAAAACTTCGAGAGCATCCGGATGAGGTACCCACACAACATAAGCTCCCGCGGCCTTCGCCGCGGCAACTCCTGGTAGTCCATCTTCAAAAATAATGCACTCATCGGGACAGATATCCGATCCAAACTTCTCGTTCAGTTGAGCGAGACCGATCTGCCAGATATCGGGAAACGGTTTGCCTCTCCCCGGTGGGATACGGGGATCATCGCCTGTGATGATGACATCGAAAAGCTCGAAGCCTTGTTTCAAATGGCCAGTTTTCCCCTCGTACTTGTGTTTGGCTGACGACGTGCACAAGGCAATCGGCACTTTTTTGGAGTGTAGATATCTGATTAGTTCCAATGCACCCGGCAAAAAAGAACATGTGGGCCATTTCTTGTGCTGCAATTCAAGGTTTCTCTGATCCAGCTCTGCTAAAGTCAAAGGAATTTTGTAATGTTCCAAAATCTTTGTAGAGGCCTGAGGTCCGGGAAGGCCTTGCAGCTGAATTTTCACATCCCACGTCAAAGGTCCCTTTCCGAACTCCGCTAAGATTTCGTTTGTAACCACCGTGTATAAATCCTCCGTGTTGATCAACAGACCATCCATATCAAAAAGACATGCTCTTACTCTGTTCACATTATAATGAAAAAAGGTCAGTTTCTTGTCGGAAAAGTTCCGCGAATCTCGCAGACGTTTCGTCTCAAATTAACTTACCTAGGGCTTGATTTCATCTCGACAATTGATGGGATAAGTCTCAAGTTGTTCGCTTCTAAAGTTCATGGAAGAGCATGGCATTGAGGGTGCTCGATAAATTTTGAGATTTTAAACGTCATATGACAATTATAGCCAAAAAGCTCCAGCCCTAATCCAAAAGCCCTAATGTGTGGATGTCCCGACAAAACCTTCACGCTCAGAGTGGTGGTAAAGGCGCCCTACAGACGGGACATTGTAGTTTGTAGCTCATCCAGTTTTCCAAACAATTTGTGTGAAAGATGTGTCCACAGGGCGTTACCATATAGTCCTGCTGGTCAACCTTGTGTGTTTCTGGTATGTCTTCAACGTAGACTGCAACATCATTCATACAGATGGCACAGTCTATGGTGTGATTTTCGGAGCTTCCGTGCTCAAGTAGCTCGCCTGACGATATGGCCTTGTGGTATTTGTAACCGTCTGGGATTGTGTAGTTTGGCAAGAACCAGCGTCCTCCAAAAATATCCTGGGAATACAAGAGGGCCACTTGAATGAAAAGCCACAGGGCAACAGCGGCCACGAATCTCCGATCTTGGTGATGATAAAAGACGTTCGAAGACACGCTATAAACGTACGCCACGGGAAGAAATCGAATCACCGATGTACCGATCACGAAGCTCCATAAAAGTGGTGGTTTGGATTGACGTTGCCGCGAAGAGACACCATTGGCAAAATCGGTTTCAGTTCTACGAGGCAAGTTGCCCTTCACAGCGTTGCGAACGATTTGCGGTACCCAGTAGGAGCTGAGGACGAAAATTCCAAAACTTTCCACAGGGGCGCGCACATCGCGTGGCCAGGTCAACATACTGAGAATCACTATCATGGAAAACAGCATTTTGAAAACATAACTGCGGTACAGCGATGAACTGATACTCGCTTCGTCAGGAATAATTGTTGGCGTCGTGCGTTCTTCCCCATCGGTGTTGCGCCGCAGTAAAGTGAATATGCTGACGTTGCGTTCGTTGACTTGCGAAGCATACACAGAGATCATGTACCTCATTTCGAAGACGGAGGCCAAGATTAAGCAAGCAAAGGAACAAACAATCAAGGGCTGGTATAATGCGGCAAATGAAGTGGTCATGACAAAAAAAATGATGGCAAGGACTCCATCAACAAGATTCATCAATGAAAGACTCCAGTATGAGATTTTGTTGACCATGGAGGGCGTGTTGGTATGTTGCATTTGACGCAACAGCAGATATATCTGGGACGCCAACAGGACGGCCCCAAGTAATAACAAGTTTCTCATCATTCGGACCTGCAGCTCATAGCGCAAACCGGCAACTCCTTTCATTTGTAAACGAACCCCGCAATCGGGAGAATAGATCAAGCCAGACGAAATATTCACGGGCGGTAACGACGAGAGATTGGCACGTCTTCCGAGCGGCCACGTCAGTTCTTGGTCGATGGTCTTTATTTGCTCCTGTGAAAGCCCCCACCATGGTTCGAGCTGCAGAAACGCCAAAAATTCACAGCTCGTGCTAGCAGCTGCGTACGAATTTTGCAAATATGGCATTGATCGAGTGTTGACAAAATCCGTGGCATTCCAATATTCTTCGACCAAAGTCTTCACCTGGTTGAAAGTGGACTCATTTTCGTCTTTTAAGTTCATGTAATGCGGAAGAGCGAAAAGAGAATGAAACTTGGCAGTTTCCGAAATGGCCAGAATTCGACCGTTTCTTATGTCGTAAATAGCCTTAGTTCGAATTTCATGTTTTTCATTCTCTGCGTAATCGGAAAAATGGATGTTCATATGCAAAAACCGCCATTTGTCGCTTTGCGTATTGTGGAAACGGATCTCTCTTTCGTAGAGTCCTGATATCGTGTCAGCTGAGAGAATTTCTACTACAATTTCACCTTCATTAAAAGTGATGTTGCGCAAACCTTGGTAGTCACCGAGATCGGATTCGTATGGTTCCGTGAAGCTGGGACGCTTTTGCAGCACATCTTGTGCTGGCTTATAGAATTCAGGTATTGGCATTGGCACCGCTACAAATTCGCCGTCGTGAGCTTTTTTGACATTTCCTCTTAACGTGCTCGTTACATTTGGCGGATAAACATTATGTCCCATATGCCAGACTTGGTTTTTGATGTCATTACTGATGGAATCTGGGATCAGTGTGTAATTTTGGTTTGCAAACCAATGTTCGTAATCTTTACCCTCTATTGGATATGTGGCATTGATTTCTGGTTTTCGCAGAACATCACCATAGCTCAGTTTGAGACCTGTGATATTGCGGAAGTTGTTATCAAAGGATAAATTGCTGAATTGGGTGTGTTCCATGTCATATTCAGCCTTAAGCGTCTGGAGCTGATTATATTCGTATTGCGAGGTAACTCCATCGCCGGAAGGGTTTGAGTATAAAATGAACAGGAACACAAACACCAGCAACAAGGTGTTGCCGTCTATCTCCATACCTGCAAAGGACGGTTCGAGATCTTACTGGAAAGCGCCTGTGCGAAGTTGTTAAACCGGCGTTGACGTGTGATGATCATCGTCTAAGGTAAGTTAAGGTATTCTAAATATCAATTTAGAGGGTCTAATCACTCAAGTCATTTAGTACGAGCATTGACTAGATGAATGGGTAGATAGATGAGTGGAAGATGGAGTAGATAAAAGAGTGCAGGATGGACTGGAGGACGCTATTGAGAATAGCGTCTACAAACTTTACCGTTTCTTCTTTAGCCAAGGAAAAACAAGACGAATGGGCCGTCGCCGTGACTTAGAACTCAAAAAAGATTCGGCTGGTGTATTATCTTACAGAGCGTAGCGAATTTGCCGCCAAGTTGACTACACTTTAGCTTTTTTCGTCCTCAAAAATAAGCCATTGAGCGAACGAACCATATCTACGGCTGTTCCTCACGGAAGCATCAAAAGCTTGGTCTCTGTTATGATCGAATCGGATTTTTGTCAGAATTTATTATAGTCACTTTTTTCGACCAGTGAGTGACACTCACTTTGAAAGGAAGTTGTTGCGATTTGAAGTTTTTTTTCGTAACTTTTTTAAAACTACCACCCGACACAGGAATGTTATCTGGCATCGATCGAGTTTGGAAGCTTGTTCAAGATCGGTTAGGTCTTAGAGGTTTCATCTGACATATCCTGGTTGACAGAATTTCTTGGCACAATGTATTTTGAGCGAAATTGTCTTGGCGTCAACCTAATAATATTGAAAACTAGTGCCTGACGCTGGTGCGTTAAAAATTGAGCTCCAGAGGCTGCAACGTACCCGTTTTTGAAATCACTAAATTTCGCGAATAGTATTGATAGTAGTTTGTTTAGGATAAGTCTGGTTTACTAACTAAGTATGAGAAAATGCTGATCCACTTTTCAAGATGGCCACCGGACTTTGAAAATACCAACTTTTTTAAAGATTGAAGCGGTCTTTTCGGTTACGTTTCAATTTGCCAGCTTGTTTAATGCTCCAAGATTTGTAAGTTACCCGTGATGACAACGTTTTCCAAAACCGATCCATTTGGTATATCGATTCTTTGGCCCTCAGAGCAAACGATAATGACTGTTCCTTTCAAGTGCACGCCTTTACCTAAAAAGACGTTACCTGTAACGGTCAAATGGTCCAGTTCAACGATCTTAGGGATGTGAGGCACATGTGCGTTGAAATCAGAAACTTTTTTGAAATGGGATCCTAGTTTAATTAGTGGATTAGGTCCAAATCTGGAAGAGTCAAGTTTCAAAGCACCATGTTCCAGTTCGAACAGGTCCGATTTCACCAAGAACAAATCGGAACATGTCTTGACAGGCAAGAAACGAGATCTGGGGACCACCACACCGTGTGCACCCTCGAAATGTCTAATAGCAGCACCGCAAGCAGTCTCTAATTGCAACACATTGATTTCGTGGCCGCCTCTCTTGATAGTCTTTTGATTTGGAATGATTTCCATTTGCAAGCTACTGGATTCGACAAGTCTCTTCACTGCCTTCAAATTAATCCATAAATTATTGGTGTTGAAGTTTTTGAACTTGCGGATATTTTTGAACTCGTCAACATGTTCCTTAGGCACTTGAGCCACTTCCAACAAACGCACTTGGCCATCGTAGGAGATCAATGTACCACCCTTCACATCGGCTCTAGTCTTGTCAGTCAATTCCATGATATATTCTGCACCGGTTTCGATCATATGGTTGAGAATTTTGAGATCGACCGTGGCACCCAAGTTGTCACCGTTAGAAACAAACAAGATTTCACGACCCTGGGCGATCAAAGCGTCCAGTTCACCAGAAGCGTGCAAAGATTCGAACAAGTCACCGTGGCCTGGGGGATACCAGGCGTCCAAATCGTCGTCGTAAGAAGATGGCACTGGCAAAAACGAATCTTTGAACACACGTGGGAAGCGCGATTGGTTAAAAGAACGAATACGGATACGGTTTCCTGTGTATTTTTTGATAAGATGTGCGGTGTCCGAGTCCGTGTTAAAAGAGTTCATCAACAACAGCGGCACATCGCTGTCGTATTGTCTGTTCAAATACTCGATCTGACGCACGGAGAGATCGAGAAATGTGTTTCCGTCGCGGACTTCGATCACGGATTTGGGGCCCACACATCCCATTGAGGTACCCAGTCCACCATTGAGCTTCAGCACGGCCAGCTTGCTGAGGTTAGAGACCTGTTCTGGCTGTTGCTTGATCACAGAGTACTCCACGACTTCTTCTGGGTTGGGCGACTTGATCCGGTCCCACTCCAGCGTGCTTCCAGAAGCTTTTTCTACCAGGTATCGTCTAAACAGCGTGAAGAACGAATCGAGCTCAAGTTCGCTTTTGCTGCGCAATTCTTCGTCTTTGACAGAATCCGCCAATCGGTTGAGCGCATTACGCATCTGCGATGCTGCAACGCTGTTGGTATTGCTTTCGAACGCATACGTCGAGTGCGTTTTCGTGTGTTTCTTAGGGGTCGACAACATCTTGGCTTTTCCTTATTCCTTGATCTTTGTTCTTGTCGGTCTTGTTGTTATTGTACTAGCTACTGCTTGTGGATAACTTTTTTGTACGTTCTTGTTATAGAATTCTCAGATCCGGTCCGATTTCAGATTTTTTTTAACCGTTCTGATCCTCTCCACCGCTAATTAACCGTGGTTTTGACTAGAATTTCAAGAAATAACCTCGAAACTTCTAATTCGTTCCTCTAGCGCTCAATAAGTGGTGAGCTCTTCTGATCTATTTTAGTACCTAAATTTCCGGGGGTCGGCTCCTTTTATACCGTCAGCCTTCAAGGAATGAAGGGTCGAGCGGTGATACAAAGGGAGACCTACACACGCGTGCACCGCAAAATTATACAACGAACACAAAAACGCCAGAGAAAAAAAATAAATAAACAAAACAAAAATACAAGAAAATACTTGAAAAATAAGGAATAATAATATTTGATCAAACCGGAAAGTATTGACTGGGAAACAAATAAAAAAATAAATCGAAAAAAAAAGATTTTGAAAAAAAAGACGGCTATTTTTGGACACCACGTGTATAACACATGACTATAGCGTGACTTGATCTTTTTTTTTCTTTTTCTTTGAGTTTGTTTCTTTTTTCTTTTTTTTCCCCTTAGTTTGCACGTGACTGTCCTGAGTAGGTTTGGCTTCCCGTGATGGTCACGGGGGGGTGGTATTTCAAAGCCAGCCTAGTTCGAGTGAGGACAAAAGACCCCATATGGTATCTGACAGCGAGCGGGTCTCAATGTCGGCGTTAACAAGGTTGTTTGATTTCTCACTGTAACGATCCCGCAGTTTTCGTGCCAGGGCAAGCGACGACGCGCGATGAGCCCGAGGTGTTTGCTCGAACATTTTGTAGGGTTTCAGCACCGACAAAAGACTGGTTATCTGGACCAATTCGCTCATGCAGTTCGAAAGCGCCAAGACCACCCGCTGCGAATCGGACTGCAGTGTCAGCCGCTGCACGACCAGCGCGATCAGCGTACTTGGCAACTGTTTCACGAGCTCCAGCAGGTTGGACACATACGCAACAATCGCTACCACAAACGGCGAGACGGTTCCTTGCGATAAAGACGTGTTTGCGTTGCCGTTCAGTCCCAGTAGTTTCTTGTACATGTCAGATTCCGTAGTGCTGGGCGCCGCGTCATCGTGGCGCTGATTGGCGTAGACACCCGGTTGTTGCGTGTTGGACGGAGGTCTATTGTTGGAATCGATGCTGTTTGTCGGATTGGTCTTCATCACAGCTGTAAGCACCCGCTGCATAGTGGTGACAAGCTGACATATGGCAAAACACAATTCCAAAATATGCTGCTCGGTCAATTCCGGCAAAACTTCTGTACATCGAGCCACTAGCTTGTGCGATTCGATGAGCAACTGCATAAAGTGCGACGAGGGCTCTTTATCGGCCGTGTTCTGAGTCTCAACGTCAGGCCAATCCACTCCCGGTCCGATTCGTGTGCTTTTGCGGCCCGTCGACAACCGCGATAGAATGTGCCCCAACTTTAAACTTTGCTGCATAATTTCAACCCTGGATCTATCATTTTCAAGACTCCATTTATCAGAACTGTAAGCAAACGTTACATCAATCAAATCGGGGAGCGGAACACTCATCAGCTTGGGGACTCCAAAAGCGCAACTTTGCAACGAATCAAAAATAGCCAGTATCGAATACAGTCTCTTGAATAGGATCTCGAATCCCTTTTCGCCAGGCGCAACAACCGGGTCCCGCCCGTCGTCTTCTTCCACCAGGTCCGTTTCATTGTATGTCAAACACCTGAATAGCTTCAGCTCATTGAATATGGTAACTGACATGCCCAAGACAAACGAATTGTCGTACCCAACAAATGCCAGCACGTAGTTCAGAATAGTGAAAGTAGCGAGATATATGAACCTAATCTTCTGCGATAACACACCATCGTTTTCGCGAAGCCTCGGATGGATGTCCACAATTCTTTGGAAACTTTCATTCAAAGCGGCAATAAATGTGGTTTGAGAGTCAAATACGTCTACAACACCGTCGCTGTAATCGTATGCCGAGCCCGATGGTTTCTTTAATGCAACTCGAACCAATAGCTCTAGAGAGTTTCGGAACCACTGCAAAACATAGCAATTGAGCTCATGAATGTGACTCACCGGCTGTGTGTTTATTACCAAAACATCGTTTGCCAAGGTGTGTTTGTTGATAGGGATGACTGGGAATGTCGGGTGGATGAATTCATAATAAAGATCTATCAGCTGATTATCGGGGATCTTACCGTAAACGACAATAGAGCGACCTATTGATCCATGAGAGTCGGCAGAAGCCTGTGAACCGCTTCTTTTATTTGTCGAAGATGCCGATCGACCCATGGACACCTTGGGTTTCGCTTGAGCAACCCCGTCGGAGTTGGCTTCAGACGCCTGTTGAATCGACGAGTGTTCACTTTGTGAACGCTTGCGATTCAAGTCGCTTTTCAATGCCCCATCGGGTACATTTGGCGCCGATACCGGAGCTTTTGTGGGCACCATCTTGACAGACGAACTGGGGGAAACAGCTTCACTGACATCGCTATTTTTACGCGAATGAAATGCAGGATTGAATTCTCGAAACTGCTCCTGGTTGCCGCCATTTTGCAAGTGTTGTGGCTGCGTCAGAATAGATACGAAGGGCTGCTGGGCGGAAGGTTGTGGCAACACGTTGTTGAACTGGGAGTACGGGTATTGCGAGGTATTCGATTGTATTGACGAGCTACGCTGTAATGCTGGTAAGTGTGCCGTAGTTCTAGGGTCCTGGAAGTCTGCTTCAAGTTGTGGGACATTTGGTGGTGGGCCATAAGAGGGCGGCTGTGGCATGGGGTAGAACGGCGATGCAGAAGACGCATTCGAGGCGGCATACGCATATTGTTCGGAACCGCGTCGATTTGACGTATCACTTGCTAGGGAATCTACCGATTCTCGCCGTTGGTACTGGTATTCGTGATAAGGAACTTTCCAGAATTGTTGTGACTGTTGCTGTTGTTGTGGCTGTTGCTGTTGCTGGTAATACTGCTGCTGATGCTGTTGTTGTTGAGCGCCTACCAGCATACCGTGTACCGTCTGCTGGGGACCAGAAGACGACGAAGACGGTAGATACTGATTTAGAGGCGGCAGGGAAACTAGGTCAATCTTGCCTCTGGTTGAGTCCTCCGGGAACGACTCCGAGCAACTGCGTTTCCGAGACCCCCACCCGCCGCCATCCACAGCTTCTGCGTCCTCTGATTGACGATTGTAGCCCTTGATGGGTCCACGTTTCATGGGGACCCGAGCAAAAGTGCAGGTTTTACCGAGTTTTTTGCAAACAGAGCACACTGCGCTATGGGATCCATCGCCGAAATCGCATTTCGTCTTCTTTTCGCGACACTGGTCACACGCACGAGACGCTTTGCTTCGTCTTCGCTCTGTGACGGGTCCCATACCATTTGAAGCAACGTCTTTATCTGCGATATTTCCCTCGACTCCTTTTAGCATTTCTTTCGAGCCTGTGCTTCCGGTAGCGTTCAGCTGCCCTGTAGCCGGCTCCGCAGACGATTCTCTTACCAAAGAATCGCTGTTTGACCCGGATTTCGCTGATTCTGACATTCCTTATAACTTCTCACAAGGGACTTGCTTGCAGTCTGCAAGTAACGCAGGACCGTGAAAACCACAAAAAAGGGAGGTAGAGGACTCTTTCGAAAGCCCTTGAAACAAAATTGCGAGCCACCACTTGATAAACTCGTGTTTCAAGTACAACAAATGGTAAATACAATAGTTTTAGAGCGTTCTTTCTGTGACAACTTCTTGATTTTTGGTATTACTTTAATGTACCCCGGATCTTTTACCTTCATTAATTTACTTATATGGTCGAAATTGGGTGAGCACTCACTTAGTACGAGCCGAGAGTTTACCAACTGTGAAAACACACTGTTTCGCCCGGGATTGCCAGAATAACTATGGTGATCAAACAAGCCATATGACTAAAAGTGCACCATCTGTTTTTCTCCGAACAACTTTTGGTAACAATCCTGAGAAAAACATCTAAAAACAAATTGTTTTGCTTTTCACGTGCCATTTCTTTAACCATCACTACCCACACATCTTACTAATTTCCAACGGTAAGCGCCGTGGCGCAGTGGAAGCGCGCAGGGCTCATAACCCTGATGTCCTCGGATCGAAACCGAGCGGCGCTATTATATTTTTTGGAAAATATTTAGTTTGACACGTGACATCATCTTTCCTTCTCATCTCGAGGTAGTTTCTCGCTAGGCAGAGAAACCGATTACTTACTGCATGCAGATCGCATCGAGACTGCAACAACCTCAGTTCAAGTGAAATTTCGAGTGAAGTGCAAGCAAGAAGAATTCCACAGTATCTAAACATCTGATGGAAGACGAAGAGACGATGTTGAGCCGGCACCGCGCCGAGAGAAAAAACCTGCAGAACCAAATCACCGGGATGAAGAAACAGGCGACCAAGTCCAAAAGGAAAGAGGTCAATGCCCGATGCGAAGAGCTCGAGTACCAGCTGCGTTTGAGACACGAACAGGAGCTGAAGGAGGTAACTCAAGGTACCGAGACTGAGAATGAGAACCAGGATGTGACACCCGAAAAACTGCTGGAACAACTGACACTGGGACATACCAGCAACGGTGATGGTGCTGCTGCTGCTGAGAAGCAGGAAGTACAGATATCCCAGCAACCGGGACCTTCAACACCACAGCCAAAAAAGAAACGCAATCGCCAACGCGAAAAAATCGCAGAGCGTAACGCGGAGATCGCTCGCATCAAGGAAGCAGCGGCTCAGGAAGCTGCAGAAATGCCCGATTACCGCAAGATGGAGCAGGATGCCCTCGATGAAATCTGTCGTCTGAATAAGCTACATCAGCACGACATTCAGCCAGACGGACACTGTCTGTTTGCATCCATTCTAGATCAGATCAGAACTAGGCACAACGACGAATGCGTTTACGATATCCCCGCTACTTACGTCGAAACCACAGCTCCTCAAGATCCCAAAGATTTCAACGTCTACGCACTGCGATCTCTCGCTTGTTGCTACATTCGGGAGCACCCAGACGACTTTGTGCCCTATCTGTTCGACGAAACCACCCTGACTGTCAAAGACATCTCAGACTACACCAAGAGCATGCAAGAAACGGCCGAGTGGGGCGGAGAGGTCGAGATTCTGGCCTTGGCCAAGGTATTGAAATGTTGTGTCTCCGTTCTCATGAGCGGCAGAGCCACTCACAAAGTCAACGAGCAAGAGTCGGCCAACCCACAGCTCAATTTGGTTTACTACAAGCACAGTTATGCTTTGGGTGAGCATTACAACTCTCTTCGCGATGAGTGAAAAATTGACATGATTAAGTTATATTAGAATCCTACTTTCAACAACAGCTTGAATGAATATATTGAAAAATTACTGACATGTTTCGATAAGTTCACACAACTCATCCGTCTTATAATTCGAACCCATGTACAGCCTGACGATAAGACGCTTCTATGCCGTAGGAGGAGCGTCAATCAGGCTAGGAAGGCCTAGCAACAACCTTACCAGTGGGATTGTGGGCCTAGCTAATGTGGGAAAATCGACATTTTTCCAGGCCATCACCAATTCTACTCTAGGAAATCCTGCCAACTATCCTTTTGCAACAATTGAGCCAGAAGAAGCAAAAGTGATAGTGCCGTCCAAGCGGTTGAATCATTTGCAAAAATTGTACGAAAGCAGTAAAATAGTTCCTGCGACGTTGACAATCTACGATATCGCTGGGCTTACCAGAGGTGCTTCAAAAGGCGACGGTTTGGGAAACAAATTCTTGAATGACATCAGACATGTTGACGGCATTTTCCAAGTTGTCAGAGGTTTTGATCAAGAAGAAATTACTCACATCGAAGGCTCGGTCGATCCAACTCGAGACCTGAGCATCGTCCAAGATGAATTGGTGCTGAAGGACCTTGAGTTCCTAGAGGGAATCAGAGAAAAACTGGGACGCAAAATGACAAAAACGGCGCGCAATTCTGTTGAGTTCAAAAATATGGACACCGAGATTAAGCTTCTGGACGCACTCGAAGAACATATGTATGAGGGCAAGAAAATCGCACATTATCCGCAATCTTGGAGCCAGGAACAAGCAGACATTTTGAATAAACACAATTTCCTCACGGCAAAACCTACGATAGTGTTGCTCAATGTAAGCCCGAAAGATTACTTGCTCCAGAAAAACAAGTATAAGCGGGACGTCGAGGAATGGATTGCGACGAATTCGCCCGGAGATAAGTTGCTACTTTTCAGCGCGGATTTCGAAACTGAGTACAACCGATTTTCTGAGTCGAAAGATCAAAAAGGGCTTGAGAAGTACTGTCGCTCCGTTGTGACTGAGTCTAGTAATGAGTTGCAATTCCAATCTTGTCTGCCGGAACTCATCGTTGAGATGAGGAAAAGTCTCGGTTTGATCAGTTTCTTTACGTGCGGACCAGTTGAGGCAAGACAATGGACCTTACGGGAAGGTAGTTTGGCGCCTCAGGCAGCAGGTGTCATACACACCGATTTGGAGAAAACGTTCATTTCCGCGAGCATAACGAAGTATGCGGATCTGCAAAAAATGGAGAGTCCCATCAAGGAGTCTCAGTTGAAAGCGCTGGCACTGGTAAAGAGAGGTGGCAAGCAATATGTCATGGAGGATGGAGACATCGTGTTGTTTAAGGCTGCGAAAGGCGATTCGAGGTAATTATTGGAATTCTTGCCCTGCGCCAAGAGTGCTAGGGAAAATATTCCGGATAGAATCCAGGTTCTACGCAGACAACTATTCATTTGTATATAAAGGTTTCATATCAGAGCATTTGACATTTTTTCTTCTCACGATTTAAATCGAAGAGCTGGGTTTATAGCATTGTCTCTAAGGACTTGTTCTCATCATAAACAGAAACATGAAGTGATTACCAAGAGCGTTCCAAAAAAATTGTGACAAACGTTTTTTGAGCGTCGAATTCTCCCGAATTCTATTGATGTTACGGCACAGCGCATGGCATTCCGCGCGATGAACAACTGTGTGGTTGTTTTTGATTGTGGTTGTCTGTGGTAAAGAAGATCTAGTTTTTCCACTATATATACTTCTATTTCCCATCATACCATACGAAAGGTAGATCAGAAAGAAGTAGGGCTATAAACTAGCTATTCTATCTCATAGACTATGGCCATCATGAAGCAACGAAATATTCAGACGTTTCTTGAGATCAGTTGGTCCTTTGTTCGCTTGTCAAAATCCGTCCATATTAACTATACACTTTGTTATACAATTGGTAGGATAACTTCTTGCAAGAGGTCGGGGACCGCTGCTAAATCCAATGTCGCTACGAGCCGACAGGGAACACTGCTTATTCAAGCAGTCAATTTCACGGAGAAGACGCCGTCTTATTTTTTAACCACTGATAGCACAGCAGAGGTATATCAGAAACTGCCACACCTAGAGTGGGTCGCCCGCAATGAGTAGGACCAGCATTCGCGAGAAAAGTTACCGTTTTAAAAGCAAAACAAGGATGGTGACAAAATCGGTTGTTTTTTTTTTGAAGAACTGTGTGCAAGCACACAACGCTCATGTAATAGAAAGATGAAGAAAAAAAAGCTGGGGAGAAAACAGAGGTCTCAAAGTCTAACCCGCAACCGCTTAGGCAGCGACGGTGACTTCGACATCCACACCAGGTTCGATGGTGATCTGGGTGATTCTCTTGACGATCTGGGCTGGGGCCTGCAAGTCGATGTATCTCTTGTGGATTCTCATCTCGTAGGTGTCCCAGGTCTTAGAACCTTCACCGTTAGGGGCCTTTCTGGTGGTGATCTTCAAGACCTTGGTTGGGATTCTGACTGGACCCTTCTTGACCAACTTGTAGTTCTCAGCGTTCTTGATGATGTTGGCGGAGACATTTTCCAACTGCTTGACCTTGGTGGAGGTCAAGGTGATTCTGATCTTGTGGATCTGAGGTTGGTCTTGCTGCTCAGCTTTTTCCTTTTGGAAGTCAGACATTGTATGGGTTGATATATACCTTTTGGTGTTCTTGACCTTTCAAAAAGGTATTCAGAACATACATCAAGATGAGTTCAACAGGCGAAGACTTAGTTTTACTGTAATGGAAGACTCATTGAACGTGAAAAATATCATTCGTCGATAGTGATTATGTGTGCGTGATAAAAATTGCGTGGGTACGTAACCGATTTATTTTTCAATGGGTCTTCTGGAAAAAAGCGAGAAAAATAGCAGTCACAAGTGAAAGTCTATTATGCAACTAGAAAATCAACAAGAAAAGTGACTGAACGATTAGGGAGCTGGCGCGACTGCTAGTGTGTGTGTGTGTGTGTGTGTATGTGTTGTAAAAGTGGGATATTTGAGGAGGGAAAGAAGACTGAGTAAGGTGCTACAATAGGTTCTCATTACATGACAGCTATATTATTATTGCTTAAAGACCGAATATTTACAATCCTCTCATACATCGTCTTCGCTCAATATGACATTTAGATGAGTACTATCGTGACGAGTCTCTGAGCAGCTGATCCACCTGTTAAAGTTTCGTTCCAGATGACGGCCACTACCAGCGCGCGCGCTCCAGGATTTTTCCCGTCGGATTTTTTCCATGAAAATCGGAAATAAATATCTTGGCTCATCTCCGTTGGAGTATTCTAAAACTCCGACGGTCCCTAAAATGATAAAGTATATCCCTTTGTACGAACGGGCTCGACCACGAAATCATAACAATAGATATCTAAATTGAATACTAATAAATACCCATGAACTAAGGGCGATGAAGTTCTCGATCTAATCACCACAATCTAGAGATCAGATTGTGTTCTTTCGTAGTCTTTTTTTGCCAATCCCAACTGCACAATCTGCAATTATATAAATCGCCCTCTTTAATCTGAAAATTCGCTTCCCAACCGTTGTTCCCCTGTCCATTTTGAGTACCTACAAGAGATACAGGATTGATAAACAAGATATACGCTCATAACCTTTTGTATCCCAACATATTTAGCATCAGAATATCTTTGTGGAGCTATTTCAGTGAAAGCCAACTCCAGAATCGTATTTTTGACCATCAAAGGCCTACTACTGTTATATATTAAGCAACTATGGTATCCGAACCTGTGAAGTACCTCAGATCAATAAAGTATGTCCGGGAAACTACCTCCCAAGTGTTCGAATTCGCGCTTGACCGCAATGCAGGCAATTACTTCGAAATGGATCTTTCCAAAATGCCGGAAGTCGCAGACTTCCTGTGCAACATTGTTGGGCGCGACTATGGCTCCGATTTTGCCAAAATTCCACCTCATGGGCGTTGGCAACACCTGAACTACGGGTCTCAGCCACGCGTGGAGAACTTGACGCAGCAATGGATGGACGCGGGCGTCGACGAGATCGAAATTGCTCGCAAACTCATTGATTTGTTTGTCCTGAGTGTTCTTGTAGATGCAGGCGCTGGAAACGTTTGGAATTACACCATTCCTGGCTCGTCAAAAGACTCGCATTCCCCAGAGCGTGTGGGACGCTCTGAAGGCTTGGCGGTAGCTTCGTACTTCCTGTTTGTCGACGGCCAGTTTTCTAGCGATTCCCAGGACTCTCACAAGGTGTGCGGCGCAGCATTGCAGAACTTGAAGCACGAGGACTTTATTAGCGGCTTTCAGATCTCAGAATCGAACCCTATGGACGGAACCGAGGGTCGCTTGCAATTGATTCAGCGCTTGGGCAGCGCGCTGTGCTCCAATGGCGACATTTTTGGCCCTGAAGGACGGCCAGGGGGTCTTGTGGATTTTCTGCACGCCAAATCCCAAACTAAAGACGGCAAGTCGCATGTCATCGACCTTGAGGATGTCTGGAACGCTCTCATGACGGGTCTCAGCTCCATTTGGCCTGCTGGCAGAGCCGTGGTTGATGGTGAGCCCCTAGGCGACGTTTGGAAGCTTGACACCAAGGCTGACGCAGTTGCGAGCAACTACGACAAGTCCACTCCAACTGGGGTTCCTTCTGATCTTGTGACTTTCCATAAACTCACCCAGTGGTTGTGCTACTCCCTCTTGGTCCCTTTGGAACAATACGGCTACCGGTTCACCATCGAGCACAAGGAGCTACAGACCGGACTCCCAGAGTATCGTAACGGTGGTTTATTTTACGACTTCGGGGTGTTGAAGTTAAAACCCGAGGCGATGGCCAAGGGGTTGCAGCTATCGAAAGAGCTTGGAAAAACCAGTGGACTGCCCACTTTTGAGCCGCAGGACGGAGCTATAGTCGAATGGAGATGTTTGACTATTGGACTTTTAGACTACTTGCTTCCTATTGTGAACAAAAAACTAGGCTACCAGCTTGGTTTGCCGCAGTTGATTGAAGCCGGTTCTTGGAAAGCAGGACGTGAAATTGCTGCCAAAATGAGACCCAAGACTAGTGGACCACCCATTGAGCTGCATAGCGATGGTACAGTCTTTTGATGAACCTGCCGGGCTCTTCCATGTCGCTAGCTACCACTAGTATGCAGGGACAATTTGGGATTAAGTCACACCACGAAGACGAACAAGTGATTAGTTGAGAACCACAAGGAAGAGCGCAGGCATGCCCTTAGGCATCGGCCGAAACTAACCTAGATTGAAGTTGGAAAAAAAAGAAGAAAAGAAAACCCAAAAATGGATTCACCGTGGCTACCATCTCGCATTTTCATCTTCAAATCGAGACGTCATGCCTCCCAGGCGTTTATCATCCATCGGTCATAACCATTCTATGCAGCTTCTGCCTACAGTCTCGATGATAGCGACAATCTCTTCAATATATGGAATGCGCTAAATCAAAGCTCCGAAGCGCAAATTTCACTTTTCGCCTGTCTTACACCTATGGGCATAAATTCCAGGAGAGACACATCAACGCACTCTTTCGAGATTGGCTTATCAGATATGATCAGGCTTCTCCTTTGAGTTATCGATGTTCCGAAAGATAGTTGACGCTCTGGCCATATCGGTTGTTCGAGGCCTAATACTGAAAATGGCGCTGGAAAATAATCTCGAAAAATATATTGAAAAATGCGGTGATGAGATGAGATAACAACTCAAGGATACAATTTGTCTATCGCGGACACTGGAAGTTGGCGTTCGATCGATCATCGTGACGCCTGTGCTTGGAGCAATTATAGGACTTCATGCACTGCGATATGATACATTCTTTTTTGAAGGGACCATGACTATCTACAATCAAGTTGGCGATAAGAAAATGCGCTGGATGAGCAGAGATGGTTTTTGAAGTTCAAGACATTTAAGAACAGTTGTTTTGTGAACAGGGATCAAGAAGCTCGCTATGGTCTCAATGTTATTCTCTTGGAGCATTAATCAACGAACACCTTTTCGAAATCGAAATACTAGCCAGGTTGCTTCCAGTCAGCTTCCAATCCTCAAAGACAATTTCCTGATTTTAGAATGAACGGACTTGAAAGTCCCTTGCCCCAAGGAGCAGGATATGCTGTTGTTGTCGGTTTAGGTTTCGTATTTGCCTTCGGTATGATTTTGACCACTTTCATGTTAAGACGGTATCAAAAGGAAATCGTGACGGCAGAAGAGTTTGCTACGGCCGGAAGAACTGTCAAGACAGGTCTTATCGCGGCAGCTGTGGTCTCCAGTTGGACATGGGCTGCTACGCTACTGCAGTCTACATCAATGGTCTACAAAGTAGGCATTTCGGGTGGGTACTACTATGGTGCAGGTGCATGTTTTCAAGTCATCGCATTTGCAACGTTGGCTATCAAGGCCAAACAAAGGGCACCCAACGCCCATACTTTTCTGGAAATCATTGATGCTCGGTACGGGAAATGGGCACATCTCACATATTTGTTTTTCGCTCTGGCCACCAACATTTTGGTCACTGCGATGCTTCTTACAGGAGGCTCTGCCGTCGTCTCAGCACTCACAGGCATGAACACTATTGCGGCATGTTTCCTGTTACCAATTGGTGTCATTGTGTACACGCTGTTTGGTGGTATCAAAGCCACTTTCCTTACGGACTACGTCCACACCGTCGTCATCATCGTCATTATTTTGACGTTTGCTTTCACCGTTTATGCTACAGACGATACCCTTGGCTCGCCATCAAAGGTGTATGATCTAGTCCGTGCAGCCGCCGCTTCACATCCCATTGAGGGAAATGCCGGAGGAGAATATTTAACCATGAGATCGAAGTCTGGTGGTATCTTTTTTGTCATTAACTTGGTTGGTAATTTTGGGACTATCTTTTTGGACAATGGGTACTGGAATAAAGCTATTTCTGCTTCTCCTGCTTCTAGTTTGCCTGGTTATGTTCTCGGTGGTGTCTCGTGGTTTGCTATACCAACATTGATATCTACATCGTTGGGACTTGCGTGTCTGGCACTAGAGTCTTCTCCTTCTTTCCCAACATTTCCTAACAGATTAAGTCCAGATCAAGTCTCTGCGGGTCTTGTTTTGCCGACTGCTGCATCTACTCTTTTGGGGAAAGGTGGTGCTGTTGCCGCTCTCATCATGATCTTTATGGCCGTTACTTCTGCCATGTCAGCAGAATTGATTTCCGTCTCCTCCATCTTCACTTACGATATTTACCGTCGCTATATCAATCCAAATGCCACAGGGAAGAAGCTCATAATGTCATCACACGCCACCTGCGTCTTTTTCGGCTTTGCGATGGCCGCTTTCTCCGTTGGTCTTTATGAAGGCAACGTTGACATGGGATTCCTCTATGAAATGATGGGGGTCATCATTGGTGCTGCAGTACTACCCGCCACTCTAACACTTTTCTGGGATAAACAGAATACTGTTGCTGTTATCGTGTCGCCGATTTTAGGCACCGCTCTCGCCATCATGTCCTGGTTGGTGTGCACCAAAAAGAAAGCTGGATCGCTTACAGTAGACACCACTTTTGAAGATGATCCAATGTTGACTGGTAACGTAGTCGCATTATTATCCCCAGCTGTGTTCATTCCAATCTTGACGTACATTTTCAAACCACAAAACTTCAACTGGGACTTGATGAAGGTTATCAAAAGAGCCGATGAAACTAGTGAAATTGAGTCAGCGGAGAACATTAATGGTGAGATACACGAAGGAGATGGCAACTCTTCGAGTTCAATAGACAAGGAAAAGTTGAGGGCCGTTAAGTCAAGCGTTTCAGTGGCGCAGGATGTGCCTAAGGAAGAAATAGATGCGATGGAGAGGGAAGAGGCTTTACATCTGGAGAAATCAGGAAAAATCGGCTCTTACTTGACTATGTTTTTTGCGTTGGCATTTCTAGTGGTGTGGCCCATGCCCATGTATGGTTCGGGCTATATTTTCAGCAAAAGGTTTTTCACAGGTTGGGTTGTGGTGCTTATAATATGGATATTCTTCACCGCTTTCGCAGTATGCATTTACCCATTGTGGGAAGGTCGAGAAGGTATTTATACCACATTCCGTGGGGTTTATTGGGACCTATCTGGTCAGAGCTATAAGCTGCGAGAATGGCAAAATGAGCATCCTGAGAAGATGCATGTTGTACAATCGCAAATTAGTGCTAGGTTGCATTCGACTCATAACTTTGAGGAAGGCAACATAGATGAGATTGTCGAATAGATATTGATATTTAGGGAAGTTGAGGATTTTAATAAAATGGAATAAACTTGCTAGTTAATTCGAAAGTAGTCTTATGCTTAGGGCTTTCTTTCACCTTGACTCATGGGCGATGAAAAATCATTTTTTTAGCTTCCTTTGCGATCAGCCAGACGGTTGTGTCACTCGGGTCAAAGTGCTAGTCTGGTAACTGTAGTTGAATAGCCGCCTCAAGTAGATCAATCTCAAACCTCTGTGTGATTTTACTCTCGAGCACGAATACTGAATCGCGAAAAGCGACTAATATATAACATGGGACTGACTCGCTTGCAACCCAACGATATGTGGGCGAATCAAATCAGTTTCTTGTCTTTGTAGCACTTTATTTCTGAATGAGAATGAGATTTTGTTTGCTGCAAACGACAGCGTATATTTCTGTTTGCGGACAATGCACGATGCAGCTAATTGAGCTTTCTATTTATCTTGCCTCTGCTCATTTGTACTTCTACGCGGAGGCTCTTCGTCATCTGAGAAGTTGAGGTCATCATCGATGTGATTCGAGGGTCCCTCTAACGATTGCAGGTCGTCTAGATCGAAATCAGCGACGTTTTCAGGATCCGTTGGAAGCTGCTGAGAACATGCTAACATGTACGAAGTATCTGTTGGTCTCCAGATAAAGGCAGTGGTAACAAACACGAAATAGTAAACCAATGAAGGCCAGAATTCTACGAAGAAGAATCTCGTCCTCCAGTGCTGTTCAACCATTTCTATTGTGTTCATTCCCAGGAACACAAACGAAGAGAGAACAATTCCTGCAAACAAAACAAACAGGGAAAAGTAAATTGTCGATAGTAGCTTTTTGTACATCTTCAGCTTAACCACTTGTCTCTGTTCTTGTAAATAACGCAAAGTCTGTGACATGGATCTCAAAATCCAGAAATAGAATCCAAGCATCGTGATACCCAAGGGAAGCAAAGTAGCCAGGGGCCAAAGAGTGACGGACTCTGGGTTAGTCAAATAACTTTGAATCAGATAGGCGACACTTGCAGCGAAATTGACGATTGCAAAAATTTGACACCGTCTCATCAACTTTTTATTGAGCTTGGGATACACGACACCGTATCCAAGAGCAATGACCAAGAGAAGGAAGAAGCTGAAGGAGGTCTTGGCTGCGGTCATAATCGAGACAAATACCATGTAAACTTTGGTACCAGCAGTGTTACCCTTTTCGTTCTTGATGTCGTAGTAAGCCCAAATGAATATCTGTTCAACGGTGAGAAATGCAAAGAACGCCAGTAGGTATTTTTGCAGTGGAAGAACCTCATTCTTGTGCTTCCAAAAGGCAAAACTGTAGAGAGCCATGGCCACAAGGTAAAAAATGGTCAAAAGTCCATATAGGGGAAGATTGTTAATTTCCGCGCCGGGCAGTTGTCCATACGCATTTCTGAAGTTCACGACTGCCGAATAGCTCGCAGATTCTTCGTTGAGGGAAGTGGCCACCACACAATAGTAGCCTGTAGATTTCACTGGATACTGTGTTTCGTGGTTTCCGGTGTCCTTCTGGTAAAAAGTCATAATTTGGGCACCTGCGGTTTCGTTTGCGCCCGTCGTTGGATCCACGATAACCTTCTGTACCAAATACTCGTTTTTGTGAGTTTCATTGCAAACACCATGACTGATAGCATAATCATCGCAAATGTAGTGTTTTTTGGACTCGATTTCAACGCCGATGTGTTGATAGTCCTTGAAGTCAAATACGACCACGGAAAGCCCTTGTTCGTCGTTTATATTTTTCAAATTGAAGGAAATGAAAGGATCTACTTTACCGCCCCAATCCTCTCGAGAGTACATTCCACTGCACACTTGATTGTCCTTATTAGAAAGCGTTACTTTGTTGGCGACCACCAGTGAAACCCATAGCCACAGCGCGCAAAGCATATTTGTTGGAAGCATGGCAGCGATGGGAATTGAGTCAAAGTCTAGGAGCTACTGATCTTATAAAGTGTACAAAAGAGTGAATTGAAGGTTGTCTTGAATATGGTGAACTTAGGAAAGAGGTTGACCAAATTCTAATTAAGCCTCGATATCACTGTGAACGAAAGAGATCTGGGTCAGAGGTTTTTTCAAAAGATCTTTGTAGTTTCAGACTTTGATCGCTGGACTTCAGTTTTCAGTGATTTAGGCGAGTCTAGGAGAATATTTTTGTAATGATCTGTGGTGCACGTTTCTCGAAGGTTTGTTCTATGATTTTTGGTTTCTATGAATTATTCGAGTTATTTACTTGATTATCTAGTCGTCAGACGGTAGATGGCGATAGAGGCTTTAAAATGAAATAATGAGGATGACGAGGTTTTTGACAGGTGTAAGGTTACGAATTAAGGGATTTAAGCATTCATTGTTAAATCTGAAGAGATTGTGGTAAGAAGTACCGGGATTCTGTGGAATTTGAAGAACGACAGATATGCTTTTGCTCACGTGATCGAGGTGTAATAAGAACTGACTGTTCATTGAATGATCAACTTGTTTGACATTTTGAAGTGGCCCCGGAGATTTCTACAATTGTCTGATGTCAGTATCACAACCTTCTAAAGTTCCTTTAAACTTGACGATAATATTTCTGGTCTTTCATTTTCCTGTTCTCTTCAATATTAATAAAATATTGACTACATATATAGTTAAGAAACGAAACGCCAGGATAAAAACACCAACATTCACACCTCAAGAATGTTTTTGGCCGGGGCAGGAAACTTCTATATAAAAGACAAAACACCTGAATTAAAGCTCGTCCATGTAAAAGCGATCAGCAAGTATTTTTTTTTTTTTTTTTCTGATTTGAAGAACCAAACGGCTCACCTTTACTTATCTCCACCATTCAAGCTCAACCTTAATTTTGTTTGACGTCGCTCACCAGTCTTCTTGCTCGTTACGCTTGAGCTCCGTTGTTTCTTTCTTGTTGTCATGTCCGTAAGCTCGTCATCTACTCGAATTTCTTGTCGAGTCTCTAGTCCCGCGCAATTAATCTACAAATTGAACTAGTATATAGAAATCTAGCACTTCACAGTCATCAAATAACCGTTGAACTCATCCCATTAACTTGAATATATCAGCCAAAATGCTAGCAAATCGTCAGCTAAGGGCTTCCGTGTGCCGCGGGTTGAATTTTGCAAGATTTCTACATATAAAAACGGTCTCTACGCCCAACGAAAATGCCTTGAAGTTTGTTTCGACAGATGGGGAACTTCTGCAAGGTCGCGGGAAACCCAGTGTGGAGCTAAGAAATACCGACGATTCACTAATCAAACACTCTCCTCTGGCCCAGAGAATTTTCGCCCAGTGCTCCGGAGTGGAGTCTATGATGATTGGCGATGATTTCGTGACTATTAATAAGGACGAAATGGTTCACTGGAGCCAAATAACAGGCGACATGATCGACCTTCTTACACAATATTTGGCTTCCGGGAAAGATGCCTTGGCACCAGAGTTTTTCAGCGTTCAAGAAAATGGCGTGGGTTACGACGTAAACGTTCCAAAGTTCGAATACAACGAAGACCAGCAGGAAATCAGCGATATGATTGAAGAACTGATACAAACGCGTATTCGGCCTGCAATTATGGACGACGGAGGGGACATCCAGTACCGAGGCTATGACCCCGAGTCGGGAACTGTCTATTTGAAGCTACAAGGTGCTTGCAAATCGTGCTCGTCCAGTGAAGTGACTTTGAAGCACGGTATCGAGTCTATGCTCAAGCACTATATCGAGGAAGTCGAGAACGTTGTGCAAATACTCGATCCGGAAGAGCAAATCGCCCTTAAGGAATTCGAAAGACTTGAGCAGAAATTAGAAAATCAGCACTGAGAGTAGCCAAAAAAACAAACAAAAAAAAATCAATTGTACATACGGTCTTATTGGAGTGCCCATTTCTGCTGCAATTTGTCCAACCTATTTCATTCACTCATTTCATCCATACAAATATCTATTTATTTATTCATTCATTCGGTCTGCTTTTCCCGACCGGCACAGTAGCTTTCGATCTTCGCTACCATCTTCATATCAACATCACTCACACCGCCAACATCATGTGTGGTCAATTGTATACTAACTTTGTTATAGCTTGTAGTCATTGTAGGATGATGGCCCCACAAGTGACTTCTCATCGCAAGTTGGTTAAGAAATGACCAGGTAGTCTCAAAATCCTGTAAAATTAAGTTTCTGGTAAGCTTGGAACCGTCGTAATTCCAGCGCGGATATGAGGCTAGGAGCCTCGATATTTCAGCAGAACTCAAGCGTTTGGCAGCGATTCTAGTGACCTTGTTGTACATTTCGAACTTGACCTTACACTATGCTAATCAGATGTATATATGTATATAGGTATATATATAAGGCTGTCTTTAAAGGTGGACTTGTTAATCTTAATGAACTTCGAATTGACTTTAACTAAACTAAATTTGAAAAGTTGATGGAAAGAGCTCTGATTGATAGGAGAGTGATTGAATGTCCTCGTGTGTATATATACTGGACGAACAACTCGAACTTCTTATCTTCAAAAATCTGAAGTCGATACCCAATCCTAAGGCTTTTGGTGAGTTTTTCAAGAAAGTGTATCGACCTAATGCAGGACCCATTATTTCGCATCACACAGGAGTAGTTTACGTTTATGTCCAGAGAGATGGTTTGTTTTACGTATCGGTGGTTTTAAGAAGCGTGGTATTCAATGTAATGGCGATCTTGGCGTATTTGAATGATTTCCATGCATTGGTGAAAAACTACGTTCATGCCGGTCAAGTAGACCGAAATAGCATTGTGGACAACTTCAATCTCCTTTACGAGCTGTTCGACGAGAGTCTGGACTTTGGTGTTCCTCAATTGACGGAATACAACATTATTCGCGATTTCATCAAAATCGAAGCCAATGTTCCTCCCAAGAAGAGTGCCAACTACAAAGCTGCCAATGAAAGTGACGAAAGCGACAGTGATCATAACAGTGGTTCTGCCTTAAAGTCAAAAGCGAACCAAGACAAAGATAGGGCCAAAAAAGATGGTTTGGAAGGTGACGAACAGTACATCAACAGTTTTATTCTTCGAGCCACAACGCAAGCCATTTCCTGGCGACCCAAGGGCATTTATTATCCAAAAAACGAGCTCTTCGTGGATGTGGTAGAAGCACAGACGTACGTGATGGACATGAATTCGGGCCAGGTACGCAAAAGTTTCATACAGGGTAAGATACAATGCCGCTCATACCTCTCTGGCATGCCAAAAGTCCAGTTGTGTCTTAACAAAATGCTCAGAAACAAAGAACTATTTCTTTCCTCAACGAAATTTCACCAATGTGTCTCATTAGAGACCCTCAACCGTCAAGATATAATAGAGTTCGTTCCACCGGATGGAGAATTCCAATTTTGCGAGTACAAGCTCAAACGGCACATCAACGATGCGCCGGTCATCAAAGTGACGGATTGTAAGATTACGAGACGCGACAAAAAGAAGAGAGTTCAATTAAAAGTTACGATAGAACCGCATTTCAAAGCCCAAAATGCTGCTAGATATTTAAAGGTTCACATCCCCACCCAGACGTTATTTCGCAATTATAGCATAGATTTGACGAAAGCTCCAAGATTCAAATGCGATTTTGGAACAGTAGCGTTCAATGTCGCGGCTCGAAGCTTGCTGTGGGAGGCACAAGGCATGAAGGGTGGTCATGGTGAGATATCTTATTCGATGCAAGTTGAATTCTACCTCTTTGACGAAGAGGAATACAATAAAAAGTTAGCTGAGCTGCAACAGACAATGGATCCACCACCGTTACGAGACGGTGTGAAGCTTGATGAACTCTATGCTCAGGCGGCCGATAGTGGAAACACCGCCGGAGAGGACAAACTGATATTGGTAGAGTTCGAGGTGCCCTACTACGCCTGCAGTGGTTTGAAAGTTGATTATCTCAAAATAGAAGAGGAACAACTGCGGTATCAGTCGTTTCCTTGGGTGAGATATAAAACGATCAACGATCAAGAGTATGCTTATCAAATATAGGGAAAAGAGTCGCTTCTTTTTAATGTTAGATGAGAATATAATCTGGGTATGTATTATTAACGGGAAACGCCATGCAATGAGAATTATTGTCACTCTTCTTCTAAATGTTTTAGAAGTTGTACCTTTTTCTGAAAATTTAGTTCACGTTCACCGAATTGTCTGGACCATTCATTTTGGATAGTTTTGCGTGCGCTTTCAATCTCTACTCTCTTTGCGTCTATGATTTCATCTTCAAAATGATTCAACATTGATGACCATCTCTTCATGACCCTGCTGGCACCTAAGACAATGCCCAGCATAGCTAGTGAGCCCATGGAATAAGCGGAGAATTGACCAGAAAGTAAGCCAAAGGTACTGCAAACCACCAAAGGCAATTGAAGCGTGAAAAATTGCTTGTAGATGAGCTTATTGACGTTTTTATGCAGTGTCGGAATTCTGTCGAATATGCGATTGCTGGGTGAAGAATCCGGCACTTGAGGCAGACTCAACTGACCACGCAAGTAATCAATACGTTCCGTTACGCCTGAACTGTCTGCAAGGTTGCAAAGTTCACGAAGTTTCAATTCCATCTTGCTTTCGGAGTAAGAATAGACTTTGAAGACCGACAACTGATCATGAACAAACTGATCCAGTCGAGGTTTGAAATCAGATAATAGATGAGTGTGAGCCTGAGTAGTCCAATCTGCAATATCGTGCTCAACCTTGAGGTTCAGGGCTCGTGCTTTTTCGTGGAGTTGTATGGCGGTGTCTGTGTTGTATATGTTTTGGACCACGGCCTTCCCGAGATTCTGAATAATCTGCGGTTTGTTGTCGAGCACGCTCCCAAAATTTTTGGTAACAGGTAAAAAGTTTGAGGCCTCGAGGTTCTTTAGGTACAGGTTTACGTTCCTTTTGCTTTCCATGAACTTCAAAACTCCCGACAATGCTTTCTCGCTGTTTACCTCACGAGATCCCAATGGTGTTTCTGCATTTGAGTCTGTCACTTTCAGAATGGGCCATTGGCTTTTAGAATCTGCCAATTGCGAATTGATGTCAAGATATAAATGACACCCGTCACTTGAAGCATCTTTCTGGAACAGAGCCGCGTCTGTTTCGTGTAGTTCTACACCATGTTCACGGAGCCACGGTGACGGCAGCCCATATACTGTTGTTTGTCCCTCTTTTTGCACGTCCAGCGCTGCCGCATACCTGATGAGCCTGGCGCCCGTTTTCTGGGGGTCTGGCCCGTTTCTATATCTGTTGTGAAACTCCCGAAACCAGTATTGGTCTGTAGCGTAAACGTCCGCCAACAGAGCACTCAAGAACGCGGAATCTCTCTGTGACGTCAGGGAACCAACAACCACTCCGCATCGGACTGTTTTGGAAGCTGTCATCAACTCCAGTTTCGTGGGGAGTCTGGCAGAAACATTCTGGCTTTCACAATTTCTATAAATTCTTGCTAATTGACCCCATTGGTTATAAAACCTTCGACTATTGCTCAGTCGTCCGAATATCATCTATCAGTATAAAGATGAGCCAAGAAGTAGTTCAAAAACAGCCGAAAAAAGAGGATCAAAAAAGGCGTAAAAAGGCCGAATGAATCTACAAAAAAAAATTTAGAATTGAACTAGAGCACCTACCGATTGAAGCTAACGTGTGACTCAAAATTCATTGAGTTGATGTTCATTTTTATACAAAACGATGATTGGCTTTTTAACGTTATAACGATGTAGTTTTCCAACCTAATATATTTTGACAAAAAACATCAACAGTCATGTGACCTAAATTAGAGTTTTCGTGATCAGTGATGTACTGGAGAGTCGTAGTATAAAATTCAAGATCGCTGTTGGGCGATTGCTATTATGCTGGGTGTGATTCAACCCTTGTTTATCATTTTCAAGTAGGATTAACTGCTTTATTCTTTTCAATAGCCACAAGGGTCTGCTTTTCAAATTCAAAAAGTCCAATTTCGTTTCTTCGAAGTCTCCAAGAATAGCAAAAACTTTACAGAGATGATGCAAGCCCTGCATCTAAAATGCGCCACATGCTCACAGGGGAAAGGATAATTGTTCAGTCCGTCCAACGAATTATAGCTTTATTCTCTGACTCGATTGATGAATTTTTCGTTACAAGTGACCTCATTGATCGTATATAGCTACATTGATCGTTTCATTCGTTTTCAATCAGTAAAGGAGTCAGGAGCTGAGTGAATCTTAAATGATCGTTGCGCTCAAAAGATGGTCCCGTAGAAAGACTTCAGAGGACACTTACGAACCGAGTTCCTAATATATATATGCGAAGATAATTGTTGGTCATTGTGTACGACATGTTAAGCCGCTGTTCTCTTTTACGGCACATAATTATTAGGTCATCTGATATTGAAATGCAGTTTTCATGAAAAGTTGGTTTTAGGCCTGTCAGATTGACACACTGTTAATGTTCTGCAAAATGTCAAAAACATTAAAATGTGAAAAAATGATAGTTTTAAAATTCAAAGAGTTCATCTGCGATGATTTGGGCTTCAATTCAAATGGGAAATCATTATGAACAAGTCTAGGTGCCATTACAGATTTGAAACGGAATTGCACATTCATATTTGGTTTGGAAAAAGATCCGATCGTGAAACTGCAAATAGAATGAAATTATTGCTTCTGAAGGATATAGCTTCCGTACAGATTACATAGCGATGAGTGTTGGCAGCCCGGTCTGTCTAGAAAATATATATAGTCTTGTACGAAACGCTATTGGGAATTACTGACGCTGCAAATGGTGAATTATAAGAAAAAACACTGACGCTTCAAACAAGCAGAAAGACCTTGAATTTTGACAAGACAAAAAATACTCGCCCACCGTGTGTTAGCAACCATTACTCTTTTAGCGGAACTGAGTGGACAGTAATGAGTACATCATTTTTCGTATCAAATGCATCTTGCTTAGCCTTACATCATCACAAACGGAAGATCAGCAGCACGTGATATTTTTTTTTTCGCTCTCTTCTCTGAGTTATATGAGCCCAAAATTTCAAGATTAAGCTCAGCTAGCTAGCTCATCGCATCCCATCTCGAAAGATAAGTCGAACAGTTTGCTAATAAGAGCCCTTGAAAGCTTGCGAGTAGAGTCTTGCCCTTAAGCAGCGGACATTGGGCATCAGAAATGGGGAGAGAAAGGCTTGAAAAAGAGCCCGTAGGCGACATACCAGAGGACATCGCGCTAGCTGTGGAAGCATTGACGGAGTTGAAGAATTCACATGGACCAGGTGGTGGTCAAATCCAGGAGGGGCATGAGCTTCGAGAGCCACCATCACAGCAACAACACCAACCTGACGATACTTTACTTGCCAAGGTGAGAACTAACGCACTGATCGATAATGCAGTGAAGGTCTACAAGAAGAGTAAAAACCAGTACCCAAGTTTTCGGAAAGGTGCGGAAATGGTGGAACGAAAAGCTTTGCTTCCTATGGTCAAGAGATTAGAAGAACGGCGCACAAATAAGCGACGTCTTGAAAGTTTAGCACGGCAAGAGGCCGGAGAAATGCTTGGAGTCGAGACGGAAATTGAAATAGACCAGGAAACAGAAAATGGCGAGCTTCGGAGTTCTGGACCAAACAAATCTAAGAAACAGAAGATAACAAATGCAATTGCCAAGTCCAAAAGTAATTTGAAGGGATACCAGCTCAACATGTCAATTGAATCTAAAAAACGTCTGGTAACGTGTTTACATTTGTTGAAACTCGCGAATTACCAATTGTCCAACCGTGTAAGCTTTCTGCAGGATTTGGTGCAGAAAGAACAACAGCTAAGGCGAGGTCGAATACGGGAATACAATACTGGTCGCAAACTCAAGAGTCGGAGTGAAAAAAGCCGTAGCGGCAGTAGGATATCTGAAAAGAGCCATAATAATGATGAAAATGAAAACAGCATTAACCATGAAGATGATAGAAAAGATGAAGATAAACGCACATCTGATACGGAGGAGGAAGATGGAGAAGAAGAAGAAGAAGATCAAGAAGAAGGCGATGACGAGGGCGATTGTTTTTACGACGCGTCAGACAAATTACATGAACAATCAGACGTTGTGAAGATGGAAATTGTAGGAACGGTGAAAAAAGTATACTCTCTCGTGTCGAAATTCACCGGCAATTCTCTCCCTGAACCGGCACGGACTCAAGTCCGGGAGTCTCTTTTGCAACTTCCCTCTGCCTGGACAAGTTCCATGAATTCTGATACGCTTTCAAAATACACCAATTCCAAGAGATTGACTCGTAATGGGAAGGTTTTGATTCTGGCACAGGAGAGTCTTGGAATGGTGCACAGCGTAATGGATATCGTTGATGGTACACTGGGAAAAGCAGAGGAGTGGGTCAAACAAAAGCAAGAAATCAAAGAGCTGCTCAAGGAGCAGTATCTCAGCAGCAAAATGCGTGAATCGGCTAGGGAAGCTGTTTCTAAAGAAAAGGAAGTAAATTAATATTTGTACACATTACTAGAAAAAGATCAGATACAGAATGCACACAACACAGTTGCGTGGGTTAGCCATGGCATGAGAAAGATGTTTATTGTCAATTTTGCAGGGCCTTCAATCTTTCTCGCATTTCATTGAGCATGACGTCGGCTTCGTCATCTATTTGGTCTTCGGGAATTATGGCTTCGGGTTCAGACTTTGTAGGCAGCTCAGAGACAGGAGCACGAACGACGCTATCCAGTTTGTTGGACGTGTATTGTTGCACAATTTTGTCGACTTCCTGGTCGGCCTCTTCTTCTGCTTCTTCGTCTTCGGTCATCTCCATTGTGTCATCGATCATTTCGCTGATGAGCCCGCTCTTCACCAGCTCTTTCTCGAGCTCCAGCATTGTTTGCTGCATGTACGGAAGTCTCACCAGTGAGTTTACTTCGCGCATCAGCACTGCTGATGATGCCATGTTTTCCTGCAGACTTTGCATCCGGAACGCTTCTTCGATTTTCATGCCCACTGACTGTAGCTGTGCTTTGGAGATGTACATCCTTTGATACTGTTTATTGATCTGGTAGAGTTCCTTGGCATATATTCGCACCGACCTGGTGTCATTGTGCTTTGCTGAGCGTTTGATCAGCGCCTGGGTCTTTGTTTGTAGTGCATTTAGTTCTCTTAAAGATTTGTCCAGGGACCTGCCGTTTCTTCTTACAAGTTGTCGGATTTTCCGTTGTTGTTCTTTCGGGTCGGGACCCCAGATAGCTTTCTTGAAGTAATCCATGCCTAAAGAATCAGCTTGGGACGTGGAACGATGGAAGAAGGAAGAAATGTCAAAAGAGCAAGCTTGATTTCTTCGAGTCTTTAAATGTGTATGTGTGTGTTAGTGTTGGTGTGTGGCATCGATTAAGGCTGCCAATAATTTAAGAATTGATCAATTCTTCGAGATCACATGACCCGTGATCGGCAATGGCTATACAACTTGACCAGAAATTTGGGAAAGACATTTGACTCTAGTGGTTCTTTCAACCGACAGTCAACGATTAGATAGCGTGGGATCGATTGTTCTTGTAACGTGGGTCTAAGGAGAATCTGTTTTCTTGCAAAAATCAAATACATGTGACTTCCGCAAACCAGTATATTGCTCCAAAAACCTCTTCAATCAAGCTCCAGTCCGATATAGTGTAACGGCTATCACATCACGCTTTCACCGTGGAGACCGGGGTTCGACTCCCCGTATCGGAGCTTAATTTTTTGTTTAATTTTTTTAACTATTTATTTAGCTATCTTCGAGAGCGCTCAGCTCTCTATACAATATTCACGCATTAAGAAGAAATCATACCAAATCTCACCATCAAAGCTTCAATTGTTCATCAAAAAGCTGGATTCTTCATTTTCTCGCTACCAACACCTATTTCTACACTATTACTGAAGCTATCAATCACTATCTTAACCGCCTTTACTATACCTTAACTTTCCTTGAATCTTTACCATATATCATCACCACTATAAACTCTAATGATTCTGAAAATTTTTGAATTGCAACAAGAATATTCAAAATCTTGTGAACAATTTGAACAGAATCGCTACAAGTAGGTGATTGTAGAGACTTCTTAACAGCTTCTAACCTCTTATCTGAGCAATTGGATTCCCGACCACCAAAAGAACGATGGTTGCACAGCAAATTGAGGCCTTAAATGTGTTGATTAAGCTTCCACATCAGAAGGACGAAGTCCGGTTGAAATTGGTGAAATCCTCAACAGCGCAGATATTGAACGATGCGCTGCAGTTCTCGTCCTCCAAATGTCTGACAAACCTGGATTTCTACTTCAATGGGAAGAAACTCACAGGTGAAGAACGTCTTCTGGATTTGGCCGCAGAAGACAACTCACTCAAATTGGATGTCAAATACAAAGCTTACACTACAAGAGACGCATTGAGACACATTGTGGCCGTTCGTGACACCATCGGGTTTGCTACGGAGACCCAAGATGGAATGTCGGATTTTGCAGTATCAACCGGTAACCAGTTTTGCGATATGCCACTTGAACCCGTGCAAAACGCGGCCAGTTCGAAAACTCAGTCTACAACGGACTCATCGTCGTCTAAAGATGGCCAAACCGAGTCTGCGGCGTTCGATCTTTCGCCAGAAGAAGCACAAAAGTTCCAGCAAACTGTGAAAGAGGTCTTGTCCCATTCCAAGTCCATGAGGGAAATCATGACGACCAGATCATCGATCGTATCGCCTTGCGTTCGCTCTTTACAACTTTCCAGCTACAATCCGGTTCCTGCATTTTTCAAGTCCAAGGGACACTTGTTATATCTACAAATCGCGACTTTGGAAGGTGAGTCTTTTCATGTGACTGCCACCACCGGCGGGTTTTACGTCAGTAAGTCTTCGGCCAATAAGTTCGATCCGGCTGCCAGAGACGAAAACTCGAAGCTCTTTGTCTCGTTGATAGATGTCCTCTCTTCGCACTCGAAAAACTTTGGCGAACATCTTAAACGCTTAGGCAAAAGAGTTAGCGCGGTGGACTCTGTTTGTCACGCCAGACCTTCCACTACTTTCTTGTGCAAGCCCTGGATGGTCTCAACTTCGCCCAACTCTACGGGCGACTATTCTCGCTTTCAATTGAACGAAAGCGATCTCAACACTGAGAGAAACTTCAACGATGAATTCCAAGCCATCAAGGACATGACTTCTGGTGACTTCCAGTCAATCATTGATAGTGAGAAATTGACGGCCAAGGTGTACCATGAATTCACCGAAACAGCTGTCAAAGACGCCATGTCTATCTGCAGTCACGATCTTGTGCCTATGAACCCCGAGGCACCTACTCAAGAGCAAATTTTCTTAAAGAACAACATTTTTTACTCGTACGTGGCAGATGTCAATGGCAGCTACACGTCGATTGGTGGAGACGCTGCCGCTTTCGCAGCTTCCAACCAAGACCTACAAACTGTTAAGCTTTTGCAGCGTGTGTCCCTTTCAGAAGTCCACTACTTGCTATGTGCCGTTGTAGATTTTGGTGGACGCAGAGTCTTGGCCCAAACACCCGTCCCAGGTCTTTTGAGTGCCATGGGCTCAGTTACCAAGTTCAATCCTGAGTCTGAAGAAGTTGTAACAGAAGATCTGAATTCCGACGTCAATGTCGTATATGGTCTTGAAGAATCAACAGGCGAAATCCTCTACAACCAGGAATTTGACGACGCTCTCGAGTCATTTTCACAGCTTCTGCATCTAAAATCACACAAGATTGGGAAGGCTGACATCAAGATCTCATCGCATTCCAAGGGCATTGTTGGAGCTGACAAACGTAAATACATCCTGGATCTTGCCAACTCTCATCCTCTTGATGTGAACTTCGTCAGAAAATTTTACGACGGAGTTGAGGAGAACGAACGGTACCCGCACAGACAAGCATTGATTAGAAATGATCTTGTTGATAAATGGTGGGCTAACAAAATCGAGACGGCCGGTATAAGTTTTGAAAAGGCCTTCGAAGAAAAGATGTTCGCTTTTAACACTGATGCTTACGTTGTTGAGGGTATCGAAGACCCCTTGGTTGAGGAAATATCCAATTATCTGACAAACGAAGTCATCACAGAGGTGGTGAAGGAATATGCCTCAGGAAGCACTTCTGCTCCGTATGATGGTGATCATTTGACAGATTCTCTGCACAAGAATGGTATCAATATGCGTTACCTAGGCCATGTGGTTGAACTGGCAGAAAAAGAGCTAAAGGAACAAGAAAATAAGCACAAAGCTAAGCTAGCAGAGGTAGAAGCCGGAAATCAAGAGTATGAGAATTGGGAGAAGGAATATTTGGTCAAGATCGAAGGCCTTATCAAAGAAAGACAAGCCAAAATCAACAAGCTAGTAGGAGAAGGAAAGGACATTCCTGAAGAACTGAAGGGTGATTTGAAGCTAGATGACAGCGAGATAAGAAAGCCCACAAAGAGCGAACCAGTTGTAGTCAATCGCGACCATTTGTTGTGCTTGATCAGCGTGGGTCACTTGGAAATCGCCGCCCGTTCCTTAAAGCACGTTTTCCGTGATTTTGCCAGAGACCTTCCTGTTTCGGTGATTTCTAGCCTTGTCGCCTACTTTTTCAACCTGCTCTTTGGAAGTCGATACGAAGAAGCACCTCTACCAGAAATCTTGGATGAATTTTATTCTCAAACCGAGTTTTCGTTTTCGAAAATCACTCGCGCTCAATTGTTTGAAGCTGCCAAGGAGCAGGCACGTAAAAGATTTCGTTTTGATCTCTCCGACCAAATTTTGGAAGATCTGTGCCAGCAGTCGTTTTCTTTGATGAGAGCGGTTTCCAAGAAATTTGGTGTCCAGTGGGTGAACAGAGATTATTTCTTCACGATGGAAGACTTTGAGAACTTCAAACAAACACAAGACAAAAAGATCAGAAGCAAGCTTACCGCTCCCAAGTACACCTTTTCTCCTACTGACTTGGCAGTCATTCCTGTTGTGAAAGACGGCCAATACCAGTCCTTGTCAGGGGATAACTTCTGGACGCAAGGTTCAACCTTGCTGAACGAAAGACAGGAAGACGCGCTTGTTCTTTTGAATCAAGCTTTGACCATTAAGGAAGAGGTCAACGGTATTGTGCACCCTTCGGTTGCCGAATCCTACATGGCAATTTCCACAATCTATCACACTCTGAACAAGCTACCAGATGCCGTTTCTTTTTGTCGGAAAGCTTGCATCATCTATGAGAGGACAAAGGGTACGGACTCTTTTGAACTTGTGAGATGTTTGACCAATCTGGCCATTCTAGAAGTCAGCAACAAGAGTCCTTACAACGGTGCTTGTGTTTTGAATCGGGTGGTGAGCACAGTGAACGCCTTAAATTTAACTGTGCATCCAGCCATCATTAACGCTTACACAATGTTGCAACAGGCTTCTTTAGCTTCCAAGAACGCTCCTTTGGCAATCGAAGTCATGAAGAAACTTTCGACCACTATACTAAAAATTGAAGACGGTCACCATTCGATTGCATATGGATACAACCAATCTCGTATCGGTGATCTTTGTGTGACTTTGAAGGATTACACTAGTTCTCTAAAAGCCATTTCGGACGCAGAAGCGGTTTTCACCAGAGAGCTTGGTTTGAATGATGAAACCACAGCTCAGTGCAAGCAATGGGTGACAGGTTTGCGTAATGTTCTTCAACACCAAAAGCAGCAGCAAAACCTGTCCCAGACACAAAGTGCTGTCAATTCGGGACCAACTCCTGCCACTACCAGAAAGGTTAAGGCTCCAAAGGCAGTCAAGAAAGATGAAAAGCCAAACCTAGAGTTGGTCAATAAGTCTGTCGATGAACTTTTGAACTATATCGAAGGTGACTCTGCCAAAAAGTCGAAAGGAGGGAAGAAGAAGAACAAAAAATGAATCGCTTTCTCGCTGTCGTTATATAAAGAGTACCCGCGAACATGTAGATAGTATTACAAACTTATCGCTTGTCATGTTACAAGCTTTTCAAGACAATGTTCATTGCTGTTTTCCAAGGTCTCGTTCAACCTCAACCTATTTGAAGATTTCACGGACGATTAGCATGAATGCTGGGATTAATAAGTTGTCGTTGAGTACACTATTGCCTTCCAGAAGTCCCGAAAACAGACATATAGACAATAGCTTGAGGTAGGAAACATCTGTGAATTCTCCCAAAAAGTGCTTGAATGACAAGCTGCAGAAGGCGGTAGCTACAACAAAAGCCAGTGTTCCTTCAAAGGTCTTATTTGTGCCTGGCCATCTGTGACGACCCCATCTGTTGCCGGCAATAGAAGCCAATGAATCTCCCAAGCCCAGGCTGATTACACCGACCATGGACCCATTGATGAGAATGGGTGATGCCACACCGATTACCAAATAAATATATGATATGATGATGGGCCCGCGTTCATCGCGGAAATCGGCAAACGATCTCAACTTTGAGTCAAAATAATCTCCGAATGGGGCTAGCTTCAAATATCTCAAATACTCCACTGCTAGGAACGATACCATAGTACCAGCAAGCGCTATTTTGACAAATTCCGGATCTGCCTTGAGCGGTGGGACTATGAGCATGAGGACGATGAAATGCCAGATTTTGCGGGAAGAATTGAGGGAGAAGTTTGATTTGAAGATCATGATGTTGGGAATCAATAAGAGGAGACCAACAAGCCAACTGAGAGTGATTTTGATTCTGGTTGATGAGGATGTGATGTAATAGTTAAGCCAAACAGCTGGGTTCTCACCGTTGATCTGGAAATTGTGGATCACAGTGAGAGGAAAAACACATACAAATGTGATAAGAAGAACAGCAGACCTCAGATACGTATTGCATCTTGACAACAACTTCATAAGCGGGTAATTGACGCCCATCGCAACCAAGAACCCAATGAGGACATTTTTCAGGACTTGGAAGTAGATTTCAGAAGAGTCAATGAGAAACAGCACGTTTGTTAGAGCGATACTAAAAAGATTACACTCAACACGATCGAAGCTCTTCAATTGGCCCACTTTCTCGAGACTGAAAGCCAAAAAACAGTTGAGACCCAATGCCTTGAGTACCTCAAACTTTTCGTGGTGTTGATCATTGATCAAGACCATGATGGCTTGGATTGGTAGACGCATGTATGGGGCCATTTCTGCACAGTTAAACGTCATAGCAAGGTTCAGAATCGTAAGCTCCCGTGCAAACAGCAGCGAGAGAAATGTAGGCAAATATAGCAAGTACAAAACGTTGAAGCTTGGCAAAACTTCAGCTTTTCGCACGGGCAATGAGCCATAGAGACCGTTATTTGAAATTCTTGTTCGATAAGAAACTCCGAGACCGATCAAAATAGCCACGCTTGTGGAAAGCATGCTATGAAAGAGTTCAAGGTCTTGTTCACTCTGTGCAAACTTCAAAAATGCCACATGAACAGTGCTGCCAAGAATGGCCAATTGTGCCACTTTTTCCGGTGTTGTGAACGTATCAAACACCGAAAAGTCTTCGTTTTCACGCTGAATTGTCTCCAGCTTATCCGAACTGGTTTCTGCCATGGTGAGCCTCGATCAAAACGCAGCAAATGACTCAGTTTTGGAGCTTTCTTGCAGTTTCTCAAGTTAGTCTTCAGAAGTGTTCTTAAATTTACGATTTATGAAAGATACACACGAGATCTAAGATTGTAGTTATACAAGACTTCGACGACACGAAAATGAAAACGCACTGAATTTGGTAGCTAGAAGCCAAATCTTGAGCTTCTGAATCTCTTTTGCAGCTCGCTACTTTTTTGAAGTTAAATGCTCGAGAAATGGTCATTGTTAATGCCTTTATAATCGAGGTAATGGAACTATTGTCATTTCCAAGGTAATGTGGCATCATAATCATCCGTTTGACTTATGGTCATTGAGGGATCAAATGCGAAGTGTGGGTTGTCATTCCGAGGGTAAGTCTGATTCTTGCGGCTGGCGCATTAATCCTTAATGCCCTTTCTTTGATTTAAGAATTTTTCTCGAAAGTCGACAGATCGCAGGACTTTTCATCGTTTCGAAATTTTATTCGCAACTACATGCACGTCAAAATTTGTCTTGGAGTTTGAATGAGTATCAAACTTTCAAGATTTTTGATGGTAGACCCTGCGACCTCGATTTCAGCGTATCGTTAGCGCATTGGACGCCTAGCCGTAAGAGAGTCCTTTTCTCAAATGAATAGCCATTTGAAAATCTATCACAAATTCACGATACTTTAGACGAGATGTGCTTTTTGCATGTGGCTACGAGGCAGACAATTCCTATTCGTATTGGCTCCGTGTGCAGCATTTTGAGTTCACATTTTCTATACTTCAACCTAGCAAAAACTCGCAATCAATCCCTCGAATGCGGTTTAGACATGTTAGCTAACTCAATCTGGTACAGTTCAACCAGAATTTGCCCTCTGTAGTCACCACTCATTGTGCCCGAGAAATTGAAAGATGTACTTTCTGAGTAGCCCATTTCTCAAAATTCAAGTCGACTTTTCAAGACTGCCTGTCACAAGAGCAGCTCACAATCACGATTGCGCATAACAAGGCACGTTTTCAAACTTTCGAAGGGATTCAATTCGAAAGCGTTTTGTCAGTTTGCGAGACCAGTTTTATATTCAAAGATGTCGACAAAAATCGGCGTTGCGATAAAAGCAGACCTACATGATTGATAACAATGCAAGCCATCTATCCCACTCGTCAGGAGCTCTTGTTTGATAAAAGACTATGATACTGACTTAGCTTAAAGCCCTGAGTTAACATAGCTCATCTCGATTCAATTGACGAAGCCCTACTAAAATTGATCATCCGTGTTACCCGGCCTTTCTGTTGAAAAAGTATAAAAAGAGCTGAAAAATTTCGAATAGGACTTTCCCTCCCACCACTCACTTGACAGATAAACAATCCTACCAACAGCAGAAAAACATGGATAAGAAGCCTTGACTATGGAATGAACTGCGTTCACTATTTGAGGAAACTAATAGGAAGCGAAGCTTTGTCTTGAGAAGAGCATTATCACTGATGACCAAGATTAAAATTTACAAACTAGAGTTTCTGAATTATAATTTGTGATTAGAAACTAATCGCATTATCTGAGACTGTGTTCTTGGACCAGTACAGTAGTACTGGCGCATACTATTCACTTTTCTCGAGTGGTGTGGTGATTTTCATTTTCCAACCGCTTTTTTTTTGCTTTCGTAGCCACCGAGTTTCTTTAATGATGATGGAACAAAAACAAAGCTGGAATTACTGGCTGAACGATTATATGTTGATAAGTTTTTGCACTACTTCTGAATATAAACTCGGTGCTCTACAGAAATTTTTATCGAGTGTTTGCTCGTTGCGTTTGCTCAACGTATTTGCCAAGTTTTTTTTTTTGAAGGAACAGGCGTTTTTTCAGAACTATGCGAATTTTGGCGAGTAAACGTATGCCTCTTTTTCTGAAGAATTTTGAAATGAAGATGCATAGCACTGGGCACTGATTCGGCTTTCAAAAAGAAAGTTCGTTTATGAGTGATACTGCTTTTAGTGGGCTTAGAAACCCCACGCAACTGACTCTGGATTCTATCAGGAAAATGTGAGGCCACGAAAAATTTCTGTTCTGAAAGCTTTTTCCCATCGGTTAAAATCTCTACTTGTGTTCCTGGATGATATTGCAAGTTTTGAACTTCCCCCCTCAAACACCACTAAAACTTCCATTATGTTCGGTTTTTGCGTTGTTCTCAAAATGATGATATTTTTAGATGACGAGTCTGATCGAGGTTTTTCTCGCTGAAGACACAACTAAATTATATTCCATTCATGCAATTCTGATGTTGAGCTCAAAACGCAAGGGCTTTACATTTTTTAAACGTTTTGCATGGTTTTTTTGTTTGGGGGCACTGATCATTAGATAATGATCCTGCAGTATTGTCCGGGGATACTTTGGGAAAGTGCTGACAGAAGTTTCTGTCATTTGGTGGCTGGAGGGGTTATTTTACTTTTTTGTTTTTTGTTTTTCTTTGGTCGGTAACTGCAGAAGATGATACGAAAGAAACTAAAAGACAAGCATATGTCTGAGTTTTCCTTGAAGATAGGTTTCATTCACGTCTGATGCAGAAAGTCTTATCAAAAAGAGCTTTTTAGCGGCTCTACCATAAATCGACAGGTTTCCCAAAGGTCACAGACGGATTGATAGCTGGTGCAACATGTGCAACATGTGCGGTATACGGTGATATCGCCTCTTTCTTGTTTATGATGACTTTCCACTTTTCACGACGGTCAGCTGTTTCTCTCTTTACTTGTTTGGTTTAGAGATGTTGATGATAATATGCCTGTGACAGGGCGTGGTACTGAGCAAGATTGAGGAAAAACGAAATTTATCGATGTTACCCGTCAAATTTTACGCCGAATATTAGATGCTTGAGAACAAGCATTGCATCCAGCTACCCATCCAGTCTCGTTGGCCTTTGGGATATGAATGCCTCTTCTCTCACATTCGATTCAAACACAATGATGACAAGTAACTAAATTATTGAAATCTTTTTTGATGAAAAGAGACTCAAAAAAATTCGATTTGCATGTCAGTCTGATACTAATTTTCCCTGTAGATTCTTACCAGAGACAACAACTGTCTTGTTATGTGGGCGAACATCTGTAAATGAATTGTCGCGATGATAATGATGCCCGATTAACTGATTTGTATAAAACTTATCCAATTCAAATAGTCTTTAAGAAAGAAGTAGTTTCTAAGTTCACTTCTAAATTTCAACCGGCGTTATTTCTCACTGTTCAGAGAACGCTAACCATTCTGGCCGTTTGATAAAGCCTCTCGAGCTGTCCGGTTTGTCTTAAAAGTTGGTCTCTTATTCTTCATAACGAAAATTTTATAAGTTTAGCTTGAAATTTGAAGCTCATCGCCTAGCTCATCGCCTAACTTTATAAAAACTTTAGAGCTAAAGATATATCCCACACAACCCCAGAATGCCCAAGGAGAACTTAATCTTCAAGCTAGACAATCTGGAATATCAATTCCACCATCTGAATGGCACTTTGAATGATTTCAAGCCCCGGTTGAAGAACACCGCACGTACATTCAATGCTAAAGGAAAGAAAACGTCAAAAAAAATCAGCAAGCTGCTTGAGTCTGCGAATTTGAATGAAACCAATGTGCAATTGACGTCTTTGCGAGCTGAAATTGTACAGAAGAAAGCATTTCACTTGGAAAACAAGTTGACAAGCTTGCTAGAGAAAACGCTTCAACAGCAGTATTCCACTCTTTTGAAAAAACACAACCAGAAAAACGAAGATAAGCTCAAAACTCTCAAAACGCTTGACGAAAAATACACGTTGCCCGTTTTCTGTAAGCTGTTTGCGAAATCGAGGGTTTGTAAGCTTCTGGTAGCTAAAATCACACCAACCAAGACGGCCAAAGCTGATCCACCAGTCTGGTTTAAAGACAGTGAGTATTTCTTAGCAGCTCAAGATAAGACCCACACTTACAATCCAAGTCGTGTTTGGAATGAAGTGGTGGTATCCACAAGCGGGTGCGAGAAACTTCTCAGCCAAACGATGGCCGGACCCAAAATCAAAGAACTGATGTCTGCTTTTGACAGTGGCATGGATATGTTTCTCAACAATAAAAAAACCAAAGAGGTTGAGCTTCCGAGCGTGTCTGCGAAGAAGGAAGAAGCCGAAGAATCGGACTCAGATTCAGGTTCTGAGTCTGAAGAAAGTGATGATGATGGTTCCAACGCCGAAGTGCCTGAAGATGTTGATGAGGATGAAATTTTGAAACAGTACGAAGGCTTGCTAGTAGGTTCAGATGACGAGGATAACGATGTTGCAGCTTCATCTCTCGATCCCACAATAAACTACAACGAGATCACGGACGAAGAGCCAAGTGAAGATTCCGAGGGAGAAGACGACCTTGCGTCGAGTGAAGACTCAGACTCAGACTCAGAAGACAAGCCTGCGTCCAAGCGTCAAAAAACTGAAAAGGCGCCAGGAAAGGATAAAAAAACCACGAAAAAGGCTGTTTTGCCCGAATTAATGGCTGGCTACTACAGTGGAGGTTCAGATGATGAGTTTTCAGACGCTGATGTGGCGCCGGAACCGATCGATAATGCTCCTAAGCGCAAGAACAGAAGAGGGCAACGTGCGCGTCAAAAGATCTGGGAGAAGAAGTTTGGTAAGACCGCTAACCATGTTCAAAAGCGGATGCAGGAGGCACAGTCCGAAAGACAACAGAGACAAGTCGAATACGAACAGAGGGTCGCTAAGCGTGAAAGCAAAGCTCGCGAAAGAGAAGAGGCCCAGGCTCGTCATAATAGCGAACAAAAACGTCCTGAACAGATTTCAAAATCCACACAAGTCCATCCCTCTTGGGAGGCAAAGAAGCAGGCAGAAGAAAAACAGAAAGCCGCCAAGTTTCAAGGTAAGAAGATCGTCTTTTGAGACTGCCCCAGTGCCTCAAGAGAAGACGAACACATTGTGCAAGCTCGAAAAATTACAAATTTGGCCTAGTTGTGTAGTATATATCATAAATAATATAAGAGGCTGGAAGTCAAGAATAATAAACGGGTCAAAGATTGAATACTAAGCTTCAATTTCTCCAGTGAGGGGATCTCTCTTCTTAAATGACAAAAGTAGATCGTCCTTAGGGAAAATAGTGGCAAACACTTTGATCTTTTCACTCAATGGAGTTACCTCATGTTCCCAGTTGGTGTACATGGCAAATTTACCAATGAGAGCCGTGAAAGTCATCATAACGTAAGTTTGTCCCAAGCACACATGTGGACCGGAACCAAAAGCCAGCCAATTCTTTTTGGCCTCGTTGGCTGGGGAACCTTCCACCCATCTTTCTGGGATGAACTCTTCTGGGTTTTCGTAAACTTCAGGGTCATGCAAAGCTGGGTACAAAGTTGGAATGAGCATTGCTCCCTTAGGGGCTGTGTAGTTGGGCGCGACAGGGAACTTTTCCTTGACTAGGTAAGGAACCATGATAACAGGAGGTCTGTAACGTAGAGCTTCCTTGACAACCATATAAGTATATTTCATTTCGTCAATCAAAGGCAAAGAAAGTGGCTTTGAAGGGTCGTTGTCACGGACCTGCAGTTGTTCTTCTCTGATCTTCTGCATCACATCGGGTCTGTCAGCTACAATTTGGAATAGCCAGCATGCTAGAGCCGATGACGCATCTTGAGAAGCGAACAAGAAGGTGAACACGGCTTCAGAGATTTCTCTGTTAGAAAAGTCTCTGTGAAGAAGTCTAGAGTTTTCGTCGTCCTTAGTCTTAGCATCATGCATCAATTTGCACCAGGCATCCATGACACAGTTGGATTCACCACCTTGAGCGATGTGATCCTTGGCCATTTGAGCGCATTTTTCGAAAATCTTCATGGTCATATCAGCGGTTCTGCGGCCGTACCAAGTCTTGGTGTAAGGCAAGATGATGGGGAAGTTAACGAGTTCTAGAGCAGCGGTGACCAAGTAGTAGTCGTCGGCGACTTTTCTGATTTGATCCTCCGTGATGTAATCGCCACAGAAGGCTTTCAAAGACAGGGCACACATGATTTCCCGCATTTCATGGAAGAAAACTCTTGGCTTGTAGTCGTTTTCTTTGGAAAACTCGACAAACTTCTCCATGTACTTGTTCATGACCAATTCCTGGGTCCCCAGATACTGTGCTAGCGCGGATTTCGTAAAGAGACCGTTTAGCGATTTGCGGTAGTCTACGTGGGCCTTGCCGTCCAAAAACACCCAGTTGGAAGGTCTCAAGATTTTGACCGCAACGTCTACAACACAGGGTTTGACGTATTTGGAGCTTTGCAGGATTTTGCGGGCCAAGTCTCTGGTAGAAGCGATGACAACGAATTTGTGGAAAATGGAAACGCACGAAAGAGGACCAGAGTCCCATTTAGCCTTGTATTCTTCGAATTTTGGGTCCAAAGACTCCAAAAATGGGCCGATAATAGGCCACATTTTGAATTGCGGTCCTTCAATGCTGCCCTTTTTTATCTGGTAAGAAATCTGGTCCCATGCCAGACCCACAAAAACCAAGCTCAAAAACAGTTTCCAGTACGATAACTGTTGCACTGCAACCAAAATTTTTTGCAGACCGGCACTGGACCCCACAGCATTGCTCTGGGCCTCCGCTAGCCACGCATTGCTCGAACTGTTGCTAACAATTGAGCTCATAATCCCTTGTTTCTGTTTGTTGATGAAATTTGGTTAACACTTTCTTTCCACCAAAGTCTTGTTTTGAAGAACAATCGAAACTCCGGAAACCAAAAAAATTCAAGTCGAATCACAACGACAACTGGCCTTTATATATGTTTCCAATCGGAGTAATCGGAGCTCGAATGCTTTGAATTGAGTTCGTGCGATAAACCTGGATTGTTGTGAAAGGAAAGAAACGGTGTGTGCTGAGGTGATGATGAGTTTATGCGAAAAAAATCTGTCGAGATGATAAACGAGGTCAAATTAATGCGAGCCGAGTACGGATTCGGCGGAAGGAAGGAAAACGACGGGCCACGTGACACGGAAGTATTGTATCGGCAGATAACGGTGGTTTTGGATAGGATGGGATAGGGTGAGGTAGGGTCAATGTCATTGAGTTGTATCGGAGTTGGAAAGTTGGCAAATAAGCCGTTGCCAATACTGTTCTCTGTGTGGTTTCTCTGTAGTTCTTTTGGTTTTTGGTTTTTGGTTTTTGGTTTTTGGTTTGTGCTTGAATGGCGGAAGAATCGGATTTTCACCACAGGGGTTCGTTGCTCTTGGGAGCCCGATGGGCCGGCGTGGGCGTCTCTAAAGCCTGGGCCATCGACATGTACGGTGGGTTGCGGGAAGCAGTGGAATTTTGAAAATTTTGATGGTGGTTGTGATGAGATACAGATCTGGCGTTCTTGGCATTCTGGGCCGTTGTGGCCGACGTATGGCATTGTTCACAGTGCGGAGGCGTAGCGTCCACTGCAGTGTCTGGCGTCGGCAGCGTGGGTTTCGACATGTCCAGTTTTTCCATGAGATCCAGTAGCTCTTTGTTCAACGAAAGTTTTCGAAGCTCGTTTTCGCGCTTGATCAAAAGCTTGCGTTTCAGCAAGTCAATCTGACCCTCCAGATTTTGCAACTCGGCACTCTCCTGTGTAATTATGTCGTCCTCCGAAGCCATACGCATTGTGCGGTGCAGCACGGAATCTGCAGTGGACGTGGACGAAGAATTGGGTCGTGTGCGTGCTTGGCGCGAATCTGTTTCCGAGCTGGTCTGTGCCGGACCTCCGCCCATGGAATTGGTCATTAAGGTAGTCAGTGCGTCCAGTTTCGAGTATATGTCGCCTATGCGCGATTCAAGCTGCGAAGCACGAGCCGCCGAAACGGTGGGGTCTTTAGCGCGGGTCTTGTTCACTTGTAGAAAGTCCACCGGTGAGAAACTTGGCGATTGGTGCATGGACTCTGCCGGGGTGGAATTGCCATTATTGGCACCAAGATTGACATTCTGGTTCAATTTTTTGTTCAGCTCTGTGTACTTGATGAGCTTGCCCCTTAGTGACCCGATGAGCACGTTCATGCGGTCAATCTCGTCTTGTTTCCGATCCAGTTGTAGCGTCAAATCTTTATTTTGTTTGATCAGTTTGTTGATCATTTGCGAGTTTACTCGATATTCTTCTGGAAGAATGCGATCGGAGGAATTCATTGCAATAGAAAACACAATTCGGATGGCAGACGAGGTCTTTAGGGGCGCTGACTAGTGTTACAGGAAGATACGGGGTGGTGACAATGGGCAATTGACGCGACGTTCTGGCGATTATTGTTTGTGATGATGTTAAATCTGTGACTGATGGGCTGACTGGATCGCTATATTTGGTGATGTCAATAATAAATCAATTTAAGCGGAAGAAGAGGACGCACCCGTGCGAAGCGATGATGAAACGACACAATAAAAGATATCGATAGAAATGGGAAGGAAAAGGGAAAATAGAAGGAGGGTAATTGGGGGCTTAGTTTTGGGTGCCCTACTTATTATCAAATTTAAAATGAACTTCTGATCACGTGACCTTTATATATATATGCATCATATTTCACTTTCAACGCTATTGTTTAGCACACAGGTCACAAAAGATTGCAAGCTACAGCGTTGCAGGTAGGTGATGTACTTGCAAATCTCCAGCTTTTCGTAAACGAAGCCCATCCATAAAAAAACCACGTATATGTTCACTTTACTATCTACTACAATTGTGTCCCTATTATCAATGTTACTTGCTATGGAGCGTTATGCTTGTCTTTGGTCTGGCTCGGACTTGACCACGTCGGCGGCGGAGTTCCGAACACCGGCGACCCCGTGTTGCGGATCATTTCCGGAGTTCTGGGCGGACATCGGAGTAGCGATGTGAGCACCGGCCATGCCGCCGGGTCCGGTGTGAGCCGCTGTGTTTGTTCCGGGTATCAGCAAGCCCGGAGCCGGTCCCGGTGTTGGTCCCGGTGCCGGTCCAGGAATGTGGTGTTGCGGATGGCTGTGGCTTCCCGGGCCGATCAGCGCGGCCATGGGCCCGGGCATTACATGCCGGCCGGTCCCGGCGCTTTGCGCGGCGGCTCCGTACGCGTATTCTGGGAACTGGTAGCCGCCGTAGGCACCAACGGGCTGATGGTAGCTCTGCGGAACTCCGGCCGCCGCCGCCGCCGCCGCCGCTGATGCTACAGAATCTGGGTAGTACGCCGCGCCCCTAGACGGTGGCGCGGAAACGGCCATCTGGGGTGGCATGTTGTTTGTTGCTGCCAGTACCGAGGACGCGCCATGTTGAATGGCGCTCTGAATGTCGCGCACAAACAGTGGGAACAGTATATCTGCGATCTTTTCACGCTGGGCCATGGCCAACGCGCTTTCGAATGGGATCCACACTCCCTTAAGATGCATGGACCCGATCTTGACTACGTGTCGAATTTTTTCGGCCTTTAAAATCCCGTCTCGGCGTCCCCGAGTCATTTTCGCCACATTCAAAAGCTTTGTGCCGTTAATCATGTCGTTGTCAGCTCTGCGCACTACCGAGACTCCATTAGCTTCGACCTGGTAACACAGCGTGTTTTCGTCTTCCCATACGGTTGTAGTGACACGAGGCCTGGCGGCTACTATGTGAGCAGCTGGATGTGGGCCCAGCACAGGCGACGCGTGCGACGATGCATGCTGGCCCAAGTCCACAGACGCGCCCGCAGTGGCCAGCCCCAGTAGTGCAGAGCCGTCCTGCGAAGAACGTGGCGGAGCGACGCCCATGTTGCGCCGTTTTGCATGCGCTGCGGCGTCTTCTGAGACCACTGGTGCGCCAACGCCGCCGTAGTACGAGCCGTGGCCCACAGGCGAGTTGGAAAGCTCCTCAGCAGGACCTGCAGAGCGGAAACCGGGGTACTGGTATGACTGAGCATGGGCCTGGGCCTGGTACTGCGCTTGGGCCTGGGCATGGGCCTGGGCTTGGGCTTGTGCTTGTGCTTGTGCTTGTGCTTGAGCTTGAGCTTGAGCCTGCGCCTGCGCCTGAGCCTGAGCTTGGGCCTGCGCTTGAGCCTGAGCCTGGTCGTACTGACGATACGACATATAAGGAGCTGCGGGCTGTTGTGAGGACTGCTGCTGCTGTTGCTGCTGTTGCTGGGGCTGCGTCTGCGTCTGATGCGCTGCATAATGCTGCTGCAGCTGCTCGTCCGCAGAAACGCCGCTGTAGAGCGACGGGTAGTATGCGTACCCGGCAGGCGCGCCATAGGAAGCCGCATATGCTTGGCCGCCTTCTGGGGCCTGCTGCTGCTGCTGTGCTGCAGCATTTGGATGATATGCATAAGCGTACTGCGCAACGTGCGCACCGTCTAACAGTGATCCTGCAGGAGCTGCGTAGTAGCCGCCGGCCTGCGGACTGTACTGGTATGCATGTTGCTGCTGCTGCTGCTGCTGCTGCCACTGTTGTTCGCGTGGCGCTATCGCAGCCGTGGGACCAGCGCCATGCACTGCAGAAACCGGCGCAGAAACCAGCGCGTTTTCGCGCCGGCTGCTGTCCGCGGGACTGCCGCCAGAGACATCCGCGGGATGGTGTTGATGCTGATGTGTCTGTGACTGTTTCTGTGGCTGTTGCTGCGGCGTGAGCTGCTGCTGCTGCTGCTGCTGCGCGCTCTCCTGAGGTGGCTGCGGCTGCTGCTGCGGCTGCTGCGGCTGCTGTTGCTGTTGCTGTTGCTGCTGCTGCTGCTGCTGTTTCTGAGACTCCGGCTGGCCCGGAAATCCAAAGCCGGATCCGGCATCCTGGGCTCCCGTTGTTGTTCGGCCGTTCAGTTCCGAGCCGCTACCGGGTTCAGCCGCCGTTCCGTGTGGAGTGAGGTCTGTCATGGCGTCTTTGCTCTCTTTTCTTTTTCTTTTTTTCTTTCTTTCTTATTGTTCTCTGCTGCTGCTCCTTGCTTTGCCTGGCCTTACTGCAACGCCATATCCGTTCGCTTTAAATATGCACTGGGGCTTTAAATATTTTTTATTTGCATGCCGTTTGCAGTTTGCATGCGTGGTTTCGATGCAAAACGCGGGCTGTTAACACACCCAGGACGCGAACATAACAGGAAAAAAACGAAAAACGGGAAACGCAACGCTGTAAGATGAAGGAATCTAGGCTACGTAGTAGTGAGTTGGGAGTTAGTAAGGGGATTGGAGTGGAGTGGAGTGGTTCCGGCTGGCCACGTGAACTTAGTAAGGAGAGGAAAAACAAAAAAAAAGAAAGAAAGGAAGGAAAGGAGAAAAAATCTTATCGTGTGGTGTGTGGGTGTACGATGATTGGTAATCACAAACGGAGAAAGTGGTGTGGAGAGAATTGTATCGTAATCGTTGACTAAGTAAGGCTTGGCTTGGCTTGGCTAGACATGGTGATGACGTAATGATGGCGGATGGGACGGTTACGTAATCGATGATGTAAGCACAAACACACGGACGTAGTGAAAGGAGGAGGTACTCACGTATTCAATGATGATGATGATATGAGTACCGGAGTCATGTGATAGTAATGTCATGTAGTACGGGGTTGGCGTTTGCAAATCGTATAAACAGATATCCCTTGATCATTAAAAACGAAGAAGGTCGACGACGACAAGAAAAGAGACAAAGTGGGTCACGTGCAGCGCATCTGCCCTGATCAATTAACCTTTCACTCACGCTTAAGAGCTGGCTCACACCAAGAATGGCACACAGCTCCCAGATTCACATCCAATTGCCGTCAAAAAAAAAAATGTTGACCGCTACCGGCAATCGAACACACAGGGCATGTTCCAATTGCAAACGCCGCAAGGTTAAATGTGACGGGTCCAACCCGTGCCAAAATTGCACCAAGCATACAATGCATTGTTCTTATCAGCAAAAGACGCTCAGATCAATCTCGAAACTGGCATCTTTGCCGCCACTACAAAACCACATACCGCCATCGTCATCGTCGTCGTCGTCGTCGTCGTCCCACTCTTCCCCCTGGCAGCGGTTCTCGCCCCACAAATACCGTTTCCATCGCAGACATCAAAATCTGCTCCCGTATTACTTGGGCATTGCATTAATGAAATCGCTACCGAAATCCGTGATAGAAAAACACTCCCTAAGACCACCCCGCTTGCAATATTACGGTTGGAATATGTCTGGAGGCCACTACCTTGCACAGCGCCAAATATCCAATTCCCACGACTCAATGCAATGGCACTGGGATTTCTCTGATCCCATTCAACAGAAAATAGTGGAAAAACTCGCAAAATATTATTTCCAAAATATCAACAGGTTCGTCTCCATCATTCACGAGCAAGCTTTTTGGCAGCAGTTTAAGAGCGGGTTTGTCAACTGCGGCTCACATGGCTCCACCATTTTGTTCGAGTCAATTCTTAATCTTATTGTAGCGATCGCACTGCGTTTCAGCTATAGCATTAATAAAAATCAATCTCCACCAGTGCCCTCGACCACCGAATCATCTTCAAACGAATGCTTGTCACCTGAAGAGGTCCAATGGGTCGAATCTCACTTGAATTTCGAAGAATCACTCTTCGATTTCGCCTATACGGTCACCACCAGCTTATCATTCGAATGGGAGTCTTTTGAGCTCATTCAGTCCTGGCTTTTGATGGCTTTTTACCTCAGAACCTGTCACCGTCAAGTGTCATGTTGGCAAGCACTGAGTCGTGCCGTGCAAATGTGCAATGGAATGTCTCTTTTTCTCAACAGATATCCTGACACTCATAACGCTTACGACGAATGCAGGGCCAAAAACTGTTATTGGGCATGCTTCATTATGGACCGCCTAATAAGCTTTCAGATGGGTCGCGTTCCTGGACTATTACTCCCAGGACCAGAAATGGAATCTCCTGACATCGCTTCCGATGGCTGGCTAAGTCCAGAATCAATAGCTTTGTACAAGCTTGCCATCATAATCACCGACTGTCAAAAATCGTACGGCGAAGAACTCGCAGCTCAAGAGTATCTAAGCGTGAAGAATCGACTCACCGAATGGCACAACAACATTGGCGCATCGCTACTTGATAGTGAGCCGTGTGCCCAGCAGGTAATATTATGTGGTTTGCACGTCAGAATAGCTTTGGAAATAAATGGCCTATTCGCTTTCCTCGACGTAGCAGATACCGATGCTCAAGTTGAAAATTCATCCCATAACACGCCAGTTGTACATGCACCGATGCTTTTGGATCTTGTTTCCGCGGTTCTGGACACTTTTGATTCGATCGTGGCCTCTGGATTATACTTTAGACCATGGTGGCTAAACTTATCCCTACCTTTTACCTCAAGCATAATTTCTTTGATATTGATCCGCAGCGGTATCCAATTGTCCCGAGCAAAGTCATTGCTCGAGCAAAGTTTCAAGACCTGGCGCTACATCGAAAATGCAAGACCTCCAAATCCGCCTGGGATGGCCTCAGAATGTTTGTGGTGTTTGAAAATGTTAAATCATATGTTTTGTCAACAGCTTCAGCTATCCGCAAAAGATCTCGAAAGCGTTCTCGGTGTCGACCATTCGAATGATTTTGTGAACAACAATAAATTTCGTCAATTTGGTAAAGTGGAAAAAGAGCCTTCAAAGTCCGACGCTATTGACTTTGAAGTTGCCCTTGAGCCACAGGCATCCGTCACCTACAGCAATGAAGATCTGCTTCCTCATTTGCAATGGTTTGATCAGTGGCTGGATGTCGATAACCTCGAGACAATGCTGTAGAGCCAAACTAAGTTTGGAAATCGATACATTCAATGGTCTTTCAAAAATGCCTTATTATGTGGATGTACCTTCTGCTTTCTTCTGGAGTTGTCGCGATCTTTCGTAATAGAGATTTGGGTGTGAAATATGGGTTTGATCGTTGATCTCAACATTTGTAGAACCACCATGCGTCATTTCAAACACTTTAGTGCACGCGACCGTGTATTCGGTCCGCTCGACATTGTCCAAGACGCTAGTCACTTGAGTCGGTGTCAATTTCATTCCTTGAGAGAGTTCTAATGTCAATTTGTCGACATTCCAATCTCTGTAAGGACAGCCATGGAATTCTCCTCTTGAAGGCCGAGGCTTTGACAGAATTGTCCGACAATCCCACGGTTTGTAATTGATTCTATTACCTTCCAACCCATAGTTATGTCTAAAGTTGTACTTGTATTCCTTATTGAATTTTTCCGTTGTGATGCCACCCTTAGCAAACGCATCAGACCAAAACTGTAAGGCATCATCGACATTCATACCAACTCCCTTGAGGAAAAAAGTGAGTTGCTGACGAGCCTGGTATCGTAGATGGTGTGTGGTCTTCAACCCGTTAATCAGATTCTTCGCACAGAGTGGGAAATTTTCTTCGATCTTCGCCGAATAAACACTTATCGCATTAACTTCACCTTGTGAAGCTTGTCCGAATTGGTCCTGGAGCGCGAAATTGGAAGCGTCGTAACCAGAAGATAAGTGGTGGAGAATTGGCAGCAACCGATCTTCTTCATTTAGACGTGGGATGTTTTGAGAAGTCTTCAATAGTGCTGTAGAAAGCATGCTGGCGGATTCGTTAGCGATGTGGTTGAGTTGTTGAAACTGGGGTAAATAGGCCGATCCCTTCTTGATGAATACCTGTCTGTTCCCTACCAAGTCAACAACCGACTCGAATGGCAATTTGATGAATTTTTCCTGGTTAAAATATTGGCGACGCTGGTTTTCATCCGTTAGATTTAGCTGGAACTGCAATGCGGCGCTGATAGTTTGGTATAGTTCTGTAGAGAGTTCTTCTTTTTCCTCGTCAGATATGAACTGCAAAAATGGGAGATCGAGAGTTTTGACGAACTTAGCCTGATCCTGAGACGTGAGCATGTTGAAACGAAGCCTTAACAGCGTGGTTTCTGAACGCACAAATTTATCGCGCAGTTCCTTGGATCTGCAGAAACATAGTCTCAAAATGAAATGAGAGTAGTAGTCCTTTTTACGCATTTCCACGTCGTCGGTGGTTAACGGTAGGAGTTTCTGTAGAAGTGGTTTTACGATCATTTCCATTTCTCGAACTGGCTTGTTTCTTTGAAGGCACGATTCGATTTCGAGAAGAACTTTGAGTCTATCAATGGCCCACAATTCGAACTGCTCCAACGTTATTTCACCTCTGGGAGGAGCGGCGTAGAAAGATATCTTTGACTGGTACAAGGACTCATAGAGCCTTTTCTCATCTTCTGACGCTGTTCCTTTGAGTATAAATTTTCCCGACGATGAGTTCGAACTGTCGTCGAAATTTCTCCTGCTCGCAACCCTGCGTTTCGACTGTCTGAACATGATTCCGCAAGTGCAAATGGTATCTAATTCAAGCAAGGATAGTGCAAAGAGATCGTGTTTGTTAAATGATTAGTAGTTTGATGTTTTCCATTCACCGAACGCGTAAACTCTAATTTATGGTATATTGATTGAAATACACGTAGCTTTACGCGTTATAGTACGTATATAACGATCAACTATCATGTGTATAGAGAACAGATTGGATTTTTTGAATCTTTTCAACATCATTGATGCAAGAATATAAGTGGAATCAATTAGTGTAGAGACCACTCAAAATCTAGAGAAATCTTAACACCATCGAAACGACCAAGTCTATCAAATTCCATGGTTTTTCAACATGATATAACTCACTATATACGTCCAAACTATTCACGTGACGATCCGATAAGTAATATATAATTTTCCCATCGAATTTCTTATTTCATTTACGCCAAGCATATACAGTATAATTCGAAGTACTACAAGTCATCGGTTAAAGTCTCAAGTCTTCGCAATAGCACTAGCCATGCTCATGTTGCAATCAATGCTTTGAAGACTGCGTATAGATCTCCTAGACCAGGGAAAAATCACGAAAAAATCTGGGAAAATGAGTGTAAACTGAGTTTTCCAGACACTGAGATATTTCCCAGATTTTGAGTCCGAACTGTGTTCACTAAGCGATGAAATTCACCGCATGTGGTGTGTTTCCGCTCTCTTTAACGCAAAAAGTAAGCGCCAACGGTGGTCTGATATTCGGATTCATAAGATAAGACAAGAACCTGGGGAATTATAAACTCCTTGACTCCCTAAAAAACTACCTTCAAGTCGATTTAACCCGTTACTTGAGCTTCTATACGCTATTGTTTTGTTGTAGCTGGTGACGAAACAATCAGAGAAGCGAAAAGACTGCAATAATCAGAGACTTTCTGGAGATAATGACCCAAGTCCTTATTTTTGTTTTTTTTGGTGTCTATTTGGAGCTCCGTTCAACTCGTTCCAAGTTTAAACATTCCTAGCTATCCCCTCAGGTCTCAGACACTTAAGTCGTGGACTTTGAACCGTCTCAAGCCTCTACAGATGGATGATTGAGGTGCTGAACGAATAACATCGCTGAACCGCGTGACTGGAAAAAAAATCTGCTATCGAAGTTGTTAGCTACTAGATAACGAAAAGAGTTAAAACCCACTCTTTTCAGTCCGGCAACCTACCCTTAGAACTTAAGTTCAGACCCTGGACTAACACTGTACTGGCTCAAGCTTGGCTCACAATGCAAGAGAAAAGTGTTATTATCATTGGAGCTGGTATTTCGGGCTTGAAGGCCGCATCTGAGCTTTACAGATTGGGTTACAAATCCTGTGTGGTGATCGAAGCAAGAGACAGAATTGGTGGTAGATTGCACACAGTCTCAGGCTACCAAAACCGGAAATATGACCTGGGAGCCAGCTGGCACCACGACACTTTGGTCAATGGCCTTTTTCTCGAGGAATTGGGTCTACCCATAGAGGAACGTGCTCAGGTTGCATTTGACGATGACGTTGCAGTGATCTTTGATAAAGATCAAGGAAGAGTGGATCAAAGCCCTGAGATGACACTCGAGCTTTTGCTGGAGGAACTCGTCAAATTTAACGAGTTGCAATATTTCGGTAGTCTTGACGTTCCCGATGTCAGTTATTTCAAGACCATTGTCAAATATCTGTATGAAAGAAGAGATTTGTTGACCGATGACCAGATAAGGTACCTTCCACAGCTGGCACGCCTAATGGAATCTTGGCACGGTATTGACTGGAAGTCCATGAGCTCCAAATGCATGGAAATCGCCCACCAAGGGCGCAATGCGTTTGTAATGAATTATGATAAAATCGTCAAACGTATTGCTTCTACTTTCCCCAACGAATGGCTCAAGATGGAGACAGAAGTGATTTCTATCAACACTGAAGGCAAACGGGCTGTGGTCCGCACAGAATCGGGCGAAGCGTATTCTTGCGACTACGTCTTGGTAACAGTTCCACAAAGCATCTTGGCCCACTCTTTAAAGCCAGAGCCACGCAAGGGAAGAATAGAATTTGCACCCCCTCTTGCACCAACAATTCAAGACGCTTTCAAAAGAGCACACTTTGGGGCTCTCGGCAAAGTTGTGTTCGAGTTTGAAGAGTGCTGTTGGTCAAAAACTCGTTCGCGTGGACTTTCATTGGGCAAATCTAATGCCAACATCGTTGGAAAGGTACGAGATGCAAACGAGCTGCAATCGCTTGTCGAAGAGCTCAACAAAGACACCAGTTACAATTTTCAAAATGGCGAACCATGGGACTTTCCTCTTTTCTTTGTAAATTTGGCAAAGCATACAAACGTCCCTTCCATCATGACACTGATACCAAATCCTCTTACCACCCACGTTGAGTCCATAGAGGATAAGGAAATGCTGTATGAGTTTTTCAAGCCTGTCTTAGCCAAGTTTCTTGCAGCTTTCGAATGCTCTGATGCTGTTCTCGTGGACTTTGATAACAAAACAGAAAGAGGCGGTCACAAAGGTCCTGTGCTAAAAAACATCTTCACCACAAAATGGACTCAGGATGATTATGCACTTGGTGCATATTCCGCCTGCGTTCCGGGCGATGACCCATTAGAGCTCGTGTTGGCCTTAACCAATAACGATGGTTCGAAGATTCGATTTGCTGGCGAGCATACCATCATGGATGGTGCAGGCTGTGCCTATGGTGCTTGGGAAAGTGGCAAAAGGGAAGCAAATTTCATTGCTCAAAAGATGGGTAGAATGTGAAGCGAATTAGTAAATATTACTGAATAAAAATTTGTATCCTTGTCGTGTACCGGCCCCTATAGCTATATACAGAAACGACTTGGCCCTTCCTTATGCGTTTGTCATCAGTCCCATGCCATGTCCATTAACATGTCCTTGGCCATATGTTGTTAAGTGTTGCGCATCCATCGCGACAAGCATATCCTCGAACCACTGTATCAAATCTAACTGAGAAATTTGGTTCGAAGTCATGAATGGTAGTTCTTCCTTGACTAGACTCCACCAAAACTTGGACGGTATCAGCTTATGTTTGTATTTGATAAGACTTGACGGCCCAAGCGGAACATTTAATAGCCCATATAATATTATCTTATTGAAGGGCACAATTTCTTTAGGGTGATCAAGACAGTCGCCAGCGTTACAATTTCCGGACGATGCTTTGCAAACAACTGTGTCAAGGTTGAAGTGCTCATCAGGAAGACTGATGCGACCATTACCAACGTTCGATAGCGGAACTCCACTTTGTTTAACGTAGCTTTCGATTTCTTCTTCCTTGCGGTGGATTAAACAATTCACACACTGGCAATCACTCTCACAATTGCATTGAGTGCTCAAATACAAACCCTTGGGTGTGAGAAGCTCAACAAAAGAATTATTTTGAAATTCTGAGACCGTTTCATACTCTGTGCGAGCTTGGAAGTCCAGATTAGTCGCGCTTGGGTCCTTATTGGCGGAAAATTTTGGGTTATTGGCAATCGGTAGGTTCAAGTCATGATGTTGCGGCTTGACCTCCATGTTATCTGTGAAAGTTCGAGGACTCCACCCAAGTTCAGGTTCCGTATTAGTTTCGTTTTTGGCAGAGCCACAGCAATGATTAGTTTTAGCTTGTGGCAATTGGCCTAATGCATCATTTGGGTGGGACGTTTTCAAGTGATTGAGAAGATAGTCTTTTTCGGAAACCAACTTTATTTGGCCGTCTGGCAATGAAGCATTTTGATCTTCTACGACTATCTTAAGCGCACCATCAACAAGAAATGCCTTTTGGGTGCTTTTCGCTCGTAGAAATAAAATCGGTTGTTTGTTCATTTTTGTGCAGGACCAAGGCAAAGGCGACTGTGCTGATGATGCACCAGAGGGGTATTCAGGCGTCGAAATATGATGGTGGTCTGTGAAAGGGCCCTTACCACTGTCCACCTGTGAGCTAGCGTCCACCAAAATCACTTTTCGCACCGTTTTAGCTGAAGGACGACCCTTTGTGCGCACCTTGACCAGCATTCGGTTGCTGTGTTTGCAGGTAGTGGACCTGTGGCCTCTAATGCACGAAACACACGAGTATTTCTCTCCATCATATATGATCATTTTAGCGGAATCCAGCAGATCTGAAGATTTTTGGCGAAGAATTTCACTTGACTGCGAATGACAGAAAAGATTATCCAGATGATCGGAACACTTTTAATCAGCGAGATGGTTTAGAAACCAAAATGTTATACTAAAACTGTTTTTTCCAAATCGATAGAGACTTTTCAATCCTATTCAACTTTATCCACATAAAATAGGTGTTTTGAAACGTTTGAAAAGCGTGAAATGGTTGAAAAGTGGTTTCAAAACGCTTGCACAGCCTTAAAACCTATCTCAAGGGTCTCTAATTGATCTTTTATCGTGGTTTTATACTCTTCAAAGATATATATCTTTCTACAAGTCCGATCCAACTCAATTTGATCATTTAATTTTACATCTACAATTATCTATCGTCAGCTTTATTCACAACTTGACTATAAAAAGGCTAAACCTTTTCTTGATTCAAGACTTCTTTCTCAAGTCAAAGTCCAAGTCAAAAGACAAGTTAAGGCGAACAAGTTTTGGAAAACAATGTCGAAGACTGCTCAGAAACGCCTTTTCAAAGAGCTCACTCAATTGATCAAAGACAGTCCTCAGGGCATTGTAGCAGGCCCTGTAACGGAAGATAACTTGTTTGTTTGGGATTGTCTGATTAGTGGACCACCAGACTCTGCATATGAAGGAGGCGTTTTCAACGCACGTCTCGAGTTTCCCCGGGACTATCCGTTGTCTCCACCCAAACTGCTGTTCACACCTAGCATTTTACATCCTAATATCTATCCAAACGGCGAAGTATGCATTTCCATTCTGCACTCACCGGGTGACGATCCAAACATGTATGAACTGGCCGAAGAACGTTGGTCACCGGTCCAGAGCGTAGAAAAGATCTTGCTGAGTGTCATGAGCATGCTTAGCGAACCCAATATCGAGTCTGGGGCCAACATTGATGCGTGCATTCTATGGAGGGACAACCGTGCAGAATTCGACAAACAGGTGAAACGGTCGATTTTGAAGTCGCTAGGGTTCTGAAAAAGAGGGCATTGAAATGGAACTTCTGGATTGAGGGGTGGAGGCGGGAGAGATGGCATAGAATTCGAGAATCTATCTCAAGAAACAATACAGAAATGTGGGACATTTCGAAGATTAACAATGCTAACGCACACTTACACACACACACAATTCTCGGCCTGAGAGGAAGCAACAGAGACCAGAAACTCACCTCTACAAAGTAGGTCACGTGATCGAGTGTTTAACCGCACGTAACACAGCTTAAAATCGAGGCCATAAAAGCTTCTGTGACTGTTTCATCGATATTACGGTTTTTCAAAGTGCGGTTGTGTAACCCATCTTTGAATTTCTGCCCTGAATTCGGGCTAGGAACTAGGTTTTATGAATCAGTATATTCATGTATTAACAACCTGAGAAGTGATCTGACCGTGTGCTCACCCACAGCGCTGTCTCGGAACAGCACTGGATAGTACCAGCATAATCAGTCAAAGTCCAAAAAAAAAAAAAAGCGATGTTCCAACTATACCTAATGCAATGCCTTCAGGCCTCAACCCGTTTGCTACGCGGTTTTCCACATTTGAGACCCGTTAAGGGATTCATGAAAACTAACAGCAGGATCCATTGCAACCCGTGCCGTGTAGAGCTACGATCTGATTGCAACCTTTTTCTAACAAAGATAAATTAATAAGCTTTAAGTCAGCTGACCTACTAAATTATTTACGTATATAATGATCAATAGCTATCATGTGACCTGTCTAAATTTATATATTTCCCGGCCCAAACAAATCGAACTTTCTCACCAACACGCTCAGCCGAGATCAGCAAGAGACCATACTCCATTTTGGTCTTGTCTCGAGCTGTTGTTCCAGTCATTCAGTAAATGAAGTTATCGCTGGCATGGGCGTTGGCGTTTGCTGCGTCCTTTCGCATGTCCTTATGCGTCTATTGGGAAGAAAACAACACTGCAGTGGCTAAAAACGCAACGGCGTTAGTAGCGGGAGGTTTGCTCGATTATTACACTGGGCTGCAGTATGGTAAACCGGTTGGTATGTTTTCGGATCCTTACTACTGGTGGGAAGCCGGTGGAGCTTGGGGATCGATTTTGGACTATTGGTGGTACACTGGGAATACAACATATAATGGGATGCTAAAACAGGCGTTATTGGCACAAACGGGTGACAATCACGATTATGTGCCCCTCAATCAATCGGTGACTGAAGGTAATGATGACCAAGCTTTCTGGGGCCTTGCTGTGATGGCAGCTGCCGAAAGAAACTTTGAAAATCCAGCGGAGGACGAACCGCAATGGCTCTATTTGGCGCAGGCCGTTTTCAACACCATGGCACGCCGTTGGGATGATGATACCTGTGGTGGTGGGCTCAGATGGCAAATTTTCACCTGGAATTCGGGTTACGACTACAAAAACACCGTTTCTAACGGAGCACTTTTCCATATTGCAGCCAGACTTGCACGCTACACTGGAAACACCTCGTACGTTGACTGGGCCGAAAAAGTGTTTGAGTGGATGAAAGGTATCCATTTGTTGGAAGAAGACGGCACCAATTTGGTTTTCGATGGTGCCAAAGTTGAAGGTAATTGCAGCACCATTACTAAACTTGTGTGGACGTATAATCAGGGTCTTTTGATGTCTGGATCTGCCTACTTGTGGAATATGACCCAGGACGAAAAATGGCATGTTAGAACATGGGAATTTTTGAATGCGTCTGGAGTTTTTTTCAAAAATGAAAGTGTTCTTTACGAAGTGACTTGTCAGGGTGCTAATTCATGCAATACGGATCAGCGGTCTTTCAAGGCCTACTTTTCAAGATTCTTAGGCTTGACAGCGCAGCTTGTACCAGAGGCTAGAACTAAGATCATGGCGTGGATCCGCTCTTCTGCCAAAGCTGCAGCCCAGTCTTGTTCCGGTGGTACCGATGGGCACACATGCGGACTTAACTGGTTCCACGATGGTTGGGATGGTTACTACGGACTAGGTGAACAAATGGCTGCGCTAGAAATAATGCAAAACACGTTCTGTCTCGATAGACCTGCTCCCTACACAGCTCAAAACGGTGGTACGTCGACAGGCAGCGGTGCAGCAGGTACAGAAACACAAGCTACCAACTTAAGCCCGTTGACGATCACAGCAGGGTCGAGGGCAGCTGCTGGTATCATAACGGCACTCATAGGTTTGTCCATCGTTGCATGTACAGTATGGCTAGTCATTTAGCCCTTAAATATGAACAGAAAATTGAATTTCTCTCTTGTGCGCCTGTTTACCACGTATTCCATACATAAGATTTCATAAACGATGTCACTCAGTAAAAGCAGTCTGTTGAACCTTGTTACAAAACTTGGCATAGCCAATATTGATGTCTTCCATGCACCATTTCACTGAGATATTTTGAATCGCGTTCAACACAGCAGTTTACAATCGATACTTCTCACTAACAGCACTCTATCAAACCAGCGTCGACAAACTATAGTGAGAAAATCGTAATCTCTCTGGCTAAAGCAGTCGAGTGAATGCGTGGTAAGAAAAACCGGGGAAACCGTTACGATCTCGTCTTCGCTTGACTCTAGAGCATTTTTCAAAGCATCATGAAGAGCAGATATCCTTCCGTGGAAATATCCAACCAATGACAACACTGTTTCAATGTTGTCGCGTTCTATGTCTATATCTGTCTGGAAATTTTCGTCAGATTCGTGGTATGACGGCTTCATGTATCCTGCGGTAGCCCACCAGTAAAAACCATCGATAACGTACTGAGACCAAGTTGTAGGTTCTATCAACTTGCTTATTTTCTCCTTCTCTTCGTGCGATAGTTCATATCCCATATAAGCGGGTACCAGCTTTTCGTAAAGTTCCAGTTCATGTGGCGTTGCTTTAATAAAACTGCCGTCACTGCTTTTGATAACAGGTAATGAATCATCGCCATTGATTCTCAAACAAATGTCGTAAACTTCAGGGCGATCTTCCAAGATAGTGTCTCCTGTGCAAGCAACGAATCCCGGGATTTCATAATTATTCTTTTTGCTAGCCATTGCTTGAGAAATTTGCTGTCTCAACGCTTCCAAATCTGTAATTCCGATAGTGTATAGAGGTTGCAAAGGCTGCTCATGGCATTTTCCAGAAATGTTGTGCGGAATTAGCGATAAAATGGATAAGCAATATACCAAAGCATTACACTTTTCGAATGAAACTTCGTCTCCAACAATTATCAGTATTCTTTGTCGTACCAAAGCGGCCTTCCAGAGTGGAAAAATGAGAGGTCCCAAAAAACTAAACCATTGTGTGAGAGATTCGAGCATGTGAGGATGTTTGTCCTGTAGAGCTCTTGCTGATCCTGTAAACGTTGCCGAACTTTGCCATGAGCGCTGTAGAACTGGCGATGACAAAGCTGCCGTTTCTGGCTTTATGCAATTGGCCTCGAAAAACGTTTCAAAAAGTTCGTATCTGTCGTTTTCACTAGTATAGCTTGCCTCTTTCTGGAGCCAGTGCGAGAGAAGATCCTGAATATCGTCAATGTACTCTGTTGCGCTGACAAACTGATTTGGCTTCCAATCGTAGTATTTTGATTTTGACACGCCCTTGTATCTGAAATTGACGTCCACAACCACACCGAGCGAGTACATACGCACTTGGCCACGATCCAGTTGGTCTGTATTGGCACTAAGAGCCAGCCCGTTTTGTTCGAAACATGATACACCGTAGAACACATCCTCGAAGGATCCTTCCTGCTTGCTTACAATGAAACTGACGACGTCCTCGTGCTTTTCATGTATACCAGACGGTATACTTTTGAACTCCAGGTTATTCAGTGGTATTTCGGGTGAGGATGGTGAGCTTTTGGACCACACAAGCTCGTTGCCCTTTTTCATGTCGAAGTGACATAAGAATATGCAACTGATGGGAACCTTATGGGAGGGTTCCGAAATTTTGAAACTTTGTGGTTTCGGGTCAAATCGAATATCGAGGGGTTTCGTGTAGTGCTGCATTGGCAAGCGAAATGTGATTACAGGAGCGTAACGAGAACTGCTGTGTGATGTTATGTGTTGTCTTCTTACCGATGAAATAGCTTTCTTGGTATAATAGATCAACATCATCACCTTAGTCGTTTCAAATTACCTGGCGCGAATTAGCCCATTTCATCGAGTAAACTGAACATTCAACAGCCGCGAGGGTCCTTAGCATTATTATGTTGTAGCGTCAGTTAAATTCTCAAAACTTGGCAGTTTTACGGGATTATCAATCGCTGTGTGCGGTTTTCTTTCTCTGTACCGGATGTTGGTTTAGGTGAAAAATGTATTCAAAGTGGTTGCTGGCAACGTTACTAGAAACGCTGTTCATGGATTTGAAAGTTTGTTACTTGTGAACATGTGGAAATTTTGAGCATGGGATTGATTTCCCTTGACTCCTGTGGAGTCTGGGTTAGCTTCTTTGGTGTAACGACAATATGTCGTTTTTTCTTTATCTATCATCTAATGACAGTAAATTAATACTGTTCCATTTTCAAATGCGACACCATGGATTTTTTTAGTACTATTTTGCAGCAAGGAGCCATTTCAAAGTGTGAGATACGATTTGCACGGTATCGGATCAGCATTGTTTCTCACTTGACAACAAAGTTTCGAGCGGGATTCACTGGTGACAAATTAACATTTCGGTTTGCAACGAATTGACAAAACTTTTGATCAAACAAAACGCGCCCTTACCAAAATTTAGAAACAAAGCAATTGAAAATTGTGATTCATGCATGTAATAGCTTGATTTCTGACCAAAGCACCAACGTTGTTATCTTCACCACCAAGTAGAAAAGTCCCAGCACGTGACACTTATTAACCCAATTTCAATAATCGAGCTATCGTGGGTAAAAGCTAGAAGTTGATGGGAAGTTCCCAAAGCTTTGAAGAGAGTGCAGAAAGGTCAACAATCAGCGTTGTCACAGCCTTTCTATGTCCCGTTACCTAATTCGCCCCGCCCTGTAGTAATAGACGGGAAAAAAAACCAGACTTAACGTCTTTTTCAAAGCAGAAGTTGACTGAAAAATCAGTGATATCTTCCAATCCATAAACGTATCTCGGATACACCGTTTCCAGCATCTGTACGAATGCCAAAACATGAAAGAATCACAGCTCAGGAAGTATGTTGAACACTGCAACAACAGTCTTCAAGGAATCGTGGATCTCCAATCGGCACAAGCAATCAATGAGTTTCAAACTAAAACCGAAGAAAACTTTCAGCGTCTTGACGATATCCAGGCTCATTTCAAAACTGACAAGCACTCAATTGAAGAGTTCCAAACCTTGAAAAAAGACTTCTCCGCTAAAATTGACGATTTGGAAAAATCCATAGTTTACTATGAGAAGCTAGCGGACGAGATACAAGAGTTCTTGACCGAAAGCGAGGTCAAGAAAAAACTTGCAATGAAAAGACAGTCTCAAAGCACGAACCGATGATGCGTCAGTGTCTTGCATTCTCTTTCTCTTCCTTTTTAAAGCCCATACTCTCACTTGCCCACACAAAACCGGGAGAAAACCACACCTAAAACCTCCTCTACGCCCACAGATCGCCCACTTATTTTCCCAACACCCTCAGCTGCACTTCCCAGGCTTTCCGAAGCCATCACTACATCACCCAGCTCTGTTGTGGCAAGGAAATCTTCGATGCCTCCAATCACGTCTCTATTCAGAATATCCTGAACACGCTTGGAAACTGCAATAGGATCCGCATCTTGGGTCAGGTCTGCAACTTTTCTAAACCTTCCCGAAAGATTTTCTATCAGGCCCTTGATCCCTTCATATTCATGACACGAAACGGTTTTTATGTTCAATTGATCTCCCAGAAGCGTCTCCACTTTTCGTCTCGCTTCTGTGATTGTTCGCGAGTCTACCGCGTCTGACTTGTTTATCACGATAATGACCTCTTTGAGCGATAGCTGTGATCTTACTAGGTCACACAATTCTGGCGTAAGAATTTCGTTAGACGTGGCATCAACGACCAATATCATTATGTCGCTTTCAGCAGCTTTCGCCTTTGCTCTTCTAATGCCTTCCAACTCGATTTGGTCTTTGCTTGTTCCTCTTATTCCCGCTGTGTCGCAGAGGACAACTTTAAAACCACCGATGTCGAGTGGTACGTCTATGCTATCTCTTGTCGTTCCTGGTATATCGCTGACAATTGAAGTGTCATCGTTTGTGATACAGTTCAACAGAGACGATTTACCTGCGTTTGGCGATCCCAGAAGCGCCACTTTTATACCTGTCTGTAAAATGCTCGAGCGGTCTACTTTCTCGAGAAAACGCTTGATCTCAGTTCCCAAGGCGCGCATTTCTTGTGCGCAGGATCGCAGTATGGTGTCTATGTCGTTTATTTCAGCGTCATCCCCGAAATCTATGATTGCTGTGAGTTGTGCAATATTAGATACGATTGAGCTTCGCCAGCGTTCAAACACCTCCTTATTTTTCCCCATCATGCCAGTGACAGCACTTTGACGCTGGGTCTCTGTTTCAGCGTCGATAAGATCCGCAACACCTTCCACTTCGGTTAGATCCATGCAACCGTTTTGGAAAGCTCGCTGCGAGAATTCGCCTGGTAAAGCGTATCTCACATCTTTTCCAACCTGCTTATTACCAGCACGTTCAATTGCCTTCAGCACACTTTTCACCACGGCCTTACCACCGTGAAGATGCAGTTCCAACATATCTTCACCAGTGAAAGATTTGGGACCAGCGAAGTATATGACAATCGATGAGTCCAAAAAGTTCTTTGTCTCGGGGGTCACATCATACAAAGTTCGCAGCGACGCTCTTCTATCTATTGGATCCTTTTTAGATCCAGTGAGTTGTTGAAATATGTATTTCGAATGCGTGCCAGTGACTCTGACTACGGCGACTGCAGACTTGTGGGCCAAAGAAGTGGACAATGCATAGACTGTTGGATGAAAGAAAGTAACAGGAACATCCGAAAATGCTCTCTTTGCTAACACAAGTTGTCTTATCATCTCAGGTCAAGTTATAAGATCTATATATCTTGCAATTGTTTTTCGATCTTGATGCGATGAGCTTATACAAGTGTTATTTAGATCTTGACGATAATGATTTCAAGAAAGTAAATATTGTCAACATCAGTCAAAATCAGTTTAGAAAGAAGAACTTGACGGGGTTTCTTGAAAGTTGGAAAATTGGACCGTAATGCTTATTTTTCAAACTAGTAGAATCTATTGCCAACAAATCTGATGCTGCAAATTCCCTCGGATTCGTTCTTTTATGTCAAAGTTGATGTCGATAGCAGTGACAGACGTTTTGACAGCGCACTGAGAAGTTTCAGAATATTTGTATAAAGATGTCGCAAGAGTTAGCATTCTAGTTTTTGAACAGTTTGTGAATACTAGCTTTTCTATAGACCAAGCTAGAAACGCACAGAAAAGCGCATTAACTTCAATCAAAATCATTCTAAATCTCATTTCAAAACCATGAAGCTCACCAAATTAATTGGACTCATCTCTGCATCTTTTGCAATCCATTCCGAGTTTGCACTTGCTAAATGGCCCGATCAGTCTTTGTACCGGTTTTCCAGTTCCGTTTCCAAACCACAAAATATTGTGGTCGTCAACACAACTGCCGAGTGTCAAGACCAAACTTTGTCGATGATGACCTCTGTGTTGTCCTATAAGGTTGACATCGATGTTATCGAAAAGTACCTTTTAGAAGGAATCTCGGTATTGAAAACCTTGCTGAATGGCAAGACCCAATTTAATGCAATGGATTTGATGGACATCGCTACAGTGCAACTGCATTGGTTCCCACCAGCAGGCGTCGACCTATCTGGGGTCTCTCTTGCCACACAATTTTCCCAGATGAAAACCATTTACTATTCATGCCCCATTTTGCGTCACACTCACGAATGGATCTTGAGCATTGCCAAGGTGTCTGCCCAAAGTTCCCAATGGCGCACACTGTCGCAAAGTGCAATTCAGGTGTGGACAAGCTTGGAATCAAATACGCCCGCTGTGCATAGTCTTTTCCTCGAGATCACTCGGGCCGTTCAGGCTCCAGAGACATTGAAAATGTTGGCCAAACTGAAAAATGAATGGACCACGTCTGCGCCAAGCTGTCAAAAGCCTAAAGATGCTCCTGCAAATATAAAGCAGGGCAAAAAGAATGCTGTCAAGGCTGCTGCGATGCATGCAGCTGGCAAAGTTCCTTCTCGTGTCGTTGGCCTCACATCGCCCAAGCCAGGTAACAGTCCAGTATTTTACCAACAGCGCGCTGCAATTATCAGCTCAACGCATGCAAATGACACAAATCACACGGCGCCGGTTATGATCATAGACGATGAGTCAGCAGCTGTTGCGTCGTACAGAGTTCAGTCCTGGTCCATCATGGGTGCCGTGGTATTGATCATCAGCGGAGCAATCCTATTCTAGAGATCTTTGCAGTATCAGAGTCCCGAATGGTCAAAAAGTCCTCACGATCTAAATAAACAACTATGCCCTACACAAGTGGACTGTTTCAACAAGAAACTTTCTCATATACATTCATACAAACAATTTTGTTCGATAAAAGTCATTGAGGAGAAGAGGGAGGAGAAGAGTAGTACAGCCATCAAGGTCAGTTCTATCGGTGAATGAATTTGCTAAAAAAAAACGACCAGACAGTTTTCATAAATATGCAAATGAAATTGTCAGAAGGTAGTATCGACTGCTCCATTTTTTTCAATGACTGATTCTCAACACATGAAATAGCGCTGGATCCTTCACAAGCTCTTTGAGCGGTATCAACAGTTGTTTGGGTTTCTTCTGTCGCTGTCGCTGACACTGCATCACATGTCGGCATATCACGTGATGAGGAAGCTGACGCTAATAGAAAGAGAGGCATTTTGCAACTGAGAGTAAAGCGAGCTAAACAGCCATTGTAGTATATATCGTACTAGCAGCTCGTTATTTCTTATCGGATTTTGTACTACAACAAGGCTCCAAATGAGTAGTATGCAAAGATGGCGGGTTTAAAATGGCTTGCAGACGTTTGACGCTCAGATCACTTTATACTATACGGTCGTCGCAGCATGTCACAGTTTTAGAGACAAAAACTGTTGATTCTAAAAGTTTGGAGAAGCTCTCTGCAATAGTTCACCACAAACACACTAACGACAATTAACGCAGATTTTGTTCTGATGGGTCATTGTCTAAAACTTGCAGGATATATTCGTATTAAATGATTTGTAAAACCTCTTCAAAGCGGTTTTCGACGCTCAAAAACGGCTCCAATGACTCGCAGACTCAGAATTTCTTCCACAGAGCACTCCATAGACAGCATGAATATACTGCAGCGTTTCCCAGATCGATTTCATTCTCGGTGTCAAATTGGAGGATCATTATCATTTTATTTTGATTCAATTTTTTAAATCGTTGAGAATACTAGAAAAAACCTATAAAATCAATTCTGCCCGAAACAAAGAGAAGCATGGATATAAAATCTACAGATCTTTTGAATGGCTGAAATATAGGCTCGAACTCGCTTAGTGCCAATTGCTTCTTTCAAATTCCAAGAATAATATACTGACACTTTACACACACGTGACCACATTTAAATTTCGAAAATTTTTCAGAAATCTAAACTAACCTATGTAAGGCCGATGAGCTTGAGTTGTAGCAGTGAGAGCACGTAAAAATAGCGAATTGTTCAGGTTAGGCGCTGTTTCTCACGTTGTTCCAGTTCTGCATGTCTCGACAGATCATTGCTTCGTCGCGGCTACTGAAAACCCCGCATGTCGCGACGCTTTATACCAGGTCTTTTAGCGGTCGAAGTTTGATTCTTTCAAGACCGCTTCATCATAAAAGTGTTCTGCAGCAAAAATCACCGCAATTGTCGACTCCACAGCTTGACGAGTACAGGGGCTATTATAAACAGCTTCAAGACGCCATAAATGAAGTTCCTGAGGCTCTAGCGTCAAAATCCACAGCCCTGAACGCATTACACTCCAGACTTAGACTACCCAAGACTTTCCCAAATTCAACGCTTGCAAGATGTCTGACGTGTAGATCTTCTCAACTCACCCCAAAAAATAGTGGGAGCTCACCGGGATCAGCATTCACAAACACGGTTCCCACGAATAATTTCTGCGACAACCACGGATTGAACATTTTTGGTAAAAACTTACTGACGTACCACGTCTCACGTCAAATAATGGCTCAATATCCACGTCTGCCTACTGTGGTGCTGAATGCTGCAGTAGACGCTTACATTTCACATAACGTTCTGGCTAGCGTTGGCAAGTCGTGGGGTATCGAACTTGAAAATACCAGCGTCATGGACAGATACCTCAAGGAAGAGCCCATTCAGCTCACATTAGGAAGACTGAGGTTTTTCAATAACAGTTTGAAGCGTGAAGACGGAGTTGAAGTCATTGCCGGTCAAAATTTCTCCGAGGAAGCCGCCTACGCGCTAGCCGTGAGAAGTATCATTGGTGCTCTTTGGGCGTACACCAACGAAACCAATCCTGCATTAGCGTTCAAGTTTATCGACGACCATATTCTGTCCCGTAAACTCGACGTGACCAAAATATTTCAATTTGAACATCCAACTAGAGAGCTCGCGGTCCTCTGTCGCCGTGAGGGACTCGAGGCCCCCGTTTCAAAACTTTTGGCCGAGTCTGGTAGACATTCTAAAGCTCCAGTTTTTATTGTGGGCGTTTTTTCTGGCCTCGAAAAACTCGGTGAGGGTTTTGGAGCATCTTTGAAAGAAGCTAAAGCCAGAGCCGCTACTGACGCATTGACGAAATGGTATTGCTACGAGCCTGTCAAGGGCCAGCCTTCCGTAATCGACCATGGTGCGGTTATCGTTTGAAAAGGAAGAGTAAATGTGACATGTGGAACATTGATATGCAGATGCATATAATCACCACCTTGTATATAAACAGCAGTAAACTTTTGATGATCTTCTACTCAATGGTTTTTTTAGAGGTTCTATGAGTCTTAAAGAGGTTTTCTTGAGTTGAACAAGTATCGTAAACTCATTGAAAAATGTACGTTTTTAAGGTTTGTAAAGACAATCGCTGCAAGAATGGAGATCGTTTTGTCTCCTGTGGTTATCCTGCAAGTTAATCAGCTACTGGAGACTAAAAAAGCGTTCGAAAGTGCTATCAGTGAGCCTTTTGGTCTTTTATTATTTGGTGAAGTCTCACAGTCCGATGTGCTCATACAACATGGATTAGAATTACCATTATTTGATGAAAATCACACACTAAACTATCATTCAGAAGTACTGAACAAACGGATCGAGCTCTTGCACTCTGTGTTCCCACATTTACAGCCATTGGGCATTATTTTCCTCGGTGAGAGTTTCTACCCATGCAGCTTCAACAAGATTCTTGATGCATTGACGAAAGAGGTTGTAACCTTGAAATGCTTCCTGATATATACCCTTCAAGGTAACAAGCTAGATATTCGCTGCCATCAAATTGACGGGCCTCGAAATCAGTTACCACTACGGTTGCCAAACAATGATACCTTACTGGCTGCCATTGACGGCTCAAAACAATATACACTTAGGAATGAGGACAAGAACGATAATGAGAAACAAAAAGAGTTCAACGAGAAGCTTATCTCTAGAATCAACACCATCATTGACTACCTGGAGAAAGGCCAGGTTACTGACTCAATTTTGAGAAAAGTAGACCTATTAGTTTTACAATTGAAAAAAGCTCCCACGAACGACATCCAACAACAAGTTTTGGAGAAAGAAATGCAGTTGCAGGTACTGAACATTATATGCAACCAATGGGAAGCAGGGCAGACACTTAGCAGAAATGTGCCATAATCTGTGTATTTTTTCTTCAAATTATGAGTTTCCTGACGCCAGTGATGGACCAATCGCCAGAGTCCTTGTCATAGTTGCATCCCAGCAATTTGCTGCCCGTTACCGGACATTTACCCCCATGCTGCGGTAAATAGTTCATTATGCAAGGGTAGCAAAACACATATCCAGTTTCTATGGCCGCAGGGTTGGTAATTTCGCTATCGCATATTCTACACTTACCGTCGGTATTTCTTTCGAACGGAATGGGTGGAGGCGGGACATCTTGATCCAGACTGTCCATTTTCCTTTGCAACTCCCCAGTCATGTCTTGCGACGTCCACCACTGGAATACGCGGAGCATGAAGATGAAAGCTGGAAACACCTGTGAACCAGCAGTTTTAAGAATGGAGCCCAATTTGGAGCTCCACACCCGAATCAGGTTCAAAAGAGCAAGTTTATTAAGTCTAACACGCCTTGCACCTGTGGAAGCAGACTTGACGAAGTCCTTTGTGTCATTTCGTTCGTAATCCAAAACCGATAATCGTGTATAACTTATGTTCATGAAAAGATCGAGAATAGATGTTGAACCGGTTTTACCAGTGAGGAAATAAAGCTTTGATCCTAAGTTGAGGAAGAAAAGAAGTTTCTTTAGCAGCGGATAGTATTTGATGAAAAGGTTTCGCAGAGCTTTTCGTAGTTTGCGGTACATTTCAGTGCTGTTGTCATTTTCCTGAGGATTCCGCACTAATGCAGCAGCGAGTAGCTTAGAATGCAGCAAATCAAGTTTCGTAGCCACATATGTTACCAAAACTTTCTGTGCAATGACGGCAGAGCGCTGCACATTTGTAAGGCGTAAGGGAAGCTCTAAACCGGGATTTTGTTGAAGGGTGCGAAGTAAAATTCTGTCAGAAGCGTTGATACGTTTCAGCCCGTAAAAATTCTCAATGAATGTACCATCCCAACAACGCAGATAGCGCGATTCTATGGCCAGTCTAGTCGCCAACAAAAACCATTCATCAAACCAGTTATTGATACCTAAAGTATATTTGTTCGGTTTCCGGGCGACCAAATTGGCCACAATGTAACGCACAGACGGTGTGAGAAGCTCATCAATCTCGTCAGCGGACAAAATTTCGAAAATAGTTGGATATATCGAAGAAGCCAGAGCTGGAGATGACGTTGAAAGATTAGAATAGAACTCCATTACGCTTGTCTTTTCAGGAATGGCAGCGACGTCAAGCTTACAAGATTTATATCAAATGAAAGGTTAATTCCAGATCAATTGAAAGAAGGGCTTAAACAAACTCTTGGCTGACTAGATCATGTCTTGTTAGCTCACATCCCGGTGATGTTTTTAGATATCTTTAATTTCTAAAATCTTAAACTAGATTACAATACAAGATATGATAGTGATTTCAATGGACGCTTGAACATCCATCATACAATTCAGCAAAATGAACGTGTAGGATGGTTCGGGACGTTGATTTAACACTAATTTGGATTCGTTTTGCTCAGTTGTCCTTTTGGGTCAACACTTGAATTCTTTGAGTTGTTTGGTTCAGCAACTAGACGTGAATCAATATTTGAGCCTTAAGGTTGAGTTTAACATGGCAAAGAAACAATTGGAGAATTTTATATGATTCGAAAACAGAGAGTGTTCTCCCAATGCGAGCCAATGCTACTAGCGAGCTACTGTTATCCCGGATGGCTTGCTTTTGGCTTCTTTCAAGGATTTGAAATTACCTTTGGGTTCTGAGATTTGTACTACTTTTTGGTCAAGGAAATACTCAAAGTCTAAATTGATGCAGCGCAATTCGATTCCCAATCTGCTAATGGGTCAAAGACTACAACGAGACATGATTGGGACACGAAAAATTGCCTCTCTTTTCAAAAGGCACCCGTTGAACTCTCAACTGGGAACGCAGCTTTTAAAAGGCCAAAGGATCTTGCCAAGGACCTTCGTACCTTATGTTGTAACTGAAAGTCAGCAATTAGAAGCTTAGGTTCTTCATTACTCATTCAGAAGCGTCCAAACCCTCGGGCAGCTCATAAAAGCGTGTTACATAAATACTTTTGTTGTCGCGTAACTTTACGCGTTTTCCATAATTTACGCGATCCCACAGTCCGTAAGTAATTACATCGCTTTTGGCCAATTTCCCATCATTCCGTAAAGAACGACAAGTGGTCATCTCGAAGAAATCATGTGACTTTGTATATATTTTGATTCTAATAAGGTCTAATTCCACTCATATAATGACTTTTTACAAACCGGTTGGTAGATTTTAGATCATCTCTTCACATTAACATCTGTAGACGATTCAAGCTTAAGAGGCCAAAAGATCTGGTGCTCAAAACTCATTCATTTTTGTACTCGGAGAACTGTCCAAGTTTGTCTATATTTTGCATATTCTCTGCTATTCTTGGCTCCAAAATAAGTAGAACTGAGAGTTCATCGCACAATATGGATCGGGCTATCCAACAAACGGATTACGACGCATTCTCCTGCAAGATTTGTGCTATAAGCAAGAAGTATCTGCCTAGCAGCAAAGAAGTGGAATTTTGCGAAATGCAGGGGTTTTCAGAATTGCACATAGCCTACACGCAACATTTGAGAACTTTGAACAGAAGAGCATATAGTAAAGTTCAAAAAGCAGTACAATACGGCCAACCTTTGATGAATTACGGAACGTACCTCAGAACGCTGGCAATTGACTTGGAAGTCAAGTTATTTCTGGAAAAAGCCGCGAAAGAAAACACAAAAATTCAGGTCCTGAATTTGGGGTGTGGATCGGATCTGCGAATGCTCTTTTTCCTCAATCGGTACCCTCAATTGACCTGGGTAGATTTGGATTTCCCAGAGTCCGTTTCACTCAAGGCAAAAATACTGAAAAAGGACAAACAGTTTCGAGATCTTCTTGGGGAGCCCCAGGGTGTTAGCGACATAGAGTACATCTCAGACCGATATTCGCTCAAAAGCTGCAACCTGAACAACATTCAAAAAGTACTTGATATACTGCTAGAGTTTACTCGTCCAGAGTTCCCAACATTGGTCATAACAGAGTGTGTGCTCTGCTATATGGATCTTTCACGATCACAAGCACTTATCGACAATGTCATTTCCTTTTACCAAACAGGAACTTGGGTTTCGTACGACCCTATTGGCGGGAACGACACAGACGACAAGTTTGGCTCTATCATGCAAGCCAATCTTTGGGAGTCCAGACAATTGGAACTCCCGACTCTGATGTTTTTCAACTCGACGGAAAAATACGCTCAAAGGTTTGAAGACGAATCGAAACACACTCAGATTGAAACAATGTGGCAGTACTATGTCCAGCAAATACCGGAGGAAGAGAAAAACCGGCTCAAGTCTCTCCAATTTTTAGATGAAATTGAAGAACTCAGACTGATTCTCTCTCATTATGTACTCTCAAAATCTTGGTGGTGAAAAGCGGTAAAACTCGACATTAAAAAAAAGAAACCGGCCCTACTCACTCAAAATGGTAAATAATGGTCCTCTTTACCTGAACATCCATCCGTTTCCCTCACCCTGCGTTCTCCAAGTAGCTTGTGGCACTGTATCATTCTCCGCTCGGTACAGCCTCCATGCCTCCCTTATATGCTCCGGTAATATTGGGCTATTGGTATATTTTTCAACACTCACATCTAAGTTGTTGAAAGAGCGCACCAATCGGTTGTAGTGCTTGATGAGTGTGATTCTGTTTTCTTCAGAATTGACTTTTGACCTTATGATCCTATTGAACGTATTCGTCTCATTCGTAAGTTTCTCATCACTTTCGTCCTCGTAATCATCCGTTTCGTTTTCATCGACACTATCATCCAGAGTCGCATCCGACGTTTCCACTAGCAATGTTAGCTTCTTAAAGGTCTTTTTAAGCTTATGTGCGGCGAGTTTTTTCTGTCTAAACACTGACGCCATGAGTACCACCAAACTTCGTTTCTTGACCTCTTGAGCTTTTTCCACTATTTCACCCACAAATATCTTGCCCACACCTGCTAGAAGAAGGTTGATATTAGCAGCAACGGTTTGATTGGTGACAATGCTGGATATTTTCTTTATGTTATTCTTTGCCAAAGACGTCCTTCGAAAAACTTCAAATCTGTTCATCTGTTCTTCGTCCAAATTCGTTAGAAGCAAATTCAGCTGTTCAGATTGCTCCAGCGCTTTGGGCTGTGGTAAACGGGCAATTTGCTCATCGTGTATGTCTCGAGGAAAATGAAGGTTCCTAGGTACAGAATTGATATGCGGTGTCTTTTTGATCTTTCCAAAATTGTCCTTCGTCCTCCTCCTTCCATGTCCCGCAAAATTCTGATTTTTGAACTCATTCAAGTAAGCATTCATGGTTCCACCCGTTCGTACATCTTTGAGCTTCCAACTTACGTATTCTTGATCTTCACTGATGACTTGGCTTATCAGCTCTTTCGTCCCCCAGTAATTGTTCCGAGTTATTGAAGGTGGATAGTTTTGCTCCGGTAGCGTATCTAAAGGTCCTTGGGTCTCATTCATGGTCTCGAGTCTATTGGCAGCTATCTGTTGATGGTTGAAAGAAGTTAGATTTTAGATAATTGTAGTCAATTTTGAATCTCATAATATCATAAGAGCTGGATGACAGAATGATAAAGCTCTTAGAGGAAAGAACAAGGGCTAGCACTTTCTTCGTTATTTATATGTTTGAATGCTTGTTTGATTATGGCAAGAGAGATGTATGTAATTGCCAGCGGGACTTCGTTGTGGGGACATCGTGAAGCTTTACAGAAAAGTGGTTTGGATCAAATGACACGCTTGCCGTCTTCGTCCAAGGGACCCCATTCCTGATCTTGGACATGGAATCGAAGACAATACCAAGAGCTTTGGCTTATTTCCGCGATTTTATTTGTGGTTTGTTTAGTCACTTTATTGGTCATCAACCTGTGATTTTTCGTTAGCCTTTGAATCTGGGATTTCCAACTGCTCTTGTCGCACTTCATCTTTCTCCCGAAGTGTTTTGATGAGCCCTGTCAAAATAATGACAAATATTGGGCCAAGGAACAGTAAATAAACAGCTATTTTGTGTTCCTGAGGGAAGAAGTTTTGTTGAACCATTTCTTTGTGGAAAAATGCTCTTTCACACACCTCGACAAAGTCGTTACTCAAATGCAAAGCTTCGTTCCACGTTGCTTCGCCACCCCTCTTAGGGTCATTGAGCAGTTCAACGGCTTGTAGCCTCAAATCCATTGCTCGCTCGACATCTGCGAGGACCTGTCTGGGAACCGCCATTTGTGGGAACTGATCAGTGAGTTTAACTAGTGACCACAAAGTTTCAATTCCATGTTCCAAATTCTTCAAAGTTGTGATCCTTTTGAATGAGTCTATCGTGGTGTATGGTGTGGAAAGGTCGGCCTTTTCGTTAGATAGGCCCAAAAATTGAAATAACTCGCATGCAAAGCTGTAAATGACCGGCGCCAGATACTCTTGAGTTAGCCTAGAATTGTCTGGCAATGCTTCTTTATTGACAACAAGAGCGCCCCATTGAGGAACCATGAAACTTTGCCACGGCCTATCGTTTGTGGCATTGACAAACGCCAGCTGACCTGACTCCGGGCTGGGAAAGACTATGACCAGATTAATCGCATTTTTTTCGCGGTAATGATTGAGTGATGATAGTTCGGAGAGGTCAATAGAATGTGCTAGGTCTTGCCACGAAGGATCTTCAATGTCATGAAGCGACCCTAGATTAAGGTCATTGAAATGCGATATGCTAGTATCCACTGTGAAATTTACCAATGGGGATAAAAACCGGCGGAGTGGTGTGAAATACTGGTCTAGTGTCGACTCTATATTCCATGCGACGGGACGACCGTCTCCCGTGAGAAGTGACAGCGACAAATGTACTGTAGGTGAGTAAGAAATGGCCATCTCGGAAGACTTTTCATACGCTTGGTTACTTTTCCTGTTTGAATCGTCTGAAGAATCGCGACTCAAATGTGTCCATTCTGTGCCAAACGTGTGTTCAATGAGGGTTTGAGCCGCAAAGAACGGAATATCGTTCGACACGACGGCGGCGTCGTCGAAGTATACAATCGTTTCCTTCGAATCGTACGCGATAGAGTAACCCGTGAAGTCGTCCAGTACCAATGTTAGCACGTAGTCAGACTCCGGGTTCAAAATCTGATTTTTTTCGGCCTGCAAAACCTGCAAAGACCAATTGACAGCGTGTGGTCTGGATTGCAACAATGCGTCTGCCTGCAACTGAATGGCCTCGTGAACGTCCGGAAACCTGTATGTATCTGATCGCACATACACTGGCAATACCAAATGGACGTCTGAATGCACATTTTCGCGCAGGGAACTGATATACGTTCCAGGCAAAGGCGCCCTGTATATTGTGGTCATCTTGTACCACAGAGGTACGCCGACAAGCGCGAAAATCGCGCCAAACCACAGAGCCACCACCCGGCGCAAGTACAGCTGAGACATGTAACCTCTTGGTGCGGACACTGAAGCCCTGGAGTAAGACTTTAGGTATGGAAAATTGGTCGATGCTCGAAGCCTTTTTCAATCAACACGTATGGATTTCTATAATTAAAAGAAAAATTCGTTGATAGTGATAGACGGTTAATGATCCGAAAGATCATAATCATTACGTAATATAAATTTTATTATATCACGTGCTTTGGAACTTTTCAATTAATTTTATATTTACGTGTATAGTGATGTCACTTCTGGAAAAAATGTCAATCTCATCGCCTATCAAGAAGAACTTGACGATGCTCAGCTCGCGATGAGTATATTTGAATCGCTTGGAACACTCAGAAATAAAGCTTTTAGAGGTGGCAGCTCACCTTGTTTGAGTTAAGGTGTCTTGATTGGTTCGGGGTATAATTTTCCAGGCTTCATTTTGGTCTTCTTTAAGTTGAGAAACTCGAACTTTCATTCAAAAAAGGTTCATCGGCTTTGACCATATAGAAGAGCAGAGACTGGTGTCCGTAGCTTGTTAGAATAACAATATGGCAGAAGCTAAGGAACAGGAGTTTGTTCATGAGGTTTATAACGACATTGCATCGCATTTCTCGCAAACCAGATACAAACCGTGGCCTATAGTGACCAAATACCTTGAAGAGCAACACACAGGAAGTGTAGGCATCGACGTGGGGTGTGGCAATGGAAAATATCTAGATGTGAATCCCAACGTGTTTCTGATTGGTTCAGACCGGTCGGAGAACCTTGTGAAGCATGCTCACGAGCGTAACACACGGTGCAACGTTATGGTTGCTGACGGTCTGCGGCTGCCGCACCGGGATAAAAGCTTTGATTTTGCAATCTCCATAGCCGTGGTGCACCACTGGTCGACCCGCCAGCGGCGGATCGATGCCATTGCGCACATTTTGAGCAAAGTGAAACCCCGGGGGACAGCTTTGATCTACTGCTGGGCTTTGGAACAGGCCAGTTCACGAAGAGGCTATCACGAAGGTCAAGAGCAAGATGTGTTGGTACCGTGGGTCTTGCAAGGCCCCCATGCTAAAGATGCGTCCGGAAAGTCTGCCAAATCGCAGAAACCCAGGCCCAAAGGTCCAGATTTGACCAACATACCGCCCCAGGAAAGGTCAGCTGCTGTTCAACAGTGGAAACGTCAGCAGGAACAAGACAAGGCTAGAGCTAAAAAACAGGAACAAGAGATTGCTACAGCAGCACAAGCAGATCCTAAGCAAGACACTAACAACACTAAGTATCGATACTACCATCTATACAAAGAAGGTGAGCTCGAACAGGACTGCACCAGTGCCGGTGGCCTGGTCGTTGCCTCTGGCTACGAAAAGGATAACTGGTATGTAATTGTACAGCGGCAGTAACAATCCATAAGCTTTCGCGAATGCCTTGCAATGCCTTGCCACACTCTCCGGGCTTTTTTCTTGTCTCTCGCTTTCTTGTATAACTGAGTTGGTCTCTGTATATATAATGAGTTGATGATGATGTGTATTTTAACAAGTTCACGACCTTAACAAAGAATCAAGCAGAAACAACAAAGATGCCCGTTATTCAGCATGAGGGAGGTGATGTGCATCTCACTCATGAGCAGGAGAATAAGCTGAATGAATTCCAGATGATTACGAACTTTCCGGATCCTGAAGTTGGCCCTGTCGTGCAATTATTGGAAAACCATGGCTGGAACTTGGAACTTGCATTGAGCAGGTATTTTGATGGCAATTGGCAAGAAAGTTTGGTTCCTCCGGATATTGGTCAAAGACCTCCCACACCTATACCTCAGGAACTTTCCTCACATTCAGCAAGCGCATTCTTGCTTGGTGAAAATGCATCGTTTATTCCAAGGTTACCTCTTGTTAAGAGACTTCCTTCGGACTTTGGGGAGCATTTACGCATTATAGGACTGGACAAACGTCCAACGGACGATTTCAGTAACAATCCGGCCCTTATTATCCTGCTTTTTCTGCCAAACCTGCTATTGAAAATTGGTACTGGTATACTGACAATCCTATGGTCGATCATTTCATTTGGCTTCAAAAATGACCCACTCGCAGAGAATCAGATCAGAAGGGTGCCCGCAAAGCCAAATAAGAATGCGAAGCCCATTGCAGAGCTCATTGGCTCCGTCTTGGGCGAAAGTTCCGAGCTAACTTCTTTACTTGATTTAAAGCCTTTCAATGAAATTTACGATGACTGCGAAAGCCATTTCAAGGTTATGATGGTGGTATGTTTGGGAGGTCTAGAGTCAGAAGAGCTTGGCGGACAAGATCTTAACTCTGCCAGATTTTTAACCGAAATTCTTAATGACCCTACTACTTTGCAGTTTCTCCGCGAGCATCAAGAGCAACTATGCATTTACATGTCCTCTGCACAATCACCTGAGATGTGGGCTCTGGCAAGCCAACTTAAGCTCAGGTATACCCCAGAATGTTTTCTCGTCGCCAACGTCTTGAACTCGAAAGACTCCGCAAACGGTACCACCCGGATGTCATTAATAGGCCGATTAAAGGTGAGCTCTGCAAGAAGATTTCAAAACAGCTTGAAAGCTACACTTGAAAAGCATAGTGCAGAGCTTTTGGTCAGTCGTAACGAACAAAAAGAATTGAGGCTAGCGAGAGAGATTAAAGAACTACAAGATCAGGCATATGAGGAGTCGCTCAGACAGGATCAGCGCAAACAACAACTTCGTCAAGAGGAGGATGCAACGGCAAGGGAGACTTTGGAAAGGGAAAAAGCCAAGGAACTCGAACAAAAGCTCATTTCAGCAGCTCGCGAATTGCGTATGTTGCAACTGTCTTTGAGCCTTGCTGACAGTCAAAGATCAATTAACCCAGATGCTGGAAAAGCATCACTTCAGATCCGGACCTCGGACGGGAAACGTTTTGTCAGGGTTTTTGCCGGTGACGAATCTCCTAAAGATATATATCAAACGGTCAAGTGCCTTCTCAGCCTAGACCTCAAATCCTTAGAAGATGATGTGGTTCTTGAGAGAGTGAAAGCTAGAATGAGTAACATGATCGAGGATGGTAACATAATAGATTTGGATGAATCACTATGGTCTCAAAAGGCACTGGCTGACGAAACTCTCGGCTCATTGAAATCCCGGATAGAGCAAGAGTTGCAAGTGTTATGTGATTCGAGAGGAAAGGTTGAGCTGGATATCAACTTCGAACTGGTCTCACCATTTCCGAGGTTCATGGTGCCAAACGATGCGAGTATCCACATTGAGAATATTCCACAGCTTTGGCCTAATGGAAGTTTACTCGTAGAGGCGATAGAAGACGAAGACATGACGGGCATCGTGGAAAATTGAGTCTATACTAAGAAAGCATTTCATTTTATCAACATAATTACATTAGTTAACAGTGGTGTCCCCAGTGGAGGCTTCCGTCAACATTCATGGCCAGCCATGATAGATTCGCATTCCGAAAGTGTGTCAAGTAAGTACACCAATAAACGCAACGACGATCTTGTTATTCATAAGGTGTTTCTAGGTTTTTGAAGAAGGGCGCACTTGTGGTATTGTTACAACCACCAACAAACAAGAGGGATAAATTTACCACCATGTCAAGTGCTTTCCACTTTTGAAGTCATCAAGGTTTCCCGAGCAAACGCCCACACGGGTTAGATCAGTGCAGTCTGGATCCCACAAGATAAAAATTATAGACTCGATTCAAATGTAAAATACAACATCCCACAGGGATTGGATGGGAATGAAACTCAATTCCAAAGTGCAAAAGATAACTGCTCAAAAAATAAACCATATTCTCTCGCGATTCGGTTTTGGCTCTTTAAAACTTTGAAACCCACGATAAAATGAAACCACTATAAACAAACGGGACATATTCCGGAGTAATACAAACAACACACATGTGGTAGCATCGGGTTCAAAGTTAGTCAAAACAAATTTTGACCTCTGTGCTCTAATAAATTTCCGTGGTAAGCATTTAAGCTTATCCTACAGTTAGTAAAGTTCCTATTGGTCTTAAGTGATCTCTTTTCATTTTTAATCTGGGTTTAATCACTGTCTGGTTGGAGATCTTTCACGGGCCGAGCCGTAAAATCCACCATCGTCTCTACCTCTGTATTCATCTCTTGGAGCTCCGTAAGAGCCTCTACCACGGTCGCTGAAGCCACCACGGCCACCACGGAATCCACCACGGTCACCGAAGCCGCCACGGCCGCCACGGAATCCACCACGGTCGCCGTAGCCACCGCGACCACGACCTCCGAAACCACCACGGCCACCACGGAATCCACCACGGTCACCAAAACCGCCGCGGCCACCACGGAATCCACCACGGTCACCGAAACCGCCACGGCCGCCACGACCACCGAATCCACCACGGCCCCCACGGAATCCACCGCGGTCACCGCCTCTGAATCTTCTGATTGGAGGTGGGTTGTCGTCCTTTTCAGCAGAGATCACAGAACCTCTGAATTCGATGTTGTTGAGCTTTTCCAAAGCGTCAGCCAAGATTTCTTCGGATGGGAACTCTAGAGCACCGGTACCGTCGAATTCTCTGGTGTTGACGCTCGAAAAAGTTGTTTCCAACCCATTTTCACGGGCTAGATCCTTAAGCTCTTGCCAGGCAACGCCCTCTGGGAGGTTTCTTAGAACCATACGGTAGCGTGGAGGCTGGATCTTGGAAAAGACCACTTCCAAAGGCTGGTTAGCAAAAGTTTTGCCGTTGACTTCTTCGATGGCTCTGGATGCGGAATCGGCTTCTTCGAATTCCACGAAAGCGAATCCGTTCAAGATTTTCACCTCTTTCATAGGTCCAAATGGAGCGAAAATTTCATTCAGTTCCGAATCTTGCACATCGAATGGGAAAGGTCTCACGAAAAGTCTTGTTGTCGACAATTCGCCATCCATACCTCCACCTCCTCTGTGAGGAGCGGGATTGTCGTAGAATTGTCTTCTTCCTTGTTCTTCTTCCTGGTACTCATTCACACGGCTTGGGGGCTGTTCAAACTCTTGCGTAACGGTTTCTTGTACTTCAGTGACTGGTGTTTCTTCGGCTGCTTCCACTGGTGTTTCGACTGTCGTTTCTTGCACTTCGACCTCCTGGACTGGGGCGACTTCCTCCACGGGAACTTGCTGATGCTCTTCTGACATAGTGTAATGACTTTTGGATAGTTTGAATCAACAAGTGGTGTTGTTCAAAGTGTTGATGGTTGTGGCAAAGAGATGGGAGAAGTTGGCAGTTTTCGATGATATTTATACATAAAAATTTACGAGTAGCGACACTGCCGTGAGTAGTGATTGTGGTAAATGCCAAATGGCTTTCTAGTTTAAAGAGTTCAAGCCGATAACTGGGTTTTTGGAGGCTTTTATGGAGGCTTTGTTGTGCCCATTGATAATGAGAGGATATTCTATGGGTTCTTAGTGAAGTTTCTTGCATGGATAATCTTTGCTAGAAAAACGCATTTTTTAACAATTTTTCTTCAGTGTAATCGCGGAATAGAGCTGCCCAGAGATATATAGCAATATACCTTCTATTTCAAGCAGCTTTGCTAGAGAAACTACGAGGTGGAAACCGGGGTCTTGTAGCTGTTGGCTGGTTGTTAACGAGTTTTGTTGCAATTTTATATTCCAAATCACTTTGTACTATCATGACATGATAGAAACGGCGAAAAGTTTTGATAACGATCGGGGACGTAAGGCATCGCCACCTGAAAGGGCGCTGAAGATTCTTTAGTTATTGATGTTGCAACAGTGCCAAACAGAATACAGTTTTGGCTTTATCGGTGCGGATAATCGACATCATCACGTGGCTCGGAAAAAGGTTACTTATACTTACTGACGCGGTGGTTGTCATTGTTTTTAAAATACGGAGGCAGAGACCAAACAGACTACTGGTTCTTACAGTAATAGTGTGAAGGAGTTTGTTTGGCCGTATTTCTCATGGATGGCATTTATCGGGGGTAATTAGGATTTTCCACACTGGTAAAACAAAATAATGCCTTTCACACTATACATACATCGAGCATCTAAAACAGAGAGTGATTGGAATTTCGTTGAAGATTTTAAGCTCGTGTTCACAACAATGCTTTAAAAGGAATGAAAACGGGACTTTTTAGCTTAGCGACAGATAAGAAAGAGCATCACGTGTGTGGTGACAGCGACAGAATAGAAAAAGGTTTAAAAAGACTAGATCCTCTACAGTCTTTTGTCACCCACCTCAACCAGCTGGACAATGTTTGGGTTTACATCTGCTAGCCCTCAAAGTTGCATCCCGCTCATTTCCCAATAAAAGCTACTGCAATTGTCTCCTTAGAAATTCTCATTTTTTGTATGCCCGTAAGCGTTGCCATCATCCTCCGAAATATGAGCCTGGAGTGTTCAAAAATCAAAAACCTAAGAAAACCGCTAGTTCATTTAGAGTCGAAATCTATTCTTACTGATTAGAATAGCATCGAATTCTCCATAGCGTTCACTGACACACTTTCAAAATTAAAAGTCTGCAAAACACTTTAAATCATAAAATCAACCTAAGTTTCCAACCTTTTTCTCCCAAACTTTCACAACTCTATACTGATCAGGTCAAGTACCCTTCAAGCTTCCTGCCACATTGTTTTCGACCTTACAGGCTTCATGCCAACCCATCGACTGTTTTCTTCGTGTATCACCTGATCCTGGCTCGAAGCTTTACATTACATATTAATTGTCTAGAAGGCAGCCTCTAAACCAACTAACTTCTTCAGAACCCAGAGTGTGATAAGATGCTGCGATTTCAGCGCTTTGCGTCTCACTACAACCAATCCAAGCTTCTCCGAAAATACCCTGTTGGTGGCATATTACATGGCTACGAAATCAAACGGGTTCTACCCGTTCCTGAAATGAAATTCGTTGCAGTCGACCTCCAACATGTGCAAACAGGATCTCAACATCTACACGTTGATAGAGATGACAAGAATAACGTTTTCAGTGTCGCATTCAAAACCAATCCTCCAGATGATACTGGTGTTCCCCATATTTTAGAGCATACAACCTTGTGCGGTTCTCAAAAGTACCCTGTCAGAGATCCATTCTTCAAAATGCTTAATAGATCACTGTCCACTTTTATGAACGCCATGACAGGCCATGATTACACATTCTACCCATTTTCTACCGCAAATGAAGCCGATTTCAAGAATCTAAGAGACGTCTATATCGATGCAACGTTTAATCCACTATTGAGGCATGAAGATTTTTTGCAAGAAGGTTGGAGACTTGAAAATTCAAACCTGCAAGATCCAAAAAGTGACATTGTCTTCAAGGGAGTCGTTTATAATGAAATGAAGGGACAGATTTCAAGCTCCAACTATCAATTTTGGACCAAATTCCAAAAAACCATCTACCCTTCCTTGAACAATTCTGGGGGAGACCCTCAGAAAATTACAGATTTGCACTACCATGAGCTGCTTTCATTCCACGCCAAGCACTACCATCCTTCTAACGCAAAGACTTTCACATACGGTAATTTTGCGCTTGCTGAGACTCTTCAAAGACTAAATGACGAGTTCAAGTTGCGTGGTAAGCGGAACATCAAGAATGAGCCTCTCCTACCTCTAAAATTTGACACTGATGTCCGAGTAATAGAAAATGGTGAACTGGACCCTATGCTGCCGCCGGACAAACAGCTGAAGACTTCCATGACATGGGTATGCGGAGACCCATCTCGCGTTTATGACACATTTGTTTTGAGAGTGCTGGGTAATTTGCTTCTGGATGGCCATTCATCCTCCATGTACCGCGAATTAATTGAGTCAGGAATTGGTCATGAATTCACTGTCAACTCTGGCGTGGATTCCACCACTGCCGCCAATTTTTTCACTGTCGGTGTTCAGGGATGTACTGACGCTTCAATGTTCGAAAAGACAGTGCACGACATTCTGAAATCGACGTTAGACAAGTCTTTTGAGCCCACAAAGGTTGAGGCCATCATACAACAGCTTGAACTTTCCAAGAAAAATCAAAAGCCTGATTTTGGACTACAGCTGTTGTCGTCCATCGTACCTGGTTGGGTGAATACGACAGATCCATTTGATAACTTGGTTTTTGACGACATCTTAACCCAGTTCAAATCGGACTGGGCAGAAAAGGGCCACGGCATGTTCCGTGAGGTCCTAGAGAAACATTTTGTTGAAAAACCTTGTTTCTATTTTTCTATGAAAGCTGATCCAAACTTTTCTCAAAGACTTGAGCTCGAAGAGGCTGAGCGTCTGGGACGTAAAGTGAAAGAGTTGGACGACAGCGATAAAGAAACGATTTTGAAGCGCGGTCTACAACTTCAAGAGACCCAGAATTCCACGGAGGATGTTTCGTGCCTGCCATCGCTTCAAATCAAAGATATCCCCCGTAAGGCGGACACATTCAAGGTGGAGAAGAAGGCCGCAGTCATTCACAGAATAACGGACACTAATGGCATCACTTATTTGAGAGGTAAAAGAAACCTCAATAGCGCTATACCCCGCCATCTGTATCCATATTTGTCTCTGTTCGCTGATTGTCTTATGTCCCTAGGTACGCCTCATGAAAGTTTCAGCGAGATCGAAGATGAGATGAAGCTGCATACAGGTGGAGTTTCCACCAGTGTGTCTGTGCATAGTGATGGTGAGACGCTCGAACCTCAAGTTGAATTCGCATTTGAAGGATATTCTCTAGATTCCAAGACAGAACACATTTTTGATATCTGGCGTAAAGTAATTGTTGAAACGGACATTTCGAAGCACAGCGAAAAACTCAAAGTTCTAATCAGATCTATTGCTTCGTCTAATACCGCATCTGTGGCAGAAAGTGGTCATTCCTATGCTAGGGGCTATACAGGTGCTCACCTAACCTCTTCAAGAGCTATCAAAGAGACCATTGGTGGTATAGAACAGTTGCAGCTCATAACACGTCTGTCTGCTTCTCTAGACGATCCAGCTTTGTTCCAATCGGAGGTTATTGATAAATTGGTGGAACTCAAGAGCTATGTTGTAGCCAAGAACGATATGGAGTTTTTCATTACCTGCGATACTGACAAGCAAGTTACCAAAGTCGAATCCCAGATACAGGGTTTTTTGAAGAGCTTGCCTGATACCTCTCAAGCATGTTCGTTTTTGTCAAACCAATATCCAACCCTACCTTCGAACGGCAAACCTACCTTGATCTCTTTCCCCTTCCAAGTCCACCACACATCTCAAACTAGCATGGGCGTTCCATACACTCATGCTGACGGTGCCAGTCTTCAAGTTCTTTCGAATCTGCTCACTTTCAAGCACCTCCACCGCGAAATCAGGGAAAAGGGGGGTGCATACGGCGGCGGCGCCGCTTACAGCGCTTTGGACGGACAGCTTTCATTTTACTCTTATAGAGATCCACAGCCACTCAATACTCTAAGCGTGTTCCAAAATTCTGGCCTTTACGCTGTTGAAAAGGCAGATTGGCAGAATAGCGATCTAGATGAAGCCAAATTAACGATTTTCCAGCAGGTGGATGCCCCTATCAGTCCTAGCAGTGAGGGAGTGACAGAGTTCACTTACGGCATCACTGACGATATGCGGCAAAGAAGAAGAGAACAGTTGCTTGACGTAAGTTTGGCTGACGTTCGCAATGCTGCTGAGAAATACTTATTCAATACAGAAACGGTATCTGCAGCTATTGGACCCAAATTGGCGGAGATGCAGAAGGAAAGTTGGAACATCAAAGACTTGCAGTGATGTAAAAACTAAAAACCGAAATTCAGAAAAAGCGACCGTTCGCGTACGAAACCATGTATATAATGTGTAAATAATTAATCAATGCTACGCGTTGGTCCAGTCCTCATTGCACCCAAGCTATCGTACTTGGAGCGCCAAAGCCAGCCAATACCAAAAAAAAAAGGCAGCAAATAAAAGAGAAGAACAAAGACACTGTTTAAGAGATGCTATCGATTGAAAACAGAGCCTGAAAACCAAAGTTATGGATAAAAACTGTAGAGTCTTGTTATCACGCTACTGCTTCACTTTTACCTCAAGCTGGCATTCCATGCGAACGATAAACTCTTCTTCAACCTACACTTTTACATACCCGTATGCAATGATACCAATTAGTACGCGTCCTGTTAAGAAATTTGACATTTATATATATATAATTAAAGCCAACAACAGCTTTGAACTCACAACAGTGTTGATCTCAGACCATAAAGATATCCGGAACGTTGGAAAACAATGCAATTACACTTTCTAGCATTTCTCTGTTCTATTCTCGGTGCCGCTCTGGCGGTGCGGTTTGAAATCCCGGCGTTTCAAGCTCCTGAACCTGTATGCATTCGCGATTTCGTGAGTGAAGGACAATTGGTTGTGGTGGATCTCAAGACGGATGGTTCTGTTGGAGATGGCCAAGTGCTGAATCTGGTTGTCAGAGACACTGTGGGACATGAATATCGCAGGATGAAAAACATCGCAGGACCCGTCAAAGTTGCATTTACCGCGTCTTCATCAGCTGCGTTTGACGTGTGTCTTGAAAACCAACTGGAAAGTCGTGGCCGCACGTTGAGCAGAAAAGTGGAAATTGACATAGAGTCCGGATCTGAGGCCCGTGACTGGAGCCAAATTCAGAGTTTGGAGAAGCTGAAACCCGTGGAGGTCGAATTACGCAGAATTGAAGAACTTACAGATGAGATCGTTGATGAGCTGGCGTATCTGAAAGCCAGAGAAGAAAGACTAAGAGATACAAACGAATCGACCAACAGAAGAGTCAGAAACTTTTCGGTGCTCATGATCTGTGTTCTGCTAGGCTTGGGAGCGTGGCAGATTAACTACCTACACAACTATTTCAAAGCCAAGCACATCATTTAGTCAAGTAAATATGTATATATGTACAGGTCAAAAGACCAAATGACCAAGCTTTCCCAAAACAAATGCAAAATCCAGCCACGTTAAAAAAACCCTTTTCCCACTCGTAGCGCAGCTCATCATGTCGAGCAAGGCGCCGTTTTCCATGTTAATACTGTTGGCAATCTTTTGAAGGTCCTTTATGCTCAAAACATGATTTCGCAGACTCACGTTTGGGAACTGCTTGTCTCTACCACAGGCCACAACCAGCATGGACCATTGCGTGTCGATGACTTGTGCGTTGTTCATGAAAATCAGTAAATGAAATGTGTTTTTCAAAAGCTTGTCGAAGCTCACTATATTGGTATCTTCGATGCAAACATCCCGCACATCGAGCAGCTTGGTAAAGTCCCGTGGCATTTGCAAATCGTTATAAAAATCGGGCAAGTTCGACGAAGTCATATCAGACTCGATACTATATGTTGCAAATGCACCCAAAATGTCATCTTCGATTTCAGCAGGAATTTTGGGATTCATGAACTCGATTACATCGTTATACGCCTTTTGAGACCGTTTCTTGCTCATTTTCTTTGCTTCAAATTTCACAACATAGGGGTTCGAAGTCAGAGACCGGTTCCATATATAATACCACTACTCTAAGAAGTGTAGTTGATCGATTGAACTTCTCATCGAAAGCTAGTATCTTCAATGGCATTAGTTCTATTTATCAACTTAATTATCATGAATTACAATGTCACTTTGTACTAAAGGGTCATTTTCAAAATTTTCAAATTGTGATATTTGACTACAGTTAAGCGTATCGATTAAGGAACTTGTCAGACTCTATTCGCCATTTAGAGGACTTCTCAAGACTTCAAAATGTCCGAAAGCGGCGAATCGAAGCCTGAAAACGCTTTAGGCGTTGAAAACGGTGCGGAAAACAGCCCTATAGCTCCAAAAGCGGTCTCAAACGATGATGTTGCAGTGAACGCCCAAGTTGGTGAAAAGGTCAACGAAAGTGGACCAGAAGAGCTTGAAACCGGTACTAATAGTAGTAAACCCGGTGAAACGAACGACACGGCTGTTTCAGGCGATGAACAGGAAACTGGTGGGCTCAAAAGACCTCGTGAAAACTCCACTACCATTGAAAACAACAATCAAGGTCAGCCAGACTCTCAATCCGTTGATCAACAGGGGAAAGATAGTGCGGAAAACAGCTCTACTGAAGCCAAAAAAACCGAAGATGGTGAGAAAAATAACAACGAAGAAGGGGAAGACGACGAAGATGAAAACGATGACGATGAAGACGATGACGAGGAAGACGATGACGAGGCAGGTCCCAGGAAAAAGCAGCGTCAAGAACGCAACCGATTTCTCGATATCGAAGCTGAAGTCAGTGACGATGACGAGGATGAAGAGGACGAAGAGGAGTCTGAGCTTGTACGTGAAGGTTTCATCACACGTGGCGACGAAGAAGAAGAAGACGAAGCGGCTGGACCTGAACGCGGAGATCGTCTTCATCGTCAACTAGATCAGAACCTCAACAAAAGCTCAGAAGAAGATGCCCAAAAACTGGCTAAGGAACTCAGAGAGCGTTACGGCAGAAGTAGCTCTAAGCAATATAGGGCCGCCGCCCAAGACGGATACGTTCCTCAAAGATTTCTGCTTCCCAGTGTGGATACTGCCACTATTTGGGGTGTGAGATGTAGACCTGGTAGGGAAAAAGATATCGTAAGAAAGCTTCTCAAAAAGAAGTTCAATCTCGACAAATCGATGGGGAATAAAAAGCTGAAGATCTTGTCCATTTTTCAAAGAGATAACTATACGGGAAGAATCTACATCGAAGCTCCCAAACAGTCGGTCATCGAGAAATTTACTGCAGCTGTTCCAGATATCTATCCATCACAAAAGCTTTTGATTCCGGTACAAGAACTACCCTTGCTATTGAAGCCTGATAAGTCCGACGACGTGAGGCTAGAGGAAGGAAGCTACGTGAGAATAAAGAGAGGAATTTACAAGGGCGATCTTGCAGTCGTCGACCAAATTAGTGAGAATAATTTAGAGGTGCTCCTCAAAATTGTTCCACGTCTAGATTATGGTAAGAATGACGAAGTAGATGCTGACACTAATGCGCGTAAGCAAAAGCGACCCACATTTGCACAAAGGCCACCCCCACAGCTTTTCAATCCTACTATGGCTTTGAGAATGGATCAAGCGAATCTTTACAAAAGAGACGACAGGCATTTCACCTACAGAAACGACGATTACGTTGATGGGTACCTGTTTAAATCCTTTAGAATACAGTACCTTGAGACCAAAAGCATTCAGCCATCTGTGGAGGAGCTCGCAAGGTTCGGCAGTAAAGAAGGTGAGTTAGATTTAACTACTATCTCACAAACGATAAGAAAAGCACAGGCGGCGAGAGTTACATTCCAAATTGGCGACAGAGTCGAAGTTTTGGGAGGTGAACAGAAAGGATCAAAGGGTTTTGTCACCAGAACTGCAACAGATATCATTGCTGTCAACTTACCCCAGCTGGGTATGAAGGCACTAGAGTTTCCAATTTCCTCATTGCGGAAAATTTTCGAGGCCGGTGACCATGTAACTGTTGTTGGAGGTGATCACCAAGGTGATGCAGGATTGGTACTTGCTGTTAAAAACGGTCAAGTCACTTTCGTGTCCGATCAAACAAGAGCGAACCTCACCATTTCAGCCAACAATTTGAGCAAATCTATGGATTCCACGCCAACTTCGAGCGAATATGCCTTACATGACATTGTTGAACTCAGTGCCAAGAATGTTGCTTGTGTTATTCAAGCCGGTCATGATATTTTCAAGATTCTCGACGACACTGGAAAAGTGTCGACAATAACAAAAGGTTCCATCCTGAATAAAATCAACACGCAGCGTTCAAGACTAACGACCGTGGATAATAAGGGCAATGAAATTAAGATTGGCGATACCGTGGTAGAGAAAGTGGGTGCACGCAGAGAAGGTCAAGTGCTGTACATTCAAACGCAACAGATTTTCATTGTCTCTAAAAAAATCAATGAAAATGCCGGTGTATTCGTTGTCAATCCGATGAACGTCGAAGCTGTGGCATCTAAAGATAGTGTCATTGCAGGAGTAGGGACAATCGATTTGTCCAAGATGAACCCGGACGTTGTGTCTAAAATGCGTCCACCTCAGCAGTCCGGAGAGCAGTCGCGAGTGGGGCGTGATGTTGCCTTGGGCAAAACTGTCAGAGTCCGTTCGGCTGGCTACAAAGGACAGTTGGGTATCGTGAGGGATGTTAGTGGTGATAAGGCCACAATCGAACTACACTCCAAAAGCAAGCACATCACTGTAGATAAGAGAAAGCTGATGTTTTACAACAAAGAAGGTGGAGAAGGTATCACGTATGATGATCTCGTTAACAGGCGCGGTAGAACTCCAAGCAATAGGATTGGTCCAAGTTATGTCAGCGCGCCCAGAACCATGGCTACCGGTGGCGTCCCCGTTGGAGCTGGCCGTGCCAGCGCTACTGGTGTGTCTGGAGGAATGACACCTGGCTGGAATGCTTTTGATGGTGGTAAAACGCCTGCTGTGAATTCAGGAGGTGCTGGCGGTGCCTCTGCATGGGGCGGTGCCTCAACCTGGGGTGGCCAAGGCGGATCATCTACCTGGGGCGGTCAGGGTGGTTCCGGTGGCGGTGGAGCCTCCGCTTGGGGTGGCACCGGTGCCACTTCAACTTGGGGAGGTGCATCTACGTGGGGCAATAAGTCTAGTTGGGGTGGAGCTTCTACCTGGGCATCTGGAGGTGAAAATGGTGCTCAATCGACCTGGGGAGGAGACAAATCCACACATGGCGCCGGCTCTGTCTGGGGCGGTCGCGATGGTGGTACATCTACTTGGGGTGGTGGCACTGCTCGTGAGGGAGGAAACTCTACCTGGGGCAAAGATGCAAGTGGTAACAAATCTGCTTGGGGAGATCAAGGCAACGCCTCATCGTACGGTGGGGGAAGTACTTGGGGCGGCCGGTAGTTGATTTAAGCCATGAAATACGAACTTATCAAGTCTCGGCCCAATTTTTCCATCCTTCTTTTCCTGCATCTTGTGTGCCACACGCACACTTCACAGTGCTAATGAAAGCGTCATTGTTTAATCTGGTGTTCGTTTATGTAAAATATAGTCTAATGTTCAGCTAAAGTGAAGTTTGGCAATTCGCTCGACTGTTCGAATTGTAAAGAGGTTGGGAGAGGGAAGACAAAGCTCAGCTTCGTAGGCTTTTTTTTCTATGGTTTGAGTGCTTATTTATGCGTATATATACATGATGAGAATGAAGTTAATCGAGGTCACTACAGAGAAAGAGAGCAAAAGTACACTAACTTCATCGACTTGTTCTCAAGAAATCTAATGGTTTGCGTTCGGCAACCTTTCTCTTCTTGGACTCCTTGAAAAGAACATGCCGTTTGGCAACTGGATCGTATCTCACCTGCGTTACCAAAGGTGCACCTCTGGATATTGTGATCTGGCGGGCGAACCCGGTGGCGGCAGTGGATACCAGCTTTATCACAGAGTTCTTGGATTTCTGTTTGGCCATTAAAATATGATTGTGAGACTAGCCGGGGTGCTTTTGGGATATGATTCTGTTATGGATGCAAGCTAGCGATGGTGGTGATGATGTTAATGATGGTAATTTCAGATCCACGATGAAAAAGTGTATCATTATGTACGTTTGTCTTCGATAAGCTCGAGGATTTGAAGTTTAGCGAATGTTGAATGTGCTCGTTGAAATTGTGTTAAGTGGAGTGTTTTTCAAGGATAAGGCATGCGGTTCTCGTCACCTTTGAACAGTCGAATTAGAGCTTTTGAAGTTGACAATTTAATATCGTTATATACGAAAATATGAATTAAATTAACTCGCTTTTGACTTCTTGTTTTCGTAAGTGCGCAGCAAGATTGGTGATAGAGAATAAATTGATCTGAAGACACCCGCAAAAGCGCTGTCTATGTTCAAAGGATGTTCATACCCGTTTTCAAAATTTCATTTTAACAAATGCTTCTGATGGCTATCACTTTGCACGAGTATGACGCTTTAAAACGTCAATTTGGGTTAGCTATTTCGTGGTCAATACGTAAGTTTCAAGAAATCCGAACGACTACTGATGAGAGAGTGTGTGTAAAAGCTTGTGTAAAGTTTTTCTCTTGCTTCTATGGAAAACAACGTCATTCACTTAAAATTTTTGGTGTTGAGAAACCAGCACGTGATGCGCGTCAGTGACCGATAACGGCTGTCGACACAGTGTTGACCGTCTTTTTAGGTAGAGATTAGAAGACAGACTGGCTCCGTTGATCAGATTTTGATCCATTTGATGCATTCACAAAAATCTTGGATCTCACATAATCGAACCTTTTTTTCCAACTCCCGAATTCGAGGTCTTTGAGCCATGAGAAATGAGAAAAGTGACCACGAAAGGTTGCTTATGGAGCGTCAGAAGGTCGTGTTACCTATATCCAACTAAAGAGCTCATCGTGGCCAAATAAACCCGTCTTCCAGACCGTAAATACCGCTGTATCAGCTCCGCTAAGCACAGCGTCATATTTACTACGAAGTGATAAGAATCCCGTGATACAACGACAGCGACGGGGGCATCGAGAAGTAGTCAAGAAGGTCGGAGGGACTGGAAGTCACTGACCATTTGATCGTTGAAAGCATTCGCTGTTCTATACTTTGGTCTTTTTCTCAATGATAGAACAGTTTATAGAGTCGCATGGAACGCGCCCAATTCATGCAGCCTCTAAGACCTTCTTTCCTGCAACAACTGCGGCATTCTGAAGGGCCATTGGAAGGTGAATGCATCAATACGAACCACACCATTGGAAGCCTCAGCTATGTCAAAAATGTGAAAAGCTCAACATCCAGGTCCTTTTCGCCAATAAGTGCTCTTCAGGTCATCTCTTCGTATTCGTGACGCTTAGACGTTCGTACTTTATGGACTGGGTCCAAACTGACCGTTAGAGAAAAGATGTCAGTTTAGGTAAATTGTCCTAGCCTGTTTTTATAATTTGGGTGAGTTTGGGCAGCCAAGTATGCTCATCAGTAGTCATTGACAATCGAGGCAAGCTCCATGACGGTGCGAATCCTTTGAGAGATAATTCTGAGCTTTAATGTGGTAAGTTCATTTCAACTTTCTTTGATATGAGGTCTAGAAATGACACGATTACTGTTGGTGAGTAATTCGGATACCTGAGATTGCCAAGGTGGACAAATCGGAGAATTTAAATGTGAGAACGCTCAAAACCTTCTCATCACTGTTGCGTGAGCACAAGATAAAGCCACGTATCTTCAAAATAGATTTATCAGTCGCTCAGTTCTGTTGACCATTGAATGTAGGCTTTCCTGTGGTGGAAGAAATCAAACAGTTGCTGCGATCTCTCAGAACAAAAGCTTACTCGTGTGGACGTTGAGGCAGTTTGGAAAAGCCGGACTTTATGGCCAACGTAGGATCCTTTACCATGGCTTCGTGTCAATTTTTGGCAAGCTAGGAATCGATTCCCAATCATGATCATGAATTTCCAAACGGATGTGATGCTTTGCAATCGCAATGTATAATGAATGACTTTTGACTCGAATGAGCGCCCAGCCCGTTGCGTGTGCGCTTAGATGTGAGTTGATTCACAAACTTGTAGAAAAATGGACCACGAAGCACAAATAACATGTCGATTTAGATGTTGTCCAAATGCTGGATGATCTTGCTGGACCGTACGACCCATGCGACAAGCTGCTCTTTTTCAAAAAATTCCCTCATATTTTAAGCTCCACAACTAGACCAGCATTTCAGCTTGCGAAGCTGCTCTGTTACGCTTCAAAATTTCATCGACGAGAGCTATGTGACGTACATAAAAGGACGCTCAGAAGATCATCAGTATCTTGGAAAAATACACATCTCTATAGAAGCTCAAATGATGAAGATTTTGGAAAAGGGATTGACCAGCACGAACTGTGTCGAACGGAACCTCTTCTGTTAACTTAGTTGCAGCGGTAGACTTCGGGTTTCTTTGAATTCTGTCAATTATATATGAATACCCTGTAAATCAAAATAAATCAAAACGGATTACCCGTTTCGTGCATAATCACATACCCACTCAGACTACCCGAAAAATCCGAATTGCAACCCGGTTTTTTAAATTCAATTTTCCGGATACTTTTCAGGTACCACGTGATCTACCCGAATACTCAAAAAGATTGATTTATATATCATGTTTCACGAGCGTGCTACCGGGCAATACTTTTTCAATAAGCTTGAAAAACTCTGATGAAAAACTATCGACACCGATTTCATTAGAATAAACTCATCGAAAGTACCACCAAATCCACACGTTAGCGCGGTATATCGACTTTCTAACGCTTGCTTTTTCAGTGTATTAGAACTCTCGACATCCAACTTAAGAGGCTATCTTTTTCCCGCAGTCGAAAATACGCATTTTTGGTCAAACTAGGTTCAACCATCATCGCATAAAATCATGTCTGACATCGCAGTGCCAGCACCCGTTGTAGTGGAAAATCAAGACGGAACTAAGACCATTGTGTCTTACAAGATCGACAATGGCAAGAAGTTCAGAGTCACGCAAAAAGTGCGCGAAATTAAGGTTACAGAGAAGGTGAACAAGTCAGTTGCAGCTCGTAAAAACTGGCACAAGTTTGGTGCTGAAAAAGACTCTGCACCTGGCCCAGACTACTCTACCACGCAACTGGGTGAAGAAATATTGTTGAGACTGGGAACGCAATGGCGTAAAATCGAAGAAGAAGAAGAACAGAAGGCCAAGGAATCCAAAGGTGGTGAAAAACTCATTACATGTCGTATCTGTGGTGGTAACCATTATACCATGCACTGTCCTTTCAAAGAGACCATGGGCGATGCCAACGCTGTCAACGGCGGTGCTGGCGGAGACCCAGCGGTTTCCGGCGATCCAGCGGTCGACGGTGGAGCTGGCGGCGAAGGTGAGATCATCGCAGGAAAATACGTTCCTCCATCCCGGAGAGCTGGTGCTCGCGATCCTTCTTCTAGCAACAACTTCGATGCTTACCGTGATCAAAGAGAGCGTGACGATGCTATGACCTTGAAGATCATGCAATTGAACGAAAACGCTGACGAGAATACCCTAAGATACGAACTGCTGTTCCCATTCGGTAGAATACCTAAAGTGGTGGTGGTGAGAAATAGAGAAACCGGTAGATCCAGAGGTATCGCATATGTGACATTCGAGACAGAAGAAATTGCTGAAAGCGCTTTGAATTTCCTAAACGGCAGAGGTTTTATGAACCTGATCTTGAATGCTGACTGGTCCAAGCCTAAGGTAAAGGAGGAGTAAAGTTTAGCGGACAAGATGAATTAATCAGTAAATACTTTGTACCATAACAGATTTCAGCTTGATTATGAACCTAGTTTTGGAAAAGATGCGCGAAGAACACTTTTCTGTAAAATGATGGATATTCTTTACATTTTTCAGTGGTAGACAATTTGTCTTTCGATAGGCTACGGCTTTCTTGAACTGAAGATAGTTGAAGGTGCGAAATGGCTAAGTTTGAAGAAACAGTAACATTTCATCGCTCAAAATCTTCAGACTCGCATCGAGCCATTGTGTTCATCCATGGAGGAGCTTGGATAGATCCCTCCAACACGCCTCACGATTTCGATAAGCTAGCTGAAGATTTGACTACTTCATCTGGCCATTGTCAACCAAAGTTTTCCATATACGCTATTGAATACAGGCTATCGCCTGAAGTAAAGCACCCAACTCATTTGTTGGATGTGCTCCAGAATTTAGCTCAATTAGTACAAGAAGAACAAATCGATGAGTTGAACTTGCTTGGTCATTCCGTTGGTGCAACACTGATATGGCAATTACTGACATGTAATGCGACTTTCCATTCTGCGCTGGAGCTCGTCAGATCAAAGATCAAGCGATGCTACTTAGCTGATGGGATCTTCTCGCTTTCGGAGTTGTTGCAAGAATATCCAACTTATGATTACTTCGTGTCACAGGCCTACAGTGCAGTTGAAGATTATGAAGATCCGACTGATGCAACGCTTTACGTTCCTAAAAGCACTCAAATTCACATTGTTCACTCCTACTCCGATGAGCTGCTTTCAATGCGTCAAAGTAACTTCCTTTGCGGAATACTTCAAGCTCGCCAGCAACGTCATTGCACGTACTGGGATGATCTTGGAAAACACAACGACGTGTACAGAAGTGCGAAACTGGCAGAGTATATTACTTACACTATGATGTATTGAATCTCGAACAAAGAAATGCGACTTTTTTTTCATACCCAGATGGTCTTACCACGGGCTTCGATTTTTTGGCCCAGGCTGGAGACCTCATTGTTCCATTCAACCAGTCTCTGTTTCATTTTGTTGATCTGGTCAGCATTGATGATCCGCGGTTGTACCCACGTAACTGTCACCAATTCTTGAACTTGGTCGATGGATCCTTTTAGTAGCCCCAGACTAATGCTTCTCATGACCAAATGTTCTACATTGTCCTTGGGAAGATGTGTAGCAGCAGCAATGTCTTGAAATGACAGAGTTCTGATATTCTTGACAAAAACGCTTTCGACCAAAGTCATCAAGCATATTTTTTGCCTCAAGAAAGACTCGTGTGTGGAAAGGATAGGAACCTGAGAAACCCGCTCCTTGGAGATTTTGTCGAACTTGTCGAAGTCACCGTTTGACAAAGTATTGAGAAATTGAAACAACCATTCGTGTTGTGGGTCAGATGAGATACTTTCCATTATTGGGTGATGCAGTAGTTCTCCAAAGTTGTAAATTTTGTCACCTAGTAAAGCCGCAATGGAAAGGTCATAAGCAAGCTGCTGGCGTCTCAAAAACGAAAACTCTGGTACGGAACGGGATGCTTCGGCGGTTGACAAATACAACAAGCTTGTGTAGTAGAATGAATTGAAATCCCTTTTAGCTTGATAGTATTCGGAGCTTGCCGAGTAGAATGCACTGGTGACTTGCAAGGGCATCACATCATGCATTTCAATGGTTGCTTCAATTGCGTCCAATGCGTCCCTGGACTTCACCAAGTTTCCCTGCGTGAGATAAAATCTTGCGATTTCGATATCTATCAGCACAATTCCATCAAAGTGTGATTTGAGTCCGTCATTCCTCTGCTTTCGCTCGTCAATTTCTTTGAAGCTCTTACGCAAATCTTCGAGATAACCTAGGGCAGCGTCTGGATCGTTTTCAGCCTTTAGAGAGCTTAGCAGAAAACTCACAACGCTCAATTGACTGATCTTGTCCTGGAACTGCAACACAAATGCATCGTATACTCTAAGCCTCAGTGGTGCTGTTCTTTCGTCCTGGAAAAATGACTCAAGCTTCTCTGTTAGTTGATGCCATAGTTTCGATTCATACAGGCTTTCAAACTCGTCGAAAAGGTACGAAAGTTGTGGGTCCACCTCCTGTTTCAAAGTGCTCAGCACGGTGGAGATATCAGCCAGCATATGGTGCAATATTTTGGGTTTAGGGCCTTGAGATAGTGGGTTTAACGTTGTCGAAGTGTAACCCTTTTCGTCAAAGATGGTGGCGAAAACCTAAGAATCTTGAACTTGTAGAAAAGCAGTTTGCACGAGGTGGCTATAAAACAAACTGCTACGAATCGACCAGCAAGTTTGAAGTTGATGTGAAGATTCTAGCGATGACAATGATAATGTGGTGACAATGGCGAATATAATATTCCAGGAGAAATATGAGTCCCGAAAGTCGAGTTGTGGGTTCTTATTCTGAAATAGTCGTTCGCATGAAAATAAGACGCAGAGATTGGGATCGAACAAGTCGAGGATGCAACCCTGGGTTAATTCGCAAGCATGTATCAATGTGGGGTGGTAATAAGCACTCTTTTTGCAGAGCAATGGCAAAAACAATGGGGAAGGACATGCAGGATGTTGATACCTTTTGAAATGTGACACATTAGTACAGAGTGATCTGTCGCCAAAGATTGAATGCCAGGTTAAAAAAAACGGTATTGAGGTGCCAAGTATCGCGTGGCGGTCTCTCACCATTGGTCATGGTGTCAATCAGACTATGTACAGCACTTCTCAGATCTCTTTTCTCTTGATTTTTGTTTAGTTTTGTAAAACCTAGGACGCGTGAAGCTTGGAAAACCACCATCCGCGAAATCAAAAAAGTTCAACAGTGCGCACGTTGATATCTTCTATGACAAGCTTGGCATTCTGCCAGGCGACCAACGAATCTTTCAGCCAAACAAGGAGGACTTTGGAGAACGCCTTGAGAATCATGGAACACCTTTCCTTGACGTAGCTCAGCAAGTGTTGCAGGCTTCCATCGACGGAGGCATTTACCTGCTTTACATCCTTTGTAATGAGTTTGAAGCATTCGTTTAATTTCTGCAGCTCTTGATTTATTTTTGCTACTTCTTCCACCCTTTGCTCGTCGCTTAGTAGATGAGGTTCTAGCTCGCGTGTGTCAGACGATGACCGCGATCTGCGAGACCCGGCAGCTGTCGATCTTCTGGGCTTAAACAAATCGGTCCAACCTGAATTGCCTGTCTGAGGGTGTTTGCTCGCAACTTCTCGTTCATTCGGTGGTGCCTCGCCCGATACTGCTTCAACCACGTTTCGGTTCCTGTGATCCATATTTTTGATAGCCTGCGCAACAGTCGGCGATTGCTCTGCGTTCTTCTTCAGGGCCTCTTCAAGTCTCAACATCTGTTGCCTAGCGTCTTCCAGGCTTTTTATCCGCGCCTCACGACGCTTTATGGTGGCTTCTACTATTCTGTATTGTCCCATCTTCTGTTCCCTAAAATGCAGCACTTGCCTAGCCTCAGCAATAGTCTGAACCATCTCAGCCATAGGCTCTTCGAAAAGAATAGTAATTTGCTCGGATACGATTTCAGAGTTGACATAATTCACGTCAATGGCTTGCCCCACTTTTTCAATTCCTTTAGATAGCTCATTGATCTGTCGCAGGTTCTCTTGCAGGGCCAAAATGTTTCCTTCCAAGCTAAATGCATTGTAATACGCACCTAGTTCCGCCAGTGAGGAAGACAGGGCCTGGAAATGTACTCTGTTCTGCTTAGCATGCTTTTCCAAAGGCTGGAGAGTCTTTTCAAACTTTTTGAGATTCGTTTCGTGCTGTTTGAAAGTATCCTCGTAGCTCCATATTATGTTGGTTTTCTCGACCGGTTCAGCGACTATTGCGTTGGTTGATGCACTGGGAAGCAAGAGATGCAATGGGCTAGGTTTTGTTTGCTGTAAGGGAGGGGCCAAGAGGTTGTTTGCCGGCAAAATGGAAATCGGAGGAGAGTTTAAAACATGCCTCCACACTTGCTCGGAGTCTAAAAACTTTTTGAAAACGACGTGTTCCCGTATTTCGGGTACCGCATAACAATTGTTGAGAAACAAGGAAAGTAGGCGTTTTCTGCGATCAATGATTCTAATATCTTTCTCTGCACTGAGTGGATTCAAAAAATACCTGATTAGTGGATGTTTTGAAGGAATTGGAGGCACAACAATCGTTGGCAATAATCGGTATAATGCATGTCTAAGACTGTCAAACTCCGAGTACCGTCTCACGACTTGCTTCCCTTGGAAGTCTATGGTATAACCAATCGCATATTTACCACCAGCGTCTCTGAAGTGGCCTGCATCTACTATCTTGACAGCTTGTTCCTCAGTTGGCGCAGAAAATGGGATTCTGTTCCGTTCTGACGATAGACTTTCTTTCACAACAGGACGTTCTGGTGTCTCAGGCTCTGCAGAATTAGCTCCCCAGGTACCAGCCCCATTTTCAGAACTTTCTGTACGCAAAACCTTGCTTGTGTCTATATCGCTTCCAAACAGCTTCTGCATCAATTCCTCCCCTGTTTCCTCTTTCTCTTGTATGTCTGTGAGGATGTTAGGGGGAACAAAGTCATCTTGTCCTTCGGGAACAGCTGCAATTCCTGATGCATACAGATGATTAGTGCCTGAAAATGGATTGTTGTCCTCCTCATCGCTACCATCGTAGCTATTCATGACTATTCTTGCCTTTCTTGATTTCAGTTGTTTGTTTCTCTGCTCGTTGGATGAAGTTGATTATAAGGAATTAATGCCATCAAAAATATTCAGATATTGGGTTGTACAGCTTTCAAAGAAGTGCGAATTCAGAATCAATTGCAATGTCTTCTGAACGTATGTTGGGTTTTTGGTGCACTGCTTCAAGTGTAGCCGAAACTACTGTCAGTCTCAGGGGTTTGTGTGTGACAACTAACAATTGACCTCGCAGCCGTTTTGAAAGCTTCAGATATCGTAAGTTAAACTTCCAAAACTTGAAGTAAACCGCAGATCCGAATGAATTCTAACTTGAATAATGTTTTGATCAGTCACCAGAGCTGAAGAATGCAGTTTTTGAAATTAGCTCCAAAGCTGTCGAGGAGTTCAGCCTAGAAAGAGAAATCGCTGGTGTGGTGAAGAAGGAACTGGACCTCAAACACGGCAACACTTGGCACGTCATAGTGGGTAAGAGCTTTGGAAGCTACGTGACGCATGAAAAGGGACACTTCATTTATTTTTATATCGGGCCCCTCGCTTTCCTGGTCTTCAAGACCGCTTAGCACTCACCAAATAAACTTTTTGCAACAAATAGCAACGAATGAATTGATTTGAACTTCTCAAATACACTTCTGTGCCTGAAAGCCGAATCAATGATAGCTCTCGTCAGCTGCTGTTGGTATCTGAACGCTTTTGTCAACGTTCAGAATATTAACCGTAGCCTGTATGTCGCTGCAATTGGCATCTATCTTGGAGCCCAGTTCTGTAGATCTGCTTTTCAGCATTTCCAGTTTTTTCCGTACACCGGTGGCTTGCGTATCCTGCATGCTAGTAACTATGCCTCCCAGTAATTGCATCAGTTTATCCCGGGAATCTGCCGCCTCTACCCATTGGTCGTAATATTTCACTGCCAAATTTTGTTCGCGCTCAATGCGCAACTCGAGAAACTGATTGGTGAGATTGATCTTTTCCATTTTTTCACCTATCGCGCGATGGTCTTCTACCTGTGACAGAGCTTTTTGTAATTCCTCGAGCTGTGTTCGCAAAACCTGAACCTGCTCCCTTCCATCGGAAAGTTCGTGGGAATTTAATTTTGCAGAGGTCCGCACACTACGTGCCAGGGTAGCGTATCTGATTGTTGACATGGTCTCTTCGTAGTCACAGGGCGAAACGCATGCAATCATACAAGTCTTACTATTTCCGCCTAGACTTTCCTTCAAAACCCAAGTCAGGACTGCATCTCGGTATGGAATTAACAGAGGTCTTTTCGGCTTGGAGAGCATCGATATCACTCTTCCAAGGGTGCTTAAAGACCGGTTGATATTGGATCCTTCTTTAAGGTGCTCACCGGTGGTTTTTGACGCATTTGCTCTTTCGCTGCCTGCCAAATCAATCAGTTTTATGCTGGATACCCGCTCCAAAATATGACCCAACGGCGTGGTTTCCCGCTGATCAACCTGTATTGTGAAGATTGCGTGGCTCCGACTGGACTGTTCATTTACATGAGTCGCACCCGTAACTCTCCTCCTGTTGCCCTGCTCGAAGTAGTCGAGTATCTGGTTGACCTCAAAAACTTCAATTTCTCGAAGTCCCTCCACGAAAGTAGTCTTGTCTGCCCGCTCCCGAACCTTGCACTTGCATTCCCCAAGCAAATCGCGCACAGTCTCGTTGTAGATCTCGAAATAGGAACATTTGATGCTAAACTGTGGATGTACTTGATCATCGGACAGCTCGTACAGGTTTCTCACTTCAAAGAGTTCTTGGCACATTCTGGGCACTATTCCTGGATTCTCGGCTGTTCCTGACATCGTGTGCGACTTCCCTGAGCCTGTTTGACCATATGCGAATATGCAAGTATTGTAGCCATCCAACGCGTGTAGTAGATACTCTCTAGCTAAAAAACTATACAGCTGCTCCTGGTCTTGTTCCACATCATTCGAGTACGTCGCACAGTGATCGAAAGCGAACCTTTTAAGATCGTCTTTCTTGCTGGATTGGATATCTATATAGTTTTCGGACTGTACATGTGCTACAAGAAAGTTGTTCGACTCTGAAGCTGAAGGCTTTCTCAATCTCACCGCCACCTTGATGCTATCAGACATTTTTGAATGAGGCTGGATTGTTAAAGTCTTTGCTCTGATGAGAGTTCAGGTTGTAGTTAGCCTCCGCGTCTAAAGCTGTTTAATATAAATAGAGAATAAAGTATGTGATTATTTGAGCGTCAAGTTGATCACGTGTGACAGTGGAAAGTCCATCAACGATGAGCACAGGAGAGTAAACTGGTGAACAGATTCCAACTCCGGGCTGGAATCGGAGTCGATTGGAAAGATATGAGGTAGATGTCCTTGTTTGCGAGGTAACAGTTCAATAAAAAGAGTATATTAAGTATCTATTAAAGTATGCAAGTGCCGTTGCCGTGTGTCCTGATGTTAACCGAGTTCGAAATAGTCTTGACAGTGATTCAGGCTTCCTTTGGAAGCTCGGTCACGGAAACTTTCTCGAACTCGCTGTCATTAAAGTGGGTTCCCAAGCGTGCCACATTGTAGCCCGTGCTTTCCAAGTATTCGACAAACAGCTCATCTTCGAGAAGGTTGGCTTCTTGGTCAACAGCGGGCAAGAAAAACATAGCCAGGAAGGCGCTGTTGCAACAGATGGCACCGGAGATCCAAAAGGGTACCTTCAGGTGGTCGTATCCTCCGTACTTCTTGATGATCGCAGGGAAAGCATAGGAGCCAGCAAAAGCACCAATTTTGCCCACTGCAGCTGCGATTCCGTAGTACTGGCCTCTGATTGGGGTTGCGCTAGTCTTTGAAGCTAGAACACCAATGTTGTCACCAACACTGAACTCGCCAAGGGTACTGAAAATACCGAAAACGACAGTAAAAGCAGCAACGTGCTTTTTCAGGTGATCAAAACAGCCAGCGATGATGAAAGCGATAGCGGCCTGAACAAGCACACCGCTAACAAGGGTGAAGCGAGGGCCCCAGTAGTCTGCGAAGATCGCACCAAGGAATGCACCTGGGATATAGAATAAGTTGAAAACGATGTTCCAGCCAAATGTTTTAGTCAAAGTAGCGCTATCTCCAAGAACACCTTCCAAAATCAAACTGGACAAACTGGAAAACGAATAGGAAATGAAATCGTATTGGAACCAGATCAAACTCACAATAGTGAGTCTAAACCAGTAAAATTTGAAGATCTTCCAAACAGGCATTGTTCTCTGGAATTTAGTGTTTTGGTATTGCTTGCCCTCTTTGTATTTGAAACGAAGTAGGAAAAGCGACAATGGCGGAATGGCACCCAGTCCTAATGTGATTCTCCACACGGGCGTCAAATGGTTCTCGCCGCAGATCTTGAGCAAAATCAAAGGCACCACGGAACTGACCACAAACCCGGTATCAATCATGAAATTTGTGAACCAACAGAACCATCTGTTACGTTTGCCAGCTGGTAGAGAGTTTGAGGCTTCGGCAGCGGCCGTGGAGCCTGCTGGATACTCCGATCCGATACCGATACCTAGGAAAAACCGGTAGGCGGTCAATGCAGCGAAAAGACCACCGGCGTGTGTTCCTGTAGTTCCTACACCCCACGCACCGGCTCCCAAGATCGAAAACAAGATCAGGATCCCTGTGCCCACCAACATGGCCACTTTACGCGAGTGGAAATCGGACACGTAGCCAAACACCAGCTGACCCACAACAGTGCCGACGAATGCGATGGACGACACGTTTTGCAAAGCGTTCGAGTTGGAATATTGGTCCTTGTAGATAATCGACAAACACGCGTTCACAGTACTGATCGAATTGTTGATGTAGCCATCTGAGAACAAACCGGCACCGGTGGTCACGATGGCCCAATAGTTGTTGCGGTTGTCGTCGACCTGATATTTACCTTTGCGGGCCTTTTCCGAAGATTGGCCTTCCAAATTAGTATCGCTGGCGGTATCTTCAGTATCCTGGAATTCTCCATGACCTTTCAACGACCCGCTGAACTCGTCAGAGGCGTCCAGATCACGGCCCCATGTGATTTCCTTCTTAGCTCTATTCACACAGTTTGAGCCGATTTCCTGAACAGAAATCGGTAAATCCCGAAACGCCGGATGATTTATATGTCTTTGAGAAGCCATTTTTCTTCAAACTTTCCTTTCAAGAAGCAAAATAGTCAACTTTCTCTTTAACAATGCTCGAGGTCTTGGCAAAACTCGATTAAAAACGCCAAAATTGTAAAGTAAAAACTCCAAATCCACAAGTAACTGATGAGCTAAAGCTTAGCGTCTAAAAACAGAGCTACTGATTCTTCGAATTCTTGATGGATCAAGCGTCTAATTCCTCGATTTTCGAGACCTCATCGCATCTATGATTCTCGTCTTGGCGTCTTCTTTGACTTCTCTTTATATATGACACTTTATCTTGAGGACCGTGATAGTAATTTATTAATTTTTCACATGTGGGTTGAAAATTGAAATTTCACGAGGAAACGGACTTGAAAGATTACGTCAGCAAACTGTGGTTGTCGTGCAAAGTGCTATGGAGAGAAGAGACTAGACTAGGGCTTTATGAATATGTTTGAATGGGGCAATGATGGAGCTTTGTAGGGGCTCATGGGGGGAAGGGGGTTTGATGAATTATTGGTAATTCTTTTATCTTATTACACTTCTTGATACCTAGTCTTATTGGGAATTTCAATAATTGCAAGATCACGTGACCTAAAACAATAGATAAATAGTCCAAAAAATGGGTGGAAGAGCAGCATCGTCATGGTGATGGGGGGTTTCAAAACCAAATTTTGAGCTAGTTGAGCTAGCTGTCCCCCCCCCCCTCCTTCCTCCATTGTCCCTTCACTATCTCTTATTCCAATTTTGTTGTCATTTTTTGGATTTCCAATGCGTAAATTCTTAACAGAATAACAAGACGCAAGGCTGTAGTACATTCTCAACTAGTTGTAGGCACGCACTCGTGGTATAATTGTGCACAAGTGGTACCAAATCGCCCACGAGGGTATCATTAGACGTGAAAACCTCACTAGCAAGTCACGTGATTCAATTAATATGCAAGAATGGAACCAGTGTGAAGCTTTGATGTATTACAAAAGCACCGAAAATATGTGGAATATTGCGTAGATTCGATTACAAATGAGACTCGACTTTAATAGACACTTATCTTGACTAGTTTTCTCAAGACTCTATGAAAGACCACAATCTTCTAATTACATAGAGTGGGTCACGTGACATGCGTCAGTGAAAGATCCGGTAATGGTTGTCTATAAGAAAGCCGATTGTAACTACGTCTTTAGTAATGGGGCGAGCTTCAATTGTGCGAGAGGCTCTGATTTTGTCCTCTTTCGACTATTGGTTTTGACGAGAGTTAATTCGAGGCCCAAAGGTAGATACCCCAGCGAAATCAAAAAAATGCTCAACTTTACATAACTTTTTGACAGAACAGTCCCAATTGATCTAAGCTTGATTCAGTAGCCAACCCCTCTGAAATCAAGATGTCTTCATGTGCTATGGTTTTTACCACTACGAGGTCATCAATTTTTTGATTTGAACATTATTGATTTACAGACGTAGCCTGACTTTCGATTCGTCTACGAGGGCGCATGTCTGCTCTTCCTAACACCAGCCAATCACACTTGCTCTACCCTCTTTGCATAATTCGATGCTCTTCTTACCTCAAAGAATATATTATATATACAATTTAGTGCATCTCACCATCAATATTCGGGCTTTTTAGCAACAAACAGCATCATAGGCGTAAACAATTTACTTCTACCACCGGCAACTAGTCCCACTGCGGCTTCTTCCAACGCCAAAGTCACATCACGAGAACCCTTGGGAGCAATACCGACTTTTTCCATAACCGTAACCATCGTGGTGGTGAACATCCTACCGAGGGAGGAAGTTCTGAAAAAGGTGGCTAGATCTGCAAGTGTTTGGACGTATTTCCATTCACCAGTCAATGGGTAATACCATGGAATTGGGTCGTCGTTGTCAGCCAAGTCCTCGTCGTGGACGATCTCGAATCCCACGGTCGCTAGGGCCTTACGGGCAACATCGGCAGGGAACATCTTGGGGATACCGTCTCCGAGTTCGATCTCGTATGCGATCTTACGGTGCTCAGGGTTACTTTCGTCGTATTTGTCGGTCATCACCCATTCGTACACAGCGAAAACACCACCTGGCTTCAACACCTTGTAGATTTCGCCATACACGCCTTCCAGCTTAGGAGCGTGGCATGTGGCCTCAATGGCGTACACTTTGTCGAACGTTTCGGGCTCGAACGTCATGTTCATGAAATCTCCCTTGACAAAGTCTAGCTGATCGGCTAGACCGGCTTTTTTGGCGTAGTATTTAGCTTTGGCAATCTGGTAATCGTTGTTGTTGAGTCCGATGACGTTGGAGCCGGTGAAACGCGCAATTTCGCGTGCAGGTCCACCTACACCGCAACCAACGTCCAAGACCAGATCTCCGGCCTTGATTCCGGCCTTGTAGGCCAGAAAGTGTTCGTGACGGGCTACACTGGCTGCAAAACTCTCGCCCGAGTAGAATCTGCTGAAATGGAACGATGAGCCCCAGCCGTATTCGTAAAAGTCGGTCACCACGTTGTAGTACGAGTGTGTGGCTTCGTTGTAGTCGTCCAAACGACGTTGTTCTGCCTCTTCATCGGTTTTCCCGTCCCAATGGCGCAAATACTTGGCCACAGCTTCTTGCTGCGCAGCTTTGTTCTTGGAAAGCAGAGCCTTCAGACCCGATTTCGAGCCGATATCTTCACCGTGAAGCTCAGAGGTGAACTTAGCCTGTCTGTTTCTCAATTCCTGAGATGATTCCTCGGACATTGCAGCTTGTTTTATTCTTCAGAGGGTAGTTATTCAAGGTAATTCCAGGTATCTATCGATCTATCTTTGAATGTGAATTTCTCGACAATGGGTTTCTCGAAAATCGAGCTTTGACCGGGTACAAATTAGCACGAGTTGTGTTAATGCTATATCAATGACAGTTGATGTCAATGGTGTTTCAAAGGGATGGTTTGAGTCACTAAAAAGCAGTGATGAGTTGTTCAAGAGTCTCGAGTTCGATTGTTTTTCATTTATATACTCAGTTCATTATCGTTTAATTACATGAAAAAAAATGTCGACGTTGTAGGTGTATAAACGAATAGAAAACGACAGTAAAATCGTGCGACGATAGGACGGTTGCAATTCGCAAAAACGTTTGTGAATCGAAGGGAATTGGAGACTGAGATTTTGTCGGAGTGGATTTTTGGTTTGTTATGGGAAATTTGGTGTATGTTGTGAGAAAGAATTTTTAAAAATTTCTTTCGTGGGCTTAGGAGAGGGGGAGGCTAGAAGGAAGAATTCTGCTATATGTTTGATAATAACTTCAACGACACGATCTGTAAGTCGTTCTTGCAAACGCCCTATCCCTATAGGAAAGAAACACGACACCAAAAGCATTTGGTAAACCGTTCACGTCACTTTGTAATTATGTGGCGGGGCGATGCAGTTTAAAAACAGTGGTCACGTGGTGCGTTCCTGGAATCAACAATTGACGGTTTAGATGCCAAGTTGGTGCTTATGAAAATCATTCACTTGAATAATGGTGTGTGTGTGTACGTATGTAGGTATCTTATGTATACTTCGAATTCACCTTTTCATTCCTGGCGTCAGATTTATGACAGAGTGGTATGAGGCACGTGATGTATGACAGCGTCAGAATTGATAAACATTTTAGCTTTGGGAACTCAGGCCCTAAGCTTTGTAGCTCCCAAGATGCAGGAGGCAGTGATTGGTGTTACTTGGAATCATCACATCACGTCAATGTCGGTGATAATATTTTACTCCCATCGAAGGTCAAAAAATTTGCGAAATTGTATTGAAGGGCTAAGTTAACCCTATCCATGAGACCATCCTCTGTACATTTGTGACAGTACTCGACTGAAAGATGAGCCTATTGGGTATGTATTATTAAATCATTCACTCGAACTCGATCGAACAAATTACCCAGGTCATGGAATAATTGTCGGACCACACCACTCCAGAAACTCAACCAAAGTCTCGCAACGGTTATAAACAAAGTGAATTTCAGAATGGAAAAAATCATTGGACGAAACCATCAATCCAAGCATTGCAGGAATTCATTTGGAATGCACTTCGATCTGTAGTACGTGTTTAAGCTTTCGCAATTGTATATCATTTTGTATTGGTGTGACGGCGGTCGCGTGACTGTGCGCTTTGCCCATTGTTCTCTAGCCCATCGTGGGATTGGGCCTTTGGAGTATCAAAGCGCAACGGCAGCCAATTTTATTCTTTTTTTGGTTGAAAGTTTCCGTTATTACGACTGGGCAAGTTCATCTCCCCGTTTCGTTTCAAGTTGACAAAACAAAGCTCCGTAAGTTGTCAAAACTGTGCTCTCCCACAAGACTGTACGAAAGCTATTCAACATCTACCTGGGTAGTGATATGTTTCCCATGAAGATGGTGTAACGTCGATGCGTAGTAGCACTCAGCCGCTTCTAGCCTGATATCTAATGTCTTGAAGTTAGGTGCTAACCAGATCTGACGCTGTCACAGATCACGTGAGTACGACAAATAGCTAAGTCAAAGATCTGATACTAGATCTGAGATCCGAAACCGATGTTTATATTGCCGTTTCGACCAGATCTTAGGCACATACTTCGGGCTGTTGAAAATAATAGCTTGGAAACTCATTCTAAGTCGGTGTCATTCCCGTACAAAACGATGTTCTATGCACTGAGCGTCAAGTTCTATTTGCCTGACTTTGATGCATAGAAGTTCCTCGAGACAATCGTAGGCAAATTTGTCAAACATTGGCGCCAACACTGTCTGCCGTTTCTTCAGAAGGGATGGGCGGGAACTCTTCGACTCAATACTAATATATTCTATCTTCACCGTCTTTTTGCTTTCTGGGCCCATCAAATACTACTGAGGGGTCCACGCTCCAGACGAGACAATTGGCAGCGAAAGAAACTGGTGCGAAAGGATTTGTAATTTCCTGGTCCAGCAAGGTGCCAATAAATTTGATTGATTATTGAGTGCTGGTCACGAAATGCATAGTCGTCCGTGCACTTTTTTTGGCAGGTTCTTCGCTGCTTTAAGCAGCGGAAACGTCCGACGACACGAATTTCATGCTTTTATGCAAATTGGTTCATTCCTCCCTCACAGTGAACTTCTTCACTCCTTGGGCACCAAATACCACGGTTTTGAAGGTGTCAGAGCCGAGCAATTTCATTACGATCAATCCAATGCCAGGTGTCAGGCGTGAGGTAAAGATTCCACTTGTTATCGAAGTACCAATTTGACGCAAGCTATACCTGTTCACTTCTATCGGGTCTTAAATCTGTAAAAATTGCATAGTTCAACTAGTTTACAACACCGCTCTTGAAAGCTGAAAGCAGTACGGAAAAGATACATTTATTGGCTGTTATTTAGAAGAATGGTCACTCATTCTCAATGAATTAAACCACTCACAGTACATCCCATTCTCTCACTGTAACATTCTAGAAGCTCAGCCGAAGTTTCGCGACGAAAACATACGATATGACTCATGGATAGTGGTCTTTCAATCTCTCGAAATGAAGCTGATCATTTCATTTTACCGTGCTCTGTTGAACTTGTAGAGACAAGCCTCATTTCTTTCCGTTCCTTATGAACCAATTCACTTTCAATGGTAAACCTGGTGCTATTCGCAACATGATGTTAAGGAACTTCAAAATCTGTAGATTCAAGTCAAACTATTTGTTCACTTTGACGCTGACATAGCATCTCTAGGAACTGACCACAAGTAGTGAGATTGACGCCAAGTATTGGAAGAGAACCTAACTCATGGTCAGAAAAGCGTTCCAAGTTCATTACAAAGCCTGAATGACTACCTTCAGAGCTTCTGTCTAATCAAGGTCAAGAATCGAAGCATACGCGCCGGGGTGACAACGTCAGATCTATTTCCAAGATTATCATGACAGGCTCGTTCGATTAGAGCAACAGAGAGGAGAAACGGTCTAGGTTTGTTTGACTCCGAGTGTCATAACCACCCTCTTCTTATGCAGACGGTACTTAAAGGGTAAGAAAGCTGACAATAAAGTGTTGACCGGCATATAAGTGATTCGAGTAAAGCTTGCGTGTATTCAATTACAATTAATTATCTTAAACCGATCTCGTCGGCAACGTTGCTTGCCCCTCTCAATGACTTAGTTCTTAGGGTATTGATGCTTTGGATTGGTGTATCTAGCACTTAACAGCCACAGGGCATCGAAGAATTTGAGACCACACTTAAACGGTCTACATCTAAATGAGGGCCAAGGGCATTAGAAACATCAGTCCCAACCTTAATTTATTGGCAGAGCCCTCGTAGATGGAAACTGACACCTGAGTACCAGATGGCTTTGCAGCAGAAGTAGATGCCTTGGAACCAGTCACGGAAGGATCAGGGCTTGTGTTTCCCCCAATTGTTGGGAAGCTTGACACTTGATTGCTCGCAGGGTTTGTAGATTGCAGTGTTCCGCTAGCTTGCGACAAAGCGCTGAATCCAGAGCCTCCTGGTGTGCCAGTAGATAGCAAGGTTGTGGTAGGAGTTCCAGTGGCCTGGTTATTGCTGGAGAATGGCTCAGTAGCAGTAGGAGTGTTTACATTGTTACCAGGCTTCGAGTTTCCTGGAGTTTCTGTTTGACCCTGAGCACTAGTAGCTTGTTCGAGAGTGCCTGTGGGTTGATTTTGAGTAACTTGAGTGCCAGGAGTTGGACTTGGAGAGCCCTGGGTGCCAGGAGCTGGACTTGGAGAGCCCTGAGTGCCAGGAGCTGGACTTGGAGAGCCCTGAGTGCCAGGAGCTGGACTTGGAGAGCCCTGGGTGCTAGGAATACCTGTAGCTTGACCCTGTGGGGTAGACACGGTACTACTTGATCCGGCATTAGCAGGAGGTATGCTCACTGAAGGACTATTTCCATCAGTGGTTGTAGTCTGTACACTCTGGAATGCAGGACTGGATTGAGAGTTGCTGCCCTCCGGTTTGACGAATGTAGTAGAAGTGACAGAGTTAATCAAAGTCACAGTAGCTGAACTTTCCTGTAGTGAGCTCATGCTATTTGAAGGCAAGCTCTGGCCTGATGGTACAGCAGAAGTCAAACCCGAGTGTGGAATTTCAGTTGAAGTTAATGTGTTCGATGACTTGAACCCAGAAGAGGTGGTTCCAGCGTCGGATGGCATTTGCGATGCAGAGCCCTGGCTAGCAGGTAATGCAGTACTTGATTGGGTCCTTTGAGTGGTTGAGTTCAGGTAATACCCGGTTGTAGGAGTCTCGACATAGTATACCGTCTCGGTAATAACCTTGCCATCAGATCCAGTGATAGTAGTCACTCCAGTGGAGTAAGTGGATGTGAAAGAACCGGTCCATGGAGTGTAGATAGTAGAAGCGACTTCTGGAGTCTCGACATAGTAGATGGTCTCGGTAGTCACCTTGCCATCGGATCCAGTGATGGTATTGACACCAGTGGAGTAAGTAGATGTGAAAGTACCAGTCCATGGAGTGTACGAGGTGGAAGCGACTTCTGGAGTCTCGACGTAGTAGATGGTTTCGGTAGTCACCTTGCCGTCTGAGCCGGTCGTCGTGGTCACACCAGTGGAGTACGTGGACGTGAAAGTGCCGGTCCATGGAGTGTACGAGGTAGAAGCGACTTCTGGAGTTTCGACGTAATAGACGGTCTCGGTCGTCAACTTGCCGTCGGATCCAGTGATGGTGTTCACACCAGTGGAGTACGTGGACGTGAAACTGCCGGTCCATGGAGTGTACGAGTTTCTCGCGTTCTCAGGTGTTTCAACGAAGTAAAC